CCTCCTCCTCCTCCTCCTCCTCCTCCATCCTCCCGATCTTTGACCCGACCCCTCTCCATAAGGGGCGCCTGATCAAGAGGAAACACTCCAGTTCGGGAAATGTCTGACCTGTTAGTAACTTCGACTGATGCGATGACTCAAACTCGAACGCAATGTTATGGTTGGCATCACTGGTTTCTGTCCGGATTGCGTTAGCTTGGTTGAGTTGGTGAGGGTGGTGGATTAGCCACCAGACCATTGTGATTTGTTGGTAGAGCGGCGGTTTATCGATAAGATGATGATTTGGCGAGTGCTGTTGATGCCAAGGGAAAGGGGTGACTTTCATGTGCTCTTCTCTTCCAGATACAGCTTCAACTTCCATGGTAGCATCTGTGCTGCTGTGTGGAAGTCGATCGAAGTGATGCTGGGTAGTCGTGACTAGGCATTCTGTTCTGTCATGTCTCGTTTGGCATCCATAGCGCGCTGCCTGTTGCTGGATGGCTGCACGCAAGCCATATATCAACACAGACTTAGCACTGTCTCGAAGAGTGTTCGGCGCAGATGCCCCCAGCTCGCGCTCGCGAAGCACTTTGCGCCGCGCACAACTACTCAATCGCCAGATACACCGAAATTTATGACAACTTCCGATTTCTACAATCCGATCTAGTCTGGCAAAGGGCGATGAAATTTAGCACATGGCGAATGTATAAAGACAGTTGGCAAGGGAAGAAAGGAAAGCAGTGACCAGAATGGGTACTACAGATGTACTTTGGTATCTTTTGGCATGAACATGAGCACATATGACATGAAAGAACGCAAACAGAAAAGGCGAGGGCAGCACCAACTTATTTGGGAGGTTGAGCCTCCTTGACACCAACAGTACCGTCCTCATTACCAAAGTAGGCAGCGACAGGCTTCTGACCGCCCTGGCCGCCGGCAGCCTGGACCTCGTAGCCATTGGGACCGAAGAAGAGACCAACCTCGAGAACACCTGAGATGGACTTGATCTTGTGTGCGAGCTCAGTAACCTCCCACTGACCGTCCTTGCCAGAGCCATCCTTGCCGTTCTTGATGTCGTCTTGGGTGAGAAGAGGCTTGAAGGGAGCGTCGATGATGTAGAAGCCTTGGTCGGTTTGGACGGGACCAGTCTTTGCGAGAGTGTGTTCACGGAGTACAGGGTCGATGGAGCCGATGAGTTTGAGTTGGCGCATGACTGTAGCGTGAGCGATGGGAGCAACCTCGATGGGTATTGAGGGCCACTTTGAGATCAAGCGAGTTTGGTTCTTGCGGTAGTCTGTGGTGGGAAATCAGCTTGGGTTGAGTGAGAGGTGAAGGTCTAGTTGTCGTACCAGCAATGCAGACAAACTTCTTTGCGCGAGTCGCGACCAGCTTCTCCTGAAACAAGCAAGCACCACCACCCTTGATGCAGTTCAAGTCGTCGTCGACCTCATCGGCACCGTCAAAGGCAACATCCAGCATGACATTCTCGGGCAAACTGTCAAAGGCCATGGGCATCAGACCAGCCTGCTCAATGACCTTTCTCGACTGGAAACCGGTAGGGATGAAGAACATGTAGCGGCCATTCTTGGGAGGGTTCTTGGCCAGGGCGTCTTTGATAGCCTCGACACCGTAGATGATGGTGCTTCCAGAGCCAATGCCGACAAACTGCATCTCGGAGTTGAAGTGGTCGGCAACAGCACGGTAGGCGGCCTTGCGCTTGGCCTGCTCAATCATGTCGACAGCAGCGGCAGCAGCAGCACCGGGACCCGAGGTAGTGGCAGACATGTTGCGGGTGAATTGGTATGCGCGAGAAAGAGGAGGTAGAGAACGAAGCGTGAAGGTCGAGGTCGAGGGTGAGAGGAGACGGACAAATGTTTGTTGGGAGAAGGCTGGGCGGTGGTATGAGCAATTTGACCAGAGTAGTCGGAAGACAAGGCGACGAGGAGTGACAAGCAACTTACCACCGAACATGCACACAGCAAATGGTTGAGTAGATAGCAGATATAACAAGGAAACCGAGTAATAACCAAAAAGGTGATATTAGCCGCGATGTCGAGTAGCGGGGTCTTCGGCGGCGCGTGGAAAAGCTCCCCCGAGTGCGGAACTTTGTCACACGTGCCGGCTGCCCCGCGTGTCGTCATCAGCAAACGCCGATAGCAAGCGGCGGTAGCTGATTCAATACAGAGTCACTTTCCATTAAGCTGAGCTCAACACCGAGAGATAGCATCATGGCTGCCAACGTTGAAGTCATACCGCCACCTCTTCAAGGGGTGCCTACGTCAAAAGAGAAGCGATACGACAGACAGCTTCGACTTTGGGCTGCTAGTGGTCAAGCGGCGCTTGAGGAGGCCCATATCTTGCTCATCAACAACGGCCCCGGTGTCGTCGGTGTAGAGACTCTTAAGAATTTGATTCTCCCTGGTATTGGTCAATTCACCATACTGGACTCTGCCCTGGTGTCGGATCAAGATCTGGGTCTCAACTTTTTCCTTGACGAATCCACCCTGGGCTCTTTCCGCGCCGAACACACTCGTCGCTTGCTGCAAGAGCTGAACCCTGATGTCAATGGGCACGCCATCACAGAACCCATCGAATCCTTCATCAACAAGCATGGCGCTCTCACTCCATATACGCTCATCCTCGTCACCGCTCCTACCACTCCCGACGTGCTCCAACTCATCTCAACCCATTGCCAAACTCACGCCGTGCCACTCTTCTACATCCACTGCTCCGGCTTCTACTCGCACTTCTCCCTCTCGCTACCTTCAGCCTTCCCTATAGTCGACACTCATCCTGACCCCACTGCGACTACCGATTTGCGCCTGCTCGCCCCATGGCCAGAACTCGTCCACTTCCAGAAAGAGAAGACAAGCAACCTACAAGCCCTGTCGCCTGAGGACATCGGCCACGTTCCATACCTGCTACTCCTGTTGCACTTCTTGGACGAATGGCGTGCTTCCCACAATGGCCAGCCGCCTCAGTCCTACCAAGAGAAGACCGACTTCCGCACCATGGTCGCAAAGGCCTCCCCTCCAGACGAAGAGAACTTTGCTGAAGCCACTGCCGCCATCATCAAATCGCTCAACCCTCCGACCGCCCCTGCCGACGTTCTCGCCGTCCTTGATGCTCCCGAAACAAAGTCCTTAGATGCTACTTCGTCCGCCTTCTGGTTTATCGCCAGTGCCGTTCGCATCTTCTACACCACACACAACCAGCTACCTCTTCCTGGCGCCGTACCAGACATGAAGGCTAGGAGTGCAGACTACATCCAGCTGCAGAACATTTACAAGTCAAAAGCCCGCAAGGACGCCGCCGAGGTGCTCCAGACTGTTCGTTCTCTCGAGGCTACCGTCGGTCGTAGAGAGCCCATCGATGAGAAGGAGGTTGAGGCTTTCTGTAAGGGTGCTGCCCACATCAAGCTCGTCCGCGGAAAGCCTCTCCGTATCGCCCGTGGTGAAGCGCCTCTTCATTGGGGTGAGGATGTTGCGAAATCTGCCGTCGAGCATCTCAACAACCTGACGTTCGGTCTGGACAGCGGCATATTGCACTACATTGCCTTTGTCGCTTGGGACGCCTTTGTTGGCAGTCACAACGTCAATGCACTTGGTGGTGAACCAAGAGTTCCGGGCTCCACAGACGCAGATCTGGAGAACGACGAAAACAAGATGATCGGTATTGCTAGAAACATCATCGATGCATTGATCAAAGAAGCTGGTACATTCATCGAGAACCCTGGTTACGACGAACTCAAGGAGAAGAGCGCCAAAATCGTGCGCGAGCTGTAAGTTCAACTGATAATTTGCCTTTGTCCCTTGAAAGTCACTGACCAACCACACAGCGTTCGTGCAGGCACATCAGAGCTCCACAACATCGGCTCCTTGACTGGCGGCATGGTATCACAAGAGGTTATCAAGGTCATCACGAAGCAATATGTGCCTATTGACAACACATGCGTCTTTGACGGTATCGAAAGCAAGGCCTCGGTGCTTCGCGTCTAAGCATGCAGCAAATCTCACGGCGTTAATGAAAAGGTATCATGGCTATCAATACCGCATAGCGAGGCGTTTGTTTTCTTAAATGCCGCTTGGCTTTGCTCATCGAGCCAAAAAATGTCAATTTCAAACAATTTCGCTCTACAAGCGGTGCACGTATTTGGACGATTGTGACTTTCCTGACCAATACGTCGACTATTTCGTGGACTTGGCAAGGCAAGGTGCTTTTTTCGGTATCACTTCACTATGCCTGGGAGTATGAGATAACCGTGTTCTCCCTATCTCGAGTCTCCAACGTACAAAATCACCATGTCTTTCTACAACGATGGGAACTAGCTTCTATTGTTCTTGGGGAGAAGAGATGTCGTTTAACCTACTGCAAGGATTGATTGAGTTATTCCCCTCGCGACTGGAAGCGTCTCTGTATCACCACATCCCACCAGGTGCTTGATCATACCCCATACTCATATCTGGCGCTGTAAATCCCGGTGCACTGGCTGCCAACATGTCGTCCACTGTCCATGCGAACTGATCTGGCTGTTGTAGATTCACTGTTTGATTTTGAGTGAAGAGCTGCTGATCCCACATTTCCTGATTTCCTCGTTAGTTGTGTCATGACTTTCACTCGGTTCTTGTCAAACTTACCCAATTGATGTCGTTGGAAACATCCATCATGTTGCCCAGAGCTGAGAAATCGTTTGGAACTGATCCTTGGTTCAATACTGGCCAATTGTTATCGGCTGGGAGAGTGGCTGAGATTGTCGTCGGCATGGTCATATCTGGCCAGTCATTGCTTTGTGGGTTTGAAGGCGCGATGGCGGATATGTTGTCCTGAGCTTGATCCTTCCTGACCTTATCCAGCATTACTGCCATAGCTTTGCATGCTTTCCGGACTTCTGTCAAGGCTGCGTTCTCGATTGTCTGCCCTGCTCTTCCCACTCCAAAGTCGGGCTCGAAGCAATCCTCCCCACTAGCTTCCTCCCAGACTTGCTTCGACCCTTCCAGTGCTGCAATCATATCCTCACGCGTGGCGATCTTGTCCGTCAAGGGATCTGATTGCTCGTTGAGTTGACGCGATAACTCGAGACATATGATCATACTTGACAGCAGGAAATCATGAGTTCCGATACTGCACATGTACCACGAAACTGACTCGAGTTGTCCACCAGGAGCTGAAGCTCGATAGATTGCCTGATGGTGAGCAAGTGTCTTCATGGCCGACCCGATACAAGAAGCTCGAGAGTAGGGTTCGGCAGGTTGAGATGCTGTGGCCACCAAGAATCTTCGATGCAGGACAACCTTGGTTTTGTGGTACAGCAGCTCAAGATTGAATCGACACATCAATGATTCCGGATCTTCTGTGATACAATATTCGATGGCTTGGAACTGCAGTGCAGGTGGTACGGCGGCTTTTGCTTCTTCTAGTTTCGCATCCAGGTGCATGATTTCTGAGTGAGAAGGCACTGTAGTCGCATGGGACATGTCCGCTGCCAAAGCGAACACTTGACAGATCCTGAATTTGGCAGCTCCATACGAGGAAGGTGTGATTTCTTGAGAAGGTCTAGACGATGGCAATATCTTGCTGGAAATGGAGAAATCCTGGTCGAACAGATTGTGCGGTGGTCTGGTATCGCTCTGCACTCCGCGCAACATAGCGGGAAGGCCAAGCTGAAACGACACAAGAGTATCGATCATGTAAAGCAGATGCCAGACCCGCCGTCGCATCTCTCCGGCTAGTACTGAGATATTTCCGTAGTGACTAGGGTCACGGTGATATCCCATTCGAAGTGCCGACCTGAAGATGACGCTCATCACAATCCACATATCATTGAAGTCGTTCGTCCTGTTACTTCCAACATGGAGCACCAAGCACTCAATCGTATATGCTTTGGGCGTCATGTAGTTTCCCAACACAGCAGCCGAGGCCGATAACTCGTGGTAAATGTCCGCTTGCTTTATAGCAGCTCGCACATCTGATGTGTTTGGATTGCTCAGAGCACGAATTTTGAATAGGCTTGCCATGCCGAGCATTCCGTAGAGAAGACCTATCCACATGACAGGTGCACTGGTTGGAGATCGCCAGAACTGTCGATATTCATTCTGAAATTGAGGAGCGTGGATAAGAGACTTGTATGGATGCGGGGCTCTGAACCATGTCGACACAAGCCCGTCTGCTTCCTTTCTCGCTGGAAGCAATGACAGCAACTGGGCTTTTGTGACCCTTCTAGGTGAGCGTAGTAGTCCCGGAAGCCCCGTGTCGTAGATGTCCAGCGGTTCTTCATTCTGCCACGCGTCAAAGTCTTTCTCCGAAGCCTCGTCTTCTGAAGCTTCTATATCTCGTTTCAACTCAGAAATGCTATCCAGTATGGTCGCCCAGTGAGATGACCCTACATAGCTGGTGCCCTCCTTGCTTATTCGTAGATGGCCGAATGATTCGAGCTGTGACGTCTCGGGCGGATGTTGTCTGATAGGTGAGTTGCCATCATCACTGCTATATGGCGGGGTCACCTCGGGGTATGCCTTGTCCGTTCCGATTGAACTGTGACTATTGGAATGGGAGGCCTCGGTCTGCGACGCAGTAGGAGATTCTCTTATACTAGTCGCAGTGCTGTTCGTCCTTCCGTTGCTTGTCGCATTGCTCCCATTACTTGTTGATGACCTCGAGTTCATCAAGTCGACTACGAGTTGCTCGAGATGTTGGATGCGACCTTTGACATTTTGTGGGCTCCTCGATTTGGCTGCTGGAGCAAGATATGAACATGACGGTTCTTTGCCTCGTTTTGTACACTGGTCGCATGGCGTTGCACGATTACATCGCAATTTGCCCTGTCTGCAGGCTGTACAGCTCAACTGCGATCTGGCGCGCTTCTGTTTCATATGCGCCTCAATTGACTCTCTGTTCGACATGATAATATTGATAGTCGTGAGTTTTGTTGAGACGCTGTCAGATAGGAGCAGGGATGGAGTTGTTGCCTTGCCAAGCCCGCTTCAGCTCCTTCCTCTAGCTACGGTATAGACCCTCGACTTGTCTGCTTGAGTATTTCGATTGGGTTTGTTCCTAAGCTCTGGATCACTGGCCTACTCAATTCGACATCTCGGGTGCATCTCTTGTATACACTTTCGCTGCCGGTCACAGATTAACATGATGGTTCATGATTTGTCAGCGTTCTCCAAGCATCTTCTGGCGTGCGAAAGTTCGTCACGCGTGTGACTGTCCAATTGAACGAGACCTCTGGCAAGCAGCCGGACATCCTTCGAGAGGCAGTATCGCCATATCTTGCTCCATGTACACCAACCCTCAGCTGATTCATTTCTCACTCGGTTGAGCTGCTACTGAAGTGCAATGTACAGCATGCGGGGAGACGGACACACGATGGCTTCAAGGAAGACCCCGCCCACCAACTTGAAACTCCAATATAGGACAAGTCAACATTGATGGATGAGGTTCTCGAGTATGATTTCTTGATTCATATATTTCGTGATTTCTATGTTGAGTCATCATCCGGTGCAGCGAGCTCACATCGCTTGGGCCCCACATTCACGCAGCACCTTCCTTTCTGGCGCCAGTGTAGAAGGCCAAACCATAGTCCTCGGTTGTGAAGGTGATAGTCGAACCTTTGGGAAAGAAGAAAACATCACCAGGCTTGGCCTCTACTTTGTTGCCCGTCTCATCCGAGATAGTATATTGACCTATGCTGATATCAGATATTGGAGTCTTGGACAAGCGGAGACCAACATACCTTCAACGATAATCTTCATCTCGTCATAGGTGTATGTGTAGACAAGTGGAGTACCTTTGATATATATAAGCTGATTTGTCACGAATCTATCGGCCAATGGGAAACGTACCCTTTTCCAGCCTGTAGAAGCCGCAGCTAATGGGATGCTCGGGATTGATTTGATCACTGCTGTAGACATCGCCAAGGAAGGCGTTTTCATTGGCAATGAGCGGGGGCTTGTACTCCTTCTGAGCGTTCGCAAAGTGCTTCATGGCAACAGGGGCAGACATGTTGGAAGTTAGACTGATAGACAGGATAAAAAGTCGGTTTTGATAGTAGTTTGAGCGATTGATGATGGAATTGAACACTGCAGACGAGTACACCACCTTATATCTTCTCCAAGCTTACACAAGTATTGATAGACTTGCTGAACAGAAGCCTCTACAAGGTAGTTCGGCACGCATTCTTGAGATTGTGAGATTGCGAGATTGCGACACGGCGCGCAGCGTTGATAGAGGACTAGATGTCCCGAAAGAGAAGACTGATAGGCGCGAGATATTCCTTATCAAGCTCGGACAGACCCCCGCTTCTTCAAGGCTGTCGAGGTGGAGAAGACAAGGTTGTTGTCCGCGGCGTGTTCGGGCAAGAAGACCTTGCCCGCATGCAGCAGGTCTGTCCTGAAAACCGGTGGTCCGTCATGCAGCCCCCGCTTCCCACGATGATGGCGTGCTGCCGAGGCGTGGGCACCCGAAGCTTCCCATAAAACGCTTACGTCTCCCTCTCCCACCAGGCTTGCGCTTGTTTTTGGAGCTCTCTGAAGCAGAACACAGGTCACCAAAAAGTTCCAAAGAATACAGTGTACGTTATCAGTCCTTGCCTAATGACCGCAGACAAGAAAGAAATCAAATCCACAACTTCACCAATATTGTAACGTCCCAATTCCGAGTCAGTCAAGAGAAAGGCTTGTCATGTCATGTCATGATGCTCCGTATCGACAAAGCAACAGTCCAAAGCAGCCATGTGTGAAGCATACCCCACTTCATTCACGACAGAAAAACCAAAGCGACACTTCCTGAGCAACAAAACCTGCACCCCGATTTATTTACCAAAGCAGTATCTCCTGAGCGACAAACCAGCAATTTCCTGAGCAGCACTTCCGGCATTTCCCAGCGACAAAACCTAAGCAACAACCCACGCGACACACTCCAGGCATCGAGATGTTTCTGTCATCTGTGCTAAGCAGCACTCCATCAGCAGTATTGCAACCAGCATATGCAGTGTCGTCTGAACACAGTACATGAAATCGTACGACCTCACTGGCACAACCAACCGACGACATCGTCATCCATGCGACACTCATGAGAAATATCCTCAAGCGACTTTGCCAAGCAACACTTTTCCAAGCAATATTTTCACGTCTGCAATATCTACTCATGCGGCATCACTCCTCCGCGACATTTCTTCGATGACCAGAGCGTCGTTCCACCTAAGCAACAACCGATACGAGCGAAATAATGCGACGTTGTTCATTAAGCAGCATTATCATAAACCAGCCAACTCCGCCAAATTCTACGGGCCCAAGCAGCACTTCTTCAACATGCCTATCCATGCGACAATTTTCTGAGCAACAACCTTCCAAGCGTCCTCTCATCATTCAGGCGACATTTGTCCATGCAACATTTTATCCAAGCAACACTACGCACATGGTCAGCTTATGCAAAACGTCGGACTTGTGCAGGAGAACTTACCTTCCCATCCCCAATCTTTCATCACGCCAATCCAATGCAACCTTCCGCGAACAGTGAGTAGTGTGCCTGTTGCGCCATTCACTGCATCGCGCGATCCTCTACACGAGATAGACGCCGAATCCATTTGACCTGGGTCGCCGCCTGTCATCCGCCTGAGCTTGTCCGCCCAGGCCATGGTACCCTCGCTTGCACCTGCAATGCTGTTGAATGACGATCCACGTCTGTCTGACGAAGGTCTGTGGTTGCGATTGCCGCCAGGCGGTTGCAAGTCTGCAGTCGCAACAAGACTTCGTCGTACAGGCAGAACCTTGTTCTTGTACTCATCCCTTCTACGCCAAACCTCTTCCATCACATCGACACACTTGTCAATGATGCCGATTCTCATGCGTTGTGACATGGCAGCCCAACGACTCTTGATCCACTGTCTGTCCTCCTCTACATCTGCTTCACAGCCAGCCATGAACAGAGGGTAGACATGAATGATGACACACCGACTGGCAAGAGGTACTGTGGCCAGGAAGACAAGCACTTTCTTTGCCATGTCCGCTGTAGTTAGGCGTTCAGGAATCTCAGGAAGTGCTTGGTGTAGGTACAAGAGTGTAGCCCAGCGATATGCCTCTGCTGTCTGCAAAGCATGGCGGACGTCACATGTGGGATCTTCTGGCGGCTCAATGAAAGCTGGTGGTTCCCAGGTCTCGAGCATGAGCTTGAGTTCCATCGCTTGACTGATCATGGGAGGCGAGTTCGACTCGGCACGATACACACGACGAATGAGGTTCGCTGTACGACCAATCAGTGGGAACAAAGTGCTTGCACAGCCCATCAGAGGGTCAAGGTTGGAGTCTATCGGCAAGCCAAAATCGATACCAAACCCTGCGTGTCCTGACGGGCCGACTTGCGGGCTTTCAGGTGTGCTGTAAAGGCAGTAAAGGTTATCGTAATCATCAGATGTATCCTCGTCTGCTGTCGTTACACGCGAGAGTACATCGAGGTAAACCCAAGCGTTGGCCAGGAACTTGAGTCTAGCAAGATTCAAACCTGTCAAGGGCGACTGCTTGTGCTGATTGAGAGCAATGTTGATCATGGCGCGAGCACCCTGGATATGGTCATTGCCACTCGAGAGGTGTTGGTCCCAAGTCTCTGCAAAGGCCAAGGCCAATGTAGTGGCAATGGCAGTGTCAAGGTTCATGGTGCTTTCCTCGATGCCCTCAAGCAGGTTTCGTACGCTCTCGCTCTTGTGCTCATGTCCTGCCACACGTAACGCGGGGATGTCACGAGAGGAGTGGAACGCCGTCATTGAGGAAATGGCGTGGTACAGAGCTGGTGAAGTCTGTGCCATTGGCCAGATCAATGTGCGCCATGGGTTCTCGTTTGGCCCGTCCTTGATTGAAAGGATGCCACAAGTCAGTCGGTCGAAGCGGAGCATCAACATCTCTGGACTGGTTTGTGCAAGCGAAGGCTGCTCATACATGTAAGTGATTCTTTGAGGGAAAACCATGGCAGGCGGACTCGATATGGAGGTGTCGTCTTGGAAAGTCGGACAATGCGAGAGCTGCAATGCCCATGCATCGTAGTCGGGCACAATTGGTGTAAGTCCTCCCATGTTTTTATCAAAGTCTGTGTCCATCTCATCCATGAGCGGGGGGTCTGTCATGTTCAAGAACTCGTCCATGAAGTTCATGTCAAAGTCAAAGACCTCTTTAGTGCCCGGCATTGTATTTGATGTAACGACATTCTCTTTTGGCTGAGCATCGGCGATGGAGTTACTATGGGGCGAGGCTTGAGACGATGTCCCTGCGTCGTTCGCAGAGTCGGTTGGTGATGCGCCCGGTTCGGCTTGTGCTTCAGCAGGTGAGGTTCTCGAGGAAATTTGGACAAGGCGGTCCTTCTCTGCAGAAGATGCTCGTGGTGGATCGGGTGGTGCAACGAATAGTTGCTGTGCGAATGAGGAAGACAATTGAACGGGTGCTTCGGATGACCCGGCTCTAGATGGCGGTGAGGCTGGGCTTCGTTTGCCAGAACCGTCAGCTGCGCTTCCCAGCACGATCAAAGCTGCAGTTCGCATGCGTTAGCAACAGCGATCTGCATAAAGGCCATAGACAGGTAAGTCATGGAACGACGTCTCTAAAGACGTCGAATCCTCCCACCATGCATCTCTCCTTTGTCAATAACTCACATCCGTTGTTCTGTTTGGCAATGTTCGTGGCAACGTTGGTTTCTTCGAAGGGCCTCCACTTGAAGTCCTTCTTGTAACCTCCGCAGTCCACGTTTCTCTTCTTGCACTGCTCGCAACCAGGCTTCTTCTCGTCGCATTTCAGGCGTTTTGCTTTGCAGGTGACACAGCCTGAAGGTTGTCATGTTCAGTACAAGAACACCCACAAAAAACCATCAGCAAATATGATGTGGTTGTAGCCTACCATTACGACTTTTCGACTGCTTGGGCTTAGCTACAGCGGCACCCTCTCGACGTGGTTTTGTTGTAGACGCTGTTGACTTTTTTCTCGTCGTGTTCCGCTTCTTTGGAGCCGGTTTATTTGGGTCGTCGTGAAGTACTTGTTGTCTGTTATCTAGCCGAGGAACAGGGTCTGGCGAGGCACGAAGGAAGACAGATGGGGACGGGATTGTGATTGTGTCCGCCATATTGTATGATGTGATCTCGAAAGGGTTAATTGAAGAAGAGCCAGGGCCTGCTATGAGAAGGGGTGGATTGTTCTTTTCCTGGCAATGTTCTCCTCGAGTCTCGAGATACAAGAGATAGCTGATACCGCTAGCGGGTACTTTACCCCGCACGAACAGGAGATAGGCCAGTATGGCCAGTGACCAAGACCTGGCGTTGCATCATCAGCGATGCTATTGGTCGGCTAGTCACGCTATCTGGCCCTCAGCTGCATGATATCTAAAGAACGTTGGCCAGAAAGGACGATTACGCCGACAAATAAACCAATGGGAGATATGATAAAGCCCAGGACAAATTCCTATCAACCTCGAATTATTCCTGCCCATTTTTGTAGGCTCATTCGAAGCGTCTACGCCAGAGTTTCTGGCATCATCGCTCTTGGAACCTTGTTGCACTTGCTCGTACGAGCATGGGAACGCGTCTTTTCCTCCATGTGACCACGATAGCGGCCTTGGGTGGGGAAGCCTCGGAAATACAAGAAGTCAAGTACCACCGGCTTGGTTTCCGATCTCGTCCGATCATGGCCATCAGAATTTAGATGAAATGGCACAGCAACTGACCGACTGCGGAGGAGAGAAGTCCTTTGAGCGGTCAATGGTGATTCATGCCTCTCACAAAGCAGTGTGAACGATAGGGAGCTTTTCTGAGGAGAATGGATAAAGCGGAGCCTAGATTCTTGGCAGCAGAAGCATTCAGAATTTCAGGAACGAGAACGAAAAGCAGACAAAGGGAGGAGAAAAAGAAAAACAAGGGAAGAAGAGGAGTGCGGGAAAAAAGAAATTAAAAGGAGGAAAAAGGTATTGAATGGTTGAGCGGCAATACGAACACCGTACTTTCAGCCCAAGTCCAGTCACCTATGGAGCGAGTGCACCGACATCGATTAGAGATCTATGCAGAACATCTCTCTCTCTCTCTCTCTCTCTCTCTCTCTCTCTCCCTCTCTCTCTCTACTGAGTCGATATCTGGTCTCCAAGAATTTTTATGTCGTAATAACTCATAGCCGTGCGTCCATACGGCATTGCAAGGCACGTGACATGGGTGCAGTCTCTGGAAGACGCAGATGAGCAAAGTACAGACTGTGCAGAAGATATCGACTCTCTCTCTTTCCTTCAAGTGCTTTGCAGACGAGGAAGGAAGGTCTTGCTGTTGCCACGAAAAGCTTCGCGTAGGAAGCGAAGGCAGTATTTCGCTTACTGTTTGATGGGGAGCTTGAGGCCTAACTTTCCTCATCAACCCATGCGAAATTGCAGTCCCAAGTTCAACCACGGTTCCACGCTCGACAAAGCGACGCTACTGATAGTAAGAGACATAAAGAGAGACAGTGGGTGCAGCCTAGCCTTGAGCCTTGATGGTCAACTCTTGCCTTCTCATCTCCTTGAATACGAAACCGGCAATGCGAGTCAAGAGATACGTGTATTGGTTGGTTTGAGAGCTGAGCAGATGAGGAGGTAAGCGAAAAGTACTGTTTTGGTTTCGATACCAGAAGTGTCGGCTTCCTTAGACCTCTTAAGAAAGTTCGGATCGCTGCAGATGAGCACGCAACACTTGCACGTTCGGCATAGTCAAATAGGGCATGATCCGACAACATGAACCAACGTGCTGGAAGTCGGCTTCTCACGTGGTGATAGACTCGTGGGGAGGCGAAGCACTCATTGATCGCCACGCTAAGGGTGGGTTCTGTTCGGCGTAGGTTCGCTCCGCAGCGTACAGTCAGATGTGGCTATTCCATTCGAACCTTGGGATCAAGAAAGTGGAACATAAACAGTGAGGTTGAGAATAACCTCGGTGCGCTTCACCAAGTAGTACGCATAGCGCACAATGGTCACCGAGGGTGATGCGCAGACATCTGCCATCCAAGCATGTTTTGCTGTATGCCTGCGCCAATTGCCGGCAACTAAAAACGTGGCACCTGGGGATCCCGTTCGGTACCACTGCTGTTCGAGCGTTCGAACGACTTTTGGTGTGGCTGAGTGTCATGTTGAGTCTTAGCCTACGCCTTTCGACGCCCGACCTGGAGTCTTGTCCTTGGGGAGAGATGCGCATCAATCAGTAATCTCATGCTCAGACGCGAAGGATTGGTAGCTCTAAGACGGAGTTCTTGTTGACGAAGCGTCGTCGCAAATTCAGGTGGTGTTGTTTTAGTCATCCACTTCATCGCATGCAAATCCTCTGACAGATCTGCTGGACCCCACTAGAGCCTCAAGCAAGGCGGGTGGGGCCAGAGTGGCGCGCGGTCCTTGAGCTAATCGGTTCAACGACTCGTACCGATGTTACCTGCAAGCAAGCGCGAAACTTTGGCGTCACAAGCTTCTGCGTCATCGATGACAAGTGAGCGACACTCGTCAGCTACGCTTTCGGAAGGTCCTTATGAAACAGCACTACGAAAAATGATTCGCGGCGCTGCTCTCACGATGATATTCGGCGGAGATAGGCGCTCCGAAACTCCATGACATTGAGGATCCCCTCCCAACCAGCAGGCAAATTCTGCCAATTGACGTGGCGCTGTGAGTGGCCCCCAACGATCTGTTTAGGCTGTAACGGAGTGCAAGCAGGATAGTGATCAGCAAGTATTGCTTACGCTCCGTGTCCAATAGGCCCCTCTCGGTGGAGGATCAAGTCGTCGACCAGGCTATGCCCGGGAGGACTTGTTCTTGTGGATATTCACGTCCCTCTTGCAGCGCGCGCGCTTGCGAGGGAAACTGCCGTGCTGACAACGTCCAGGAAAAATGAAGCCTCGGTAGATTGGCCATGTGCTTGCCAGGTCTAGAAGGCGCACCTTGAGTCCCACGCACATCACCGGGTCCGAGCACCTTTTAGCGCAAGACGGAGGCATGGATCAGGAGTGACATTTCCGCCGTTGAACTGGGCAGAGCAGCCACCATCCATCATGCCCAGTCCAATGCAAGGATTGGAACCAGAAATGCAACAAGTCAAGGGCGCTGTTTCCCATTTGCCACCATAGCAATGGCCAATCTCGTAACCGACTCTTCTACTGCATCCAGAAGGCGTGGGTCCTTCCCCCAGGAATCGGTAACTCCGTTGTCAAGGCCCGAGCCTGTTCTCTCTTAGGACCTGTAGCTCATCTGTAGCCTTCTTTTCCTCTTGAACTTCCTCTTGTATTTGTCTTCATTCACTCGTTACTCCCTGTTCATCGATCTGCAAACCCATAATCCCGGACGCCAAACTAGACTGTCTGGCACGGATTTCTCCTTGTTTCTTTCACATCATCATAACCAGCTCCTCTCCCACGCATACACAAGGGTCTTCATCCTTGCATAAGATTCATCACCGCATCTGTGGTCTTGGTTGCACGGCGCATTCTATATCAGGGCCTGGATATCTTTCGCATAGTCGAACTCATCCAATTGATTCTTTTCCCCTCTGCTGAGTAATGGCTGGGGCCCATCAAAGCCTTTGATATCGAGCCTGTGTAGTCTTCCTCACTTGAACTCGTTCATTGCCGCCTCGCGGTCTATTGATCGTCCTCTACTGGATTGCGGATCTCTGTGTCACCTTGCACTCTTCGAGCAACAGACATGCCGGACATCGATATACAAGACGGTCCATCCGACTTTGAAACAAACTCTCCTACAGACTCTGCGCCTTCAGCTGGTTACTATCACACACCCAATTTACCACACTCGTCCACTGCTGGGATCGGGAAGAGGAGGAAGAACTCCAAGATCAAGATGAGCCCTATACTCAAGCGAGCCTCTTCTACACCGCAGTTGCATGGGCTCTCTGTCGAGGAGGCAGGTGGATTGTCGCCTTCTGCCTTGGACAAGAGAAGGAACAAACTAGGCTACCAGCGCATATCAATTGCATGTTGTAAGTGTAACACGCCACCGCGATGCATGAAGATATGTACTAACACGCACCAGCTCACTGCAGACGAAGAAAAATTCGATGTGTCCTTGCAGAAGCTGATGATATGGGACGATGCAACAATTGCATTCGACTGAAGAAGGAATGTGTTTTCTATCCCGTTGATTCAGCAGGAGGCCCAGAAAGTCGCGCGCAAACCAAAGGATCCAAGGATTCGTCAGTGATCTCGAACTCGCCATCAGAGATGCATCCTCCTGCTACAAAACTTGAACACGATCGTGAGATGAGTCGTTTCCCTCATCTTGCATCCAATGCGCCCACAGAGTATGGCTCAGTTGACCCCAGCACTGGACTCGGGATCTCCACAGGCAGTAAGTCGACCCATGAGGACGCGAAGCGTAAATCTTTACTAACCGCTCTCCCAGCACCAGTAGCATCCGAATTTGCATTTGCACGCCCTGGCTACCCTGCCATTTATGCAGGTGATGTCTCAGGGACAGAACCTCCGACTCCCGTGCATTGGAGTTCGTCACAGATGGGCGAATACTCGAATTACTCTAGCACCACCGCTGAGCACTCTCCAAACGTATACCCTTCTTTCTCGTTCCCACCACAGAGGGACGATTACGCCATGCAGCAACCTCCAATGCGTTCCATGTCTTACGGCCACATCGAGCCTCAGTTACAAAGCTTTGCGCCATCTGTCACTCCGATTGAATACACAAGACCGGGCTCCTCACATTACAATCTCGCGCCTATGGACACTGGGGCAACGCCAGTCTGTACCATTTCAGAAACATCCATGACGACCCCCGTTACCAGCGAGCCCACGATGACTCCCATCGGCATGTACCCTCCACAATGGGGCTTCTATCCACAACAGCAACAACCGCCCATGGGCATGGACTACTCGTCAAGACATGATTCTCTCCCCACCCAGTGGTACCACCCTCAACATCTTGGACCTACCATGATTGAGCATGAACTACATCATCAACATCAGCACCCTATGTCACAGGCCCCAGGAGGCGCATATGCTAAAAGATCTTAGCGAGATTGCACTCCGATCCTTCGAGATCAATTTTGGCTAAATTCGGACACTCTCCACAGCAACTTTCTAGATTCGCAGGACCTTTCTTTCTCTGGCATCACATTCAGGCGTTTTCAGCGGTGTATAAAATCTGGGCGGGCTGTGTGTATTTTATTGGGCGTTTCAATATGTATCGACAGTACACGACAGGATGGTCTTCGATAAGTACGGTTAACTCGGCGTCTAATGTCTTTCGGAAGGAATAATGCACCAGGCGAACCTAGCCTTGCAATGGTTGCGATGCACATACAGTACTCTGTCCTAGTTGGAACCAGACACATGAAGGTCCTTTCCTCCTTCATCATTACCTCTCGGTCTTCTCTCCTGTTGCCTTTACCCTGTGTTGATTTGTGTCTCAATGTACGGCGATCTTGTCACATGTTACGCTCCTTTCCACACTCCAAACCTACACAACACGACCACTTTGCCCTTCCACTTGACACTGTGGAGCCGTTATTAGTGTGCACGATTGGACGCCACAATTACTAGCAATTAAGATCAACACCGCGTTGCGGATTCTGCGACATTCTTCTCACGATCTTCTAGACTTACCAAAGCATTATGATGTGCTTAGCGTTTGCGAATTCCAGCAGACAGACCAACAGTTTGCAGTCCCAAGACCCTAAAGCAAGGCAGGTGAACGGATTATTATCGTCGTATCATGTGAGATCTGTGATCAGTAATCGTGGCTAAGGAAGGTGTACCATACAACCGACGCGTGTGCAATGCGGAGCCCACAATAAATCGGGAATAAATTCCTCCGTCTCAGACGAAAACATGACCTATGATCTTCGTCGTTTTTCTTTGAACAATGGCAATATCCGTGAGGGCACGACCGATACAACATACACGTGAGAACATGACGACAAACAATATTGGCTTCTGCAGCAGCGATCATTACGATAGCATCAGGAGAGGTGGTGTCGTTAAAGTCTTCCACCATTCGAATTAAGCGCGAGCAGATGAGAGAAGGGTGGAGGGGCCAGATGCGCCATGGGCTCTCTGATGGCTGGTTTTGCGAACGCTTGACAATGCTCCACTGTTGCCTTCGTTGGCAACAAATGATGCTTTGACTCGAAGACCGGCCGAGCTCTAGTTCGACTGCTTCTCCGAGCACGCTTGCTCAAGAGATCCGGGTAACGGTTCATTGCATGCCGATGCATCACCGTAATCCAATCATGACCCAGTCACCAACATTTACACGAGTAAGTAAGTGCGGAGTTGTTCGGACCTGGTATGATGTAGGATCTATATTATTGTGTCAGTGGTGAGCAAAGGGACCAGATTGCGCGTGCGCCCCTGCCTGCGCGATCTAGATTGTGCATCTTTCGATAAATCTTGGAAATAAAGGTGACAGGTTCGAATTCTATATCTGAACTTTGTTATAAGCAAAAAAGGAAGAGGCTTCTCGCGGCAAGTGGAGGAACAGTTGCTCTGCCAGGAAATAATAATTAATAGGAAGAGAAAGAGAAAGACTGTTGTTGGTAAGGTATTCCAAGGCTTTGGTGGTCAAACGTTTGAATCGATTTGACCAAGATTTTGCCATCCAATGAAAGTCTGACCGGAAAACTCTCTCCTCTTCCTTCCTGTTTTGCCTTTCTTACACAGCCTCTTCTTGCCAACGAGAAAAACGCTCCTGGCGTTGAGAAGCATGCACAATGCACGCCTCGTATGGGGTAGTGACAGCCAAAAGCGAGAGCGAGAAGTGCAGATCTGGCAATCGCCGTTGAGCAGTTGCCAGTGCGCAAAGCCTTACGCTGCGTCTTGCTTACTCGTCTCTCTTTGCCCATCGTTTCGTCAAAAAGTACACGTTTGTGGGGCCATTTGCCTTTTTGCTCAAAACGACCTGGTGAGAAAGAGGGGCCGGTCACCACTTTGAAACACAACGAACACGACATGTTGCTAGAGACTAGAAGGAAAGTACAAAGTATAACGAGTCGGATTCGATGCCAGCTCAAAGGTAAGCGCCTGCCGGCGGCGGCTATGTTCGGCGGGCGCAACGTAAGGCACGCTTGAATCCATGTTGCATCCCTCAGCTGTCTCTCTTTGCCTGTGGATAAATCGGTGATGCCAAAATTGACGAGCGCAAACCAAGACACATGCTCCCAAGAAAACAAGCGACGGCAAGACCCGCAATAGACTAGAGACATCTGCAAAGAAGGGTTATCGGTGGGGGCAAAGGGCAAACCAGAAAACCTGGGTCTTGAACTTTGTGGTCTCATCGAAATTTGCGCAGGGAGATGGATCGCACAGAGTCGAGTCCCCTGTTGCACTTTTACGGCATTTCGTCAAACGTCATGCCATCTCGGTCGACTTGGACGCATGCCTTCCACGTTCTGAAGGACCCACAAGTTGGTCTTCTTGTGAGACGAGCCCAGATGACCATGCGTCTATCATATGAAAGACTCGAGCGCCCCTCTCTTTCAGTGTGACGTCTCCTATCAAGGTCATTCGCTATCATATTCCAAGTTCCAATATGGGCCTTGGTCCTCCCTCAACCCATGCTGTATTTCTATGGAGCCTCAATCAACGAGGCCAATCAGACTTGACTACAAGAGTGAGGCAGGACTTACTCAAAGCCTAAGATCCAAGAAACAAGACCAGACCCAGATGACGTTGGTGGTGGAAGAGGGGTGGTGAGGTGAGCTCTCTTGTCACATTGTACTCTACATGACCCCTCGTCTGGATGAATATAAAGCAAGCTCTTGTAAGTGAACAGCGAGAAAACCCTCAAACAAATCAAATCATCCTCTCTTCAAATACACAAACCTACCAACCCATTACATCCACAATTATGTCTGACCAAGGGTATGTTGCTCAAGTCTTTGTTGACTTGTGCTTGACCTAACCTGCCTTGACTATAGACGCGAATCTTTCACCGACAAGGTCTCCAAGACCGTCATGCCCGACAGCCAAAAGTCGACTGGCGACAAGTACAAGGACAAGGCCTCTGGTGGCATGGACAGCGCAGCCGGATCCATGCAGCCCGACAGCATGAAGTCGGACTCGCAGAAGGCTGGTGACAAGGGCGGCAGCATGCTCGACCAAGCCAAGAATGCACTTTCTGGCGACAGTAAGTGTCTACTCTTTCTCTTCCGACAAGAAGACCAGACTCTAAAATCTGATGCAGACAAGTAAAGCTCTTAAGCTGCGATTGTTACGAGTATGATGATATGAATATGTCAAGGCATGTAGGGATAGCAGCAGATACCCACAATGAAATGACAATAAGCCATGATCACCTTTGTAAAGTGCCTCTTCCAGTTCAAGAGAGATCGAGTTGGTGCTTTATGTTGAGAGCTGCCAGTGATGTCGTGAACTTGGAGTTTGGAGAGAAGCTGTGACGAAGCATCCAAACAAGGCAAACACAGCTTCCATTTCTCGAAACTTGCGTCAGACTCTCGTCGCGACAAGACCATCACCACATTCACATTTCAACTCAACAATCACATCCCAATCTGTACAACTACCTCGCACTCGCTCTCTCGACCTTTGCCTAAGGTTCAAGCACCATTTCACCCACAAGAAGTCAACCCCTTAGCCCAGCTCTAGACAGCCCAGCCTCCAAATCACAATGCCAAAAGAACGCAACATAAACCCCGTCGCCGCCCAACACAAAGCAGACAAAAAACAACAGCTCAAAAAATCAAAAGCAAACGTCCAAGCCCAGCGAAACGAGAAACTCGCCCGCAGAAACCCAGAACGCCTGCAACGTCAAATCGACGACCTAAAGTCCTTGGGATCGACACAGCAATTACGGCCAAAGGACCAGTCTACACTAGAACAGCTAGAAAAGGATCTACGCGCTGTAAAGAAAGCAAGAGATGTGCTGGGAGAAAAAGCTCCAGCGTTCAAGACAAGAAGAGATTATGACGAGCCTAGGGAAGGAGGACGTGAGGGAAGGAAGAGGAGGAGAAACGACGACGATGAAGACGACACAGATGAGGATGTGAGAAAGATTCCCATGCCAAAGGATACACCGCCCCCTATCCCGAGAAGAGATAAGCCGCATCAATTGCCGAATAAACCTGCTGTTGCTCCTGCGCCCGCGCAAACAACGTATAGTTCGGCACCGGTACTGCGTAACCTCAAGGAAGAATCTAGACGCTTTGTTCCTGCTGCAGTGGCACAGAATATCGCCAGACAAAAGGGTCAAGGGGGAAGATTGCTGGAACCTGAAGAGGTGGATAAACTTGAAAAGGCTGGGTACAATGATGCGCAGAAGATTGTTGATGAGATGGAAAAAGAAGCCCAATTTGAGATGATGAGCCGAGGTGAGACTACTGATGGTCAAGCTGCAGAGAGAGCATTGAAGCAAGTCGAGATGGAGGAGGTTGAGGACGAGGGTAATTAAACATTTTCTGCCCGGGCATGAATCCGAGACGGGAATCTCGACAACCTTAATTCACGACGTTTATGAAGAGATGAAGAGAACTGATTCGTGATTCATCTACTACTGATTACTGTATCCTTGTGCGCTACTTCATAGCTTTGTTGAGTTGGCCAGGGTCCTACAAGAGAAAGGTCAGCATATTCATCCGTGCAAGCTTACAGTGACAGAAGCGGCTTTGCTTACCAACACAATTGGACCGTCTCACTTCAGGGTGGTAAAAAAGGCACTTACAGGTGCTCGTGGAAGAAGTTCAACAAGACGCCGTAAGCATCCATGTAGTTCTTCTTGACATTCTCGTCCTCGAGGTCGGCACTGTCGCACTCCGTCAGTTTATGTTCTTTCCGCATCGTCACTAGGGACACTCACCGAGCAGCCATGAAGCCATGGACCTGGTCGTTGTACCACTTGACAAGATGCTTGGTCTTGACACCCTGCTCCCACTTCTCCACTGCCTCCTTGTCCTCGTCCTTGCTGGGCAACATGGCGATAGGGATGCTGATTCCAGCGGCGTCGTTGGGGTCGACCATGGCAGGGTGGCATGCAGCAGCGGCCTTGAAGACAGTGTCCTTTTGCGAAGACAGGTTCACAATCTTGCCGCCCCAGCAGAAGCCGACGATGCCGAAGGATTGGATGCTCTTATGCTGAGACTTGATCTCGTCGATGACCTTGGGGACGCGGCCGACAGTCTTGGGTGGTGCACCGGTAGTCTCGAAGAACTTGCCGAGACGTTCACCCTTCTCCTTCTGTAAATGTTGTCAGCTTTGATCAGATTGAAACAGCCAGCCCTATGTGCTACGTTCTGTCGCTTTCGGAGCTGTAGAAAGGCACAGGCGGGAAGTCGACAGAACAACGTATCTCGGCGACATTGCTGCAGATCTAATATAGACCGTGCCTTAAGACAGCTCCAACCATGACAGAAACCAGCACAGGGGAAGGAAATAGTCGACGTACAGTGTCAGGAGGGTAGTCGTTAATGTCAACCGGCTTGCCCTCAAAGAAGTCAGGCATAACAACCAAATACTTGTTCTCCTCATCGCCAGTCGCCAAAATATCCGCACCCTGCAGAGTCTGGTCCTTGAAGCCAAATATGTCGTAAACAACCAGGATAGCCTTCTTTGCATCGCTAGGGCCAGTAACATAGGTCTTCATACCATCAATGGTGGTATAAGTGCCCTTTGCATCATAGCCCTTGCTGATGACGGGAGGAACGGTACAGCAAGCGTGGGATTGTGCCATTGTGGAGTGTGTGTGATAGGTTTGGTGTAGCGGAAGGAGGGGGAAGTTGGAGAGGGATTAAAGCAGAGAGGAGGTAACGGACAGACGCATCTTCTGCCGTTTCTCAATCGATGATTTAGCTTACGAGAGCTCCGCTGGAAACCACCCGTGTGAAGCATCGAGTGTGGGGTCGTATACACTGCGTCATAGATCCGTCAGAACCCGGAGATCGAGACCGCGGCCATGTCGATCATGCTGTGTGGATCACCCTGTTACCAGACGTAGCATACCATTACCGACAGCATCAACAGCTATGGTAATATCAGACAGTATGGATCCAACCTATGATCCATGTACTAGAATAGGAGCTCAAAATGAGTGCTTCGTCCGGCCATCGTGGTTGTTTAAGCCGCTTTCGATTTTTCATGCACACATCAAGATTTTCGTCGAGCAACACATCAAGATCACATATCGCGGGCCGCAGAGTTCTTCCGTTCCAAAGGGATGCAATCAGAACTAACGGCCACAGCCATATGTGAATGTGAAAGATCACGTAGATAGTCGAGAGATGGTTGAGCAAAGGTTAAAGGTATAAAGTAGTCAAAATTAAGTATTGAGCTTTTTGGTATATTCGTAAAATCATAATCATCAGTCATCAGTTTTCTTTCCATCTCTTCATGTGACAATCAACCCATTCTTGCTTGTAGCCAAGATGTCACTCCACGAAACATCGCACGAGTTCGTGTCATCCCTCGCTGCCCACACTTTTGTTGCTACCTCGGTGGCAGTGCCGAACATTCCCATACCAGACTGTTGACCGGCTCTGAACATGAACGCCGAGATTTGCTCGCGGTGCACAGGATCCAAGGCTTCGCAAGCAGCGATGAAACCGGGCCAAGCGACGTAGGCAGATGTATCGCCGTACTTGTTCTTCTTCTTCTCGTGCTCCAGAAGGTTGTGAATTGTCTTGCCAACCCAGTGCTGCAATGACATTGCGTTCATGTCTCTGACTCGGCGGTAGAAATAGATGATCAGAGCAGAGTGCATAGCCTCTAGGAAGTTGTAGAGCAAGTCTGTTCGCACCTCAATCTTGTCGGATCTTTCCGCAGGTCCGTAAACAATCAAGGTCTGTCTCTCAGCCAGAAGCTTGTAAGGGTTCTTCCAGTTGCAAATCTTGCTCTCGGTGAGCTTCGCCCTCTGCTCAAGATCGCGAGACATGCCACCGGAGTTCGCAGAGCGACTACGGCGAACCTCATCGGCCAAATGTGTGGCATGGGAGATCAGACGGAAGAGTGATTCAGGAATGCCGTAAATTTGCTCGAACATGGTCGGTTCGTCCTGGTCAGCGGGAAACTTCACCAGCCGTGTCTCCAGATCTGCCATATCCTGAAAGTCCATATCTGAGCCCAGCTTCAAATGGTCGGTCCATAGAGAGGGGTAGCGACAGAGCGCGTTCGGTGTCTGATTTGTCATAGCATACGGCTGATCGGCCAAGAAGGGCTGAGAACCCTCGACGGGGGTAAAAGTGCTTTCCTCGATGATCCGTAGGTATAGATAGATGCTATGCAGCATGTTGCATTTTCGTGATTGCTTGGGCTTCTTTTGGCTTTGCATGTAGATGAAGCGTTCCGCGTCCAGAAGATAGCATCTTGCTTCCTGCATTTGACCACTGACCACGCAGACTGTAACCATGCTGGTCAGAGCCATTAGGACTTCCTTGTACTTTGACTTCTTCTTCTCTTCGCTCTGTTCGCGAAGGCAAGTCTTCAGTCGCGCCTTTGCTTTCTCACGATACGACTCCGCAATAGACTGCCAATTATCAGCTTCCATGGGATCCGTCTGCAGGTGCTTTAAGTTGAAAGCGCTCATAGCAAGGACTGCAAAGAGTAACGTCATCTTAGCGTTGTTTGAATCGCCGAGGAGGGACAATTCTCCATATGCTGATATGGCGCAAGGCAAATGAAGAATCTTCCATGGAGGCTTCTCGTGATGTAACGGTGTAAAGCAGGACATCATCGAAGTTTGATAGTGGTCCAGTAAGGTGCGCATGACTCCAGGCGCCATTCCTCCAACGTCCTGAGAGAAGGTCAAAGTGACTGGTGTAGGTAAGCGAGGGCTGAGAGGGAAGAACCTGGCCAGGTCGGTGATTCCAGAAGGATCCTCGGCTGTATTCAGACTTATGTCAAAAGCCTCATCCATTCCTTCACCAAAGTTGAACATTGATGGAGAAGTGGCCCAAGACATGGGGAGAGGGGTCTTTGCCATGACAGGTTGGAAATCGTGCGAAGGTTGCTCGATATTCAAGAAGTCAATGCCGTACCAGTCGTCCTCCGGTAGTGCATTGATGATTGGTAGAGCTACGGGCTCAGGTACAGGTGGTGAAGAAGGCGTGAGCGACGGTGACTTGGGTCTGTGCAATGAGAAGATTCCAAACGGTCCATGATTTAGTGGTGCATCGTATTCCAGTGTATCGGCCTGAGCATCCATTTGAAAAAGAAGGCCCTCTACTTGGTGCTCTGAAATCTGTCTTGTCATCCTGGAGCATTCTGCAATGCGCTCGCGATCTAGGTTTTGGTCAGCGCTGAAAATAGAAGACTATGATATTTTAGAAATTACCTGAGAATAGTGGTTTCCTACGAAGACCCATCTCTCTTTCCGGAGATTCTGTGCTACATTTCCGAGAAGTAGTCTTATTAGGCACTCCAGGGTCAAGCCATATTAATCCTTGGACAGCGCCTTGTTGAACGCAATCCAGATTTAGTCGCCTGCAGGCCGAGCATCTTGGTAGACTCCTATCACACTTGACCTTGCGCGAACGGCAGGTGGAACACGCGTTTGATCGCGGACTCATGCTTCTTTCTTTTGATCTGCTGCAAAGGTTGCAAAAAAGAGAAGGCAAGACCGAGTCACCAGATAGGAAAATATGCGAGGCCACAAAGGCCGAAGGCCTGCCATTTTACTCATACCGGTGTACTGCTACTCGGAGTAAAGGTGTGGTGAATCGGGGGAAACACCACTCAACGGCAAATTGGAAGTCGAAATCCGACGGCAGGGGATTCAGTCGGAGAACACGAGAGGTCTGTTAGGGGACACAAACCTGGAACATGGTGGCACACACGTTCTCTAATTTCAGCTCTGCGTTCTCCGTGTACTTTGCGCAAGAGACTAAGGCTGAAGTAGGCTTTTCTCCTCGTAATGTCGGCGTCTTCGGACAATCCGGCGTGTTCAGATTCTTCCTGTCAAAGTTGTCGGCGTAAGGCTCCTCAGGTTTGACCGAGCTGCTTCCTCCGCTCTCCTCGGCCAACACTTGCTGTATTTGGAGATCATGTTGGCCGTGATAGGGATATGTATCTCCAGACCTCCCTCTTGACGTTACTCAAGCTTATATAGATAGCAAACAATTCATGCAGCCAGACTTCAGAGAGAAAAGACACAGTCATAATTCACATTTCGAAATGCACACCGACAAATCAAAGGTCCTTCTGTTCGGCAGCGGCGGAGTTGGCACGATTGCAGCACTGAACCTTGAAGTTGGTGGTCACGCAGAAGTGACAGCTGTGTTGCGTTCGAATTTCAAAGCTGTCAAGGAAAGAGGTTTTGAGATTGCATCTTGTGATCATGGCACATTGAAGGGATGGCGACCATCCGAGGGTCAGTTTATGTATACATCAATTGACCATTCATCCTGCTAAAGTATCCAGTCATCAACTACGTCCCCAAGGCATCGGAGAAGCAGTTCGACTACCTTGTCTGCACAACAAAAAATCAGCCAGATTGTCCACCTTCTCTGACTGAGCTCATTGCTCCTGCTGTCAAACCTGGACATACGGTGATTGTTCTTATTCAGAATGGTCTTAACATCGAGAAGCCGATGTTCGAGGCATTCCCCAACAACATAGTACTGTCTGGTGTGAGCATGATCGGATCACATGAAACTGAGCCTGGCGTAATTGAGCACGATGACAACGACCGAGTCCTGATTGGACCCTTCCACAATCCCAATCTATCAGCGAAGGATGAAGAGGCCGCCGCAAGGGACTTTGTCCGTATCTATTCTGCTGGCGGAAAGACTGACTGCGAATTGCAACTGGACGTCAACTTTGCGAGATGGCGAAAGCTGGTTTACAATGCTTGCCTGAACTCAATCTGCGCTCTCACTGGCTTGGACACTGGGCGGATCAGACTCGCGGATGGTGCGATTGATGGACTCGTCAAGCCTGCTATGGAGGAGATCAGAGCTGCAGCCAAAGCCGTTGGCGTAGAGCTCCCTCCTGACGTTTGCGACTTCATGATCGAGATCGATCCCTTGAATATGTATCTTCCGCCTTCGATGTTGGGAGATATGAGAAAGGTAGGAATAGGGAGACAGCTCGACTTGATCTTGAGCGCAAGCTAATAACTCGTCCCAGGGTAACTTTACCGAGTTTGAGAATATCGTGGGAGAGCCTCTTAGAGTTGGCACAGCTCTAGGTGTACCGATGCCGACATTGCAGGTTCTTTACCATCTGCTCCAGGCTATCCAATGGCGGACGAAGGAGGTCAGGGGCCTGGTAACAATTCCACCCAAGGGCGATTTTGTCGCTAAATAGGTACACCATGATCACACGTCAAATCTTGACGAGACATATCTGTTGCCTACACAGGCTCCATCAATACGCTGCACACTTTCTTGTTGCCAGTGAAGCCGACAGATGAATGAAATCCGGCAGAATGTGCCGCCTTAATTGTCTTTTCCAGGAGAGCATCACGGTCATAAGCACGGCCTTCTCAATGGCCGATACAGCAGACCCTGAGCCCCGCGGAAAGCGTCGGTGAAATCGACAAAGTGCTCGCTTCTTCTATAAGGCTTGCCGGGCCGCAAGCTGCAAGCGTCGTGATCTAGAAGCTGATGTTGCTTGCGATTGACGTACGTAAGTCGATGGCCGCAGACGAGAGGGCAGCACGTCGAGTATGATAGGCGTGGTGCACGGGCACATCTCGGTGTGGTTACGAGAGTGGAATAAGGCCGTGAGAGCAGCGATGTCACTGTTGATGCCAAGTTAAGCGAAAGCGATCAGAAGGTTCCATTGCCTAAAGGTAAAGCGGTAAAAGTGGAGTTTTCGAGCCAGTCGGAACGCTTCCAGATCAGCATTACAGGACAGAAGCTCTCGAAGTGGGACGGACCAATCAGAGCAAAGTCATTGTCATCAACCGTGATCTCGTACTTTCTGTTTCCTGTTGCTCCCTCGGCCTCGCAGGCAAACCTGACATACACGGTCGTACACGCCCTGAAGTTCCCTCCTGGAAGCCGTACCTGACTCTGGAAGCCGTGTTGTTGGAGGATCTCGACGACATTCATCCCCGATATTGGTTGTCACATCGCCAAGCAAGAGCATATTCCCCCAGGTTGTCGAACAACGATAGGCTGCAGCAAGTCGCGCGCTTCGTAAACACTCGGCTTGGCGTGATCCTTTCACTCATACCACTCCGCCTCGAAGGCAGTGTCCCGCTCCTTGACGACGACATCTCGAAACATCGAGTCCGACCCCGATCATGTCCAACCCATCAACCATACTCGCGCCGTCTCCTGCCGCAGGTGCACGTCTGTCCAACGAACGATCCAAAGAAGAACTGGAACTCGCCGAACGCTTGATCGAACACTCACAAGGCATCCAACATGGCCCAACGATAGCCGATCGTCGCACTACACCATCAACAGTAGACGGCGGAAGCAGAAGTGGTGGAGATGTCGAACGACTGTCGGATGACGGAGGCAGTGAGACGAGTCTCTCGGCGCAACAACAACAACAACAACTTACACCACAACACTCGCATCACCAGCAACAACAGCAGAATCTACAACTACCGTCCATCCACGAACTCACGTGGGTAAAACAGAGGAAACCCTTCAACACAGGCATGGGCGGAGCCGGCCAAGTGTGCAGGTACGGCCTGATCGCTTCTTGTAGCATACACACATGCTGACCGGATCCTAGTAACTGCGGTACAACGCGAACACCTTTATGGCGACGCTCACCAGCCGGCGACACGATATGCAACGCCTGCGGACTCTACCTCAAAGCACGAAACCAAATGCGCCCCGTCAATCTAAAACGAGGAGCTCAAACATCCCCCTCCGGCCAACAGCAACAACAAGAGCAATCGACGACAGCGTCGGGCAATAGGAAGAGCTCATCACCGTCGGCGGCCAAGCAGCTCGGAGGAGCAACATACGTCGCCGACACGACATCCAACGGCACATGCCCCGGTGGAGGTCGCTGTAATGGCACAGGAGGCCACGACGGCTGTAACGGATGCCCTGCATACAACAACCGTGTGAGCAAGACGGCACAGATCGCTCTGGCGCAAGCAAACGACAGTCGCGCGCACGGCCAGCCTCCCGGTCAACACGCCGCCAGCCAGAGCCCGTACCCGCACGCGCAAAACAGCCCCGGTCCCGGCCCCAGCCAAGCGCCCGCTGCCAATGTCACCGTGGCCTGCCAGAATTGTGGTACGACAATTACGCCATTGTGGAGACGCGACGACAACGGACACACCATCTGCAATGCCTGCGGTATGTTTTCTGCCAACTACATCTCTTATCTTATCTTGATCAAATCTGATTTGTATCTTCTAGGTCTCTACTACAAGCTCCACGGTGTCCACCGCCCCTCCGGCATGAAGAAGTCGGAGATCAAGCGTCGTCGCAGAGTCATGCCCGCTACCAACGATCAACATCTCGCTCCTTTTTCCGTCAACAACTCGCAGCCCATCTCACCTCCGCCTGAGCCCGCAGCCCAGAGATCTGTTCCGCCATACTATCCCCAGTCGCAACAACAACACCACCCCGAACACTCGCATGCTCACACTCACCACCTCCCGCCTCCTGCTTCTCTCGATGCCCCTCGTCACCATCGCGCCCCCATCGCTGTCGACTTTACGCATTTCGGCAAGCCATCACGCCCGATATCGGCCGAACAGCCCGAATTCGCTCATGCTTCGACTCTACCCATCTCGCGCAAACGTTCCTTCTCAATCAGTAACGCTTCCGATCAAGTGCGCCAGCCCCTTTCGCCAGCATACCCTCGTAGCGATCGCAGTCAAAGGAGCGAAGCAGAAAACATTGATCCTTCCCTGTCTGCTCCACCGCCCGCTCCTGGCTCCACTAGCTCCATGCAAGACTACAAAGCTCCTCTGGCCGTCATGGGCGTTGCCGACCTCTCGCAGCAGAGCCAACCATCGCGACAAGAGAAGAAAGCACGACTGGAACAAGAGATGGCAATGATGAGGGCAGCGCTCATGGCTAAAGAAAGAGAAATGGCAGAGTTGAGCGACTAGTAATCACGACATTCACGATTTCCTTTATTGTTTTTGCATGGCCTGGGCTTAGGTGGCTCTTTATGATATCTGTACTTTTCAGCGTAGCAAGACGGCACGCTTGGGGAGGTAAAACCCGGCTCGACTTTTCGCTTCTATTCGAGTTCAAAGGAGCTGGGAGACAAAGGTTGCATTTCGCAGTGTGCATACAAGAGCTGGGTATGTAGGTAGCTACAGTGCAAAACTATCAGAGCGATCTGCTTCGTTGCAGATCAGCTGTACCTGCATTAGAAAGACTTGCCTTGATGATCATTTTCCCTTGAAAATCGTTTATCGTAATGTACCTTGTCTGCAAACTTTCGGAAGATAAGATGCCGCTTCATGAAATCGATTCGTACAAGGGGGGTGCAAGAACGGATTACCACCCCCCTTCGCCGAACTCTAATTTAGCCAATTCGCCACCAATCTCGGCATCAGTTCGCACACCTCTCGCGCTCGCTCACGCTTCCCTCGCTCTTGTATACACTATGGATCCGACTACTCCAAACCGCGCAGCTCGTCAATCTGAGCGTGAGAAGCCTCCTAATACACGACTGACGCTCAAACAACGCCATACGATCCTCGCGCTCTGGCACGTCGCCAAATGGAACAAATCCAAGATCGAACGAGAGACAGATATCTAGATCAACCGTACGATGGGTTATTAACCACCCAGAGACACCCCAAAAACTAAGAGGCCGTCCTCCTGTGTGTACAACATCTATTCCATCAACGTCTAGTCCAGCGAGCAACTCTAAATGCTGAACACTCCGATTGAGGTACCGAACATCTGGGTATATTTGATGAGCCAGAGCTTTCACATGATAGAACTTGACACTGGTAAATCTCGGTCCTGTCCACCTTGTCTCCTGAAATTGACTCCCTTGCTGCATCCAAGTTATGATCGATCTGCAGTGGCCGTATACTTTGGCCTCGACATTTGAGTAACGTTCGTTCATTACGCGTAGAGCCGCATGCTTCGGGCTTGCTGGTATCATGCCTCAACAATGCACATGGACAAATGTCTACCTTTCTACAACCATACCTGCGACTGGCTTGGTGCTGCCATCTGTCTACATGACATCAAGGCCTATACAACTGCAGTCACTATATCTCATCAACACTTTCGGCTTCTCAATTTGGACTCTCACTCGTCATTTCGAAAATCAGGCCTACAGCACCCATTATTATTCTTCATGTTTATCAGCATCTGTATCGCGTGTCTCGTCTTACTTTCCGTTACACTTTCGCGGTACGACAGTAATCTAACTGTGCATGAGCTGTATACGGTATCGATGGAACATTGAAGTAGAAGTCATATATTTTGTAGCTACATATAATGGTCTCAACCTAGACCTCAGGAGAAAATCATACATTCGTAAATACTTTTAGTGGCTGATGGTGGCGTTACCAGTCGAGTTGCCCTTGGAAATCAAGAGGGTACCAAAGGCATATGCGTTAGGCACAGCCTTGCCAACCTTACTCTTGAGGTAGCAAGATGAGCCGGAAAGGGTAGCGTCGATGCAGCCAGGGGTCTGGTCACAAGCAGCAGCACAAGCGGCGATACCGCCCTTGACGTAAACCATCTTGAGGTCACCGCCCTTGTGATCAATACCACACTCGACAAAGTATTGAGAGCCTGCGGGAGAGGTCCACATTGTGTTGTTCCAGCTTGAGCATGAGACAGTCGAGGTAAGCTGAGCATGAAGACCAGCAGGCTGCGAGATGAGACGAGCACCCATAGCACCGGGGCTGGAAATGGTGGTTCCCACGTCATGCTTGAGGTAGCAGGTAGTACCAGAGAGCTGAACATCGGTGCAGCCGGCGGTACCCTCACAAGCCAGGATACAGTTGTTGAGTCTATCGGTACCGTTGACGTAGACTTGAGAGAAGACACCACCGGCGTGGTCGACACCGCACTCGATCTTGTAGGTACTACCAGTAGAAGGAGTGAACTCAAGGGTGTTCCACGAAGGGCATGAGGGTGTTGCGGTCTTGTTGTAAGCACTGAGACCAAGAGTGTCGAGGAGAACACCGAAGTTGGGCAGACCCAGACCGGTGACAGCATCCCATCCGACGGTTGCCTGTCGATATATTAGTGCGGGTCTAAGACAGTGAGGAAGAGGAGAGCAAAACTTACGTTCCAAGTGGCCCAGGGGATGACTGAGGCGCCAGGAATCTTGTTACCAGTTTGAGCGTTGACACCATTGCAGCCGGTAGCAGCACCCTTGGTAACATCCAAGAAGCCAGATTTCAGGGAGTAGAAAAGAGGGTTAACAAATCCAACCACAGGCTGCCCAGCCTTGAGACGAGCGTCATTGAGCAGACCGATCATAGCAGCCCAGGCAGGAGCAGCTGCGGAGGTACCAGAGTAGAGAGCGAGAACACCGTTAGCATACACAGGCCAGTAAGGGTTGGAGCTGTGGGCTGAGATATCAGGGAATCCACGTCCGCTGAAGTTGGTGAAGGGGGTGTAGTACTCCTGGACGGCCTTGCTGACGTAGGAACCGAGGTAAGTCTCGATTGCGGACTCCTGGTACCATGCGCGAGGGAAGTAGTTGCTGAATCCACCAGTGGAGCCATCCCAGGCTACCTCGGGGTCAATTCCTTGGGTACCGCCAACAGCGGTAACGTAAGGGCAAGTACCGGGGAAAGCAGGGGTGAACTGAGGGGTCTTCTTGCCATCGTTCGACTGGCAAGGAGCACCAACACCAGTGTCACCGGAGGACTCAAGGATGGTGATACCACGGAGACCCATCATACCAATCTGGTTGCACACGTATGTAGCGTAGTCGATAGGAACGGTTTGCTCGTCATCACCGTAAGAGTTGGAGATGACTTGAGGCAGAGCCTCGTTAGGCTGCGACAGCAGGTATGCGTAATAGTCCAAGTAAGGCTCGTTGGAGTTGTCCGCATCAGTGGGCTCATCCAAATTAGGGATGAAAGGGGGCGAGCCTCCTGTGATGAACTCAGTGACTGGCAGGGGGTGGCCCAAGCCGACGATGTTCTGGACATCCAGATTGGCCTCGCCGATACTTGTGTACTCTGGCTCCTGGTGATTGATACCGCCGTTGATCAGAGTAACATTGAACGACTGCTGAGGAATACCGTACTTTTGCTCGTAGAGGAACAAGTCGGTCACGATAGCTGACTCGTTCAGGAAACTGCCAAAGCCGATACGGCTACCAGATGATGCGTCGGCGGCGTATGTAATGTTCAACACCGACTTCCAACAATCAGGACCAAGGTAAGCAGTTCCGCGAGCTGAGTGGGAGATGCAAGTGGTAACACGCTTGGCCAAGTCTGACAGCGGTCCTGACTGAAGCGAACGCGGCTTCTCAATGCCAACGTTTTCTGGCAATCTGAGAGCGCTTTGCGCATTTGTGCGTCCGAAGAAGGTAGTCGGTGAGACGAAATCGATGTGGCTAGCGATCTCATCAGGTACAGAGTACTGCAGTGTTCTAAGCTTCTCTACACCCGTAGCCTCGTCCTTGAAGGTCGTGAAGTTGGCGCCAAAGACCTTGTTGGCATCACCGACGGTGGTCTTGACTGTGACGTGAAGGCCGCGGTCGAGGCTGCTCTCCAGACCAGATGACTTGGCCCACGATGACACAGCATCGACAGAGCCACTTGATGGTCCAAAAAGAGCATTGACTTGATCGGCGGTGTAGTATTTGCCGTAATTGGAGCTCGATGGGTCAGAGACCGACTTCAGCAGACCCTCAAGCTGATCGATGTTCTGTTGCTTGACAGACAGCTTCAGGGTAATGGATTGAGAAGCATCAGGGGTCCCTGAAACAGACCATCCTGCTGGTACTCCTGGAAGTTGATCGCGAAGAGAGGCTGCTAGAACACTAGGGACGGTCAAAGCCGCAATGGAAAGAAGGGAAGCCGACAACATGTTGATCAGCACTAAGAGAGGAAGACTGCTGAATGAAAGACAACAGACAACTGAAGGGGTACTGGTCTGTTTATACCCCTCACGGATAGCTGCTGTCCCTAAGCTCGTCAGTAGCACCTGTGCTCTACGGTGTCGCCTCGCAAGATAGTGGAGCACATGCGGGAAATTGCAGAGCACGATACCTGCAGATAGTGCCCATTCTACTGCAAGAACCTAGATAGCGATCACAGAGGGGTATGCTAAGAATGTGGGCGAGGGCACGGCAAATGCTTAGATCTATGCTTAAGCCTCTCGTGTCCATGGCAGATTGTGGAGTATGGAGGGCCAAAGGCTCGAACCCAGGGGCTTCTAAAGGAAGATCAGTGCATATTCATCATCCTTCACCTGCCTAATCAGATGCTAAGTTGCGACGAAGAGCTTTTACGGCCGCAGATCCGTATACAAGCCTGTAGCCACGACTTCGGTTAGATAGACCCAGAGCAGCATCCAGGGGATGGAAGTGTGAACTTTGTTAATTTGACAAGAGGCACGCAGGGCACGCGACATATCCCGCAAGATGAGCGATAGCGAAAGAGGAAGGTGGAGGTGGACGTCGGCTCGTGTACGAAGCGCGACGGGCGGCATCGGCCAAGCGCGTCCAAGAAGCTTGATGCTTTGACAAGTTTCGGTCTTTAATCCAACCAGCTCGGCTATCATACAAGCGACGGGGTACTCATCAAGGCCATCATGACGGTGATCCTGAGTCTGGTCAGTTAATGCAGATTTACAGAGCGCTCTCATACCTTTCCATACATCGACAACTTGCCGAACACGTCACATCCTCCGGCATCTCCTTTGCTGCACCAGATGGCTTACCTGTCGCCGCCAACAACTCCTCTGTTATCTCAAAGTGGCTAAGATCAATCTTGTATCCGGTCATAGTTGCAAGATGTTTTGCTCTGAATCTTGATCTAGCATTCTTTCACTATGCCTGGCGCCAATTACTCCACGGTTATTTTCTTCCGAGCTCTTTCGACAACTTTAGAAGCGACTGTTGCCGCAAGCATGCTGCAGTCGAAATCGCAGGCGAGGGCATCCTTACTCTTGCTACAGTTGTTCCTTGGTACTACTGTATCCTTGTTTCCCTCTAGGCTCGCTGGTTTCTTCATATGCCGAATTTTTTTCGCCTAAAGCAATTCCGCCGAATCTTTATCGGCACCGAAGCTGGAGCATGCCCGAAATGCTCTAACCATCCTGTTCGTGGATTACGCGGGTAACATGCCTTAAAATGCATGTAGACAAATGTCTACTTTTCTAAGACCATATTTAAGTTGGTGCTGCCATCATTGTCCATCTAGTAACCAAATTTTGGTGAAAAGTATCTTGCATCTCGACAGCTCGCCTACTAATATAGAACATGTCTTATGAGATCATTGATGCTAGCTTGACTGATCACGAATCCTATCTCGAGGAACGCTTGTTGATCACTAAGTCTGGACTTCCTTTATCATTCTAAAGTTCCTCTCTGCTTTTGAGGATCCACAGTCATTTCCGAAATCGAAGTCTGCGTCCACGAGAGGTAGGCGTGCTCCTATGAGCGGCTTGCCGATCTCAGTTGTTTCGTGCTTCTCTACAAGCTCTGTTATGCTAGTAGTCCAGACAAGGAAAGTGCGATAATTTAAACTGTGCCTATAGTCGAGTCTTGCTTGGAAATCTCAGCACTACCGCCTACCTGACTTGATAGCCTTGAAAATGCGCACGGATTCTGGGAACTAGGGCTCCCCTTTACCTCGACGAATCTTGCGTTTTGATATTCAGCAAATATGGAAGGGGTCATCAACAAGGATGGCCGTGTTCGACACTGGCAAGATCCACCACGCTCGATGAAACCGTGTCAGGACACATGACTAGAGCCTCGAATGCTCTCAATAGTGCTACACTCTCAATCGTGCCTTCACGTCATAACCAAATTACTCAAGCAAATTAATATCAACCATCTTCAACCATTACTCTCTTTCATACCTTACAACCTACATCCTCTCAGAAAAAGACCACAAAATGCGTCTACAACGGGTTCTCATCATCACGATACTCGCATGCGAATTTCCTCCATCATATCTCTGGCTTTCAGCCGGAATACGGAGGGGTCTTCTCGTGGACTTAACAATGGGTGATGCCTACTGAGAGTGTCACGTTATAGATGTCTTGATGCACGATACTTTTTAACTTGCAGCGATGTCATTGAGGTACTTCGTCATGAACTTCTTACTAGTTGAGCAAGACGGCATATGACATTGCCTTTCTACAGCTCGCCTTTGCCCTGCGTTGATTCTTGGGTAGAGTGGATGTGGCAGTATTCTGCACAAGAGGATGGTGGGAATGTCCGCCAAGACTCTCTTGGCTCTCCCGCGGCGAAGTCAGTGCGGCTTTGAACAATTGAACCTCTGCGACCAGAATTCTAGACATACCGCAGTCGTAGACGTCGCTATACGCTCGCCATGGCCCTCAACCTCTTTACACGCCTACTCAGGCTGCCAGTCGCCGCGCGCCCCAACTTCGCCGCCCTCAACACCACTCTCCGTACACCGATCGCCTCATCACCACGCACATTCAGCACGTCGTCACCATTCTCGGCCACTTACAACCAAGTCATGCGCGGCTGCCGTGTCGCGCAAAGAGCACGTAAACCTACATCGCCGCAACTGAAGGATCGACCGGAGATGAAGGGTGTATGTGTGCGTGTTGGTATTACTAAGCCCAAGAAGCCCAATTCTGGAGAGCGCAAGGTCGCAAGAGTGAGATTGAGTAACGGAAGAGTCGTTACTGCCTATATTCCTGGTGAAGGTACGTTACAAGAGACGAGGAGAAGGAATAAGGGCTGTTCAGGTCTTGGGATTGAGCGGAGAACGGAATGTAGAAATCATCGCTAACACGATATTCCACAGGTCACAATGTCCAGCAGCATTCTGTTGTCTTGGTCCGCGGTGGTCGTTCCCAGGATTGTCCCGGTGTCAAGTACCATCTCGTCAGAGGTGCCTTGGATCTGGTTTGTTTTTCCTCTCGCTTCCTTGTCGATGGCTATACTAATTATTACTCTAGGGTGGTGTCGGTAACAGAATCACCTCGCGATCCAAGTATGGTACCAAGAAACCCAAGGCTGCCTAAACAACACTCATAACGACATTACATCACATTTCTACCCTGTACTATTTCCGGACTCCCTCTACAGAGACGATCGATGAACGGTCATGAGGTCAAACCCCTCAGTGTTTCATCGTCTTGCTGCAGTCAGAGCTTGGCGCCACGACTTGTTCCAAGCATTCCGACGAGCGACACCACACCAACCGTCTCTTTTCGTCCATCTCTTTTCATGTATTCAACCTCTTCTTGCTTGTTCTCCGAAAGCCCTGAGTCTGGTCAGGTGCATCCGCATGGCGTTAATGGTGGGTGGACTTTGATATGCCATCAGGAATGATGTTGAAAAGGAACAAGACTTTTGGCCAGTCGAACTTCAAACGCGCCGGCGTCTTCCCCTCAAAGATCTGCTATTTTTCTCGTGCGAAAGAAAGATGGCAATCTCAACAAAAACTCAGTAGAAGGTAGCCATGCCGAGCTGAATACATCATGATCTTCAATTGATCTTCACTTCTGCTTCCTGACCACTGTCTTGGGCAAGACCTGACTATTGCGACTGCGCCTACCTAACCGTACTACATAACTCGACCTATGCATGTCTCAATAGTCTCATTCGAGGTATGTGCTACTATCGATACGAGGAGTTACCCCTCCATCCTGTCCATCGTTCCTTCCAGCCTAGCAAAACTGCATAGCTCCCATGAAACGGTCAAGCTGTTTTATTTCTGGGCCTGTTCACGCATATGTCATACTGGGGATATATAATAGCCTTGACTTCCCAAAGCCATCTACAGCATCTTCAATCTGCATCCATTAACTTGATTGAATCTCGAAATTGCTCAAACAGACTTAGATCCATCTTGTTTAGACATTGGCATCAACAAACACGATGCCGCGCCTGCTTGCCTCAGTTGGTCTTCTAAGCTTGCTCAGCAGGTATGCATCATCGATCATCCAAGTCCGACCCCAGGAGAAGCTAATGACTTGATAGCACCGCGTATGCCGCAGCTTGCTCACGCTGCCCCATCTCCATTGCCTATACCACTCCTGCAGGCTGTCCAGCTTTGAACTGCATCTCACCGACCTGCACAGTCACATCTTTTACCACCTATGTCGAGTCCTACTGCAGCACGAAGACTCGTACTGCATGCCCGAGATCGTGCTCTCCCTGCTACACCGAGACTGTCACCATGGAGGACTTCCCAACCATAGTCCCCGACCCAGATCCAGTCCCTCCATCTCCTACCGATGTGTCTTTCCCCGACACTACGGCCAACCCAGGTGGCCCGATCGACTTGCCTTCTCCTACCAGTGTTCCTCCGGTCGGCCTACCTTCTCCCATCAGTGTTTCTTGCGCTCCTTACACTATCACCACAACTGCAGAGGATCCATCATGCACTTTCGACACTTCTACGTGCATCAGGCCTCTTTGCGTATACGAGACCACCACGACTGTCCCTAGCTGTGGAGATGCTGTTACAGAGACCGAGCTCGCTGCATGTGCAACCGAATGTCCGATTGGCTGTGCCACGTTCACGTACACTACTACTGCAGGAGCCGAATCAACTGCAACCGCAGGCACTTTGGATAGACTCTGATGGATGAATGGTAGAACTAAGGAATGTAGGACTGGTGGCGTTGGTTTCGGCTGGTGATTGTGCTTATGTTTGTGTAGCAATAGTCAACATGCATCGCTTTGTTCTCACTATGACATACTACACTCACAACAGCGCCCCTAAGAGCCCCTTGTTTTAGATCCACACAACCGTATCGTGATGTCTGCTTTCCGGACGGTCTATTTCAACAGTGAAAGTCATCGTGCGTCGTTGCAAGTTCTTCTCTTCCCTCGTCTCCATCTGGGGAGAACGGGCCGAGCATTGTGACCTCACTGACCCCATGTGCCTGGCACCCTTGGCCCAAATGTGCCTTGTCGTAGAGGGAAGAATTGCAGAGGGTACGGAGCATAACGAAGAGATTTTCTTTTCTTCCACTGGGCGTAGTTCACACCCCAGAGCAAAAGGAAATGCAAAACATACAGCAGCAGGGATTCCCACGTGGTCACCCACCGTAGTACTAATCTGCCGTTCAACTGCTTATGTATGGCAGAGCGGACGGGATGCCCAGTTTTCAGCTGACTGTGGCCGTATGTGTTTGAGGTGGGTGCTTGTTACATTATAATCATCCATCATTTGTTAGCCTACAGCCAGCGCGGTTCACGGTGACAGAAGTCCAAGGACACCGTGCTTTTGCACACACTGTGAACTGTATCCGGAGATCCTCTACGAGATCGTTCCTTGTTGGTCAAACGACTGTGCCCTTTCACAGCTTTCTGTATCGCGTATTCATCGAATCACACGAACAAGGGTACGGAGAAACTTGTTATCGACAAGTGACGTCTGGAAAAGAAAAGGCTGGGGATAACATCTCGGAGCTACTATTATACCCGAACTAGATTACAACACCTTACTCGTAAACTCACCTTTGACTCTCACAACAGCTCCAACATATTTACTGTCAATCAGGAAAAGCAAAATGGCCGAGTCAAAGTATGTCCACTTTGACCAGAAAGATGTGGTGTACAAGACTGTCAACAAGCACGAAATCTCCACAGCAATTCTAGTGCCAAAGAATATCAAGCCTGGGAAACGCCCCTTACTAGTCCATTTCCACGGCGGCTTCTTGATCTGTGGATCGAAGCTCTATGAAGAATGGCATGCGACATGGACTATACAGCTCGCGGCGCAGAAGAATGCCATTCTGGTCTCGCCGAATTACCGTCTCTTGCCAGAAGCAAACGGAGGAGAGATACTCGACGACATTGGCGATTTCTGGTCTTGGGTCAAGACCTCACTACCATCAGAAGTTGCTAAGATGGCAAATGGAGTAGAAATCGACTCAAACAACATCCTCGTAGCCGGAGAATCAGCCGGCGGATACCTAGCCATCCAATCCTCCCTCCTCCACCCAAACTCCGGTATAAAAGCCGTGATTTCACAATACGGCATGCTCGACAACACGATCCCTCAGTTTACTCAAAAAGGACACAAGAATATGGCTGGAGCGCCTCAACAGCCAGAGTCAGAAGTCAATGATTACCTGCACGATATGCAGAAAGGAGCGGTGAGGACGAATACGCATCCATGGGAGATGTGGTTGTTCATCTGTGCCGTCGTGCAGGCTGGGCGATATCTGGAATTCCTGGGTAACGGGGAGGGTGTGCATGCGATTGATAATCTTGAAACAGCCAAGAATGTGCCTGCATGTTGGATTATTCACGGCAAGGAAGATTCACTGGTAAGTGGAAATGCTAGAAGTAAGGCATGACAGACAGTTCATTGATGATGTTTCAATAGGTGCCTATTGAAGCGTCGAACAATTTTGTGAACAAGCTGAGGAACACACATCCGGAGACGCCATTGAGATACACCATACAACCTGGCGAACACGGCTTTGATAATGCAATGTCATTAGACGAGACTTGGGTCAAGGAGGGTTGCGTATGGCTCCAACAATACTGGCCTTGAGCCATGCAGATGTATGCTTGGAGCGAGGTACACAGTAGAGACATGCACAAAAGCCACCTTTATTTGAAAGGCGTCATAGTCAAAGAATTACTCGAGGAGGATCTGAGCATGGCGTATATAGAGGTCGCATCATAGCCCATGGCGGCTAAGGTGGTATGTTCATTATAGATGGCAAACCCTAGGTTTATGGAGATAAGCATCATGGCTGGAAGCTTAAAGACGATACCGACCAAGACACTGCACACGATTGTGGACAGTTGCAAACTTAGTGGGGCCCGAGTGATGAAGCTGCTGCTGTATGATAGCATCTTCCACCAGTCCGGAGGTGTCTCCTCTTGAGCAAACTTGTCACCTTGCGATTTCGTCACAGTCGTCTCTTGGGGTTTGAAATGATGGGCCTTGGAAAATGCACAACGTTCGTCTTCTAGCCGAAGTCACTCATCTGGAACAGTCGAATGCCATACCCACGCGGGCGTCGACCTCAGATGAAACGAGAATGGTTGCGACAATTGTACATGACGACAGCGAGGTCAGGGTCACTGACAGAGAGCTACGATGACATTGCATGCTGCAAGGCCAACTACCGTCATGCACGCGATGGTTTGCGGTCACACGAGAAAGCATCGCAATCCTTCGGCGCAATAGACGAGATATGTCGTCACTGCATGTCAAGAAGAGATTGACACCGAAATAGTGCCAGCGACAGGAGACCAAGCGTGAAAGAGATGGAGTAATACAAACAGAGTGCCGGGGACGGCCGGGGTTCGAAGGTGGGGAGTTCTGGGGCTCATGGTGGCTGGGTCTCGATCCAGGGTGGGTTGTGATGACCGTGCAAAACGGGATTTGACCATGTAATCGAAGTAGGCCCGAGATGGGGATCTTTGAGATTTGGGAGGTAGATTGTGGTTTGTTTGACCGGAACGCACGTGGATGCAGTTCGTCGTGATTGTGACAAGCTTATAGGTAAGGATCTGTCAGGTGTGATTAAAATCAACTCGAACAGAAAGGATCAACATGGCAGCGAACGACGTGCGAAAAATGCAGCCCGGAGAGGCAACCGGCTGGCGCATCACGTGTGGAAAGCAAGCCGGGTCTAAGTGGATCACAGGACGAACTAAATTACCTAAGGTAGCTAAGACACGCCACATGGGAAGTTGCCATGCTCGCTACGAAGTCTTGTACGGCAGTGACTAGCCTATACACAGTAGACAAGCTGGACTGAATTTGAAGAGAGCATAGCTTGAAGCGCGAGAAACGACGACAGGGTGCATTATAAGGTTTTCTGGATAAATTCGAGTGTCCAGGGACTACGGGAAGTTTGATCGGCTCCTACGCGTAGGCGTCGAGATGAAGGTTCGGGCAGCTAAAATATCAATGTATGGGTGCATATTCAGGCCGAGGATGTGGAGAAGGCGCGAGCTTGGCGACAGCGATTTGGAGGGGCCCCAAGTTTCCCGCATTGCATCTTCGAAACCATCTTTCCTACCAATTTGCCTCTTTGCTTGCATGCAAAAGACTCGACGCTTTCTGACCTGACGACGGCGGCGGACGCGATCATCTAGGACCACGAAATGCTGTCAGCCGGCGGCATGCATTATCCACAAGGCTTCGGCCGCATGTCGAATGCCAACATGGTGACGCACCACGACCACAATCAAGCTCCCATGTCTGGACTGGATGCCCTGGCTCAAGGCTCGCAGTATGCATTGCAACAACTCCACGATTCTCACTTGAACCCAGCACCTCAGGAGCACGACGCATTTAGCCAGAACCAGAGCCAGAACCAGAACCAGAACGGGCAGGAGCAGAATGCGAGCAAAGGCGGCAGCAGTAACGGAGCACCAGTGCGACGCAGAATCAGTCGGGCGTGCGACCAATGTAACCAGCTGCGAACAAAGTGCGATGGCAAGACTCCTTGCGCACATTGCGTTGGTATGTTGACAAGACCGACTCGACCATACCCACCCGAAGCCGACTGACGCGTCATAATCCTCAGAATTCGGTCTTAGCTGCGAATACAATCGAGAACGCAAGAAGCGAGGCAAGGCTTCACGCAAAGACATTGCTGCTCAGTCGCAAAACCCGGCGACAGCGACGTCAGACAATGGCGGGAACGACAGTCCAAAGTCGAGCAACGAACAATCCGCTCCCCCGGAAAGCGCCCCCGAGATTGCCCAGAACTCGCTCAAGCGACGAAGGTCAAGCATCCATCACATTGCTCCACCACCGCCGAGAAAGGCCTCGATGCCTGCGCCAGCCTCGCAGACCTTGGCCCCACCTCCAGCTCTACCACCCGCCCAAACACAACAACCACAGCCTCAGCCAACTCATCATTTACCACCACTGAATCTGAACAAAGATGCTGTCCCAGGTGCTCCGAACGATCGCTATTCGAATTTGCGTGCCTCGGTCGACGGTCAAAGTCATCCTAATGCTCTGCCTGCTCCTCGCGCCAATTTATCCACAATACCTGATCGGACTCCTGTTGGCGTTACAAACTACACAGGCTCAATCGACGACTATCACCGCAATGTGCTACAACAACCTCCGTCTGCCGTGACCCATCACCAAATGATGCCTGCTGGTCCTGCGCCGTTGGCCTACACAAATGGCATGCCCTTCAACCCTGAGAGCCCCTATGCTGTACCGAGTCCGCAGAGCCAGAACTTCAACTCGAACTTCAGAATGGGCGAGTCTCCCATCTCAGCACATGGCTTGATGGGAACATCGCCACATGCTGGCTCTCCTGGATGGCTCCAACTACCCTCTCCCTCGGCTGCTCTATATACCAACTTCCAGCAGCCAAATAACCAGACGTTGCGTTACCCTGTACTAAAACCAATCCTCTCCCGCATTTCGGCCATAATACCCATCAGCCTAGCCTGCGACCTCCTCGAGATTTACTTTTCGAGCTCATACAGCAAGTTCATTCAACCTGCCTCTCCTTATGTTCTGGGCATCATATTCCGCAAGAACTCTTTCCTACGCCAAAACAATCCTCGGACTTGCAGTCCGGCGTTACTTGCCAGTATGCTTTGGGTCGGTGCTCAAACTAGCGAATCTGCTTTCTTGACGTCCCCTCCTTCGGCGAGAGGTAAAGTTTGTCAGAAGCTACTGGAACTTACAGTCAGTTTGCTGCGACCGCTTATTCACACACCAACCGAAGGAGCCAATCAAGCTGCAAATCCAGTTGTCAATGGCGTGGCGCTCGGAGGCTTCGGCGTGGCGCTGCACACCGCAAGACACGACAGCGAAGGTGGCTCTACCGGTGCTGCAGGTGCTCTGGATGATGTTGCGACATATATCAACCTCGCCACGGTCGTCTCAGCTAGCGAGTACAAAGCCGCCAGTTTGAGATGGTGGAACGCAGCCTGGTCTCTGGCTAGAGAGCTCAAGCTTGGCAGAGAGCTTCCGCCGAACCCGGATCCCTCCTTACAACAGGACGAGAACGCAATTGCGGATGGCAACGCCGAGAACGACATGGGCATGAATGCACAGCAAGGCTTCAACGCACGGCGATTCAGCGGTATGCCTGCATCAATGTCACAACCAGGTTCCGTGACAGAGGAAGAACGAGAAGAGAGAAGAAGGGCCTGGTGGCTACTATACATTGTCGACAGACATCTGGCTCTTTGCTACAACAGACCACTCTTCCTTCTCGATGCAGAGTGTGAAGGTCTACTACAACCCGAAGATGAATCGGTATATCAGGCTGGCGAGTACTACACGACAGAAAACATGCCCGAAACATACTACCGAAGACGAGGCCCACCACTCGAATGTACTGGACACAGTATCTTCGGCTATTTCCTGCCATTGATGACTATTCTGGGAGAAATCGTCGACCTGAACCACACGCGAAACCACCCAAGATTTGGCATGCGGTTTAGGAATGGTACAGATCTGGATGACATGGCGCATGAGATCAGTCTGCAGCTTGATTCGTATGGTCGAAGTCTAGAGGCATTTGAAGCTCGATTTATACCGACCGAGGGTACTAATCCTGATGGTTCGCACGTCGATAATGCCAGTCCATCAGGTCAATCCACGAGCAGCAATCGTATTACCGAAACTATCCTTCTCACCAAAACAATCGTTGCATATGGAACACATCTGATGCACACACTACACATTCTCCTGAATGGCAAGTGGGATCCTATCTCCCTCTTGGACGATAACGACTTGTGGATATCTTCACAATCCTTCGTCTCTGCTACGGGACATGCTGTATCGGCTGCCGATGCCATCAGCGGTATCCTGGACTACGATCCGGATCTCAGTTTTATGCCATTCTTCTTTGGCATTTATCTTCTGCAAGGCAGCTTCTTGCTGCTGCTGATCGCAGACAAGTTGCAAGGAGAAGCCAGTGCAAGTGTCGTCAAAGCATGCGAGCAGATCGTACGAGCGCATGAAGTCTGTGTTGTGACATTAAACACAGAATATCAGGTCAGTCTCAGTTTCTTCTTCAGACGGGATCACCAACTAATAAATCTTGCAGAGAAACTTCCGAAAAGTGATGCGTAGCGCTCTGAGTCAGGTCCGCGGCCGCAGTCTCGAAGACTTTGGCGAACAACAGCAACGCCGCAGGGAGGTGCTTGCCTTGTACAGATGGACAGGAGACGGTTCCGGACTGGCGTTGTAGATCAACGACAATCTTCAACACAACAAAAAGCGATGATAACAACAATGATATTATGTGGAACTCTGGGCTGCTTGTATGGAGCCGACTGTTTTCTTGCTTTCTTTCCCTTTCTACTTCTCCCAGATACCCTATTCTGTTTCTTAGCATCGCGGTACACAGAACCAAGTTTATTCCTTGTATGCGTTGATTCTGTCTTGCTCTCACCCCTTCGACATCAAGAACACAGAGGTCATCCGTGCTATCCTATTCTTGGCCCAGCAGCGCATTCCTCTTATATCGTGACCACACAACGCGTAATACCAATCCCTAGTAGCTGAATCGAGCAACAGCAAAGGTCAGCCGATCAAGTACCTTGGGCCTGTAGAGAGGCTTGATGAGTCTCCGAGCTGGAGCCAAGTGGTACGGAGATGTCGCAAAAAAGAGAACTTGAAGCAAGAAATCTATTTATTCATTTTTCTAGAGGATATCTATCAAAAAGATCAGTGACCTGCATGATCTAGTCCTATATACTTTTTTGTTCTCAACTCTATCACAAAGATCAGAGTAACCGTCGCAATGGTCGATCTAAACGGTGGGCTTGACACCAGCTTGGCCCTTCTCGTAGGCCTCGACACCCTGCTTGGCAGCCTCTTGTACGGTGACCTTGCCGGCGCTGGAATATGTCAGTCAGTCATGGTCAGTTGTTGCAGGGACCGATGGAGAACTTACACAACTTCCTGAACCTTTGCCTTGATCTGGCTCCAGTCCTCGAAGACGGTGAAGGGGATCTTGTCTCTGACACAGAAGTTGATGAGATCTGTTCCAACAGTTAGCTTCACAGGTTTCCAACCACAGAACAATCTCTCAAGACTCACCATGTCCAGACTTTGCGAAAAGGAGATCAGTCTCCTTGGCAGCACTCAAATCCGAGACACCATCACCGGCGTAGAAAAGGGTAGGGCGCTCCTCAGCAGGCAACTGAGCATAAGGACGAATAGTCAAGCTCTTGTCATGACCAAAGTGCGAGTCGTCATGGTAAACAAGTTCCCAACCACCTTCCTCGTTGACCTGCTTGCCGGGTCTAGCTTGGATGTTGTTGCAGATGACATCAATGTGCTTTGCGTTCTCACCAACCAACTTCTCGAGGATGGCGCGGATGATGGGCTCCATACCAGATGACAAGACGACGGTAGGGATGTTGTTTGCAATGGCCCATTGAAGGTAGTCATTGAAGCCGGGGTCGAGCTTTACATTTTCTGAGACGTATTTGATGCACTCGTCGTATGGCATCTTGACGCTGTCCATCATGCGCTTGAAGGAGTCTCTGTGGTGGGGTCTTAGTTCAGGAGGTAGACTGGAGGTTGGATGTGTAAGTCTACCTGAAGCTCTCGGTGCCGTTCAGAACGTTGAGGTTGCCCTCACGTCTCTTCTCGTAGCCAAAGCCCACATTGTCGGTCTAGCAAAATAGTTAGATCTATAGTAGAGGACGAATGGCCGTTCTTGGAACAGAGTGCTCAAGTCTTGGTCTGGGTCTGAATCGGACTTACCATGAAGTCATTGCCTGCAAACATGTCAGTCTTCCGTTATTGATGCGATGAGAATGTCTGCAATCATGTCGCAAAGTTTGTCTTTGGACATGAAAGTCCTTAGGAAATGTGTAAGGGATCGGCACGAGACATTTGGAGAAATGCTTCTTGACAACTCGAAAGTCAAGGAAATTGTCGTAGGGTGTTGACATGGCCAAATGCGAAGTGTGTGCATAGACATATACTCAATTAGAACAAAAAGATACTTACTGTCAAAGAGGGTGATGGTTCCATCAAAGTCGGTGAAGAAGATGAACTTGGGGTTCGTCTTCATAGCAGGAAGTGATTGAGCCATGATGTGTAATGTGTGACGAACAAAAGATGTAGATCAGAAGAGATAATTCTAACAAGAAAAAAAAAAGATGTCTAGAGATAAGGAATGATATGCAGGGGACCTTGAATCTTGAATATGACAGCAGAGACGCGTTGAGGTCGTAAAAAGTTCGGTCAACCAAGCAATCGAAGCACATGGCTAAACTGCCCCGTCATACGTCAAAGCACCCAAAGGGTAAACAAAAGGGCAAGATTCGGCGCCGATCCCAGGCTTCCGCGGCTCCAACGAGAAAGTGTCCGCTGTTGCTTTCGATCTGCCAATCGAAGCTCTACTCTCCCGGGGCACTTTCTGAAACACAACTGTTTGTTTGAAGCTTTCTTGTGCTTGTGAGGATGAGGTAGCAAAGAGAAGGATTACACAAGAGGAAATGAGCACACCAATACAGCCGTATGCATTGCTACGCAACATTGTCGCCTCTGCAAGGACAAATTCCGTCATAGCACGACCATTCGCATCCCATTGTCGACCCTCGTCTACGAAGCCACATCTTGCACGCAAGCTCCAATGTATCGACAAGAGACAATGGAGCTCTTCGGCATGGAGAGCTGCATCTACACCCGGTCGCAATGATGCCGAAGCAAAGGACGACAAGACGAAAGCTGCCGAAGCTCAAAAGCCGGATGAGAGATTCTACATGCCGCCGCCGCCCGAGCATCTACAGCAAAGGATCGATGCTGCCATTCTGGATGCTGCGAGGTCTGCTGCCCCTGTTCGCCCTCCGCCCAGCCCCAAGCCCCAGGTAGCGCCAGGACCGAAGCCTACACCAATGGTGGAAGAGCAGCCTGTTGAACCAGAAGCTGCGACTACAGCGCCAGAAACACTGCAAGAGACTCAAAACGAGACTTCAGCGGAAGTGTCTGCTGAGGAAGACATTCTAAAAGCAGAGGCAGAGGCCAAAGCAGATGATATTGCCAAAGAGGCCGCTGCTACAGAGGAAGCACTACCTTCGAAACATCGGGAGCAAAGATGGCAATTGTCCAAGCGAGTACAGGAACGCATGGATGAGTTGCTCGCAAAGGCCGCACTTGTCAGTCACACAGTCAACAACTACACCGGCACAGACTACTCTGGCATCGAACGCTTGCGCCGAGACATAATCGATCAAGGTAATTCCCTGCTCACACACGTCTACGATCCTTGGAGTCCATCTGACAAGATCCCAGAGCAACTAGTCAAAGCCGCCCACGCCGAAGTCAACACAGCAAAACTCGCCTACACAACCTCCTACAGCCAACAAGCCGCCTCCCAAAAAGAAGTCGTCGGCCTCCTCGAACGCAAACACTCCTGGTCCGCCGCAGACCTCGAACGCTACATGTCCCTAATCCGCTCCGAGCACCTCAACGAACAAGCCGTACAAGCAGCGAAAGAACACCTCGCAAACGCCGAACGCGAACTCGAAGATGCGCGAGGAAAGCTGGAGAAGAAGGAACGTAAACAATATCACGAAGAGCAAATTTGGAGTGATACGATAAGGAGGAACAGTACGTGGGTTACGTTTGGCCTTATGGGGTTGAATATCTTTTTGCTGTTGGCTAATTTGGTCATATTTGAGCCGTGGAGGAGGAGGAGAATTGTGAGGGAGATCAAGACTGCTCTGGATGAAAAGACAAGCATGGCACCCTCATCGCTTGCTCCTGCTGTGGAAGCAGAGGTGGACAAAGTCATCGAGCCTGCCGATCAAGCACTGGAGAAGCTGGAAGAGCAGGTTGTCGAGAGAGTCGAGGCTGCAGCAGAAGCCATGCCAGAGACGGCAACAGAAGTGGCACCCGATGCCCAACCCGAAGCAATGGCCGACAGCGAAGTGGTGGTCGGAGAGACGGCCTTGGCAGCTGGTGAGGTCCTTCCGGAAGAAGCAGTCGAGATCAGCGACCCCGTCGCCGAGAGCAACGAAGCCGCAGAAGAAGCAATCGAAGAGCCGACACAACGACCAGAGCCCCAGAATTGGGAAGAGAGATTCAATCTCTGGAAGGAGATCCTATCGGCTAAGCTCGCCCTCTACAAAGCTAGATTGCAAGACCTCTTCTCCGAGCGACAAGTCACAGTCAAGAAGATTGATGTGACGACGATAGCTCTCGAGGGCGCTGCAGCGGGTGTGGCAGTAGTCGGGCTCCTGTGGGCGCTGCTCAATACCCGATCATGATGATGAACAAGCCCTTGCACATTGTAAACAAAGCATAACCTGTATATCAAGCACACTGTATTACTATTACTCATTGGAACTCTCCAAATTCACCATCGTCGAAGCCCAAGTCCTGAGCGGAAGGCTGGTTTTGCTGATGTTGGTATTGCCGTCTTGCTGGAGAAGGGCTCTTGGAAGCGGCTTTTACATGTGCCGCCGAAGGCGGAGGGGCGAGAGAAGGCAACGATGCAAAGTCTTCTTCCGAAGCAGGCGGCGGTGGAGGAGCTATTGAGAAGAGTGCATTGCCATCGTCCTTGGATGCATTGCTCGACTGCTGCTGTCTCCTTCCGCGGCCGCCAATCTCAACATGTATGCTTTCTCCCTCTTTCAAGCTGAAGTCCTTCTTTGGCTCTTCGACCGTCTTTCTGCTCATCTGTTGCTGTTGTGCCTGTCCGGGAGCGGCGTTCTGCTCCATACCCAAGAGCTTCCTGGCCTCGGATAGAGTGATGCTGAAGTCGAAGGCGTCTGGTCTCTCTTCAAAGCCCAAGCCTAGAGTTGCTTTCATGCCACCTTCTCCGACCACACGGACGGCGAAGAAGCGACTGCTGTCATTGGCTTGCTCTACCACAGCTGCCGAAGTGTATGGACACGCAGCGAACAAGTCCCCAGTCTTGGCATCCTCGAGGACAAGATCCGTTTTAATTTGATTTGAGAGCGATGTTTCTATGATGCGTAGACGGGCGGTGAAGATCATCTGAGCGGTTGGTCGCGGAGGAGCGGTCCACGATCCGGCGGAGAAGCCTTTGTTCGAGGTAAGAGGTGGGATTTGGTATACATGGACTCGAGGGCAGATGAACAGCACGCGTTGTATGGCCGAGTCTGGCAGAGGGCGACCGGTAGCAGGATCGAGTGTAGTCATATTGTCTCGGGACGTGGATAGATAGATTGTTAGATGAGTGGCACAGCGATAGAAAGACAATCGCCTAGGATTTGTGCTGAGGGGCATTCATCCGGGATCAAGCTAGCGTATCTCCCCGCGTAATGATTCTGTTGTATTTATAGCTGCTTCAGTCCACAATGTCTTTGACAGACCTCACGCAGTCTGCTGAGAGTCTTCGATCTACCGACTCTCGACAGACGTCCAATCTAGCAAAGAACTGTGCCGATCTACAGCCCTTTGTTTCTCAATGTTCATCACGAGGAGAGACAGGATCCTGGCATGTGAAGCTACCCGTCTTGGCGGATCGCTGAGCAAGGCATGAGGGACCATGTCATATATTGTAATCACACCAAAACACGGCGGATACTTGGACGACGGCATGAGTCAAGAGCTTCTCAAAACATGACCTCCCTCCAAAGTGTCCATAGAACAACAAGATGAGCCAGCTCGTGAAAGAAGCCGGCGGAGTGTCGGCGTTGAACTCCGGTCAGAATGACTCGCTAGCCAAAGCTTCTTCACCCGAGAAACAGTCACAGCCAAAAGTTGATGTCGCAGTCGAATATCGAAAACCAAAAGTCAACTTCCACATCGAACCTCCCCCGCCAGTCGTCGACGACACGCAACCACCTACTCGCCCTTCTGTCCTCCGTCTCTCGCTGCTAGACAGCTACTACATGGCCAATATGACAGCCGCCACCAAGGAACAGCAAAACTTCGATGTAGTAGACACATACAAGCGTCTGCTTGCCGACGACCCAGAGCTCACCATGCCCGTCGCTGCTATCGAAGCGCTCGTTCTCGCACTCGCCCACACCCCCGCAACCACTGTGTCTGAAACTCTGGACCTACTCTCAAAACTCACTGCCGAGTTGAAAGCGCGCATTCCCAACCCAATCTCCCTCTCAGCCGGCACCGATCTGTTCCAGCGCTACATCATCACTACCCTGCAAAAACCCAGCGCGGGAAGAAACAGCGACTTCGACACAATCCGCACACATCTGGTTCAAAACGGTCGTCTGTTCGTCGAGCGCGCAAAAGAAGCAAGAGACAAAATCGCCGGCTTCGGCAGACACTTTGTCCGCGACGGCAACACAGTCTTGACAAATGGTGGCTCGCGTGTAGTTGGAGCCCTACTACGCTCAGCCGCAGAAACCAGTGCGGGCTTTGGCGCTCAAGGCAGTATACGTTTCCGTGTCATTTACGTGGTTTCTGATTCCTCGGATGCAGAGAGTAGTGAGAATATTGCTCAATTGCGCAAATTGGGGATTCCAGTGGCTACTATTCCGCCTACGGCTATTGCGTATAGTTTGAATCAGGTTTCGCAGTGTTTCGTGGGTGCCGAGGGTGTTGTGGAGAATGGTGGTATTATCAGCAGATTGGGCACTTATCAGATTGCCATGTTGGCGAAAGCGGCGAATAAGCCCTTCTACGTCGTCTCGGAAAGTCACAAGTTTGTTAGACTGTATCCTCTTGGTCAAACGGACCTGGGCATCGATCAGAACATCGTCGAGTTCAAGACTACCGAGGGTGCTGCCAGTACTGCTGGAAGCGTATCTGCAAAGGATGAGGGTGTTGCAGATATGGATGCACAATCAGATGCAGGCGTCTCTGATAGTGTGGCCAACAACGATGCGGTCGACTTTACAGTAAGTCACTCTGCCCTACGTCAACATGATGATCACAACTAACAATAACCACAGCCACCCAACCTCATCTCTGGCATCATCACAGAGTCTGGAGTTTTGCTGCCATCAGCAGTCAGCGAAGAGCTCATCAAGATTTGGTTCTAGATGCCCGGCCTTGTGTAAGCTCATATTGGGAGCTTGATCGAAACATGCCCATGTACGCACAAGGCAGTGCAAGTGTGTTCGTTGGAAGTATATCACGAGTGGCATACCCCTTATGATACACCAGGGTGCCCTTCGAGATGGATTAGGGGTGTATCTATCAAAGTGAAATGCCCCGTCGAGTCAACGAGAGTCATGATGATCCATGATAATTACGAATGCAAAAGAAGAGAGAGGGGGAGGAGCCGAGAGGCAGAGGCATATAAATCCTTTCACTCCAATCAAGCAGATGGCGAAAAGGCTAGCAAGGAGGATCCGATCACTGGTGCAAGGTGGAGAAAAGTCCAGCGTAAAGAGGCATTTGCACATCATGTAGAACTGCTACGCTTTCGAAGTGCAAACCAGCTCATCTAATTCCTCATCCTCTTTTTCGCAATCTCCTCCAAAGCTTCCGGCGTCAACACAGTATCCAGACCCACCCTCACATCCTTCCGCCCAATTCTTGCCCCAATTAAATTTGGCCTTCACAGCTTCATCAACATCCAAAGCCTGTTCTCGTCGAAATTTATAGATTGCCCAGTCCCGTTCCTCGAAAGTAGTAGCGTTCATCACAGCTTCAGTTTCTGCAATGAGTACTCTCATGTACTGTACTTCTTCTTCTGTTCTCCCTTGTTCGAAATAACTCTTGTATGTGCTGGTTACAGGCTATCAGTACACTCTCAGGTATGGCTGAGAAATGCTCGGGGAGGACTTGTTTGACGTATTGATCTCTCTTCTTCTCGAGCTCTACAATTTCCTCCTGCAGAAGTTGAAGGGGTTTTATAGAGGTGAGCTTTTCGACAGTGCCTGTGTATAGTAAAATTTCATCATTTTTTTTTTTGACGTAGCCATGGCTTGAAATGTGTTCGTGGAATTTTCTCAAAAGGTTTCTTCGTCGTTGCAGCGTTGATCGGTTTGGGCTTCACAATCTTCCCTCATGCTGTCGAACTTTTCTCGTCCCCCCTGGTATCCAAGTCAGGGAGCGGAATTTCTGAATGACATCGCGCGGGTAGGGTATAGCATTGTGCTCAAAGTCACAGATATTGCCATCAGAAGTCTCTGAGAGCGTGAAGTTATGAGTGTTTAGGAAGAGAACGGTGCCGTGGTTTCCTTGCTTGTTCAGGGTGACGTGCCAGGGACGTATGTAGAGGAGTTGGCCCTCGTTGCGGGGGTCGTCGTCGATTGCTTGTTCTGCAGCTCTTTCTTTCTGCTTCTGCTTGAGCTTCGAGGGCTGCTGCTTCGGCTGACGAGTGAGTCTGCTTTTTCCCCGTTCCAGTGCTTCTTCTGCGGATTCTTTTGGGCTAGTTCGACTAGTTCAGCATCATCGAGACCTTGATCCAGAGTCTGTGGAGACCAGGTCATCAGTATCATCCATCTCTTCACTCGAGTGTGTAGAGAGATGATCATCAATCCCCTCCATCTCATCATCCCAATCCCCATCTGCAGAATCATCTTCCTCGGGCTCATCGACAAACGACCACCCCTTGACCTCTTCCACATCCTCCACCTCCTCCATCTCCTCTCCCTCCTCATCCACATCTATACACCTCAAATGCCAGCCTATCGCTTCTTTCCCCCTTCCAATTAACCTCCAACGAAAACAATGGATCTAGCACATTTCCTCCACCAAGCCTCCTCTTTCCCTTCACCCCCTCAAATCGTCCTCAAACTCGCCCCCAAAACAAGAATTTCTCCCCCGATCACTCCCAATAATTCCGGTTCTGATGGCTGTGGTCATGGTAAGGGAGCAGTTGTAATAGATCCACGACTTGTTCTTCTAGTCCAAAAAGAGAGGCTGTTTTTAGGGGGGATTGGTGAGTTGGTGTTTGGGGGGGGGGGGGGGGGGGGGCGTAGGATACGGAATTAGAAGGCAGGTAGCGCATTTGGGAGAGCAAGATGTAGAGTTCATGCATTAGAGAAGCGATAGCAGCGATCTTTGGACGGGGATTCGATGGGGGTGATTGGGTCGTAGAAAGAGACATCTCTTGGTGTTGTGAAAGGATGAAGGAGTTTGACTCGTTCTTCGAGCTCTTCATGGGTTGTAGAGCCTGTCATGTCTGGTTGCACTTGTCGATGGTAGTGAGTTGATGTTGCAAGTCTTGGTGGATAGCATGGTTTTATGTGCCTTTTTGCTGATATTGGACTCCTAGGCAAAGTCGGATCCAGCAGGCAGTAGTAAATCAAACGACGCGTCTTAAAACTCCTGTTTTCATGTATATCAAGCAGACGCCCTTGTCTTACTTCAGCTTGCCAGTCCCTCAGGGGATGTTTAGGAATAATCACCTATCAAGGACTAAACAAGTCAATAGTGACCTGGAATGAGTACCTTGTTGCTGGAGTGACTTGGAGACAGACCGCGGGTCCGAACAGGATGCTCCCCTTAACGGTCTGATATTTGTTTTCGTAATGCTGCTCACTAGCCTCGAGATCACAAAGAATAGGGCGGAGGGGCGCGTCTGCGTGCGAAGATAGTGTTTCTCAAGACGAGGTGGTCAACTCGCTTTTGTGGCGGGCGTCGTGAAGGGGCATAGACACGACATACATGCATACACGCAGTACACTGCAGAAGATGAAGAGCTAGATCAGATGTCACCGAGAGGAGAGACGTGCGAGAAAAAATCGAACTCTCAAAAATCGCTTCATTTATGCTGTGAATCTTCTTCTAACCTGGGGTTTGGAAAACCAATCCGTGTCTATATCTTACATGTCGCTCGCTTTTTTCATTCGTAACCCGCGAGCCTCGGGGGTATATTATATCTCAGAGCAACGGCTCGCGGCAGCCCCATGAACAACATGTCATGAGGAGCGTTTCGTGATAAAGTGGACGTTGTAAAAAGCCTTTGTTCTCTTTCTGATCCCGAGGAGGCACAGCCGACCAGCAGCTCTCCACCTCAGAGGGCATTAGAGTCGTTTAGTCGATGTACTTGGGGAGAGTGGCCATGACACCATCCTTGGCGATGAGCTCCATGGCGGTCGAGATCTCCTTGATGAATTTCTCGTCGTTGCGCAAGTCGTCACCGAAGAGGGACTTGATGCTCAAGAGCTCGTGGGGCTTGATGCCACCAGCCCTGGCCTTGGCCTGGAGTTCCTCGACCATGGGGTCGTCGACGTCGAACTTGTTGCCGGCGTCATCGACACCATTGATGTATCTGAACCAGGCGGCGGCGACGAAGGAGAGACGGCGGAAGTTGTGCTCACCCCAGATCTGTTCAGCGATGGAAGGCATGATGAACTGAGGGATCTTGCCAGAGGCACCGAGACAGATACGAGGAAGCTGATCCATGATGGTGGGGTTGGAGAAGCGCTCCATCAGAGTGTTGCAGTACTGGTCAATGTCGACACCGGGGATGGCGGGAAGAAGGGGCTTGACTTCCTTGTGCATCATCTGCTCGACAAACTTGCGGTAGACAGGGTGGTTGATGACCTCGTGGATGTACTTGAAGCCAGCGAGCTGACCGGGGTAACCGAGAGCGGAGTGGGAACCGTTGAGAAGACGCAGCTTGTGCATTTCGAATTGCTCGACATCGTGGACGTCCTTGACGACCTGGACACCGACCTTCTCGAAGGGAGGGCGGCCGTCGCAGAACTTGTCCTCAACAACCCACTGCATGAAGGGCTCGGTAACAACGGGCCATTCATCCTCAATGCCAAAGTCTTGAGCGAGAGCGGTAATGTCAGTCTTTTCGGTGCGGGGGGTGATACGGTCGACCATTGAGTTGGGGAAGGCGCCCTTCTCGGAGATCCAGCTGGCGAGTTCGGGGTTGGCGAGCTTTGCGTATGAGACGAGCATGTTGCGTGTTATGCTACCGTTCTTCTGCATGTTGTCGCAAGACAGGACAGTGAAGGGGTTGAGGCCGAGCTGGTGGCGTCTCTTCATACCGGCGTAGAGGAAACCGAAGGTGGTCTTGGGCGAGTTCTCGTTCTTGAGATCGTGCTGGATGTCGGGGTGCTCGGCTTGGAGCTCGTGGGTGTTCTCGTTGTAGTAGTAGCCGGACTCGGTGATGGTCATGGAGACAATCTTGGTGTCGGGGTGGGCCATCTTAGCAATGACAGCCTCGCGGTTGTCGGGCGCAAAGAGGAACGAGGTGATGGCGCCATTGACGTTGGCAGAGCTGCCGTCGGCACCACGCTCGATGACAGTGTAGAGGTGGTCCTGCTTCTTCAGGATGTCGCGCATGGAAGCGTCGAAAGGCTGGAGACCGACACCGGCGATGGCATAGTCGCGTACGCCGTGCTTCTCCATCAAGTTGTGGAGGTAGACGGCCAAGTGAGCTCTGTGGAAGCCGCCGACACCAATGTGAACGACACCCTCCTTGGTAGCGCTGCGGTCATAGGTGGGAACTCTGACAGTTGCGCGACCCGACTGGGCGGCAATCTGTCCCAAGTTCTTGCTGATGAGCTTGAGGGAAGATGATGTAGCGTGAGGCATGATGTCTCGCGGTACAGGAGTATGATTGGGAAGAGACGAAGCTCGAGGAAGAAAAGTAGTTATGTACGTGTGCCAGAGAAACGGATGATGTTCGGACGACAAGACTTTTTTTTGGTGAGCCTGCAGAATGCTTGCTTTTCCAACAAGTAACCAAGGGTCTCAATGGCCTCACTGTTGAGTCAACGCGAGTGACGATTGATAACAGTGAACAGACCCGGGAATGACGAAAGTTAGTGGAGCTGTCGGTGACGGAGCCGACCAAAAATTCCAACCCCTTGCCGCCGAACTTTCCGAAACGGTCACTTCGCCGCCACCGAGGAAAATTGTCTAGCAAAACAAAATTCACAGCAGCAGGAACTTCCACGTGGTCACACCGTACTTGTAGCGCTCGGGATCCTAACTCGCCGTTCGAATGTTAATACGTATAGCAGATGCTAATTGATTCCCTTCCGTTCCCGGACAACTGCCCTTAAAACATCCCGATTAGGAGCATTATCTAGCTACTAGGTCGCGGCTGCATTTAGCAAAGCTCGGACCGCCAGCCTGCATTCTGATCTCCAGTCAACTTCGGCCGACGAAGATTACACGCCTTGCAAGACTACCTACCCACCAAACCAGAAATTCATTCCGTTATGTACCCTTGATATGTCCCTTTTGTAGAACCACTTTTGTGTGCCATGTGGGATACATGAGAGCACGAACGATTGCGGTCCCGAGTCTCAATCTCCATCTGCCCGTGATCTCTAGGAGTTGTGTTTGCAGCAATGCCAACGATCATAATGGAACTGAGTGCCATTGTCACAGTGCCGCGATAGAGGCTAGTCGTTGTTGATTTCTGGCACGAGAATGGTAAGAATGCCAAAGTCGGAGGCAAAGATTCGATGGCGAGTGTAAAGGCTCGAAAGAAGATTAAATCGGCTTTAGAACTTCAAATCTGGTTTTAACTTTATAATAACTATAACGTTAGTAGTATACGTAAGTAGTAGGTACTATACTACGACTAAGATTAGTAGATAGGTAGAATAGATAGTAATCTATGTCTCTAGCAATTTCTAGCAAATACACATTATAAGTAGTTACACGGTATACGTTACAATTCTGAAAACTTAAAGCAGTTTGACGGTAGCCGGCTGTCACGGCGCTTGCCTGCAACAAGTGCTGTGGCTGACAGGGTGACCCTGCCCGGGGTCACGTGAGCTGCGGAACCGAGGTTCTGCTAGAGAATGATTATGTAGCCTGTGCCGCTTCTGTGTTTGTAGCTCTTCGAGCTACGTCCTGTCATTAAACCTGCCTGCTGGTTTCACTGCCTAACCGTAGATAGCCTGTTAAATACTACTGTACTCTGCACAGCTGCTCCTTCCACTATACACCCGACCTACCCCCGTGACACCGGCCACACAACACACCGATCGATTAACGACTTTTGCACGGGAGAATAACCGGATTCGGATTACAATACAGATAAGAGTTCTAGGTTACTAGAGACTAGGAAACTAGAGACATAACTGAATTCCGGTCGTCGATGATATAGAGGTTAGGACGGATAGGCCTTTATAAGCATTTCTGCCTACTCGTCGTCTACATCCTCCTTAGCTAAGGCAAAGCCAAAATAGTCTGGAAATTAAAGAGAAGAAGTATTGCAATTCTTTTGTGCAGTGTCACTATTATGCATTAGAATTGAGCGATTAAACGGGCGAGCTGGTCTGATTCAGATGCTGCATGATTTGCTCGAAACCGGGACTTTCCTTCAGATCCGGATGCTTTACTATAAACGCTTCCAGCTGTAGTCTGATTTCCTGAGTCTTCGCTTAGAGAAACACCGGATCTGACATGACATACTCTTTATGTATATCCCTATAAGTGATAGCTGACTGGAATGTCTGCCGCCTTGGGGCTTGGACAAGCTAAGCAGATACGGTATCAACTCTGCTTATTGCCTTTTCCTTGGCTTTAGGCGCTTCTATAAGATAGTCTCTGTCGTACTCAAAAGTTTCTCCGGGTTCCACACTATCGTTATGCCAGCCTAGCACGTCGGCGATGAACCAAGGATATTGAATCACCGCGGGCAGAGGTGCCTCGAATGTCCAATCCCAATCAATGACACTAAGATGTAAGTATGTTTGGTAACAAAGGCAAATGTCCTTAACATACTCCTTCAATTCCAGCCTCTCCTTCACGATAAAATTGTGCGCGTTCATATCCCCATGCGCGATTCCAATCATTGAGAAGACATTAAGATGCTGAGCAATTTGTGGAATCATCGACCTCATCACTATGTAATCGGAGGTCTTGCCCCATTTGCCAGTACCAGCCATACACCTACGGATGGCTTTGTCGATCTCGTTCTCTGGCCGTCTCGAGTATGGCTTGATTGTCGGCGAAGCGCTCACACTTCCTGGGCCTTCGATCCACCAGAGGTCCACCACCTGCCCTGAGGCGCTGCGCTTCTGCGACTATGACATCCTTGAAAAGGGACTCTATATTCAGCTCCATGGTATAAATTATTTCACTGTTCAATGACTACGGAGTATGGAGTAGGAGAAATACGCTTCTCGATGCAGAAGTTCTTATATGTATGTGTTCACCGCGTAGGAGCATGTGGAGAGCGAAGCAGTGTTGTACAACGCACGATTGTTGATCTGCAAAAGACATGGGACAGAGAACACGTTTTCGTTGATCACATACCCGCAACGTCAATGCAGAGACTGAGGAAAAGAACAATGTTGCAAAAGCGAATTTGCGCAAAAGTGCCACTCTAGATAGACTGATCTGACAGGCATGCGCGTAATCAGCAGTTTTCATTCCACCGCAAGCTTTTCCCATCCTTCCGAACCCCACGGATATGATTTATCAGTGAAATACCGGGTTCTTTGTATAATGTTATAGGCCACTTCAGGCTTCGTAGATTTCATGGTGGACGAGGATTATATTGTGGACTTCATGTAACCGAGAGTACAGATCAATGATGACGTGGAACCTCCTTTGCTCGAGTTCAAGTGGTTGGAATTACTCGACAAAGATATTGTGCTTATGCTTTTCTCGCCAATCCTCGATAGAACTGTTGGACCACTTAAGATATTCCTCGATAGCAGAAGTGTACTGGAACCACGAGAAGCCATTGCTATCGAAATCTTTGACGTTCAATCTTAGAATGATTCGAGTTGGCAGAATTTTCGGACGGTGAGTTTGTTCCTCGAGAAGACTATGATCCAATGAATGTGTTTTGTCGTTCGTCATGTTTAATGGCTAAGAAAAAACCAAGGTCTGTTCAAAGCCGGAGCTTCAAGCAGCAGGAAATCCATTTAACAATTTACAGCGCCTTGCGTTCGTGGCCTCTGATCAATGACACGCGTGAACGCAGCAAGAAAGCGAAGCGCCGCACTCGAGATAGTGCATGCAGACTCTCATCGCAGACTCCAATCATATCCGACAATCAGCTTAAAAGATCGACATCAGTCTACTTTCTAGTATGACATGGGTAGTCGCGCAATGGCCGCAAATATTGTTCGGCTTGGTTTTGCAAGCGTCGTCGCTTGCATTGTATTGATCGCAGAGGCAGCAAGACTGCTATCAGTAGAACTTGCGTGATTGCCGGAAATGTTTACTCAAGACGAGCGATCAAGGCCAAGACAAGCGTCGTCGACCCCACGCGAGATGTGAGCAGGCAAGCTAAGTAATCTCAGGTTACAGAGCCGCAGAGCCGCTCGTTTCGCAAAGTAGAACGGTGCTGATATACGAGTGCTGGAGTCTTCCTGGGGGGCTCATTGGGCAAAGACCTACTAGCAAAGAGTATTGTCCGGCGCCAGTGCGCTCATGTAAATTGAGTAGAGTGCATTTTGAGCGGACGATTTGTTGAGTATGAAGTCGACCCTGGTTACCTACGTAAACAGGCTCTACAAAGGAAGTTGAAAAAAAGGAGTACAAGACTTGATCGTGACAACAATGACGTAGAGCGAAAGAAGTAGCTGGAAGGCTGAGCTCCCGCTTCAGCCACACGAGTGGCGAGCAAGGAAAGCCTTTACCATCGTCAGCTCCACTCTTACTCTGCGATCTCCCTGATTATACCTATTTTTCGCATCGACTTACCAGAAAATCATGTCGGAAATTGAGAAGCAACCCCTCATTGAGAACCAGCCTGAGAACAGCTCGCTCGAAGAGCTTCGTTCAAGATGGCAGGAAGCTCGAGCAAACCTCCAGGCAGCCGCCAAAGATCTCTTCACAGCAAGACGCGAGTATGAGCGTGCATGGTCGAAGACGACTCGTGGACGTCTCGCTATTGGCGCTTTCTGCATCTTCATCATCACAATCTGTATCTTGCCTATGGGTGGTCTTTTGATCCTAGGCCTGCTGGACGACGAGCTTCCTGAGGAATACCTGCCAAGAAGAGTGCCCCTAGAGGCACACATCATGAGCAAGTGTCCAGATGCTCGTGACTGTCTTCACGATCTCGTCCTTCCAGCCATGGTCAACGTGAGCAACCTCGTTGATTTCAAGTTGTCTTACATTGGAAAGTAAGTAGTTGCACAATTGTGTGTTACCCCACAGTGGCTGACAGAAACATCAGAACTAGTGACCACGACGATGGCGTCGCCTGCATGCATGGTCCATCTGAGTGCCTGGGCAACTCGATCGAACTTTGCGCAGCTCACATCTATCCTAGCCCAAGAATCCACCTCGGCTTCACGATGTGCATGTCGCGCAACTATTCGGAGATTCCTTCTGAAGACCTCGCCAAGGACTGCGCCCTGGAGCACGGCATCGATTTCGAGAGACTGAACCACTGCCTGAGCGCAGAAGATGGAGAATACTCCAGAAACCTTCTCAAGAAGTCTGTCCAAAGAAGCGCCGAGAAGGGTGTTACCAAGAGCTGCACCATCAGAGTCGACGACAAGAACTGGTGTATTCGCGATGGTGGTGAATGGACGGACTGCGAGAATGGTCACGGGGTCAAGGATTTGGTCGAGGCCATCTATGATCTGAGATGGAAGCACAGCAGTGCCTACCAGGAGTAGAATGTTTGACACGTTCTTGATGTTTCACGTTCTTGATGTTGAACTCATTGTCGCTTCGCTCGAGGGATTGTTAGTCTATTCTCGATTGTTCCTGAAGAGGTTTATCTTTCGATCTGATAATCTAAAGTGGCGTTCGGCGTTGCACCTTCCCTGAACCCCGCAGATCGATCGTGGGCCGATTTTTTCGGCCTGGATCGTTGCGACAAAACCATAAAACTTCTGCTTCACAACACATCCTGTCAAACCATACCGACTCTCTATAACATCACACGCAATATGGCACCCTCGGCGATTTCACCAGAGGAGACTCCTCAAATCCCTAGTGGCGACTCGACCGTTCTCGCTCTCCGCAAGACCCTTACATCTGAGAACGAAGCGCTGGCCGCTCGCTTCCGCGCTCTCTTCTCCCTCAAATACCTGGCCTGCCAGGAGCCTCGTACCGAGAACACCATCCCCGCTATCGATGCCATTGCTGCTGGTTTCGCATCTCCATCCGCTCTCCTCAAGCACGAGCTTGCTTACTGCTTGGGTCAATCGCGCCACGATGCCGCTATTCCTTACCTCCAGAATGTCCTCAGCGATCGTGAAGAAGATCCGATGTGCCGACACGAAGCAGCTGAGGCCATCGGTGCTCTGGGTGATAAGGGCAGCCTGAAGCTTCTTATTGAGCGAAGAGACGATGAGAATGAGGAGACGGTTGTCAAGGAGACTTGCGATATTGCCGTTGGTCGCATCGAATGGGAGCACTCAGACGCAGGAAAGTTGGAGAAGCTGAAGCAAAGGTAGGCTCTCAGACTATACGGATGACTCTTTGTGGATGAAACCCTTACTGACCCAAACACAGTGACTTTGCCTCAATCGATCCTGCCCCTCCTCTCGCTATCGCCGCAAAGCAGCCCTCAATCGAAGAGCTCGAACAGACCCTGCTTGACTCCAAGCTGTCTCTCTTTGATCGCTACCGTGCCATGTTCGCACTGCGCGATCTTTGCTCTCCGCCCGACCTCCCGTCCGCTGTTCCTGCCATCAACGCCCTCGCACGCGGCTTCACAGATTCCTCCGCACTTTTCCGCCACGAGATCGCCTTCGTATTCGGCCAGCTCTCACACCCTGCTTCCATTCCCGCTCTCACCGGAGCACTAAGCAATCTCAAGGAGAGTAGCATGGTGCGCCACGAAGCTGCTGAAGCTCTCGGCAGTCTGGGTGACGAGGAGGGTGTGGAAGAGACCCTAAAGGGTTTCCTGAACGATCCTGATCAGGTCGTCAGAGATAGTATTATCGTCGCATTGGACATGGCCGAATTCGAGAAGAACGGCGAGATGGAGTATGCAACTGTTCCTGTTGCTGCTTAGAGTGAAGCATTACGAATTCAGGCGTTTGAAGATAAAAGGACAACCCGGATGGAGTTTTGGAAATGTCAGACAAGACAATGAAATGTTTACAATCTACCTCGATAACGGTACTCTGCACAAAGTAGTCTTGATTTCGACTCATTCTCTACTGTGTTCACAGTGAAACGGTGAAAAGACAAGGAAGGTCATGGCGAAACCTAGATCCTTCTCAAATACACTCAGTGTGGAAGACTACTTCTTATTATGTGACAGACGAATTGCGGAGAGGATTGGAAAGAGCGGGAGATCGGTGCTCAATTTGAGCCCAAAGAGGCAGGCGGTGAAAGCGGACGCGGCAGGTACCTGCCTAAGCAACTCTCTTTCCCAAGATTCCATCTCTCAAGTGGCACTTGCCCAACTTAGCATTGATTTGCTGTGCGTTCGCATTATCCAGAACGACACTATCTCTTTGACCCAGACCGGAAGACACGCGACCACTGTATATCCATCATCGACTCTCCAGGCTTCGGTGTCGCCAGTAAATGTAGCCATGTTATGAAAACAGCACCTTTGAACTCGTAGTTCACATTCACAATGGCGCATCCTAATGGCGCAAACTACACGAATGGGAACCGCAAGCCTATGCGTGTTCCTTCAGTTGCGGAGGCTCTACCATTCTCGCCATTCACGTCTATCGTGCCCTTCACTCTCGGTATTGTAGATTGGACCCTCAAAGGCTCGGACAATAGCTGATTGTTCAACACAGACGCCATACCTCCTCCCTTGGCCCTTCCCTCCGCTCCCGCGCAGATCTTCTCGTCCGAAGAACAAAAGATCTCGGCTCATGGAATGCTAGAGCGACTTGATGCACAAGCCAACAATGCTGAAAGAGCCTCGGAACAATTGACCAGGACGCTGGAATCTGTCCAACACCTTCTCAACTCGGATAACCTCACTCAGTACCGCTTTAACAGACCTGCCAGATTCGCGCAGAGCAAGTCTCGTCCGACTCAGACTACTGCGACCCCGTCCAAGAACCAGCTCGGCTCCTTTGCAAAGATGGTCCTCGACAAGACTATTCCGTCTCACTACGCTGCAGAAAAAGCCAACCTACCTACGCCATCTCCGGCACCGCTTGTCAAGCCACCAAAACCACAGTCTCATGTTGCACCAGCGGTGACCACTTCTGTTCAGCCACAGCACAATCAGAGTCTCCATCAGTCAACAATCCCGGTGCCACAATCATCTGCAAGGCAATCTACCGTCCCTACGTCCATATCTCAGCCACAAATCGCCGTTCCGATCACTCTCTCATCGGCTCCTTCGCCTCATCAATCCAGTCAATCTGCAAAAGCCAATGGTGTTCCTCAAGCGCACCCACAAAGTTCTCAGCCTAGTTCCCAGAGGTCCAGCATCGCCGTTGTGATACCCAAACCCCTCACAGAAGCACAACGTGCTCAGTATACTCATGTACCGGACACAATCAGAGTCCTCAGCGCATCGCAGACGTCAAAGACAGATGCTCAAAAGCATGCAGACTTTCAGGCCGATCAACGACTGACTTCGGCAAGCATTGCTCAGCAAGAAAAGGCAAATTCTGCCGTGTCTAAGCTCAGAAACTTGATAGCCGAGATATTCGAAGCCGAGGACCAGATGCAGGCAGACACTTCTGGGATGGTCTCCTCCAATGCTGCCCGATTCTTCAATACCGACGACGCGATTGAGGGCACACCAGTCCTGCAAGCGACAATCCAAGCGCAACTTGATAGTGCGCTATACAAAGTCGTTGCAAATGCCCGTCTTTCAAGCATTGACGTCGGCGATCTTGGCCGTATACAACGTTTGTGTGACCATGCTGCCACCGCTGCAGGTACGATTAACTATCGCATCGACGGTGATACACCGCAAGAGGTCGATGAATGGCTTCACGGCATTGGTGTTGGAGAGCAAGGTTTGACTGCTTGCAAAACTTTACTGCGCATTATGACAGCTGGTCGTGAAGAGAAGCAGCTGTATTCAGAAGAAACTCTTACGACTCTTTTGAACAGTCTCATTCATATCGTCGAGACTTGCATCATCCCCATAGTCGAGATGAGAAGTAATGGAGATATGGCGGATGCCTTCAAACTCGCTTCTTCTCAAAGCAAGTATCTCAATCAAATCTTGACTGCTTGCATCCGAGTCATCAAGCTGCTGGGCGATCTCATTGCAAAGACTGATGTCGATGAGCGCGCCATCGTTTCTGCCGAATTTATTTGCAAGACGTTGGTCTTCGTCGAGAACGCAACGTCCGAGAAAGACTCTGCACTCGGTATTCAGAGGTTTGAGACCGCTCGTAGAGCTGCAATGGATGTGCTTGCAAAGATCTTCGCCCGTTACCCCGAACAAAGACAATCGATATTCGACGAGATCTTGACTTCTCTCGAGAAGCTCCCAGTAGGTCGACAAAGCGCTCGTCAATTCAAAATGGTCGATGCAAAACCGATTCAACTTGTGTCAGCTCTACTCATGAGACTGGTCCAGACCAGTGCCACGCGTATGGAAGTCAAGACGAAACACATCTCTGAAGAAGCGAACAGTGAAGAGAATGTCGACGAGGACTCTGGGTCTTCTGAAGAAGACGCTGATGCAGACTCGGACTTCGACAATGCGACAGAGAAGAAACATCGACCTAAGCCGAAGCCCAGGCAAAAGAAACGAACGAGCGAGGGACCTGAAGATCTGGCGTCTGTCACCAACCCTCTGTTCGAAGCAGCTTATAGAGACGCCCATTATGTTGTCAATTACATGGTTCAGCGTGCTCTGACCTCGACAAAATCAGGAGATCAGCCGTACAGAAATCTTCTTGACATCTTCACTGAGGACTTTCTGAATGTTTTAGGCAATACTGATTGGCCCGCAGCGGAGATGTTCCTCCGTGTGCTCTTGGCCAAGATGTTTGAATTGTCAGAGAATCACAAGGGTTCTGCTCCCTCAAAAGCCATGGCTTTGGAGTTGATGGGCGGCATGGCCTCGCGCATCACCGAACTACGTCTGCAAGCACAATCGGCATCTCGTCAACCCAACACAGAGCGCTCTGAAGTTACGGCCAAGCTTTTGCAGATACATGAGAGTATTGTGGCAGAACAAATTGAAGAGGACGAGTTGCTGTCTTTTGATGGCCCGTATAGAATCGTGCTCGAATATCTCCAAGCTAGAGGCACGGAAAATTCAGAGTTGCTGACTGCGCGTGGTTATCATACCATCCAGTGGGCTAAACAAATTCTCCAGCCCAGTTCTGAAACCACGAAGTCGGCAGAAGTTGAGAATCGTCTCGCGTTTATGATCAAGGACACGACCTGGCTCGAAACGGAGTACGATTTCAAAGCAGTGACTACAGAAGATGGCAGATTCGCAGCAGTCTTGATTACCATGAATCTCCCTTTCTGTCGTGCCTTCAACAAGATCTTTAGCAAGCTTCTTGGCACCATGGCTGGCGACCAAGCTTCATTGCGGAGCAAAAGCTTGAAGAGCATCGAACAACTTCTGGAGATGGATCCTTCAATCCTTGATCAGGGAACGTTCTTCATCAACAGCATTATCAGATGTCTGCAAGACAACTCCACCCAGGTACGAGACTCTGCTCTTGGTCTGATCGCTAAATGTCTTTCGCTGCGTCCAAAACTAGATACTATGCTATATGAGCGCGTCATCTTTCGAGCCCAGGACGCCAATTTGCATGTTAGAAAACGTGCAATGAAGATGTTGAAAGACATGTACCTTCGCAACGACGCTTTGACTATGAAAGCGTTGATCGCCGACACTCTCATAAGCAGAGTCAATGATGCCGATGAGAGCATTGTTGAGCTTGCCCGTCACACTTTCGAGGATATCTGGATGACACCTTTCCATACGGTTCCTGGTGCTGACCCCGACACGATGAGAAAAAAGCTTCGTCTTCGCGAGCAGACGAGCTTGGTCATCAACATTGTCAAGCGAAAGACTGAAACTACAGAGGCAGTCCTGCCCGAACTCTTGCAGCAAATTTTGTCAGACAAATCCAAGACGGCTAAGGCCAATACTGTGGTGTGCAAAGAGATGGTAAAGCTTATGTTCGACGCTATCATCGATCCAAGCGAGCTTCCAGAAAGTCCCCCTCAACAAAACGTCCTGCAAACGCTCACCATCTTTGCTGCGGCTAATGCAAAGCTGTTCGCGCCCGATCAGCTCCAGACCCTCCAGCCTTATGTCAAGAATCTCAGTTCCGAGGACAACCTGCTGGTATACCGTTCGGCAATTGTCATTTTACGTCACACTCTGCCTCATATGAAGAATCTTAACCGAGACTTCCTGGTTAACATACAACAAGCTCTACTTGGAAGCTTTACTAGACTTCCACCAGCAGAGCTCAAAGAAGTTGCTACCTGCCTTTGGACTCTAGATGGCGAACTCCACAATACCGAAAGACTCGTGAAAGTTACACTTTCGCTCTATGATCAGATCAAGCGAGGCTTGCCTGTTGATATGAACAGCAATCAAGCCGCCGCTCAGAAGACAAGGCGGCTCATCACCATCGCTGGCCATTTCGGAAAAGCTTTCAATCTTGACTCACATCTCAGTTCTTTCAAGGAGAAATTCCCGGACTACAAGGGCGAACACGTAGCATTCTTGGCCGTAGACTTGATCTGCCCTTTCACAAGCCCAAATCAGCCTATGGTTCTTCGTCAAGCCGCACTTGATAGTGTTTGCATGCTATGCCAGGCATGGCCTGGTCAGTTGATGCGTACTGATGTCTGTAACGCCTTCAAGCTGGCCCTGGAGTCAGACGATCAGCAACTACCAATGACCATGATCGTAGGTCTCAAGGACTTTTACTGTGCTGGGGACAAGCCAGGCGAGTCAAGTCTAGTACAAGTCGGTACTGGTGTGGAGGCTGGCACGGAGCGGCTAGGGAATACTTACATAGCTACCGACCGTGACGGTGCAGCCACATCTATTGCTCAGCAATTCCTAGCGAAGATCCGCAACGTCGCTCTCACTTCGGCCGACGCCCTTGCTTTCAATGCCGTCCAGGTCGTCGCTAGTATTGGCCGCCAGGGTCTTGTCCATCCCAAAGAGACCGGACCGTGCTTTATCGCACTTGAAACCTGTCCAGATGCGAAGATAGCCGCTTTCGCCTTCCAGGAACACATGGGGCTTTACAGCAAACACGAAGCGATGTTTGAGAAAGAGCACATTGGCGCTATCCACCAGGCTTTTACGTACCAGCGAGATGTAGCTAAAAGCGACCAGGGATACACCGGTAGTCCACCAACTTCCAAAATGCATCATTTCTGGGAGGTCATCAAGACTGGAAAGGCGAAAATTCGCATCAAGTTTTTGACGGCAATTTGCGGCAAAGCAGGAGTGGGCTTCGACATGTCGAAGTTGGACATGTCAGGCACTCTCCCTTCTCACGTCGCGTTCACCCGATTCGTCTCGGAGAATCTAGCCTTCTTCGACTATGCCAAGTTCGACGAGCTCCAACACCTGATTGACTGCATCGAAAAGTTGATGGCCAATACTGGCACGCCTGTCGCTCACATGGTTGACGTGGATATTCTCCGCGTCCTCATCGAAAAAGACGTCCCCATGATTGATTCTGAGAACGGTCTTCCGAACGAGACAGCTGCTAACGAAGGCCAAGGGAAGTCTGTTGCTCCAGGCCGTTTACGCGAGCTCACGGTATATGTCCAAGTTCTTCTCCTTCTATGGGAGCTACGTACGTATCTTCGTCGCCTCTGGAATGTCAGCAGACATCAGGCCGCAGCAACGAAAGGAAAGGCCAGCAAGGAAGTTGTCCGCGCACTACAACGCATTCCAAATTCCACCAACCTGACTGAGAGATACCTTGCGCGTAATCAAGAAATCATGAGAGCTTTAGAGACACCCGAAGGCCAACTCAATCTTTGCAGCTCTTTCTCAGAGGTGATGGCGGTGGATAGTGAGCTCAAGGTCGACAAGGAGGATGCAGAAGAAGAGATGGATACTTCGATGACAATGAACGGGGACGGTTATGAGACCCCGAGCGAGAGAGGCGAGAGTGCCACACCCGGCAGCGGACAGAAGCGTGGTCGTAAGAGAAAGAGCATAGACTCTTCGCAGAACACTCCAAGGAAGAAGGGACGACCAAGGAAGAACTCGAGTGTGCAAGGTCGCTCTGTCTCTTTCGCATGATGACATGAGTTTACGGTTCGCTGGGACTTGATGGAACTCAATCGATATGTAGCACAGCACATAGCTACCACGCACAGCGCGCTGCGCCGTCTTGCTCCTCATGCTCAGACAGTTGGTTGTTTAGTGGATGGCCTAAGGAGAAGAATCTGGGGTGATGGCTAGATCGTAATAGCTATCTCAACTCGAGCAAAATAAGTTTTATGACCGCCTCCCAGCCACGTGCGACGACAAGTAGCCATCTCGCTTCCGATGACCACGTAGATAACGCAACCTTCAACAGATGAGATTGGTTGTGCCAATGCACGCGCTCTGCATTCATTCAGGAAGGCGCAACCAGGAAGCTTCTTGAAGCAGGAGCAAACGGGTATGTCCCTTTCACGATAAGATCTCAGTAGCAGATGATCGTGAGCTTACAAAGTGGATCATCTTGTATTTTGTTTGACTGACTATAGAGGACCGCGCAACGTTGGCGAGACATCTCTTCTGAATACGATGTTAGCACAGGCCAGAGCAGTCATGTTCAGGTAAACCAACTCAATTGTAATCACATCACACTGTTGTGACTCAACAGTGGCTCGTCATCGATCGAATCGACGCGTGGAGCATGCATGACTCCTGTCTATCGATCTATACGAGCTGTCACTTCAGAGAATATCCAGAATACCATGCACAGCACTGCAACACCGAACACAATCGCCAACTTCTACACCACTCTGGCGAAGATGGTTTCTATAAACCTCGACTCGGCGGCCAAAGACGTGCAGCAAAGTCGTCTAACTCTGGACACAGCACTCAAAGACGTGCAGCAAGGTCGGAAGTACAATCATCATGCCTTGAACCTTCCTGAGATCTGGTTGAATATCGCATCGCAGGTATTTCGTCTCATGACCGCCATTTGATAGCATTTACACTGGTAAAATACTTTACAGCTCGATAAGCCTTACGACCTCCGGAACTTGGCCTTGGTCTGCCATAACGCACACTTCGCAGCCCTATCGTGTCTGTATCGTTGAGTGCTTCTGGTCTTCAACGAGCATGAACAGCAAGTGCTCGACAACTTCGTGTCTGCAACGAATCCTGGTCTTCAATAACTCCGTCACCTGACCATCGTGCCACAATTCTCTGCGGAATTTCTACCTACTGAGGAAGAGACAGGGCGTGATATCGACTGTGCAACGCGCAAACTACTCTATGCTCTACCTTACGGCAACATCCGATCTCTCGGCTCTTACAGACCGCTTGATGAAGAGATGACTTCACATGTCACAAAAGTGAGCAAGCTGCACGGTCATGTCATAATATTCAGTGGTCCACCCCTCAAATGCATGTACACAATGTACACACTCGACGAGAAGGGTGTTGCGCCAGCAACAGAATCTGAACAGCAAGCTCTAGGAAAAGCTTCGAGAAGATGGACACGTCTCGGAATAGTGTCACACATGAACAGGATACATACGAGTTTGGAGAGAATGATACAGAGCCTTGGAGTCTAAATACTACGGTACAGCACAAGATAGATGCGAGCCAGAGAGTCTGGATACTACTATGCAGCACGTGAGAGATGCGAGTCAGAGCCTGGGACAGCATCTCGGATCTTAGATCATGCTGGTTCGTGAAAGCTTTCTGTCTTCCACGCCGTCAGCCCGAAACGTCGGACATGGCAAGCGAAAGACAGGGATGCTTCGCTCCAACGACTTATGGTATGCAGCGGCGATATCGAAATACAGTCAGGGCATGGAAGGTTGCAAGGAGCTTCGAATCACATTAACCATTCATGTCACTCGCAAAAGGACAGTCAAGAAACGTTATAGATCTAGTGATAGGTTAGATGCGCTTTTCTGTCTCATATAATAAGGAGAAAAGAACGATCAAGGTGTGGTTGGAATGGAAAAAGAATGAGTGTGGCCTTTTCGTCGGTGAATATCATCTTGTTCCCCATCTCAAAACCTGCCTGAAAATCTGAACTAGATGCCCATGTGCCGGCTTTCGATGATGATCGCGTGCCAGTCTCATTCACTGACCAGTCGTTTCGCCTTCGAGATGCTGCTTGAGGGCCTCGGTCTGCTGTTTCTGGAATTCCTCAAGATCTTCCAGCAAGGCTGCGTTGATCTGCGCCTTTATCCTGTTTCTGATCTCTGTCATCACAGCCTCGTCGAAGATGGTGGTGCGGACTCTCTCCGTCACCTTGGCGACAAGAACGGTGCTCAGTAGCTCAGACCGGTTGTAGTAGAGAGGTGCGACGGCATTGTTGACCCTGATAGATCCTGCAGTGCGCATGACTTCCTCATCAATGATGGCTTCGAGTCTGGAATTTATGCAGAGTCTTTAGGATTTGTCAGTGAAAGTCGCATGCTTCTAGTTTAGACGAACTCATTCAGTAATCTGCGTCTCGGCTTCCTGAATACGCAGGTCTCCGGCGTTGATGTGATTTACGACTCTTCTGAGCATGTGTGCCTCTTGATCCGGAAACTCGAAGTTACTCCTCTGGATCCACACAGCAGATTCGAGAGCTGATCTGATATCTCTTCTTGCGACAGTCCGGTGGAACTTGGTGTCTGTTGGCTCTCCGCGACGTGACATGTTCTTTTCTTTGTCAATATATCTATGTGCGAAACTGATGACAGGACTGATGATTCGAGGCTGTTGGCTTGGGCTAGCGATGTGACAAAGTGGCAAGGAGACAAGCGGACGACACTCGTGTGTATGGCAAGCTGAGAATTCAATGTAGCCTCAGTGAAAGTAGGGTGTGACAAGTTCAATGAATCCTCGTCACTGAGCTCTTTTGATGCAGTAGTGATTAGCCTATGCTACTTCCGAAAGCTGTATAGCTCGGGTTCGCTCTCCCAAGTCTGGAGCGCTTCCGTTCTACAAGTCGTGGCTCAATTTGACGGGCTAGATGAGTTCAATCATCTTCATCCTCGTCTTCCTCATCTCCCTGCTGCAACTGAGCTCTGACTGTCTCGATATTCTCCTTGTGGACGTTCTCAACCATTTCCAACACTGCAAGATCGACTTTCTCCTTGATCTTCTCCTCCAAGATACCTCTAATAGCTTTGGTGAAGATGGTGTCGACATTCTGCAGCACGATGTTGGTAATGGTCTCTTCGAGGTCGCTGCCCGCATCTCCGAAGCCGAGGAGCTCTTGGATGGCATCGTCTTCGCTCAGAGTGTCGGTTTTGCGAATGATGACTTTGCTGATGAGCTTCTTGACGATGGCATCGGCATCAGTTTCGATCATGCTATCGAAAGTTAGATATTAACGTACATAGAATAAAGCAGATACTCAACAGCTCGCTCGCTTACCTTTCAGATCCGGCTTGGAGGCTCTCTAGTGCGTGCTTGCACACAGTCAGAGATTCCCTCATGTTGGTTGTAAGTGTGGCATCGATGTTGCTGGTAGCGAAAAATGAAGTCAGAGAAAGCGCATCTGTGACAGCATTCTTGATCTGGCGCGTGCTCTCCGAGAACAAAGCCTTTGGCACTTTGACGATTGTACGCTTGCGCTTGTTTGGTTTGCTGACTCTGTGTTGCATCTTGGCTAATTTCGACGTGTTTATCTGAAGGTGGTGTCGTTGGAGTAAAAGAGACGGAGAGTAAGGGCTGAAGAAAACTATTTTGTAGACTTGATGTGAGGTGGGAGTCAAGAATATCGGAATATTGAAGTGAGAGGGCGGACAGATTGAGCCAGTCTCTCAATGGACATATTTCGAAGCTCGAGAAAGATCATGCCTTTTCACAACGTTGTATACTGCTCAGGCGTGACACGGAGAGCCCAGATTATCACACTTGTCTGTCTGAGGCTTACGAAAGTATATTAGCAGCATCTCCTAGACATCGATTACCTATTTCGTAGCTGTAAAAAGGCATAATGTATTTCCAGATGTATGAATCTTCTGAGGAGAGAGCTAAAATCACAACCTCTTAGCGGACAGGTCATAGTATCTCAAAATTATCCTGCATTTCGACAGCGCATTGTGTGAACAGCGCACACAGAGGAGAGTCAAACTTCTTATCCACTTTCCGCCCCGGACTTCTGTATACTGAGGTTATCTCGCTGACGTAGTCACTAATTTTAGAGGTTGAAAAAAGGCACAGTGATTTTCGAAACCTGAGAGTCGTTCGAGAGAGCACGTAACTTCGAGTCTCTCGGTGGGCGTTCTGAGATACCTTAAAAACATCTGGCATTTCTACAGGAGTATCATACTGTCAGCTCTCATGCTGGGAGAGTATTCTGTCATACAGTTTGCCCCGGGTCCATGTATCAATACACGGTATATCATGTTAATTATTCAAAATTTTGGTAGCTGTCAAAAGGCACAATGATTTTCAAGATCTCTGAATTGTTCGTAGAATAGCTATATAAGCAATGTTTCGTCGTCGACCGCCTCTACTCCTCGAATCTAGCCCGTACTTCAGCGAGCTGTCTATCTAGCTTCTGGATGAAGTAATCGTAATGGTGCTCTGTGATTACAAGCAGAGCTCTCCTTGTTTCGATCCTGACCGCGTCACCAACCTCTCTGACGGGCACTTTTGCGAGCTCGTTCACAGCCTGCTCGATCCACTTTCTGAAGCTGGCTTTACCCTCTTCTTCTTCTTCTGCGTCCATGGCTGCCCACATTGTTTTGGCGATAAAATTTGGTTCCGAAGGCAATTTTATGGCGGTGTCGTCGAGCAAAGCCTGAGCCTCGACTCTCACCAGGGCTCTCAGCTGCTCTCGAAATGTCTCCCAAGCGGTGCTATATTGAATCAGTACAATTCTCCAGTCGTTGCATGTCAATACTGACTTGAGCTGAGCTTGAGGTGGCTCTCCGAGGGTGGGTGTCTCGCTGATGGTAGCCTGATTGGATGCAGGGTCATTTTCAGATCTGGTGGCACTGCTTCTGGAGACCTGAGTGGTGTTGATTTCGGCGGCAGGAGGATCGTTGAAAACAGCCTCATTTAAGGTAGCATCTTGTTCGATCCTGGAGGTAGAGGTGACGAGAGTATCCGTTCTCGGCATTGCTGGGGTAGAAAGTGAAGACGATGCATTTGAGCTGTGGCGTGTGTTGTAGAGGCGTTGCTTCTTCGCGGGAGGCTCTTGCATAGTGTTACTTTCAGAAGACATACGATGGCGTTCCTCGAAACTCTCAGGATGATGCTTCTTGATCCAAACGCCTTGCTCTTGCCACACCGACTCGAACTGCTCGCGAAACTGCTTGCCCTGTTCGTATACAGCGCTGGGAGGATGGCCAGCGTTGAAAACGTCGCAGTTGTCGAACATCAGATCGAAATCGCGCTTAAAAGCGACAGCGCTATCGTAGCCATCATTTTGAAGCTTAGAAGTGATCGTGGCGATGTCTATGGGTGCTTGAATGACATTACGATACGTAGGAACCTTGGTAGCATCGACTGGGCCTTTGAAAGAGACCACGTACTTGCGATGTTTGTGGCGACGAAACTCGTCGAGCACGTACTGACAGAAGAGTTGATCAATTTGCTCCATCGTTGTATCAGTTGATTGATCGACTGATCAAAGGTGTGTGTGTGGTGGATACTGAACAAGGAAGGGTTTGGCGCGGCACAAAGAAATCCGGCGTCGACCACACATGATCAAACGACTAAGCTTGAACCACGTCTCCCACACGACATTTTTCGTCTTTCAACACTGTTCCGAAAGTGCACTTGAATGTGGTGTGCCCGGACTCCCAACCAGCGGTTCCACAAACATCCTTACAGGATTGGCAGCTGCTTTCTTCGTAGAAAGGAGATTTTGTCATCTGAGGCACCTCACGATCCACTATCATCGCGAGACGCATGAAGGTATGTGTCAAGGACCGGCCCTCACTTCATCGATCCGGGTCGTTTCGTCCCACACTAGTGGCGGTCGCAGTGCAGAAGAAACGGGGTACGACCTGTGGGTGCTCTCTCTCCCTCTCTCACAATGGGAGGACCATTCGAACTGCGTATTCAAATCACCAACTCAAAGAGACACCCGTAATCGATACTGGGTACTTGATCTCTACATAGCTTGGACTTGCAGTGATGGTGATTGATAGATATAGCATAGACCGATCGCTTGCAACTCGAGTCCAAAGACAGTTTACATCTTATCTGCTAAAGCCGTTTTCTATCGGGGCATTGCTCCATTCTCTCTTCCAGATAATCATGAGCTGAGGGTTGTAGTGGGGAGGATACTTGTGAAGCATCTTCTTGTCTCGACAGGGCTGAGGTATACTTCTTACGCATGCAAGAGTGTCATTTGGAAGTAGTCCTTGTATCCCGTTCTTCCATAATATCTGATTGTTTGAGCAAAGTTTTCTGTGATACCCTCCGAAGCTCTCGCATTTCGTCCTTGTTGAGCTCCATTAACGTTTCATGCAGTCAAACGATAGCGCTTTGCCCTTTGCTTGACGTTCCAGTCACTCCTCGCCTGTGTTGCTCACACTCTCGATGAGTCTGGTCGCATCTGCGGCAAATGTCTGCGCAACACGTTGGGTCTCCTCCGCAATTGTCTCCACAAGAGCCTCTGTGACAGCAGCTGCAACGCCCTTGCCCATAACGTCCCTCATAGACATCATTCCGACCTTTTCACAAGCCCTCTTGTACCATTTCCCGTTGGTGCGATCCATCTGATGAGGTGCGTTCAAGAGGTAGTTGCCGAATACACGAGTACTGGAAGGGAAGTCGCCGTCAGGGGTGAAGTCAAAAGCTCCGGCCTGCTTTTCCATCTCTTGACGGACCATCTTGATAGATTGGCTAAGGAGACCATCCACACTGCATTCGAAGTCACTAGATGTTATGTAAGAAGCGTTACAAGTAACTTACGTTCTCTCAGGACGTGCGATTCTAGGACGTGCGGGTTCAACAGCCACTTTGGCAGGGGTGCGCTTCTCGTGGATAGGAACAGGCGCATTGGCGGCGGTAAGCAGGTCATCCTCTGGATTCTGCGGTTCCTCGGTGTCTTCAACCACGGTGTCGTCGCTCTGTGCAACGATCAACTCTCCTTTCTTGGGAAGTTTCTTGCCACGCTTGAGCATGATGCGCGTTTTCTTGTCAGGCGGAGCAGGACTGTCTTCGTAGGCGGAGTCCCCGTGAGCTTTGGGGGTCTTCTTTCTGCTCTTGGGAGGCTGCATGGTGATCCTTGATCGACTGCAAGAGTCAGTTCGAAAAATGAACGCGCAAGGAGCGAATACTCACAAACTCTGTCAAGGGGAAGGAAGATGGCCGGGTAAGGAGGGCGGGCTATCAACAGAACAGTGAATCTCAAACGCGTTCGACTACGGGTTCGATGCTTAGTCGTCGGACACTTGGAAGTTTTTGTAGTGAAATACAGGTTTCAGTGAGGGAAAGACGTAGTGTCGAGCTGACAGGCGGTCACAAGACGAACGGCAATCAGGCTACGATCGGAGACTGATCTGAGGGCTCTCTGGTGCGCGCGAGATTGGTAACATGTGTGTCAAAGTTGGCAGCGTTCGAGGTCAGAGTAAAGAATGAGGCAGTAGCAATATCGAGAGTACCATTGTATGAGGAGATCCAAGAAGATACGACCCACGGGCTATTGACAGGACTCAACATGTCAACGATAGTAAGACCAGGGAACAATAGTGGCGTGATCTGATTCATTGCACAAGACAAAGTGACTTGTACACTCCTGATGGCTGGACCGATTCCACCATACAGGGCGGGGGCCTTGAGTTAAAGAATACCTAGGCTACTGACCGATTACATGAGCATCTAAGAAACAGTCATGAGAGATTCAAGACGGAACCAGGAGCTCGACTCAGGATTCAAGGGACCATGACTATCTGATCATTGGCACGAAGCTACACCACCCTGACCGCCCCATGATAGTGATAAGACCTCGGGTTAGACGGAGTCCGAACATCAGGCTGCTCACATGGTGGTGGACTCCGGGGGTTAGCCATATCAGTTGGTACAATCTGACTAAATGCAAGAACATTTTGACCGCCTGAGCATCGAAGACGCTGTGACAATAAAATCGCATAAATACACATCAAGATCTTCTTCACTGGCTACATGCACTTCTTGTTGCTCTTCTTTCGCAAAAACATGCTTTCATCATTCTGTGTCTACCTATTATGCCTTTGCTGTCGTTTTCTGCGACTGTTTGCTACCTTGTTTGTAGCTGTTCATGGGACATTCTGGCTTTGTTGCACTATTATGGCCATCCCATTCTCAAAAGCATCTTTCTTAATCAATCCTTTGCTTCTCTTACCGGTGTCAAGCATTTTGTTTGGTCGAACGGAGGGATCTGTAAGTCGATCTGGGTTTGAACTGCGTGGTTGTCTAGCCTGTCATGAATAATGTCAGTAAACAGATTGCAGATTCGAGCCGCGAACATCAACCACTTACTTGCTCCAGACGTCGAAGCACTCAGCTCTACTCTCCGCCTCCTTTTGAAGAATAGCCATCAGCTGCTCCTTGTCGGCCTCGGTCCAAGTCTGCTTCATCATAGCTCTGATGGAGACCTCAGAACCAGGCCCGGCTTCATTGATGATTCTAGCGCGGCACTTGCTCTTCCAGATCTCGCGGGATGTCTCGAGATGAGAGTAGCGTCAGACCTTGTCGTAGACGTCACGGGTGGCCTCTGTCCTGAGCATGAGCTGATACTGATGCCTCGCAAATTCTTGGAACTCGCCCTCCATTGTGTTTCTCAGATCTCCAACCAACTCGTGGATCTGATTCGCATGTTCAACCTCATTGTCCTCGTCTTCCTCTTCTTCCACGTCGTTCACGTCGTCCTCGTCATGCTTGGGAGAGTCGTCAGTGTGAGCTCTCTCGGTAGACTGCTCGTTAACAACATCTTCTTCTGCATCTTGGCGACCGCCTTCGGAGGCAACGACGGCGTCAGAGAGAGTGGGCTGGGGAGTGGGTCCCTCATTACCCTTGCTGGGCGAAACGGTGAGCCTGATAGAAAGGCTCATGGATTTGCTACAGCAGTATCGTCAGCATCAGTTGTCATAAACATTTTCTCGTGGGTTGCCCAGCATGAGGAAGGGAAACATACCGCTTAGGAGGGGCAGTGACCTGTGCTTCTTCTTCTTCTTCTTCTTCTTCTTCTTCTTCTTCTTCTTCTTCTTCTTCTTCTTCTTCTTCTTCTTCTCCTTCTCCTTCTCCTTCTCCTTCTCCTTCTCCTTCTCCTTCTTCTTCTTCTTCTTCTCCTTCTCCTTCTCCTTCCTCCTCTTCTTCCACCTCGTCATCGACTGGTCCACTCTTGCGAGCTCTCTTGGTGGAGGGCTCGCCAAGAGCGCCCCTCTCTGTCTGAGTGCGAGGTCTCTTTGCCCCAGTGGTACGGCGCAGAGTAGATAGCCTTCCGCCGGCCATGCTAGTACCCTGGCCAGGAGTGCCGGCTTGCCTGGTTGAGCTTCTCGTGGTGCGAGGCCTAAACAAAAGTCAGTATCGAAATGCAGAATCAATTGTGCTCTACCCAAGTTGAATGTCGAGAGAAGCAATAGATAACGGTTAAAGAAAAGACATACTTGCTAGGATCATCATCATCATCGTTATCATCGTTATCGTCGTGGTCTTGGAGGAAGGGCGCGATGAGGATATTCTTCTTGCTACATTCCGATAGGAAATCGTTCTCGAACTGGCTGGCGGATTTCAGGAATCTGCCATTCTCGTGACCTGCGAAGCGAGACTCCTTGTTGTACTTGCGACAGTTGAGGATCATAAGCTTGAAGTCGGCCACAAAGACCTCTACGTTGGCGTAGCGGTTTTTGATGAGTCTGTATGCCATTCTGGCTAGCCACATGGGCCGTGGGATCAGGGTCTCGTAGTCGGCAGCGTCATCATTAGAGACCTTGTTCAGGAAAGGCTCGATAAAGTCGGCTTTGCCAGCCTGGTAGAGGTCGTAGTACTTGTCGAGAAACTCGGCGCAGAACTCGAGTCCGGCGACCATCTTGACGTTGGTGGGAAGGAGGATACTGTGTAGGTAGAAGCTGATGCGCAGGGGTTTTGATTCGGTGCGGCTATCGAGAGATGGCGCTAGGGGTAGATCCAATGCGCCAATGTCATAGATCACTACTTACTGTTGCTGTTTTGGGTGCTCTGGAGAGTCGGCGACGAGGAATTGGCGCGGCGCAACTATTCGTGTGATGTTAGAGATGCACTGATAGTCCTCTGCGTGTTGTAATACACAGTAGGGAATTTCAAAAGGCGCTGAGATGCTCTTACCAGTTGCTTTGACGAGTAATATGAATTTGTTCGCTGAGAAAAAAGACCCGAAAAACCCGCACCCTGTGTGAAACTGCTATACCGCGATTGTGGGCAAATTTCGCAGTGCCTGGTCAGCGCCCAGGGACTTGGACATCACTCGAGACCCCGTGTTATCCTCCCGAGGGTCTTGAGGGGCAGGTTTACCATGCGGAAGCCAGTTTCATGGTAGATCAACTGCTCTGGGACCTCTGGTTGGCATCTTGGATGCATAAGCTACAACTTGAGACCTGGAGAGTATATCTATTATACAGCGTAACTAGTAGTGTGTATCAGGACTATCGCACGTGATGTGCTGCAGTAGATGTCAAGATGCTCAGCGATCTGCGACCTGTTTACGGTATTTCCTGGCTCAATCTCCATTCAGAGAGCTTTCATGATGATAAAGACCACTGCTCGTCCTGAGATGAGCGCCTCTGACTCTGCATGTATCGTACAAGACCCAGGGATAGTCATGAACAGTATTGATTTAGGGGCAGGCTCTACTCCGTGCACAAGGTTAACGGGAATACAGTACAGATACATAGAATAAAAGAATGGATGGCATGCTGAAAGTCATCACCGTTTGCTACCTGTAGTCCTGCTTTGTGCTCAATATCTCTTATTTGGTTGTCATCATGCATCACTTTCGAGAGAGAGTTTACCCCTGAACGCCATTTTCCAGATGACATGAGAGGAATTGTTCGATGGGAGCCCGAAGTCCATGAGACAGGGTAAGCACGCCGAGTTTGAACAGAGTTGACTACTTCTTTGCCATCGTTCTTGCCAGTATCTTGGTGCATTGTCCCCGCGACTACTATTCTGGTCGCCACTTCCTGAAAGCTCCGGCGAAAGCAAGCAACTGACAGTAGCCCGAGCGCGAATTCTTATGCTTTCGTGTATTCTCCTTTGTTGGCATTGTTCATGCAAGTTTCATCGTGCTTTAGTTCCGTGACATTGGCCTGAGGTGTCATCGAACCAGAATACTTGAGAAGCACATATCGTCAGTAGCCCAAGACGCGACTTAACATCAGCCACAGGTACATCGCAATAGCTCCTCTAGCCATCATCTAATCGATACCGCGTAGTACCTCACCATCCATCGTGCTTCGGATCAATGAACTCGCCCCTGGACGCTGCCTAACATATGCAGTCAGAAGAAGCTTCCACCGCCGATAACCCGGCTTGTAGCCCGATATCAACCACAGGCACATACACAAGACCTCCTCGAGCTTGCTCCGCCGTCGGTGCCATCGAGAAAAACTCAGAATTGCCTCTCATCAACTATCTTGCTCCGATGCCACCATACTCATGCGATTGCAAAGACATCTCATCGTCAGTCACCTGAGGTCATACAACTCCAGGTCAGGCACATATAATTGTCAAAGATAGAACATCCTCCCTGAGACGTCTCAGGTCAAAAACAGTGCTGTAAAAAGGCAGAGTATTTTTGAGATATCTTGAAATGCCCACTGAGAGATTGGACATACCACACTCTCCTCGACATGGTCTCAGATTCTGAAAAACACTTTGCCTTTTTACAGCTAGGAAAGCGATGATAGCTAGAGGCTGGAGGAAACAGCATTTGCTACTTTTGGCCTGGGGCAGTAGTGCTCTCCTGGACATTGTCTCAGATGTAAAAAATGATTATTCCTTGTTACAGCTACAAAGAAGAGGAAGTGCAGGAGATGGGAGCTTTGATACAATTACTATCTAAAGATATAGACAGCACCAGAGCGGTCGGCAGAAATGATCATGCCGAAAGGATATTCCAGTAATGCAACAGCAGTAACGGTATCCTTGTGACCCTTGAGCAACTGATTTGCTGACTTACGAATGACTTCATATCTCGCAACCTTGCCTTCTCTGTTCTCCTTTTTCTTCTTTGCACTGCCTCTTTCACTGTCTGCGTCGTTTGATACGGGTGACATTGTGCCTGTGCGTCCAGAAGCTGGGCTGGATGAAAGTCTTTCTTTCTCAGAGACACTGTCGCTGAGACTTTGCTCTGTGTAGGCAGATATGTCATTGCCGAATTTCGTAGCCGTATATGTGGCGTTGTCATCTTTGTCGTTCACAATCATGGATGAGGCAATACGATCAGTGTCCCAGAAGCGAATCTTCCAATCAGGGCCAGTGGTGACAAGGAAGGGATGTCTTGGCTCTGAAGTGTCAGGTGACGTGTGCATTGACATGACGAATGCTTTGACAATACCAGCACCTCCACCCGATCCTCTTCCTGATCTGTCCTTACCATTATCAGAAGGGCGAGCGCTGAGATGCGGGTCTGTTGCTAGAGACCCAAGGATGCGAGATGGTATGATGCCAGACTTGTCTTCGTCAACGTTGAGAAGTTCAAAGTCTCTTGCTTTTAGCCCGCCAATGCCATCGGTCTGATCGACGTTGTACACTTCGATGCAAACTAATTTTTCGAGGTCCCAGACTGACACGTGACCTGGAGACGTGAGACCAGCGACGCAGATTTTGACTCGCTTACTATCCTTCCTGCTTGGATGTAGAGTGAGGCGAGTTATTGGTGATGGTCGCGGTACTGTCCAACCACGTAACCTGAGGCGGAAGCGAAGATCCCAGATGTCGAGAACGCCGTGAGAGGTACCGATCAGAAGCCACTGCCATTTTCTGGAGATGCAGAAAGTGGTCGGCGTGCCATGTTGTATCGGGTTGAGCAGCTCATATGTCACCTCCATGGTGTAGACATCGATGAACAGAATGCGAGAGAGATTCGTGACGAGCACACAGACGGACTGGCCATCAGTCTTTGCGTGCTCAACGCCAATTGCATACTCCTTTTGTCCAGGCTTGGTGGGTATCATCCAACTACGCAGCACCTGGAGCTTGCCATAACGCAGAGAGCCATTGGTCTCAGTCACGTCCACCCTGACAATGTCAACACTGCCATCGGAAGCAGTTGAAATTAAACTATGTGTAGACTCTACGAAGCAGAGACTGGTGATACGTGCTCCAGAAGCATGTCTATGAGCTTGACGCGACCTATACGCCATGTTGCGTTCAAACCGACTAGTGTCCCAGACTCGCACTGAGCCATCATCAGATCCAGTAAGGAAGAAGACCTGGTCTGGGGAGACTGCGATGCAATTGACTTGTGCTTCGTGCTCTTCAAGGACAGCAGTCAGTTGCCCCTCTGGTTTCCAGTAACCTTGTGCCTGTTGGTTGAGAGCGTTCTTTGTAGCCATACGAGCACGAGGACGTGTAGAGACTCTCGGCCCAAACTCACGATCACTGCCTGGATGATTGCTAGTGTAAACTGAGTCAAGCAGCTTGAGGACAGTCGGATCACCGCCATGGTAGGAGTGAGTCGCGGAGATCTTCGGCCGCGACGGTCGTGGTGTGACTTGACCAGAGGGCGATGGTGTAATAGAAGCTTGGTTTGCAGGAACATCAAGTTTGCCGACAGCGTTGATTGACTCGGTCCCTGTCTCTGCGTACGCCTTTGTCTGTTCAGTGCGTTTCATAAGGTTCATCGCGCTAGACTTTGAGTGAAGCATATGATTGTGCCCACTCCTTGCGGACACAGTGGATGCGGGAGAGCTCGAAAGATATGTAGGAGCATCAATGTTTGCCATCTGCTTCCGATGATTGGGAGCCGAGGCCTTGATCGGTGTGGCTTGGGCACGGGTCACATCTGAGGTCCCAGTTGGGGCAGACGTCTGCTGCGCCGAGGACGGATATGGCTTACCCCTCGCTGGGTTGAACAGATTCTTGGCATCGCGGTCTTCGGGTGTGGCAGCATCGCGTAGCGCTTCCTCGAGTGAAGTCTTCACACTTGGTTGTGCCAGATCAGGCTGAGGCTGATATGGCTGATACGACGCTGTGTCCGCCTCGAAGAAGACATTCTGAAGCGGTACTTGTATCGCGCTGAGCGAAACTATGTGGTTGAGTCGTTGATCACTTTGATTGCTGGTCTCTTTGTCAGAACGCATAGTTGTGCGCCAGATATAATCCCTTAGCGCAAGGAGTTTGGGCTCGTCTTCAGTGCGCATGCCAGCCACACGAAGTTTTGAGAGCCATTGTTCGTCATCATCATTCTTCATCGCTTTGCTCAACACTCGAGAATCGCTGTCACGATAGAAGTCGGTCAGAGCTTTGTTACTGCCTGCTTCAAAAGAGAAGCTCTTTACTTGCTGTGCGTGTTTCCAGAAGACGCTCTTGTCTGCCTTCTCTGCCCAATTCTTCGCTAAATCATAGGCTGGTCGAGGAAATGGCTTTTGGAGAGCATCAAGAAGTTCGAACTCGGAAAGGCCGGCTGACTGCAATTTCAAGACAGGCTTGAGTAGCGGCATGACCATACTCCAGACATCCGCATCGGATAGGTGAGTTGAGGAAGCCTCAATAAACTGCACAGCTGCTTCACGAATCCATACATTTGGATGTAGCGTGAATCGTGAAACAATGAGGACCAACTCCACTGTTGTCCATCGTTGAAACAGTCCAAGATGTGCCATGCTTGATAGCGATCTGATCACTTGCTCGGTGACAGTCTCTTCCGGATCAGTCAACGCCTGAACCATGAGCGGAAGAATGAAGTCTTCCAAGCTAGGTCCGCCAATGAAGGCAGCGACACCTACTATCGTCTCAAAGAAGGCACACTTCAGTGTCCAGTCTTCTTCGTTCAGGTATGTGTTCAGATGCGTGAGGATCAAATCGCTGGCAATGCTCTCACCAAAGAAGACGCACAGGCTGGTCACGGATCCTAAAAAAGCTCTCTTCACTGAAGGATCGTCGTCTTGCAGGAACAATTTAGTCTGTGCTTCAAAATGTTGGATCAAATCTTCTCGAGTGGTGTCGTAGGTGTTCTGGTAGGCGGCATATGAAGTGATATCATCTTCGGCTTCCGGGTCGGTCGACGGCAAGGATCCATCTGCACGCAATGCTTGCATCATATCCAAAAATCTAGCAGCAGTAGTGGCCAGATTCGCAAGACAGGTTGCATATGTCGCTCTCAGGGGTCCCGACTTGCGAAACATGGGACTTGCGACAAACTTCTGTAGACGTGGCAGCAGATAGTTTGGGAAGATGAAGACGTTCATGGGTGACAACACAGTGACAATCGTGAGAAGCTGCGTGATGGTCCGCAAGGCCGCCATTCGCACATTCTCCGACTCGTCCTCAAGAAGAGCAATAGCGAAAGGCAAGACACGATCCAGCTTCGCTTCATCAGTCAATCTTTCGCCCAGTGCGAGAAGCAGTTCACAGCCTCTAATCTTGGAGCTCGCTCGAGCAGTAGTGCGCAAGGCAGAGATGACCACATTGAGAAAAAGAAGAGCGCCATTGTCTTGGACACTTCCAGCTCGGTCTGCTGCATCATGCCTGTTGTTTGGTAGATCGACCTGGAGTGGGAACAAATCTAGACCTGATGTGATTGGTGCCCGAGTCGACTGTGGGAGATTTTCAACCTCAGAGAATCCGAGGAAATACGAGATCTTATCAAAGTCGGTATTGATACGCTCAATGCGATCATCCGAGCCTCCCGTGTTCTTTGCTCCTACAACCACTGGCTTTCTTCCTGAAGTCGGATCTGTTATCAGATGCATGTACTGGTGCAAGAAGGTGTAGAAGTAGTCTGGGAAGCATTTTCCTCGCCAGAATTGTAGGTAGTCTTCGGCACTGTAGCGTTTCGAAGGATCAAGCTGAATCATGTGGGCTACCATTTCTCGAATGTTCTCATCCTTGATGTTGTTCAAAGTAGTATGTGTTGGGTCATACTCCCCTCTGCGATACTTGAACAATTGACTGAGCGTGAAGGTAGGCTTTTCGGTGAAAAGTTCAGCTATGACACATCCAACACTGAATATGTCCATAGGCCAATTGACCTCGTGCCATTGCTTCCTAGACTTCCTCTCAAACTCATCGTCTTGTGGATTCGGTTCGTGCTCTCTTAGATCTTCATCTTTGACGAACCGCTCTGGCGCAACATAACAGATACGGCGGCCTGTGGTGTCGAAAAAGATAGAAAACGTAGCTGGATTGTTTTCGGGTAGTCGTCCCGGCTTGAAAGCAGTGGAAAAGTCGGTCAGGTACAGCCAGTTCCAGGTCGTTACAAGCATGTTCTCAGCCTTGATGTCTCCATGGCAGATGTTCTTTGCATGAGACTCCTTGACGGCACAAAGAAGTTGATATGCAATCCATTTCCTTTCGATGTCCTCGAGTGATGGGTTAGTGCTGATCCTGTCATAGAGGGAGCTGTGGATGTATTGCCGGACGAGGTAGCCATTTGTTGCGGTCTCGATAACTCTGTGATACGGCAGAGCGTTCGGTACATCCGTCAGCTCTCTCCTCTGCATAAACAACTTCTTCGAGTAGTCTTCGAGCTTTAGATTGGGATAAGGCTTTATGAAGACTTTGGCAATGACGAGTCCATCCTTGTGTCTTGCCCGAATCGTCTTCATGAATCGCACAGCACCAAGACTTCGTTCAACATCGAGATCAGCGAGTTCAGGAACATCGATACCGGCAGAGCCAGCAGAGACGTTAATCGAGTATCCTTGACCCATGATGGTTGTTGTCTACGCGCATGTTTCGCGTATTCGAGTCCTTTTAGTATCCAGGATTAAGTGACTAGACGAGCCACGGATCAGGTCGACGAGCAACAGTGAGAAAGATTTCGTGTCTCACAATAATTCATGGTCAACGTATTGTGTGATTACTAACTTCAATACTGGTTCAGGTGGTCGGGTTGTCACATGGGGTTGGAAGGCACAAAACAAACAGAGCAAACATCCCACATTCGAGCCAAGCGTTCACTTGCGGGCCGTCGCCAGGCACACCTGCACGAAATCGCGAAATGCATCTGATCGACATGTTTCGAGAGAACCTTTTTGGTATAAAGACACGTTTCCTGTGTAGGAAAGAGCCGGTCGTCTAGACAAAAGCATCGTCCAGTTTAATCGTGTACCTGCCGGTCGTGTTGTCACGGGTAAAGGGAAGAACAAATGCTTTGAAGTATTATTTCATTGATTCGTGACCATCAGGTATTCCTACGCTGATTCGTATATATGCATTAAAGCATCGCAAATCCTCTCATATCAAATGAGTTTGCGTCTGGGTCGAAATGTTTTTGTGAACAAGAAAGGGAATCATCGCTGGCGGTAGAGGATAATGCTGCCAGAAGACGAAGCATTTAGTTGGAAGGACCGAAAGAGCCCTTCTTCTTGAGCTCGGCCTCTTCCTCCTCCTTGATCTGCTGGTCGATCTTGGCGCCCTTGCTGGGCTCGTTGCCGTGAGATCTAGCCTGTATGGTATGTCAGTATATCGTCGCATAGTGGTGAAGCAGTAGCGAGTAGTCAACGTACGGGAAGGGTAGCATCCTGCTTGATCTGCTGGGTCTGGAGAGACTCCTCGTCGCCCTCCTTCTCGCGCTTCTCCTCACGCTCAAGCTTGTTGGCAATGGTGCGCTCGTCCTCTGAATGATGGTCAGTGAACTCGTTCGAGCTGAATTGATGTTGGACTTGATCTTACTGGGGTCGTTGGCCTTGTGAGAGTGCTCCTTGCCCTCGTGGAATCGGGCCTCCTTCTTCTGCTCCTCGAGCTCAGAGTCCTTGTAGGTTCTCTGGTCTGCGGCCTCGTAGACAGCAGAGTTACCGACGTTGGAAGTTCCAGACATTGTGATGTGGTTTGGGGGTTGTGTGGGGTGGGTTTGGAGTGGTATTGATGGAGTTGTGAGTTGTAGAAGATGTGTTGATGGAGGGAAAGAAACGTGAGTGTTTTGTAGAGGTTGATATTTGAGTGAGGAGCTCCTGCCACAACGTCATCGTACCTGGCCTCTTCGATGACGTATTGGTAAATTCTCTCCTCCAAAAACTGGCAGCAACCCCCCACAGTTGGAGCTTTGGGCAGCTGCAAAATCCACTTGCTTGACACACACGCGATCGAAACTCGGGAAACCGTCTATTTGTTGAGCAGCACTCCGTCATGGGAGGCCTGTGATTGAATTTCTCTGAGTTTCTCTACCTTATGACGAGACCCTTGAGTGTCATTGGGAATATCCATCTAAACGCCGCCAGCTTTCTTTCATGCATGCATTTCGGTTCCAGTAAATCATCAGTAAAAACGCCATAGAAGAAGCCCATTTCCCCCGCCCGATGTACAGAATTCTAGTTATAATCGCGCGCTTCGCTTTCCCCCGATTGCTTCGGCCCTACTCCATCTCGATCGTGCCTGGTGGCTTGCTGGTCACTGTTTGGCCGTTAGCAAATTATGTCCAGAAAGTTCTGTAGATGTTGGTTGTTGTGGTGACTTACCCTCGTACAGCACACGACACACACCGTCAACCTCGTTGACAATACGGGTGCTGACCTTGCTCAAAAACTTGGTGGGGAAGTCGAAAACATCGGCGGTCATGAAGTCGGTGGTCTCGACGGCTCTCAGAGCGATAACTTGAGCGTGAACTCTCTTGTCGCCCATTACACCGACAGCCTTGACAGGCAGAAGAGCAGCGTAAGCTTGACTAATCTGCTTGTAGTAGCCAGCCTTCTTGATCTCGTCAATGAAGATGAAATCAGCCTGCTGAGCAATGCGGACTTGGTCGCGAGTTACTTCTCCGATGATACGGATAGCGAGACCCGGGCCAGGGAAGGGGTGTCTCCAGACAAGATCCTCCGGAATTCCGAGCTGGGTACCAAGAGCGCGAACCTCGTCCTTGAAGAGCTCTCTGAGAGGCTCGATAAGCTTCAGGTGCATGCCTTCGAGGAGACCACCAACATTGTGGTGAGTCTTGATGGTGGCACTGGGGCCCTTGAAGGAGATACTCTCGATAACATCAGGGTAGAGAGTACCCTGGAGGAGCCACTCAATCTCGCCCTCGTTCGCAGAGCCCTTAGCAGCAGCTGCGATCTCCTTTGCCTTCTCCTGGAAAATCTCGATGAAGGTGTTTCCGATAATCTTGCGCTTCTTCTCGGGGTCATCCTTGACACCTGCGAGCAGGTCGAGGAAGCGGTCGCTAGCGTCAATGACAGTAAGGTTGATGCCGAGTCCAGCGGTAAGAGTCTCCTTGACTTGCTTGGCCTCGTTGAGGCGCAAAACACCGTTGTCGACCATGATGGCGTGGAAGCGGTCGCCGATAGCCTCGTGCATGAGCTTGGCAGCAACAGTGGAATCAACACCACCACTGACGGCACCAATGACTTGTCCCTTAGGGCCAACGAGGGCTCTAATTCTGTCAATCTCCTTGCCGACGAAAGCGTCCATAGTCCAATCTTGCTTAGCACCGCAAATGCTGACGGCGAAATTCTTGATGAGCGGCGTGCCCTTCTTGGTGTGGGTAACCTCGGGGTGGAATTGAATACCGAACCACTCCTTCTCCTCGTGGGCAATACCGGCGAAAGGTGCGTTCTCGGAGGTAGCGACAGTGACGAAGCCTGCGGGGCGCTGGGACAACTTGTCACCGTGGGACATCCAGACATCCATATCCTCCTCGAGACCAGAGAACAGAGCGTCAACGTGGGCGGTCTTGCCAGAGTGCTTCTGGACGTTCAGGATGGCGTGTCCGTACTCGCGCTTCTCGCCAGCAACAACGTTCTTTTGGTCGCTGTGCCATGCGATCTCCTGGAGACCGTAGCAGATACCGAGAATTGGGACACCCATCTCAAAGACGGCGGGGTCAACGTGGGGTGCGTCATCCCAGTAAACAGAGTAAGGGCCACCGGAAAGGATAATACCCTTTGGCTTGAAGGAGAGCTCTGAGATCTTTTGGGTGCAAGGGAGCATCTCAGAGTAGATGCTCAGCTCGCGCAAACGACGGGTGATCAAGTGGGTGTATTGCGATCCAAAGTCGAGCACCAAGATGGTGTCGAAGATGGTGTGGGGCGGAGGAGGGACATTGGTGGTTGAGTCGGCCATTGTGAATATAGTGTGTCTTGGATGCAACGGACTGCGCTACAAGACAAGTGAAAGAAGGTGGTAGGTGTATGACTGACACCGGAAATCAATAATTTTTCTCCTCGACAGGAAACGCAGCGGATCAAGGGTCCGACCTCGAAGGCCTGAAAAGCTTTACCCAATCAGGCATGGTGCCTTCTTGGCTTTCGTTATCGAGCCCTTATCGCGAGCTGTATCCTCGGTTTGAGCATTTCGATGTCCGGCATCTATTTATTTTCTATCCTCAACTCACAACTGTTATCTATCTCTAGAACACAGTTCTGAAAGTATTGCGTGATACTCAGAGTCCCTGCTTCAGCCAGTCAACGACAGTCTTACCAAACTTGTCAGCATTGGCGTGTAGACCCCAGTGACCGCCCTCCAGTTTGACGTTAGTTAGCTTTGGCAAAAGACCATTCTTCATGGCCATGGCAATCGCCTCCGGGCGGCAGACCTTGTCGTTGTCAAAGCCGACATATAATGAAGGCACTTCAACGATGATGGCCTTGACCTTCTTAGCCTCAAAGTTTTGGTGGCCACCAACCATAGCCTTGTACCAACATGTTGGTCCAGCAAAACCGTCACGCTTGAAGCGGGTGATGAAGGCATTCTTCATTTCCTCAGTGGCGTAGGGTTCGGTTTCTTGCTTCTTTTCCGCGATCAGGAAGTCCTTCAGACCATCGTACTTGCAGACAGTGTCGAGCCAGCTCTCCGGAGGACCGTGGAGAGCGGTAAAACAGCTTTCGAGATGCTCGTCCAGGAGCTTGTAGCCATCCTCGCTGGAGAGAAGGTACCAGTAAGGAAGAGTAGCATAGCCGAAGATCTTCTTGGTCATCTCATTGGCTGCGTCCAGGCTGAAAGGCTGGTCGCTAGGAGCGGTGTATGCGACATTGACCATGACCAGTCCCAAAACACGATCGGGATAGTAGTTGTAGAATCTCTGAGCAAAGGCACATCCCCAGTCGTGGCCTAGAGAGACAACCTTCTGCAGCTTCTCATTGTCAAGGATTTCGGTAAGATCCTTGGTCATGTGTTCAAAGGCGTACATGGCAGGATCGAGAGGCTTGGAGGTGCCAGCATAACCCAGGCAGTCTACAGCAATGACACCGTAGCCAGCAGGGATGAGGTGGGTAGTTGCTAGGTCTGCCCACTCAGCGGCCTCGTCGGGAAAGCCATGGATACACAGCACAGTGGGGTTTTCCGGCTGTGCTGGTGGATGATGGAAGTAGGTGTACGTCAGGGAGCGCGAGACTTCGAAAGTCTTCTTAGTCAAAGAGTCCATGGTCGATGGTTGTGTCGTATGGAGCGGGATGTGTAGTAGCTAGGGGAAAGGTAGAAGGGGAGGCGCAAGACAAGACATGAATAGAAGATGTTTATATGGCATTAGGTTGACCAATTGCCAAGTCAATTCGCTTATGGCTACAAGAGTGGAACAGTCTGAGCTCATGATCGGCTAATATTTCTCTGGAGTGTTGAAGTCTGGTGAGGCCTCGGAGGTCAAGATGAAGCCGTCTTCGGATGAGTTGCCGCATAAAGACATGCCAAACGACAATCACATGCAAGGTTGCGGGGTCTTGGCATGCATCTCGAAAAGTTGATGCACCTTGATCAGCACTTTTTAGTTTCATCACATGCACCGTACCACATAACACCACACGAAATGCCCAAGAGGAAGACTACGTCCGAAGACGCGCCTGTCAAGGACCACAAGATGCGCGACGATGACGAGTCAAGCAGCGATGTACGCTTTCCACGTGCAAGACCAGTTGCTCTGCGACAAGCGAGACTAATACGAAGGCCGTCAGGACGAAGACATGATTGACGTCGATTTCGAATGGTTCGACCCCCAACCCGCCGTCGATTTCCACGGCCTCAAAACACTCCTCCGCCAGCTTCTCGATGTCGACAACGAACTCTTCAACCTCTCGGCCCTCGCAGACCTCATCCTCGAACAACCCATGCTCGGCAGCACTGTAAAAGTCGACGGCAACGAGAGTGACCCCTACGCATTCCTCACAATCCTGAACCTCGCCCAACACAAGGACAAGCCCATCATCCAAGAGCTCACGACTTACCTCTCCCGCAAAGCCGCAACCGTGCCTAGCTTATCCTCACTACCGTCCCTTCTCGCCGCAGACTCGAAGGCAGAAGTCGGTCTGATTCTTACCGAACGCTTCATCAACATGCCCTCGGAAATCGTCACACCAATGTACACCATGCTGCAAGAAGAGATTCAATGGGCCATTGACGAAAAGGAGCCTTACAACTTCACCCACTACCTCATCCTGTCAAAAACCTACACCGAGGTAGAGTCAAAACTGGATGCTCAAGAGAACAGACCGCAAAAGAAGGGCAAGAAGCAAGAGGATACCATGACTTTCTACTTCCACCCCGAGGACGAGGCATTGCACAGATATGGTGTGGGTCACGGTAACTTTGACCATGACAAGGTTGCAGAGGACGGTGCTAGTGATGCAAAGAGAGCTTTCCAGGAGGCGGGTATTAGACCACAGGGACATCTCATCCTCATCGAGGCTGCAAAGTTCAACGATGCCATCAAGGGTGTCGGCGAGTACTTGTCTGGCAACTAGAAAGAGGAGAAGAATATCACACGAATGAATCTCCTAGTCCACCATTCTTTGATGGCCCGGCTGCCAAATCGTACATCATGAGCTACACCTGACCAATGTAGGTCTCTCTAGGTGCACATCAGTATACATGTCCATCCATAGCTCGCTCTAGTTCACCAGGTCAAATTTCAACATCTCTCGAACTACGTCATATTCTTGCTGTAGAGCGTCACCCTGCTCCTATCATCAACATCAAAAATCACCTCTAAGCTCCAGGCCAATGGTCATTCACCCCGTACGAAGATCTTGTGTGCACCTACCTAGCTTGTCACTACTTACCCTGCTTCGATCGCGCACTTTTTGTTCCCAGCCTGTTGTACAGCACGTCAACTTCGAGCCGCGGAGCTATCTAGTCACTTTCCAAAACTCGAGTTCCAGAATATGAAAATTCAACACTGACGACGACAGGGTTGATCAATCACGCCGACATTCATTTTCTGTCCTTCAAAGACACTCATAAGAATGGTCTCTCTCGAAAGATACTCGACACAAGAAAACTGTGTTGTTGATAGAGAAACTCGTGATTATCGCTCGCGAGCACTGGGTATAGGGTGTCACCCTGACTTTACCTCGAGATACCACGAAGCTCATTTCTCAACCACCATCATGCCAGAAGTGGTACTCAAAGGTCATGAAGTCGACGTAAGAGGTAGGATAGATCGTTAAAAGAATTTGGAATCATATTTCTGCATATATTCGAACTTTGTTTTATTCTCGGTCTCTGGGTATGATCTCAACCACACCACGTCAGGGACGCAATGTCGCAGGATTCTCTGGCACAAACGCACATAAGCAGTGAAATAAACAATAAGAAGTTTAATGAGCACGTATATGCAAATGTTTAAAGTTATTTTTGGATTATTTTCCCATTTTCTGTCGTCTTGATATTTGTGTTTTCTTTTGGCTTGACTTGCTGTGGTGCAGAAACAACGCTTCGCAGTAATGACGCTTCAGCTATTCTCATTAAATGGCTTCTCTGTTTCAATCATGCAAAAATGCCCCATTGGACCCAATTCGTATCTGTCTTCGTGGATGAAATGCTCATCGGACAAGGACAGAAGGAAATGCGGAAGAGTGATGAAACCGTATTCCCCAGTACAGATTTTGTTCTCTCGCGTTCTCTTGTCTCATCTTGAGCAGATGTATTGGGTTTAACCCAGCAACTCGACGTCCAAGCCGATGGCTCTCATGAAAAGGTTGACCTCACCCAACTTTCTCGCAGCCATGTCTTGAGGCAATTGCTTGCTGATCTCAACAGTAGCCATGACTCTGTCTTTGACTCCCAGAACAAGACGTTGTTGCTGCTCAGGGTTGGCACTGACACCCATAGTAGCCAGGAACTGCCAAATCTCAAAGTCGTTGCTGGTGTTGACGTTCTCGGTGGTAAAAATGTAGGGAAGAACTGGCTCGGCAAGGTCGAAGAGGCGGTTATAGAGCTGGGTCCATTGTGCCCAGTCTTCGTCCGATACTTGTGCGTTTGCTTGTTGCTTGACAAGGAAGGCGCGAGATACGAGCATGGTGAGCATGGCGACACCGACCTTGGTGCGGACGATGGCTTGTACGTTCACACGGTCGAGGACGAGGCCAACCAGGCCGGATATGATGTTGAGAGGAGCATCGCCAATGTAGGCGAGCAGGGTAGGGATGACGGCCTGGCTGAAGAGCTCGACCTCATCGCGAACAGCGCGAGGTAGTTGAGGCTCGTCAGGGTGAGGGTATGCCAAGCGGATGACGTCGAGAATGTCGAGATGGATGATGAGAATAGTCAAGATGGTCAAACGCTGTTGGTCGTCGATGTGACGGAACACGCGGGGAATAGCCTTCTTTCCCTTGGCGTGAGACAGAATAGCGATGAATGGATGAGGACTCGAAGGATTTTGCTGGATAGGCTCCATGACTCGCAGGTTGAACCAAAGCTTCTGGTTAAGCTCGTGAGCTCTCTGTCTCCACTCGATGTGGCGCTGGATAGCATCGGGGTGGCTCTCCTCGTTCGGTGGCGGGGGCAGGTGACGCTCGTGGTCCTCCATCTGCATCAGGGTCTCGTAGACATTCTCGATGTTGCGAAGGGTGGACTTGCGGTCTGCAACGCTAGGCTTGAGGACCCTTTGATTGTGGGGTCTGCTCTCGCTATCGGCCCGCTTGAAGCTCAACAGAGGTCGGGGGGTCTTGGAGTTGCTGAAAGCAATTTTACCCAGACTACCTTCAACGATCAACTGTCTGTTCTTCGGTCTAGCTTTGGCAGCCTCGACGGCACGCTGGACCTGCTGCTCCATTCTCTGCATATGGTTGTCACCACCACGAGGATGTCTGCGGCCTGCGCCGTAGCGACCACCAGTCTGGAAGAGGTATGTCTGAGCGAACTGGTTCAGGGGCTGACCAGGGTGCTGTCTTGGAGCACCGCGGATCTGAGCGTAAACCTGGTAGTAGAAATCCTCGGCGAGCTGGGCATCCGAAGACTGCTCGTCAACTCCGCCAGTGGCGGTCAGGAGCTGTTGCAGTTGGATGCGAGTGATGAAGTTTTTGTCTTGAGGAGTCATGAGACCGTTGTCCTTGGACAGCAAGAAGATCTTGTGGTTGCGCTTGGCACGTTTGGCCTCTTCAGCCAGGAAATGAGCGCGCTGTTCGTCGGACAATTGCATCATCTGGTTGGCTTGAGTGATGGGAGGACCTGAGTATGAGCCGCGGTGGCCATGGCCTGACTCGCCGGGTGGGGGACCGGAGGGAGGGCCAGTGGGAGGCATCTGCTGTTGAAGTTGCTGAGCGATCAGACCAGGGTTCTGCATGCCCGGAGGAGGCTGGACAGGCATGTGAGAAGCCTGAGGGAAGGGAGAGGACATCTGAGGCTCTCTCGAAGGCTGTCGCGGAGTGTGTTGCTGCATCTGCTGAACACCAGGGAAGCTTCCAGGAGCAGGGAATGGCTGTTCCTGGATGGGAGTGTGGTGCTGAGGTATGTTCATGGCGCCAGAGAGGGGTCTCGACTGGGCGCGCATTGAAGCCTCGACCTCCTCGAGGCTCATCATCTTTCTGCTAGAGGGAGTCGAAGGCTTGAACTGAGCTTCTTGCTGCTGCTGCTGCTGCTGCTGGCCAGGCTTCTTGGAAGGCAGACCCCAGATGCTGGCGTTGGCTTCGAGCTGAGGGATGTACTCGGGCTTGGAGTAGTTTTCGTAGCCAGAGCGCGAGGGCTTGGGCTGCTGCTGCTGTTGCTGTTGGAAGCGCTGCTGGTTCGGGGCGGGCTGGCGAGCAAAGTGCAGAGCTTGTTCCTCCTCGAGGGTGCCGGCAACCTGGTTGGTGGTGCCGAAGAAGTCAAAGTCCTTGCCTACACGGCCACCATCACCGAAAGTGTCGTCGTTGAAGGCATCGCCAGCCTCATCAAGTTTATCGGCCAAGGCATCGTAGGAGTCGTCAAAGTTGAGGCTGTGGCGGGTTCAGTCATGCTTTTGAGCCAACACATCGTCGTGAATCGACTCACACATCGCCCTGCTCGGCAGAATTGTCGCGATTGGCAAAGGCAAAGGCATCCTGCTGACCAGCAAAGAAGCCGCGACCAGCGTCTCTGTCTTGCTTGTCGCGCGGGAGGTTGGTATCGAAGCCGAAGAATGACATGGCGGATGATGAGAGGAAGAGAAAGCGCTAGGGAGAACGGACGGCGTGCAGTCGACCGGAGACTGCGAGGCTCGTCACTTGTCGAGTCAATCGATCGAGACTCTGACACAAGCAATGAGGGTGATGCGCGGGGTATGCGCTCGTAAACAATATATGCGGCGGTAGGTATCGAGCAGCAATGATGCGGCGGCGGGCCAGCTTGACTCTCTCTCAGCGACGACGATGAAATGATGACATAGCCGAAGAACTTCCGCTGGCACCTTCTCACACTTATGCCAAGACCTGCTCTCGAGCAGCACCTGGCTGGCTTCACTTGGAGGGGGACCCCGTGCTTTCCAGCTCCTGCAGGCTGCTGCAAGCACTTTGGCTGCGGGTAAGCCAAGCCCTATAAGGAGGTACTGTACCAAGTCACGAGAATAATTATCCCAGCTCGAAGCCAAACAATCTCCCTCCGAGTGGCTTGCTTGGGACAGATGGTTACGGGCCAAGGATGTGGGATACGACTTTGTTGAACCGTTGTTCCCTTGTTGCGTACGCAGGGAGAGCAAATTCGTGAGAAAAGCTCTAGCCACATCTGCAGGCCGAACGCGCGGTGCTCGTCCACCCCCTTTCTCCTCTACAAGCTACAAGATCGATAAGAGTAGACACCTTTTGATCTAGAATATAAATTGCGTACATCTCCCATGTGCATCGGGACGATCGCTTCCTCTTCTTCTCTATCTCGCCCTTGTTTCTTCCTTCTCGCCGTTCATTATATGGGACGTTAGGGATTTGTCTTGGTTCCGTAGCCACTCCTTTGACTACTTTGGCTTTTCTCCACCAAACCCTTCTCCACAAATAGCTCAGCGATCGGATTGCTGCTATTCTGGCCCTAGTGGCATTTTACGACGACTCTTTCTCTTCAACCTTCTCAACTGACCTGACCGACTCTCCATCGCAACAATGGCGGCCAGGTATTTGCGATATATTGTATTCGCCGTCGTCGCTCTCGTCGTGCTCTTCTTCATCTCCAGCTCTTCATCAGTCCCCGGACGCGAATATGCCGAAAGTGCCAAAGACTTGATTAAGGACTCGAGCTCAAGATGGCGTGGCTCGCAAGAGGCCCACAGCGATGTCAAGGAGTCTCATCCTGACCAAGCCACCACCCCCAACACCCACGCTGGCCTCCCTCCAGCAACAAACCCCGGCCCTCGCATGAACGCCACCTTTGTTACCCTTGCCCGCAACTCTGACGTTTGGGAGATTGCTCGCTCCATCCGTCAGGTCGAGGATCGCTTCAACAAGAAGTTCAACTACGACTGGGTCTTCCTCAATGACCAGCCTTTCGACGATCAATTCAAGAAGGTCACTTCGGCCCTTACTTCTGGAAACACAAAGTATGGCGAGATCCCCAAGGAGCACTGGTCTTTCCCCGAGTGGATTGACCAGGACAAGGCTGCCAAGGTGCGTGCCGACATGGCCGCTAGAAAGATCATCTACGGAGACTCGATCAGTTACAGACACATGTGTCGCTACGAGTCTGGCTTCTTCTTCCGTCACCCTCTGATGCTCGAATACGAGTGGTACTGGCGCGTTGAGCCCAGCATTGAGCTCTTCTGCGACATTGACTACGACACCTTCAAGTTCATGGCCGACAACAAGAAGAAGTACAGTTTCACCCTTTCTCTGTACGAATACGTCGAGACTATTCCCACTCTCTGGGAGAGCACCAAGAAGTGGATGAAGAACCACCCTGAGCACGTTGTTGAGGGTAACTCGATGGGCTTCCTCTCTGACGACGGTGGTGACACCTACAACCACTGCCATTTCGTACGTAACTTTGCAAGCACGCAATCCAAACCCTTGTGCTAACTCGTGTCTAGTGGTCCAACTTCGAAATCGGAAACCTTGACTGGCTCCGCAGCCCTGCATACCTCGACTACTTTGAAGCTCTCGACAAAGATGGCGGTTTCTTCTACGAGCGCTGGGGAGACGCCCCTGTGCACTCAATCGCAGCTGGTCTGACGCTCAAGAAGGAGGAAATCCACTTCTTCAACGATATCGCCTACTACCACGTCCCCTTCACCCACTGCCCCACCGGTGAGCAGTACAGAATGGACCACAAGTGCCACTGCAACCCCAAGGACAACTTTGATTGGAACGGCTACTCATGTAAGACGCCGACATTCTTTTCGACACTGGAAACACAATTGCTGACATGATCTCACAGGTACTGCTCGTTACTACGAACTCAACAACATCGACAAGCCTGCAGGCTGGGAGCAAGAAAACAACTGACTCTCAAAGAGACGCCTGTCATGGCCCATAATCCTCCTCATCGTCCTTTCCGTCCTCGTCGGCTGCCTGATCCTTCTTCTCTCCATCCGCCCTATCCTGAACATGGTACACTCGATGCGCAACAAACGCGATCGCTACGCACCACTCGGACCCCACATGTCCGAGTCGAAACGAAGAGCCATGATCAAGAGCATCTATTAGGATCGAGGCATGGCGATTTCGCTTGACTCGTCCTTTTTCTTCATTTTCTACATTCATCTCTTCTCTTTCTTGGTTTGGCAGCACTGGGGATACAATGGGATTGTAGGAAATATAAAAGGCGGCTATGGCGTTTTTGACGAGTTGAGCCCCAATTCAAGCACAGTTGCTATTTGAGGCAGTATCAGAGAAAATAAAAAATACCCATCGAAAAGTAAAAAATGTTTCGTCATGCTGTGATTGTGGCCGGGCATTCAAGGACCACCAGCAGCATTTTGCTGGCATCATTGCCTTGAGGTAAGCATGTCTTGTTCGTAGCTCGTCATCGTGTAGCCGTGTCCGATGTCCCATTTGGTATCCCGTTACGCCGTGTGTCCGCCCAATAGACTTGGTTAGTCCATTGCATTTGCAGAATGTTCCTCTGGACCTCATCAATCCTTCGCCCATCCCGTTTTCACTTCTTGTCCACAACATTGAGGTGAAGACCGCCCTTGCAAGTGATATCCTCAATGGTCTTCTTCGTCTCAGCCCACGGCACCCTAAAGAGCCCCGAGTTGATCTTTGGCATCCAGAAAGCAATCGGCATCTCCTTGCCCCTTTTCTGCCAACCCTCCAATTGATCAACCATGTGCTCAACCGCATTCTCTGTGTTTTCGAGAATCTGATCTTTCTTGTCTTTACCTCTGCCGTATTTGCGACTGGTGAAGAGGCATCCTACCCAATGTTGTCTTCCTGTCTTTTGGGGTGGGATGATGAGACAGGTGCCGATGAGGTCTTTAGTATCGTTGTCGCGGCAGTGGGCGTAGTAGCGGGAATAGTGGTCCGGGTAATTTTTCTGGAAAGCATAGGCGATACCCTTGTTCCAACTACCCTGGCAGTTGCAGGCGTGGAGGAGGAGGGATTTGGGTGGAGCTGCGAACATGTCGCCCTTGTATTCTGAAATTGTGATTTTGGGGTCCTCTTCGTCGTCGGATTCTTCCTCGCTGGAGCTTTCCTCTTCTTCTTCTTCTTCTTCAGAGTCGCTCTCAGAATCATCGTTGTTGGATGGCTTGACTTTTTGCTTTGTGGCAGTTGACTTGTTGGTAGAGAGAGCTGGAGTTTCTGTCTTTGACTTTGAGTTTTTGCTCTTGTTGGTCAGATTGACTGGTTCATCCTCGTCGTCTCCACTGTCCACGCGCATGTTCCAGGGTCGCTTCCTGATCGCGGGGACTGGCTTCTTCGACTTCTTGGATGTGCTTTGCTTCTCGTCTTCACTGTCCTCTTCACCCTCATCTTCTTGTTCGTCACTGTCATCGCTGTCGTCGCTATCACTTGAGTCTTGTTGTAGTTGCTTTTTGGTCGTAGTGGTCTTCTTGGTTTTGGCGGGTCTGACGAAGGCAGTGTCATCGTCCTCGTCACTTGCGCATCTTTTGATGGTGCGTCTTATAGTATGCGGCTCATTAACCTCCGAGGTTGAGCTCTTTGGCTTAATTGTAAATTCCGACATTGTGGTTGAGGTGTTGTTTGTAGAAGAGGCTGAATCTTGAGAGACGTTGCCGTCACGACTTCCGTTTCTTACCATGTTGTACGATGTGACGTTGATGTCAAGTAGAGAGCGATCGAATGGCACGATTAAATAGAGGACGCAAGGTAAGGTAGTGATAGTCAAAAGGCTCTCTGCACGTGCGAAAGTTTGTCACCCGTAGCTGCTACAGGGCATGGTTTTTTCATGTTGTCCTGCCGTCCATCGGGAGCCGTCGCTTCACCGAGCCTTCGAGAAGAGCGCACAAGGTAGGAAATAAAACCGTGATCTTTGCAGTGCAACTATTCTTGAGGAGCGTGACCGCGGAGGATGGAAGACGTAGTGATAGTCGGGACTGCGGATGTGATTGGTTGAGCGTCACGTGGTTGCTGACCAGATTCTCAGCCCTACGAGTCTGGCAAGTCGCGAAGTGCAACGAATTGTTCCGACGACGACGTCTAGCCTCCTCAGTGCCAGCAACACGCGTCCAGCTCTCCGTCTCCTCTCACATCCCACAATGTCTCTCCTCTCCGTCTCGACGGCAGCCTCTGTGGCCCGCCAATGCGCCCGCCCCTCGGCCGTCCGCTCCTCTGTCGCCGCCCTCCAGCTTCGCAATGCCGGATCCAGCGCCACCACCGCCGAGAGCTACAGCAGCCCCTTCCGCGGCACCAGCAACCACCGTGACACCACCGCCATCCCCGACTTCAAGAAGTACCGCAGCACTGGCGGCGAGACCCAGAACAAGGTCTTCCAGTACTTCATGGTCGGCACTTTCGGTGCCGTGACCGCTCTCGGCGCAAAGGCCACCGTCCAGGGTATGCCTGCACCTTTCAATTCGACACCACCATCTCGCCGCATCCCTTCTAACAAGCACCGCAGACTTCCTCGTCAACATGTCGGCTTCCGCAGATGTCCTGGCTCAGGCCAAGGTTGAGCTGGATCTTGCCTCCATTCCCGAGGGCAAGAACGTCATCATCAAGTGGAGAGGAAAGCCCGTCTTCGTCAGACACCGTACCGCCGACGAGATCAAGGAGGCCGAGAACGCCAAGTGGGAGGCTTTCCGTGACCCCCAGCCCGACTCGGACAGAGTCAAGAAGCCTGAGTGGCTCGTCATGTTGGGTATCTTCTGAATCTGCCCTCAATCGACACCTTCTACACAGTACTGACATTAACATCAGGTGTCTGCACCCACTTGGGTTGTGTGCCCATTGGCGAGGCTGGTGACTTTGGCGGCTGGTTCTGCCCTTGCCACGGTTCACATTACGACATTTCTGGCCGTATCCGCAAGGGTCCCGCCCCCCTGAACCTCGAGGTTCCCGAGTACGACTTCCCCGAGGAGAACTCCATGGTTATCGGTTAGAGGATTACTTACCTCCGACCATTCGACTTTTTAATGCTGGGTAAAGAAAAAAGGACTTATAGACGAGAGAGCCAACCACACAAAAACAACAAAAACGACCATTTCAAACTTCCACCTTTCCCCTGTATCGCGGATGTTTTTTTAGAAAGCGATGGAGAGACTTTTGTTGTGTCGTGTGGATTTTGTCCTCTCAAACCCCTGCACCCATCTTCACCTACAACGCCTTCTCTCCCCCAACCTCGATCACCTCTGTCTCCTTTTTCTTTCATCTTTTTCATGTCTTCTGTTACTGTACATGTATTCCAGCCGCATCTGACTTTTAGAGCATTGTGTACAAAAGTCGCTTGCCATCTCATCTCCTTCTCCTTCTTTGACTTGCCAACGTGCATCCAACTTTTGACACTGGGCGAGCAGATGAACATATTACTAAACGGAAACTCACCTGTTGGCTGTCGCATTCGCTTTCGAAAAGTTTGCCGCGTGAGACAGTACGTGATCTGTCCAGCATTGTTGGTGGAGTCCCTCAGACAACAGTAGAGAAGCATCGGATTCTGTTGTCCTGTATATGTATGCATGAGCTCGGTCCTGCCGTTCACACCCTCTGGGTCGACGCTTCAAGTTCCCTTCTCTCCACCCTCAGATCCTGAGACGGATAACGAGTATACGATGTGCCATCCGAGCCTCCTGGATGCCCCTAGTCTTCAAAATTGTCGTGGTTCTAGCCGCGCACTTCATGAAGGTTGCACAGCAAGGACAAGAGTTTTGAAGAATCAGTCAAGTCCAGGATAAGAAGTAAAGGTATACATAAAGTCGGTCGGTTAACAACATCGGTCGATTGACATAGCTCCAGTTCTACGTAATAGATCACAAGCACGATCCCTCGATCGAACTCGTAGCATTCTTGACATAGTTACTCAACAACGATCCACCACAAACCAACCCTCTCACAAAGGCCTGAGCGACCAGATCAGCGCCCTTGGGTGCCGTATGCGTGTGATCATTCGGGAAGTAGCTGTTGACGGTAGAAACAGGCAAAGGCTTATAAGCAGCATAGCTGTAAGCGCTGTGATCGACGTAATCCACCTTTGCATTCGTAGCTGCCGTCTTCGCAAGGGCAACAAAGCGAGGAGGTGTACCGACAAAGACACCAGACTCGTCAGGGTTGTTGGGTGTTTGAGAAGAGATGATTACATGAGCGCCTTTGGCGACGTAGCTTTTTGCTGCTTGCTCGAGGTAGTAGGGGAAGGTATGGACGGTCTCGGTGACGCCGCTAAAAGTGCCATGTCAGAGATGTATCTAGCAAGGGTATATGACAGACTTACTTGTAGGTATATTGGCATGTCTCGGTACCGCTGCCAGGACAATCTGATCTCCCATTGTCAGGGCTACTGCTGCCATCGTTGTGGCCGAATTCGATGACGACAAAGTCGCCTTTGGTGAGGAGCTTTCCGATGTCATCGAAGCGTCCTTCGCGGGTAAAGCTGCGAGCAGAGCGTCCAGCAAAGGCCTTGTTTACGACTGGTATTTTCATGGAGTAGTGCAGATATTGACCCCATCCTGTTGGAAGTGTGTATCAGTTTTGTGATCTTCGTTGTGATCATGTCCCTAGCATATGATCCGGTGAAATCTTACCTTCAGTGCCTTTGCCACCACCTCCTGGAGCTGTTGTCGAGTCACCAGCCAAGTATACTGTCTGACCGGCTACTTGACCTACGAGGCATAGAGCCAGCGGTAGGATTGCGTTCAACATGTTGATGAGTGTGTTGTAGAGGATCAGATTGTAAAACCAAAAGTCTGTTGCTTGAGACAGCAGTAGTATCCAGCTTATAATATACTATTCATACTCTCTTGTAGCACCGTCTGACTCGATTGCTTCGTGTTAATGACTGCCGAGATATCTCTGACATGCTAATAAAGCATGCTGGGCTGAGTTTAACAACAGTCGCATTTTAACATGCCATACGAGCCAGCCAAGCAAAGCCCTAGTATGCCTATTGATGGAACATCTTTAGCCAAAGCATCTAGGCCGGTAGGTTCCATCAATGCTCGAAGAAAAGTGCACGTTCGGGTAATATGAAACACTGCACCGAGTATGATCGACAAGAGATGTAAGCGATGTCCACCAAGGGGAAATGCGGAGAGTGCGGAGGCGGAAGAGATCTTCACTTCAAGGCTGCGGAGAATTGGTCATCTCTTGCTTGAATGACCTACGAATGACCATCATCGCGATATCTGTATCCGAGGGACGCTTTTCGTGATTCGGCTCTGAAGGCGAGGAAGCGACGTTCAAGTTGAAGGGTGCGAGGGCCGTGGTTCAAGCAAGTCTAGGCTATAATCGCCAAATATTGACCAACTGCCACATCCAGCTCGTGTGCGAAACACCGTCATACTTGTAGTGCGTAACTACAGCTCTCTGTTGTTTAATTATCGAGAGTGCAGGAGATTGACATGGTCCGACAAAAGGGGAGGCTTTTTCTTTCGTGTTGGAAATCATAGAAATCTGTGTGGAGTCTATGCGTTTGATGATCGGACTTGTGTTGACTAGACTCAATTCATGGCCATCCACAGAACTTCAGTTTTGGTTCATTCAACACAAAGCAACGTGCACTCTCTCTCCGAGCTAGGACAGTTCTCCCAAAGCAATGACTCAAAATCCGACATCAGAGTCAATCTTGCCATTGCTGGACAACAGTCCCTGTTAATGTATTGCTATACAAGCACAACAAACTAGAAGATCTTACTCAACACTCTTTGAACATCTTCCGTCTGCCCCGACTTTGTCGAGTCCATGATCCTCTTGCTCTTGACCTCGTTTTGCTTGAAGTCCCTTCGCAACTCCCTCACACCACCAGCAGGCTTTGCAGCAGCACCAGCAGAATATTGACCACCAGCACCCGCTCTATCAGCCTGAGCAGCCTTCTTGGCCCGCATACCTTCCAACATCTTACTCCTCTCCACATCCTCCACAAACGACTTATTCTCCCTCCTCGTCCTCGCAACCTCCGCCCTCAATCTCGCCGCCCTCTCCGCATTCTCATTCGCAATCTGCTCGGTCAAATGACTCCATTTAAAGCCCGTAAGGTACTTCATATTCCACATGTCATCATGATAGAAATTTCCCTTTTTACCACCGATGATGTTGCCGTTTAGTGTTTCTGCGGCGATTTTGGCTTCTTTCTTGTTAATGAATTCGACCCAGCCGTCGACAAAGGACTTTTTCTTGTTTCCTCCGTTGCGGACGCGCTGCTTTTGTGCTACGGCGTCTTCGGGGGTGAGGAAGACGCGGCCGATTTCTCCGTAGGGGGTGAGGTAGTGTTTCAGAGTTGCTGGCTTCATGAACGGTGGGATGCGGGAGATGTAGATTACGCCAGTCTTTTTCGCTGCTTTTTGGGCTTTGAGCAGTTGTTTTTGGGTCAGGGGTTTGACGGGTTTCTCTTTCTTGTTTGTTGATGTGGTGGTTACTTCGGTTGCATCTTCGAGCTCCGCATCATCTTCGTCGTCTTCTGGGATGAAGTCGTCGGCGTCCTCGTCGTCTATTTCGAAGCGACCTTTTGTGACGCTGGGTGCGGGCTTCATAGCGATCGCGCTGGTCTTGTCGAGAGTCTCCTCATCATCCTCGTCAAAGTCGTCTTGTGAGTCGTCGTCGGAGTCCTGGTCGACTCGTCGTCGTTTGATCGATCGTGCGCCACGGCTCTCTTCCTGCTCCTCAGAGTTGTAGCCAGCATCCTCTTCCTCGTCACTCAGTCCATGGTCCAGAAATTCGTTGCGCTTGCGACTTGTCATGACTGCGGGTCCTCGTTGTATCAAATTTTGGTTTTGCGAATAGCGAATGATGAATCGAGACTGTTTGATGGCTGAGAAATTTCCTGGACCACCGTTATCGATAAGTCCTTATGCGACCGTGCACAATTATGCATCTACCTCGTCAATACAACAGCATCACCAACGATCAGTCGCTAGATGTTTCGCAGTGAAGTCCAGAGCTTCGATAGTTCTCTTCCTATCTGTAGTGTTTGTCGTTCGTATTTCCTCTACTGAGGCCTTCCAGATCTGAATCTGTCGAAATGCACAATCTTTTTCTATGCAACGTCACCCATGGCTGGAGTACAGTCTTGAGCTGTCTCTCAATCAACAACTTCAGCTATTGGAAAAGCGCTGTGCACTTTCACAACGACTTGCAATTGTTTCTGGGTGGTAACGAAGGACGGTTCCGGGTATGTCACTAGTTTCTGTCCCGCCCGCTCTCCCCTTATGATAGCGAGGGGCAACAAGCAGCTGTAGAAATGCGTGATCTTTTTCAAGTCGATATCGTTGATAGCAGAGATACGATCCCAAATCAGCTCTGCATGAGCATCCGTAGCAGCTAGAAAAGTACTGTGCATATCTACAGCCCCTCACGCATCTGATCACCGGTATGGAAGAGTGTCATTGTATCAATAGCACTTCTATAGTCATGTGGGAGCCTCGCTCCCATCAACAGCAGCACAACCACTTCAGCAATCTCCACCAAGCCTTCCTTTCCACGTAAGCACCGCAGTGCTGCTCCGCAGTAATATTAACAGAGTCGTCGCTTGGGACCTCATCTTCCAGTATTTCAACATGCTGAGCACCCCAAAACCGACGACAAACATGGCGGGTTCCCCAATTTGAGCACCCACACATCGGTCTAGAAGGAGCAGGTCCACCGAAGATGACAGCAGCAGTGATGGGCCAAGCTTGAGGGATACATGGCTGAGTGCAGAGCTTAGGGCGATCGTGGGTGTCAGGATTGCCGCAACAGCAATGAACCACACGAGCAACCCCAGGCTTGCCGAAGCAGCAGTAGATGGTCGAACGATGAATTTTTGTCTTGGGGGCATTGCTCTCGCCCGAAGGATCTGCTATCGGCTCTGAGCTTGAACCTTGTAGGGCCTCCGAAGATGCAGCTGCCGAGGCCACGATCGCGTTTGTTGTGATTGTTGCCCATGACTGTTCTTCTTCCACACTTTCAGTGTAATCTGCGCCATCTTTATGGGTACTATTGCTGCCTTTTGATGCTTCGCTGACCCCGGGTACATGGTGTAGAGTTCGGGCTGCACAACATGGGCAATGCATCTGCTTGTAGTCCCAGAAGTGGCTGCAATTACCAAAACGCACGAACGATCTGTTGTTCTCACGAAGCTGTACCGAGCCCCAATGGGAGTCTTCTGCGAAAGCATGTGCGGACGCTACCACGTCTTGTCTGACTTTGGGTATAGCGGTCGTGTCGAAGTCCATGATTGAGAAGTAGTAGTCGCGATGCTGGTCACGAAACGCGTCAATGGAAAAAGGTATGGCGTTTGGTGACCTTTCATGGATGATTTTGTTTTGAGCACTATCAGAAGATTGCGGACTTTGTTGAACACTGGTAGATGCGTTTCGATCGGGCGATATGTGATAGCCATTACGGCTCATGAGATCCAGATTGGGTGGCGCACTGTGTCTGCGACTGGATTCATGGGCCGCCTTGAGAAGTGGCTCTGTGTCGTCTTCTGCGCTGCGACTACTGATTCGACCGAAGCTTACGATTCTGAAAAAGCGACGACGTATAGAGCCTGGTGATCCGAACGAACGCATGTTGGCGTGATTGAGTTCAAGAAGGGTGGTGGACAGTTGTAAAGAAGCAACTGTGTCTCCCAGGTCTCCAATTTTGTTGCTGAACGAGCGAAGATGGTTGTAGATAGTGTTGGCGGATTCATTGGGATATGGGTTAGCCATATCTAGCTTTGAAAAGTATCGGAAAGGTATATGTGAAAGTGTTGGAGCCTGAAGTCTCAATCAGAAGTTCTTGACTTTTACGAATTGCGAGACTGTTTAGTAGAGGTCAGTCACGAGAAGTAAGCCGAAGTGTCGACAATCGTTCTTTGGCTCAGATCATAATCCAGTAGCAAACAATACAATACTCTGGTCGCTTCCATAGACTTTCATGAACAACAGAGAGACTTTTTGATTAGTAGATCTACCTACGCTCAGACTGCAATAACTTTGGACAAAGCTTCCAGCGAAGAATTGCGCTCATTGTGCATCACGCACAGAGTCATGCAGTCAACTAAGTCTTTAGCTGTATGGAAGTCAGTATGCTGTTTTCATAAGCAAATTCGTGTTCAGAGGCTTACCGGTCATCCTCCTCACAGAGTCGTCGCCCTCGTCTCTGCCGTTCATGCGAGTATACATCAATACAGTCTCATTTCGCTCTTTCCGACACTTCTCGTAAAGTCGCAAGCGCTCAGGAATCTGTTGCTTTGATGTTCCTAGTGGAAGGAGGACAGCCACCGAGACGGCGTCTTCAATCGCCATGGCGCCACCCTGACCCATGTCTTGAGAATATGTTAGCTGATTATACGAGCGCATACAAAACAAGAGTATTGTCTTACAAGGTTGAAACGGATGAGCGGCATCACCGATGATAGCAGAGTTGCCTTCACACCATTTTGGTAGAGTCTTCATATCGTACATGTCCCAAATCTTGAGACTGTCGCCGGAATTCTCCATAGCTGCCTGAACTGCAGGGCAGAAGTCCTTGAAAGCGCGAAGCATTAGATCTCTATTGCCTGTTGTGTTGTATGCTATCGATAGTCAGTATGTATCCTCAATTGACTGTTAATTTCGGGTTTGATACAATCTTCGCCTGAGGCATCAGGATCCTGAAATTCTGATGAAGGAGCAAAGGCACACATGTTCATGATCTTGTCATCGGAGCATGGATACGCGACCAAGCGTCTATCAGGAGCCGACCACTCGACAAAGGCACCGGGAGTCTCGATCGACACTCGATCGGTCCTTGGGTCGGCCAAAAGCGTCTCCTTTGGCACCAGCCAGCGCATGGCCGACTTTCCGACGGCGAATGGCTGGATCTCGCCAACAAGCTGTTTCCGTGTGAAGGACTAGCATTTGGTCAGTGACATGCTTCCAGTCTCACACGTTGAAGACACTTACGTGGAGACCGTCTGCTCCGAGAAGAAGATTGCCCTCGAATCTCTGACCGTCCACCAGCGTGACGCTAGCATTGTATAGATCAATGTCGGTTACCTTACAAGCCAAGTGAAGCTTGACAGGAACGCCAGGCCTGGATGTTGATACCGACTCCGTCTTTAGCTTGTTGTGGAGATCGACGCGATGCACCAGGTACCATTCCTGATGCCGTTAGTCTATTGAAACATAGCCTGAGCGAAGTATCTTACAGTTTGCCAATGACTTCTGTCTTCAGGTCCAAATATTTTGGTATGTATGAGATTGCCATCGGGATCAAATCGACGCATCTGCATCAGTCAGTACGTACAGTGACTCGTCCAAAGGTGGAGGAAGTGGTACCTGTCTCAAGAGGGTCCCCCCAACCTCACTGGGATGAACATCCATCCATTCCAACAGTGCAGTGGCATTCGGCGCCATATGCATAGCAGCGCCAGTCTCGACTGCAAATCGTGATCTTTCAAGCACCTGATGCGGTTTAGCTAACAGCTTGTTTCGTGAGATATATTTACTGACCGTGACGACATGTCCTTGTTTGCGGAGTGCAAGCGCTGCAGTCAAGCCAGCTATACCCGCTCCGATGATCGTGACTTTCAGAGGATGTGATTCCATATCGACAGCCATGGTATATGCTCTCAATAGCTAAATTGCAGTGGATGACGAGAGGGCATCCTCGTCGGATGCCGCCTCCTTTTATAGTCAGCTTTGATTTTTAGCAACATGAGCCAGCTCACCACAGCGGACTTCGGGTGTGAGGTGCGACCGAAAGACGCGAGCATGCAAGTAAAGAATGATCGACGTCGTGGTGATCCATTCGCAGATTGGATTTCGGGGAAAAGCCACGCCCGCGCTTCCGATGCACAGTCCAGGATTTAGAGGCAGTCCTTAGAGACAGTTCATCTCCCCGGCATAACTGTTATGTGTATTCGCGGTAAGATGATCGCTTTAGTGTAATATCTTGACCAAATTCTAGATATTTGTGCAGTTCCAGAAAGACTTGCGGTGTATAGAGTGTGAGAAAAGCATGAATATGTTCGGCGAAGCTCTCGGGAACCGGACAAGCTTATTGCTCCTTCCCTCATACCTGATACAGATGCTTGGAAGTGCGTATGAATGCAAACGACAGAATCTGGAGCTTCGTAATGAGATTCTGCTCATAGAAAGAGGATGGATTAAAATTAGGTAGTATAGGGTAAGAGGGACTGGTCTATTCTAGGATTTGAGCACGCGGACGTCGCATGTCTCTTACAACAAGATCCCCTGGTTGCATCTACCGCGTCGGATTCTGTTGCCGAGCATAGCATCATATAGAAGTATGGAGGTTGTGATCATGGTCGTGACCAACTCCAAGTACCGACGCTTGACACTTGAAAGAAGGAATATTGGTGCATACGTCTGAAGTAGCAATTCAGGCTCGCTTCATTCACGAGTAAGTCGGCCTCGAGGGTGGCGGTGGCGGGCGCAACAGAGGCTGCGATGCAGTAGGTCTCAATGGAGGGGGGCCGGCATGGAGCCCGGCGGCACTAGCGGTACGGCTTCCTGGTGCAGTAGAAGGGACTGGCGATATACCGAGACGAGAACGAGGCTTCTTGGCCTTGCTCGGCCTGCCACGAGAAGCGAACATGTCGTCAGGTATGTCATTCCAGTTGTCTTGTGTGTTGTCGCTAGCTGTGGCGATCTTGGGTATACCGTTGGGCGAAGCTGGCGCATTCGATGGTGATTGTAGTGATTTGCTCTTGTCGTCCTTGATGACCTGGGCAGCGCCCTTGTTTACTAGCAGAGCGACATCCTCGGACCTCATTTCAAGAGGATTGTACTGTTCTAGGGCCTGGGACGCGCCTTGGATATCGTAGGTTTGCTGGATGTGCGCGATTGTCTGAACGTCGTAGACCATGAATCTACCGCTGGTGAAAGTGATACTGAAGGGCTTGGGGGCGGTGCTGTTGGCCATGTTGTAATGATACCGAGACTGAAGTCAAGGCCTACGTTTACATTGTTAGTACATTATGCGATGCAAGGAACACGTGGTAGGAACAGAGTATGCTGTCATAGAGCGTATGCGTTTCATATTCGTCCATTGCCAGAAGGGTTTCAGGAGTCGACGGATCTGGTACATGAACTTTCTGGTGACAGAAGAGCAAAGATAGGGCATACCTTTGAAGAAGAGGGTAATATGATGGGCGTGATTGCTCAACCCATGATGCTGCTTCTATGCGAATGACGAAAGGCGAATCCTGGGAGAATGCGACGCCGTTTCCAACACAACACCAGTTTGATTGGTTTGTTCGGACTTGAACGGACATGGCTGTCTTTCTCGAGCTGAGTGACCGTCAATTTATCGATCTGCATCCTCGGTTTGCCAACCGAGATCTCATAGGTAGATCAACATGAACATCTTTGTCTTGTTGTTCTTCGTTTTGTTCTTGCCGCTTGTCGCGCTATTAGGTAGGCTATTCATGCCGCGACCTGCATCAGACTTCCCTAATATCATATCATACAGTCTGGTTCGCATTTTCAAGCTGCCTCGGTGACAACGCTCGAGCTCGAATCGGCGGAACTACGATGAACCCTCGGCACGGTGCCTATGGTAGGACTTACGGTCGTAACATTCCCTACCCCGGAGCTGCGGGTTCTGAAGCTATCGAGATGGAAGACATGATGCACCGCGACAAGTGGGAACTTGACTCTGACCACGAGCCTTGATTCCTATAAACGCTAGAACTCTATATCGATTTTGGTCGCCTTGCCCAATGCACCTCCTTCAGCATTTCCCTGCTGAGCCTCGGTATCTCCTTCTGCTGGTGGAAGACTGAAAGGTTTGATGACAAAACGTCGTCTGCTGACGGTGAAGGCCAAGTCGTCGCCGACACCGGCAGCAGCTCCTCCTCCACCACGTTCGGTCGTCACTGGTAGCTTGTGCAGCTTCAGCATTCCCTGTGGTTGCTCGTCTGTTGCTCTTGCACCACCACTCTCTGCCAAGCTATTCGCTGAGTCCATCAGGTGAGGAAATGTAGTTAGTTCAAGCACGCCGTCCGAGAGGGTTTCGGCCCAACGGACAAGAGCGGTCGAACGATGATATAGCTCTAGTGGAAGTGTGATCATGGCAGTAAGACGGCCGGAAAATTGTCTGAGCAGGGAGCGCAGTGAGTGTAAGAATTGGAGCAGGTTCTCCGGTGCACCGGCCGTAGGAGGATAGAGAGCGGGTGATAGCAGAGAAGGTATCACTAGGCGATGTATCGTGTGAGGTGGAGAAGTGTTTAGTCGATGAGCAACATTTTGCAGAATGGCAGAGAGCGGTGCTTGGGGAGCGATGGCGATATGGTTGATGTCGGCCTCGGGGGGCACAGCAAGACGCTTTGCCAGGTCAAAGGTGTGGCAGAAGGCTAACGACTGTTGTTCTTCCTGTTGTTCGGCATTCTGGACAGGGGCTGGGCCACGTTGGGGGACGACTGCTTTGCAGTCAGAATTGCTTGTCCTACAAGGTCTATGTATTGCTCTTCACCTCTACTGCCTCGATCGGCGTCTACTTGGCCCAATCTCTCATATCGCCACGCAATCTTCATCTTCTTCTCGTCGCTCTTTGCCTGCTTCTGAGCTTCTGCGGCCTCAGCATCTCCCACCAAGCCTGGCAGGTCCTTGATCCACTGCTCGCCGGCACCAACAAGATGCACCGTGTGACTTTGGATTATGCCCTCGGCAGCATAGTACCGCAGCAGGGCACCGGCAAAATCTGTAGTCCCACTCTCTTCAACAAGCAACGATGAGCCTAGCGCCAATCCTGCATGGCCGCCTAGCAGACTGTCGAGCGAGTAGGCTCCTGTTGATGTGGTTGCTTGTCCGGTCAAGGGTGACGGCCGTATGCCGGAGGCTGTTGGCGACGGCGCGCTGTTCGTCTCTACTGTGCTGTCTGCATGGGATGAGGTGATCGGTGATCTCTGCACACCGATGTTGCGCTTGCGAAATGACATGGTGTTGATATGACTGCTACGAATTGGTGACGGTGGTGATGAACATTGGCGACATGAGATTTTGCGCTCGGGCCGAAATGTGGAGTTTATCGTGCACTTATCGCTCGGCCCCTCCTCCCCTCTATCCGAAAAGACGACCACTTCCCCTTTCTACATCGACGCTTGCCTGCTGCTATGAGGCATCGACAAGAACATCTGTTGACGATCACATCATTTTCCTGTGGCAAAATAATGTACAAATTTATGCCCCTGCAGTGCATGTTGCCACCTTCCGCAAGCCTTGCCACCACCAGTGAAGACTCTTATGTTCGTATGATGGCAGTGGCTGCACGGCCAACCCCTTTGGGTCGCATACGTTAAGCTTTGGTTTAAGCCTAATGCCAGGACCCCTTTGCCGGGACTCCCCATATTGTACCTGAGGTGCCACGCTGTCAGTTCGCATTCGCATGTCTCACTGACTGACACAGGTGGAGGCGATGCACTTGTATGGCTGACGGGTACCGCAAGCCGCGGCCTCGACAAGCCTCACCAACATGGCAGGTGCGTGACGTCCCCGCCTTAGCATTGATTTTAGATGCACGCCGTCTACTGTTATAGTTGGGCGTCTTCTTAAGATTTTCGCCCCTCTGGCCAATCATCCAGTTGCAGTTTGCAATCAAAACGCCTTGTCCCTGTTCAAGACCAGTGTGCCGAGGGACGATCTGGGGTGATCGTCCTTGAACAACACCTTTTCGTCGGCCTTCTCCACAACCGCGTGAGAGGCCTCGCCTGTACGTTGCACTCCATGTCTGGTTCTCAGCGGCCTCCACATCTACCTCCAATGGTCAGTTTTGTTTCGGCCGCAAGATATGTATGCTTTCCATGAATTTGACAACATGCCTCGGTGCTTGCCTCTCATGCCTGTCGGACAAAAATATATAAGTACCTGAGTAAGACCTCTCGAATCCTTCTGCACCATCAGATCATCTCATCTCATACCACAATCATGAAGACTGCACAAATCACATCCGCTCTTGCCCTTGGCTTTGCGGGCTTGGCCGCCGCCTACCCCAATATCCTCGCCGAGTTGGAGTCCCAGAAACGATCTCCCGACCTCAAGAAGAGAATCTCCTTCGATGCTGCGGCTCAGAAGATCGATGTCTCTGGCACCCACGCTTTCAACCCTCCAGGTGCCGGTGACCAGCGTGGTCCCTGTCCAGGATTGAACGCTATGGCCAACCACGGTTACCTCCCTCACAATGGTGTCGCTACTATCGATCAATTCGTTGAGTCCACCACCAAGGTCTTCGGCATGGGTGTCGATTTGGCTCTCATCCTTGCTGTCTACGGAGCTGCCATTGACGGCAACCTCGTCTCCTGGAGTATCGGAGGTCCCACACCGAATGTACCATCCATCAATCTCCTCGGCCAGCCCCAGGGTATTAGCGGCTCCCACAACAAGTACGAGGGTGATGCTTCACCCACAAGAGGTGACCTGTACATCGATGGTCAGGACTACCTCTTAAAGATGGAGAACTTCCAGGCTCTCTACGACGCTGGCAAGGCCGCTGACAACTACGACCTTCAGCTCTTGACCGACCGTAGAGCTGCCCGTTTCAAGCAGAACATTGAAACCAACCCCTACTTCTTCAATGCTCCCTTCTCTGGTGTTATTGCTCAGCCTGCCGCGTGGAGCTTTATCTACCGTTTCATGGGTAACAAGTCTGCCGAGTACCCTGCTGGCAAGCTTAACGGAGAGGTTCTGAAGTCCTTCTATGCTATCACTGGCAACGACGGTAACTTCAAGTACACTCCCGGCTACGAGCGCATCCCAGAGAACTGGTACACTCGCAACGCCCTTGACCCCTACGATGTTCTTGCTCTGCAGGCAGACACCGACGCCCAGCTTCTCCAGCATCTCGAGTTCGGCAGCATCGGTGGTAACACTGGTACCCCCAACAGCTTCGTCGGTGTCGACCCTGAGCTCCTGACCGACGGTGTCTTCAACGCCCAAACACTGCTCCAGGGCAACAACCTCATGTGCTACGGCCTGCAGCTTGCCGTCCAGGAGCTACCCGATATTCTCTCTGGTGTTGTTACCAACCTTGCCGCTGCTGTCAACCAAGTCAGCTCCGCCTTTGGCAACGCCACTCAGAAGCTTGGATGCCCCGAGCTCACCAAGATCAACCAAGACCAGTTCCAGAAGTACCCTGGCTACACCAAGCTGAAGTCTGACGGTACCTACTAAGTGGTCAATGCATAGTACCATATACAAGGTCGACGAATACACCTACCAAGAGGTAGTAGATGAAGCATCAATAATGACATATAACGAATTATCGGCTTAGCCTAAGAATTGAAAACTATTCCACCCTTCATCCTAATCCTGAATTCTTTTGGCGTATGTGAGATTTCGTGCTCGATGTTAGAACAGCATGACTTGCTGCAGGTGCTCACACAATTGTAGAGATATGCATAAATACGCGGAGAGATCAAAAGTGCCAGGCGAAGCAGGGGCTCTGAACAGCGACTTCTAACTCCAACAACCTACTCTGCATTACAGCACTGCAGTAATTCTCCATGAAGAAAGCAAGCGCTACGGGAGCCGATGACGAACAACCTCCTTCCCTACTTCAATGTGCTGGACCTGAGTGTTGACTAACGCGAAATCTCTCTTTTTCCTATGGAGTCAATCCTCACTTGCACATGATACTTGCAATCTGAAGTAATGTGCCCATGATCAACAACTACATACTCATCAACCACTTCTCACCGTGTGCAAAGTATTGTCACACTCGAAGCTGTCCCGAGGCACGATACTTTCTAGATTTGTAGCAATGTTATCGCGATATTTTGTGTCATCGACTCCCTGCGCTACGTTCAACGATACTAGATGTGACTGTGCATCAGGTCGTCGTTACCCGACGTTGATCATCGAAAGAGATGAGGTGACAGTATTTTGCACATGGAGAGGTTCCAACACCATCGTCTCTTCCCCTTACTTCGACCCCAAAGCCAAGTCAAAAGACTTGACCGTAACCTGCCCGCCCAACCCCCCTTCCGCAAAGTTGAAGATACCATACCTGTATCCAATAAAGAAGTAATAGGTAGTATTCATCGTGTAGGGCGTGCCCAACTGCTTGAACGTCTTTCCGTCGGTGCTCCAGCTAAACACACCCTGATGAGAACCAGCAGGCTTGATATCAGCATGCAATCTCAACCACACGTTTGAGGTGCCAGAGGGCAAAGTAGCAGAGGTTTCTTGACGACCTGTGCTGAGAGTATTCCAGCCGCCCCCCATGGTGAGGTCACGTTGAAGGATCACAGCGTTGTTACGAATGGCGATGTAGGCTGAGTTGTCGCGGAAAAGGGCGAGTCCTGCTTGATCGTTGGCAGACATTTTGGAAATGTCGAGTTGAATTGTTGCGGTGCTATCGGGACCCAAGATACGGTGTGTCAGGGTGTTTCTAGCGTGATACAAGTCTTTGGTTACTGATGATGTCTTGAGCACTAAGCCACCTCCAGAAGCAAAGGAGAATTTGGAGGTATCCGGGTTGTGGTTCCATTCCCATTGAGGACCTAGCTTGCCTCCTGCAAAGGCGTCGGTGCCGGTGGTAGATTTTACGGGGACAGGGGTCACGGGGTAGGGGTTGGCGATTGCGAATCCATTCGCTGCTTTCAGGGACGGCCAGCCTTGAGAGTCAAAGGTGAAGGGTGCCAGAGCAGGGCTGCGGCCTCCCGGGTAAGCATCGATGAAAGATAGATAGTACCAATCGCCATTAGGGGTATCGACCACACTGCCTTGATGAGGATTACCTCCCCCCTGAATACCGCTGGCTGGTGCTTTTGTGAAGATCTTGAATTCGTAGGGTCCCAGGGGGCCAGAGTTTGACTTTAGGACGTATTCATTGCTGGCGGGCTGGGTGACGAAGATGTAGTAGCGATTGTTGATCTTCTTCATGTGAGAGCCTTCAATGGTGATGCTGGAGCTGTAGACCTGCGTGGTCGACTTTTGGGTAAAGTCATTGTTCAGCTGAGCAACGCTGATCTTTGTGTTACCATACTATTACAACTCGGTCAGTATCGTTCCAACCACCAATATCGAAGGCTACACTCACAGCAACGTAGATGTTCTGACCGTCAAATAGCATGCCGCAGTCGTAATAGCAAGTACCAATCTCGCCAACTTTGCTCCAGTCACCAGCAGGGTCACTAGCTTTATAGATGTAGGTCGTCTTGAAGTCAACACATCCGATCCAGTAGAAAGTGTTGTCGTACTCGCGGTACTGCATTGAAGAAGCCCAGATACCACGAACATAGGCTTGCTTGTTATCAGCCAAGTCATAGGCAGTATCATGGAAGTCGAGCCTGGGAACGGAATGTCCGATGAATTCCCAGTTGACCAAGTCTCCGGATCTCAGGACAGGGGCTCCGGGGGAGAAGGACATAGTCGAGGCTGAGTAGTAGTATTGGTTGCCCTTGCGAAAGACATCGATGTCTGCAAGATCATACCACAGTACAGGATTGGTGTAAGTTTGCTGCGCCAGCGTACTGCCAATGGCAGACAGGGCTGCAAGAACAGATGAGGGTTTCATCTTCGACTGATGTCAAATCGCAATCGAGGGTATCCAGATCGCAAGTCCTGGGCAACGACACAAGCCTTTATAGGTTTCCATTGACGAGACAAGGGCGTGAATCCAAACCTAGCGTTGCTTCGCTTACAGAACTCGAGAGGGGTTTGCAGTTTCTGTGAAGCTCATCTACAGTAGCATCTACCTATCGGGTACGGCTAAAGTTCAGCAAAAGTATGTACTTCTTCCATGTTGATCACGAAACGAGGGATCTTCCTCGAGTAACGTCCATTTTACCCACCACATATAGTCTAGACTTCTCCGACCAGCGCCTAGCGAAGCAGGAAGGTCTAGGATTGATGGAGAATACGAAGAGCTCGAGAGGTCGAAACAAGCCTGAAACAGAATTATATTGGCGGTGGCTGCAGCACTTTGTTCATGGATGAGGAGGTCGCAGTCAAAACAGGCGGCTTACCCGTACTTACCCGTACTCACCCGTGAAGCAGACAGGAAGGCAGGCACGACGAGCAACGTCTTTCCCTGAATCATCATGATCGCAGGCGTAGTAATGCGTGCTTTTCGTGTAGTCTACAGATATTGTACATATTGACAGGATTCTAGAAGGATGATGAGGTTGCTCCCTCGGTCTACTCCTCTGCCACTATTCATTCCCAGCTTGCTTGTAATTCTTCCGCCGGGGATACTGCCCCCTCCCAGGTCTTCCAATTGTGGGCATCTCTGGGCGAGGAGGAAGCTTCCAAATCTTTCTCCAACTCTCAGGGTGTAGTTCTAGAGGCCCTGGTAATGTACCAGTTCTGGCCGATTTGCCCTCGCCAGGCTCTGGAAGACAGATCCATTGCCTGATGCACCCGGGAATGTCCTCCTTATCGTGGCTTATCGTCAACAATGCCTGTCTGTCTTCGAGGCCGCCAAAGTTAACCATATCATTGTCGGCTTGCAAACTCTTACTATATCTGGTATTGCCGTTCAAGGTCTTTCCGTGGGGCTTAAAAATCATCTTTTCACCCTGAGAAAGGAACAATAAGCACTTGTCGCGAACCTCTTTATCCATGCCGCTGAAAGCTTCGTCCAAGATAACCAAGTCCGGGCTGTTCACTAGTGCGCGAAGGAACAGTAGCACTCGTTGTGAGCTAAAGGACAGATCTCGGAAGGTCGTACTGTCGGCCCAGTCAATGTCGTTGCTGACGATGTTGAGATGCTCCAATTTGCGTCTCATTTCGCCACTGCGGCGCCAATTGCCGCGCAATGGGGTTTCTGCAATTTTCTGAAGTTCGCTGGTCTTGGTTGGCGATAGCTCTGGGGCGAACCAGCGCAGGAAGGCGCCTATACGAACGTCGTTCTGATGTGTCAAGCGCGGTTTGGAAAGTGGAGTATCGGCCCAAGCACTCTCTAGAACGCGACGAATCGATAGTTGTTTGGGGAAGTACGTGTGGACCTCAGGGGAACTATGTCCTATGCGAGACTGTAGCTCAAATATACTGATGCCAAGTTCGCCAGGAGAGGGAATGCGGGAGCGGCCGAAGAGCTTGATAGGGAGACCGTAGGTTTGCGGATGGTCGGAGGTGATGAGCGATAATAGAGTGGTCTTGCCCGAGCCGTTGGGCCCAAAAACTCCCCAACGTTCACCGCGATGGACATTCCACCACAAACCCTCTCTTTTCGTGCCCTCAACACTCTCGGACCAGTCACCCAAAACAGTCTTCTTGTCGACATTGTCCGTCACATTGTACGAAACTTTGACGCCGTGCATCTCGACCAGTGGAGGACCGGGTGGGAGTGGGTCGTGCAAGGCAGGCAGATAGTCTCGACTCACCTCTGTATCGTGCTGCCTCCTTGCGAGGGACCTCGGTAGTAAGGAATTTAGGTTACACTTCATGGTCATAAGAGTCGGCAGATCAACCCCTACAAAGGGGCCTGATAGATAAGCCAATCTCGGAATGGAGCGGTAGATGTGCGCTGTGGTACCCTGAATTATCTCTGCCGTCTTTGGATTTATGTGCAAGATGTGTGTGATCCAAGGAGGAATGTCTTCTTCTGGTCGAATGGCTAGTATAATCTTCGGGAGGCTGACGTTGGCCATCTCTTGTAGGAAAGATGATATTTTCAGCTGACTCACAGGATCCATCCCCATGAACGGCGCATTGAGGAGAAGAAGCTCGGGTTTGGCGAGCAAGGCCTTTGCAATTCGAGCCCTGCGAGTCTGCCCATTGCTGAGATTGCTGACAGGCAGCTGTAGCAGCGGCTCTAGATCGAGACTTTTCACAATTTTTGCTAGTAGTTGGGTATCTAGAGAGTCTGCAGGCTTTTCAAGAGCATTCAAGTCGGTGTTTCCCTCCAGATAATTCAACAAAGACCAGTCGGTGACTTCGCGGTGAGCCTCGTAACGCTGACTCATGTAGGCACCCTTGACGGCAGTTCCACCCAGACCATCTCTTTCTGCATCGAATCCGATGTAGCCAATGGCCTGCTGAAGAGGGATTTGGCGCGCAGTAAATTGAGGGTATGTTCGGGCGTCTGGCGGCGTGCAAAGATATCTGCCATGTAGCATTTGCAGGAAGTCGGTGCGAAGGGACGAATTACGAGCAATAATGGCCCAGTGTTCGTTCTTTCCGCTCAGGGTGAAGTTCACATTGTTGAAGAGAGGAGAGGCCTTGTCCTGATCTAGAACGTCCTTATATATCGTGGCATCCTTTATCCGGATGATTAGAGCCGATGTTGTCACGCCGGCATATTGGGATAGCCTTGAGGGGGAGTAGACATTCGGGAGGCGGCCAAATGCTTGTCGGCGCAGTTGCGCTCTGAACATGATGGATCCAGATTTGCGACAGGATTCGTTATTGCGCCTCTCGTCCCACGACCAAATGCATGCCAAGCCAGTCAGGGTTCGGCTTCTCACTGACGTATCTCGCATGCACCTTCCGCTTCCAAGCCACAGCTTCCCTGTTCCCTCGACATCTCCGCACTATCGGCTGCCACTCTTGCTGACTCAAGTGCAAGACGATACTCAGCAACTCCTCCCTCGATCGTACGGCTGATTCCCTACTCATCGTCCCCTGCTCGTGAACCATGTTTCCAGCTCTACAGCCATCCAGACCAAAGGTAAGCCATTGCTATCTCCGCCGTGCTCCGTAGTCTCATATACTCTCCTCAAATGCCGTCGGATCTAGAAAAGAACTATATCTTTCTACTGCTCCTTATTACTCTGCACCGATCGTGGGGGAAGATGGGAGGCACAGGCTTTGGAAGAGAAGAGTAAACATCACCGCCTTGGCCTTCCCTCGTCTATTCCGCTGATTTATTTACTATATCCGCGTCTGGTCAGGCTGATTGTCTTTAGTATCCGCCGGCGCAAGTTCCCTCGCAGCCGAGCTACCAGCAGATTCGGACCTCATCGACTGGATCATCAAGGCCCCAGAATCAGATAGAAGCCATGCCTCCTCAAATGTCCTCTCCGCATCAGACTCATGCATTCAACCCTGCGACTTGCCATCCAGTCTTCTTCTCGACTTCCTTCCACAAACCACCATTCTCTCTGCCTCTTGTTCCATCCTCTGGTTTCCATCCATCGGCAACTGGCTATGTATTCAACTCGAACAAGTCTGCACCTTTGACTAAACTTTGATGCTGCCGACGAGTCTAAAAACCATTGCTCTTCTTCTTCCATTTGCACATATGTGCGGCAAGCTGGCCCATCCTCTACCCTTGTGCGACACTACCAACCCGGTACAGAGCACACATCCTGATGCCGAAAGGCGTCCGAGGCGAAGCTCACTCTGGTCACACGTTGGCGTTATGCATACCGGTCTCATCTTTATCAAGTAGCACTGAACGAGGCCAGAGTGGCACAGCTCGTCAACCTCCCCGTGTGCGCAATATCGTCCCGCTTTGGAGTCACGAGCCTCTCCAGAATCCGAAGCAATGGTATCAAGAGCTGCCTTCCTATCAACTTGCTTTGTGCGATCTGTTGACCAGAGATATAACAAGCTTGCTGTAGCTCGTCGTTGCTCTGCTCCGATCACCGAGAGAGAGTGAGATGACGGATCCTACTAATGGAAAGGAAGTGAGCCATGTCAACGAAGGTGCCTTTTGAATAACCAGTTTCCTTTAGATGATGAGCTGGCATTGTTTCCTTGGCTCAGCGTTCTTGTCTTCTTCTCGTATATCACTTTCAGTCATTACAAATCACCTTATTATCGTCACCGGCATCTTTCAGCCCAAGCATTTGAATACAAAAGCAAGATCAAGACCAAGATCCGGAAAAGCCGATCCGAATCGTGGGGAACCACGGTTAAATCTCTGAAATGACGATGCACCACCGTCATTGACGATTCAGCACGGACGAGAACTGTCTAAATCATTTACAAGGGATATCAATAAATATTGAGCCTCTGCCAGTCGCTGAGGCTGAAGCACGATCGAGAGGGTCTTCAAGATTTCAACATGCCGTCCAAAGAGAATTCGCGTGAACGACCGAGCGATGACAAGCAGCAAAATGGCGACTCGGAGAAAGGCAAGGATGGGGATGAGAAGCCCAAGCCTGTTGGACTCTTTTCTCCAGAACTCAAGCATGTGAGGCGGGAGATTGCTTGGAAGTGGTGTTTGACGACAGTAACACTGATGGCTGCCATCATGGCCGTGCTGTCTCTTTGTGAGTCGTGATACGAAGACCATCTACGGACATTGAAGCTGACCTGCTACCTTGAGACTGGGCTGCATTGTTCCATGTCGAGCAAAACCTATCTTCGCTGGTCGTATACGTCGTGGACTTCGATGGGCAAGGCCCGAATAGTGTAGCTGGACAAGAACCCCTGGTCGGACCAATCATCCAAGGCCTTGCTCGCACTCAGGTCGCATCAGGCACACCAACCCTTGGATGGGGACCTCTCTTTGGAGCAGACTTCGACTATGATCCGATAGCCGTACGACAGGCTGTGTACGACTGGGACGCCTGGGCCGCCATCATCATCATGCCCAATGCGACCTCGCAGCTCTACAGTGCCATCCAGAATGGAAACACAAGTTACGACCCCATGGGAGCATGTCAGTTGATCTATCAGTCAGCCAGAGACGACCAAACCTGGTACGACTACATGTATCCGTTGATTGCCAAGTTTCAAACCGAGGCTACGTCCATGGTCGGCCAGCAATGGGCTCAATTGATCCTCGAAAGAGCAACAAACGATCAAAACCTCTTGCAGAACATGGTCAATGTGCCACAAGCCGTCTCACCAGCAATTGGCTTCTCCGAATTTGACCTCAGACCTTTCTACCCGTACACAGCAGTCCCCGCCACAACGATCGGTCTCATCTACCTCATCATTCTCAGTTTCTTCTCCTTCGCCTTCTACCTCCCCATCTGGTTCAGATTCCTGAACCCCGAAGGCCACCCCCCACTTAAATTCGTCGAGTTCGTCGCAGTCCGTTGGGGTGGTACTGTACTGGCTTACCTCTTCCTCTCACTAGCATACTCTTTCGTCTCTTTGGCTTTCCAGATCAACTTCTCGGGTGGCAACCCCATTACCTCAGAGACACAGGTTACTATGGTAGAATACGGTAATCCTGATGCCTATGGCAAGGGTACTTTCCCAGTCTACTGGATGTTGAACTTCGTCGCCATGTGTGCACTTGGTCTTGCGTGTGAGAATGTGGCTATGGTTGTTGGGCAGCCGTGGACAGGTTTATGGCTCATCTTTGTGAGTTTCGACGGCCCAATGAGTCGCGGGAGAAAAGATTGCTAATGAGTATCGCAGTGGGTCATTTCTAATGTAGCGACTGCATTCTACAACATCGACATTGAACCTGCATTCTTCCGTTGGGGATACGCATGGCCATTACATAATGTAGTGGAAGCTAGCAGACAGATTCTTTTTGACTTGCATTCACGCATTGGATTGAACTTTGGTGTTCTATTCGCTTGGGTGGCAATCAACACTGCTCTTGTAAGTCTCTGTAGCTCCTCGCCCTTGTTTCGACTCATTGCTCATGTGCCTCACAGTTTCCTTTTACTTGTTGGTTCCTCTTGTACAAACGTAGGCACAACGTACATGAGTACTGGGCCTAAGGAGAAAATGTGGATCGCATACAGAAGACTTTTTTCCTATTCTCTAGATTATACGTTACACGGCACCTAGAACCTACCTAATTATACACTTTTTGCAGTCGATGAAAGCTAGCGTCTTGTTCCCATCACAACCGCGATGGCCCTCTGAGCCTTGGTATCTTTTCTACCCTTGAGCGGCCTGTAACTTGCCTTGATGATGTAAGTTATAATCATCGAAGACATGCCAGCCTTGGAGAGAATCGTTGAGTGGGCAAGTTGGTTGCTGGGAAGTCGCTCTTTTGCTCGGAACATACTATGTATCTAGACAGGTGAGGTGGTATGGGACTGCTATGCGCGTGTGCCATAAGCGTTGTATGGAGCATGTACTTGATAACAAGCTTCGCCCACAACGTCTCAACGACCCGAAGAACATTGACACGAGACTTGCAAACTATCATGGAACGGAAGACTGCTTCATGCTTGATTCTTTGGACCTATTATTGCTTTAATGCATCAGCATCTCGTTGCAAAACCTCGAGTATCTGCTTCTCATCCACCTCTTCTTCCTTCTTCTCTTCAGCACCTCCGAAGATGCCTCCATCCAAGGCAACCTTTCTCTGGCCCTCCGGTATTGACTCCATCATCCCCATCAACTCTTTGTCCTCCGCTGACCGTTCTTGCTTGTATTGGTCAAGTGTGATGAAGCCTTTTGGCAGGATATCCGTCGTGTGCTCGGCCTCTTTTAGAGTATTCTCGACTGGTGCTGCTTCGATGGAGGAAATTTGCGTCGCCGGTTGTGCGTAGGTGCTGAATGCGTAGATTGTGGGAAATTCGAGGACGTCTTTGTGACGGAGGGCGTTTGTCAGGGTTGTGACTGGGGGAATAGGTATGAGAACTGTGTTTGTTGATGATGTGTGGGGTTTGTGGAGGAAGAAGTGGATGGTCTCCGATGTTGAGGTATCGTCACTCGATGGCGGTGGTTGTAGCGACTTGGACGATTCCTCTGGTTTGGCTTCGTCTGTTGATGGAGCGGCTGGCGGTTCCTCTGTTGAGAGTCCCTCCACTTTTGACACGGCTTCAGCTCCTGTAGGTGCACTTGTCTCGGACTGCTCTTGCTTTTCCACGGCCTGGAGTGGGCCTGGTTGCTTCCTCTGCTTCTGTGCTTTCGCATCTGCATCATCCTGTGCCCTCTTCCTCTTCTTGTTCTCCCTCTCTTTTTCGAGCATCAACTCTTTGTATGCCTCTTCCAGCGTCCTCGACTCGTCAACCTCGGCAATCCTCTTCTCGCCCTCGACGACCCATTCCACACTCCAAACAATCCTCTTACTCTTCTGAATAAACCTCGTCTGATTTGCCTTTTGCCTCGCCATTCCTATTGGCGCTTTATGCACCACAATCCCATTCTCCCTCAGATACTTTCCCAAAGCGCCATTATCATGCCATCTCTTTTGAAAAACAGGCTTGCCTTGCCCAGACAACGAAACACCACGTTCAGTCGTTTCTTTATCCGCACGATCGATGTTTCTCTCAAGTCCGCTGAGAAAGTTGTAATCGCGATCGATACCGCCGGCGGTTGCCAGAGTGGATTTGGAGACGTAGGCGCTGGGGTCGCGGAGGCCGTTGCATGCTGCGCGACGTTTATGAGATTGGGAGCAGGCGAGGCTGCAGGTGCGGACTTTGTCGCGGGGACATGTGTACTTGGGTGCTGCGCTGTGGCAGATATTGCATAGCGCCGTCAAGGGTGTCGTTGAGTCTGTCATGTTCAATTGTGGTAGGAAGGTGAGAATGAAAGAAAAGTTGATTCTTGGGTTTGTTTGACATGTGAAAGATGTGACGTTTTTCTTGTTGCCGCTAAATCCGTGTCTGCACGGTGACCCTGATCATTCATTTCCATGGCACGACAGCATCGTTCAGGGAGTGACACTTGTACGTTTTTATCTGCAAGCCTTTGGTCAAGTCCCTTAAACTGTGAATAAACGTGAGTGGTACACTAAAAGCCGCGAACCGACTCATATGCCGCCGTCTGCGTTGAGACTGAAAATCACTCACCATTCGGTGAATCGAGCAGATGAGGACTACATGGAAATGATCAAGCACCGATCTTTTTACAATCTTCCTCCGGAGCACAGATTCTGAGTCCACAGTCTAGTCTCACACCATGACTTTAAACGACAGCAAACTCAGGCCAAACCCCCAGAACGAGCCAGCGACATGTCAATCGGGCATCGAGGCAGAGCCACCTAAATACTCACGAGACACATCGCCACCAGTGTACTCTAGCGTTGAAGAGCAATGGGACGTCCGGTTTACAACAAGATACATACCCGGAGACGCGGAGCCCGGTCATGGCAGGAAGGGCATGCTGGTCTCCCGCGCTGTACGTGATCAAGGTCGCTTGACCTGTGCACGATATGGTATCGCAGATCAGAAGCAAGCACAACCAGACGTTGTATTCACCTGTGCCTTACAACCACGGGTGAGTCGTTTAGGGACCGATTGGGCCAGGTCGATGATGATCTGGTCCAGTTGGAAGACAGCACGAGAATTGGCCACCCATCGACATGTTAAGAAATGCCAATGCGACTCTAAGTATATTGCAACGGGATTCAGTGCGCATGGGGATATGACGAGGATGTGTAATGTCCGGGACGCAAAGGTGAAGAAGCGCATGGAAAGGCATGACAGGAGATGTGCTTGCAACGTATTCAAGTCCGTGGTCGAGTCCTCTAGTGTGGTTGGTGGTTGACTTGTTTGACCAAGTTTGCAGTTGAGGTATTCAGTTCTACACCAAAGGATGTAGAGGTTCTTCAGAACTTGTTCAAATGTTTGTCCATGATGTTCTCAGAAGGGCGAATCCTGAAGTCAGTTCGCGGCATTCGTTGTTGCATGACATGCCGTAGCGAGACAATGTCGCGATCCCGCTTGGCTTTTGACAAAAGCAAAATGTTGACGGGACAGAAGTGTCTATTTTGAGCAGACACGAACGACAAGTAGCGAAGACAAGCTACGTACCGTCAGACAGTCGCTTATCGTCAAGATCATGATCATGTACAAGCTGACATGGCGTTATCAATACAGCCGTTGACTCAGGTCGAAAGAATCGCGACGCTCATGCCGGCAAGTAGCTAGTCAGCTACGGAAGATCCAACGTCATGCACAAGGAAGTGCTGAATGTCGCGATATGGCAAGCAATATATTTGCAGCCACCGGCGTCACAACAGCTGTCAAGGTCAAGAGAGACAGCAACAGGCTTTGTTTCAGAGTGAAATCGAAGAAAGGCGTGTGTCTCTCTACCGGAAGAAGAAAGCGTCGTCAGCAAAGAGGGGAATTCGAGGCACAGCGCAAGGGACAGGCTGAATTAGTGGGAAGGTTTTTGCGGAGTAGGAGCTTTCGAGTGAAGGTTTTGCGGCAACGGGCGAGGGATCGACAGCCTCTACACTAGCGTCGCTACTTGCGGTCCAGACAGACAACAAAAGCGATAACAAGTCCTGCCACCCAAATCTCCAGCATTCTGCCACTTTTTGCCATGCGCCTGCGATTGAGATACGGCCATTGCATCTGACATTCCGACCGACAAGTTCCTCTACCGACGTCGAACAAATGGGCAAATGTGAGGCTCTCATTGCTATCATGCCTTGTCGCAAAAAGACTAATCCAGACAGGGCGCCATGGTGTAATTCTGGATGCTGGTTCATCTGTACGAGACCACGAATCTGTACCTATCGCAATCGCATAGCTAAACTACTCAGGGCACCCGAGTGTATATTTACCGATGGCTCAACAACCAACGAGCCAGGAAGGAGGGCACTGAGCTCGAGCTCAACGGTCTGCCTCAGCTCGAGACGAAGAAGAAATGGACGCTCAAGATAAAGCCTGGTGCGTCCATGCCATACCTGTCGCATGTGAAAATAGCGACTGACAAGAGACAACAGGAGTATCGACTTTCGGAGAGAAGCCAGAGCTCGTAGGACCCGATCACCTAAAGTCTCTCGTCGACCACGCACTCGAATACATTCCCGATGACCAAGTCAAGGATACCCCTATCTTCCTCCTCGCCACTGCAGGAATGCGTCTCCTGCCCGATGTTCAGCGCAATGCAGTTCTCGACAACATCTGCTCGTACCTGCAGCGAAATACACAATTCCAGCTTCCCGACTGCGCGCTGCATATCCAGGTTATTCCTGGCGAAACAGAAGGATTATATGGCTGGATTGCTGCAAACTATCTGCTTGGTGCTTTTGATGCCGACGCTGCACAGACACACTTGCATGGCAAGGACCACCACACATACGGCTTTCTCGACATGGGAGGTGCTTCTGCTCAGATCGCCTTCGCTCCGAATGCTACAGAAGCCGACAAACATGCCGAAGACTTGAAGCTCTTGCGCATGCGAAAGGTCAACGGCGACCCTCTAGAGTACAAAGTCTTTGTCACCACCTGGCTGGGCTACGGTGTCAACGAGGCTCGCAGACGCTACATCGAATCCATAACAACAGCCAGTCCTGGCATCGCAGAGTTGCCGGATCCGTGTCTTCCTACTGGTCTGGAGGTCACGAAATCTGGACACGCCATCGCCCCTGGTTCTAACGAGGCTGCTGGAAAGGAGACATACCTGCTGGGAACAGGCAAATTTCCCGAGTGTCTCTCAAAAACATATCCCTTGCTGGACAAGGATGCGCCGTGTCTGGATCCTCCATGCTTACTCCATGGCGTACACGTCCCTGCAATTGACTTTGATGTCAACCACTTTGTCGGTGTTTCTGAATACTGGCACACGACTCACGAAATATTTGAAATGGCGCACAAAGACAAGGCTTACGATTTCAACACCTACCAGCAACGCGTTCTGGAGTTTTGCAGTCAAGACTGGAAGTCAATACAAAAGGGTGTAAAAGAGCAGAAGTGGGGTCATAAGGTGACAGAGGAGAAGGTGGCAGAGGTCTGCTTCAAGGCCAGTTGGATGATCAACATGCTACACGATGGTATCGGTATTCCAAGAGTTGGTCTAGAAGCCACCAAAGGTGGACACAACGGTACCAAGGCTGTGATCGATGGAGCGAAGGAGAAAGGCTTTTTGGATCCATTCCAAGCAGTCAACAAGATCAACGACGTGGAGGTGAGCTGGACCCTTGGAAAGATGGTCCTGTACGCTGCATCACAAGTGCCTGGTCCGGACGATAAGGCTCTAGCTGTCGGATTTGGCAGTAACATCCCAGGGTCCGTCCTCCCAAAGGACTTCCAATTTGCAGGTGGTAACGCAATCCCTCTGCCGAGCGATCTCAAGGACGATGACGATGTCGATTGGCACGACAAGCTTTTCACCTCAAGCTCTTCTCGACGACTTCCTGGCTTCCTCTTGTTCCTCCTGATCCTCCTCGTTGCCGCCTTCCTCCTCTGCGGTCGAGAACGACGCTCATCTCTCCTTCGCAAAGCTGGCTTCTCACCTGGCAAAGGCAACAAACGCAAGAGCAACCCTGTGACTAACAGCATCGGCAAACTCTTCGGTAACAACAATTCCGGTCCCTCTTATGAACGCGTTCTCGAAGGCGGTGTCGGCCCCGACCCATCAGACTTTGAACTCGACGATATGAACGACGATTCAGACTCTGATAACAGCAATGGCCGTACTTCGGGCTGGGCTACACCAAAAGCCAATAACAACGGATTCAGCAGTCCTGTTTTGCACTCTTCCCCCAGGTCAGCACGGGTAAACCTTTATAATGGCCACCAACCGCCCCAACCCTCGGGTGGTTATTTCGATGGCCCAGTCGCACATGCTTCAAGTGCACTTTCTTTGGCCACAACGCCTGGACTTCATCCTGGCGGCAGAGGAGGTCTATTGGCGAGAACGGAGTCTCGTGAGCAACTGGCCACAGCAACATTGAGGTCAGGGAGTAGGAGTAGAGCTGCTAGTCCCAGTCGGATCCGAAGCCCTCTCATCACACCGCTAAGAGAGAGCATTGAGTGAAGACATGATCTTTCACGCTTTTGGAATAACGGTGGTTGGATACGCATCTTTTCTTGGTTTGAACACTTGGGGGCTCTCTCACGAGATGGGACTTTTGTATTAGCGTGGTGTTTCTTGTCAACAAGGGTGCTTATATCTTCTGTATTCTCTATCATGATCCCAAAGAAAGTTCTTGATGCCACTTTGCACATAATTTCATTCTTTTATGGTCAGTTGGAAACCTTGTATTGGAAAAGCCTCCGCATGAATTCAGCTACGCATCAAGTTTCCCCTCCAAGATGGGAGCCAGATCAGAAATAGCCTTGTGAAAAGGCACAATTATTACTTGGATCGACGGAGCTTCCGCTGAGAGTTAAAGAATATACCGTCTCTCAGAAGCGCTCTTGACTTTTGAGAAACATTATGCATCGATCAGACCAAACCAGACAGATTTCACGCACAAGGGGAGTATGATTTTTGGTTTCCTAAAATCAAGCTGTGCAAGGCGGGAAGTGGAAGGTGGAAGAAAGCTTGCACAGGCTAGAAGCGATAACGAGTGTCGTCGCTCTTTCTTTCGTCACCGACCAACCCTAAGCTACCGGCACCCCCAATTTCGTATCAACGACAGAGCTCAATGCCCTGAAACTCCACTCTTTGCATGGTCGCAATCATAGACCATCTGCCTGCCCCTGTACCATGTCACTCTCCAGAATATTGCAAGCAAACAACGAGCTGTTCCGAGGCACGGTCGTCGTCCCAATTAGAAGAGACCGTCCCGAGACTCTACGAGATGACGCATTTCCCTGGACATTGATAAATCTCTGGAACTTACTGTGCCTTGAGACAGCTACTCGCGTTACACACTCTAGCATATGGGGAGATGGTATCTGCCCTGACCGAGATCGCAAGCACGCCGAGTCGCCTAAGTTTGCCCATCCGAATATGCTTCGAAATGCTGGCCTATCGCAACGCTGATCATCGTTCATCTACGACACGACACGGCCTCCGGGTAGTATCTCTTGCAAGATAGGTAGTGGGGATCTGGTTGCTACCCAGACTATACCTGACAATGCTACTGTGTCATTCATTTGACTCCAATGCTAGGATATGATGCATCGCTCGAGAATTCATACCCTAGTTTCGAAAAGGAAAGATAAGCAATACTGGATACAATAGAAAAGGTCCCGTAAGCACCACGTCAAAGTTCTATTCAATTGAAAAGTACGACTCTCTAGAGGCTCACAATTATTCGGTATGGGTCATCCTAAAGCGTGTTGCCTAGCATTGGCCCTCAATGTGGCAGGTGCCTTCGCAAATCCCATCAAGCCTCGTGGACTCATCTCAAAGGTTTGAACGGACCTTCCATATCGTTCCCATCCCGCTAACTTCAGCCCTATGTAGTCTGCACCAATTGATCTCGTATCTCACTTCAACAACAAAGCCTTTGGCACTTATGCAGGGGAAGCAGCATTTGATCCTTTGAACCAGTCATACCCAGCACCCGCTATTGCTCACGATGGATCCTATACCTCGACCCAAAGTGGTATTCAGTATGGTTTTCCGGGCTACACCGGGCCGAACAAGTCGGACAACGTGCTCTGCACTGGTCAAACCATCGAAGTCCCGAAGAAGAGCTATTTCTCGGCCTCTTTACTTGTAGCCTCAGATGTCGAGCTCGAGACTGTGTCTGGCAACCTGACTTTTACCTATCGAGACGATACAACTTCGGTATCTGAGCTGAGGAGCGAGCCGTGGTGGGCCTTTCTTACCATCAATCGAGGAGAAATAATCTTTCCTTACAGGTACACGGCCAATGGGACCAACTTCAACACTACACACATCTATGAATACAGCTATGCTTTGGATAATACCAAGTCACTTGCATCAATCACTCTACCGACAACTACCAACACCACCACTGGAAGATTGCATGTCTTTGCCATCTCGCTGTGGGAAGGCTCGGGCGTGTCTGTTCAATCAGTTCGTCCCACACAGAAGTGGGTAGGCAATGGTACTCAAGTCGTCGAGGTCACAATCAACAACGCTGGTACACAGTGCGTCTCGGGTGCCGGGCTTAAGGTCACTCTTTCCGGCGGTAACATCACGACCGTGAGCCCCGGGTATGTCAAGAGACTCTGTCTTGGAGATCAGAAGCGTGTCAACATCGGCACCCGAGGCACATCAAAGGGCTCTGTCTCCGTCACACTCGACGATGGGTCGCTTCAACAGAATCAAACGTTCAACAACCTTGACCTTGGGCTATCAACATGGACATCCGAACTCGATAATCTTGCCCAGCACGAAGCTCCAGACTGGTTCGACGGAGCTAAGTTTGGTATCTTCATACACTGGGGACCATATGCTGTTCCTGGCTGGGGTAACTCGACACCACACGAGAGTTATGCTGAATGGTTCTGGTGGTATACCACCCATCATCCAGAGGCCGATGCATCCGACTTCTATGACTATAGATTGCGAACATTCGGCCCCGATTGGAACTACGATGACAGCTTCGTGAACTATACTGCCTCGAAATTTGATCCCAGGGCCTGGGTTGACTTGTTTGCACACGCTGGAGCAAAGTACTTCGTCTTTACCACGAAGCACCATGATGGCTTTGCCAACTTTGATACAGGAGCGACGAGTAACCGCTCATCTATCCACTATGGGCCAAAGCGAGACATCCTGGGTGAACTTTTCGATGCAGCGGCTGAGTATCAACCATCTTTACGCCGAGGAACATACTTCTCTCTACCAGAGTGGTTCAATCCCGACTTTGGTCCCTACGGCTTCTCGCAATTAGCAACCAATAGCTCCACAACATGGCCTGGTATGCTAGCCACGAATCCTTACACTGGACTTGCCGAGCCATACACAGGTCACATCCCCGTCGACGACTTCATAACCGACGTAATGGTGCCCCAAATGGAAATCCTCGCCTACAACTACTCAACAGACATCATGTGGTGTGACTGCGGCGCCGCAAACGGAACCGCAGATTTCGCCGCATCCTGGTGGAACACCGCACGCTCCCAAAACCGTCAAGTAACCATGAACTCCCGCTGCGGCCTCGCCCACACCGCAGACTTCGACACTCCCGAATATACCACCTTCTCCACCGCTCAAGCCAGAAAATGGGAGAGCAATCAAGGCATGGATCCCTACAGCTACGGCTACAATCGCGCCACAAACGCATCAGCATACATGAATGCCAGCACAATCATCAAAGATCTAGTAGACATGGTATCCAAGAATGGCAATTTCTTGCTAGATGTAGGACCGAAAGCCGATGGCAGTTTTGTGCAAGAAGAAGTTGACAATTTGAAAGAGGCGGGGAAATGGATCAATTCTCATGGGGAAGCGATTTTCAATACGACGTATTGGTTTGTGATGCCGGAGGATAGGAGTGGGAGGTTGAGGTTTACCCAGACTGAGGGGGCGTTTTACGTCTTTTCGTTTGAGAAGCCGAAGGATGGGTTGTTGGTGGTTGATGCGGTGTTGCCTATTCTGCCCGGTGACGATGTGACGGCAGTGGGTGTTGGAAACGCAAGTGCTGCCTTGAAGTGGGAGAAGTCGGACGAAGGTACGTTGAAGATTGAGGTGCCACAAAGTATCAGTGATTCAGAGAAATACTGCTGGGTGTACAAGATAGAATACTTTACATAGATTAGACACTTGGATAAGACAGCTAGACGATAAGCGTGTAGACTAGGAAAAGGTTATACTGATGTTTACTTTGATACAAAGCTCCCTTTACCGAGCAGTCCCCGGGATAGTCAGTCAAGATGCACTTCAAAATGGCATATAGCATCCTCCCTATGTGCTAAGCTTCGTAACTGCCGCCCTCCTCTATGACTGTATGGACGACAACAAGCCGTGGAAACGCACACTCATTTTCTACATCAAGACCGTCTGCACGGGGAGTCAACGAGACAGCATGTCACTGTGACACGACTGCAGTTCATGGCAAGCGTTGTGCCTTGAAGCAGCTATCGATAGATACACCTAGGCACACAGAAAGTAGACAGGGTAGGAAAGTCAACACGCAGTTTCCTCTACGATGACACGAGCAGAAAATAAGCTATGGAGAGTCATACTAATCTCCGAGAATGAGCGTCCTAGTCAGAAAACAACCCTTCCAACCTCTTATCCACCTTAATCAGCTCTTCGATGTCCTTCTCAAGCTCGTCAGACGATAAAGCATCTCTAAGCATCTGGACCACAATTATCGATTCTTCCTTGACGATGTCGAAATCTTTCCCAGATACATCCTCTTGCATTCTTATCCACGGCACCGATACGCATTTCAAGATCTCCGTTTTATGGACATACAATCTAGGCCATGTGTTGAGAACGACAGCTTGAACGGCTTTGACAGAAGAGAGAAGAAGAGGCGGAGATGCAGTGATGAACGGATTTGTGAGAATAGAGGACAGCATGGGCAAAATGAAGGGAAGATGCTTGATCGAGTCCAGTCCCAGAGCGTTGAGAATAGCAGATAGATACGTCGTTGTAGCCGCGGTGATCTTGGCGTGTTCAGGACAGTAGGTGAATGTCATTAAGATACCTTTACGGATCAAAGCGTCAAGTAATTTTATGCGTTGGGATGGCTCTTGTTTGTTCTGAATAGTCGAAGAATCTTCCAAGACAGCTGAGAGAGATAGAAGAGCTGGATAAGCAACAGAGAGTAGTCGAGCACTTTGGTCCTCCGGTGTCAAAGTAGGCAGGTAGCCCAAACATGGCATAAGAGCTTCTTCGAACACGTCACCCAGACCAGTGCGCTTCAAAAGTGTTGGCGGTGTTTTGTCCAGCAATAACTTGAGAAGTTCGCAACCTTGAGCTTTGTATTCTGTATCAATGTCGTCGAGCATGCTGAGTAATGGTGGCACTATTGCGTGCCAGTTCTTCTCCACCAAGCCAGCGTCTGCAACTGCTATTGCCCAGCGAAGCAAGTCTAGAGCATAGCTGTCTCTTCCTTTCCATGTCACTTCGTCTTGGGTTCGCTCAAACTTTTTAGGTAGGACGGTGGTCTGCACCTTACGCCCTTGACTTGTTACCTGCTGCGTTTGTGTCTTTGCAAACAGCGGGCGAATGGTAAGCTGGAGGAAATATGTCATGAGATCTGATGTGAGCTCACCAGGAGTTGGAGATTGTTCTCTGGCAATGCGAACTTGTTCGATAGCTTCGCTAGTGTCTTTCTTGCCTGGGTTGCGCAATTGCCAACGCATGACTACATCGAGAGCGTCCTTCATCCATGGGCCGGTAGGCACGCCGAGTGCTTTTGTCAAGGCTTTGCCGTCGAGGATGGGTTTGAGTGCGTACACTTCGAGAAGATCTAGTTCTCGGACGAACTCGAGGAAGTTGGTGAATGCAGAAAGGTGCGCTGAACTTGTCAGTTTTTGAAAACAAGCAGTCGGGTTGAAATATTCAAACTCACATTTAGCCGCCGAGGGTTCGTCGGCGACGTTGACCAGCAGCGCGAAAGCTGTCTGTGATCTCCATGTAGAACCCCATCGGCGGATCGCCATTCCCAACTCCTCGCGTGCGGGACGCTTACGGCCATTGGAGTCACTGACCATCATAGAAATCTCGGAGTGATTCTTAACAGAATTGGTGATGACAGTGCACATGTTATTAGTAGCTTTGATGCCTTCGCGTGCGACAGTAGAGGCAGTAGGAGGTGGTGGTTTCTTGCCCTCGACTGTCGGAGGGGATGGGGCGTCTCTGTAGGGGACTAATGCGGACAACAACCAGACAAGGAATCTCTCCTCATCATTACGAACAAGTATTTCGCTGGCCTTGGATGACAGAATATCCTGGACAAAGTTGACGACAACATTCCAGTTGTCTGTGTCTGGGGTGAAGACCTTCGATTGGTCTTGAGCAGGGTCGGAGAAGATAGTAGAGTAGAGTGTGAGCTGATCGATCAAGTTCAGGGCCATAAGAGGATCGGGTCCTCTAAGCATCTTCTCGAGCTCAACACCAACTCTTTCGCGGCTGATCTTTGCTTGCAGAGCGCTCTTGATCTCGTCGTCCTTCATCCAGTTGCGTGCCTCTGGTTCGATTGTGTAGTTCAGTCTACTGGCAAATCTGATCAATCTCAATACTCGTAAAGGGTCATCCTTGAAGGTTTGGTAAGGCTCGAGAGGAGTGCGAATGATGTTGCTGGCCATATCGTTGTGGCCTTTTCCAGTAAAGTCTTCGATCTCACGAGTGTTGATGTTGTAAAACATGGCGTTGACTGTGGCATCGCGGCGAAGGGCGTCCTCTTCCGGCGTTCCAAACTCCATCTGAGGGTTTCTGCTGTCGTCGGAGTAGGTCTCCTTGCGGAGATTGACCAGATCAATATCAAGGCCCAGGATCTTTGTGGTTACGGTCTCCAAATGCTTTGACTTTTCCGGGTTTGCTTCAATCTTGTGCAGGCCACCTACGATTTTGCTCTTTCCAGATTCGGCCTTCTTGGATTGGGCGTCGTTGCTAGCTACACCTTCCAGACCATACTTTTCCGGGTTTCCGGGGATCTCAAGATACTCCTTCAATCTCAAACCGAACTGGAATCCAGTCATCTTGTTGATAGCCACATCGATATCATGACTCGCTACACCAAGAAGCTTGTCACGAACCCAACCACCAGTCCATCGAAGAACCAAAGGTTGGCGTGCCAGTTCATCCGGAAGAGGGACCTGACTTTCCGAGACGTGTCCGGGAGAGTTGTCAATGTATTCTGCAACATCAATAAGTAGGGTGCGAAGGTTCTCCTCAACTTCGGTAAGCTCCAGAACACGAGAAGTTGTAGACATTTTGGCGGAAGTGGTAAAAGCAACTTCGGAAGATAGCTTCCGGCGTTTGACAGATAGTTGTACAGGCTCAGGCGACTGTCTTGTGCGAATCAGAGCAGGAGACATGCACTTAGTCGAGAGACATTGAATAGATGGTGGTCGGATTGTAGAGGTAGGTCTTGCACGGACGAGTTGAGCGCGAGAGATGTTGGACAGAAAGGTGCGTGGAAGTATCATGGAAATCTGATGAGAAGATCAGGTCGTGTGTCAGATAACATTTGGAAGCATCTCGAAGACGCGTTGTCGTGATTGCTTGCGTTTCAGTCACATGAAAGGTGATGGGACACATTTTTCGAGCTCGGCATAGCTTCCGCTTACAGAAGAAGCAGCGACCCTGAACAGGCTGGCGCATTGAAACATGATGGATGCACATGCCATCAGCGTGGCAGATGAGATAGCTTAATTATTCTTGAGTCTCTTTCTATGCAACTCCGGAGTCCTTGTATCTCAGGTCACTGCCCGAGTGCCAGCGACACATGACGTCCACGCCCAACGATGCGGGCTTCCAGTCACCGCTCCAGAGCGACTCCGAGTCGAACACATCTATACCGCAGTCGGCCGCTCGTCGCGCCGCCCCTAGACTCTCGCTACCCTACCGCCGCTCGAACGCTTCAGTCGCAAGCTTGTTTGCATCCACGTCGTCAGCTCAACACTCTCCCACTGCATCCGGGACATCGACACCACCGGTGGGAGTCGTCAATGCCTCTGTCTTCTCTCCACCAGCCACGAGGCTCGCCAATGCTCTGAACTCACCCACTACTGCCACCCAACCCGATGAGGCCCGTCAGCTGCTTCTGCGCGCCTTTGCTCCCCGTATCTCTGTTCTCGCATCCGACGATTGTCAAGAGTTGTTGCGCCACAAGGGCATCAATGGCGGTCTGCTGGAGTTGCTCCGTCCTTTCGGAGAGAAAGTAGGAGGGAGAGTCGTTGTTAGAGATAGCACTGGTGCTAGTAGGCCATGGGACGACTTTGGCATCCGATTCACCGCTATTTCCGACGGTCTTGAGCCTCCTAGATTGGACCCCACCCCGACCGACTTGCCCGAGTACCGTCCTGCACGCCTGCGCACTGGAGGAGACGTCGAACAGATTGACGAGCTCGTCGCCCGTCACCTACAGTACTCCCAGGATCAACCGGCTGCTGGCGACTACTTTTCCGGTCCCGAAACCAAACCACATCCATCACAACTCACGCCATTCTACACGTTATATCTTCGCAGACTCCTCTCCGGGATACCCGTTACACCTCACGAAACCTTTTCTCACCCCGTCGCTCTTGTAATAGCAATTAGCTCTCGTAATCCCGCGCCGATAGACGAACTCCGCACTCTATATGCCAGCTCAAACACTGGCCAGCACAAACCTCCTTTGTGGGTGAATAACGAGTTTCTACGATATTATGTCCTCATTCATGACGAAGACCACGACGACATTACAAAGTCTACAGCTCTATACGAACAAATGAAGCGTCATTTCGGTCTGCATTGTCACTTGCTGCGTCTGCGGAGTAACGAGTGTCTTCCCTCGGATGATGACAGCATGAGATTACCCACTTGCGAGTGGCTGTCTGCAGGGGAGGAGTTGGGAGAGATTGCTAATAGAGAAAGCTCCGAAGTTGACGATGACCCTACGCCATACATTTTCGAATCTGATGCAGCCGCCATCCGAGCCTTTGTCCGTGAAATGGTCACTCAGTCAGTGGTACCAGGTATGGAGCGGTTATCAGCCCTATGGAACAACGAAGTCGCATCACGACGACGGGGTATTGCCGGCAAGATCGGTCTCGTATCCAAACGCTTCACATTCGGCTTCTCATCACGAGGCTCCTCAGGAGGCATCGGCGGCTCGAACAGCAACTACGATGCCCTTCAAGGCTTCTACAAACCCGACACACCAGAAGCAGTACTACGAAAACTAGCAGACTACGCTTTCATGCTGCGAGACTTCAAGTTGGCGCAAAGCACCTACGATCTCCTATGCACAGACTACAAGAACGACAAGGCCTGGAAGCACTATGCAGGTGCCAATGAAATGGCCGCCCTCACAGCACTTCTCGGCGCACCAAATGTACCCTCTCGCATCCGTGTAGACTCCCTCGACCAACTCCTGGAAACAGCATGCTACTCCTACCTCACCCGCTGTTCATCCCCTTACTCCGCCCTCCGCACCCTCATCCTAGCTACAGAACTCCTCCGTCTCCGCGGCGGCTCAGCTCTCGACGATTCCGCTCGTTGGGCAACCAGAATCCTCGAAGACAGGCTTGTAGGACCCATAGGTCATGCTCTTCTTCTCGAACGCATCGCCTCCTGCTATTCCTCGCGTCGCGGCTTTGGAGTACTCAAATCTGGAAGCCGAGCCAGAAAAGCAGCATTCTTCCACGTTTTGGCAGCGGAGAGTTGGTTAAAAGTGCAAAAAACAAAGCAAGCGGAACAGAATCTTTCTCTGGCTACGAATATCTACACAGCGAGGAAGCAGAAAGAGGAAGGGATGACGAGCTTTGAGTACATGAAAGTGTTTTTGAAGGAGTTGCAGCAGGATGTTGTGGAGAGTAGACCTGTTACGAGGGATGATGAAGAGGTAAAGCAAGAGGAACAGGCTGATGTCGAAGAGATACAAGAAGCCAGTTCCCAGAGACATGCCAGAAGTCTTAGTACAGCGGGTACTGGTGCTGCTCCTGTTCTCTCAGGCTTGGATCCTCTAGGCGTGGCGGTGGTGGCGCCACATAGTCCTACACTCGAAAGACCGGATCCTGCAAATGATGGGTTCGAGTAGAAGGGAGAGAGGTCATGAGGTGTGGTTTCGGTCATTCTCTTGAGCGCTGATGTTGATTTGATCTTTTTCTTTTTCACTTTTCTTCTGCATGGAAAGCGTGATGAGGGCTAGGGGCATTTACAGATGGCGTTTTTTTTTTTGGCAATTGGTAGAGTAGCATGGCATACATGTACCTATCTTCTTCATGGACAGCCTTTTGATCGAGTGACATATAGCTCAATGCATTGGTCACAGTGTGAGTGTCCAACACCATGTGGGCAGAAGAAAGGAAAGATTGGAGAGGAATTTGGATATTCATATCTGATGCCGAAAAGCGATTGCTCCAGTAGACATACGACAGTCCCGCAGGCTGGATGCCTTCTGTGCTTCCTTCCCGACTACCACGGACCAATGTGGCCCGCTCAAGGAATCGGGTATCTTGACTTCTTCCCCTTCGTCGAAGTCTTCGGCTCGTCACCACCTCCACCCAACTGGTCCAAAAGATCCAGTACACCCACACCTCCTCCACCTCCGCCAGACTTTGCATTCTCCTTCTTCTCCTTTGCCTGTCTCTCCCGTTCCTTTTCCTCTTCTTCAGCTTTCAGTGCTCGTTCTCTTGCTTCCATCAATGCTCTCTCCTGAGCTTCGTAGTATGCAGAGTGAGGAGGCGCGGCACTGTTGTCACGCTCGTCGTCCGAGTCGTCATATTCCGAGTTCTCGGCTCCAGAGTCAGGATGGACGGCGCGTAATTGTGGTGATTGCAACAGACCGCGGGATGGAGATCGGAACGTCTCAGGACTCTCACTACGGGTACTGCCGAAACTACCGCTGCGACCACTGCGTCCGCTACGGCGACTGACGTCTGAGCGGGCGGAGGTCACTCGACTAAGGGGCTCTCCGTCTGCTGCAATCTGGTCTGGGCGGTATCCGATGGCCTCTGCAACCATTCGGGCTTCTTCCTCGGCGTCGCGTTTCTCAAGCTCTGGCAGGGCGCCTAGACCATCTCCCGGCATGATGCTAAGGCGGTGTAGAGGATCCATGGTGTAGCCTGCATCATTGGTGGCAGTGTTGTCGCTCTTGTCGAGAATGTCGCGGTAGCCACGGCGTGTGGGATCTTGAAGTCTCTTGCGCTTCTTCTTATCGCGCTTGGACGAGGGTCGGACGACGATGACGGGGACGGGTGAATGTTGGAGGCAGTATTTGGACACGGAACCTGGCAACAGTCCTTGGAAGCCTCCTAGAGATCGACCTCTTGTACCGACGACTAGAATGGCCGGCTCATAGATTCTGATCTGTCGTGCATGTCAGTGCGTGTGTCTGAATGTGAAGTGTCGTATATGCATACCATGCGCTGAATCGTGTCCTGGACTTTGCCGATAGAAAACTCCAGGATGATGTTGATGGCCTTGTCTTCAGTGTTCTTCTCCTCGATACGCTCAAGCATGCGGTTAGCCTCCTTACGGTAACTGCGCTCTCTGCCACCTCGGTCGCTACCACCACCAGCCCACTTTGCTGCTTCTTTGCTGTCTTTCTCGACCACTCTCAAACAGACGACCTCGTCGCCGTCATCGACAAGTTCGTCAATCAACCATTCCAGAGCAGTATCGGAGTAGTCGTTGGAGTCTGTGCCGCAGAGAAAGGTGCGCGAGCGCTTGGTGTATTCATACTCGCGATGCTTGCGACTCAGAGTCAGAGAGAAGTCGGAGGCGTCACGATTGTCGAACGTGTCAAAAGAAACACGGGGTTTGAACTGGCTGCTTGGACGATTAGTGTGTGCCATGTCGGAGGCAAGAAATGGGAAGTGGTTGACTCACGTAGGTGGAGGAGGGCTGCTGAGTCGCCTGTTGACCGAGGACTCCTTTATGGGTACTGGCCTACGACTGCGGCTGCGGCTGGCTTCAGCGGTTCCTCCAGCGACTCTGACGTTAGGCATGAACTGGACGGAGGCCCTTCGGGCGGGGTTGTTGTCATCGGAGCTATGGAAGCGAATGGGCAAGGGGCGGGGCTTGTCGGCCGCATCGTAAGTACTTCCACCAAAGGCTAGCGACTGTGGAGGGATTTCTGAGGTCGCGGTCGCTCCCTCAGTGTTGTTTTGTGTAGGCGCTGTCCTGGGTGACTGCATCGGTGACGGGTCCATGACGGCCAGCTTGCTATGTGTTTGCGTGTGAAGAGTGGAAGTTGCGGTGGACGAGCACGCTATGTATTAATTAATGCGATTGTCGATATAGCGGAGAGATAGCAGCAGAATCGACGACAGGCTTCAGTAAAGCGATATGGAGAGTGAGTCTGCGCCTTACAGCACTTGCATGTGTTTGCACTGTGGAGGATTGCATTCGCTTTGGGAAAGTCGGTCGGCCACTACCTAATCGAATGATGCGGCCAAGCTTTTGGGCTTGTCAATGCCTCATCTGCTCGTGGCCACCTGCCTGGATGAACGTTTCAAAGCTGAACACTCATCATCTGTTTACAATTGTCTCATCGGCTTACAACTGTCGGTATGCAAACATTCACTTGCGCGTTTGTACGCTTCTTCATGTCTTCGCTTGATGTCGCTCGTCTCCGGTTGTGATTGATAGACAAGTGTGGGGTGATGGGACGTCACACGTGCTGTTGCTGTCAGTCTTTTGATTTCACATGCTCGGATCAGCCAGCCTTGATCCGAAACTCTCAGCATTTTACCCAAACCATCTCATGCCATAATATTTGTGCAAGGCAGAGCCTCTTGCAACATCACAACGCCAAGATATCAAGACTTAGTTGTGTTATGATTGTTCAGTGAAAACATCGGACTAGGTTTCATGTCCTGTTTGCTTCTCGTGATGGTGACTGGGCTCGTGATTGTGCAAGTCCTGTCAGCTTGTTGGATTCACAACGCTGAGATTCCTAGATGTCACACAACTTGACCATGCTTGGAGCGAAGGGCTCCAAACGACGCAAACATGTGCCACTGATCACTATAGACATATGGTGTTCAACACCTAATGGCTAGATGCAGCAAGACGAGGCTGATAGCGAGTTTTGTTCTTCCACGGCTTGCAAGGGGTATGACCCTGGTCATAGAGCCACGTCAGACAGGACGACGACTGGAGACCAGGCCTGGGCGAGGAGAGGTTGTATGAGATGTCACTTCAGTAACCATGTCACAATCTGCAGACACCCTAGGATGGAGATGTGAGAGTCATGATATAGTAATGAACGAGTGGACCAAGGGTGATTGTCACACGAAACAATGAACATTGGACCAGAGAACGGCACTTTGGCTTGGATATTGCATAAATTCGTGATATGCGGTTCAGCGCATACTACCCACAAGTCTGAGGGTACATTTGTCTCCGTGCAGAGACAACTACGGCGCTGTTGAATCCTCCTATGAGATGGGCAGCATATGAGGTGGCAGCCAGGGACGGACGAAATACGGCTTATGACAGCACGGGCGTCATAGCAGGCCCGAAGTCCTTGTTTCTGTCCATAAATCAAGGAGTGGGTGGACATGGCGCGTGATCGTCTTCCACGTTGTTCGTCCGCGCAGGATACTTGGGATATAGCAGTCTATGGCCGATTGTGGCCTGCTCTAGTGGTCGATTCGTCCCCAAGCAATGCATGTGCAATCATAATATCAAAGCTGACGCGGTGCGGAGTGGGGTGGTGTGGCGGCGATCTTTCAGGAAGTCTCATCCATGGGATCAAGAAGTTGAGCCTGGACCGGGGCAGGAAGCGGATCGGACTGAGCAGGAATGGCTGCAGTAGCAGGAAGCTCGGTTGTGGCTGCGGCAGAGGCGACAGTTGGAAGTGTGATCTGGCCGGCTTCCTTCTCTTCCCTCTGCTTCCTGGCCTTGTGCTCTTTGTAACTGACAGTCTTGGGCACGACGTCGGACAGGAATTCGAGATTGTCTACACGCGCGACTGCACTGGCTGAGAAGTGTGTCAACACAAATGTCCCTGACGATCTGACCGAGAGCAGTACTCACCGACGTCCTTGTATTGAATGTTCCTTCTGGGCTTCTTCTCAGCTTTGACGACATTTTGAGTTTGTTCGACCAGGTACTGCAGGAAAAGCTCAGTAGCAGCGGTGATGGTGAAGGCAGCGTTATTTGAGCAGTTGGCAATGTCATCGTCGGCATGAATGATCTTCTTGACTCTGGCGACTATTGCATGTCAGACGATGGTGTAGTCTATTGGTCCTTTCACACTTACGAGGGAGGGAGACTGTGCCAGTGATGTCGGACGAAGGTGTGATGGGGGTATTGTTATACGGCATCTTGACGGTAAACCTGACTGGACGACTACTGAGCCGAGGTGGAGGTTCGACAACAGATTGCAAGTTCAAACACGGATATATCTGATGGTAATAATAATCTTGTGGAAATCGGATGCTCAGCGTGACGCGTCTGACCTTTGGATGCGCGCGACGCACGGCTCCTTCCGAAAGTGGTTGAGGTCTGGCCTCGGGACTCTCGCCATGTCGTCCATCTTCGAGTGCCACGAATTGTCGCATGCAATGTCAAGGTGACAATCGCATATGTGATACGATAGAGATGCGATGAACTCTCTTCCACCTTCTCGCCGTCCGTCGCTTGTGCCGTCAGCTTCATCACGCTCCTTCCACCGCAGAGTCTCGGCGCTCTCCCTCTCAGCAGCCGAACAAGGAGACACGAGTCGTGTTAACCCCGAAGATCAGGTCGTCGCCGATGAGATTGATGAGATCAAGAGATATGAAGACTTTACAACAATAGATTGGGTCAGAGATGCTGCCAGGGAGCAGCAGCGACGCAAGGCCAAGCGACAAGAGCGTGCTGGTTTCTTCGAGAGAGATGGTCGCCTGGGTTGGAGAAGAAGGCTATGGGAGGCTTATGATGCTGGCCAAGCGTGGCTGGTTGTTACTCTGATAGGCACTGCCATTGGTCTCAATGCTGCCTTTTTGAACATAGTCACCGAATGGTTGTCCGATATCAAGCTCGGTCATTGTACAACTGCCTTTTATCTGAATGAGAGTTTCTGTTGTTGGGGTGCCGAGGAAGGTTGGTACATCTCACTCTCTACAAGCCATAAAATACTGACGCCTCGAAGGCTGCGCAGAATGGCGGCCTTGGAGTTCCCATATCATTTTCCGCTATGTAATTTACATTATCTTTTCCGTAAGCTCTGGTCCCATCAACTTTGTCTGTCATCTTCTAATAGTTACTCTTAAGACCATTTTTGCCTTTACATCCGCCAGACTCGTCAAGTCATATGCCCCATATGCTGCTGGTTCTGGTATATCCGAGATCAAATGCATCATTGCAGGCTTCGTTATGAAGGGCTTCCTCGGCTTCTGGACTCTGCTGATCAAGTCCATCGGTCTGCCTCTTGCCATCGCTTCTGGTTTGTCCGTTGGCAAGGAAGGACCCAGTGTTCACTATGCTGTGTGCACAGGCAATGTCATATCTCGCTTCTTCGACAAATATCGCCGAAATGCTGCAAAAACTCGAGAGATCCTTAGTGCATGTGCTGCAGCAGGTGTAGCTGTTGCTTTCGGAAGTCCCATTGGAGGTGTCCTGTTCTCACTCGAGGTAAGTCGATCAACTTCATCTCAATGTTGTGTCAACTGGGCGCTGACCATCTGACCAGGAAATGTCAAACTATTTCCCACTAAAGACTTTGTGGAGAAGTTACTTTTGTGCGCTGGTAGCAACCGCAGTCCTCTCTGTAAGTTCGCGATCATCTCGTCCTCGATGCCTCACTCACATCTTTCAGGCCATGAATCCCTTCCGTACCGGCCAGCTTGTCATGTTCACCGTCAGCTATGACCGACAATGGCATTTCTTCGAAATCTTCTTCTATATCATTCTCGGAATATTTGGTGGCCTCTACGGTGCGTTGGTCATCAAGTGGAACCTCCGCATGCAAGCCTTCCGAAAGCGTTACCTCGCTCAATATCCAATCCTTGAGGCCACCATACTCGCCACAGCTACAGCTATCCTCTGCTACCCGAACAAGTTTTTACGCATCGACATGACAGAGAGTATGGAGATTCTCTTCCTCGAGTGCGAAGGAGGTCATGACTATGATGGCTTGTGCGAGTAAGTGGAAAGAGTTGACCCGATCGTGAGGACTGAACTAATTGCGCTCAGCCGTCAAAACCGCTGGACGTCAGTAATGTCCCTCCTTATCGCGACTGTCCTTCGCACCTTTCTCGTCATCATCTCGTACGGTTGCAAAGTACCTGCAGGTATCTTTGTACCTTCCATGGCGATCGGAGCATCTTTCGGACGCATGGTTGGTATCCTGGTCCAGGCTATGCAGCAGGCATTTCCCAACTCTGCGTTCTTTTCAGCTTGCCAGCCTGATCTACCCTGCATCACTCCAGGCACATATGCCTTCTTGGGCGCTGCGGCTGCGTTGTCTGGGATCATGCACATCACCGTTTCCGTCGTCGTTATCATGTTTGAATTGACAGGAGCCTTGACCTATATCCTACCCACCATGGTATGTGAACTTGAGGGAACATTTATCTGTATGCTTTACTGACACTATTTCCAGATCGTTGTAGGTGTTACGAAAGCAGTTAGTGACCGCTTTGGAAAAGGAGGTATTGCAGATCGTATGATCTGGTTCAACGGTATGCCATTCCTCGACAACAAGGAGGATCACGCTTTCGGTGTGCCCGTCTCTACAGCTATGACCAGCGAGCTGAAAGCTTTGCCAATATCCGGCTTGGAGGTTCGCGACATTGAGAAACTATTGGACGACAATAAGTTCTCTGGCTATCCGATTGTTGAGGATGCAACCTCGATGATGTTGGTCGGGTATGCTGGTCGTACAGAGCTTCGTTATGCTCTTGACCGGGCTAGGCGTGATCAGATGGCAACACCACGCACCAAATGCTTCTTTACTCCAGTCGCAGGGCAGGTGCCAATCACGCCATCAACACCAAACCCAGCAGTACACTTCGACTACCTCAGTGCGTCATCAAACCAATCAAGCGTAGACTTGAGTAAGTTCATCGATGCAACACCTATCACAGTCCATCCTCGTCTACCTCTGGAGACCGTTATGGAGCTCTTCAAGAAGCTTGGACCTCGAGTCATTCTCGTCGAATATCGCGGCAGACTTACCGGACTAATCACAGTCAAAGACTGCTTGAAGTACCAGTTCCAGGCAGAAGCCCACGAGAATCCCAAAGACGATTCGGCGCTCAGGGAAGCCCAAGATCGCTTGTGGCAAGTGATCAGGAAGACAGCGGGTTGGATAAATAGTCGACTGTCATTCTTAAAGCGTCAGACTCGCCACGTGCGACTGCCATCTTATTCTGATGCAGGCGTGACACCGAGGAGTGACACATCTGCGGAAGGGCGAGCGGCAGCTAGACACGACGACCTAGAGCTAGACTGTCAAACATGATGAAAAGCATGTTCTCGACCAAGATAAATGAAGACCTTTCTCCAAACAACTGTTGATGCTGCTCATTGGAAGGAGCAATCGTGCCGATGGAGCATGTCCTTATAAATCCTGATTAGGCAATCCTGACTCCGTGCACGCGGCGTTTTCGTGACAATTCTGACGCCATCATACGCGTCTGCCGTCCTTTCCACTCTACTGTTTGGTCTTGCAACATTCAATATTAGAATCGACTGGCCACAATGGCGGACAATCAGGATGTGGAGATGACCGGTCGCAGTCCATCTCCGTCGCGCGGGATGAAAAGAACTGCAGATGAAGCATTCAACAGAGCACCGCCACCCATCCGCGCTCTTCATCAGGATGTCGTCAACAAAATTGCTGCTGGAGAAATCATTGTCTCACCCTGGAATGCATTGAAGGAACTCATCGAAAATGCTGTTGATGCTGGCGCAACGATGCTCGAAATCTTGGTGAAAGACGGAGGATTGAAGTTATTACAGATCAGCGACAACGGCCATGGTATCAACGTGAGGACAATCATATGCTGGCTCGACACCTATATTCATTACTGACCATGTTACAGAAAGCCGACTTGCCTCTGCTGTGTCAAAGACATACGACCTCCAAGATCAAAGAATTCGAAGACCTCACTTCGATTGGTACCTATGGATTTCGTGGAGAGGCTCTTGCCAGCATCAGTCACATTGCCCATCTCACGGTGACCACAAAGACAATGGACTCGAGTTGCGCATGGAAAGCATATTACACCAATGAAAATCTTACACCGCTAAAGCCTGGTCAGCCTGCAGATCCCAAACCTTGTGCTGGCAAACAAGGGACCCAGATCACCGTGAGCCCACCCTCTTGTACCATTATTGCGACCAAGCTAATATGTCGAAGGTCGAAGACTTGTTCTACAACGTGCCAACTCGCAGGAGAGCCTTCAGATCGAGCAGCGAGGAATACGCCAAGATACTGGACATCATTGGCAAATACTCCATTCATTGCAAAGGTGTTGCGTTCTCTTGCAAGAAACATGGCGAGGCTGGAACCAGTCTCAATGTTCAAAGTCACCTTACTACGGTCGACCGCATCCGGACAGTGTTCAACAGCGCAGTTGCAAATGATCTGATATCCTTCGAGGCTGCCAATGAACGCTGGGGCTTCAAATCGGATGGACTGATCAGCAGTGCCAACTACTCAGCAAAGAAGTCGACATTCCTGTTGTTCATCAATCATCGCTCGGTCGAATCAACAGCAATTCGCAAAGCCATTGACCAGACCTATGCAACGTTCCTGCCGAAAGGAGGAAAGCCATTCGTCTATTTGAGTCTGGACATCGATCCGGCCAGGGTTGATGTCAACGTGCACCCGACCAAGCGTGAAGTCGGATTTTTGAACGAGGAAGAGATTATCGAAGTCATTTGCGACGAGATCCGTACAAGACTGGGTTCAGTCGACACAAGCCGAACATTCATGACACAGTCATTGCTTGGACCAAAGAAGACCACAACACCCATGACACCATCAGCTCCTGGTCAAAGCGAGATGTTGTCGTTCTCTACTCCTCTGCTTCAACACGAAGACAGCACAGGCTCTACAAAGTCCACAACTCCAAGAACAGCAGCGAAGCCATATGAGAACAACCTTGTCAGAGTCGACTCACGTGTTCGCAAGATCACCTCCATGCTTCCACCCACCTTATCTTCCTCGCCGAGCAAAGGAAGCAGGGCAGAAGGACAAGGTACAGAAGAGACGGAGTATGAATTCGTTGAGAAGCAACAGACCACTATTCGACTCACTTCGATCAAAGAACTTCGTGCTACTGTCCGGGACGAGATTAACAACACCCTGAGCGACATGTTCTCGAATCACACCTTTGTGGGCATCGTTGACACTGCCAAGAGAATCGCAGCAGTTCAGTCAGGTGTCAAGCTCTACCTAATCGATTACGGTATGGTGTGTACGGAGTTGTTCTACCAGCTTGGGCTGTCAGACTTCAGCAACTTTGGTACAATCAAGTTCAAGGAGCCACTGAGTGTCGCGGATCTCTTACGTATAGGAGCAGAATATGAGCAGTCGCGGACGCCTATCCGCGATCAAGAGCTTGACTGGAACGAGGTTGTACAAGTGACTCTGGATCAACTGGTACAAAGCCGAGGTATGCTCAATGAGTACTTTGCTCTCGACATATCCGAGGATGGTGAGCTGCATAGCATCCCTCTGATACTCAAGAGATATATGCCTTGCCTGGCCAAGCTTCCGACTTTTCTTCTCCGCTTGGGTCCTCACGTCAACTGGGATGAGGAAAAGGACTGCTTCGACAGCTTTCTGCGAGAGCTTGCGTCATTCTATTCGCCGGAATCGCTACCATCAACATCTACGACCTCGGAGCTTTCCCAAGAGGCACAAGAAGAGGCCAACAGACGCCGCAAGCAGTTGGAGAGATCAGTCGAGATTGCAGTCTTCCCTGCCTTCAGCAAAAGGCTCGTCGCAACAAAGGGACTTAGAAAAGCAGTCGTCGAAGTAGCAGATCTCAAAGGACTGTATCGTGTATTTGAGAGATGCTGAGCATGGGACAGAGGCGTTTTTATGTTGCTATGATACCACAGTCTTTTTGTTCTTGTTTGTTAGCACAGCATTTTCGGCGACGCATTTCACACTAGGGGTTCAGATTGCATGTAGATATCTTCGGCATCCTCGAATGACAGGCAGATTTTCTTCGATCCGATCTATTCTGCCTTTTAACCGGAATGACAGCTCAACTTCCAAAAGTGATATGCGACGTCGGAAGAAGTCGCGTGCCTGCCCCGTCGATCCTACGTTGAAGCTGCATGATGATGATTCTGCAGAAATCGAATCATGAATGACGTGTCCGCGTCTTCTGAAAGATACCAGAATTCAGCGACACAGTCCTTGCAGTCGATCAATGTTCAGGATACATCGGTCTTCTCCACGGGGTGTGTTAGTCAACATGGGGAGCCCCCATAAGATTGCAGCGGCTCATCAACCCTCAAGACGGGAATAATGTCTTGAAACGACGAGCAATCGGGCCGTGTATCACGGCATCGTCATGCCGAATACCACATCATAGCCATCAAAGCCACCAAGAAAAACGCCTGCCGAAAGCGCCATCCGTTCAAGAAAAGAGAGGCACGAGGCTTGAACGTAAAATCAAGAAAACGCAAGCAATTCGTATGCCAAGCACCTGACTCGACATCTCACGGACCAGGGATCGACATTAGTTTGTATCCACTTCTTTTTTCTCCATGGAGGAGAGCATGGAGAGTATGGAGCTTTGCGTGCGCTTCGGAATACCGGTTTGGGGGTGCCCCGCTCCGGGGGAGGATTGTTTGAGGGATTGACTGTGGGTCTGATTTGGCATGTTGATGCTACCGGGTGTTATTTGGGAGGTTGTCGCCGATGGTGAGGGTGTAGAATGGGTTGCATATATCAGGCACGTCTCGCTCTTCTTCCGGAGGCGAGGTCTACTCGCTTTTCCGGTCTCCTTAGACGTCGACTATACCCAAAGCCTCAATTGACAACTGGGTCTTCTACGGCTTTCTTTGGATCTCGTTTCACCACTCTGTCATTCTTGGAAACAAAGACTGCATTACTCACTGAGACGGAATTCTACGATCCGCGACCATGGATCAACTGAGTGGCTTTCGTGTAGCAAACGTGCTATACAAGAAGAGTTTGTTGAATGCCATCGCTTGTGCAGCTGCGCTTTCAATCTTCTTCTTTGGTATGAGTTTCCGATTCACCTTTTCGAGGCTTCATTACTGACACGACATCTAGGTTATGACCAGGGTATGATGGGAGGTGTCAACACCTCAGCCGACTATGCCCAGTTGATGGGATTCGGTCATGTCGACGAAGCAAGCGGTAGAGTTATTGTCGACGACTCGTTACTACAAGGCGGCATCGTTGCTGTATACTATCTCGGAACACTCTTTGGAGCCTTCCTCGGTGGCTGGGTAGGAGACAAGACTGGTCGTATTCGCACAATTGCACTCGGTTCAATCTGGGCGATCTTGGGAGCTGCTCTTCAATGCTCGGCTCAGAACCATGTCTGGATGATTTGTGCTCGTACGGTCAACGGTATTGGTACTGGTATTCTGAACGCCATTGTGCCTGTCTGGGCTACTGAGACTGCTGAACACACTTCTCGTGGTCAATTCATTGCCATTGAGTTCACACTCAACATTTTCGGTGTTGCTGTGGCTTACTGGCTAGAGTTTGGTCTGTCCTTCATCGATGGAGGTCGTGGAGCTTTCCAATGGCGTTTCCCCATTGCTGTAAGTTATGGTACAATTGCTTACCGAATTGTGACTGACTCTAGTATCGATAGTTCCAAATCATTCCTCTACTTATGCTCTTCGGCGTCATCTGGTTCTTCCCCGAATCCCCTCGCTGGCTCTGTAAGGTCGGTCGCGATAAGGAAGCAAGACACATTCTCGCCCGTCTTCGTGGTGACGAAGGAACGGACAGGATCAGAGCCGAGGCTGAGTTCCAAGACATTATCAACATCGTACAACTGGAGAGAAGCACCTCGAAGCAAAACACATACTGGAAGATGTTGCTCGACTTTGGCAAAGGAAGCTCGGGAAGTCTCCATACTGGCCGCAGAGTCCAAATAGTCATCTGGCTTCAGATTCTCCAGGAGTGGTGTGGTATTGCTGGCATCACTGTTTATGCGCCTACTATCTTTGGCATCGCTGGATATGATGCTCAGAAGAGTGGCTGGCTTTCTGGTTTGAACGATACAACATATATGCTCGCTACACTGGTCTGTGTCTTCACACTCGACAGGATCGGCAGAAGATGGACACTCTACTGGGGTGCGATCGCCCAAGCCATCTCTATGTTCCTCATTGGAGGCATGTCTCGTGGAGGTATCAATGCGACTGCCAGTGGAAACACTGCACTCGCGGCCCGCTATGGAGCCGCAGCAGCCAGTTTCACCTTCATCTACACGGCCGTCTTCGGTGCAACATGGCTGACTGTACCGTGGCTGATTCCTGCTGAGATCTTTCCTCTCGAAGTGCGCGCCAAGGGCAACGCTTGGGGCGTCGTGGGCTGGTCGATCGGCAATGGATGGCTTACACTACTCTGCCCGGTCATGTTCAATGCCATAGGCGAGAAAACGTTTTACATCTTCGCTATATCTAACGTTATATCGATCCCTCTGGTGTATATCTTCTTGCCGGAAACCAACCAACGCACTCTAGAGGAAGTCAACATACTTTTCTCGGCATCTTCGCCTTTTGCATGGTCTGCAGAGAAGCACTTCGCAGAGTTTCAGGCTGGCAATCCAACATATGTATCTGGCAGCCGTGGAAACTCGATCACTGATCCCGAGACGGGTATGCGTGGTGGGAAAATGAGAGAGTCTGCCGATATGGTGGAGACGATGAAGGAGAAGGAAGATATTTGAGTTGGGAGGAGCGACCGACGCTCGCCCTCATAAGACTCGCGATGATGCAGATGAACACATTAGACAAGATAGAGAAGACGCACGATAGGCATAGAATAATTCAGTTGTGATTTAACTCTAAGGACTTAATCTGTCGACCTTCCATCCAGACTCACTGTTGTCATCCCTCGTGTATCTGAAACGATCGTGCAAGCGGCTAGGTCGTCCCTGCCAGAACTCGACCATCTCTGGTACAACTCTGATACCGCCCCAGAAGTCAGGAACGGGGATCTTGTCTTGACCATCGAATCGCTTCTCGACATCTTCAACCTGCTTCTCAAGCTCCTCGCGACTGCTCAGGATACTGCTCTGCTGACTGGCCCAAGCACCCATCCTGCTGCCTCTGATACGTGTGTCGTAGTATACCTGACTCTCTTCACTGGTCATTCTCTCCACCTTGCCCTCGACTCTAACCTGTCTCTCCAACTCATGCCACCAGAAAGTCAAGCTAGCATGAGGATTGCTCTTAACATCGCTTGCCTTCCTGCTCGTACCCCAATTGCTGTACACCACCCAGCCCTTGTCGTCCAACTCTTTCAAATACACCATTCGCGCGCTCACTCTGCCAGAGGGAAGTTCGGCAGTGCTCAATGTGACGGTCTCGGGTTGATGCACTTTTTCGGCATTGGCATGTTGGAACCAAACATCGAATTGGGTCAAGGGGTTTGGGTCGAGTTGTGAGGCTTCCAGACTGCCTTTTGTGTATTGTTGGGCTTGTTGGGAGTCGTTTGTGCCGCCGGGTGCAAAGATGCGTTTATTGTTGGGTGTGGAGCTGGACATTGCGCTATTGTTGCCAGGGCTGTTGTAGAGGGCCATGCGAGGTGAGAATCTGAGTGAGGTGTGACGGATTGGAGTTGCGAGGAAACTGCAGTATCGCCGCATGTATTATTGATGCTTACAAATGTGTTGAAAGTGATATAGTAGTGTGAAGGAGAGGAAGTGAATTTGGATGTTTCTGTTTGCTATGACGATCCTGGTGACTAAATTTCCCCAGAAAAAGGTGCATGACATCTCCTGACGATCGCGCGCTGTCTCTCCATCTCCTGCATCCATCATCTTCCATCGACTTTTCTTCGTGGGTTGTCATGGATAGCAAATTGAGTTGTAGTGCTCAGTTGTGGGTAGGTCCACTTTGGTAATCTTCAAAGGGCCTCCTTGTCGTTCGTGGTGGGACCCGCTCCGTTGCTTCGCCGAGACGCTCCATTGCCCTCCGCAGCTGCCAGTTTGGACCTGTGCTTTACGACAAGTTAGTTCTTCCGCCCGATGAGGCTCGCGAAACTTGTGCGTCAGCAACATACCTTGGGGTACCTTCACTCCTTCTTGACTCTGGCCCTGGATCCTGCCTTGGCAATATCCTCGTCGTCGTCTGAGGTCTCCATCATGCTAGACAGCGACGCCCTGGGCATAGAGTGACTCTTCTTGATCAACGCCTTCTCAAGACTCTGTTGGATGAGTTCGACCACAGTCACCTCGATGGCGTCCATGCAATCTTCTTTAATTTCATTCGAAACTGCTTGCTTGGCCTTCTGCATGGCGCAAGGGTTCATCTGAGACAAGTGGTTGGCATAGCCCTGTGCGTCTTCGTCAAGCTCCATGTCAAGACTGCCCTCAAGGACACGCCCCATCGCATCATCGATGGCGTTGGCGATCTGGATGCGTAATCCACTGCTGTTCGTCAGTATCGCACTTGTGCAGCCGCCAGGAGCACGGAAACGTACCTGTTCTTCTTGGGAGCCTCCTGGCGAGCTCTCTTGGAGCTTCCTCCAACGGCATCGTTGCTAGTTGCTCTCTTCTTTCCATTACGTGCCTGACGAAGTGCTTCTGCATCTGTCTTGACAGGCTCGTCTGCACCGTCATCAAGAATTGCTTGCTCGACGTCTGCGACGAAGGGATTCACGTGAGCTCCAGTGTTGCTTCTGTGGCCAGGGGTCTCTCTGCTCTTCACAATGTGGCCGTCGGTTGCTCGAGACAGTGCAGGAGTAACGTATCGATCGACAAGGTCTCGAGTGTTGGAAGGACGAGGTGAAGCAGTAGCAGGGGCAGGGGCTACAGGAGCAGCAGTGGGAACAGAAGAGCCAGCAGGGGTAGAGGAAGCGACACCAGCTTCTCTGTCCCCGCGCGCGTACTGAGTCTTCTTCTGTCCGAAGAGATTGACCAAGTGGTTTTGAAGGTCATTGACCTTGTCGTAGGCTCGTGGCTTGGGGTTGGAGCCGCTGTAGAGTGTCTTGCAGTTGTTGACGATAAGCTGGAGGTGCCCGACGAAATGGTTCAGGCTTTGGTAGAAGTCAATCTCAGGCTGGAGATTCTCATTGATGGTCTTGAGATCGACGCGTGGCGTAATGCTCTGGTACTCGGCAGTGCCGACGGTTGCGCGGAACGGCTCGGTGAAGTGATTGTTCTTCTTCTGGTCAAGTTGCCCCATGATATAACGGCAGAACAGTCTGTCGTTGACCGACATGTCTGCATTGTCCGCGGGATCGAGATCGTCCCACTGCTCCTCATGACCGAGACTGGTTCTGGTATTCTGCAACAGTATTAGCTAATCCAAGACAGAGACTTGGGATCACAGCACTACTTACGTGTCGGCTCATGATGATGGAATAGCGCGCGATGCGAGTTGTTGTAAGACGAAAGAGACTTGATCGCGGAAAGGACTGAATTAGATGTCTGGAGAGGGGCCGAGCCTCCTGTCGTCTGGTGAATTTGGTTGTGCCTTTTCTGTTCGAGAATCCAGGCTGGATTGAGTGATCTCGAAGACTTCCTGAAGGAGAATACTCAATGCTCGACCGACAAGCTCGAGAAGCAGGTTATAATGTACCTGGAACACTGAGATGAAGACGTAGCAGAGTTGATTGAAGATACAGACGTGGTTCATCTCTATATGACATGTACCAACACCTCTCTCTGTCATTCGCCAACACGTAGTTCTTTCACACTAGCCCTCTGACATTCACCAGGAGACCTGGAGATACATCGCTATTCCAAGTTGCCGACATGGCCTTCTGCAGGAAAAGGGGCTGGTTGTTTATGACGATATCAGAAAGATGTGTTGTCCTGAATAACTGGCGCTTGACCTTTTTGTTCTTATCTTCAAATGCCCGGCACTGACCTAGATCTCTGACTAGCTAAATTTGGAAGGGACCTTTTGAACGCACAATCTATTCCTAAGACTGATGACTGTTGGTAGAAAATTACCCGTGATAGGTGCTTCAGCATTGAAACTTCTTACACTAGAGATGACCTTGCATTTTGTTGGCTACAGAATAGCCTATACTGGAGCAAGTAATACCCTCACATCTAGAAACCATGGACACCACTTTTGACTCGATCAAGTCTACCACCACAAACAACACCATTTTCTCTCAACGCAGAGGAAGCTCTTTCAGCAATAAGACCAGGCAACATGGTCCCTGCTGAAGCCACTGCCTTCATCTTCATGTAAGCGGTAAACTTGTCGTCATCGGGAAGTAACCAGACTGTCTTTGCGGAGCTTGCTTCGGCCTGACAGTGTTTGATGATCTCCTGCATCTCAGACTCATAGAAGCCTTTCCCGATCACCACAGCAATAGGGCCTGTCGACGAGGTAAGGAGAGATGGAAGAGTTGATTTTGCTGAGTCCATGTCGTGACAGGTGTGGATTACTGATCAATCTCGTAAGTCATGGCGCTTAGATCTTATACCTCAGTGAGACAAGATTGGTTGGGTAACGAACCTTGATAACCTTCTTTTTCCATGCTGCTGCTGAAGTTTGTAGCCATTGTCTGACTCTTGCCACAAAGAGCAATCGGTACGGGTGTAGGGAGAGACATGCTTGATGACAGGTGCAGAAATAAAGATGACGACAAGTATACAGATGTTTGAGGAAGCAGCGTTCGAGATGTGGTGAATTGACGTAGTGTGACTTTGAAGCTCATGTACTTTATGTGCAATTAGGGCACAGAGGTGGATATGAGATGGCCAGGCGATGAATTGAGTTTTGTCAAAACCAGAATCTATGGCGGCTGCTCCTATATATGTACCTGTGCGATATCTGATGGTATGTCCTGCATGAAGTGTGGTCATCGATTGCTTTGCCGGTCGATAGTTGCTCCTTCCCGGCTCGGATGTCCGAGATCATGTCCGAGAGGAAATCCGAAGATATAGTGATTTGGACGCATTTACACATATCCCGATAATGGGATCCCATAGTATGCGAGACTTGCATCCAATGACGGAGGGCTCAATGACGGGTTACAATGTTGGTACGGTAGACGACAAAGATTGTCCGTGCCGTACCGACTGTTGGGTGAACAATTTCATCGTCACCTAGCGGTGTCGATGGTCGACGATTGTTTGTTGGTCATAGTCCACTATCAACAAGATGTTGCCCAAGCATCATATTGCACTAATGAAGAAGAAGAAAAAGGTTGGGCCAAAAAGGATAATCGCAGTCTAACAATTCGGAAATGCTGACTTGCCTCGACAACTTCTTGCCTCTGAATCCGACTAGTGTGATTTGGTGAGGAGAGGGTAGGATCGATAGTATATGATCTGCTATGGTGGAGGTGGTAGATACGTATCTTCTCATGTCTGTCATGAATCCCTTGTCTGGTGGTAGTAGAGGTGGACTCCGCTGACCACATGAGTACATCCGTATCACTGTATAAAATTACACCGCTTTGAGGAAGCATGTTGATTACTATCGACAGTTACCATCTCATCTCCTTGTGCCTCGCTACGGTGCTAGTTGTGCGCCGACTTGATCTTGTGGTTGCTGCTGCTTTTAGACGACAGGCCACGAACTCTGACTGATGGTGATGTAAATTCTCTTGCGCTACACAACTGCACGATTGCATCGGCGACGAGCATTTGAAAAGTGGCCTCACGCGAACATAAAATAGCGGATGTCCAAATATAGCATTTTTAACTTAAACATACTTTTTACAACTCATTTCTCACTACTTGAGTAGTGGTAGAGATGATTTCCTCCGTGATCGTTCTACCAGCACTGTGTGCTCGTACCGAACTTAGCATGGTCTTGTTCTCGAGAAGGAAAAACAACAGCCACGTGGAAAGTAGTGCTAGAGAAACTGCAACGCCAGAAACTATGACGACCATCCATAGCCAACCAGGTATCATAGGAGGCTTCTGGGGCTTCGTGTGCGGATTTGAGACTTCGTCCAATGACTGGTCGAGGCGAAGAGCCATCTGTTCTTTGGAGAATTCTGCTTGCACGCGCTTACGTCCGTTTTCACCCATGCTACGAAGCTCAGCAGGATTTGAGGGAGATAGAACACGCGACATGACAGCAGTCCACTCGTCGGGTTTACGAATGTCTCGCAGCCAGCCGGTTTCTCCTTCAACAACGGTTTCGAGAGGACCACCTTCATTGGCAGCAAGCACGGGTACTTGAGCAAGCATGGCCTCGAGAGGCACGATGCCGAAGTGTTCGTTTTGAGGTGTGTAGACAAGCAATTCAGCAGAGGCTAGGAGAGTTTGCTTCAAAACATCTGGAACGGATAAGAGGAACAGGACCGACGTCTTGTCTGAGACGACTGAGGGGTCAGGGAGCGATTTATGGGTTTCATGGGAGAGCTTGAGTGAATCGGCCAACTGTTCGAGCTCTCTGTGGGTATTGACGTTCTCTGGGACGCGGGAATCGTAACCGCCTGGTACATGTGAGCAAGAAATATAGACAGTAGGACAATTGAAGCATACCAGCAATGACCAACAGAGCAGACTTGCGGATTGAGCTATCGAGCTTTGCGAAAGCCTTTACAGCAAGAGCAACATCCTTCTTCTTCTCGAAGCGATTGATGCTCAGGATGACCTTTCGACCTGACCACATGGCTTTTCTCTGCAGCTGGCTAGCAGTCGAGATATCCACACAAGGATAGACTACCTTCAGATCTCTGCGCGACAATTTGGACAAGACGCGCTTGACCATACCACCAGTGAATTTGCTGTTGACCACAATGCCATGGCTGGAGGCTGTGCTCCAGCTCTCAATAGCATTGAAAGGTATCCTGTAAGCCTTCTTCAAGATGGCTATAGCGCCTTCTCCTTTCTGAGCGAGCAATTGGTCCGGGAAGTGACAGTAGAAGAGGATGCCGACGTCGGTATACAGGAATCGAAGGAGTGGTACCGCTGCACTCAACTGGTCAACGAAGAAATGCGTTGGTCTGAGGTGATCGAGTTCATAGTTCCACAAGGCGACTATGCATACAAGGTGCAGCTGGCGTAGAATGGCGCAGAGAATGGCGAACCGACCGAAGATGGTCGGTGGGACTAGCGAATTGCCACGCACTCGAACGTCGAGCGTTCCTGCGAATATTTAGCCTACTTTCTCAGCCAGAGTCACCAAGCGTATACAAAGCAACTTACCATCACGAGCTTCCTCAAAGCAATGTCCTGGATCACAATGCGATGTGAAGATGGTAACCTTGTGGCCACGCGCTTGGAGACCGACGGCAGCATCTATCACTAACCTCTCAGCACCTCCTATACCCAAGTCTGGGTGGAAGAAGACGATGCTCTTCTTTTGTGCCATTGCTGATCAGGAACAAGACAGCTCATCATCGACGCACCCTGAAGCTTGTCGGCATCTGATGGATGGACCCCACATTCTCCTTGGCGTGGCTGGGGTTAAGTAAACCTTGTCTCCGCCCTTGAGCCTCGGCCCATCCGTTAATGATGCTCCTCCATTCCACTGCTCGTGACTTCCTGTCCAAAGTACTTGCCTATGCCACAACCTTGACTTGATACACAATGACATGAGACCTTGACAACCGACATGAGTGACAGCAACGCCCCCGATCTGTCCATTGTGGGTGATCGCCTAACACTGCATCCACCTGGTATAGTCCAGGACCAAGAAACGCCTCTCCTGACTTCATATGCTCGATTTCGTTCAGCCCCCTTGGACTTTCTGCGCGAGGTCAGCTTGTATCTTTCTGGTACTGGTTGGCGATCGTACGATGATTTCATTGGCCGCAATATCTTCTACAATGGCTTCAGTGACCACATCAAAGCCTTGGTCTTGAAGAATCCTCGACTGCAAGCTAGGATATCTGAGCTGACCCACAAAAGACTTGATGTTGAGTTAGCTGAGGGAACTCTTCCTGCTTACAAGGTTGATGATAGACGCAAGGAAATGGAAGCCCAGCTGGTCCAGGTTGCAGACTCATGGACTGACCAGATGATCTGCAAGATGGACAGCAGAAGATTTATCCGTGGTGCCTACTACTTCGCGACTCAGCTTCTTACCCGGGCCTATCATCAAGGTATTCACGTCTCCAGTGATGAGGTCCTACGCCTTCGAAAAGTCGCCAAGGAAGCAGAGAGAAAGAAACAATCCATCATCTTCCTGCCGTGTCATCGCTCTCACGTTGATTACGTCTCATTACAACTTATCTGTTATCGTCTTGGACTTGCTTTACCCATCGTCGTTGCCGGAGATAACCTCAACTTCCCTGTGGTCGGACCTTTCTTACAGCATGCTGGTATGTTGCACTCTTGGGATCGTGTGACTCCTTGTTGATGTTCGTAGGTGCAATGTGGATCCGCCGTAGCTTTGGCGATGATGCATTATACACGACTCTCGTACAAGCATATCTGGACACCTTGTTGCAAGAAGGACACAACTTCGAGTGCTTTGTCGGTACGTATTCTTCTCGGTTCTTGTTGCACATGGCTCATATGATTTCCAGAGGGTGGCCGTTCTCGTACAGGAAAGCTTCTGCAGCCGAAATTTGGTATCTTGAGCTTCTTGCTTGAAAGTGTGCTGTCTGGCCAGGTGGAAGACGCTATAATCTGTCCCGTGAGTACGCAGTACGACAAGGTTATTGAAGTTGAGTAAGTACTTTCCCAACGCTGCTTGACTTTGCCAATGCTAACACTACCTAGCTCATACATCTCGGAACTTCTTGGTCAACCTAAGCCTAAAGAGTCTCTGGGAAACTTCTTGTCATCTTCTTCAGTGCTCTCTCTCAAACTTGGCCGAGTCGACGTTCGGTTCCACGAGCCATGGAGTCTGCGTGATTTTATCAATGAGCAAAAGGTCCGTTTGACTACTCTACCACCTCAGATGAAAACTCCTGGAGACATTATCCTCAAACGTCGTCTCCTCACCACGCTAGGCTACAAAGTTCTGTCCGATATCAACGCAGTGTCCGTTGTCATGCCCACAGCTCTGGTCGGAACCGTTCTTCTCACTCTCCGTGGACGAGGAGCTGGAAAATCAGAACTCGTCCGCAGAGTTGACTGGCTGGCCGAAAGAGTAAAGAAGCAAGGCGGTCGTATTGCTCATTTCTCTGGTCTCCCAACATCTGTCGTTGTCGAACGAGCTTTGGAAGTGCTTGGCCAAAATCTGGTCGGCGAGTACAAGAACTTGCCCGAAAAGACGTACTACGCTGCGGATCGTTTCCAACTCAGTTTCTACCGTAACATGACTATTCATTTGTTCGTGTCGGAGGCACTTGTGAGTGCAGCATTATACACCAAGGTGAAGCTTGGTGGTGGCCCAGAGTACCAAAGCATTTCATACAATGATCTGTACGATTACGTCTACTTCCTCTCACAGGTACGTCTTCACTCCCTACCAGTAAACATATGCTGACCACAATAGCTCTTCCGTGGCGAATTCATCTTCCCGACGACACCTTTGGCAGAGAATCTGACCAACACGTTGACTGGACTTGAGGCAGATAATATCATTGCTGTTAACAGATCCCACAACGACGGCAGCACGATTGAGTCCATCTCACTTGATGAGTCAGAACGTCTCTCAGGTCGCGAGAATTATGACTTCTACTGTTTCCTTATCTGGCCTTTCATTGAAGCCAGTTGGTTAGGTGCTATAAGTCTTCTGATGCTTACACCTCCTCTCACAAACGCCGCACAGCAGACTTCGCTACCACTCAATAGCGCTGTTACACAAGCACAAAGACTAGGCAAAACCTTGTATGCCCAAGGTGATATATCGTACCTCGAAGCAGTCAACCGCGAGACACTACGCAATGCATACACAAGGTTCGCCGAAAGCGGCATCATATTTATCACGTCGCCATCTAAAGATGGCAAGATTCCTGCGGCTGTCTACCTCACAACAGAGTGGATGCCTGAGAGAGCAGAGGATGGACAAATCAGAGCTGAAGGAAAGCTGTGGGAATACTGCGAAAGCATCAGCAAAGCGAGAAGAGAAGGAAAGAACAGACGAGATGGAAACACTGTTGTTAGGAGAATCTTCGGTCTGGTGGATCTGGTCGGCACAGGCTTGTGGAAGGACGCTGAGCCAGCCAAGGCGGCTCTTCCTGTCAAAGGGGATGCAGAGTGGAAAGCAAAGAGGAGAGAGATCAAAACTGCACCTAAGCTATAAGCCCGGTCAATTGCAAGTTTATGTATCAAGATAACGTATACTTCGTTGGGCTGACTTCCACAGCGGTCTGCCATAGCCTTCTTTCGCGCTTTGGTCTCCGCTCAAAGCAACCTCTCTCCCGTAGCCCTCTTGTATGGCACAATATAAGCACGAGCCTGATCCTTCAATAGCGTGGTAAGCTGCAAGCCGAACAACTCTTCTCAAATTCCCGAATCCTGCCTGCGATGATCTCATCTCCATTCTTGAATGGCAAGTGCTTCACACCTTGTGTCTCCATCAACGCGTTCCTCAAACTCCTCAATGAAAGGACGTCGTCTGTACATGGCTCTCCTTTCGCAATCATCGTACCATCTTGTGCTTGTACCCTCGCCTCCACAAGGATGAATCCATGTCCTTGGTCATCATCCGCCGGCGTGCGTCTTCGCAGGATATCAAACTGCTTTCTCGGATCGCCATCACGAAACAACCGTCGCAACTCATTCCAGATGGCTGGCTCCACAGGACTATACGCAGCAGCGGAGGATGCAGCAGATGCAATGGCGGAAGGATTACGACATACGCAGATTGGAGATGAGCGACTTGTTGCTCTTCCTCGTAAAGGAATTAATTGGCCATCACTGCGGGGAGGACTTGCTGTTCCGCCGCTCTGTCGTCGAGGAGAGTCTTTCATGAAGAGGTGGTCGTTGTCGCTTGAGGTGTAGTCTTCGTCGTCTGCGGAGCTGTAGTGGGTGAGAGTCATTGTGCTTTTGAGGAGTCGTGGTTGGCGGATGTAAATGCAATCACCCACGGTGTCTTGGTGCTTGGGGGAAGCTGAGATGGAGGAGATTGAAGAGGACGAGGTGCCTACGTCCCAGGTAAATTGTCTTTGTCGTTGGCAAAGGAGGCGTTTGGTTATGTTGTTGCTCTTTCTTCTTCCCTCGAGGATCCTCGGTGTGGTGTATACATGCGCCGACATCGTTTGTGTATGATGTTTTGAGAAGGTCGATATATATGTTTGGGTCTTGCTTTGCCGTACCAATTGCTTGCTGACACCCTTCACAGGCAAACAAGTCTTGAGTTCCTTCTTTGCCCTGCTTTATTGCTGGTTCCTCGTTTGCTAGATAACATTGTCGGAGGGGGAAGCTTGCTTGTTAATAATACCCCACTAGCGGAAATACACACATGGCACCAATGCGCTGTGTGTTGTTTCATCATCTCGGAAGAACGTGGAGGTGGGAAAAGTTTTTGTCATGTGCACTACGCCCACCGCCATAATCTCTCTTAAATCTCTCCCACATGCAGCAGGTGCATAGATTGGCTTGTGTTGTGTTGTGTGTGTGTGGCGGGCTGCAGTGCTGGCTCTGCATGATTGATAACCGCTCTGTCGGGAGAGCAAGGCACAAAAGATCCGTGTAACACCACACACCTCGGTCCTCTTAGGGCATTTCTACCGAGAAGCAATTGGGGAGACAATCTTACATCTACACAAGACTTCTTTGCTGACCACCATCCAAGACAATATAACCTTTTTGGTGTTGGTACTCTTGTATTCCCGTTTCTCTTGGGGGGCTTTATAGTAACCCCCACTCTGTTTCCATTCGCTTGGAAACTTCTCGTTCCCATTCGTCTGGGATTCCCGTCGACCTGGGATCGACGGCGCCGCAGTATCTAGATTTGTCACTTGGAGATGTTTGGACGGGAGGATTCTAGGCCACACGACATATATAAATCTGCATCTACCGCGATGAAGTGATCATATCACAGGTACCCGGTCCGGACGCAGCCTCCAGACTGGATATAAGAGCGTCTCTTAAGACTACAAAGCATTCATTGTATTTTTCCAATGACCGGACCCGGGTCCTATGGGGATGATTCCGTGCTTTCGCGTACTTTGGTCTTCTCAATCACATGGTAAGATCCTGCCGAATAGTCCAGTATGTCCTGGGAGATGCCGGTGTTTTACGTCAGACGCTCATAGCGAAGGTGGAGATGATAGCAGTGATACGCCAGGCTCCTGTAGACGGCTCGTTTGAAGTCATGACCATCGCGCGTGGTTACAGTCACCGGACACGCCAGTCGAGTTTGAAGTATGAGAAGCTCGGTTGTGTCGCAACCCCTCGTTACATTTAAGCATTGAATTCGAGCACATGGTCTTTTTCTCCACTAAGCGAAGTTTGCCTTGTTGTCGCAAGTCGACAGATGCAACATCCTCAATGGCGTCGCATGCGGATCATGACCGAGCTTGCAAGCGCGTTATGCGGTTTGGAAACTATGCGACAGTCGAATGGGCTTCGTGAATGCCATGTGTGTTGGCTCCAAGGATTTTGCTTTCAGCCACAACTTGCAAGCCTCCGCCTGAAGATCTCGACGCGGTGGCAGCTTCACCGAGGACTTGCAACAGGTTTTCTTCGACAGTCAAGCGAAGGTTGTTGTTCCATGTCCGTAAGAGCAGATGCTGTTCATTTGTCCTAAACTCGGCGTTCCCCAATTCGGTGTCCGCACCAGAGGGACCAGGCCCATTCCTATGGTTGCGTCGTATTGAGTGAGAGACTGATTGCGAGACTAAAGATTTGTGTCCCATAGATCAGTGATCAACCTTTAGATGCCTACCGTCCTTGAGAGCATGTCTAAGAGACAGTGAATGACACTCGCTATGAAGCCTGTTTTGTAGGCTTTCTCCCAAGTCTTCAACGAAACAAGAAATATCATCCAGTCACCAGATTTGATGCAGAGACGAGTGGGTGCATGAGAACGAGACACGCTCGGGAAGAGGGTGTATATCAGACTTCTCTTCGTATGAACAACTCACAACCGGCTGCCAAAGAGCTCATGGACTTGTGAGGATTGCTGCATCCATCAGGAGATACATGATTGAAGGATCACTCGGCGGTCAATGACGGCAGTCTTCTTCAGCGAGCCTCAAATATATTCCCTGAAGTTCCGAGAGCGATTTGTGCATGGCGGGAGTATGCGAAATGTGTTGGTTGCACTTTTACGTTCATGAACCCTACCTTTCCCACGGCAAACTTGGCCGGCTCTTGCTCTCGAGACCAGTGGCCAATCAGAGCATGCCAGAAATCATCGACTGCGCGTGACAGCCCCGCTACCTGTCTTGTTGCAGTTAGCGTAGTCTGGGGTCTCCGCCGAGTGCGCTTGCCGGCGAGATGTTTGACCCCTCGGACCGCATTTTTTGAATGCCGCTTCGGCGCGCCGAGTGGGCATGAACAAGCAGCCGATTCATCTGCCGTCAAGTTTGCCTATGGGTCCAGAAGCTAGCAGTGCAAGTAGTATATAGACCAAGCTCCCCTTGCCCTCCCGCATCTCCTCCTCTATCCTAATCCTCAATCTCCCAATCACCATTTCCCTTCTCAAATCTCTCAGGAAGCTGCCTCTCCAGCACTTTCGTACTTCCCACCTTCTCAAGAAGTCGCCCCTCTATCTTTGCACTTCTCGCAACTACCTCCACACAAGCGTCAAAATGTCGACCAACGCAAGATTTGACCCCAACTTCACTCCCTATGTCATCAATGCCATGGGACCCAATACTCCCGACCGCGCTCGCGTCGTTTTGGGATCATTGATCAAGCACATTCACGAGTTCACCCGTGAGGTCGAGCTTACCCCCGCTGAGTGGATGATGGGTGTCGAGTTCATCAACTCCATCGGCCAGATCAGCACTCCCATCCGTAACGAGGGTCACCGTATCTGCGATGTCATTGGTCTCGAATCGTGAGTTTGACCGTCTACTTAATACCCAAACACAGCTAATCCATGTTGCAGCCTCGTCGACGAGATTGCCAACCGCATTGTCACCGAGCAGGGCATGTCCCCCACCTCCAACGTCATCCTCGGCCCCTTCTGGTCGCCCAACGCACCTTTCCGTGAGCTCGGCGACAGCATCATTCAAGACCACAAGGAGGGTGGCAGGGTCACATTCATGCACGGTGTCCTCAAGGACATGGAGACCGGTGCTCCCATCGAGGGCGCCGTCCTCGACATCTGGCAGGCTTCCTCCAACGGCCAGTACGATTTCCAGGACCCCGAGCAGACCGAGAACAACCTCCGTGGCAAGTTCAAGTCCGACAAGGACGGCAAATTCAACTGGTACTGCTACCACCCCACTCCTTACTCTCTGCCTACCGATGGTCCCGCCGGTGTCCTCCTCAAGCTCATGGACCGCTCTCCCATGCGCCCTGCTCACATCCACTTGATGATCACCCACCCCGAATACGCCACTGTCATCAACCAGATCTACCCCAGCGACGACCCTCATCTCGACATCGACTCCGTCTTCGCTGTCAAGGATGATCTCGTCGTCGAGTTCAAGCCCAAGACCGATGACCCCAAGGCTCAGCTCGACCTTGAGTACAACGTCACATTGGCCCTGAAGAAGCACCACCCCAACCCCAACTCCGCTCCTCCCAAGTCTTCCTTTGAACGTTCAATGGGCGTCAAGAAGCCTGTCAACCCCAACGAGGCTGTTGCCAACTTGTAAAAGATTACAAACAAAAAAGCTGGGGATTGTATATGATGAAGAGAGCAGCATACTTCTTACGATTTAACTTCGTCCGAGGATCAAAGGGTGAATGGGCATACTGTGCATATATCATGTCGGGTTCACAAGGCGTTTCGGGTTTTTACATATCACTGGCGATATGTGCCATCTTCATGTTCGCTTTCAGTTTTGCGATATATCCAACATGAAATCCATTTTTCCAAAAACTTCAAAACTCGTCTTCCCATCATCCTAGACTTGATATTCGTGATTGGCATCATTCGCCTGGGAGAAACAGGTGCGCTCGATGTGCTGGTCGCTCTCGAGTGGTGACATCTTGCCAAGTATACAGTGCTCTGGGGACAACCCTGCTTCACGATCCCAGCACAACAACTCGAGGTTCTTAGCTTGGACCTCCTCTGCAGCTGTCAGCAGCCGCCTGTAGACAAACATACAATCTCGACGATGGCTATTTCAAGTGGATATGGCTACCTGAGGAGTGGCCAACGAGTAACATAAACCCCGACAAGTGTCCGCGAATGTTGTCAGCGGAGAGTTTTCGGACACTTCTCCCGGAGACATCTCCATTTGCTCTAGTACATAACCACTGGCATCTCCCAACTTACTCAATTCAACACATCCACAGTCTCAAACTCCTTGGACAATACTTGAGAGAGCGACACACCAATGGACCACGGACATCACGAACTCACGGCGGCTAACCGTGACACCTGGGAGTAAGTCCATCACTGTTTCCATCGACCATTCATAAGATACATTTCTTATCCATACTGCATTAATTACCAATTAAGCTGATGGTGATCACCATCGTCAGGCTCTCTAATCTACCATCTAATCACCTGAAAAGACTCCACATTCGAACCTGTGCTCAACACTGACTCGAACCTCTTGCAGTTCAAAAGCAAAAGACTATGATGCAAAGCCATGGCAAAAGAAGATAGCCTCCCAAGTAGCAGAAGCCTTGACTTCTCACGCCGATTGGCTGGGAGCGCATTGGGCTTCTACAGAGAACAGAGGATGCCGTCTTCTAGACTATGCATGTGGAACAGGCAGTGTAACTCGCGTATGTATCCTCCTTCTCTTCCAACCACCCATAGATCGAAATACTGACAGAGATTGACCCCAGGCACTAAGCACCCACATAACCCATGCCACAGGCCTTGACATTTCTCCCGCTATGTTGGAGCAATACACCGCTTTACTATCATCTTCCCATCCATCCCTGCACATCTCCACAGCAGTTGCAGATTTCTGCTCTCCCTCCCCTGATCACGCTCTCTCGGGCCCAGAATTCCACAACTTCAACATCGCAGGTGTAGCCCTCGGATTCCACCATTTCTCCTCTCCCGCCACCTGTCTCTCTAGCCTCTACTCCCATCTCTCTCCTTCTGGTGTGTTATTCGTAATCGATTGGTTACCAAACACTGTGAAAGCAGAGGATCATGTGGGAAGTAAGCGTGTTCATCCAGAAAGCGTGCAAGAGGAAGAAACAGAAGAATGGAAGAAGATGAAGAAAACGATCAAAACCAATGGGTTTGAGGAAAAAGATATGAGGAAGTTGTTCGAAGGGGCTGGGTTTGAAGATTTTGGGTTTGTGGTTTTGGAGGAGAAGTTTGTGTTGGAGATGAATGGGAAGAAGGTGGAGAAGACTGGGTTTATTGCAAAGGGGAGGAAGGTGTGAATGAGATTATGACGTTGTTGTCTGTTCTTGCCCTAGGTGAGACGTGTAGGTGCTCCTTCTGGCTTGGATATCTCTCAAGGTCTTGCATGTGCATCTGGTTATTGTGTCTTGCTTAACCTTGGAATATCAAGCGTCTGTTTACTTTCCCAACACAGCAGCGGTGGTCTAGTGGTCAAGACACCGCACAGATATGTCTTGCAAACACAAGCATGGAGGAGAGGATCTGCTTTGCTGTGTCTTCTCCAGACAATGTGGACATCGTGAGTTCGGATCTCACTCGCTGCATTCATCTTTCGCTTGGATTAGCAGTTACGAATTGCACAATGAAACAACAAGGATGAACTGTAAAGATAAATGTATCCAACGAATTGGACATTGTAAGATCGTGATACCATCTGTTTCCCCCTCCATGCTTTTTATGGGAAAATCGAAAAGTCTATAGTAAAAAGGGTAGAACGTTTAAGCCAGGGACTTGAGGTCGGAAAGACCAAGACGAGATGCCTCCTCGGAGAAGAGAGTCTTGATCTCCTTTGCGTCGGTCTTGCCATCGAGCTTGCTCTTGAAGACGGCGAGCTCGTCAACATCGAGCTTGGCAATCATGGCATCAGCATCGTTGAGGGCCTGGTCGATTTGTGCAGCACTGGCCTCGCCCTCGGCAAAGTAGTTGCCATCCTTGACGGCACCACGAACGACACGCTTGTTCTTCTTTGCGGCGTTCTTGGCAGCCTCCTTTGCCTTCTTGCCGTCGAGCTTTGCAGCCTTGTCGGCCTCCTCCTTCTCCTTTGCAAGACGAGCCTCCTCTTCCTTGGCCTTTGCTGCCTCTTCGGCGAGTCTGGTGGCCTCGGCCTCTCTTTCGAGTCTCTTCTTGTTCTTCTGGGCGTGCTCCTCCTTCTTGAACTTCTTGATACGCTCGTCGAGGCCAAGGCACTCGTCGACCATCTGGCGCAGACGCTGGTTGTCCTCGGCCTTTCTCTTCTTGCGGGCGTTGTTGTTCTTACGTTCGACGTGACGCTTCTGGTCACGGTTCTCATTGTCATCGGGAACATCCTCGTCGAGGTACTCGAAGGTTCTCCAGCTGTCAAAGTTGTACCAGAAGTTGTAGAAGTTCTCGACGTGCTCGCGGGTGCTGTTCTCGTCACCGAGCTTGGGGACGGGCTGGGTCTTGCTGAAACGGCCCTCGGCCTTGAAGACGTTGCTCCAGAGCTTGTAGAAGTTGCCCTTTTGGGTCTGCTTCTTGGTTGGGGGCTCGACCTCGGCGGCCTCATCGACGGAATCGAATTGGCGACGCTTGACGGGGTCACTGAGGATCTCGTGGGCTCTCTGGATGCACTTGAAGAAGTTGTCGTCCTCGTTACCACCAGCGGCGGCTCTCTTGTCGGGGTGGTGCTTGAGGACCTTTCTGCGGTGGGCCTTCTTGATTTGCTCCTCGGTGGCCTTCCAGCGGTACTTTGTTATGCCGAGAACGGCGTAGTGATCCTGGCTCTGTGTGGTTGTTAGATTTGGGTAGTGGAGAGTGTGAAACTGCATGACATACCTTCCAGTCCTTGGCCTCACGGGCAAGCATGGCAGGGTCCTCGGGCTCACTGATGTAACCGGCATCCTCTTCCTCGACCTGCTTGACGTTCTCCTGGGCGCGGATACGGTCATCCTCGGAAAAGGTGCGCTTGTGACGAGTCTGGAATTGAAGTCAGTCTCGTTCGAGATTGAAGGGTATGCTAGTCGCAATCGTACTCTACGGGCGTGGGCCAGGAAGTAAGGGCCGACGGGCTCGACATTGCGGCGAGCGGCAGCGGAAAGCTTGCCAACAGCCTTGAAGTCCTTGTCGGCGGACCAGCCGGCAGGGAGGGTAGGCAGAGCCTTGTTGATCTGAGATACAGACATATTGATGTTGATATGGGATAGATACAAGAGAGGGAGTCTGAACTTCTCATTTTCTGCGACAGTCTCGAATTTTTGGTCCGGGGAAGCGTCGAGCTTGGCATGTCCTCGCCCTCGGATCGTCCGTCATGTCGACAATAACTATTTCTTGATAGAGACAAGCAATCCTTGGATAGTCCCATAGTCAACAGAAACATGGTGTCAGCTCAGATCATACCTCACAACAAGACAGTGGTCCTGTCAACATATCGCGGCCTCTTGCGCGCAACGCGTATCGCCTTCCAAGGTATCCAACCACGCAAACTCTCCACCACCCGGACCAAGTCGCTAACTCAGCTACCTCTTCGCAGGCGACGAAAGCACACTATACAACTCCCGCCGATTTGCACGAGAGTCCTTCGACAAGAACCGCGGAGTCAAAGCAGGCAGTATCGAGGCTGAAAAGGCTGTCGAGCATGCCCAAGGCGTGGCTCAGATCCTCCGGGAAAATGTAGTACAAGGTGCAACTGACAAGGAAGAATCTGGAGCTTACAGTGAGTTCCAGGCCGCTCCTAAGTTTGGCGACGACGTCTGAACTCGACGACTGACACGATAGCCACGAATAGAACTCCGCATTCACGAGCAGACCGAGAAGGGCGACAACGAGTCCGTCAAGCAATTCAGAGGAACAACAAAGTCTTTTGCCGAAGTCAAGCGCTGCTCTCTGATTTGATATGTAATAGAATATATGATACCCCTCCCTCTGTTCAATCCTACGAAGATGCTCAAGCCCAAAAACGCCATGCTGTCTTTCATGAATCTCCGTATCGCTCAATCTCTACTTCGGCATGAACAACCATCTACTCGCCGGCCAAACTTGCGTACTGGACATCCTCGGATCCAGGCGGGGGTGCGACTAGATCGTAGTTGTCTGTGTTGGTGGATGGTCCGGCTGCTGACGATGAAGGTCCAGCAGCAATTGCTGGTCTGGTGGCCGACGTTGCCGCCTTTACTGCAGCATTTGTCTCACGGCCAGCTCTTGCGTTCGCCATGCGTGCTTCTCTGTCCATGTTGTCCAGCGTCTTGGGCTTGCCCCATTGTACTCGTAGTGGCACACCCTTGACGACTGCCCTTCCTTGACATGCTGCAGCCGCTGCTTCTGCCGTATCTCTGGTCATGTAATTGACGAATGCGCAATGCGATCGATGTGAACATATAAGCGAGCGAAGTGCTCCGAATTGTGAGAAGAAGACGCGAATGTCGTGCTCGGGAAGGTCGTCCTCGACACCAGTAACGAAAAGTGACATGACGTGCTTGTCGGCCGGGGGGAGAATATCTTGTGGTTGCGGTGGCAGCGCTGCAGTGTTTGGGAATGGGCGTGCTCTTGATGCTCCCTTGACAGGGCGTGATGGAGGGCCGTATCCTGCTGGCTTCGAGTCTTTTGTACGGATGGGTCCAGGTCTGGCGCCTTCTGAGGATGGTCCTTCGAGCATCTTCTGTCCTGATGCGGCACCCTCCTCTTCCAGTCTTCTCTGCTTTTTATAGTGCGGCTCGCTCTGGGCAAGTCTGCGCAACAGGTCCCTAGCTTTTTCATCCGTCTGATCATATGCCTCCACAGCTCCCCTGCCTTCTTCGATCTCCTTTTCGTGGTTCTGAGCATAATACTCTCTGTTGATCTCGCTGTTGGGTCCAGGTGTGATCATCTTCAAGGCAGCGTCGCGTACAACAATGGGAAGTCCGAAGCTCAGGTCAAGCATACAGCACTGACAGCAGTTCTTCAGTCTAGCGCATGTCAAGCAAAGATTTGTTCGCTTCTGGCGCGCCGTGCGATCCGTCTTCCAGCGAAACACTGTGAATGGGCGAGTGCAGATTTTGCTGCATCTTATTAGTCAAGCTCTTGAGAAGTCTGAATTCACAGAAGGTACTCACCATTCAGCACCGTAATCCTCCTTCAAGACCTGAACATAAGGGTTGTCACCAAGGCACTTTTCGCACGCTGAAGGCATGTCGGTGGATTCCCATCCTGAGCGGTTCAAATCCTGCTTGGGAGGCATGTTGGATGGCGGTTGACGAAGGTGAATGTGGTATGGTGAGGATCGCGTAGGTTCTTGGAGCTAGTCGCCTAGTTGGAATGGCTTTGCGACGAGATAAATGATCGGGGTTCAAAAAGTTGATGGGTGCTGTATAAGCAGAAGCTGAGACGCGCATCAACCAACTCGCAGATGCAACGAAAGTGACGTTTTTGCCGAAGTTCAAACGGCACCTCCGTTGCTCTCTCCGCAATTGATGGGCCGGAAACCACGGATTCCGTATGCATGTGAATGCCGCAGCGGAAATTTGGGTGAGGCACGGTGAGATGGCTTCGAGACGCTAGGGTAGAGCCAATTGGAGATAATGAAATTGCTCGGAGGCAGGCAGGTACCCCCCCCGCCGCGTCTCGTACGATGTTTATGGAAAGAGCCACCCCTTTATAATTATTTTAGTGCTGCTGCCATTTCTTTGCCCCAATCCCGCGTGCAGTCCGCTTCCTTCCTTCTATCGTCCCTTCTACTTGCGCTCAACCGCATCTTCAATTCTACGAACTTTGTAGTGTCTTTCTCTTCTTCTACAACTCCCGTTTCTTCTCACACTTCACAAGCATGGCTCCTCATTCGCTCGAACATGAAGACCACAACCGCGATGCTGCCTTCAACAAGGTCATGCACGGTACTTCTGCTCAGAAGAGAGGTGGTTTCGCTGCCATGTTGAGCAAGGGTGCAGACGGTCAAAAGGCTGCTGTCGACGAATACTTCAAGCACTGGGACAACAAGGATGCAAAGGACGAGACTCCTGAGACCAGAGAGGTGCGTAGGCTGGGATGTTGATCCTCTCCAATCGACCTCATATTGACCCCCTGAATAGGCCAGAAGAGCAGAGTACGCTACTCTGACCCGTCACTACTACAACTTGGCAACCGACCTCTACGAGTACGGTTGGGGTCAATCTTTCCACTTCTGTCGTTTCGCCTTTGGAGAGCCCTTCAAACAAGCTGTTGCCCGTCACGAGCACTACCTCGCCCATGTCATGAACCTCAAGGACAACATGAAGGTTTTGGACGTCGGTTGTGGTGTTGGTGGCCCTGCAAGAGAGATTGTCAAGTTCTCTGGCGCAAACGTCACTGGTCTGAACAACAACGACTACCAGATTGAGAGAGCCACCCACTACGCTCAGAAGGAGGGTCTTTCGCACAAGCTCGACTTTGTCAAGGGCGACTTCATGGTATGATCATTCTGAACCCCTGGTAGCTACCTTTCATAAACTAACACATTCCCAGCAAATGGCATTCCCCGAAAACACCTTCGATGCCGTCTACGCCATCGAGGCCACCGTCCACGCTCCTTCCCTCGAGGGAATCTACTCTCAAATCTTCCGCGTCCTCAAGCCCGGCGGTGTTTTCGGTGTCTACGAATGGCTCATGACTGATGCTTACGACAACGACAACCCCCACCACCGTGAGATCCGTCTCGGCATCGAGGTCGGTGATGGTATCTCCAACATGGAGAAGATCGAGGTCGCTCTTGCCGCCATGAAGGCTGCTGGTTTCGAGCTTGAGATCAACGAGGATCTCGCAGAGCGCGACGACCCTTACCCCTGGTACTGGCCTATTGCTGGTCAGCTCAAGTACATGAGCAGCATCTGGGATCTCCCCACTCTTGCTCGTATGACCAAGGCTGGTCGCTGGACTGCACATAACTTTGTTGGTGCTCTTGAGAAACTCGGTCTTGCCCCTAGAGGTACTCAGAAGACCGCTGACTCACTGGCCGTCGCCGCCGACGCTCTTGTCGCTGGTGGTAGAGAGAAGCTTTTCACTCCCATGTACCTCATGGTTGGTCGCAAGCCCATGAATGCATAAGCGATGCGATGACTTTTCTTGTTTCTTTCTTCTTTGCCATTTCTCATCTTCTTTCTTTTTCGAATACCACTTACTAGAGAACCCACACACATGTTTTATTAATCGGCTTGGAAGGGGGAATCACTTGCATGGCGACCAGGGACAAGCTACAATTATAACAACAGAGAGGACTGTTGCGGATACATTTTGTCTCGAGACTACTATTACTGATGTAAAACAAATGTACAATCACGTTGAACGATCATTTCAGAGGATTCCTTCTCTATCCTGAGCGTGTGACATGCATTCATAGCTGCTACAATGTCATGCTTGAGAACTTGGAGATCCTATCAACAATCGCAAGGAGCGGCGGCAACAATTGCAATCGACCATGGACGACATTTCAGGCGAGGACAAAAAAAGTCTCTGGCGGAACCGAGCTCGAGTGACATCTTGCAGCATGTAAAGATCAAGGAGGGACTTGATCAAAGCCGTATAGACAGCAATGATGACACGACAGCAATCGACTAGACAATTTGTAGACCACAAGGCTCAACATAAACTTTGTGTGACAGGAAAGCTGCGAAACGATGCAAATGAAAGCCAGCAGAAGAAGAGGAGGCGCAGGTGCAGTTCGTTGGAGCCGCTCACAGACAAGATTCTGGCAGGAAGATTACACGTGTTGTAGACAAGCCTTGGAGGTGCACAAGGATCGAGATTGAGAACAAAAAGTGAATTGTATTGACAAATACAGAAGGTTTATGGAAAAAGGTTCAATCAGATATCGTACGTAGCATCAATGATCCCACCATAGTGGAAATTCTCAGTGCTTGACTCTATACTTTTTTATCATCATAGAGGAACCCTTCTTCAAAATGCGCCTCGACTCTACACAAAAGAAGAACATGACGAATGACAGAATAGATCAAGCGTCGATGGTGTAGAGGCATTGGAATCAACATCATGTAGGTGATGGCAGCCGTGATGTTGAATGACGACAACTCCTTCGACATTAAAATACTCATACCTACTTGGATGAGAAGTCAGCAAAGATAATCTTTGAAAACGTGCAACCACCACGTTGTTGTGAAGAAGTGTTGAATATAACGCGTGAACTCAGAAAGCCGTCTTACTCAAGCCCTTCCCACCGGCACCAAACTGTTTCACCCAAGACGAGTAAACCACTTCAGCACACGGAAGCCCCATTATACCGATTTTTCACTTTGCCGAAGCGCAGTTACTAAAAAGGTTTAAATTGTAACTCCACAACCCGTCATCCCTGGACTTGAAACACAGGTAGGGTATCAGGGAGGGGGGCTCGGTGGGTATAGGTAAACTTCATTGAATGGATTGACTAGTTGTCATCATTGCGTTTTGGGGGATGGGGAAGATGGTGTAGGTGTTGGTGTGGTAGGTTGATGAGGAGAGGTAGCTTACCCTGGATCGTCTATCATGAGCGGTGGTCAAGGCGATGTTGTGTTGCAATTGACTGCCTTTATGTGCTTGTTAGCAAATTTGATCAGAGAAGATCGTTGTGGAGGAATGTGAAGAGATGCCAAAGGTGAATTTGGATCAGACAGGTAAGCTTGGTGTATGAGTATCCGCATAATTTTCTTGGTAGCAGAACTGAATATAAATACAATCATCCTGAAAACACCTTTGGCAAGGCTTGAGGGCATGTGGAGGGAATAAGTTGATAGCGTACCTTTGTGATGCAAGAGAGTCCTCCCACCCATTGCGCACAACTTCTATGCGTTGAGTGAGAGGACTCGCTGCGTCTGGAAGACGGATCAAGAAAGTAGAGAAGAAACTAGAGAGCTTTGCGCAGGTCAGCACATGTTTACTCATAGATGTCGAGTGATGTATAGATAGGTGATATAGGATGTGGTTCAGATGGTAGTGCATGTTAGTTTATGGCTCAGGAAACCCCGAGGGTTGATCGCCAACTAGTAGTGTTGGGTTTTCTTCCTAACCAGTGAAGTATTGGAGAATTGGACTTACACAAAAAGAGAAAAGTAAACATGTCAAGCCGCCAGCGGTCTCGCATGTTGTTGAAATGATACGCGCGCGCGTGATGATAGAAGAGTGTGTGAGAGGAAGGAAGAAAGCGCAGAGAGCGAGAAAAGTCAGAGAGAATTCGAGCTTGGGCCACTTGCGGAGGACGTCACGCATCTTGCCGAAGTTTGGAGCAGAAGCAGATCAAGAAATCATCGACTCTGGACAGTTCGCTCGGTTCAATTCAAGCAACCACATAAAATAATACTCACTATGGCCGATCGTCGTCGTACCAATGCGCCAATTGGCGGCACTTCTGCACCCATATTCGTTCCCACTCAAGAATCAACCTCATCACAGCGACCAGTTCGCCAACGATCCTCTTCTACGTCTCGTAAAATCTTCCTACAGACTGGTCTTGTGCCCTCGGCCTCTGGATCAGCTTATCTCGAACTTCACCCTTCAACCGACGCCCCGAGAACGACGCTCGTAGCTCAGAGTGGTACTCTCAAACTTACCTGCACTGTTCACGGCCCGCGACCGCTTCCTCGAACCGCGCCTTTCAGCCCGAACCTCCTTCTCAGCACACACGTCAAATTCGCTCCGTTCGCAAGTCGCCAAAGAAGAGGCTACCTGCGCGATACTGCCGAAAGAGATTTGGGATTGCACCTGGAGACAGCACTAAGGGGTGTGGTGATTGGAGAGCGCTGGCCCAAATCTGCCGCCGAGGTCGTCATTACTGTTCTGGAGAGCGAGGAAGACGATTGGTGGCGTGATGATGATGCCAGCAAGAAGAACATTGGAGGTGTAGGCTTGATGAATGTCCTGGCTGGTTGCGTCACTGCTGCAAGTGCTGCTCTTGTGGATGCTGGGATCGACTGTGTCGACCTTGTCTCAGGCGGTGTTGCCGCCCTGGCTGGCGAAGGAAAGGGACAGCTTGTCATGGATCCTTGCCCGAGCGAGCACAACGACTTGCGCGCAGCTGCCGTGGTCGCACACCTTCAGTCAAGAGATGAGCTTACAGAGTTGTGGGTCAAGGGTGATTCAGGCGAAGGCTTCGAGACGCTGGTCGATCGCGCTGTGGGTGCTGCAGGTCAATCTAGAAGTGTGCTTGCTGAAGCTGTCAGGGAGGCTGCTGAGATCAAGACTAGTGCCCAGACGGTGGAAACCGGCAAGCAAGAGGTGGTCAAGGTTACCGATGTCGAGATGACTGGATGAACCCGCGGGACACATCAGGAAGAGACTGAAAAGACATAAAGCCTGCTGACGTCGGACAGACTTGTATCCATGTCACTGCTCTTGAGGGCGCAGACAAGCTCAGCAAGTCATGCGTACAGGCCATGTTGCGCCACGGGCACTCGAAGCAGCAAGCTCAGGCAAGGGCCTTGCCGTTTGTATCGCCAACCTTCAGTACAACAAGAAAGGTTTCACTTCGTCGAGCTAAGGATGTACAGAGATGGCTGGCTCAAGGTGCGCATGTGAATGCCGAGCTTGATGTCATATACACAACTAAAACATCGACCACGCGCTCGAGAAGTAACGATAATGATGTTGTAGCATACGCCGATTATGTACCATACAAAAGCCTCCGAGCAATTCTATCCCAAAACTCACACGCTGACCCTAACAACCAATATATATCCAGTGCAGTACGCATACACCGATGAAACTCAACAAGACCATACGACACACTATCCCATACGTCCTCTCGGTAATCTAGGAGGCGCTGGACTGGCTGACAGCTTGATCGACGGTGTACCCCGTGGCATATAAACACCACTCGAAGGTCTTCCAATCGGTGTCAACTCACTATCCTGTGAAGGCACCGTCTCAACCACGGGCAAGTCCTTTGGCGGATCCACATAATAGCTTTTCCTCAACATAAACACCTCATTCTTGAACAACCAACTCGCACCCAAGAACAAATCCGTCTTTTCATTCGCAGCAGGACTGGTGACCCCATCACCAATCTCCAATACTTCAAACTCCACCTTCTCGTGCTCTTTCCTGAATTTGCCCGTCTGAAACGTGATAGGTAGGATGTAGTTTATGCTGACTTCTCGATCTTCGAAACTGCATACTTTCTTGATCAAACCGACACCTAGATGATCGCGAGGGCTGGACTCGAGGTTTCTGGCAGCTTCATACTCGTCAATTTTTTGGAGACTGTATTCGAGTTTGAGTTTGCGAACGAGGTCCATGGTGATGAAGTTTGCGCATGCTCCAGTGTCACATTTCGCCCAGACGACTACTTCTTGCTTCTCGCCGTTTCGTACGATTAGAGGGATGTGGGTGTGATCACCACCTTCCTGGATTGATGTTAGAATTGCGGTGCAGGGTCTTGACTTGGGACGCTATTACTAATGCTGACACAATGTCGCTGGCTATTTGTAAGGGCTTCTTGTGCCACTTGTCGACGATGGCTCTGATGATGTCTATTTGCTCCGGTGGGATACCGAATGAAGACTCGTTATCGGGTTTTGAGGGTGAGTCGTCGACAGAGATTGCGGGTGTCAATTGTTGAGGATCCATAATAGTCCGTTCTCGTGTCCTGTTCCAGTAATGTGATTATAGTGAGAGCTGCTCGGGTGAAACAGTGTGAATGGGAGTACCTACGTCCTGTTACGAGGTCTTATAAGTGCTCCTACCTATTGAATCCTCTAAGCCACCAGGCTCTGCCATCAATATTTCGTGCTAAGGCTGCTCAAAGGCGGAGCTCTCTACGACAGCCCTCGACTATGATGGCGACTTCTAGACCATACGCGGACAAGCTTTGATGCAATGCAATATATTTTGCTCCACGAAAGCACGCGGCATGTCGGATTAATCAGCACTAAGCAAGCCTTGGATTGAAAGGTGCAATTATCCATGCGCAGCATTTAGCATGATGGTAGAAGTAATCGTCCCGCGTATCTATATTAGGAAAACGATCATGCAAGCTCCTGCCTCTCCTTCCTTCACCGGTACTTCCTCAGTCAACACCACTCAGGCGACGAGGCACTGCTCTTGGCAAGCGAGATGTCAGCCCCCTCGCCATGTGGATAAAAGTACTCGCTCATGCATGTCACATCCAATCAATGACATTTCAAGGTGGGGCGGCGCTCATGCAGACAGGCTGTGTTCAGTGGTAGGGATTGTTGTGTGACGCTTTTCCTACCCTCTTCTCTTTCTTCACAACTCCGGAATATCTTCTCTCTGCTCTTGTTGGGTTTGAGAAACAAGGCAAGAGTGCTAGCTACTCCGCCACTGATCATGGCCGGCGAGTTTGAGCTTCCGGTCATTGAACCAACAGGCAAACCGAGGATCTCAACCAATGTTCGAGCTGTTGGCAAAGACTCGAGGACCAACTCCGCTGCGAGTTCTTCTGTCCACTTCTCGCCCATATCATACAATACCTACAACACGGACTCGACCTTTGTATCACCAGGCTTACTACGTCAAAATTCTGTTCGCGAACGACCTGCTCTGCAAGGATATCCTAAGCTAGCAAGGTTCATCGGAGAGCGACCTGGCTTTGCAATTTTCCGGCGCTTCTCTGAGCTCAATGCGCGTAATCTATTATATCTCCAGGCGGAGCTGCTGGATATTGAGGAAGAGCTATATGAGTTGGAGATGGATGATCAGAGAGATCAAGATTTGAGGCAATTACAATTCAGCATGCGAGGCATACACAATGGCAGAGTCGCACCAGAAGGATCCAAAGCGCATGCTCGATGGAAGCTGTATGAAGATCAGCGGAAGCTGTTGAAAGAATATAGTAAGTAGTGCTATGGCGAAGTTCTCACAAAAGAACACTCGCCAGCGGTCTACTACACGCATCTATATCATCGCTGACACTGATACCGCAAAGACGAGATCTTGATACAGCAGCACAAACTGTACAGTCTTCCAAGACCAACACATGGTGAAGTCCGTGGTCTCCGAGAATTCATCTGTGACAGCGACATCCACGGTCACAGCAGCGATCAAGAATGGCTACATCACCCTGAGAATACTATCTGGAGTCTAAGTGTAGACGAGAAGGCAAAATACGAAACGGACCAGCAAAGAGCACGAGCACATGAAAGAGCAAAGGCCACCCAGACAGATCTTGTCAGTCTGTCAGGACATGTCGCTCCAGACTCCTTCACAAACCTGCTAAGAAGCAAAGTCGTACAACGCTTCCATGTGCTCTTTGGCCATCGTCTTCTACAAGAAGACGCAGAATTTGGTGGCCACATGTATCGAGGAGAGATTCTGGAAAAGCTGGCCTTCTACATCAGTATTCTCTTTGCCTCTGTACTTCCGACTGGTAGCATCATCGCTCTCTACTACATTCCTGTGTTGATCTGGAGATTGATCTTCATCGGACTCTGGAGTGCGACATTCAGTTTTTGTCTGGCCTTCTTTACTTCGGCTACCCGGATTGAAATCTTTACTGCGAGTGTGGCATTGGCCTCGGTACAAGTTGTTTTTGTCGGTACGAATGGTGTTACTGTGATCCCTGCTAGTCGATGATGGTTTTTTTGATATATGTTTCTACAGGCAGCAACGAATAATGATTCCGGATGACATGGTTATGAGGGTTGGACTCGGATGGAGGCATGAGGTATGGTTACATGAGCAATGATGGTACGAGATGTGTCGATAGAAATGAATACAAACCGAATAATTACGATCTGCCTGCTCTTAATACTCACTTCTAGCTCGTGATGAACGAACGATGAATCAATAATGGCCCAAAAAGGAAAGCGCGCTTCTCTCCAACAAAGGGTCGCGTGCATCGGCGCGTCGCACTCGAAGACGAACCTTGATTCTTTCTACTTCTTACTCTACCAGTCGCATAGCAGCAAACTCTCATACACACCATGGATAATAGTCTCTCAGATCCGAGCGACTGGCTCAACACTTCACTACCACCCTTTTCGGCGCTCGAAAACTCACTACGATGTCAAGTGTGCAAGGACTTCTTCACCACGCCGATGGTCACGACCTGTTCGCATACATTTTGCAGTATTTGCATTCGTCGCTGTCTCTCTGTTGACGGCAAATGTCCTGCCTGCCGAGCAAACGATCAAGCCAGTAAACTACGACGCAACTGGGCTTTGGAGGAAGTCGTCGGTGCTTTTAAAACAGCCAGACCGGTCGCATTGGAGATCGCGACGAAAGATAAGAAGGGGAAGGAAGAAGCTCCGAGTCGGCCAAACAAAAGGAGGAGAATGCAGAGGAATAGTGGAGGCAGTGACCTTACTGTTCGCACCACGCGGAGTCAGGCAAAGAGGACACAGGATGCCGACGGCCAACCTCCAGCTTTCGACGGCGCAGACGACAACGGTAGTGATGCTGAATATACAGAGAACGGCAGAAATCAGCCAGAAAGAGCTCAAACACCAGATGATGGCTTGGTGGCCTGTCCGATCTGCCAAACTCGGATGAAAGAAGAAGTCGTCTTTAATCACATTGGAACGTCAGCATGCACCTCTCCTTCGCAGAAACAAAGAGAACGACCCCAACCCACCACAAAATCAACGCCACAACCGCCAACAAATACAAAACCCCTCCCAGACCGTCTCACAGAATTCAACTACTCACTTCTAAACGACAAAGCCCTCCGCAAAAAGCTCACAGAACTCGGTATTCCATCAGGCGGCTCCAAAGCCCTGTTATCGCGTAGACACACCGAGTGGGTAAATCTCTGGAATGCAAACGTTGACGCAGGAGCACCACGCACGAAACGAGAACTGTTGAACGAACTCAACAAGTGGGATCGGTCTATCGGTCGCGAGCCAGACCAATTCGGGACCAGCAATCAAGTCATGAAAAAGGACTTTGACGCTCAAGCATGGAGTTCTGGAAACAAAGACGATTTCTCACGCTTGATAGAGCAAGCAAGACAAGGGAGAAACAAACAAGCAGCTCAACAACAAAAAGAATCCGCTCTCGCCAAAGACTCCGAAACCAAAGACGAACAGGATCCAGAAGCCATGCAAATTGACACAGCCTCATCCTCACAACCTCTCGAGCCGGAAAAAGATCTTCCAAAAGGCTACCACGATGCAACGAATCCGCAAGAAAATTTCCCCGATGTAGAGCATCCACCGCCATCGGGACAGAGGGTTCCTCCTCCGAAACCACTGAAGAAGGAAACTTCCCTACCCGAGACTTTTGGAACAGATGCGCAGAAGGTGAATATGTTTGAGGTTTCGAGTCATCCTATTGCTGATGTTGATCCGGCCGCTGAGACTGAAGGGCATTGAGTTGCTGGATGTTGTGGAAAGTCTGTGTGTGATGAGATGGTATTGTTGTAATTGAGAAGATGCATGGTTGGGGATGAGGGATGTGTATAGGATGGAGCTTACTCTTGCTTTTACTTCGGTCAGGCAGAATATGATAGGCCTGAAAAACAATGCCCAAGAATTTTTACCTGTTTCATTCCCTCGACCACTACGGATATATCTCAACCTTTTGTGCTGCAAGAAGTATAATACAAAGATTGATATCAACATCGATATCGATGAAATTCACTCTAGAATACACAAGGACACAACATCCATACGTCTGCTAGCATGCTCCAAATCGCTAGGATGAAGATGATCTTTACAGGTTGATGGTCCAGATTTCTGCCAGAGAGGAGGGGGAAACCCCCCACAATGACAGGTAAACATAGCACAGACGAAAATGGGAGGACAAGTCAAGAAGAGCAAGACAGCAAATAACGCCAATCGCGCCATCGCTGTATGTGATTTCGTGATCATTATCTGTAACAAACCACACCCATTAATGCCAATGATGCAATGAGAAAAGAAGGTGAAAGTGAAAAGTAATCGCAGCCGCAGAAAAAAGCAAAAGCATCAAACCCCTTTCACCTTGACTTGTATGTACCCACGGTTTGTAAAAAGCTTTGTGTCATGTTCGGGGCAAGGCCGAAAAAACACATGAGCTCAAAAATGCTTGTCAAAAACAACGCTCGAAATGCCACTCGATAGGTTGTCGCTAAAGGGCCCAGTCAGCCAGTGATTCCCACTGATCGTTGATGACACAAGCACCTGTTGGCAATGCAATGCCATAACCTTCGGTCGAGGTAGGCTCGTCGCTACCAAAGAGCTCGGCGAATGTGGCAGAATAGTCTGGCTGCTGACCCATGTCGTTCAAAGGAACGACCTCGTCAGGCGACTCACCAAACGCGTACTAAGCGTCCGGATTATTACCTGGTGAAGCTATTCATGAGTCAGCGAGTGTCGTAGAATCGGATGTTGACAATTCAAACTTACATGTCTGGCGGGGAGGAGAATCAAGTCTAAGACGTTTGTGAGCGGGATACTCACTTGCGCGCACATATTGAGGATCTTGAGGATGGGCTTGCTGTTGCTGGTCGTGAAGTGTGGGCGGTGCAGTGTGTGAGGGCTCCATGTCGCCAGCTTGAGCGGCAGCGGCTTGGAGCTGACTTATGGCGGCTGCAGGAAGTGGATCATTGACGGGATCATGATGTACGTGTTCGGATGAGGTAGCAGGTGCGTGTTGGTGATGCGGTTGGTGGTTGGTCGCTGTGAAGGTGGGCATAGGGTATGCGTTTGGCGATGCAGCATGGCTTTGTGGAGGAGAGACGTCGGCGTAATGGTGCTGGCCACGCTGATCGTGTTGAGACTGCTGGTCATGCGGATCAAGCTGGTCGTGGTGCTCGTCGGCATGGTGATATACATGTTCCGAGTCGTCTTGCGAGATGTGGCTGTCCGGAGCGGAGAGAGAAGCGGTTCGCATCTGAGCCCGAGAGGGAGCAGGTGGGAAGGTGATGTTCTTCTCGGTCATTCTTGTCTGCAGTTCGGCAATGTAGTCCCTCAAAGCGAACGTCTCATGCTGCAGGGCCTTGTAGTTGTCCTCCATGACCAGATAGCGCTTAAGATCGTCTTCCAGCTTGTTGATGTGCTGCTCCTTGCGCATGCGGAAGGCTCGCTGAGCGGCACGATTCTGCGCAGCACGCTTTGTGTTAGAAAGCTCGCGTTGGGCTCTTCCCTTCTTGCCGGCAGCACCTCCCTGAGCAGTGGGGTCCGAGGGGTCGGCATGAGGATGGCCTAGATCAGAAGCTTGGTGAGGCATGCCGTATGACTGGATGGCCATGACCTGCTCGTGATGGTGCTGTGGACTCGACTGCTGGGGATGGTGTGCGCCGTAGGCATTGGCAGGAGGCTGGTGGGGTTGTGGAAGAGGGGCATGGTTGTTTTGAGCGGCGATGAGCTGGTCGCGCAGACCTAGACGCGCACTGTGTCAGTTTCGAGTCAAGGCGCATTGTAGAAGAGTCCGTCTTACTCATCTCAAAGGCCTGCGAGTCCTACACCATCTGTCAGCAATGCATCTCTGAACGGGCACGGAGATGGACTTACAGCAGCCGAAGACATGGTGCTTGTTGTGGTCGCAATGCCGTCGTAGCAGTAGGGATAACTGCGCCCGTCAGCATTTCACTCGCGGTAGAGGCCATGCCGGCGGTGATATATTGCGGCAAATGTGGTTGCCAAACTTACTTTGTCTTGGTTGTCGGGTTGGCTTAACTGGTCATGCTCACTAAGCAAGACTTATGTAAGAACATGTGCCTTCCCCAAAGGAGCCTTCTGTCACCCCGCTTTTGGCTTCTTCCCCGGCGACTTCCACTTCTGTACAACAACCCCTCTACACGTACTCGTACTCGGCCTCGAGTGCCTACTTTCTACGAGTCCCTAGTCACTGGAGCAAGAGAAACCTGGGTATGCCTCGATGAAATCTGTCTCGAATATGGAAGTATGTTTGTGACTACAAACAGCCTTCCTCGTGGTGCATGATATCACACAAGTCTACTCTATTCTGAGGGAGAATCTCGGACAACTCACCGAAGAACTTTCGAGCTGGGGCGGCCTCTATTATATGCTGTCTTCAACCCTTTGTGTTTACTTTTTCTTGAGACGCGAGTGCCAGTTGATAGTCCATCCGAACGCCATGTCTAGTACACCGTCTGGTGACGAGGAGAAAACTTGCTGTGCAATTGTTGTTTGTGAATCATAACTCGCACGGGATGGTTACATCACATTAGACGCGAAAGAAGTGAGGAACTTCTGAACAAAGTTAAAGAGACGTCAGGGTGTCTTTCAGCTTTGGCTGGCTCATCGTCGTTGGAAAGCGTGGCGCCCCTGAAGCGTATTTTGGAGTCGATTATTGCTGCTGCTGTTTAGGATGTGATTAACTTGAGAAAGCAGATGTTTCGTAGTACTCCCGATGGCTGGAACCCAAACTGTGTACAACTGCCGCTGGTCACAAACACAAAACGACGATAACCCCGCGACAGATCCAAAGTCAAGATGTCTATACCAACGCCTGATGTGCCATATGGGTATACTTTCAATCCAGCCGCCAATCCCTCATTACGCCTTGGACATGCCTATCCTCTGAAGAGTCAAACCACATCACCCTCTATCGGAACCATACGAATGCAAAATCAGTGCATCTTCCCCATTTCCATGTCCTGAGTATCCTCCCAATCCTCCCAATCAGCAGAAGATCCAATCTTTCGACTGACAAAGATACCAATGCTCGTCGTGACAACAGCGATCAGAAACCAGCTCTCAAACCAAGCTTCGACAAAACGTCCCTCAAGTGGTGCACCCAAAGCCTCGCTAATGACACTACTTACCTCGCTAGGCAAGTTACTCCGCAACAGCAATGCAGAGGAGATGACGTATGCGCCTGCGACTTGAGAAATCACTAGCGGAATGGCAGATTGCACACGATTGGCAAGACCTGGGAAGAAACGGGTGAATAGGCGGAAGGTCTGTAGGACAGCGTTGAAAGACAACAAGAGCATGACACCCGTCAGGACGAATGAGATTTGACGAGCCCAGGCTTCGCGATTGAGTGTGGGATCGTAATGTGTAGTGATCAGAGCGAGAACGTTGTTGATAGGGTCGGAGGTTGCGAAGGTTGTGTTTGGCTGCCACCATCTGCGTAGTGAAGAGACCGTAGTTGCTGCGATTCGATAGAGACAGTAAAGTGCAAAGCCAAAGTTGAGTACGTTCAACATCCGCCCGAGGCTGTTTTGTGATCTTTGCTGTGTTGCATGTCGCGCTTTGAGGTTTGACAAGGATGACGAGAGAGTCATGGACATTGTCTCCAGACCAGCGATTTCCATCTCCAGGCTACGTTGCTCATTTGTATCGGAGTTTCCCTTGATCGAACCGATCATCCTGGTCATGATACCGCCTTTGTCCGGTGGTGCTTCAGACATCTTGCGATGGAGTGCGCGGAGACGACTCTGCTTGACTGCCAACATATCTCTGGTTGCAGTTAAGCCGCTCTCTTTACGTGCAATGTCGGTGTCACGCACAGTCTTGTGTTTCACCCCAAAAGTCTGCCAAATCGAGGACACTGCGGCAAAACCAGCAAGAGAAGCCATGAGGGAGATTCCTATGATGCCAACACGCTCAAGACAAGCCTCTACAAAATCGAAGTCGTTCTCCTGGCTTGGACGTCCTGCTTGTGAATGGAGCGAAGCCGGAAGAAGTGATGTGTGCGGCATATACCAGAAGGCAACGAACCAGAGTGCCAGAAGTAATGCCTCAAATGTGTATCGAAGAGTTGGGCGAGATTTGCGTACGGTGTTGGTGCCATACTCGGAGCGAGGGCGCGATCCAGAAACCAGAGTGTGAACTTCCAGACTCGGTATGACGATGATTATGAGGATCAGAAGCGAGTATAGAGTAATTTGTAAGGCCAGTCCTCTGGCTGCCGGGTTCAGTAAATTCGATATTTCACACAAGATCAGCTCCACAAGCACAGCCGACAACGCAAGTGTTGTAGAGAGTGTGACTGCAGCCACGCGTCTGAAAGAGACACGTCGAATCAAGTCCAGTCCATGATTGTTTGCGCGATGGGTCTCCCGATTGAATAATGGTATATTCTGGTCCTTGTGCGAGTTTGGTGAAGATAGATGTGGCACAACTTTTTGCCATACAGCAACAGCAACAAAAAGGAAGGTCAGAGCGAAGGGTGTTGATGACAAAGCTATCGTAGAAGGCGGAAAGGAGTCAAGCCTGCGTTGAATATACGCAGGCCTGCACTCATCGCAATCATCTAGCGATGGGAGCATGTCGCGGGATAGTTTCGGCGCGCGTGTTGCAAGTGCCAGTGAGACTGTCGCTCTTGTCAATGTATTGAAAGAGACAAAGTGGTGGTTCTCATGTGTAGCATGGGTGCAAGATTACAGATTGACGGGTTGTCCAAGAATCGTCAGAAGAAATCGACCAGGCCCACGTAAGCCTAGGCAACGGGGTTCGACAAGGGAAGAGTCAAGTGCTTGCGCGTGGCTGGTGACGTGCCTGGGGTTCGGATTTCGGAAGCCGCTAACCACGCCCCCACCTGACAGTGACAGCTATGCTCACCATCTAGCGGCACCTGAGTGATATCCTTAACAAATGGGTATCCTGATAACTTGTGAAGCAAGAGTATATTGAGTCGCAGCTGATCACTTCGTCCAATCTGCTGATATCATTTGTGGCTTATTCGTGATTGTCAAATGCGGGAAGTCGCAGCTGCAGAAGGGGCTTATCTACCAGCCCTGGAATCTACAGTCTAAAGTTGCCACCATCGACAGTTTGAGCTTGACTCAAAATTGACAGCAAGGGTCCTCAAGAGTGTCGGAGCAGAGTGAAACATGCTTCAATTGTTCCTCTCCCTTGCGCCTCCGAAACTGTCTATCGTAGGCTTCAGGTACGAGATGATGGGTCTTGTGCTCGCCCAACAAGCCTTGGTTGGCAGTCGCGTCAATGTTATATGTGAAGTCGAATACAACAACACAGCGCGTGGGGAGAGCGCTGTGGAGATCAAGACAGCTTTCTGGACATGAAATGACGCAGTGCATGTCGAGTGCACAGAAACATTACGGTGTCATGATGTACAGCTCAGAGAAAGAACCTCGTCTTCAGCGCCTCCAAGAGATTCACGCTGTCACAACGTCCGGACGTGGCTTAACCAGTGATCTCGCGTGATATGTTCCATAGATCTCTTGTTACTAGGAACAAGCAGGCCTGTTTGACTTACGAAGCGAGCCGGGAACGTTTTTACGAATCTCATAATTGAGATATGAGATGAAGTAGATCAACGAACCAACCTCAGGCATTATACCCTGAATCGCTTTCTTGATCATTGCTTACAGGAGACTATCGATGGACTAGCGACCTCGAGAGCACGATCATCAAGGTAGATGATAAGACAGAGCGTTGTGTGTAAGCGGAAAATGTTTTGATTCCAAAAGATGAAGCCTATAGCTAAAAGATCAAGCTATAGAAAGCCCCTTTAAATGGGGTCACAAGAAGAATAGAAATTAATAGACAGTATTAAGGAAAGTCATTAGTCCGCATGTTTCAATGCGTCAGTAGTTAGTAGGCATACACTAGATCGTGCAGATCATGATACAAGTGCGTGGGAGAATACGAAAATGGTCAGCTCGTGGGCTGAAGTGCTAGGCACTTAGCGGACGTAGACGGTGGTCCAGACGACGGAATCTGCGGTAGTGGGGCAGACGGAGACGGTGGAGACATCGTGTACGGTGACCGTGGGATATGCGCCAGATCCAGCACCTCCAGCACCTCCAGCGGCGGCACCAGCAGTAGATTGGCCGATGACATTGCCGTTCTGGTCTACGGTGACTGTCACGACTTGAGTAGCAACAGCAGTACCAGCTCCTCCGATAGTGATGGTCACGGTCGGGACAGCTGCGTTGCCGTTCTGAGGAATGGTAACTGTTGGGACAGTGTTCGTGTAGGTCACCTGACCAACGCTGGAGATAGATGTAACAACAGCACCTCCTGGGTAGACGGTCTGGCCAGCACCGCCAGCAATCACCGTGACAGTCGAAACGATGGTCTGATAGATCGTAGCGGTCGTGGGTGCTGCGACAATGACTGTGGTAGTAACTCCAGGCGCAAGGACTGTGGTGGTCGCAACTTCGCCAGATCCATTGCCGTTACCATTGCCGGAGTTGTCTTGAACACGGACAGCCGAGTCATAGCCAGCTACGTCAGTCGCATAATCCACGTCATTATAAAATGCACAGGTCTCAGTAGCGATATTGAAGGTAGTGCCGACACAGCTCTCAGCGACTGAGCAGAGGTCGACACAGTTGGAGAGGGTTGATGGGAGACCGTTATCGATGGCCTGGCGCTTCTGTTGGATTTCTGCGACCGCATCGTATGTGGTACCGATGAGGAACGAACTACAGCTGATAGCGAAAGTTACGTCGACGTTGCTTAGGAGGACACTGCCATCGAGTCTAGGACAAATGAAGCTCTCAGCAGTGACGTTGCTGGGGATAGCAGGGGTGGTTCCATTGGTGGTAGGGGAAGTTCCGTTGGTACCGGATCCGTTTCCTGCACCAGCGCGGGAGATGACAGTAGCGAAAGTGGTACCGTCAGCAGATACACGGCTTCCTGCATCGACAGATGAGAAGAAGGTGCAGGTGCCATCGGCTTCTGTGAAGCTGGTAGCAGCACAGTTGGTGTTGGCAGCGCAGGTAGTCAAGCACTGGTCAAGACTCTGTCCAGCACGCTTGGCCAGGATAGTGAGGGTGATCTCGATGCCAGTGTAGTCAATGTCGATCTCGATCAAGAAGAGGACACCGTTAATGCTAAGTAGAGAGCTGGGAGAAGGAGATGCAGCCGAACCAGAGGTGGTAGAGACTGCTCCCGACGAGGTACGCGAAGCAGATGCGGAGCGAGTGGAGTTACCAGACACGCCAGAGCTGAGCGAGACGCCAGCTGAGCGAGTTGAGCTACCAGTGGCGCGAGTGGTCGAGTTTCCAGCTGCTCCAGAGCTAAGAGAAACACCGGAAGTGCGAGTAGCGCCACCGGATGTGACAGGAGTAGTTCCATTGAACACATCGGAGGTGGTAGATGCATTAGCACGCGACTGAACAAGAGCAAAGTCGGTACCAGCAGTCTTGGTCTGCGTTGCAGTGTCGATATCACTGTAATAAGTGCATTGCATGCTGTCGTCGGAGTATGAAGTGCCTACACAGCGGTCACTGTCCGAGCAGGTGGCCAAGCAAGAAGCGATGCCAGAGGTTGCCTGTCTCTTTCTGGAAAGAGTCAAGACGGTGGCATCAGAGTAGCTGGTATCACTCTGGATGAGGAAGGTTGTTCCTCCGACAGTAGGCTCGGCACCATTGGTGTACTGAGGGTTCACCGAGGAGGAAGTAGTCGAGGCAATGGAACTGCTGTTGTAGCCTTGAGCGGCGACAGAGCCGAGCAGGGCCATCAAGGAGACGGCGTATTTGGCAGCCATTGTTGTTAGAACGAAGGAATAAGAACACTAAAACGAATGATGTTCTGGTCGAAGGTCGATGGTCGTCCTGGTTGATGGATGACTTGAGCTGATGAGAAGAATGACAACCTTGACGAAGGACCTCTTTATATCTATCCCATTCCCAAACAACAACATCTCTGGAGCGTCATCAACAAGCAAGGATTTCCCGTGTCTCATCGACGAGCTGAACATCCGCTGGGAAACATCACTGCAGATTCATTTCGCAAGAGCTCCTATGGTACGCAGAGGCTGCAGTCGCAAGGAGCGGCAATTTTATCGACCGTTATGCTCGCATGGTGTATGGAGCGAGGGCGAAGACGACCGCGTAGCAGAGCAAAGCAGCAAGATCGACCTGACGATTAGAGTACTCTGTTAGACTAGTGAAACGTGCGCTTTGTATGGCAAGAGACTCTGAAGAATGAGGCATGATCAACATGTCGAATTGGCAACATGTCTTACTGCCATGAGGCTTCAATGTCAAAAGCAAAGAGTCAATTGACAACTGCTGTGTTGCGGGGTGTATCGATCGAGCTCGCCTGCCATGGGTTCAATGCGGAGTTCTTGGGGTGTTCTATCTACAGCATAACGGTTGTTAGGCTATCCCAATCGCAACGTCTTTTCTGTAGCAGACGAAGGATGACAGCACGGCCAGGGCTCAGGGTAGACCTGTCATGACGCGATATTGAGAGCTTAATCAGAGCATGTTTGTGATGTATATGCTAGATAGCATAGTGATGAACAGGTTTACCACGACGATGTCCTCTAGCTTGGGGATGTTAAAATGTGAACGAGATGGATCTCCAGTGTTTATGCGACGAAGATCAGGCACGTGCTTGGCGTGCATGCACGTCAGCTCAGGTCCAACATGCAGGAGCAAGGATCGCCGCAAGTCGCGCTATTGACACCTCCATGCTCCTTCGGTGTGCCGTTATAATTACTACACGGTGAAATTCTGAATCACTCTTGAGATTGCGTATGCATGCACACAGCCATTCTTTTAGTACCTCAACCAATGATAATCGTGACATCGACCACACAGTCTCCATAGCAGCCGATCACATCACATTGCCGAGCATCATAGCCAGCGGATATAAACGGGGCAGGTAGATGGAGAAGTGAGGCTGTATCAGACGCTGAAACGGAAAAAGGTGAAGGAACTCTCCACCCATTGGCACGAGCACTGGTGGGGAGCAAGTCCGCTCTCACCCAACGCGTCTCGGTATTCGCCCAACTGGGCAACGAAATAAGCGAGATGTGCGACCCGAGGCGGCAAATCGATTTTTGAGGACGGCTCAGTCTTGAGGACGCTCCAAGAAACTTGGATCGTTGTTGACCTTGCTTTCGAATTTGGACCACCAGGCTTCAAAGGCCTTGAGCGGGACAGTATCGCTACCGAATGACGCAAGGAAATTGAAAGCGTTGGCAATGATGCGCTGAGCGAGTATCTTTGTCGTAACTGGAGAGGCGGTGGCTGATAGATTTGATCGCACCATCTGCGATGAGTTCGCCTTCTGCTCTGCTAGCAGGGCTTTGACCTGTGCAGCAGGTTGTATTTCCATGCCAACGACAATGGCGGGTCCCCCTACTTCGACCCCTTCTGGGGCCTCATCCAACATGAGATCGTCCTCTGCAGCGCCAGGGACGACATTGTTTCCCGTGTTGATCTTGAACATGGTGGATGGTCTCAGCGACGAGACGGCGCCAACTAGCTTGAACTCGGTCGAGGGTGGGATTTGGATGAAGATAGCGGCGGCGGCATCGGGTGGCAGCTCGTTTCCCGGTAGGGAGAAGACGGCGATATGATTGAAGGCTGGTCGCGAAGGAACCTGGAAGGCGTATTGCGTTTGGGAGATTGCCTGTGGTTGCGCGTCTACCGGACGTCCAGCGATGAGAAGGCCAAACATTATATTGCGCTATAGTCACAGACTTAACTTGTAGGATGAATGAGTAGACATGGCGCGGACCTCCTGTCGACAGACTCCTGTAAATTTATCAAGGCTCAAAAGATTGTGGGGCGAGCTCTGAGCTCTCGCAACTTCTCGAATCCACCGTGACGAAGCCTCGGCGTTCGCTGTATGCACCATCATCGTCGCTTATCTTTCCAATCACGCGAGTATCATGGATATGTTCTCCTTGAATAAAATGCGGGATATGTTGCCGTCGTTGCCCTCGATGTCACCACCTTCTCTAGACAAGCCATCCGATGCTACAGACACACAACCCACTGAGGCAGAGTCCAAACCTCATGCTCGACTTGACAGTGACGAACTCATCAATTCGTTGGATCCACGACCAATTGACGAGTCAAACCCCAAATCGAATATCGACCTTGTCAACGAGTGCGACAGCTTCCCCTACTTCCAATCCACACCTCAGCTTTACCTGAATCACATCTCAACATACTACCATCTTCGTGTCGCTGCACATCCTGACACCACTCTTGGCTATATCCTACCCTCTGTCGCTGAAGTATTGCGTGGCCTTGAGGAATGGGAATTGGACGATGATGAGCGAACTCTCACTCTAAAGGCTGGTGAAGACGAGCCTGCCCGCAGCGCTATTCTCGCAAGAACCACAGCAGCTATGCGCGAGATCGGCCACTTCTCTATCCTGAAAGGCTGGAGAAACGAACTCTATCCAGTTTACGGACCTGCACCAGCCAGAGAACTGCTGTTCAGCATCGAACGTGCAGCCAGTGCTCTGTTTGGCATAGTCACCTACGGTATTCACATGACTGCTTACACAAAGTCCGAGTCCGGCGAACTCAAGATCTGGACACCACGTCGCTCAAAGACCAAGTCTACATATCCCGGTATGCTTGACAATACCGTCGCAGGTGGTATGGCCACTGGTGAAACTCCTCAGCTCTGCTGTGTGCGTGAGGCTAGCGAGGAGGCCTCGCTCCCGGAAAATCTAGTCCGCGAAAAGGCACATTCAGCTGGCGCTGTCACGTATTTTCACATCAGAGACTCACGCGCTGGAGGCGAGACACGACTACTGCAACCCGAGTGTCAATACATCTTCGACCTTGAGCTGCCTCAAGATGTTGAGCCTAGGCCATCAGATGACGAGGTGGAGCAATTCTACTTGATGGGTGTTGATGAGTTGAAGGAGAAACTCAAGGCTGGCGAGTTTAAGCCGAACTGTGCCGTTGTTTTGCTCGACTTCTTCATTCGTCACGGTGTATTGAACGCCCAGAACGAGCCAGACTTTATCGAGATTGTGAGCAGGCTGCATCGCAAGTTAGATTTCCCTACAGCTTGAACCTGTAGTTGCGTAGGATAGTTGCATAATTGCATGACGATATGGCTGGTCCAAGTTGTTGCTTCGTGTTTTATTCACATCGTTCGGTCTCGACTTGAGTGGGCTCATCACGCCGCTCTCAGAGTGATCAGGGACTCTACACAACTGCTTTGTTGTGTCTCGACCACCAACATCATGATCGGACTGGATCTTCCCCGAATGAATCTGACATTTTCTAGCGAGTACGTAGCCGACGTATCTGATCGGACACAGTAGCATATATACATGCAAGAGAGACTTGTATTTACAGACAGGGTCATCCTGATGGCAACCAGAAATTGCGTCACACTGTCGGAGACTGTCTCTCTCGACGAGTTGAGCATCACGATGCTGTGCAAATACTCCCCTGATATGAGAATAGTGTTGGATGAAAGATATCACGATCCAGCAAGCCATAGCCGTGTTCACCCACCAGCTATATTTTGGTTGATCCAAGAATACCTAGGAGGTAGGTACCACGCTTCTTCGGCAGGGTGCGGATGAGAGGTACGTCATCGTCAACACTGAATTGGCAGCAAGCAGCAGGAAATCTTACCTCTCCGTACAGGTAACGCGACTAAGGTAGGTCTCTGGAAACGAACCTCTTTTCGCTCGTACCACGTATCGCCCATCATGGATTTCCCATCAAGCACCTCAGAATCAACCGAGTATTCAACTCTCCAATCCTTCCTCAACGACAAATCTTCGCTCGATGAGGCAATCAACAACTTCATCTCCACTCCCGACTCGTCGTCAACAGAAGACAAGCTTATCCGTTCCTGGGATGCCCTAGGTCTTACCGCCTCGCAAACCGCGGCGGACTCCGAGTCGCAAGAGAAACTTGTCTCATTTCTCAAAGCTCTCCGCGAGCGTGACACGAACGTCGGCGATGTCGAAGGCCAGACAGTATCCTGGTCTTCGCTGCCACTCTTTGGCCGTCAAATTCGCGAGCGCTGGAACTACGACGAAAGTGCTGCACAGAAAGAAGAAGAAGCCGCAAATAATTGGGCGAATGCGAACGCGTTCGCTGCCCGCGTCACAGCTACTGCATCCGCGTTCGACAGCTCAGATCCACTTGACTTCTCCTTGTATGCCATCTGGGCATTGAGAGCTGCCTTGGAAGACAAGGATGATGTGCCCGAGGCCACAGTACGGGCGGCTGCCATGTGGATCCTGTACGCTGGTGAAGTGCTAAGAAAACAAAGCAAAGATCAGAGAAGCTATGAGGGCAAGGTTGCACAAGCGGGAAACAAGTATCCGAAGAAAGAGTGGAATGGATTTGAGATGGATAGATGGAGGAGCTGGGGAAACCGCTTCGGAAACATTAGCGAGGTCTCGCCATGCGAAGAGACTAAGGACATTGCAAAGAAAGCAAAGAGACACATGGGTGATCTGGCAAACTGCTGATTCATTTAAATTAGGCTAGCAAGAGGCACTCAAACTCCGGACAAGAGGCACCGTGCTATAAATCATAATCATAACAGACATTCCAAGATTCAGACACCGCTCGACACAGCGCCTCTTCATTGCTTCATCAGACTCGATACACCCTTGATAAGCATGCCAATGGGACCGGAGCGGTCTCTTTGCATGGTCCTTCTCTCATCTCGATATTCAGCTCGAAGCTCACGCTTCTCCTCGCGATACCTGCGCTTGATCTGCTTCTGCTCGCGTTTGCGTTCACGCTTTGCTGCGCATCTGCTCTGGCACGTTGACTTGGCAATGGGAATTGCCAAGTTCGACGAGGAGTCGACGTCGGTATATATGGTTGTGTATTTGGGAGCACCTTGCATCTTGGACAGCATTTTGGTGTCAATAACCTCTGTCGCCTGGACACTCGTGTCGTTGTTGATGTCCTTGGCATCTTTCTCGATGTGCTCATAGGCCGGAGGAGGACCAAGGGGCTCAACAGTACGAGAAGCTGTGGCTGTGGCTAGTAGATTCTGAGCCAGCTCGGCCATTGTCAGGGTTTTTCTGTTGGAGCGACGCCTGCAGCACATTGTGACGGGCAGCTGATAGATTTGGTAGAAGATAGATTGAGAATTTATTTCTTTGGTATGAGTGCTGATGTTGAATATGTATTGCCATGTCTTTGAGCAGCACTACTTATACATCTTCGCAAGCAATGGCTTCAATGTCTATACAATCCGTAGCTTTGTTTTGAGAATGTCATACCAGATGTATAGGTACTTCTCGCAGTGTCATCCGCATTGGGTAAGGTCGCGGAAGAACACGACGCCGTCGGATCTCCCACGCGCAGCATAGCATCGTCCGCTCAAGTCTGCCTGTATCCTGACGGACGTAAGGTCATTTACGCGGAGGATCTTTCATACAGAATCGCTCCGAGTCGGCCGTAAAACTTAGTTGAGTGTATGATGAACAAGACTTGCCCCAATCTTACACTGACGACTTCTCAACCGATGTCGTCTCTGGTTCAGGTATCATGATAGAAGGCCTGCGAGTCGGACACAGTTACTGCTGACGTCCACGTCGGAGCGATTGCCTCGTTTGAAGACGGCAACATTGTATTTCCATCGAGATGTTTGCGAGGACACATGTTGAACGCGTCACAGCAGAACAGGTCGTTTGCTGTATTTGCAGAAGTCTCTGGCCGATCCACCAACCTCTTCGCAACTCCGGAACAAGATTCCTCGCCACCATAACATCCACGATGATCGTCATAACTGATACACTGTGTACACTCTAGTTCAGTTTGCGTTCTCGAAACACTATCTCCGCATGGTAGGACCAGGGGTCTGTAACAGTAGGTCATTTGAAACGCCAAGCTTCGAACACGCCATGACAGCCATTCGTTCGTTCTATCGCGCCTCATGTTTGCTGCGCCCAAATCGCCATTGATGGTGATCATATCTCATTTGATGTTGTTCAGCGATGGGCTTCACACGCTGTGTTGACGTTGACGTTCGATCATCGCAGACATCCCTCAAAGCATTGCCATTTCTGGCCGTGAAACTCGATGCAAGCCTCAAGCTGAGGGGCATGCAACACTAATGCGTTACAGATTTGCTCCTAAAAATCACGGAAGAGTCGTTCCTCGGACAAAGGTCAAGTCAGTACATAACCTGAGGGGTTGCGGCGTCCAGCACAGCAGATCATTCCATTCCATTCACTGCCTCATTCTGTCGTTCCGTCCTTGAGTAGTCATGCGGTGCTCCATCGCTGCATTGTCTCTTGTTACTCCAGCGCTGGCGCTGCCAACACTTTCCTTACTAAACGGAGGTCTATTTGGTGGACATCATCTGCTTGGTGATATCTTCTCGCACGGTCACAACGGTGGCTCATCTTATACCGAAGCACCAGCATACGACAGTGGCTCGTCTGCGTCCGATTCTAGTTTTACACCTACAGACGATGAAGCGCCTGGCTATAACAGCGGGACTATCTCTGATGAACAAGGATCCGCAAACGGGAACATAGCTCCTCAAGGAAGCGGTGTGTCTTCTTCTATAGTTGATGCAGCTTCTGCATCTATACAAGCGCCTTCTAGCGCCGCATCTGCCGCATCTCTCGCATCTCTTGGATATGGGGTCACTTCTTATAGTGTGGCTTCTTCACAAACGGTCACAATCTCGAGCGGTGTTTCGACAGCCGACAGCACTGCTTCGACGACTTCACCAGTTGGGAACTTTACTCCCGATAGCGAACAGACCTGCGAAAGTCCCAGCATCATCGGCTGCAAGACAGCATCCGACTCTTCAGCTGCCGAAGTTGCAGCAGATAGTGGAGGCGTATACGACTTCGTGATCGTTGGCGGCGGTACGGCTGGCCTGGTCATCGCGAATCGATTGTCTGAAAACTCATATACATCTGTCGCGGTCATTGAGGCTGGTGATTTGGTCTTCGACAACAAGAATGTGACCGACGTGTATGGCTATGGGCTGTCTTTTGGAACGGACATTGACTGGCAATACGAAAGTGCACCACAGGCATATGCTGGAAACAAAACTCAGACACTGAGAGCCGGCAAGGCACTGGGTGGAACAAGTACCATCAACGGTGAGTTTATCGCTGTATATGTCACGAATATTACTAACGAGCGAAAGGCATGGCGTACTTGCGTGCCCAGAAAGCTCAAATCAACGCTTGGGAGCATCTCGGAAACGTAGGCTGGAACTGGGAGAGCTTGTTGCCATTCTACAAGCGTAGCGAGAGATTTCAAATTCCGACCGAGGATCAGTGTTTAAATGGGGCCGCCTACGATATTGAGGTCCATGGCACCACTGGACCTCTCAAGACTGGTTGGAACACTGGACTTCTGGGTAAGAGCGTTACCTCGCTGATCAACGCGACATACACATCACTTGGACTGCCATACAGAGCAGAATCCAATGGTGGCGATATGCGTGGCTTCACTCGCTACCCAGCGACCGTTGATCGAGAGCTTAACGTTCGTGAAGACGCCGGTCGTGCCTACTATCTGCCTATCCAGAATAGAACTAATCTGGACCTCTATACAAACTCCTTCGTGCAGCGCATCACTTGGGATGAGACCTCAACAAACTCAACACCTCGAGCTGATGGAGTACAATTTACTGATTCTGCTGGAAAGCGCAGAACAATCAGTGCTAAGAAGGAGGTGATCCTGTCTGCTGGCGCTCTGAGATCGCCCCTAATTCTCGAGTTATCCGGCATCGGCAACCCTGCGTAAGTACTTTGTGTCTATAGGATGTCATGCGATAATTGACAAGGAACAGTATTCTAGAGCAACATGGTATCGATGTCAAAGTCGATCTCCCTTTCGTAGGAGAAAATCTCCAGGATCAGACTACTGGTGCTGGAGTGTATAGCTCCAACACCAGCTTCTCGGGTACTGCAGATTACGTCGGCCACTTCAGCGTCGGGGATATCTTCGGGAACGACACATATGACTTGAACTGTACGGTCAGAGACTCGCTACTCCAATACGCCGCCACCGTTGTTGAAGCTTCAGGTGGCATTCTCGACCAGAAAGTCATGGAGAAACTGTTCATGATCCACTACGACCTCATCTTCAAAGATCAGATTCCAATCTCGGAAATTTTGGTCAGTCCTGGTGAGAATCAGATGGCTTTCTCGTACTGGGGTCTGCTGCCGTTCTCTCGTGGTAATGTCCACATCCAGTCCAACAACTCCACAACTCCGGCAGCTATCAACCCGAACTACTTCCAGCTCGACTACGATCTCAAGCAGCAGATCGGTACCGCCAAAGCCGTGCGGAAACTGGCTGGCTCTGAGGCTCTATGTGATGTTGTCACCGAGGAACTCAGCCCTGGGCTCCAAAGTGTGCCCCTGAACGCTTCTAATGAGACATGGGCTCAAGCCATTAAAGATGGTTGTAAGTGTAACATTGAAACCGTGATATATCTTACATGATGCTAATTGCTTTTCAGATCGCTCAAACTATCATTATATTGCTACTGCTGCCATGATGGCCCAAGATCTTGGTGGCGTGGTCGATACCGATCTTCTGGTGTATGGTGTTGACAACGTGCGTGTCATTGATGCATCTGTTATTCCCTTCCAGGTCTGCGGTCATCTTACTGCGACCGTTTATGCGATTGCGGAAAAGGCTGCTGATGCCATCAAGAGCCGCTATTACTGATCTGAATCCATAGTCTCTGTTCTCCTCTTCAAATCTCATCTTCCATAGCTAAATATAGCCTCGATTCATTTTTAGCATTGTGCAGTGTGACATGGCTCGGTAAAGTCTTCGCGCGTCTGGGACGAGCGGTGGTTTCGCCAGCCGAACAGCTCGTTGGACAGGTGATCTGACAACGACATACCGTCTACATGTCGCTCGACGTAGGCAGCTAGGCCGCCGCGGTACAGTATGACAAAATCAATTGTGCATGGTACAGCAGACGCTAGGACCGCCGGTATGAATACTGTGAGTCGGCAATGTATCGTGGTAGAGTCTAGCTCATGATAACGCGGATGTTGGTGGAGCGTTGCTGATATTTTGATCGTTGTCCTACCATGAGCATAATTTCAGAACAGCAGCTGCTGATCGCGTCTGTATGTGGTAACGTGGAATCTGGACAAGTTATTATACTCAGGCATAGTCGGTTTGTTTGGCGTTAGTTGGCCCCACAACGCTCTTGCGGCGCCGTCGAGACTGTCCGGGAATAGGTACCGGCGAAGTGTCTGATCGGCTAATGACCAGTTCGTAATAGAGAGACTTGAAAGTAACATCTCGAGTCCATCTAGCAGTATGGGTGAACGTATCTGGGCTGTGCTGCATATCAAAAACAGAGCCCACGCTCCTATGTCAGCGTATATCGTGTTGACGAGCACACTGGAGACGAGGAACTTGCTCAGGTCCCATTGCTGTTCGAGATCATCGCCCTGAAGATGAGCGACGAGACACAGCAGAGCAAGCTTGACGTGTGTTTCGGCCTGAACCAAGATCGTATCATCGACAGAGCTGTGAATCGGGCAAAAGTTGCCAACCATGTTGTCCAAGAAGTTGTACTCGGTAAGACGTGATTGGAGGTCTAGCAAAGCATATCTCCTATGTCGACTTCTCTTCATGACTGCGTTGATCTCAGAGACGAACCCCAGGGTGGATGGGGCGACTGAGCAAAGACCGTTGGGCTGAATCAACAATGCAAAACCAAGGGGCAGATCCAGACCGAGCACGTCACCAGGGGAATCATGTTTGAGTCCATGAGGTACGAAGACAGGCTCAATTCCAGCAAACCATGGTTGATCGTAAGTGACGAAGCTAACAAGGCGACGGATTACCGGTGGAAAGTCAGCATCATGGAAGCCTCCACGAAGATTCACCATCGTCTTGAGTCCGGCCATATGTGCCTTTGCCGAAGTCTTGTCACCAAGCGAGAACTCCCAACCAGATAGTAGACATACTGCTGCGATCAGTCGATCGCTTGTGTTGAACCCTGCGGATAAATCAAGAACAGCTTGAACGTTCCGCATTGCCTGGAAGCGAAAGTATGCCAGGACTTCCGGCGTCTGTTCGAAGGAGGCATGAGAGGTCGCTACAAGCAGACTCGCGAAGAAAAGCGCACTGTGCGACAACGCTTCGGGCCACAAGTCTCTGCGAATAACTGGTCGGTCGGAGGCGTAGATCGGATCTTGGACGTCAGGGGCATAATAGGTCAAGTCTACGGAAACAGTTAGTCATAACTTCGAGAACGAGGACCTGGAATAGTCACATATGTCAACGAGCCGAGGTATCGTTGGATGCCACGCATCGCCATAGGGTAGAGATAGAAATGGATCGTGCTGAGTGTTCCATTGGCCGAGTGATGGTACGAGAGAGTGGCTTGGCTCTACAGGACTTGATGAAGTAGAACTCGAAGAACTATGGTTCGACTGGATCAAGATCAAAGCGTCATTGTGTGCTTCCGGTTCAGCCTTGATGGCCTTTGCTTTGCTTCTCCTACGCACTCTCACAAGCTTCTGTATAGCCTCGGGATCATTGGAGTTCGTAGCCGTTTTGGCAGCAATAGTGCTCTTTCGGCAGTCAGCACTGCTCAGAGCAGCTTGTGACCGGATGGCTCGTCGTAGGTGACCCTTTTGCGTATCAGACGGGAACTGGATGTTGATGAACATTTTGTTGCATATCTCAACAAGACCGATGTTTGGGAACCTTCTTGGTTGCCTCTCGAGCTGCGAACTGAGTGGGCAGCGGGAAGCATATTTGAAGGAACCATCTCTGGCTCCTGCTCTCCTAAGCCTCAACTTGGAGATAGGCAACTCGAAAACCGCATGCACTCATGCTCGCACCTGCAGCGACGTTGCACAGGGAGTGGGGGCCACTAGCGATCTTTAAGCAGTAACCTTAGCCATCATCCTGGGTGCAATCGTGCCTGGTAGGTGCATCTTACATCGACCAAATTTTGACTGCACAAATACTAGAGGCTCTGACACTTCATCTCCATAAACAGTATGACCGAGGTAAATCGCATGCCACACATTGTCGATGCATATCCCTAAACAAGATGCTTTTGGCGAAGGTTGAGGTATTAGGTGCTCATTGCATGTGGACTGTCCGACTGCTTGAGGCATTGACGTAGGCATGGCCAGATGGGCGACCGTCGATTCCAATCTCACCTGTGTACAGCCAATCGTGATCATCCTAGCCTCTGTTGACCACGTTTTTTTGGAGAACGAGCCTTGTAGGAGCTACACAAATGGCGTATCGATCTTCTAAGAGGTCACTGCGCGCGCATTTCTGCTTGAACCTAATCGGGCATGGTGCTTTTTCGTCAGCTAGTCAGTCCGATTTAGAGTTACTCATGTCACGCTTTACGACTTCGAAATGTCCGCATTCGACCTTTCAAGACGATCACCACCTACAAATCTCTCGGTGCTCGCCGGGGAATCATCTCGCATCGCAGCCGCTAACCTTGTTGAATTGTTCGGTACTCGTCCGGAGGAACGATCCAAATCCTCGCCCTCTTTGATTGGCCGTATAATTGGGCTACAGGACTATGGTGCTCGGACTCTGTTACAGCCATCAACATGTTCACGTCAAAATTCGCACGCTGCTTTTTGTTCCATCAGACCCAATCGTGATTTGGCAGCTCCATCTCGTTGTCTAGTCACGTTTTAGGTACCTGAGACCTGTGCAGTGGTCGAGGAGGATTTGGCCCACAAGTTAGGCTGGCAGTATTTTGCGGATGTATGGGTAATTACGCCATTCGAGATCTAACGCACCCTGCAAAGACGTTGGGAAGCCGAGAGCTCCAAACCACATGTTGGGGAGTGGCATCTGGCACTCAAGTGCCTCACTTCCATGTGGTATCTGTTCCCCGCCCAACTTGGCAAGAGCTACGCACGAATGTGAAAGTGGAGCTCAGAGGCTTCGCATTCGGCAGATGGTTTACCCGACTCAGATGCTTGCAAGTTGCGAAATGCTTGAGCATCAGATATAACCAACAGCCTATTTGTTTCTGCGAAACGTGCGCTTTTATGGAGCCACAACCGATATTCTCACTTACCAAGATGCTCTGGTCCCTGATCTTTCAGGACTTATCAAATACCGCCAGCCACCTTTGGCACGGGCCGCCTCGAACCGGAGCGGCAGCTTTGTAGAACAGGGATCCACAGTTTGCTGTGCACCACGGCTCATCCGTAGCCTCTTAGAAGCAACTGAGGGAAAGAAAAGAAGTCTGCAACCATTGAATCAGACCGCCGCACAAGCTCTTTTTAAAGATTCTAAAGTTCTCTATCACACCTCTTCCGGAATCGTCACAAATTGAATGTTCTGCCCAGTACCCAACTGGCTCAAGTTCCAGCTAGGCGTGTCCCTTGTGCGTGCTACTGGTCCGACGTATATCTTTCTCCTGAAGTAATACGTCACCAGCATCAGGATGAAAATCCCCAAAATCAACGCGCCAGCTACATTGAAGTTTGTCGGTGTGACCGGTAAGGTCGGAGGTGACAGCGACCAGATAAAGCAGTTGACCGAGAAAAGCTAGTAATAAAGGTATGATTAGCACGCTTCACTGAAGTTAAGCTTCACTGGCATCCTGTATCACCCGGATCGGACTGCGCTCGAAGTAACGGATTCTGGGCATGGGATAGTGTACACTTACAATAGCAAACACATTAATGATAGGACCCCAAGAACGACCCAACGACCATCTCGCTGGAGGAAGTTGCTCTGGAGACTTGATTCTTCGATACAACACGCACATGATGGAAATTATGTACGACATCGATTGCGTGGCCTGTCCGAGTCCCACCTGTGCTCTCTTAGTCTGCGGTCGTCCAGATCTCAATGGCATAACACTTACAATGCCATAAAAAGCAGTCGTGGATCCGAGATTTATCAGCGACAGCAGTACACTGACAGCCGCAGTCAAGAAGACAGCGTTCATAGGCATCAGTCGTCCCTTGTGAACCTTGCTGATCCACTGTGAGAAAGGAAGGCCGGAATCTCTCGCAAAGGCATAGGTGATTCTCGCGGTCGTCGCGGCAAACCCGATACTGCTTGCGCCGATCAGCGCAATGAATGTCAGAAGAATGCACACTATCACACCGTTCGGCACTGATAATTGCAGAACGTAGAGCAGTGAGTAGCCGGTTGGATGGTCAAGAGCTGCTGTCACACTCGGAACGCAGAAAGCGAATGTTGTCACCGCTATCAGGCCAAGCGCTCCACTTATATAGCTGCTTCGCATCGTAGCTTTGGGTACAACAACGGCGGCATTCTGCACTTCTTCGGAAAGGTGTATCGGACAGTCACTGTCTGTCGGAGTCAGCCACACGAACCTTCAACAGGCAGAATACTCACAAAAACAGCTAAAGTTGGCATTTGCTTGACCAGCAACCATCGCCAGAGCTGTAGTAGACCACTCGGTGTTCTCAACTTGTAGCAGCGCTCTTTTTGCTGGTATGTGTGGCGAGAGCACACCCAAAATTGCTGAAGCCTGATAAGTGTTTGCCTTGTGGGGGGTCCGTGACGCCAACTTACCAACCATTGCAATCAGAGCAAGAACATGGACTGACATCGAGATGTTCTGCAGGATTGCTATCGTACGGCCACCGTATATGTTGGCTAGAATTACCAGAGCGACAACTGGAACAAGGAATACAATGGTCTCCCACAACAGCTCGCCATTAGCTGGGCGGTATATGGTTATGACCGATTGAAACAGCGAGCCCGTCAGGAAAATACCTGAGGCATTACCACACATCCAGCCGACAAGTTGCATCCACCCTGTTATGTACGACAGGATCTGTTGCCAGCGTTCACTGGCGAATTCAGATACCCAAAAGTATTGACCAGCCGAACTCGGCAACCTACGTGAAATCAGTCTTGCCTCATCGAGTGTTCTTTGTGAACTTACATCGAGCACATCTCGGCCAACGACGCTGTAACGAGCAGAGAGCCTGCGAATGACCAGACATCTGCTTACATCAGTGGTACGTTCTCTGTCGTTGAGGGCATACATACACGACCAGAACAAAAGTGCACTTCCGCCGGCTTCAAGAGCTTGGTTGTTGTTACTGGTGCGTGTTAGCTATCTTCTAGCTAGTACGCTCTGATAACATACAGTAAAATATACTCCCATGTACCTTGCGATCTGAATGCTATTGTCAGTCACAGAATCTTGCGAGGCATGGTCGGCGTGTCTCACAGGCAACCGAAAGATATCAGCGAGAACTGTCGGAACACTCTCTAATCAAGTAAGTCAGCGAGCTGAACTAATTAGCTACTCATGAGGAATCAGACTCACCCTCATTTCCTGTGTTCTACCCATCCTCAACATGTCTTTGAGGTCTTCTGGCGATCCATCCTCATTCAAAATTGCTGGCGGCACGGCCACATCCTCTGCATCTTGAGCCCATTCCGGTCGATAAGGACTCTTAGCTGCTGGTGATGTAGACTGATAGGTTGATGACGTGCTAAGCAACCTAGGTCTCGAAAACCCCGACGAGATGGGCCTTATCTTGTCCTTCACGCTTCCGCTATCGTCGTATCCACTGCGAGAGCTGTCTCCTCGTACAGCAGTCGGCCTGAGAAAATTCCCTTTCCTCTGTTGTGTAACCTCAACGCTAGAAGCCTTCTGTATGGATTCCTCCTGCATCGCATCGATGAGCCCGGAGAGCTGGGATTTTAGAAGATCAAGATGCGACTTGAGTCGCAGATCCTACAGTTAGTAAACACCGGATTATTTGCCACGACCCTGCTCCGTCTTGGCTGAGAGGTCCGGTATGAGCGTAACAGCTCCTGCTAGTTCAGCAATTCGACTCATTCGCAATATTGTCATGCATTAGAAGCCGCTCAAAGCTGACAGCCGTTGTGTGATCCAGCCTCCTAGCACTAGAGGTACCATTTCTGCCAGCACATTATTTGATTCTGCATGGACGTCCCATTCCCCTTTGGCATCAAGCTGACAACGTTTGCATCGAATGTGGCTTCGACCGTTGCGTTTGCGGAGAAGTTGGCCGTGTAGGCGTCAACATAACTTCTTGCCAACCATAGACCAAGATGACTTTAGAGACACGCAGTCTCGATGGGCATTAATGATATTACAGAACCGTCTCCATGTAGTACTACACACTTAATCGGCTCAGTCATACAATAATCACGGGCTCTGCGGCTGAATACAGTGGAGAGGCAAGTGACCATCGAGGAAGCCACGACCAACGTCTTCATCATCATCATGCGAGTCACAGCGGCTGGCGTTGCCGCTTAATTGTTCTAGAAAGACAACGCAAGCTTTTGATGTCTCATGTCAACACGCACCTTATCATCTTCATTAACCTCGACCTTCAATGAGTACTGCGTACGCCCTCACGACATCTGACACTTGGTATGGGTAACCACACAGCCCTTCCTAAAGATGTCCTGCCGCCGGATGTCTACTACTTCGCCGAGTTGACCCCCACAAATCATGCAGGTGTCGTATGGGTCGTCTGCATTCTCAGTTTGACATATGGGCTTCTCTGCAGTGGGGTCCGCTTTACTCTCCGTCGCGGCATGTATGGTTTTGACGATGCCGCCATACTGGTGTCGACTCTCGCAAGTGTTGTCCAACACTCCTTTGTGTTTCTTGCTCTCGAAAACGGTCTCGGAGATTCGTCGAGTACCATACAGCACAAACATCAAGAAACGCTTACAGAAGTAAGTTTCCCGGCTGGTGTCAGTGCATGAGAAGATATTTCTGACAAGCTCCAGAGCACCTACACGAGGCTTGTCCTTTTTTTCGTCGTCCACTATTTGGCCAAAACCTCGTTAACCTTGTTTACTCGTCGCTTGTTCTATGGTCAAGAGAAATTCAACCAGCTTATATGCGATGCTTTGGTCGTCGTCAACCTGGTTTTTGGAGTAATTAGTATTCTGCTTCTGACCATCAATTGCCAATCTGGATGGTACTTTAAGTCTAAGGACGTATGCCCGAAGCTGGTAAGTTACTCTCAACCACAGCTGGCGGATGACGACAGCTGATCTTCCTGTAGCTCACCAGATGGATCGTCATCAAGTCACTTGACGTTTTGGCAGAGCTGGCCCTAGTTCTTGTCCCGATAGTCCTCATATGCAGGATTCTGCTCAACCCCAAGCACAAAACCGTCATCATTGGAACCTTCGCTGCCAGGCTTCCTGTCATCGCCTTCACGATCCTCCATTTGTACTATCTGAACAAGTCGTTGCGTGATACTCATGATCGAGGCATTGCATTAGTCAAGCCAGTTGTATGGCTTCAGGCCACAATTCTATGGAGTATGGTCACAGCATCACTGCCGTCTTTCCGACCTCTCGTCTCGCCTTTTGAAACTGTCATGGAAGACTCCACCACGCACTCCACATCGGTATACAACGGTGCTGCGCTTATGATGGGCTCTGATAAGGACAAGACTGGAGAGTCTCCTACCTCATGGGGAAGCTTGAGTGGAGGCAGGATATCTCAGCTTGAAGCAGTAGCCAGTAATGGGAGTCAGATAGCGAAGTTCAAGGGGACCAACGAAACCACAATCGAAGGACCGAAGAGAAAACTGTTTCGCCTATCGAAAAAGGAGGACGACATCGAGCTCGGCACCATCCAACACATCACAGACTTCGAGGTCACATACGAACAGGTTGTCAAGCCAAGTCGATGGAGCAAGGTTTGGCGTGAGTCGGGCTCTACAATGGTCGAGGATAGACCTTTTTCGGTGGGAGCAGTGAGCAGACCTGACGAAACGTGAGCGAACCTCTTGAACATACTTCACACGTCGAGATACCAACACTCTTCCAGGCCACCTCCTCGGAGACGAAGCACATACGCCTTTATTGACGAGGCCGAATCGATCCGCGAAGCTCGTGAGGCTTCAAACGACGATCAGTCGGCTTGAGATGGAATCGTTCGCCAACATGCACTCCGCTATCAGCCTTCAAATGGCTGCTTGACCCGGCCCACCTGCCCAATCCAATGACTCTCCGGACCACAACTTCAGATCTGGATGCCAGAGATAGTTGTCTGACCTCGAGGTTTCCACTATCGGCCATTTCCGTTGACTCGATAGTGCTGGCCTCCACAAGAGAGAAGCTGCCGAAAGACATAGTACTCTCTTCACCGAGTGTAGTCACAGGCGAGAGCAATGACTCAAGACATCCTCCATCTTACAGGTGCTGGTTCTGGAAGCTCCAGCTCTGTATGACTTACCCGACGTCATTGGAGATTTGATCAGTCCCTGCAATACCTAGTCACAGATCAGTTGACTACGTGCAAGGGAAATGCGACCTCTCTTCAACGGCGGTCCACATGACTGTATGACTATTCCATGGGTCTGGTCGGATTGGAGGCTTGATAAGGTTGAGGCTACAGGGAAGGTGCAAGGCCCCCGGCGACGCAATGCACCTATTATGAATTTACGATCAAAGTTTGTTTACAAGATGCCAATGCTGTAGTTCGAAGAGCATGTCCAAGCCACAAATGCAGATGCTAAGCTCTAAACCATGCAAGAACAATCAATCGCAGCTGCCACAAATAGACTGCCCCTTTTTCTCAGCAACTGACCCTTGTTCTTGCGTGATGGCTTTACCCCTGTTCTTGTCCTCGGCCATGATTGCTTTGAGGACCTCAACACCGATGGACATGACATTCGTATCTCTGCACTCGCGCAATGCGCTTTTGATCTCCTCAAGTCCGTTCTGCTCCTTCACCTTACTCATTCCGAGCGTGCCGATTTCTCCAGGTGCAGAAATAGTGTTGAGGATACAAACCAAGCCTCGATGCTTGATCTCATCACTGTCGTCGCCACACATGTCCAGCAGGATACCAACACCACGCTCGTGTTCAAGTACTGCTTTTGCAGCAGCATCCCATTCGGTTAGCATAGCGAGCGCGCCGCCAGCAGCGCGTCTCGTAGCTAGGTCTTCTGCGTCTGCCAAAGCCAGAAGCACGTGTAGGCGATGTTTTGCAGCAGCACTGCCATCGGCATATTTTGCGACACCAGCGGGTGAGGCCATAAGGTTGCAGACGAGTTCTACGGCTGCGCGTTGGACCAGTTTGTTGGTTGATAGTAAGAGGTCTTCGGTGGGTTGCCAGGCTTGACGAAGGAGAGCGTCTTTGACTGCATCGTCTTCCAACGAGGCAAGATTGGTCAGAGCGAGCAGAGATTCAAAGACTGGAAGTAAGTCGCGAGTGTCAGATGTGGTGTCGGGGGTGAGAAGAAGAACCAAAGGACGTAGAGCGGAGATGGCGGGCATAGCGCGACTAAAGACATGCTGAGGGTTAACAGATATCAGAATGCGGGCGAGTGCGTGTGCAGCGATATGGATGGCTGCTTCTGCCGAATCGGATGACGAGGCAGGACCGGTCGGTGTCTGGAGTCGATCAATAGTTTGTAGGAGCAGCTTTACAGCTCCTTGTTGTGCAAGTTTGCCACGATACTTTTGCTCGCGGGCGAGTGAATGCAGTATCTTGGCTGCAATGCCCAGTATCGTCACAGTGTAGTGGCTTCTAGCCGCTGCCACAAGGACTGGTACGAGGTCGGCGTCCAACACTGTCTTGCATCTTGCTGATACTTGCTCATCGTCGTCCAATGGATCCTTCTCCTCGGGCTTCTTGGCCTCTGCGTAGTTTCTCAGTTGTGATATCTTCTGCTGCTCTTCGCTCTGGGCTGGGCGGTAGGAAACCAGATTCGAGAAAATGGTCAAGATTCCAAAGGTACATGGATCAGCTGTAGTCGTGGACTTAAGACGTTCAATCAGCTTCTTGAGCAAGGCAGTGTTAGACACAATCTCGGCTTTGATTTTGGGTTGGAGCGATGTATATGCCAACCCTTCGATTGAGCTCTGATGTTCTGCCGGGCTGCTAGCATTCATTGTAAGTTTCACGAGCAGAGACGAGAGGTCGTCTGCATGTGTCACTGAAGACTGTTCTGAGTCTGGTTTTGGCCTGCAGGTGGTCAGTTGTGCGTGTCCCAGATAAAGCTCAAGGACGCTTACGGTATCTTTGCCAATACCAGTGCAGCCATGCTGGCAGCCTCTGCTTCTGTACTTGTATGTGCTACATCGTCGAGCCAGTTATATGCGATCTTGGCAATGCTCTCCCTGCATGCCTTGTCTACACATGCCGCACTCATCAACTCCATAGCTGCCTGTTCGAGACGATGTGACGTTCTGTGCATAGTGTCAGTGTAGCTCATATGCCCTGAGTCTTGGCAAAGTCTTACCTCTGTCCCATTGTATTTCTTTCAAGAACAGGTACCAGCCCTTCGAGGAATCCAGGTGTCAGAAACAGTTTGGCCACGGTCTGCGGCACGAGAGGGAACACCGAAGCTGCTGCGGAGAAAGCCACAATCAGTTCATCGTTGTGACCTTTCGAGACAGATTTAGTGACGTATTCGGTGAATATTGTTTCACCCTCCTCGCGTGTTTCTTCAAGAAGTTTTGCAACAGCCAAAGTTGCCTGTGCTCTAATCTTGGTGTTGAGGCGGATGTCAAGTTGTGCTAGTACAATTTCGAAAGCGTCGCGATCAATGAGACCTGCCATATCATGCGCATTACTAGTGAGCAATCTGGCGATCAGGGTCATGCTCCACTCTCCATGCTCTAATGCTGGGTCCAGGAGTTTGCCCAGAGCGAGTAAGAAGGCATCTCGCTTGGCCTGAGTCTGGATTTCTGAAGTAGGCCAGGCATCCGCGTCCAAGAGAACCGGAAGGATGCTGTTGAAACTGTATTGACCACGTCTCCAGAGTAGACGGAAGTAACGGGTCGCTTCTGTGCCGACTTGAATCCTGTTGGCAAGTTGTTTACGTGCTGCGGCGGAATTGATCACGAAGGCTCCAGTCAATTCGTCCCTAACTTCTGTTGGCTTGCCATCATGGTCGAATAGTAGGTGAGCGATATCGGTAACGTGATCGCTAGGCACAGCAGCCTGCTGCTTCAATAGCCTTACAGCTTCGCGGCCGTCGCTTTCGTTTCCATGTTCCACATAGCTTTTGATGAGCGGGAGAATCTGGCTTCCAGCGGAATCTTCCTTTGATAGGTATTGAATCAAGGCCTGGACGTTTTGATTGGTAGGTGCCAGTGAAGCTGCTTCCTTGGCTAATTGTGTTGCTTTCTGGAGTTGGCGTTGTTCAATACATGTTTTGGCCTGCGTCACCAGCTCTTCTGCGCGTTGACTTGTCGTCGAGTCTGCCATCACAGCATTACGATTCTTCGTATAGTTTCTTGTGACGATTTGCTAGAAATTTCGATTGTTTGTCGTGGTGTCAGGAGGCTTTTGTTCTACACTTAAGCTGGAGCTCGGGCTTTTGCAAACAAGCTTCTTGGCCAATGGCTCTTGAGTCGTCACCAGACAGCGATAAAGCAACCACGAGAGGATGACGCGGGCAAGTCGATGGGCCGACTAGGAATTGACAAGGACCGATTACAGTATAAAATGAAAATAAATTTAACGGCGAGATTGATGAAGAACGAGAATGCAACCTCCATATGCTGTGCTTGGAAACGAGAAGCCAACTAAACGACGATACCACGCCTATACCAGCCGCCAGGACCCCGCCATGCATAAAGCCACAAGAGGCATGCTACCCAAACACTAACTGCCATGGCCCAAAATGTCGGGGCGTAACATGCGCGACCGAAACACAACTCACTACTTGCCTCGACATTGTCGTTGGCCGCGTATTGGTAGACGGCACTGTAAAGCAAGCCCCAGAGCGTCGCACCCAACGCTGGCACAGTCGCGACACATGCCCAGTTTGTGCCAAAATTCTCAACGCCCCAAACGACCGAAGTGATGATGGGAGTCAGACTGAAAACAGCACCGTATCCAGCACCAACTGCAGCGCTGACCCACCAGAAGCGTTCGCCATGATCTTGAATGACACCCGAGGCAAGAACGGCCTGGCCGATAGACATGATGAGAGAAAAGATGAGCAAGAAGGTAATGCGAGAAATCTCCAGTCGTTTCGGAGGTTCTGCAGCATCCATACCAGGCAACGTGGCCATGGAAGACATGAGCGAATTCGGACCTCTGCGGTGCTGGTGAGGTGCGGATGTAGGAGCAAACAAATCCGACAGAGTACCTGTCAGTATACGAGCAATAGTAGAGGTGATGGCGACGATAGACACGTGAGTAGCAGCGCTTGTAGGAATCTCCTCGTCGGGCATAGTCGGTGGGTAGAGGGTACCAATGACGGTTCCGAGGTTGTTGATAAAGGCTTCACCAGGACCGGTGACCAGGAAGAAGCCACCAGCGAGCAGCCACATGGACCTGTCAGAGAGGAAGCGACTAGTCTCCTCGTTGAGCAGCCACGTCTTCTTGCGAGCTTCCTCCTCTTTCCGTTGACGCTCCTCCTCGTCGTCCTCTTCCTCGACAGCGCCGTAAGATTCGTGGTGATGCTGGTGCTGGCCCCTTCTGAAAAAGGCGCTGTCTTCAAGCAGACCACTTTGTTCCAACTCTTCAATTGCTTGGTCAATCATCTCATCCTCGTCAATGATCCTCAGCAAGAAGAAGCCGACGGCGCCGGCTGCAAATAGGGTGCATCCGAGGAAGATGAAGAAGCGGAAGACGTCGATGTCTCCCGGAGTGCCGTCGGGCTTCTTCTCATACAGCAGGCGACTGCCAACCTGGCTCTCCCACATGCCGCTCAAACCAAAAGCGGCGATCGGCAGAGCCAGGGCAAGACCCTTGTGTTTCCCTCTTCCAAAGTTCTTTGCGCAGGTGGTGACGGCACTCAGATACATGCAGCTGGTAGCCATGCCGACCCAGACGAAGGAGAAGACCATGACGGCGAACGGCCAGTCGGGGTTGCGATAGGTGAAGGCTGCCAGGACATAGCCGAAGCCAGCAAAACAGCCTGACAGGAGGGAGGGGATGCCGGGACCGTAGCGATCGCAGAGGAAGCCGAAGATGGGAACGGGTAGGTACATGGCCAATTCGGCTGTGATGGAGATGGTGTTGACGCGCAACTGCGTGTAGTGCAGACGTTTTTGGAACAAGGGGGCGTATACCGAGAAGCAGGTGATGGATCCGGCGACCAGGCTACACGCATGCATCAGTCACGCTCCTCTTGACAAAGCCTTCCTACATACCAGTTGATGATGGCCCAGGCAAAGGTGAGATAACGAGACAATTGCACCTGCATCTTCTGTCTGTCGCGCTTCTGGATGCCCTCGGCAACCTGTTCGAAGAAGCTGCCGGCATAACTGTGTTCGGCGCTGGGTCTGCCTGATGATTCGGCCTCGTCATCGGTGCGCAGTAGCGGTCGTCCAGGGTGGTAGTCGAGTTTGTCGATGACGGCCCCTCCTCCACCATTTCCACTGCCTTGGCTAACCATGTCGTGTATATAGGACTGTCGGTGTGAGGGTCAGGGAGGGGGATGCCATGGCGAATGACTGTGCCTCAAGCCTGGTGACTAGGTACTGACTCGTGGGCCATTCCGTCATTTCCGCTCTCGAGATCCGCCCATGTCGACATTGCCAGGTCCACCACCCTGACCCTATCTTCAAGGAGCCATCTCATCAGCCCACACCGACTATACAGTGTCACAGTCCTTGGATCATGACTGGTCTCGTACAGATGATATTCTCTGGACTGTAGTGACTGACACTATGCATACCATACAGTCCAGCACTATCACCATGACCAAGCTCAGGCAAAGACCCGTAAGGTGGTAGAGACACGTGTTGGCGATGCAAGCCGTGACGATGAATCTGCGGTCCAAGGGTCGAATCGTTAGCAGCAGAGCATGTTCGCCCAAGTCGGCCATGGCAAGGTGGATATCACTGTGGCTGGGCTACTTATGATATCAAATCCATGTCGAAGATCCTATCGCTCGAAAACATAGAGAACGGCGCGACGCTCAAGTTGAAAGCAACCTCGGCATCAGAGCTCCTTTGCATCCACCTCGGTGGCCAGCTATTTTGCGGGGTTGATCCATCCTCAATCAACTTGGACCAACATCTGCACTTGAACAGAGTTTCCTCTTCTATAGCAATCGCATCTCTAGCTACCGAATACAATTACTGAATCCACCATCATAATGACTGCCGCTCCTAAGAAGACCCTCTCCCTCACACCACCACCGACACCCCAGACCATCGGTGGTGGCTCGTCCTTCCCTGGCATCCCGACGATTGCATCTCCACCCAGCTCGCCGCGTCTCAAGGACAAAGTCTGCATCATCACTGGTTGCAACAGTGCTCTAGGTATTGGCAGAGCATCGGCCTACGAGTTCGCAAGTGCAGGCGCAAAGGCACTGATCCTATCCGACTTTGACACATCAAACCTGGACAACTGGAAGCAAGATATCGAGAAGCTCTACTCGGGCACCGAAGTTATCGTGAAGAAGGTTGATGCAGGAGACGAGGAGCATGTCAAGGCTGTTGTGAAGTTGGCCTTGGACAAGTGGGGAAGACTCGATGTTTTCTTTGCGAATGCTGGTATAAATGGTACCATGGAGAGGGTCTACGAGGTGGGAAAGAAGCAAGGAAAGTCAGAGGAAGAGTTCATGAGGACTATGAAAGTGAACGCTTTGAGGTCAGTCGCCGTGTCTCCCTGGAGTATTCACATTTTGAACCTGGTATACTGACCGCCATCAGTGTCTTCCTGGCAACAAAACATGCTGCCAATGCCATGATGCAGAACAAACCCAACCCGAGCGGGTCTATCATCAACACAGCCTCCGTAGCTGGCTTACGCTCCAATGCTGGCCCCACAGACTATTCCGCCTCCAAGGCCGCTGTCATCAGTATAACCCAAACCTCGGCCTACCAACTCGCCGGCACGAGTATTCGTTGCAACGCCATCTGCCCAGGCATCATTGAAACTGGTATGACAGCAGAAATGTACAAAGCAGCAAGGGCAAGAGGAAGTGTAGGCAAGATCGGTCAGCTAAACCCTTTGATGAGAGGTGCGGTAGCCGACGAAGTTGCGAGAGTAGCCTTGTTTTTGGCAACAAACGAGAGCAGTTATGTCAATGGACAAGCCTGGGCTGTTGATGGAGGCCTCAGTGCAGGTCTGCCATTTGTACCGGGAAAGCTAGCATAGTGTGAGTAAAGCCTAGCATGATGGAATTGATTTACAGATTCGAACAAATGCGAGGGGATTTTCTGAGGAATATAATGTGAATAGTTGAAGAACAACTACAAACCATAAACGAACGCCATGCTAAAACGAGTAGAAAATCAAGAGATACCCGACCAATGATAGCAGGGAGAGAGAAGCGCCGTCCTGTAAACATACCTGGCAGATCTCTCGTCTTTCCCTTGCGACAAGGCAAGTAAGAGCTCCGTCAAATGGCCTTGGAGGTCTGTCTATACAGCTTATTGCCACCCGCAAACGAACAAGTCCCGGTCAATGGTACCATGTAAAAATTCATCAAGCAACCAACCAGGTATTGTTCAATCACACACTGACATCACCTGGATCCTCTTCAACCAATGCATCGTTCCATGCCCAGCTGCTCTCAGCATCCAAGCCAGCACCTCCGCCAATTCCTGCACCGCCGTTTGATTGAGTGGCCATACCTTCGCCTTCTCCTCTCTCGACAAACCCTCCCTTCTCAGCGCTCAACTCTTCGTAGATGCGTTGGAAGTACAGGCGTAACGAGCGCAGACCACGCAGATATCCTCTGTCTACACCATTACGGTCGGTTGGCGGACAGCGCGCTGCATCTAGAGTCTCGGTGTCTTCAGCTGTTACGCAGTTGGCAAAGTCCACAATCTTGAGCAGAATCTGGTTCTTATGGCTGGATGAGCTTGAGCCATTTTCGCCATCATTTTGTGAAGGTGGAGGCTGGCGGGGTTTGCCGTTCTCATCTACGTCACCGCGATCATAAATCATGAGCAGCGAGCTTGCATACAAGCGGTATCCAGGCAGTTTACGTATGATGCGCTCGAGCTGAGTGATCTTTTCAAGGACGAAAGGGATGTGCTTGAGTGCTCTGCCATGACTGATGCCATCGAAGAAGAAACGAGTGAGCGCAGCTTGAAACTCGCTACCGGCTTTAAGATCTCGACCAAAGTACTTGTCTTCGAAGATGTTCGATTGAGTCTTGACGTTCCAGACCTGCATGCCACAGACGCGCACACCGAGCTCGCGAGACGTGGTCGTCTTGCACTTGCGACGTTGAGACTTTTGCTTTTTGTCGTCAGCGAAAACACCATACTGGCGAGTTCCCATCTTGAGGTCGAGCACACAAGGATGTACCATGCCAGCTGTGAGATCTTCGAGCAAGATGAAATGAGCGATTCGACCAGGATCTTCCGTGCCTTGATCAGGATTACGCGGTATTTCACCCAAGTCGATGGGATTGCCGAGTATGGGAGCATTCAATGCCGGATTTTCCTTGTGGTCTGGCGCACTCTCAAGGACCTCGGGTACAGCAGAAACCTGGTTTTCATTGGTCTTGATGGGAGATCCTTCAAGGTCATCCATTGCGAAGACATCCTCACCGTCGCCACGATATCCTTCATCCTCGTGATACTCAAGGTCTCCGCAGGAAGCGTCGATATCGGCTTTCTTCCTACGAAGACCACTTCCAGAGTGACGACGTCTTGGCGTCTTGTAGGCTTGCAGTAGGTGATTGTCTGCCTCTGCATTCTCCATACTTCTGCTTTCGCAGGTCGGAGGCTGCTCTTTGCGAGGGCTGATCATATAGTTATCAAGAGATTGCACACTGTTGTGTGGTGAATTGAGATCACGACGATTCTTAATCGCCAATCTACGGGTGGCATCGGCAGGTGATGGAGGTGTCTGAATGGCAGAAACATCGGTACTGTTGCGACGCTCTTGCAAACTTATAGCTTGCGTGGGGTTCGCGGAGCCAGCGTCTGGTAGTGAGGGCATTGACTCACGCTGCTGAACCTTTCTAAGATTCCTGCTATGGTGGTTTCTGCTTTTCCGGTCGTGACGATGAATGACGGGGGGAGTAAAGACGTCGCGGAAGACTTGCAACTTCAAATCTTGATTGACACTTGTAGCTCCCCAACTGGCCTGTTGACGTAGGAGTGGGCGCTCGTGGTGGGTGAAGTTTGTCTCGGGAGAGTACGAGGGTCGGCGATCACTCATCATCTCGCTGATAGAATGGGGACGAGTTTGTCGACTTGGTTGGACGTGAGCTGGGATGGCGGTGGCAGGTCTTGGTGGTAAGTTGCGCAAGAAGTAGTCCGGTAGAATGTGACGATTATTGATGAGACTGACTTCTGGCACAGCATTTGACTGTGATTGTGAGTGGCTCACAATGCGAGGTGTATCTTCCTTCTTTGCATCGGAAAGGACTGAACCCTTCTTGGGAGACTGTAAATCCTGAGGCTGCATATCAGGCGACTTTGACTTGTCGAGGTTGTCCTTCTTCTTCTTGTTCGGCTTTTTGTATGTGACGTTAAGAACCCCGATATATCTGGGGAGAAAATCAAGTAGATCCGGATGATACTGCTCAACAGTCTCATAGAATTCGTTCTCTTTACTGTTTAGTTGCTTGCATACAGCTTGGCGGGAGAAACTGTAAACAGTGCTGTGGCCTCCAACTTGGTGATTGTATGGTTTCAACTCGACCGCACCAAGCGGAGGAGGTTGCGATTGGGCTTCAGGTGCTTGACGTTTTGTTGACGGGCGATCATGCAAGACACTTTTGTTAGTTGGGGTTGGTGTCGGAGTGGTCTCTTCTTCCTCCTCCTGGTCGTGGGAGTAGACTGAAGACTCAGTATCATCATCGGACTCTGAAACTTGAGGGGCAGGGGTCACATTGGGATGACGATTGTCGGAACGTGGGATTTCACCATGCAAAACTTGACTCTCGTCTTCTGAAAGTAACGCAATCTCAACGTTACTCTGTGGGACATCGGCACTGGCCTCGAAAGAAGGCTTCACAGGAAGATGCACATGACGGTCAGCCGCCGGCGGCGAGACCACAACCTCCTTGTCCTCGTCTTGGACAGCAGGAGTGGTCAAGGGCAACGCTGGAGTGGTACGGGTAGCCTTGCCACGGTGGGGGATATATTGAGCAGAAGAAATCTGTTCCTGATCTGACTCTTCATCCTCCACCTCCTTTGCGACTTCCTGTTGAAGAAGTTGTGCCTGTCGTGTCAAGAGCGAGGTGTGGACGGGTTCCTCACGCGGGAGTTCCTGCAAGAGTCAGCATTGGAAAATGCTCAGGACAAATCCCTTGTCCGGCTGTACTGTAATGAGGCCGGGCGATATGTGGAAGGAATGACTGAACCAACCTTTTCAAACGACTCTTCGGCTAGGGCTTTGTCAGGTGGAATCTTGTTGCTTGAAGGGCCCAGGATAATGTGGTGGTTCTTTATCTCTTCAAGCAAGCTTGGTGGAATTTGATGAGCAATGCGACCTTCAGCGTTGTCTGTGGTCAATGGTTTCTGCTCGGCTTCTGCTTCAAAAGTGCTGGGAGTGGGTATAGGAGGGCTGGCGCCATCGGGGCCTTCGATTTGGCGTTTGAGCTCGACGGGTTCGTTGTCGTTGAGGATTACAGATGGAGGTAAATCTGGAGCAAGATCAGCTGCAAGATCTGCGGCACATATAAATAGCGCAAACGCACCAGCTACATGTCGATCGTGATGTTCGTAAATGGCAGGTAGGTTTTGTTGGTCGTTACTTTGCGCTTCATCCTTGTGCTTTCCCTTGTCTTTCTTCTCTCGCTTCTTGTCGTGTTCGGAGTCTTGGTCCTTGAAGAGGCCGAGGTAGTGACTGGTTTTTCTGCTACGAACGTTGATGCTCTGCTCGATCTTGGGCATCTTCGCGTCGATTTTGCGATCAACGTCATTATCTTCCGAATTGAGGTTCCTGCCCTGCGATTCGGCGATAGATTTTCCAGCCATGCGGCCTTGTCCTTGACGCCAGGCCCTGTAAGACGAGCGTTTCGCGCTGGATTGGATGTCTTCGGCGGGTGTGACTTTGGGAGAATTGGGTTTGGTGGAGCTGACGGGCGTGACGGGTCGTTCAAGAGTAGACAAAAGCTGGGGGTCGTAAAGGGAGTGTCGATTGGACTTTGCCGTGAGCGGATACGGAAGACGGTTCAGGTCGGTGTGCGGAAGCGTGTGGAAGAACATGGACAGGTCGGTCATGCTCGTCCGCATGGGTGAGAGCGAGGAGGCCGGCATTGGTTCGTGGTTGGCGAGCGAGCTCTGATCGCAATCAAAGCTCTGTTCAGGAACCTGTGCCGTGTCGTCGTCGTGTTGGCGCAACGGGTCGTTTGCACCAAGGTCTTGCTTCTGCGAGCTGAGATTGGATTGATGGCGTTGTAAAGCCTGAGATATCAGACCGCTCCTTTCATGGAGCGGGTCCTTGCGAGGTTGTAGGGGCGAAGTTACGGGCGTGTCGCCTTGATAGCTCGTGGCAAAGATGCTGTCGCGCTCTGACAGCGGGACGGTGGTGGAATACAAGACATCCTGGTGGGAAGCGGTGTTGGTGCGCGTAAGGGCAGGATCGGCTGGGCTGGTCTTTGAACGCGCCAGGTTTGTACGAGTCGTCTGCATGAGGAGGCCCAAGACATTGGTCGGACGGCTGCCGCGGTGCCGTTGGAGCAATCAGTAGAGGTATCCGGGTCGAAGGGAGCGCTGCACGTCGAAGAAGACAAGGTGTGTACAAGTGGGCGACGATGATAGGTTGCGTTGCAAAAATGCAAAAACGTGGGCTGGCGGTTTGGCTGGCCGAAGCCTTCAAGAAGCCTCACCACACACGTCAGTCGCGATCACCCTCCACGATCCACCATGCTTCTTTCCTTGCTGAATCTCTCCGATCCTGGCAACCCCTCTGCCTGTGTGCCCCTGACCATCACTGCATCTACACGACTATGCGCAAATCATTGGCTGTTGTCTATTCTGTATCCTGCTACTTCTACTGCTGCAGGCCAATGCCTCCTTCTTGTTTACTGTACTTGGAGGACATGCCTATCTGACGCGGCCCTGTTTCCCCAACAAAGTAGGGAAGAGCCGATGGCCCGATGCCTGTCGCAGTCCAAGTGCGACTGGCGATGGGGGCACATCTGACGTGTCTTATCATTGCTCGCTCAGCAATCTCCCCTATCTTGATTTGCGAAATGTCGTCCCGCCCAAGGCTGAAACACAGAGGCTTGTCATTGCACCAGCACAAAAAGCGCTGTCCTTTCACAAGGTGTCGCGTGGAATCCGCTGCTTCTTGATAAACAAAGTAGAGCGCGCCTGACAGCCAATCGATACGGCCGTCAGCTTGTCCCCTCTGGCCGGCCCCTACGGCTTTGGATCAGCAGATAGTGCAGTAATCGATCTTCACGACTTTTCATGTCTTTCATCGACTCGACGGATAATGGATTAGACGTGTACTCGGTACCCCGCTGGTCTGTAGACGGCGCGGCGCAAGTGCAGGCACATGAACCATCAACCAGGATGTAAGCAACTGGGTGTCGAGACGGGAGCGCTAAGCTTGGGCTGCATGGGAAGAGGCTAAGAGGATATGGGCAGTGGACATGGTAAAGCGACGTGTATACGTTGGAATGGGCGGAGGCTGGCACATGGGTGGTGGTTCCGAAAGTCAAAGTAACCTCCGCCCAACGTGCCGCAAGATAGTGCCCTTGGCGTGCCGTCCAGGCACCGTTTGGGTGTGAATCAATATTTGCAACACATGCATTGTCCTTGACCACGCTGCCTCTGATTCTACGTTGCCTGCACACATTGTTGTTCTCTCGGCTCATCGCATTCCAGGGCAGGAGACAATGTCTGAGTGAGGGCTCGGGTCAGTGATCGACAGCAGCTTGCGGAATTGAGTTGGCCTTGCGCATCCTAACGCAGCAACGCTTCTAACCCGTTTGAAAGTCGGGGGAGCATCCAAGAGCACGCCAAACTCCAAACTCGCCCTCTACACGCACTTTCTCGTGACCTTTGCACGACGTGAATCTCACACGCCTCCCTCTCCGCCTGGCCACCAGTGCCACAGGTGCCCACCTTTGCTACCCTCTGGCACCCATCAACCATGGACTCGAAGTCCACGCCGCCGACGTCGCCCATGAGCGGCCACCCGCACCGCCCCTCGATCGCAAACGTTCTGCGCACACCGAGGAGCTCTAGTCGCCTGAGTCTTGGAGGTCGTCTAGGAAGCAGTCGTGCCTCGGACGAAGACTCCAAGACGGCCGTCAAAGTTGGTGAGCGGCACTCGACCCCCTGAGTGCTCAACTTGCGACTGACCACAACACACAGCTGTCCGCGTCCGCCCTCCCCTCCAACCCTCCGACCCGGGCTACGATCTCATCCCCCAGAGGTTCCGCGCCTCCACTTGCGACGTCTCTTCTGCCACCAATCTCGCCATCCAATCGACCCAGGGAAAGAAGTTGTTCGTCTTTGACCGTGTCTTCGGTGAGGAGACAAACCAGCAAGGAATCTGGGATTATGTTAGTGACAGCGTCAATTCCTTCATCCAGGGCTACAATGTCTCCATCCTGGCCTATGGTCAATCCGGCGCCGGAAAATCGTACACTATGGGCACTGATGGTGCCGGTGACGCTTTCGACCCCGTCCACGCTGGTGAGTCGCATTGCTCAATTATGTACAGTGATCTGACCTGACCTTGCAGGTATCGTTCCTCGCGCCGCAATCGCCCTTTTCGAGAAACTCAACGACTCTCCAATGCCCTTGGCTCCCATGACCCCAAGCAAGTCAGGCATTCGCTCCCCCGCCCGCTACTCTGTCTCGGCAGTCTCGGCTCTTTCGAACATGCACCGACAATCAAGCAGCGACAAATCATGGACACTCACAGCCACCTACGCCGAAATCTATAACGAGCAGCTTCGCGACTTGCTCATTCCCAGCAGTGTACCCGAGGCCGATCGTCCGCAGGTCTCGATTCGCGAAGATACAAAGGGCCGGATCCTTCTTACAGGTCTGACCCAAAAGCCCATCCATTCGACCGAAGATCTTCTGGAAGCTTTGAGCTTTGGCTCGGATATTCGCCAGACTGACTCGACCGCCATCAACGCAAAATCCTCGCGCTCCCACGCCATTCTCAGTCTGAACCTCATTCTGAAAAGGGGCCCGGCCGTCAACAGGCGTGCCTCTGTTCAGGTTGACAATTCGACTGCACAGGGTGCTGTTGTCACAACCGAAAGCAAGCTGCACTTTGTTGACCTTGCTGGCAGCGAACGTTTAAAGAATACAGGTGCTCAGGGCGATAGAGCGAAAGAGGGTATATCAATCAATGCCGGTCTCGCTAGCCTGGGGAAGGTCATCTCGCAGCTGTCCACTGCAAAGCAGGGCGGATACATATCCTATCGCGATTCTCGATTGACTCGCATTCTGCAGGACTCTCTTGGTGGAAATGCCATCACCTACATGGTTGCGTGTATCAATCCCGCAGAGTTCCATCTCAGCGAGACGCTCAACACTGTTACATACGCTCAGCGTGCCCGTGCAATCCAAAGCAGGCCCGAAATCCAACAAACCACCGAAGAGGCCGACAAGGCTTCCATTATTGCGCGTCTACAAGCCGAAGTCGCCTTCCTTCGTGAGCAACTCAACAAGAACAGCGAGAAGGGAGAGCAACGCATCTTGGCGGCTGGCGACCACAAGGAACGTCGTGAGAGCGAGCTCCAAGACCAGCTTATGGACATGCAAGAAAGTTACAACGCACTCAGCGGGCGCCACGCGAAACTCATTTCTGAAATCTCGAAAGCCAAGGAAGACAGCAGCGAGGACACGCCCACTCTCAGGAATGCTGTGGGAGAATCAGCAATGGAGAGGCTGAAACGCTCAAACTCATTTGCCGAAGCTGTTGAGCAGGTTGTCATGGAGTACGAAAAGACCATTCAATCACTCGAGTCGTCTTTGTCAAACACACGTTCTACACTCTCCGCTAGCGAGAGCTCCCTCATGGAACGTGAAGCCAGGTTGGCCTACATGGAGTCACAAGCCCACCAAATGCAAGTAAGACTGCAGAAAGCGAGCGAGCGTGAAGCCAACAATGATGCCTACTTGCGCGATCTGGAGACGCAGATAGAAGGCGCAACTACCAGTGAAGAGAAGAGCTCTACCTTGGTTGCCGGTCTACGCAAAGAGTTGAGTAGAGTGAAAGATACTGAAAACAATTCCGAGCAGTACATTGCAACGATTGAAGAGAAGCTGGCGGAAGCGGAACAGGATCGTGATATCATGCAACGCGAGCTGGACCGACTTGAAAATGTCATCGAGCGTCAAAGAAGCATCGGCAGATTGGATAACCTTCTTGCAGAGCTCGACAACATTCGCCATAGTGAACACAATGGACGTCCCCAGCAGCTTAACGGTCACGCAGCGGAGCATACTCCATTCGTCAGTGCGTCGGACACCACTTCCAGGACAACCCCAAACGATGATCGGGATTTGAAGCATTTCAGAGACCAGGAACAGCCCACACTCTCTATGAATGGACAAACGCCATCTACACTTGACGAGAGCCATGATGTGGAGACGCTGCGCAAAAAGGACGAGCAACAAGCTGCTCAGTCCAAATTCATGGCTGACAAGCTTGAGACCATGACACAAGAACTCTTCGACCTTCGGAGTGAACATGAAACGACCATCAACGATTACGACAATCTTCAACGCAAGTACGAGACTGCACTGCAGGCACTTGCCAAGATGCAGGAGACGCACGAAGAGGACGACAGACCAGAGTCAAGAGATTCGGACAGGCCAGAGTCTTTTTTAGAGGGCGCGGGGGTGAATGGCATGGCGGAGGTTGGACAACTGGCCGCATCCTCGCGTTCATTGGAAGCGGAGTTGTCATCGCAGTCGTCGTCGCGACACTCGTACACTACAACGAACGAGGAGTCGGACGACACAAGTGGAGCTCAAAACAGGCCCACGAGAGATATTGAGAGCGATGATGCAAGTACTATCGTCGACGAGGACGAGCCGCCTTCTCGTTCCGAGGAACGGGCACTCGCCCAAGAAATGGAAATGTTGAGGCAGCTACACGTTCAAAGAGAGACAAGCCTGAAGGAGATCTCGGACAACTGTCTCAGACTCTCTGAAGAGCACAAAAATGCTTTGAGCCAAGTCGAGGATCTCAAGCGTGAAGTTCAGCGAGCGCAGTTGGCCACCAACAGGCAATCGTCTCCCTCTCTAGTCAAGCCCATCATTCGTCGCAAGCCTAGTCAAGATCTCATGGCGAACACCACAATCAACAACGATCGAGCAATGCGTTCGTTCGCGTCACTGCGCAATATTGCATTGGACAATTTCGAGTCCAACATTGACGTTCGCCAGAACTTTGAGATCCATCTCAATACCATCATGGGTGATCTACACGACCGGACCGAGAAGATGCAGGCACTCGATGCAGAGGTTACAGCTGCTCGGAGAGACCTTGATGCCAAAACAGCAATAATAACAGGCTTGACGCGAGAGCGAGCAAGTGTCTCGTCTGCCAATACTGTTGACTTTACCGTTGTTGGTCATATGCGTGACCAACTAACAAAAAGTGAACAACAGGTCAACTCTCTTCGTGAAGCTCACGACTCTCGGGAGAAGGAGCTTCAGACTCAGATCAATGAGTTAAGGTCCCAATTGCAGCAGTACAGTGAAAGAGATGTAGTCGCGGGCGGAGAGAGATCTCAAGATGACGGCGATGATCACGTTGCTCACCTTCAGAAACAACTGTCTAAATGGGAGACAAAACACGCTCACTTGACGAATTCGACAAGAGAGTCAGAGACCAAGTTACTTGCTGCTATCGCAACACTCGAAGGCTCCCTTTCAGAAGCACACAAATCGGTTGCTAGTCGTGATGCTGAGTACGACGCCGCGATTGCTAATCTTGATCAGGAGCGTGCCCAGCACCAAGCGCTTGTCGGTTCTTTGCAGAAGCAGATTGGTGAATACCAAACAGCTAGCCATGAGCACAACCAAAAGCTTTCTCTACTTGAGTCGTCCTATGCAAGCATTCGGCAGCAGGTTGACGAAGATAGCAAGGGTCGGGAACTCACTGAAAAGGAGCTACAGACTCATCGTAATCTGGTCTCTAACCTGGAAAGTCAGATCGAAGGTCACAAGTCGGCGATCGAGATCCACGAGCGAAATCTGGGAACGCTCAAAGCATCGCACGAGGAGGAGCTCAACAGCATGAAGACTGCGATGCAAGCAGCTGAGCACGCTTTCCAAGTGAGACACGCGGCGTTAGAGATACAACACAAATCAGTCCAGCAAGACCTTAAACGCTCGCAGGTTGATCTGGAAGAATTGCTCGCTGAAGCGTCCGCTATTCTTGGCCATGAGACCGATGTTGGAAGATTCCACTCTCACCTGACCGACTTTGTTGGACAAAACAAGGGTATTAGCACTGGCGATGCAAGCGACCAAGAGCTTCAGACGACTCTGAGCAAGGTCGCTGGACTTGAGAACGAAGTTGCGCGGCTGAAGACAAACAATCAGGAGCTTCTGAGTAACATGGAGCGTGCGGTGGATAGTGAGCGTAAGAGTGCTGCTCTTGTGCAAGAGTTGGAAGATCAGCTCAATTCGACGTACGACTTGCACCAAGACACTAGCAACAGGCTGTCCGCCATACAAACTGAGCGACACGCGCAGCTCGAGGAGGCAACCAGTGCAAAGAACGAGATGAAGAAAGAGCTCGAGGACGCTAGACTTAAGGTCTCTTTGCTCGAATCTCAACTCGCCGAGTTGCAACGCCGTTCAATGGCATCGACTTCGCGTGACTCGTTGAACTATGCCCGCGAGTCACTATCGCCAGAAGCTGCGGCATTCGCACTCGCTCGCTCGAGTTCACAGAACTCGCTAATGAACCGTCCTAAGTCCAACGGCACAGTCGCGACAAACGCAACTTCAGGCCTGCCCTCTCCCCCNCCAGCCATACCTCTGCCACCCATTCCTACTCCGGGTCTCAGTGGAATGAGTCCGTTCATGACTCAGAGCGGTGTACCGATGGGCTTGGGTATCGACCCTCGTACATCGAGCCCTGCACCTACTACTGTCTTTACAGCCTCTTCGCCGCCCAGCACGCCCCATCACAGCTCTTTCCCTCAACCGCCATCAAGCGCACCTTCGACTATGCAGCCAGATCCCGGCTACGCACAAGTGATTGAGGAGCAAGAGTCTCGAATTCGTACCATCGAGAAACATTTGTTTGCGGAGAAGCAGCTTACTGCTACACTCGAGGAAGCGCTCGTTGACCTCGAGACGTCTCAGAACAAGACAAGACAAGACCTTGAATCATGGAGGAAGAAGTGCTCAAACTTGGAAGATGAACTCGTTGGACTGCGCAAGGAACGCACCAATTCCAGAGCAAGCATGCAACAAGTCGAGGAAGAGAGGGAGATGAGACATCGTGCAGAGCGCGCAAGACAGGCGCTTGAGGAACGAATGAGAGAATTGAACGCAGGGCAGAAGAAGAAGAAAGGGGTGCTGAACTGTTTCTAAGCCGTTTGACAGGGACGACGAGGGAGGAGCGGTGTTTCTTTTTAAGCTATTCTGTTTTTGCCGCCTTATTGGCACTATACCCCGGAGCTTTTCTGCTACCAAACTATGCCAAAGATCTGTTTATACACCATCGTCTGCTTCCGTGCCAACATGACGAACATTTTCTTGGCTGACCACACGGGTAGTATTCCAACGTGGCTCGTGATCAGTCAAGAAGTGAAGCGGACATGTGTGCAGACATCTACACAAGGCCTGGTGGCAGGTAGTAGGTAGTCATGGGTGTATGCTTACATGATAGTCTTGGTAAGTGTTATGGAAATGATGGAGCTTCGATGGAGTTCGATGGCAAACGAGTTGGGAAGGTTGATCGGATGGCGGGGCATCATTCATTGCATGTGACGTGAGACTTGGCACGCAGGCAAGTGTGGACAAGGACAAGGAGCAGGAACAAGCACAAACTCTCGCCTTTACAAACGCGCCTGCGCATCACACACTCCGTCCTCTACATCACACTTTGTCGCGATCAACTGTCCTTTCTCCATCTGTGCGCCCCCATCGAACGATAGTTCCGCCTTCAAGATTTCTTCGTCCACGGTCAAACTGGGTAAAAGGCGCCTGTCCGGCGAGGCCGAGGCCAATCCGTCCAAGAAAGCTATGACTGTAAGAAGGGAGCGGGACCTGGTTGCTACACGAGAGCGCATGTGCTGACACGGCAGTAGGACACCAAGATGGATGTCGACAGCCCCGCTGCTGCTATCGAGCAGCTGAAGGAGGCGAACGGAGAGATCGATGAATCGCTATACAGCAGACAGCTCTACGTGCTGGGCCACGAGGCCATGAAGCGCATGGGCTCATCCAACATTCTGGTTGTTGGTCTGCGCGGTCTGGGTGTCGAAGTGGCAAAGAACATTGCTCTTGCCGGTGTCAAGAGCTTGACACTATACGACCCCAAGCCCGCTCAGATCCAGGACCTGTCGTCACAGTTCTTCCTCCACCCCGAAGACGTCGGCAAGCCGCGTGCTCAAGTTACCGTTCCTCGTGTCTCGGAACTCAACCCCTACACTCCCGTAAACCTCCTCAAATCGACCTCCATCACCGACGACCTTAGCCAACTCCGGGACTTCCAATGCGTTGTCCTCACCGACACCCCGCTCAAGGACCAGCTCCTCATCTCAGACTACTGCCACCAAAATGGCATCTACCTTGTCATCGCCGACACTTTCGGTCTTTTTGGTACCATCTTCGCCGACTTCGGCAAGAACTTCACCGTCGGCGACTACAACGGAGAGAACCCCGTCAGCGGCATCGTTGCCAACATCGACTCTGAAGGCATCGTTTCCGCTCTGGATGAGACAAGACATGGTCTCGAAGACGGCGACTTTGTTACCTTCTCAGAGGTCCAAGGTATGGATGCTCTCAACGACTCTGCCCCTCGCAAGATTACCGTCAAGGGTCCCTACACCTTCTCTATCGGCGACGTCTCTGGTCTTGGTGACTACAAGCGTGGAGGTCTCTATACCCAAGTCAAGATGCCCAAGTTCCTGGACTTTGAGCCTCTGAGCCAACAACTAAAGAAGCCCGAGCTCATGATGTCTGACTTCGCCAAATTCGACCGCCCCGCCCAGCTCCACGTTGGTTTCCAGGCCCTTCACGCTTTCAACGATAAGCATGGCCACTTCCCCAAGCCCCACAACGAGCAGGATGCTGCTGAGCTTCTCAAGCTTGCGCAAGAGTTGGCTGGTTCGGGCGAGGAGAAGGTGGAGTTGGATGAGAAGGTTCTTCGTGAGTTGTCATACCAGGCACAGGGTGATCTCAGTCCCATGGCCGCTTTCTTCGGTGGTCTTGCCGCTCAAGAGGTCCTCAAGTCTGTCTCTGGAAAGTTTCACCCCATAGTCCAGTGGCTCTACTTCGATGCTCTAGAAGCTGTTCCCACATCAGTCCAGCGTTCGGAGGAACTCTGCAAGCCTACTGGTACCCGTTACGATGGTCAGATCGCCGTCTTCGGTAAGGAGTTCCAGGAGAAGCTCGCCAACAACAAGCAATTCCTGGTTGGTGCAGGAGCCATTGGCTGTGAGATGCTGAAGAACTGGGCCATGGTTGGTCTTGCAACTGGTCCTCAGGGTAAGATTACTGTTACGGATATGGACCAGATCGAGCGCAGCAACTTGAACAGACAGTTCCTCTTCAGAACAAAGGACGTTGGTCAGCTCAAGAGTGAATCTGCCACCCGTGCTGTCGAAGCCATGAACCCCGATCTCAAGGGCAAGATTGAATCTATGAAGGACCGTGTTGGTCAGGATACTGAGCACCTCTTCAACGAGGACTTCTGGAACAGCCTTGATGGTGTGACCAATGCCCTCGACAACGTCGATGCCCGTACCTATGTTGATCGCAGATGTGTCTTCTTCCAAAAGCCCCTGCTGGACAGTGGCACCCTGGGCACCAAGGGCAATACCCAGGTTGTTCTTCCCAGAATTACCGAGTCATACTCCAGTTCGCAAGATCCTCCTGAGCAATCCTTCCCCATGTGTACTCTGCGCAGTTTCCCTAATCGCATTGAGCACACTATCGCTTGGGCCAAGGATCTCTTCCACACTTACTTCGCCGGACCAGCCGAGATCGTCAACGCATACATCACCCAACCCGACTACCTTGGTGCCGCACTCAAGCAGTCCGGCAATGAGAAGCAGACTCTCGAGACTTTGAAGGAATTCTTGGTCACTGACAAGCCTGAATCCTACGAGGACTGCCTCAAATGGGCCAGATCTCAGTTTGAGAAGCAGTACAACAACGCTATCCAGCAGCTTCTGTACAACTTTCCCAAAGACTCCAAGACTTCTAGTGGTCAGCCATTCTGGTCTGGTCCCAAGCGTGCACCAGAGCCTTTGACCTACGACCCCAACAACGACACTCACTTCACCTTCATTCTTGCCGCCGCTAACCTCCACGCCTTCAACTACGGCATTCCTCAGAAGGGACGCAAGGACAAGAGCGAAGTCGACGAGCTTGTCAACAACATCATCATCGAGGACTTCAAGCCTGATCCCGGTGTCAAGATCCAGGCCAGTGAGAACGAGCCTGACCCGAACGGTCCAGCCGCGTCCATGGATGACAACGATGAGCTTGACAATATCGCCAAATCATTGCCCTCGCCTAAGACTTTGGGCAACTTCAAGCTGATTCCTGTTGAGTTCGAGAAGGATGATGACTCTAACTTCCACATCGACTTCATCACCGCTGCCAGCAATCTGCGCGCTGACAACTACAGCATCGTCAACGCCGATCGTCTGAAGACCAAGTTCATTGCAGGCAAGATCATTCCTGCCATCGCGACCACTACTGCTTTGGTCACTGGTCTTGTTGTACTTGAGTTGTTCAAGATCATTGATGGCAAGGACGACATTGAGCAGTACAAGAACGGCTTCATCAACTTGGCCTTGCCCTTCTTCGGTTTCTCCGAGCCCATCGCTTCGCCAAAGGGCAAGTACCAGGGCAAGAATGGCGAGGTCGTCATTGACAAGCTCTGGGACCGCTTCGACACCGAGGACGTTACCTTGGAGCAGTTCCTCAAAGACTTCTCTGACAAGGGTCTGGAAATCACCATGATCAGTTCCGGTGTCAGTCTGCTGTACGCCAGCTTCTACCCTGCGGCCAAGAACAAGGACAGGCTGCCCCTGAAGTAAGTCATTGTATCTCATTCCTATCTTGCACGATCCCTACTAACATCTTGAACAGGTTGAGCGAACTCGTCGAGACGATTAGCAAGAAGCCCATTCCAGAGCACCAGAAGAACGTCATCTTCGAGATCACTGCTGAGGATACTACGGAGGATGACGTTGAAATTCCCTATGTCAGATTGGTGCTTAGAAAGTAGTGCTTTCTAGGTCAGGGCTCTAAGAGAACTCATGATGAAGCATTTGTCGTGGTGGTATAGAATCTTCGGACTTTGACTCCGATGCGGGGAAATCCCGGGCAACCACGGCGGATCTTAGATAGCTCCCTGTAGCAAATATAGCAATGACGACTGACGTCCCAATGATACATCAAGTAAATCACTTCTAATTTCCTGCAGCCGATGTGTGATGAGATGGTTGTTTTGCTGTCTGTCTACAAACAAAACGATTCCGCTTTTGGGACATCACGTGTCGCGGCTGATATTGGATGCAAGCGCCGAAACATCTGACATCATCCTAACTTGACTGCGCACAAGACAAGTCCTCCAAATTAGCAGAATTGTCTGTTTCTCTGCGATCCACCGGCGTAGCCTGAGGCAAGAGGCGCTGTAGGAGCTACTTAGTGAAGTCCGACACTCTGTACACCGGTTCTCTTGCATTGTGCGCAAAATGCTAGCCTGAGCAGCATGACTTCTAGGACCAATTCTCGACCATCGACAGGGGAGGCTCTTGGATAACCATTCGACGTACAGATCAAGACACTTGGATCGCAACATGCACAGCTTTGTGGCGTTCGCTATGTCGATCTCTCTCGGGTATCCTGGCAACAAGCACGTGTTACTCGCAGAACCTCTACCGGACAATGTCCGAGAGCGAGAGGTCCGGACAGAAGAGGTTAGCTCGGGGTCAGGTCATGTGAGCGTCGAGCGCTGGAACATCCCGTCGAGATGTCCTGCACTGTTGATGCCGTACATATCGACAGCGACACGCAGACACTGTCAATCAGTCTCTATGAGCTTTCTTATGGCTACCGTGCACTTTACTCATCGCCCGCACAAGCTACCCTCCAGAGGCTGCATACCAATGCATTGCTCGAGCGCCTATCATTCATGACAACACCACACCAAACGGCTCTAATGACCCTCTTGATCAGTGCTTAGTAAGTATACTGAGCTTATGTCAGTCGTGGGGGCCCACGAGCCGAGTGTCTGCTGATGTTGGCAAAGCACGCTCCCTGAGAATCTATCGGTATGGTACGGCTCTGGCATCTTGCTCCATGCACCCACAACTATCGATTCTATACACCATCAAGTGTGTTTATGTCGCGTCGCCGGGATCTTTCTGCGACTGCGATCTTGGACCATTACGCTGTTCTCTGTATCCTTGATGGCTCTGCAAGACTCAAAGAACGCTTGCCCCGAATAGTCCCTGACCCAGGTTACAGGCTTACATCTCTAGTATCTGGCTTGATCGTGAGTACATAGTGTCGACCTGTGTTACTCTCCACGGATAAGTCCACAGCTGGGATCATCTCTGTACTGGCACGAGATGCGAGCTGCGAGCTGGCAGTACAGAGATGAATTTCCACAAAGGTCCAACTGGCATACTCGACACGCTTGAGCCTGAACGTGCTACCAGTGGTCGAGGAGCTTCTGTGCTGTCCAATCTTACCTGTTCACGTACTCAATTTCGTCCGATTTGGACGCAGGGTCGTTGATTCACAGAATCCTTTGACGTACAATCACATATGTAATCCCGGGATGATAGGGCAACAGATATGCTTCAGCTGCAAGTACGCCTTTGGACCGCCTCAAAGGCACATGCATGTATTGGTTGAGCCGTGCAGTACAATCGAGCAGTATGAGAGCAGACGATGGTGCTCTGAGAATCTGTTGTCCTATCGAGCGGGTGAGGCATGTGAGAGCATCTACGAAGAAATGGATCGGACACTTAGATAACTTGCGACGACTGTCCTTGCAATAACTCGTTCCACGTAGAAGTTGGCTAAGCATCCACAAACTCAGTCCACCGATGTTTTTGGTCGGATCTGGAAGCATTGCACCATTCTTGTACTTGACCTACCGTAAGTGTTGCTTCGAATGCCATGGTATGTAAGATTTACAACACAAGGTACCTCATCCGCGACAAGGCTACTATGAGATTCACACTCTATTGGACGCTCAAGATTCGCGATGTGGTGGTGGAGGATATATTTAGTTGAATAGGATGGGTAATGCAAAGGACTCGAATCTTGCACATTCCCAGGAGACTCCGCGGTCGACGTCAGATCAGCACTCTCGTTTAGCCGATGCCAAAGTCTTCCTTAGATCATTCCATACTGCGGCTTTGCATCCTGGTAAGCCGCTCAGGACTCCTAATTGACATGACCGCTAGTAGCAGGGGGAGGCATGGTGCCATAGCCACGACCGCCAGTCTGGACATTGTCCGAATACACACCAGGAGCACGAGTGTTATCAAAGACGCCTACGTTGCCCTGTTCCTGTCTGTTGTAATAGACGTATTCGACGTAGAAGGCGTGGATGTGACCAGGGAAGAAGCTGCGAATTCCATCAGAACGAATACTCATATGACTGTTACTTTGTGCCCCTCAAGCGCGTCACGTACCCAAGAACAGTAAGACAGATGTTGATGAGGAGGTCTGCGCCACAGCCCGCGATCATGAAGACGCCGACAGGGGGCAGGAAGATGGTGATGATGATGAGGAGGATCTGCGAAATCATGTTGACTGATATGCTTGGGGTTTCGTATACTTGATAGAGAGACGCGAGCGTTGAATAGTTGGATAGGCATCAGCAAACACAACGCGCGTCATCGCAAACATATCGCGGCGGTTAATCTTCGGTCGGACGAAGATGGTCTTATTGGTCTACCAACAATTAGAACGAGATCGCAAGTACGGGGCTGCAATCTTGGGTCCTAACCGCATGAAGTCTCGGACTATGATTTGTTCATCAACCAGATCAGTCGACTAGCCACTTACGTAGAGCTTCACGGACTACATGTCCCGAGGGACAATGACACTGTTGGGTTCCACGGTCACCTCACGGCATGAAGTGCAAGATCGCTGTCCATATCAGACAATACTTTTACGACAGAATCGAGGCAAAATCAGCCGTCAGCATCATAAAACAGATTTACGGAAGTCTCATGCACTTGAGTGCTGGTTTGGAGTAGGCTCATCGCTTTCGATACGAAGGTGGCGGTGTTTCAAGTGTAAACCAGGGTCGCTCCACCAGCAAGATTACATGGACAGGAACGGACCCATGAGACTCAGATTTAAGATCGCACACAGAGCCTCCTTCTCTGTTATGCGAGGTCCGATATGGTGGCTTGATCATCGCTAGCATGAAGACCCGACAATATGTAACCTTCCCAAGTTGTAACTCGAACGTGGACTCGATGCAGATGATACGAATTTCAAATGATATCGTGATTGAAGATATTGGATCCATGTACTCGACAGGCTCTACCCAAACGCCGTATTACTTTTCCCATCCGTCTTGTTGTTCGTGAAAGTCTATGGTTACTTGGCCTGCTCAGCGGCTAGGCGATCGTGCTCGTCAATGTCCCTGTGTAAAGTGGTTAGCGATAGGGCGTGGAGATGCAAAGAGATGACAAAGACGTACGAAGCTTCCCAAGGATAGCAGATCCAAACATCAGGAAGAGTGACGGCAGCGACGTAGTGATCGGGCTTGACCATCTCCTCGGGGAGAGAACCTCTCTTGGTCTTGTCCTTGTTGTGCAGAACGAAGATGGAGAAGGTCGTCTTCTCGGTGGTGCGACCGAGCTTCTCGGTTGCAATGTCGACATCCTTTTGCAGCTCGCGTACGGCGTACTCGAGAGTGGTGCGTGTGTCATCGACCTCGTCGACGATGAGAATGTTCTTGCCGATCAGGTTGGCCATCTCGAGGGCGGACAGATCCAACCATTGTGTGCGGGTGACCTTTGTGCCGGGGACCTCCTCGGGGGTGTCGGTGCCTAGTGTCTCGTACAAGGAAAGACCGATGGCCTGGATGGGAATGTTGGGGCTGCCGGGTCTCTTGAGGAAAGAACGAAGGATACGAGCAGGAACGTAGCCACCACCACCGATGGCGATGATGAGATTGGGCTTGCAGTCGCTCAGGATGCGCTCAGCCGAGTTCTGGCAGAGCTTGTGTACCTGTCAACCCGTCAGTCGAGTCTCTCTACCATACGATTCAGCGCGATTCAGGGCTTCTGCATACATCATTGTACGTGACATAGACTTTTTGAACCATCTTGACGGTAGAGCGTGCGTATGTGATTAGGATATAAGGGAATAAATGATTATGCGACCACAACCAAAGTACGAAGATGCGTCGTTCACTCGAACAATAATTTTTATTTTTTCCGCGCCCATGTCCTTTACTGCCCGCTGCCGAGGCCAGACCCGCCAGCGGCCAGCCCTCTCGAAGCTCAGGCTTTTGGTCGGGCGGCCCCGAACGCAAAACGCTGAATGACTCGGTCCTACTTTTTTTATCATCTTTATACTGATTGGGCACTATTAACTTGCGCAGCACGAAGGGAGATTTGGCTTCTATGCTCGTTTGCGCGTTCACATGTGATAAGTTCAATTTCTACACCTAAATGACAACAACTGTCCGTTCTAAGATCTTACTATGCATGGATTGCTCCATTTCTGTCATCTATCCTAGTCTCTTGCGCTTCCTGTCATCGGGTCCTTCGTCTGCATCGCGCTCATGGTGTGACTCAGCTGTAGGATTGAGCAAGGAATGCACATTGCTTGCCATACTGCTTCGGCGGGTTCCTGGTGCCGACGCATCTACACCTTTGAAGGGAAACTTCGGTCCTGGGAGCTGCCAGCCTGCCTCGCTACTGTTATTGGCGTAGGATGGAGGTCCCGCGTCCGGAGGCGTCGTTTGACGAGAACCAAATCTGGATGTTGCGCGTGGCAGCTCGTACTGCGCTAAAGCGTCTCTGATCTGCTGACCTTCATTGTTACCTTGGCGGAATGGGGACGATGGCCACTGGGCAGAGTTCTGGCCTGCTGTTGTGAAAGGCGATCCTCCATGCGGAGGTGGGGGTGGGGGAAGCGCTTGAGGGGGGCCATTCCAGCCTTGTAGCCTGATGTCGGCTGAAGTGTGGCGTCGCGAAAGGTTCAATGGGGGCGATGCCGGTCGATGTTGCAAAGGCGCCTGGGCTACAGGAGGTGGCGGTGGTGGAAGGTTTGTGTAGGTTGGCGGCGGCGGTGGTGGGGGTGCAGGTTGTCTCGAGGAAGGTGACGGTGGTCCAGACGGTCCGCTGAGAGAGCCATATCTATGAGGTGATGCCGTCATGTGAGGAGGCATGGGTGCTCTAAAGGAAGAAGCACGCGAACCTGGCTGCAACGAAGGTCTGCGGGAAGCATCCGTCGCTTGCTGACGAGGCGACACAGGACCACCATGCTCATAAGAAGGGGCAGTCATGTAGGGAGGGCGAGTGGGTTGCAGATTCTCGTGTGGTGCTTCATGTAGCCTTAGGAGATCCCCGTTCCTGTTGATCTCAGCACGCAATGCTGATACGTCTCTGTGGATTGTGGTCTCCGGATCAGGTACTATGCCAAGCAGCTGTGTTGACAGCTCGCCGCTCCACTAAAGAATTGCGTTAGTGCTGGGATGAAGTGTGGTATTGCACAAAACTTACATAGTGACACCTGGCCAGGCCCTCCGATAACATTTGACATTTGGCGCTGAGATTGGCGTACGCGTCTTCGGATCTTGCCAGCCTTGCGTATACATCTTGCAGGTTGAACTCTAGCATACTAAGTCGAGCCTCGACGGGATCTGGCATTGAGGTCTCCATCGGTACGCCGGGAGGTGGTGGAGGTGGTGGTTGTAGCGTCATCTTGGGCGTCGCATTCGAGAACGAATCACGATGTATTAGGGTGTGTCTCGAAGCTCGTCTCTTAATGTCCCTCAGACCATTCAGGTCGCCCCTTCTGAAATTGTTGGCGCCATGTTTGAACTCCCACAGAGGAGAATCTGGTGATCCTGTATGGAACACATCGCTGACTGTCGGAGTAAATATAAGCTACCAGCCGGCTAGTGCAAGAATACGGTGGCAATACCTTTGTGAAAACCATACATGTTTAGTTGACGGACAAAAGATGAAATGTTGGTATGCTTGAAATATGATCTTGAGGACACAATCAGTTTGTCTTCTGTCAAGGTGACTCCAGAACATTTCTTACGCAAGGACTTTAGAGAATTCAGTCGAAGGTGACATGACGAAACTTTCGTTGGTGCTAGACCAGGAAATTAAATGCTGTATACTTTGGTCTTCGAGCATGCTGCATGTGGGTTAGTCTGTTGTGGTCCGACATTGACAGCGAAGAGTAGTACCTGTATAGCTTGTGGATAAAGGCGGCACTGATAGCTTTGGGCTGTTGTGCAGCAGCAGCAGCTCCTACTGCGTGTTGACCAAGGATTCCATTGCGCTGCCCAGCTTGGCCTTCTAGATCTGCTGGACCTCCGGATTGCATATTTTGCTTGTCTCCTCTCGGGCTAGCATTCTGCGAGTCACGAGCAGGGTTATCTGGGCTGGTATCCATTGAGCCAGGAGATGAGTCGGAGTCGGGTGCACTAGTGGTAAGGACGGGAATTGGTCTGTTTGAGGGTTGGGTCGGGTAATCGGAGCTGAAATGGATATGGCGAGGGGGCTGCTCAACAGTCGTCATGTCAAGACGCGCTGTAGCAGTGTGTCGCTTGGTTGTCGTGCGCAATTCACGTCGTCGGGCGCAGTCGGGTTGGTGTAAGAGATGGGTTGTTTCCAGTTATTTCGTGGCTTCCAATGTCTATCCGTCTCTTGCAGGTAATAATAGGTGGCGGCGTCGGCGGCGAAGGTATAGAGTGTTGCGACTGTTTACGCGTTGGAACGCACAAGGGGCCGGTGCAGGGGAGTCTGAGATAATGAGAGACCCAGGACTGAGAAGGTGCCAACGTCGAAACGTTTTCAGACGGTTCCTCGACAAGCCGACTTCTGTTCTAGAACAATGGTCGAATTCGAGAAGGTGGGCGTGGGGTTCAGACCGTGCAGCGTCGTAGCTCGGACTCGCCGTCTTGGATCAATGAGGAGGTCAAAGGTTCGATGGCGGCAAACGCAAAATCGACGAGAAGCGATACAGATGCTGCTTTAGGTTACGTGTACGAGTACGGCTCGAAGTATTCCGAGTCTCCTGCTTCTTTCTGCGTACTGATGAGCGAAAGAACGGATCTGCACCTGCCAGCGGGACGCAATGTATGATTGGCCGAACTGCCAGACCTCAGTGGGAGATGAATAAGAAGGGAGAAAGAAATGAGAAGGGAGGGAAATGGAAGAGAAAAATTGCACAAGTAGACAGGACGAAACAATGATGAATGGTTAGCTAAAACCCGTGAGTATTGAGCTCGTCTCGGGTCCGTCCCCCCCTGTATCTTCCCGCCGCCGCCTACAGGATGTTAGATGTGCACGATCCATCTGCAGATCGTGGAAAAGGCTAGCCGCAGCGCAGGGAACTGCGCGTTGAGTACTCGTCGAAGCCTTATTACCGCAGAGCACAAAACTCTTGCTTCTTTACCAGATGACTTGACTGGATTACGATCACCGGACCACCGGTTCTCAGCTCGGAATGCGCCCGTTCAATTGGGAGCATTGCGTGTAATTGGCTTTGTTGAACTATGGCGCATGAAACGACTCGAGTCATTCTACGGGCCAAATCACGAACTCATGAGTAGATAGACCAGTGGGGTAAGCACTTCTCGGCGTAATACGGAGAGCGAACAAGGTCGACACAAAGCAACAGGTGTTGTTTGTTATCCGACGCATGCAGCATCTTCCTTCAGCGCGTGGTCGAGACTCGGGGTACGGAACTAGCAGATGTCAGCGGGTGTTCGTTGTAAGCCTGTCCCAGCGATGCTCAAAGGACTTTCCAAGAACATTCTTTCTCGACAAGCACCAGGGTGAACACTTATTTATCCACACGAACGACGGCTTTGAGTTCGAGTAACGATTCATGTTGAGAGGCAGTAGAAACAGAGACTTGGCAGATGTCGAATAAGATTTTCCATATGCTCGGTAGCAATACCCGGAAAGACAAAAGTGAGGGTTGTCCGTCTAACGAAATTGGTACTTCCGATCGATCAGGGTCTTTAACTGCTGGCGCATGCTCAAATGAAATGCACAAGCCCATTTTTGATCCATGGTTTCATGTCGACACATCTCCTGGCGATGATCGAAGTTGTCAACTGGGTCACAATCCTTTGAAGCGAGAGATGTCTCGCTCTCATCAATGACTGATTGAGCGAATATGCTACCTTAGGTGTACTGATTTGACCCTCTGACGCCCTGTCCACCATCCAATGCACCTCCAATTACATGCTGCAGTCGTGAATTCCTTGAGGTCCCTGTTCGTTGTAATCGGTCCTCGTCATATATCCCTTGCTCAATCCTTGATCTACCATAAAAAGCACCTTTGCGGCCACCTGGGCACCGAGGAACACTGCTTCTTCGTAACCTGCATCCTTCCATTCAGGAAAGTACTCTGGCATTTTGGCGAGCTTAACACTTGTCGGGGACTGTGCATGGGAAGTGTGCAAGCTGTGAGGCATTGGTCCACCTTGCATTCCGCCGTTGATAGGGTTCAGTTGGGGGTTTTGTGCCGTGGTAGCAGCGTATAGCAGAGGATTAACACCGGAGCCTAGGTGTGGAGGTATCGTCGATTGGGGAGTGTTAGCCCCGGTTGCCATTGGCGTAGAAAGATTGGATGGAAGTTCCGAGGTGAACATGGTAGCCGAAGATGGCGAGATCAGGTACTTGGTCTGCAGTGTGTTCAACAGAGCCTCCTTGAAACCACGCACCTTGGATCCATTGCCAACAATAACAAGAGAATCCCACAACTCACTTCGCTTGCCGACCTCTTCTACGGAGGAAACGGTGCGATATATGACGTCTGCCAGTCTGTCGAGCACACCACCACTAGCAGCTTGGAATCTCTCGATACCAACCTCGGCTTCTCGACGGATGGCCCCTCCTTGTGAGTGCTGCTCGTCGTGAGCGACATCAGTCGAGGGGCGATCTGCGTCGCCCGTTTCTGCATCATTCTTTCTTGCAGGCCCGACCTTGACGGCAGCCTGCATGTCTGCGATCTGTTTGTCGCTGTAGTTCTGTTGCTTCATGGCGTCGCGCAACACGTGGTCCTCGTAGACGAAAGTGTTCTTGACTCTCTTCGCATTGGGTAGCCTTGCAGGCTTTGCGCCAGCTGGACCAGCTTCTGCGCCCTTCTTCTTTGCGGCAAGCTTCTCGGCCTTCTCCTTCTCCTTGCGCTCCAAGAATTCGCTCATGTTACCACCTGTGACAATGCTGGCTATGTCAAGCACACCCTCGTTATCCTCGCCATCTTTCTGCTCACTGCCAACTTGCGTTCCAGGACCAGGGCCTAGGGGAGTCTCGCCAAGGGCGGCAGTGGTATTACGCTGACCAGGACCGGAGCCCTCAGCACCAGTACTGGCAGCTGCAGCAGGGTTGGACGGCTGGTCAGAAGATGCTGAGCCGTTCTCGGTGGTCAGGTCGGCGTCGTTTGGTAGAATTTCGCAGATTGGACTCTTCTTCAGCTGCTCACACACCTCTTTGGAGAAGCCCCTCGAGGCAAGCAGTTGCGAGAGACGTTCGGTCAGAGCTTCTCCACCACAGTTTGGCACACTCAAAGCGCGGCCTGTGTCGTGGACCAAATAGTCGGAAACGGCAGTGACGTCGGCCTTTTCGAAACCAACATCGACGATGGTAGCAGTAGATAGACCGTATGCGTACAATGTAGCTGAAGCAGCGTCCATCAAGCCAAGGGCTGGAGGCTTCAGCTTCTCGAAGATGAACTGGGCTATCTTTTCGTGTTCCTTGGGGGTCCAGATGGGCTGAGCAACGAGGAGAATTGCGGTATGGAAGGGCGGGTTGATGTTGCGATAAACATGGTCGATGAGGGCGAAGAAGCAGTCCCAATCGACAACACGGCCTTGTTGGATGGGCCAAATGGCGCCCTGCTCCGATAAAAGATCCTCTTCGTACTCCGGCTCGCTATCGCCGTCGGCAGGTGGCGCATCTTTCCGGCGCACCTTGTTGGGTTCGAACTCGCCAGGGTTTTCGGCAGGGAACATGCATGAGCGCACTCGGAAACGCGCCGGAGTGAGAGATTCAGGAAGACCAAGCTGCGCGAGAGTCGTCCGCGAGCCAGGCGCAATGATCTACGGGTATCACTGGTGAGCCGAGAGGCTGACGTCGATGTTATGTGAGCGTAACTTACCAAGATTTGCTCATCTTTGAAAGGCGCCATTGCTACCGTCCGCAATGCTTGCAAGTTTGGTTTTGGGAAGCTGCTCAGTCGCGACGTGATGGAAGTCGCGTTCTGTGCGCTACTTCCAGAAACCTTAACCCCGCCTCAACCCCGAAATATCCACCCGGACCTTGCTGGCCATTCGTCATACCTTGCCAATTGTCAATCATCATAGCTATCTTTCCGCTTGACTTGTACCTCCCCTTCAAGCGCTCTTTCATTCACCCCAGAATCCATCATGTCAGACATCAACCTCCAGGACGTCTGTGGCTTTCTTGTCAACGTCGCGAAAAGCGCTGGGGACGTGATAACTGCTGCGCGTCCATCCACGACAGCAGCAGGTGAAAAGATCAATTCTGTCGATCTAGTGACAGAAACCGATCAAACCACCGAGAGACTAATCACTGAACTCGTTCACCAAAAATATCCTCATTTTGAGTGCGTCATGCCTTAGTCACGGTACTCTCTTCGTACCTTTCTTACACTCTGTACCAGGTTCATGGGCGAGGAAACATATAAGCCGGGGGATACTCTGACTGACAAGCCAACGCTCATATGTGATCCTGTCGATGGCACTACCAACTTCATCCACGGGTACCCGTATATTAGCATCTCCCTAGGACTTGCCATTGACCGGAAGCCAGTCGTCGGAGTCATTTACAACCCCTTCACCAAGACTTTATTCTCAGGCGTCAAAGGACAGGGCTCGTTTTTCTCAGACCCCTTTCACGATCATGTCAAACTGCCTTTGAAGGATCCCGAAAGTCTTGCTCTGGATAAGGCTCTTGTCGCTGTGGAGTGGGGAAGCGATCGAGCAGGGCATGACTACGACATCAAAGTCAAGACCTTTCGCAACCTGTGTGCCAGTCCTGAACAAGGCGGTGCTATGGTACATGGAATTCGTTCGTTTGGATCGGCTGCTCTCAATCTATGTGGTGTAGCTGCGGGTCATCTAGATGCTTACTGGGAGGCCGGATGCTGGGCATGGGACGTATGTGCTGGCTGGGTAATCTTGGAAGAAGCTGGTGGCCATATAGTTGACGCGAACAAGGGCAATTGGCAGCCAAGAGTTGACGGAAGAAGATATCTAGCCGTCAGGAAGGGTGAGGGGCAGAACGCTTTCATTGAGCAGCTGTGGACTCATGTTGCTGGAGATCTCAAAGTTGGCATATAAGTCCAGGTCTTCGAAATCTGGTGCTAATTCTACACGTTACCTGTTCCTAGTGGCTTTGGCCTCTCGCCACAGATTGAGTCCCCTTTATTCTCCAATTTTTCCGAGATTCGGATTCGCATTGATCCGTCAGCTAACTTAACGTAGGTGATGATCCAGGATCGAAGGCGAGGATCACGGCTTCGGCCTCACTTCATCCGAACCTTCGTCCCGTTTACCCCATCTTTCCCCATGGCCACTGGAGATCAAGCATCATCGTACATGACATACAAAGAGGGGCTGATACGATAGCTATCCCGAATACCGAGCCTCTGGAAAGGTATCAAGCAATGTCTGACTACAAATGTCAACTTTTTCCAGTTTTCCCGACTTCGATGTATCTGATAACATGGATTTACGAGTAACATTCCTCTGGGCTCTGATTTTGGTGGTCACACTCTGCGCTGGTACACCAACATTGATCGCTGAGCTCGATTATGGGACCTTTGAAGGGTCATACTCACAAGAGTACAACCTAAGCTACTGGCAGAAGATCCCATTTGCGGCTCCCCCTGTTGGACAGAATCGCTTTAGAGGACCCCAGCCACCCAAGCCTATCACCAATGGCACATACAACTCGACACAATCCTTCGATATGTGCCCCCAGCGCAGTGTAAATGGATCTGAAGACTGCTTGTATCTTGGGCTCTACTCGAGACCTTGGACAGAGGGGCAAGCTTTGCGCCCAGTCGTGGTGGTATTCTATGGTGGAGGCTTTATTCAAGGCAGTGCTTACTTCTCCGTCCCACCTTCTGGTGAGTCCAATCAGAGGCGATATCCAATGGCATCCACAAAAGGCTTCATATGCACGTCATTTTTTCTTATATTGCTCTCATCTGCTTGACCATGCTCATTCAAACCTGTCCAGATGTACCATGCTAACGTTTCTCAGGCTACCCAGTACTTAATGTGTCTAATACAAATGACTTTGTTTTCGTGTACACGAATTACAGAGTCAATGCTTTTGGTCTCCTCCCTGGTAAAGAGATTGCCGCTGATCCGATGTCTGACCTGAACCCCGGACTCTTAGACCAACATGCTGCACTGCAATGGACTAACAAACACATCTCACGATTTGGTGGTGATCCGCAGAATGTCACCATCTGGGGGCAATCAGCTGGAGGTGGTAGTGTAGTGGCGCAGGTCATTGCTCAGAACGGGAAGACCAGTCCATCTTTGTTCTCCAAAGCCCTGGCGTCATCTCCTTTCTGGCCGAAGACTTACAAGTACAACGCACCTCAAGCCCAAGCACTATACGATTCTCTTGCTGAGCTCACCGGCTGTGCTGGACCCAATTCACTGCAATGCCTGAAGACTATAGATGTACAAACCATTCGAAATGCCTCCCTGACCATCTCGGGGTCTCGTACGTACAACACATCATCTTATGCTTGGTCACCCGTCATAGACGGCACATTCTTGATTCAGCCGCTTTCAAGTGCTACGGCAAAAGAACAAGTCAACATCGATTATGGATTTGGTATGTACAACTTACATGAAGGAGAGAATTTTATACCTCCAGGCTTGCAACACGCGACCAATTCTGGAACACCTCCGTTCAACTCATCGGTCACGTCTCTCACTGCTTGGCTGAAGGGCTATCTCCCGGGTCTCTCGGATCGCGATAGAGCTCGAGTGCTGTCTCTGTATCCTACAGAAGGCTTCGCAGAAGGTCTCGTAAGCTACAACACCACATACGTTCGAGCAGGACTCATCTTTCGAGATACCGTCCTCGCCTGTCCGGCGTACTGGATGGCCGGCGCTGCTCATAAGAAGTCCTACCTTGGAGAGTACACAATCTCTCCAGCGAAACATGCTTCCGACACCATCTACGTGAGCCGTTACCTCCGAGATCAAAGAAGCACAAGCTAATAGACTGCTTAGTGGAACCAAGTCAACGCAGTGCAGAAGTCTGATCCCTTGACCTACCAGGGATATGCTGGAGCATTCGCATCATTTTTCCAGACAGGCGATCCAAACGCTCACAAGTTGACCAACAACACTGTGGCCGGAGTGCCGGAGATAGAGTCAGAAGAGCAATTTCTAGTCTCTCAAGATGGCTTTTCTGACGTGTCGATCACATTGTTAGCTCAGCGATGCGACTATTGGAGGAGCGTGGCACACAAGATACCGATATGAATGGGTGCTCTTGTTGGTATGAATACAGCAATGGTATTGAACTATTTGTACAGGGGTATTTTTGATGGGAGAAATTACGCCATTCATCTTGCAGCCTCTTCATGATGCAATGTCCTCCACTCTGACCAGGCCGTTTGCCATGCCTGCAGCAATCCATCCACCGACATGAAGATTTGGATTCCAGGCCATTGAGTTGATTGAGGTTTTTAGATCATAAACGGTCGAATACACAGCTCCGTTCTCGCGATGAGTGAATGCATCTTCAGTGTTGAAGAGTTTGATCTCTTTACACTTGAATCCTTCCAACACTCGGCTGATCTCTTGCGAAGCGGGTCTCGATTCCTCTTTCGTCGTCTCTTGCATGACGGGCCCCGCCGATGTATCGCGCATGACTTCATCGCCATCTGGTGCGCCGACGACTGTAGAAGTTTCTGCGATCGACTGCCTCCATTCGTGGGTAAACCAGGTCTGATTCCAGATGGGTACTTTATTTTCGTAGGCGCGGCGTAGAGGGTTGTTACTAATGGCTTCGCCACCGACGCATCCAGCCATTACGAAAGGATGGACTGGACTATGAGCAAGACACGCCACGGAGCTCTTGTAACGCGTAAAAGAAATCTGACGGAAGAAGCGTCGAATCGGGTAAGCGACAAGGGTAAAGTTGTCATCAGCCGTGAGGACTACCTGGGCAAACTCGTGCCAGACGAGCACTGACCTTCCAACACGAGAGCGACTGGCTCTAACTGTTGCTGTGGGAGTCATTGTCGCTTTTGATGTTATCTCCATCACATCTGTCATCTGAATATGGCCTGACATAGACGATGTGATCAATATGTTCGGACGTGATGGATAGCAGGTTGTGATATTGAGTAGATAGGTCGTTGAGATGGGACAGTAGACGACAGGCTCTGCATTTGGAGCACGTTGTTCGTTTGCTGTGTCGGTGGCCAGAGAGGAGGGTATGTTCCAGACCCCAACGCATCCATTAGCACAGCCAGCAATTATACTGGACGAGCTTAACCAAGTCAAGCAGGTGCATATTGTGTTAGGCGGCTGCGTCGTAAACGCAGCCGTTTCAAGTAGCTTGTATTCTGTTTCCGCCGCATCTCCGGCTCCCACGAAGATATCCAACACTCTCAAAGCACCATCAGCCCATATTCCAGCCAGTAATCCGAGATTCATTCGTCCAGATGATGCGGGCGCCTTCTCCCGGGACATAGGACACCAACTGAATGTTTTGACGTCTCCCCATTCGGAGCAGATGACCTTTCGAAGAACCGGAGCATACTTTGTGTCAATGCGTCCCGAAGAAGTAGCTTGAAGCTCCCAGATCTGTATTGATGATTTGGTTGGAGGACGTGGAGTGAAGGCCGGTGCATAAGGTGCGTTGAACTCTTGCTCTTCTGATGTTGAGCCAATCAACGGCGAGGTCGTAGCAGTGAGAAACTGTCTCGGACCTTGGATGTTGGGAACCCATTCAATGTGCTGAACCTTCTCACCCAGATTGAGCATCCATCCGTTTCTGTAAGACTTTAGATCTTGGGTGGGTGCTGGGACATTGACAGACGGTGGTCTTGGTATCCAGGGACAGTTCAAGTCGAGGCTCTTATGCAACTTAATCTCAAAAGGGGCCTGGCGTTTGTATGGACCCATAAGGACCTTGCAGCTTTCGAATGCAGCAGGCGATACATAAGGTCGAGCCTTGTGAGAAGGCAACACGCTTGATCTCTGACGCGAGTTGAATGTCTCTTTGCCACCTTTGTCCTCGTACCAGTCCCAGCCGTCTTCGGCCTCTACCTTCATGTCGCTGTCGCCATGAAAGTAACTGGTCTCGAACCCACCGAAACCGCCAGCGTTGGCATAGTGGCTCGGTATGGTCAACTCAGCACCCCATCTATAATGGGCCTTTAGAGCGGGCATCTGATCATCTTTCGCAGGGCCAAAGAAGAACAGTCTTTGAAGCTCTTTTGAACCACGCGCGGCAGGCTCAAGCAGACCACGGGGGTTGAATCTAGGATCTCCTTTCATTTTTGCAATCTCATCTACCTTGACTCTCTTGAAGCCGCGAGTGAAGGTTGGGGCATCGGCCTCTGAGCCACCGACAATTGATTCTCCATCTGAAACAATGTCGTGATGGGTCTGATCGTAGTCATCTTCTTCGGCAGCACCATCGACTGAAAGGTCGTCTTCGGGTGGCTCAGGCGATGCGTTTGGATGTACGTGAAAATCATCGTCTTCGTCGTCATCGGGTGTCTCAACAGGCAAAGGAAGTCCATCGCCAATGTCTAGTCCTTCGAAAGCGTCGACTGTGTATTTTTTGCTAGGTTGCCTTCTGCGACCAGACTTGCGACTGGGCGCGTCCATTTTTCATGTAGGAGATGTTTGCTGATACTGTTGACTCTGAGACCTAGACTTCTGTGTTGATGTGATGTTTTCGATTATCGTCGCAGGTGAATAAACTGATCTGGTGAATCGCCAAACTGAGCAGTTGGGCTTCCTTAATCAGCACAGCCGAGCATCTTCTAGCTGTGACTATTATGTCAACAAGCACAATCTAAGTAGGTCTATGCAGTCTTGACCTCCAGGATGTTTCTCATGTTGACATAAAGGTCGCAGCCCTCAACTAATCCCTAAGGTCGGCATGGTTGTCTTGATTCCTTCGTCAAGGACTAAGCAGACGCTCTATAAGTATTCTCGACCGTTCTATAACCCCCAGCACCGGCTCGCGTCACATACAATTCAGCAGTCGCGCGACGCGGCTATTGACTGTAGCCTCAACTTTCTTATTCAAGCATCGATCACGGCAACCCCTCAGTGCGGTAGACTCGGCAGTATCCTTAACAAATGGCCTGCAAGCCGAACCGTAACATCACCGACTTCTTCAAGCCTTTCGCGCAGCCAAAGGTCAAACGCATTGTCGCCAGCGAAGGGAGGAGCGCGTCAGAGCCTCAAAACGCGCCTGCCGCAACCACTAAGGTGCAACAGCAACATCGACGAACTGCAGGGGCCCGATTCCCCATGCCGTCCAACAGATCTGCCTCTTCGAAGCTCCGCGACATTCAGGTCACCCCGTCCAGGGAGACGACTATCGACCGCCCAATTCCTACGCCAATACCTTCGAGTCCGCCCGTCTACCATGCGCCCACTCGTGTACCGCGAGAGCTGAGTCCGCTCACGTCGCCCGAGTTTAGCCCTAGCCCTCCTTCACCTCCGCCGACTATACCCAAGAAGCTGGACATCGCTCCACTGCCGACCATGAACCCTTCCGTGTCTTGTTCATCTCTGTCAAGCCTTCCAATCAGCTCACAATCTTCAAGTAAACGCATCATTCGGGACGGCATGCTAGCCGTGACAAACTCTGATTCTGACAGTAATGATACTGATTCGGAGTCTTTGGATGACATCGACGAGCTCATTCGACGAAAGCGTCTGAAGATGACTCCCCCTACCACCTCCTCGGAAACTTCTCGCCGTCCTGCTAGCGCTGCCCGTGAGTTGAGAAGCTCAACTCGTCGTGATCGCCCCTCGATACCAAAGTCAAACTTAGTACACCCTCCTCGAAAGAAGTACAAATTCAGTATGGCCTCTCTGGTCGCATCCCACAACAAGGACAGCGAGTCTATTCAGAGGATCCAAGAATATGAAGAAGAATACAAGCAAGAGATTGATCTGACAGCACGTCTTGAAAACCAGCTCAAGCAGGCTTCTGACATGAACGCTGAAGAGTTCGCCGCCCGTCTGCAGGCAGATGATGATGACGACGATGAGACCAGAGATCGTGTCGTACGAGCAATCGAGCGCAACGATGTTCTGGAGAAGAGAGTAGAATATCCTTTCTTTAGACATGCCGACTCTAGGACACACATGTCCAAGCCATTCCCAGAGCTGGCTCTCTCTACACAAGACTGGAAAGCGTCTTTGCGAGATCAGGGCGCTAGGGAAGAATTGTTAAGATGTGGGTTCGTAGCCGATATGGCTCGTGTGTCTGCTCTGCCCGACGAATTGATCCAGTGGATGTCGTCGGAGCTACTCCGAGACCCCGAAAGCAGCCTGGCTAATGCCTATGTGGATGTCTTGGAGAGCTCGTTTTCCAGTAATGCCTTCACCACCAACCACTTACGCACACAATTCCTTCTACAAGTGGGTAGAGAGGATCTTGAACCGGATCTCTTCGTTGACTTGGAGTCAATGCCTCCTCCTGCTCATCAAAGACCGTATGCAGATACGATGCCTTTCAACACAGACTGGACATGCTTGTTACTGACCAGACTTGCCAACAAGTAAGTTGGTCCTGGTGTTTTGCAGAGACATTGGCTGACTTTGGATGGCAGACTGCATGTCACTGAAAGAAGGAGCTGGCTGACTTCATTGATGCTCTTGCTTGTAGATCCACAAGTCGAAGAGAGACTAAATACACAGCAAAATCTCCAGGACTGCATAGGTTATCTGCTTGGAGCTGATTCAGTGCCTTCCGTTTTAGCCACAACAGTATGACCGCACCCGAATGATCACATCTTATAAACTCACATGCTAATTGATATTCAGATTGAATATGTTGGACAGAGTCTTCGTGCTCACATCCCAAATCCGATCCTGATCCAACGTCTGATTGGATTGCTTCCTTCCACAACGAGTGCATCACACACTTTCAAGCGAAGACTGGGATTGGCGTCATTCATGAAGTCCAACGCTTATCTCACCAACAGCCTCCATGACACTTCAACCATGCATGTGTTGACGCTATATCTTCACGAAAACAGGGCATTCAAGCTTAGCGACAGCACCGACTTCCACAAGTTGGGCGCTCGATTTGACATACTCGACGTAGCTATAGGAATGGGACTGTCAGACTTCGGATTCCAAGCGACGGGCAAAGCCGACAGTCCAGTAAACACAGAGGCAACGGCAGCTAGACTGCCGACTTCGGAGGAAGAGAGCAAGTTCAATTCAGCTATAGACGAAGTGGTGGCAGAGTTGCGATCGATAGCTTTCAACATCCGAGACTCTGGAGCGGCGCATATGCGAAGGACCGAGTGCAAGACGGCGATTGAAAAGTTGACTTACAGACTCGAATTCGCATCAAGGACAAGACCAAAGCCCAAGAAGGGAATATTCGGAGCGGCGGAGGGTGCCAGCGATGTGATTAGAAATTTCGTTGCGAGAGGTGAGCAGGACATGAGCACAGGCAATGAGTTAAGCAGCAGTAGTGATGGTGTATAGAGTGAGGAAGCCGCACAAGTAGATGTAATGAGGTATATTGCGCACAAGACAAAAAGCAAAGGAAAGCGATATCTACAGATTGCGCTGGCTCCGGATACCTAAGTATGCAAAAGGACGTTTGGAGGGATATCAAAGGAAGACTCGGGGGATGGCATCTAGTCCTTGAATCTTCTGTTCTTGTTCTCGCCGAAGAGAGTAGCTCGCACACTGGGGAGGGCCTCTGACTGGAGCAGGCGGAGACGCTCCTCGAAGGTGTTGTTGATGTCAATTCTGCCGGTTGAGTTGACGATGGTGACACCACCAGATCTGGGAGCAGTTGGCAATTAGTCAATGGACAGCGGGGACAGAGGGGTACAAGGACATACGTCTCCTCGGGCAGCTTGTCCTTTTCGTCAATCTTGATTTCGGTCTCACGTCCCTTCATCTTCTCCTTGTACTCTGCCTGAGCAGCATCGGCAGCCTTGCGGACAATGGCGTCATCCTTTGACCTGCAGCGGACGGAAATGTTTGATTCGTTCAAGGCGTAGAGACCCTCGAGGATGAGGTTCTTGAGGATTTCCTGGTACTTGTCCTGGTCTTTTGTGGAGTCGGCGAGCTTGTTGTTGGCCTGGTCGAACAGCTCGTCGAGCAGTTCCTGGCGAGCGCTCAACAGGCGCAGTCTTGTCTTGTTGGACAGGGTGGACTTTGTGATTTGTTGGGACATGGAGGCCTGCTTGAACTTCTTTTCGTACTGGGCGTCGATGGACTGGGTCTCCTGGCGCACAAGCTGCGACTTCTCGATGGCGAATTCCTCGTCGGCCTTGAGGTGGATCTCGCGGGCCTTTTCCAGAGCTTCCTGGCGGATGAAGGCCGTCATCTTGCGCAGCTCCGAGGCGACCTGTAGACGACGAGCTTATCAGACAGACGTCGCAAACGGACAAGGGACGGAGGACATGATACCTGGTCGTCGGACATGGCGTGAGATTGCGACATGTTGGCGGCGGGATTGTGAGTGGTGGTGGATCTGGGGGATGAAGTTGACGATGTGCTGGGTGTCGCGGTATGGCTATGGGCTTGCGACGAGTGACGAGTGACGTTGGCTGGCTTGGTTGACTTCGGGCGGTCTCTCTCCGCAATTCGACCCTCCAAACGTCTCCAGCGTCCAGCCACGGGACCGCATCGCCGCATCACGTCGTCCGACAAACACCACAACACGTCTGCCTCCCTCGCCTCGCCCTCCAACCACCATGTCACCGCGTCAATCATAGCTTGAAGCCTTCCTTCCTTTCCGCCTCGCACTCTGCTCCACACCACCATGGCCTCCTTGTCGCCTGGTGCCACTCTTGGCGTGAGTCTGGCCCGTGAACATGCTCCCCAGACACCACCCAGCTGACACCATCCAGCTAGGCATCGTCGTCGGCCTCGTATCGACATGCGTCCAATCCGTTGGTCTTACCTTGCAACGCAAGTCCCACATGCTCGAGGATGAAAAGGACCAACATCTACCCCGCCGCGCCCCATACCGTCGCAGGCGATGGCAACTCGGCATGCTGCTCTTCCTGCTCAGCAACATCGTCGGCTCCTCCATCCAGATCACCACTCTCCCTCTCCCTTTGCTCAGCACTCTACAAGCCTCAGGCCTCGTCTTCAATGCTCTCATGGCCAGCCTGATCCTCCATGAGCCCTTCACCCGTCGCACCGCCCTCGGCACCCTTCTCGTAGCCGCTGGTGCCGTCCTCATCTCTCGCTTCTCCGCTCTTCCCGAGCCATCACACTCGCTCGACCAGCTCCTGAAGCTGCTAGTCTTTCCGAACTTTGTTGTCTGGATGACCCTGACTCTACTTTTGGTTGTCGCCATCTTGGTCGCCGACTCTGCTACCGCCGCATTCATGACTGCTCAGCAGATGCAGAGACCACGCTTCAGATTGCTGCGCGGTATGGCTTACGGTTTGGTCTCTGGAGTCCTGTCCGCCCACGCTTTGCTCTTGGCCAAGAGCGCTGTAGAGTTACTCGTGCGTACCATTGTCGACCACAAGAACCAATTCGACCGCTATCAATCTTGGATGTTGTTATTACTCTTCCTTCTCTTCGCCCTTACTCAGCTCTATTATCTCCACCTTGGTCTAAAACTGGTCAGCACGAGCATCTTGTACCCCTTCGTCTTTTGTGTGTACAACATTATCGCCATTCTCGACGGTCTTATATACTTCCGCCAGGCCGATCAACTCTCAGCTCTATATGCAGGTCTCATAGCATTGGGGACTGTCATTCTGCTGGCGGGTGTACTTGCATTAAGCTGGCGTCTCAGCGAAGAAGATGCCGCTGCCGCACCTGCGGGAGGCGAGATTTCTCATTCCGCTCTGGCACCCGGCATGGGTTTCGTCGACGAGCACGAACACGATGATGGCCCTCGACGTGCCTCTGAAACTGCACCCTTGATGCGCAGGCACACTTTACGCGACTCCGCATTAATGATAGGTCAGAATCGACGACGGACCAGCAACGCCAGAGAAGTAGAGGATATCTGGGACGAGCTAGGTGATGAGGAACGATATTACGGCACCTCTCCCCGTCGTGAGTCTTTGGGGACAAGCCTAGAAACCACACCATTGCTTGACGGTCGACGGCCGGCACCTCCGAAGATGTCGAGATCTATAACCGATCCGCCAAACCACGCGCACTTCAGAAGTCGGTCCGAGCCGCTACGGCTTGATGTGGCGGCGTACAGGCACGAGAGTATATCGAAACAGCTTGTGGATTGGTGGCGTACGAGATGGAGAAGTCGGGAAGTAGAAGACGGAGACGATGAACAATCTCGTGCTACATAGGTACCAATAGTGTTTTTATGAAAGACTCATTCATCGTATGATACGCCCACCTTTCTTGTGTTTATGATTTCCGAAATCGTGCCATTGTCTGGTATAGGGCTGCTTCCCTCGCGACAGACTTGTTCAGCTTTGTCCACAAGGAGTAGGAAAGGATCAGCGGCGATGAGTGTTTTCCATCTTTTAATTCAGACTATGATACAAAACTCCCAGAAGGACTTGAAAAGGGCGACCTGACCTGTCTCTTTTGATTTTTGGAAAAGAAAAAGCCACGAAAAGCTAAAGCAAAGGTCAGCCATGTAAGACGGTAAACTCAGGCGTCTTTTCTGTCTCTGCCCTTGCGAAAGAGTCAAGATGGAAGAAGCCCGTGGGACAAGCCTTGGTATGAAGCGAAGAAAACAAGAAAAAGACAACATGATAAAAGGGGAAAACCATTCCGATGCTACGCCGCAGTTCGCCTCGCCCAGCCAGCTTCTCCGAGCATGACATTTCTTTCTCAACCCATCGCACCGTTGAAATCACTCTTCTGTTTCCGCGTCGCACGTGTCGTTATGTCGGAGCAATGATAAGAGAGTCGACATTATGTCTTTGGACTCTTTGGGATATCTCTTCTATTGGTGTCCTGGGTGACGGCCAGGAATAGGAGCTCCAGACATGGGGTAAGCGCCGGTCTGTTGCTGTTGCTGCAGATATGCCTGGTATTGCAGGGCCTGTTGTTGATCTGGTGTCATGGCGTACTGGTTGGGAGGCATGCCGGCAGAGCGGGGCTGCATGCCGGCAGTGGGAGCAGGAACGTTGGCGTGGGTGTCCTCGGGAGATTCGACGGTCGACTCGCCATCAACGCCGTTCGAGTCGGCGGGTTCAGGAGCATTGAGACATGCCTTTTGAAAGGGTCAGTAAGGTTGTGCTAGGTTGTGTCTGTCATGGGCATGTAGATGTACCTGGATCAAGTTCTTGCCCTCGGCTTTGGTGACCAGAGGCTGGAGCTTGGGGGTGGTGAAGGTGTAGACGAGACCGGTTTCTGACACGACGAGAAGGAGGACTTGAGTGCCGGTGAGAACGGACAGTTCGTAAGCCTGGTTCGAACATGTTAGTCAGTGCCCAGATAGGATAAAGAGATGCGACACGTCGCGTCGCGTGTGACTGTTTGGGACGACTGACCTTCTTCATGATGCCGGCCTTTCGCTTGGAGAAGGTGATGTGACGACGCGACTTGTCTTGGATGAACTTGATCTCGATCTTTCTTCTCTCACGGCCAGGTTTGTCGTCGTCCGAGTCACCGTCGCCGTCTGCGGGTGCGGCATTCGACGTGCGCTGTCTCTTGATGCCTCTTTGCTCGGGCGCGACGCTGTCATCGTGAGCAGAGGGGGAGTTGCCCTGGTCGTCGGCGATCTGATCTGTCATTGCGCAATGTTGCTGCTTTGGTGTTTGAGAGTTTGATATGATGATGAAATCCCCAAGCGGTTAGCTTGAATGTGATGTTGCGAGGGAAATCAAGTTAAACCAATTTAGTAGGACTTGTCGAAACCAAGAGTGAAAGGGGAAAGAGCGGCCTCGAAGAAGGAAGGAACCGGAAACACGGACTCTGGGGTAAATTCCGACCGTGTCACCTGGTCCATGCTTTTATTGGCTGGCCCCTCCTCGCACCATCGCCTCAGAGTCTCAGACACTGGATTGACGGTTGATCATTAGACTCTTGTTATGCCAACGAGAGGATAAAGACTCTCTGCGACAAGATTGAAGGTGGGTGGCTGAGCTGCAAAATCTAACGACACTTGAATTTGATGACTCTGCTAAGCACTGGCGACCATTGTCACAGCTTTCAAGAAGAAGAAGAAGAACAGGAGGAGGAGGACAGGAACAGGAGGGCTTTTACACTATCTCTCTATCTATGCTCCGTTCATATAGTCTTTCTTCGCTGTGTGCTATAGTACGAGGCCTGTCTCGAAGCACAATTTACACATGAGCTGTAGCAATGTTGGCGGAGCTATGTCTAGTTGTCTCTCTGCGCGGCTCTTTTGATTCAAGAGATGACTATGCCTTCTTACAGCTTCTCATCACCTTGTGCTTCCGCAAGGTGAAGTGAGACTGGATTCAGCGCACGCGGAGGTGCGAAGATGCATGGAGTATGAGGCACCGAAGAAGAATGAAGTCATTCACGAGCGACGACTAAGGCAGCTGCACCCACCAATGTTGATAGGACATCCAACGTGTCTTCCAAATTCACATGCATCTTCATGGGCAAAGCCGATCATCATTTACTTTCCACCATATCGCAAAAACACTGTCAGATCACTTTACTGTTGAATTTTGCTCGAAGCGGACATATAATTAGTGCTAAACACGAAAGAGCGCGTCACAAGCCAGACGACGTGCGTTCGTCGTGCTTCGTTGCATCACAGTGGCTGCACAGACCCTGAGCAACCAAAGCGATTGTTGACAATTGATCGAGTTCCTCCCGGCATCATATCTTTCGACATCAACAATCTCGCCTTGCTCACTTGTCTTCCGCACTACACATGACTCGGAAAGAGCAATAAATACCACAACAATCCACTCCACGGTCATGAGATCTTGACCAGTTCGCGCCGCAAGAATTTATCCACGCCAAATGCTTAGCAAGGACAACAACTCCTAACCTTCGCAATGGCCGACGTTGTGGCGGAGATCGAGTAAGTAAACATGACTGTCAACATGCGACGCAACCACATGCTGACTGTTCAGCCATCTCAAGTCTCTTCCTGAAAATCTACACTGGTTCTGCCCACGCACGCACGACGAAGATGGCTCTGTATATTTCGATGAAGACACCCTCAACGCACCTTTGCAAGAAACACCGGCGGAAAAGGAGGTTCGGCTCACAAAGGTTGAAGAGGCAAGACAATTGAAGAAGAAAGTTCTGCACGCCTGCCAGATTCTCGCCTTCAACGGAGACCAGGCAGTTCAGTTGACCGCGGCGCTCAAGGGCTTGCTCAAGGTTCAGCTCAAGCGCTGCACCGTCTGTGTACGTGAGTATCATCGCGGCAGGCATGACTTGAAGCAAGAGCTCGGAGGCCAGTACGATGCCGATCAAGTCGCAAGCTTTATGCAAGTCTTTGATTCGATGAACGCCGAACGCATTGCTGCTGGCCTGGACAACGCTACCAAAACCCTTCTTGACCTAGCTCCCCAGGAACGTTCAATCTCCAGTCTGCCTCAGGAGGAAATGTACGCCCTATTCGAGTCCATGCACTGCACAGCTTTCCTACAGGACGAATCTCTGCTTCGGGAGCACTTTGACAAACCCTTCCGTCTCGTCCAGACGAGAAGAAAGATCACCTTACCAGAGTACACTCCGGCCTTGACTGCTTTTCTCTTCAGCAAAGACAAGGACAGGTCTGCTTGGGCTCACAGAGGCTGGACCAAGTTCAAGCGTCCTATCACTAGTGTCGAGTTTGATTGGACAGTACGTGACACTCTGAACGCCGCCATGGGTCGTGTTCTACCTAATAACATTGATGGTGATTTCCTACCCATCTTCTGGGAAGGTACCAGGGTCATTATTGAAAAGCTCGACAAGAATCTTATCACACATCGCCTCCGAGCCCTAGATGTTGATATCTACAAGCTGGCCCTTGATCACTTCCAGCTCTCATTCGAAGGCTATGGAAACATCGTCGGCAGCTTCAGAGCCCTCCTGGACAAATCACCAACCGATGTTTGGGATGCGTTAGCCACTGTTCCACCACAAACGGTCGCAGAGCAGATTCTTAACAGTCCTTCCATCGAGGGGCCGATGATGACTACTGAGGAGGACCAACCCTTGCAGCTCGAGGTACTTTTAGAGTGGGTTGATCCTTTCGTGCGATCAATCAAGCCTACTAATTTAGCTCCCGCCTGCCGTGCTGTTCTCCAACAGCTCATGACAAGACTTCAGTCTGATAAATACTCGCGATATGCGCAGACTGTTTGCTGGCACAAAGGCTTGCAAGTCATGAGCACTACTATGGAGATCATGAACAAGACCAATGCAAACAGTGCTACAGTTGCGGACCTGCTTGAGCTTGTTCGCGTGCACGTTTTGACTATCCTGGAGAATCTCCACACGTTCAGGGACTCACCAGCACACTCACGAGAGACCGAGCTTGGTTTGGACGTCATTCGCAACGCTCTTGCGCTCGACTGTCAGTCCTTGACGTCAATACGCGAGGATATCTTGCAGAAGAAGGCTCTCGGATTCGATCTCAACGTCTCATCGCTAGCCATTTGGAAAGCCGCGGTGAGACACATCAGGCCAGGCGACATCTCTCTCGCGTCAGCCATCTTGATTGGTGCAAGTCGCCTCATGCTTCTGGAACCGCTAGCACCTAAAGAATCCACAACTGCTCCAAAGCACTCCGAAAGCTGGAACAACGGATACCAACGCGCCTCGGCATACATCGTCGAGCTTTTTGATCGCCTACAGGACCTTGATCCCCTTGAGCTGCAAGGTTTGATGGGCAGCCCAGGTGCGTCTCAGAGTCTCTTCTATGCAGTGTTCTCGGGTCATCCCGAGATTCAACAATCAGCTGCCACCATCGTAAAGAGTATGGGTTCTCAAGATTCTCGTAGAGAAGGCATGAAGTTCCTCATGGAAAAGTACTTCGTCACATCGCTCCAATCTATCGCCTCGGCTCTTCGTGGAGTGGCTCGTGTTCACCTGTTCTCGCCATGCAGGACTCTACTTAGGCTTGGAAGAGACGTGCTTGACTGTCTCTGTAGTAATCAAGACGGTATCCTGCGATCTCGCAAGCTTGATGCAGAGGAAGTTCAGGCTACTGAGAACACATGGCAGGCTCTATGGATTGCCATAGGATCCATGTTCAAATACACAGAGCAATGGAGTCTCGCAGGGCACGACAAGCACATGATGATCGAATTCTGTCGAGACGCTATGGACTTTGCAGACTACGCTTTCAATCAGTACAGTGTCATTGCAGGAGCACTGCGCGATGCGAATGTTGCCTCAGGCGATGACAAGACTTCTCAACAGGTAGAACAAGGACTACTGCAGATGCCCAGAGAAGCATCGGGGCATGTCACAAAGTGGCTGCGTCTGAGAGATGAATATCTGATCAGCAAGGCCGTCACCATCACTTGTGAGATCATGAAGCGTCTCAAATCCGTCGATTTGCAACTACCTGAGCAATCCACAATGTTTGTGGACGATGTGTACGCCGGTACTGTCAAGACGCGGCTCACCAATTCCCAGAAGGCTGAGCTGCGTCGAGCACTAGAAAACCATCTTGGTATAGAAAACCAGACCGAAGAAAAGAACACGACGGACGCCTCCAAGCTCCAGAGGCAGGGATCACTAGCATCCTGGGCCACTTCCGGATCAGGTGCGACAGAGACCGCCTCTGCCAATAAGCCCAAGACGACACTCGACATGGAAACATGGAGGGCTGCGGCAGATGAATCTGCTCTGAATCGTGCCATCTCAAGCGCTACACCTACTGCTGACATGCTGAGAGCGCGTGGTGACTTCGCCAAAAAGTCTTTCCTACCAAGCAGAACTTCCATCGCCCAGCAAGACCCGAACAACTTCAGACTTAAACGTCAGCAGGAACAGGACGCCAAGCGCAAGAGAGACCTTGCGGCTATTGCTGCTGCCAAGAGGGAAGGCGGCTCAGGTCTACAAGGCATTGGTTTCGAAGGCAAAGATCATTCAACCAAAGGCCAAGGTGTCATGGTATCGTCCGATGAGAGCAGCGAAGATGAGGACGATGAGCTCGACGCAGAGCTGTTTGGCGTCAAACCTGTCAAGAAGCGATCAAATACTGTCAAGAGCGACGCTGCTGGTGCAATCGGCCTGAAACGCGAACAGCGCAATCAGCCTGTCAGAATTGAGAGGCGGGTGCGCTCCGCAAAGGATATGCGAGCTCGATTAGCTCCCGACCTTGCACATCTGCACAAGACGATCTTGGGCTGGGATTTCTTCCATGACGGCGACTACCCGCCTAATTCGAGAGACTGGCAGTTTCAGAAAGTCGCCAACTCATTCCGCCACGTCACCGATTACCAAGAGACATTTCGTCCTCTGCTTGTTCTGGAAGCATGGCAAGGTTTTGTGAAGTCAAGAGACGAAGGTTCCTTCAAGCCTTATGAGATCAAGGTCGTTAACAGGTCTAGCGTTGACGCTTTCATTGAGATCAGCAGCTCTGTTACTCATGCCGAGAACAAAGAGGTACAGCTATCAGAGAGCGACATTATACTATTTTCGACGTCGAATAACCCTACAGCGGACGCAGAGGCACCTCATTGTTTTGCCCAAGTCTACCGAACACGTCGCCAAAAACAACACATAGAGGTTACATATCGTGTGTTGCCGGGAAGCAGCAACAGCATGATGTCACATCTTGTGCCTGGAAGCCTCATTAATGGTACGAAGGTCCAGTCAATCACGCCCTTGGAACGTGAGTACGGTGCACTGCTTGGCCTGCAGTACTATGACCTGTGTGATGAAATCATAAAAGCCAGGCCATCACCTCTACTCGAATACACTGATAAGCAATTGGCACCCATCGTCAGCAACTACACACTCAATAAAGCACAAGCCAAAGCCGTTCAATCTGCCGTGCAGAATGATGCCTTTACCCTCATCCAAGGCCCTCCAGGTTCAGGAAAGACCAAGACCATTGTAGCGATTGTAGGTGCCTTACTCAGCGACAGTCTCTCGGACAAGCAGCTCGGGACCAGAATCGATGTGCCCAAAGGGGGTGGTACGTTCCCTGCCAACGCCCCTGCATCCAAGAAACTCCTGGTGTGCGCACCCAGTAATGCAGCTGTGGACGAGCTTGTCATGAGATTCAAGGAAGGGATCAAAACGCTTAAGGGCGTCCACCGGAAGATAAACGTCGTCCGTGTTGGTCGTAGCGACGCTGTCAACAGCTCTGTCGTGGATGTCACAATGGAGGAGCTTGTCAACAAAAGACTAGGCTCTAACAACAACGACAAGCAGGCAAGAGAGCACACTCACCAACTCATGAAAGAGCATCAGAGTGTGTCTGAACAGGTCCGATTGACTCGTTCTACACTGGACAGCGGTGATGTCAAGGGTAAGGAGCTCTCACAGCTTCAAGATCAGTTCAATGCTCTCCGCAATCGCAAAACTCAATTAGGGACTCAAATTGACAACGCGAAAGACAACGAAAACTCAGCTGGACGAGCGGCTGAGCTCAATCGCAAGAGGGTACAGCAATCCATTCTAGACGATGCTCATATCATCTGCGCTACCTTGAGCGGTAGTGGTCACGACATGTTCCAAAGTCTGAACATCGAGTTCGAGACGGTCGTGGTCGACGAAGCTGCCCAGTGCGTAGAGATGAGTGCTCTGATTCCTTTAAAGTACGGATGCGCTAAGTGTATTCTCGTCGGTGATCCGAGACAGCTGCCTCCAACAGTCTTCTCGAAGGCAGCTTCTGCGAACAAGTACGAGCAGAGTTTGTTCGTCCGGATGCAGAACAATCATCCCCAGGCGGTACATCTTCTGGACACTCAATATCGCATGCATCCTGATATCAGTGCCTTCCCCAGTGCGGCCTTCTACGAAGGACGTCTACTGGATGGAGACAACATGGCAGGTCTCAGAAAACAGCCTTGGCACGAAAGTGAGCTGCTTGCGCCCTACCGTTTCTTTGATGTTCAAGGCCAGCATCAAGCAGCGCCTAAAGGTCATTCTCTTATCAACCTAGCTGAGATCGAAATTGCTATGCTTCTTTACGAAAGGCTTATAAAAGACTACCGAGACCACGACTTCAAAAACAAGATTGGTATTATCACGCCCTACAAATCACAGCTCAGAGAACTGAAGCAACGCTTCTCGGGTCGCTATGGGCCTGAAATCACGGAAAGCATCGAGTTCAATACTACGGACGCCTTCCAGGGTCGCGAGAGCGAAATCATCATCTTCTCTTGCGTCCGTGCGTCCGCTACAGGTAGTGTCGGTTTCCTTTCCGACGTCCGTCGTCTGAATGTGGGTATTACCCGCGCGAAGTCTTCTCTCTGGATCCTCGGAAACTCTGACAGTTTGATGAGAGGTGAAGTCTGGAAGAGACTCCTGGATGACGCTCGAGATCGCAACAGCTACATAACTGGCGACCTCCACGGCATGCTCAGAGCACACTCTTCGAAATTTCCCGCAAAGACACATTCTCTGACCAAGAACTCGAAGGGTGTTGCAAATGGCAGCGGGGCCGCTAAACAAAACGAGAACACCAGGGTGACTGCAAACAGGGCACAAGGCAATGGTCTCAAACCCAAGAAAGAGATTGATGATCAGAAGGTCAAGACAGAGGATAACGCTCAGGCGATGGAAGGCGTGCGCGTCAAGTTAGAAGATAAGCTTGCCAGTATGCGCTCGAGAAAGGGAAACGAGGACGTGGAGATGGCCGATGCAGAGTCTGCCCGGAGTGGCGCTTCCACGCCAACAGTGAACAGCGAACCTCCATCTGCTACAGAGTCTGTGTCGGGACCGGCGGCTGCCAAGCCAAAGGCGTATCTCCTACCGACTCCGACTGCACCACAGGTTATTCGCAAGAGGAAGAAGCCTGCGGATCCCTTCATGCCTCCGGCTCATAGGAAGCCGAGGAAGAATTGAATGGTCTGACAACGCAAAGAATATTTTGGGCGTGACAAGGCTAGCGCGGCATTGTCCCTTGGGGTTAGATATGTACTCTTCTGCATCACACGATATCGAATTGACAAGGCGTGGAAGAAAGGTAAGTGAGCAGATCTGTGTACCGCTCCACTTCAGAACTCCACCCTTGCTTCCACGTGTGACACTTGACCGTGATCTTTGTTCGAGGCACTGGTGATTCTGTGCCTCAACTTACTCCTGTTGTAATACCCTTGGACACTTTTTGACCAATCCTATTTGACCCTTGCGTTCTTTGTTGCGGTATCTTGCATGCACATGCACGTAAGTGAAACCCCAGCATCATGAGCGTCACGAGTGTGCCAGCCAGGGCGACAACGGTCTGAGAGCGCTATGAGTTCATTCTCATCTCCTCCTCCTCGTGCGTGAGAACTGCAGAGTCAGGCGCTATCATTCTTACAAGTTCACGATCAAATGATGTTAGGCATGCGGAAACGTATCGAAATGTCGAGGTGTTCGGCTCAAGGCACGACAAATCCCGATACGTATCCTTGCATGACTGCGATGCAGAGCTGCAGCGGTCTGCATGGTACTCCTAGCGCTAAGTGGACCAGGGTTTCTGCATCCAACGACCTGTCTGTTGGTAGAGGGCCCGAGTATATGCATACGATCGTCGCACATCGTTGCTGTAAGGATGGTACTCTCCCCTTGCACGACTACCTGTGTGAAGTGTAATTGTTATTATTTACCTGGCCAGTTCAACCAACTACATGTTCCTGCTACTCTCCAATTTGATCGCCGTAGCTTTGCTTCCTTGTGTCACCTGTGTGTATCGAGTGAACAAAGTCTCAGAGCATCCCTCCAGCCCTGCCTTCTCGTTTTAGATGCACCTTTCCGCCATTCCACGACGCAGACCTGTACCCCCATTCATCAACCATACGCCCAGAGCCTTTGGGCTCCAAAAACTCGGCCAGTCACATCAGTTTTCAGTAATGTTTGGTCCAACCGGTATGGCGGTGCCTGTCTTGCTGCCAGCCCTCCCAGCCAAACCAGCGCGCCCTGATGTAGCTGCAAGTGGGGGAAGCAGTACGGGCGGCAGCCTCAGCTATGCTAGCTCTCAAGCGGACGTTAAAATACAGAAAGACGCTCTCCCAGCATCATCTGAGACTGCCTCTGCCGAAGACAATAGGAGCCCCTTCGTAGACAGGATGATGACTCAGACAAACCTTCTCGTTCTGCCTCCGTCCAATCCATCGTACCAGATGGCTTACTTCCTCAAGACCACTGGGCCGGTGAAGGAGCCTCTAGCGAAAAAGGCGAGATCTAAAAGAATATCCTCCGCAGTGCGCATCTTCAAAACAAGTAACAATCGGCCCTCAGAGTCACTGACTGCTGCCCATATGAGGTTTGAAGAGCGACACTATTCATAGGCGGTGCAGGCACTGATAGATCGTAGGCTCAACGAAATCATCTCAGAAGAAAAGGACGGTCCGGAAGTCGAGATGCAGCCCCCAGACGATGCCTCTCAGACGTCCAAGAAGCCCCTGTTGTTGACAGAGCCGGCACTACCAGAGGTCGTGATTCCAAAAGTGTCCAAAACAGGTACCTTTACAGAGTTTTTCAAGTAATGACTTGTAACTGATCGATGTATCAGGCCAAAAATATTTCGAGATTGAAACGACCAGCAAGAAATACGGGCACGCAAAAGCACAAAAAAGGTATGTAAGTCGGCTTCGAGGTTTCATGACACGCGACTGATCTGTTGTCAGCCCCGAAATAGCCGAGTCTCGAGTCTCTGTGCTAGTCACGGATCAACTCAGCACTGAAAGCTTCCAAGATTGGGTTATGGGCTTCGAAGGCTCCCAATGCGACACAGTCTCCCAGAAAGATGAGGGGCCAGAGGCCCTTCGAGGTTGGCCGACAAAAGGAATTTCACAGACACTGCCTCATGAAGAAACTGCTCGAGTACTCGATCGCCAAACGACAGCCCCAGTGCGTCCGCTATTCCTGGGAACAAAAGCTCGTGCGGAGACTGCGACAAGAGACCGATACGTTCGGGTGATACCAGGAATAACGGCACCACTTAGAAGTCATCCAGTGACTTCCGGTCCCGTGCCGAGCGTCTTGCCTCCGGCATTGCCAGTCAACAAGGCCAGCCCCAAAGGAATCGGTCCGGTCAAAGCCGCAGCTGTTGCTCAACCACGTCCGCGAAGAATGAACGGCCATCCACCAGTGCTTTCAAAAACCTCGAGTGACGTATCCGGGCTTCGGTTCTCCTATACTCCACAAGAGGGTGTGAGATCGGTCTCAGATAGTCCTGGGCCTCCGCCTCCCCGCAGTCCCTTACGACTGTCGATACCGTCCGAATCCTTAGGCGAGATGTTGAACAAGTCGACACCGTGTACTAGTCCCGAGACCTGTGAGAAGATCGAGACACCGATCAACGAGGAGCAGGCTATTCGAGTGACGAAAGAGGCTGCTGTTACATACGATACTCGAGAGCAGAGAGACGACGAACTGCCTTTCTTCCTCAAGCCAGGAAGCAGTGGAACGAGTAGTGATGTCTTCTGCACAAACTCGAGCGAGTTCAGGGTGCATCCATCGAAGCCTCTCGAGCTCATTGACGCCATGGTGAAAGCATCTCAGCAAAACACATCGCGCCGACGCCTCCGTAAAGCTAGGCCTGAGGGCCCGCGTCCGTTTGACCTGAACGTCTCGAATCCACAAGCCTCTCCTGAGCGCGACTCAAGGCCTGACGGTTATTGCACAAGCCCGCTCTCCATTAAGCGCACCACCAGCACAGGCGAGATGTCAGAGAATTATCGAGTCATTGCTACTACTGCCTCGCCTTCACCTAGGATCAGTCATGTTCGCAAGGCTCCCAGTGCAAGAGGCAGGAACAGTCCAGCACACCGAGTTAAGGGAAGCAGACGTGGCCGAGGCCCAGTAAGCATAACTCCAGCACCTTCGCGAGTCAGTAGTCCATCGAAGCACGGTCGAACGGTCTCTATAATTGCAGATTTACCATCGCCACCTCCTAAGAAGGAGCTACCACCGACTCCCCATGCAAGGACTGCAAGATCGGAAACAGTGCTAGATGTAGGGCTAGCAAGGACCGAATCGATTAAAGACTTACCCGCACCACCAATTGGTGAGAGTGGACACAGCTCAGTGTTCCCTTCCCCACCTTCGAGTGCAAAGACAGCAAGATTCAAGCTACAGCCGGGCGAAAACAGTCCTTCAAGCATCGAGGCACGCATGGACGCACTTGAACGTAGAAACAAATTGTTGGAAGCTGCGCTTTCAGCTGTGCTCAAGACTGGAGGGATGCTCAATGGTTGCCCATGTCAGGCGTCACACATGCCTGGGCATGAATGTGAAGCAGCGGCAAGCGAGCCATTGGTCGCAAGAGCAAGTGTACGAAGCAGAGTAAGCTCGGGTAGTAACGGGTCGAGTGCACTAGATGTATATCTCAATACAAGAGGCAGGTAAGCAGTTCCAGGAGGAGCGTTGAAAATGTGGTATGATTATATAATCATTAGTTAAACATGTATACACCTTTCGGATCAGTTGTTAATGCAATCGCGCCGTGCAAACCCCGGAAAATCGACTTCGAATGTGGGTGACGGGAATATGAGCGATGGTTCGTCAGCGTAGAATCGCTAGCCACCAAGAGCTGTTGATGTTGCAGATGCTGTAGCGAATGTGGAGGCCTGGGAAGTGGATGGAGAAGTGAAAGTAGAAGCGCGAACGGAAGTCGGTCGGCGCCAAGACTGTGGAAAATCCTCGGCTATTCCACAACGCACTCGCCATTTTCAAACACCAGCTTTGCATCATCGACGCCGCGCCCAATCGACGAGACGACCGAAACCCACCCAACGACACAACCGACAAAATGAGAGTCTACGAGGACAGTTTCTCCGGCCAGAAGATCTACCCCGGCAAGGTGCGAATCGCTGCCCATCCCCGACGACGATGAACAAGGAGACGGAGAAGAAGATGAACAAGAGCTTGGACAAGAACAAGAGGCTGATTGGGTTACGTGCAACAGGGCAAGCTCTACGTCCGTGGCGACAGCAAGATCTTCCGTTTCCAGAACGGCAAGTCCGAGTCGCTCTTCCTCCAGCGCAAGAACCCCCGCAAGATCTCCTGGACCGTCCTTTACCGCAGACAGCACAAGAAGGGTATCTCAGAGGTCAGTCGCCCACCCACTATCTATCCGGCCAGCAAGCCCGCGCATCTCTCGCCAGCGACGAAACACGAATCCAACGAGGAACATTTCGAGACCGACTACCGCCGCTGCTCGGATTGCGCAAACGTGCACAGAACAAGATAAGAACAGTGACTGATGGACTTTCGTTATACAGGAGGTCGCCAAGAAGCGCACTCGCCGCACTGTCAAGAACCAGCGTGCCATCGTTGGTGCTTCGCTCGATGTGATCAAGGAGCGCCGTTCGCAGCGCCCCGAGGCTCGTGCCGCCGCCCGCGCCGCCGCCATCAAGGAGGGCAAGGCCAAGAAGACCGAGACCGAGTCCGAGAAGAAGGCCAACAAGGCAAAGAACGCCGCCTCAGCCGCAAAGGGCCAGGCTGGCAAGATTGCCAGCAAGCAGGGTGCCAAGGGCCCCGCCGTCAAGGTCGCCGCCAAGTCCCGTTAAGGATGCTGGATTCTCACGGTTGATGTGGTTTGATTGTCGTTTAGGCGCAGGCTGAGGCACGGCATGGGAAAATGCATCTTCGTTACTTATACCGACTTTTTTTGCAATTCTCATGCCTTCGGGAAAATATCAAAAAGCCGCCCCCGCACATGTCTGGAGGCGCACCCACAATGCGTTCATGATAGGCCTCTGCAATGCATTTCGAAAATTAAATGACTCCATGTTTCTCTACAATCTACGGCCTTGTTCTTTCTAGCAGTCACTGCGTGGGTTAATGATAATCAAGGCAGTGTCGAGACTGCAGGCTAATGTCTCTAAACTCGATGCCTTGCGTACATTCACAATATCCAAGGCTTAGATCAGCTAGAGGCATTCCTCAGAAGCAGCTCGCCATTACTTCTCCCATACTGTCCGGCTATCCTACTACACTGGAGGTCACCATCACGGTGACCACGTAAAGGTAGGTATCGTGTCCTCCCCGTTAGCGAGACATTGTCAAACTTGTAGCTGCCTCCAGGCACGATAATTTCCCAACTAGCAGCAGTGTGATCGAAATACCTTGTGTCACCGACTTCGTGCGCTAGATCCCTCGCTACGAGATATAAGTGTGCCTGTCTACAGCTCGTTGTTGCTCTACTATGATGATTCAAGAGAGTGGATGTGACAATGTTCTACACATGGGAAGGGCGTTTACATGTGCAGTCCTTCATTGGTGTACGCCATTGCTTTATAGAGTCTCGGCACAGATCATTGGTCCTTGAATCTCCTCTCTCTTCGCCTTTCCGGCCAATTGCTCAACAATGGTAAGCGAGAACAGCAATGCGGTACCTGGACCTCGACTCGTAATGATCTTCCCATCAAGTACGACCCTCTCGCTGTCATCAGCATACGTCCAACCAGCATCTACAATTTCCTGCTTCACCGATGGGTGTGATGTGACCCTGCACTTCTTAGCAGCCTCGCCCTCGGCACGTGGCGACTTGACGCTCTCAATGAGGGCCGTGGTTCCAGCACATATCGCCGCAACCCATTTTCCTTCGTTGCGAAACTCGCGAACTAGACGTAAGACTTCCTCGCTTTCGCAGAAAGTCTTTGCTCCTGGTGCACCTCCAGGAAGGATCAGAATGTCTGCTGCATCGACTAGACGATCGGGAATCTCATGCGGCGAGGGAATGTCCGGGATAATTTTGATTCCGCGGGAGCATCTACGAACGCGTTAGACGTCTAGAATGAGAGAAAGTTGTGCGTAGGTTGGATGGCGAAAATAAAGGTGTTTCAGGGTCGAGGAGAGAGTCAAGCCATTCCCAATGTTTGAGACTGTGCTACGAGCCTCGGTTGACGTCTGTCTGGTTTCTCGACCGCCACACACTCAGTCTATCCTCAAGTCCATCACGCCGTAGCGTCCAAACGAGTGTCGAGTGGCACCACTTCGAGAGCACAGTATTCGGACCTTGGTGGCTAAATGCACGGATGCTCTATTGACCTTGATTCCTCAGACAGATCATGTCGCCTTTGGCTCGCAAAACACAGAGAGCGCGTCTCCAACGCGGGTGCCTCATTCGACCTGTCACCTCGACAGCTTGGCAAACATACGTTAGGCCGCTTGGTACTTTGCAGCTGTACCTCCATCACGGAATGCTGTGCGGCGTACAAGTGTGCAATCCGTATTGGACGACGGATCGACATAGTGATGGCGGAGATTCTACTTACTGGGCGTAAAGAGGATTCTTAAGGTTGACACCCACAGATTTGACTGTTGTGAATCCGGCTCTTACCAAGACACTTTGTTCAAGTCAGCCGAGGCATTCTTTGCAGCTCATATCGACTTCCAGTGACTCACTCGAGAGGGGTGACCGTCTCAACTTCCTCGGAGCCATCGGCGATGAGCACCAACGCTGAAAATTGCTTGCCTTGAGCCATTGTCAAGTTTTGAGGGAGTCCGGTTGTTGTCGTGTATGATGTGAAGTTGCTTCCTGGCGAGATGGCGTGGGCGTTGCCTCGAAGATCGAATGCCGACGGTTGACGTTGATCACTTACCTTTGCCAAGCCTTCCTTTGGGCATCACATCTAACCTGGTTCCAGGCTAAAGTCAACAAGTCCTTGTTATGAATGCACAAGCTCGAGTCTCGACGGCGTCGATATCTCTGCTTGGTATCTGAACCCTGTTGCTCTGCTCCTTCTACAGGTCTCCGAGGTTGCTTGCGGAGATATTCGGAGGTTGGGGAAACGTGCCAGTCTCTGTGAATATAGATGATTCGAGGTGGTAAAGTAATCTTCGCCCGGCTCACTCCTGAGCCACTCTTTTCGTTTTGGGAAACAGTTGTGCTCCCCCACAATTACGCATCACAGGCTTGAGCGTACGGGAGAGGGAGGGTGCCCAAGTAAGGTTTGATATCTCTGGAGAAAGTCATTGATTTTCATTCTTCACATCCACGTATTGTGCAGATCTACATCCTCATACGCTGTCGAAGGCGCAGTGCCTTGTTCGTGTTAGTAGCCGCTGTGGATGTACTCTTGCAGGCTGTAACGTGTGCATAATGTAAGACGAGATCAGAATATCCAGTCTGAGTGTTTGATCAATGTTACAGCAGACCTCAATAAGACATCGTCGGGTGATACAGGCTTGGATATCTGACTCTAAGGCTATCGACCACACCATGCTGCCTCTTTTGACACACTATGGGGTATGCGTGTGGTTCTTCACGTTATCGAAACTGTCGTCCCTCGGCTCTGGGGTCCCCACCAATTCTAAAACGCTCAGCCTGCCCTATGGTCTGTGCCAGATGCCGCCCCATTTTCAACTGTCCAACAAACAATATCTACCTGGTCATTCATCAGTCTCCCCTAGGGCCCTTTCGTGCGCCGTTAATGTGATGAACTCCGGATCAATACATTGTCGAGAAGGCCATGGCCATGAGACGCGCTCCAGAGTGCTCTGTACCGACATACTCTGACTTAACCATGAGCAATTTGGGCGCCTATGGTACCTGTTGTTCTGCAGGACATTTAGTGGCGTCGAGTCTACCAAGTCTTCTACTAAATAAGCTCCCACTATCGGACGATACATTGGGCTTGGTTTGCCCATGCCTCGGCTCCGGCCATGAACGCTATGAGCAACGGCGTCGCCCTGGCCATAATCGACAGCATTACTTTGGTAGGCCAATCAGAAAGTGCATCCCCGCATCTCCATTTGTGTTTTTCCTTGCCAGCTAGACTCAAAGGTCGATCCTTTGTGGTGCACGCGGAGGAGTTGAAGCTAGATTTTAGGTGATCTGGACTGGATATAAGAGAGCAGGTGCGTCTCTCAACTCGACCGACTCTCATCCTCAACCTACAACGTCAATACCTGGGTCACTTATTACCCTTCCAATATCAGTTTATAATCACCATGATCGGCCACACCGAGACCGCCAGGGTCTCTAGTGGATCTGAGTCTCTCGCTGGAGACAAGGAAGCCACACAACACGTCGAGAGAATCCAAACAAGAGACACTGAGCATGGCAACGCTGGCTATCTCGAAAAGGATGGCCTCCGTACCGATAACGACGACCAGGGTATGTAACCCTTATCCTTGCAGATATGACCGCCGCTGAATGTCTCCTAGATCATTACACAGAGCCCCCTATGTCGTTCAACCGTATGATGAGTCTTATTGCCATGGCTATGCTTTGGACTGGCTCTCAGATTCCCGTCTATCTGTTTGGAGGAGTGAGTCGATTCGTCGTTCTTACCACAAGTGCTTCGCTAATTTTCAGATTCCTCCTTACATCTACGCTGATATTGGCGGTGCTGATCGTTGGATTTGGCTTGTCCTGGCCAATCTCTTGTCTCTGGCTGCGGTCTGTCCCTTCGTTGGCTCCCTCAGTGATATCTTCGGTAGAAGATACGTCGCTATCATCGGCGCCGCTTTTGTTGTCCTGGGCATGATCATCTGTTCAACTGCCCACAGCATGAACGTCTTCATTGGAGGCATGGTCTTTGCAGGAATCGGCGCTGGCATCAACGAGCTCACCGCTCTCGCTGCTACAAGTGAGCTCGCTCCCACTGCGAAGAGAGGAAAGTACGTAGCGATCCTCATCTTCAGCATTCTACCCTTCTGCCCCAGTGTGCTTTGGGGACAACTAATCGCTGCCCACTCCTCGTGGCGATGGGTCGGTGCACTCTGTGCCATCTGGGCATTCCTTGGACGTAAGCTGTGTTTCGTTTTGATTTCGAGATCATCTGCTAATTGTCAACAGTTGTCTTGACCGCTTGCTTCTACTTCCCTCCCCCTAGAGTGAACTCCTCGGGTCTCTCGAAGATGGAGACTTTCAAGCAGGTCGACTTTGTTGGTGGCTTCCTCAGCGTTAGTGGCATGATTCTGTTCATGTGCGGCATGCGTAAGTACTCACCATCAAACATTTGCTTTACAGGCTAACAGATCAAAGAATGGGGCGGTTACCAATACAAGTGGGGAAGCGCACACGTTCTTGCCCCCTTGATCCTAGGAGCTGTCCTTCTCATTGCGTTCGTTTTCTGGGAGGCCTACGGTGCCAAGTACCCTATGTTCCCCAAGAGACTTCGCCAGGAGCCTCGCATTCTCTCGCTCACGCTCCTTATCACGTTCATCTCCGGCGCAAACTTCTTCAGTCTGCTGATGTTCTGGCCCACTCAGGCATTGTAAGTCATCCATCAAGACTTGACAAACCTGATACTAACGATTTGACAGCAACATGTACGGCCATGACCCCGTCGGAGTTGGTCTTCGTGGACTCCCCGTCGGCTTCTCCATCCTTGCTGGTGCCTGTATTGTTCTCTGGCTCCTTTCCGTGTTCCGTGGTCACAACAAGGCCTTGATGATTGTGTCGTCGGTCCTTATGACCGCGGGATGTGGTGCACTTTCCATCGCCCGCGTGGACAACCTAGGTCAACTCTGGGGTATCCTTGTGGTCGCAGGCCTCGGTATTGGCGGAATCGTTGTCCCTGCCTCCATCATCACCAGTAAGTCACGGAAATCAAATCGTGTTCCATGATAAAGCTAACGTCTCCAAGCCATCATCTGCCCTGACGACCTCATCGCTACCGTAGCAGCATTGACCCTGGCAATTCGTGTCATCGGTGGATCCATTGGATACTGCGTCTACTACAACGTCTTCATTAACAAGTTCATCCCAGCGGCCAAAATCTCGATCGGCGGCACTATGTTCTTCAAGCTGAACATTTCCAGCATTCCCGTCATCACCAGCGCCATCGAACTCACTGGCGCAAGTTTGTTGGAAGAACTGCACATGCTTCCCGGCATAAAGGGTGTTCCTGGTGCATACGAGTTGGTTGTGGCCGCAGGACAGACGGCATACGCGGAAGCATACAAGTATGTGTACTACGTGTCGATCGCCTTTGGAGCCATCTCGATCATCGCTGCTTGCTTCCTGGGCGATATCAACAAGTACATGGACGACCATGTGGCCGTGGTCATGCACTGATGTGATTCTTAATCACTGCGGTTAGCTAGCTTACAAGGGATCGTTCTCAAATAATGACAATTCTGTCATCGCGATGCTCTGCATTAGAGAGTCGTGTGTGTGTCTAAATTGATCATGACCTTGACAGTACAAGTGAAGGCTTCCGAGTGCTTTTGTGAAAGTGTATGTAATTAGTGAAGGGTTGAGTTGTCGGTGGTTGAATGCTCTGACAGCTTCGGCCACGCGAAAAGCAGTTGAATGACGAACTGGACAAGCAGCACCTTCCTTTTTCACTAGCAAACAAAGTCGAGCGACGCCGGGGCTGCCAAAGGTAAAGTCGAATTACCTGTTTGATTCCCTTCTTCTCTCACAGTCCTGGACTATCCCTCGCTCAGCATTCATTCATACCCTGGTCTGTGTTGTCGCAGTACCTCGCCTAGCAGCATTTAACCGCATTTCGTCATCACAAGCGCGTCAAGATGGAACCAGTCGTCAGCGCAACCATCCAGGCAGCTGTTCTGAGCGCCATCTCAAACATCCTTGCTCAGTTCATCACCTGCTACCGCGGAGGCGTAAGTTCGTCGCAATTGATACCGAACTGCGCTGACGTTGACTTGCAGCATGGCTACAGCCTTGACACCGGCACGCTGGCCATCTTCGTAACCTTCGCCCTCATCTCATGCCCACCCAACTACCTCTGGCAGTCATGGATGGAGACCACCTTCCCCGGATACATCGCTCCTGGCGAGTCTGGTACCGCAGTAAGCATTGCTCAACACCCTCAGGTCAAGGCTGCTGTCGACGCCGCCGGCCCAACCCTGCAGCGCATTGAAGACACTGCCAGCCCTGTTCTGCAAAAAGCTTCGGCAGCCACCACTGCTCTCGCAGACAGCGATGCTGTCAAGATCGCAAGACGCCGTGCCAGCGAGGGTGTTGACAAGGTCAAGGCAAAGGCAAAGGAGCTCGAGGCTCGCGCCGGCATCAACCAGTCTCCTGTGGCTGCCAGCCCTGCTCGCTCTCAGACTTTCAGCACCGCCGAGGGCAAGCTTGTCGAAAAGAAGGTCGATGGTGCCTTTGCTCAGCCTACCGCCACTTCGGAGCCCAAGGCATTGAGCATCAAGAACACCGCCATCAAATTCGCTTTGGACCAGACCCTCGGTGCCGTCTTCAACAATGCCTTGTTCATCGTCGGCATCGCTCTCCTGAAGGGTCAGTCTGTCGACACCGCTTTCGCCGCGCTGCAGAACGTATGTCTCGCTCGTTTCCTCGATACCTTGACATGACCATGCTGACCCACGAACACAGGACTTATTCCCGCTCCTGTTTGCCGGCCAGAAGCTCTGGCCTCTCGTCTCGATCATCAGCTTCACTCTCGTTCCTTTCGAGTACCGCACCGCCTTTGGTGGCATCATCGGTATTGCCTGGGGTGTCTATCTGAACCTGATCACCAATGGCAAGTAGTCAGTTCAGCATTCGAGCCAGCCGCTCGTCCATATGACTTTGCCCATGCATACGATTGATACGATACGATATGATACCTACGAGACCACGGAATAAAAAGAACCCTTCCACCACCTACCTCCCTGAATCGTATAAGCTATGGTACCATGTTCTTCGTGATTCGTCTACCGTCACGATGCTGCAGATGCAACTATCGAAATGGATAGTGCAACATTGATGCTACAACTCTTGGTGTGCTGGCAAGATCACGATCTTCTGCGTGTTCGTCACAAACGCAGCCAGAGTTTCGTCCTACCATGTGCTAAATATTTTCACTTTGTGCTTCTCCTTGACGGGTGAGGAACTACAAGCTGCAGTAAGATACGGGTTTTTTCTAGATCGGCAGTCAGTGCCTTTTTGAAGAACTCATGGAATGGTCGCTATGTGTCTTGCTGCAGCTACGCTTGATGAACTAGAGCACCTGAGAGAGACACTACTCTCCTACAAGATTTCTTCAGATACGTCTTCTCTTGCCGGCTCGCTCTTCCTGTGTCTCTTGCGGTCCAGCACCCCTCCATTTAGGAGCTATACCGTCAGCTCCGATTGGTTCCGAACCACTGGCCAAGACGCTGTCGTTCGAGTCTGAGCTTGACGACCCTTTTTCCTCGACAGGCTGAGGGATGGCAGGAGTTAAGGAGAATTCGAAGAAACTCTTTTTGTTTGTCTTTTCCTCGGCCACCTTCTTGCCGCTATCCTTGCCTTCGTTCTCACTATTTTCCTGGCCGCCAACGCTCTTTGCGATCTTCTGTTCAAGTCTCTTTGCGTTGCGCTCTGTTTTTTCGGCAGAGAAAAAGCTCTTGCCCCACCAAGATGTCGACTCCTTCTTGTTGACGTCTTCCTTCTCTGCACCCTTCTTGATCTTGTCATCCTTCTTATCGTGCTCTTCATCTTCTTCGTCGCTTGCTTCCGAGAAGTTCCACATTGGCTTGAGCTCTCCTCTGAACAGTGCAGTCAACCACAAGCTGCCCAAAACACCCGGAACCAGGTAAAGAAGAGCAGGTTGGGCGTGCTTGTAGACTTGCATTATACCCAGTGTGACGCACATCCCGAGGACGTAGCCGAAAATTGAGGCGTAAAAGTATGGTTTCGAGAACGTAGGGATTGGGTTGCGCAGTGGGTTCTTGGTAGAGTCGTACCTAGGGAGTAGAGAGCGTCCGATCCAGGAAGTGGTCCAGAATTTGTTGCCCCAGTGTCCAGTGACAGAGCGGTAAGACTCCTTTTGGTCATCGTCTTCTATTTTACTCTTGCTGACCTTGTCCTTGTCGTCGGTATTAGAGGAAGTGGGCTTCAAGTTCTTCTTTTGTCTTTTCAGGTAAAACATGTAGAGATCGAATCTCAAAGCGAGTCCAACCATCATACCAGGAATTACAACATCTCCCAGACCGAGCATAGCCAACTTTCTATCAGCGGCATCTTGTCCCTGCTCAAGCGGTCTCGGGAAGAGCAGCTTGATAGGGACGTCGAGCTTGGTGGCGACAGTGACCATCAGAGGGGTGTAAAACACAAAGTAGATGTCGTAGAAGAACAAGGCGCTCAGTATCAGAGATCCAGTTCCAAAGGTGGTGGGAGACATAAGCTGGAGCGCACTGTACGAAAAGGCGAAACCTTGCAGATTCGTGAGCCACCATGCATCGGACACAAAGTTGGAGTAAAAGACGGTTGCGAGAGCGAGACCAGTTGAGAGGATCGTGCGCAGAGTCAGCGTGAGCTTGAACGAGATCAAACTAGACAGATGCAGCTTCAAGCGGTACTTGCGTCTAAGAAGACCGCGAAGTGTCCAAAATACTCCAAGAACGCTCTGAGGAAGGATGATGCGACCCAAAACTCCTGGTAGAGGCGACGGTCTTGTGCAGATGGCCGAGTGGATTGCCTTTCTGTCAGGCTGACTAATCTTCCACAAAACGCCTCCCTCAGTGTAGTAGTGTGGGAAGCAGAACGACTCCATCACACCCAAACCATCGTTGATGATTTTGGCGACACTGAATATGGCCATTGCGGAAAAGTACCAGCGCAGGACTTTGTTCAGCAGAGAAGCTCCCATGTACTTGATTAGCATGTAAAGCCCACCCAGGGTGCATCCAGCGAGAAGAGGGAAAATGATAGCATCACTTGGACTCAGTCCCTCCATCTTTTGAATGCTGTCTTCGTCGTCGTCTTCATCATCTTGCTCGTCAACTCCGCGCTGGCCACTCGATTTCTTGTCGGGCTTGGCTGCTGATGAAGGTCGTGAAAGTGAGGAGAAGGCACCAGTGATGATTGGAAACAGTGCTGAAAGAACTAGATGAGTGTAAAGGGGAAGTAGTGGTTGCACTTGGTCGAAAGCGTAGGCCAACATGCCCAGAAGTTCGCTGACAGGGCCAGGACCTTTGTCGCCGCCCATGGTGGCCATGATGATGTTGCTGACAATAGGTAAGAAACGATTCTCAGCGCGGCAGAATCCAGACCTTGTTGACCCAACGATGATGTGATGCCAGAGAATATCAAAGACTGAAGGGATAATATCAATGTGGCATGCTGGTGTCACACGTCGCCTTTTGTCCCGGGCTGTTTGCGCACCAAAACACTTCACGCCAAGACTTGTGATTCAGCACACGATTTGGAAACTGCTATGTAAATGACAGACAGAACAGTGAACTCGATCATATTCAAAACCCTGTCAACAGGCCAGAGCGGAGCTTCGTTTGAAAGAACGACAGCCGGGAATCTTAACTAACTTGAAACAAATCTATGCAAAAATCCAAATCATAAAAGACCATAGTCAAACAGTACGCCATGCAAAAGAGACAGTAATCAAGACAACCGAAGCGGAACGCCCTCGCTCCTAGCCTGCCTTTTGTACACAACTTCCAATCCACGCTTCTCATCACATCGCATATCCAATGTCTTTTCGGTCTACCGCAGCAGGTGTGCCGGCAGGTGTATGACTACTTTCTACGCGCGACAAATATGCTGCACTGGTGAAATCTCGTGAGCTCTCAAAAGACGGTCGAGTTCTCTCAAAGTCCATGCTAGCCCTCAGACGATCGAATGAAGGTCTCGGTCGATCACCATAGCTTGGTCGTGGTGCGGGTGACTCAAATCCTCCAGCGATGACTGGAGGTCGATAGAAGTCAATCGGACTATGGCCAAAGTCTTCAGAAGGACGCGATGTCACTTGACCGACCGCAGGGAACGTTCGATCAATAGAAGATCGGTGTCCAGTATAGTCGGTGCCGTCACTACCGTTGTGGGACCTAGCATTACGGGTCGTTGCCGTCGCTGCTATTGAAGGGGGGTAGATAGGTCGCTCGTCTTCGGTGGGAACCCTGTTATGAGACAATTTGTGAGCAAGTCGTTGCGCCCCAGAAGGCTTGCTTATCTCCGAACTTGAAGTAGAATCCGACACCTTTTCAGGAGGAGGCGGTGTGACACCGTTCGAGCTTTCTGGATCCACATTCTTGAGGTAGTCAAATTTGCCTTGTCTGATCTGTTCACGGATGACGTCGATATCGCGAGGCATAAAGATCTTCTGGAATGATTTCGCAGCAAAGCGAGGAAGGAGAGCGACAATGATGACCATCATCGTCAAGGCCCAGAAGCTCAAAGATCCATATGCTTCAGCGCCCGCCTTGTAGAAGGTGAAACCGACAGTGAATGAGGAATAGATGCCAGTCCAGGCCCAGATGAGCAAGATAGAGATCGTTGTTATGAGGGTGAAGAACCAATCCCAACGGTAGGTGTTCATCAGGATGTAAAGGTTAGCCACCACGACGGTGGCATTCGCGATGTAAACACCGATGCGTTGATAGTCGTTGACGTTCTGGCCCGATTCGGTATTAAAGTTGGCTGGTCGGAACAGAAGGTAGGGGAGGAAAAAGCAAACGAGCGACTGGTAAAGACCGTCAATCATATATGTCCTAAACCTGGAATTAGCTCGGGTCTTTTGTTATGTTTGGGGCTAGTAGAGCGCACCAGAACTTGACCTGTGTCCATTCCTTCCTTTCAATGCCGCGTCTGTAAAGCTGAGGCACCGCTAGAGACACTTTGTCGTCGACATCTTGATCCAGGATACCCATCAAGATGACCGGCAAGGAAGTAAACGCCAGGTTGTAAAGTAGAATATAGGAGTAATCAAAGATGTATGAACAATCGAAGTTAGCAAAAATCTGGTACCAGAAAAGAGCAAAGGTCCAGATAATGTTCTAGAACCTGTCAGCTGTGAATCACATTGATCAATTATGAATGGCAACATACCTTGTAGAAGAAGTTCGCAATCGTTTCGGCAAGTCGACGGTATGACCAACGTCCGTGAACCAACACGAGTCTTGTAAGGAATCTGAATTGGCCAATCGCGTAGTCAGAGGACATGACTGCTTGTCTGCCTTCCTCACCAGCAATACCAACACCAACGTGGGCTTTTTGGATCATGGCAACATCGTTGGCACCATCACCAATGGACAAGGTCATAACGTCAAGACCATTCTTGACCATACCAACAACCGCGGCCTTTTGACTAGGGCTGACACGACAACACAGAACTGATTTGCACTCTTTGCACAAAAGCAGGAACTTCTGTCTTAGCTTGTCGTCAAGCATAAGCTTCAAGGTCTCGCCGTCAACGACTACAGCATGAGTGGGTGCTGGTGGTTCGTGGTTTTTCTTTGCGGCCTTGAGTTCCTCATCTGATCCAGTCTTGCCAAACATAGCCAGGTTCTTATCAAGCTCTGCCTCTGCACTAGCCAGACTTTCGTCTTGAATGTTCAACACGATCAGGTCCATGTCGTTGCCCAGCAGATTACACGAGAAGCCGATGTTGATAGCTGTCTCGACCTTGTCTCCCGTCAGAACCCAAAGCTTGATACCTGCTTGGGCAAGAAGCGAAATTGCATCAGGTACACCATCTTGGAGTCTGTCTTCAATGGCAGTTCCTCCAAGGAGTGTAAGATCGCGCTCGATGGCGTCTGAGACTTCTTCGAGCTTTTCCTCGCGATTCTGGATAGCTGCTGCAGCTATGTCGTGCTGCTTGTTCCATGTCTGATACTCGGCTTCGTCGAGTTCTCGCTGAGCAATACAAAGAGTACGCAGACCCTCGCGTGCAAACATTTCAAGATGATCAGCGGTTGTTTTCCTCAAGTCCTGCTGTTCACCCTTCCTCAATCGCGAGTATATGATACTGTCTGCACCCTTACAGAACAAGACGATTTTTCCATTAGGCATACGTACAATTGCACTCATGCGTTTTCTGGATGAGTTGAACTCCAAGATATTGAGTACAGTATATTCGCGTTCTTCACCGAGAACATTGAGAATGATGCCATCGTTCGAGCGACCAAGTACCGTGAAGCCACAATCTCTGGCTGTTGCAACGAGTGCAGCCTCATCGGGCGATTGGGCTTTGAACTCCAGTTTTGGCGGATCACCGGGTGTGCGTTCAGTGATCACTGTGTGACAAAGCGCTAGCACGAGCATGAAATACTCATTAGCAGCTTTCTGCTGAGGTCCAGACGCTCCAGTCAGGTCGGCGATGTAATCGGGCGCAACAAAGGTCACGTTTTCGTCGAGAAGATAAGGATTATCGTGAATCTTGCGTAGGTCCTCGAGCATCTTGACTTTGCCGCGAGCTATTTGCTCGCGAGCTTTGGCTCCTTCAACCTCGGTATCGATTCCTTGTCGTTTCTGCATTCCAGCCAGAGCTTCTGTGTATGCTTCTCCATAGGGGACGCCATTGATCGTAACCTTCTTGAACTCCATGACGTTTTGAGTCAATGTGCCAGTCTTGTCAGAGAAAATGTACTCGATCTGACCGAGATCGTCGGAGATGTTCCATGACTTAGGCGTGCATGGGTAGTCGACTGGGGCATAATACATGAATGTATCGCTGTAAATGAAGAAAGCCTGCGCAGTACGAACGATTTCGAGCGAGATGTACAGGGAGATGGGAACCAAGTTTTGGAAGAGAATGATGGCAGCCCAGAAAGTGATGAAACCATTGAGACCAGGCGTACCGCCATAGGAGCCGAATTCGAAGAAGTCGAGCGATTCATTACCCTTGCCCCAGGTGGTGCCTTGGACCAAGGCCGAAATCAAACACATGAAGAACAGGATGATGAAGTTGTAAATGACGTTCCAGTTCAAGTCCTTGGAGATCTGGGCGCGTTTTGTAGGGGTAATACCAGAGTTGAGCATGATCTTGGTTTCTTCTCCGGTGAAGACAACAATACCTAGAACCCACTCTGTGTTTCGAATTGAGCAGCCTCTAAGCAACATGTTGTTGATGGAGACGGGCTCGGCCATGTCGGCGGCTTCAACCTCGGAGTTCTTGCTCCCATGTTGCCTCCATCGAACAGCGCCGCTGTAGGAGTAAAGATTGGCGTGAGGCGGCTCGCTCTCCAAGACAAACTCGGCCCTTTCGCAGTCGCGTGCCCGCTTTACCTTCTGACTACAATGCAGAGCCTGGCGTACCTTGAGGTTGGTCTCTCCATCCAGGTTCTTTGTTTCAACATAGCAGGCGCCATCGGGATCGGAGGTCGACAACACGACAATGTCGGCAGGGATAGACTCTTCGTTATAGAGCCTAACAAAATCTCCAACCTGGACATTCTTCCAGCAATCTTTCTTGAAACGCGCTTTTCCAGCAGGCTTGCTTGGGTTGATGACGTTGCCGTAGAAGCGTTTCGGAATGGGGGCATTCGTCTCGGTGGGATCTTTTGCAACTTCGACAACTTGACGCGCATCACCAGGCCTGCTAGCATCATTTTCGAGGGACGTTCTGACGTGGTCGCCCAAGTCCATCTCTTTATTTCCTTCCATGTTTGGGGCGGGCATTGGCGAATGCACGGGTGTCATCTCCATGGCACCAGGCTCTTCTGTGACCATGGACATTGCGGACATGCGCTGAGAGTACATGGATGGTCTTCGAGCATCTGCGGAAGGCCGGCCTTCGTCCAGGGCTCTGTCCGTTTGAGACTTTCGTTTTTCATCCTTGGGCTCTTTGCGGTTCTTCCAGAGACGCCAAACGTAGGTAATGGCTCGAGTATTTGCTTTCTTGAACTTTCGCCACAGGGAAATTTGGTCCTCGGCAGTGTTAACGTTCTCCCAATCGACAAGACGATGGGCAGGTGCGTTGTTGAGCTCGTTGTCTAGTACAGTTCTTCTCCAGTCTTCAATTCCATCCTTGACGGCTGTGATGAAGACGATTACGATCAGCGGTACAGCACTCAGACCAGGATTGGTAGCGCCAAAGATGGGGAAGATCTAGCACGACCTAGTCAGTATATATGCCGTAGCAGGAGAAGCAAACATGGGGCTAGATTCCATACCGAGAGAATAATGATGAACAAGAAATAGATGTTGGCAATGTTGTGAAACTGGAACCACAGATTCTTGGGGATGAAACTAATGGGAGTGTACTTTGCGGTGCGGATCTTGTTGCGTACGAACTGCGTGTTCGGGTGGCCTTCTTCGTCGCGCGCGTCCGCGGGCAGCGGTGTGTTGAAGAAGACACGACGGCCAGGGCCAGCTTGATCGGCAGAAGCCTCGGATTCCTCGGGCACAGATTCGAGATCGGTCCCATTTGATTCTCTCTTGGTCGAATCGTCACTCGTGCGCTTCTTATGCGAGAGGCGTCTCAATATGGATTGTCGTTTTGTGCCCCCTTGCGCGCCGGTGACCCTCTGGGTAGCCCAGCGCAATCGTTTCGCAGGGGCGGTGTCGTGGGGTCCGGAGGAAGCCTCATTGTCTTCCTGGTACGGCTGGATGGCCATGGTGGGGGATAGGATGGCGAGGCGAAGTAGTTGATTATTGTCCGGTGTTGACCATGAAAGGTAAGCGTCGAGGCGTCCAGCTGAGCCTCAAGAGCCACGGTCAGGCTCACTGTGTAGAGCCTGCAAGCATACGCTATCAGAGCGAGCGAGCGAGCGTAAGAGGTGACGAGGGTCGAATGTCGTCTGGCCAGGTGGTGTCGGGCTGGGAAGATGATGCCAATGTGTGATGGGGAAAGAAAGGAAGGCGGCGGATGCGTGCAACGCGGCTGAACGTCTCGAAACGCGAGACGAGTCCAAAGAAATGTAATGACGACTTTCCCTTCGTGACTATCTGAACACTGAACAGCGCTCCACTCGACGGTTCTCGTTGGAAGAGCCTTCGTTTTTTCCTGACGACAGCGGAACGACGCTTTGTGCTTTGTCAGAAGTCTGCTCTCCCACCTCCTAGCTAGTTATTATTGTGTCGTATGCTGAGTAGGGGCTGCTGCTTGGCCGATTGCTCCTTCCTCCTCCCACCTCCTTCCTAACGGGCACGGGTACCGGATCCTCCGAAGCCGTGCGGCGGTCCTTTAACGCCGATGCTTACGAGAAACCGGCCTAAAGACTTTACCAATCGTTGCAAACTGCTTGCTTACAGCCACTTTTCGACCTGATGATTCTTCTTGATCTATAATGGTACGCCATGACGGATGCCCAAGACTGTCCGATGCAACCGCACCGCGCTGGTCTCATCCCTCGCAATAATTAGAGATTCACAAAACGCGACACTCGCTTGGCATGTTTTAAACCTGTGGCTTGGGGCAGCAAACCTCTCGTACTGAACACGAATCTCGCGCGTTGATCCCGGTGCTCGTTTTGAGATGGCTGGATATGCCGGTAAAGGACCCACATTCTTCGTAGCAAAAGACGTTCAAACATAACTTGGCTTGATGCTTCACGATTTTCAAGACCACATCATCGTTTGCACAACCAATCTTGAGAACTTCCAACAGAGCCGTCGTTCAGCGGAAGAAGTAGAAGGTGTCGCATTTATTCATTAATCTGATATTCGCCGGCACGAGGTTAATCATTTGATTCTTAGCGTCCTTGCAATTTGCTCACCCTCCTTTACACCAAAGGACGTGGAGAAGCCGATCTCCATCCGCGCTCCGGATGTGCATACACAATAACGCACCATGCCTGCGTTAGTACTGAATGCAAGCCTTGAGTGTGACAAACCGGCGAGACGAGCCACGTTCAACTTCTCGGACGGCTCTGATCTCTTCCATCGCTCGACAGTGCGGTCTAACGACTTCTGAACAAGTTTCGCATTAACCGAAGTTGTGTCAGATCCGAATAAGTCGGCTTTGACGAGAGCCTCGTGCATCGTCACACACACAAACCGAGATATACAGCAGTTGCATTTTCATCTGAGACATCGTAAATTCCTTCTGCTACTATCTGGCTGGTTGTTGGATGATGATAAAATGTTAGTAGCAAGTCTTGCTTTCGTACTTGTACGTCAGGAGCATAGTGTTCAGCTCCTCATGCACAGACTGCCCTTCTAAGAACTTTCCGCGAGACCGCTCGATCTCATCGTCCTCCTAGAGAGATAGTGATGTAGCAGATCTGCTGTGACCTTCTTCAAGACTCGTGGAACCCTCAGATTGGACCTCCCTTTCGAAGTCAGAGGATCTTCCGAAAGTCCTTGGTCTCTTTGCAGTGCGCTCCAGCACTTCTGCAGGTCTCTTTCTGTCGTTGTCTTCGTCTCCATCATTGCCGCCAGTGTCGTGGCTCCCTTCCTCTCCGGGCTGGTCGGTCTCTGGGGCGTGATCGGTCTTGCGCTTCTTGGTCTTCTTCCAGATGTTGCAATCGCATATCAATTTACATTTTTGCTGAATCTCCCAGCCGAGAGAGCTTAGAGTAAACGAAGGCACAGAGGCGCGATCGTAATCTGCGTCGGCCCTTGCCATGTGTTGCTGTGCCTGAGGGTCTTGCGTGTAAGTGCTGAATAAGGCCAGAGCATTTAGTGGCTGGCCGCCGACCACAAACTGAACATCTGTCGCGAGATGGTACAACGAATGTAGTTCGGGCAAGTTCGAGGGTATGGTCTCAAAGCCATCATGCAAGCCTTCGTCTAACTCATTGCCTGTGTATTAGGTCAGCATAGAGCTCTTGGATCAGATCAGTCCGGCGACTTACGCGTATAGCCGAGTTCGCGAATTCTGTTCCGCAGAAGTTCGTCTCCCGCCACTCTTTTACGGAGAGTGAGATATTGTAGAAGCATCCACAAATGCGGTCGTTTCTTTTCTTCTTTTGTCACAACCTCCGAGCGCATATGCGCCCATGCCAGCTTCTCTGCGATCGCCAGCTCAGCATCAGTGACCTTGACATGGTCTTTCCCCTCGTAGTTCTCAATTCGGAATGCGCGAAGGGTCGTGTACAGACCAGACGGTCTTTCGATGCATTGAATCTTGAGGGCTGGAACGAGATCAAGCAATCCTAAGGACACGAGGGTTTCCAAAGAGACGGGCTGGAGTTCATCATCTTCCGGATAACCGAAGAGACCATGAGTGATGTACTCATGGGTGAATTTACGGTAGTGGAGGCTAGAGATCGCTAGCTGACCAGACCAGTCGTGGGTGAAGAGACGAATCGTATCGCAGTATCTTGGAGCATGGTGGAATATAACTGGACCAGGATCATTCGCATTCTCAGGCTGCACTTTGTACCAGCCTAATTTACGGAATGCTCGGGTTCTGTTGATAGCCGACAAGTACCCGTCTTTCTGGCCTTCGAGATGTCGTAGTAGGAGATGGACGATCCCAAAAAGGAAAGAGGACGTATGCGAAAGGAACTCGTCCTGGATCCGATCATCCCAGCGCAAGTGACCGCCGACCATGGGTCGGGCCACCTCCAGAGGGATGCTGTAGATTGATTTGTGCATCTGTCTCACATCGATATCATCAAGCCTGTGCTTACGGTCTGGAATGAAACTCGCGCTAGGCATATACAGAGAGGGAGTCGTCAGGCCGTTTGTGCATCCTGAGCCGACCAGTGTGTAGGCTCTGCATACGAACATAGGTGTTCGCTTGCTCATCTCTTTCCGTCGTAGTTAGCGAGGGATAAGTGAAGATCATCCCATACATACCTTCCAGGTAAGCGACGTCGTTGGCGCTCATTGTTCCTCGCCCACTGATGCTTTGAGCGTACTCCGTAATTTCACCGCGAATTGGTCTAAGTGGTCTTTCAATGTAGCTGCGATCGAATGGAGTGAGATCTGCGGATGGACCACTTTGTTCGAGCTTCGACCCGATCTGTCGAGCCAGCAGGTTACCTCTCTTAGCGAACTCAGCAATGATCTTCGCATGTTTAGACTTTCCTCGATGCTGTCTGCTGTTATCGATATCCGTAGGTCCAAGATTGAGTCTCCGGAGCCAGTCTTGGGTTGCTTCGAATTGACGCATGATGGTATGCACTATGTTGTTGCAGAAGAATCGAGAAGGGGTGGAAGAAAAGAAAATGTTAGTTGTGGTGACTGTGGAAGGAAGAAGAAGAGAAGGTATGGAAGGTGGTGTAGTGGAGATAATAGATTGTGAATGTGAAGGTAGTGGAATGATAGAAGGCGCCCGTAGTGAGTGGCAAGCAGTGGATCTCGGTAGTGTGGTGAGCACTGAAGTGATATAGTCGAGTATCAGAAGTGATTGAAGTGAGGGCCACTGTCGAGGGTTTCCGGATGCAGTCACGCTGTATAAGGGACCAGTACGGCAGACAGGTCTAGAATCGTCCGCTCTACCTCAAGTTCGGAAGAAAAACAAGCCAGTGGTACTGAAGTAGAGCAGTCTTCAGTAGAAGGAAAGATGCTGGCCAAAGTGAGGTTGTCAGTATATCACTGAGGAGGGTAGTGTGTCGGTGAAAGGAGCAACAACTTCAAACTTCTTCGGAGCGAACTGCCACATGCATTCAGGGCCGTGCGATAGCCTGGAAGGAGTATTTGTCGAGTGATGTCTTGGGGAACGGCGACGCCAGCTTCACAGCACAGCGAAGTCGTTTTGGGAGGTTGGTTTTGACCGAGATGCACGGCGCTTTTCTCAGATGTCAGACTTTGGCACTACTTAACAGTAATCGTGCACAGTGTAATACAAGATCAGTGGGGACAATTGGAGAGAGCGGTTGCTCAGACACGATCTTAAAGAGCAAGATCGGGAGCCCAAAGATCTCGTACTTTACAGTAGCCTCGTGTGCACGAAAGACGCTACAGCGGTAGTAGACTGGGAAGGAGCACGAGTAGTTTTGTAGAAGCATTGACTAAAAGGATTCGGCAGGAGTGTGAGAATGAGGAAGAGATAAAAAGAGAAGCAGTCATATTACTACACGTATAGAGGCCCTTGGCTTGTGCAGAGGCTGGAAAACAATCGTAAAGTCAAGAAACAGATCAGCAGATGCTCCCTTGTGCGCCAGTTCGTTAAAGTGCAGTCGAGGCATGTCGTGGTATCGGAGAGGATTCGAACAGACGGGGGAATCGTGGCAAAGTGGTATAATACGCGTGCCTCGTCGACAGAGGCTTCGCAAACTTCCGGGGTCATTTCGTCAAAACACGTCGAGCCGGGTCGCTCTAGTGATGTTTTGTTGCGACGACTGCATGCTGTTAGCTGGAGGAGTCACCCGAGGCTGCGAGAAGGGCGATGGAAACGTACCACTGGGGACGATGATGATGACCAGCAAGATGATGATACCGGCGATGAGACACATTCTCATCTTCATGTCCTTCCACCACATCTGCTTTCTGACTCTGTTGGCTCCACGTCTGAAGCCTTGGGCAGAAACGGCCAAGTTGTCGGTCTTGTCTTGCAGACTGTCGAGACGCTCGCCACGCTCAGAGACCTTGTTGATGTTGTTGCGCATGACATTGACGGTCGAATCGATTTCCTGCATATTTCGGTCAGTCGCCCTGTGCACAAGTCGGCCGATAATTCAGAAAAGACGTACAGCTTGCAGAGCAGCAGTGCGCTGGTTGCCATCTCTGCTGGCACCGCCGGTCTGGCCAGAGGGGATGTAGGGGTCGTAAGGTGCCTCGGACATTGTGGCGATGTGGTTGTTTATTGAGCGGTTGCTTAGAGTCTTGTTGGCAAGGTGTTTGAAGACGGAGCGAAAGCGCAGGGAAGCGATACAAGGGCGTTATGGAGCGAGGTTGTTGGTGGTGTGAGGTTGGGTAGTGGAGTTGGTGACAAGACAGTCGTTGGCGGAGGTTGACAGAAGCTCAAAGCGGGATTTGGCCGGGGCGGAGCACCAAATCTCGCTGCCTACCAAAAATACTCGTCACAGCACCAACCACCTGGAATCTTGTCTTGCCTGCACTCCCAGCTCTGTACTGTTCGCTCTCACCTTTACTCCATGCTAGCTGACTTTCATCTTCGTCGTCAGCTGCTCTTGTGGCATGGCTGTGTCTAACATCGTCTGCTGTTGATGTTCTTTGTCAATTCACGGCCTTTGTTCCATGTCAGGCCCCCAATCCTCCTTGTAACTATGCTTTCATGTCAACAGTGTGTGTCCGAGGGCCCTGAAGCAACAAGACTTTCTCCGGCTCGAGCGGTCGCTCTCCATGCTCTTCCGCAAATATCACAAAAGTCAATGCATAAGCCGCTGACGCTGACGGCAAATAACGACAACATTCCGCTAGACTACCCGTCGTTGATTGATCGATTGCTTCAGCTGAACACTTGAGAATCAAGAATCCACTCTGCAGTCATTTCAACGAGTTCCAGAAGTGATGCTCAGGGGAAGATGCACTGCCTCTTTGCATCGCGGATTGCGTCGCGCATTGGCAACAGTAAATCACGAAAAACTTCTTGTGTGAGGCGCTTGGCCTCTGCCAGATTTCTTCTTGTCAGCCTCGGCGCCACCTGCAACCCGGTCGTATCGGGCCTTGGGTCTATACGCGGTTGGGTTCTTGTACTTCTCAGGAACCCTACCAAATGTGGTGAACCGATGCGTGTGGTATTGACATCCGAGGACCACATATACACGTCCTCTCGTCCTTTGACATGTTCTAGAATGGCGGAGAGCATGCTCGTGCTCAGCGACAATCTAGAGAAATGACGGACATCGTGGTTGATCGGAGTGTGGAGGAACGCGGGGATTTCACTGCTGATTGGCGCCCAGAAACTGGCCTTTGGCATCTCCATCCGAGCGGCGAGCGCGTGATTTCTAGACTATTAGATCCTGCATTGTTTCCCTTTCGGACGCTCTTCGCCCTCATTCCCACCACTACAAGCACTCTCGCTAACCACACCTTTACTTGCTTTGGTGGAATTAATCCATCGTCTGCCTTCTCTTTTGCGCACCCGAAGCATCCGCCATACTGTGACGCGCTTTCCAGTGTTTGCCGCTCTCACCATCCCTGTCTTCGATCGACGTCACCATCGAAATCCTCAACCCGATCGCAAGCTTGGTTAAACGTTATTGGATGCCCCGGACACCTTTGTAGTGATCACTCTCGCCATACCGCCCCAACATCCATCTCCATCATTGCGTCCTCGTGCCCTGGTCTTCTATAATATTCCAGCACTCATCGTCAACAACAGCCGCCCACCAACGGCGCGTGCCTCGTGTAACTCACCTAGTCACCGTACATTACTCCAATCGAAATGCGTATTACATCAACATTGTCCGGCCTGTCTTGCGCCGCTCTCGCCATACTACCATGTGCCGCCCTCACCGTCGACCTGACTAGCGAGGGTAAGTGCCTCTTGCCGTGTTGAAGACAAAGAGACTAACAAGGACAGAATCCATCAAGACGGCCGCCTCAACGGTCGCTCACGGCATGATGCGATACTACAATGGAAACCAGACTGGCGCTATCCCTGGATTGCTTCCTGGACCATACTACTGGTGGGAAGCCGGCGCCATGTTCGGTTCTCTCATCGACTATTGGTACTACACAGGCGACACGAGTTACAACGATGTCACCACGCAGGCCATGCTCTTCCAAGTCGGTGACAAGAACAACTACATGCCCAACAACCAAAGTAAATCTCTCGGAAATGACGATCAAGCCTTCTGGGGTATGGCTGCCATGTCTGCTGCCGAGCTCAAGTTCCCCAATCCCCCCTCCGACAGGCCTCAGTGGCTCGCACTGGCCCAAGCTGTCTTCAACAGTCAAGCCCTGCGTTGGGATAACTCGACATGCGGCGGAGGTCTGAGATGGCAAATCTTCGCCTTCAACCAAGGCTACGACTACAAGAACACCATCTCCAACGGCGCTTTCTTCAACATTGCAGCACGTCTTGCTGCTTATACTGGCAATCAAACATATGCAGAGTGGGCCGAGAAATCTTTCCAGTGGACTCATGACATTGGATTGATGAGCGACGACTACTATTTCTACGACGGTAGTGACGACAAAATTAATTGCACCGAGCTCAACCACATCCAATGGTCTTACAACGCTGGTGTTCATCTTCTCGGTGCTGCTACCATGTGGAATGTTACCCAAGATGAGGTCTGGAGGGAGCGCACGCTCGGCATCTGGAATGCCACACATGTCTTCTTCACTCAACAAGGCGGCCAAGGAGACGGACAGATCATGTTTGAGGTGGCCTGCGAACCGGGAAACAACTGCAACATTGATCAGCTTAGGTACGCATTACTGACACCATCCCTTTCTACATCATCAGACTGACTGTGAGCAGTTTCAAAGCCTACTTGTCACGCTGGATGGCCGCGTCCACCAAAGTTGCCCCATGGCTTTACGACGATATCAAGCCTTATCTTGCAGCATCTGCTCAGGCTGCAGCTCTTTCTTGCAGTGGAGGTGACGATGGTACAACATGTGGAACCAAGTGGTGGAACAATGGAGCATATGATGGAACTTACGGTGTGGGCCAACAAATGTCCGCCCTCGAAGTTATCCAATCCAACCTTATAGACAGGGTATGTTCTTGGCTCTGAGCTTGTTGGAAATTTGAAGTGCTGACTCTTTATAGGTCCAAGGGCCTGTCTCAAATTCGACTGGTGGAACTTCTCAGGGTAACCCCAAGTAAGTAATCGTTTTAGAAGTAGCTTGATGATGACTGACCAAATCCCTCAGTGCTGGAACCGGCGGCGATCAAAACCCCACTGCTCCACCTAGTCCCGTTCAGACCAGCGACAGGGCTGGTGCCGGTATCATCACAGGTATGTCACGGTTGTGTCGAGAGCTTCATCCAAGATACTAACGTGCTTTCTCAGCACTGATTCTTGTGGCTCTGGTCGGAGGCGCATGGTAAGTCAACACGTCGCCATAGTGATATGACACCGTTACTGACATGTTTCTAGGTGGATGATTGCATGATCGAAGCCCGAGGGTGGCATAATCATACATGCATAATGGTGTACAATAACGCGACATGTTTGGGGGGGGCTTGAGGAGCATCTGGGTACGGACCTGGGCTAATTGTGAAGGATTTTCAACGGCGTTTGTTGACTGACTGTGGGAGTGCACTTATGAGTCCTTTCCCATCCAACTACATGGATCTCCAGATCCTTTTATGCTTATTCGTGTTCAAACCAATAGTCGATTCTTTGATGTAGGCAAATTTACTGGCCAGCCTACCTGACACTATGCTTTCCCGATGTGTGTTTGCGGGGGCACATTGCCGTCTCCTCGTGACGCTACACAATGTTCATAGTATATCAACTCCTCCGCTTGATTTCAAACCCATGTACCATCCATCAGATAATGCTCCTCAAATACAGACGCCCTAGTCTTCGAAGCACTTCCTTGGACCGGGACCGCTCTTGAATCTGAGGATCTGATAGCATATTGCTCCCTCTCTCTTTTCGCTCCACTTGTGCGATGGGTAGTCTTCGGACGCGTTTTTAAGTATCTGAGCGAGACGTCCAGCCTAGCCATGACTTGGCAGGCGTCAAGCTCTGTATAGAGGACTTGATGGTGCTTTCGTCCTCGGAGACAGGGACAGCACCCTTGACTAGTACGCATACTTTGCCATCCAGAGTCTCCAGCTGAGCCTCGACCTCCATGTCGCTGGGCGATGAAGACTCAAAGGCGCCATATCTAGGTACTGCTCTGACGACGTAAAAGGCATTGGCATAGGTAGGCTTCTTGTAGGCCAAGTCTAGACGCGTCGCCTCCGAGGGACCGACAGAAGAGTCCTGGGCAGGCGCAATACCCTTTGCAAGACGAGCTGCCAAAGCCATCTTGTCTGCAAGAACAGTCGCAATGCCACCACCGTGTGTAACGCCGGGCCATCCAGACATGGCACCTCCAAACCACACGACAGCCACTAGTTCATGCTCTTTCTCGTTCCAGAACACACGTTGGACTCCCAGCGATCGGGCACCAGCCAGTGAGTCGTTTACAAGCGAGCCATGCAGAGTCTTGGGGTCCAGTTCCCGCCAAACTCCTTCATCGCCGCGCAAGCTCGCCGCTACAGCGGTACATTTTCCTCGTAGTACCTTGACTTTGAACTCGGAGTCGATGCGCGTGTTGAGATCTTGCATGAGAACGCCATCTTCGTGTGTTCCTGGTAGCGGATGAGGAGGTGGAGCGATCGTATGTGACACGATTGTGCCGGTTGTGCCGCCTACTGCCAGGCCGATTGACGTCCATAGGATGATGCCGCGGTATTTGCGGAGGAGCGATGGCGCTTTATTGGGCTTCGAGTCCAGTGTTGATGCTCTTCTGATCTGGCGGACGCATTGGAGGCTCCTTGTCGGGTTGCTCCGTATGTTGTTCATGCTTGCTATGTGCGGTTGACATACGATGGGTCTTGTGGAAGGAAATATTTCGAGTCAAGTTGGTGCACCCAGCCACTCGCTGTGCTAGCCACCCTGACCTCGTAATCCGCTCGCGACAACAGCGTGGAAACTTGGTGTAAATTTGGTCTGTGGACTTGATGAATTCAAGTATTGCTGATTGGTTTCTACCAGGGTGTGTGCTGTGATCGTGTATGGAAGCATGGCTGTTGTCGATGTTGTTCGGGCTCATCGTTATGTCTCTCTTTTCCGTAGCTGGCATCACAACTACGACCATCATGTCACGTCGCAAACACTCCACGAAGATGTGAGACTAGTTTCTGAACTTTGATAGGACACGCATGGCCAAGTCTTATGAACACGCATACCTTTCTTTATCATCCCCCATTGAAAGCTCGCGTTGCAGCGATGGTTTGATATATGACGAATTGATAAAATATATATCCCGTAACCTGAAGAATGTAATCCACTTCCATCAAGACTTAAAAACTGCACATCTCCGAATCCTTTCTTTGCGATGACCTACCAGTCGTCCTTGTCATCTTCGTCATCTATATTATTATGTTAGCATTTAGTCATAGGGTCATCGTGTCAAAGCAGCACTTACCACTGTGGCTAACCTTGGACTTCCTGGCAGCAAGGGCACTGGCCAAAGCTCCAGCAAGACCACCGCCGGCAGCATCACCACCGCCACCACCACCACCACCACTCGGACCACTCGATGCAGCGGGTTCGCCGCCTGGTACTGCTGCGGCACTGCGGTCCTTCTTTTCTTGATCGGAGACCCTCTTGAGACGAGCACCGCCTCTAATAGAAGCCAGGAGGTCGTCTCTGCCGCCGCCACCGACCGGAGGCAAAGGCGGAGGTGCAGGAGCGTCTCCTCCAGGGGCACGTCCGGGAGGCAATGGAGGAGGTGGAGGAGCGCCGCCAGATGGAGGCATTGGCGGAGGAGGCGGAGGTGGTGGAGCACCTCCAGACGGTGGAGGAAGGGGAGGTGGCGGCGGTGGAAGATTGCCAGCTCCAGGGGGTGGAGGGACAGGACGAGCTGAGGCGGGAGGAAGAGGTGGTGGGGGTGGGGCAGCCGAATTCGGAGTTTTGGGAGGCAATGGTGGTGGCATGGGAATGCCGGGAGAGGCGATGTTGTTCCTTACTGGAGGAGGCGGCGGCACTGGACCTCGAGCCGGGGTGGGAGGAGGACCGGACGGGATGCGAGCGCCAGAGAAGGGAGGAGGCACACCGAACCTGTTGGAAGATGAGTCGTCCGCCGGCGTCTTTGTGGGAACACGCGGTGGCGGCGGCGGGGCAACAGAAGACGAGGCTCGTGATCTGGCTGGCGGAGCAGGGACATTGGCGTACTTTCCAGCGTCGGCGATTGGAGGTGGAGCACGGAACATGGGACGAGGAGGTGAAGGAGCACGAGGCGGCGAAGGAGAGGGAGATGGCGGTCTCGCCGGTGCAGCACCCCTCCTAGGTTGTGGTGGAGCAGGCGGAGGCCCGCGTCTGGAATTGCTTCCACTGCCGCCAGTAGTCTGAGGAGACATTCGTGCGGCTACCGGGGGAGGAGGTGGAGGAGCCCTGGCCTTGCGCTCTTCTTCAGCAGCGGCACTGGCCTTGTGCTGCTCGAGATAAGTCTGGATGAAGCCGGCGTGCTCCTCCAGTTGGTCTTCGGTAATGCCCATGCCCAGAAGCTGGTTGAGAACTTCTTGCACAGCAGGATCCGACATGTCCAGATTGTGAGATGGTGTAGGACGAGCAGGCGCAGCATGACTGATAGTCACATCGCGTGGTGGAATGATGGATTGTGCCGGAGGCTGAGGAGCCTGTGAATGACGATGTCCAGGGAGCAGACTGCTGAGACCGAAGCGGTGTCTGGTGGAGCCGCCTCCACTGCCTCCAGCGGCAGCACCATTGTTCTTGGAAGTGCCGCTGCCGCTACCGAAGGGCTTGTTCTTCGTGTTCTTGTGTGCGTTCTTCTCGCGTTCGTCCATCTTCTTCTTGAACTGCTTCGCTTCCTTCTCATCGGCAAACGACAGACCGGCGAGGCAGTCCTCAAGCTCGAACGTGTGGAAGAAGGTGCGGTCCTGGTTGTATTGGAAGGTGTCGTAGATTTCCTGGTCCCAGATGACGCCGCGATTCGAGGGCTGGTCATGCGAGTTAGTAGAGGCACGCGTGATGTAGGGGAGAAGAGAGAGCGTAGGTGTGATGTAGGGGTGTTAAGAGGGCGTAGGTGTTGGGTAGGGGAGGTCATAGGGCGTGGAGAGGACGTACCGAGACGTCGACCATCTTGATCCAAAAGGTGTTGCCGACCAGGTCGTTGGCAAGGACTATGGCACCCTGCAGGCCGGTATACTGCCATCTGTTGTGGTTTGGGTATGCAATGTACAACTTGGCGACAGCGACAGCGTGGATCTTGTTGGAAGCCTTGGGCACCTGGCGCTTGACATTTTGCTTGTCGTCGTCGTTCAGGATGGACGGCATGTTGGAGAGATGCGCATGCGTCAATTCAGACTGACTGGCGCGAATGGTGCAAAGATGTTGAAAGCGACCAGGTACAGAGCAGGTCGAGGGCACGAGTGCTGCGTACGTCAGTCAGAGCCTAAAGATGCCCGCAAGCCGGAAGACAAGACCGACAGCACCAGCCTCAGGCCTCACACACGCGTCCGACCCGCCGAGCCCGCCGCTTCCGCACTCCAATTTTGCCTTCACCTTGGTGATGCTGCCCAATCACCGTCGGAATAATGCAATCACATCAAGTCCATGTCGAAAAACACATCACTTTCCAGCTACTCTATTCTCAATATATTGTTGTCGTCTATGCGTTGCATTCGTCAGGTAGTAGAATCGAGTAGTAAAAAGAAACTTCATTTTTGCCAATCCGGCGGCGTCAGACCCAGTTTGAAGGAAGATGCTCGTGAAAGAAAAAGACGCCCAACGCTGGTTGTAATCGTGAATGCCGCCTGGCCGATCCGTCTATGCATCGCCAGCGGCCATTTGTTCGCTTAAATGTCGTCAATGTCGACCTCGCCGCCGCTCTCGCTCTCGTCCTCGCCGAAGTCGAAGCCGATGCCCTCTTCCTCACCGCCGTATGTGTCGGTCTCGTTGATCTTGGCCGACTCGGGCAGCTCGCCGTAGGCCTTCAAGCTTCGTGCTTCGTCGGCGTTGTACTTGAGGATGACGTCGCCCTTCTCGTCCTGGTAGTCACGCAGCGACAGGAGGATGATGTCGCCCTGGTTGATCCAGACCTTCTTTCGCAGCTTGCCACGGATGTGTCCCAGTCTCTTCTCGCCGTCGAAACATTGTGCCTCCAGTCTGCCATTACCCAGCATCTTGACGACTTGAGCGTATTCTGTGATGCGTGTTAGTCTCGTGCTTCGTACGCCTTGTTCATGGTAGAATGGCACATACCCTGGCCCTCCTCCTTGAAGGTGAGCTCACGCTTCTCGTTGTCGTTCTCGTTCTTTCCTCTTCTGCGGTTCTTACCACCCTAGTTGTCACATTCGAGTCAGCCACTGTTTTTTCTCTTCACTTTGTCGTCGAGCTTTGTGGGCGCATACCTTTCCCTTGTTCTTGGGCATGGCGAATGTGTCGCTTTGGCGTTTGGAAGTTGTCTAGTGCGGCTTCGTTGCCTGAGAGGGAGAGAGCGGGAAAATTTGACGGTGAAGTGCTCGTTGTCGTGGTCGTGGAAAAGAAGGAGGGGCGGTTGCTGTGACGCATGGCTTGCTTTGGCGTGGGGGACTTCAGAACCTGCCAAATCTCTTGGCCAGCGCGTACCGTCTCTCTTTCGTCAGTCACCACCTTCACCTTTACTCATTGTTCTTTTGTCAAAGCAATCACACGTCGTCGTACAATGTCGCGACCACCGCCAAAGAAGTTGCTCAGCGCCCTGTTCAACACGCGATTTGAGCCATTTTCCAAGCCCGTAAATTGCACCACCTTTATTGCTACACAAAACATAGCGAGTGACGATCGTCACCCTCTCCATATTCCAACATCGAATCGCCTCGACAATTGGAACCCACAACGATTACACTGGGTCATCAGAACTCCCGTGGCTGTGTCAAAGAAACGCACCATACGCTCCTGGGTGACGAGAAGGTTTCGAGACACCTTTATATCTGAATTGGAAAAGTCCGGTTTCAACAGATGGGGCGAGCCTCTTGCTGCTTCCAAGAACAGAAGACCACTTACGGGTGCCTTGGCCATTACCCTTCTTCGCCCTGCCCTGACTGCTGCTTCCGAGGACGTGCGTGATATTTGCAGTCAAATCTTGCGAAAGAATATACTTTCTCGCCAAAGGCCTTGAGACGCTTGAGAAAGCCGAACGAGATGAACCATGTGACCACTTTGTCCTCTGACCAGCCACTTTTCTACAGCGTCATGATAATGAATATACGCTTGACGAGAATGACCTCTGCGATCACTCAAACATCACGACATGCTCTCGAAGTATGCTTGCTACACAGCGATGTGATAGAGATGAAGTAAGCGGATCGCAGCTCGGCAAGACCGCAAATGCTCGTTTGACGTCGTGTACGAGGCCGGGTGTGCATATATGGAATCGCCCTCTCTGGGAGATGTCCTGTAGGGTTGTCAAGTAGCTTTCCTGGTATGCCTCTCGACAGGGTACTTTTGCTGCTATGAAGACTAAGGTTGATGCAATTTTCTGTCGACGCTGGCAGCAGAGACAGCTGGCAAGCATGGTCGAAAGAGATGAGCACAAGGTCAGCACTTCATGAGATGATGAGTTAGACAGAGATGTTTGTATTGCTACTGATGATGATTGGCAAAGAAACATTTGTAGCTACTACTCTTTCTCTGATAACCTCCGCAACGCAGCAAATAGACACCACTCTTCTGATGTAACTCAGCAACGCAGCAAATAGACCCCCTCAGTAGACCTTGATGACAGTGGCTTTAACTCAGAGGCAACAGAAAATCAACTCCACTTGAAAAAAGAAAAGCCGACGATGAAACGCATTACTGTAACGCTCCCTGTGATTGCGGACAAAAGAAAATAAGGAAATAGGAAAACGAGCAAGGAGTTTTTTTAGACAGCGGCCTTTCTGTGGTGAGTTTATTTTTCATGTTTTTTCCTGTATTTCTTGACTCCAATGGCAGAGCCAACCACTGGAGAGACGAGAAACGAGAGACAGTACGGGCAAGGCCGATAGTTCGGTTGACCAGAGGCAGCGTGATGACAACGCTGTAATGGAAGTCTGAGATCGTGATTCTGGAGGAGGCTGATTCACAAGCGACATGAATGAATGAACCTCGACTTCAAACATCTAGATCCATAACGATTTTCTCGTCCTCGTCATCTAGCACCATGGTAGGTTCGCGGTCTTCTTGAATGCGCTTAGTATCTTGCGCGTCAACTTCATCGAGTGTCTTACGGATGCTGGTGTAGAGCTTCTCAGAGAAGGTGGGCGGGACTGCGTTTCCGACCTGTTGGATGACAGAAGTTCTGTTACCGATGAATCTGAAGTCCAAGGGAAAGGTTTGGAGGCAGGCAAATTCACGCTCAGTCAAATGGCGCTTGCCACTGAAGTGCCAGTTGTTTTGACCACCGCTAGTGGTGATACAGCCTCTACCGAGTTGATGAGGACTGTAAGGAGGGAAGTCTTTGCGCTCCAAGGCACGAGGGTCGTGGTTTGGAGTATCATGGCGGATGGGTCCAAGTGCATCGGCTATGGTGACCGAGGGCTTCAGACCCGGTACAGGCTTCTCTGGGTGAGCAGCATGTGTAGGCTTAGGGAACTCTGGCAGAGGATGTCCAGCACATGAGGCCAACATGATGAGGCGCTTTCGTGCTTGGGGAACGCCATATTCAGAAAGGGTGTGGACTGCCCACTTGACGGAGTAGTTCATATCAGTAAACTGCAAGACAAAGGAATTGAAGATCTGCTTTTTGCCTTCAAATAGAGCGCCGAACGTTTGTTCCAGTGTAGCGACCATAGGCGTGGCCTTACGAAGGATGTCCGAGATACAAAATAGAGTCGCCTCGTTGGCGTCGTGATTCTTGCCTCTGACGGTATAGGCAGTCGAGATTGTTTTACACACGGTGGACATGTGACAGCAACGCACGTGGGCGTTGTCTTGTTGCCTGGCTGTCAGGTTGTAGTAGACGTCCTCCTCGAAAACATCCGTTCCAGGGAAGTTGAGGCGATAAGTGGCACAAGCATCGGCGTTGTGGTCAACTCCGTATACAACCTTGAACCCTGCCTGCCTAGCTCCGACAGAAATGCCGCCTGCTCCACAAAAGAAGTCGGCGAATGTGTAGTCAGGACAAGTAGTGGAAGCAGAAATATGAGTCTTGCTAAGGATATCTGCCAACTGAAGAGAGTCTCGATCCGCTGCTTCATCGGCAGTGAGATCGATAACAGATAGGTCCGATCTGAGATTCGGAACAGCTTCGCGTAGTTTGAAGTCTGGAATGCGAAAGTCTAGATCGCACTCAGCGTCTGTGATCCGTTCAAGGGCGGTCTCTTGGGGATGACCGGTCATCAAGTCCATCAAGCAAGAATACTGGAACGTTCTCTTCCATCTGCAAGTCAGCTGGGCGTTGTCGCAAATGAATTTGCTTGACTGTCCGCTCATGTCTTCGCGTGTGCGGTAGCTGTTGACAGGGAAGATTGTGTTGGTGTGTTTCAAGCAACGCGTGCCGGTAACGAGGCTAACTGGAATATCGTGAAGGGACTGGACCTTGATGTCACGAGGATCTTCCATGTTTCGCTGTAGAACTTGATACACTTCGTTGGTCTTTCTAGGGAGCATCCCATCCAGAGTTCTTGTACGACGGTAAAGGATACCCCTTAGGTAAACACTCTGGCTGTCCATATCCTCAAAAATGCTTACGATCCGGAGAAAATCGCCGCATTTTAAAGGACTACCAGGATCGACACGCAGCTCGACAACAAGACCAGGAAGGAGACAATAGTTGTCCGTGATCCAGTGACCCTGGAGGGCAGATGTGTTGGTGACCGGGTTGGTTCTAGGCTCATACTTGACGAAGGCTCTTTTAACTCTCTTGGAGGTTCGAGGATTGGGTCGTGGGGGTGGAAGCGAGCCCCAACGATAGTCATCATCGCGGATGGGACCATGCTGAGATATGAATGTCACATCGTCGTTGGCTGTGTCATTATCGATGGTAGATTTTTGCTCAGAAATGAATTTGACATCGGCAGTATCGTCGTCTCCGAAGCCATTGTCATCATCAACAGTGATGGCATCATAGAGATTCGTGCTCAGAGTGTCGATGTCATCATCGATCAGGATTGGTTCTATAGTAACGGTCAGATAGCTGTATTGGAGTGATTTTGATATCTGCTAACGTTGAGGGGTGCCTGCGCGGCCAGGAACGGTGCTACTCGATCTGCGCATCGTGGGACAGTCCGAGAGAGGGCTAAAACTGTGGAAGAGTTGTGGGAAGAGTTCTTGGTTGATCGTCAGATGATGACAGGGAGTCGTCGGAGATGAGCTGCGAAGAATGATGGCTGATGAGGGGCGATGACCTTTTAGAGTCGGCAAATGATTTGCTGTGCGAATGAATCAAGTGATGAAAGAGAGCCAGAGAAGTGAAAGCCGTAGCAAGATGGGAAGTAAGAGTTTGAGGCCCAGGCCCTTGGTCAAGGTACTTTTCCTGCTACAAAGAGAGGCAGAATCTGGTGTGTGCTAGCAGAAGGAAGTTCGCAGACCGCGAGCCGCTTTGTGAAGTCGTGAGCAGTGAAGGGTGAGCAGTGAAAGGTGAGCAGTGAAAGGTGAGCAGTGAAAGGTGAGCAGTGAAAGGTGAGCAGTGAAAGGTGCTATAGATAGGTGAAGGGCTGCAAGCAAATACACAAACTTGGTCACATTCAATCTCTCCTAATGATCAAAGCAAAGCAGCGACAAGCCTCAAAGAGACACATCCATATCTCACATCACCAAACCTAGCGCAGAGAGTTGATATCAACAAATATTTTAGTGACATTGCTGCGAGTCTGGAATGTATTGTGCATCGAGATAACTAAGATGGTAACTATGTTCGGCACATGGGGAGCCTTCACAGTTCTGAAGTCATCTCGCCTACAGTATAGAGAAATTGTGGTGGTGTACGCAGAGGATGTGGTAAGAAAGTTGCGACAATATGAAGCCACATAACAAATCCTTTGGCCGACATCGGTCTCACGTCGAAATCAGCGTCCCAGTCTGCTTCAGTCTGTGAGATGTCAGCTGCATGGATACACGGCTGCGTCACGAAGCTGAGCAACTCTCGATGAGATCCAATGTCTTGGTGAATCTCGCGAGACAAAAGTTTGTTGCGAAAGCGACTGTGCTTGTCTTCAGCTCACATCGAGGGGTCCTGCGGAGAAGAGGTCGAATTGACTGCCAAGATTTTCTGACAACCAACGTGGGGTTGTCCGGCAACGCCGCTACAACTAATATTTTCGCTTTTGACGCATCCTCCTTCTTCACAAAATGTCGTCTCCAAGAGCCCGTTCAAGGCATCCGCCCTCTACAGTTTCCTGTACCTCTGGTCAGGCTCATGCTCAATCACTCATAACCTCCTCGCCATTGTCACGCGCACACATCGAATCCGGCTCGAAGACACCCTGACTCGTAAGTTGCAGACTTTTCCTTGCATGCCCTCAACAACACGCACCACTTTGCACGGATGAGATCAGAAGTAAAAAATAGATGTTAGACTAGTGATCTTTCATGAACACATTTTCTAGAACTGAGCAATAGCTTGAGCACACGCCTTGTCAAGACCCATCACCTCCACCAGTCTTGCTAATCTCGAGTCTCTTGCAGAACCCCTCATCTCCTACCTACCACCAATTCTCCCCTTTCTCGACCAGTCACTATGTGTGGTATCCTCGGCGTCATTCACGGCAACCCGTCGTCCCTCGACGCTGCCGCTGAGATTCACCAAGCTCTCTACTACCTGCAACATCGTGGCCAAGATGCTTGCGGTATTGCCGCATGTACCAGCAATGGCCGCATCTACCAGTGCAAGGGCAACGGTCTCGCCGCAAAGGTCTTCCACGACGGTTCGCGCGTCGCCGACCTGCCCGGCTTCATGGGTATTGGACACCTGAGATATCCTACTGCTGGCAGCAGCGCAAACTCAGAAGCCCAGCCTTTCTACGTCAACAGCCCTTACGGCATTGCCCTTACACACAACGGCAACCTGATCAACGCTCCCGAGTTGAGAGAGTACCTCGACCAGGTCGCTCACAGACACATCAACACAGACAGTGACAGCGAGCTGATGCTGAACATTTTCGCCAACGAGTTGAACGAGACCAAGAAGGCAAGAGTCAACGCCAGCGATTGTTTCGCCGCTCTCGAGCGCATGTACAAGCGCTGCTCGGGCGGCTGGGCTTGCACCGCCATGCTCGCTGGTTACGGCCTTATCGGTTTCCGTGACGCCTATGGCATCCGCCCCATGGTTCTCGGCTCAAAGCCCTCGGACGACGGTATCGGCACAGACTACATGATGGCCTCCGAATCTGTCGCCCTGTCGCAATGCGGTTACAAGAACATTGTCGACATCAAGCCTGGCCAGGCTGTCATTATTGAAAAAGGCAAGGAGCCTGTCTTCTCACAAGTCGCCAAGGAGCTGAACTACGCCCCCGACATTTTCGAATACGTCTACTTTGCTCGTCCCGAGTCTGTCATCGATGGCATCTCCGTCCACCGCTCCCGTCAACTCATGGGCTACCGCCTCGCCGAGACCATCAAGCAGCAACTTTCTCCCGAACAGCTCGCAAGCATCGACGCCGTTATCCCTATCCCTGAGACCAGTCTCATCTCGGCTTACGCTGTGTCCAAGCATTTGAAGATCCCCTACTGCCAGGGCTTTGTCAAGAACCGCTACATCTTCCGTACCTTCATCATGCCCAACCAGAAGGCTCGTCAGAAGGGTGTTCGTGCCAAACTAAACGCCATCCCGATCGAGTTCCAAGACAAGAACGTGCTGCTCGTTGATGACAGTATCGTCAGAGGTACTACCAGTCGCGAGATTGTACTCATGGCTAAGGAGGCCGGCGCCAAACAGGTCTTCTTCGCCAGTTGTGCTCCTCCAATCACCTATGCTCACATCTACGGTATCGATCTTGCCTCATCTTCCGAACTCATCGCACATCACAGCACCTCTCAGGACATCGCCAAGAAGATCGGTGCCGACGCTGTCGTTTACCAGTCGCTCCAGGACCTCGAAGAGTCATGCGCAGAGGCTAGTCCTCGCCCGAATCAGAAGTTCGAAGTTGGTGTTTTCTGCGGCACATATGTCACTCCAGTCGGCGACGACTACTTCGAGCATCTTGAGCGCATGCGTGGTGACGCGAAGAAGCTCAAGGTCATGGAGAGCGCGCGTGAGGCCGTCAGACAGGGCACTGCTGGCGAAGAGGAAGTGCGCATGGCTGCCAGCGGCGTGAAAGTGGACCAACAAGGCAACGTTGTGCCAGCCAGCGATGGCAACGAAGCTCAAGCCGCTGCCTTTGGCAAGATCACCGAGAATGGCGAGAATGGAGAGAAGAGACCGAAAGATGGCTTGATGCAACGCGGCAGTCAGGACGTCTCATTGCACAACTTCAACGACTATTAAATGATGAGAATGTGGGACTAGCCGTTCGGAACGGTAGAGGTATTTCAGAAATAGGAGACAGGGATGGCGTTTCAGGCGCGAGGTTACATTCAGCCCGGCATGTGGCAATACGCAGGAGAGAGGACTGTCTTCGCTAGAGTACAATGATTTCTTTAGGCTGCGAAGCTACATACGCGAGGAATTCATAGTCGATTTGCTTTAATTCACGTCAAGATCCACAGTGACCCACAAAGGAGATGGCGGAGGAAACCACGGTTACATCAAGTGGGTAGACATGGCCCAACCGACCGACAAGGGCTCACGGAGTCATGGCGCTCTGTCTCTCAACCTCTTGCTCATCCAGATTGGGAGGATCATACTTACAAAGTCGTTTGATGAAAGTCTTACTTCTGCACGAGTGGGCTCACCTGTCCCATCGGCATCGCATACCCAGAACACGGACGGCTTAAATCCTGATTGTCTTGCGCCGGATGTCGGCCCGGGGAGGGCAAGGGCATCCAACCCACGACGGCGAGGCCGCCATGCCAACACACTCTCCACAACACTCTCCAGACCGCGCATCCTCATCTTCCCTGGCCATCGCCATCAACAATTACGCAAGACATCTTGACGCCGTAACCTAGCCGAAACGACAAGAGAACAAGCCACTCTCGCCAACGTATCCGAACTTTTCCGGTCTAGACGCGACGCATGAAAGTCAAAAGATGAGCCTCCATCTATGGTGCCCAAGAAACATTCAGCCTCGTCATCTCGAGCAGCAGCGGTCCCGCCTACAGCGTCCACAGTGCCCCCATCGCAATTAGGTCTGACGAATGGCGATGAGATTGCGAGTTTTCAACGGCACCAGCAGGCCGCACTGTCTAGAGCAAACAACAATGCGCGAACTGCAGCTGCGAATGGAAGAGTTTTGGTGGATGTAAGCAGTTTGCAGCTGCTAGCCAACCACTTTGATCATGTCATGGCTGGTATACAGCAGAGAGCAGATATTGTGAGTAGTACTGTGTGGCCTCTCATCTATCGTCTGTGTGTACATCCTTGATCTTGTGGTGTTTCTCTGTCATGTTTCCAGAACAATTCTTGATCGCGTGTCATGGTTTCTGCATTCAGACATGTTTCCAAAAATGTAGATGCCTATACTGACAGAGTTCCACCTTGGAGTTGACTCGCGAAACGCAAGCATCGGTGCGTCGACAGAGCTCACGAGCAATTACCTCAATCCAAGCTGCCAATGCAGAGATCACCCGGGTACATGGCCTTCTGAGACAAATCGATGAACTTGAGACCGAATTTGACAAGATCAAGCATATTCGCGATATCGTGGCTGCCTTCAGACACCGAGTCGAAGCACTGGAGAGGAGAGTAAGGTGACATGGTACTAAGAGCATCGAACACTATGAGGGATGAGGTTTTGTAGTGTGTTCATCTCTTCGACGACAGAGTAGACAGCAATGGCCTCAGAGGACTGACAAATGCCATTTTACTGGATGAAGGGCAACAACAATGCATCAAGTAGCTTCGAAAGCTGCGATCACATGTTCGCGTGGTTTGAACAAATGTAGAAATCAGTCGTTTACTATCATTGCCTGCGGCAGTGTCTCCTAATCGTCCTGTAAAATAATCCTTCTCCAACTCATTAAAAGGGCAGATGAAGAACTAGTTGGATCTGATAATCCCGTCCGAAAAACAATCCGAAGCCTGCCCAGCGTCTATAAGATAAGGGAATCATTCGCAAAAGCAAAACATAAAACAGTACCGTACCTCTTCCCAAACAGAACGCCTAGATGAACACCAAGCAAGAAACAAAGGCAGGTCTAGTGAGCAAAGACCCGTCCATCCCAATAAATCACCAGAAGATAGCCGTCGGTGCAATCCTTGTCGGATGATAAGTGCCAAAATGTAGGCGGGTATATGATCGAACTCAAAGCAGAAAAGAGTGCTCATGTTGACGCAACATAACGAAAGGCACCTCTCCCTTTGTAAGTTACCGTCACTCATGAAGAGAATGTGATGATCCTTGTTGTCGAAAAGGATGCAGATTGGCTCCAAGCTACCAGCGACTGGCACTTTACAGACTCATAGTGAGCCATTCCCATTCCTGTGGACCGGCAGGCATACCGGAAGGAGTGCTGACCATTGATCCAGGGGCACCGTTGTTCATCATCATGTTTGGTTGCTGATTGGGCGCGTAAGTAGGCGTGGGAGCTTGAGATAGGTCCCTGGGCTGGAGACTAGGCATAATGTCGTCCGCCTCGCCCATCTCAATCTCTTGAGGAGAACTGCCAACTTTACTCTGCTTGCGTTGACGCTTTGGTGCAACCATACGAGTAGGAGCTGGACCCGTAGCAGGCATTTGCGGCTTCGGCGGACCAGGCGCAATAGGTACCACAGTAGTCTTTGGTGCAATGACCGGGTTGGTCTGAGTTGTAGGAGTGTTGGCGGTAGTGGAGGAGCCAGCGGTGGACTTGGGGGATTCGGCGTCGTGATTAGGCTTGGGAGTGGTCGCGGGAGTGTGGGCAACCGAGTTCTTCCTGCTAGCAGCCTTCTTGGGACGACTGGTGGGGGGCCCGACGGTTGCGGAACCCGCTCCGCCTCGGTTACGTTTTTTTATGACATCTGTCTTTAAGCTGAGCGGACGTACGACGCCGTGAAGCTTGAGGAACAAGCCACATGCGTTGCACAGCGGGTGCCCCTCAGGGTTGCGGCGCCACAGGGGAGTGGTCTGGGTGAAACAGTTCGTGCATGTCGTAGGCAGGCCGTTGTCACCAGGTTTTGGGCTTCCGGGCCGAGAAGGTGCTACAGAGCTAAAGCCAGTCGAAGACTCGGGCGGCGACGAAGGTGAGGATTGTGGGCGGGCAGAGAAAATGCCATGCTGAGCAGCCATAGCAGCCGCATTTGGGGTTGAGCTGGTGCGAGGGATCTTCTTCAGACGAGGATCGTTTCCGCGATTGCGGATCTCGCTGACAGATGCTGCTGAGCCATGTGTGCGACCCAGACTACCTACGCCCCAGTCTTGTGGTGAGGGAATCATCTCGGTGTGTCCGATGGTCACGCCCTTGCGACCAGGGGGGCCAGCGTAGCGAGCGGGCAGTGAATTGTACTGACCCGAGGCAAGACCGCTCTCCCACTGGTACTCGGCCATTGAAGGGTCCTCCATGGGCGAGAAGTCTGTCTGCATCATGAAGTTGTTGCGATCGCCGAAATTGGGTTCCTCGTCTTCGTTGTCCGAGTCGGCGCCAAAGGTGAACATGTTGTTATCGCGAGGCAACGGCATGGCAGTGGACAAGACTTCGTTGGGGTCAATGTGGCCCGACATTGAGTAGGATGAAGGTTGAGTGAACGAGGTGGATGGATCGGGGGCCGACACCTGGCTGAACATGTTGTCGTTGTTGGGGCTGAAGATGTACTGAGGCTGCATACTGGCCACGGGAGTAGGTTGCTGGCTGGTGTAGCTGCTCATGTGGGCATGGTGCCTCAGATCGACACTGCTAGAGGTGTTGAAGAAGACGGGCTCGTGCTCGGGGATAGGTTGGGGAGTCGAGACACGGGATTGGTACGAGGACTGGGGCGGTGAGCAGTAGTTGTTGGACATGATGGACTGGTTGAACATGTTGGTGTACTGGCCATTGGTCATCATGGGCGAACCGACGGGCGAAAAGTTGAAGTTGGTCTGGAAGGGGCCGGCCGATGTCAGAAGCGGGTCGTTGTGGGAAGCGTTGGCACCCGTGTCAAAGCCGAAAGTGTCGAGGCCGAAGGGGACTTGGCCATGGGTGTTGGGAGGGTTGAAAGCGCCCGAGTCGAGAGAGTAGTTGTTGAGCAGGGCATCGTTGGGCATGCCGGTGGTGACTGGAGGCACTTGCGGAGAGCAGTCGGCACGTCGCTTGGGCGGCTGTTCAAGTCAGTAATGGGTGCGGGAGGTGGGCTTGCAGCTCGAGACATACCCTGCGTTCGTCAATGCTAGTCTTGCGCACATGGCGTTGGATGTAGCCAAACTCGTCGGTCGTCTTGTGGATGGCAGTGGGAGCGACCGACGGAGCCGAGGCACGCGCAACAAAGTCGTCCTGGGCCTCTTCCTGGAGCTGTTGATGCCGGCGAATGGGAATGCCGGTCGATGTGGCCTTTGGGTCGTTGATCAAGGTGTCGAGCGAGGCCGAGGGCGACGACTGGCTGATGGGGGATGCGATGGACGAAGGCACGATGAAGTCGTCCAGATTCATGTGATCGCTGGCAGGCACGGCGAAGTGCGACTGGTCGAGCGAGTGCGAGTTGGAGTGCTCGAGCGACTGCGCCTCTGCCGACTGTCTCAACTGGGCAATTCCGCTGGGAGCGTTGGCACGCTGCTGGTATGCGTGGGCAAGTCGGCTGTGGTGGCTGAGTCAACTCATCTTGTTCTTTGTTGAGAGCTCGGACAATAGACATACCTCTGGTGTTGAGCCCTCCTCAGGTTCATGGACATCATTCTCCACGTCAGGTTTTCCATGCGCTCAGAGTTGGGCAGCGTGTTCTTTGTCTTTGAATACAGCTTCCAGATCTGCGTTCCGAGGGGATCCTTCCGTTGCAGTTCCTCGGGGGACTCGCCGTCCGTCTCGCGCCATGTGGTCGACTCGAAGACGCTGTCTCGCAGCGCCCGGCGCGCAGACGACTCTGTTGGTGAATCCAGCGTGCTGGCGCTGGTGAGGGATTGCACGGCCGAAGAGGTCGTCGAAGAAGAAGGTGCTGTCATTTCACCCATGTTGGGCGGGAAGGCTCGCGGTGACGATTTCATCTTGCTCAGCTGGCCCCCACGCTCTTCCATGGATACCCACAATGTTTGGATTTAATACATAAGCCTTCTTGCCGACGTACGTGTATTATCAAGCAGTTTGCGCTTCTTCCTCTGTTCGATTCGGATTATTGGTAAAATGCTAAGGGTACCAGATGGGGTCGAATGACGCGAGGTGGGATGGGGGTTGGCTTGTCTAATGCCTCGACCGTCGAACTCGGTCAGCACCCGGCACATCGACCACACAGTGCTACTAGGGGTAAACCTCGTTCCGTCGCCAGTTTTGCTCGACCGACTAGTGGCTGCGCCCAAGATTAGGCTCACCCACGCGCCCCGACCGACGACGGGCAGGGATCTGCCACATGCTCTGCCCTTGCCGTCGCATTTTCAAACTGCTCCCTTATTGTGAATCAAGACACCCGTTGCCTCGTCTCCTTGCACCTTGCCTGCTTGATCGCGCTTCTGCATACGCTCATCTCTGCTCCGAAGCCTACTTCTTCTGCCTTTTACCCAACTCCGATATCATAGTGGCTCAAGAGTACACCCTACTCATGTCAAGTCCTCATGTGAACCCCCACGCCCTCGGATTACTGCATTTCCCATCCCAGCAAAATGACGACGTTGACAGCTTGCAGCAGGCTCTAAGATCCGACCCACTTCTGAAAGCCTGCGGCTCAAAGAGCCAAAGCCATGCAGGATCCTTTTGCTCGAGCCCGCAATCCTTTCTGCCGTTGTAGAACCGCTCGGTTGAGGAATCCACCATCTACTCTAACTTGGCCCGTTCACCGCAATATATCCGACATGGACATCATCAACCTACCCTCCCACATCCTTGCACTCCCACGATCTACTTATAGTACTCTGCATTGTGACGCCTAGACGCATGTCTGCTGTCGTTCTTGTATGAGATGTCTTGACTCGCGGACTCGTCCCCATCAACCACTCTCCAAACCCATCATGTCTCTACGACCCGTGCACGACACTCTAGCTCCCCACATCAACCACCACTGGCTCATCCGTGATTTCCCGAGAGACCCTGAATTCGGTTCATCTCATTGGGGCTTGAAACCTTCCTTCGTGCTGTCAGTGTCAATGGCTTTGGGGACTTTGACCTGGCGACACGGATGCCATTGCTCCAGAGCTAGAATCGACCGAATCTCCGCCTGAATCTTGAATCTTCATGACTCTTGAAGGTGCACCTTGCACCAATCGCATCTGATTATTTACTAAAGTACATTCCGTGTAATTACCGGCTCACAGTGAATGGCTGGCTGATCTTCATGCTTCGTGATCCTGCAAAGCGAACAAGCAAAAAATTGCATATGCACGAGACAAGCTCCACCGCCGTTTAGTCTAAGCATGTCGCTTCCGTCACTCTGCGGTGTTCTTGACATGGGTTGCGAGTCGCGATGGGTTCTGTCCGGCACCTCAACAGACCTTTACAACGAACGAACAGGCCGAGGGACCCCGAATCTCGCGGTATTGAGACCGTACGATGCTCTTCCTCAGATGTCTGGACATCCATCTCCAGCGGCATGTGCCATCTCGGAAGCAGGGTGATTGTCGGTTTCAGGGACAATTCCTCCAGCTCTTTTGAAGTTTATTCGCACACGACCATGTGGATCTCTTTCCCCGTCATTTTGAGTTAGCCGCGCCCGAACCATGTGGATGAGAATTGACGCTAGCGACACGACAACTCAACCAACGACTTCTCCAGAAATAATTTGGTTGGATCGTGTCCGCTCGGCGGATCCGAGATATGTGTTGCGACTTGTACAGACTCGTCAGTTTCTGCCCTGAGTTTGATGAAATCCGCTGGCCTAGTTTGGACATGCACTCGACTGGACGAGCACCTCAAGCCGAAGTTTCTGGTGGTGATCAGACTCAAGGAAGCGGAAGCGAAAGAAGAAAGAAGAGCCGTGGCTTGCGACGGTGTTTACTCCAGCCTCCTTGGTTAGTAGACGGGTGGGTCTTGCATCCTCCAGACTCGGGGAGTCAGGGACAACTTCGAAGCTTAAGCCGGCCAAATAGGTCGTAGAATTGGTTTCTCCGACGCCGCGCATCCGTTGTTGATTGCTCGCGTGTCGTTAATTTTCTTGTGCCCTGAAGTCAGTCGCGTCTGAATCGAAACAGTCGAGGTTCCGCACGTTCGTCTGCCTCGGCGAGAAACCTGGAACGGGAAAACGAATCGTTCCGATTTAGCCTGTGCTTGCAACCTGCGGGCGGCCGCGTGGAGCCAGGCGTTCGCATCCGTCGACGCCAATATGCGGTGGCCTCACCAAGTCCTACGCGACATGGTTGCTTCGGCCGATGACCACCAGCTGCACTGATCGTCTCCCTTCGCCTATGGCATTATCTTCCATCCACATAGCCACTTGCTATTCGCAGGTGGTATATCGGTGGATATTGGCTTTTCAGGGACTCATCAGGGCTGGCCTAGCGGAACTGATTAATGCGCAACACCAGACATGTGAAAGTGGGCTCCTGCTCATGCAAGACGGCCGCGCTGCAGCTGTGCCGCGGACATGGCCAATCAGTAAAGCTTGGTGTGAAGGATCCAGATCCAAGAGGCGCTCCACGACGAGTGTATTGTTCTTCTCCGTCGTCGGTCACAACTAGATGAGGACCATCTAGTGTCGTGTGAGCATCGCATCAGACGGTCCGTGGCCGGCTGGACTTCTTGATCCCGGAAATCGGCTTCGATCTGCGGCAAGTGGTGGTAACGTGCTGTGGGAAGTAGACCTTGGAGGTTTCGAGCGGGCGTGCTGTAGCTGTTATATGCTCGTCGAAGTACGACATGATAAGCAGATGCTAGCAGAATGATAGATAGACAGTGCTATCAAGCATTGATGTCGCAACTTCGCCCTATTCGCACCTGCTGTCTTGGTGCTTATCTCGCGATGGCGTTATCAGTGTCTGGCTGTTGCTCATCCTGGATATGCAGGTCAATCCTGCTCCCTTATCTATGGAGGAGCTCAGTGCTTTTCTGCGTGACGATGAACGATGTAGAACATAAAACAAAGGTTCGGGAAGCTTTAGATTCATATTCTTTCCTCGTGGCCATCAAGGTCTCGCACGTGGTCGCGCAAGATCACGCTATGGATTTCTATGACTACAAACTATATCCCCCACTCCCAACGATGAGGCACTTCGAAGAAATTATATAATAGCTTCGTCCTACTTCGCACTGTCGGAATGCTGGATCGACATTTGCGCTCACAATCCATCTGTAATCGAATACACGACGCAATTATGGAATATCAAGTGCTTTGCAAGCAACAACCTTACAGGTCTCTGGAGGCAAATCTCCCTGCTGTTGTGAAAAGATTCTTGTGGTGGATCGGCGAGGCCGCCTTCTCGTACAGCACTACCAGCTGAAGACGGCGAGCTTGAACGTGACGGAGTAAATATCGAAGACAACTTCGCCCTGGATAAATCCTGGCACAAACAATACTCGACAAACACCTTTCGAATTATTTCGATTCTTAGCACTATTCGTCCAGCAGAGTAACAGTATATGTCACATTTATGTCCCGAGCTCGAGGACCGGTCATCGGCGTCTTAATACTGAAAACTATAGCGAGAGGACGACAAGAGGAGCTACGAACCACATCTCACTATGTTCATCGTCTTGGTATTAATGGTACTCAGCCTTCAGGGTGTTTACTTTCGCCTCTCGGGTCACGATATTGCTTGGCTACTGGTCATGGGCGCAATGCCATCTCACGTCGAAACGAGAAGCAGGAATAACGTAACCTTCTCCGATATTGACCACGATTACTTATCGGCGCTTAGTTTGCAAGGAATAGAATAAGCACAATCGGAATGCCGACCACGACAAAACCTCACGCCGACAACAACACGAACACGTGGCGGGTCTTTTGCGGATTGACTCGGATTTTCTGTTGCTCAGTCTCAGCAGTACATATCTGTCGAACAAACTTGTCCTTCTTCATCGAACAAGCAATTGCTGACAAGCCCGAATCTACTGGATAATGGCCTTGACAATTCATCGTCTTCAGACACGACACGCTCCTGCAGACAGGTATCGCGCCACTGTGAACTTTGATGACTCCGACCGCCATCGAACCAGGCAACCAAGGGCAACGATGGCGATAGCATGAAGCGAAGTGGAGCCAGCGTCTCACAGTAAGTGTACCCACGCATTCTCAATGACACCTGCGGACCCGAACAGCTTTCGGCCGCTCATCCACATTTGCCATGATCTTGACTCGTTCCCGGCAATGCGAAGATATCCTTTGCTCTATTTCTTCCACCATAACGTCAATTTATAGGCGCTAAGACAGACTGTCTTCTCCAATAGCATGTCCATCGTCGACGGACCTAACATATCCACGTAGATTGTCGAGGTCTCTTGTCTCGGCAGGGCGCGTGAAAAACACCGCTGGAACGATGAACTACGATAACGTACCGATGGGAATTGTTCAGCACCTCCTAGGCGGAGAAATGTTCCATCGCTGGGTCATTAACACCTTGTAAAATCTTAGAGCACATGGTTGTGCAAAACAAGCCTCAATCTGCGTTGCTACTAACTATCACGTATTGAGCAAATCTGTGTGACTCATCCAAGTAGGATGATCCCTAAACCATGGATTCAACAGTAAACTGTCTGTTCAACACTCACTTCTTAACGGCCTTCTCGGGATCTTTCTCGTAAGCCTTGCACCACTTGTCCCACTCACGTGCTGCCTTAGTCATGACAGTCTTGAGGTCCTCTTTCACCTCTGCAGTTTCCCAGTTTTCGTCTTCCCAGTTTCTTGTCTCGCCACCGGTTTGACTCGGAGCCCATCCTATGGCATGAAGACACTCTGTCTCGGTGGGGACAGCACCGAATGACGGAAAGGTCTTGGTGTTCTTCTCATGACATCTTGCTGCCAAGTACTTATCCAGGGTTTCGAGACGATCGGATGGATGGAAGGAAAGTCTCAGTGTGTTTTCGTCGTGTTTGCTACTGGTCGAAGTGGAGTTGAGGCGTTTGGTCACGTTTCGCGAAATTTTGGCGCCTTTGATCGAAGCAGCTGCCCAAACTGCATCGATCTCTAACAGTCCTCCGAATGGCCAGATTAGCGTAAGCATGATGTCGACGGCGGCCGACACAGGCAGTAGTCCAGTAGCGATGATCGAGTCTCTCTGAGCCTTGCTCTTGCTTCGCATCATTGTTTCGACAAACTCGACCTTGAGCTGATCTGGAGTGCTCTTGATGCTGAAAGGGTAGACCATGACCATCTCCTCGAGTCCAACGGTAAGATGCGTCTCTTCTTCCTGGAGATTCTCGCCTTGTGAGTGACTACTAGATCCTTTGTCACCTTCAATGTTGATTCTGTTGATGAACTCGAGGTTCGAAGTCTTTGTCCATCCCATGGCCACATCGATAGCTTTAGTAGCTTTGCCCTTTACTCCCTGCCAACTCGCAGTTTTGGCAGTCGAAAGCTTTGCAGAGCGTACTTCTTCCTGCCATTTACGCTGCAGTTTGTGGACCTTGGCCTCCTTTTCACCTTCTCCGGGAGCCTTCAGAGGCGGAGGTGGGGGAGTGTAGATCAGATATCTAGTCGGAATAGCATCTGACGGAATGCCATTCAGCTTCGGGGTCGGGAAAGGAACAAGATAGGCAACTAGCTTGTGGGGATCGCGAGTGTAGTGTACGGGAGACGAAATATCCTCATTCGAGATTCTTGAACTGCTCACTCTCTGTGGAGGCGGTGGAAATGAACCTTGCCCGTACGCGGTGTTCACCATGCTGCCAGTACGAGGAGGTAGCGGAGGTAGCAAAGATGTCTGTTCGTGGTACCCTGGGGGATCTGAGTACCCATCAGACTTGCTTGAAAGTGAAGGTTCCATCTTTGCGAAATTCTTGATGCGGAGATGGAAATACGGCTCTGCTTGAAACTTTCAAAATTTTGGAGCGATGCGCGAACGATAGTTATATGTTGGTTAGATGGCCCTACTTCAAAAGACACAGCAGCCTCATGACGATTTTGTGGTGTTGCGTACGCGTCCAAGTGCTTTCAATACGCTGTATACGCAGTTAGGGCGCAGTCACTCGCGTAAGCAATTGGTACAAGGAAACTGCTAAGAGGAAATCGGCTTACATGCGCACCATCGCAATACATGCTCGCATGGCGAAAGGACAACAGGCGGCCACACTTGAGTGAGAGCGAGCGCGAGCACTGTGTCGAATGATTCGAATTGAGGCATTTACCCGCGGCCATTCCGTCCGTGGAAATCGATAACACCTATCTGACAAGCAACCACTCTGCTAACTACAGTCAGTAAACACGCATCATGTATACTGAGCTTAAATACAGCTTAACATATTTCTGTCATCATCCTCGTGACCAGAGAGGCTCGCGTGATGATCCAAGATTGGAGGCAGGGTGATCAAGGAGCCGACCGCACTCAGCCATGACGTTATCATCGAGATCATAATGCTATAGCCCCAGGTTATTTTATCCTCTGCCCGGCTGGCACAATTGGTCAGCGCGTGAGACTTTTATCTGATAGAGATCTCAAGGTTCAGAGTTCGAGCCTCTGGTCGGGCGCAGCCTCTTTTGCCACGTGACGTAGCTCCGTCGAATCTTTTTGGTCCGTTCCGTCGAATTGGGTATGTTGCGCTGAGTCTAGGGTTGGGCGTAGTCGTGGTGGAGCTTTGTTGAGATGAGTGAATTCGTGTATGAATTTCTGATGCTGACGCGTCGGGTCTGCGGGCATATGGCTTTCGTGGTCGCATGTCAACTTGCACGTTGTAGACGTAACAATCGGGAATCCTGATCGCCAAGGCATGTTCTCAGTATAACACTGGCCGCTCTCGATGTCGGATTAGCAGAGTATATGTATGGATGAGGCGAAACAGATGGGGACATACGACTTCCGTAAGGATGCATGAAAGATGAATCGCCACAGAGTGGAATCGAAATGACATCGTCCCAATTGTGGGACTTTGGAAAGAAGAAGATGCTAATATAGTTGGCAATAATGACTGTGCACAAGCACGGCACAGTTTTATTTGCCGTGTTTGCTTGAATAGAGTGAGCCGGCGCTGATGACAATAAGTAGTTTGCTCAAAAATCAATAGATACAAACAAGCATAAGATTGTTTGGACGAGAATCGTGCTCCTATAGTCAGACAAGTATTCCACGCGCTTCCTTTCCATATGTAATGGGACAGTCATCTCGACAAAGATTTCGCGACTCAGAGCTTGGCCTTGCCTGCCACGATACTCTGCCACTCGGCCCTCCCGAATGGCACATATGTATCGCCTCTTGGTGGCAGCCAGTATAATGTATCTCCCGAGCCAGCTTCTCCATGAGATACCTTCACAGGATTCACGCCATCGCGTCTGAGTTGCGTCTTGTTCTGCTTGTTGTTGTGCATGGTGTGCGCTTGGTCATCCTGAATGAATCGCAGGAAGAGTGGCACCGCGTACTTTGGAAGCAGCTTCTGCGAGTGAGCGAGGAAAGCTCTAAAGTCGAAAGAGGCACGATCTGCCGGTTCAACGTATACGGCTGCACAGCATGCTCTACCGTCGTGGCCTAGATGGGCAATCGTCAATGCTTCGTCAGAGGAACCAATTCTGGAAATACTTGCCTGGGACTTCAACACCATATACATTTGGCTCTTTGATGGTAGGGAACCTGCCCAGACACTCAGCAACCTCGGTCGTACTGCAGTTCTCGCCTTTCCATCTGAATGTATCACCGAGGCGATCCATGAAGAACCATTTTCCATCCGAGCTTCTGCGCAGTGCATCGCCAGATCTGTAGTACAGGTCTCCTTTTTCAAAGACGTCTCTGGCATACTTCTTCGCTGTGGCTTCAGGCGCGTTCCAGTAACCCTTGAAGACATTCTCGTCTGCGACCTTGACCAACATCTCTCCACCTTCCTCGTAAGGCTGACGATGAGCAAATCCGGTTTTGGGATGTCTCCAAATCTCTCCAGTCTCATAGTCCAATTTAACAGGAACATATATGTTCTTGAACACAGTCCTGAAGATCGCTCCGTGATGGCCGACAGCATCCGCATAATGGTCGTTTCGGCTATAGTTGATCAACGTGAAAACGCCTTCAGTACTATTGAAAAACTCCATGACATCTGTGACACCAAATCTCTCTTGGAACTTGCGCCAGACGTCAGGTCTCATGCCATTGCCGTGCATCAGACGAACCTTGTGATCCCTGTCTCTAGGCGAAGGGGGCGCGGACAACAGATAGCGCGCAGTCTCTCCGACGTAGACAAAGGCGGTCGAATCGGATTCGCGGATCTCGTCCCAAAAGCCCGAAGTGGAGAATTTACGCCCGATGGCCAGTGTGATACCGGAAGCCATACAGCCGGCAGCAAGCACACCCCCCGTGCCGTGGTACAAAGGCATACAATTGTAAAACACATCTCCACCCGGTCCCGAGGTCTGGTTTGTGAGACGCCTGCGGTAATCACCGAGGAACCAAATTCTTTCCAGATGGAAGTGGCTCGCCTTGGGAAGTCCAGTTGTGCCCGAGGTATAGAACAGACAGGCCGGTGTGTCTCCATTCACATTTGCCCTGTGATGAGCTTCCGGTCGCTTCGGGCTGACTGCAGCAATAGTTGCCTTTGTTGACTGCTCCAGGACGATGATCTCCATGCCTAGTTCTTGCTCGATTCTGTCCCGGCACTCCTCAATGCGCTGCCGACATGCAGCATCCTCATCCACTACTAGCACTTTACTACCACTGATTGTCAGACAGTGGAGCAAGGCGTCGCCGGCGAGATTATAATTAATCGTTGCAGGAGCTGTTCCCAGCGCCCAAGTAGCAAGCATGGTGAACATGAATTCTGGCGAATTTTGAAGATATATAGCAACAGGCTCAGTAGGCCGGGCTCCCCTACCTAAGAGAAAGTCTGCATACTGACAGGCTTGGGCGTGAGTCTCGGACCAGGTGTAACAGCCAGTCTTGGACCAGAGGCATCGAGTCGTCGAAGGTAAACGCTTCACCTGGTTCTCAAATTGACACCACAGAGAGTGCTCCTCTTTCTCGACTGTTCACATATTAGCGTAGCGACACAACAAACCATCTGCGTGCGATTACCTGCTCGATTCCACTCGAACGTGGCTCTCTTGACGTTCCACAGATCCCTCAGGTCTTTACGGATCTGAAGTTTGGCATCAATGTATGCAGCAGCAGCAACAGCGGCGCCGGCAATTGTAGCAGTGCCTGGTACAGCGTGAGTATGCTGGACTTGTGTGCGGACAGCGGGCATACCCACCAATATCCATGTAGATGACCGTGCGCAACACAAAGATCAGACACGACGTTGGGTGGAACAGTTTGTTCAGCAGACGGTGTACTTGTAGATTACACTTGGCCCACGGACGGCTGACAGACGGCCGTAAATATGGAGCGGGGTCTACTAGGGCGTTTAGTAAGGAGCTGAAGGATGATCACTGGCAAGCCAATGGATTTAATGAGCTGTTATAGCCGTTGAGAGGCCCATGGTGCGGGTAGAGACAGTATGTATGAATATAGCACGACATGTTGTCAAATGACGGAGCAAAATGAGAGTTCTACGGATATACTAGGAGGCATGCAGTGATACAAGGTTGGCTTGGCGTAGTACCTGTCTGACCAGGCGCGTGGTGCGGACTCTCATAGTAGATCGAGCCAAAACTGTAGAACAGGTGATCTTGACCAAGAAATAAAGGCAGGGACGTGTTTTGGGGGTTGAGTCGAAGTTGTCGCAAGGCTCGAGACAGACGAGGAATGCGGCTCAACACAGGGCAAGCGTTCTACGTGACGGACCTCGGCAAGCCACCGTCGATCATGGACAGCACGGCCTTTGGGTACCTGAATGCCAGAGAATCTTTTGAAGCAGCATTTTGGGGTCGTTGTTCGCAAGTAATGTGAAGCGATTTCACGGAGAGAAGGTAGGAGAGTGCAGACAAGTTTCGGAGCTATGGCAAGGGAAGTTGTCCGTGTCCAAGCTCTAGGCGCGTAACTGGGAGCTTCGAAACCATTAGCCAGGTCATCTGAAACCCTGCATGTCAATGGTGGAGCGTGTGGAAGAAGTACAAAGAGCTAATCTCAGGCTTGTTATGAATTGATTAATGCTTCGACAGCGCTCTCCCAGTGGCAAGTTGAAAAGAGAGTGTCGAGGTCGGGTCGTTCTTGCAAAGAGGTACGCTAACTGAGGGCGAAGGTTCGCGCTGGCTCCAACGGCGACGCAGGGATGGCGTATGACCTAGGGAATGCATATATGCCTCCCCCACGTGGCTATACAATTCAGAGAGCACAATCACCAGCAGTCCAGGTAGCAGATCAACGAGGTTATACCGCCATAGCCTCAGCGCACAACAACTATCTCGAGCAAGAGCATGGCACACAGGCCGTCTCGATAGCAGACAAGCCAGCACAAAGGAGCCGAGGGAGGACAGGCAGAACGGGAAGAGAAGAGTCAGCATTGCAGGCAGGTAAGACAGCACATGACCCCGCCGTAGCACCGCACCTCATAGAGTTATAGACTGACGCACGGCACACAGCACCTCGCAGACGTCTGCTCGACCAGCCTTCGCCTGGAGAGAATCCAATGGCTCAGGACAACGCCTTTCCCGTTTTTCCCACGAAGCGCTCTGTTGCTGCTGCTACCGCTGCCCCTTCCCAACCTACGCGCCCACCACGAGAGGATCCCAGACCGCCACGAGACGCCTCTAGACCACCACGAGAGGATCCTAGACCACCCCGAGACGCCTCTAGACCGCCGCAAGATGTCTACACTCAATTCGCGAGACCACCACGGGAGGCCTCTAGACCACCACATGATGCCTCTACCCAACCCATGAGGCCACCACGGGACGCCTCTAGACCGCGCAATGCCCAACCTACCAACAACCCCAATCTGAACCCCATCAGACCACCCGATCATCTTTACTCATCCGCCAACTCGACTCAAAGACCTTCAACAGCCGACGCGCCACGCCCTCCACCACACTCGCGCGCTCAGGGCCTTCCGAACCCTCTGCCACACTTTCGTTCCCAAGACTCGGTCCATCCTCTTCCGCAACCCTCGTCCCAGTCGCATCATCAACCTCAGACTCGTCCGCAAGAGCCGCTCCACTCCCACTATCCACCGCAGTCGCGTCCACAAGACCCTTCGCAGCCGTACCATGAAGCCCAGTCCCGTCAACAAGACCAAAGATCTGTCAGGCAGCACGCTCGTCCAGACCCTCGAGACCAGCGCGATCCATATCGCAGTCCTCCGCAGCAGGCCCAGCCACAACTTGCTCCACTACCCACTTTCAGTCCGCCCTACTCTACCTCGTCTCGCCCGTCGACGAGCGACTCTGCCAATGCTCGTGAACGGCCCTTCCTGCCACCTCTCGACACTCAAGTCGTTGGCGATCCCCGTACTCTGGAGTCTCCCCTGCTAAGCAGCGTGACCGCACGCCATCGACCAGCCATCGTTCCCATGACCCACGCTCCCTACGAAGCACGCATATCGCAAGCAGCTCACCTCTCCAACGCCTCTGCCTATCAGGACGACCTCGCTCACCCTCAACAGCCTTGGAACCATCCCTCCGACAAGCACGAGAGCTTAGCTGGCCTCTACGATGACTACTATCAGGACCCACCGCGGCCCATGAATCGGGAGGATGAGATAGAAGCCGCCATGCCCGACTTCGACACGTCTTCTGCACACAAGCGTCAGCCCACCATCGACGAACATCTCGCCAGCGTGCGTTTGAACAATCCTGTCAACCATCCACAATCTCGCTCTGGCTATCAAACTGCCTCCAGCAAGCTGAACTCTGCCAAATCTCAACCAGATCTGCGTCAACGGACTCCCGTTCAGGACGAGGCGAGCGCTTTTGACTTCGGCTTCCAAGGCCAGCAATTTACTCAGTCGCCCGAGCCCCATCATCCCACCCGTCTACCGCAGCATCCTGCACAAAATCTGTACCACAATACACAACCACATCGAGAGCAGCAGCGAGCCCGAGATCCAGAAAATCAATTCTCTGTTCCGACCAGGCACCCTCAACCCCCGCAGCACGACTACACATATCGCGAACAACATCCTGCGCCTACGCGTAACCAGCCGCAACCTCCACAGCATGACTACGGATACAATGGCCAACTTTCTATGCCCGAGCCGCAGATTGACCGTCACCACAATCAAGGCTATGATGTACGTGCAGATCACTCAGGAAGACCACTGAGAGGGTACGATCAGAGCTACAGCAATCAGAACCATATGATGCCTCCGCCAGACCAACAACGAAGCCAGAGCTATGATGAGCCTAGTCCTGGGCTACCGAGACCAATTCAGCAGCAAAGGGCCTTCACCTCTGATGACCAAGCTCCCTATCACGGACAGCCGTCCAACGGCCGGCCTCCTATACAACAGGGTAGATCCATGCCAAATCACGCTATGCAACGCGGACCCATACCAAATGCAAACATGTCCAACCCAGACTCCAGCGAATACATGCCTCGGGGACCACCCGGACGGGGTCCCATGCCACACAATCCAGGCTCAATGGGCGTAATGCCTCCAGGGTCTTTGCCGAATGGCCAAGCTCGCCGTGGTCCGCCCGTGAGACCCCCGCCCCCGGGTTCAATGCCTCCGAGTTCCTTGCCTCCTGGTCCTATGCCACCCGGCTCAATGCCTCACAGTGCAATGCATTCTGGCCCTATGCATCCTGTGGCCATGGATGTCAGATCTCAGTCTAGAGGTCCACAATCTAGAAGACTAATGCCTGGGCCCCATGATCACAGAAATGGGATGCCAGCGGACGCTAGATTCCCTCCGCAGCGCCAGACTTCCGGTGACAGGGCTCCAAGTGCGCCCGCAGCTGCAAACGGGTTTGTCCCTCCTCTTTCCAGACAAGCCGAGCATGGCTACGGACTCGACAATACAATGGGTGGAAGGGCACCCAACCCACGCTTTGCTGTGGATGAAAGGTCGCCAAGTGCACCCGCGATCCAAAGTGGCTTTGCTCCGCCGATGTCGACTGATCGTCCATTTGGCGCACCTCTTACTACACAACGGTCAGCTGCTCAAACGATGCCGGGCGCACCGCAGTATAGTCGTAACCAGAACATCAATCCCGACGCACTTCCGAGCCACCCGGTGCCTGTGCGGCCTGGTCTGCAGAACGAGTCATCGGCACAGCCGCCCAAGCCTATACCCGTGCGCAACTATGCCAACAATGTGGATGCGTCCTCAAGCAGTAGGCCTCAATCACAGCCCAACTCTCATACGGAAGACGTCATCGTCGATTCTGGACCAGTGACAAAGAGCGAAATTGACATCTTGCGCTCAAAGGCTGATGCGAATCCCAATGACATGAAGACCTCGATGATTTTGGTTAAGAAACTGGTCGAAGCTTCGACTGTGCTAGCCTCCGAGAACGGCCGTCTGGACGCAAAGTCAGCCGCGAAGAACAGCGAACGCTATGTGCTTGAGGCCCACAAGCGTGTCAAGAAGCTTGTTGCTGCCAACTACCCAGAAGCAATGTTCTATCTCGCAGACTGCCACGGGTCTGGAGATCTCGGCCTCGAGCCTGACCCGAAGCAGGCCTTCTCGCTCTACCAAGGCGCGGCGAAGGCTGGGCATGGAGCTGCAGCCTACCGAACGGCCATGTGCTGTGAAATGGGAGCTGAAGAAGGAGGTGGAACCAAGCGGGACTATCACAAAGCTGTGCAGTGGTACCAACGTGCTGCCCAACTTCAGGACGTAGCTGCGATGTACAAGATGGGTATGATATTACTCAGAGGCTTGCTTGGCCAGCAAAGGAACGTAGGACAATCAGTGGTATACTTGAAACGAGCTGCTGATAACGCCGATACCAATAACCCTCATGCCATTCATGAACTTGCTCGTCTTCATGAAGAAGGCAATCCCGATCCCGCTATTAGCGCAGCTGTGAAGCCGGATGAGAAGTATGCACAAAAGATGTACATGCAAGCAGCCAAGATGGGATACAAGCAGTCGCAATTCAGACTTGGTCAAGCCTTCGAGTATGGATCGTTGGGTCTACCGGTCGATTCGCGAAACTCCATCGCATGGTATTCAAAGGCTGCCGCTCAGGGTGAGCATAACTCCGAATTGGCACTCTCTGGCTGGTATCTCACCGGTGCAGAAGGTATTCTGAATCAATCAGATACAGAAGCATATCTCTGGGCACGCAAAGCCGCCATGAGTGAGCCTCCGCTTGCAAAGGCCATGTATGCTTTGGGCTACTACATCGAGAACGGCATCGGCTGTCCTGCCAGTCTCGAGGAAGGCAGGAGATGGTACACGAGAGCCGCATCGTACAAGTTTCCAAAGGCGGTTGAGAGACTCGAGGAGATCCGCAAAGGCAAAGTGGCCAGACCGCAGCCTAACCAAGGCCTGACTAGAAGCAACCAAAAGAGAGATGAAGCCGAATGTATCGTCATGTGATGGTCACTTGAATTGCCAAAGACTCTGGAGTTGTTTAGTTTATCGAGTCATACATATGATACCCTTTTATTTTTCAATCGATACCCTGTTGGAATTTCCCAATGTGATAATTGACCTGTGACACCAATCTCGACACCACCAACAACGACAACAACGACAACAACGACGACAACGACAACAACGACGACAACGACAACAACGACGACAACGACAACAACGACAACAACGACAACAACGACGACAACGACAACAACGACAACACCTACATCAACGACAACAACGACGACAACGACAACAACGACAACAACGACAACAACGACAACAACGACGACAACGACAACACATACATCAACGACAATAACGACAGCAGCTACATCAACAACATCAACAACATCAACAACATCAACAACAACAACAACAACATACATCAACAACACCCCCCCTTCCACGAGCAAAAAAAAAACCAGAACTTAATCAGGAGAAACATCTTTGAAACCAAAGTCATAATTGCGACCAACCAACGCTGTGAGTCGACCCCACAGCCCCCGGATTCTATTTATGCTAGACTTTGGAGAGGTCTTTTGACGAGTGGTGCCTGTGAGCCACAGGACCTTCGCTCTGACTGGGAGGTACAGCTGAAGGTGACCTCTTCGGTAAGACATGCCCAACACTGCCTTCTCTCATCGCCAGCACACCCGATTCATCTTTCTCGCCTAGCTTTATTATATGACACTCGAGGTGAAGTGTAGATGCTTGACTACTCGAATCTTCACATGACTTTCATACTGAGATAGTTTGCCCAAGCTTCATGTAGTTCCAGCATACTAGCCATATGGATTAGCATAATCACGATGCTGACGTTGAGGGGCTTACTCACTAGAATTTCCAAGATCACTGCCAAAGTAGCTACGCATGAGGTCTTCTCCCGAGGAAGTTTTGGTCGAATCAAAGACAACCGCCTGCTTACCGACGGCGAGGGCCATCACATTTGGAAACTTCGAGAGCTCTTTGTAGGTAGGTGATTGACCATATCGATGCTTCAGAAGGTCCTGATGAATATTGATGGCACAGTAGTGACCCATGTGCATGGCGCCACCGCAACGTCTTATCCCAGACCAGGATGCAATATCACCGGCGGCAAAGTGACTTACAGCGTTTGGCACATCACCGTTGAACCTTAGCCTGACTTCGAGTTAGCAGTATCCACAGTAATGAGATCAATACCCATACGAAGCATCAATTTTGACATGACCGTCTTTGTCCAGAGCTCCAGTCGGAAGGTAACTCGAGGTAGGCACACTCTTTGATATGGCTCTGATGACATGGCCAGCCATAATATGCTGTTCATTAGCTAGGGTAAGGTTACAGGAGATACTGCCATCATGGCCCTCCGTGATAGCAGTCCCAGTCACTCTTTGACCCATGATGACCTCTACACCACTCTCTTCCAATAGTTCGAGGCTGCGAGCCTTGAACTCGTCTGGTAGAGGCTCTGCAGATAAGAGTTGGTCCCGTGAGTGGACGAGAGTGACCTTTTGCCAAGGTTCCATCAGCTTGATTTCGCTGGCCATTTCAATGCCCACAGCCCCTGGAGAGCAAAGTCAACTTTGTGCTGTGGTTTGACGTCAAGATTTACTTACCTCCACCGATGACGACTACGCCCTCTTTAGCATTCCTGATAGCTTCGATATGTGTCTTGGCCTCTACGAGAAATTGGTCTCGATCAAGCGCTTGTGGTACCACAGGAAACGTCCGTCGTAGGCCTGAAGCAACTACAAGATAGTCGTACTGTTTTTGGAATTGTTGTTTCGTATCTGTGCCCAGTATTGAGGCAAACTTATTCTCGCAGTCAATGGCCGAGACACTGCCCTGTAAGAAATGTACGTTGGGCAACTGTAACGCGGGAATGTCTGTAAACTTTGTCCAGCTCCTGGAAGCAGCGTCGTTCGAGGCAAACGCCAAGGGATTCCCGATCAAGTGGTCTAAGTTCCTGGTCAGGACAGCTTGTGATGTTCGTCTAGCGTAACACTTACAGTACCCATCGCGCTCATCGACGATTGTGATATCGACAGGCATCTTGGTCTTGATAGAGGCTTCGTCTTCTGATGTTGAAGAGAATCTAGGCTGTTTACCATTGCAAAGATCAATGAGGTTGACAGTTGCTGCAAGCCCAGAGTAAGAGCCACCGATGACTAGGACCTTTGGGGTAGCCTTGAGGGTGTCGGGATCTTTGTTAGATGACATAGCTGCGAGTGACCGGAAGTTTAGAGACGAGGGAGAAGACGAAGCAGAAGGGAAGAGTATGTTGCGAAATGGGGATCCCACAACCGCCGACCACGGAGCCTTGGTATTCTTACAAATGCTGTGTAGAAGACAACTGGGTCTCAGGAATCCTCGCGCAATACTCATGTTGGTGGAGCATCGACACGTTTATGGTGCCGACATCTGGACATTTATCCCTGATTACCAAATAGGTGGTCTGATTCTTCCTCCAGCTAGCGCCGATTCGGCGACGTAGACAGACTGGGACGACGCCCTGTGAGGGAGAGACAGCACCGATGACAGTATGAGAGCATGCAGATCAGTTTCGCGCTAAACCGTTAGCGCCAAAATGACCCGAGCGGCTTATCTGATTGATAACCCGGCTTGCATTTCTCATCTGAATCAAATGGAGTTCATGTATCTGGCTGGACCAGACGAGGTTAGGAGTGTTATGCACAACCATGCCAACGAAGAAGGGCATGTGGCCAGGTAACAGCCATCGACTCGCAGCTCCTGTAGGATAACAGTCCTGTCCTATACCTGATTCCGATTGCACAAACATTGTATGCTGAGGTATTTGATCAAATGAGCACGCTACTCGAAAGAATCGATGGCGACACTAGGATTTACACGAGATCGTAGTGAGTCATTCAAGAACGTTCGCTAGGTCGATATTGAGAGTTGTCGGACGCAAAGCCAGCAAGTGCTCATCTCCTGTTTATTCTGGATAGTACATCTTCCTCGTTACACCTCCGTCCACAACAATCTCCTCACCAGTAATAAACTCGGACTCAGCAAGGAATTTGACTGTCTTGTAGATGTCCTCAACCTTTCCGACGCGACCAGCGGGGTGCCATGAGTGATCCTGGTCAGTCATGCCATCTTCCCATCGAGTTCCATCATCATCGGCCGCTTTATTCTCGTCTTCAACGTTGATCCAGCCCGGTATAATCGCGTTGACTCGAATGTTATGTCTGTGTCCCAGACTGATTGACATGCTCTGCGTGAGGCCAAGAAGCCCACCTTTGGCTGCACTGTAGCCTTCGTGATTCTCTTCTGCCTGCTTCGCACGAGTAGAAGATATATTGATGATGCATCCAGCACCCAGCTTTGCGCTGTCGCTTTTGAGCATAGGTACGCAAAGCCTCGAAAGCATGAATGGCGCAGTGAGTCCGACAGCTATCTTGCTATCCCATTCGTCCATGATCTCGTCGGAATCGAGGTCATCCCCCATGCCCTTGTCGTTTTTCCAGATGTGCGAAGTAGCGAAAGCATTATTGACGAGAACATGCAACCTGCCATCGAAGAACTCGCTGACTTCGTGGATAACGCTTTTGATCTCTTCGCGGATTTCCAGATTGACCACCTTGCCTTTGAAAGAGCTGTTGTCAGAACCTGCCGATTCTGTCCAAGTTGACGCAAGCGAAAGAGTGTTCTGTAATTCGCTCTCGTTATTGTCCAACAGGAATACCCGGTTGCCTGGTTGTCGAAGAAGATTTCGTGTCAGTCCCCGTCCAATACCTCTTCCCGCTCCGGTAATTAGATAATTCATGGGTAAAGAGAGAGATGATATGCTTGGTATGAGCTTGATGATGGGAGATGAGGTAGGTCGATACGAGGTTTGCTGAAATTTAGGTACCTTACTGTCACAAGAATTGGCTTCATGTGCTTTCATGTTGGATCGCGACATCTGATGACGTAATGCTCTCAGGAACAGGCATAGATCATCGTTGATGGACACATGAGTGCCAACAGCAGATGTTGTGTAAGCGGCAAGCTTGCAGCGACGGCATCATGCCGGAGTTGCATCACGACTCACAATGATGTGGATCTTGGTTGGAGGGCGGAAAAACATTTCTGTGCGCCCTGTTCATCGTCTTGCTATTCGCTACGATTCTTGAAAGATTATGAGCTCGGGTATGATACCCGTCTAGTCATCACGCCATGCTTCTGGCATATTAAATGCCGATTCGTATCCCAAATACACCACCAGTACTCCTGTGTACGCCGTCGCCATGCTCATGGTGGTATAGAAAATCACAGATTGCCAGCCTTCAAAGTGCCCACGCTATGCATCATTGAGAGCCACGAAAGAAAAGAAAAAGAGGATGCCAGGGCGTCTTGTTCATGTACCCGCATGACCATCCCTGCATCCGGTACCGAGAGGTCATTATTTAGAAGAGCCTGTCGTTCAGATGAAGAGGGTGCGGAAGCCAGATTCGATAGGTGGGGTGTTGACCATGCCTTTGCTGCGGAGCTTCATGCCGGACGTGTTTGGGCTCTCAGGGCGGTCTTTACCGGCCGCTGCTTGCTCTCGTTCCTTGCGTGCTGCTTTCTGAGCCTGCTTCTTGATGTCCTTTTTATCCCGAGCAGGCTGTCGTTGATGAGCCTTGGCTGGAACAGGTGCCGGTGAAGATGCCCTTTGTGCGTTGAACTTCAGTCTGATTGTGGGCCTTGGACGTGTGTCGGAGCTCTTTTCGCCGTCCTTCTTTTCGGGCAGTGATTTCACGGACTCAGAAGCTTCCGACTTGATGGACTCTTGCGATCCGTTGTGAGTTTCGAACTTGGCCCGCATCTCATCCGCGTTGGCTTCCCGAGACTGTTGTCGTGATGAGGGTCTGCGGTCTCGTTTTTTGTTGGGCCCATCCTTGCCGGGGTACTCTTCGTCGCTGTCAGGTTCACGCTCGACACTAGAACTCTCTTGTGCAGACGAAAGGCTGCCGTTCTCTTCAGCACCCATCAGCTTGTCGACAGCAGCGTCTATGTTGCCTTTGCATTCTTCGAGCGTGCGTTTTATTGTAGGCTTGTCAGCGAGGAAGGGCAGTGACGATAGAACGACATCCACCATCCAAGGGAGCACGTGAGGTGTCTGGGCAAGCTTCTCTTTCTGCTTCTGCTCTTCATCGGGCGACAAAGCTTTGACAGTGACTTTCGGGGGGCCATGGTGAGGGCCATCGAGATTACGGATGGATGAGTAATGCTCCCAGGCCTATACGAATCAGCACATGCATACACTGGCCATTGTTCAAGACCAACATGGTAGGCAATATGAGCCACGTCTCGCTCTCCATCATCACCCGAACCCGAGATCATGTAGGCAAAGTCTCGCTGGTAGATCTTGACATCGACGTTGTAGGCCGAGCTGAAGGCCGATATCTCCATGTTGTCACCATATGTGCCGCCTTTTGCCATTCTCTCCAAGTGATTCTGGAAGGTATGGTCGATATCTGCCTCGGAGGGTGCAGCAGCAACGGCGGAGAAGGAACCGACATTCTTTCTCTTGGGATTCCTCCTCGTGCCACCGCCGGGTTGGGCGTCTATAAATTGTTTGTAATAATCGGCATGGTCTCGCATGTATCCAATGACTCTGGAGCGTATGGCTTGGTGCTCTTTTTGGTGTCCGTACAATTGATCACTGAGGGCGTGGAACAGACAATTTCCTGGCTACATTAGTGGGTGAAGGCAAAGAATATGGAAAGACTCCATACCATCACCGAGTATGTTGGCAGCATACAAGCCAAGGCTGTTCAAGAGTGGAAATTCTTCTTGACTGCCGCCCATTGTGCTGTAAGGGAGGGTTTATCAGCGAACCAAAATCAACAACACAGCAGACAGGCATGGGTGCGAATTGAACAGCAAAATTAGAAGGACATGACAGGTGAAAGTGTAGGACACGCTCGACGGTCAGGAGTTGCCAGTGAAGAACAAGGAGCAGAATTGGAAAGCTGGAGCGTGTCTTGGCATCATCACTGAAAAGACGCCGCCTGATGATGAGCGCATGGACTGGCAAAACTTACGGCTCTTTGTGGTTTGTTTTGTCGCTTATTGCCGTGACCTAACCCCGTGCCTCATTTGCAGCAACTTCCCTCCTTCTGTGTGACGGCCGTTATCTGATCTTGAGAGCTCGTCTGATTGGCGTGCTCATCGGCGGGCAAGAGCACAAGTTTGTCGTGGCCGATCACGGCTTGCGGCCGGCGAAGAGATACGGAAATGCGGGGCGGAAAACTGGTATGGGTGGTCCAAGTAAGCGGAAACGACGAGTGAGATTGTGGATATAAGTGCGTGTTGCCCTGAGGTGCTGTGATTTTGTCGTTCCGAGATTCCTTCCATCGTCTTCACTGCGTGTGACAGAATTACCACGTGAAGTAGGCAGCAGCCAACTATCAACTAATCACTTGATCAGCTACAGTGTTCGGACGATGGCACCTCAACATAAAGTAGTCGTGCTAGGGTCAGTCCTCACGCTCGGCTCAAAAGACTCACCCGGCTGACTTACACATAGAGCTGGAGTCTCGGGCCTGACTGCGGCTTACCTACTGTCTAAGAACAAGGACTACAGCATTACCGTTGCAGCGAAACATATGCCAGGAGACTACGACATCGAATACGCATCACCGTGGGCTGGAGCGAATTATCTACCGTATGTCTAGATTATCCTGACTTGAGACCGCGTCGATGTGTGAGCTTCTCTATGCACATTCTGTACTGATCGCGAAAGTGTTGGCAAGGAAGGAACGCCGTCTCAAGAATATGAAAGAAGCACTTGGCCTGAGTTAGCAAGGCTCGCCGAGAAGCACCCCGAAGCTGGCATTCACTTTCAAGGTACCCTAGCTTGCTAACAAGATCGCTAGCTGAGAATCTGTTGACAGTGGTGTGTAGATACTTTCATCTATCGCCGAGAGAAAGACAAGGGCCCTGTCAGTGAGTGGTTTGCGGAGCTTATACGCGAAGATGCATGGTTTAGCAAAGTGGTCCCTAATGTATGCCATCTGCCACAACACATCCTGACGACAAATCACTGATGACCCGGCTCTACAGTTCAAGGTCCTCAGTCAAGAGGAACTGCCTGAGGGCATGGATGGCGGTACATCGTTTACATCCGTCTGCATCAACACAGCCATCTATCTTCCTTGGCTAGTCTCGCAGTGCCTCAAGAATGGTGTCAACTTCAGACGAGGCGTCGTAAAGCATATTGCAGACGCCACACTACTGCATCATTCTGGAGAGAAGGCCGACTTGGTGGTAAACTGTACCGGCCTATTTTCCCTCTTCATGGAAGGTGTGCAAGACAAGAACATGTATCCAGCTCGCGGACAGATCGTACTCGTTCGAAACGATCCGGGAATCATGGCCACTACTTCAGGAACAGATGACGGTGATGATGAAGCTGTCTACATCATGCACCGCGCAGCTGGTGGTGGCTGTATCTTAGGAGGTTGCTTGCAAGCGGACAAATGGGACTCGGCAGTAGACCCAAACCTAGCTGTTCGAATCATGAAGCGTGCAATCGCTCTGACACCTGGTCTAGTTTCCGAAGGCAAGGGCATCGAGGCCTTGGATGTGATCAGGCACGGTGTAGGTCTGCGACCAATGCGTAAAGGCGGCATCAGAACCGAGAGAGAAGTGGTCAAAGGTCCGGACGGCAATGCTATCAAAGTCGTTCACAGCATTGGTCATGGTGGATATGGGTATCAAACGTCATGGGGTTGTGCCGCTGCCGTGGCCAAGCTTGTTGATGAGTCCGTGGCCGAAAAGGCTCGTTTGTAGACAGACCAGTAGTCCTCAAAGGATTGTTTGCAATATCAAAGGCAGATCAGTGCATCGCTGTGACTTGACTCGTTTGCATGTAAGGGATCAACAGAGGTGCCCGACAAGTAGATTAGAAAGTAGATGAGATGCGGGCACCTGTGGTGTTGCAATAATCTCATAGACTGAAGCGCGGAAGAGCCCCGAACTTCAACACTGTCCCGCAACGAAAGCGTGGCTGAGGAACGGCAGTGACGACTGTGGAGCTCGCTTGGCAGCAGGCCCCAGCCCCAGCCCTCGAGCTCCATTGACAGCACAGCTTCGAGGTTGCCATTTATTCTTTGTCTTCGCTCGCACAACTGCTTCAACGTGTTCACGCCGCGCCTCCTCCACCTTCCAATACCGCCGTCATGGACTTCTCTGACATATTGTGGGTGGAATGCCTTGCTCCTTCCTGGAATCATCAACTGACACAAGCAGCCGCATCGTCAACCTGGCAACTGGAGCCTTGATGGTACGTTCGCAATCACACAAGAGACAGGAGGCGCTACTAATTGCGACCCCGAAAACAGGTCTTTGGAGGCATCAGTCAGTTCTGGCCCGACGTTAGCGTTCGAGGCACCATTTGCGCCATCTACATTATCCTCTTTGGTCTCGCCAATGCTCTTCTTGGTTCGCCGGATCCTTCTCGACCATACGGACAGCGTAGATCTAACCCGCTGTGCAGAGTTCCAGATCCCTCCTCAGATTGCCAGATATGCATCATTCATGTTCTCCTTCATTGGACGCGGCGTTTGTACGAGTTCCCCTCATGATGGAGTCGAGATAGACACAGGCTGACAAGGATTGGACAGTCTACGTATTCATCGGAGCTCTCTGCTTCACTGGTCACTGGACCAAGTACATTATCGGCGGTATCATCATACTCGTTGGTGTCGCCTACATCGCGCTCGAATACGTACCCAGCATTGAGCCCCCGGCCAACATGAGGTAAGACTTCCAAAGCAATTTCACATGGCAAAGGTGCTTACACGACAACAGGGATGCCGACGCAGGCTGGGGCGCTGAACAGGTGTAATGATGACTCGGTGGATGTCACGAAAGCCGGCAGGATAAAGAGACGTTGGGACACAGAAGATTGCTGAGATTGGGCACGACAGCTGATGTGTATATACGCGATGGACGAGCGAGCGAGACGGCTTCCCTGTCAATTGACAACGCCGCAGAGGTCATTGGGAGAAGATGCGCGTAAACGCGACGGAGAGGGTGCCATGTAAGAAATGGTCGAAGCAAAAGCAGCCAAACCATGCACAAAGCACAAGGATGGTTAACACATGTCGAAAGTCTGATGGTATTTTATAAATACCGGTAGTGCCAAGACTCGAGTACAGCGCGGCGTCACTTTTCCAACGCATCGAGGGAGCGAGCAATAGTAAAAGGTGCACGACGGTACATCAATTTACACGAATCACTATTTCACTCCAACCAAGATAGCAATCGCGTCGCTCCAAGATCGTCAACACGCTGCGACAAGATGAGACTCACGGCCGAGCTTGTGCACAACTCGCTCTCATACCTCAATCCGCTCAAGGAGCGCGAACTTGACCTGCGAGGTACTACCATCCCTTGTCAAGAAGACCGATACTACACTTGAACTAGCTGATTCATAGGCATGTAAAAGGTCACAAAATCCCTGCTCTGGAGAACCTAGGTCTGGTCACGGTATGTACACGCGCGCGCGCGAAGTCTGCCATACAAAGTACCATGCTGATGCCCTTGTGCCGCCAGAACGAAGATGCCATCGACTTTACCGACAACGACATTCCTGCTCTCGCAAACTTCCCCAAGAACCACAGACTGAAGGCTCTATACCTTGGCCGAAACCGCATCGCCGCCATCTCGTCCGGCCTGCACAACTCTATTCCAAACCTCGACACTCTGGTCTTGACGCAGAATTCTCTATCCGAGCTGGGCGACCTTGAGCCATTGGCAGAACTGAAGAAGTTGACACATCTGACCCTGCTGGACAACCCTGTCGCCTCTAGAGAGGTTCGTGACCAAGCCCATCATGTCAACATCTCCTAACTGACGCGCCACACAGAACTACCGGTACTGGCTCATCGCGAGATGTCCATCCGTCCGATTCCTCGATTTTCAGAAGGTCAAGGATGCCGAGCGCAGTAAAGCTGCTGAGCTGTTTGGTACAGTCGTAGAGCCCACCGATCTTGCCCAGAAGATTCTCTCTGCACGTTCTTCAAGATCCATCAACTCCAATTCTTTGACAGCCAACGCGAACGCTTCCGACAAGATTTCCCGTGTCAAGTTGACCGACAAGGAAAGAAAGCGCATCGAGGACTTGATCCGGAACGCGAAGACTCTGGCCGAGATCACTCGTCTGGAGAAGGCTCTCAACGAAGGCAGAATACCTGCGGGAGTCCTCGACGATGCCATGGACACTTCATGAAACATGACACTGGGATATTTTTATAATCGCCGACATTCGAAATGAAGCCAGGCGATCACCACACAAATAGCTGATGCACGCACTGCACAGACCGAGCATATCACTTCAAAGCTATTGCACACGGTCAAAAATGCCGAGAACTGGAGTGCAAGAGGGAATTTTGGCATAAATATGGACGATAAAAGTACAACTTCCGTTGGTTGTTGTCAGAGTTTTGCAAAGTCTGCTTGCTCTTCCCCTTCGTAATCTAGAACCTGTATCTGATAGTATACAGCTCTCTTGCCACTGCGCACCCAACATCCACTCCCTTCGTACTGTGCTGTTGTCTGTTACACTCTACTTTGTGCGTTGGAAGCTTCTGATGGCGTCTTCGTCTTCCTCACAGCCTGCGATGGCTGTATCGGTGCTTGCCTGTCCGGTGAAGCTGCTGCTGGTCTCATGACCGCCGATGCCATGAAGAAGCAATTCCTTCATCTCGTGGGTACCTTGGGCATCTTCAGTTCCGAGCGGCTGCACCGTCGAGGTACTGCCATTGGCGAGTGAAGAGTACCCGGAATTCTTTTGTCCGTCACCAGACATTGCGGTGGTAGTGGCCGACCTAAGCGAGTTGCTGAGTGCTCTGGTGTGAGCCCTGGCTCGGTCCAGCCGAGCAGTCGAGGTGGTTGCGTTTCCGTCAGTATGGAGAGGAAACGTGACAGGAACTGGGCGACTGTTGATCATGGTTTGCCTGTTTGACGGTCGTCAGTCTACTTGTCTTTGCTTGGAAGGACGCACTGACTCCTGCTCCGTCAGGCCAGCGAGCTCCACATTGATGCGTCTAAACTCATATGGATCACCCTACAGCACAAAGCGGTCAGCCAATGCAAGGTAAACGACAACGCCGAACTTACGATCATAAGAGCAGGACGCTCTTCCTCGCCGCAGCAGAGGAAGGCTTTGATCTTCTTCCACATGCTGTTGATTGTGTTCGCTCGTCGTGCTCGTTCGTTGTGCGTCGAAGAGCGAGAGAGTGAGGTCGAACGACACGAGATGTTTGTAAGCAGACGCAAAGCCAGCGTTTACGAGAACGCCGAGAATTTGTCTCTAGTAGTCTAAAGATCGAAGACCGAATGTGAGCCTTTCGTGGACACAAGACCAGACGAGTCGTCGATGCAAGCAAGACCGTTCCGGACGTGACAAAGAAGCACCTAGGTAATTTGAGCAGGACTTAGACGGAACAAAGACACGCCAAAGATGAAACGAAGAGCAAAAGTACAGCAGAGCATGAAACCACAGTCCAATAACGATGAAGAAACGACACGCTGTGTGTAAGTGTTCACGTGAAAACATATGAAAGAAAGTCGAAGGTGGCCAGGTAGCATGACATTCTCATGAACGGGCATTATCAGCGGGCCTGTAACTCAGCTGCACATGGAAGATTGCAGAAGATTGCGTTGACCTGACGAGCTCGCCAGATACTCGATAATTGGCAGATATGGAGGCCAGATGGGTCCCACTTACCTTGCTTGAGCCAATCTTTCACTGATACAGCCATCAGCCATGATGGTTGGCACATTCTTTCTTCTTGTCCCGAGACAACCTTGCCGAACAATGTCTCTGGAATGCTTCGGCATGCCGAGGAATGTCGGACTTCTGCCCGACCCTGGTATTACCATAGAATCTTATATACAAAAGCCATACAAAGCTCCAAAGCTCCATGGTGGACAGGCTGGGCAAGATGAGATTGCTTCGAGTTCGTGCGGGGCTTGGGCCTCAAGCTGGTCTCCAGAGAGGGATGTTGTCTCATGCCAGGGTCTTTGTGCTACTCGAATGTGAATTCATTGCATCCCTTCTCACGCCTTTCACCAGACTTTTACATGAAGCTTCACATGGCTGTTGCTTCAGAGGTGCATATATCATATGCCACGATCCACGTGAAATTGTGCATTCATCTATTTCGGGTAGTTCTTGATGTGGTAACTCTTTAGTCTCGAGAACTGATCAAAGCCGAATTTCGACAAAGTCTGCCCCTTGCCAGAATCTTTCCAGCCAACCCAAGCAAGATCGGGGGCGGGATAATCGCATCTGTTGACGAAGACGGTTCCAGCCTCGACTTCGTCGGCAAGTTCGTATCCCTTGTTGGTCTCCTTTGTCCAGATACTAGCAGTCAGACCAAACTGACAGTCATTCATCCACTTGATGGCCTCGGCATCGTCCTTGACTTTCATGACGGGAATGACAGGGCCAAATGTCTCCTCGGTCATGACATCCATCTTGTGGGAGACATTTGTCAGCAATACAGGGGCGACATAGTTGCCGTCAGTTGGCGGCGATTCAAAGGACGAGTTCTTGGGGGTTACGTCTTGGGCACCCTTTGAGACAGCATCCTTGACATGGGCACGAATGGTCTCGGCGGAACGCTTGGACACGACGGGTCCAACATGGGTCGACTTGTCGAAGGGGTCTCCCAGCTTATAGTTGGCGAGGACTTTCTGGACCTCCTTTACGAAGTCATCGTGAACCTTCTCGTCAACGTAGACACGCTCGATGCTGCAGCAGCTCTGGCCGGAGTTGAAGACAGCACCATCCACAATCTCCTCTGCGGCCCAAGCTAAATCGACGTCGGATCTAATGTATGCAGGGTCCTTTCCACCGAGCTCGAGACCAACACGAGAGTCGACTCTTTCACTTGCTGCCTTCTGTACAGCAAGACCTCCAGCGACCGAGCCGGTGAAACAAACAAGCTGGATGTGAGGGTTCTTGACCAGCCTCTCGATCTTTTGGAAATCTCCACAGTGGAAGAACTGCATGACATCCTTAGGAAGACCAGCTTCGTTGAAGGCGGAAACGACTTGTTCAGCAATGGTGGGAGTCTGTGGTGAAGGCTTGATGATTACGCTGTTGCCGGAGAGTAGAGCAGGGACAATCGAGTTGACAAGTGTAAGGTAGGGGTACTAGCACAGGCAACAAAGGTTAGTACGGAGCCGTATCTCAATACTTGAGGAAGAGCTGGGCAAAGACTCACGTTCCAAGGGAACAGTACGAGGACAGGACCGAGGGGGACCTTGCGGATGAAGCGGTTGAAGCCTTCCTGAGGCTCGCCTGGAGTGTCTGACAGGGCATCTTCGGCAATCTTGATCAGGTACTCGCCACGGGCGACAGCAGTCTTTACTTCGACGGCAGTGTATGCTATTGGGCGACCCATCTGCTCAGTGATCTCCTTTGCAAGCTCATCCTGCTTGGATGTGATGATTTCCAAGGCCTTCTTGACATATTTCTTGCGTTCGTCCAGCGATGTCTTCTTGTACGTCTTGAAAGCTTCTGCTGATTTGCTGGCCAAGTCGCTGAGCTCAGAGTCGCTGAGGCCCTTGCGCTCAATGATGCCCTTGTTGGTGATGGGTGAGATTGTCGTGATTGTTTCGGCCATGATTGTGTGTTGCACAGGATGAAGAGAGATGTGTACCTTGAAGAAAGAGGACAAGTCAATTATTGTAGCCCACTCCGTTGTCGCTGACTCTACCTCGCCTCTTATCGCCTTATCGCAGCTGATTGCGGGGCCCTGCGTCATCTTTCACCACTGACACCGAGCTGTTGCTCCTTGCTTGAGGCGCCTCTTCTCGTTTTTGACCTGCTCTTGTGTCATATTACTACGAGCATACCAGCAGTGGTAGTCAAGCACTGTTTATCGCCGCCGTCTAGTCTAATCTCGTGAGCACGTCTACGGCCGGACGAGCTCACCTGCGAGGATGCAAGGGCTTGCATCCTCGCAAAGACATGGACAAGATCTCTTTTGGATCATTTCATCCTGCACGAGACGACAGTGTCATTCAAACTATGCTGGATACTGATACGTTCTACGTCTCTCACTCTGCCCACGCGTCGCGATTTCGCAATCGTTCTGCAAGACAGCCTGAGAGCCTTACAAGAGGGTTCAACCTACTGTACCATCAGCTGAGCACACTAACTCCGCCTCGCAGTCCCTCAAGATTCTACCACTCTTGCCCGCCCAGGTATCTGGTAAATTATCACTACGCTCAAGTTTCCACTCGGAGCATCTGACGTCTTGACCTGGATGCCGCGAGCAACATGTCACGGGCGACACTTGCATACATATAGCAAAGGCATTCTTTTGAGCCTCAGACGCTGAGCTAGAATCGTCCGTCCAATGTGGTCGGACATAAACAAGTCGTTCTTTCCAGTCTGTCGGTCAAGCTAATTCGAAGAAGAGTGAGAATGATCAGGGGCCTATGCCAATCCTCACTCCTTCCAGCAAGTATATATCAAGAGTTCAAGTAGCGAAGCCTCAAACGATTGGCAGTCAGTGACGAGCTGAGGGTGCGAGAGTGTCTGCTCTTGTCTTGAAGATGTTCACTGGCCATTCTCCCGACGCTCGCGCTAAGCTAGATAATTTGTCTCACAAACATCCTGTTGGACTAATTTGAGCACACAAAGGCACAAGACCAAGGACGACCAGCAGCAGTGTTCAGCCATGTCGACTCCCGAGACTAAGCCTTTGACTGTCGATCCGTGCTCTGAAAGTATGACAGCAATGTAAGTCTTCGGACGTTTCCATGTCATGGGCAGCGGAGTCTAATCTACAGCTCTGAGCCCGAACATGACTGAGGGTCTACGCTTGTCAGAAGGACTCTCAAGCATTCATGAATTCCTTCTTCCCACCTAGAAGTCGTTCACGTCTGGTCGAGTGATCTTACACAGCGCCGGTCACCCGTGAGAGTCTCGCCGGCGCACATCATCACTGAGCCGCTTATGTACATCTGCACAATATGATCACTCAGCAGACAGGTGGCGGCCTTGCTGTTGGTACAGCGCAATCACACATAGCCACCTCAATAATCTTGTAATACTCGGCAATCAACGAGAGCAATGTGTCCAATTTGTAGCCGAATTCATCATTTGCCGTTGCATGAGCAAGAAGACGTGAACGTTACAACGAGAACCACGAGAGCTCGTCTGCAAGCTAGTCGCATGCGGTTAGCTGGATTTCAGGTCACTGGGTCTCGCGGCCCGCGTACCTGACATTTGGCCTTGCGAGTGGAAAACGTGGAAAATTGCCGGTAATGAACACTTCTACCAGTCCTCATCCTTCTTCAGATTCGATACTTCAGAGCACATAGCTTAGATGAGACTTCGGCGGCTTGATTGGTTCGAGACTCGGTGCTGGCGAGTTCTTAACATCCTCAATCATGAGCATTGTGAGCTTGGATGGGAGAAACAATATGACACTGTGACTCGCAGTGAGGAGATTTGTATTGATTCTGCCTCTCTGCCTGCTGCGGAATCCGTGTAGGTGCATCAAGCGACTCAACCAAAGTTAAGGACGTTGGTTTGATGAGACCAGATCCCAGAAATAGTCAAAATTGCTATCAGGGCATATCCTCTGACCAAGACTATTGCAATAGCACCCACTGCAGTCTGATATGCAGTATGGACTCTGGTTCGTGAGTCCGACTCCAAGCACGGCGAGCTCATGATGGCGGACAAAGTCGCCGACGTGCAGAGCAGTAGACCGGGGAACTTCGAGATTCGAATGAAGCAGACCATAGCGGAACGAGTCCGCCGGTTATGTGATACTGGAACGGATATTCGGGTAAGATCGATTTTGCGAACGAGCATGTGCAGCAAGGCACGATGTAGACATTCAGAGCAACATTGGTTCAGAGCCTTATCTGTGGAGCCAGCAGGAGAGGTATCGATCACATATCGATAGACTCGACATTCTGACAGAGGAAGCACCCTGAGGCCTGGGAACGTTGAAAGAGAGTTGCATGGCGTGCGCGACGCTAGGATTCTCGTGGCGAATCCATGCGGCCACGGCTTATGGACCCTTGAATATTTATCTATCTCGACCAGTCATCGTCGTCCTTCTGCACATTTACTCCCTATCCAACCCCATGGCACCAACATTATCACATGCGACATTGCTCGCTACGCGTGCGTGTCTACGACAGCAAGTGACCGGGCCACTATGTCGCGCATACACGAACAGCACAGCAGGGCGTATTCTTGGAGAATCACTTCCTCGGCGAGCACTGAGGGGTTCTTCGGGGACACTCTCATTAAAATGCTCGAGAGACAGCACGTCTTATGGCCCATCTCTCGCGCCATTCTCTTTCTCACGATCCGCATCAGACATGTCCGTTCATAGAACCAAGTACGCCGCGGTAGTTTGTGGCGGCGGACCTGCAGGAATCACGGTGCTCGGAAACCTTTTAGAGAGGAAGGTCGGCCCAGTGCTCTGGATAGACGATCTTTTTGAGGCCGGCCGAGTGAACAAATCATACAGAGAGGTGCCGTCGTGAGTGAGATCTGATTTGCATAAACAGCTTTATCTTACTAACTGAATCAGAAACACCAAGGTCAAACTATTTGTGGACTTTGCAGAGGCCGTATCACCATTTCAAAAGATTCTGAAAGATACACCATCACCCCATGCGGTCGACTATCTTCGAGGGCTTCCCCAAGATACGGGATGCGATCTCGGCTATGCCGCAGACATGTGTCTCCTCCTTACTGAAGGCTTGAAGAAAGCACCTGGTGTTGAAGCCCGTCAGGGCAGGGTCATCGATGCTACTCTGAGCGAAACCAACGATTGGGTAGTCAACATCAAGCTCTCGAACGATGAGACGAGCAGGGCAATCTCATCGAGGATCATCCTCTGTACTGGCTCTTCCCCAACGAACCAATCACTCCCGGTTGATATACCAGAGCTCTCCCCCTTGGAACTGGACCACGCGCTGAGTCCAACTTTGCTGGCAAAAGACTTACCAAAGGAGCCTACTACTGTCGCTGTCATTGGAGCATCGCACAGTGCCGTCCTAGTCCTTATCAATCTATACAAACTCGCTTCATCAACTCACCCCGATCTGCGCATCAAATGGTTCACAAGGCACCCTCTCCGATATGCTGAATTTATGGAAGGGTGGATCAAGCGAGACAACACCGGGCTCAAGGGCGCTGCCGCAGCTTGGGCAAAGGAGAACTTGGAACCCGAAAAGTTCGAATCATCTCCCGTCAGCAATTTCATCACAAAGGTGGCTTACGAAAAAGACAACGAGAACGAGACATACGAGAAACACCTTTCTGGTTGCAATCGCTATGTGCAAGCCATTGGCTACACTAGAGACCCTTTGCCGGGACTCAAAGATGCTCGTGGCTCCGATATAACGTACAACTACCAACCTGACACTGGGTCATTCAAGAATGTGGAAGGCAAACCGATTCCTGGTCTCTTTGGTGCCGGTATCGCTTGGCCAGAGAAAGTCACCGACCCCGAGGGCAGCGTAGAATGGGCTGTAGGCTTCTGGAAGTTTATGCGTTACGCAAAGAGAGTCGTTCCTGACTGGAACTAGATGTTCGAACGTTGACCAGACCTTCTCATCATATTGGTTGGCTTTCGAGAAGTGAGCGAGGCGTCATCACATTTTCCGCGTGCAGTTAATACCCATCATAATGGAGTAACATGCTTAATGCTGTTTATGTCTCAGGGTCCGTCGTAGAGCTCATGATGAGCTATCACCAATGTGCTGATAATCCCATTGCCCATGCTGAATATCAAGGCTAGTCGAACAGCGCCTAGGCCTTCTTCTTCCTGCTTTCTATACTTCTGTCGCCACCACCCTGTCGTTTCTTCTTCTCGGCGTACTCATCAGCCTTGAATTGGAAGATGCTACCATCGAAGATCCTGCGCACATCGTCCTTGCGCATGATACCATCCTCGGGCCAAAGCAAGAGATAGGTTGCGAGCCACTCGAAGAATGACGCACTCCAGCCGAAAAAGTCCATGGCCATTCTTTGACCTTTGTGCATTCTGACCAGGTCGTAGGCATCAAGGCCACCTTTGTTGCCACGGTCGTACTTTGAGAACATGTCTTCGAAGTTCTGAGGTCCTGCAGTGCATGATTAGCGAAGCTCTTGGACTAAGTTGGTCCATAAAAGCTTACTGAATCTGCCTTCGTTGTCAAAGCTCATCGAGTCGCTGCCATGCTTGTCCTTGTGGAGATTCGAGATGTGTATACGGAAGAAAGGGTCAGGTATCCAAGAGGGGGATGTTGGGTACGAGAGATTGACGTTGATCAGAAACATGGCGATCAGGCACAATATAGGGTTCCAGCCCCATGCGCGACAGCCCCTATAGGTGTCAAGCGGCCAGATGATGCCATCTTGATCTCTGTCCCAGTAAACCACATGCTGCTGTACGACCTTGATGATTGTCAGAAAATTCGAACATTTTCAGATGTCCACGGGACAAAGCCTTACTGTTTGGTGTTTGTGGTCTTGAGCCCAGTTGTCTTGAGAAGTTCCATTCGGGCTCTCATTAGAGGCAGCAATGTTCACCCGCGCAGTTCCGGGATCCTGTAGACTGTCGCCATCTTTAGGATAGTACGGCATCCGTTCCACCGTCACGGGGACTTCCTTGATGGCGATACTGTATTGCTTGCCAGGAGGGAAACTGCTGCTTTGACCTTTGAGAAGCGAAAGGAGCTCATTCGAATGTCCGGCGACTGTCAAATCACCATTTTTCCGATCAGGAGCACCGAGTTCTATGATGGAAGGCATGATCGCGCTTTGATGATTTAGGCGATAGGCAGAGGTAGGAAGATGAGATGCAAAATGAAGATATATATCGATATCCTAAAACTGCTGACCTACCTTACCTTACCAAACAAAACGCAGTTGTTGAGCAGGCCTGACGTACTTTTTGCTCGTTGTGCTGCTTGTGACGTGATTGAGATTAGCATGTGAAAATGGGTTGTCTCACTAAGTGCGTGCTTGCAATGGTTGACACAGACATAGCAATTCTTTTTCTTCGTACAATCACTCGGAATGGTCGGAGCTGCCATTCTGGCATTCTACAGATGCGAAGTCTCGCTCAAGTAAGGACATGACAGAAGTGACTTGACTCTTGAGTGCGTACCTGATGATCTTTGCACGGACGAAACCTTGCATGTGATGAAGGTCCAAGCCGGCGTTAAGCCGCGTGATCGGCCGGTCGGCTGGCGGTTGGAGAAAAAAGTGCCAGACAGATGCCCAGACCGTCACAAAGCAAGAGACACGAAGAATGGCTCAAGTCGATGTCGCAAAGTTGTCGAGCAACTGGAAAAGATTACAACAGACGCTCAAGCCGAAACCCAAGTCTGATGACACCAATCCGAGCGTGAAGCGCAAGAGAACAACCGAGTCTCAAGACGAAAAGTTCAAGAAATTCCAGGGCACGTCGAATGGAAGCAAGAGGGTAAGGACTGAGCCGAGCAAGCCGTCCTCCGTGCAAAGAAAGGTCAAGATGGGTGGAGCTCCTTCGAAATCAATCAATTCAGCACCGCGGACTGGATCGAATGCCGAAGCTACATTTGTCGCCGAAGAAGTCGCTTCGACTCGCACCTCCACCGACTCTCTTGTCAACCAGGGACTTCACCCAACGAACAAGCCCGGAAAGTTCCTGGCCATCGATTGTGAGATGGTCGGTACTGGTCCGCTCGACGACAATGTTCTCGCCCGCGTCTCGATAGTCAACTTCCATGGCGAACAGATCTACGACAGTTTTGTTCAGCCCGTACCGGGCGTCGAGGTCACCGATTACCGCACTTTTGTCAGTGGTATCCGACCTCATCACCTGAAGCCAGATGTTGCTCGCCCCTTCTCGGAAGTACAAAAAGAGGTCGCAGCGCTGTTGGAGGGCAAGATTTTGATTGGACACGCACTGAAGAACGATCTGGATGTGCTACTGCTTTCACACCCGAAGAGAGACATTCGCGACACTGCGCGACATGCGACGTTCCGTAAGATGTCAATGGGACGAGCACCTGCACTGCGAAAACTGGCAAAGGAGTTCCTCGGCATGGACATCCAAGGCGGCGAGCACAGTTCGGTCGAGGATGCACGAGCAACCATGATGCTCTTCAAGCTCGAGAAGGAGGCATTCGAGAAGGAAGTCAAGCAAAAGTACGGAGCGGCCATCAGAAGGGAGGAGAAGTTGAAGCAGCAGGCCGAGGATAAGAAGGCAAGAAAAGACGAGGAAAGACAGGCAAAGGAGAATGCGGGCGCTTCTGACTCGGACTCAGACGAGGGCGAGTCCGACAACGAAGACGAGGAGCAGCTGGACGATGAGGGCAACGTGATTGCACCGACCGTCAAGAAGAGCAAAAAGGCGAAGAAGAACAAGAAGCGCAAGAAGAGAACCAAGCGCGCATAGAATTAAAGCTAGCATAGATACCCCAATTCTCGAGCATAAGGCCACTTTGGCAATACCTAGGTAAACATGTTGTGTGTTCACATGTCAAAAAGTGTACCTGCGCCAAGCTTTGAAGGGCTAAACAGGACCCAGACTCTGAACTTTTTGGAAGTCACCATGTGTCTCGAGTACCACAACTCAATCATGACTTGACTGCATTAAGAAGATTTTTGCATGTAAGATGCCGATCGCATTACAAGATACACATCACAGCGCCTATCACAAGCGCCCACGTCCATCATCATGGTCCGATTGAAGCACCGCTACCTGCTCGTCAACATCCTATACCCCGAGTCCGAGACCCCCACCAAGCCCGCGACAAAAGACGGCCAGGTTCCAGATATCGTATCCTTCCGTCGACCCTCTTCGGACAAACTTAATGCGCAATTGCTGGCCCGCATCATCAGAGATGGCGTGACAGATTTGTTCGGAGACTATGGAAGTGGCATGATTGCTAGTAGTCTTGTAGGTAAGTGCTGCCTCTGATGATCAAGCGCATTGAAACGAGGTTGACTGTTGTTGAGTGAAATACCTTTCGCCTGCTACAAGTACAGCAATCGTACGAGTTTCCCGCGCCCATTACCGGCTCGTATGGGCAGCCCTCAGTTTCGTCACTCATCTGCCCCGGCCCATTGATCAAGCCTGTGTAATTCAGATTGTCAGAGTGTCTGGAACCATCCGCAAGGCCGAAGAGGAGGCCATAAGAAGAGCAAAAGCTGCCATCCTGCGAGCAACAGCAAGAGAAAAGGGCTCGGAGTTTGCACTTGACAAGATGCTTGGAAGTGCTGGTGCACTAGCCAACACAAGACCAGGGGCTCAGATGGGCATTGAAAGCGACAGTGAAGATGGAGAAGATGAGATGGATGAGGATTGAAGGGGGAGAGAGAGGCATAACATTCATACGAGGACCACCTCGATATACCAACGAATCGAAACGCCTACGCTAATAAAGACCATTTTTCTAAGTTGCTTCCATATTTCATCTTTCATTCTACTTTGCGCTCTTGCCCTTTGCTTCTCCGTCAGCGAGTTCTCTGATAAACAGCTTGACCTGGCCCTCGTGGACGACCTCGTTGCCGTCCTCGAAACCGGGGCTGATTCCGATGGCCAGGTATCTGCCGTCAGAACTCCAGGAGACACTCGAGACGCTCGAAGGATATGCCTGGTATTGTCTGATTCTGCGCTTGGTAACGCCATCCCACAGGACGACAAAGCCGTCGCCGCCTCCACTGACAAAGGTGCCTTGATGAAGGGGGTGGAAGGCCAGGGCGTTGACGGGATAGACAACATCGACACCCTCATCAGCCTGTCTGTGGCATTTGAAAGCGTATTTGCGACTCTGAGACTCGGTCGAGGGGTCGAACCACTCGACGCCCACGCGGCCCTCGATGGAAGAAAGGGCATAGCCTTGATCGTTGGGCATACAGCAGACGGCGCGGGTCATGAACTTGAGACTGCTCTCTCGTTGTTGCCATGGCTGGATGTCGAGGATGCTTCTATTTCCAGTTTCGGCCGATGGGGCCGACTGCGAGGTGAGCATGCTGAGAGCAGCCAAATCGTAGATGAAGATCTGGCGTGAAGCCATGGCGACGACGAGTTTTGTGGGAGTCAGGGAGATGGAGAAGGGCTTGGATGGCAGAGGAATGGTCGAAGGGGCGTGGTCGAGGTTGCCGTTCTTGAGGATGTGGACATGGAGGGTGCTGTCCCACGAGGCCGAGACGAGCAAATGGTGCTTGTCCGAGTAGACGATGGATTTGACGCCAGCCTCGTGTGATGAGATCAGGCTCTTTTCACCAGTCTCGAGGTCGATCTTGTTGACGTCCCAGTCCAGGCCAGCAGTGAAAGCGGTGTTGTCGTCGTGGCCGAAGCAGAGATCCAGTACGGGAGCGCGATGCTCTACTTTGCGCAGCAGACGGCCGTGTTCTCCGGCCTGTGTGTCGTAGAGGTAGACATTGCGATCCCACGAGGCGACCAGCAAGCGATTTGGCGATTGAGGAGCAAATCGGACGGCTGAGATGGCATCCGATGGCGCATCAGCGAGTTCGATCTGGCCTGGAGAGGAGTCAGCGAGGAAGCGAGATTCGACAAAAGTCAAGGGGGACGCACCACTCATTGTGAGGTGTGTGAAGTTGCTCAACTTACAAGTCGAGCAAAGTCGAGGACAACAACGACAGCTTCGACTGTTTTGCGGGGCACCGTGATTGCGATTCAAAATGATCAATATTTCCCTCGCTTCCTTCTTCCAACAACACGCGAGCCATCACAAACATGCCCTTTGCACAACTGGTCATCGGCCCGCCTGGCGCAGGCAAGTCGACATACTGCGATGGCATGCACCAGTTCCTCACCGCCGTCGACCGCAAGTGCGCCGTCGTCAACCTCGATCCCGCAAATGACAAGACGGCCTACCCATGCGCCCTCGACATTCGGGACCTCGTCTCGCTGGAGGAAGTCATGGAACAAGAAGAGCTGGGCCCGAACGGAGCTGTCATGTATGCGCTTGAAGAGCTGAACGAGAACTTCGAGTGGCTCGAGGAAGGCTTGAAAGAGCTCGGCGACGCTTATATCCTCTTCGACTGTCCCGGTCAGGTCGAACTATTTACACATCACAATACAATGCCCAACTTGTTCCACCGTCTCGAAAAGATTGGCTACAGAGTCCGTCTTCTCTTCCACAACTAAACTCGCCGAAACTAACCTCCGTCAGCTGATTGTCGTGAATCTCCTCGACTCCCTCACCCTCGCGCGCCCAACCCTGTATATCTCGTCGCTACTACTATGTCTGCGCAGCATGCTGCATTTACCCTTCCCGCTCGTCAACGTCTTGACCAAGATCGACAACCTGGCGAAGAATTCGGAGCCTCTTCCCTTCAACCTAGACTACTATACCGAAGTTCAAGATCTGGACTACTTACTGCCACATCTTGAGGCTGAACAAAATAATACATCGGTACAGAATCTGGAAGACCGTGCTGGCAACAGCGACATCCCTAAACTTCCGGAATCTAAATTCACTGCACTCAACGAGGCCCTGATCCAATTAATAGCTGACTTTGGCCTGGTGGCCTTCGAGACCCTCGCTGTTGAGGACAAAGTCTCCATGACAAACTTACTGCACGCTGTTGACCGAGCCAGCGGTTACGTCTTTGGTACCGACAAGGGAACCAACGACTCGGTCTGGCAGGTCGCTATGCAAGAAGGTTGGGGAGGAAAGATTGATGTCAGGGATGTGCAAGAACGCTGGATTGACAGACGCGACGAGTTTGACGAAATGGAAAGGCAGCAGATTGAAGATCAAAAAGCAGAAGAGGCTCGTCAAGCAGGCCAGCCAGAAGTACGCCGCGTACCTGCACAAGACCCTACTCCGGAGAAGGACTCACATATACCTGACCATGGCGAGGATCTGGAAGAAATGCAGGCAGCCTTTCTCAAAGAAAAGTCCAAAGATACTGACAATGGCATCAAGATCGTCAGAAAGGACTAAAGAATTGCTCAGTACATCAAGACATGGCGGTTATTTACACGAATGATAAACGACATAACGACAAGCAATGGTCCCTCACTCGTCTTTACAGGAGCACCTGTTCATTTGCTGTACACCCATCTTGTTGTGCGGCGGTGCCTATCTCTTTTCGAAGAGCCGTCGGCTGCCTAGACATCCTCTCCAACGGTCATCGGTACCGCGGTCGAGACAGCAGACATCTGGGAGACGGGTCTGAGCTTCCACTTGCCAGTCTTTGAATCCCAGCCCATCTCTTGCTCGGCCCCCGCAACACTTGCAGGTCTGGCCATGACTCCATCATCGAGCGTAACATAAGGCACAGGCTCGATGCCATCCTCACCAACGCCCATCTCTGTATCTGCCTGACTGATACCGCCCCAGCTGATGATAGAAGGAGCCTTGCTTCGAGCACGACGGGTTGATCCTCCCCACGATTGCAACGATTGTGAGCTTCCTGTGAGGTTTCGGGTAGAGTCGCGTTGACCCAACCTCGACTTTTCGTTTCCGCTCTCGCCGGCAAAGACGAATCCGCCGCCGTAGCTGTATGGGCCTTTGGCTCCGTCGGGGATGATGAAGCGTTTGTCTACCCTCACAGCCATAAAGAAGAACAAGATTATAACTTCGACACCGAAACCAAAAGCGTAGAAGATGCCGCGGTTGAAGTACCAGGGTGTGGGTTCCGATATTGGTGGGTCGCTCTTGCTCATAAGAGGGATGGGAGGCAAGTACCCCGTACCAGCCTTGATGGAAGCGGCAAGAGTCAGAAGCGCTGAGCTGCTCAATACGATCAGAATCTTTGTGCTCATTTTGCCTTCGCCGAACTTGTCCACAGCTTTCTGACCCCGAGTGACTAGTCTCGAGAGCGTTGAGAGCATGACGATGATGATGGGAATGAAAGCGATGGTCGAGAATGCTGTAGAGCCGTATAATTCGATGATTCGGTCGATGCGATGGATGTTGGTGTCCAGTGTGTAGAAGGACTGGATCACGGCAACGATGAGAGCAATGATTGTCAACACCGTGACGATACAAAGCATAGGTATCAACGGCGAGAAGATCTTGCTCCAACCGAAATTCGGATGTTGAGCTCTGACGATGCGCTGCGTGAAGAATAGGTTGACAAAGTATAGCAGTACGACACCGATGTTGACGAATATCTGGGCTGCGATGCCTAGCCTGATATTGCGAGGATAGCATGCCCAGGCCATTCTCAGACTTAGTGTCACGATTCGTATCTTACAAAGGCCTGGGAGTCAATGTAAGCTTTACTGCGAAGCGTCAAGAACTGTACATTTTATTTACCGAACATCATTCCGCCAAAGATGAACTTTTTCCCAACCTTCTTGTTTATTGTAAAGGTTCCCATGTGCAAAGCACCAGCGATGATGTATAGTACCATGAAGACAGCACACACTGGTATATCGACAGGTATCGTTGGTATGCCACCTAGGCTCTGAGCCTCTGGCCGATATGGTGCACTTCCACGTTTAGTAGCCTGTGTTGTTTCGTTAGACTGGCTTGTACAAAGCAGAGTTGCTGTTCAAGCGGCTGCAGCAATAATGCGGATATTACACACCATTCCAGAAAAACAAGAAACTACCAAAAAAGCAGAAGGGAGAAACAAGATGGCTGGGTAAACATATACATTCACACTACTTACATATCGTAAGAAGCACCCATCGGGGTGAACAAGATACCGACTCCCCGGCTGATTAGATTTACCTACAGAGGTATACCAACAGAATTTACTCGTTGCAAGGAAGGGGTAGTACGCGCGGTGGCATCATTGATGATGCACCGTTATCGAGGCTTTCCAGTTGGAGAGCCGACGTATTTTGGTCATGCGGACAGACACTTCACAAGGCTGCAGATGGCGCTTTCTCGATGTATGTTCCAAGGTCTTGTCGCTGACGAGCTTATCATGATCCATCTCTTGAATGTCAAATTGATCGTGTCCTTTTTCTAACCTTGGAACTGGATGCAATTCACGATTCCGGGAGACGACACACGTCCAGCTTCTTTCGGCTCGGGGCTTGCAGATGGTGTTACATCAGGCAGTGGGTCATACGAACGGGCTGATGGAAGCCTCGTGGGTTGCGCAGAGAAGCGGCAGGCGATCAAGGATTGAGCATGCTTGTATGCAGCAACGCCGTCATGAGATGTCGAAAATGGCTTCCCCGCTACGGACTTCAAGCAGAGGTTCTCGATAGCGATCGACCAGACATCAACACTCACGGCAACTCCAGACTACCGACTTTCCGTCGACGTGCTGATTTGTTTACTTTACTGTGAATGTTGAAAAGTATTAACACTTCGGAGTTGCACCAGGCCTGTCGTCATCCAAGCCTAATCGATATGCTATCTTTGGTTGCAACCAAGGCGTTGGGCACTCTCGGATCATTCTGATATTTGAAAGGGGTTTGTAATGTAAGTACTCTTTGCGAGTCGCCCTGTGCTCATAGCTGTGTACTATGTTACTAAATCAGTCTATCGGCTGAAGAATGATGTTATCGATCAGTCTGACAGGAACAACACCGCCGCCCAATCCGCAGTCTTCACCCTCCTGAGGCTCCTCGAGAGGTAACATCTTGATGGCTCCACTGAGAATAGCACCCTTGGAGGGATCTACGACATCGACCTCTTCCATAGTGTCCGGGTCGGCCAACGAGATGTAGTCGACCTCAATCCTCGCACGCTTTGAGGGTGGTAAATCGTCTTGTTCCATCATTTTGCTCGTTGAGACCTCATTGGCGGGCCACAGGATATCGGCGCGGAGGCGTTTGCCTTGCAAGTATTTCTTCTCGGCGGCCTTTAATGTGCGTGACAGGACTACACCGACCTCCCGTCTCCTTGCACCTAGATAGACGTTTCTCGAGCTCAAGGCCAGGCCATCAGCTTCACGCTCAGTTGGTCCGATCTTCACCTCGGTGTCGAGATGGAAGTCTTTGACCATGCGCCTGATGACGACCGTTTGTTGTACGTCCTTCTGTCCAAAGTACACGCGCTCAGGCATGACAATGTTGAAAAGCTTCATACAGACTGTAGCGACTCCACGAAAGAAGACTGGTCGTGAAGCACCTTCCAGCAGACTTCCCAGGGGTGTGACTGTGACAAATGATCCTGAGCCTGATATTTCTGACGATGGCGGTAACGTAGGGTACATGACCTTTGTTGTCGGAGCAAACACAGCAGTGATGCGTCCCGCACCAATATCGCTCTCTAGTTCTTTGTTCAGAGTCTGTAACTTATCCATATCCTCTTGCCATGTCTTTGGGTAGCTGTCCAGATCCTCATTCACACCAAACTGGGTTGGGTTGACGTAGATGCTCACAAAGACATCCGTGTTCTCGGCGGCGGCCTGACGCACCAACGACATGTGCCCCTCGTGCAATGCGCCCATGGTCGGCACGAAGCCCACTGTCTTTTGCGATCCTCGAAGCTCTTTTCTGAATGTACGGAGAGGTTGGACCTCACGGAAGGTGTGTATCGTACGTCCGAAGGTGCTCAGTGTGCAAGGGCGCCATTGCAGGATCGCTACATGTTGTCAGATGATGCTATCTTGCTTTGAACGGTAAAGGAGCAAGGAATACCCTGGTGGGCGCGGAATATGGAGAATGCCATCTCGTCGCACCCTCGACGAGTCTGTGTGCTGAGCTGGCAAGTGAATTCGCGTCTAGTCTGGAAGTCGCTCTTCCCCGCGCTGCGAGGTCGACGTGGTGTTTTTCAATCCATTGTCGGACATTTGACAAGTCGAAATTGTAATTGTCTCTGCTCGAGTATGGACAGTACGCGGTGCTTTTGAGTATGGTTGGTACCCTTGCTTGTGCTTCAAAATACGCCTGACTCCAGACTTCCCCCGTCATAATTCGGATGCTATATGTATATTATAGATGATGAACACCTTGTTGTAACTTCCATCGCATTTCTGACACTACGTGAGACACCTCAGCTCGGGTCAATGCTTCGCGCCGACCCTAATCACAATTTTGCCGTGCGTGTGACCGCCCTTCAGCTTTGCGTACGCCTCTGCAGCTTCCTTCAGAGGATAGGTTGAATCGATAACAGCCCGGATCTTGCCTTGCGCCATCCACCTACCAAGCTGCACCAGATCATCTCGATGTGTACCAAGAAGCACGTGAACCTGCTCAGACTTGCGTCTTCCACCACCCAAGAATGTCGGAAGTGTACGCGCCGCGAGTGACGCGATATCGTTTTTGCTGCCGATCGAGATGAACTTGCCTTCAGGATTGAGATAAAGATGTGACTCCTTGTACAGATCTGATGGTTCGCCGACATCGTCGACTACAAGGTCAAAGGGCTCTGTCTTCCCAGACTCGATGAGCTCCGCGATCAGATCTGTCTTGGTGTAGTCGAAGACTTCGTCTGCTCCGAGCTCTTTGCAGAGTTCAATAGTTGATGTCGAGCAGGATACCGTAACATGGCAGCCAAGCAACTTCGCAATCTGAATACCGAATGTTCCTGTACCTGAAGAGCCCCCATTGATAAACACTCTATCGCCGGCCTTCGCATTGGGTACAATGCTGCGGTAAGCCGTCTCACCGGCGATACCAAGTGTAGCAGCATCGTCTGGATTTACTCCTTCTGGAAGGGGAATGCAGGTTCCAGGGTCGATGTTGACGTATTGGGCAAGAGTTCCGGAAGACGTAGGTCTAGTCAAGCGTCCATATACCATTTCGCCGATGCTGAAGGTGTCGATGGTAGAGCCAGTTGACTTTATCCTTCCACAGTAGTCCATACCAGGTATCGTGGCGGAAGAGGTAAAGGAGTAAGTCAGGGCCTTCCCAAGCACCGGAGTCTCTGGCATCTTCCAGTCCAGTGGGTTGATAGAGGCAGAAATGACTTCAACCATGATGTGGTCTCCTCGTTGCATCTGTTCATCATGCTGCGGAGCCAAGGCCTCTTCCGTGTAGCGTAGATTCTTCTCCAGTCCTCCCTGGACAGAGGTATACTGTACAGCGCGCATTCGTTGAGCCATACTGCAAGGATGTGGGCAAGTTGTGACAGTAGATTTTGCGGTGAACCTTTCCTATATGCAGATTGCAGAAGAGCGGCACTGGCGCGTACATCAATGCATGTTGCTTTTCAACCCACGTCATGGTTCAACGGTTTCTCGTGTCTCAGTACTGCCACACACGCAGATCACTATTAACGATAGGCGGAGAATATACTTGGGGCCGAACGGCCAAAGTCGATAATCATTCAGTCTACAGAGCATGGCGTATTGTTCGCGCTGGGCTTAGCTGAAGTGGAATTCTGTTTGTCAACGGGTGACGATGTGGTTTTGGCGCAATCTCGCGGCTCTCACAGCCAACAAACGCCCATGTTTCGACTACGCATTCCGCTTTTCGGTGTTCGGGTCACAGTAATATCTCTGGAGAGTAGCTCAATGATTAAACGATCACGAACCGCTTCATATCTAGCACCAGAGGATGTCCCAAGTTCTATTAAAGCACTTGCTCAAGCAACATTCATGTTGACATCCGGATAAAAAAACAATTCAAGGATACAACACATCCTTACTCCACTCTTTACCGGCATTCAAAGTCTCATATCGCAATCTCTGATGCATGCGGTCTGTCGCACCTTGCCAAAATTCAACACTACGGGGTGCAACGGCGAATACAGTCCATCCAGGAGACACATATTCTGGTTCCGACTTCATCTTCTCTTGTGCATTGCAAAGCTCTCGTTGCAGCTCTCCCGCATCTTCCAATATCTCACTTTGCTTCGACGCCAGAGCTGTGACCTTCGACCCAATCGGCCGCTCCAGAAAGTCATTGGCACTCTCCGCAGCCGGCAACTGAGTGGCTGTACCTCTGATGCGGATCTGGCGGCCGACGTAGGGCCAGTAGAACGTCAACGCGACCGCAGGGTTGTTCAGAATCTGTCTGCCTTTGGGGCTGTCTGCTTTGATTGCAAAATGCCATCCGCGATGGTCAAGGTTCTTGAGGATGAGAACTCGAGCATCCGGATATCCGTATTCGTCGACTGTCGAGAGAGTCATGGAGTGGGGTTCCTTGATGTCATTGTCGATTGCATCTTTGAGCCAGTTGATGAAAGCTTCATGAGGGCCCGGTGGAAACGTGCTAAGATCCAGCGGACGGAATGGGCCTTTAAGCGAAGGCAGACCTCGAAGAAGAGCTTGAGTAGTGGTCATGATAGTCTGAATCAAAAGCTCGTGGAAAGACGGGTGACAAGTGTCAAGCTGTATCCAAGTGAGAGACACTGCTTGCGTCTGGTGCGATACGAGGTGAGTCATCACAGCCCATATTCACCCCATGGGAAGTTTGGCGTTCTGTTAGCATTGTTTCAACATTGCAAATGTCAATCTCCAGAAACATGACCAGAAGATGCGCTGCGATCACGAGTGACACTCGGGTGCAACTCCCTGTAGAAGTCTCGAGTTGTAAACCCGTCGAGCGTTAAGGTAACTTTCAATACATGCACTTGTCGAGCTACAGATCTTTGTACATGTGCCGGATGGCGCTTTGTTTCCGGCGCTGACCCGAGAGGAGTAGAGGACTACGCAGTAGCGTGACGAGAAGTTCAATCATTTCCTCGCTGGATCAACTGATGGTGGAGGTTCCAGAGTGCTACTGATGCATCTCGGGGGAGACTGCGGGCAAATGTGCCTGGCCAAAGCTCTGCTACCCTTGCGCTTGGCGTCGACTCCGGATCTGCGGACAGTTTCTTGAAGGCTTCCTGTTTGGGTGAAGACTGGAAATTTTCAAGACTTCACAACATTCTGTTAGTTCGAAGGAAAAAAGGTCAAAATGGCTGACGATGGTATGCTTCTGAATTTCGCGGTCGGCGATAAGCCATGGGCCCCGAAAACTACAGCATACACAGGTGGTCGCTGGAAGGATCGTTTGACGGCGAAGAAGGCCTTGCAATACGGGCAGAACAAGAGCAACCCGGACTACAAGAAAGAGAACGATGCGAGGAACGACGTCCGCTCAGGATCAAACTCGGAACCGCGGCCATTCAAGCGCCAGAAGACCGACGGCGGCGAGTACAAGCCCACACACACTACTGGTCGCACCGGCCCTAGAGACAGCAACAACGCCCCCAGACAGCGCCCAAAGGAGGTCATCTCCTCTCTGTTCACGTACAACCCCTCCGCTACGACCGCTCCTGTCGAGGAAGAAGAGGAAGCAGAAGATGCGGAACCCGTACAACCCTCTAACGCTCCTTTGAGCTCGGAGCTGGACACTTTCCTGTCGCTAGGTCTATCCGCAAACGTAGCCCGCCACTTGCTTGAAAAGATGGGCATCAAAGCCCCGACAGCCATTCAGGCAAAGGCTGTGGCACAACTGGTAAAGGACGACTCCGACGCTTTCATCCAGGCCGAGACTGGTTCCGGTAAAACACTGGCATACCTTCTTCCTATCGTGCAACGTTTGGTGACTATGTCGGAGACTGCGAGAAAAGCAAATGGCGGTACCGGTGGTCTCACGCGAGACTCTGGTCTGTTCGCCATCATCTTGGCCCCCACTCGCGAACTCAGCAAGCAGATTTCAACTGTCCTCGAAACTTTACTTGGCGCTGCTCACTGGATTGTCGCTGGAACCGTCATTGGTGGAGAGAAGAAACAATCAGAGAAAGCGAGGTTAAGAAAGGGCCTGAACATCCTTGTCGCCACCCCTGGTCGCTTGGTCGATCACTTGGAGCACACAGAGAGACTCGATGTAAGCAACGTAAGATGGCTAGTACTGGACGAAGGTGATCGTCTGATGGAGCTTGGTTTTGAGAACGACATTCAGAAGATTGTGTCTTTGATGAATCTTCGTATGCGAAAGGTCCAGCAACCTATTCCCGGACTACCCGAGAAACGAACAACCGTCTTGTGTTCTGCAACCATCAAGATGGACGTTGAGAGACTGGGCAATATCGCTCTGAAGGAAGCTGTGTCAATATCTGCTGAAAAGCCTAGAGATGCAGAAGACGCGGAAAGCAATGGCCACGCCTTCTCGGCGCCGGCTCAGTTGAAGCAATCGTACGCAGTTGTGCCAGCCAAACTGAGACTGGTCACACTTGCCGCGCTTCTACGAAGGTCGTTTGCCAGGAAGGGATCTGTCATGAAGACCATTGTCTTCATGTCATGTGCTGACTCTGTCGACTTCCACTTCGAAATTCTAACACGTGGTGGAGAGAAGAAAATTACTGGATCTGAGGCCAAAGAGGAGAGAAAACTGAACCCCGAACTATCCGAGCTGAACAAGATGAACCCAATCACAAGTACTGCGAGGAAGGAGAAAGAGAAGGAATTGTCGAATTACGAGAAGAAACTCGCTCCAGGCAAGATCAGACAAGGAGGCTCAATTGACGACGCGTGCACCGAGGCTATCTCACCGATCATATCGGGCAAAGATAACGAAGTCTCAATTTTCCGTATGCATGGTTCGCTTCCGCAAAACATCCGTACCTCTACACTAAAGGCTTTCACAACCAACAAGGATGCTTCGGTCATGATATGTACAGATGTCGCTTCTCGTGGTCTGGATCTTCCGAACGTCGACTTTGTCATCGAGTACGATCCCGCATTCAGCAAAGATGACCATCTCCATCGTATTGGTCGTACAGCTCGTGCAGGACGTGATGGACGGGCTCTGATTTTCTTACAACCGGGCAACGAGGAAGGCTACGTCGATGTCTTGAAGGAAGGCCGAAGAGACGCAGGACATGGTCTTACTCGTCACGACGCAGTCGAGCTGCTGAAGAAGGGTCTGACGCCAACCTCAGGTACAGTCTCTTCTGGTCGTGAGTGGGAGGAAAAAGCAACAGACTGGCAACTGGATGTCGAGCGATGGGCACTCGAGAGCCCAAAGCATCTCGAGCAAGCCCGCCGCGCATATCAAAGTCACATCCGTGCCTACGCTACCCATGTGGCTGCCGAAAGAGGATTCTTCAACATCAAGACCCTTCACCTCGGTCATTTAGCAAAGGCTTTTGCGCTCAGAGACAAGCCTGGTAGCATCAAGGTGCCAGGTCTTCGTCCTGGCAAGGAAGAAGGCAAGAAGTCCAAGGACTCTCGCCACAAGGCCAACGTTAAGGGAGCAAAGGGCTCGGGTGCAAAAGCAACGGCGCCAGACGGTGACGATGCTCCACAGATGAATGACGCTCAGGAAGCGGCAAGAATCATGCGCGCAAAGACAAAGGCCATGATGGGAGGTGGTGCTTCGGAATTCAATCTTGGTTAATGACCGATTTCTTAGCGTAATTCTTCTTCTCCTGGTCAATAGATATCCCAAAGCGAAACCTTTCCGTCTTTTGATCCAGCAGCTATCCAGTGTGTCGTTTGAGCTTTGGTCTTGCGTCTCTCACCAACTGTCTGGAGTGTTGTAGAGGCTTGTTCCTGATCGCTACCCACTCGGTCATCTACCGGGGTCTGGGCATCTTCTGGAAACAGGTCTGCGAACGCGAGAGCGTAGCAGCCTTGCTTGTGCCATTTGAGCACAGCAAGTTCACGCAGCGTCTTAGCCGAATAGACACGCACACACCCGTCCCATCCGGCCGTAGCAAAGATCCTATCGTCAGATCTGACATGCAGAGCCTGCTGACCGGAGTGTTTCGTTTCCATCGCCTTCACAGGCCGGCATGCGGTGAGGTCTGCGAGGGAGTAGCTAGCTATAGTAGCGTCTGCAGCAGATGTGTAGTATCTGTCGAGAGACTTCGCAGCGTCTAGCGACAATATCGGCTGACTATGGCTCTTAGTGGAGGAGAGCAAGGTCCATGTACCCTGATCAAACCGCCATACACAGCAGTCACCGCCTTCATAACCTGCTATCAAGACGAGCTTGCTGGTGTGAATCATGATTTTGACACACATAGCCATACCTTTGTTTTGATGTCAGTCGTGATCAGGTTGGATAACATAAGCAGGAAGTACCTAATTTGACGGTCTTGGGTGCACAGACGGTGGTGAGTCTCAATTTTGAAGGTAACGAATAAACGTCAATGTCGCCTTCGCGATCTCCTGGCACAGCTACGAGGAGGGCAGTGTCATTGGCTTCAGGGAATAGTTGTGCAGCTTCTGATGGAGAGGCTTTGCAGGCGGAAAATGCACAGAAATTAAGGGTATTCACTGATATGGTATGCAGTAGCCATGGCTCGTGGCGAGGCGTAACGGAATCTTCTATGGGTAGAACAACAGAGAAGGTAGGCTCGTCAGAATGCTTAAGTTGCCAAACACGCAACTTACCGTCTCTCCCATGTCTTTCGTTATTATCAGTACTGTGGGAAGCAAATGAAAAGTGACATGTGTCCGGGACTCACGTAATCAGCCTATCGTCTGGCCATGTAGACAAGGCTAGAACAGCAGCAGAGTGACCCCTCCATACAGCGACAGGTCGCTTGGTAGCAAGGTTCCATAGGACGAGCCAGCCCTCGGCATCACCAGTCAGGAGGCGGGTGTTATGGCGCACAAAGCAAACGCTGTGAATCTGTGCATTATGACCTCTGAGCACATAGGCTGGCTGTGCAGGAGGCAGGGTGGAAGATTGTAAAAGGGCCATGTTAACTTTTGAGTGGTTCTTGTGAGGCGCTCAGGTACGAATCATGAGAGGTGGTTGGTAAGATTGACAGGTGACAGCGGGAAGGCGCTCTCAAGTAGGCTCAGATTGCCAGTTGAGCAACCAAGGGTCTGGAGGCAGGTAGCCGAAAAAGGCAGCGGGCGACAGAGTGTTTTGAGGATGTGATTCCAACTTTGCAAGCGACAAACTCAGCAGACTGCATGAGGCAGCAGGTCAGGTAGGCAGTGTGCATAAACAAAAGCGAGATACGATCAGTCGAGGAAGGAGAAGCTAGTGGAGAGCAGGATCAGGATGCAGGAAAGGAAGGAGCAGAAGCGGAAGCGGAAGCGAGGGCCCGAGCTCACGAACGGCGACGGAGGCATGTGCAGACGTGCTTCAACTCGGCAGTAGATTCCCACCTTTGCATCGTGCTTTTGAGTTCAACCAGCACCTTCATGTTCTGAGGCCATCTTTGTCGAATCAACCTGTTGTATAGCTCGTGCTGTGGTGCGAATAGCGTCGCCAAGTAGACGCGACTAGGCCAAGTATCGAGTCTTGGGCCTGCACGCAACGACGCAAGAAACGACCACTGTTTCCCATCCGACTCGACACGACCAAAGTCGACTCAGCGACGCTCCCGGCCAGCCAGCCGACCGAGTCCAAGCGACAAGGACCAGTCTCATGACTGCGCCAACGGGCAATGGCGACGCGCCTGTGGCCGACACAGCAGCGGCCGTGGTTAGCAAACCAAAGCGCGTCCGGACGGGATGTTTGACGTGTCGCGAGCGCCATCTCAAGTGCGACGAGGGAGCTCCCATATGCCAGAACTGTCGCAAGTCCAATCGCCAATGTAAACGCGGTCTGCGCCTCAACTTCATCGATACAAACTGCCAAGGGCCTCCGCAGAAAGCCCCCACGCTCGAATGGAAGGTCGACTTTATGGACGAGTCCCGCGACATTGCCTCCGAGTATGTCGGAGGTATGGAGAAGTACAGTGCAAAGGACACGCGCCCGTCGCGACCCTCGATCGTCCAGCAGCACCTACAGCCCGCTGATATGACGGCCATGCCCATGTTCGAATATAATCCAGCTGCTGTCGCTCACGCCCATGCTCAGGCTCAGGCTCAGGCTCAGGCCCAGGCGCACGCTCAAGCACAACATGCCCATGCACAAGCACAGGCTCATGCTCACGCGCAGGCCCAGGCACATGCTCAGGCCCAGGCTCAGGCTCAGGCTCAAGCCCATGCTCAGGTCCAAGCTCATGCCCACGCTCAAGGAGCTACTCCGTCTGCTCCCAACATGTCATATCAACCACTACCATCAATTCAGGGCATGCTTCCCGAGTCATACCCTTCGGCCGACGATCACAAGTACGACGCCTTCAATCCTTCAAACCACGCAAACCAGGACTCTCCCTTCTCGAACCAACAGAGAAACTCCATATCAGCCTATAGTCAGCAGCAAGACCAAGAAGATGCCACCGAGGGTAGGCGCGAATTTCTCACTACGCAGGAGGAGACTTTGTTCATGCAGGTCTTCGTCGAAGAGGTTGGCCTCTGGATGGACAGTATGGATCCTATGAAACACGTGCGTACTCGCCCTGTGTCTGCTTCTCAGGCTCCCCGCTAACCCTGATAGTTCTCACGTCTGCTACCGTTCCATTCATTGGGGGAACCCATGCTGCTCAACGCCTTTCTAGCTTGCGGTGCTCGTCATCTGGTGCTTGTCAACTCTGCTTACAGTGAGGAGAAGGCCCTGCATTACTACGACACTGCAACGAGGTATTTGCTCAAGAATCTTCAAAATCCCAACCGCGACACCATCGTATGTGCTACTACTGCTGTCATCCTGAACGTCTATGAGATTATGAGTGAACGCGCTCTGCAGAGAATGAACCATATCGCTGGCGCTCGTGCTCTGATCAAAGAATGTGGCTGGAACGCCCGCTCATCCGGAATTGGTGCCGCCTGCTTCTGGCTTAATGTTGGACTTGAGGTGTTGAGTTGTCTTCATTTCAACTGGCAGGTCGCTTGGGATCCAGACGACTGGGGCATTGACATGGATTTCAACCGCGAGATACACAACGGCCGAGAGGAAATCTGGACTCACCGTATGCTCTACATCGTCGCAAAGGTTGCAAACTTCAGAGCCACCATACCTCGACACCAGGAGCAGGATCAACGAGACGAGGAGATGCGTCGCCAGAACAGATACGGTGAATGGCAAAAGCTAAAGTCCTGGACTGATGCCTGGAACGACAACATCCCACGTACTATGCATCCTATGGCCTATCTCTACCCTCAGCATACCTCGTCCAAGTCCTGTTTCCCCGAGGTATGGCTGATCAAGCGTACGACCATTGTCGCTCGTCTGTTCTATCACACTGTGATGGTCCTCCTTTCACAAATACACCCATACTTTGGTCTCGACAATCCTGAGATGCACGACATGCAGCATCGCCATTCCCAGATGATCTGTGGCATTACTGCACATGTTAAGGACAGGTAAGCGAGCACGCCCACTCTGTAGCCACGCTCTATACTAACCAAATAACCAGGGGTGTTGCCAGCGTAGCTATCCGTTCATTGGCCCACGCTGCCGAGTGCTTGACCGACCGCCGCGAGCAGGAGGAAGTGCTTCAGATTTTCCAAAAGATCAACAAGGAGACCGGATGGCGCATCGCTTTCGTGTTTAAGGAGCTCAAAGAGAAATGGGGCTGGACTGACGAAACGCAGCCGCCGCCACAGCCAATCGCTTCTGTTCACTCCACGTCGTTACTTACGAGCCCTGTGCCGATGCAACAACCATATGGACAGTATTCGGCCGCCATTACGCCCGTCGCTGCACCTGCGTCCACGCAAGCCCCAGCAGCTTCCAGACGTCCGCCAGCAGGTATGGTGAACCCAATGTTTGCCAATGCCGATTTCACCATGCCATCCCATCCATACCAGAATGTGTATGTGGCACCAAATCCCGTCACCAATCAGTCTGCGCTGTATTATCAGGCTTAGTCCACAACACTTTGTGCGAGATCACTCTAGCCATCATCTATTCTGGCAGAGATTCCATATTGATACCCGGATCTGCGGTTCTTTGATTCTATCCTTATTTAATCGTTTCGCACGACTGTTGACAAAAGTCGCGTAATGTCTCAGTGGAAGTCCGCTCAGAGGACCGGTGAAACCCCGATGTGATCATGTCTGATGAACGAAAAGGAAGGGACGGGTAGCTCTAATCATGCGGCGTTTCATGGTGCATTAATGATATTTGATTACTGGTTCTCCGCTGCTTCTCGACAGCTTAAAAAATCGTTGTTTGCTTTAGTAGACCATATATATACCCCTTGTGTCTTTTCAAACCAACTATTTTCAATGCTAGACGTGCAGGTGTCTTCGTACCCTTGCAAAATCACAGTCTTCGCCCCCTTTGACAAACTCCATTCTTCGATCCCCCTGCATCTCACCCATTGAACTGTAATCGGTCAACTTCTGAAGAGGTTGAATAGACTGCTTCCTCCAGCGCCACCCTCGCCGTGACGCTTCGCTTCCGTTTCGATCCAGTTGATGAGAAACTGTCTGTTCTTCATATCATCCACCTTATGGACTTTTGTCTCCAGCTGAGCCTCCTGTCTATCAAAAGCCAATAAAGTTGGCAGCGAGTTGACCTGCAATCGTTAAAATCCCGTCGCTTATCAATATTCGATGAAGAGAAAAACTAACCTGATATCTCAAAGCCAATTCTCCCAGAGTTGGTGAGTCGAGCTCAATCTCGGCATACGAGACACCACCTTGAGCTTCTCCAACGCCTTCATTGATGAGTTCTTTGAGCAGTGGGGCGATGACTTTGCAGGAGGGGCACCATGAGGCGGACCAGAGGGTGATTAGAGGTATGCGGCTGCTGGATGAGAGCAAGTTCAAGGTCTCGAATTCATGTTCATAGCGCACGCTGTGGGATCATTAGTACTTTCGGTCTTCCATTGAGGTTCTTGGTTACAAGAGTAGAGCTCACGAGTTGTAGAGACGATTCTTTGCTGCCTTTTTAGGTGCAGTGGAGGTATATGAACGCGTGAAGTTCTGGATGTAGCTTCGCGGCAGGGTTGCCACAAAGCGTGTTCTTGCCAATGCTGCAACTACCATGATTAAGACCCGAGAGAGTGTACGGGTGTTGTTAATCGATAGGTGGTCAATCAGACTAATACTGGGCCAGTGTCGGTCGCGCTGTGCCTTGCATGGAAAGAAGAGCATATACGTCACAGGTTTTCCCCACAAATACTTCCTTCCGTTTTGAGCTTCACATGCGGCTTCCCTCACAAGCATCTCGGTATGTCTCATGCCGAGCAAGTGGCTGGATGCTTGTTCGTACCTATGAAGATCTTGACCTTTACTCAGACTTCTCCGCAATGGATCTACAGTATCACTGCAAAGTTCCATTGCAATGATTGGAGCGAAAATACACCATATCTTTTGTGCCGTGCAGTGAGGAGTTGCTGCATTTCTGGAAAATGGTATATAACAAGCATGAAGCTACCGTTGAGGATGGTCCATAGCACTATCCCTTTCTTTGCTGTTGAGGATGGTTTCTATCAAGTTCTGGTCCCTTGCCACTCTCATTACTCCACTAGTATCTGCTGGTGGAGGTGTTCATTATTCCAAGCATGGCAATCGACCCCAATGCACCGTCCTCGCGAACGGCGGCACCACCAATGATGTACCAAATATCCTCAAAGCATTCAGCAAATGTGGTAATGGAGGGGACATCACGTTCCCCGAAGGACAGAATTACTATATCGCTTCAAAGTTGAACCCGACGGTGAATGATGTGAACATCAATTGGCAAGGTATTTGGACGGTATGCCACGTGGTATCACCAAAGAGGAGATATGCAGTACTAATACGATGCTAGTTCTCTCCTGACATCGAGTACTGGAGACGAAACAGCTCTACCTACCCTATTGCCTTCCAGAATCATGCTGCCTCGTTCATTTTGACCGGCGATCATATTCGCATTAATGGATACGGGACAGGAGGCATACACGGGAATGGCGATGTCTGGTAAGTGCCGACTCGTCGAAATGTGCAATACATCTTGCTGATCACAACAAGGTACACCGCAGAAGCAGGACACACCGTTCCGGGAAGACCCATGCCTTTCGTGTTCTGGAACGTCTCGGACGTGACTGTCAAAAAGTTCTTCATCATTGATCCACCATTGTGGAGTTTCAACATCATGAACGGCACTAACATGTGGGTCGACGAGCTGTACTGTAACGCCACTGCTACACAGGCAAATGCGAGTCAGAACTGGGTACAAAATACGGATGGGTTCGGTAAGTGTGTTGAAGATTTTATACACAACCAGCAAGCGGGCTGATTTGATATAGATACAATGGACTCGAAGAACGTCCGGCTCACCAACTTTGTATATCAAGGAGGTGACGACTGTATTGCCATCAAGCCCAGGTCCTCAAACATCTTTGTTCAGAATGCGACATGCAGAGGCGGGAATGGCATGGCGATCGGCAGTCTAGGGCAATACCTCGAAGACAATACGGTTGAAAACGTGGTCGTGGATGACGTGAAGGTAGGCCCTGTCGTCGAGCACCGAAGAAGCGTAGCAACTGACTTCCAGGCAGATCATCCGATGGAACGAAGATATGCACGGGTCTGTTCTAATCAAAACGTGGGTCGGCGCCTTGGTCCCCCAAAATCCATCTGCCAATGGCTACTACGAGAATGGCGGGCAGGCGCGAGGAGGCGGCTGGGGATCCGTCCGCAACGTAGTCTTCTCAAACTTCCAAGTCGAAGGTGCGGACGCAGGACCGACAATTGATCAAGGATCGGGCAACAATGGCAGCTACGCAGGCACGAGCTTGATGGACATAAGCAATGTCGTGTTTGCCAACTTCAGCGGCTGGCTCTCTGGCAAAGAGACCAAGGAGCGTACGACGAGCGTGAGTTGCTCAAAGGTGCATCCTTGTTTCAATATCGACTTCGAGAATGTCACTCTGACAACGGCTTCGAACTCGACGAGCACAGGAACGAGCAGCTGTAGCTACATCTCGCCAGGAGGAGTGCACGGCGTCTCGGGGAGTGGGTGCTCTTGAGGGGTTTTTTGCCGTCTAGTGAACAGGTCGGGAGGGGGGTATATATGTATTAGACCAGAGGAGTAGTGGTAGTGGTCGGCGCATGTGTCGTGAGGATGAAATGTAGACGAAATAGAGTGAAGAGTTGTTCGTATCTTTGTTCTTCTACAGGGACTTGTCGCTTGACTGGTCGTCTTGGCTGGCGTGGCGGTCTCGCAAGGTCTGTATGATGATTGTGGGCTTCTGTCGTGGTTCCTGAGGTTTGAAGCCCATGGCTTGACCGATGAGACCGCTGGGCTTGGGTACAGGACACTCGCGCTTTGGGCGGGTCGTGTCGGTGGAGTCGCTGTCGTCTTGTTGCTCAGAGTCGGGCACGGCAATTGTCTGCTTGCGGCGTCTTCGTCGTCTGGGTTCACCGTCTGGCGAAGCACTGTCGGCCACTTGTGTCTTGTCGACTGGACACGGGAGAATGTGAGGAGCGGCCACGACGGCGAAGCAAACAGCGAGACACCCGCTGAAGAGCGACATGGTCGACCGCGAGCGCGGATGGAGGTGGGCAACCATTGTGGACGAGGTCGTGTCGTGTCGTGTCTATTCCACAATCATGGCGCGAGCGACTGGGAAAGTGTGCATGCTGCTCTGCACGGAAGAATGCACAAAACTTTAATCCGCCATGCTGTGTTATGCGCTCCCGCTCTCCGCAAATTACGCCTATTCATTGGCCAATTCCTCTGGCCCAATCCCACCCTGCTCCAGCATCCTCCTCTAAGAGAGGTTAATGTGACCATGCAGCTCGTCCTGAATGCGCTTGATTGAAGCATATCTCTGCTCTTCCCCAACTGGCTTTATCACCGTCACGGTCTTCTGCTACTCCCGCCTTCACCGTGCGCTGTCTGCTGATGCCTCTCTGTCCGGCTGCAACCTTGTCGTCTTGAGCATGAGTGGAATCGCCTTGATCAATCATTGGACAACATCTCGAAATAGATGCAAATTCTGCTATACTGATAGCCCGAGTGGCTACTACTGCTACATATTGAATAAGTCTCGTAAAGGATCGTATGGTCATGTCACGCAACAATGATTCCACCTCTAATCATCTAGAGGTCAATCATTCTCTCGACGAAAGGCTCGAATCTGGCCTTGAACTCCTCGACGCTGAGCTCCTTCTCGCTGAACCAGTTGGAGCTTCTGAGCTTGGCGCTACCGAGCTTCTTAGGAGGAATCAAAACATCGCTGACAACCTGGATTACTCCATCGGCCGCAATGCCATCCTGAACACTGACGCGAGAGAAGGCATTGACCTTGATATCGATCAAGCCACCGTATCTTCCAACATCGATTGAGAGAGAGTGGTCCTCGAGTGCTGTAGGAAGGTCGACGTGCCAGTGACCCTTGGGAATGCCATCCTGGGCATCAGCCTTGATGAAGGCATCGCTGTATAGAACGTTGTCGGGAACAGTCTAGTTCATGTCAGTATAAATCAGCTACATATAGGATCACTTTACACTTACGTGGTACAGAATCAGAGCCTTGAGGTACTTGCGCCCATACTCGCTGAAGAGGAATCCGTTGATCTTAGGTCCAAGCTTCTGGAAGGCGAAGTTGGAAGGAGCGAAAAGGGTACCGCTGGGGTGGTCGGTGCTGTTGTATGCATCGAGGAGACCAGTCTTGCCGAGAGCCAACTCGAAGGTGGAGAACTCAGAAGGCAGGAGATCAATGATCTTGAAGGCTCTAGGAGGAGGAATCAGGAGGTTGTCGACTCCGTGAATGACACCGTTGGTGCCAAAAATGTTGACGGCAACAACACGAGAGTAGAAGTTGATGGTCAGACCTCTGAGACCGATGTGTACGCTCAATCTCTGAGCAGCCTTGCCGGGCAAGTGCTCGCCTTCCAAGAGAGTGGGGATGGTGTGGGTGATAAGGACTCTGCCAGCAGGGTAGAAGTCATCACTGATGTGGTACTCGATGAACTTCTTAATCGCCTCCTTGCTGGGCTTGTGGTGAGGGTGGTGATCAGGGAATGCCGAGTCCTTAGGCGCGAAGACGGTGAAGTTGCCAGAGTCAGTCGAGTTGAGCTTCTCAACGATCTCAGGGTACTCGCTGATCAGCTTAGAGAACTTCTCGGTGTATTTGGACGAACTGAGCAGCTGCCAGACAGTCTCGTTGGGCTTGTGGTCATGGTGAGGATCCTTGTGGTGGGGAGGTCCGCCGTGGTGAGGAGGGTGAGGGTGCTCATGGTGGTCCAGGGCGTCATATGCTTCATTGGTAGCAGACTCGAACCAAGACTTAGCATCGAACGCGGTCTCCTGGACCTTGCTTGTCATGGAGCTTCCAAAGTCCGAAGCAGTGCTGAAGGCTTCATCGAGGGCATGCTTAGCATTGCCAGATGCTTCCTTGACACCCTTCTCGGCCTCGAAGAAGTCATTCTTCAACTCGGATAGGACTTGCTCGGACCATGATCCCTGGTTTGCACGGGCATGCGTGGTGTCGTCAATCGCGAGCTCGCTAAAGATCTGCTCATTGGGGACGATAAAGGCGGTGCTTAAAGCAGCCAGAGGGAGGATGTGTAAGAACCTCATTTTTGCTTATGATATGGAAAGACTGTCCTACACGGATGGCAGAGGTCTGGCTGCCTAAATAGCTACCCAGAGAAGCCAAAATGTCAGCGTAATAGGGCCAAGCGATGACGAGACTTGACGTCCGCCTCCCCGCGGCTGGCGGCACAATGAGGTGATCGGATCCCTAGCTTCCGAGTACGCTAACATATGGCCAAAATCCCTTTTTGTTATGCGGCTGCCTAGCCACATGTTCTGGCATTTGTTCTATCTCTTCTTCCAACCTCCAAGACCAAAGCTGCGAGCTTCTCTGTCCTTGCCTCAGGTTGCCGTGAGGATTGACTGCAAGCAAGCCGTGTGGAGACCCCACAGCTTTACTTTGCCAAGTTCGTTACTATGTCCGGTGTTCCCAGCCTCCTCTTCCATCATGCATGTGTCCGAACAAAGTCTTATAATGAAGCTGAGATGAGCATCGCTTTCTAAACAGGTGATGCTGAAACGTTCATTTCCATTGATATTGCCCATTTTCAATGCTGACCCGCTCCGCCAACCGTTCCTGCCTCTCAAGAGTAGCCACTAAAAGCTTCGCGGCACAACCGTCTTTGACCAGACTTCCAAATCGATTTAACCAAGAATCAGATGTGCGGTGGCTGCTCTCTCCTTCTGGTGACGCGTTCTTCTTGGAGACTGATTTGCAAGTCTTCGAGCTCTTGAGCTACTCTCATACCAGTTCTACTGCGTGGCTTGATGCGGCTCATGAATACAGTCCAACCTTTGACAGCTCAAAGTCCTCCGACAGCTTTGACGTGAAGGCAAAACATCTGCTCTGAACATGACCATGAGTGGTTCTCCTTGTTCGAGCTACTGCTGCCGAATTGTGAACCGTTGTTCGAACGAACTGGTTTGCTTCTTCCAACCTTCAAGTATGTGTTGATGATTCATCACACGAATCTAGGGCTCTCGCACGCGAGACACGGCAGCAACGGGTGATACCCAGGTCAACATGATTTTGGCGCATGAGTAGTGCGACGTCTCCACTTGACGAATTGCAGACGATTCAATGTGACTATTTGCCTGTTGGCGGAATTAAACAATATTTTGTATTCATACCAAATGCTATGCAGTAATTGATCAAGCATGGGCCTTCTGCTCATTTCTTCCTCCACGACCTCCTCCACGTCCACCGCGTCCATGGCCACGACCACGCTTGCTGCCACCGCCTCTTCTGTTGAGCGAGAAGTTGATCTTGACCAAAGGCTTCTGCACCCATTCTACAGACTGAATGCCCAATCTCTTCTTCTCTTCCTCAGGAAGTTTCCACGCTTGGAAGACTCCCATCAAGTTTTGCGAGTCTTGCGTGCCTTCATTGTGAGATTCAACTTTGACATCTCTAAGTTCTTCAACCCATGTGCGGATGTAGTCGCCTTGCGAATCGTAATCCAGGGCTTGCTTGATGGGGTTGAACACGCGCTGTTCACCGCGAGGGTCGTTGCCCACCCCGGCTACGTATTGCCAATTACCCCAATTGCTTGAGAGATCATAATCGATCAAGTTCATCTCGTACCACTCGGCACCAATGCGCCAGTCGACACCTAAATGCTTTGCCAAATAGCTGGCAACATTTTGTCTTGCACGGTTAGAGGTGTATCCAGTCAAGAAGAGCTCACGTTGACTAGCGTCGATAAGACCAGTGCCGGATCGCCCTGTGACGAAACGCATGACAGCTTCCGCAGTCGCGTCGTCGTTGCTTCCACCCTTGTTCTTCTTGTCGGTTGAGTCGCTGAAAGGGCTAGAGATGTACTTCCACGAAGCGTTCTGGTCATTCCTGAAGCCTTCCACGTGGAAGAGACGAGGTCCAAACTTGCGTGTGCAAAGTCGCATGTAGTCTCTCCACAAAAGCTCGAACCGTACAGCAGCTGTTCCCTTATTTTCTCCCTTTCCGTAACCAGGAGCATCCTTTCCTAGTGGAGTCTTGCCGTCCTCGAAATCAATTAGCTTCCAGTGGACTTGGCGTGCTGTGAAACATCCGAGAGCCAACCATGCAGACAGTTTCGTGCTGAAGTCCTGACCTAACAGTCCATTGCGAGTATCCTTGTATGCAGTCATGCTTCCGCTCTCAATCAAATGGTCGATACGCTCGATTCCTGACTTGGAACCACCGATATAAGGGTGTGCAGATTCGGCACCTTTGGGCCACTTTGCCACATTAGGAATGCCGTTGTCGTCTCCGAGAGGCTTGGTTAAAGCGGTCATAACGCCTTCCAGAGAGTCGGGGATCTCAAAAGGTTCCGACTGCTCAGGAACATGGGAGGGGAGAGGAGGTAGAGAGGATGGTGTCGGGAGGACTTTTCGGGGTGCGGATCTCAATGGTTCCACAGTCTTTCTGTAAGCAGTGAAGACATCGTTCAACTGACTCGGGTCTTGCAACGGGACGTCGCGACTGCAATTGACATGTTAGCTTTTCGCGTCTAGGCATCATCCATGATATCACTTACTCGTCCACGAGATACTTCTCGTCGACCCAGAGCTTGAACTCGGAGTCGTACTGTTTGCAAAGCTTCCTGACATCCTTTTCTTCCCTCTTCTCCTCGACACCTTCTTCATTGGTCATCCATACGCCTGCAACATCCACCTCGTTGTGTTCCTTGTAGCTTTCCAAGATGGTGCGGACGGCATCGTGAACAGTGCCAACACGTACTTGTAGATCGCTGCCAACTCTTTCTAAGTCCTTCTTCAAGTCCCACACACTTTCTGCCAGGAACTTGGCCCTGAGTTTTCCGCATCGCCAGAAACCGCTGACTGGTGCTCTGGCTTCTGGGTATGGCGACTTCTTGGACGAATCGGAGATGAAGCCAGAAACCTCGATTTGGTTGGCAGGAAATGTGTAGACAGGGAGGAAATGCGTGAATGGTTGTTGGGACTGCTGGAAGAGGCGTGAAACTTCGTGGAATATGGGATTATCGGCGAGTCGAAGATCGCGGCGTAGCACGTAGATGAGAACGCGCGCTTTGGGAGACATGCTTCTTCAAGTCTCGACGGACAGAGTGAGAGATGGAATACGAGGTTTTCAGATGTTGGGTCGCAAAAGGTGAGCGAGAAGGTGTGTTGGATAGAACAAATGATATTAAGAGTATTGGAAGGCTAGCGGTCGGTGCTTTGTTTCCAGAATGGACGATGTCATGGGTCAATACATGGCGAACGATTAGCGGTAGAGTATGCTAAAAAGTATGTGAGGCGAGCATATGTCATCAGTCTCCAGAAGACGATTCGGTGCTCGCGAGGGAAGCGAAAAGCGACCCTTTGCCCACAAAACAGCAGAGCATGGAGATCAAGCAACGACTGGCGGTGCGCGAGTACCGGAAACCAGTGAATTGTGTCTGAAAAGGGAATGGTGAATGTGATCTGAAGAGACACGAGAGGGCCGGTGCGATCGGGGAGATTTCTCATGACACTCGTTGACGGAGAGAGGGGCCCTGACGAACGTTGGCACCTAGAGCAACTTACGCTTGGAGTAATTCGCATGCTCCGACACGCTGTTACCTGCAGGTTTAGATCGAGCCTAGACAGAATGTGGTTTGGAGATCGTCGAACATCGTGGTTGAATCTCACCGATGCACACATGCCCGCGATCTCCGACGTTGTGTCCGGGCGTTTGTCTCACACGCTCCATCTGCGCCACGATTCACCAGGGCTGTCGCGTAAAACCACGTGAAATGGTTGACTTTATCCTGCTTTGACGTGTTGCTGTTGTGCGATATTGAGTATTGCTATGTCCTGCTATACAACAAGCATGCGTTTACCTGTGGGAGAAGAATAGTAAGGTTAGGTAGTACGTAGAGATCAAGTATGCTCGGACTTGGCTCCGGGGTATGACGTTTACTTGTATCTCGAGATAGAACTTGAATAGCCATTAAAGCTGGACCAAATTATGGCGATGAATCTCGAATAGCGACTGGCTCTACCTACGAGAGCTTGTAGAGTACCTTCAACTGTGTCGCGAGTAAGTGCCCTGTGACTCGTATCAAATGTGTCGCCAGTGTGATTGTAGAGTCCTCTGATGTGTCACACTGCTATCCCATTTGTTGCTTTTGCGTTGCAAGCAACACTGCGCGAGTCATATGCATACCGGTACTTCAAAGATATGTATCGATTGAATCAGATGACGTACAATATGCCAGTGAGCTCTTCACATAATCAAATCTAGTCGCTGGAAGCACAAGATAGTATCACGAAGATTTAGCCAGGGTGATGGCACGAGCAAGCAATCTTGATCAGTGGGAGAATCCGCCAAGCGCGTGATGACGATCCCGCTGCATAATGGGTTCGCGAAAATATTGCTCGCATGATGGAAGAGGCACGACAATATCAACTTGGTATTCACTGTCCATAACATGCAAGCACTGTGTTTTGGAAGAGCGCCTGTGCCTTCACCTGCGGTTCTGAGGTTCCTGAGAATCCAAGCCGAATGCCTGTCATTTCTCAGCTCGCGTTCACAAATTCGCCGGAGCCATTACCATCTCGCGCCAGTCGCAACTCGATCACACGTCCTGATAGAATCACAACGCAGAGTATCTCTGACAGAAACGGGACAACGGACAACGGACTTTACGTGTCGTGGATTCCAAAGCAGCACAACTAGATCAAGATGGCAAAGGCCGTGGCAGCAGGCTCGACAAAAGAAGACAGCTCCGCTGCAACCAAACGACCTGCCACCTCTGCCCAGGTTACTTGACGATGCAGGAGCTGCCAGCCTGGGACGTATTGTAAAACCGACCAACGAGCTTAGGATGCGGTGCACTGAGTTTGACGGGGATGGCAGAGTCACACTGGTCAACGGCGCATTCAAGAAGAGTGAGCTGATAGCAAAGGTACGACTGCAAGGATGCCGCTTTCATCAAAGACTCCAAGCCCAAGCTGACAAGATCGTGCATAGTGTGGCCTCCTTCCTCGCGACCTTCGAAAAATCGATTCTGCTTCGTTGCCGCACATCCTCGTTCGCCCTTCTGCCATCCTAATCAAGATCCTGCACATCAGCTGCCTTATCAATCACAATCGCGTCTTAGTATTCGACGCCTACGGAACCACGGATTCCCATACCCAGTCCATCTTCATGTACGACCTGGAAGGCAAATTACGAGACGGGCGATCAGCCGGGACTCTGCCCTATGAGTTCCGCGCCCTTGAAGCTGTTTTGATCAGTGTGACGTCCGCTCTCGAAGGAGAGTTTGAAGGCGTGCGCGAACCTGTCGTGCAAGTGTTGAGAGAGCTCGAGGAAGATATTGACCGCAACAAGCTGCGTCATCTGCTGATCTACTCGAAAAAGCTGGGCACATTTGAGCAGAAAGCACGCCTAGTCCGTGATGCTATCGATGATCTCCTCGAAGCGGACGACGACTTGTCCGACATGTACTTGACTGAGCTGGCGAATGGCGTGACTCGCGAAGAGGATGACCATACCGAGGTCGAGATGTTGCTTGAATCCTACCACAAGGTGTGCGACGAGATCGTACAGGCAAGTAGCAATTTGGTCAGCAACATTCGTAACACGGAAGAGATGTGAGTGTGAGAAGAATCTCAATTGCCCAAGTCGTGGCTGACAAGTGTGACAGCGTCAAGGCAATTCTGGACGCCAACCGTAACTCGTTGATGCTCCTGGATCTACAGTTCACAATCCTGGCGCTCGGTATCGGTGTAGGAACCTTCTTCGCCGGTCTCTACGGCATGAACTTGAAAAACTTCATCGAAGAAACGGACTTTGGATTCCCACTGGTCAGCATATCTTGCGGCTTCTTCTGTATGGTTGCCATTGTCTGGGGCCTCAGGAAACTGCGAAAGGTACAACGACTCAGTATGTGGGGCGAGAGCGGTAGTCTTTCACCAGAGAACCCCGGTCGTCGCGGTCGGGGTAGCTGGAGGGAGATTGATCCCCAAAGCCAGCTTTCTGGCGAGCACAGAGTGGATCGTACTGTTCGCTGGAAACAAGACCAGCGGATGAACAAGCTGCAAGAGGGCTCTACCGAATCACTGTAGAGCGGTGATGATGTGATTGGATCTGGTCGAGAAATGGACCTTTGTACTACTAACTCGGCATCTGGCATGAAGATATCCTGTGTGGCATAGCGAGGCGTTCATGGGAGATTTTGTATTTTCAGCTGCCAGGCACATATGTATCGCCTCTCAATCTTGCATCACGAAGGGGGTGTTTATCTTAGCCGGCATTTAAGATCCAGATAAGCACATACCGAATGTCTCGAAGCGCACAAGATGAAGGCGACTGGACATGGTCATGGTCTAACAAAGGCGGCGACCGAGGTAGGAAGGTAGGTAAGATGATGCGGCGGCTTGGCGGGGTACCTGTGACGCAGCTTCGGCGTTCGTAAGTGGGAAAAACGATCGTCTTTCTGCAGGCACGAGGCTCAAGTCTTCCTAAACATTGTCTACCATATTTGGCTTCCCGAATACAGGACCCTCTGATCTGTCCCACCTCACACGACCTGCTCAATCTTGCGCAACCGTGAAGCGCACGAGGCCCTCGCCGCCACCACCCTCGTCGGCGCCTCCAATGGCCCCCGCCGACAAGCCTGCGCTCACGCAGAGACAGTCTTCGACACTGCACTATCAGACCTTCCCCACCTCACCGCCCACATCGCGTGGAAAGCCTCCAACTTCGCCCAACCCTTCGTCGTCCAACATCCACGCCGACGCTCAGTCCGGTCCTCAGGATGACAGCCAAAGCGAGACTCCGCTTCCCAAGGCCCAATTGGCCATCCTTGCCGTCATAGCTCTCGCCGAGCAGACTGCCCTCAACTCCATCTCGCCCTACCTGCCTGCGATGGCCTCTACCTTTCCAGAAGTCAAAGATGGCCAAGTCGGCTTATACGTGGGTCTGATAGCCTCGAGCTTTGCTCTGGCACAGTTCGCAACAAACTTCTTCTGGGGCTGGCTCAGCGACAGGATAGGCAGAAAACCCGTCGTTCTCATGGGCACCTTCTTGACTGCCGGCTGCTTTGTCATCTTCGGCTTCAGTCGGACCCTCTGGCAGGCCATCTTTGCTCAAACTCTCATGGGTTTGGTCAATGGGAACCAGGGTGTCATCAGCACATGCTTGGGCGAGATCACTGATCGAAGCAATCAAAGTAGAGCTTTTACCTACCTTCCCGTTGTCTACGGCATTGGCGGTATCACAGGTCCCCTGGTTGGCGGCTTGCTTGTCTTTGAGACGATACCTTGGAGCGGCAAGCCCAATCCATACCCCTACCTTGCCCCGAATTTGCTCAGTGCTGGTGTACTGCTCATAGACTTCATCCTTACAATGGTCTTCCTCGAGGAGTCTCTGGAAGAAGCCAAGGATCTGCCACCTCTCAACAGACGAGTATCCAATCTCTTTGCCTGGCTGTGGCAGTTCACTGGTAATGCAAGGAAACCTTCTTATGTCAGGCGCCGCGAGCAACACGAGAACTCGGCCTCTAGTGCGCGGAACGATGGTACCGAAGAAGACACTACCGATGACGAAAGCGACAGTGAATCGACCCATTTGTTTGGCACCGCAAACCATGAGACGCTTAGTAGCTCTGCTGTTTTCAACCGCGACACGATCCTTCTGCTCATCACTTTCCTCATCTTCCAGCTGTCTAACATCTCCTACAACTCGCTGTACCCCATCTTTGCGCAAGCAGTACCCCCCACCGGTCGTGGCTTGTCGCCCGAAGAGATTGGCCTCTCACTGGGCTTCGCCGGACTTGTGACCATTGTCTTCCAGGTCGGTGTGTTTGGAAAGCTTCGCGAGAAGGTAGGAAATAAGACTACTTACCGCGTTGGACTATTTGGCTTCGTCATCGCGTTCCTGCTCATGCCTTGGGTCGGGTACAAGGACGGCAAGGATGGAGCTGGGCACAGCACGCAAGCAGGCAAAGTATGGTTGTGGATTGAGCTTGGAGCTGTGCTTATCATCAAGACTGTGGCAGCAGTCGGTGGCCTTACTAGCGCCCTGCTTCTGGTAAGACCGAACGTGTCCTCGCACTAGTATGTGAATGCTAACCTTATGAATAGATTACCAATTCCGCGCCAAACCACTCGGTGCTAGGCACGCTCAATGGCCTTGCACAAACGCTTTCAGCCGCAGGACGTGCTGCGGGACCTTTCGTGTCTGGTTCATTATTCACTGCAGCAACACATGTACGACCCAAGGGCGAGGCCCTTGCATTTGGCGTATTTGGTGGTATCAGTCTTCTAGGATTCGTACTGAGTCTTGGAATTCGATCATCGAGCCTCGAGGCCGAAGGTTGGGATGAGAGTGACGAAGATGATGATGCTACGTCTGATGAGGAAGAGGTATAGATGACGGGTTCAGAATGTGTAAAAAATTGGGATTTCAGCGACGGCGTTGCTGGACGGTGTCATTGTTATTGGTCAGGCGATAGCAGTCTTGCATATATTGTGGATCTCTTTGGCAAATGTAATATAAGGACAAGAGGATGGTAGTAGTCACACAGCAAACGCGACGTCATTTCTGCAAGATTGTACAGCGAATTTGTGGTCTATCTGGAAGACGAGCAAGAGGTTGTGACTGTCGGTCTTCGCGAAAGTTAGATCAAGGTAAGAGACGAGGAAGTGGGGTGAAGAATCTGATTAGATGAAAAAGGAAGCGATAAGGCGCGCCGACCATCGGCGTCGAGCAAGACCCGCATGTAACCTGGCCGGGCATTGGGACTTTCTTGTCATTTGCAAAGCGAGCAGCTGCAGTTTTTCCCCTTGTACTCATTGGGTTGCTGCATGTTGGGCAGCGTGTGAAGCTATAATCTCCATCCACAAACGACAAAGCAACAAAGACAGCAATGTTGGCTCGTCCTTGTATGCGTGCCCTCGGCCGGGGCAGGGCCCTCCGCGTGTCGACGGCAGCGGCATGCAGAGCAGCAGTGCGTCCGGCTCTGGCCAGCGGCTATGCCACCGTGTCAAAGGGCGCTCGTCACGAAGAGACGTCGGCTCGTTCGGCCGTCATCAACGTGCTTCAGAACCTGGGATCCAAGCGTGAGTAATAGGTGCCACTCGAGATAGATGCGACGACAGAGACTGACGCAAGCGGGACCCGTCAGGCGAGGTTCAGCAATACCTCTCGCAGTTCCAGTCCGTCTCGTCACAGAAGTTTGCCGTCATCAAGGTTGGCGGTGCCATCCTGACCGACTACATCGATGTCCTCTGCAGTTCGCTGCGTAACCTCAACCAGATGGGCTTGTTCCCCGTCATCATCCACGGAGCCGGTCCCCAGATGAACAAATTGCTTGGGGAAGCTGGTATTGAACCTCAGTACAGCGAGGGAATCCGCATCACCGATGGTCCCACACTCGGCGTCGCACGCAAGCTGTTCCTCGAGGAGAACCTCAAGCTCGTCGAGGCTCTTGAGTCATGGGGCGTTCGCGCTCGTCCCATCACCTCTGGTGTACTCATGGCCGACTACAAGGACAAGGATACATGGAAGTTCGTCGGTGAGGTCAACCAGGTCAACACCGACCCTATCAACGCCGCAATCGCCGACAACTACATCCCCGTCCTCACTTGCATGGCCGAGAACAACGAGGGCCAACTCCTCAACGTCAATGCTGACAAGGCTGCTGCTGAACTGGCCAAGGCTCTCGTGCCTCTCAAGATTGTCTACCTGTCCGAAAAGGGTGGTCTGCACAACAAGGACACTGGTAAGCTTATCGAGGCCATCAACCTCGACGAAGAATACGACCGCTACATGAACATGCCCTGGGTCATCCACGGCACTCGTTCTAAGATTAGAGATATCAAAGACCTCCTTGACCACTTGCCCCGTTCCTCCAGTGTGGCTATCATCCACCCTGAGAGTCTCGAGCGCGAGCTGTTCACCCACACTGGTGCCGGAACTCTGATCCGCAGAGGCACAAAGCTGCACAAGGCTTCATCCCTCGAGGAATTCTCCGATGTCCAGAAGCTCAAGCAAGTCCTTGTTCGCGACCGTGAAGGCCTCGACGCCGAGGCTGTCGTTGACCGCTACCTCGACACCCTCAAGGGCAAGACTTTTGCTGCTTACCACGATGAAGGCATGGAGGCTCTTGCCGTAGTCCTTCCCCCCGACTCCGCCTCCCCTGGCGGCCTGGCCCACTTGGCCACTCTGACCATGACCCGTTCCGCATGGCTCTCCAACATCGCTGACAATGTTTTCCAACACCTGAAGAACGACTACCCCAAGCTTGCTTGGACCGTCAAGCAGGACGACGAGAACTTGACCTGGTTCTCCGAGAAGGCCGATGGTAGCATTGCTCGCCAAGGTGAGGTTCTCTTCTGGTACGGCATCGAGACTCCTGAAGAGGTCCGTGAGTTGATGGCCGAATTCATCCAACACGGCAGACAGATGTTCGGCGATAACAATCTCGAGAGCCAGCTCCACCGTGCTGCGTCCGGCGCTCTCAGAATCAAGGATGTCGCACAGAGACTGCAACAGCACAGAGAATCGCTAGGACAACAAACCAGATCTTTCTCCACCAGCTCCTTCTCCTCGCGCAACATGCAGCGTGTTCGCAGGTAAGTTAAACCAAATCCGATCGATAGCACCTACTAACAGCCCGCAGCACTTTTGGCGCTCCCACAAGACGTGGTTATGCCACCACTACTAACCCCAACCCCCCACTCGGCATCAAGAACCAGGAAAAGGACTACCCTTCGAAGGTGGCTCTCATCGGTGCCCGTGGCTACACTGGCCAAGCTCTGATTGACCTCCTGAACCGCCACCCCAACATGGACCTTCGTCACGTTTCATCGCGTGAGCTGAAGGGTAAGAAGCTTGCTGGTTACACCAAGCGCGACATCACATACGAGAATCTCTCCCCCGATGATGTCCGCCGCATGGCCGACGCTGGCGAGATTGACTGCTGGGTCATGGCTCTGCCTAATGGCGTCTGCAAGCCCTTTGTCGACGCCATCGAGGCTTCCAGCCACAAGCAGTCTGTTATTGTCGATCTGTCGGCCGACTACCGTTTCGACTCATCGTGGACTTATGGTCTGCCCGAGCTCGTCAAGCGCAGTAAGATTACAGGTGCCACACGCATTGCCAACCCCGGATGTTATGCTACCGCTGCTCAGCTCGGTATTGCCCCTCTGGTCCCTTACTTGGCCGCAGCTCCTGCCAACCCAACTGTCTTCGGAGTTTCTGGTTACTCAGGAGCCGGTACCAAGCCCAGCCCCAAGAACGACGTCGACAACCTCACCAACAACCTCATTCCCTACTCATTGACTGATCACATTCACGAGCGTGAGATCAGCGCCCAACTGGGACGCGAGATTGGATTTATTCCCCACGTTGCTGTCTGGTTCGCGGGTATTCATCACACTATCTCGATTCCCCTGGCCGACACCATGACCTCTCGTGACATTCGCCAGCTCTACCAAGACCGCTACAACGGCGAGAAACTCGTCAAGGTCACTGGTGAGAGCCCTCTGGTCAAGAACATCTCTGGCAAGCACGGGGTTGAGATCGGTGGCTTCGCTGTGCACAGTGGCGGCAAGCGTGTTGTGATCAACGCGACCATCGACAACCTGCTCAAGGGCGCTGCTACCCAATGCTTGCAGAATATGAACCTCGCTCTCGGTTACGCCGAGTACGAGGGTATCCCTCTGTCATGAAGGATAGGGTAGATGATGCCAGGTCGTGTAACAATACAAGGCGTTTTGCGTTTCAAGCACATAGAAGTTGCTAAATGGTCGATCGAGGGAAAGACGAGTGCTGAGACAAGGCGAACTGTCTATTCCAGGCGGGATGATATGTAGAATGACATGATTCCGAATGTACATGATTTGTTTATACCTATGTTCACATGGTTTAAAAAGGTTGTTCAAACTGGCAGCATGCAAGCTCCAAACAATACTTGTACTCGATCCCCCGCATGACGAGCGACGGGAGCTAAAAAGGGCATCCGGGGTTCGGTCGAGAACAGCCGAGCGGTGCTGGAGTGGCAGTCCATCAAGCAGCCAGCGTCATTCTACTTTTGCGCATCAAAGGAACTTGGTGGGTGGACAGGATTGCGACGATTTGCCGTTAATTGCGGAGTATCCTGTCACACGGTGCGCCAGTGCTTGGGAGTAGGTCATGTCTTCGGACAAGGAAGCGAAAGTCGACCTTGGGTCCTTGGTGTGTGCTGGAGCCCGATGAGCTTGATGCAATGCTAACTCGGCGGCAGACTCAAAGCATTGTCAACGACTGCCTCTACACTGTCATCCATGACCTGGTACTGCAGACGCACCGCCACGAGAAGCTACTCGCACGCACCGTGGACCCTGCGACTGGCTTGCCCATCTGCCCATCATGTAATCTGCCTCGACTGCTGGATCCTCCTCTAGCCAACGCGAACCCTCCCAAGAAGATACAGTACTGCACACATATTCCCTGGTCAACGCGGCCGGGCCACGACATCTATGGCAACCCTTTCCCTGTCGCTGGTAGTGATAAGCCACCAACCAAAAAGGAGCGCGAAAGGATGAAGGCCGAGTCAAATGCTTCCAAGGAACACGGTACTGCTCCTCCCTCGCCTTCGGCAACAGAACAACCCAACACGGGTGGCCCAGTGGACAAGAAGGCGGCAAAGGTCGGAGAGAGGCTCAAGGGGGGCACATATATTCCGTGGCACACATGTCCGTCGTGCAAGCGCAGTCTGCTCATCACACGCTTCGCACAGCACTTGGAAAAATGTCTCGGAATTGGAGGCCGGGGTGCTAGGGCCGCTCGCCTTAATGGCGCCAATGGAGCTTCGCCCCTCGGGAGCAGAGGTGGCACGCCAACACCCAACTCACGTGGCTCCAAGAACGGAGACGATGACGACGAGGATGATGACGACAAGGCAGGGGGAGTGCGTAAGAAGGTCCTTAAGCGGGGGCTCAAGGAAAGCATGAAGAAAGAAGTCAAGAGCTCCAAGGTTGGAAAGAGGCCTGGCAAGTCGGATTCAAAGAGCGACAAACGAGAAAGAGACGAGCTCGGCGACGATGAAGACAACACACCTCTGCGCAAACGAATGAAGTTGCAGAGGGTCGGCAGCACGGCGAGTTTACAGACCAGTATCGCGGGCGAAGAAAGCGTCGACGGCAGCTTCGTCGACGATAACGACAGCGCAGCTGACGATTGAGGCGTCTTTTGGTCTAATTGGGTCACGGTCGGGTTAAAAGGGCTTCACGGGTTGCATATATGGATACCACTGCGGGGCGTTTGGGAGGGGGAAAGGACAGGCCCTGTACACGACATGAAGAGCAGAGGAACCAATGCACCAAGTTTCGCAGTCGTGCAAGTGTTGTTCGTGATATCTGATTACTATAGCTGAAAGCTTTGGGTGGAGCGCGACTTCCACTTTGGGACGCGTCGGCAAACGATAGGCAAACGCGTCATCCGCACGAAATGAAGTGCCAGGCAGCACCAGCATAGCCCACGGACAGCACCAGACCCTCACGTCGCCGTCGCCATCGCAAACATGCCTGGACTAGTGCCAATGCGTAGGCAACGCGAGGACGACGAGTCGCGCGATCTGGGTGGCTCGTCTCCTCCCTCAGACAAACGACCACGCTTGAATGGCCATGCTTCGCAGGTATTGTCCCTTGTGCTCTGTTATCCGTGCCTTGACTAATTCTCTGTCGCAGGCTCCATTGCTGCCGTCCAGCTATGAGAATGGCCAAGCTGTCGCCGAACCGCTCACACATTCGCCCGGCTCCATTGTCAGAGTCGGCATGAAGAACTTCGTGACCTACACGTCGGCCGAATTTCTCCCTGGTCCCAGCTTGAACATGATCATCGGCCCTAACGGAACTGGAAAGAGTACTCTGGTTTGCGCCATCTGCCTCGGTCTCGGTGCCAAACCTGACGTTCTCGGACGAGCAAAGGACCCATCGGAATTCGTCAAACATGGCATGAAAGAGGCCGAGATTGAGATTGAGCTTGAGCGCGATCCTGCCCGTCACCGTACAAACCCTGTCATCAAGCGTATCATCAAGCGAGACTCGAACAACAAGACTTTCTTCATGATCGATGGCAGGAACAGCAGTCAGAAGGCTGTTGCCGAACTCTGCCGCTCCTTCTCCATCCAAGTCGACAATCTGTGTCAATTTCTTCCTCAGGACCGTGTCGTTGAATTCGCCGCTCTGGACCCCATCGAGCTCCTGGTACAGACTCAAAGAGCTGCAGCACCCGATTACATGAGCGATTGGCACGACCAGCTCAAAAACATGCGCAACGATCAACGCAAGCACCAGGCCGAACAAGCCTCCATGACCGAAAATCTGAAGAACCTCGAAGGCCGACAGAACATGCAACGTGGTGATGTCGAACGTTTACGCGAGCGTGCTGAACAACAAGAGAAGCTCGCAGCACTGGAGCGTCTGCGTCCTTTCCCTGTCTACAACGTCGCTAGAGACAACTACAATCAAGCCAAGGAACACTTCAACGAAGCCAAAACCGACCTTCTCGCGCTGAAGCGTGAGTGCGAGCCCGCCCTGGAGGCCGTCGAGTCAAAGGACGAGTACGTAAAGGCTGTTGACGCTGTTGTCAAGCGTCGCCAGCGTCTGGTCACACGTGCTCAAGACGACATCAAGCTGAAGGTCAAGAATCAGAAGACTGCATCTGAAAAGCACAAAGCCTGTGACGCAGAAATCGAAGCCGAGAAGAAGGGTGTCAAGGCACACAAGCAAGAGCGACTTCGAATTGACGCCCAGATTAAGAGTCTGCAGCGACAACTTGAGAACGAGCCGCCGACAGTCGACGTCGCCGCAATCAACGAGCAAATCAGGGATATCACGCGCCAACAACGCGAGATTGACGATACTGCACGAGACGAAAATGCCAAGCAGAGCGACAGAGTAGCACAAGGCAGATCGCTTCAGCAACGAATTACTGCCGCGAAGGGGAATTTGGAACAACTTCGATCAAAAGCCGGGCAGCAAGTCAACAAGCTCAACAACGCTTCTCCCGATACTGCCAAAGCTTGGGAGTGGATCCAAGCCAACAGGCAGGCCTTCACTGGGAACGTTTTTGGTCCGGCTATTCTCGAGTGCTCTGTCAAGGACACAAAGTTCGCCAATCTTGTCGAATCAGTACTCGGCCAGGCTGACATGGTTTGTATAACAATGACTCACAAGGATGATTTCAACTTACTTCAGCGCGAACTCTTTGACAAGCAAAGACTGTCTGATATCAATTTGAGAATGCTGGACACACCCTTGAGTCAATGGAGGAAACCTTGCTCCGAAAATGAGCTACGACAACTCGGGTTGAATACCTACATTCTGGATCTTCTTGAAGGACCTGATGAGATTTTGAGCATGCTTTGTGACAACAGAAACATTCACCAGTATGGTGTCGCGTTCCAAGAACTTAGCTCTCAGCAATTTGATGGCATGATGAACAGTCAAATCACCAGTTGGGCAACACCAAGTGAGACCTACAATGTTACGAGGAGAAGGGAATATGGCGATGCTGGTACATCGACACGCACTGCGCGCATCAAGAACGCTCGCTTCTTCACCTCTCAGCCAGTCGACACCCATGCTGAGCAGGAACACAAGAATGCCATTGCCGAGCTCAGTGATGAGTTGCAGGAAGCTCAACGACAAGCCGAGACGCACAAGGCTGCAAGTGCACGCCTTGGCCTTCAGCACAAGGAGCTTGCTGCGCAGAAGAGGGATCTCGAAGCCGATAAGAAGCAGGCTCAAGACGCACGATCAGAATGGCAGAAGCTGCCAGTCAAGATCGCTGGATATGTCACCAAACGCGACGGTCTAGACGAGCGTCAGGCAAGTTACCGTGCTCGAGTGCAACAAATCAAGGACAAGCAAGACAAGCTTGCCCTCGACAGAGCTCAAGATGCTTTGACCCTTGTGTCATCAGTACAGAGTTTGCAAAAACTGGAGGCGGACCATCTTCAAGCAAGCCTTGCCGCTATCGAGGCCGAGTCCGATTTCCAGATACTCAAGGCACACAGTGAGGAGGTACGGCAGAACCTTGCACAACGAGAACGCGATGTGAAAACATTGGAGGACGAGATGAAGAACTTGAAGAAGACGGCAACGGTCGCACTCAATGCCTGCAACACCTTACTCCAGGATCTTTCAGACAGAGAGCAAGAGATCTATACCCAGTTCAGCAAGATGGGTCTGGAAGAATACGAGGCTGAGATCGACAGCACCAGAGCACGACTCGAAATGGTGCATGAAGGTAATCCCCGAATTCTTCGCGAGTACGAGGATCGTGCCGTCGCCATTGACAAGGCCAAAAGAAAGCTGGAAAACATTGAGAACGAGCTTGTCGAGCTGCAGCAAAACATCGACGAGATTCGTCAAAAATGGGAGCCCGAGCTTGATCAGCTCATCGGTCAGATCAGCGATGCGTTCAGTGAGAACTTTGCCAAAATCAACTGCGCGGGTCAAGTCGAGGTGTACAAGGAGGACGATGACTACAACAAATGGGCTATTCAGATCCAGGTCAAGTTCAGGTAAGCTATGTTGATACTCGCTCGATTTAACATCCCACTTACAATGCCGAAACAGAGAAAACGAACAACTCTCGGTACTCGACTCCCACAGACAGTCTGGAGGTGAACGTGCTGTCTCCACGATCTTCTACCTTATGGCTCTACAAAGTCTCGCCCGTGCCCCCTTCCGCGTTGTCGATGAGATCAACCAAGGTATGGACCCTCGCAACGAGCGTATGGTACACTCACGCATGGTCGACATTGCTTGCTCGACACACACATCCCAATACTTCCTCATCACACCGAAACTCTTGCCAAATCTGGAGTATCATCCAAACATGAAGGTACATTGTATTGCTAGCGGAGAGTACATGCCAGAAGGACAGGGAAAGCTAGACTTTGGAGCTTTGGCTCAAAAGGCGTTGGCTGTCTACTGTGGGATTTAGAGGTCATGTTTTGATTTGGGATGGAATCTTGCTTCTTTGTTGCTCGATACCTGATGTTATGATATTCCTTTTTTTCGTTTTGTTTAAGCGAGGTTGTGGAGCCGAGAATACGTCAAGTTGCGGCTTTGGCAAGGGGGACCAAGAATTGTTAACAGATCCTGTTGCGTCAATTGCCGCTGTATCAATTCTCTGACCGATCCCGTTCGTTTCTCGAGAGTGTGTGATGAAAATATATACAAGATGCCCACATCTCTCAGAGCCGACCTCCCCTAAGAATTGGTCAACCAATCCACACCAGCCTGCGCAACCTCAATATCCTGAGCCACCGTGCCTCCACTAACCCCAATAGCACCCAACAAATAATTGTCTTTCAGAAGCGGCAAGCCTCCCCCAAAGATCACCAATCCACCATTAGTCTCTTGAATCCCATACAGCGCTTCTCCGGGTAGACTCTGATTATACAAAGCAGCACTGGGGATACCATTGAACAAAACACTGGTCCTGGCCTTTTTCATGCTTATGTCAATGCTGCCAGGGTATGCATTATCCATGCGAACGAATGCTACGAGGAGGCCGCTGGGGTCGACGACGGCGATGTTTTGAGGTACTATGGAGGCTGCGGCTTGTGCGGCTGCTGCTACTATGGCGGTTGCTTGATCTGCGGATATGTAGTGACGCTGGGATTCGAGTTAGAATTTTGTCGGTGAAGGTGTCAAGATTACAATTACTTGACTCGGTGTGCTGCCGATATTATTGGTGCTTGTGAGGTTTCCAGACATGTCGTTACAGGAAGTTGCGTGGATGTATGAAGAGAGTGAGAGCAAGGAAAAGGAAAGAGCAGAAAGAGATGGAAGATGCATCCTGGTATAACTTATAGAACTGGCAAGGTCTTGACTGTTGCAAACGGGCAGTGGTTTGAGAGCTCACATGCTAAATCTAGAATGCTCTGGCCCTCTTTTTATATTCCTCTTGCTTGGATGGTTTGCCATAAGTCCAATACCCCGCATGCTCGCGCGGCTGAGAGGTCGAGATGAGGCTTGAAGTTCAGGATCCCCGCTTTGAAGTCATCATGAAGGGCTCGAGCCAAGTTCATCTTATGCGAGTCGGCCGCTTGACCGAAATGTCGCTCTTGCTGGTAGACTCCTTGATGATGACTGTGGAGGAGAGAAGTTCTCGGTTGCCAAATTTTAACCAGGAAACAAAACAGGATTCTTAGTGTGGCTTTACGTCTCCATGTGCCAAAGTCTGCCACCATCTCCCTCTTTCAACGTTCGAAGAAGAGTAATGCCGAGCTGTAGCAAGGCACGACGATATCTCATGCCATCAACTCTGGTGCGGAAAATAAGTGGACTGACATATCTCCGCTCTGCCCACATGCTGTGGGTCTAAAATTCACCATGCCTTAGGACAACTGCGAATGTGACAGTAACTATTTTGCACACTGTGAAGTAAATCAATGTCAAAGAAGAATCAAGATGAACTGCTCCGAGAGTAAAACAGAACGTACAGCAGCAGGGATTCCCACGTGGTCACCCACCGTAGTACTAATCTGCCGTTCAACTGCTTATGTATGGCAGAGCGGACGGGATGCCCAGTTTTCAGCTGACTATGGCCGTACGTGTTTGGTGAGGAAATTATTGGGGTAGATATCCATTGTAGGCTCGGAGATCTCGACAGGTCTCGTCAATCTCGCACGCAATAGGGAGGGTCCTTTACGGTAAATGGTTGGCAAACAAAGTAGCATACGTCCGCAATCTGTGAGTGTATCTGTAAGTAGACAGATACGTCGCCTGGTCCGGGAGGGGCTCAAGAAGATGAGTAAGTGCATGATGCAACATCTCATGTCTACGGAGTCAGCTCCATCCGTGTTCTGCTGAATCTCCGCGGTGTTCAACTCCAAATGGGAAGTTGCTTGTACAAAACGAGTTCAGAGGTCTACCGCGTTGAAAAGATACGGATACGGACGTGAAACGACAAGCGCTCCTAGAATCACGACCCGACGACGTGTGTGACTGACAAACACGTCAAGACGAGACATCTTTGGCGAAGTCATGAAATTTGGCCCGCGGGCCAGCTGAAGCGGCCTCGTAACACAGCAACGTGTTTCGGTACCCATGCCCAAATCAAGCAACCGCTCATGGCACACTTTGAAACATGAACCCGGAGAGTCAGCTTACGCCTCAGGAACGAAGGAGGTCTGCCATAGCAAGAGCCGAGTCGCTCCAGTCTGGTGCAACAATCGCTTGGCCCAGCGGTCCCAACGCTCTATCGTCTGTTCGAGATCGCCGTTACAACTTTAAAGCACTCTGTACCACATATATGGTAAGCGGTTTCAAACAGATATACTTCTTCCGACATTTGAGAATAACTTTGGCAGCCCTTTCTCGACATTTGTAATGCACGCATATGCCTTACGGACGAGAACACATGATGATCTACAGACTGACCATGCGATATTGTTGTTGGCGTACAAAGGGTACGTCAGAGCAGCTCGTTCATCGCATCTGCCGTCACATTTAGAGTTGCGTATACCAGGAGTTGGCCTACTGTGCGTTTGAACGGATACTCTCCCAAACCTTAAGAAGTGATAAAGCTTCATGTTAAGCTCTGTTGACTATTGTGCAAGGAATATATTCAGGGTACAAGACTCATGAGTGCCTCACTTTGATTTTGTGGCAACAGACAACTTCAGACGCGATGCTTACACATTTCTACCGCTTGGTGACCCAGATCAACAACTCAGAAACGACGCTTGATGATGCGGCGGGTTTGCTTTCTGGCCTCATGACGGATGATGAGCACCTGGCATTACTCCAAGGCAATGGGTCTCGAACGCAATACCTGTCAGACAACAAGGCTTCACCATATCCGGCTTCAGTCGTATCTAGAGTCGGCGTGCCTGGATTACAATACGTCGATGGATCACGGCAGTCATTTTTTACAGAGTTTCCAAGTCCACTGGGCAGAGCGGCATCTTTCAACTGTCAGCTAGAAGAGCTCATTGTGCGTGACTCTTTCCGATTTCCTGTTCAGGGCTGCGATGACTGACGCATCGAATAGGGAGAGGCTATCGGTATAGAAGTACGAGCTCACGGCGGAAATGTATATGGTGGTATATGCCTTAACGTCACACGTCGATCGGATTGGGGACGAGCCCACCAGTCGTATGGAGAGGATCCGTTCGTCATCAGTCGAATGGGTAGTGCAGCAGCAAGAGGTGTACACAGGAACGCCATGGTGGCCATTCGACACTTTGCGATGAACTCTCTGGAAATTCTGCGAGAAGATGGCAGGATCACATGCGACGAGAAAACAATGAACGAGCTGTTCTTGCAGCATTTTAAGGAGGTGCTCTATGAGAGTGGAGCAGAAGTAGTTGTGTCTGCAGGCAATCGTGTCAATGGTGTTGCGTGCACGGAGAACCCAGCCCTGCTAAACGGAATCTTACGACAACGCTGGCATCTGGATGAGTTGATCGTGGCTAGCGACTGCACATGGCCAGTCAAAAACGGTCCGGCATCAATTAAGGCAGGCCTGGATATCGAAATGCCATTCAAGTCAGGAGGAAGAATCGCGGCTGTCGAGTCCGCTCTCGAGCATGGAACACTGGACTGGTCCAACATACAGATCATGACCGAACGCATCCTCAAGGCTCAACTACGATACCACTGCCGTACAACACGAATGCCGTCGCCGGATCCAGAAAAGATAAGATGCCAGCGCCATATTGGCCTTGCCCGACGATCAGTAGCTGAATCCATGGTGCTTCTCAAGAATGACAATGGTTTTTTGCCTTTCAACAAGACATCTCAGATTAGAATGACAGTCTTAGGGGAGTTGGCAGATCGGGTCAGCTGCGCGTATCAGTTCGATGCCGCATCTCATGCTGCAGGTCCACCTGGAACAAGCCCTCTGGAGGAGCTGAGGAAAAGACACAATGTCGCTGTGGACTACATGCACGGGAATGAAAAAGCCAAGGCGACAAAGTCTGCTATGCTCGCTGATGTTGTCCTGATATTTATTCGTCCTTCGAGCAAATCGGAGCTTGTTCACTCACGCAGCCGATTCTTGGACCGCTTCCGCTCTCGCAAGCAAGCAGGGCATGCAATGGCACGTTTCCGGGACCGCAGGCATCTGACTCTCGATGCTCATGATCTCGAGCTCGCAAAAGCGGCTCTGAATGTTGCTGGTCACAAAGCGGTTGTGATAATTGAGGCAGGCACGAGTGTGACGATTCCGACCTTCGTGCGACAGAAAGCCACTGCCATTTTATTCTCCAGTTATGGCTGCCGGCAGTACGGCAAGGGCCTGCGCGATGTTTTGTTTGATGAGCAAGAGCCATCAGGCCGGTTGCCCTTCGTTCTACCCGATACTGAAGAACAACTACTAGAGAAGGAGAGAAGCGCATCATCACATGAAATCAAATACGACGATAAATGGGGCTATAGGAGGCTACGACACGAGCAGCAGAAACCAGCATACCCATTTGGATTTGGACTCGGCTATTCAACCTTTTCACTCAATTCACTTTGGTGCTCACACCCCATTGTCAAAATCAGTTTTGACATGACAGTAAACACAACAAACACTGGGACGCACTCATCTGCCGTTGTAATCCAGATATATGCATCGAGAAGATCACGGAGGGACAGTGCGACATCGAGTGTTCCACCCAGAAGTCTCATCGGTTTCGCAAAGGAAGTCATCAACCCTGGCGAGAGCAGCGAGATTGGCATCATCTGTCGCTTGAGTCCCCTAGCCGAGTTTCACTCGAGTACCAGTAAAATGGTTGTCGCCGAGGGCGAATATGATCTTTTTGTATGTCAGTACGAAGGCGACAGCAAGGCTTTGTCATCCTCGTTCCAAATTCTGAATGAGGTCTACTGCTGAGCTATAGCTTGACTTTGAGTATGCTTTGCTTCTGATATTTGATGATCATATATGTACCCTTAGATCGTTTTAGATAGAACATATATTCTTGTGTGCAAAAGTCGTGATAAATCGCGCGTGTTTGCCCTAAACTTGAACTTTAGATTTCGTGCCATTTATGGAAGAATACGCGTGTAGCGTAACAACAGATAGTTATGTAGACTTCAAAACTTTTGTATAGATAGACTATATATAGGTCTATAATACTATAGAAAAAATAGATAATAAGACTTATTTTATACTACGATACATCCATTTTTGCTATAGTTTTTTAAACCTGGTTTTTTTCTGTCTTATTATACTAATAGTGCTATATACACTAAGCATTATACTATAGTAGTATAGACATATTATAGCCTACAGTTTTCTCTATGTATCTCTGCGCTTTTAATAGTAATACGATAATTATAGCAGTAGTTATTAGTAACAAAAGAATATTATAGATTTAGAGCTTTAGATCCGAACTCCTCTTTTTTCTTACTATAAATTAATCGAAGAATTGCTTGAATTTAAAGCTTTTTTTTTTAAATTAACTATTTATATAAATTGCGTAATAAACATGTAGCTAGTATGCTTAAAAAATAGATAAACATAAAGCGTCTACTTTGTAGTATAAGATATGTTTTTACAAGTGTTTAACAACTAGTTGTCGTTGCGTAAAACCTCGAAACATAACCAAAATTTCGAAGTTTTGCAACATTTTTCTGCTCAAAACTTGTGTACCTGCTTCTCAGTAAAACCCAAATCTTTGAGCATACCGCCCAATTTGCCCTGTGCCCAACCCATGCCACCCTTCGCGCCAGCGACGGCGTTCAACATAGCCGGAGGACCGCACACCATGATCTTGATATCATCGCCGTCGATCTCTGCAGGTAGCGCCTTGCTTAGAATGTCTTTTGTCACATAGCCTTTCTCCAGGCTTTTATCAGTTACCCTGCTATCGTTGACCACATAGGTTGTCGTGAATCTTTGAGGGTATCGACTAGCCAAATCATCAAGCTCTGTCTTCAACAGGATATCAGGTTCTGTCTTGTTGGCGTAGACAAGACTGACGCGGGTCTTGTCCTCCGGGTTGTCCAGAACGCTACGCAGAGCTTGGAACATGGGGGTGATGCCTGCACCTCCAGCGACGAGTACAAGATGCTTATATTGGTTCTGCTTGTATGATAACTCGGGAATTGACTTGACACTGAGGGTTTGGCCAGGCTCAAGTTTGTGAAGATGTGTTGAGGCGCGACCATTTGGATATTGCTTTACAAGCAGGGTAATGTAAGGGCTGTCTGGAGTGCTGATGGGTGTATAAGGACGAAGAGTCGGAAACCATGAGCCGGCGGCAGTGTGGCGTGTCAGAAGTGATGCTATACTGTGTCAGCTCCTAAGTTCGAATAAATTGCTTCGCTACGGTTTTACTTACACACGGGACTCAACCCGCTTGCAGCTTCGTCCTCAGGCAGCTTGAATTTCAACTCTCTGGTGTCATGATTGACCATGCGTGCCTCTGCCAAAGTCAAGTTCACAAAGCCGAAGGCTGGAAATACAGGCTTCTGTCCAAGACTCTTTTTCGGTTCTGCGGGGCTTGAATACGGCTTCGACATATTGAAAGCAACAACACCAGCACCGGCAGCTGCTGCTAGGCCTACCGCCGCTGGTGAGATCGATGCGAGTAGTCTGCTAGGTGCTGCCATTCTAACGAGATTGTCCGGCTTGGGTGATATAGATTATGAGGGTACCAGTCAACAAGATTTCGGGTTGAGGTGCGGAGCAGGTTGGTCGAATATCAGAAAAGTCGTAGATGGTGTTGAACCAAGGCGACTTAATTGCGGCCTGATATAAACACTGCGAACAAATCCTCTGGTCGGACACGCATCTTACATAGTCCGCTCACCGGCGCCGCGCCTTGAGTCCTACGGAGGCTGACACTGCTTTGTGCCTAGTTTTTCCAGACAGGATGAAGTTCTACAGAGTTGGATGCTTTCCAAGACCCCGCCCGAAGTCTCGGCCTCGGACTCCGTTGTTGGTCAAACAAAAGCCGTTCGTCGCGACAACTGTTGGCTGCTCGAGACACCACCTTGATCTGCGAATCTTGATATGCTCCATGAGAAACTTTGTAGAACCATTAGTCTCTGGTTGTCAGATGGTCGCAGCTGCTAAAGGCCATGGCTGCTGCGCGCTGTTGTTCAAAGACTGACAAATACTTGCTGACCTTGATCTCCATTCATGTATGACAGCTATCGCGGCCAGCAACATATTCTCTAAGCATAGTTGGGCATCGAACAATGCTTATCTTGAGCTTGACTTCTCATGTCTTCCAAAGGGTAGTGAGCTACACGAGCGTTCTCGGGACCATAGATGAAAGTCAGGGCAACCCTCGGAGCCTCGACATCGAGAAGATTACTGCTTGAGGAACCCAAAATGTGTTTCATGGCGCATACGTCTGCCCCAGATGATTATTTAATGGTGAAAATAGCTGACTGATCCAAGGGCTCTTCTGAAACATCTCTGTACAATCTCTTGTCAAAAGGGGGCAAGTCTTGCGAAGATGCTCGAGTAATGCGTCTACTGCTTGGCAAGCCTTGTAGGATTTCGTTGACCATCCTTCTTTCCCCCACATGACAGTCTGTTCAATCTTCGCAAGCTCTTCCTAAACCGCATTTGCGTTTCAAGACGATCCGTGTCTGCAGCTGTTCGAGGAAAGGTGACCCAATAGCAGAGTCGAGAAACTGTCTGCCTCAGCTCATCGTCTATTTCGTGGCAATGCACTTCTCAACAAAATCGCGATGATTTATCGAAATGGTCAGCGTCGCACCACGATCAGCAGATGTATCTCCACACGGCCTCTGCATAGACAGTTGACCGATGTTCTCAACACCTATCATCCACGCCCACTCAACTCAGTGATTATACTTATAGGGGGATGCCTTCTCCCTCTATCGTCCAAGGCGACTTCGATTCAACCTCCTCTCGCACCACTGACCAATTGATATGGGATCTAAGCTCCGGACTTCGGAGGCGAAAGCTGCTAATCTTTCCGATGGCACCACAAACCATCAGCCGCTCAGATTCAGAGCTCATGACATGAAGAAGCCTCATATCACGGAGATGCCTGTGACCTGGTCGAATTGGTGGAAACACCTGGATTGGCTCAGCATATATTTCATCATTGTTGTACCCGTCTTAGGTCTTCTGGCTGCTACTCAGACTTCACTGCGGCTCTACACGGGCGTGTTCGCAGTCGTATATTATGTGATGACTGGCTCTGGAATCACTGCTGGTAAATCACATCATCAGATATGCCCAAGCCTTCTTGAAAACTAACAGACATATAGGGTACCATCGCCTTTGGGCGCATTCTTGCTACAAAGCAACTCTTCCACTCAAGATCTACCTAGCAGCTGCTGGAGCCGGCGCCGCCCAAGGCAGCATCAGATGGTGGTCGAGAGGTCACCGCGCTCATCATCGATATACAGACACACCGAAAGATCCCTACTCTGTTGAGAAGGGATTCTGGTACTCGCATTTAGGCTGGATGGTGTGGAAGCAGGACCCCAAAAGGATCGGCCGATCTGACATAAGCGACTTGAATGAGGATCCAGTCGTTGTATGGCAGCACAAACACTACATCAAATCGGTTCTGATCATGGCCCTGGTAGTCCCAACCCTTGTTTGTGGTCTAGGATGGGGCGATTGGGCTGGCGGGTTTGTATATGCTGGAATATTGCGTACCGCCTTTATACAGCAGGCGACTTTCTGTGTCAATTCGCTGGCTCACTGGCTCGGCGAACAACCATTCGATGATCGCAACTCACCTCGCGACCATGTCATTACAGCACTTGTCACTCTTGGTGAAGGGTACCACAATTTCCACCACGAGTTTCCATCGGACTACCGTAATGCTATCGAGTGGTGGCAATATGATCCTACGAAATGGATGATCTGGACTTGGAAGAAAGTTGGACTCGCCTATGATCTGAAGCAGTTTCGTGCGAACGAGATCGAGAAAGGTCGTCTTCAACAGCTACAAAAAAAGGTGGACCAAAAACGCGCCAAACTGGATTGGGGCATACCTATCTCACAGCTTCCGGTATTCAGCTGGGAAGAATTCGTCGTCCAGGCAAGAAGCAACGGTCAAGCTCTTGTTGCAATTGGAGGCGTGATACACGACGTAGCTCCGTTCATCAAAGAGCATCCTGGTGGTAAAACACTCATTTTGTCTGCTGTTGGAAAGGACGCTACTGCGATCTTTAATGGTGGAGTTTACCAGCATTCGAATGCAGCACATAATTTGTTGTCCACTATGCGAGTCGGAGTTGTTCATGGCGGCGGTGAGGTCGAGACCTGGAAGAAGACAAGAGCTGAAAAGGGTGCCGATAATGCTTGATTGCTGCTCCTATCATGCAGCGTTGGAGGATTTCGTTATTATAAAATCACAGATCTGCTAGAGAAATTGCTTTGTGAGATCCTTTGCAGCTCCTTCTCAACACAGCCGCATGAAGCGACATTGAAAACACGTGTGTAGGCGCAGTGTTTAGCTACCGCACGCCGCCAAGCAATAGTTTTCATCCTCGCTTAGCATGATGGCGGCCAAACGATGATGCCGGATCCCAGCTATGGAATTTTACATGCTTGCTAGACGTGGCCTACGTGCTTGGATTTCGATCTTCCATCGGCCAGAAGATCCCGTCTCCAAGATTGTGGAAGTTGATGATGTACGGGGAGGGTGCATCTCCGAAGTAAGGATCGGCAAACGGCGGGAACGGCCCGTAGCACGACCTCCTTCTTTTCCAACGCAACATTCAAAAGCGGTACTTTTACTGCCACCAGAATACAAAGAGACTTGGTACAGGGTCTGTTGACGGTACTGCAGAGCAAATACATAGACGTCTCACTGGATCATTCGTCACGAAGTCTTTTCCACGCGCTTCACTGGATTGCTTGAGATAGAATATTCCATCAATCTGGGGTTCTTGCCCTCCGCCGTTATCGAGCAATCACCACGCTCTGGCTTTCTTTCGCCCCCCCCAAACTCCTTTATCAAAGTATCAACGGTCTGCCTCCATCCTAATACGCCCACTGCTCATTTCCCCCATACCACATCTTCAACGTCGACATATACATGACGCATAACCTCTCTGCGGCAGCATCGGCACAATGGTTGAATCCTGATATAGCAACCATAACGTTTGGGTTCACTGATCGACGACCAAAACAACAACAGACCTTAACGGGTTTGGGGTCTCCCTCATGAAATCCTACCAACGTTGCAGGGACTGCTGCAGGACCTGAGATTGCTTATACGAGAACCAAAGCATGTTGTCAAAGCCAGGAGTGTTGTACGGCATGATGTTAGAGGGTTAGTAGCAACAATTCCTAGAAACAGAAGCTTGGGAGGATTGCAGCTCCCAACAATTAGGGACCACCACCGGCCTATGCTTCCAAGGCACTTGTCAAAACCTTACATTACCTGGATACCAACAACTCCAATCGGCGTCCCAGACCTTGATCCGCCAATTACCCCATGGTGGCAAATGAGAACGGTATGCTCATCGTCTGCTTGATCTCAAAATACACGCCACAACAATCCTCCGCAATCAATACACTCCTGGCCAGGACAACGGTAAAGGTCGAGATGGCAAGAGCACTCACATAAATACCCAGTCCGACGACTGCATTGTCAAAATCATCCACTCCAACTCAGTCACTCTTTTAGACAACAACCAACTATCTCATCCCACGATGAAGACCACATTCGTTACTCTCGCTGCTGCTCTCTTGAGCACAGCTTCGGCTCGCCAGGTCTACGAACGTCAGATCTACACCAACTCGTCCTCGTCTATGGTGGGCACTGGCAGCAGCAGCATCATGTCGAGCACCAGCTCTGTCGACCTTACTAGCTCGTCAGGCTCCTCAACTCGCTCGGTGTCCCGCTCCAGCGGATCTGGATCGGCAACCTCGTCCTCTGCATCTGCAAGCTCGACCGCATCTCCTTCCGTCACCTCCATCAATGGCGCTACATTCAAAGTCGAGTCTAACACCAGTTACTCTGGCAACACCTTCGATGTCGCTCTCTCCAAGAGAGCCGGCGAGACTCTGCAGTCCTGCCTCTCGGCTTGCGCAGCAAACCAGGAGTGCGTAGGCACCGCCTTCGATGACAACGATGACACGTGCACATACTACAGCTCCATCACTGCTGGAAGCCGCGTCGATGCTCCTGGAGTCACCTTTGCCACTGTCACCGGACGTGACGGCCAGAACGGCCAGAACAGCACCAGCTCTGCCAGCTCAAGCTCTTCCTCCACCGGATCCATCTCCCTCAACTCGACCGCCTCCAGCACAAGCTCCTCTGCCATCGCCACCCCCACTAGCGTCGAGAACTTCATCTGCCCTCAGCTGAACGGCGGTGTCTTCACCAACGCCTTTGATGCTTCTTTCGTCATTGAGTGCGGTCACGGTGTTATCGGTACTTCCCTCGAGATTGAGGCTTCCCGCAAGCGTCAAGCTACTGGCCTTCCCACTTCCCTGAGCAACTGTGTCGATCTCTGCTCGACCGACTCTGCCTGTGTTGCCACCACCTTCAACAACGCCGATAGCACTTGTGCTTTCTTCAGCGACTTCCAGCTGTTCGTTGCTGAGAACCTTGACTCTGCTCTTCGCATCGGAAGCAACAACGGTGCCGAGACCACCCAGACCGTCACCGTCGTCTCCACCGTTGTCCAGACCTCCACTGTTCTTCTTGAGGGCGGCTCGTCCACTGTCCAGACCGGCACATTGACCCTGACTGCCACTGAGACTGTCTGCCCTAAGTGTGCCATTACCAGCGTTCCTTCCGGTGCTGTCGGAGGCTCTCTTTCTACCGCTACTGTTTACGCCACTACCGTTGTCACCATCTCTTCATGCGCACCTACCGTCACCAACTGCCCTCTTAAGAATGGCCAGGGTAGCGCTGTTGTTACCACTGTTGTCCCTGTTTCCGAGACCGTCTACCTTTGCCCCTACCCTACTGGCGGCAACGTGGTCACCGCTCTTTACGGCGCTGTTACCGAGAAGTCTGTTGTCACCAGCACTGTCTACGAATGCCCTGCTGGACAGACCATCACCGTTTCCGGTACCCAGATGGTTCCTGCTTCGGCCACCACCATCACTGAGTACTACACCACCCAGGTCACTCAGTCTGCTACTGGAGCTCCTCCTGCGATGACCGGCGACAACTCTGGCAAGACTATCGTCTACGTTCAGCAGCAGGTTAGCGTTGGTGTCACCGCCACCTACACTCAGTACGTTGTTGTCTCGACCGCTCCTCCCGCTCCTCAGCAGACCACTGCCGCCGTCACTCTTCCCTGCGACGGTGTCCACTGCCCTGCCGTCAACACCCAGGGTAACCCCGTTACCACCACCTACAAGATCACCATCAACAGCGTGATCCCCCAGCAGTCCGCCCCTGCTTCTTGCAACGGCCAGTGCCCCTCCGGCATGACCGGCTCTGCCAAGTCCAGCATGGCTACCGTCACTGCCACTCCTTCCAAGCCCATCGCCTTCACTGGTGCTGGTTCGGTCGTCAGCGTTCAGAGCGGCGTTGTTGTCATGGCTGCCGCCATCTTCTCCATCTTCCTTTTCTAAACGGACTGGAACGATTGACCAACTTTTAATGTCTTTCACTTCTTTGGTGGTTTTGGTGTTTTTAACTTCTCTTCCTTGACACTTCTTGTGTAATTTCTGAGGGTGGAGTAATTAGTGCTACTTTTCTGTATTTGCATGACTGAGTTTTTAATGTCTGGATAAAATCAAACACTTTCTCCCTCCTATGCCTCTGTATCAAACCTTCCACCATGTGCTGCAGCCTAGTTCACCTGATTTTGTATTCGCCAGGCAAGAAACTCTCCAGATTTCATTCAACTGGATGAGCACCAAAAGCCAGCAGAGCAATAGGTGACTGTAAACTTATGAAGCGTATTGTGGAAGATGCACGATCACGCGCAGCCGCCTGACGCAGCAATCAAAACCCCATCGCATCAATCATTTGAGAAACAGACAATTTCCCGTTTGTTTTCCACGTAAAACATCGCCGCCGATATATCCAGCAAAGAAATCATGTTTGCTCTGAGTCACATTTCACTCGAGCGACTGCAAGCGTTGGTCGACACGGCCTGTCAAGCGTTAGCCGAGACACGACAATTCTTCAAGCAAGAACTATTGACGCCAGCCCAAGACTCCAAGGGACGCAAGTTCCCAGCCGGAAGACCACGATACCTCGAATGCAATAACTGCGAAAAAGGGTTTGATGTCACCGAGAACAATCAGAGCAGTTGTCATTTTCACGAAGGTAAATTTACCAAGACCATTTTGCAATGAGGATCACCCTGACCAAATTATAGGCCAACTGGAAATTGTGGAAGGAGCCTTCGAGGATAACGATAAGCTCCACCTCCTTCAGCCGTGCTGGCACAAATGTGTCTTACGTCAAGGAAAGGAGATCTTATTCATGCAGCGTCATAATCGTATCTAAGCTACGCCATAGAGCACAAGCAATCAGTTACAAGGAACCGGGAATGGCTCCACACTACTCAACGTAGGTAAAACAGTGTTCATCAGGCCAGTTTTTTCATCAAAGGTCACCTTGTCGATTGTCACCTCTCTGTGCGTGCCGTCACCTCCTGGAATGGCGAAACGGTGATATGCGATATACCATTCATCCGTACCCGGCACGTTGATGATGGAGTTGTGTCCTGTAGCCAAAATACCTTGACTGACATCCTTCTGCAATAGTACACCGCGGTAAGTGTAAGGTCCTGTGATCGAGGTAGAAGTGGCATAGCCAACGCGATAGTTCTCGGAGCCTGTATCATCGATCGAGTATGTGAGATGGTAAAGTCCTTTGCGGTAGTTGATGAAGAGACCTTCGCGGAAGTCTTCTAGACCGGTGATGTTCTGAGCAGTGGCCCATTCGATCGAAATCATGTTCTCGCTAAGCTCTGCAAGAAGGGGTTGGCCGTTACCCCAGATGAAGTAGTACTTCCCGCTAACAGGATCCAAAAACACATCGCCGTCGATAGCTTGACCTGTGGTGAGGCGCTCATTGTTGAGAATCATAGCAGTCGGTTCGGCGGTGAAAGGTCCAGTGGGCGAGTCTGCAATTGCGACGCCGATGGTCTTTCGGTCGTACGTGGGATTCTGGCCACTGAAGTAAAAGTAGTATTTACCATCCTTCTCGGCGATAGTGGGAGCCCACGCGTTGCCAGTCGCCCATGGTACATTGCCGTTGGTGCCGTTCAGGGTAAGGAAGGGTTGCTCACTTCTCGTCCAATTTACCAAGTTGGGCGAGCTCCACGAGTAGAATACCTGACCTCCCCAACCAGGGAAGCCGTCGGTCGTGGGGTAGATGTAGTAAGTCTTGTCGAACACAGCAATGTTGGGGTCGGCAAAATAGCCCTTGAGCACGGGTGAACCTCCCGCAGCAGACGTCGTACGCTTGGATGTATTGGTCGTACTTGCTGTGAGGCTAGCGAGTTCAGCAGCAGTAATAGGTAGTACGGTGCCGTGTCTAGGGCTAGGAGGAAGCTTGTAACCCGCCGGCACTGTCCAGTTGGGGCTAGCGATATCCTTGGTTGACAGAGGAATGTACCCGCGGCCGCCAAACTCGTCGACAAACAGATAGAACTTGTCTCCATTCACATCGCCAGGGTTAGACTTGAACGCAGTCGGACCCTCCACGCCGCTAGTGCCAGCCTTTTTGCCAATACAGGTAGCAACGGTGGTCCAGGACTCCAGTGTAGCCCTAAGGGATGTGGACTTCTCCTGAATGATGTCGGTACAACCAGTTGCAGCGGCTCCTTCGTCCTTGGTGAAGCGGTAATAGATGCTGCCTTCCTTCAGGATTGTGGAGTCGATGCGTGACAGGCCAGCGTCTTGCCAAATTTGTGGCTCACTAAAAGTGACGAAGTCGCGAGTGGTGGCATACAGCATACGATGGTAAGTTGGTTCAGTGCGGTTGACATCGGTAGAGTTGTAAAGCGAGGAAGCCCAGAAGACGACGTATGAACCGATACTTTCGTCGTAGTAAGCTTCGGGAGCCCAAGTGTTGCCAGCTTCAGCAGGCGAAACCAGTACGTGACGTTGCTCCGACCACGTCTTGAGGTCATGAGACTCCCAGACTTCCAAGTAGCGACTTCCAAACTTGACTGAATCGCCCCAAGAGGTACCGGAACCAATGGACAGGTCGGTAGCGATGAGGTAAAAGGTGTCACCTTCATGGGAGCGAATGATGAAGGGATCGCGGAGTCCAGTCGTACCATAGGTCGATTTTAGAACGGGCTGCGCCCCATTAAGCTCTTGCCAGGATAAAGCATCGTTCCCATGACTGGCAGCGAAGAAGATATTCTCGCCTGAGCGTGAGTTGTTGGTGAAATATGCAAACGCGTAGCCCTCGTAGGGACCAATCTCAACTGCTTGGCGAACAGAAGCCTTGAATTCGCGGCTAGCTGGCGTTCCATCACAATCGATCGAGGCTGTCAATCCTACTTGGGTTGTGATGCTTTGTCTTTTGACGATTCCGTCGCTCGAGACGACAGACTCGTCGCTGCTGCTCCATGTAATGCTTTGACCGCCTCTGGCAGAAGGAGGTAGGTACAGGTTACCTCGAACGTCGTCAAGGTTTGCAACGCTCAAGGCATTAAGATCTTCTGAACAAGTGCTGTTCTCAGCAGCATGGGCCAGAAATGCCAAAGTCGAAGACGCTAGAAGATATAGTGAGCGCATAATGGATGGATATGATGGTAACATGGAAACAGAATGGAGGCCGGCAGACTGAGGTTTTGTACCTCGTCCAAGTGGTCATGAACACGAGCTTTGCCTTGATGATCATGCATGTTCGCTGATCACTTGTCAATCTACGGATGAAAGCACGCGAAGAGTTGCGGCCGAGTCGAATATTCATGGAGAACTATGGGGAAACGAGTTCGTGTTGCGGAGGAGAATGCTTGGCTTCGGAAGGCTTCAGGTTATTTGTCTGGCACGTCATCGTGAAGCACAACTCTTCAGCCGAGCGCGTCCGAAAAGTGCTCTTCTACTGAAGATCTCTGCTGCGCGGTCCTTGGCACGTCCGGCGGGGTACACAAGCACTGTGAGCATCGTTCCCAAAGTTTGAGAATGAACAGTATTTCCTGACCGGGAGAATCGAAAGTAAGGTAAGTGCTAGCGAGGGATATCGGCACGTAGCTCGGGGCGGCGAAACCTCGGTATGAAATAGGCAACTATTGCTCCGAGTGTGCTCTCTTCCTGATTCCACTTCACATAACGAGACCAGACCTCCGTTATTCTTTCGTGATACAACGGGGAACATACTTCCAACTAACCAGTTCCAATCCACAGAAGAATCGATATCGGGTGACTCGTTGAATTACCTCGTCCAAGCATTAGTAACGCCTCCGAGACGTACTTGAGGTGAGGCACAACGCCCGTATACGTGGTTGTCGAGCAGCACATCAACGTACACGAATTTATACCATCACGCATGAATAATGCAAAGCAGACAGTCTTCAGTCTCACGTATATCTGAAAGCTGCAATGCTTTCGAAGCGACCCATTCTCGCCCGAAAGCTGAAACGACACGCGTCATCTCCACTGATTAATCCTTGATAGACGACGACTGCAGCCTGCAAGCATCGGAACGTGATTTCGATTGTGTCTAAAGCAGTTTCTAGCTAGAGCAAATCCTCGCTACCCCATCACAATTACCTTCTCGTCGACCAGCGATGTGAGATCAGGTAAGCTTGCTGTTAACAAACTTGAGTGCAGCCTGACCATACTCGCTACCATAACCCTGATGAACATTGGCATTATTACCATTCGAGCAATAAGGATCAGCAGCATCACAGTAAGCCTGGATTCTGCTCGCATAGGCAGAGCAAGTGAAGCCAGAAGGCCGAGGGTCGAACTAAACACCCCGATCAGTAAAAGCGCAAATCAAGCGACATTGTATAACTTACACCAGGATTCTTGGACGTGCCAACAGAGTAAGAAGCACCAGGAATCTGTCTGGGATCACCCATGAAGATGACAGCCTTGATCTTACTACCGACACTGCTAGAGATCGTCGCCGCAGTGCTCGAAATGCCCTGGTTGGGATCACCACCTCCACAAAGAGCGTCATCACCAATCTGTGCTCCCTGAGAGTACCCCACATAAACCAACTGAGTGTTTGGGCAAGATGCAGCAAAACTGTTGATCTGGTTTGTAACGGCTTTGACGCCCGCCTGCACGGAAGATGCGTAGCTGTTGCCTCCAGCTGCTGGGTAGTTGATGACCTCGGCGGTGGAGCCAGGGTGGGCGTTTAGGATGAGGTTGACGACTGTGCCGGCTGAACCGTAGCCGGCAGGTGCGGTGGTCTCGCGAGCGCCGAAGACGTGGATGTTGGGGCAGGCACGCTTTTCTAGGGGAGCGGCCATGGTGGATCCCATGACGAGGAGCGGAATGACGGCGGTGGTGGACTTCATGTTGGTGTAGATAAAAGGAGTTGTTAGAAAGGTGTGAAATTGAGTCACTATCAAGAGGAGTTGGCTGAGCTTTATATCTTCCTCTCACTTCTCTACCCTTGCGTCCCCAGCCTAGTCGGTCAGGCGGATCGTCTGATATCATGCTACCTCGACACGCTCTAGATGTCAGAAGTTTAGGCAAATTCAATGAACTCCAGACTCAAGAGGCTAGATCGATGTGACAGAGCACGTTCATTGAACAAAGTCCAGGGGCGACAGAGCTTAGCGAGGTTTCAGCTTGTTTCATGCAGCGGCAATGTGCTTGTTCAAAGCTTGTCCTGTCACCCTATCACAACTGCATGCAATAGACATCGTGCTCTTTAGCCTCGTCTCTGCTTACGTACTATGGCTCTTACTGCTGATCACGGCTAGTGGTCATCGAATGCAGAACCGAAGCCAAGCATGCGAGAACGAACTTGCAAGTTCCGTTCGTAGAACAGAGACATGGCTGGATGAACTCGCTTCAATCGCTGTGGGGAATAGGCATAAACATTGCGGGGTATGTATATAGGGCAAGGAAGTTTGTTCAGAACGTCTGGTTCTACGCGATCTCCTTCCCGGCTAAACCCGGCTATAACAGAAGGAAACACCAAATGTACGGGCAGAATGATCTTGCGGCCGAAAGCAGTCAAAACAAGCTCTTCGAGAAACAACTGATTCTGATTGAGCTGAAGTCTTCAAATCGATGCATTGCTGGATGGGTGAGATCTGATTAGTATAGGATCTGTGAAACTAGATAGCAATATCATCATCCATAGCTTTACAGCAATCTGCCCCAGCCCAACCCTCGTATCCCTCTGGTCATCTCATCAAGTTCATGTCTACGCGTCTCCTGCTCGTCCTCCTCAGCTTCGTCATCTGCGTCACTTTCAATCTCATCCACAGCACGTGCAACAGGAACATATTCGCAACCCATGACAAATTCATAGCTGCGTTTGAACATCTCCGTCGCAGCTACTACCCTCATGCTTTCGACCTCAAGACTTTGAAGATCCGTCTCCCAAGGCCTCTGTGGACCTCTTGCAAGTGAATCTGACAGACTGCGAGTGGCAAAGCTGAGAGTGTCTTGCCAAGGACAATGTATGCCTTCAGAGCTTTGCGCTGCTGGAGTGGTCAAACCCACATCATAATCGTCTGCCGAAGGATCCATGATTCGATTGCTTAGCTGGTCACCCATGGTCATGAAACCTTTCAGCAGACCTTTAGCCATACTAGCTTTCCCGCGGGAACGGTAGACGTAATCGACAAATGTAAGACTATTTTCCGCGAGCGAGAAAATTGCAGCGAGAAGACGCAGTGACCCGATATCCTTTGAGGTCGGCCTATCGGGCATGCTAGTAGCGAATCTGTATGCAGCGATGAGCATGTGAGTGATGGCATGAACATCACCATCCATGCTGTTCTCATCCTGGGTGTCAAGATCACAGATCACGTTGTCGAAGACCACGGCGCTGGCTTCCATGAGTGTTGTGGCTAGTACCCAGCCATCTGTTGACGTCGCCGAGCATGTGATGTATGCAGGAAATATGGAGGTAAATAGGACTTCTCTGAGAAGCCGTGATGATCTCCCGGTAAGAGCTTCGTGTACCTGTTTGTAAAGATATTGCTGCTTGTTCTCTGAAGCTGACCGTTGACTGACAGTCTGCACAAATACAGCCAGCTGTTTACGAGCTCGACTATCTTCCAGTTTGAACACATAGCTTTTGAGTTTCGCTTTGACATATGTTGGGTCATCCACCGGGAGAGGGAAGGCGGACGAGTCGACGAAGAAAGGGTCAACGGGACAGAGGTCAGACGTGTATTGCTGCATGAGCGAAACGATGTCGTGGACAAAACTGACGTAGGCTCCCTGGGTGCTCTCGTGAGACAGACCTCCAAGTCGACCAATCAAACGTTCAAGTTGCTCATACGTTCTACGCATGTACTGCATGGCAGCTTTGAGCATGTCGGCGTACTCTCTTCTCGTCTCCATGACTGTATGGGTTGGGAGCGAAATCGTTGAGGAGTGCATGTTCGACAAGATGCTGGCGATGAGACTGATTCTCCTTTGACGAAGCTCGACCATGGTGATATGGTACTCGCCAGTCCTATGGTCGGCGGCGAATGGCAAGTTGCGCAGCAAGGGCTCTGTAGTCGCTTTCTCCAGAAGACTAGCCGTAAAGCGATGTTGAAACTTGAGCATCGACTCACGTTCGAATAACGATATGAACCACGCTTTCATAAACAGATTCCGATGGTCGTGTAGACTGGATCTGTCGCTCTCGATGACTGCAGCCAGGAAGTAACAGGTGTACTTGTGTCTTTGTTCCGTTTCTCGAAGTTGGAACCAAGATTTCGTGCTGTAGGTGTCCACGTAGCTCGACCAATCGTGTGCTCCATCCTTGACGGATCGGTCAGCAACGGCAACCCAGACATCGACAACTTTTTTCAACAGGGCATCATCAGGGCTCTTATCCGAGCCGAAGCACGTGGACAAAAGCCCAGCTACAGGTTCTTGTAGAAAATTCACTTTCGATGCCTTTGGCTCCACAGCGTCGGATTTCTCTTCGACAACCTGATCCATAAAAGACCAGTCACCATAATCTTGGCTATCATCGCTACCCGGCTGGCTTTCTTGTTGCATGGGTCTACAGAGTCTTGCTTTTGCTGCAAGAAGTTCTTCGACAACGTCCAATGTCTGGATGATCGCGACGGATAATCTTGGTTGCTCCATATCGAACAGGCTCAACACATCGACAACATTCGACTGCTCGACAAGGCTGACGACTGCTGGCCATGACTTAGTCACTCTGATTGCGTTGCGAATGGCTAAGAGCAAGGCTTGAAGAATAGCGAATATGCTTTGTTGATTGACCGTGATGGTTGACTCCAGCATTTCCGGCGTGATGAGGAACGACCCTTTACTCCTTTCAGCGGTATACTGTGCTTCTGCTTCAGATCTTGCGAAGCGATATTGTGATACAGTAGTCGCAATCATATCCTTGAACCATGAGGCCATATATTCAATGTCTTTGAAGTGTTCAACCTGGGAAAGCTGGTAACGCGCTAGTGTGCCCCATGCATGAACACTCAGACGGCAAGCCTCTCGATGGGAGTTGCTGTGGTCGACCAAGTCTTTGATCATCTGCAAACGAGGTCCACAGCCAGATGGCATGACCCAGTATAACGTACAGAGCAGATCATGGTGATTGCGCAAGGCGTCGAGCGCAACATGGGTTACTTCCTGATCTTTACGGTATGTTCGACCATGATTAGGAATGAATCTCCAAGCGAAACCGCGGACCTTGTTTTTGGGAAGATCTTCCTGCAGGCCTCGCAATCCCACCACAAGCAACTTGAGAAAAATGTGAAAAGCACAGTCAGACGCTTCAAGCTCAATCGTAGGGTCTTTATCGAGGTCTTCGAGAAAGCGTGGCGAGCCCTTGCCTTCTTCTCTATGCAGCTGGGAAAGTCCGTTCTTAGCGAAGAAATCGTAGATCGTACCAAGCGCAACTTCACATCTGCGCCAACTCCATCGAGTGATCAGGTGGTAGACTCGAGCAAGACATGCCCGGATATAGTCGTTCAGATTCGGACCGCGTACTTTGCTTGTCGCCGGGTACAAGGTGAACATCCGCTGCAGCAATGACTTGATCAGATCCCAGTTGTCGTTGGTAACCCGAAACCTGCTTCCAGCCCTATAGATACCTTTGGCATCAAGCTCGAGAAGAGGTTGAACAGCGAGTGCATCGTACCATATTTGATCAATGGAATGGATGTTGCATGTCGATTCAATTGCATAGCCAAGATGCGCACTGAGAATCCCTGAAAGCTTGACGTCTGCTTCAGTGGTATCGAGGACATGATTCACTATCAAGATGCTCTTGACAGCAATGTCTCGCTCTTGAATACCAGAGTTGCGCTGAGCATGCTCACGATGCGAGTCCAAGAAATTGCGGAGAGCAGTAAATTTTGGTGGCAATGCTGTTGTAATGACTTTCTTGCTCAGAGAAACACACTTGTCAACCAGTCTCCTCTGCATACCCCCATCGATGGCAGGATGATGCGAGATACATGCAGATTGTGCTGTAAGACAAAGCAGATATAACAGCGAGTCCACCACGAGATGGTCGACATTATTGCGTGTGTCAGAGTGCATTTTGAGGACAACAGATTCTGCATCCATCATTTCCAAGAAGCTATCAATGAAGCGCGCAAGGCGATTCACACAGGAAGATCGATCGATTGGATCCAAGAAGTGTAAGCACCCTGACAAGTATCTTACAGTGGATCGCAGCAAGTAGGTGAATCGTGCGGAGGCATCTTCGATAGCAGTCCGTCGCATGTCCGCACTTTCGAATTCGCCAACGGCCTGTAAGTCTTCCGTACAAGCCGCGAGTATGATACCGAGACCTGTAGAGACATCCTCGTCCCATGCGCTCCAGTGCAATGAATGACCAGGCACTTCGAGAGTGATGTGACCAGCAGGAACATCCAAATTACGATCACGCAATGTCAAAGAATCATGAAAGTCCCCGCTGCCTACAAATGTACTGGAGGCAAAGTATGTACCAACCTCGAGTGGCCTGACATCGAAGTCTGTGGGATATCGCGTGCCGAAGGAGCCTAAGCCTTGCAATACCTCCTCAACGGCAGCATGCGTTTCATCGACAGCTCCTAGGTGTGTCACTGACACTGAAGGATTATCAAGAGGCAACGGCTCATCCGGTTGGCGGAAACGAGCTGTTTCGGTGTCCAGCCGTCGAGCGAGTCTTTTGCGGCTTCGCGGTCCGTTAGCAGCACCTGCAGTACCTGTCATGGTCGTGTCAGGTTCCTGCACTTGGCCCGAAGCAGCTTCAGGTAGAGGGTCCTGGTCCTTGAGGAATCGCTCGAGCCGATAGCTTGAAGCCGACTGTTGTCCTCGGTCACGAGCAAAGATTTCCATCAACCGGGAAGGAGGCGCTGCAAAAGTGAGAGGATCCAGATTGTGACGTGTGAAACGCGCTATGGTTTCCAGTTGAGCAGGTCGCATGCGGTGATCTCGTTCGAGCAAGCTCCGCTGGTTTGCCTGCTTTTCTCTAGAAGCGAGACGTTTGCGTGCATTGTCGCTTCCCGGTTGGACGGGTTTTGTGCCTGGTAGAGGTCGCGGTTGTGCGGGCCTACGTCGTCTTGCCTGAATCGATCTTGAGGCTTGTTGACCATCTTGAGTTCCGAGCCTATCGCAGGTGGAACCCTCGTCGGCATTGCCCACAGAGTGAGCACTCCGAGGGATTGGAGGGTTCCAAGTTCGTTCCAAGTCACCCGCTCGCCAGGCTACCAAAGGACTAAGGGCATCTTGTGTATCTCCCCTCGTAGCAAGACGAATACTTTTGTTGCTCGGGTTGTGTCTGCCATGATCTGGTCGATTACGAGCTTGGCGAGCGGCAAGGCGCACGAATTGAGGCTTAGGAGCTGCCCGCGGCGACTTTGACTCGACAGAGGCTGCGACGTCCAATATGCTCAGTTTCTGCGGCTTCTTGCGAGCTACCCTCCTGTTCGCTTTGCCGGCCGTCTTGAGATGTGACTTGGATTCACCTGCAATCGAAGGAACTGGTGCAGCGCGCTTGTGTCTGGCATGGCTTTTGCTCGAAGCAGGATGTTTGCTTGCAAACCCGAACGTGTCTGTAAGTCGAGCCTGTTTCTTGTGACCCGCCGGCAATCTGAAACGTGACCGCTCCCCAGTCGGAAACATCTCATCAATCTCGTCGTGCTCGTCAACGTCATTTGTCGCGAAGTGATGACCCGACAGTCGCCCATCGACCGGTGATGGAAGGGTGGTCTGTAACAGACGAGGGTCTGAAAGCTCTCTTAGCGAACTATCAGACTCGGTGTTGTCTGAAAAAACGACATAGCTGGTTTGACGGGCGGGAGTAGCAGAATGGCTTGTCACACGGCGTTGTGCTACACCTCTGACGGGAGCAGTTGGTCTTGGAGTTTCGGTTTGAACCTCGGACACCGCAGTGGGAGGCGATGGCGGTCTGATCTGTCTGTCAAGCTTGAGATAAGAGGCAGGTAGTACACCTCTGATTCTCCTCTGCATGCGCATCAGATGTCTGTCATCCTTATCAGACCCCGAGGCGGAGCTTGCATCGGCGAAAGCGTCGGCCTGACTTGCAGAGTCAGTGTCAGATGATATGATGACATGGCGAGAACGTCCCACAGATGTAGTGACTGGCGGTTCGGGGGATGATGGGAAAGGAGTCGGTACATCTGCTGGAGTCAAACCATGCGGAAGTCTGAAACGAGGAGGAGCAGCTGAGTTTGGTTCAACATTCGCAGGGCTTGATGTTCTGGGAGGTGAAGGAGGCAGTAGATCTGGATTGAGAGCGCTGGTATGTGCTCGTGTGAGGTTGAGAAACCTCAGCTTTCCTATAGCTCTGGATGTTGATCGAGATAGTGTTCCATCATGTTGCTCTGCATGCGGAGTCTGCAGGGTTTTGCGACGTTTGTGCCCAACTTGAGTGCCCGCGATGACATGTCGACGGATGGCAGCATCAAGATCGGGGAATTCATCGCCATCGTCAAGCATTAGATCAGTCAAATCCAGACGCGGCGGCTGGATATGAGTCGATGCAGCAGACGAGTCAGGTGGAGTGGATTCTTGAGTATCTGCGGCACGTTGATGGCGGGGCTGACTCTCTTCTTGACGAAACTCGGCATCTTGAGAATCGTCCTGAGCTCGCGGTCGTTGGCTGTTGGTGGCAAGTTGAATCGGACGGAGACCACGAGCTTTGAGCGAGCGACGGTATTGTTCAATTTCGATGAGATATGGATGCAGCTGAATTGCTTTCCGAGTTCGAAGATTGCGTCGTGGTTGGTGAGCAGCGAGGGCAGCAAGATGCTGCTCAGACAAGGCGTCGATGGCGCTTTCCAGATGAGTGGCTACGGGCTGACTTGTCAGTGTCGGGATGGATTCGTTTGTTCTTGCCGTGCTCTCGAAATGAGCAAAGAAGGGCTGTGGAGAAGAAAGGAGCTGCATATCAACATCCGAGAGGTCCGAGCTAGATACAGACCAGCGTCGTTCGGTGCGGGAAGGTGCGACCAAGGGCGCAGACGGAGGTGGAGCTTGCTGTGTCGTACTGTCTCCAGCAAGCAGGGCATCGATGTCCATGAAGTCGTCATGCTTCTCCTCCTCATGTCTTGCACTTGGCGTGCTCTTGATGCTCTTGATGCTCTTCAAAGCTCCGGGCTTGAGCTTCCGGCTATAGGTTCTGGCGTTCATGTTGGTCGAGTCAGGAGGCGATTGTGCTCTTCTATGCTGGGTGATCAAGACTATTGGTTGCCCTGCCGAAGGTTGCAGTTGAGTGGCTCGTGGTACATGGCGGGCGGTGTGAGTGAGTGTCTGGTGTGAAGGCTCCACGGATTGGTGAGTCGAGTCTTCAGGAGCCTCTGGCAGGGAGAGAGTCGGACTCGGTGCCCGCTGGAGGCCCCGTCGCGGAGGCTCGTGTCGCTCAGTGATGGGACTCGTTATTGGTTCCCAGTATCTCGGAGCATTTGTCGGCGGCCCAGCGCTCTCTTCCTGTAGACCAGGGACTTCATGTTGTGCATTGTCGGCTCCAGAATCACCGAGCAGTTCTACGGAAGCTTGTCTCTGCGGTCGTGTTGTGGTCGTCGTCGGCTGCGTGTTGCTATGAAAGTCTTCGAGCTCATCCCGAACAAGATCATCCTCATCCGAGTCCGGGACATAGCCTCGATCTCTCCATTCGCTCATTTGACCGTGCTGTCATGTCTTGTCCATGGAAACTGTGGCCTAGTGATTGGCTAACAATAATCACTTTACGCGTGCATTAATTTGGAAAGCAACGCGACTCGAGACGCGCCGCTACGCCGCTCGGAAAGTCGAGACCGACGTCACAAATGCCGATCGGTGCCAAGACCAGCCGAGATATGTCCAAGAGCTCATCATCGAACCCGAGTGGTCTCGGACAAAACAGATTGGACACTACAACTAAAGATGCAAAGATTCATAGGACCAGCACTAGCAACCTTCTGTGGTGTTGCCACTGGTCAGTCTTCCACGATCCCTCTATCCTCCACCTATATCAGTACTTCTGACACCTGATTGAAGCCGTCGCAGCATTACAGCCAGAATTTCAGAAGCAGGCAGCAGAAAGGGAAGGCGTGGATGTAGAGCAGTTTCAGCAACAACACAACGGTGCCATGTAAGCAATTTCCCTTTGCCTCTCCTGACCCCTTGCCTCTTGCTGAAGCCGTCTGAATAGCCCGCCGACCTCACGCGACCCAGAGATTCCTGCTATCGATAACAACAAGTCAATTGGGGTAGAAGTGAAAGAGCGTCTTCAAGAGGCCAAGGACGAAGCCATGTCGGAGATTCAACATGCGAGGGCACATGCAAAGAATGAGATACAACAGGCAAAGACCGAAGTCGCACCACAAACGGCCTGGTGGGGCTTGGGCTTGTTTGGAGCAAGTCAGGGCGGTGCTGAGAGTCCAAAAGAAGATGGAAAGACAAACTGAACAATCTTGAGAGACTATGACTCTCTCTGCGCATGTAAACGGGGAACGGCCAACATAGTACTTCTGTCCTTCGTGCGTCAGAATTACAAGGATATCAAACCAACGCCAAAAACAAAGACGCTCCCAATGTGTCGGTATAATCATCTAAGAGAAATCCTCGTCCTGGCTCTCGATCTTCTCCTTGATCCTGAGAAGCACAGTCGTCTGCCACTTGTTCAACTTTTGCATCTGGTCGAACTGGAACAATCGGTCGGCAAACATGTCTTGGTCTCCAGCCTCTACTGCCTCTTTCAAGTCGTTGAGGAGTTGGAACTCGCGAGCGGACGTGAATTGTGCGTGCTTGGAACGCCATTCGTCAAAGGCGCGGGATGTGGCTACCATGTCCTGTGATTGTGTCAGACAGACTGCAGGGATAAGAGGAGGAGGAGGAGGAAAAGAAGAAAGAAAGTCTTACGCCAGTGGCCAAGTGGCAGATACCAGCTTGGAAGAGGTAGTTCTTGATGTTCCAGGCGAGGAGGTTGTTGTTTTGCGCCTTGTCGGCCGCCGTCTCGTAACCTTGGATCGCACTGCTGTAGTCGCCCTCGAGTGCTTGCAGGTCGGAAAGTGCCAGGGTGATCTTGTTCTCGAGTCTGTGTTGGGCGGTCAGCTGCAGTGCGCATGGCTCAAGAAGATTCGGCGACTCACGCAGGAGCGGGATCTTGCTTGTAGCACTTTAATGTGTCCTTGTAGGCCTCGATGGCCTTTGGGTTGTTTCCCAGCACCTGCTGGTAATGTGTGGCTAGAGTCTCTGTATTCGTGGCAGCCGGTCTCCATCTTCCCAACTGCTTTTGCTTCTGAATGGCCTGCTCCAGCATGGTGGCGGCCTTTTCGGGCTGCACCTCGTGGTACAGCTTGAAGGCCTCGTTGTAGATGTTGACAGCATCCAAGGGCTCCTCCAGGTTCTCTGTGCAGATTCTAGCAGCGGATTCGAGAGCGCTGCCGCCTTGGGAGATTGCGAGGGAAATGGTCTCGGGGTCGTCGATCGAGGTGAGTTTGACACGGTAGGCGTTCGCTGCTGTGCGGTACATTTCGACGGCCTTCTCGTACTTTTCGCCACGCCCTCCGAAGAAGGAGAAGCCACCGGATGCGCTCTTCTCTTGCTTGATGGCCTATTGTCGCACGTTAGTCGAAGGGCTTGACTTGACTCGAAGAAGGCGTTTCGAAGAGTGGAATACCTTGTTGAGCAGATCCTGCTCGGCGGCGAGTGATGAAGCCATGGTTAGTCTAGACTGGCGATGAGTCTGCAAGTGCTGTGTGGAAGTTGTATAGAAATGTTTAGGAGGCATCACCTTGTTGGACTGCACGCGCGGGCAGCACTCGGCGCTGACGTATCCGGACCCTGTCCCGCTCTGATTGGCTGCTTCCCCAATCAGCACCAAACAGTTGCAAGCATGTGAATAGCTATCTTGCTTTCTCCAGAACATAACAAGGCCATCTCTCAAGATGCCGCCTCTCCCAATGCGGATCAAGACGTCGCACCTTGGTTCTCAATGCGCCAAGTTTCATACCACTCGACGTCTTCTCCAATCGCCGACCAAAATCGACGTTGAAGCTCTACTAGCAAGACCGACATGGTCTCTTGAATCGCTCCTTCCTCCTTCGACACCTGCCGCCTCGACTCCGATCATAACTTCGAAACAACTGCACCATCTCCTCCGCCTCTCTGCTCTTCCGCCGCCAAGAGATGCCGACGAAGAAGCAAAAATGCTGTCCTCTCTCTCTAAACACCTGCACTTTGTCAACGAGATCCGAAAAGTAGACGCCTCGCATGTCACGCCTCTTCAGAGCCTCCGTGACGAGACCGCTTCGGGGCTCAAAGAGCAAGAAATCTCACTAGATGATCTGAAAATTGCTTTTACCAAAGAACAAGTCAGAGGAGAGTACTACAAGAGGATCAGAAGAAATCAGGACGCCGCCGAGGAAGGTGAGAGTGCAAAGACATGGGACGTCCTTGCTGCTGCGAACAACAAGGTTGGGAGGTACTTTGTTGTCAATGGTGGAAAAGATGCCTGATCTCTGCACGACGTCTATCCTACTCTTGATTGGCTGCCTGCGATGCGCCACCGCTTGACCCATCGCCTATCTCCGCCAACCTGATCAATCTGCCTTGGACATGCTATCTCCTTTCATCCACTCACAGCTTGTGCCTTCAAGGCTACGAGATCAGCAGTGCAGCAGCTCTTGATCCTGCGTGATCTTCTACCAGCCCGCACTTTGCTCCTTCGACGGAATTCGTCCAGAACCCATGGATGACCGCCACAGTCCTCCTATCGCTGAAACTCGAGCGCAGTCTACATCTCTGTCCGTGCCCTATTCCCCAGGTACTTATTGCATCCATGCCTTAGACTTTGGATTGTTCGTGTCAACTCTTCAGACTTGAAAATGGCGCCGAGCGTCTTGGTCGACACCTATGCTCCGCAAGCCATTCTCGTATCTTGGGCTCAGACTCGTGCCTTTGCGCAGGATCCTTCGACGATCTCTGTAGTGGTCTTGATCTGCGCCTATCTATCTCTCACTGGAGGTGCTATGGCCCATCATCTTGTCGCCAGCAGTCCTTTGATGGATCCTTCACAAGCGCTTAACATGTCTTCTCCGACAGTCTGTGCAGGCGAGCTGCTAATCATGCTGTACTACTGGTTGCGCTTTGGCTTCACCGATTTGCGCTTTCGTGGAGCCTCGAAGCTGCTTGTTGCAGACTTCGAGGCCACTGGAAACCATCTGACCCCAGATTACAAACATCTTCGATACTCTAGAGCGTGGTTGTCTGTTGCGCTGTCACTCCTCGGTATACTGCTTTTGATCATATCGCAATCCAGGACAATCGGATCTATCAGCCTTCCATATCTGGTGTACTTGGCTGCTGGGTCGTTGGCGCTCGTGCCAGCCTCCCGCTTGCTCCTCTATCGGGGAGTTACACACGTCGTCTCCGAAGACCGCCAATTTCGACTACATAAGATGCATGCAAACACTCACCTGGATGCACGCTCGAGATCTATCAATTGCGTCTTGGCTCGTTGTCAATTCCTGCAGCTATCATTGAACATGTCACTCTGCCTCTCCTTCGTTCACCTGGATGGTGTACTTATACCGTTGTACATGGTAGTGGTCGCAATTATAAGCGCTGCACTCGGAAAATACATCGGACTTCTCACCTTCGAGCAAATCAAGCGAAGCTCTATCGTTATGCTGCCTGTGATGCTTTGTGCATTCCTCATCACCCCATCGCAGTCTAACTACCAATCCGCATTTTATATAGTCGAGCTTGCAGTCAGTACTGTCCTTGCGTTACTCTCTGGCGCATTCACAAACGACATTCTTGGATTGTTCAACGGGCGTCCGGAGAAATGATTCGATGTTGTATCAAACTATCCTCTTCGTGTTCGCAAGCACACTGCGTGGAAACTATCCGGTCTAAACATCCTGTCCTTTGAGGTTTGCTTGATTATCTTCAGCGTTGCACAAGGAGAGCTCATGGTGGGGTTTCGGATTCTCTACAATAATTTCGATGCCTAGCAACGCTAGAGCAGCTCAAGTATAAAAGCTCTGGATTTAGCCACTCCAATGAGGCCGAAAAAAGCGTAATACACATAGTAGGGATAGACAGCGCATACATGCAATTTGTCCACCAATCAGCCTGCTTTAGAACGAGTCTTGCTACATACGTTCAGCCCCCAGCGCTGCATACCGGCGCTTAGATCATACAACACCTATCACTCTGCTTCCAATAACTGTGTCGTCCGTTCTTGAATTTAGAGGTTGAAAATTGGCGGCCATTCACAGCGTCGCAAGCTAGAGTTCTGGCGCATTGCATCCTTCGACATGCAACTGGGCTTCGTCACAGCCTGCGCCACTCTACTATTTCTGGTGCCGGACTCGCTGGACCAAGGTTCTCTTTGGTAAATGGATGGAAACGAACGAAGCCGTATGCTTCACATAAAGTCCCTGGCAGACTCGACGAAAGCATCATCAATACTACGCAGGCATTGCATCAGGAACGCTAAAACCACAATCTCTCCTTTAAAATATCTCCCCTACTGTTGGTAATTTAAATCATGCGGTGGCTACTTACTGTTTCTTCGCAATACCTTTTGGTCTGTGCTGGTTCGCAACCTTGACACGAAGTGCTCTGAGAAGGAGGTGAGGAAGATGAAAGTAGCGAGTCGTCAAAACCAGTAGCCTTTAGTCGCATCTGATCATATGCAATGCATTTGAGATGTATATACCAGGACCCAAACTCCCGATCATGTAGATCAGTCACCTTCTCACTGCTCACTCTCGCCCAATTGTTCCTCATCAACACGTGCAGTCTTTCCATTTCCCTGGAAATCGCCATTGTTGAATGCTGGATCATCCTTTTGTGGGAAGTATGCACTCCAAGCTTGCCAACTCTCATAAGTTCGACTAGGGTATCTCTCTTTCGTCACTTTGCCCAACTCTTCAATGCTCCTCTTACCACCCTCGAAGCTTTCCTCAAACGGAAATACGTGTGCACTCTCATCCGGAATGCGACGATCGCGTAGAGCCATGAGTACAGCAATAGCATCATAGACCACGCGCGGTTGAGGCAGAAGCGAGATGATCCTGCCAAAGGGAGCGTAGAGGAGAGATTTTTGCGGTGAATAGACATCGCCAGAGCCGATGCTGTCAGCACCAGATTTAATTCGAAGCTCAAGTCTCTCGATGTGTGTTTCAATGTCGCGAATTGCTGTTTGTGTCGGCATCTCAGTGTTGATGGCCTGCAACATCCAACGTAGAACTACATCCGCGAGTACATCATTGGGCTCGAGTGTGCCGGAGAGCAAGTTCGGGATCACAGAGAGAAGTCTCTCCAGCGGGTCGACGGCTCTGCGGCGTAAGAACTTGAAGCGCTGACGTCCGACATCGTAGTGACAGCCTGGAAACCATGTCTCATGTATCGTGGGCGTAGCCTTGCTGTTATCTCTGTCACGCTTTGTGAGACATGGCTGGAACAACGAAAGGCGATCGTGAAGACAGCAGGCGTGATAGACTTTGTCGACACTGCTCGAGACGACTTGATCCCATAGTGTAGGGTAGGAAGGTCCGTTACCAGCGTCCAGGGATGGAATGCCGATGCTACCGACAGTATCCAATAAACCCATGAACTTGACTGGTGTCGCAACGTTCCAACTGGCTTTCTCTCTGAACTCTTTACTCTGAGCTGAAGAAGGTTTGTCGGCATCATATGGCGAAGAGTAAATGCGATAGACCTGATCACAGAGGTCGCGTGATGGATTCTTGACAATGCCGCAGTTGTTGATCATGCCCACCACACAACGTACTGTGTAGGCACCTCTGCTCAGCCCGAAAACCCACACTTCAGTCCCTTCACGGTAATGTTGTGCAATGTATTGATATATCTCGACGCAAGTGGTTCCTATGTCGTTGGCGGTGGCACCATTGAAGAGGTACGCGAAGAAGGTACTACCGAGACCGATGCCATTGAAGTATTTTGCTCGGAGTTTTCGAGCCGGGTCTTCCAGTTCTCGCGATCCCCTTGGATTCTTCATGTCAATGCCTGTCAATCCTGCAAGTATCTGTATATTTGTGCGTGTGTCTGTCTCCGGTCCGCACCAGGTGCCATCGCAAAAGACTAGGAGCCTCTGAGGTTCCGAGGCTGGGCGCATGTTGCAAAGTCGTGGAGTCGGTGCTCTAATATGATGAAGGGGAACGACGAGTGGAGAGTTAGATAGAGGAAGATGAATGCAACGGGCAATGTTTGAAAGCAGAAATTCAGTATGTACAAGAGTAAGAAAGTAAAGGATGAGGTGGGAAGATCCAGATGATGATGTTATATTCTCTGAATTGAATCAAAGTGATGAACCCAAGTGGATGTGATGCTTTGGTATCTATTGCTGTGGCTTACTGCAGGTGTGCATATATAAAGAAAGCCCCAGCCCCAATTGCTTGCCTCAGCTTAGAACGCGACCTTTGGCCGTTTCTGCAAATTTCATGTGATATGCAGCCTGGGCAAGTCAGAATATTGGCGTTGGGTGACACGGCGCACGGCTGAGCAAGACCTGAAGATGGGGAAGCTGCAGCAGCATCGTGTGTTTATGAAGAAACCGGTCAGGGGTTCATCGAGGAAGGAGCGGAGAAGAGACCAAGGGTCGTGCGGCGACCGGCAGCAGCGGCGTTTCAATCAGCTGGACACAGGCAGCTGATGAGAAGCAGCCAAGCTCAAACAAATGAATTACGTCTTCTAGCCAGCATTTTCCTTGCAACAAGCAGGGTATTGCAATAACATGTGGAAAGAGTGCTTAGAACGACCAAGCAAATCTGGAAGTTATCGGTGAGAGGACGTCAGAGTCGAAAAAGTTGTGACAAAAGTCATGGCGTACATCATATTTGTCTGTCTCTCTCTCCCTCTCTCTCTCTCTTTGATACCACTCACATTCAGGTTTCATCTCGTTGATTTGACAGTATTTTACGACTTGCAAAGCAAATCGATATTGTTGTCGTCACACTCTGCCAGCCATCTTCGAAGTTGTCTTCAAATTTTTCGGAGAACAATGCGCATTTGTCAAGGCTGCTTCACGCTTTGACATTGATCAGAGGTAGACTTCTTGTCGCTTGCTTCGACAACCATGCATGTGTCGCGCCCATGTTCGTTCTCATCATCTTGACTTTGCTGCAGTGTCATGCGACGAGACCAGAAATAGCCACCGCAAAAGAGACATAACAAAACAAACTGAAAATACGCGAGGCTCTGCGATAATGGCCAGCTGCGACTTGAAGAAGACCCGTCACAAGGCGCACTCATGACTGCACTTGACTGTGAGGTAGTCGCTGTCGGCATGTGTGTTGCTACTGTTGCCGAAACGTGTTGTGTCGAACTTGTGTCAGGGCGTATTGAGTAAGTTATGCCAATTGTCTCGACTTGTGATGGCGATGGCAGAGCAGTGTTGACCACAATTGCATATCCCATATGTTGACCGTGCGAACTGACATAGGTCGTGGTATACGTCAATGTCTGTTCCACTGCACTGTCGAATGTCCAGATAGAATCGTACACCACGGTAGCTGTGAGGTACAGCTGCGAATCGGGCATTGCGCTCAAGATAGCCTGGACTGAGCGTCAACGAGCCCTTGCGACTCAAGAGAGGCGACAGGTGAATATCGAGGAGGTCTAGGATGATCAACTATATGCCGCAGATTTGCAACGTGCTGACAAAGAGTGTAGGAGGGGAAGAAGAAGCACGGAGGACCAAGTGACAGAAAGCGACACACCGCCAACAATTAACATTTCGACGCTCTCGCCTTCGCTTGAAACAGACAATGTTATCAATTCACGTTCTGGGTTCCATCTTTAGCAGAAACGCATCCGACGACTTGTTGCTGGCAGATGTCGCGAGTCATTGGGATTGTTTGCCGCGCGCTTGCACATATTGTCCAATCACCCTTCGCGCTCAAAATGACCTTCAATTATATCGTCCACGCATACATATTGTCACGCCGTCTTGTCAAGTATCCTTCTGCACGCATGGACTGGACCAGTCACTCAACCAATAAACAACCGCGTGCTGCAGAGAGCATCGCTTTTCATGCTGCTGTACCACCTTGTCTGGCGCTTACTGTGCGACGTGGTTGGTCACCACTCATGGTAATCTCTAAGATTAATGTGGGTTTTTCAATGAGCTGAAAATATGGGATGCTTCGATGCGCTTACAAGAGCGACTCAAATCTCTGATGCTAGTACTCAGTATCTGTCGTGTTTCGGCCTGTCGTTTTGCTTGCGAGCCTCGCTCGACCAGTCTTCTTCGATCATGGTCCCTTCCACAATCAATTCCCTTCAAGTTCAGACGACTCCGTCGCCATCCCCCTCTCTGTCTTTGACGGCTGTTGTTCAGACCACGTTGATTCCCGCCATACGGCGAAACGATCCACCAGATATCTTGACGAATGCACATACCTGCGGCTATACAAGCGGAGCGTGGTCCTCGGCTGTGACGTGTGGCCCGTCACATTCGTGCACGTACTATACGACACCCTATTCTGCTCCAAACTTTGGATGCTGTTCGGAAGGCCTAGATTGTGGTTACGTTTCAACTTGTCTAGATCACGGAGCAAAAGGAAATCCGAATACCGGAAGCGGTATCATTTTCAGCATTTCGAATGAACAATTCCTCTGGTATGTGATACATTAGTTCAAGAGAAACAACGACTAATGTTTGACTGTATCACAGCGGTCCAGCCGCCCCGTATTGCTCTAAGCTCCTACTATATGGCACGACATATGCTCCAGGCTCTAGCTACTCATTCTACTTTTACAATTGCTTAACGAAAAGTGTCCCCATGGTCATCGCCTACCAGACAACGCTCGACGAAAGAGGTGCAGCATCTAGTTCCGTGTCATCCGTTCTATCAACTACTGAAACTACGGAGGCAACCGCCTCATCCATGTTGTCGACATCGTCCAGCTCTGACGCAAGTACTCAAAGCGGCACTCCCTCCTCATCCGCGAGCCACTCAACAACATCTCAAAGTGGGACACCAGTACCGATCGAGACTACCTCAAAAAGACTAGACACGATCTCAGCGACAATTGCGTCAGGTACGCCGACTAGCAGCTCTGAAGCGTCTTCTGGCAGCCTCTCGCAGACCTCACAAATCGGTATCGCCATTGGAGTCAGCATCGGAGTTGGTGTAGTTCTGGCTTCGCTCGCATTCTGGTTCCTCCGCTATCGTAAAGCAAAGAAAGTCCAACAGTGTACTCAACAACGTTCACAATTTCAACCATCATATGTCGACCATACTGTCGCCAGCAAGTCATTTTATCCTTTTGATAACAGATTCAGCTCGTTCCATACACACACGTCAGCAACATCCGAGATGGAAGGACAGGCCTTATACGAATTAGGAGCTACTAGTAGGAGACATGAGCTCGCTGGTGAAAGGCACTGATAGGAGGTTGAACATGGTCATCAAAGGATTAGACTGCGTTGGACAATTTAGTTTCTGCGGATTCTCCACATCCTTTTGCCAAATTGCCGTACTTCGTGAAGAAAAGATGGTTTCGTACCTGTTGGCCACATCACCGACGGGATCATCTGATGCTGAAAGCGGATATGCCGACAGTAAGGCAGTATACTTAAGCAAGAAACTGCACACTGCTCCTCTGATTGCCTTCGATCTGGACAAGGATGATATTGACCCCATAGTCCAAGGAGAATTACTCGATCAGATGCTCCACAAAGAACCGGCGTCGATTCTAGCTGGCGGTGAGTACGCAGGTTTGTTGTGATTTTACGACGTTAGCCTACTGGAACAAAGGTGGTTGGACGCCAGTTGCTTCTACTGGACTGGCTGCATCTAGATTGTGGTAGAGGTATCCTATTGGAAGCTGTACACATTCTCCGGTTTTGCATGCAGTCAAGGTAGACTGATGGGTTAGGGCAGAGGGAAGAACAAGTACGGATCAGCTTGATTGTAGTTGGCGAGTCATTTAGCTACAAAAAGAAGTCGCAGTCGAACTTTAGATTAGAAGAATCGGACGGGTGTAAGTCTCACGAGTCTAGAGCCATATCATCAACAAATCGGTGTGTCTGCCAACATCGTGCTGTGGGATGGTAGGGCGAAGATAGAGCTCTGGAGAGCAAAAGGGAAAACAAAACATATAGCAGCAGGGGTTCCCACGTGGTCACCCACCGTAGTACTAATCTGCCGTTCAACTGCTTATGTATGGCAGAGCGGACGGGATGCCCAGTTTTCAGCTGACTGTGGCCGTATGTAACAGCTTGGCTGTCTTACGCTAATATTATAATAAAACATCAATTGCGTGGAGAGTCGATGTCGGACATGCACTATCACACCGCAGCTGGCGCTCTTGCGAGCTGGGAGAGTCTCGAGCTTCGCCGCACTTTGCACACGCATCACGTCTCCTTGGGATTTGCGCCGCTCAACTTTGACATATTTGATCTCGTAGTGTTGAATAACGAGGAGAAGGGCGGAGCCTATTGTACAAGAAGAGGCTCAAAAAGTCAAAATCTACTTGGCGAGACGCACAACGTCCTGGTCTAGACCGTTGGAGACAGGATTGAAGGGAGAACCATGTCGCGAGACGGTACGGCATAGAAATTGCGTCCGTCGCAGTCGTGAGAACACGTCGAGCGACCGCGGATTCGTTTTGTGATGTATGTGCAGACATGGATAATAACATGCCGTCTCAGGACCTCCCGCCCGACTTGGATGCCCTCGTAGACTTCATCGCCGACGATACGCGGGCTACCCTTATCCTTGAGCTCGCGACATCGAGCTCAGTGTACCGCAACATTGCCTTTGACACACTGGTGGCCACCGAGTCTCAGTCTTCCGTCTCACCTGGCTGGCTCGAATTGCTGATCTTCAGTGCGTGTGACGCGACGACCCTGAAAGCTCGACAGACCGAGGAGCTCGGTAGCTTTGCCTCCCACCAGTGGTCAAGAAAGAGAATTGGAACACAATGGATTGCTGTCACATGCCTTGACTCGTCAGTCAGGGATTTCCCCTCTGACAGGCCAAAGGATGACGCTCGGAAGAACGTCCCAGAGACAATTCCCCTCCTCCGCCACGAGTCGGAGACGTCCACTACCTCAGCTTCGACTCATACCTCCAATTCTAGCACCTTTGATGTGGATGCGCCTCTTGAAGACATGACCGTGGACTGGCTCTTGTTCCCTCACCTCACTTCGGATCCTTTCATTGATTTTCTCATCCATCACAACTGGCAAGACAAAGCTATAGGGCCTATACATGCCTGGCCTACAATGCTTCGACAGATGTATACAACCATTCTCGCTTCTAGAGAGCCTCGTATCTTGTATTGGGGTAATGATATGCTCATGCTCTACAATGAACAAGCCCGCTTCGTCACCGGCGAGATGCATACCGTCTCTCTAGGAGAACCTTTCAAACAAGTCTGGGGAGAGGCCATCGATACTGAAATTGTTAAGATGATCAAGACCGGTATCAAGAGAGGCAAGCCTGTCTGCCAGCGAGACTACGAACTTATCTTGACGAGATATGGCTTTCCTGAAAGTTGTTTCTTCGATCTCGTCTTTCTTCCCATACCCTCTCCGGAGGGACGTTATCTGGGCGTGCTCACAGAGTTCACCGAGATCACAGAAAAAGTGCTGCAAAGAAACCGACACGAAGTCTCTAGGTCTCTGTTGGAGAACATCTCAAAGGCAATCAATCTACAAGACCTCTGGCAGAGATTCGTACATACGCTTGAGTCCAACTCCAGAGATATCTCATATGCAGTGGTATACACCAGAGCCACGTCTTCATCAGAGAGTGATCAAGATGCGTTCCAATTGGAGGCCAACTGCAACGTAGAGAGCCTTCAGAAACATCCATCACATATGGTCATCACAGCCCTCAATCGCTCTACCACTGAAGTCATCATTCTACAACAAAGCAAAGGCACCCTTCCGCCAGAACTGGCGGTGTCTGTTTCAGAGGTGGGAAATGTCGACGCAGCCTACATCCTTCCAGTCATAGGTTTAGATGGTGTTCGTCTCTCTGGTATCGTTGTCCTGGGTTTGAACCCAAGAAGAGCTATGAGTCCGAGCATACGCCAATTTGCGGAGTCCATACGCGACATGCTGTTCAAGTCCGTTGCTTTGTTCTCACTGCCTATGGAACAACGAGAATCTCGCGAAATCTCTCGAGCACTTTCTCAGCAACTAGAAACCATGACCATGAAGGCAGAGAGAAGTGAACAGAACTTTGCCAGAATGCTACGTGACGCTCCAATAGGCATGTGCATGCATCGAGACGATGGGCACTGTGTTTACGTCAACGATGTATGCCTTGAGCTTCTTGGTATGAGTAAAGGCCAGTTTTTCAAAGCCGCGGAAGTCGGGCTAGCCTGGCGCGATGCTGTGCATGACGAAGACTTTGAGACAGTTAATCAGGCCTGGAACACCGCAATCGAGAAAGGCACACCCGCAAGCGCCGAATTCCGTGTCAAAGCATTGTCGTCGCAAGGCGAAACCCGATGGCTTGAAATCAGCGCACAGCAGCGCCACGACAGATCGGGAAATCTAGAGTACCTCTACGTTTGGCTTAGGGACATCTCCACTAGAAAGCAGTTGGCCGAACAAAAGCTTGCAGATGCTCTGGAAACTAAAAGGAGATCAGAAATCTTCATCGACATGTATGACGGACGCCCTGATGAAATCTTCATCAATCTGCTAAAAGTTGAACAGGGTATCACACGAGATGCGCAATCCTCTTGGTGCAATTTTGCTGCTCACGGATGCCATCTTGTCTTCGCTGCCACCAGTGATGGGCACTGACCAACTCTGCACTCTGACACCTGAGATAAGACATACCCTTGTGGATATTGCAGCAAACATTCAGCTATGCGCAAAGCATCAAAAAGTCATCATTGACGAAGTGCTAACCTTTTCGCGGCTAGACTCGAAGCTTCTGGTCCTTGCGCCAGAAAAAATCTCTCCATCGGAGACAGTGCAGTCGGTGCTGAAGATGGTCAAGGCAGAACTTGATTACGACAAGATCCAGGGCTTATTGGAAATACAACAAAGCTACGTTGATCTCGCTGTTAGCAATGTCTTACTTGACCCCGGTCGCCTCTCGCAAGTTATACTCAATCTGATGACCAGTAAGCCCCTTGTAGAGCTTGAGTCGCATGTGCGTGTACTAATTTTGCCATTCAGACGCTATTAAGTTCACAAAGAACTCCAGCAAGCGACAAATCACAATCAGTATAGCTGCATCTCGTACCAAGCCGACTGCCAGTGATTGCCGAGTTACGCTGATCGACCCTCGCGAAGACAAGCCTGCTAAGGCGGCTCGGCGAATGTCAATAACCGATGAGCCTGTCGGCGAAGATGTGTATCTTATCATCAGTGTTCGCGATACTGGTTGTGGACTCACAGCGACCGAAATGGGCCACCTTTTCCACAGATTTAGCCAGGCTTCACCAAAAACATACAAGCAGGTTTGTACTAAACTCGGTATCACATCAGACAGACTACTGACCATTGCGTGTCAGTATGGTGGGAGTGGGCTTGGCTTGTTCATCAGCCGTGAGCTGGTAGAGCTACAAGGAGGTCAGATTGGTGTGCATAGTGAATTTGGCAAAGGTAGCACCTTCGCATTTTACCTTGAGACAGCACGTGTCGAAACATCCGTCCAACCGCCATCTGCCAAAATAGCTCAGACATCCATCAGTGACCACATGCGAGTGGTGGATGGTCCAGCAGCCCTCCGGACGCAAGCGCAGGATCTCCATGTTTTAGGTGAGCATAGTCAACTCTGATTAGCATCCAACGCTGACATTGCGAAGTCGTCGAGGACAACGCAATCAACCAGAAGATCCTCGCTCAGCAACTTCGAAAAACGGGATGTGCCAAGGTTCACGTTGCAGACCATGGTGTCGATGCTCTGGAGCTGCTGTCAACTACAACTTTCCACAAAGCCGCCGGTCTGGAGCAGTTACCCTTGTCCGTCATCTTACTTGACGTCGAGATGCCTATCATGGATGGTTTGGCATGCGCACGACGCATTCGCGAGCTCGAACGAACCAAGGAGATCATCCGGCACGTACCGATCATTGGTATCACAGCAAACGCTCGTGTAGAACAGATTGCTTCTTGCATCGATGCTGGTATGGACGAGGTTGTGGTGAGTAAGTTCAACTTGACAAGACTGACTAGATCACTAATGCATAATGCAGACGAAACCATTCCGCGTTATGGATCTACTGCCTCGCATGATGGCGCTGGTTGATCAGCATAGTCCAATAGCTTGAGTCGTTCCTCAATCCTTAGTGCCGCACATCCTCTTTTTGAAGAATCTTACGGCCACACGACAGATCACTCGCCACCGAAGTCCCACTTTCCCTCACGTCGATGCCAGCTCGACGTAGCAAAGCTCTATGTAAGGAGCCTTCTACCGGACAATTCTGCCTTGTGTTTCCAGGATTTTCGTCCGGGTTGCCGCTGTCAATCTGGTGGTGAACGAGATCCATCGGAAGAGAATGTCTGTCGTTCTTGTCAGTGGATTACAAGCAAGCATGAGCAACTTGTTCACACCTTTTCAATCCTACTGCTGTCTATCAGAAGCTTTGGCAGCAACTAACGGTACGTCGAGTCTGGCGTATATCATTTATGATCATGGGTTGCGTAGGCAAAAGCTTCGATGTTGTTCTTCCGTACGGAACGCATATATTGAACTTGGTCGCCCTGAGGTCTTGTGTTGTCGATTACGAGTGTATGATCTCTGAACATTACAGCCCAGATCGCATAGCCACAGAGGCAGCAAGCCGCGCAGCCGAAGATGACGATTGCTATGATTGCTCCGTGTGATAACGACATCGATGGAGAAAGACGACCTGTTTGGACGCTGGATTAAGTTGTCAAAGTACTTGGTACGATGAGGATCAGACAAATGTGTTCAGAGCAGTAGATTGAAGAAGAGCAGTAATATGATTGTATACTGCCGTCCATCTCTCGACTATATAGTTTACGTACCTTGCATTATCTTAATTCGTGTCAGTTCTTCCATGTCGCTTCTAAGCTCGAGGCTTCCCACGTAATCTCCTAATTATCGAAGAGGCCAATTGAGAATCAACAAAACGAATGTCGGAACTCCTTCTATCAGGTGTATCCATTTGCAGAGCCGTATCATGCATTTATATTTATACTTTTACTCTTTGCCCATTGGCTGATTTATCGAGCCAGCCAATCGGCTGAGAGCAAAAGTGGGGCTCTCAGTCCGGCACCCTCCAAACACCGCCATGGCATGGCTTTGTTTCGTTACATTCTCCTTGGGTCGAAGTTGCAACTTTTCGATAATCATGCCAATCAGACCTAAGGATGGAGCTCAAGGCCAAACGGCAACGTGCAGTTGGGATCAAGTATAGTAAGAATGGGTGCCGGACATGTCGGTAAGTGACTTTGCGTCAAGACTGCCTTGAACTAGACCAACTCAGCTTGTACAGGATTCGAAGAGTGAAGTGTGATGAGACTAGACCTGATTGCAATTCCTGCACGTCCACTGGTCGTACTTGCGATGGATACAAAGATGATCCCTCCAGGAAACGTGGAAGTGCTTTACAACGACCGCTCCTTCCAGCTCCGACTTCGCCCTTTGCATTGACTGCCGTTTCACGACAACCCTCAACTATCATTTTTAGGAGGACGCAAGAGGATCACTTTTCGTTCCGATTCTTCACGGAACATGTCGTTCCTGGATGGAAACTTCTATCCCCGAATCACGAATGGATCGACCTCTCCCTTCAGCTTGCCGCGATTGAGCCTTGCATCTACTTTGCCATTGCTGCTTGTGGCAGCGTCGTTTGTGCACGTCTTGAGAAGCCTTACCATTGTTACTTCACGCCGCCCTCGCCAGTCAAGATGAAAAGAAATTTGAGCCAGTATTGTCAAGCCACGTCTGCTCTGCAGAAGTACATCGATCGAGCCGTGCGTGGCAAGGAAGCTATTGAGGTGGTGCTGATTGCTTGTCTCATGTTTGTTGCGTATGAGACTTGCCAAGATGAGAACGCATTGGCGATCCAGCATCTCAAGATGGGCAAGAGAGCTATCGAGGACTGTAGGGGTGCAAAGTTGAGATTCTCCACCAAGAAGGTGGAAAGTGACATCGTTGATGCTTTTGACTGGATGGGAGCGCAGTCTGTCGAACACGGAATTCAAAGACTGAGTTGTAAGGGAAACAGCGGCATGGGGTCTGATCTGTCGGTGTACGACTCTTTGGAAAGAGCTAAGCGGGCGCTCGAGGATCTTGCTGCTATTACTTCGAGTTGGAGGACCGATTTGCTTGCATCGGCTGCAGAGTATCTCATGACAACAGTCGGCTGCTCTGATCAACGATCCGCGATCACAGAGTGTATCAAGCATTGCGTCTGTCGCTCCATGCCACTGTCAACAAGCCACCCTCTGCTGCTGCAACAGACTCGGCTCCTCGAGGCACACGAAGCCTGGCTACAGGGGTTAACAGAGTTCGAACAGACCACACCAGACCGCCGGCCACTGATTCACATGCAGATCCAACATTTCTACTCCTTTTTCATCCTCTGCACCGCCAGGTACACGCAATCAAGCCAGTATAATCACTTCAACGATCAAGCATCTGCTGTACTTGATCTTGTGGAAGAGTTCATCACTACTACCTCGGCCTATACCGCCAAAGCTGGGCCAACATTACCCGCACTCAGCAAGGATGCGCTATACCCATACACACCTCTACCACAAGAACCAGAGCAATGTTTCGCCCTTGAGTACGCCATTTTACCCACCTTACTTGCGATTTGCTTCAAGATACAGCACTCTGCAATGAGGCACCGAGCACTACAACTTCTACGCGTGGCAAACCGTCGGGAAGCCGGGCAATGGAGCGGAGAGTTGTATCATTATGCCGATGCCATCATCGCATTAGAGCAATCGAAGGCCGGAGCTGATGTTTTTCAAGACGCCGGTCTACTGGAGGTGGTCATTGAAGACGCTGGTTTTTTGCAAGTCAGCCTGGTGTGCGGAAGATTCAGCCATGAGACGGATGGCAGCTTGGAAGTTTTGGAGTACATGGGAGCTGGCTTGCCTCCTTTGCGGCTGCAGCTTGCTGGCAGAAGTGTCTTCTTTTTCTGACCCTTGCTCTCCCACTGTCACGACGGAAAGCGATTTTGGTCATTTGGATGCTCAATCGCTTTCATGCGAGACCTTCATCTAGTGAGAGTGACCTGGTAGCGATTTTTTCCGGATGTGTTATCTCAACTCAGAATCCATGCGAATTTCAATACAACATATCTGATATGCACTGACTGGAGAAGGGAAGAACATAATCAAGCTCCAGCCACATCCGCAAATATTTATATGTAACCTTTTCCGCCTCAGCCGCGAAAACGTATGCAGTATCCACAACACACATCCTCAGACTTCAGATGAGGGCAATACTGCTAATTAATGGCATATGTCAGTCATCGTTGAAGGTACGGACCGACATCATGAGAGTATCGGCTGAAGTGTGCTCCGTTGGTGTTGAGAGATCATGATGTATGTATGTATTTATTCATTTATTCGCCTTGACTTTGACTCGACCTTCTTGGTGTCTCGGTCGGTCGAAAAGATGTAACAGACCGCTGGTAAAAGCCAGCATTACAGTAATGAGATCAAGGATATGAATTGCCCACCAGATATGCTGTTTACCCAGGGCACAGGTGGCATACTCAAACTTCCAAGTACCGGCATCAAGGTCAAACCACGCAGAGAGCAGACCAGCATTACCCCCGTAGTCTCCCATCATGCTGCGTACGGTGACCTCTCGGATACCGTTTGAAGTCGAGTTGGACTCGGGAAACTTTTCTTGGTGCCATGATTTGTCGTCATTTCCGGAGCGACCATGCCACGTATCGCAGCCTTCATGATCGTGGCCGTTGAGCACGATCCCTGCACGGTCGCTTCGGTTGTTCGGCTGAAATAGACGGTCCAAAAGCTTGTTGCTTGACTCTGGGGTCAAATGGTTCTGCTCACGAATACCACCCCCGTGATGAGGTGCAAAATAGCTGAAGAAGGGTGGGTCGACGCAAACACCGGCTGGCTTGTAAAGAGGGACATGTGTGAGAAGGATGACAGCATCGAGAGGGTTCCGCGTATGAGTGTCGTTGACGACTTGGTCAAGGAATCGATGGGTCGCATTATGCAGATGCTGGTTCCAGGCCGGCTTGTCGAGATTCATAGAGTTGAGATTGACGAGGTGCAGTTCCGAGGTCTGGTTGGACAGTGCGTCTTCGAAAGGAAGCCTGATGCGCCAATTGACGCGGCCAAAGGCACGCTCGAAGCGGTCGATACGATGGTGGTCCAGATCACCCGCATATCCAATGTCGTGGTTTCCGGCCACATTCAGCAGGGCGGGCGAGTGGCTCGCATCTGTTGTGTCCAAATAGTCCCAATCATGACCTTCTCCAGCCTCTTCGGCCTCTTCAGCCTCTTCAGCCTCTTCAGCCTCTTCAGCCTCTTTCTCATGTTTCGGGTTGTTCCAGAGGTGCGCACCGACGAAGACGCGATTCCAGAATCTGTCAGCACGTTTGTCGAACTCTTGGTTGCTTATCCACTGGCTGCCAAGTAGGTCGCCCAGAACAGAGACGTGCGTAGGTCGAGTCCACCATTTGGTCGTACGGTATATGTGTGCGAGGTAATAGTCGTTGCCGAGAAGGTCCAACTTCTTGCGCTGCATCTGCACCAGGCGAGGTACATCTCTTGTGACCATGTCCTTTAGGACTCGTTGCAAGACGTGTGCTGCCACATCGAGAGGCTCGGTCCACAGCCGGTGACGAAGGCCTACGAGAGCAGGGAAGAATGGCGCGTGAGGATCAGGCAGAGATGTGTCGCCTTCTAACTGCGGGTCGCCCAAGGCGAGGAGTCGGAAAGGTGCTACGCCATGATAGTTGGAGGGAGCCGCTGGAAAGTGGCAGTTTTGCGCGACCGGGTAGAGATAGAGCCAGAGGGTCGAAAGGAAGGCAGGCACGATCAAGGACAGAAAGGCGTATCGCACCACGCCCGAGAGCCGCATCGAGCTTGAGAATGCATTGTCGACTTGTTCAGCTTGTTGACACGGATCGTGCCTTCCCAAGAAATTGCTTCGGACTTTGCGCCCGCCAATCTCCGCTCTTCATCTCTTTCCAAGCATCGCTCCTCTCCGAGCGACGCGACACCACATTGCTTGAAAGGTCATTCTCCGGGGTTGCAGTGTCGGAACGATCGCTAGATACGGATCCTTGGGCCTATGAAATGGCTCAATTTACTCATGCCTCCGTATGGAAGTTGGCATGAACACGTGCGGCCTATGAGTGGCTCTCGTCTGGAAACTCTGTATCGCCTGTCGATCTGCACCCCTCGACAACAAGAAGAGATATGAACACGCGAACGACCAGTATCATGAATTCCAGAAATGTCTGCAGTCCACTTAGTCGCCTCAGCATGTCTCCTGTACACTCTATCCTCTTTGCCCTTGCTGCTTCTACCGTATCTACTTTTGCGATCCCCATCCTTCAACCCACAGACGTCCTCCGATTAGATGCTCATGGCTCTTTCCAGCTCAGCGTCTTCAGCGATCTGCATTTCGGTGAAGCTCAAGACACGTTATGGGGCCCCGAGCAAGACATCAACAGTGCCAAGGTCATAACCTCGGTTCTCAATGCTGAGCCCAACGCTGCCTTGGCTATCCTCAATGGTGACTTGATCACTGGAGAGAACACTTTCCTCCACAACTCTACTAAATATCTGGACTCCGTAGTGGCTCCGCTAGTGAAACATGGCATGAGCTGGGCTAGTACCTATGGCAATCACGATAGCGACTTCAATCTCTCACGCGAAGGCATCTTCGCTGAGGAGTCAAAGTATCCGCTCAGTCGTACAAGGAAGATGGTCTCTGCCTCCGATGCTGGAGTATCGAACTACTACTTACCTGTGTATGGCAACGCATCGGCCGTGCCTGAGTTCCTACTCTGGTTCTTCGACTCCCGCGGTGGCAACTACTTCCAACAGAAATCTGCAGCTGGCAACTCCGTGCCACAACCCAACTGGGTCGCACAAAGTGTTGTCAACTGGTTCACTCAAACTCGATCCGCTCTAGAGAAGAATCACAACCGTATTATCCCGAGCGTCGCTTTCGTTCATATACCCGTCAATGCCATGGCTGCTTTCCAGGCCACGGGTGTAAACAAGAAGCGTGAGCCTGGTATCAACGATGATAACCCTCTGGCTCAACAAGGATCTGCATCAGGCCAAGGCGACGTTAGTGGTACAACTTTCAGCTACAATGGCCAAGACATTCCCTTCATGCAAGCACTCCTCGACACAAAGGGGCTCAAAGCAGTCTTCTCTGGACATGACCATGGCGATGACTGGTGTTTCAGGTGGACCTCGAAGCTCAAGGGTATGAATCTGACAGGAAACGGTATAGACCTCTGTTTCGATCGACGAAGTGGATATGGCGGCTATGGGTCCTGGACAAGAGGTAGCAGACAAGTGGTTCTGCAGAAGGACAAAGAAGAGGTCGAGACCTGGGTAAGAATGGAGGATGGAAGCGTGAGTGGAAAAGTCACTTTGAATGGGACTTACGGGCAAGATTCTTATCCAGCTGTCCGATCGTAGTCAAATGTCAAAACACCTATCTCTCTCCAGAACTCAAACGTCACTTGAGAACAGAAGATTGTGGTCCCGTCTGTCGACTAACAGAAATCTGCTCCTTGGCAATCATGGCTCCTTCCCTTTCGCTCAAGTTGTGCTATTCTGCACGGGCAAGCATAACCCGATGTGGCTAGCTCGCCTAATGACCGAGAGCCTTCTCGCATCCTTCTCGCTCTGTTTCTCGACCTCTCGCAGATTGTACGAACTCACACGTCTTCTACCATTTGGCTTTCTTCCTGCCGCTTGTTCTTCTCCAAAATGCCGGGGTATGTATAGCCGAGCTGCAGCTACCGGAATGTCGGGTAAGTGCATGCCGAGAAAGCACACCGGACCTTGAGACAACAGGATCGCAAGTTGTTCCAGCAAGCTTCTCTCCTGATCACGCAGTAGGTTCTCGGATCGCTCCAGAATAATATGAGTAGACGGTCACTACTCATGTCGAAGACTCTGACCGCCTCTAACACAGTAGCATATTACGAGCACGCCATACTTCCACGGAATTTCCTCATGCTCAACGATGCGACGGGCACTGGTCTTAAAGACACACATAGCGCTGGCGCATCGCTAGCCCTCGACTCTAGATTTCTCCGACGGAGATCGGTGGATCCTTGACATGAATGCATGGTCACCAAAGAATGCACAATCATGACGAGCTCAGGATGAGAGCTGTATAAAGGTGGGAAGCTCAGTGTCGCTTCGTCCACGAGTAAGTTCTCGGAAGCAGAACGACAACATTATGACTGCTCGGTTCGTCCTTTTCGCTCTCGCGGCATTCCCACTCGTGTCTGCACGAAGCTCGTTCTTGCAGCAGACAGGCACCAGCACATGGGTCATCGGCAACGATATCTGGAACATTACTCAAGGACCAATCTATGGCACGAAGCTCTACTACCAAGACAAAGATGCCATAGGCGAGGCTGCTGGTCACTACGTAGGAGCGGGTATGCATATCGCTGTTGGACCTTCAACGACTGATCGCTAATTTGTAATAGATGGCGAAAACAACCTTGTGTGGAAGTCAGCGAGCATTGTAAATGAGGGTGACAACTTTATCGATGTGGGCTTTGTGTCTGACCAGGGCGACTTCCATTGGGTCATCTATGATGATCTTGCTGGCTCGTACCAATACTTTGTCAACCGGGCCTTGGGTGATGTCAGCATTCTCCGCTCCCTCTTCCGACTGGACCCTGGCAGGTTTCCGAATGGTCGGACTTATCTCAAAGATGAACCTTTGCCTTCTTTCCAGGCCATCAAGGATGCTACCAAGGTGCAGGATGAGACTTTCGAGACGGCTAACGGGACATACATCACAAAGTACGATTGGTCGAATTATGTCAGAGAGCGTGACTTTAACGGAGTCTATGGACCATCGACCGGGTCGTGGTATATCCATCCAAGCACGGACTACTTCAGTGGAGATCACTTGAAGCAAACCTTGACTGTGAGCAAGAGTTGTTCATTTTGTCTATGGAGCACTTGCTGATTGACCATCAGGTCCACCGTGAAAGCAGTACCGGTGATGCAGTTCAGCTCAACGTTGTACAAGACACGTCTCACTTCCAAACTCAAGTCACGACCACTCAGCCTGATGGCAAGATTTGGGGACCATGGTTGTGGTATCTAGTAAGTGCTTCGATCATTTCAAGATGGGCTTTACTAAACACAAAACAGAACGACGGCAGTGCCTCTGACGCTGCGAGTAAGTATCAAGAGGAGTTATCAAAGTGGCCGTATCCATGGGTGAATGATACGGCTTACCATTCTCGAGGCTCTGTCACCGGATCTTTAAAGTTGTCTGATGGCAGAGTTGCTGCTGGCGCCGCTGTGTTCCTCGGGGATTCTGACATCAAAGCGCCCTTAGCTCAAGGAGTCAACTACTATTATACAACACATACCGACGCCTCTGGAAAGTTCAGCTTCGCCAGTGTGCGTACTGGCCAGTACGGCTTGTATGCTTGGTCCAATGGTGGTAAGATTAGTGACGTCTACACCAATTACACAAAGTCGGGGGTCGAAGTCAAGGACGATCTCGACTTGTCAACACTCATCTGGTCTGTTCCGAGCAACAAACGCATCTTTCAAATCGGAAACTTCGACAAAAGGACTACTGGTTTTGTGAATAACGGACCTTATCAACATGGTCTCGCTGCCGCCTCGCCAGCTAACTTCACTTTCACTGTCGGCACTTCGACGTCTGCAGACTGGTATTACGCATCATCGAATCTGGGCACTTGGGACATTGTGTTCAATACTCCTGCCCTAGAGAAGCAAAACGCTCGTCTGATTGTGTCGTTGGCCGGCTATTCACAGAGCACCAGTCTGACAATCTCATCCAATGATGTTGTCCTTGGAAGCTTGAACAAGAATAATGTCACGACTGATGCGGCAGCTTACAGATCGGGTACTGTCAGTGGAGAATGGCATCAATTCGAGTATGTAATCGGAAACTTGAAGGAAGGAAAAAACGTCATCAGCTTCACAGTTGACAGATATGTATTGTGGAGAGGCTTTCTTTGGGATGCTATCGCTCTTGAGTGGGCTTGATTTCCTGGGCAACTGTTGTCGATAAGACGACACCCTTGGCCAGCCCTCCTGACTATCACCTTATGCTTAGCGAAATCGATAGGCACGATATCTCCACAAGACATTCACTCCATCAACTGAGTATGCAGTAGATGCAGTGCGTAGTCAGCCAGCGCCGGCGTCAAGGACGCTAGGGAATATGGACAACAGGTCAGTGTATCCTATGAACTTCTTGCAATCTCGACCGCCCTGCGTGGTAATTCTGAACCTTGACGCAGAGCATAGAACACAGAAGGCATCATGGACCTGGTACTCCTGCTTTCCCTGCTTTGCCTGCTTTGCCTGCTTTCCTATTACGTCGAGCAAAAAACATGACCATTAGTCGAACGAACGCACCGCGATCTCTTTTGGCGCAGTAGTAGCGCTGTTTCTTCGTTGTGCCCGTTCCTTGTGTCTTATCTTATAGGTGACAATTTCGCATGATACAGAAAATCTCCAATCATTAATATCGATGATTACATTCGATTGGTCATCAAACTTGGTACTCTATTCAGAACATTACCGGCCAGCCTTTGGCATATCGGACTTCTTCAGAGCCTACGGGCTCATTCATCGGACGTACATCTCTCTTCGTGTGTCTCCATTACCTCATCACCTTTGCTGACATGTCTTGCAGCCATGGACCTTGCAACAGCGGAGAGACTGGTCATCTCGAATTGGGCTTGATTCCGCGGATTCAAGCATGATATTTGCGTCCCTGGTCTTAGAAGACATACTCCAGGCTGAGAGGGAAGCCGGTTCCATGATGCATGGCCTCTTCGACGCGACTTCTTGGAATGCTGTGTACGAGGAGAGATGGACGACATACGTGTCCCCTGCTGGAGTATAATGGACCTGGTGATCTATCTCATGTGCATGCCGTTCGTATCTGAGCTGGCTATATGGAGGAACAGTCCATGTGAGGGTTTTGCTGTTGTTATTGTCGCTGTCGCTGCTTCTGCTGATGCTTGGGCGATTCTGAGCTTGCCTGTGTGCTATAAAAGGGACAAGCCGTGCTCTGAATATTTTTCTTAGATGTCTATTACTCGTTGGGAGTATTAGTAGTATGCACATGTATAAGAAGGTAGAGCTCTTGACCAGTTTTGCGCTTGATCCACTATCCTCTGATCGGATTTCGGCCTGAGGAGCACTGGATTTTTATCAAGTGCAGGCGTCAGCGATCAAAACCGGAAACGAGTTGTATACAGTCCTTTTGACAACTAAGGGTCGGAAGACACGATACTCTGACTTCCGAGACGCGTTCTGTAAGATAGGAAGATAGGTATTGAAGGAAAGAGGGATGGAGACGCGACTCTTCGCGTCGAGCTCTCAAGCTACATCGGACTGACTCATCAGCTATCGAAGCACATGAAACCTCGAGCCCGACGACCTCATTCCACGAAGAGTTATACAGACTCTGTCGAACTTACATGGGGTCTAGAGTACATCGTCCCAGTAAATCATTCGCAGAGTTTCGAACAGACAAATCGACTGTTTGATTGGCAGAGATAAACGCATGACGCCGCGATTTGGTCAGGGTCGTCCTGCTAACCAGCTGCCATCGGCTTGGAACTGATGTTGTGGCAGCAATAAGTATCCATCTGACGCTTTAGCCCTATGATATGGTTTTTTGATATTAGATATCGCCTTGGTAGCATTCGAGTGTGGGTGTGGCATTCTTTGGTGGCGTAAGACATTGTTTTGTGTTTCGAGAGGTCGACATCCAAAAAATTGAGCAAAGCTGCAATGGGATCAAGTGACATTGTGCATGGCATAGAACATTGGACCGGAGGACGATGAGAAGACCTCTACATGCTAGAATTGATAAAACATGTTAATATAGGTGTCGAAGTTCTGTTGTGAGACTCTCATATCATATTCTGAAAAGCCCGTCGTCCTGTGTGGTATTGAAGCATGAGCAGGGTGATACCTTTCAACCAAAGCCCTAGACGAGCTTTTGCATGTTTAACACGATGACGCAACAATTTAGTGGAATTTCGATCGTGCTCGATAAGAAAAAGCAAAACGATATTGGGAATGAGGTCATGCGATTAAATAGTATGTATTGCACTCAATCTACACGACCGTGATGGAATGGCTAGGGAATAGCACGATCTTACAGGAGCTTTCTTTCAAGGACGCGGGCCATTGTACAAGTATGTGCTTAGTATAGATAGTACAGACTTCTTCACAATGCCCAACTATGCACGCAAGGATACTCACTTGAATCTCGTCGGAAGCGTACGACTCGTAGAAGGACTAAGAGTGGGTTCCAAGTCTAGCCCTTCTTCTTCTCCATCCTCTACACCTTCAGCAATCGAGTCGTTCATTGTCCTCGGTGTTTTGGACGGATCACCTTCCCAAGCCATGGAGAATCTAGGGACAATGCCTGATCCTGGACCAGGGCTACTCGATAGAGCGTAATTGTTCTGGAAAAGGCTCTCGCTATCGTCGCTGGCACTACCATGGGACGCGATACTCGCGGAACGCATCTTTTTTAGCAGGTTCGAAAAGTTGGAGCCGTGGGATGACATGCGACGAGAAGTGCTGTCCTTGTCTATGGAGTTCAGACTAGTGCTGATGAAGTTGTCAAAGTCTTCTTCACGGTCAAAGAGGCCGGTGGCGACAGATTGGCGCCGCATGTCTTGGCTGTTCATGCCCGACATAGTTGACAGGCGACGCAAAGTCTCGTATCCAGTAGGATTAGCAGCAGCCCAATTAAAGACATCGCGACACATGTCCTGCAAGTCGAATTCAGCTCGCCAGTCGAGATCAGAAGCTGCTTTGTCAGGCGAAGCTGTCACCGTACCAAGATCACCTGCACGTGCCTCGCCGACGGTGAAAGGAATAGATGCACCGGCCGCGTTACTGAAAGCATTAATAATTTCAAGCACCGAGTACCCTCGACCTGTGCCCAGATTATAGACGTTGTAGTTGGAAGCTGGGTCTTGCCCGTCAACTTCCTCACCCTCAGGACCGGAGTCGGGCTGCTTCGTAGCCTTACGCAATGCAGCAAGATGACCCATGGCGAGGTCGTTGACATGGATGTAGTCACGCACTCCTGTGCCGTCGGAAGTGTCGTAGTTGGAGCCGAAGACGTGGACGCGGCTACGACGACGCTGATACGCTTGCAGGATCACGGGTACAATGTTGTTGGGCGTCCCCTTGGGGTCTTCACCAATCAACCCGCTAGGATGAGAGCCCGTCGGATTGAAGTAGCGTAACGAAATGGCGTAGAAGTTGGGGTCTGCAATGCAGTAGTCGTTGATGATCTCTTCCGACATCCACTTAGAACGTCCGTAAGGATTAGTGAGCAGGCCGCCGCCTGAGCCCTTGCCAGCGACCTGAACAGTATCTTCTGTGATGCCCGCCTCATGACCAACACCGTAGACGACTGCACTCGACGAGAAGATCAGCACGCCAACATCATGACGCTTCATGGCCTTGAGCAAGACCACAAGTGCAGCAACATTGTTCTCGTAGTACTCCAGTGGCTTGGTAATAGACTCCCCAACAGCCTTAAGGGCAGCGAAATGGATGACTGCTGTAATTTTGCCACAGTTGGATGGTTCTTTGACTTGAGGGCTTGGCTGAGCTCTTTTCGCTGGGTTCAGGACGTACTCGAGCATGGGGTAGGCCTTGTTCGCGGAGACCTCACCGATGCTCACAGGAAAGACCGTCCTTTCAGCATGGATCTTGTCAGATTGCCAGAACTCAAAGACTTGGTTCATAGCCTTCGTGTCTCTGATATCGACTTGGTGAAAGAATATTGGCGGCACAATGCGTGCCTGATCGAGACGCCGAGCTTCAGTTCGAGCAATGTAGTGTACACGACACAAAGACTCCACGTGGCTGTTGCACAGGTTGTCGATGACAACAGCAGCCACACCGACATTGAGAAGCTCAAGCACTGTGTGGGAGCCGATATAACCTGCCCCTCCCGTGACGAGACATACTGAAAAGGACTTGATTTCCTCGCGAAAGCGCTCCGCCTTTTTCTGGATTGAGTCTTCGACTGGTCGGTTGTGAGATGGCATTGCTGTAGCGGGATTGGGTGTTTGCGATGCAGTTTGTCGAGGTTGTCGAAGAGGTGGTCGCTTTTCGACGGCGCTGTTCTGAGATCACTGGTGAACTACCCACATCATCATGCACAGCGCGGAAAATTTATGTCCAAAACATGTTTTTCACTCCTTCACACTAGTAGAGCATGTTACCTGTTGCATCATTGATACTACGACTGTTCGAGGGCAATCGACTGCAACTATACGACCGTGAAACCTGCACACGAAGACAGCCCAATCGGTCGACGCTCAAAGTCAGGTCGTCGTTTGGCGGCGTAGGTTCAGGTCTAGTCATTGATCTTTTGCGAAGCTTCAGCACTTAGGAACCCAAGTTACCTTTTAGCAGATGTCAGATCCACATTGGAAACTGTATGTGATGGCTGCCTACGAATAGACTGGCTGGTTCTTACTTGAACTAAGCATGGCAGGCAGATGACGATCCTTGTAGGCGTATTGTTGCTAGACCAACGAGCCCCAAACATCAAGACAGTGCACGCTCATCTGAACACGAAAATGATGTTGATGCGGCTGAGATGAGGCCGTGATGAGCATGCAGTCTGTGAGAGAGTGTTGTCATGGTCTTGCAACAGTGTCGTGGGCAGTGTGTATGCTACACAGAATATCCTGAACGAAGCGACTGGATTTAAGAACGGCAAGTATCAGAGGCCGTGTACCGGTAGCATGTTGAAAGTAAGAGAGGAAAGAAGAAGTCGCGATGACGTGGAAAACGCGTCGTCCCGATGGGGAAAGTGGGGCGGAACCCGCGGGGCCGCTTTGCAGAAACACGAAAGCCCATCTTGCTCCTGGTCACAACTTTCAGACTCCTTGAGTTCGCGTAGCTGAACTTGGTACGTGTCGAGATGTGAAGTGGATCCATCAGTGCGGTGACGAAAAATTCCATTACTCGCGCCTGTGACAGCAGCAGCAGCAGCAGCAGCAGCATCGCCTAATGTCGTGGCCATTGCAGAGCGACGCGTCTTCTACGAACATGTCAGCTCCCCAAATATCGCTTCCAATGTTGGTATCTTCGCAGGGTACTTTGTAAGTAGTTGGTGGTAGAGTGAGATTACGACAATGGATCTCCTAGATGCTTCAACAAAGCATTCAAGGAGAGGCTAAGGTAAGTCGTCTCTAACTCTAAATTGACTAGAATGTTTCGACGAAGCCTGCTGCCAGTACCGCAACACAGTCTGCCACAGATCTCGGTTGGCACACTATGACATGCTTCTGGAACTTTGTTGAGACTGAGTGACTGACGCCCAGCTCGAGCTTCGGCACACTGGAGGTTCATCATTCCCATGAAGGGACATTGATGAAAGTCGACTTCACGAAGAACAGGTTTCCGCGTTCCGTACAGCTGTGGCATCCTTCTTTCAGCCTTCTCTGACTGGACCGGATGTTGATGTTGCTCCCGGGTCCAAGTTTGTTATTGTATGGAATGCGACGCTCAAAGGCTCGCAGCTCACCTTGTACTGGTATCAAATCCTTGTGGTTTCGATCGGGTGCACCTTCTTGACCCTTGGACTTCTGAATCTGGTCATTCAGTACATCCGCAAGAAGCGTCGACTGAAGAAGAGTCCACTGCCACCGAGCATCAAGAGGCTTCTACAGCTTCCAAAATCGTGGATCCAGCGCAAGCATCCTTCACCACGACGTCAAAAAAGCGTGCCTATCACTAGCGAGAAAGCTTCGCCTGTGCCGGTATTCTCGTCACCCAAGCTATCCCAGGTGAAGACGTTCTGTGTCTCAGATCATGAGATACCCGTGCAGCGACTCCGCTCCAGCTTCGACCTGCATGTCGTGGGCTTGACCGGAGAGCGACCACCCGAAACAGCGTTAGAGAGAGCACAAGATTCACTTCTTCCCATCCAAAGCCATGAAGAGCTACCCATGTCGCCTGCTCGAGGAACTGCCAATAGTGCGACGTCATCTAGACACTCGGCCCAAGACTCCCTGGGAAGCACTGAGCTTCGCACAGCTAGAGACTCCGTGCATCCTCTTCCAGCATCAGCGGGAGCAATTTCGAATACCCAGACACATACAATCTTCTATGGCTTGTTAAAGCCAGCATCTGGCTCTTCGGGGAGGGACGCAGAAGAGAAGGCTGCGATAGTGAATAATCTCCGTCTCAAGCAGGGACTACATGGCGTCGTCGTCTCGTACCACCACGGCGACTCGTCCAAAGAAATCAATGCATTGTTGGTGGCGTTACGAGACTTGCATGTTTCGGTAATCCTCATGGGAGATCCCGACCTCACAATCATCGATTCACTCCATTTCGGACTCGTCGACGGCCTCGTGATACAGAATGCGAGCGTGTTAGCTGATGGTCAGCATCGAGATTTCTTCCGTGCAGTACAGGTCCGAGAATGCGTTGCAAGATGCAAGCGTCAGATGAAGCATCGACCCGAGTTTCTTATGGGGTTCCTCGAAATATGGACCATCAAACCCACAGCAGCCACTCTGCGCCGAGCATACAAATTGGCGGATTTCTTTGGGGCTGTAATTCAAGCTCAAGCAATTTCGCAGCACAACACCCGAACGGAGATGAGTCTTAGTGGATTCGACTGGCTTAAGCGACCTGAAATCGTATATTTGCAGAAGTGCTGGACGCAAAACCCAGCAACGATCCCGCGTCCCGAAGCCGAGACAGACAATTTTCATTTCGATACCCAAAAGCTGTCTGAAATCTTGGGACCAGCGGAAAGCTTACTCGCATTATGTCCGCTATCATCCGATCTGCTTTCCGTCTCGGACGAAAAGTTGGAGAGCAGTTCCAGTCCAGATTACACTATAGATGCCCTAAGACGGGACAGTATTTGGGATGAAACAAGCTGCGGCGCTCCACTCTGCGAGACGGGGTGTTACAACTTGCGGGATGAGATTACCCAGGAGCAATTCGACCGGATACTGCAGACGCAGCGAAGCTTGAAGCATTTGCAAATGCTGCATATCTACGCAGATATTGAGATTATGTCAATATCAAAAGTCTTGAGCGTTACCTTGCAGAATTCATCCCATACAGACCTGCTGCAGAAATTCCTTGATCATCTCACCAGGGGTCAAGTGCGTATCTTCAAGGGATTAGACAGTGGCTTCAGTCTGCCGGATTACGGCGGACACATGCTAGGACTATCGGAAAGCTCCCAGGAGGATGGTCATAGTATCATCGACATTTACATCTCACTTAAGAATGTACACGATGCCGCTACGATCTGGCATGTGTGGCTGGCACATCATGGCATATCGCGTTTGAAGTGCTTTGAGGAGGAGCTCTTGTTCTTCCCTGGTGCGCAGCTACCGAAAAGTTTACAGCAGGAGCTACGTCAATGTACGGAAGCCGAGCTGCTATATATCATCCAACAAGTCCGGCTTAATACTTTCGACCACGCTTTCCATCACACCATCATAAAGACCTGTGCTGCTCTCCTGCTCGAGGATACTACCAAAACTGCTTGGAACGTACTACATTCTCGAGTGTGCTTGGACGAATCACTGAACACGAGAACACTTCTTCGCATGCGACTCGAGCAGTTTGTCAGACAAGGAACAGATCAGCTTCCAAAGCTGGAGAGACTAGTCGAGCTCTCCGATCTTCTTAGAAGAAAGTTACAGGATGCTTTGTTTGCAAACGATCGATCTACAATGTCCCAGCTTTCAGCACCTCTTGTTGATGCGTACAATGCTATGGGGACTATCCGACCTGCCGGACCCCAACTTGATCTCTACGCGCTGATGTACTTCTGCTCACTGCGCAAGCTTGCATTCGAAGATGTCTATCTTGAAACTACAGATCGGTGTCCATTATTTCTACAGCAACATGATCAAGCCGGGGTTTTCTCTGAGTTATGGGTCCTTGGCTCACAATGTGAGATCTACTTTGGTCTATTGCCACGTGCATTGGGAGAGATCACGTACGAAAAGTATCACGACTATCTGTCCCGTTATCCTCCACCGCCCGAGTCATGGAATGGCAAGGACGTATTTACGGCGTATTCGAATACTGAAGCTCGAATACAACTGGAAGGCCATGGAGTGATGACAGGATCTGGTTCGCCTGTAGATCTGCCAGGACAAGCCTCAGGTTTCAAGCTTGATGAGCCCGAGTCCACAAAACGCCTCGCCGAAGCTGCCAGCACGTTTGGAGCCATGTCCATCTTCTGTTTTCCAGCCGTGATTGATGTCGTGTTGCTCTCATTCCTCGGTCGCGGCTTTTACCTGACGGCTTACATGGACGACATGGTGGTCAGCATGGCCAATTATGCTATCCTTACCGCACTTATCATGACTGGTGGCATCACAGGTTGGGTTGGTAGTACTGGAGGGTTCTATATGTTCAGTGTGAGTTGAGTGCATTCTATTTTACGTTTGCCTAGGTGCTAACTTGATAGTTCGCTTTCGACAATATGGCGCATTTCATTGTGCAGCGGTTTTCTGCGGCATTCGTCTTGAGCACCGTCGTTGCTATCTGCGGCTTCTTTGCATTCGGCGCCCAAGAATCTTGGTTTGGTGGTTTCATTTTCCTGATTTACCTTTATGCCTTGACAACCTTTCTCAATCTGTTAGGTGAGAGCGTGTACTTCAACACCTATAACACTACTGACTTTCATTTTACAGGCATGTTTGCCACAATGCACCGGCTTGGCTGTCCATTGACTTCTGGTCGTACCGCAATGTGGAGGTGCATCCCTATTCTATTCATCTCGCCAATACTCACCATCTTCGTTGATGACCATGACCTCTTGATCTATCTGCTCATAATCTACACCTTCGTCATCGCCCTCTTGTTTAGCTTTCGACATCTCCTTCACGAATGGACAACCTGGTTAAGCAAAGTGCCGTCGGTGAAAGAGAAGGACTTGATGACATGGTACAACAATAAATTGAAGGAAAAGCAAGGGTCGCTTCCTGAAGTCGACCCGCAACAAGTTGCAGCTGAAGCTCGGTATGCTCTCAAGCTGGCAGTACACAGATATCGCAATAGAAGCGTCATCCACCAGCTTTTCAGTGCTGAAGCGGCCGTGGATCCGTTCGTCAGCAAGATGGGTACTGGACACTTATACGCTCTCTGGCTACTTGAGAAAGAGGCCGGTGGTGCAGATCTGCCCGAGACCTATACGACGACATGGTTTGTGCAGCTCGAACTTGCATTCGCCAATCAGCGGCAATTGATGCGTGGTCTGAAAGAGCACAGTCCGTTCATCACCTTCCGCTACTCAAAGTACGACGTAAGTGTCTGATTGCCACCTGAGCTGTTGACTACTCACTGACGTTCCACAGCTCGGGCAGAACGTTGGACTATTCCTCGGCGCTTTGATGGATCGTTGGATCGATGTTGTCATGAGCGCCAGGCAACCTGTCATTGTTACGTATTTCGACGATCGTGCTCGTTACGGGATCTGCTTCGGACTCTTGTATTTCCTTTTTGGTGCAGTCTCAGTAGATTTGGTTTTACAGAAGTACTGGCCACTTGCAACCGAGCTGCCAGACTGTAAGATCGACAGCCTTGATGCTTACAATGAGATCAAGCAGAAGCAGAAACAGTTTGTTCTTCTCTTGAGTTATCATATGCTGCGCTAACACCTTAAAGGACTCGCAACAAGTACTATCGAAGTGCACTGGCCGAACTGTCCACTCTCTTGGCTATCAACTTCGGCGTCATGACCATTCTCGTTTGGGCTTTTGTTATTGATCACAGATCAGTCATTCTCTACTTCCTGTATATCTCGGGATACACAGGGGTATGCCTCTTCCAGGTACGTGGATACGGGAGTGCGTCATAGCGGCGAGGCTGACTTACTGCAGTTCCACCGATGCTTCACGCAAAATCCAAAAGCACACGTCATTGCGGTCTTGATCTGCTGTGTTGCTGGGTTCGTTGTGGGGTGCATCCTGCGAGCGGTCTCTTCCACGTCTGACTTGTTTTACGACTATGTCATTGGCCTCAATGTCACTTGCGTCTCTGCTGCAATCGCGACCTTTTTCCTGACCGGGTACTTCTCACCACCAACCAGTTACCATGTTGAAACGGGAGATGACAATTCAAGTGGAACGATGAATCCAAAAGAACGCCCTGCAAATGGTGATGGAGTCGAACCGACAAGCTGGGCGACCTTGTTCAATACCCATGGCGATACACTGTGCAATCTGTCACATACGACCCACCGCAAAATCCTCCAGCATCTTTGCCTCGACATCGATGTTAACGTGCAGTGGACGAAACTACCCGAAGATATCCGCTATCTTGTCGTGTCGCGTGTGCTTGGAGTCACTGGTCACACGACTCTTGCAGCTAGGGCATGGTTAGCTGCAGAGTCAAAAAGTACAGTCCAATCCGATGATGAGCTTGCAAGATGCTTGAAGGATCACATGGGCAAGAAGTCAACCGTCAGCAAGGATGAGAACAACGCTTTCAAAGTCGCAGGCTCATATCGCGATCCAGAGCTGACCTCAGTGCTTGGCAGAGAGTTTGGAATGATCTCAAAGCTCAGACATGTCGTCACGAGCGTCGTTTCGACTATATACGGCATTGTGAAGTGGACTGCTCTCATATCTGGTGGCGCACCGGACGTCAATCGTGAGCTGTGGTTTGCTCTGAGGGACAATTCTCTGCGCACACCGCTGCTCTGGAGCCTTCTGAAAATCTGGAAGGCATGCTGGTTTATCAAGAATTTTTGGACATATCTGTTCTTGATCCTCGGCAAGCCATCCCTGCATGTGTTCTTAGAAATGAAGGATCGAGGACTGCCTAGAACACTGCGTGGAGATGCCATCACAGTAGACACGCCTTTCTCAAAAACCACCGGCTTCATCTCCCGTGATGTCGATGGCAACCTGGTGGTCACAGCCTTCGATGGTATTCACGAAATTCCACCTGATTCACAAGCGTTGAAAACCCTAGCAATCTACGATAAATCTTATCGCGTCACCCACTTCGAGAACAACCCCGGCAACCCGAAAACAAAAACTACTTCTACGTTCGATTACCACAACCAAGAGTGGAAACGCTGGCCGACCGGGAAGACCACCAAGGATGAACGCGGACACGAGATCATCTCGACCTATGACAAACATGGCCGTGTCGTGAGCGGAAAGCTTTTTCGGGGAGAAGTCGAGTTTTCTTTTGAATATCTATATAAGAAGAGGCCAAAGGGCAATACCGAAATCCTTCGGGCCACATACATAAAAGGAAATGCTGAAGACAGTGCTTCTGTAATCTCAGTGTACTGGAGTATGCAACCTCGATCCGATTCGGACAAGGTGAAAAACTGGACTCCATCTCACAAAATTAGGCGGGTCGTCGCTAGTCTAGACGGGAAAACATACGAGACCGATTGGGTGTACAAGCACGCAAGAGATCCAGACCTAGAGACAACCTTGACAGACGAGCACGGCACGATCCTGACTGGTGTGGCAGCACCCGCAGCTATCTTGGAAGACGAGTTTGGTTTCCTCAAGAAACCAGAAGACTTATCTTTCGATAGCGTTGACTTGCTTGTATATCATCCTCTGAGCTGGCTCGAAAGGTTCCCAAGGCGCGGTGCCCAGACATCGAAGTCAACTTCGTGGATCATGTCCTTCATGCCATTTGTCTATTCTGAGGTCAAAGAAAAGAAGATCTACCGCAAGCTACCCACCTCGGTGTTGAGGACCGCCCTATGGACTTTCTGGGCTAAACCGCCATACCTGGACGCTGTTTCAGCATGTTTTCTCGATGAGATGATACTGCGTAAGGAGCCTCTACTTCAGAGGTATTGGAGGCTCCGTGATGCCGGTCACCTCTTACACGCCGCGCACAATCTGGACGAGAATCTGGATCTGATCATATCGGCGATCGAGCCTTCAGCTGAGGCCTCGCAAACTTGTCCTTTGCTTATCAAAGCTTCAGACCTATTCGTGATGGGCCTTGGCAAGGATGCGAATCAGGTCACGGCTCGCCCAGAGGATGCATATCGCGACACTCATACTTTGACGTCGGTGATATTCTCTGATAATGGTTGCTGGCCAGACAATCCTGGTGGCGTCTCAAATTGTAGGCGAGACCTAGTGAACGGACACACTACTATCCGCGGCCATTGCTTGGCCGAATCAGCCAACGACTTTGGTATACCACGCTACCAGATCGAGCAGAACATCAACTCTTTGAAAATTCTTCCACTGTGGGGCTTGGATAGAAAGACACCCTACCATGGAGTACTTGACAATCTGCTCCAGACTCAGATTGATGAACGAATCTTCGAGACTAGAATTGAAGAGGACATCAAATCCATCTTCATTCCTCTCCTTACATCATTTGTCAAGGGAGCTCGAATGAGACGATATGCTCGTAGTGACCTGGTCACACTCAGCAATGTCATCCTACAGATGAACAGGTATTTTGAGAAGTGTGACTTCAACAAAACCTGGGATAACAAAGATGTGTGGGACGCTTGGATTCAAGCTTGGTTGATCGACTATCAAGATCCGAACATCGGGCTCCCGCGAGACCTCTTCGAGATTGAACAAGCATCCATGAGTGACTTTAAGAGTGCCTTGGGCTTGTATGTTTGCTACTTCTTCATATACTCAGTTGGGCTCCCGGTAGAGTGCCCGACTGTGTTCCAGAGTACCCACCATGGAGTCAGTAGTCTCTACGGAATGCTACTCAAATACCGCCGAGGCACTACCTGGGGCATTTGGGACCATGCCATCTTGTGGAGAGAGACATGCCTGAACATTAGTCCTGCACAGTGTCTGCTTCCAATCCCCGTTCAGTCGATGCTTCTGGCTGGGATCAAATTGGCCTGTCATCTGGCTTATACCCATGTCGACATTGTTTTGCCCTGCACTTCGGTGTTCAATCCAGATTGGGAGATTGACCTGGGAACTGATCAAGGATTACGTGGTAGCAAAAAGCTGTTTGCACGCAAGATCGACCCCATCGTCAACGGTATTGGGAACATGGATGCTTTCCAACCTGTCACAGAGACGCGAAGTAAGCTTCCGACTTGCGTTATGCTATCGAATGTGCAATTCATCAAGGACGTTAAGAATGCTGTGCTAGCCGCGGATGTCATTGTGAACAAGTATGGCTTCAGCGACTACCGCTTGGTCGTGTACGGTGCTCAGGACCGCCAACCAAGCTATGCCCTGGAGACTACCTCACTTATCAACACCCGCAACCTCAACGGCAAAGTCATACTCGCAGGCTTCGGTTCACCCAAAGAAGTGCTCAAGGATGCCTGGCTGTTCATGAATTCTTCACTATCTGAAGGCCTTCCACTGGCAATTGGAGAAGCTGCCCTATCTGGTATACCGATTGTTGCTACAGAGGTTGGCGCCACTGCACTTGTCCTCACCGACCCCGACGACTCCACAAAACGATACGGCGAAGTTGTGCCCCCAAACGACCCGGAAGCACTTGCACGAGCGCAACTGAGTATTCTTGGTATGCTTGGACCCTGGGCGGAGTACACAACCGACAAGATCAAGCCGGCACCACTTCCAGATAATTTTAAGACGACGGACGTTGCATGGATAACCGCGCGTATGTACGATAAGGCAGACGACCGTCGGGCACTAGGTCTGAAACTCCGAGATGTGGTTCTCCGCAGTTTTCACGGTCAAAGATATTTGCGTGAGCATGAACAGATGTATTGGGTCCAACGCAGGTGGGCAGAAACTCGTCGCTCTGCTCAAAAACTTAGTCGTCACCCGCCAGCAAACGCCGCTTTCGGCGAATCCAACATCTTCGAGTACGATGATGCTGCAGACACTGGCGCGGACGCTAAAGCGCGTTGGCAAGACTTTCGCCTGGACAAGCTCCTGATTGACAGTCATCCACCGCCTCGAAAATATAGCTTGGGTACGTATGAGAGGGGTATGTCGACTATCGGATGAGCGTTGGTTTGAAGAGGACAGATCAAGGAGACGGCCGTAGGTCAAGGTTTGAGCGTTCGGATGTCCATTTCTAGTTCCGTACCGTGTATCATTTCGGATGTGGTATCAATGCCCGTTTTGTGTAATCTAGTTTTAGCACTGCGTACGGCAGGTATGAACCAGAAAGGGGCTCTCCTTGGCGACAACATGTTACTCAAATGGCAGGAGTAGGCAAGCAGCCATCTGTGATTCATCCGTTCGCCTGATTCACTGAACCCGTTGTGACGCATATGCCAATCATGCGGCACGTTTCCCCTTGAGTGCACGTTTCTTCGCAACGAACAACCCCTCTCAAATCACACCAACATTGGCAGACGCAGAAGGCGTGTCCTATATGAGCAAAGATGCCGCTATCTGCAAAGACGGAAGCATTCAGATCAAACTCCAAAGCTCGCATTCAAAAAACACTGGGCCAAACACCACGACCTCAAAAAATGACCTTGAACATGCATGTTGCACTGCCGCTTTACATGTATCCGTCAGTAGGAACATGGCAACCTTTGTATGACGCTCTCAGTAACAACCCCCAAGTTACCTTTGATGTTATTGTCAATCCCAACAACGGACCAGGAGGCTCGTTGCCAGATTCTAACTACATTGCGAACATCACCATGATCAACGCTCATCCAAATGTCAACATACTGGGTTACGTCCACACAAGCTATGGAAGCAGAGATCTTTCCGATATTGCCTCAGACATTGACACTTACCAATCTTGGTCCACTTACACAAACTCCAACATCTCACTCGGCGGTATTTTCGTTGACGAAACACCCGCTTCTCTGGATAACTACGACTACATGGCAAACATCTTCGACAAAGTGAAGAGTACAATGACCAATGGCAACCTTGTCTGGACAAACCCAGGTGTTCCTGTCGACGCTTCTTTCTACAACATTGCAGACATGATCAACGCGTACGAGAACAGCTATGACCACTGGATGAATCAAGGAGGCAATTCGAGCATCCCAGCTGCCGTGAGAAGCAAAAGCACTGTGTTGCTGCACAGTTATCCCTCGAACACTGATACCATGGCCTCAGATGTCGACGGACTGGTCGATGCGTCGTATCTTGGTGCGTTGTTGATTGTCAACGATCAATACTCGAGTTTTGATTCAATGTGGCCGACGTTCACGAGTGAGGTTAAACAATCAAATGCGAACATGAAGTGTTAATTGCTTTCTCGCTACCTCGAGATGAATGCGAGCGGGTCTTGCATCAACAGAATGTTTTCGGTCGCTTGCGACATTCTGCCACGATTTTGATATCGTCGTCGAGGGCAAAACGATTTTGTACCGAGACCAAGACTCAATTTCTTTCAATGTATTGTTTAATTCTGTATAATGATCGCATAATATATTGCGCTGTACACAATTCGCTGCACAAACTTAATGCTTGACTCCAAGCTTCCCCACCCACAAACCAACTTGACTTCTTCTCCAACACTCAAAGCTCCGTTTGTGAGCTACTTCTTGCGTATTCAGCTTTCCATCGTCCTGCTTCTGGCGATACTTGTCGTGATACTGACCGCATCATGCGGATTAGCCGTCTCAACATTGCTAGCTAGTCTTCGGTATCCTCATGCAATAATGGCCTCAAGAGATTTGGCGGTTGAATTGTGCCCTGAAGGCGCTTACTTGATTTCGGGCGAGAGGACATACTGTAACGACAAAACCTGGAACGCTGTACCGCATTAAGTCAGCACAGGAGTCTCTTATTTGGACATGCCTCTCGCATGCCAGTCCAGCAATTTCACATACCGGAGATGCAGTTGCGACTTTGCCCATGTGCGCTATCTTCAAAGTCTTCACGGAGCAAAAGTCAAGCTGATCAGTGCACGTCCATGATATGGGGCCTTGATTGAGAGCACGTGGTCGAGTCCACATCGAACTTGCGATTCTGGGACGGCGCCGTAACCCAAGAGGGACTTTGAGAGGCTGTAAAGCCGTCATGGTCCAAGGAGGGGCAGTAATAATGTCTGACGGATCTTCGTGGACCAGTAAGCTTCTAGCTTGCCTCTCAACATGTGTCCGAAGTCTCAGTCGTTGACGAGAACAAAACAGCTCGTCTACCAACATCTGAGTGTGAAGATTCCTCAGACTTCCTGCAAGTATGCGTCGCCCAATTTCTGGCAGCTCTGCCATGCCAGGCTTCACAAGCACTGTTCTACTGCTCATATCTACGCTGTCAAATATCGCTAATGCTCAGTTTGGCAATTCAACAGGAGGGCAGACGGTTGCCAGCACGATCTTGATATTCGCTCGCGATCTACCCTCGTCTTACTCCGCAACGTCAGGTCTCTCAGGCTATGGCATTCCCTTCCAGCTTCAGCTTGTACCACAAGCTGGTATCACTCTGCCAACACTAAATGTTTCCGCGACGCAAGGAAATTATGGTGGCTTCATCATCCTTGGTGAAGTCTCCTACGACTACGGTGGGAACAACTGGGCAAGTGCTCTGACAGCCGCTCAATTCCAGACAATATATGCATATCAGGAGGCTTTTGGAGCCCGAATGGTCCGTATTGATGTCTACCCTGGACCCGACTATGATGTCGTTCCTACAATCCCCGGTGCTGGATGCTGCGGAGCTGGTGTAGAGCAACTTCTGAGCCTGACCAACACTAGTGGCTTCCCATCAGCAAACCTGAAGCAAGGTGCTACTATCAGTACACAAGGTATCTGGCACTATCCAGCTACCATCACCAATCCAAACACAACATGGGAGGTCGCCGGTCTTGCAGCAAGCTCTGACGGCACGTTCGCAAACTCTAGTTCTGCAGCAGTCATCCACCAAGTTGGAAGACGTCAAGAGATGGTCTGGTTTTCGAGTTGGGCTACAAACTGGGCACTGACCTCGAACTACCTTCAGCACGCCTATATTGCGTGGTTGACTCGTGGTTTGACAATGGGATATCGTCGCATACACCTAAGCACTCAAGTTGACGATGTCCATCTCAACACAGCCCTCTATTCACCTTCCAACGCGCTGTTCCGACTGAGAGCGGCAGATTTGCAAGCGATCAAGGACTGGATGCCTCAGCTGAACTCAAGACTGCCTGCTGGCTCGAATTACTTCATGGAGCTCGGTCATAACGGAAACGGCAACATTGTTGCTGGAATCACTTTTGAAAACACAACGACTTGTCAACCTGACCCTGCTATCATCTACACTGGTGATATGTCTTCAACTCCACTCGAATACCAGAAGCCTCTAGGCACAGGTGCTGACATCTGGCCTACAACACCAACAACCTACAGCTGGAGCAAGGCTTGCTCTCTGATTGACCCGCTTTACAGGTGGCTGTCTACTCCGGAAAATATGAACGCGTTCGCACACGTCTCGCATACATTCACACACGAGTCTTTGAACAATGCGACATATAATGACACGTACCGAGAGATCACATTCAATCAAGCATGGGCCAACGTCACAGGAATCAACCAAGCCGCGAGGTGGTCGCCTAATGGTCTCATCCCTCCTGCAATCACAGGCATGCACAACGGCGATGCTATCAGGGCTTGGATGGTCAATGGCATCAATTCGGCGGTCGGTGACAACACCAGGGCCGTATTGATGAATCAGCAGAACGAGTTCTGGCCCTTAATAAGTACTGTGACTAGTAATGGATATGATGGACTCGAAATTATTCCCCGCTGGGCGACCACCATATTCTTCAACTGCGATCTGCCTGACTGTACTACAGGCGAATGGGTACAAACTTCAGGCGGCAAGGGTGGCTTCCCTCAACTTCTCAACGACGCTCGCACGACCAACGTGCGCCACCTGATGGGGCTTCACCATGATCCTTTCATGTTCCATCAGGCCAATCTCCGAAACGCAGATGCCAACAGCACTACTATTGGCTCTATCACCGGTCAATTCTCACTAATTCAGATTTGGACCGAAGTGGTCACACAGGAGATGTCGCGTCTCACGAACTGGCCCATCGTGTCTCTCAAACACGATGATATTGCTGTCGACTTCAGGAATCGCATGGCTCGCGACCAGTGCAATCCAGCCTTGAGCTATAAACATTCTCCTGACAGCAAGAGCATCATGTCGGTCACGGTCACTGCGGATGGAAACAGTTGCTCTGCTCCCATCCCGGTCACGCTGCCTGGTGGTGTTGTCAGCAATGCTCCTGGACTTGTCAGAGAATTGCTTGGAACCGATCCTTTGGTCATTTGGGTGCCGTTGACCGGTAGTCCTGTTACCTTGACCTTGTCATCGCCGGTGTCGCTACTGTAAGACGAGGGTGGGCAATCAGCACCGGCACGCTCACCAAAGCTTGGCGCGAAATGAAGATAAAAAACAAGTTATAATGTTTATTTGATGATCCAGGTGCCCAAACGCTTGTAAGATGTAGCATGAATAGAAAGCGAATGTCTCGCTTCCGTGTCAGTAAGAGTACAGCTTCCCGGCCATCACAATTGTGCCTACTTCAATATCGTACTTTCAAAGAAACACTCAGTTGCCAATGCCAAGCTGAACTTGTCGGTCTTGTCTTCTGCTGCGGCCAAAGATTAGCAATTCAGATGTCGTTGTCACTGCCTTGTGGAGTCTCGTCCGACGCTTTATTGTCACCCGACTCGGTTGTTACCGCTCTGCGATCAGCGGTGGAAGCGGCCGTACAGCTACGGTCCACAACATCAACTCATCCATACCTAGACTTTTGCTCCCCACTGGAAGATAGTCAAGACTCGTCATCGACTCTGCATCTGTATTCGGGCATGGCATGATCCGAAACTTAGAGTTCCTAGATCAATCTTACCATCAAGCTTACTTTCATCGCATCGCCTCGCTTACAAGTGCATTATGCACCTGTAGCAGCCGCATTGCCTGCTTGTCAGATGTCCACTCTAAAGGAACAAGATGTACGGAAGCGATTTCCTAAAGCACAGACCTCGAATGAGGGACGTTTCGGAAACTTGCTCAACTCCGAAAAGGCTTATTGGAGATGACTTCGGCTTGATGGCTACGAGGGTGTGAGGGGTAGGACGAGACAAGGCTGGATGGGAAAATCTTCGTGATGTAGCGGCCGTAAGGAGATGCTTTTGATAGATGGAGATATGGAGTTGGACAAGTTGTGGAGACTTCTTGGGAACGAGGAAGTGGGGATATGACCAAAATTGAAACCGCAACTAATGTGGACTGTGATCTCAAGTCGCCTACGGCTGAGAGGAGCTTGATATTTGAGATGTCCGATAAGATGGGAAGTCGTGAGAGGACGCTGGAACTCGCCCAAGACAAATCTGATAAGGCAGGGTGACAGTATCTGACTTAATTACAAGTCGCAGCAGCCGTACGCCAGATTTACAAATGTGACAATCTGAGTCTCCTCTACTCTCCTTGCATCGTTTTGATGATTCCGGTGGAGATTCCGATACGCTTTTCATACAGGATTGCCCACCAAGAAATCTCCCGAAGTCCCTTAACACATATCCTTGTGGTTACCATAACCTCTGTGGAAAAGAGACTACTACTATGCGAACCATCTCATTCTGTTTTTCTTCGGGTACATCCTGACAGACGATGCCCTAGTTGTCAACATCATATCACCCAAGGCTGACACCAGCACACGGAGATGACCAGGTCCATGACTCCCCGATTCAAGCACCTACCGCACGAACTGCCATAGCATGTATCAGTAAAGCAGAGAGGAAACATTGTAAGCTGCTTGTGGAGCTACTGATCTCGAGTCGAGCTCACGGACCTGTGGTCGTCAACTGTTGGTGACAATCCTGACGGTCGTCTTAGAAGCACAATTCGAATCCTTGAGTACGTGCTGACAGAATAGATGGGGTCTTGATATCTATCATCATACGGGCTGGTTGAGATACTTATACGTAATCACGGACAGACAGAGGAATGAATAAAGAATCAATTCAAAACCTCACACCATGAGGGCTGTAAGTCACCATGCCTCTCAAGACGCTATGGAGTGTATCTAATGTTTAGAGCATATCGAGTGTATCAGCTGTGCATGTTGCCTGGAGTAGTTATACATGTACTTGCGGAAGCTTGACCGTTCATCAGGAATACAAACATGTCCCCACCTCAGTAGGGATGGAGAATCTCGAATGTTGTCAAGAAAGTGACAGTAAGGGCACAGTCCCGTCAGCCCTGAACCTTTATAAGAATGGGACAGGTCAGACGACAACTTCGAGCCCTTCAGCATCACATCGAGCTCTTGTCAACAGGTATACGTAAGCTCCATAGTATTAAGACTCAAATGCAAGGAGCTTGGGAAGTCTCAAGTAGATTCAAAGGCCTATCTTCCTCTGTTAGCATACACTCGAGATCTAGAAACTACCAATGAAGAGCGATAAGACATCGAATCTCCCTTCAGTAACGTGACTCCAGTGAGGAACAGGGGAGTGTGTACCACTTGCGCAATCTCTAGAGCCACATGTATCTTACTATTGACCTCTTTACAGTAACAAGCTAGAGGATCTCCAACGTCAGCACGCGGTCACTACTTATATTTGCAAAGAAATTGAGGCTGAGAATATGATCCTCGTGTGCCAGGGGTGGCTGGATCTCAGCTCAGAAATTATTATAGGTATGGTCTAGTAAGATTGTGAAGTACATGATAGCTCTACCAAGCTGCCAGAATTTTCGTTGTATTCGAGAGAGATCTGTACCATCACAACAGCGACATAGCTTCGTTGTTGTAAGATATAGACCGAGATAACAAGGGGAAGAAGACTGATAGGTCAGTGAGTATTAGTTAGTTACTCCCAGACACTGAGATTGTGACACTAGACATCCACATCTTCCACTGTCATTACGAAAGCGAATGGAAGCAGAGATCCACGGACCTGTTGTCTCTATCTCTTGTCCTGATAAGATGCCTGCATCTTTCTTGACCCTTTGAGAAACATCGTCTAGTTCAGATAGAAAGTCGAAATATATATGGAACGTCTGAACAAGAACTCCAGATGAATTCATGTCTCATCCAAGTACTACATAGAGCTCCGTTTCCAACTTTAAGTGCCTTCCCTACCTGCTACTACTCATCCATAGGTCGCGGTATTGAAGATAGTACCATCACAGTATTCAACCCACCCACCCAGCTCTTTACCCTTGATGACTTCCGAGTATCCCTCGTTACCCTTGATCTTACATGACTTCGCTAGATCTTGCTTGCTGACTCTGGTGGGTGCACCGAATGGATACTCGATCTGGAACACTGGTTTACCGGCCGCTATGAAGTTCTGGTAGATGTCGCATTCGCCATTGGCGATACCTGGGAAGGAGAAGATTAGCGGAAGTCGGGCGTGAGGAAGTATGAATGTGTTGCTCACATGACTCGATGATAGCGAACTCGACCATGCAGGTGGCATTAGCGGCAATCTCACCGGCGTTCTTGAGACCGATGGCCATGTTGTAGGATGCAGCTGTCAAAGACAGGAAGGAAAGGTAGTTCAAGGCGGTGCCTGAGGTGAGCGGAAATCCTGTGTCGGTTCCCTGCGAAGTAGTCAGAAGTGATTTCGAGATGGGAATGATGGTGCGAAAAGGGTTCAAGACTCACAAAGCCATCCACATTGTCCGGATCGACAGCGTCGCAGCCTTTTTCAGCTGCCAGCTTGATCCTGTTCGCCATGATATCTCTCACAGCTTTACTCTCAGTGTTCAGCCATCGTTCACCAGGCCAGCCGTGTAAGTCATTTCCGATATCCTGCGGTGGGAACATGCCGGCGTCTGGTCTGTAGATCTCCCAGCTGCCGGCTGAGAAGTAGCAAATGACCTTGATCCCTTGGAGATGCATCTGCTGTATGGTCAAAGCTGAGTTGCCATACATGTCGATATCGTAGACAGACAAAGCCGGTGTGAGAGATCGAGACGCATCGATAGGGCTATTGAGAACGATCTGCCAGGGTGTACCAGGCAGAGGTTGCCATAGCGGGGTCGTGTTGGCCACAACATTGAGGCCACCAAGAAGACTCAAACTCCCAGCTTGACAGCTCAATCCTTGTGATGCAGTCGCAATGGGAGGACTAGAGCGCTTGTCCGAGGTTACGGTGGAAGTGGATGATGGGGCATCTCCGGAGTTGGTGAGTCCAACACCGAGCCCTACACCAAGGGTGATGCCTAGTATAGCAATAGTGGTCGCCACAGCGCCGAGTGTGCGGTATCTGTGTCGACGAAACGACGAGATTTTGCGTGGTGATTGTGCCTTTTCGTCGCTGTAGAGGGGAGATTGCGAGTGCACCTTGTGAGCTTCTTCCATGCTTCAATCCAAGTATTTGAACACAAGGGCAAGACAGTCGAGCAGTGAATCAGATGCAATGACGGGTTGTCGAAGGCAGCAAAGAGAAAATTTTGAGATGCAGAGATGACGATGACTGGAATGCGTGAAGCGTGCTCGTCGATGAGGTTTTGTTTTGTCCACAGCCTCGACGGCTACACGTGAATCTCAAACTTACAATGTCCAAGCCTGGAGGCTGTTTTGGCAGGTCCAATGGAGTGACGAAATCGAGCCTTCCAGACTGGCCTTTCATCATCGTTCACGAAAATCATCCTAGGGTATCGTCAAGTGCGGAGCATGTTGTTCGGAGGAAGCTGCGACGCGATGGCACCTTCGTCACCTCGTGTCTTCGCCCCGCTTTCTGTCTCGATCTTGACTCGGGCTCGAGTTTCTTCTAATCTGTCAGCTGTTTATAGGGACCTGTATCCTGTTAAAGGCGACTGCATTGAGGTGTCTTTTGTGCAGCGATAAAGAAGAAGAAGAATGAGGTGGGGGAAATATTGACGTCTGACGACAAAGTACATAATCTTGTCCCGCCCACTCTATCAACAATCAACCTCCCTCATGACTATCTTCGCCAGCTTTCTAAATTCGAGAAACAACTGTGCCTTTCCACAGCTCATGGTCATCCGATGATGTGGTTGATGGGAGTGAAAAACGCAATATTTAGCACAGGGAAAAATCGATCATCATCACGATACCCTCAACATCGAGACAATCATAATGTAGAAGATTCACAAGATCACAGCCTGTGGTTCGAAGGGTGCTCGACATTCAGTTTGCTCAATCTTGTATGCTTTATGTGAAGCAAGATGGTATTGTAATGGGTATAATGGTACTTTGGCAAGAGCTACTTCTGCATGGTCTACGCGTCGGTCAATGTAGTATTATTTTCCACTCTAGAACCAGGCCAAGGTCCACAGAGCAGGGAGATGAGGCCATCGTTCCTGCCACTCGCCGAGGATGATGGGCACTCTGGCGTCGAAGCCATCTCTTGAGCCTCCGGTGGCAGAGTCAAAGGCTTCTGTGCTGCCCGTCTTCTCGGCGTGTATCTTTCTTTCGTCTTGTGCAGCAGCGTTCAACTCATCTGCAAGCTCCAGAATTGCTCTTCCTCCTACCAGCGCTTCTTCGTGATTATCCTTAATGTCAACGTTGAAGACGTGCACAGGGCGGTTGAGTGGACTTCCTCTTGACAGCAAGTCATCAACAACGGCTTCCCAACAGCGGTCTTCGCAGGTTATGACGATGTCGACTGTTCCTGATTCTGTGCCTTGAGAGCCCATGTCGGTCGTGTAGACAGGATCGCCAGGGATGGGAGCATTGGCATATCTCTTGCCGACTCTTGGGTATCCGACCTTCCAATCTTGCCAGCGTTCAGGACCCCATTTGATGTTTCTGTTGCGGTCTAGCATAGGCAGAATGCCATTGGCGCGGTATAGGCGAGCGTCTTTGCTTTCGAGCTCGCGATACATACTGTCGTAGGATGTGTTGTTGAAGTTGTAGATGTTTGGTTGTGTGATCGAGGGGCCGGGCAAACGGACTAGCGAGCCGGTGCCAAAGGAGATTGTGGGATACTTCTGGTCGCTGGCAGCAAGGCGAAGATGAGCCTCCATCGATCTGCATGACCGTATTAGTACGGTGCTTGGTGCTTGGTGCTTGGTGCTTGGTGCTTGGTGCGTGGGAAGATGGACAGCGTCATGGTGGTGACGAGGCAAAGGAGACGATGGAACAAGCAGAGGCTTTGTATTTCGACGAATATATACGTTTAGGCAGAGAGGAGAGAAGACAATTCGACGGCGCATCATTTTGCATGGCACGACGATAGATGGAGATATGGTAGACGACATCACACAACTTCACATACCTGTTGTTGTTACTGGCGCACACGGTGCAGAAGCGCAGCTTGTAGCCATCTTCTGCCCTCGCTTGTTGAGCCGTGTCTTTGTCATTTGCGCCATCCAAGCCTTGGACTGTCGAGTCTGGCTGTGCCTCTGCAGGCGGAGGAGGTGGAGGTGGCGGCGGAGGAGCTGATTGTGCAGGCGCCGCTCTTCTCCGAGGGTCGGCAGACATGCTTGTGTGATGTGCTATGCGAAGAGAACGAGGACGTGGAAATGCGAGATAGGCGCTCAGCGACGTGTCACGTTGCTATGGCTGAGACGCGTGCGCAGACTCTTCGGGAAGGTGCAACGGATCTTGTGAATGCTAATAGAGTGCTGAGACGCGTTAGTCTGACTGACGTCGTTATGGCAGGCGCGTGATTGGTATAGAGGGTTGAAGGGACGGAGTGTTTCAGATGTTTGCGTATATGGTAATGAGTTGTCTCCTCAGTCTCCGAAGAGATAGGACAGCTCCAATTAGGTTTAAACTCATCATGTGATTGTCGTGTTGCTTGTAGAGGAAGGTGCGCGTGTGAAGCGAGAGATGGACACTTACCAGATGCGTCAGGTCAATCGCCGGGAATAGCAAGCGAGTGTGTGATGAACAGTCGGGGAAGGCGCGCTTGTGTGATGGGATTGGAGGAGAGTCGAGCTCGCTGCCACGGAAGTTGCGAAAGAAAAGCGCTTCCGAAACGCGACCTCATCCGCCAAGCCGGCGCTTTCCTAATTAGGCAGCTCATCTCTTCCACAAGCCAGATTCGTCCGTCAACCTTTTCTGTCTCCGGCCGCAACGCCAAAGATACCCAAAACATGCCGTCAAGACTGCTACTCCCTCCCTCAACCTCATCTATTATGCCATGACTCTATCTCCGACATCGGCCATGTACAAACACCATGTTCCCCTTCTGCCTCACCAAACGGCTCGAGAGCTGACGACGGCTGCCGTTCTTTACCTTCTACTTCTGTCCAAGTGCTGATCGCTGCCTGGAGTGAATACAACAACAACCTGTGCCCATCACGTTCGTCCTGACTCGAAATCGATTTTGAACTTCTATAAAACCAGCTTGGCATCTGTCACTTTCTCTGATAGAAAATCCTCACAATCGAACATCACCCTCTCCAAACAATGGGATCCCCCGCCGGTACCGCGGCAAAAGTGCCAAAGACTCTTCCTCAACCCTCGAAAACTGCCAAAGTCGCCTTCAAGGTCCCGGGAACTGACATCGAGGCCGAGACGTGGTTTGCTTTGTACGGAGAGCTGTCCGAGAATGTGACTCCTTTGATCTGCTTGCATGGTGGACCTGGCATGGCTCACAACTACATCCTACCTTGTGCTCACTTATCATCGGCACCCTATTCTCGACCAGTCATCTTATACGACCAGATTGGTTGTGGAAACTCAACACATCTGCGTGATAGAAAAGGGGATACTGACTTCTGGACTTCCGACTTGTTCATTGAGGAGCTGGAAAATCTGCTGTCGTACCTCGGCATCAAGAAGTTTGATCTGTTCGGCCAGAGTTGGGGTGGCATGCTTGGAGCTCTGTATGCAACAAAACGGCCGACTGGCTTGTATCGTCTGATAATTGCCAACTCACCTGCGAGCTTGATCACTTGGGTCGAAGTAGCGGACCAACTACGAAAAGAACTTCCCAAGGACATTCAAGAAACTTTGACACGATGCGAGGAAGAGGGTACCACAGACTCGGAAGAGTACGAAACGGCCATGATGACATTTTACGAAAGACACGTCTGTCGTGTCGTACCCTTCCCCGATGAACTCATGCAGACCTTGAACCAAGTCAAGGAAGATGACACAGTCTATATGACAATGTGAGTGCAGGTGTTGAAGCACTCACGAGCTCAGCTAACATAAGCCCAGGAACGGACCTTCCGAGTTCAACGTCATAGGCTCTCTCAAAGGCTGGGACATCACGTCCGAACTTCACAAAATCAGTGTGCCTACGTTACTTATCAACGGCATAAACGATGAAGCTCAGGATATCACCATGGAGCCATTCTTCCGAGAAATTCCTGGCAAAGTGAAGTGGGTTCGTTTCCCCGAGAGCAGTCACTGTCCGCACTTGGAAGAGACAGACGCTTTTATCGAGGCTGTCGGCAATTTTCTGACCACAGAATCATGATCTGTGATTTTCTGCCTTTTCGTACTTTTCTTTCGGTCATCTTTTGGTTGATGCTCTGTTTGGTACATTTTGACACCAGCTTCCGTAATATACCCATCATTTCGCTTCCTCACAGCACTAGCAATCTTCCCTTCATTCTCCAGCTGCGCGAAGCACTCTCGAACACTGAGCTTGCCAGCAGTTCGGAACACAATTTGATGTGACTAGAACGCTTATGAACACTACTCGCCGCCTCTGGTCAGCGGGTCAAGAGTTTGGCCTCAGACTGCCGAATTGAGCTCGAGAACAAAAGAACATGTTCATGACAATGGTCTCATGCTAGGACGACTGCCAATATCAGGCGGCAAAATTTTGCAAGCAAAGTGACGGATCTCACCAGCTCTCTCTTTGTCAGATATCTTCAGACGCTCTTCTCATGCGGCGATGGTGCATACTCTGGACTCTTCGGCCTGATACTCTTCTACGCTTCCTCTAGGGTGGCACTGGCCAGTGCTGAAGCTCCGGTGAACCTCGCGCGGTCGTTGATTGACAGTGTTCGAGCTATTGTTGGTAAGTCGTCCAAGTGGGATTGGCGCAAATTCCATGTTTCGGCAAGATTCCGAATTCGCCCTCGGCTACCGCTGCAGGCTTGTGCTGGCAGTATCACCATCTTGTTTTGAATGCAAGCTATGTCTCGTTGACAAGCAGACACAATCTTGAGACCATCCTCGCCTGCGTGGCGGCTAGCGAAGAGTCAATGCTTGATACTGACACAAAAGTTGGAGTTCTAATAGCAAGAAATCAGCCGTACCTAAGTCAGTATAAATACACACTCTGCGGGTAGTGGAACTTCCCCAAGACTGCTGCAGAAGAAGATCGATCTCCAAAAGCTCTGAGTCTCCCTACTAGGGTGCTGCAGATGTTTCCATCAATCGACACTTTTTACACCCTCAGACACAGGCAACCAAGCAGGTCTGTGAAGCTGCAACCGTTTACCACAGCTGTCGCCTCAAAAATGCTTACTTGCTCTCGAAGATCCATGTGGTTGATCTGGCTTCATTGACCTGTGCTCGTACTTTCGGCGCCGTAGACTTCACCTTGCGGCCAGTCACATTGTGAAAGTGCGACCGAGAATGACCGCAGGTCGACGACGCAGACTATAGCAATCTCATTATTTCGCTCCATCACCCTCCAGTCTCGGGCTTGTGGAGGAGCACAGACACCAAACTTGGTTAACCGACCCGCCTCTTTGCTCCAGCGGTATGATGACGGCGAGATCAGATAAACTGATCGTTCTGCTCGCTTGTAGTTCATCTCGACAGGTCCGTCTTTTCCTGATGCGTAGGAGGTTTTGGATTGAGACTATTCCACTACCCCAACTATTACTTATATTGTTCTCGTAGCTTCTCCCAGGAAAGACTTTACGTGTCAAACAATATCTCATCCTGTGGGACGAGGTGACTACTTCTCCAGCTTCTACAAATTCGATCCCGGTCGCCGGTATATCTCACATGCCTTGTGTACGATATCAAATTGATGATTGGTTTAGTCAATCATGCTTACGAAGTATACTAAGATGCTCCGGAGACTAGTACGATATTTGTATACGAAGTGGGTCTTTCCAGCGCCTTCAAGGTGTTCTCGACAATCGTTATGTGGAGATCATTGGACCTACTCATCAAGCATAGCGGTCCCCACTCATGGCACACATACGAAGATTTGAAGTTTGAGGAGTCCCGAGTCCATACATATAGACGCACAACCCAAACCAGGACTGCTTCTACCGCAATGTCAAGCCAAGAATTGTTGTGCAAGATGCTACCCAGTGCAGACCTGCCATTAAGTGTCACAGATCTACCTCCGTAAACATGTGGAGAGAGCGAATTAAGGGGTCGGTAAACCACCATGCGTGTACCTTCTCCCGGCCAACGTACGTCTGAAGTTCACCCTTGACCTCACAGCGAAGTCCGTTCGGGAAGCCTACGAGTCATCGACCCGTTGCGTTCATCGATCGACCTCCTCCCACCGGCACATGCGATCGGTCAGCTATCAAACGTAATTAAAGAAGGCAGCCACAAGGTCCTACAACTTCTATCTTGGTAGTGTTAGAAGAGAGAAAGGTGTTGCATGCTACGAGCTTCCAATATATATACTCGATGGAGCTTACTTTGGTCTGGTGAGCAAGGATGGACGATTTCTGCTGGAGTACCGGTGGCGTTAGTCTAAGAAAAGAGATCCTGGCCCTGACAAGTCTCATACTCGGTGGGAGACACAATAGAGTCATAAGATTCTGCAGTGAGGAGAAAGATGAAACAAGAAGGAGGTCTTATGTTGACTGATATGTAATGTAAAGACTCTTGAACCTTCTGTGTCTCGGGCAGATGGTCAACGTTGTTGCTCACATAGTGATGACAGTCGATCTCAAGACTCACTTTTGTCTCAATCTTCTGTCTCTTTCCACCGGAGTCCATCTGGTCATATGCGGGTCTCTTGTTGGATTCGGGGGCTAGGATCATGTCAGATGAGTTCGGTCATGTGTGCGCGAATGGCCGCTCACCGGCAACGACCTCTTCCTTTTGCTCAACCTTCTCGTTGGTTTGCTCCGGCTTACTTGCGTTCTCCTGACGAGTCTTCCACCAAATCATCATCAGATCCATCCTAGTGGCGTTGCGAGGCATTGTGTAGTCGAGTGCTTGAAGTTGAGATATAAAGATGCTGTTTTGGATGGTCGAGATAGCGGAGTTTGTATCGAGATCGGTGTGAGAGAGTGTTCGTTTTGGGTGCTGTCGCGACGTCGCAGACGCAGTGATGAAGACTTCAGGCTCGAAGGTTGGGCTTGACTACGCGTAATGACCTTGGAATCGAAGGTCGACTTAGTTCTCTTGGATATAAGTGATGTAGCGAATACCTCGTGACGACCTTGTAGTGAGTGATGACAAGACTTTGCTTCTCTACAGCAGACCATGAGCGATGTGTGGCGGAGCTGAAAAAACGTGATAGAACTTACGCAAGAATAAGACGTGACGAATACCTAGACTGAACCAAGAAAAGAAGGTGAACGTCCTCAAGAAGTGCAAAAAGTGATTTTGGACAAGCCGAGACTTGAAGCAGGACCCAAGCCCAAATGTCGCATGTGTTTCAAGACAGCCCTCACAATCGAGAAGCTAGCCCTTACAACACACAAGACATTTGGTCTGCAACTCCGCTGGAATATGTGCTCTCACCCTCGATGCTCACAGTCGGCGTTTTGGGCCCGCCGTCGCTGAGTGAGCTTCTCGCATTGTTGTTCTGTTGTTTCGTTTCCCTCTCATGGATCTATCTACCTCTTCTCATTCATCTCACCACCACTTTGCTTTCGCTGTTCCTATACAAAAACAAGCCAACATACCGAGAGATTTCACACCCATCAGACTATACACTCCGAAATCTGACAATCGTCTGCATATCATGGCTCCATACAGATATCGTAAGGTGTACTCGCTCGACCAAGACTAAGATTCATGTTGTCAAAGCGGGAAAGGCTATGAAGCCCTCGTTTATTGTACTGTGCTGAAGTCATAGCCTCTATAATCTACCAAGCTCGACTTGCAATGATAGTTTGGTGGTATGAAGTGCAACCGCGTTGGCTGATCTTATCAATTCGTTCCACCCAAGTATAGTTGAGAGATATCGTCCAAGCTGACAACTGCACGAGAAGACTTTTCAGCTTAGTCGCACTACACGACAGCTTAAGTTCAGTAGAACAAACTCGAGCACAGGTCTGTGCCATACCGTACTGTCGACGTAGGATGACAGGTCACTGTATCTGAACATCATATTCACGTCCCATGATCAGCTTCTGAAGCTCGTTGGTCGAAGGACAATAATGATATATCGTACATGGCAACTACACAAGGAGCTTCTCGGACTTTGATTCGTGGACCTGACACCCTCCTCATCTGACATCAGTGCTGACTCTGAACTTGGCATACTCGAGTAAGTGTGCTTTGTGGTCGTGTGGCGGCCGGAGTGTTGTCTTTACGAGATGCTCGAATATGACCTCTGTATCACACTTATTAGTGGCCTGACACAACAAGATGGCAGATGTAAACTTTGCTCCTTCTGGCGTGTTGCATCTGCAAGAGGTTTGGGAGCATGCTGTAGTTCATGAGTGAGCCACTCCTGGTGCACAAGCGCTTTTAGATTCGGCGGCTCTGTACTGAATCTCCTTAATCCTGTCCCCATTCGCTTCTGACCTATCGTTTGGCGATTTTCTTGAACTAGAAGTGAATCTAGTATGACATATCGCACAAGCATTCACATATAAGTCATGATCAACGTGATGTTTTTCTTGGAGATAATTCAATCCAATGCTGTTTTCTTCGACCGTAGCAGGAAGGAAGAAGGAGACAGACGCGAGCTCGGCTGGAGGTCGGTAAGCTGGTCCTGTGACTTGTCCGAGGGATGGACAATTGGAAGCAGGGTGTTGCCCTTAGCGATGCGCATGGTTGATGTCAGTTCTAACGTATATTAACTGCACAGTAGACGAATACTGGACGGTTGCATCCAGCTCCATCAGTCGTGTAGTACTTCACGTTACGGCGAGCGATATAGATCGATATTGTCGATGCCGTCTTTTGTAATGCTGGCCGTAAGTGCAAGACGTCCCTGGTACGGCAAAACTGGCAACAACTGTACTGATCCTACCCGAAGTCAGCAAAGACATCTCAAGCGTTAGCTGCTGTGGATTTTGTTGCCTAGATATCGACTTGGTGAATTGCTGCTGCGAATAACATCGATATCGAAGGTATTGCGATCGTGAAAGTCCGCAGCTCCTTCGCATTGGCGAGGCGCTGACTGCCGAAATCCGACATGATCTCAAGTTTAGCCGTCCCAAGGCCGCCATACCCATGCGATATCAAGTCGCACCTGATCAAATCCTGTAACGCCTTGAGGTCAGCATCACAAGGTCACGCTCTCGAAATGACGATTCATGTCGTCGCAAGAATGCCGCCTGGACTTGGCTGTCGGTTAGTCTCGGCTCGAGTCGGCTTTGCGCGGCTGGAGTCGGTGGGTCGTCAAGAACCGAGACTGAGCGGATCTTTCGGCTTTGCGGTCGTTTGGCGCGGATGTGTTCATGCCGAACTGATTTTCGGTTGGAGAGATCTAATTGTCAGTGATCATGGAGAGATAGGAGCTTATAGGTAGTCTTGAGGACTAGGAAGGAGTCTTTATGTCTTGAATAGGGTTTGTATTGCATCTTCAATTCTGCTTGAAGTGGGTATTTGGTATCGCTAAAGGGGTTGCCCTGATGGTGTAAAAGCAGCATCTATGAGCACAAAGAACCGAAAAAGAAAAAGGGAATCATCCCATCCAGGGAGGTAACTCCAGTCCATCGCTGAAAACGCCTTTGTAATGCTTGTTGTAGGGTAAAGGAAAATCATCATCGCTATCCAGTTGCCATGTTTTTGCCAACGTCATTATCATCATCGCGAAAGTTGAAAAGTGTTCGGGTGTGAGCGTCCGAGAGAGGAACGCTTAAGCCTTACCGAAAGTGGCCTTCATGCGACGCCAGATCTCGCCGCGCATAGCATCTCTGCTCTCGACAGTGCGGGTGGCGGCATCCTTGTTCTCAGCAGCGCGACGAAGAAGGTAGTTGAGGCAGTCGGTCATCGAGCCCCAAGCAGTCAACTTGTAGGCGCGGGGAATGTCAACCATCTCCTCAGGCTTGGCTTGAGTGGCGCTGATAAGTTCGCAGCTGACCTCGTCGGCCATACCCTGGAGTTGAGCGTAGGCGCAGGGGACTCTCTCTTCGCCGGAGCGGAGCTGGTTGGTGCGGATTGCTTGGGCCTTGCGAACGGAGTCGGCGTTGTGAGTTGCGAGGACAAGACCGACGTTGCGGAGGAAGACACCATCATCGGAAGAGACGGGCTTGACGATGTTGTTGTAGCTGCGGGTAAGGACTGCCTCGGCCATGCCGTCGTAGGCGCGGTGTGTGTCCTGGATGGTGTCCCAGATCTTCTCGCGGGGTTCAGAGTGCAGGTAAGCGCCACGGACGAGCTTGACACCGAGAGTGAAACCTTCAGTCTTGGCCATGTGGAGGTGCTGGGAGAGAGAAGCAGGTGCGCCCTTGAGGTAGCATTGGTAGGTGTTGTAAAGAACGATGTTATCAGGCTTGTTGTAGATCTTCTGCAAGTTCAAGGTCCAGGCGTCAATCATGGGGTTAGTGGTAGTTTCTTCAGCAGAGGGCACGAGAGCGACGCGCTTTGCGGATGCAGCGTCGCAGATCTCCTTCATGGCCTTCTCCATAATATCAATGGGCTGCTTGCCCTGCTTGAGAAGCTGCATGGCGTAGCCGCCCATACCAGACCACTTGAGGCCGATGATGTCGCCGGGCTGAGCAGCCTCGACGGTGTCGAGAAGGCCCTGTCTCCACATCTCGACATCGCCAGCTGTGTCGCTCGAGGGAATGTCAGAGAGAACCTCACGGGCGTACTCGAAGATGACGCCGGAGTAACCAAGGCCCTGCAACTGAGCGCGAGTAGCGCGAACTTCGGCCTTTGTCTCACCGCCGCAGAACTGCTTGTAGAAAGTCTCTCTGAGCAGGAACTTCAGCAGAGGGTTGCGCTCGACATTAAAGATCGGACCCTTGGCGTGAAGCATGGCAGTAAGAGCCTTGAAACAGACGGAAAGAAGTGCAGGCTTGCATGAGATGGAGGTGATCATGTAAGTTCTCAACACCATGGAAAGGGGGAGAACGGAGAGAGCAGGAGTCTTATTGGCCTTGGTGGTTTTGGATCCAGGAATGCGGCTGGGGAGAGTAGCCACCTGAGGAGCGGTCATACTATGCTGTTCCGAAGGGGTGCTGTGAATGTGTCTGGCAGACATCAGGAAGGGAGTAGCGACGCGGCCATCCAGGCGGCGAGCCACGCTGGAGCGCAGCTTGAGAGAAGACATGTTGTTGTTGTGTGTAATGTCTCCTGAGGTGGATCGATATGGGTTGATAAGTTCACTTGGAAGGGTTTGATGACAGTCGAGGGCAATGTGCCTTTAATACCGATTGCCTCGAGTATTGAGCCGCTGTTGACCTTGTTCACTTACCAGCGGCTAGCTTCGGCTTTGAGCCTTGACGTTGATAAGAGAAAGTTGGAGTTGCTTTGTTCTCCAGACCACGCTATACCAAAAGTAGTATCGCGCGGATTCTGCTCGGTTAGAGTTTACTGTCGCACCATGAGCCCAGATCGTATGCAGAAACTCTCTCCACCAATTTTCGTCTCCATCTTATCGCTTTGGTCATCATCCACTTCGGCTTTCGACATGGTCATCTCGGTCTTGTCGAACGGCCTGTGTCGGTCTTGCGAGACCATGCTCCTTCTTTCCTTCATCTCCGCACGTCGCTCCTTCTTCATACCGTAGCTGCGAGTTCGGAGGGACCTAATCGAGAAGTGTCAAATCTGCTGAGTATCCACCTCTCATCAAATTCTCTACCGTCGGTATCCGAGTGTCAATCATGTTGCGGTTTGTCTTGATGGCAAACGCGAGCAGTGCGATGATGCGGAACGGCGCTTGCTCGTAGTCACACTCCAGCAACTATCCGCGTAATGGCTCTGCGCTTGAGCATACCCTTCGCGTCCGCTCCACGTCGCCAACGCTCTTTGCTTCTGCAAGCATGACAGGAAAGATCTTGCAGACTTGAGATCCACTCAGCCTTGAAAGCTATTCATCAAGTCTGGTGTGACAACTCGCTGTGCGCACCAGCTGTCTGTGCTGCCGCGCGCAAATCTTCTTGAAGCTGCTGCACCAGCAACTGACCATCAGATCCTTTGCCACCCCACCATTTCCATTGGAATGTTGCTCAACGGCAATCATCTCGAGGGCCCCACGACTCACTCAGCCTACGACGATGGCCAAAAAATGGCGTCCGCATCACGACCGGCTACTAATCTAGTCGTTTCCAGTCGGGTTTGCACCAAGATTTCGTCAGCGCGACCGCGCCTGGACGCCAACGACGAGAGATTCCAGTTGAATGATCCTGCAGTCTCCGATGAGTACCTGGAAGCCAAAAATCCCCCGCAACTCACCACGGTATCATTACCTACTGTTGGCCCCCTCCGGCCAAATATCGAGCGAACGTTCCGGTCGTCTGCCTCGATCTTGTAAAGCTCAGCCGACCTTCAAGGACTCCGTAGGAAGTCAATGCGCTGTTCGTCAATCTCTACCAGATCCCGCACGTTGACGATATAACATGTCGCGAAGCATTTGGTTATGGCATTCTGCTCACGCCCTCTTTGAGGAAGCTCTCGGCGCCCAGCTGGCTCGTCTGATCAACGACAAATCCGCATCTTCATTCTCGGCAGCGGAGTTGTACTCGACCTTACTTGTGACTTCTCTAGATTCAAGTTTCTTTGTGTATTCAATATCATCAGCCGCTGAGTTCACCGCATTTTGGTAGACGATGTTGATCATTGACCCAATCTGGGCAGAGGAAGTAGAGTTTCCGCACAATTCAGCCTCTCGAGTGATGGTAGACATTCGAAAACATCGTGTCACCTCCGCTCTTGTGTTTCCTGTTATCGACTTTGCTGCCGAATCGTTTTGCACCTCTTTGGACTTTGGCCGGATGTTTCTTCACGACCATGATGACGAGCCAGCTCCGGTACTCTTCGAATCTGCTGTCCGATCCCGTCAGCATGAAAAGTTCAAGTGAAAAAACTGTACGGCCCTAGCGCGCAACTGAGTACTACCGAGTGGCCGAGTTCTCTGTTGGAGGTGTGACCGCCCAACCATTTCGGTGGCCTAGCGGTTGCGCGCTCTGGCTCGGACACATGCCTACCTTCCTGCAGGTCAGAGACGTAGCAACGTCCAACTCTCTTTGCGCTTGTTGCTGCAAAGGAGGCACAGGATTGGCTGGTCGCCGATTCGAGCCTCTGCCCTTCCAAATCTGCTGTATACAGGTTCATGCGAGGTTTTGAGAGCAGCGCCTGGAGTAGTTGTCGGAGACATGTCATTCAGATTCAACGTCCTGGAAGGATTCTTGTGCACAGCCATCTACAATTGTCGAAGTGTTCCTTACACCTCGCAAGTTATCAAGTAACCTTGTGCTCGGCTCAACGCACGAAGGCTGTGAAACGCTGCTTCCATTCTTGGAGCAGGTGTGCTTGGGAGCTGTCACCACTGCCTAGCCATTTGGAAAGAGCTGGCAGGACAGTCTTATCGCGACACGGTACCGATCAACTCAGCGCCCACGTCTTCCTGCTCCTTCACAAACCACCTTCCGCGGCTTGTCAAGAGCATTGGCTCTGGCTAACCAGAAGAAAGACTATCGACGCCAGTCAGCCAGGATTCCATGTTGCGAACGCTTGCTCACGTCTCTCAGCTTCCAACTCACCTCATTGTTTTGTAAAGCTCAGATCGGGAGGGTCTCTCATGGGCATTCAGATCTAAGAACGAATCCTGCCGCCTGGACAATAGTATCTGCATAGATCATCATCGCTTTGCTCACCAAGTCCGACCGTCGCTTAGTACCGACCAAAGCTCTGCAAGACCCCTGTATCGATGGATTGTCAGCGCAGATCCAATACCGTCTGTCTGGAAGATTTAGAGTCGAGAGGAGCAAGATTTCAGACCCAGAACTGGTATCTGCCATGGAGCCAGACCTTTCGGTAACCAGCCGAAAGTCCTTGAGCCTGGGCAATGTTCGTTCTTTTCATCATACAATCTTTGGAACTAGGCCGAGGAAAAGGTTAGATTGCTTACCGGTGGTCCAATCTATCGCCTGCCGCCTCCTCCTTCGCTCATTCAATGCCGCATTCTCTGATACCCGAGCAGTCAGCAAAATGTCGACTCATGCTTTGGAGAAACTTGAAGGGTGATCACTGTCGATCAAAATGACTACAATTTTCGCTATGAAGCCAGACCTTTCGGGAAACTACCAGAGGTGCTCCAGGCTCGGCAGATTCTGGCTCTCATCACGTATGGTCGGAAGCAAACCAGGAGCAGATGAACTTACTCGATTGGTAAGCATCATTGATACTGACAATCCTGCGACGAGTCAGTGCAGACGGACAATCCTGCGACGAGTCAGTGCAGACGGACAATCATCCACTCAATCCTTGGCGGGACTGATTGACAACACAATCTGTATCGCAGGTGTCAGCACATGTTCTCCGGATCTGAATCAGAAGTTGTCGCCTCGCATGCGTTGCTCAGGCGTTTGCTTTTCTTTCTTGCCCATCACGATCCACTCAAGACCAGCTTCTTGCGCGGGGAGATGAGCCGACTCCCACTGATCTTGGTGACGAGTGATCTCGCTCACAACTGTCGAATTTCTCATCATCGCAACATACGGGCAGCAACTAAAACGTGTTACGCGACTGACCTCGGACTGTAAAGTACTGACACAACGGTGAATCGCGCTGTCAGCACTCGAGACAGCGAGTCCCAACCACTCTCCTACGACGTACAAGTCAGCATTCCATCTTGTTTCCAGCGATGTGCTACACTGCCTCCCAGCTCTGTATCGCTTCTCACCTGCTATGTTCCGTCCGAGGACTGGAAAGTCATGCTCGTATCCTATCTCGAAAATTCAATGTCAGCTTCCGTTTACTATCGAGATAGGCCAGTGTAAGAAGAAGGCGAGGCTGTTCAGAATTGTGTCTTTTTAGCCATCATGATTATCAGAAGATCATGTGTAGTTGTGTTTTGATATCATCACGACAGCCTCATCACTTGAGACATGAGGATGCTGAACTTACTGGTGACAAGTTTGCGCTCTTTGCTGAAAGAACGACTCCTTGTTTGCGAGGACTAGATGCGACCTTGAACTCGACCTTCGTACCAGAGACTTTCCAGGAGCCGTCGCGCTCCTTTCGACGAAGCTCTCTGCAAACTCTCCGTCAGAGATGGCCTTTTTATCTAGATGAACGTGTCTCTCGATTTCATCAATGACCCAAATCTCTGTTATGGAGGTATTGTTCTCATCCTTGCATCGGAGGATGAACTGTTCCTCTTTGTTCATCTTGCACACAAAGAGAGAAGAGATGCTCCTGCTTACTGTTCTGCTGAAATGTCAATATCGACCGCAATTCAGGCTGCGAGGAGCAAATCGTTTCCCGCCTCGAGTTGCCGACAGCGGTCGCCGCCCCACCTGCAGCATGCCAGAAGTTAGTGGAGCTCTTTATTCGATCAATCGTGCAACAGAATGAATGGCTTTGGCTCAGAAATGCCTTACGGCATTTTTGAATGTCATCCACGGAGTCAATCAAAGAACAAGAAACATTAAGTTCATCATTGCCATTCTCAAAGGTGTGTAGATTGGCATGGACCGACCTTGAGAGGCATTTTCCGTTTATCGAGTGCTTGCTACCTTGGAGAGTTTCAAGCAGTATAGCCGAGTGTACTGCGGGAACATATCAGTATGGATTCACCTGAATCTTTCGGCAGGGCGTATAGAAGGGAAGCCAGTCAGTGCTGCCGAGAGGCGCTTGTCGTTCTCATCCACAAAGTCAAACTGAGAAGATAGATGTGCGCATTCATCACGCTGGCTCCAGAAGTTGCGCAAGGAGAAAATCCGACTCACCACTGCCTATTGGCTTCTGTTCAAGATGTAAGACCCGCAGAGCATCATCAGCACGTCGTCCGCTCAGACTCGAGCACGTCGAACCGAATTGAGACCTGCATACGATGGATGGAGAATCATCGTTAGGTTCAAGTTGATGAGTTTTTTGCCTTGTCATGCAAGGAACGAAGATCGCTTCATGGACCTGTCAGGGGAATCGGTAGCCCTGGGAGCTCAGGGAGTCTTGGAGATATCTGTCAGCATATGTCTTTCTTCTCGAACCGGTATCGCACGGCTTTGATGCAAGGGCAAACAGACATTGGACGAAGAATCTCATCAACGATCAGACGACAAGTCGAGTTTTCTTGATTCATCATGCAGGCGAGGAGGTGGGCAGGGAGCAACGCTCGGCATACCTTTGAGCCCCGATTTCGATATCAGAGGTGCCGTTGCTTGCTGTCAAGCCCTCTCGAACTGCTCCAAACAAGTAGTCAAGAAGGCCTGGCTGAGACAACCAGCTGCGTATTTTGCCTTGCCTTGTTCTGTCTTTCATGCCGTTTCTTCAAATCATCCAGACGGCTCGATTCCAGTTGTGTTACTCCTCCTCTTTTGTTGAGCGTCAGCTCTCGGATGTCGGTAGCGCGGTCTTGACTCAACAGCTGTCAGCTGGAGCAGCGGCGGAGAAGGCATCTATTGCAGACTGGTCAGCGATTGCTTTTACGATACCAGTAGCGGTCAAGATCGTCCTGATTCTTTCGATCAGATTGTTTGAGCTTTGTCCTCAGTGAGGTCGGATGAACAACGACGCTTGATGATCATCATGAAAGACAGCGAAAAGAAGGGGAAAAGTCACTTGCCGGGTGTTGCTCCATGCTACAGAACAGAAGTCTGCGATATGTTAGTAAGCGCGCTGTTCACAAGTCAATCAAGATCATCAAGACGGATGAATATGCCATCAGGCTCGCAACTTCGTTACGGCGCCAATTGCGTCCTCAGCTACCACTTATTGGCAGGGCTCGGAGCGTATATTATCGTTCAAATCATCATGGGCAAGGTGTAACACAGAAGGGCAACACAAACAACTCACCGCTAGCAAGAGAGGGCTGGCAGCTGGCGTTCTCAACAAGCCTTCGACTTGATTGGCGTGACTTGTACGAACTCCGAAGATGTGCTGAGACACACTGGCAAGCCGCAGAGCTCGAAGCCGTCTGATGACATGCTTCCCAGAGCGCAAACATTTTCTGGATCCCCTTATCAGAAGAGTTGAGAAGAAGTCAGCATCAGGTCTTAACGTGTTTCATTGCTTGGCCGGGATGAATTGGAATGACTCAGATTGCGACCAGACCGTCGCAAATGCCTTCTATCTTCAACAATGTCTCCGCGACAGGGATCGGATGCAGCTGAAGTGATGTTTTCATCATGGGCATGTCGGAGATTGAGAGGGGATACAACGTGCCTTTGTTTGTGCCGCGCTCTGCACAATGGGCCCACTTGATGCTTCGGTAATCATGTTACCATCGAGGACAGAAGGCTCAGGCATGCCACAATGCCTCGCCAATACTCGCGGTCCGACGGACCAAAGCTCGAGGAAGATCGTCTACCTTCCACTGGGGCTCGATTGCGCGGCGCGACGTGGTGTTGGCGACGAAAGCTTGGAGCTGCGTTGTCGAGCTGAGCAACGGCAGGAAGCGCATTTCCTGATCATGCAGAGTGTTGGTCAAAAGCAGTGCGGCTCCGGTGCCACGAGGAAAGAGACGGAGAAACTTGTCTAATGTCTTTCTTGTTTGACTGGCCGTGTGCGCCACGAAGTTTGATCATCTTGCAGCAGTTGCTGGGAAAGGACAGTAACTTACAATCATTGATCACCCATCCTACTCCGCCATGCAAGAAGCTTTTGATGTCATCGGAAAACTTGGAATTCACCGAGTCTCCTTCTTGACCGAGCAATCAAGACGGCCGAGAACGAAACATCTGGCTATAAATTAGCGCTGGCTTCGGGTCTGAGATGACTTCGAAGTTGTGTTGAGGGATGTATGCTCTTCGACCCGACCTGCCTCATGGGAAGGACCAGAGGAGCAAGGTATGGGTCTTGAGCGAAGAAGCACTGGTGTTTGATCTTGGCTGGCGACACGCTCCAAGTGGCAGAGTGACCATGGAAAGGGTCACCTGAGCACATCATAGCCGTAAAGGAGTGGTGTGATAGGGCGAAAAGCTTGTCAACTTACCGAAACGCCTTGCGCGAGAACGAAGCGCGAAGATCTATCACCAAGTCAGCATTGATAACAATCATATGTTCAGCGCTGCTATCAATGAAGGGGACGTATGCTTATATCAGTACTATCACATGGAACCCGGCCCATGGTAGAACCCTTGCAGCAGGAGTTGATCTTGGCCCGCGGAGTGCTCGGAATGGCAGTAGATATCTGCCATCCGAGTGCATTGTGGGCCTGTGTATGATGTGCAGAAGGGAAAGACTTGACATACCTGTGTCGAGACTCTGCGCCGAGGGAGGAGTTATGGCAAAACCAAAAAGACTATCGACTCACCGAAAACTCTTGTGAGAGAAAGAGGCGCAACGGTCTATGATCCGGTCAGCAATGTTGTCTTCCTGGAAGATCAGTGCACCTTTCTCAAGAGCGACTGTGAGTACTCCACATGAGATGGAACTCGACCCATGGAAGGACCCTAATAAGCAAAAGTTGATCTCGGCCTGCAACGCGCGCAAAGCGACAATCAAATCATGTCGCCTGAGCGCATCATGGCCATGGGGATGGTATGCAAAAGGAGAAGACTCGACGTACCTGGATGATAAATTTTGCGCCGATGATAGGTGGTGGTGTGATGCAAGTCTGCCATCACCAAGTCAGTAGATGTCATCGGCGGCGGCGAAGATGCTTCATTGCGTTTGGTCTGCGCACAGCATCAGCGCTGATCATAGCGGTTCTGATGAGCAATCATCAAGACTCGATGGAGCAGAAGAGACGATGGCGTAAAGTCATGGTCTGATCCAGCCATTAAGCGCCTGTTCAAAGTGTCGTCGTACACGCCAGTCAGTGAGAAGTCGATGCTTACCTCAATATCGTCGATGAATGAGAGGACTCTCGATGGCGACGGATGCAATGCGTTGTTGTGCGTCTGGTGCATTGCGATGATACGAGAGGCGACGCAGGCAGCTCAAGTCAGATGCTCACTACATCCCCACTGTCTCGGCATGTGCACAACAGGTCGGCGATGACATCCCTGAGTCAATCGACGTGGCCTAGACGCTTCCCGCTTGTGTAAGCGACCTGGCTTGAGAGAGTCAGTGGCTGGAAGATGCTCGATGCTCGTCGCAGCATCAGACGCTAGCGACAAGCCCTTTGGCCTTCGAGGGAGCGAAGGAAACTCGTGAAGAGTACTCTCGAGCAAGTCTAAGCTCACGTAGACGGCAGCAGAGAAAGTCTCGGCTTTCTTGTCATGTTTACACTTGTAAAGCAAATTAAGTCAATGAGCTTGCAGGCGTCAGTAGAGAAGTCCTGATCTGGTAGGAGGATACCCACGAGGAAGTCACACAACCACGATGCTTTATCCCGACATAGGCGAGAGTGAAAGTCCAACCCTTCGTCGTTGACATGTATACCTCTCAACTGTCCAAGGTCACGTGCGATAGTCACCGAAAGCTTCATGATTATGTCGTCGTCCGTCATGATTCTGAGATTGCTATGTTTGCTGTTTGTCCTCTCTTTGATGCCTTTACCTGCTCTCTCCCAGGTTGTCCAAATGCACAACCATTTGCTGCTTTGTCGAGCATGTCGAGGAAGTCTGAAAGGTTTGTTTGATACCACGGAGAGGTTCCCATGATCAAACTACCTTCTCTCTCATCGCAAGTATACTGTGATTTACAGAAGCTATCAAAAGGCATGATGCTTTTAGGAGTCACTGGCATGGTCGTTGAGAGTAGGGATTCGAAAGCTGATTTTTCTGATGTTTGAGAGTATCCATATACCACCTGTCCGTCATCCTCATCGCCAATTACGCTGCGAACGCACTCGCGCGCCTTTCACGTCCCTTTGCTGTCCTTGTAGAGCAGTGCCGCTTCACAGACCTCTGCGTCTTGAGTACTAAGGAGGCATGAATCCTTGCCCAAAGCCTATGGTCGAAGCCACCTTGAGCCTCTTGTCTCCCCCTGAATGCGCTGCGCACGTACTCGCGCAAGTTTGTTTGTTGTTGTGGTGCTTGGAGGACAGAATTGCTCCATTGGCCTTGTATGCTGAGCACGGGAAACCTTGTCGAAAGCCTTTGGCCGAAGCCATACTGTCCATCTTGTCCTGCTTGTGCCCCTTGAAAACGCTGCGCACGTACTCGCGCGAACATTGTATCGCATCGCAGTGCTTGGAGAGCAAGGTCGCTTCACGAGCCTCTGCGCTTTGTTGGCGTTGAAGAGGATGCTCAAGAGTTGCGCCTCTGGATGTTTTTGCAGCCTTGCTCTTCTTGTTCTTGTCGGCGGGGACTACAAGTGGGTGCTTCGTATCAACTTAATCGGTAGTCTGATCCTGAGAAGTAGAAACAGCAGGAACACGGAACGGCTGCAGGTGTTGATAGCCGGGAGGAGCAGAAATGTGCTCCTGGCTATATTCGTAGTAACCAGGTTCGTGGTATTCGAGTGTGCCGTGACCGCCGTAACCATTGTCATCGGAGAAAACCATGCCAGCATGGTCGCCAGTACCCATCTCGATGTCGAGAAGATCAAACTCGGTTGCGTCTAGGCCCTCCGTGTTGCCTGAGAGGACGAAGCGAGAGTTTCCGATAAAGCGAGAATCTCCTAACGGAGGACCCAGTCGTCGTCTGAGCATTTGTGCTGCCACTGGGAAATGGGTTGCGCAAGATGCTTGGACGACGAGCGACGAAAGGCGACACTCATACCGACTAAGTAGCGGTGGTGAGGGCAAGGTGGCTTTATGAGGTTGGCAATACCGCCACCGAGGTCGCCCTCGCGACAGCGGCTTGCTGGAACCACATAAAACACACCCTCGCGCCTTGGCAGCAACATGTCCTGCCTGCCCGACCCACAACCTCTTCAATTGCGTGGGACCAGGAGGTCTTGAGTGTTGGACATGTGCGCCGTCCTAGGCCAAGCTACCTCTTCAATTACTTGGACCTAGGACCCGCGATTTGCTCTAGAGTTTGGACCCACTGACCTCTGCACGAGTGGTGCGGAAGACTGGCAGGTCCGAACTCCTTAGAGCTATAAGAGGATGTTCAAGAGTTGCAGTGTTGAAGACCGCGGCGTCTCTCTTCATTGCCGTCACCTTCAACACCAAGAGTAGTCTCGTTGTCGGCGAAGTAATCCGAGCTCTCACTGACATCGATGCCCAATCCAGGTTTGTTCATAAATCTTTCACGAGGCGAAGGAGCAGAGAAGCTGCCGCTGGAGACGTCACAATCGCTACTGGTGCGACGAAGGGGAGGGGCACGGCGCTCGGGTACTCGAATGGAGCACCAACTCTCTGGACAGGGGTGCCGGCGATAGGAACGCGAGCACGTATGAAGACATGGTCTTTGGGCTTGTAAACATAGTCGTTGCTCAACGAGTTGTTGGGGACGTGCGAGGTGGCGGCGAACTCCTGTCCGACGCTGGATGGCAGCGCCAATTTTGCTAAGAGGATGTCCAAGAGTCGATCTGGGTGAGTCCCCGGCCGGCCACCTCTTCAATTGCCGGGACCGAGGACCCACAGGATAGTCGGCGGCGTGCTCTTCAAGCAGATCGCTGAAGAAGGTGCTGCGCTGCATGAGCTGAGCGGAGTATAGCTTGTATCTGCGGCTGTTGCGATGCTTTGATACCAGGGCCGGCTACCTCTTCGATTGCCGGGACCCAGGTTGTATGCGTGTGGGCAGGGGATCACGATCCCGTGTTCTGACATGCTTATGAAGCAGTAGCGAAACACGGCCAACCCAAGACAGACAGCTTTGTCGATGCGAAAGGCTATGTCGTTCGATGCAAGTGACGTTGCCCACTCAAGAGCTACCATGTCATCAAGGCTCGTCGAAGCAATGGATACCATCGAGTAGCTTTGTCGAGGGTCGTGTGAAACCATCGGCAGTGAAAGATCAAGCAAGTGATCGGTTGTCTGACCTTGACCGAAGCGCCAGAGGCAGTCGGAAAACTTGTCGGGGAGATCTTGACAAGAGAGATTGGTTGAGAAGCTTTGTCAGATGAGGTCTCGGCATATTGACCGGAGCAAAGGGATCCATTGGTAGAGGGGGGCACAAGGCGTGGAGCTCGCTCAAACCACTCGGACAAAGATATTTGACATGAAAATCGATAAGTTTTTGAGTCGAGAGCAGACTCAGATGACTTGAAACAGTGTTGATGCGGAAGACGAAGCGCACTTTGAACCTAGGACACAGAGCCCAAGGGCCGACGTTCCCCAGCAAGTTCGGCCCGGCTCAGATGAGGAGTCCGCCATGCCAGCCGAACCCAATCTTGCCTGACAATGTCTCTGGACGGGAAGGTCTTGATAAGCGCGTGCGATAAGCATGACACTGCGCAATCGAAGACGAGCCAGATGTTGTATGATCTTGCTCGAGATGAGTCGATGCAGAGACTTTGGATGGGAAGAAGCGCTTACCGAGATGGACGGCACGCGAACTTCCAAGTAAACCATGACAGTTGAGCATCCTGAATCACTGGAGGCTTGAGGAAGACTAATCAGTCATTGGCGCCGAGATCTGATCCCCATGCGCAACGATCTTGAGCGAAGCGCAAGATCCGGCTTACGACTGAGGTCTGCGCAGCAGAACCGAAGGCGCAAAGTCAGAAGATCAATGATTCTAGTCGAAGTCAGCGGCGAGCTCCCTTGATCAGCAAGTGTGGAAACATACCGGTGCAGACAAGAGAGAAAAAGCGAGTAGACACTACAAGACCGTCGAGGACCTTGAGTTACTGGAAGCAGCAAAAGCTTCCCGAGATTCGGCGCGCTTTGCACTGAAGGACTCAAGGTACTTAAGATCTCATGCAAGGCACAGGATCTGATGACGTTGGTTAGCAAGGCTGATGCTATGATGTCAAGTCAGTCGAGGGTATAATGAGAAGCGTGGATGGCAGATGCTCACATGAAGCTGTGGAGCATAGCACGTGCGCTAGGAAGCTGTAGGGAGTATAGCACGTGCGCGCAGAAGCCATCAGCTGTTGACGGGCTCAAAGATCCTGCCTCTGGTGTGATGAAGCACAGGATGAAATTTTTGCGTATAAAGCTGAAGGAGGGTTTCGAAGATCGATGAAGCAAATCCTGAAGCTGAGGGTGATACTTTCCCCATATTCAGCCCACGTTGTGGTGAAAGTCGAGTATTTGGGAAGCCGCTAACCGCGAGCGAAATTACAAGACCCTCACATCAGCCCTACATGCCGTGCCATACTAGAAGCCCTCTCAGCAGCAGCTGTTGCTCTCACGTACCGCTGTACAAAGGCAAAATCATATTGAGATACGAAGCTACTATGATGAGAGCATCAAAGAACCGAGCTCTCCTTGACACGCAAGCTAGTCTTGCTTTGGTTCTTGTCTTTCTACAGCTAGTTGGAGGGATGCCCTCGTGTGGCGGAGACATGATGGTCACTGTTGTGCCTCCCTCTCGCACCTTGTTCGGCCCCATACAATATCGCCTTACTCGTTGCCCTTATTCACAACTCATTCATGAGTGGCAGCATAGTTGAACTCATGGGGGTATTACTGGATGATGAACAGGCGGTCCAGGCTTCCGTGCTCCAAGCTCGCGCTCCAAGCTTCTACACAACAGTGATGTTGCTTTCTGGTTGCTCTCCTCTTTTCTTGGGACATCAACAGACAAAGAAATGGGTCGCATCCGCCCCCGCCCCCATCCTCGTCACAGCGCCTCCTTCTGGCGTCGAGCCATTGTGAGTTACTTCATGGTTGATATGTTTGGGCAGACACTGACGCGAAGATGTAGCTCCGCCGCTTCCCTGTCCGCGCTGGCAACCCGGACATGGTACTTTACTTCCTTGCTTCCGTCCTCCGTGTGAGGAAGTATGATATCTCTGACACCCCACAGCGCTTCTCCGCGGCGCCTCCTGAAGGCTGGCCAGAGCCAATCCCTCCGCCAGCCCCTCGCCCGGCCAATCGCTGCCTCCCTAAGGGCTTCGAAGCGGCTTCTTTGCCCCGGGACTGTATGTTGACTCTCTGCTGTGCTTCAAGATAGATGCTGACAGGAGTCCCAGTCGACAATGCATAGGGAGAGAAAAGAGAAGTAGCTAGAGTTCGAGGGTGAACTAAAAATCCTCCGACCCTGGGTCGTTAAGCTTGTACAATTCAAACCTCGTTTCGCCATGTTCCTTGACCTCCTGTTACTCTTCTTCGTGACTACGTTCATTGTGATACGATGCGACTGTTATTATTCACTGCTTGATACTTATAGTGGTAGTGAGGACAATTCATTGACCTGGGGCGGTCCATGCTCGCGCTCTGTGCTCGCGTTCACCTAGGATCTCTGACAAGCTTCCTGTTCCTCTTCCTCTTCCTCGCACGAACATCAACGACGACAAGATGGCCCCCAACACTCTTCGTCAACCCCGCCGCCGCTTCGAGCAACTTCGCTCGGAACCCTTGGTCCTCCGCCTCCAACGCCGTCATCTCCCTCGCCATCGGGACCTGGACGAAGAGCTCTGGCAAGCCTGCGCCATCTTTGGCGACTCCCCAGGCGACAGCGGCTACCAAATCCGGGTCCCTGGCTCTGGCCCTGGCTCTGAGAGCCTTGAAGTAAGCTCTCGTGCTTCGTTGTTGCTGGTAATCAGTACTGATGCGTTGAATCAGGGTTTCCTCTTCTACTCCCTCATCGCCATGGTATGTTCAGGACTACCGCACGTGATGTACCCAGCGTGGATATGCACTGACCTCCATAGAATCATCCCGCCATCCCTCTCTCTCCTGACCCCGTTCTGTCACCCTCGCCGGTAGACGGGTCAGCTCGCCCCTTGACCCCGTCGCTGTCTTCTGGCTCTTCTGCCCCTTCGCCCCTGGTTCCTCTTCCGCTTTACATCATCGCAGGGGGCTACGGCTTCCAACGCCTTCCCGCTGAGGATGATGAAGACGGGGTCATTGACTGGCGAAATCCGTTGATCGCTCCTGAAGAGTCATTATAATGTGCGTCAATGTATTGTGCGATCAATCAAGCAATGTACTGATATGTGTAGTAGGATGTGGAGAAGAGAAGAAAGCCCTTGTCTGAGGGACATTAAGCCTCCGACCCCGGGTCGTTAAACTGTATCAATCAATCTTTGTTCCGCTGCTCCCTGATCTTGAAATCTGTGCACTGTGCCGCGACTCCGTGTGACATGCGTAGATGTACACTCTTGAGGAGACTGAAGGTGCCTCGTGTGTACTTTGGCAGGTGCCCGTCATGTCTCACGATCCAAGAGCTAAGGGATTGTACTTCGAGGTACCATCGGTGCGGTGTATCAACCTGTGCAAAGGCACCGTTTTATCATTGCAGTCAATACTGCTGCAGAGAGAGGTGAATCCGATTGCTGCATATTGCATTCCGACAGTGATTGCTCTTGGTCCAATTTGTTTGTGCCTTTTTACAGCCTTACTGGAAGTATGCAGTTACTGCCGGGAACAGAGCATGTATGTGCTTCCTATGAACAGTCCAAGAACGCCAGAGATGAGAGGTTCCATCGTGTACAAATCATTACCCCATCTTATATGGCGAGTTGTCTCTCATTATGTACACTTCGCCGACCAGTACAGCGCACCCGACTGCCATTGACGTTGCGATGATGGGTATATTCTCACGAGCAAAGTCCAGTCGCCTTACATGGATGTGCTTGCGGGCAAGGATATCTCGCCACAGCAGTCCAGCCAACGATGCACTGAACGCTGTACTAAAAGCTCCATAGTTGACACCCAAAGCCATGGCATAGACGGTCGCCCAGAAAGTTCGATCGGTGATTGGAATGCCGTTATTGATGTGAATCTGCTGCCAGGCTTGGATGACTCTCGATAAGAGGATGGTCGTGCCAATGTTTGTTCCAGCAAACTAGGGTTAAAAATTGATATCAGTACGTGCGTCATCAAGGATGAGAAGTAAACAAACTCACGTTACAAAGGACGACACCGAGGAAACCCATGCCACCTATAGCGCCGATTGTGCCAGTTTTTGTGACCCAGTGATCCCAGCCGTAAGCAAAGACCGGGACCCAGCCTTTAGTTACGAGACCTTGGATAAGCACAAACATCGAGAGTGCAAAAGGTACAAGCTTGAATGGTAGATGGCTGATCACTGCCATCACTGTGGGGAATGTCTCCTGCAAGTATCTGTACTCGGATGCGACAAAAGACACCAGGGTTGTCGGCTGACTGTGAGTATCATCCTCCGCAGATCTCATCCTCTCTTCGTCAGCAGCCCTGTCTAAGGCATCATCCAGCTTTTGCGTGTGTGAGTAGTTCGTCTCGGGCAATGTGAGAGAAAGCTGAGTTGACGGGTACTGTTGTGTTTTGCGACTCAAACCATTCTGACCCAGACTTTTCTCCGCAGAAAGTGTCGTCGATGCAAGGGTTGGACTCATTTCCCTCACAGACCGAATACTTTTCTCCGATCCCGCGACCTCTGGCGTAGGAGGGACGACATGTACAAATGAGCTCGAAGCGCCTGGTGTCTGAAACATCCCGTTGGGCCGTCCCATACTGCTGGCTCTGTCATCTTGCGCCTGCTTAAACTCTGCTTGTCGTTTCTTCGCAATTTCACGAGTCTCTTTCCGGTGGGTCCACCCAAATCCGACATCCCAGCAAAACATGATAAAAGCAGCCGGTAACGTAATCCAGAATACAGGGTGTTCACCGATGATCGAACTAGCGGCATTTATACCAAGAAGTGTGATGAGTGCGACTGCCATGATAATGGCTCCAAAGGCTGCACCCTTCTTATCAAGAAAGGGATTCATGATTTCGGCAAGCGCAAGCTCCTTATTTTCAAGCGACTCCTCCTCGTCTTCTCCAGCCTTCTTGCCCTTGGCTTGCGGGATGTTAGGGTTGACTGGCTTCTTGTTCTTCGCTTCATCAGACAATGTCTCCATCTCGATTGATAGTGGAATGAGCTGTGGGCTGGCGAACACAACGTATAGCAAGAATGGAAACAGTACTATCGCGGTGACTACGACAGGAACAATCATGTTTGCTGTGTAAACGATGAATTTGATCTGGAAGGCTCCCGCAAGGACCAAATTTGTCGGATTCGAGGAGACCAAGATGGCCGAAGCGATATTTGCAATTGCGAACTGGGAATACATCCACGCTCTAGGATGGTCGATGTTGCTTGAGACCCTTGTCATGTATGCCAGAAAAGCTGTGCCAGATAAGATGATAGGATCGTTTCCGACAAAAGTGCCTAGGCTGAAGAAGAAGGTGTACAGATAGAAGAAAAGTAAGTGGCCGACTTTACCTCCTTTCTGTAATACCTTGAATGCCAGGAATCTGATAAGTCCAGAAGCATCGATGGAGATGGCAATGTAAGCCAGAGTCAAAAAGAAGACCATGATATCAATAGGACTGATGTTGTCAGCTCCAACCGTACCATCGTGGACTTCCTGTCGTCCAATGGCTGAGATTGCTAGCAAAAATAGATCTGCAATCAATGGCGCTGTCGAGAAACTCATTGAGAAATTCATCCATACGAATTTTGAGGCTCTGCTGAAGCCTCTGTTTTGCGAATTCTCATGTCGCCTGGGAGCAATTATGCGACAGACGCTCAACGTATCGTGTATAACATTGTAGACTGGTCGCGGTATAGGTATCGGTATTTTGAATGGAAAGAGCACCACAATATCTGTATTGCAGTCAGAAGGAGTGCTTCTCGAGAAGGTCGCAAGACGCCAACTCACTGGTCAACAGAAACACAATGAGTGTGACAATTGACCGCCATTCTCTGATCTTGCCCGTGTCCAAATCTTCGGCCATTTTGGAGCGACTTTTTGGTAGAGCGGCGCAACGCACTCAAGTGTCAATATAGTCGGCGGTGTTCTTGCCCTACTCGCGTCCTCGCAATAGCATTGTCCAGTGCGACACCCAAGGGATATACCGAACGTGTTCTCGGGAGGTTGAAAGGGGCTGAGCGTCCGTATGACGAAAAGCACATGCAAGCCTCTTTATGCTTAACAGGAAGGTGGTCTAACACAACTCAAGCGCTCCTTCCCCGAAGTTGATGAAACCGACAGCAATCGTCGTGGGCAACCGGTCAAGATCGTCCTTGACCCCGCCCCAGCCTCGCTTTGCTGCACCAATTTCACGCCAGCCCAAAAAAAGGCAGCCATCCAAAGTGCCTATGTACCCGAAGGATTCTCCCACGCCCCGAAGGCACAGCACCTCATTTGAAGATGGAAAAATAAGCCATCGTACAAACACAAGTTTCCTACCTCTATTGACCTTGATGAATATCATTGAAGATTTGAGAGTTTGGTAGAGCCCTTGAGCAGCGGAGTGTTTAGCCGACAATCTACCACTGTGGCCGGCCTTGCCTCGGCGTCGACTTTCCTGAGCATGCCACCTATCTCACCGACTTTCCCGATTGGAGAGTTGTTCTCACGGGATATCACAGCAGTAAACGGCTCAAGTCCAGGGTTACATGTTGTATGTGCCTGGCCAGTATCGGGTCAGTACGGACCTGGCTCTAGAGTACTGTGAGTTTGCGGTGGTCCATCTAACAGCATCATTCGATTAACAGTAACAGGTATTATGTCCTAGTAGCCCTATGCGTCTTTGGTAAGAAGACGGACTGGATCAAGAATGCATGCTTGGCTGCTGTATTGCTTTTTCCTGCAGTCGCTGCTCTCCATGGCATCACGCTTGCAGCTTTGCATAATGATCGTGAGTTCGATCAAATCTTCGACTGACGTGACATGGAGAGCTTATCTTTCTACAGATGCAGTAGACATGGATATCTATGGAGCCTTTCAATTGTGTTCCTTGGGTATATTGGCAGCTCCGGCGACTGTCAAGAACTCGCGAACGTACTTTCTCGATCCTGGACGAAACATCATCTTTCTATGGACAGGTCTCATCCTCTCAGGTAGACACAGCTCAAACTTGCCGCCACCATGTCCTACTTGACTAACAACAATATAAGGTTTACTCAGCCTGGCTGTAGAATTCTTCCGCACGAAGACGGAAGTTTGCAAGTCAGCTAGTGGCGGTTTTATCACCATGAAGGATTTCAACTATGGTGAAACCAACTGCACCTTGGTATGCACAGCCGAGTTGGGTCCATTCTCTCCGATGCGGAAGGAAGCTGCAAACAACATCTACGTTATACCTGCTCCGACACGATTGACCTTCGGCACAGTGACACTTCTTTGTGCCGCGTGTTGCATTCCGGCTATTCTGTCCTTGATATCTATGTGGAACAAGATTCTCGAGATCAACTGGAAGTCACGGTCCGGTGCTGTGGCTGAGAAGGATCCTGAAGAGAGAAAGGTCAGAGATATTAACGCCCTGATCAAGCGCTTCCTGAATGTCATTGAAGCTCCGCTCTTCGGCCTTGCGGTTGTGGTTATCCTCATCCTAGGCGAGATCAATCTGTTCAGCCACCAGGTCAACTATCAGACGGAGCCAATACAGAGCATCGGTAGGAGCGTTTCTCTCTAGTCATATGGTTGTTGACTGACATTTATTCAAGGTCAATGGGCGCCCATTGTTGGTACAGGACTAGCTGTTCTAGGTTCACTCATCGTCAATCTGACGAACGCTCCAGAAGATTCTGAGGACGAGTCTGTTTCTGGACAGCCTCACCCAAGTACAGACGGAGGCTCTATCTCCAACTCAAGTTACCCCGGCAGTATCCAACCTGTAACTGAAGGTCCAACTCATGGCAGGACAAAGTCTACCGACCTCGTACCTGTTGTCACACGGAAAAGTATGGCCAGCACCGTGCTCACTGACAAAGGAGGCCGCCGAAAGATGGCGCAATTCATGAACAAAGTCGGCGACTATATGGGTACACCAGGGCATGGTCAATTCGACAATTCATCGTTTAGGCGAGATGCGAGCAACTACCCTACAATACCCGGTGAGGAAGACCGGAACGATAGGCTGAAGAATACGGAGCTTTTGTACAATTCAGGACGCTCGATCAGATCAGTCAGCCGCGCATCAGAGATTCGAATGTCAAGTCCTTTCTCGCAAGATGCGGCAAATCAACGGAAACGATCTGACTCGATTGGCGCCCGGTCGATTGATAGTCAAGATCCTCCTTCGCCACTTACATCTGACCAGGGACCCATCACTCGAGGCAGATCTAATACACTTACGGTACCTTCTCCAATTCATGTACCAACCAGAGAAATGATGGAGAGATCGAGGACCTCGAACGGGCCCAGCAATACAAACTAAGTGTTTCTTCCAAAGCTTCCTGGTGTGGCGACTGCTATCTCGCTAGCTGTTCAAAGGCAGAGTCGATTTTAAGATCAAGATCAACGTCAACGAGAGCTTCACTATCGTCATCTCTCCTCGTACGTAATGTGACTCTCAGGAAACTACTTTGCGTTACGATGCTACAATTTTTCCGGGATGAGTTTGCTGGAGTGTGGTCATCTCAGTGACGGCGACGACCATCTTCAACGTCTTTCAGAATCAAAGTGTTTCTTCAAAAATCAAGATCATATTTATTGAGATTGACTGAGCTACACCATCTCTTCTGCACAGAGCAACAATCTGGAAACCACTGTGCATTTGGACACGATGGAGGAATCAAATTCATGTCGTCGAGATGATAGTATCGAAGCGCCGCTCATTAGGCTCGACACGTCGACATCTCTCACGGGCACTGCAGACTTCCACGCTCTTCTAGACTCGCGAAATGGTCACTTTTACTGTTCCAATCACGGAACGACGGCACGAGTAATCCTCGCTAACCACGCGCGGAGATGCGAGCGAACGACATGGCACTCCTGCGACCTTGACCTGCGTCGCGTCTCGACGGTGCGACATGTGCACTATCGTTTGTCTGACCATGCTTGCTGCCGTTCGGCTGGCCTTGGTAGGCTTTGTTGTGAGGTGTCCTGGTTTGGGAAGACTAGGAAGTTTAGCCTCGGCAAAGATCGAGTTACCTCAGCTCCGGCCATACGCACGACATGATTCATGTCGACGGGGAATTTCAAGACCAGACATTGGACATTAGTGTGAAATATGGGGTGTCTTCCGCAAATTGGTTTGTGTTTGGATCATTTGACGATGTTTGGATCATATTCCCCGTCCTTGGTCTCATAAGCTCACACACACACCTAATGGGAAGTCTCACAAGAACATCACGCATATACGCACTAACTGCATAGTAGCGGTGTAACCGTTTGCATCATACTTCTAGCAGTCTCAAACTCCTTTCGGTAGATATCTACGACTAGCATACCACTTTTTCCTTTTTAGACTATTGATCTAGATACCAAATTCTTCATTCCTTGTATGTCTTTGCGACTTGAAGATTGCGTGTCTTTGCGGCGTTCAGTGTATGTCGCGATCGATTGATGCTTTGAGTTTTGCTGGCTTTTGTCAATTTGCAGGAGGATAGTCGCAGTCGCGGCCGCGGACGGCGTAGCACCGGCGAGTGACTGTGATATTTGCTACGACGACCTTCAGCCATTGATGTAGTGAAAGCAGAAATGATCTTGCCTCTGCACAAGTTCCAACAACTCGGTACTCTTGCTGTAGAGAGCATGCGTCTCGGCTCAATGTTCAATGGGGTGATAAATGTTGTCTTGTACACCTGCAGTCACTTCGTCCCCATGACTTTTGTAGAGATTAAAAATGACATTTGCCTTTTGACAGCTCTAGTTGTTTGATGCTACTCGAGGCCGAAGAGCTTCTTGTGGTTTGTTTTGTACGAGCCTAAGTATCGTTATCTCCACGCCAACACCTCGCTCATGAGAGCGCTCAAAAAAAGACTTTTGGAAACCCAAACCCTTACATGCACACTCAAACACTCCCTTTTCTCCATTGCCCTGAACATGGCATTGGCCCGGCCCCTTCCTTTGTGGCGGGTCGAGGATGAAGTGTTTATTGTCTTGGAATCTTCCCATGGCTTCAAACATATACCTCTCACCTCGGCAGAAATACCTCACTTTGCTAGGTGCTGTTCCAAACCAAGCAGAAGATGAAAATCTCTCTATTTCACACACACACACACACACACACACACACACACACACACACACACACACACACACACACACACACAAAAGACACCGGCACAAGACAAAACAAACACATTGTGCATACAAGCATTTAGCTATCCCACCTTTTAACCCTTCCCACCTTCCCTAAGTATCAATGAAATTCCGCCTTGACCTCCTCTTCCCCTTTCCCTAATTATCAATGAAACTCCGCCTTGACCTCTCCATACCGCACCCCACCAACCCAAAGTTCAAACACCAAATCCGCACTCTGAATCCTCATGGTCAACTCGAAATCCAGATTTCGAAATTCCACTCCCTTGGACGTTTTTAATCTTGAAAACACTTCTTCAGGCACGGCTGCAAGATCGGTGGTTAGAGTGCACACGGTGGAGAGGGTTTTTGTGCGCGAGCAAGGTGCGGAAGAGGAGCCACAGGCGATTAGTTCGTCGGTTACGATGAGGGGGCCGTGGGGGCTGAAGTTGCGCGTGTAGTGGAAGGATATTGGGGTGGAGGGGGATATGGCTGTGCCCTGTTTTGTTTTTTCACGTCGATGATTAGCAGTTTGCTTTTTGGATGTGCAAGGGAGGGGGGGCAACAACTTACCTTTGAGATGTGCCATTGCATGCGATCGGATACCATCCAACGTTCCCAGAGGGGAGACCAATAGCGGTCTGCGATATCGTGCTGTGTCTCGTCGTATACGGTGGCGTAGGAGGTTCCGTAGTGTAGTCTGCTACGGCGGGAAGATACCATGCTATCGTCTAGTCCCCTGATGACTGCACCCCTGACTACAGCTGTCCATGCATATAGTGGTTGAATGACCTCGATAGGAGGGTACTCATTTTGCTGTTCTGAGATCTGCCCTTGCTCTTTCTCCTCCTCATATGCAGGTAGCTGTGCAGAAGTGTTGAAGTGTGTCTTTAGTCGATTGTAGAGGTGATTGCTCTGGCCAAAGCCACCGACCAAGATGATGCCAGATACAGTGTCGCTCTTTGCACGGATAGCGTCGACCTGTCCATCCAAGAGCTTGACCACCTCTTCAATTACGGGGTCGAAAATCTCCTTGACTTGTGCCGTGCTCATGACCATAAAGCCACTATCCACTCCGGCCTCCTCATCATCCGCAAGCCCAGGAAACGGCACATTAACCTCCTGCCCATCTTCCTCGTTATAATTCCTCTTGACAAACTCTTCAAAGTATTTCAGCCCCATCATCCAAGTCTTGGGCTTCTTGTTGCGCATATACGAGTACTTTTCCACTCCAAGTCGATTCTTGACATGTTCCTCAAAGCGATAGTTCAAGAATGCAGAACCACATAATCCACCCGTTCCCACAGCACTCTCCTCCACTCTCAGAGGTGATAACTGAGTAACTTTGTATCCAATGCAATCTACAGTCCCACCCCCTGCGTCACAGACAACAAAGTTATCATTGACTTTGAGGTTGTGTGGTTGTACAGTCTTGAGAGTGTGGAGCATAGCAGCTTCCGGCTCACTGACCAATCTCAACTCATGTTTCTTGCCCATTCCTGCTTTTTCTGCTGCTTGGAGGGTTGCGTTCTTTGCAGAGTCTGACCATACTGCTGGCACGGTGAGGACAAATTCGACTTTTGTGATTGCCATGAACGAGTCCCCGTAGCGTCTGTTTAGTGTTTCCATGGTGTGAGTGTAGATTTGTCCTAGATAGTCGCTTACTGCATCCATGACAGTGCGATCACAACTCCTCAGATGAGCGGCTGTATCTAGTGGTGACACAAAGTGTGGCAGCTTTTGATTGCGGTCCAGAAATAGCTTTATGCAACGAAGACGCGCTTCTTCGGGTTTGAACTGGAAGCCCCACTTGATCTTTTGAACGGTGGCTTTGGCGCCGCCTTGCTCGGGTGTGATTGTGTTGTTCAAGGGGGTGGATAGCTCGGCGGTTTCGTAGGCGATCTCGGTGGGTACTTTGTCGGAGGTTATGCCGTTTCCTCCTGGCCATCTTTTGCTTCTTGTCAGCATGCTTGTCTCTTGCGGCGAGGGCTAGAGCTGTTGCTTTCTCACGTCTTGATGATCTCGATATCGTCGGGGTTCGCACTGTACGCTGCTGCTACACTGTAAGCTTGTTAGCTGTGTGTCTTTTCGAAGCTTGAAGCACCGCAATACTCGCCCAGAATACGTCGTTCCAAAGTCGACCCCGACGATTAGTCTATCAGACGTGACTTGGACATGTCCATTAGCATTGCCATTGCCATTGCCATTGCCATTGCCATTGACGGCCGGCGTCGGGGCTGAGAAGCTGACGTTCGGCCCAGCCATTGAGAGATACTATAGTGATCGAGAGCGGTCAAGCGAATGTCGCTCACGCGGTGGGGCACGAACTAGCTATATCCAAATACGATCAATGTTAGAGTTGGCAAGAGCTGATATCAATACCAGGCCGGCAAGCCAGACAAGACGGAACAGGAAGCAGGTGTTATGACAAGCACTGACAGAGAAAAGAAGGAAACTCGCATCAACCTTAACTTTGCAAAGACACGTCCACGAGGGTAGCAGGGGCAGAAACGAAGACACCCGAACAGCATGCAGCCAGCCCAATGTCAGCAGCAAAAAGAGCGGTACACTGACAGCTCGGTACCCTGCGTCCGACAAGGAGGACCCACGACTCGGCAGCTGAAGGGCAAAGCCACACTGGAGTCTGGAGAGGCCTCTGTGCTATTCGACTCCATGTCCTCAGGAAAGCAGTGTCAGCAGAATCGCCCAGTATCGGGTCACAAACTGCACTGTTCCCCCTCGTCCGAGTCCGAAACTCAAGGCTTCGAGACGGGTCTTGTTACAGAGGCATGTCGGACCCTGGGGTTGCAGAGGGGAAAGCTGGGTCAGACGTGTTTCCCGACCGGGAGCGCCCCACAGTCACCCTGCTTGTCTCGGACATTTCACTGCCGATCACCTCCACATTTGGTTGACTGGAGAGCCGCACCTTCGGATTCGTCTTATCGACAGCATCATCATTCTTGGCTATATCTCTTCCTGTGTAGTCAGGCCAGCCATCCAGTATACTGACTTTCTTGACCAGTTGTCGAAGCCAGAATAACGGCTCGCTCCAGCTCGGCCGTGTCATCAAGCAAAAGGGGACTCAGCCCGTACGATGAGAGAGCTCGGAAGACAAAAAGCTTCATTGTTTCAGCTCCTCGACCTCGACTCGGTGCTGAAACATGCTTCACCATAAGGGAAAGGGTGATTTGGAAAAGCAGTGTTTGGGGTATTTATGGTAGGTTGTCGTTAGATTGAGACCCTATCGCAGCGGCAGAGCGGATGGCAGTTGTGGGTAATGTAAGGGTGCTTTATCTATTCGGAAGTTTTGAATGTAAACTTTCCCTTGTGCAGCCACGGAGCCGATATATGTGACTGCACCCACTGTCGTGACCTGAGAGAACTTGGCTCCTGGACAAAGCGGCCACGAAGCGATCCCGTCTTCCACCTACACTATCATATAGTACAATGGCGCGACCAGAAGCAGCAAAAAGACGAGTCTCCAACCTCGTCGGCCGCTTCGAACAACTAGCTCAATCAACTCCGGTCCAGGAGACTTACTCAGGACCGCTCTCACCAACCTCACCACAGCCAGTCTCTCACCATGGCGAAAAAGCCCGGCTCCAACACGACCGAAGAAGCCAATCCTTCTCCTCAATGCCGACCACCTCAATCCTTTCAACTCGACTCGAAAAGGAAATCAATCGCAACGCTCAACTACGACAAGAATTAGAAGTCCTACGACGTCGGTGTAACCAAGATGACGAGATCTTGACCACTCTAACTCAACGACTAGAAGAAGGCACAGAGCTGCAAGCATCTCTGCATATGCAAACGTCAGGTCTACAGACAAAAGTCGACAGATTAGCAGATAAGCTTGCTCGAAGAGACAAGATCCAAAAGGCAGAGTATGAGAGAAGAATCGTGACAGTCGCGAACGAGCGTGATATGCTTGCCTCAAGGTTACGTATGGCAGAAGCAGGTATCGAGAGAGCCCAAGTCGCAGAAGCCCACACTAGGTCCGTGAACGAGAAGCTCAGAGTCGCAGAGAAAAATGCTCAGATTGCGACTAGTCAAGTCATGGTTTTGCAAAAACAATTGCTGGAGCTCAAGACCAATATCGCCGCTCGCCCAGGAACACAGACGGATGTCAGCGATCAAGAAATTCTAGACATGATGAACAAGTTCAACCATCTCGTCCAGAATTGGTGTGTTAGCAGTTTTCGAAAAGTCAAGATTGGTGTGTATGTGTCTAGCCATTTCCAGACACTCTGCTGACATTTTAAATTAGATGCACGGAGGATGAGTTGTAGGTTCGAGAAGATCACAGCTCTGCAAGATGCAAAGTCGCTCCGAAAACTGTATACAACATTCGATACAAGCATCAAGATCTTTGCATTTCAGGCCACCGTGATGTATCTCCTCATGCCAATATTTGATGCACGCTTTTTCGGTCTACCCGAAGAGCTGCAGGGATTGGAGTCAGCCGCACAGGCAATGATATGTATGTTTTTGATTGATCTGATTTATGCTCGGCCTGCTGATAATTACATAGCTACGTGTCCAACCTTCAATGATTGGCGCAAGACTACTCATAACTACCTAAAGCAGGGGAACGATGATCTGGAAAAGCGATATCAGGATTCGCAGGCGAAAGCGCAAGCGCACTTGGTTGAGCACGTCTGCAAAATCATGTCAGCTCTCACGGGCTTGACAGTGGTGGAAGAGCAAGGACGTACCTTGAGCAGCGTAGTTAAACACGCGGTGTCGCTGTCTCAAGTTTTGGGTTGTCAGCGAGCTACTTATCGGTGTTTTTTGCCAGAGGCTGATGCAGAAGACGACATCGAGTTTGACTATACCACGATGGAGGATCTGATGAATGAGCAAGAAGAGGACGGACTCGCAAAAGACATAAGATGTGTAGTATTTCCAGCTCTGCAAAAGACTGGAGGGGAAACAGGCGATAATGTGAGGCATCCTTACAGTGTCAAACCGGCGAGGTTGACTAACCCTGGACAGATGAATGTGATGAATGTGCTCATGAAAGCCAAAGTCTTGTGCGTTGAGGCAGACTCTGACCAAGACGATCAGAAGGGCTGAAGAGAGAGCAGACCTTATAACGTATTTTCTCTTTGACGCAGAGGCAGTATTTTAGGCGTGCCTGTAACAGGCATGGATCTCGAAGGCACGTGGCGTTTAGGTGTGTTGTTGATGTGTGTCATAGCAGCATCCAGGGTCTGCTCAACCTCGCACACGATCTTTTCGGCGCTGGTAGCATCCGTCGTGATTGCGTGTAGACGAATGAAGATGGCGTCAAGAAAGTCGTCCAGGACAGCGTACATGTTGTGTTCGGGCTCTTGTCGGTGCAGCTGAAGGAAGGGAATGTAGACGAATTCATCGTAGAGAGTGGCCATGCGACGAAAGATCTTGACCTCTACGTGAGTCGGTCTGTGGAGCCCACTGTGAAGATGTCAGCTCTCGGCTCATCTGTACCAAAGTCAACACAAGCTACTCACTCGATGATGTCAAGCCATTTGATGACTTCTTCCAAAGCAACTTCTTCTGGCAGACTGAATTCAGACAGTTGACCATGTGCTGAGAAAGCAGCATCAAGCCTGTGCTCTAACTTCTCAAGGACGAGGTCCAAGAACTCGCAGATGTCCTGAGCTATGCCTTCAATGTCGCGTGCCACGTCTTCTGCCAGAGTGTGCGATGCAGGAAACAGTTGATGAGAGATGTGGACAACCATGCGTACCATGGCCAACAGCATAGTCTTTGTGGAAGCCTCGAGCTCAGAGGTCCGGATCAGATGCATCAACCCCTGAGGTAATAGACTGACCTTGGATGAGAAGACGGATGAAGTTGGTGTAGGGATCAACGCATTGCGTCTAGCCGGGCGCAGGGCAGCTTCATGTTGGTCGAAGTCATCAAAGTAGTAAGAGGGGATCCATTGGATTGTTATGTCGAGGTTATCAGCATGGATAAAAGGCTCGCTGTTGTTGGTCGAGAAGGAGCCGGCGGTGCTGCCTCGACTGCGCACTGAAGGAGGTTTGACCGAGGAGAAACTCGAGCTGTGCTGTGATGAGGAGTTGGTCGCAGTGCGAGAGCGCGACGAAGATATTGATCGAGGCATCTTGCTTATCTTGGTGTGGGAGTTTGCTGGTGGGGAAGGAAGTAGCAGGCGCTGAATGGCGATGGACAAAGAAACAAGCGTGGTAGTTATGGTGACCCTTGCGGAAGTATCAACAAAGAGGCAGGAACAACAGACAGCCAAGAGTGGGCAATTCATGAAACGACGGATGGTGAGTTTTCTGCTCGAGTGTATGGTTGTGATTGAGTAAAGTGTCTACGAACCAGAAAAGAGATGTGTCAATCTCGTCGAAGCCATTCCGCCATGATATTTCGTTGCCGACGGCGGACCAGCTACCTTTTAAACAAGTTGACAATGCCCACAAGCCACCACCCGAGTGAACAAGACGTTCGATTCGGGTAGTAAATAGCATGAAAAGCGTTCAATCTCCGCAAGTAGACTCGATCACCACGCCACTGAATCGTTTCCACCAAGAGGTGAAGACGGAGGCATGACAACTTTAAAGAAGTGCGGGTTCTCACTAACAATCAACATGATTCACTCCTCATCGTCATCGTCGAAATTTGCACCAGGAACGTCCATGACACGTTCTGATGCAGCTGCGAGAGCACGTCGACTCCAAGCTCGGACGCCTTTCCAGACAGCCTGAATGATGGATTAGCTATGAGGCTTGGTTTTGAATGAACAGGGCAGACATACCCAAGTGAAAGTCAAGATGCCGACGCCCACAGCAATCCAGCTGATCTGAGCCATTCTGTCTCTCCCCGTGGTACGACCACCTACAACACCAGAAGTACGAACATTGTACATCTGCCACGGACTCAAAGTAAGGAGAAACTTGGCAAATCCGACCAAGCCCAGAGAGGCGAAACCCTTGAGAAAGTGCTCAAACCACGTGACAGGCTCATTCGGATCTAGGATGGGTTGAGAGCCATGAGCGATGGTGTCGTAAGGGTCAAGATAGAGATTGATGATTGGATCAGCGACGTAACCTAGAGTGAATGAGGCGACAAGGAAGATGGCCAAGGTAAGCAAGATTTGAGCGGCTTCAGCATGTCAGTAGGTAGGATCCGGAGCAGAGTCCCAAGTTCAGCTTACCAGTGCTGCTGATCCAGTGTGCCCAGTTCATGCGTTCTAGACGATACTTGTACCTACATGTTGGACATTGCCAGTAATTACGCTTTGCGGCAGGATTCTGTAAGCGCCAGGCTTGCAGACATTCCTCATGGACGTATTTTTGGCTACCCTTGCACAGGCAGGGGCGCAGCAGACGACCACCGTCTTCACTCTCGTATGTGACGTTCGGAGCGGAGCGCAAGAAGCCTGGCAGTGAGTCTGACGGTGGGTGGTATGTTGGCAAGACAGTCTCGAGGCAGATGCGACATGTGCGCGGGTTGTAATGACGTTCGCGCTGTTGTGAGCCTGTAGAGCCCGCCGAGTCTGGCGAGGAAGACTGGGGTGGTTGACGAGGTGCAGACTCTTGTTCGCCTTCCGAAGGGGGCTGGTGCTCTCTGTATTCGCTAGGTGTCTGAAATGATTGTGGTCTCTTCTCCTCTTTCTGGACGTGGTCATCGGCCCAAGCACCAGGCAAGTCCTCGGGCCAAGTCCAAGAGGCAGGATCAAGCGACGACGAAGCCATGATACTGGGACAGAGTTCAAGTGTCGGTATATATAAAGCAGCAGCAGAAGGCAAGAGCGCCAGCGGTCATGATCAAATAGAGGAATTGAAGAGGCCAGCTGGAGCTTCTGCCTAGGTGGGTGGTGACCGGTGACGAGGGAAGGGAAAAGCTTCTTCTTCGCTCGCAGGCTGATGCTTCAAGCTTGCGGAATTGGAGGAAAGGAAAGAGCGGCGTCCGGCTTGGCGTTTCCACCAAGTGAGGCCCGAGCTCCCCCGTCCGGTAGCGCGTCACTCCAGCGAGCGCCTTCTAGACGGGCGAGAGCTGCTGCATACAAAGCATCAAAGCATTAGATTCATCTGTTTCTGTTGTTTCTCAGTCCATCCTCTATTTGATTGCAGCTTCCATCAACTCTCTGCAATCTCTCTTGCTCGCTCGATCATCTTCACATCGCCTCTGCTCACACCATGGCGGACCGCTACTCGTTCTCGCTCACCACCTTCTCCCCCAGGTACCAGGCCTCTATACCACTTGCGCACTCCTCATGCTAACTTGAAGTCAGTGGAAAGCTGGTCCAGATTGGTGCGCTTCGATAGCCAGCACTACCAAGACCTCTTACTTACATGCGCACAGAATATGCCCTGAACGCCGTCAACCAAGGTGTTACCGCCCTAGGCATCAAAGGTTCGCATACCACTGTCCTTCATCGCTCCGACACAACTAATCACTCTTCTTCATAGCCACCAACGGCATCGTCCTCGCAACCGAAAAGAAGTCCTCCTCGCCTCTCATCGATGCCGCTTCTGGAAGCAAGATCTCGCTCATCACCCCCAACATTGGTACCGTCTACGCAGGCATGGGCCCCGACTACCGCATCCTCGTCGACAAGGCTCGCAAGGTCTCACACACAAACTACAAGCGCGTCTACAACGAATACCCTCCCACTCGCATTCTCGTCCAGGATGTTGCCCGTGTCATGCAAGAGGCTACCCAGTCAGGTGGCGTGCGGCCGTATGGTGTCAGTTTGTTGGTTGCTGGATGGGATGACGGTGTTGAGCCTGAGACTGAGGCTGCCGATGCTGCTGACGATGCCGAAAAGAAGGCGATCAAGGGCAAGACTGGTGGTATCCTCAAGGGCGGTCCTTCATTGTACCAGGTCGACCCTAGCGGTTCTTACTTCCCCTGGAAGGCTACTGCCATCGGAAAGAGCGCCACTTCGGCAAAGACTTTCTTGGAGAAGCGCTACACAGATGGTCTCGAGCTTGAAGACGCCATTCACATTGCTCTGCTCACACTCAAGGAGACTATTGAGGGTGAGATGAACGGTGACACCATCGAGATTGGTATTGTCGGTGCTCCTGCCGACCACCTTCTCGGTGTTGAGGGTGTCGAGGGTGCTCAAGGTCCTCGTTTCAGAAAGCTCAGCTCTCAAGAGATTGAGGATTACCTGACGAGTCTGTAATCTCGAAGCATCAAAGGGCATGGCGTTTTAGCAAATCTTTCATACATGACGAGGCACGGCTCTGTATACTAACTGTTGGCTGCGGATATGTCGGCCAAAATGACATTCACTTTCTTGTCAACCGTCTTCCTCAAGTGATGTATCGTTGTGTTGACCACCGACTTCTGACATTCCAGACTCGGTCTCATCATGATGGAGTGTGCCTGTTCTGCGTTTAGTCATGTCGCCACTCCAGGAGTTGATTGTGGACATGGCCGAGTGTATCTTCTCGTGAGACTATTATTGAAACTTGACCATACACGAGTATCCCCTTCTAGTGCATCGTTAGTAACTTGGAATTGGCTGTTCTCAAGCCATGCACTTTAAGACATTCTCATCAAGGCTGACACTACATAAAGCCTGCGTGCCAAAGTTATGTCAAGACGTGAGTTGAAGAGGCCATCAAGACATCAAAGGGAAACCACAGCTTAAGATAGGTATGTCGATAGTGTCAAAGGGCTGTTCATTCCAATTCATAACCAATCATGTACAATCCAAAGTACACGCACATCCAAGATACATTCAAGTATCAATCTTCCAAGGATTCGTTACAGAGTCAAGGACTCTCCACCAACTTACTGCAAGTCCAAAACGACTCTACCAGCAATCTTTCCCTTGTCCATGTCCTCAAAGATGCTCGTCAACTCATCCATCTTGGCAGTCCTATAGTGTGTCTTGATGATGCCTCTGGCAGCCAGATCCAGCGTCTCGATGGCTTCCTTTCTGTTGCCAACAGCAGATCCCACAACCCTCTGCTCCTTTGCAACCATTACTTGGGGGAAACAAGTCGCAATAGGCCTAAGTTCACCCTCTGGCAACCCCACACAAACCAACGTACCTCCAAACTTGAGCAACTGCATACCACTAGCATACGCACCATTGGCAGCTGTAAGCACCAACACAGCCTGTGCACCCAGACCACCCGTCAGAGCTTGAACGTCTGCGGTGACGTCTTTGGAGGTTGTGTGGTCGATAAAGTGCTCGGCGCCGGACTCTAGAACCAAGTCTTTTTTGCTGCCGTGGTCGATGCCGATGATGCGCATTCCCATGCCTCGCGAGCCCATTTGAGTGGCGATGTGGCCGAGGCCGCCGCCGGCGCCGAGGAGGACGACAAAGTCGCCGGATTGGGCGGTGGATTTTCTGAAGGCCGAGTAGACTGTTACGCCTGCGCAAAGCCTGTTTGTTCTTTGCATCAGCACTAAACTCCCCAAGAGAAGTAGTGAAGAAAAAGGGGAAAGAAGGAGAGAGAGAGAGAGAGAGGGGGGGGGGGGGGGGGGGGGGGAAGAAACTTACATGGGAGCAGCAGCCGCAGAATCCAATTCATCAGGAATAGGCGTGACATAATCCGCAGGACCCAACACATACTGCTGATAAGTACCAGGTGTATAATAACCAGACACCTTTTGATTAAAACACACACCATCATGACCACTCAAACACGCCGGACACCCTCCACAAATGGCAGATATCCACTTTACACCCACCCTCTGCCCGATTTTCACAGCAGCACTTTCGGTTCCAGGACCCATGGCTACGATTTTGCCTACACCTTCGTGGCCGCCGACTTGGCCTTCTTGAGTAGGGTGGGGAAGGGCTTTCCAGCTGTTGGTCATGATGCCTATGTCCGAGTGGCAGACTCCGGAGTGGGTGAGGTTGATGAGGACTTCGCCGGGGCCGGGGGTGGGGGTGTCGAGTTCGACGATTTTTGTGCTGATTGTGCCAGGTTTGTCGTAGATGACTGCTTTGTGTTTCTTTGGGATGTCGGGGGCGGACATGATTGCGGTGATTTGATGTGCCTTTGAAGTGCAGTTGTGGAAGTTGGAGTGGCTCGATTTGGGACTGAGAGATGTATAATTGAGGAGGTTGTATGTTACTTGCTGAGTAGGAGGAGACAAAGTGAGAAGAAAGGTAAGAAGAGAGGACTTGTTATTCAAAACAGCGAACTACTGCAGGTAGATAAGGACAGTCTTGAAACGATCAACGAACCATGTCTTAAAACCAGCCACGATTGCATCCATCTCCTCACTTCTTGTCTCCAATCGCCGAGGCAAAATTGAGCGACGAGGCATGTCGACCGAGCTGCTTGGTGTTATCAACCCTGGTTCCCAATGGCGGGGCAACATGCGGGGTAAAGACGAGGGGTTGAGTGGATCTTGAAGGAAGGTCAGACGATGTGATTATACTTTTGCTTCATCTGGATGGTGGACAGCGGTGGACACGGCAGAGGTGGACGGGAACATGCATCTGGAAGTTCGACAAGGCTTGTTGGAAGTTGATTGCTTGGATCTTCGAACTGCCGGGCTGGGATGTTGAAGGATTGTGCGGCTGCTTGCTTTCAAAGACCGCGGCTGTATGGTCACTCTTGATGCATCGAGTGACTGCTGAATCAATCTGACTCTAGAAGGAAGATGCCTCGGGTTGAGGTCGTTGTTAGAGGTTTTTGATCGTGATTAGGGTGAGTGATCTCGGACTTCAGGGGAAGTTGATCTCGAGACATCCGTCGATACCTACCTGCAACTCGCAGCCTGTGAGCCGTTCTACCAAAACCCTCGCCTTACGACCATCCTGCAGTATTATACAATACAGTAGGCTGGGACATATTGGCCGTTCATTGTCCTTGTCACACGAGCTATTGATATGGCCATGCAGCTTCACGCCAACATCCCCACTTGAGCAGACGCGTCTAGTTTGCTCTGTTTGCATTCTTGTCGCGCACCGTATATAAGTCGCCACTTCGCGCTCAACCCAAGCCTTTTCTCTCTCATGAAAGTTTATAAAACCAGTACAATTTGATTTGATCGCCCTATACACCGTGGGCTATCGAATTGAACGTCTGGAGAGAGCAAAGCTAGATATAAAGAAGCGGTGTCCCGATCACCTTGGGCATTGTCTCCCGTTTTTCTACTACACACCCATCTATTTCTACTTCAATTCATTGTTTGAACCTGTCGGGATGTACAGATTCTGAAGCGGAGTCACCCGTCATGTTGGCTCCCACTGAATGCGACGTCTAGAGACTCTTCGACTCTCCCGCGCTCCCGCCTCCGCTATCTCCGTTGTACATACACCTACCTATCTACGCTGTCGCAAGGCACAATACTTTCTCACCCCTCGTTGCCATTCATGGAGTTGTCAGTCGCGTCGCTGGCGTCGATGACTGCGGACAAGAAACCGTTCCCGTTTTTTGACCTGCCATCGGAGTTACGCATCAAGATATACCAATACGTGCTGTTCATAGACCATGCTAGTGTCGTGGATCTAGATGTGTTCAACGACAGGAGGATTGCGCCGCGTCTGACTTGCTTTCGCGCTTGTCGGCGCATGCATGAGGAGGCATATCCTGTCTTCTATGGCTCGCCACAGCGACCCTTCAGACTATTTCCAACTGGTGGAAACATGTACAGATACAAGAAGCCGTTGCCTGAGCTTCTTACTCCGACATATCGAGGTGCCATCAATACGATGGAGCTTCGCCTGGGTCCAGGCTGGGAGAGGGTGAGTCTAGTCCATTCATAAGTGCTCTTGCGCGCGGCTGCTAATTGTCCTTTCAGGTTCCCAAATCCTGGCACACTGGTCCAACAGTAGGCCTCACCGACTGTGTATCCCTGCGCAACCTCAAAGTCTTCGTACAAATCGATCCCACCGATGCGACCTTCAAGGGACACCATGGAAAAGGCAATGATCAATTTACATACATGAATCTCTCGGTGGGCTGGTTACAAGCCGTACTCGAGCAGGCGCCTAGCATTCTCAAGGTCGAGATTGACTCATGGGAGGGGGTCGACATCAATTCACCGATGCTGAATGCGCTGGCTTCTGTGGTCTTGACAGCCGACAAGAAGCTGACTTGGGGTCCTCAGCGCTTGAAGAAGATTGAGCGGGAGAGAAGTACACAGTTGCGATGGGGCTTGACTTGCGGCATGGACCAACTGGGGGATCTCATGACGGCCATGGTCATTGGAGACTCAAGGATGTACAGTTTCTGAAAACATGCCATCTGAGGCAGGAAGAGGCTTATGGCGTGTGTTAGCGAGCGAGCATTGATATTCTGGTCAACTTCCATCTTCTATGAGACTACGACAGCAACAGCATCGAGCAAGCAAGTCTTTCTATTCGTTGTACAATCAATCCATTGGACCCCACCAAATATGCCTCTCGAGAACCAGACCACGAAACCAGTGCTTCTCCAGATGAAACTCGGGACCGGCAAGACTCGACGTCCGTGGCATGATCTCTTATCGTATCGGCGAGTCAAAGACGGCCATGTGTTCTTCGATCTCTGATGGAGGCTCAAACAACCACGGCTTACAAAGCTGTTGGGCCTTTTTTCGCTCAGCAGAACCCGAGATAAACGGCAGGGCTCAAGCGGTGAACGTCATGGGGAGATCCGTGCACTGGCCGCCACATACTCGACAGAACGCTTGCATTCCTCACGAATGTACAGCGTAACATTGCTGCAAGTCAACTCCTCGTGCAGTTGCATGCTCACAAATGCCTTGAGCTTTATAAGCACTTGCTGAGAAACTGCCGTGGTTGCAGTAAAACTGATAGTTGTGTCGGCCGAAGCTCAGAGATGGTATGATGTAAGGGCCGGAGATAAGTTTCGAAACAGCAAACAACAGCCGGCCGAAATTCGAAGAAGATGGCATTTGGAACAAGATGGAGCGTGTCAAGATTTCTAATCGCTAATCGGACGCGTATCCATATATAGGCAATCAGTTCTTCCCATTGCTCAAGTGTTCCTTCCTCTCTTACTCTCTATCTACCACTCTCATCCTCCCATCACCTCTACCACACATACACATCATCATGTCTACCGAGCAGATCCCCGAGAAGTTCTCTGGCTGGTTGGGCCACGAGCCTGAGGCCGCCAAGGGCAAGATGGTCTGGGGCGAGTTTGAGCCCAAGGTTAGTACTTCCCATTGCTCAATGCCTTTTAGCATTCACTAACAAGCATGACAGACCTTCGAGGAGACCGACGTCGACATCAAGATCTCCCACTGCGGTATCTGCGGTTCCGACATCCACATGCTCAGCTCCGGCTGGGGCCCTACTCCCTACCCTTGCTGCGTCGGCCACGAGATTGTCGGCAAGGCCGTCCGTGTTGGCAAGGAGGTCAAGAACATCAAGGTTGGCGACCGTGTCGGTGTTGGTGCCCAGGCCCAGTCCTGCCTCGAGTGCGTTGACTGCAAGAACGGCAATGCCACCTACTGCAAGAAGGCCGTCAACACCTACGGCTCCATCTACCCCAACCAGAAGGACAAGTCGTACGGTGGTTACTCAAACTACAACCGTACTCACGGCGCTTTCGTCGTAAAGATCCCCGAGAAGATTGAGTCTGCCGATGCTGCTCCTATGCTCTGCGGTGGTGTTACCGTTTATTCTCCTCTTGTCCGCAACGGCTGCGGTCCCGGCAAGACTGTCGGTATCGTCGGTGTTGGTGGTCTCGGTCACTTCGGTGTCCTCTTCGCCAAGGCCCTCGGTGCTGACCGTGTCGTTGGTATCTCTCGCAAGAACGACAAGCGCGACGACGTCCTCAAGCTCGGAGCCGACAAGTACATTGCCACTGGCGAGGACAAGGACTGGGCTGCCGAGAACGCCCGTACTCTCGACCTCATCATTTGCACCGTCTCCTCCGAGAAGATGCCCATGACCGAGTACCTCTCTCTGCTCAAGGTTGGAGGTACTTTCATCCAGGTCGGCGCTCCTGACGGCGGCAACCTTCCCCCAATCAACGCCTTCACCCTCATCACCAACGGCATCAAGGTCGGTGGCTCTCTCATCGGTACTCCCCAGGAGATCGAGGAGATGCTTCAGCTCGCCGCCGACAAGGGCATCAAGCCCTGGATCGAGGTTCGCCCCATGAAGGAGGCCAACCAGGCCATCATCGACTTTGAGAAGGGTATGCCCCGCTACAGATTCGTCCTTGAGAACTAAGTGTTTTTTCTCCGGGATTGCTTTGCAAAAGTTTTGGAAACAAGGGCATAATGAACAAAGCCCCATTTTTTTATGAATACCCACTATAGACTTATAGAAACGTAGCACGCTACGAATTGCCATTTGCTCTTGAAACAAGCCATACTCATTCTTGTACTCCTCGTTTCTGTTGACCGAACAAGAGACTAAGAAGATGATCATCCCGAAAATCGTTATACGGGTCCATCATGCATGCTCCCGGATATATGACCTGTGATCGATTGCAGAGTGAACAGCCGAGTCCGACGCGCCGTGGGCGTGGCACGCGTCGCTGCATCTTTTCTGTCACACTGGAGTGTTCACAGTCGGATGGAGTGATATGCCCTGCGAACAGCGCTCAAAGCAGGCATGTCTTGTGATTGAGACGTGGTATAATGGAAGTTTCTGAGTAATCACTAATATCCGAAGGAATTGGCGCTTTTTCGTGAATAGTCGTGATGTCTGAAGATTTGGTGGTTTGAGCGTTCAAACATTGAGGCTTCGTGGAATGGGGGGGCCTGAACATGAAAACGATCATTCTCCAACGTAAGAGAGGCCGGTGAGGCTCAAAATACCGCATGACAAAATCAAATATATGCTCGACACATCCATCGCTTACTACTCTTGTCCAGCCGCCTCAATGGCGAGGAAAACATGGTACCGTGACAGAGCCAGGGTCATGTCCCTTGCAACAGGGCGGGCGTAAGAAAAGTAAACCCCGACGCCACCCTCGCGTCTGCCTGCAGGTACCTGCTTGAAGCGGAACAAGATTCTTCTCACATGTAGGAACGAGCGCTGCTATCTTCTGTCACAACACTCTCATTCACTCACACTCTGGCAGCTGGCTGCTTTGATCTCTCAGCATCCGCCTTCTCGCCTTCTCGCCTTCTCGCCTTCTCGCCTTCTCGCCTTCCAACCTTCAACGCCGACACTCTTTGTTGCTCTCTAGCACTCGCCCTTAGTCCAACCGCCTCTCTTCCACTGGCCCTCAAGTTCACACTACACTTCACTCGTCATGTCAGGAAGACGCAATGGTAATCGCATCCGCGGCCCGTAAGTGTCCCCTTCTCACTTCACCTGTGACATCATACCAACCTCCCTCACAGACAATCTGCCTTGACCGACTTCCTTTCTTCACACAACATCTCAGCACAACAGATTCGTGACGACTACGAACGCCGCGTACGCGAAGCAGCTCAACAAGAAAACGCCGGCGAAGGTGGCTCCAACGACCCAGCACCACCCGCCGACCCCGACGCTGAAGCAGCTGCCGCCCTAGCAGCAGCAGAAGCCGCAGACGCAGCCGCCGAGAAGACCAGAAAGAGAAAGCGCAAGGAAGAAGCCGCCATTGAGAAGATCAAGAAGGCCAAGGGCGCAAAAGGTGGAAAGAAGAAGAAGAAGCCCGCTGGCAGTGACGACGAGGATGATGATGACTTTGACATTAGTGGTGCCATGTACGTCAAGGCTGCTCCTTTGCCTGGCCAATTCGAGAACTGCGAGATCTGCAGTAAGCGCTTCACTGTCACGCCTTACAGCAAGAGCGGTCCTGAAGGTGGTCTGGTCTGCACACCCTGCGGCAAGGAGCTCGCCAAAGAAGGAGACGCAGCAGCTGGAAAAAAGACAAAGAAGCCGCCGGCTGGAAGAAAGAGACGTCAGGTGGAGAGCGAGCGACTGAACGGTGTTGCCCTTGGTGGAGCAAAGACGTTGCAGCAGCTCTGCATCGAGAAGGTTGCACAGTACCACGAAGATGTCGACGAGCTGGGAGAGCTGCCCGAGCCCGTCATGCTGCGACTGGCCGAGATCTTCGCAAAGAAGCGCGTCTTGAACCCAAAGACACTCAAGCTTTTCGTGCGCCCTGATTCCGACACTGTCTGTGTTCACGATGCTGCATACCTGGAAGTTGAGGACTACCAAGGCATCTGCGCAGTCGCTCCTGGTCTCAAGAAGCTTGTGATTCGCAACGCTTGCCAGCTCAAGGACGAAGTCATCGAGTACATGATGGAGAAGTGCGAGCAGATCAACTTCATCCAGTTCTACGCCGCCAACCTGGTGTCTGATGACATGTGGCGCAAGCTCTTCCAACACTACGGCAAGCAGCTCAGAGCAGTCAAGCTATCGTGGCTGGATGCTTCCTTTAACGACGGAACTGTCCAAGAACTTGTCAAGCACTGCCCTGATCTCATCCGTCTCAAGCTCAAGCTCTGTCGCAGACTTACCGAAGAGTCCATCATCGCGCTTGCTGGTCTGACCAACCTCGAGCGTCTATCATTGCAGACTGGTGTCCAGCCGTCGTGCGAGAATGTCATCAACCTCATCAAAGCCGTTGGCCCAAACTTGCGCACACTCTCATTCGAAGACTTCCTCGACCTTGATGATGCAGTCCTCGCTCAGATCAAGGAATCTTGCAGTCATCTCGAAAAGTTCCGCTTGCAGATGAACGATGTTGCCAGCGATGCTGCCTACGCAAACCTCTTCACTGCCTGGAAGAACCCACCACTCACATTCGTCGACCTCAGTGGAACTCGTGACGTCGACAACAATAACCCCAAAGGCCCAGAAGAAGCCATCGGCCTTGCCTCAGCTGGGTTCAAGGCCCTTATGACACACTCCGGCTCAGCCCTTCGCACACTGGACATTGCTTCCTGTCGTCACATCAGCTTGGAAGCCTTCCTCGACGTCTTCGGCAATGGTACCATCTACCCCAATCTTGAGATGATCAACTTCAGCTTCTGCAGTCGTGTCGACACGACTGTGATTGCAGGCGTGTTCCAAAGCTGTCCTTCCATCAAAAAGGTCATCGCTTTCGGCTGCTTCGACGTCACTGACGTTGTCGTGCCTAGAGGTATCGCCCTGATTGGTGTACCTAAGGCTCAAGATGCGATTGAGCAGATCGGCACGAGTATCGATGTTGCTGAAGCTGTTGGTCGCATGATTGATGTCGGCGCTTGAGGATGCATCCAACTCTGACTCCGACAACCCGGCGTTCAATTTTGACTGCCTTCCATCGCGCGGTCGCAAAGTGCTGATACAGCGTTAATGACTTGAATTGGTCACACGCAACTCACATCCAGCATGTACCGATCAGCCAACGCAGACTCGCTGTCTTTCCTTTTCCCTCTTTCTCACTGGTCATTATCACATTAGCATGGAGTTTTCATGGCGTTTGTTGTTTTTCTACATTGCAGAAAATCTGCTATACAGGTAGCTTCGGGTAGTCCCCTTTTCACAACGCAAAGAATCGTAAATAGCGGTTCAAAGATGGTGGTTTCTAGTTTCTTCGAAAAGCAACACAGTATTTCCTACGCCTAGAGCGGCGCAATTTTCTAATCATCTTGACAGCTTACTTGTTTCAAATGTCCATCTATTTTGAGCCGTGACAGCCGTGATGGATGTTTTGATGATCATCTTGGAGAGTCTCCCTCCAAGGCAATATACAGAATCTTCGGGATAGCCGGGTTGAATTGAGCTCCGAGTCTTTCGACGTAGCCGCCAGACATCTCGACAACATTACAATAAACTCAAACCATCTGTGGATAGATCATCATTTGGTTCAAGAGACATTAGTCGAGTGGTCTGTCTATGGCTGGGAATTGACAGTCTGTGATTTGTAGACGGTGAACATGTTCGAGAAGGATCGACAGAAAACCAATCCAACCAAAACTTACGTCATCGAACCTTGTTCCTGGACGGTTTATTTCTTTGTCGATCAGGGTGCAGCAAGCCTAATCTTTCGCATCCTATTCTCAACTGTCTTTGAAATCGAATATGGAGGGGTCCGAGTATTGTGACAATGTGCTCTTCGCAACCAGTTGGTGGTGTGTTGGTTACAAAGCTAATCGCAAGACCGCAGCAATTCTGTTATGCGCAGATGTTTTATCGCGATAGAGCGATCCGGCACTGTGAGGGCAATCTCCTGATCCTCATCACGTTTTTTAAGTTGCCTATCTGTGTGCTATGGAGATTTTTTTCTTCCGGATGGGGCGGCTCCGTTATATACGCGTCTTGGGACACGAATAGAAATGCATAAGGGGGGGTTTCCCCCAACCTATCGGCGGCGAAGAAAGAGAGATTCGTCATTGGGAATGCAATTGCAAGTGTTGGAGTGCAAAGTGTCGTCTTTTCTTTCTTTCTTTCTTTCTTTCTTCTTCTATTGCTTCCTTTGCGAACTAGGTGTCTTTTTTGGTGTTTTCGTGATATAACAGCTTGCTGCATAGCTTTTCTCGAGTCGAACTTTAAAATTGTGTAGCTGGTGGTTTATGAGGTGTGGCTGGTTCTTGAGTAGTAGTAGTAGTCATGGATCGGCCGTCTGTTGATCGTGGTCGTCGTATGAGGTCTGCTGTAAGTTATGCTGATGCACCATCTCGACACAAATGACTGATGTTTACAGTCGTCAATACAACAAGACAACTTCGACGTGACATCTCCAAGTGCCGAGAATAGCAATGACGAACCACCTGTCAATCCAACCGTCAACCGAGCCCGAACATGGAATCTCGCAGACTCGTCTCCAAACGCAGGCATTCGTCGTCGTGGCACAACAACAAGTTTCCGGCCACGAAATAGATCTCTGGTTCGAAGGGCTACTGGAAATAGCTTTGGCAATGAGGAACCGTTTAGTCTTGCTGGACCTCAGGATATCGTCGCTGTTGCTCATCAACATACTCCATATGTGGATCCTGGATATGCGCAACTCAATCCGGCCTATACGCAACCTATGCATGCTAGACCGGTATGGTCGTTGGCGAAACCTCTCCCTAGGGTGGTGAGGCCGGGTATGGTACCCACTGCCAGCGAGATTGACAGTGTCAACCAACAAGCGAATGATACCCAGATCACAGAAGGTGATGTAGAGCAAGGACCGGAGCCTACACTTCGTCTCGGGCGTGTGTCCTCTAAACTCCAAGCAGTTCGTGCTGAAAGGGAAAGACGCTTCGTGGAAGGTAGATCTGGATCCAAGAAAACAACGCGAACAAGAGCGGATTCTCAATCTTCAGTACACTCGCAAAATCAACAATTGCGCCGGGAAAACAGTGCGCAACAAGGCTCTACGGTGGATGTCTTACCTGATGTAGCTGAAGAACACGAACCCGTCGACCATGAGCAATTCCCAGATTACAACGATACTTTTGACGCAACACCTTCCTATCGCCCGACCTACGAATTTGACGACAGCTTTTCTGCAAAAACAGCGCTTGATGATACGATACTCTCAGACGACGACTTGACCCTCAACAACAACAATCTAGAAGATGAAGTCTACAACGCTCACACACATTGGAGTGTAATCCGCCACCGCTTCCGACAAGAATTAGCAGAATTCCTCGCCGTTCTCGTTCAACTAACCCTAGGCTTTTGCTCCGACCTCGCAATCACTTTCGGAGGTGCTTCTGCAAATAACGCAATATACGGAACACTAGCTTGGGGCTTTGCAACCATGACTGGCATCTACATAGCCGGAGGACCTAGTGGTGCGCATCTCAACCCCGTGGTCACGATTGTATTGTACATTTTCCGCGGATTTCCAAAACGACAGATGCCGGGATATTTTGCGGCGCAGTTCTTCGGTGCGTTTTTTGCTGGGTTCATCGCCTATGGGCTTTTCGCTTCGCAGATACATGCGTATATCGCTATGCCGGATGCTGGGACTACGACAAAGGAGGCTACGCAGACTGTGCTGAATGCTTTTGTGACTGGACTGAGAAACGACAATGTCACGCTTGCAGCGGGATATTTCACCGAATTCGTGGCGACGGCTTTTCTGGCTCTTGTGGTGTTGGCATTGGGAGACGATAGTAACACACCACCCGGCGCTGGCATGACGGCTTTGATCCTCGGCTTTGTAATCTGCGTTCTTCTTCAAGCTTTTGGTCCCAACACCGGGGCAGCTTTGAACCCTACCCGCGACTTGGGTCCCAGACTTGCGTTGTACTGCTTGGGCTTCTCGAGAAAGTTGCTTTGGGGTGGCAATTGGTGGTTATGGGGACCTTGGCTGGGTTGTATACCGGGAGGAATTGTGGGAGCGACGTTGTATGATATTTGCATCTTCACTGGTGGAGAGAGTCCGGTGAATTATCCGAGGAAGAGGATTTGGAGGGCTGGGCACAAAGCGAAGAGGAAGTGGGGCAAGAGACTTAGACCATGGAGGAAGGGTAAGGGGAAGAAGGCGCAGGACGAGGAGAAGGTGCAGAGGGAGATGCCTGTGGGTATATGATCAATAGTGATTGCAATGACTTAGCACCATACCTTTTCGTGAGGTACTAATCCTATACGGGTCACGACTGGCACATACCGCTTTCCAAACCGCGCAATCCATAGTACCGATCTCAAGCGCTGAGGCAAGCAGGAAAGGGCTCGTTTGAAATCAGGAATATCTGTGGTCCTTGTAACGACGGGAGCGGGAGATAACGATAGAGGTGACATCGCATCATTGAGTGCGAACATGTCACGTATCCACGGCTGCGTCAAGACACAATGTGTTTGATGAGATGGAACACGTGCCCTGAGGGTGAGCGCTCTTGTTAGCTCTCTCTCATGTCAGGTCTCCCGTATCTCTTCACGGCATCATCAATGTTCTCTGACGGCGAGCAGAACAATCAAAAAGAGAAGTGCCGGCTAAACGGAGAGAAGGGCGGTCGGACTTTGTCGATGGTCAGCCAAGATATCACAGATTGCGGTCCTTGTCAGCAGATATGGTACATCCGCTTACGGTAGTCTAGACGCCAACTTTGATTCATCAGACGTAGCTGACTGATGACTGGCAAAAATGAATCGCGGTGTAACTCATCGACGAGATCGCGATGGACGGGAGGCAAGAAGAGGTTGACAGATCACTCAAGATCTAGAGAAAAGCAACATATGGTCGATTACATGCTCCGATCATGATGAACCGTCCAGCTCACTCAAAAGAGGCAGTGCTTTGATGCCCAGGACAGGAGAGGGGGTATCCGAAAGCTTCAACAGCGCCTCTTTGTCCCTATCGAGAAGGCAAGCGTCCGAGGACAATGGAAGTGTTCCACTCGCGACATTCTTTATCCGGAGGATCCGCCGTTGGTCGTAAAAATGGGATGTCATCAAAGACAAGGCATGGCGTTGAGTTCGGCTTGTTCATGGCTGCAGGAGATTATCAATCGTCTTGGAAGACCTTGGAGGTTCGAGAAAAAAGCATGTGTACGATTGCCTCTCAACGAGATATGGAGCATCCATCCATCCGGGATTTCAGGAACCTGCCAGAGTCTACAGCATATCGAAAACCATGAGAAAGGTCAATTTGTGGTCACTCGTCCCTGCCGTTTTGCGAAAGGCTGAAGTGGAAGAGCCTGCTGGATGACCGTTGCTGATACAATTCGCACCCCCGCGTTCGCGTGCGGAGTGTGGGGGAAGCGATCGAGCACGGTCTTCTAGATCCAGTGGCCAGATTTGCTCAAACACAGCTCGCAATCGCAACCAAGATAGCCGGAAGATGACAGGTGGAAGATCCCTCGCTGTCGTGATTACTTTGCATGAGTGTGAGATGCCCCGATCGTGTCGAGTTGCACCTACCAGACTGGGCATCAGCAACCGAGGCTTCTTCCTCTCAGCTACAATCGTTAGCGACTTGGCAACTCGGACAGGCCGAAGGTTTTCCCAAGGTTCTGTTCTTTCCCCTTCTCCACACTTTCCTCCAACCTCATCTCTTTCCTGAGTTCACGTAGAAGTTGTCCCTACATTTGTCAGCTACAACATCAGGCGAAAAGTGAGCATCGTCGTTTGTGTGTAACTCACAGCCTCTTGCTGGGCAAGGTGTAAAGATGCATCCAGTAAACGCCTCTAAGGCGGGCAAAGACACTCAGGTCGAGTTTCCAAGATCCAGGCTCAGCCACTACCTCCTTGGCGCAGCGGCTCCCCTTTGATACGGCATGGCAAGGTTCGAGACTCTTGAGAGTCTAAGTATCGAATCACGCACGTGGAGCCCGCATGCTACCTGCGTTATCAAACTCTCTCGCCTCTTTGACCTCCATGCCGTTGCTTGGAATCAAAACATACCGCTTCCAAGACTGGTGGCTTTGCTTGGCCTTTCATCCGACAGTGTTGGCAGCCTCGATAAACTCGAATTCGAGGCTGGACACCGCTAGCTAGGTTTCAATAACACGACCAACGGTATCTACACGATCCACTTGGTGAGATACCCCAGACTTCCGCTGTGCATGGGGTATGGGGTCTGGGGTACGGGGTATTTGCCGTCGCGATAGGAGAGCAGTGGCATATAAGATGGTCTCCGGCCGTATCACTGTGCAAGGTAGATCTCATCTTTCTTTGACAGCGCTGATCACAAGAACATTCACGTTCACACTATCGCTCATACCATCGGCAAATTCTATCACACTTTCTTTCTCTAGTCTCAACACATCTCACCATGGCAATCATGGCAGAGGCAAAGCACAACCCTCCGATGGAGGAGAAGAACACTGTCGAGCTCTATGAGACTGTCTCGACGTCTTCGGATTCGGAGCAGGTACACCACTTTGATGACAAGGCAACCTCTCGTCTGGTGCGAAAGATCGATATGCGACTGCTACCCTTCCTGGCTTTGTTGTACCTGTTGAGTTTCCTCGACCGTACCAACATCGGAAATGCTCGTCTTGCAGGTCTCGAAAAGAGTCTTCATATGGAGCACCTGGACTACAACGTGAGTGCAATACCATGCTACAACTGCGGCATTGTTCAATGCTAACAATCGACGACAGATCGCTTTGGCCATCTTCTTCCCCTTCTACGTCTTGGCTGAGATTCCTTCCAACATGATGATGAAGCGTACTCGCCCTGCACTTTGGATCCCTTTCATCATGGTTCTCTGGGGTATTACCACCACTCTTCTTGGTGTTGTACAGAACTACCATGGTCTGCTCGCTGCTCGTGCTGCTCTCGGTCTCGCTGAGGGTGGTCTGTTCCCCGGTGTCACCTTCTACATTACCATGTGGTACCGCCGCCACGAGTGTGGTCTCCGCCTGGCTATCTTCTTCTCTGCCGCCACTGCCGCCGGCGCCTTTGGTGGTCTGCTTGCTCGTGGTATCGTTGAGATGGATGGATTGGTAAGTTCACTCTGATTGTGCATGACTTGATCCGACCTAACATATTCCTCAGGGCGGTCGTCCCGGTTGGGCTTGGATCTTCATCCTCGAGGGTCTTCTCACCTTCGTTGTTGCCATTGTCGCCTTCTTTTACATGAACGACTACCCTCAGACCGCAAAGTTCCTCACCGAGACCGAGAAGAAGGAGATCTCTCGCCGTCTTGAAGAAGACCGTAGCGGTCTGGCTGATGAGTACGGCGGCAAGTACTTCATGCATGCCGTCAGAGACTGGAAGATTTGGGTTCACATGTTCATCACCTTCGGCATTTACACCCCTCTCTACAGCTTCTCGCTCTTCTTGCCCACCATCGTCAAGACTCTCGGCTACAGCAACGAGAAGGCTCAGCTTATGAGTGTTCCTCCTTACATCGTCGCCTGCTTCTGCTGTATCACCGGTGGATACTTCGCTGACAAGCTCCGTACTCGTGGTATCTTCATGATCGGCTTCACCCTCACTGCCATGCTCGGTGTCATTCTCCAAGTCGTCAGCACCAACCCTCACGTCAAGTACGCCGGTGTCTTCCTCTTCGCCTGCGGTATCTACCCCAACGTCCCCCAGGGTGTCGCCTGGAACGGTAACAACATTGGTGGCTCCACCAAGCGTGGTGTCGGTATTGCCATGCACGTCGGCTTCGGTAATCTCGGTGGTATCCTCGCTTCTTTCGTCTACCTCAAGAAAGACTCGCCCAAGTTCCACAAAGGCCACCTCATTCTCATTGGTCTTCTGAGCATGTCTCTTGTTCTTCAATGCTTCATGACCACCTACCTCCGCCGCGAGAACGCTCGTCGCGATGCTGAGTACAAGCGTCCCGAGGACTACACTACTGAGGAGAAGCTTCTTGAGCGCGAGCGTGGTGACAATGCCAGCTACTTCCGCTACACTGTTTAAGATACCCCCGGCTTGGGAACTTTGTGGAGTTTGACTTGGGATATGGAATATGAAACACAGGCACGATTATGTATGACTCTCTTTTTTTCGCTTTTTGACACGTAGAAACTTTTTCCATCTTGCGATATAGAGGAAGATTGATTTACAATGACAACACTTTAAACTCAACCTATCTCACCTTGTGGCTTCTACTGTGAACACACCCTCTCCGTAGATAATTCACCTGTCCACAAAATCATCATGTCTTTTGACAGCTACATAACTCGAGGTGTCTACAGTGCTGGAGTCGCACAAAAGCAAGGGCTAAGTTACACACGATCACATGCAAGGGACTTTTTTTCGCCCGCAAAAATATCACTACATAAACCGGCGTCCCTGATCCCCAATAGATGTACCAAACGACTCTTGGACATCCTCTTAGTGGGATGGCATGTCTTCGCCTGACTATTGGATGTGGCGTGCTGCGATGCTATCAAAGTGTTTAGTCGTCCGCGTCGCACATCGGGTCGATGCACCGAGAGAAGACAACGACGTCCGTCACCGGATTGAGTTGGTAGGTACTCTCATGTATAGTGACAGGGGATGAACGCTTTATTGAAGGATGGCATGATGAGAAGTCAAGGGGTAGAGAAGGGGGATTGAGAGGTTGAAGGTTAGTCAGGGTCAAGAACCTTGTCACCAGACTGCCATATACCCCTTAGGTTCTGATGGGTGACTGTCCGGCATAGTGTTGCTGCCTCTCACGTCATCAAGGTGTGTCGCAATGCATGATGAGTTTCTAGAATGGTGGAGTCGTGTTTGAGATGCAGTCTATTTTCTGACCTCCTGTATGTTAGCTACCGGGGAGACTGTACGCGGCTTTCCGAAACACCTTGATGTATGAGATTGACTTGTCTTATATAAGCAGGGCGGAAATCCTACCACCATTCTTTACTTTTTACATGGAGCTCCCACCTGGCACTCGACTGTACACTTGGGACGTGGATCATGTAAGACCATCACCTCATCAGGGAACAATGCTTGTTCATTGTAGCATCGCTGACAAAGCTGAGTATAGGCCTCGACTTCGATCTCGAGTCCGCCCCCGAAAGACTTTCGAAGCTGCATAGCGCAGTGTACGGAGGTACCAAAACAGAGTCAGAGATTCCAAATGTATACAATAACGGCATCAAGCTCCGTCAACGGCAAACGCTGGCTGATCTGGCAACATCCTCGATGCCTTGCTGACTGGAAACTGACATGCCGACACATCTACAGGTGTATCCGGCCATTTGGCAGGGCGATCATGACCAGAAATATGAGGTTCTCGAAGGATTTCTGTCGAACTCATCGACGTTCCTATCTTTCCTCTGGAGATCGTTCACCGCCGAAATGCATCTCCACGGTCAAAGAAGCTCTGGCCAAGCCGGTTACGTCAGACTCGGTGAGCTCACCCCGCTTTACGACAGCTCCGACCAATGGATTCGTGTGTTGATTTGGAATTCATGCCACATCCTTTGAGCAACGATGATGGCCATACTCATAGACATGGTCGCTGTTGCTCTCATGGAGAAACTGGAGGTATTTGCAAGGTCGGAGAATCTACTCAGAGCAAATCGCTGGGCAAAGTAAAGCCGTGTCCTTTGAGCAGAAGAGCTGTTCCTTGAGAAAGTGAACAACGATGAGCAAGTACGAAAACGAGCCAAAAGGTAAAAGGCCGAAAGAACTCCAGATCATGGCCTAGCTCTGATTGTCAATTACTCCGACTCAAATCACCTTTTGCGGGTCAATTCCTACAAGTGACGACCTTTATCTTCTGCCTTCTTCCTCCACACTTTTCTTCCTTACTCACACCACAAACCTCTTGATCAACAGCCAGCCTCTTATCTCTTACCTACCACATACAACTCTACACCTCCACCTTCTACATATACGCAAACATGTCTTCCTACAACGGAGCCTGCCACTGCGGCGCCACCGAATGGACCGCCACCCTCGAAAAGGACACAAGCAGCCACATCCTCTGTCACTGCAACACCTGCAAGATCCTCTCCGGCGGCGCCTACACCCTCAATCAAATCATCCCCAAGGACTCCCTGAAGATCACAAAGGGTGGTGATGCCCTCAAGAACTACACTTACAAGGGTGATTCGGGAAAGCCTGTTCACTGCTACTATTGCCCAGAGTGCACTGTGAGTTCCCACTTGCCTTCCCTAACCCCCAACTGCAAAGATAGGCGAGAAAACGAAGATTGCGAAAGATGTGGGAGGACAAAGATGCTAATGTCCCGCGCGCATAGACTCACGTATACCACCACCAAACCGCTCTAGGCGAGGATAAGATTGTCCTGCGTACTGGTCTTCTCGCCGACGGACGCAAGAACTTCGAGCCTGCTGCCGAAATCTACGGCAAGGACCGTCTTTCCTGGGAAAAGGAGGTTGCCCACACCTTTGAGGTTCTGCCTCCTCAGTAAAGCGTAATCCGCGCTGTTCGGGGAAATGACTTTTTTGGGCTCTTGGGTAGATGTATATTCTATGGAAAGGATGCGCAATTGGAAGTTAGCAAGACATAAAGTCTCGCAAGAGTTATGAAACTAAACGAAAATGAGAAATTTTAATCTACAAACCTATTACATTTGTTCTCGCTGTAAGTATGTGTGTTGATGAGCAAGTGATGGATGTGAGGTTATGGGCGTCATGTGCACTTGTATCCAATCCCAATCACTTTCCTCACCGATCGCTACTGCACTCACAGCAAGCTTCTTTGGTTGTAGTGCTCATTGGTGAGTTAGATCACAGGGCATGAGATGAAATTGTAATCCGTGTGTGACAGGCATTATGATAGAGATCTTGAGTTCTCATCACATGGGACAATCAGAGGTTGAGAAGAAAGAAAAGAATATCATAAAGGTGTTGTTTACTGTCTTTGCTAGCCCATAGGTCATTCAGCCGTTCGCCTTGCCCATAACGCCAGGATGATAAAATGACGGAAGAAGATCAAATAGCTCTAGCAGCCTCCCCAGCAGCATCAGTTTCTTCGGCCCTCTGTCTTTGCTTTCCTTTTCCAATACCACCTTCACCGACACCCATCCTCTTGGCCACATATCTCTGCGCCACAACACCAATGGCCAAAGTCAGGGTATCCTGTAGCCATTCAGAAACCCATTCGCGAGGGTCAATACCACCAGACTCTACGATTTCTCGAATACTTTCGGGGAGGATTTCTGGATCTTCGGGATTTGGTGATGAGGCGTCGAGCCATTGTGTCCATTGTGCGGGGAAGGATTGGGAGAGAGAGCTAAAGGAGAGGGAGTGGATGGGGTCGTGGAGATAGATGGCGAAGAGGGCTGTTTCTTCGTCGGTGTCGGGGTCCACGACGTCAGATTTTGGTTCATCGGGCTTGGGAGCTGCAGCAAAGAGGTCCTTGGCGGCTGACTGTGTAAGGGGTTGAATGGCGAGGAAGATGTCGGAGCTGCGAACGGGGTTGGTCTCTGAGAGAGTTTGGGTGGCTTGCTTTGCGACTTCTTCGAGACCACCGCGGGCTTCAAAGAAGTCTGTCGCGTAGGCCTCTGCGTTGGCGCGGCAGAGCTTTGTGCCTTCGGTCAAGCCCTTGACGGCACCCAAGCTGCGTTGTGTAGATTGTTCACGCCACCAAGGGCCATCAGTCCATGCGCCGCTTCCTGTTCCGAGAATGTTTCCGCGATAGGCGGCTTCAGATGAGCTGCGACCGCGCTGGCGAGACTCTGTACCACGCTGGATGACAAGAAGGTCACCGCCTTCGACTTGTTGCATGACACGAGAGAAGACTTCGTAAATGATGGGATCGAGCGAGGGGTATGCTTGTAGGTCGTGGGTGGTGTGGATGATCAAGCGCTCGTGCTGGGCGATTGGAGGCGCGATCGTCTCGAGCAGAGAAGTAAAGGTGGGTAGAGCCATGTTGCGCACGTTGCCTCCGTAAGCCTTCAAGCTCTCGACGTTGACGTTGTGACGGAGCTGCTCAGCGTACTTGAGCACTTCGGGGTTGCCGCGCACCTCCTTGACAGCCGCTTCTGCTTGCTTGACAGCAGCACTGGCAGCGCTGAAGACGCTGGCGCCCCAGCCACCAAAGCCCCAGCCGCCGCCTGCTTGTGGTACCTGCTCTTGCCGCTTCTCTTGCTGCTGCTGAGGGTGAGGCTGAGGCTGCTCATTGATGGTCTGGCTTTGGTGGTAGCTGCGGGCGCTCTCGGTGCTCTTGCGCGTCTTGGATCGATCTTCGCTGGTGCGTCCGCTGGGTGGTCCAGAGCTCTGGGGTGTGTGTTCAGCCTTGGACTTTGTGCCGGATGTGGTAGAGGTGGATAGACGAGGAGTTTCTGGACGAGAGACAGGACGAGCGGCGGCCAGCGCACTGAGCTCTGCCAGCGGGTCGTCTTCGTCCACTGCGCCCGACGCTGATTTGCCAGACGCCGCTGTGGCTGTATCGGCCGAGGGAATGTCCTCGAACTGAGCGAGGAGCTCTTCATCCGTCAACTTCTTGGACATGGCGCACTTGTTTGTGTGATTGTGCTGGTACAAAGAGGTGGCAGGTGCTTCACCATTCATGGAGCTGCATCTTGATTGTTCCACCTTCCCTAGAAAGAGCCCAAAGCTGGGGAAATGCCGCTAGTGGAGTCGTTAGCCGCTATCGTCCGTCATTGGCCAAAGAGGGCCCGTGTGGAGCCTCACGAGTCCACCACTTAATCACACAACTGGAAAAAGACTATCATTCTTGCTATACCACAACTCTCGGGCAGACAATCCTGCTGCTCGCGTCTTTGACCTTGCGTTCAAGTCCGACGCAATTCTTTGCCTTTTCCCTGCCAATCCGCTTTCGACTTTCTCTCCTTCAGCCTCCGCAATACAATTTTGCTCGCTTAAACGTTCTTCTCCTTTGCTTTCTTCACTTTACCAATCGAACTTGGTTTATCAATCACCGCTCGAGTCCTTCGAGGCTTGGGTAGTTTTTCTATTGGACTTGTATCATTTTCGCTCAATTTTGGAATTCTGGCCAACCATCGCTGAGCTTTATGCTCCTGGCTTGCCACGACATCAATCTTCCCACCTGAATTGACTGCCACCCATTTTGACTACCATGCGAACAAGGACCTACAGCAAACCCGATCCACCCCAAATCAGCCCCTCTCTTGCTCGCGCCACCCGCTCAACTTTTAATTCATCTCCGAACAAGATGAATTCCACCATGCCTATCAACCCTCCCAATTATGCTGAATCTGATCCAGTCTCTCTTAGCTGGATTGATGACAGGATCATTTGCATCTCTGGCATTGATCGCGAAACTCTCGAGACTTATCAAGCCGAGGACCTAGCAAGGACTTTCAGCAAACCACAAAGTCCGAATGATCGCCGTGCTGCACGTAGAGCCAGACGTCAAAGTGCTCATGAAGACGTTTTCTTCACTGCTTTATCCTCGGGTCAAAATCGACAGTCCAAGAAGCAAGTCGAGTCAAATCATGATACAGGTGATCATGTAAACGAGTCACAGGAGAAGGCTTCATTCGACCGCCCCCAAACACTTTCCTTCATTGGCAATGGCGACCATACTGCATCAGATGTTGACGAACTGGACAAAGACGACGATGCTGACGATGATGATCATGTCTCGAACAACTTTCAGCCTCTACCTCGAGGCATCACATTACCGCCGAAACGCGGAGGCCCCGTCAAGCGAAGAAGACGAGGTGGTGCTCAATCAGCATCGCGACAGCCGTCTCGCGAGCCAACACCAGAGATGCCTCTTTTGGGACCTGAAGAGGATTCCATTAGTGATGATGATCTACCATCTCCTTTCACCGATGACATATTCGAAGATCCCAATTTACCAGACGATGAAGCTCAGACTCTCTACAACAAACTCTTCGAACCCATGACACAGCCTGAAGTCTTCATTGGACCTCTGACAAAGTTCTTGCCTGGTCAGAGAACGACCGACAACTTATATGTACTGGCCGCCAATACGGCAAAAGCATTACGTGCATGGCAAGATGAGTACCTCGAACTCGAGAAGATCACTGCTCCTCATGCTGCTATTCCTCGAAAAGCTGCAACTGGCCAACGCAATCCAATCGATCCTATGATCTACGAAGATCAGAAGGAAGCTGAATTGTATGACTACGTATTTGATGCCAAGAAGGTCGGTATGCAGGATCCCATCGCCCAGAAAGTAGTTAGAGACGCTTCTGGCAGAGAGCTGCGTACTCGTCAACCTCGTGGTCAAGCCAACAAGGAAGCTTCTGCAGCTGCGGCGGCTGTCATACCGGAAGAGATTGTCACTGGTAGAAGGGCCAGAAAACCAGTTGCCAAGTATGATGGTGTTGTCTCTACTGAGCAAGCTATGGGTAGAAAGAGAGGTGCAAATGCTATGAGCGAGACCCCCGAGGCTGATGAACCCTCCGCAAAACGAGGCAAAACTGCAGCTCGTGGTAGAGGGGGGCGTGGCGGTCGCGCAGCTAGAGGCGGTAGAGGTGGACGTGGCGGTGGTGGAAGGGGCGGGCTTGTCGCGAACCGACGTCTGCAAGAGCTACGTGAGGAGAGTGCTGCAATCTCTGTCACAGGCTCTGAAGATGAACTTTCGGGCTCAGATACAGGCAGCGTACCGCCAGATACTCGAGAGAATAGTCCCTTACTCGAGCATCTGCCTGCTACAGGGACAACGACACCAGGACTGGGAGAAGAGTCGCAGATTGATCCACAGAGCGAGGATGGACCATCACTCACATCGAGTGCAAAGAAAAAGGGACGGCCAAAAGGCAGCAAGAACCATCATAAGAGATCCGATGCTGGCATTCCCAAAGGTCCTCGCGTACCAAAAGCTCAGAGCAATGGTACACCGGGCTTTGGAAGCGTCAACTCTGACATACCACCAAGTGCTGAGGCAAGCCTTACACCAAACTCAGCCGATATGACGCCAGTTGCGCCAGGGCCTCCAGGATCGTTGCCAGTTGATCCCAAGCGCAAGGTTCCTCGCAGCGAAAAACGATCAAAGAGCATGGTAGAATGGTGGGCTCGCCGTAAAGCAAAAGAAGCAGAAGATAAAGCCCGCGAAGCCGAAGCACAAATCGCCGAACGCAATCGTGCTGCCGAAGCTCATGCTAAGTACATGTCACAACACGGTGGTCTCTTTGCTGCTCAACAACAAGCTCAACAGCAGCAACATCAGCATCAGCACCAGCAACATCAGCAGCAACAAGCTCAATATCAACAACATCAACATCAGCAACAGCAACAGCAACAGTTTGGTGGATATACAGGACCTTACCCACCCACTGGTGTGCTGCCTCCCCCTGGCCCACCTCAACAAATGCAACAACATGTGCCTCAACACTGGGGTCCTGGATTCGCTTTACCTGGACTCCAAGGTCCTAATGGGATGGTATGGCATACACCAGTGCATCACCAAAACCAAAGTCTTCCGCCCATGCAACAGCAACAACAAGCTATGCCACCTCAGCAACAACAACAAGGACCACCTCAAGGACCCGGTAGCAACCAAGGACCTGATGGACATAGAAGGGATCAGCATGGCTTTGTAAGGAGCTTTTGACGGTGATGAGAGGTGTCCGACAAAACATCTCTCATATTGATTTTGAAGAGTAGTATAACAGCTCATTCAGAAGTAGCGTAATCTGTATCAGCTACTCTAGTAATACAGACATTTTTCCTTCGTGTAAGCCCCTGTCCCAACAGCGTGTGTTGGCAAGTATCACTCTGTTGCGTCACAGATCAGAGCTTTGTGGTGTACAGTCTTGAGATTTCCATCTTGACATGTGCTTTATCTCTTTCCTCGCTCTCAGAATACCTTTAATCTGTCTGCGTTGTACACGGGCAGTCTACGAGATAAACCATCGCTACCTTTGAGCCAAAAGTTAGGAAGAAGTCCACGCGCAGGGTCATCCGCACAGCAACAAAGTGAGTTAACGTCGGAGCTCCCCAATCCCCGACCAAAACTTCCCTCCCGCAGATCCAAAGTCACAAAGTTTCACATGCGACTCATCCCACCTTTTTGATCCGTCACCGTCGCATAACACAACAACACGGCATTACCATGGCGGCAAAGCTTGAAGAGTCGAGCTCAGAGCTCTACGAGCGCTGCACAAACGCCGCACTCAGCTCACCGGAAGGACGCGCCAAAATCTTCGGTCAGGATGAGCTGCTCAAGATGGGTGTGGTGGATTCGGCGCAAGCTTTGTTGGAGCTCTTGCAGGGGTTGATGGATGCGCAGTTGGTGCGGTTGATGCAGATGGAGGGCAAAATCTGCTATGCCTTGCGCACAAAGGATGATGCTGCAAAGTGCGTTACTTCGACATTGCGACAGGATTCCTTGAGAATGAACAATACTGATTCTGGTATAGAATTGTCACTCTCAACGATGACGAACGCATGGTGTATAACCAAATCGAAAACAGCGGTACGAACGGCACCTGGACAAAAACCATCAAACAACGCACAAACATCCATCAAACCACCGTTACAAAAGCCATGAAGACGCTCGAAGGCAAGAAACTCGTCAAACCCGTAAAGTCGATCAAGAACCCCGCTCAGAAAATCTACATGCTCTACCATCTCAGTCCAAATGAAGATGTCACCGGAGGCCCATGGTTCAGCGACGGTGAACTGGATGTAGAGTTGATTGCTATCACTGCAGACGCCGTCATCCATTTCATTGCACAGAATAGTTGGAAGACTGTGTTTATCAAGCGCGAACCCAGTCCGGAACACGATGGCATCAGTGGAAAGAAGAGAAAGAGAAATGAGGCAGCGGATATCGAAGGCTCACACCCAAAATCTCGCAGAGCAGGTGGCTACGAAACGCAAATCTCCTACCCAGCAGGCTGGCGCAATTATCCCACCGTCTCGGCAATCCACCACTTCATCACCGAGGCCGGCTTTCTCAAAGACAGCTCTGCACTTGCCGAGTCTGATCTTCAGAATCTGCTGGATGTGTTGGTGTTTGATGAGAGGATTGAGAGGATAGGCAATGGATACAGGACTTGCAAAGGTGTCTTTGGCGCTACGGAAGCTATGAAGAACATCATGCAGGGAAGGCAGGTTGGAGATGCTGTGGAGGAGGTAGAGGGGAACGGGTTGAGCCAGGCGCCTTGTGGGAGGTGTCCTGTCTTTAATCTGTGTGAAGATGGTGGGCCTGTCAATGCGAAGAACTGCGAGTACTTCCAGACTTGGCTGAGAGCTTGATTGTTTCTTTTACTCTGGACACGGGTCTTGCTCCAAGACTTTGACACGGGGTGAGACTGGCGTTTCGATGGTCTGATCTGCAGCATTTCTCTGGCGTTCTTTGCTTTTCTATCGGGAAGATGCTTCTCAAAAACACGCTGCTCAAGTGCTGACAGCGTAGCGTATATCTTGCATATCTACCTCTTTTTCTCCCCACGTCGTTCACCTACCTTTTCTTGCGCACTTGTCCTGCTGCAGCGCTAAAGTCACTGCTGCAGTGCAAATCTTGTCTTTCTCGCTTCAAACAGAGTATCCACGAATCGCTCACCCCGTCGCCACCATCTGCACACCCTTGACCACCCCTGACGTGATCCCCATGCAGAAAAGACGAGATACCCATGTATGATAATGCGGCGATATGCCAAGCAAGGTAGCCAAGACTCCTCGCGAGACTCAGCCCCTCCTCATGTAGCCAATCTGTGATAAGCAGAATCAAGAGTTATGTTTCCCAAGGGCGAGAAGCAATCTTTTTTTTGCTTAACGCTCCTTCCATATTCAGCTATATACCTGTACATCACGTCTGTGATCTTTTACGAAGCCAAGACGGCATGTAGTCTACGTACGAGAGAGCCCTGTGTTTGAAGTAGAGAAGTGGAGGTTTTTTTTACGACCCCCCGCTCGTGCCCAGCTTTTCGCTATGAGGGTTTAGGAAGGTAGGTGGGGAGTGATGGGCGAAAGAGTGAGGGCTTGGAGGGGTGAGAGGTCACCTTCTGGAAGAGGTGTGGTTGCCCAGATGACCTTGAGTGCTTTGGTATGCATGGGGTTCTTGGCTTGCCTTCGGGTGTGAGCGACGACTTTGTCGTGCTTTGAATGACTTGAGATTGTAGGATACTTGACGTTTTGGTTGCTGTTGAGATGTGAGACATTGGGGGATTCGTTTCCTCTCGTACTATGAATCATGATGATTCTGTATGAATATCAAGACGTCTGTATAATAGGTCGTCGACAATATGTTTAAGCATGACCTTCCTTATCGTTAACCGGATTTCCGCCGATCTCGGCAAAGATCGGCCAGGTACGAGCGTCCTGCATGACAACCTTATCTAAAGTATCACTCGTGACTTCCTCATCAAACACAGACCTTTCTTGCATGTTAGATTCCTTGGACGAACATAAGAACACATCAACTCCCCCATCATCCTTTCAGTTTCAACATCGTTGCTTGATTCTCCTCACATCATGACTATTCTTCGGACTTGTACCGCACTTGCATGCGTTGCTGCTGCCGCTTCGGCTAGACAACTTCCTATTGTTGTAGACGACTATGTTCCTGCAGTTCCAGTCAAGGCTCCGGCTTCTTACAATGGCACCAATGGAACTACCATCGATACCAAGAAGCTTCAGGCGGATATCGACATCAACAAGTTGTTTGCACGCGCCGAAGAACTGGCAAAGATTGCCGATCTCGGCATCCCGGAGTATAACCACCCCACCAGAGTCATTGGCAGTAAAGGTGGGTTTGATCAATTTCAGATGGCCGCGAATACCTGCTAACTGTATTCAAAGGCCACGTTGGAACCGTCGACTACATTTACTCGGAGATCAACAAGCTCGGCGATTACTACAACATCTCCAACCAGACTTTCCCGGCTGTCACAGGTAGTGTCTCTGAGTCACGCCTGGTCATCGGTTATGATGTCCCTAAGTCAGCATCACCCATGAGTTTGACTCCTGCAACAAAGCAACACGAGCCTGTCTACGGTCAACTTCTGCTCGTTCCCAATGGAGGATGCTCGGCCAGCGACTTCCCCGTCAACATGACTGGTGCTATCGCATTCATCAAGCGTGGTACTTGTTCATTCGGCGACAAGTCAGCCAATGCTGGCAGAGCCGGTGCTGATGCCGCCGTCATCTTCAATAACGTTGCTGGTGAGCTTTCTGGTACGCTCGGCACTCCTTCTCCCGACCACGTTGCCACCTTCGGAATCTCCCTCGAGGAGGCCACACCCTACGTCGACATGTTGCATAACGGCACTAAGATTGACTCGATTGTCTACATTGATGCCCTCGTCGAGGAGATCATGACCACCAACATCATTGCTCAGACTACTGCCGGTGACCCAGAGAACTGCGTCATGCTCGGCGGCCACAGCGACAGTGTTGCAGCCGGCCCTGGTATCAATGACGATGGCTCTGGCACCATCTCCCTTATTGAAGTCGCTACTCAACTCACCAAGTACGAGGTCAACAACTGTGTTCGCTTTGCCTGGTGGGCTGGAGAAGAAGAAGGTCTTCTCGGATCATACTACTACTCCCAGAATCTTTCGCCAGCCGAAAACCAGAAAATCCGTCTCTTCATGGACTACGACGTATGCTTTACTGCCATCTTACACTTACCGGCACACAGCTAACATGATGCAGATGATGTCCTCTGTCAACTTTGCGTACCAGATCTACAATGCCACAAATGAGGATAACCCCCTCGGGTCTGGCGAACTTCGCATTCTCTACGAAGACTGGTACAAGGAGCAAGGCCTCAACTACACTTACATCGATTTCGACGGCAGAAGTGATTATGCAGGTTTCCTCGACGCAGGCATTCCCAGCGGTGGTATTGCTACTGGTGCCGAGGGTATCAAGACTGCAGAGGAAGCAAGAATTTTCGGTGGTGAAGCCGGTGCTTGGTATGATCCTTGCTACCACCAGCTTTGTGACGATATCCACAATCTCAATGCTACTGCTTGGGAGGTCAACACTAAGCTCATTGCTCACTCAGTCGCTACTTATGCAAAGTCATTTGATGGGTTCCCCAAGCGTGTTGCTGGTGTTGAGGAGAGAGGGTTGAAGAGAAGAGAGAAGAAGACTCCCATGTTCAAGTACAAGGGCAATGACCTTGTTATGTAAATGAGTGGTTTCGTGAGCATTATGATAGATGGAGCATAGCGTTGTTGATTGAAAATTGTTACTCCAGATGATCATCCCTGATACTATTATGAACGGATTGAACAAGTATGAGGTGTGGTAGTGTGACGTGTGTATTAGAGAGAGTGTCATTCCATCATATGAAGGTGAGTTGTGTCTTATCTATTCAGAGGATATAGACAATCCGTCGTCGCCTGGTTTTGATTGACCGATTCTGACATTTGGATCGTTCTGACATGGTTAGGAGCAGCGAAACTTTGAGACTATTTTTTGAACGGACGGCATTGCACGAGAGTCCATGTCACACACTATATAATCTGCATGGGTCAAAAAATCAAAGGGAATTGGCCGTTGCTATATACATGGATGGCATCACTCAGCCTGCAATTGGGCGATTTTTCCGTAGAAAAAAAAAAGCTGCAGGCCGGCAAAACGACTTTTTTTCGCGCGGATGAAAAAGAGACTTTTCGATAATAGAGAGACTTAAGTTGCGATAATCCCCCTGATGGACTTTTTGTTTCCCTTTCACACAGACTTTTTGACTGCCCTTTTATGGTTCCCAAATTTCAAAACGGTTCTGTGGGGCATCTTCGAGCAAGACATCACGTCTCGATTCATCTGCTATTTGCCCTGCACACCTCTACAATTCACTGGGCCACATATCGTCCCCCGCCCGCTCCATTAGCTATGGGCGACATCAGAGAAAGTGGACGCGCTGCGGAGGACATGGGCTTTTCGATCAGACACTCTGGCGCTACTAAAAGGCTCTTCTAGTCCTCTTTCGCTCCCACCACCTTGTTCCGGCGACGCCCCTAAGTCGCCTAGTCCCTCTTGATTTCCAGCGTCTAGCTCAGACGACCATGAAGAGTCCGATGGCCCAACTTTCCAGTCCCAGCGACCATATATAGTCCGACGATGAATATCTGGAGACCTCAAACGTGGACGATCCGGAAAAGGGAAAGGGTCAGTAGCAGGGTTAAACAGCACTCTCCGGCCGGGTCAACAGGCTCACAAGTCCGAGCCCAAGTCCAGACGAATCAGTGATACGAGAAATAGTGTGACATGGACTTGTGCAATGCCGTTCAAAAACAGTCTTGAAGTTTCACAGCTCCGATCATGTCAAAAACGACCCCAATGTCCTCATTCGTAAATAAGAGCTAGGCAATGTCGACCTTTTTCTTTGACTTATATCATTGGATGCAAGCTTGTCTTACTGTCTAAGGTGCACGTCTACAACTTTACTGTACAGCCATACGCTTAAGAGAAGAAGTTCTACGGGATTGTGCAGCGTCACATGTAACTTGCGGGGGTTATTGGAAGGGTGAAGAAGGTGAGAAGATGAAGGCGAGAGGGCAGTGTAGCTCTTTTTGGAATTCTAGTGCTGCAGAGGTGTGGCTAATGGGGAGTAAAGTTGTGAGTCGAGTCAGTAATGTCGCTTGGGGGACCATGATAGCGAGGGGTATAAGGGGGGATGGTAGATAGAAGAAGAGCAAGTTCAATATATGAGGTAAAACAAGCTTGGGAGGTGAGGTGTAGTGATGCCCTTCATAGTTATTACTTCGAAGAAGGTTATGGGTTAGGAAGAAGAAGTAGGAGAGAGGATGGAACGCAAAGGGGATATGGACCTGCCACTTTCATTCACCTGGTGTCTAGACTCTGGCGTCGACAAGGAGAGAGAGACACGACGAAGACACAGATGATCGGAATAGAGTTGGTTCCGGAGAACAAACGATGTCGGTCGATGTCTGCTGGTGAGAAGAAACCTTGGTCGCAGGAGAGACGGCCCTTTTGAAGTATCCTGCTGTCAGAGATTCAGAGGAATTAGAAGTTGGTGAGAGCTTATGCGCACAGATAAGGTGGCTCTTACAGATTGACGAGAGCAGCAAGAGGACGAAGAGGGGTAAAGAGAACAAGGTGTAAAGACAAAGGCCACAATCCACAGTGCGTGGATATCAGAGAAGGTGCGCTTCATGGACACGATAACTGAGTCAAAGAAAGTGAAACGAATGAAGGAGATAGAAAATGAGAACGACTGAATTGGCACAAAAGAATCTCGAGGCTGAGAAAGAAGGCAGAGAAGATGAGGAACCCAATTAGGAAATACGAACTGACTTGAAAGTTGTAGATGACAGAGAGCGTCTGTGTGATCAAGATATAGTGCCTGCACAGCAGCAGACTCCGGATCATGAGATGAGATCGAGTATTGAGTTAAGCCAAGGTAATTTCAACGAGTCGGGAAGATTGTCAAAGGTGAATCAATGGCCAAAAAAATAGATAGATTTCTGCTTCTCGAGGAAGACGGCAGTATCAGTGCTATAAAGGCTCGCGAGAGATGAACGTGAACAAGTGTACTTGAGTAGGTGTGAAGCGCCACCGCAGAGTCAGGATGGTGTGTGTTGCAGTACATGTCAAATTGTACAGTGACAACGCAAAGCAAGGAGAAGGATCATAGCAGCTACAATATCTACGTTCGACAGAACAAAGCTGTATGATTTGAACAGCGACGACATATCGTGTACGAAGCCATGGTCGTTGAAGCCATCTCGGATCCACCTCCAGCGACTTCATCTTTGTCCGTACGATGTAGATCGAAAGGAAGGATGCTCATAGCAATGGGTTCGATCAGATCTGGAGTCATGGGTGTCCTGGGACGTCAAGCGAGTAGCCAGGTCACCGATTCTGTTTTAGAGATGCGTCCTCTCCACTGCACGATTAGACTGACGAATTGATTCGGTGTGACGCTCTCATATTCAAGACGGTGTGACACAGCCATGACAAGAGAGTCATAGACCTGATGATGTCCTTTTGCTGACTTTCGTTGGACGGCAACACAGGAAGTCCGTCGGTGAGATGGTCCCTTGTGTCGATGATCTGACCCTGTAACTCACATAGATGGTTCGACAAAGGACCGCTTTTATACCAGCTTATTGCAGAACCGATTAGCTCGAAAAATATAGGGTGATAACCAGCGAAAGCTCCTCAAGCTGTTCATTGGTACAGAAGTTCATTGTACCGTCGAGTCTAGGAGGCACTTCAATGCTACGAAGCTACAAGAGCTCGATCGTGAGATATGTTTTGTCGGCACTATAGCGTTCTCCAAGATCACTTAGAACTTTGAGCATAAGTCTTGGTAAGAAGTGAAGTAGATGATTGTCAGAGATGGATAGATGCTTCAGACTCGTCCACAGAATTCTCCATATACTGTAGTCATTGAAACTATGGGCACCGATAATTTTCCAATCATTGAGGTAATTTTCGTGGTGCTTGCAAATGGCATTATCTCAGCAAGTAGCGGTATCACACAAGTGTCTGAAAGCTGTATGGAGGACGACTTTTCTGATAGGCAACCATCCCCAGTCCCGAAGACCTTCATCTCTTGATCAACGACGCGCTCATGGCATCCGTACCGATGCTGCGTTCGACAAGATCCTAGCCGGGGACCATCACCCAATCCCAGTTGAGTTCCACGACGTTTCAACCCTGGTTCCTGATGTCTGTTGCACCCACGATACATTGGGTCAAGTAAGCACTCGACCCTCGACAGTTGCAGTCAGCTGATGTAACACTTCATAGACTCTCCTGAGCGGAGTCACAGTGGCCGTAGTGAGTCGCTTCAAACCGTAGAGTGCTGTGCTTTAGATGAGTCAGTGACCTGGTGTCTCTCGCTGTCTGCCTCGGCTTCGATTTTTTGGGCAGGCTTCGTTCAGCCCAGCGAGTAACCGACGCAGCACCGAACAAACATGCGATGGAGCATGTAACGTTTCTGCAAGTGGATCTAGATTGGGACAAGGAAGCCTGAGCGACCGTTGTTCTATATATCTTGTAAGTTCAGCAAGTTATATTCAGGCCACGCTCTAGATCGTAAGACTCCCTTGCCATTCCATGAAGATGCAGCATTAACTACGATGGGCCTGCGCAATGTTGAGATGTCGCAAACATACGATACCACATTTGCTTAGACTGGCTGCACGGATCTGTCACAGCGATGATGCCATTAAATTGGCCGCCAATAGACCTGACAAGATCTCTCTGAAAGACACCTACAGTCCGACGAGTAAGTCAACTAGTCTGTAGCCTGTGGGAGCAGTGCTTCTAACTACTCACTGTTCATTTCAATGACTCAAGAGTCATCACTGCTAGCTATGAACGCTTGCAGTGGTGTTCACGGTAATCGAAAGTGTCTTGTGCTTGAGATGACGAGCACGAGGAGCGGCCGCGAAAAGATGCTCAGAAGCAATATCTGGAACACTCTCTCATCTCAACTCGAGATGTGCTGATGCTGTGAATAATGTGAGCTGCTCTAGCAACTGAATCTCATCAGTCTTCGGAACAAAATTCTCGACACGAAATCTCGTCGGCCTACTCTTTGCTGGAGGCGTGGTAGCAATTGAATTTGTATGGCTCATTGAAGATATCTTGCGACTGTCGAGCCTGAGGGCAAGACACAAGCGCACGAACACGTTACCTCCGAATGTCTGTCTCTAGCGAGGTCCGTAGAAGAAGTCGGACAAGGATCCCGAGTTCGACTTTACGTGCCATATGGATGATGAAATCAGCTTGAACGCAGGCGGAGAGGCTTAGAAGGGTGGCTAACTGGACCATTGATGGAGAGAGGATGGTAACCAAAATGGGCACGCGGTAGAGTGCTCGCCTCAAACGAAAATGAGTAGCGAGTCTCACAACATATGCTGCTAAAGCAGAAAGGAGAGGTCAGAAGGTGATTAAGAAGACGCGAACCAGAGACAAGGTTCGAAGGAATAGGGAATACCAGTATGGAAAGCACAGAGGTCACAAACATGTCACGAGCACAAGTCCAAACCGAAAAAAGTTGTGAGAGAGAGAACATGTATTCTGTGGTTTCTAGCAAGACTTCTTTTTGTCTGCACCTACAAGTCTCCTCTCTGTTCTTGGACATCTGATGTGTCACTAGAACAACCCCTTGCCCTACTTTCCTTACAAGACACCTTCGCACAGCCAAGCCACATAAGGCAGATGGAGCTGAATCTCAGGGGAATTTGCGGGCACGTGCTTGAGTAGACTTGCGTTGGATGTTTGTGGATGGGTGAGGGTGATGTTAGATGTCTCTGAGTGGGGTCAGTGGGGATATCAAGGAGAGAAGCAAGGGGTGTCGTACCTTAGATCATCGTGTTTGGAAAGAAGAGTGTTGTTTGGAAATTTGGTTCATACAGAGCACGTGAAGTCGATGCTTCTGGAGAATGGTCAGTAAGATGAGCAGGGACAATGATCAGTAAGGTGTCTTACCTGTGGTTGTGGCATGCGAATAAATTTGCTTGACGCTTGTTCTTGTCTTGTTGACTCTGACTCTCGTCGAAGGACTTGCGACGGCGAGTAGTCGTGAGAGGTGGAGATACTTAGCGTCTCCAGCCGAGCCACTCAGGACGATCAGACTGAACCTCGTCGTCGCCTTCGAAGGCCCAGTTGCCGTTGATGATACGTGAGTGGTATCAACAGGAGGAGGCAAACCATCGTCGACGTAATAAGGGAGCTCGTCGTCGGAGAAGGAGGTGATAAGACCCTTGGAAACACTGGGCTGATTGTCGATTAGGTCGCTGCAGATGATGTCAACTTCGGATTCAGCGTCAGAGAGCTGGTCTTCGTCGATATAGTCAGGAAGTTCATCGACAGCGAGGTCCTCCCAGTAGACACGCTTGACGGCGGGGCTGTCAGAATCGACCATGTAGAAGTCGAGCAAATCATCGTTGAGATCACGACCTTCGTCGATAGATGCTGGAGTGCGATCTGAGGTGGAAGCACAGAGAGACATGCCGTGAGAAACTTGGATCTTGTACTCGGAGTCGTGGGAAGAAGTTGACGAAGATGAAGAGTTGACACGAGCTTGGTCGACGTGATCAGGGGTGGAAGACTGAGCTGAGGAGCCGATGATCTGATCGCCGTCGGAGTTGAACCCGTAGACAGCGAGACGTGCGTCAAGAGCGTGCTCAAGGGCGTTGTAGATGGTGGCGTCAACGTCTTGATGATGTTCATGGCAGTCCTTGTTGAGCTTGGAGAGTAGGAGATCCTCGACAGTGCTAGCAGTCTCGGCGGTAATCTGGGAGCACTGTCAGTGATATTATGATACAAAGATGCGTGGGTACTTACCTCGATGCAGCAGTTATCAATCTCCATCATGAAACAGTTGATGCAGCGCGACTCATGGTAGTGGCCAGGGTAAATCTTGCAGTGGATAGTGACCTCGTTCGAGTGGAGCAGAGTTTCTCCGCAGCTAGTGCACTCGAGGTCGAGGTGGATGTTGGTGACGGCGTAGACAGGGGCTTCGTGGATGTGAGAAGTGTAGGAAGCCATGATGAAGATGATGGATGTGAAGGATGATTCGATCAAGGTTTCGATGGAAGCAAAGAGATGGAGATAAGCGTGTTGATCTGAAAATACGTGTGATGATTTAGAGGTATGCGTTGTGTTTGGAAGATGGCGCGTGGTCTTGAGGGGGTTTTGTAAAAAACAATGGACGTGTAGCAGCGCGCTCGAGATAAACAACAACCACGGAAAGTTGGAAATCAGGGCTCGGCACCAAACGAGAGGTCCAAGTGTCTTCCACGAATATCCAAATCTTTCTTAACCTTTCGAGCAATACTCCTATTGCAGTATATACATAGTCTGTTGACAAGACTCCAGCATCAAGTAGGTTCCCAGAATCATTCCACCCCTGAGCTTTGATTTCTGCACATGGAGGAGACTATAGCTACACATCTTCAGTCTGGCCTCTATACGCCGCACTAGCAAGAAGCAAATTGGTAAATCAAATGGTACTGCAAGATGAGTGGCAAGCCAAGTCGTGCTCTCTGAGCCCTCGGCCTTGATCGCACCATCCAGTCTATTCGACGCATCGGGCAGGAGCAAAAACTTACGAAGGTAACGGACGACGAGCTTCGGTCTCTTATCTATAGCTGTTGAGTTGATTCCCCTGTTCTCTGCGATGAGGTAACATCAGTGAAGGTGCTGTGACGGGGTGAATCATATTGGGTCTGCGTGATCGTACATGATAGTCAGGTCAAGCGACGAATAGCTACGTGGGTCTCTCATAGTATAGAGGTGATAAGAATAGTAGCCGAGGAAGGAAGGGTATATGGATGCTCAGTCCGAGATGGTTGTGTCGAAGTTGTGATGGTGACCTCTCTAGCTACGGTCTGCTGCATTTGCATGACCCTCTATGCAGCAAGACCAGTACGTGGTGCTACAGGAACTCCACAGCAATGAGTGGACCCCAAGGCACCCATTCACAGTCTTGCAGCGATTCGTGACACGATATGTCTGACGAAGAGCAAAGGTACTCTTGAACACTTTTGACTGGCAGCTAGAGCGAACAATGGCCCAACATTTTGGAACAAAGAAGAAAGGAAGTCGCAGTCATCATTGGACCGAGACGAAGGATGAGAAGGACAAATGCAGCTATGATATGTATAAGGGAACAAAGAAATCAATTTTCGTCTGCGGCCGGCGATATTCTCAGAGTAATGGAAAGCGCTTCCATCCTCTTCCGTCTGAGTGCTACAGTCACTACTACTCGCTGAATCCCGTCGATGATAGACTTCAAACGAGCTCATAGTCGCTGGAGCAGTGACTGATGAGCTCCCAATTGTCATTGGTGTCGTCAGTCTTAGCGTCTGCGACGATCTCCTTGGCGAGATACTTATAACCCTATGTACATATTATGCGCTTCCCCATCGACAGGGTCTCGAGCTGTAACATAGTTTCGAAGAGCTCTGCAAGGTCGGTATCTCTAACATCGAAGGGACGTTGACCGTTAGGAAACTTAGGTCGGGGCATGCTGCAGGACAACTCGACAACTAAATCTGATCGAGATACTCGGGTTTGGCTAGCTTCTGAGATAAAGTCAGGCTCAGATAATATATAGAAGCAGTCAAGCCGACCGCACGAAGGCCGAGGTTGCCAGCGATCGCTTTGAGGTAAAGGCTCTCCGAACGAAGAAGCCTTGGGCATATATAGAGCTTAGAGAATCTACGGCGTCATTGGGTGCAGCGAGCTAGATCTGGATGACGTTGGAGAAGCGGAAGATCACAGGGAGAGGCTAGATATGGCAAATCGTATGTTTGCTTCGCCTCGGGTGAATGCCATGCTGATATCGAGCAAGGTGATCTCCTCAGCGATATGACTTGGTAGACTCTCTGAGGTGATCGACTCCAGTGATGAGTTGGAACGTAGTGGCAATAGAGAACGTTACTTTCGGGCTCACATTACGAACCTGGTTATACGTGTATGAGGGGTGGTAGACTAGTCACAAAAGAGTAGTATGCGATTGCCTCACATCAGATTGCTCGATTGAAATTTGCCGGATAATTGCAGAAGGTGACAGCCGAAAGCTGACAAGGGCTAAAAGCATGCCGATACAGATCTATTCGCAGCATAGCAATGAAGTTAAATGATTAAGAACAGTGACTCAAGCCGTTGGAACAAATAAGAAAGGAAGTTACAGTTATGATGAAATTGGATGCACGACGAAGACGACGAATGCAGCTGTGGTGTGTAGACGAGCGAAAAAAGAAGTTGACTCTCTTCTCCAGCCAATGGTATAAAGGGACCGACTTCGGTTGCTTTTAGCATAAGAGTCATTACTGATCTTTGACGCCGCTCGAAGATCTTCACACAAGCTCGAAGTCACTAGAACAGTGGCTGATCACCTCCCACTCGTCTTTGCTGATATCAGCGTAAGCGCCAATAGCCTTGACAGTCTCCTCATTCTAGTAAGGCCTTGGAGGGTGTGCAATGCCTGCATGAGTAACGCTAGCAGGCCGGTGGATGGCGGCTGCTTGTTTTCGGCGACGCTTTTGTCCTTCTCGTCCCAATCATGCACGTGAGTTTGTGAGCGGTTTCAAATCCCAGGATCGTGGTGATGAACGCTCTCGCAGGCATACTTGTGACTCTAGAGCTAGTATATATGATGAAGGATCACTGACTGATTTTTGAAAGCGGCCGTCAGCTCCTCTAGCGAAGTAGATGCTGTTATTTCCTGTCATAGATAGGTCCCCGGAATCTCCGTATGGACCTATCATCTTGTCGCTTGCGAATTGCTGCCAGACTAAGAAGTCGTAGCTTCTTCTAATCAAGCCCATGTATTGAGCCACTTCTGTGCAGCAAGGCTGAGCCGTTCGCACTTCCAAGGAAAAAATCTCATTCTTAGAGTCTAGCAATCTCATTTAAGAGCAGTATAAAGACAAGGACATCCATGAGCTAAACAAGTCGAGGCTGATACTCTTCTAGCCTCTTGATCTCAGTCGCACAGAAGCTTCGTTCAGCCTTGTTCGCGGCTCTGAGTTCTTCGAGGTCTTTCTCGGTGTAAATAGAGTCTACCAAGCTCGATGACAGCAATATTACTACTAGTAATGGTCGAGGAAGAACCATCCATAGGTTGATCGTGGCTTTTCTCATTATATACAAGGGGGATCACTGTAAGCGGCATCGAGAACGACATATGTGCGTTTCAAGACCACTTGTGTAATCTAGCAGTCTTGAGACTCACAGTAACATCCCTCAAGGTCAATAGGTCTGCGAGACATCTTGCTAATGGATGTGTTCTCTTGCGACAGTCAAGAGCTGAGGCAAAGCAGCCGTGTCGTTAGTAATACAACAGAGCAGTGCGATAGTCTCTGGCTTGTCAAGAATAGCAATCGCAAGGAGATCAGCAGATTTGAGTAGCTCATGGTCGTCACTGCCGAGGTTCTACCACATATTCTGTTGCAGTACTAGATGTATACGTTCGTCGTTACCCTCGCCCGGGTTCCTCTCCTTTGCACCATAGTCGATCGGGTCCAAGGAAATTTAGGAGTTTAAAGGTGTACAGCTGATGGAACCGGGCTTATCCAATACCTGCATCCCCCACTTGTTGGGCGGTTTTGTATATGACTAGAAAGACGTCTAGATCAGTAGCTTTGATGTCGTCAAAGTTATCGATGTACATCTAGCGAATGTTTCTGTTAGGCCTCGAAGACCTGGTAGCGCATTTTTAACAGAGACGCTTACGTCCGTGATCATCTGCGAGAGCTTTTATCTTCGGGAAGACGAATGGTTCGGCGCCGTGCCTTGATAATCTGGAAGGTTGGAAATTAGAATTTGACAATCGACAATGTTGGAGCGGAATGAGATGTTGGTGTGTTCTGGAATGGGAGACTGAACGGAGTCGAGCAGTGATGTGTTTGGAATATGGGGCGAACTAATCATACATGCGCGGACAACAGTGCTATATAACAAAGCTTGATGGCAAATCGCTGCAGATGTGAGCAAGTCGACTGCGAGAACAATATAAAGTCAGCCCCAGAAATAAGCACACTAGGTACAGTAGCGGTTGTATAGCGAAGAGTCGGGGTCATTTCGATTGTTCTAAGCTTCTCAAGCTATGTAAGAAGAGGGAGACCGGAGCAAGTGACAAGGGTCACTGCTGCAATAGGCAGGGTAAGGGTCTCCAGGGAAGTTGGCGAGCATCTCGAAGAGCACGTCGACGTCGAGATCTTTGGTGTCGTTCTGGTGACCGAGGGAGAGGGTGATGTGTCTTGGTTCGAAGTATCAAGCATATATAGAACAAGTAAGCCGATACTGCAATGGTTGGCCTGTTCCGAACACAGCCAGAAATCGAGCATTCTTGCGTCGATGTTGTCGAGCTCAAGCACAAGATGGCATTAGTTGGAGGAAAGTGGTGCCATTGACAGTTCCTCCATGGTCCAGAAAGAAACCTTGCTTCATCCTGAGAATCTGGAGATGAGGGAATGCAAGATAGGGGAGATCTTCGTGATTGTTCGAAATACCGCTTGTGAAGTGGACATCCCAGATGAAGCACTCTTTGATTTGAGGAAGTCTCTAGTGAAAGCTGCTTTGCAATATGCGGAGTGATACAAGGAATGTTGTCACACATATTATGGGTACAGTGAATCAGATTCTGCTAGCCAGGAAGTCGAACCTTGCGTAAACTCTGGACATGTGAAGATGCCACTTTTACTCACTTGCCGACGGCGCACTGGCGGCAGCAGGAAGATTTGGAACGGGAAGTCTGCACCCGCCACAGAACCACTCTTCGTCTTTGGCAATGTTCTCGACGATCTCTTCGGTGAGGTTAACAAAGCAAAGTGGTAACAGACGGAGCAACGATCAAATTGGATCCTAGGGCCACTGGTTCGACGATATTCTTGCAGCAGAGGCGACGGCACATGACATCGAGATCCTCTTTCTTGTAGCCAGGGTGAAAGTCACTTTCGAGGTTCAGCTCCAAGCAATCTAACATCTCATCCATGTACTCTTGACTTACGCTCTTTCGGCAACACGTTACCGGATGTGATTTTGGAGGAGTGGGGTAGAAGTCAGAGGTCTCGTACCGCTCACGATTAATGTCCGCCGGCCGTGACATGCACAATCGATCCCAATACTCTTCTGCTATGTCAAGAAACTCGATAGCAGATGAACCTTCATATACTGTGAATCATCGAGAGTGTGATCTTCCAACAGGGTCCAGAGGGTAAGGTGAACTTCGTCAGTATTGAATAAAGAGCTTTCCGAGCGAACCATGATCGCCGTCGTAGAGGTCAGTGTTTCTTAGTTTCATGAGCAGCGGACTGCAATGGCCAAATTGGATCCGGTTCATGCCATGGCTGTAGCAACATGAAATCTCGACGGAGATTGACGCCTATGATGCGGGTACGCGCTGGATGATGTGCCAGGAGCAGGCGAGGAGATATCGGTCGGTATAGCAACCCTAGCAGGCTCTTTCTGTTCTGTTAGACGTGATTGGTGCATTATCATGACGTAAAGAAATGTTCAACTCCCGCGATGGTAGGGTCTCAGGCATTGGAAGAAGGTGTGCCGTCGGCGCCGGATGCTTGGAGATGGTTCCGGTGAATGGCGCGAGAGACCATGCGCTCATTGATGGGTGACACAATGGCAGCGTTAGAATAATCACAGCAAATTGCCTCTGCTATCTAAGACAGATGTCTTGGTCGCAGCAGTTTGATGTCTAGGGCATGGACGACCCATATTTAAGTAGAACATGAGGTTGTAGTCGACAAACTGAGTAGCGAGCGGGCAAGACATGGAAATCCCTCTCGAGGTCAAGCCATCCCAGCGAGCTGACAGCTCTAGGTTCTCCTTCAGATCTGAACATAGGCGTGAGATCTCTCGTGGGATGTGGATCCACATCCGGAAATGCACAAGTTTGCTGTACCTCCAGAATACAACAGAACGGAGGTCACTTGATCATGCCCCAAAGAGAAAGCGTGTTGATTGTGACCCGCATGTGCCGTGGTATCTTCAGCTTGCCGATGCAGGCTCACTCGTGCCCTTGACAAAGCCGCTGAGAGCCAATCGACAAAGATTCAAACTGCTTTGACAAGGCCCAAAAATACATGAGATCATTGATACTCGTGTTCGAGGCCGTGCTACGACGCAATTTTCGAGTCTAGCAACGAAGGAAGGTTTCCCTGGAACCTGACCTTTACCACTGTTGCGACCTTTGAGAAGCTGCAATGTACTTGATGTTACTGGCAGGAAATTCTTGCTGACCGGTGCCTTTTTTATTTCAAGGCGTCTTCGCTTGACGCGGTGTGCGATCTCGGGTAAGAATCCGAACCCGTCAACTCAGGGCGATGATGATGTTTGGAAAGCGCGATCCACAGTCAGTTTCGCAGAGGACGTACGAAGGAAGATATATCCACTGCCGTCGTAGGGTTCTGGCTTGTTCGACTTGTGAGCTCCAAAGCACATTTTCCTCATGGGAAAGTACTCGAGGAGTCTCTCATGGGAAAGCACTCCAGAAGTCCCATCGCCGGAAGCGCAGGAAGCAGCCTTGAGTGGCGACAGTCTTGAGCGGTGACAGCTTCAAATGCTCCTGGGAAGCTGGCTCGTGAGTCGTTACGTGGCCTGCAAGACCAACTATATATATAACAGATATGTGAAGTCGCAGATCATGAGTGAATTAGGTGTGAAGTCGAGGATATTGACATGTTGAGGGCAAAAGGTCAAGTCGTACGCCATTAGTGAACAGATGTCAAACGCGAAAGCTTGGATGGGGTCTGCGTCCGCAGTGATATCAAGATCGATATGCGACGAGCGACCGAGTGAAACGGGTGCGAGTCGTGAAGCAGACTTTGAGAAAGCAAGGGTTTCTGCATCTCCAGTGAGGACTAAGAAGCCAGCAGGCTCAATGAGTCCAGCAATGGTGATGAGAAGCATTCGGCGACGCGAAGATATAATGTCCAAAAGTCGTGTATGCATATCCAAGCAGGCGTTTGCGACCAGGGAACTTGAAGTCGGCATCGTTCATGTGGCTCCTGATAATGGCTTGACATAAGCAGTGACTTGATGTCTCACACGGCCAAGTAAGTAGACCCAGCGCTATATAGCGTCCAAGATACCACGACACTAGGTCCACGCGCTGGAATCTTACGAGACACCAAGACCAATGAATGCAGATTTCATCTTCACGAGAAGCAAAACAAGCTAAAAACACACAAACGCTTTGGAGTTCATTGGCGAGACGTTCTGCAAATCATAAGTGCGTTTAGTGTTATTGCCGTTTCCAAAACCACACAGCAAAGCTTGATTTTGTCGTTGGCGGGACGCTGATGATTTTCCACGATCATGACCAATGTCGAAGCATTTGGTTGAACACATCTCGAGAGGATCTCCTTGCAGTCGGAAAAGTCTGAAGACTCAAGAGCCTATATAGACTGGGAGCGTAAGGTGATTTTACCTTTGCCATGGCTTTGGTGCTTGACACGAAAGATGACAATGGTAGACGCAAAGACCAACACTCAGAATAAAAGCTGCTTCCGGCCTTTGGAGAAGATGCATCGATGTCTTCAGATTGGATCTGAGTGCTTGGATGATTTGATTCGAGTTGCATTGCGCAAGCCGACAGGGTTGTAAAAAGCCTCGTATTGTCTAGAGAAGAAAAGCACCCCAATGGCGGGAAAGCACTCCAGTATTCCCATGCTTCCAGAGACCGGGACGCAGCTGTGGGCGGTGGCAGCTTATCTCGTTGTTGAGAAGCCAAGGAGAGTGCTAGGGATATACCCCAGACGTATATAAAGTAAAGAGTGATCAATACAAGCTCCTGAATAGTAGACTTTTGATATTAAAAACCTCGCAGTGTGTGAAGAGCACACCTCGACGATGGGGAAAGCTTTCCAGTGACTTTCTACTTCCAGATCCTAGGAAGCAACTTGAGCGCGGACAACTTATCTGGTTGTTGAGCAAAGCCAACGTGAGTCCGAGAGATACACCCCATTCGTATGCAGAGCAAAGAGCAATCGCCATGGAGTCCAGTGACATCCTCAAAGTCTGGCAGCAGACCTCGAAAAATAGACAAGCTCTCCAGCGATTTTTCAATCCACAGACCAAGAACCAGCTTCGAGCAACAGCAACTCATTTCTCTCCAATAATCCAGATGAATATAGAAGAGGCGCAGGATACAGATCAAGAAAGTAGTGAATTCCCAAGAGAACAGATACCAGCTCCTCGATCAGGACAGCAGTCTTATATACCCTCTTCTTACCCCTCCACTACACCCTAGAATCTGACAAGATCATTCCAGCAAAGCCCTAGCAGTCAAAGAAATGTCCAAGCAATCTAGACCGCACAAACCGGATAAAAGCAAAAAGTGAAATTTGCGCAAACACAGCTATTTGACACTGCTTTTCTCGGAAAAAGCCAAAGCAAAGCAAGCAAACACCGAAATCCTTCGCGCAGTCTCCACGCTACTTTGGCAAAAAGTTCAGTAGACCACTTTTTCTATTTCCTACGCTGTAAGCATCTCTACTTTGATGACTGCAGCGATCGCAAGAGCCAATGACAAAGCTTCGGAAAACCCGTACTGATTTTTCACACATTGCTCTCGATTGATGCTTCCCCCGTGAACAATGATAGCTTTGGCCTTCTTCTCCTTTGTTGAGTGATGAGCTCAAAAGCTGACGTCAAAGATCGATCATACTCTTACGTGGGTTGGAGAGTGAAGAGGTTCAAATCTCGAGTGACCGTACACGCAAAACTGAGTTGTGATGGCTGACCCAGCCAGGTAAAAGGTAAGTAGGAATGAAGAGAAAGAGAACAAAGACACTAAGAAGAGATAAAAGGCGCTGAGGAAGAATAATTCTCTTGCTACAAATTAGCACGACTTTGAGATTAAAAAAAAACAAGAAAGGAAAAAGGTGGCGTTGACGATATCTTGATGAGCAGAAGAGGAAAGAAAATCACCTACAAACTATCATGACTAAGGCACCTCCAACAAGTCATACACACTCCCCGCATCTCTCAAAGCACTCTCAACTCTTTCCATGACAGCAAGCACTTTCTCCTCCTCCAACCTCCTCCCTACAACTTGTACACCAACAGGTAACCCCTCCATCTTCTTAGCATCATAATGCATAAACGCACCCCTTGCAACCCCATTGTTATTGACTACAAAATCCTTGGTCAAAGCATCCTTGGCACCATCCACCTTAGTGACGGGAATAATGCCACAAGTGTAGTCTAACAGGTTGAAGAGGAAAGTATAACCACAAGAGGCTATGGCATCGCGCATACCATCGTGAGGAACTGCTGGTGTTGCGTTTGGAGGTGTCAGTAGGATATCAACTTCCGCACCCGATGCTGAGGAAAGCGAAGTCCACCAGTCAAACCATACGTTCTTGAAGCTCTCGCGTTGATATACCAATTGCCAGTTTTCGTATGCCGATTTCTCATGAAGTGACTCCAAGAGACGAGACCAAACAGCATCGCCACGGATATAGCGAAGGTATTTGACATAGAGCCAGCGGAGAGGGGAAGGAAGGTTCATCCAAAAAGACAGTTGAGTGGCTCCTGCATCGTTTGTTTCGCCGCGGGAGAAGAAACCAGTATAGGTTCGCGTACCTTCTGCATTGAGAAGTTGTGAAGCGATGGCCAGAGCGTCGAGGGGTGCATAGGGTGCGGTGGGCAAAGTAAGGTCGAAACACTCATGACCTTGTTGTTCCAGCGCATCGACGGTCGTCTGAAGTGCTCTCGCACAAGCAGGAGAAGGATCGACAACGCCATCAGTCCTGAGTACACCGACTCTCAACTTCTTCTTGTCCTTGAAGTCGTCGTATACATTCTGTCTCCAGGCCAAAGGATGAACACTCTGATCATACTTCCACGGCATCATCTCGATCAAACTCTTCGTAAAGTATACCAAATCTCCAAGTGTCCTCGTCATGGGCGAGAAAACACTAGGGATACCTTCTTGACCAGGCATAGAAGTGTCAACACCGTATTTTGGCCATCTTCCTGTGCTGCATCTCAGTGAGAAGCATCCACTGAAATGTGCAGGAGCTCTGACACTACCAGCGACATCACTTCCGATACCGATCCTCGAGCCACCGAAAGCCAGAAGTGCGCCTTCACCACCCGTACTGCCGCCTGGAGAGTAGTTCTTGTTATGAGGATTCGTGCATCTCCCCCAAACATCATTCGTACTCTCAAAAGATAGCAGGGTAATCGGAAGAGCGGTCTTGACAAATGGTACCGCACCAGCATCTTTGAGTAGTCTCACCATTGCACCATCTTTCCCATGAGGTTTGAAGCATTTACCAGAGTATCCAACACTGGCATCCCAACCTCCCACGATGATGGAATCCTTCAAGCTCACAGGAATACCGGCCAGAGGACCTTTGAGATTGATACTACCATCAGAGATCCAGGTTTCGGCCTGCGGGAACATGATCTCCGTGACACAATTCGTGGCTGCCTGGGCCTTGACAGCAGCTTTGCCATAGGCGCGGAGGATATCAGTGGGTGATTGAGAGGAGCTCTGAACATTTTGGACGAGTTCATCAATGGGTGCATCCAAGATAGAGCGCTCCGAGGATGAGAGCGGACCTTGATAAGATGAAGGAAGATTTGCTATACGAGAGGCTCGTTCATCTTGCTTTCGTCGGCTAGGTAAAGATGCTGTCAATCTTCTATTCTACCCTTCTGCTCAGGAAACTGGACTTACCAGATCTGCCTATGTTGAGAACCTCCAAAGGGCCACATGTTAAGTTAATCCAGCTCTTAGACTGGCCTGATTGTATTGCTGATAAGAACTTCCAGATACTGACAGCGACTACACGCCTGGTAAGAGAAACCTGATGAAGTCGAATCAGAAGTACAGACTGGTCCAGAGATGCGATGAGAGAAGTGAGAATAAAGTAGGAGGACACAAGCAACTCTTATACTCCTTGCCCGAGTTGCCCGAAAGGTTATCAGGAAGGCGGGGTTGCACGCTGATACCGGCTACAGCTGCTAAATTCGGCATAGTCTGCGATTACGGCTGCAGCTTCCACATCGAGCAGGATGAATCTCTACAGTATGGCCGAAAGCAAGAGGCCCTTGAGCCATACAGTGCAAGCAAAATTGAACGTGATAAAACATGTCTACGTATCAATCGTAGTCTACTCGTAACATTTGGAATGCATAATAATTGCACTCCAACCCCTTATATCAACCACTTTTCAGCAAAAGTGCAACCCCAGCAAAACTCCTTGCTGTTCCAAAAATCGATATGTTCCCAACGCCTTTTACTCCAGCAGTGATCAGTCCCGAACATTCTCGTCCCACCACGCTGGTGAGAATATTGAGCGGCGGGGACGAGGTTGAGGTGACGATGAGGGGCTACGAGGTACCATATCCTTCAAAGCGTAAGAACATGCATAAGAAAGGTAATCCAGGCCTGAGCGAGATGCGGCAGGTGAAGCTGGTAATGTGAGATGCTCCTAATTTATACCGCCAGCCTCGCCCTCACGCTTCATCTCGCCTTCGACGTCTTGTGCGTTTCGTTCTTGCCGACCCTCTTCTTTCGCTTCGGCTTCCGCAGTACCGTCGCCCATCTCGACGTCTTCAGAAGCTGATACGGTCGGCTCGGCGGCAGGTACTTCTGGTGGAGGAGTTGCAGTTGGTCCGGCACCTGCTTGTGTGTTGTTCGCGTTGGGTGCATTTGTCGGGGGCTCAACGACATCATCGTCTTCCATCTCGACATCTTCAGGCTCAGCTACTGTTGCTTGTGCAGTTGTCGAGGCAGGCTTGGGGGGCGATCGGGCTCTTTGTGTTCCATTGCTAGCAACTTCCTCACCCAGAGCAGGTTGCACGGCGTGAGGATCCTCAGCAGCCTTGGCAGCCATGATGGCATCCCCAACAGCAGCGTTAGCAGCTTGAGCTCTGTCAACAACCATTTGATCAGCTTGGGCAGCTGCTGGCGGTAGTGTGTTGTCAATTGGTGTGGCAGCACCTGACGCTGCAAGCGAGCCCTCGGCGGTGTCTGCGTATGGGTTCTTGTGATCGGTGATTCTTGGACGGCGAGATTCCTGACCGGGCTGCTTCTTGACGCCTAGAAGCTCGTTCATGTCCTCATCGTCGGACTCTTCAAACTCGTCATCACGCTCAATACGAGCGTCCCACTTGCGTTCGGTGTAACGAGAGTCAGGATTCTCATCGTCGTCCTTATCGTCGAGACGCTGCTCACGTTCATCCAGATCTTCAGTGTCACCCTCGTTATCGGGATCATTCTCGTTGGGTTGTACGACAAGCGGTGAGCGAGGAACGTCGGTCATTTGAACACTGGGGGCGAATCTAGTGCGTGACAGATTCTCAAAGACTTGAAGCTTGATCTTTTCGAGATATTCCGGACTGTTGGCGTTATCCATGTTGGATGGACGAACGTCAAGTTCGAAGTCGGGGGAGTAGTATTCGTAGTAGTCGGTATAAGGGAGCTCTGGACCCATCTCCTGACCAACCAGCTGACCTGTTTCGTAGGCCCACGTGCGGGCGACATTACGCATAGTATAGCCACCACCACCGAGGACCAGAGTAGGCAAGTTGAAGCTCTTGACGTACTTGACGCAGTTGGCGTGACCGCGCATGGACAAGTTGAAGCAGCCAAGACGATCACCGCTCAGAGAGTCACCACCACATTGTAGGACTACAGCATCGGGACGGAAGAACTCCATGATCTTAGCAATGATGGGCTCGAAGACACTCTTGTATGCGACATCGTCCATGCCGTCGCGAAGGGGGAAGTTGACGGCGTAGTTTTTGCCGTTACCAACACCAATGTCGCGGAGTTCACCAGTACCAGGGAAGTACTCTCCGTACTTGTGGAAAGAGCAGGTCATGACGCGATCGGTAGAGTAGAAGGCTTCTTCGACACCATCACCGTGATGGACGTCAATGTCGATGTAGAGAACGCGTGACTTGAATCTGAGCAATTCGATGATTCCGAGGACGATATCGTTGATGTAACAGAAACCGGAAGCTTCACTCTTCTTTGCGTGATGCAGACCTCCAGCCCAGTTGACGGCGACGTCGCACTTTTGACGATTGAGACGAGCAGCACCTTCCATACTGCCGCCAGCACTAATGCCGCAATACTCGAAGAGACCGTCAAAGACTGGACAATCATCACCGACGTTGTATTTTCCTTGCTCTTTCGCGTAGCTGTCCATGTTGTCGGGAGTGACTTTTGATAGGAATTCGACGTACTCGTCGGTGTGGAATTGGGTCATTTCGTACTTGGAAGCAGGCTTGGCTCTCTAGATGATGATTAGCCTGGGGTGGGAACGATGCGACAAGACAGAGGTCGACGCACGTAAATCTCCATCTTTTTGTACAGGCCGTAGTTCATGATAAGACTGTGGGCCATTCGGATACGATGAGGCTTCATGGGATGGCCAGCATTGTAGGCGTAGTTGCCGACATCCGAGTCGTAGAAGTAGGCGACCTTTTTGGGCTGAGCACCATTCGAGGCGCGAGGAGGGTCCAGAGGAGGGCCATACTGGGCCGAGTTGGCCATTGCGACAGCTGTGATGGGAAGTGAAGTATGCTGTCGCGAGTTGTTTTGTGCTATGGAAGAATGGGCTTCAGAGGTGTGAGAGTGCGCGGAGTAGATTTGACTTGAACAGGAGCGAGGCGATTGAGCTGGTATGAATGGTATGGCCTTTTAGAGATGATGCCTCTTTCGCGAGTCGCGAGTCCCAAGCTTCGGGGAAGCTGCAAACCATGCAAACTGCTCGTCGAGAAGCTGTCGACTGTTTCCAAGGGAAGGTGCAAACAGTCCAAACACTTCTTCCAACGAGAAAGTGCAAACAATTCAAACACTTCACTCGTCAGGAAGGCGCGAGCGTCGGCGGTCGGCGGTCGGCGGTCGGAGCTTGTAGCTTTGGTGCATCATCATCTACAGAGTCGCCGTCGTAGCTGCATTCACCTGTGCTTCTCTACAACAAATCCATCTCCCTGTCGCCGCACATTCATCCCCTCACTCGACACGGCCCCCAGCGCACATCTCTCACCTGCGCATCATACAAGAGAAGGAAGAAAGTACACAAAGCCTCACAACATCATCATGGACCGACTTTCACGAATGCTGGCAGCCGCCCAAGGCATGGGAAGCAGTGGTGGCATGCAACAGGACGGCAACGTCGTCGACAACTCCGAAACCGTCTACATCTCATCCCTCGCCCTCCTCAAGATGCTGCGCCATGGAAGGGCTGGTGTACCCATGGAAGTCATGGGTCTGATGCTGGGCGAGTTTGTCGACGACTACACGGTCCGCGTCGTCGATGTCTTTGCCATGCCCCAGAGCGGTACTGGTGTTTCGGTCGAGGCTGTTGACCCCGTCTTCCAAACAAAGATGATGGACATGCTGCGTCAGACTGGTCGCCCGGAGACTGTCGTCGGCTGGTACCACTCACATCCTGGTTTCGGCTGCTGGTTGTCAAGCGTCGATATCAACACACAACAGTCCTTCGAACAACTCACCCCTCGCGCCGTCGCCGTCGTCATCGATCCCATCCAATCCGTCAAGGGCAAAGTCGTCATCGACGCCTTCCGCCTCATCAACCCCCAGACTCTAATGCTTGGTCAAGAGCCTCGCCAGACTACCTCCAACGTTGGTCACCTCAACAAGCCCTCTATTCAAGCCTTGATCCATGGTCTCAACCGTCACTACTACAGCATCGCCGTTGGCTATCTCAAGGGTCGTGGTGGTGCCTCTGGAAACGGCGCATCAACGACCGCTGGAGGCTCAAGCCAAGTCGGTGGTGAGGAAGCTATGCTCATGAACCTGCACAAGAGCGTCTGGACAGAGGCTTTGGAAATGCCCGACTTCAAGTCCGAGGGTGATCGCACATTGGAGAAGCTGAACAAGCTCGTCAGCTTGGCAGAGGGTTATGAGAAGCGTGTCAAGGAGGAGACCGAGTTGACTAAGGATCAACTACGTACGAGATATGTCGGCAAGGTCGATCCCAAGAAGCGTATGTTGCATCATCATCATCATCATCATCATCATCATCTCCTTTGCTTTATTGCCTACTAACAACACGTTCCAGACATCGAAACTCTCGGCCAAGATCTGCTCGAAGACAATATCGTATCCGTATCACGCCAGATGATCGACAAGGAAGCCGCCGTGCCTTCGGCCTGTCGCATTGAAGCTGTCGACGACGATGCCGACACCATGGCTGTGGATCAGACCGCATAGACTGCAACATGCGACCACAGACCAAATCACGACGGCGCCAATGACACAACCAGCGACTCGGCCTCAATAAGCAGCACAGTAGCTGCTTCCACATCATCTGTCAAGTCGCGGAACATTGCGCTGAATTTCTGAATGCGCCTTGTATAATAGACCTACTCCATGCATTTTACGAGGAAGATCAGGCATGGCACGACTGTGGAAATGAAGAAAGTCGATCGCCGGCAGGTATACAGCTGACAATGCGCAATGAATGCAAAGAAATCATTTTCAACTTCATGTACCCATCCTCATCCTTGCTTCTGCGTGTTGTGACTCATCCCCAACATGTATTTCCAGAGATCACAGTCTACAGCTGTCGTGACCTCAATCGCCATCAATGACGTGCATCTGTCTGTCTCTCCTCTTATCGCTTTGAGTAGGGACAATCTCTCTGCAGTACGTCAGAGTTATTTCGAGGGTTGGAAAGGACAGTGGGGGAGATGGTTTGATCTTGTGCATCTCGACTTGAGTGCTTTAGGTGATGAATAAGACTCTGCATTACATCAATCTTCCTTCATCCACAGTTCTTGATAGTGGCGAGCTACATCTTCTTTCTTCCTGCTTCCTACTCCCTGCCATGAAATATAATGACCGTGTATCCAGGAATAGCGTCTCAGACTCCACGAATATCTTCTATGCGATAAGTTGTCCTAGATATCTATTACCCTGACATGACTAGATAGCTGTAATAGCAAAGTAGTATAAATTTGTGTAGCATCGTGGGTTTGCCAAAGTAAGTACAGCACCTGGACGGCAACATTGGGGAACTTCCCTCCTCCCCGCTACATTAGCTCAATCGTCGCCCTATTTGTTAATCTGCGGGATAAAAGCAACAAAGGTCGAGAAACGCTTCGGGTCGATGAACCATATTCATGGGGCCCACGATCTAGTGTCCTGACAATCTTGACCCTCGAGTGTTCGGGATACGTGGGAAGGAGACAGTGACCCGTAGCGTTTCGTTACTTGTCGGGTTCGAGGTTTCAATTGGCAGATTTCGAGACTTGTTGCAAAGGCACTCGTGTCTTGAGTACTTTGTGAATGTAGGTAGTAAGATTCTCTGGCAATTGTTGATCTTTACTACTCTAACGTAACGTTTCTACTTATAGTCATTTGCACACTTTGCACTCTCTTTTTGTCCTTGTTCAACTTTTGTGATATTTTGCTTACATCTAGCTTTGTTAATGACTATCTGGTTCTATTCAGATAAACGGTAGTATGGTTTTGTGGAACATCAAGCAGAAGTATGGTCTTTTATATCGAATTAACTAGGAACGGATGCGTAGACTTAGCTTAAAGACAGAACTTGGAAACAAGTATAATAAGAAGAATGGCAAAGTAGACTTCTTACAAGCACTCACCACCTTTGTCGTTACCAATGTGCTTAGGCAGGTTATACCGTCCCGCACATCTCAAGCAGACAGTGCGGATGTGGTAGGATACATGAGATGAGTAGGTCTATAATGCTGCAATCTCCTGCACGCCTTCAAACGTGGAGTGCCTGAAATCAAGCTTCTGGATGCAGAAGTTGACAGAGATGCACACGGTGTCATAGACCTGAGGTTCTCCCTCTTCTGCCGGTTCTTTGTTGCAACGTCTTACAACTATCTGTCTCGATCTTGCCTGTACCGTTTCCCCCGATCCAAACCTCCGTTATGTGAGGTGCCGCGTTGTAGAATACCTTGACACACTTCCTTTGTGAACAGGTAACCCTTATTTTCTTGAAGCTGGTTGTAACAGCATCGGCGTGCTTGAGTTCCTTATCTTTAACACTCGGATCCATGATAAAGAGCCTCTTGCCATTGCCGCAATTATGCTTTCCAACCTCGACGATGGCCCATTGTAGGTTTTTTTTAAATTGTAGCTATACAAAGCACTTCCTTCTACTGTTGGGCCGAGCCATAGGGATCACCATTGTCGACGCAGTGGTTGGGGGTTGATGGCAGAAAGTGGCTTGCAGTTTCTTTCTCGACACCGTACGTGACGATGTCTCTGAGGCCTGTGATACTACTCTAGTTTCCCTCTCTCTGCTTCGTGATCTCACATTGTCACAAGTCTTTTCTCCGCTAGTGACTCTCGGGCTGGAGTTTAGAGTCGTGGACCTGGTAGTCTCTTTCACCGTTGTCTTTGGTCTCATCATCATCATGATGTTGCATCACTTAGCAAGACGTAAGCTTACACTACTTTGCGGTCACAGGAAGTTCAGGAGGATGACTAAGCTAATCAAACATTCCTCTCTATTCCAGTCAGCGTACACTTCGGAAGAGTAAGATTTCGTAGAACCTCATCAGGATTGGAGTGATTATTCGCCTTGGACCACCTCAAAAATTTCAATTGATAGCTCACAAACCATAAAGCAACCAAAATCTGGCCGTGATTGAACCCTCCGACCTCTGTTGAAGCTTCTCAGACCAGCAGGTCCAATTAACCAGAGCATCTCGGTCTCTTTCCATTTAAGTGCAGCCAGAAACGAACCATTATATGTCCCTCCGGCAGCACGTCTTCTCATGATCAGAGAAATACTGAGCCAGCGACAAGAGAAAGCAACAACCAGGTCAATAACGCGCATCATGTGTCTCGGGAGGTAGTGGGAGTAACTAGAGCACGTCTGCGTTATTGACCTGGCGTTCTTAGAGCGAGAGGTAAGCCTGCACTGCTGGCTTCTGTTATCGTGCAGAGAGTTTGGATATTATCGTGCGTGAAATCAGGTCTCTTTAGGGTGTGGTTTGTGGCTAGAGATTGTGTTGCTAACCTGACTCTTTCAGAATTAGAGAATGTACGGTCTTTTGACTCTCAATGTCGTTGCTCGGCGTTAGATTCTATTGTGCGCTGCATCAGACATTTTGAGTGCCACCTTTCGGCTATGAAGTCATCAATGTTGAGTAGCGTCAAGCTTGGGGTCAGGATACTTGAGCAGTCAGTAAGATAGAGAAGAGATAGGTTTGAAGAATGGGATGAAATATACAAATTAACAACCGAGTATCAGAATATCTTTTTATCCTTTTCTTTTCTTTTCTCTCCAAATTCCATCACCGATTTTGCGCTGCTTGGTTTCCCTTTGTACTAACAGACTGGCCTAAACACTTATGCTGTGCCATATGTCTGGTGACCATGCTCCCTCATCGTATTGTCCACATCGGCACCAGGCATCAAAGTCTCTCTAGCTTCTTCGGCCTCTTCTTCAAGCTCCTCTCTCTCGATATGTCTGGACTGATACCAGACGTACAGAACCAGCAGCACACCGACAACGAATGCAGTCGACAACAAGATGATATTTACAGGAACAGGGTTGTTATTGAATGCATGATGGGTCAGCGCATCCAGCCCTTGAGCTGAGAAATTGAACAGACCAGCGAGACAGATGATGAGACCATAGACTTTGCCAAAAGTGGCAAAACCAAAGACTTTGGCAGAGTAGTCTGAAACGGCTGTGTAATAAAGAGGGCGGTAGATGACAAAGAGAATGATGTTGCCGTATGCAGAGGCAGTGTTGGGAATGACACCAAGAACACCGATGGCAGTTGCAATTGTGACTAGAAGAGCAAGAGTGAAGACTGTGCTTGTGTGATCGAGGACCAATCCGATAAATGGTACAGCGACGACACCGCCAAGAGGAAGGGCAATATCGAAGAAAGCGTTGATGTTCTCTGCTTGCCCAGGACCAACGAGGTAAGAGTACTGGGTTCGGATAGTGGCGACAAAGTAGTTGATCCTGGTCATCTGGACGATGGTGAATAGAGCGATGAGAATGAACCAGGGTGTCATGATCTGCTTCAGTGCAGGTCTTCCATGCAAAGCTCCCCAGACGCCACTCGTGGCTTCGACTTGTTGCTGTTGAGCCTGCTGTTCCTCGGCACCCTTGCTACCTAGCAGCTCGGTAATCTCGCTAACTACAGACTCGCGACGCTCCTGACGAAGCAATGCACGTTGTTCGTCGCTGATCTCATGATCCGAGTCTGAGTCTGCAGACGGGTCTTCGGCTTGCTGAACCAATTCGCCGACAGTCTTGTAGCTGTTGGAGGGCATCAGGAAAATCTGAGCGACGAGGATCAATGCAGGTACGGCAAGATAGATCAAAAAGAACTTCTTGGTAGTAAAACTTCCATCAGTCGATTGAAAGATGAGGCGATATACCAGGAATACGGCAGAGCTGGTATCAAAAGCCCCAGTCAGTAGTGCCAAGATTGTGCCTGAATGCTTCGGGAAAGTGTTTGAAAGCTGGAAGCTGGAAATGAAGATGAAAGGTCCACCCAGAGCGAGGAAGAAGTATCCAGGTATCCAGAGATCGACACTTTCGCGAGCATCCCAAGCGAAGGCCAGAAGGGTTGAGCCAATGGCAAGAAGAAAGCAGCCGATGATACCAGCAACCTTGGGACCGTAACGATCCAGAATTGTTCCAACAGGCAAGGCGCAAACATTCGTGCTGACAGCGGCGACGGTGAACATCAAGTTGAGTCTCAACTCTTGCTCGTAGCATACCCACACACCTTCCTCAATCTCCTTTGGCGTGCATCTCTCAGCATAAACACCTTGTTCGATCAAGACTGGCTTGATGGCAGCATATCCAAAGACCACACCGGCAGCAAAAAGGCAGTAAACACAAGCGACAGCAACTTGTACTATTCCCTTGATCTTGCTGACCTCAAAAGCGGCAATAGGTACCTCGTGAGCAACCTCGGGAGCCCAGCTGCCTACAGGATTGAAGCTCAACTTGCGGCGCTCAGAACCAGTAGGTGAAGATGATCTCGCGGTCAGGTCATTTGGTGTAGTCGTGCTCCAGTGGTCTCGTAATGTCTCCATGCTGCTTCTTCGTTCGAACAGCGACATGTTTTCGACTTTCGTCAAATCTGAATAAGTCTACAACAGTTGTATACGCTGACGTAATTTTGCTCGCAAATGGTTCTTTCCCCGCAAAGGATCAGGCACGCGATCAAGTCGCCAATGTTTGACGAGTCAGTTTAGTAGCGTATGATGATGATTGAGGATGATCGTGACCGAATGGGAAGTTGAAAGTCGAGGGATGTTTAGTAAAATTCACTGAGGCAACTACATGTTTATGAGATATCTCGAGGCTGAGAGAGAAGAAATTTTTCGGGAAAGAACTGGGCAATAATCCTGCATGATAACCCACAGCTGTGGTTCTACGAATGGATAGGGCACGATAAGAAGCAGTTTCCCATCTCGACGCCGGAGTTGGCCAATCATGACGCTCGGATCACGCCGAAGCTTGCACAGTTGACTCGATAGAAATTCGTGGAGCTTTTGTAATTCTTTACAATCAAGGCAATTCGTGATATCTATTAGGAGTTGTCTTGGATCTTCGCCTATCTGTTTTATGGCTATCCACATTGGTCCGCCACAACGCAAGAATGATGGAAACGACTGTGAAGTAGACACCTTTCTATGCCGAAAGAGAAGACGGAGGAAGGAAAAATGCAAACAAATGAGAGGAAATCACATCTCCGCGCAAAGCGCCCGTCTCCGATACAACGACCCATGCCGTCGCAACAGATTTTTCACGAAGCATATACGAGGGTCTAGCCCTTCGCGCAACTTCGATGCTGAGATTCACATCTCCGGTCGACTTTTCGACAAGACATTCAGGCAGCTTCCATCTTTTTGGGAAGCAGACCAGCTCTCTTGCTCTTGAACCACAAAGTCGGCAGCAGAATGCACGAGCAGGAGAACAGAATGCTGTCGCACGCGATGTTAGCCAGGACGTTAATGACTAGCAAATATGTAAGGACTCACCAAAGCGCAATGCACAATCCCCAGATTGCCTTTGTTTCGAGACAATTGACTCTGGTCGTGCCAGCCCATACATACAGTCCAACGCTGCCTCCCTGCTTCATGTTTTGTACAAGACTCAGCAACCAGTAGGCGGCGCCTGCAGCATCGGTCTTTCCATCGGTATTGGCGATAGCGAAGCAGTTGAGCAGACTGAGTGGCTTGCCGAGGGTAACAGAAACAACGACGAAGGCAAGAAGAAGAAGACTGTCAATGGCTGTCATGATGAAGAGGCCCAAGTTCGCTTGAGCCATGTAAAACGGGATGCTAATCAAGGTGTATAGAGTTGCGATGCAAGTCTGCCTAAGTCAGTATTTGATGCCAGCTGCGACATGAAGAGGAGACACTTACGACGCTCAATGTACCGACAATCTCTCTCGGGGGTTCGATACCACTGCCATTGATAGCAGCAACAAAGTTTGCAGTCAGACCGACAATACCGACCATTGCGACCAGACTCAACCCTCTGACACAGAGAAAGGTCTCGCTGAGAGGAAGAGCACCGTAGCTTGGAATAGGCATCTCGATGGAAATTGATGTCTGAAAAGTAAGGATGCAAAAGGGCCGGCCTAAAGATGTAACTGATCGAAGATGAGGAAATTCGAAATATCGCAAACAAGAAAGATCCGGTAAGAATGCAGAAAGCACAAAACTAATATTGCAAACAAGAAGCAGAAGCAAAGAGATCAGAAGTGTTGTGGTTGATGAATTGTCTGGCAAACACAATGGCAGCATATCCGCGGTCTTAAGTATTGACTCACACACTACACAGCCCACTGGATCTCAACAAAAGCTCAGGCAATGGTCTTTGTTATCTGCTATTTTCGCTCATCCCGTCTGGCAAGGTGGAACACGCTGTCTCTCTTCAGTTGACGCTGTACCCTCCAATAAGAGCGCGTCTTGGCACGGCGCGTAAATATGGTCGAGATGCTCTGCTTGCGACAATCAAACAACAGGCTTTTACACGATCTGGACACGCTCAACCCATGTCGATAGCTCATTGTAGATGTTCAAGCTAGTTGTGGCGAAAGCTTGTTGACGAGTGGATGTTTCGCAACCACATCCCCGTCGAGGCGCTCGTCGGACGTCCCTTCCTCGAGGTTTCTCGAGACTGCTTACGACACTACCCGGCCCAAGATTGGATATGGATCATCGCTCGATGGATGTCATCCCATCCAATGATTGTGTCTCCAATGTTATTAGGCGACTTTTGTTGACCAAAGGTTGAGAGATGCGGTTCGGGTCACCCTGGTAGAATATTTCGATCTTTGTTGAATTGACCACACTGGCCCAAAGACCACTTATTGGGCATAGACGAGATTCAGACTATCTTTGACCATTTCATACTGGCACTCCTATGTGATTGGGGATGAAAGCTGATGTGGTACTTGACATGGATGTTGGTGGAATTACCCTCTTACCAAAAACCAAAAAATTACTGACGCAACACAGATGCGATTTATTCGAGTGATGGCATCAAGAATCGATAGTGGAAGTGCTGCTAATGGCGGGAGTGCTAGTAAGATCCAACGCGGAGGAGAAGAACTACTCATCCAGTGGTCTTAGTCTCGAGTCGGGAGACACGGAACAAAGAAGATGAGTAAGCATAACAAGTGCATGATAGAGTCCATGACAACATCGGCCTACCACGATTGTCCTGTTGATTCGCGAATTGGCGCCCTGGATACTCTGAATATGTATAAGCACAGGTCCTCAATTAGCCAATCTCTTTATCGAGGTTGAGATTACACTGGCTTGTCAACTATCTGCCACAACTCGACATGAAGATACTCTCGAAAACTCCAATTAACTCAGATGGTAGAACGCCTGTTAAGAGCATCAGGCAAATGTGCACAGCCTTTATCACTAGCCAACGACGACCTCCCACTACAATCTCCTAATGCCGCCACATCGTTTCAGGCCATCTCTGCTATGAACACCGGCGACAACCTGCTACTACCACCTTCCAGTACCGCCGCATGGCCTTGGATCAGTTTCGCTGTGACTGCTGACGACAGCCTCCTACCACCATCTCTCAGTGAAGAGAAAATAACAGGTCAGCGATACTTCTGTACACGACTGTATCTCATAATTACATACCACAATCACCCCTGAGACCATCAAGGCAAGACATGAAGTCGAACAGTCGAAGACAAGGTCACTGACCTGTGTGTTTTCTTTCTCTCCCGCGTCCAGATGATCGAACATAGACTAACAAGACTCTCCATCATATCTGGTACCATCCAGCATGGTTGTCCTCGGATGATCCAATCCGTGCCATTTCCCACTCCTTTCTGTAACTATGACGTCGTACGGAATAGGCTTGGTATACAATCAGTCTAACCAGACATTTCCACCCAAGACTTGAGATGTAACCGCAGACATCCAGAATGAAAAGATTAACAATGGAGTCAAAAGTGACAACAATTAAGCTTTCAGATGGGGGCGACATTTGTACAAAAGTCACCACTTTTGGGTTGGAAAAAAGAAGAACAGAAATACGCTCAAATCATGAAAGAAAAAAGAAAGCGAATTATGCAGCTTATCTCTTATTCGTCTAGGGTAGTAGCCTGTATCGCTTACATCCCTCCTCGAATTCACCCCCCATTGTATATCGCAAGGAAAAAGCAATGGGTAAATGTACCATGCTCCAGCTATCTACACATATCCAGTTCTTACATGCTTTACCCTCAACTCTATCGCATTTGTAAAAGGTTGTCTGAATACGAGGAGAAACTACTAGACTAAAATAGACTGCACAAAAACCCTGCCTTTCTTCCAACCTCCCAGCCTCTTGTCGCGTTCAACAGCCAAACCCAAAAGTAACCAAAGTCCCATCGTGATCGGGGACACTGGAAAAGTTTGGCCACCCGCTAGCTCATGTTTTTGCGAAAATAAGCATGACCATGACCACTGGAGTCACGAGCGGCTGCTTTTATATCAAAACGGTCTACAAGCGCAAGTACCTTTACTCATGGACAACTCATGGACAAGTCTCGGGGGGGAAATTGTCACTCATCAGAGAATAAAATTTTCTCCTTCTCGATATCGTGTGCGAAAAGTGACATCAAGAGGAGAGAATGAGAGATGAAGTAGAGAGACATTTTCCGGTTATGATCATGTGCTCAGCAAAAGCGAAAAAAAAGCAATTGAAAAACGGCGAAATGAGGAGACGCAAGAATAGAAACTGCACAAGTAAAAAGCAACCCATTACCTCCCTCCCCTCCGTCGACGCCGAGCCCATCCATCAACGCCTTCGCATAGCAAACAAATCCCATCAACACACTCTCCTAAAGCTCATGACAAAAGACGAGCAATTTCACTCGTCATCTATCATTGTCAATACCCAGCACTACTGCTCACAGGCCCATACGTCGTCAACGGCCAAAGTCCCTCTCCAATCAGTGGCACAATCCCATTACCATCTCCAGGCATAACACTACTAGCGTCAACACCAGGAGGTTTCTGACCCAAAGCCAACAGCGCATTAGCATTCTGCACGTCGAAGCCAGGGTATCCAGTTCCCATAATGCCGAGCATATCGTGAGTGAAATGGCGCCAGGCAACTGGTCCCATCATCATTTGCTGAGGTGGATTTTGGGGTGTCATGACGGCTGTTGTGGTGGCGGTGTTGGTGGGTGAGGCGTAGGATGTGTTGGGGGAAGGAGAGGTGAAGGCTTGGAAGAGGTTTTGGGTGGTTTGGTCGTGAGGAGCCATTTGTTGAGGCACGTTTTGAGGGTGGCTGTGAGTGGTTTGGTGAAGGGCGTGACCAGCATTGTGGGCGGCAAGTTGCGCGGTGAGCTCAGACTTGATGTCGTCGCCGTTGGTGTACGCGCTGTTGTCTACGAATGCAGGGTAGGCGGGAGCGGAGCCACCGGATGGGTCCGGGTATGCAAAGCCGTTGGTCTGGTATGGTTGTTGTGCTTGTAGACCATTGTCATCAGGACCAAGGTATGACGCGCCGGCAGAGGCATCAGTAGGAGGTGCGCCATTGGGATCAGCAGGGACATATGCTGGAGCATAGCCTGCAGGAGCGTTGTAACCATTGACACCATCCTGCTGACCATCGATAAGTGCTGGTGATGAGCGAGCAATGTTTGCAGATGCGACAGCAGCACTTGCAGTCTTAGCTGCAAGGTGACGATGGATGTTATCAATAGAAGCGTTGACGATATGGCGAACAGCATTTTGCAGCTTAGCACCACTACCCATCAACTGACCAATATCACCGATGATGCTTAACCACTGCTCCATGGTATCCTTGAGGTTGTTAAGATCAGAGGATGTGATGTGGTCCTTGCGCTGGTTGTATGCGAAAAGTGTGACGAACATGGCAGAAAGCCACACGGTCGCATTGAGCCAGGTGGTGTCGAGGGCTCTTAGCGCGCGCATGCTCTGGGCAATATGCAGCAACTTCGCACTAGCGTCCAAGCATACATCCAGGTTCTTGTTGTTGACATCGGTGTTTTGAGTGCGGCATACGGCCGGGTGGTGGACGAGCAAATTCAGCTCCTGAGCACCGAATTGCAGATACAATGAGCAAGCTCTATCGTCTTGAGCGGTCTCGGGACCACCAGAGAGCTCGATAGGAATGCTCTTCAAGAAGTAATCAAGATCGCGCTCGAGCTTCTGAATGGTGAGCTCGTACGAATGAGGCGGAGCGCGGACCGAGTAGATGGAAGTCTGCACCTGGATGACCAGTAACACCCACTTGAAGTTGTGGCATGCGACACGGTACGAACACTTGTGCCATTCGTCGATACAAGTTGCCTCAGTACCAGTGTTGTCATCGAGAGCCTTGGGAAACTCTACGTCAAAGTCTTCGAGGCGCATGGCCAAAGGTCGACCAAGCTTGTTGCTAATGGACGTGTGAATGACCAAGACACTCCAGAAGACACGCTTGCGCATCTCGACTTCATGCTCGCTGAACTCGGGGCTCGACTTGCCCCAAGCGCTGACAGATCTGTGCAGACCCATCTCTGCGCACAAGTTGAGGGTCAAGGTGGACATGAACCAGGCAGCACCTGGCTTTGTAAAGTTCCTCAGATGCAGACAGATCAGAGCGATGGCCTGAATGTTAGGCAGGGTACGCTTGGCCATCAGATCGGGAAGGAAGCTGGCAGCATAACGGTAGTGGTCGGCCCATTGGGTAGGACGGCTGTTCCTGACCGAGGACTGGAACAACATCATGGCGATGATCATGTGTAGTTGGACAGTCTCACTGATGTCTGGCTGATAGACTTCGTCCGAGTTGAGACGGTCGACCATGTCCAGAACGTCGGGCTTGTGGACAATTGGCGCATGACAGTTGACCGAGATGAAGTACCACTCGCAGAGAGCCTTGCACTCGCGGTACGACGGGAATGACGGAGGAGGTGGACGTTCCTGCGACGACTTGAAGGCGATGCTGAGAAAGTTCTCGTACGAGGTGGGCGAAAAGGCTTCGTCGTTGTCGTTTGTCACAAAGTCGACGAGGTCCAGCTCCATGCCGAAGAGAGCGACTGACGTGCCTTTGATGGGAGACAGCCATTCGTTTGCGCCCGAGATGCCGAGGTAGTTGTCGCCGAGAGAAGCGTTGCGATAGTCGGGCAGGGCGGCGGTGCTACGGGCACGAGGCTTGGACAGGTCGAGATGGGTTTCGGCACCGAGGATGGACGAGAGGTCAAACATCTGCTGAGGCCAGGCGTAGGCGGGCTGACCACCACCACCATTGAAGTCGAGCGGCATGATGGGCGCCGGACGAGGATCCAGGCCCGAGTCGATCAGCTGCTGGCGCAAGTCGTTGATGTGCTGCTTGAGGGCCATGTTCTCTCCTTCTATGTGTTCGGTATGGCCTCGTGACGTGGCGCGCCCGGTGATGCGGTCCGTCGTCTTGCACTCGAGGTTGTTGGCCATGCATGGCGAGCATCCTCCTGGACGCGCATCACATCGTATCTTTCGGACCTGCGCATACCGTTAGCGAGATGCCGTGGCACAGGAAGACGATGATGGGCATGTCTGACCTTGCATCGGTCGCAAGCTTGACCAGTCCGAGACGTCGTCGTCAACTTCTTGCGCACTGAGCGAGAAAAGTCGCCATTCTCCGACTTTGCTTGCTTGCCTGGCGTGCCCTCGGGGCTGCCTTCAGATGGCCGTTTGCTGCTCATGCCTCACTGCTCCCAAGACTGACACGGTATTCGCCGTGAGCAAGATGGACGCGGTACAAGCCGTGGTTTGCAAAAGCTGAAGCAGTCCAACTCAACGAACTCGATGAACTCGAGCAATCCAAATCTTGCAATGTCGGGCAAATTTGTTGTCGCTGATGGCCGTGTGCTCTCGTCAGTCTTGGATTACGATGTTATCGCCTCCCGCAGATGACATGCAATTTTCTCCTCTACCAACTGAGATATTCAAGAACGCGTGCCAGCCGAGTGCCGCACGTGATGACGCACTGACCTCAAGACTCCGTCACTCTTTCCCGATATCACCAAATCGTTCACTAAGCAGTCGTATAACAATTTATCCTCCTCAGTCTCAAAATGTCTACACTTGAGACCATCGCTCTTCCTCACCTTCCGCAATACCCTCTTTGCGTTGGGCTGTTCAAGGATGTGAAGAACGCTACTTTCCTCCGTCAGCAGCTTCTGGCTGGCAACGCCGACTTTGAATATGCTTTTCTTGATGCCTCTGTCGTAAGTTGCTTTTGGCAACATCAATTGGATTGTGCTCATTCTTTCAGGTTCTGTCTCGCAGGCACTTTCTTGCTGCCTCATTCAGAGGTATAAATGATTTTTCAAGCAAGCGTATGAAGAGCCACAACGTCCACTCTGAAATTGTCTTTTCTTTCTCACCCAACAACAACGTGAATATTCCACTTTCTGTCAAGCTCATACAGATACTAAGTTTTGCAGATTGCCGAATCGTTTCGCCGCTTTGGTATTTCAGACACAACACAACATGTCCTGGCTATCAAAGTCTTGTCTGGCTCAAACATCGCCGCAGAGTCTGTCAGCAAACATCTACAAGAAAACATTGACGGCGAGCAAGTCGAGGTATCAGATGCAATCCTTGCTGATCTAGCCGATCAAGCGAGGCTCCGCAAGATCTACAAGCTCAATGTACAAGCCAAAAAGGGTGCTGCGAATGGTACTACCTCACCAGTTTCTGAGATCAAGGAGCTTGAAACATCTATTCTCGGCGTCATGGCCCTCAAAGGTTCATGAACGACGTGCCTAAACCTCGTTTTTATCACAACATACTATCTCTGAGCAGGTGGAGCCCGTACTCGCCCGTCAGTCGAGTGCCACGATTTGCCGCATCACGATGCTCAAACCATGCTGATGTGAGCCACTCCTCAATCGAGATGAACCGCTGGCTTTCCAATGGTAGTCGTCCGGTCAACGACGTCCGAGTCCACTTTCGGAGTCGACAGAAGCACCAAGATGCGGTCTTCGGATGCAGGCAGCCGTCGAGATCGCACGTTTGTTGCAAGATCCGTTGGGTGCGCTCTACGAGTGGGCTGAGGAAGCGGATATGAGATCTGCGCAACACTCGCGCTCCAATGTCTCCCTTAGCTATGAAGACAGATACCTCAAACCTCGCCTGACAATCACTTGCAACTCTTCTTCCACTACTAGCCCGGACCATATCACACAGTATCAACAAGCTTTTTCCCCACGCATCGTGTAACGGTATCTGACTGCCAGCCACTGTGCACGAACTGTCCATCGATAGTGGCAAGATTATGACAATTAACTAACAGCTCATCATGCCTTCCTGCCAACGACGGCCTTGTTCAAACAATCCCTCTCCATTTACTCGCAAATCCAACGGCCATTCAATCTCTGCGAATCTCCATCGCATCTAGCCTTTTCGAGGTTTCTTCCAGAGCTATAAAGTCCGAACTCGATGCTTCCACTTTACCAATAAAGACTACACTCAACAACAGACCGTTGATCTATCCACCCCTTCATTCAGTCTTCGCGCCAGCCGAGGTGGACTCAATCATACACTTTTAACTTTGTGACTCAGCGATCAGACCAACGGCATTCGGTCAATGACTCTGCTTTTCACCTACCGGCCTTGGCTGACACTAGCTCTGCGAGTGAGTGATAACGAGCACCATGGACCCGGTGATTGATGGTCTCGGTAAAGGTAAAAGTGAGTACTAGTGAATGAGATGATTCTAGGTGACAAATGTTCTCCCTGAACGTGGGTGTGGTGTCTTCGGTTGCTGCTACTGAGGTAGTGAGTATTGGTGAGTACCCTAACAAATGCTTCAACAATTTGTCTTTGAACATATCTAGTATTCTGAAGTCATCGTCGACAAGCTACACACATGGTTGTACACTGATATGAGCCTCTTGATATCCCCTGGTGTATTTGAAAAAAATTTGATCTTTGCGCAATGTAAATCGAATTGCTGATAACGTAGCGTGAGATACTACTCAAGTAGCCCATACGAGCAATTCAACAGCACCGAGAACTGATTGATGTTGCACAAAAAGCGGTTAAACACGTTGGTACATAAGACTCTCTATCTCACACTGGACCAGTCCAAGCATCACGGACAAATGGCGCATAACCAGAGCGACCTCAACAACCATTTGGCGTACCATGTCTTCTGTCATATCTTAATCTGGTATCTGGTATCTGACCGAAGTCTCAAGGTGGGGGGGAGAAGAGACAGACAGGTTTGTGATACATATCCTTGAATCCTGTCTCCATGTCGCAACAGAGTTATAGACCTGATACTCCCACCCCTAGCAACAAAGCCTGCTTGGAAAAAACGTATGTATCCTTGAAATGAGGCTGTCTGATTTCCACATTTTGCGATGAGCGATGGCGAGGGGAATGCCCTCTTCGATATCGAGCCATGAGAGTTTGAGAGTGCGTTTTGTCTCGCGGAAGACCGACTGAGAGGTCGCTGGCTCTTGTCTCGAGTAACATGTAACATGGCCACGAAGACTGTTGAGTTTCCTACAAGACTTTGGCGTTCGAGAAAAGCGTGGATGGATATCAGTTGGACGGGAGTCTGAAGATGTCTTTCGCTCGTAGTACCCTTTATTGTCGTAGGGAAACTTGGCAAGAAGAGTTAGCCTCATGATAGCCTATTTTCCAAGGCAGATTTGCCAAGGTACCCCATGACACTTAGTTTCAAGATCATGGAGTTTGTGTGCCATGAGCGAAATCGATATGCAAGACTCATCAGGTAAAGATGAGCTTTGAGACATGCGTATGTCTCTTGTCTTATCTACCATTGCCAAAAGCGTGTATATTATCTACACTCTAGCGTGCCTGGATTCTTCTTTGACCATGTTGTTTGTGACAAACCTCGGAAGAGCCAACTTCGCCCTGAGGGAGGAAGTCGCAAAGCTGGCAGATGTTGATCTTTTGGTCTGCTCTACTTGATTCAATAAGATGTCAGTACGGAGTCGTGAAGATTCATGTCATCGAGGCCGAATCTTGTATAGCTTGGAGGAGAAGACGAGGGAGTAGAAGTGACGAACGAGGTGCGGAGTCACAGATCTGGCGTTCTGCTCTGGGCTGCAGACCATATTCTCACCGCCAGGCTCATCGTTTCGAATAAACACTGGTTTGTTCGAAGGCCTGGACATCTCTCCGTCGCCAGCGTTCATCGCCTTGAACATGATGGCAACTGTGGTGTCAGAGGCTGATCATTCTCTCGGAACAATCTCACTTATTTGGAATCATTTATGAGTGCTGCACCACTACAGTTGAAGCGCGAAGAAGAGAGAGGTAATAAATATCAAAGCATCGGAAAAGCCAGCTAGATGTTCATCAGCTAGTGTCTGATTTTCCTGATGCACAAATATACCATACATGCCAATGTTGAGCATGGCTGAGCATAGAGAATATCTCGATAAGAGTGCGACCTGCCTCAACGAGCAGAATCTATATCTCGATAAGAGTGCGACCTGCCTCAACGAGCAGAATCTATATCTTAATGAGTAGCTGCATCAAGTTATCGAGCGACCCGGATGTACCCTGGTGAAACGAGACGAGTGACAAAGTTGTATGACACGAAGGAACGTAGAAGGCAAGAGGACTTGTCTTCTTACATTCTCGTGAAAAACTTATCTGCTTCGCAGACCATGAATTGATGGACATGTCTCTCGCGCAGCCGTCTCTTCTTAGACGAGAACAGATGACATGATCGTGACTTGAGGCACTCGGAAAAGGAGGAAGGTCACTGACGCGAATTTTGGATCCAGCATCTTCATAGACACGAGCTAAACGCAGGGGCGTATAAGATCAAGTCGGCATACGAAGTCACAGACCCAGTGGTCTCGTTCAAGTGCTTCTGGGCCTGACAGGTCGAGATGCAAAAGGTCGAACAGCGTCCACATCCAGATTCGTACAGAGCACGACATTGTAACACCGAGGGCAACGATGGGGAGTCTTCAAAGAGCGTTGCGGCCTTTATATAGAGCAGCAGTGAAAGACGTCAGTTGTACGACTGCTGCATCGGGTGTAAATCATGTGATTCCTTCGCCCATACTCACATGCTGTCCTAGATATTCACGTGTGGGTCTCTGTCAAGACCTCCGGCGATAATTTGCCAGCGAGCGGGATTGAGCTGAACATGGCTGTGGTCAATGTATCTCCAGAAGAGTCGTTTCTTTATGCTGTAAGCATGGAAGTTATCCCTTTTACGCAAAGAGTGACAGTGATGTGTGCAACGATGAGATGTTGCTCTTCCATATCACCGAATTGATCCTCAAAACAGCGGTCGGTGATAGAGCTGTGGTCAAGCTGGATCGTGTAGGCATCTCACATATTTCCCAGATGGTAAGCGACTTGGAGCATCGAACAACTCGACATCGACTCGTATATTGAAGCCAAGAACATCGTAATCACGTTACCATGGCAGGACGTCGAATGTTATCGAGTATGGGAATGAGCAGGTAAGGCCACCAGAGGATCGTGCTCTTTCTTGCCCTACGTAATGCGCGGCAAGGCCAAGGGCATCAAATGATCTTGGCGGCGTTGGCGCTGAACAGATCTCAATCGATCGAGTCGTTTCGAAGCATGACAGAAGGAAGACGAGTAGTGTCAAGTTTTGTTTGCGCAAGACCTTTGGGAACACGGAAGGGCTCGCGTGTTTTCTGGAATGGAGAGTGAGAGTTGAGTGGAGCCGATCAGCCGTGGTATGCACGTTCTGACAACGGCAATAATGAGCTTAGCAAAACTCAAACCAAATTCCTCAGGTTAGCGAGCAAGTAGGCTTTCGAGCGAGAAACGCGATCCTGTGGATTTGCAGGAGAAGCGTTGCGGTGCTCCCTGAGGCCGCGTAAACCTCATCTCTCGGACGCTGCTCGGTTAGGAGTGTGATGCCAAACGAATGCCGCTTCAGCTTTCCATTCGTGCTGTGAGTGTGTTGTCCAGCTCGTCGGACAAGCCACGTTCAATAACGCTGTTCGGTGTTCCAGAAATCAAAATCCAGATTGCGGTCTTGCAAAAAGCATGTTGCCGCCACGATGACTTGCCGATAACGCCTAGGGCCAAGGCGAGCCAAAAGGCTTGTTATGCAAGACAAGCCTTTGGCACGCTTGGCAGGCGTTCACAAAACGTGGGCAACTCCAGAAGCGCTCGAGTTCCAAGCAAGCAGGGAGTCGACATGTTCGAGGATTGTGATACAAACGAATAAAGCAATCTTCAGAGTCTCACACTTCTTTGTCAAAAAAACCTCTCAGACCGGAAGTGGAAGACAGGAGAAGGTTTTGTGTTGCACAGCTGTAGGAGAAGGATCGGAAGTCCGGCTGGGGCTGCCCCCGAAACAGGCTGGTCGCACGCGCGTTGGCCAGGTTTCCCGGCTGTCTTTATCCGATGACGCTGTTTGATGAAGAATTCGATGCAAGACTACGCGGCCACACATTAAACGGTTTCGAGGGGGCTGGCCGCGACAGCAATTGACGGGAGCGAGTGATTTGTAGGAAGGTGTTGTATTGGCTTTCTGACGGCCTTTGCGCGACTTTTGTGTCGAGTGAAAGTGAGTCGTGGCTGCTGTCTCTGTTTTTATTTAGGCGCGCGATAAGCCTGACGACTTTGCACTCGTAATCACAACCCTTGTCCCTCCAACTCACGACCAGGATTATCTAGAAGCCAAGAAGGATTTGTCGATCTTCCACCTTCTTTGGTCATCTCTCACACGACACCAAGCAGGGCACGTCTCCACCAAACAAAGATCGATCAGGCACACGACCACTTTCCCAGCCTGGTTGTTTCTTCTTATACTTGCCTTTCCCGACTTCCGGACTACCTTTTGTGCACCATTCTTTTCCGACTTCTGGAATAATCTCACACTCACACACTGGACTCATCATGCGTCTGATCAACATTCTCCTGGCCACGACGGCTCTCGCTATTGGATCTGATGCCCGCCCCATGAAGGTCCCCACAGAAGACATACCTCGCAAGCGTGACGCAGATTTCGAGAGTGTACGGACGCGTCTCACCACAGATCACAGCGGCAAACGTGGTGATCCTAGAGACAAGTATTTTCACGAGTCGACTTTCCATCCCCATATGGATGGTCGCTTTGGTGACAGGGTCCTGAGCTACGATGACCGCCGATCGAATCTCACAGCCTTGATGCGAACTTATCTCTCAACCATGAATGACATTGGTGCCGAGACATGGATCATGCACGGAAGTCTTCTCGGCTGGTTCTGGAACAGGAAAATCATGCCTTGGGACTCTGACGTCGACGTTCAGATGACAGAAAAGTCGATGGAGCACTTGAGCGACTTCTATAACATGACCGTTCATCACTACAAGCTTCCGTCTTTCCCGGAAGGTCGCGATTACATGCTCGAGATCAACCCCCACTGGAGGAACAGCAGTACGACTGATAGCCTCAACGTTATTGATGCTCGCTGGATCGACATGAGCAACGGCTTGTTCATTGACATTACCACTCTTCACCGCAACACCACTGCCGAGGCACTTGGTATTGAGGGAGCCATGATGTGCAAAGACAAGCATCACTTCAACTTCACCGACATCTTCCCCCTGCGCGAAAGTGTATTCGAGGATACCCCTGTCAAGGTTCCCTACGCATATACCGATCTTCTCGCAGAAGAGTACGGCTCCAAGGCACTGGTCAAGACAACATTCGAGAACCATCACTTCGATCAACAGAAGATGGAGTGGATTCCTCTCTCGTAAGTTTACTGTCCCCTCTCTTTTGTTTTTCTTTTGTCCCCTATCGCATGCCAGGCAAGGCAGGGGCTCAACGAAGAAAACAGGCAACAGCAACTTCAAGGCTCTTGAGTCCAAGCCCTAACATTTTCTTTTGTGATAGCATGCCAAACTCTTTAAACGGAGCGACTGGTGGTGGCAGGCCCACCCACAAGATCGTCTACGCGAAGAACAGTGGGCGTCCTTCGAGCTCAAAGAACGGAGGCCATCTCCCCGGCTCGACAAGACCGGGTTTACAAGCAGATACTGTCGACGCTGCTGCGATACAAGGCCGTCCTCGATTGAACAGGCCAATAACACATCCATCCGACCTGACCTCATAACGACAATTCTTGCATACCCCTGTTTTTCCTTGCACATACAGACTCTCGCCGAGTCCTGTTGATGACTGCGCTTTTTCAGCGACGGCGTTTGGGAACTTCTCTTTCCATAGCATAAGAGCATTCTGCTTTTTACACGATACCACACGACGCGCATTGTCGATAGCGTCTTTGCACATCGCGACTCTTCTTTCACATAGCCATAGCATTCACGTCTTGGACACATCCAACCCAGGCCACCTTCCCAATTTCTTAACACTTCTCTCTTTCGCATCTTCGGATTGCAAACTTTCGTGGTGCGATAAACAGAAAACCATGAAAGCGCCACACGGCATCCCACACCCGAGCTTGCCCTGCAGACGTACACACTTGCCAGGCCGCGCAATCAAAATCGCTGTTTGCTGCAGCGGGCTAATACTTTCACACGTCGCGTGCCCATCCCCTTGCATGGTACTGTACCTGCCTCCCGAAAATCGATTCCAAAATTTCGCACAAACTCTTTTCTGTCGCATCTCGGACTCCAACACCGAGAATCCGAGCACGGAAGAAACTCGGACGACCTCTGTGCGACTCCAACATTTCCCCAGATCGACACTGTTTCCTCTTCGTTTCTGTCATCGTTACTGCCAGTGTCTGTTTCCAAAATACAAATACCGAGACAAAAGATGTAGGTGAGTGACAGTGTGAAAGGGCCAGAACGCGAAGGTTTCAGATTCACCGACTTGCGAGGGGAAGAGGCGTGATACTATTGCCGGATTTGGCGGATTCAGCCGTCAACGTTTAGGTTGGAGCTGGAAAGTAAGGTGCTTGAGTTGGACAGACAAGCAATTTCAAGATTTGACAAGCTTTTTAGGGGGAGCGATACGATGTGTTGAACGGTGAGGAGTGTCCGTATGGAGATGAGATGGTGAATGTGGAGCCGAGACGGGTTGCTGGGTAAAGCAGATGACGGGGAGTGCTGGAGCCATGGTGCGACTCTGGATGACAGCGACTACTCCCGCTCTCAGACGACGGTGTCGATAGAATTTTGCTCTCTTCACTATTATTTGTGAGTATTTCCAGACTCCCATTTCTTCCGGCTTCTACACGGACTTGCACCTCTGGAGTAGCTATCCACTACCATACTCTTCCATTGGCCGACTCTTTTCAAACATTCATCACTTCACACAGTATCATGAGTAGCCTGTCGAGTGTTCTGTCCGCATCCAAGCTGGGAGATCTTAGAGAGATGGCCAGCAGATGGGACTCACAGGCCTATGGAGCACACCTGCCAACTATCAGCTACCGGACCAGTCATTGGCTGTGAAGTCTCTCTTAAGCTAAGGACCTGAGTCACACTTTCACCAATACGGACCTGCGGTTCTGCTGTTCGCGTTGTTGACTCTGCTCAGCTCTGAGCGTCAAGGTCCTTTACTACCAGGGGAACGTTGTGCTGGTCATAGCGCTTGCTGCGGTGGTGCGGTTAAAATTGTGCACACTGCAATCACCCTGGACACTTATATATGCGAACGTGGTTGCTGTTTGTGTGCCAACCATCTGCGTAGGCTCTTGGGCACTAGTGCCTAGGTCGATGCTTGTCTCGGCTACGCGGCCGATGCTGTGACCGCGTGAAGATGGTTCAAGTGTCAGATGAACAAATCATCTCTATTCTGATGAGCCAAGTCCTCTTCAGACCATGTCGTGGCCGTGTCACGTAATATTTGACTGAGACAAAGGAATGGGTACAATGTCTCTTCAGTCATTAACATGCTGGTGAAGGACAGCCTTCCAATTTTGCCATCGGCAGTCTAGCATTCAATACAATTTCCTTCTCCGCCCTCGCACTTCTTGCTCAAACCAGCCTGGCTCAAATCAGCGCTCTTGAAGACTCTCAAAGGATCAGTAGCACGTGGTCTGATTACGCCACAAGCTTCCCGTCGTTGTGCAGGAGGAGGTCCACGAGACAGGTCAGTGAGTACCCTGGATTACTATGGGTCATCGGCGAACAGTTTGAAAATATTTGGCTAGTTGACCGCACGGCTCCTGAGATGTGCAGGATAGTCTAGAGGACCACCGACCTGGCGTGTTTCTCTTTTGTCCTTTCGTGTAATTTCAAGGGCGGGGGTTGCTGATCCAGGCCCTCACACCTCCTATAAGACTTCTCTTGTATCTCAGCATTGACAGGTCATCTCTTCGTGACATAACAATGCAGTGATCCATCAGATCAAAGCAATTCGAGTCTTGAAGTTCATGCTGTCATCAACACCCTGCTCTGATCCACAGGCGGGAAAAAATCTCCTCGGCTCTCGTCAGATGTCGTGATATATCGAAATCAAAAATAACCTCCAGAGCGGCTTAAGTGTATCGTTATGCTGAGGTAAGAACCTGTGGTCGGCGTGCGACCTGATTGGATGGATGTCATATCCAAGACTTCAGTCTGCCATAACTTGCTTCGCTACCATGGAAAACACTTGCATCTCTGCATCAAGACGCAATCATCCTCAACACGGTCGCGCTGTACATTGCGCTTCTTGACGTTTCCATCTTGTTTTTTTCTCTGAGCAGAAACACTGTGCATTGTGCGACGACAGGGTCATGATATAGTGAGAGGCATATGCATTCATAGATCGTCTCTAAATAATACTACTGACTCCTTTTCTCTTCACTCTGGCTGATCCTCGATACTTTGTCTTCTGTGACATTTTAGCTTCCACCTCCGAGAGGCCCTTGTCCCACCAACAGAGGAGCAAAGACACCTCCAAGCACCGGTCTGGCAGCGAAATTGAGACCGCCAGGATAATCACCACTATCAGTCTCGTAGAGATCAGTGAACGGTCTATTAGTGCTAGTCTTGCCGATCCAGTTTGCGATCTTCGAGATGAAGAGCTCTTTCGTGGAAGGAGAGGCGACAGCAGCGACAAACATCTCCCAGTCAAGTTTGGTGTAGCTGTGGCGGGTATCTAGAGGAACTGTATATACATGTCAGCGATGCATGAAGTGGAAGGAGTGGAAAGACTTACCGCCATACTGCATTGCGATGGTTGGGTAAAAGGATGATTGCATCTTGTACACGCTGCGAGGTACAATGTTGGTGCCCACCCAGGCGTCGGCGTATAAGTTGTAGAGTAGCCCGTGACTCTCTAATTCGCCATACGCAAGTGTAGTGTGTGAGAGAGACCCGTTCGTACCCCTAGCGATTCCCAAGTCTTGCCACTTGGTAATGAAGTCATGAGCTATGTTGGTGAAGTTCTCAGCGTCCTTGGTCTGACCAGTAAGGTTTGCAATGACAGCCATGGCCTCAATACCGATTATGCCCTTTAACGCCAAGTTCGTTTGATTAGCTAACGAGCCTGCGAAGTCGTCGGTCGAGATCTGGTTGGAAGGAATCAAAGAGTCGATGATGAGGTAGTCATTCCATTGCTTGAGGATATGGTAGTGTTGCTTGAGATAGTCAGTACCGCCAGTGATCTTCTGAGCCACAGCAAGAGCCATGATGATCATGTTGCCACACTCTTCAAGTGGTTGGTTCTCAGCGTTGCCATCATTATGACCAGTTGCGTTAGGGAAGACGCCGAGGTCATGGATAGCGTAAGCTTCAGGCCAATTACCTGCTTCCTGGTTGATAAACAGTGGTTCAAGCAGCAAGCGACCAAGGTCGGGGTTGAAGTACATGAAGAGTGGAAACGCAGGGAAGATGACATCCACAGTCTGCATATCACCATTGCTACTGATCTCCTTCATGAACAGGTGGTACGAGTCTTGCGAACCGGCAAGCTGAGTGGTCGCAAAGACTTGACGAACGGCGAGACTAGTGACGGTAAGATATTCCTGCCCTGCGTTTGCAAGAGAATCGGTGGCGACCCTTGTATCGATACTACTAGCACTAGTCTGAGCGTTGGCCCAGTCATTGTAGAAGAATGATACCACATCAAGCTCGCTAGAGAAGTAGCTGGTCCAAAGTGGAGGTAATTGCTGGACCTTATTGGTGTCATACTCGAATTGAATAGCTTGCTCTTGCGAGAGCGTCAGGGTGAACAAGGCTGACTTTGAAGTACTTCCAACAGATCCGAGATCAAGAGCGAAGGCGAAGACCGGCCATTGATTGCTGATGGCTCTGTAGTTGGTGTTCAATTCATTGTCGAGCACCCCGTTGGTGATGAATGCCCCTCGCACATCGGTGTCAACGCCACCATTTGAGTATGTCAGTCCAGCGTGATCACAAGCATAAATCCAGTTTCCCCAACTGGCTTGATCGGAGTTCTCGACGAAGACTTGCTGATCCTGGCGGTAGAAGCGATGATAAGTTACATCATTTTCTGAAACAGCACTTGGAGCGCTAGTGGCCGGCGAAGATGAAGGTACTGTCACTGTTTGCATAGTGGATAGATTTGTCGCAGGGTACTGGCGTTTGGTAGGAGTCGTCTTGATAGTGCCAAAGTCCCATTCTGCCACGGCAGACCTGTCTCCAGAAGCCCATTCTGCAGACACATCGGAGTACAGCTGGACTTCGTGCTCAGTACCATCAATGGAGAAGACCTCGACATTCATGTATGATGCCGGAATTGATTGACGTCGTAAGTCTGTAGACTCGACCGGCGAAAGGAAGGTCACATTTAGTCCAATCTTACCGTCAACTGAGAGGGAGAATACTGATTTCGTGGAAGTGTACTCGAAGCTGTTCTGAGTAGCAAGAACAAGTCCACCTGGTGCACCCATCCAGGTCACTGCAGCACCTCCATCGACCTTGATGAGACCTGGCGATGGTGTCAACGATCTGACTCTGTTGATGAAAAACCGATGTATCTACCTGTCCAACCGGTCACTTGACCCCTGTGAAGTGTTAGCAGATAGGATCTCAAGAAAAAGTAGCGGAGAACCTGCGCCCAGAATTTTGGCCATTGACCCGCAAGCTGTCAAGGTCAGCGTTGTCCATATTTCAGTGGCGATTACTGCTTACGTATCCACCGTTACCTCCATCGCTTCCGGCTTGCTGCCAGGTGTTGAGATAGGGGTTAGAGACAGCAAGAGGTAAGGCTGGCGGTCTGGTAGGTGAGAACGTGGACTGTGCTAAGACAGTTGAGATGAGCAGGGATAAAGATGTCAGAGACAGCATATTGTCTCATGAATAACAATGCAATGTGGTGAGAAGTGATCAAAACAATGGGAACATGCGTGCCTTTATCAATTGGCCATTCTAGCAGCCGAATTTGATATAGAAAGCAGTGTAGAAGATCGGCATAGGGCATGATCAGTGATCAGGAGCATGCGGAATGTAACATCCAATGAGTGAGTTTTGCATATTCAACGGTCATACTTATGTGCTGTCATCTGGCGCTGCTTTTTGTGTAGCTGCCAAGCTAGTGATTTACCAGTGTTAAAGCGTCGCCGAGAGCATTGGCGACAGACATGCTCATATGATCCCCTTACCATAAGGTCTCAGACGTGAGGTACAGGAGTAGTCATCTTATAGCATCTCATCTGATTAACTGTCTGAAGTCGCATAGAGGGTCGGACGAGCGCTTAAGATTGGGGGAAAGAGCTTATCCCAATTTGACAGTGTCGTGTGCCAAGTGACGGCGTATTGTTAGGAATGAGGTGCCGTCTTGTTCTGAGGCACTTTAATTTCGCAACGAATGACTTGAGTCAGGAGCTCAAGTTGTAGCCATAAGGTCGCCATAGCTCGATGGCGGCGAATCAGAGTTTTGCACGATCGACGACATGGTGGAGGTAGAGCGGAGTAACGACCATGCATAGAAGCTCGTGACCAGGAGAAAATGAACGATAGGCGATCGACAGTAGCTTTTCTTGTGGTGAATAATCCCCGGTGTTGCACTGCAGCACGCCAGTCTACGAAGTCGGTGAGCATGGAGCGTAAAGAGTGGTGCTGATGGAGGAGCAGACGTCTTGGATGTCTTGGAAAGGAGGGCGTTTGTCGGACAGGGTCACAAGAAGGCTTGTAAATCTTCCGGTCAAGACTTTTGGCCAGCCGAGGCTTCGATCTTGAAGCGGCGCGTCCATCACCAATGTCTCCCATCACTGCACGTGTCAACAGCGTACATCATGGCAAGCCGCGGAGAATTGATCTATCCTGAGGACGACCGGGTGTTTCTCAAACCTTACCTCCCTGTACCAGATCGATCGCAAGATTCAAATGTGCCTTTCGTCACGCTCACTTTTGCGACATCACTGGATTCGGCCTTGTCACTAGCCCCTGGTGTACAGACAGCATTGTCAGGTCCACAGTCGAAAACTATGACTCACTATCTTCGCTGTAAACACGACGCCATCATGATCGGTGTTGGTACAGCAATTGCAGACGATCCCAGCTTGAACTGCAGGGTTCAAGGTGTGGGCGGATATGGTGGTGAAGGCTTGACTGGTCAACCACAGCCTGTGGTTGTTGATCCCCACGGAAGATGGCAGCTGACTTCTAAGACCAAAATCTTGAACCTCGCCAGAGAAGGACGAGGCAAAGCGCCATGGATCTTGACTTCACAGACGCCCAGTGTGGAGAATGTCAAGCTGTTGGAACAAGTGGGAGGATGCTACATTGTGCTCAATACACCAACGTCCACCTCTGAGAAGCCCACAATGGCTTGGCTTGATATGCTTCGGGCGGTCAAGGACAGAGGTGTTGAGAGTATCATGATTGAAGGCGGTGGTGTCATTATCAATTCACTGTTGGCGGCGGATAATGCGGATCTTATCGACTCTGTGATTGTGACCATCGCACCTACCTGGCTAGGTCAAGGCGGTGTTGTTGTGTCTCCTCCCAGGACAGAAGGTAGTAGCCTGCCAGTCGCTCGTCTGAGACAGACGAAATGGCAGCAATTGGGCGAAGATGTTGTTCTTTGTGGAGTCCTGAAGGCTTGAAAGACTATTTCCGCTGCTTAGAAGCACTGGGTTGGCCATTCGTGACCTGCCTCGGCGGCAGCAAGCACCTTAGATCCGTCGGGGGTTGAACTTGAAAGACACATCTCGCTTCCTATTGGGGACCAAGCGCTTGGTCACGGCTTCTTGCAGCTTTACACTCGTTGCGTAGTCGGCGCTTACTCACCAACACGCCGCCAGCAACCTTTCCCAACATCTTCCGTTCCAGTTCATAGAGGTATCAACCATGCCACATCTACGAACAGCGATGTACAACCATAAGGAAATGTCCAGAATCGAGAAATGGGGCACTGGTGAGCATTGAAGTTTATGTCGCTGGAGCAGAGCGCTGACTTATGCAGGTCTCTTCGAGAACGATAAAGACATCAGAATCGTCCGCGGCTTTTCTTATGAGCGCGGCGTTGGTGGAACGACTGCCATGCTGCTCTATCCAACCGATTTGCTTGCACAACGCGAGCGGCTCGATGATGGCGTAGCCAATCGAATCTTCAAGAAACATCTTCCTTGTGACGACGTGCTGGATCGCACTCTTATTGACAATGGCACGAATCAAAATGCAAGAAATCCCGCTGCCTACAAACTCTGTATTTTTGGTGCCGTAATGATGCAGCTTGGCTGTTAAATCTGTCCCGACATCCGTCAATTCATGGAAAAGCATCATGCTGTTGCTGGATTCTTGCGCAACTCCCAGGTCCAACTTCAACACGCACTCAAATTGTGTGTGAATGGCAAGCCTTATAAACCTCATACCAAAGATCAACCAAGAGGTTCTATCCATACCGATGAATGGACTTCTCAGCTCGATTGGGGTGATATTGCGGAGCATCACGTTTCTTTGTCTGACAGTACCGATCCTTTCATCAAAGAGTTCAGTCGCTTGTTCTTCGGTACACACTTCAAATGTACAGCCGCTGGGGACAACGACTACCCGCAAGAGGCGTGTGGACATTGCGGCAAGGAAAAGTCCGACGATGGCGCCCCATGTCATCCCTGCTCCCAGTGCGGCCACCGACATTACTGCAGCCGCAAGTGGTAAGTCTCATCCCTTTGGAACCAAAGGAATGTAACGTACTGATTCATTCAAGTGAGCTTGCGCACCGGCCGAAGCATAAGCTGGTCTGCGATGACCGTTTCTACAAAGTCGTGGGTAATCTGGTTGCGAAATCGCAGAATCAGGCAAGAGATGCGGATAGTGACATGCGTTCTGGCTCCGATGTGGGACAGGCTCGGTTATCCGGCAGCTCGACTCCTGCCACTAAATTTCCGGATGGTCCTTTGACATGCGGTAACTGCGATGCATCTAGACTGAGCAGCAGCCGCTCTCCATGTGTCAGAAATGTCGCAGACAGTACTACTGCATCAAGAAATGTCAAAAGGCCCATTGGTCATCACACAAGAAATTGTGTCTCGCCCGGACTATGATTTGAGACAGCCAAAGACTTCGCCTTGTGTCAACACATTTCATTATCTGAAAACCTGTTGGACTGTTCATTGTGATGCCACGACGTGAGAATTTGGCCTCGACAAAAGATTCGTACAATAAAATCATCTGCATGGGCAGAAGTGACCGTACCCCATCGAATATAAATATTCTCAAGACTTCCTGGCTGGCCGAAACATTCGGCTTATTCGCTAGCGGCGTTCCTGATCACTCAAGCTCGCCACAGGAGTTTGAGCTTTTGAGAGAAGTCGAGGGCATCTGGAATGCCTCGCACACCATCATATCAGATACATCAAGGTGGCAGCGTCGCACGTCCATGAACCTTCATCTACCATCTCCAATCTCGTCTTTCAATACTCTCCTGAGATGAGACTTGCGTGACGGCGGCGACTGTAGTTTAACGACAGCTAGAGCTGGAGCGAGCGAATCGACACATTTGGTCATGGACGTGATGGCTCAGAGGAGGGTCGCCTGTGCAGTACCCTCCGGTCTCACTGCATGTTCTCCAGAGAGAAGTCACACCTCTGCCTGATAGGATTATGCTGCTACTTCTCCAATCTTTGTCATGTTAGCGAGCTTGGTGTTCTGGACTGGGTATGCCTCCGGCACGCCGAAGCTCGCCTACAAACTAAAATTGCTCAATCGACCTTTCCCGCCCCCCAACTTGCCGTCATCTGACACTCTCTTTCAAGGAACATGTTCGAGTTATATCAGGTCCCCCTCAACAAGCAAAAAGCCGTGGTAGTGTAGTGGTCAACACACCCGTGGTCTTAACACGTGCGTGGTCATTCGTTGTTACTCAACGTCGTGTCAGTCTAGATCCGAGGAGGTCGCGGGTTCGATTCCTACCTATGGTGCTTATCATTTTCTATCCATTTTGGTCAACAAAGCGGAAGATCCTTTTTACTAGTTGCGCCCGGTCGCATCTTCGCTCCGAAATCCCCTGTCAAGCAGTCAGACCAAGGAAAGAGCGATACATGAGAGCAGATGCGACTCTTTAAGACTCACTAACCTCTTTATAACTTCTCCCTCGTGACTTCCTTGGAGTTGACAAGATCGAGGAGGGGTAACACATCGCATTTGCTCTTATACATGGTATCCTCAGCGTGCTGTTCGCCTTGATACAAATCACTCTGGAAACAACACTCTTATACTGAACGTATCCGCAGCTACTGACTTTGGTCTCATGACAAACCTGCTAATTTTTTTCGTACGAGATGAGTGCATTTACTTTTCGAAGCTTAACACCTCAAAAAGCTTTTTCACAACCGCTCAAGCCGATCACTACTCATACATATTAACAAGACCAAAGCAAAAATCCAATGCTTACAACTTTTCTACTCTGTCCTACCAGCAGACATGATATCACTATGAAATCAGCACTTCCCACGCATTAGCTCAAACTACAAACCAGGAAGCACTATGGCGAAAAGTGTGAGACCAGAACATCACTGAAAGAATGTGCTGTGCATATGATGTGACGTACTGATGTGACGTACTGCTACCCACGGCGAGAGCTACTCAAAGTAACTCGCCAGGTCAACGACCCTGAACATACTGATCATCTTCTAGTGCTCCTTTCTGCCTCGACAAATCATGCAAAGTGCGAATTCGGAAATTCTAACGAGCGAATTGAGCGTCACAGACCCCTCTCTCCTTCCTCATTTACGCAGCCTCACGGCAGCATCACCGTAATCAGGAAGCCTGACATCAGAGCGCGCACCCAAAAGCTGACTCTTTGTCGGTAGCCATGTACAGTGTTGAAAATCATGTTGTCTCGTTCCCTTCTTTTGTGGCTTTATACTTGCACCTCACATGTTCAGACGCAAGTGGCCATCCCGTTATCGAGGGTGTGTGATTGTACAAGTAATGCAATTGATGCTTTCATCTTACTATAAATACTCTTCTCCTCTCATCTTTGTCATTTGGTTCTAAAATACAATTTTTCTTTCCTTTCGTCTTCATGATTACAAGATCAATAACGCCATGCTAGTGTTTCATCCCTATGAGAATACCGAGAGAAAAAAAAAAGAACACCCAGAACCCGTAAAGCTTCATCCCTTTTCTCCTTGCCTCCTCGTTTCCTTAAGCCAAGTTATCAGATCTGTCAACCCAGACATCTTCCAATTCGGCAAAGTTCTGGAAGTGAACAGGTCTGTGCACGTCATCGTAGAATCTCTTGGGCACACCGACATCGACGTAGATACGACCCTTCTCCTTGTCGCCGAAGCCTGAGCCCATAAACGACCAGTTCCATCTCTCGTCATCAGGGACGAAGAACATTCCTCTGATACGGTCAGAGAGAAGAAGCTGTGACTTCTCACCAAAGCCGGCGCCAGGGTTGAAGCCGGAGGGCTGGTCGCTGGACATGTCCTTGTTCTCAGCACCCCAGGTGTAGCCTGAGGGCGTGAGAGACCATGCTGACAGCGAGACGGAACCAGGAGTGAAGGAGACGGTCATGGTGACAGTCTTCTTGTCCCATGTGTCGTGCTGGTTCATGAGGCGAGCGTGCTGGGTGACGTCTTGTGCAGTCATGTAGCTGGTCTCGTTACCAGCGGTGGTGTGGATCCATCCAAGAGGCTCAAGGGAGTTGAGATAATCGTTCTCGGGCAAGTTGCGAGGAAGCTGGATGTCACGAGTGTTACCAACTTGCGGCACCATGACGATGGCCTTGACTTCCTTGATCTGCTTGTTGTCCGGCGGCGATGTACCGTAGAGGTAGCCGGCAACTTGGACACGAAGATCGGCAATCGTGATGAAGCGCTTAAGGATGTTCTTAGGCATGATGTAGGTGAAGTGCTCCTCATCATCGCGAATATCCTCAGACGAGATGTAAATGTTGTTGGCGCGAGTGCGGAGGTTGGACGTGGCGATCGCACGTGTTCTCCACTCGGTCTTGGAGGCGAAGGTCTGCTGCTCGAATTGAGACGTGGTGGTGACGACAATGTCTTCACCGTTCACGTTCTGCGTCTTGGTTGTAACAGCAGTGAGCTGAGCCTGCTCTTCCTGCTGCTTCTCAATTTCGGCAGCCTGTTGTCTCTGCATACTGGGTGCACTGATCTCCATACCCAGAATGATATCTCTGACTTCACTCTGTGTCAGAGAAGAGACGTTGACATTGTTCTTCTTGCCGTAGTCATTTAAAATCAAATCTCTGAGTTGCGTTTCAACCTTGATCCAGTCATCGTCGGACAGCGTAGGCCAGATATGATGTTCTTGAGTGATGACGGTCTTGTCGGGGCGAAGCAGCAGCTTAGTCTTGTCTTGATTGACGTGAAGAGCACGCAGGATCAAGATTAGACGCGAGAAGGCGGTGTAAGAAGAGATGGACTTGAGCCACTCATCATACAAGTTGAAGAGCACCATCTGCGGCTCAGTAGCACGCAAGATCATGTCTCCAAGCTTCTCAACCTTCATCGCAGCCTGGAAAGGTAGCTGCAGCTCAGAAGCGCGGATCGAGATGTTGGGGAAGTCAAGCAAGTGAACTTCGAGAGGATCAAGCAGACCCTTTCTGGTAACAATCAGCTGCTTGGGCTGTTCCTCAACGGGCAACGAACGGATCAGCGCGGCGACTTCTTCTGCCGTCTTCCATTTCGCCAATTGACCAAGACGCTTTTGTCCTGCCCAGACACTGGTATGAATGATCTTCAAGAACAACTGACCAGTTCTAGGGTTGAAGATGAAAATGGCACCGTTGATGGGCTTGGTGGTCAAATTACCTTCGAACGTCTTGTGAATGGTGACACGGTAAACGTTAGTGTCATCAATGAAGAGCTGGATCTGGTTGCTGAACAGCTCAGAGTAGTTCTGAGAGTTGAGGAACTCCTGGTTACTCTCAGATGCGTAGAGCTGAAGACCCTTGCGAATACGCTCACGAAGAACATACAGAGCAGGGTTAGCCTTCATGACCTTGGCCATAGCCTGTTGTACAAGCTGCTTGAGACCAGGGAAGTATTGACCGTATGCCGAGTACAAATTGTAAGCAAGGTCGATACCAATCATCAAGCCAGTGGCTGATGGGTAGATACTCATGCTGTCGGAGGTGTAGTCGAGGTATTTGGCACGGACATAACGCTCAATGTCATGAGAATCGTAATCACCGTAACGAAGCTGGACATCGACCCAGAACTTGTTGGTGGTAGTCTGACCCATGTTGTCCTTGGTGTCGTACAACAAGCTGGGTGTGCTTACACTCCACTTGTGGGAGGCGAACAGGAGGATATCAGCACAAGAAGAGTTCATCTTGTAACTCTTTCTGGGATGGATGGTCTCCTTCTGAACAGTCTCGATGCCAAGAGCCTCAAGCTCTTGATCGAAGACCTGACACAAATCCATGACCACTGATTCGTGGATCTTCTGCCACAAATGGGCACGGAAGATCTGAATAAGCGAAATCTTGAGAGTGGGAATCTTGCCGTGCAAGAAAATACCAGTCAAGTCAAGTTGGACCTGGAAACCGACGTATACGTTGGCGCGGTTGATCTGCAGAAGAAAGAAGTTAGCAATTGGTCAAAGTTCAATGTCAAGTAAGCATCTCCCATGAAGTCGTCACTGGCAAAACAAGCTGTCGAAATGCATGAACTTTTCTGAGTTCTTGCATACTTTCACGGAGAGTTCAGCAGCTGCGCTCTCTCAATGGAAGCACTTCTCAGCGACGAAAAGTCTGTGCATTGCGGCAACCACTTGTGATTACTAGACCATGTGCGGGGAGAGACGGAATGAAGGCAGAGTAAAGAGCAGGGGTGATATCAGGGGTGAAAACGGGGGGTATGAACTTACTGTTGGTGACCACCACAAAGTGAAGCGACGGTTAGGAATTTGGTTCAAACCGGAACGTTGAGCGTTTGTCAACTTCTTGAACTTCATGGATTCCTCGAAACCACTGGCACGTTCCCAGAAGAGACCTTCCCAGGAAGGGAAAGCAGTTGCCTTGAACAGAGTGTGCTCAAGAATGGTCTCGACACCACCAAGAGCCTGGATAACATCGGTTCTGTATGCATTCAAATTCCATAGTTTACCATCGTGACGCTGGGAGGTCCACCAGAAGGGGTTGCTCTTCATCTGCTGGTAGATCTTGAATTCAGTGCGAGCTCGGAAGCCCTTGTCGAAACTCAATGTACTTCTGTCCTTCTGGAAGAGTGTGTTGATACGAGGAAGACCACGGTCCCAACTGTCCTCAAGATCTTCGAGAGTGAGACGGCGGTTTTGCTGCTGAGCCTCGAGGCGCTTTTGCGAGTATTCGGTCCAGACACGCTGCGAGTCGACAAACTCGGCCTCCCATGGGATGATGTAACGGAAGATGTTGGGAATGAGAGTCTCTTCATCGTGAGACATACCAGCACGGTAGTGGGTAACACCAGTGTCTGTCTGCTTTGACCAACGCTTGTCACTGGCAGGGATCAAGATGTGACTACCCGAAATCATACCCAAACCACCAAGCTCCTTAGGGGTATAGAAGACAGCAGGTGGGAAACGACTGGGCATCTTCGAGTTGAGACCAATCTTAACACGAGTCTGAATCTTGGTCTCACACTTGACGATGGTATCTAGCAAGCTGACTGTGCTGACAGCAGCCTCACGGTAGTAGGTGAACAATGCAATCAATGCCGTGTTCCACTTGTTGGCGATCTTCGTGAATGTAGTAGATCCAGAAGACATCAAAATTTGTCGAATACGGTTGTTGAACTTAGCAATATCCTCTTCGGTGACTTGCAGGAAGGCATGAGCCGTTCTCTCCTTGGTAGAGTTATCGACAAGAGACCAGACACTGTCCTTTGTGGGGAACTCTTCGTTCTGGTTGCGCATCTTGGGCAAGATGCGGACTTCGAAACCACACATGGAGAAGAGCAAGTTAGGGTTGTCTCTGCTGTATACGGAGGCGAAGGTGTCATCCCATTCAATCGTAGTGACCGATCTTGGTAGACGGTTCTTCATGTCCCAGAAGACGGCTCTACCAAGGTTGACATCGTGGCGCATCAGCCTCATACGAGAGTCACGGGGCCAGCACTTCTTGTTCTTGTAGCCAATGACATTCTCGAAGTTCGGGTCGGGCTGCTCGGTCAAGAAACGTTGGATCAGGTCGCGAGACTCGTCTGCGGTGAAACGGAAGAAGACCCAGATTCTGTCGACATATCTTGTGTAGAGACGGATCGGATGTCTAGTTTCGGCAGCACGGTCTCTGAATTGTAAGAAATCATTGGGAGCGTTGACGGGTCCGGCCAATTCACTAGCGCGTTGCAGACCAAGCAACAACAGATCAATGACCAAGCCGTAGTACTGGAAGACAAATGCAGAGAATTGGAGGCCACGGATCATACCGTAACTGTTGGTGTGGTTCATATCCTTGTAGTTGAGCTGGACGTTGTTCTTGGACGAGATGTAATCTGCCAAGTTGTGGTCCATGATCAGACGAAGAAGGCGGTTGAGCAGGGTCAAGTCGATCTTCTCGTAGACCTTGGAAAGTTGAGTCTCGATCATGACGTTACACTCTCCATCAGCAGTCTCCCAGACCTTGTCGAGGTTGTTGATACCCTGTGCCCACTTGTAGGTAAGAAGCGGAGGCACCTCAGAATCTGAAGGCTTGATCCACGCAGGGAAGAGATGTCTCTGATCAGCCTGGTACCACAAGTATTGATCAAGGTAGGCATCGGTGATCTTCTCGATAGGTTCGATGTCGTAGACAGGGTTGATGGTCGAGTAGTTGTCGTTCATATCAATACCAACCTCCTTGAAAGCACGCTGTGTAAGCAAGAAACGCTTGATACGTGCGAGGGTGGTTCCGGGCGAGTCGTAGGCTTGCTCGATGAGTGCCAACTCCTCACGCTGACTCTGATTCAGACGGCCCTTGACCGAGTATGCCTCGCGAAGACGTTCGAGAGCCAAGATGAGGATCTTGGTGTCGTGCTTGTAAGAAACACTGGGAAAGGGGATAGGCTGGAACTTTCTTGACTCGAGCCAGTGGACAGTAGTCGTATAGATGGCGACGGCTTCTTCGGATGAGACGTAGGGACCATCCTTCATGTAGTTGTGCTGGCGTTCCTGCTCAGCCTTCAACCACAGACGAGTAAGACGACCAAGGTTCTTCTTGGCAACAGTCTTGTCAACAGTAGCACCTCTTCGGATACGCTCACGGTTGTAGTGGGCGACAGAGATCCACCAATCAGCCTTACTCTTGACGTAACGCAGAATGATGTTCTCAATAGGTGCAGGGAGACCAGGAACCTTCCAAGGAATGTTGGACTTCCAACATCTCCATGCCTCTGACAAATGTGAGAGGACAAGATTGACCTTGTTCTGCTTGATACCCTCGGGCATCATGTCCATCAAGTCAGCCATGACCGAGGCACGCAACTCGAGATCGAAGTGAGACTCGACTCTCTGCTTGGTGACTGTCTTCGCGACACCCTTGCTGTGACGACCCTCGAACTGTCTCGAGAGAAGGTTACCCAACCAGCGCTCAAGGAGGGGAATGATACCTCTCATGAAGAAGAGCCAGACTCTCCAGGCGGGAGCCCAGAAACCACAACCAGGACCCTTACCAACAGGTCCAGAGTTGAATCTGTAGTAGATCAAATGCTTCAAGTCCTTGCAAGTACGAATCTGGTGCATAAGCTTGTACTTGTAACGGTACATACCAGTGAGCTGACCAACGTGGTTGAAAGCATACAAGATACCATCGGCAAGCTGAAAGGCATCAATGTTACCTAGTCTGTACTGTACCTGAGCATCGACGATGAGCTTCGTAAGGCGAAGGATTTCACGCATCAAATGGAAAGCGTTACCGAAGCGCGACTTCTTGCGCTCCTTGGTAGTCAAGGTCTTGATGGGCTTCAAGTTGAAGTTGTAATCAAGATGGAGGTAAGTCAAGTTCTTGCGGTGAATCAACAAGTTGAGCATGTTGAAACCCTGTCTGCAGACTTGAAGACCTGCCTCAACCCAATCAATGGTGGTCTGCTGGAAGAACTTTGTCTGCTTGAGAGTGCTCATCAAGTTTTGCCTGTTCTGAGCCTTCGGGGGCTTCTTGTGCAACTCGTTGAGAACGTAACTCTTCAACAGCTTCTGGTAAGAGACTCGGACCTTGACAGGCTGACCGCCAGGAACGTGCTCAAGGTACCACTGCTTGACGAGGGGGACGTCTTCGGCGCGGACCATCTTTCCTGAACGACGATCGAAGGGGTACGGTGCCCACCAGAGCTGGATTGCGGCAGCGGTCTCGTCGTTGTAGAGCTCCTCGTCGGCCATGAATGGCTCGATCTCACCAGGCATCTCGAAGTCATCATCCTCATTGTTTCCAGGGCCGAATATCTCATCCTCATGGCTAATGGTCAAGTTCTTGGGAGCGACAGCTCTAGAAGAGATAGGGTTGATGACAGGGTCGAAATAGAAGGCAGGAAGACTGGGGTCTGTCGTCCTTTGGTAAACAGTCTGAGGGTGTGAGTATGTGCTGAGCTTCACGCTACGAGGTAGAGAATTGTAAAGGAAAGGGAAGTCGACACGATATTCGGTCTTGATAGGAGCACGGAAAATAATACGGTCGATGGCGTTGAATTCGCCAAAGTCCTCGTCGTTCGGGTCGATGTCCTTGTACAGGGGCTCGAAGCGGGGACCACCGGGAATGGCAACGTTAAGGGCCTTTGCAGTTTGGAAACTAGGCAGATCGAAGAGGTGGAAGTAGTTCTTGTCGACCAAATCGCTGAGCAAAGGAGTGCTCATACGGTGCAGAGCAGCCATTTGCGGTAGTGACAGATTCCACTTCTTGTATCCAGGTCCGCTGACATGCGATGTATCCAAGAGAGGGCGAGGGTCATAGAACCACTCGTAGATGGCGGCATCATCGTCCTCGTCCAGTTCCAGCTGAATGGGCTCGAGCGGCTCGACATCCTCGATGTTCTCGGACCATGAGAGTGGCGGCTCCTCGTCATCGAAGGGAGGGAAGCGCATACGCTTGAAGTGCCTTCTGTCACTCTTCTCTCTCCTCATGGCGACCCACATGGAAGCCCATTGTGCATGGAAGACTGGCTCGATGACACGAGGGATCTCGTTGACCAATGTCAAGCATCCGTTGACGTGGTAAAGAACCTTGACTTCGCGCACACTCTCCCAGGGCATGGGCATGTTCTCCAGAAGCTTCAAGACAGCATGAGGCATGAACTTGAGAGCACCCAGGTAGCTTCTCTTGTCCGAACTGAACTTCTTCTGAGAGACGTCACCAATGTCCTTGACAATCTTTCGCAAATGCTCCGGTGGCATGTCAGCCTTCTGTGTCTCGACAAAGCCTCCACGTCTCTTTTCTCCAAAGCGCTGTCTCTGCATGCGCAACCATTTCTGCTTCTTGTCGGCAAACTTTGCGATTTGAGGGTCGGCTTGAGGTTTGTAGCCAGGCGGGGGAGGGGCGAGGGCGCCGGGAGGAGCTGCTCCAGGAGGTGGTGGCGGGGGAGGGGCGTCCCATCCTGGAGGAGGAGGCGGTAGTGCAGACATGTTGACGATGTTATGTGTCTATCGGCGAAGAGGTAGATGGTCGTAGCGATGGGGGTGGTGATCTAATCACGGCAGCTGGTGCTGCTTCCCCAATCGCGATATCGTTAGGACCGCGGACTCGAATAGGCGTGTCCGTAAGAAAGCAACAGGATACACGCGCAATGACACGTCGATACGGGAGGGCCAGTCGTGTCAGGTCGTCGCGCAGTGATGCCGATGGCTTCAAACTGCTTGAGTATGCAAAAGTCGTGGCGACGCTCGAACTTGGCGCTATGAAGCTGGAGATGTCGACGAGGAAAGCACGATCAATGCTTGGCGTAGCTGCCAGTCTGACGGCAGAACTGTGGCTAAACTTCCAAAGCCGAGCGCACCTTCCCTCCACGCTGGATTTTTGCGCCTCTGGCTGGATCTTGGATTTCGACCCGCGAGCGACGACAATTCATCACCCAGCGACAATCAAATACCGTCAAGATGCCCTCCAACAGACTCACCTACGTACGTTCTACAGACATGCTGCCACTCGTAATTTTGACATACTGACTCTCGTTGCAGCGCCGCAGGCAACCGTAAGTCAATATCGCAACTTTGCACACACACCTTCACTCGACACGCTGCTACACCGAATAACGTCGCAAAATCCTCCCTCTCCGATCGCTCAATTCTCCTACGAAACCCGCACACAACCGTACAATCAACATTGCTAGGAAACAGATGCGCTAACATGGACCGCTTTCAGCTACAACACCAAGTCTAACAAGGTCCGCGTGATCAAGACTCCTGGTGGCGAGCTCCGTTACCTTCACATCAAGAAGAAGGGTACCGCTCCCAAGTGTGGTGACTGTGGTGTCAAGCTTGCCGGTGTAAGTCGCTATTCAATCGTCCAAGAGATTCTCGAAACTCCTTTCTTCAAACGACCCGCTCGTCTGGATTCCTCCACGACCCTCCGACATGAACATGATACAACACTACTATTTCCGCATCTATTTCGACGAATCTCTTGGACAAGACTTCCACCGAACATCGAAACTAATCCCGGCTCCTCAGGTCCCCGCTCTCCGTCCCCGCGAGTACGCTACCATCTCCCGCCCCAAGAAGACCGTCCAGCGTGCCTACGGTGGTTCCCGCTGCGCCAACTGCGTCAAGGACCGCGTCGTCCGCGCCTTCCTCATTGAGGAGCAGAAGATCGTCAAGAAGGTCCTCAAGGAGAACTCGGCCCGCCGCTAAACGATTCCCCCCTTGTTCTTTTTGAAATGAAAAATCTTTTCTTCGGTTGAATGCTGGCGCAAAGTCTCGACGGATATCAAAAGACGAGTTTGTGACTTGAGAAAAGACCAAAATGCATGTGGAGATTTTAAATGGGCTCGGCGTCTAGTCTACGCTTTCTTGCTCTGGCTGAGGCCCCATTGGCATCATCTGTCGCTGGGGCCAAAGGGACGGTCGGAGGGCAGAAAAGGTCATGTTAGCATGCGATGAATCAAAAACTCGTTCAAATCGTTTGGCCCAGCCCACAATCTCTTGCAATCGCTGCATGTGATAACCCAACAGCTTTCGACGCAGCAGCAAGACTTGCGCCATGACACCCATACAGCCCTGCTAGGACAACATCAAATGTATCATGTTTCGGCCAGATCGACGCGCTATCAGCCCAGAAGTACAGTATGAATGAAAAGGTCCAACCAACAAAGATCTAGATTTGGGGTTCAGTACATCTTTGGACATCAGCGCCTCCACAGCAATGTTAATAGCATCAGAAACATAGACCGTGAGGCGCAGGCAAGTGGCTCGTTGAAACAACATCCGAGCTTCCCACCAGGGTGTTCCTAACCACCAACAATTCGATCATGTTGCAAGCGAATATCAAAGGAATGCAACGAACAGGGTGTCTGATAGTGGGATGGGTAGACGAGAAGATGATGGAGTCGTCGAAGATGCAAGGGAGGAATTGCTACTGCATCTCTGATAGGCCAATTGCTCCAAGACATCGTGTGTCTGTTCGACGAAGCAAGGTCGATTAGTGACGCCATTGGAACACTTGAAACTTGACACAATTCGAAGCTCAGATTAAATCGTTTTAACCATAAGATGATCAATGATATCGCAGGAAATCAATTCCACGACCTGACTCTTGGGAGAAACATATTCATACCGTAGTGTGGCTATCTGGTGCAAGGAGGTCGGCAAAAAGACAAGCTCTCTCCCCGCCTTCCGTGACTCGCGAAAAGGGAAGGAGGCACAGAGCAGTGACGTTTTCTGACATAGTCGGCGCGAGCGTGTCGTACCCTGGTCGCATTTCCAACTTTTGATTATTCTCGCGTCTGCTTGTCTTGCATGCTGGCCCTTTCCTGTCTTTCTTGTCTGGCTTGAGCTGCCACATATTTTCATCAGGTTTGTCTGTGACGATAGTGACGTTCGGTGCGCGTGTTCCCGGACTCTGTTGCATGGCTTAGCCGATTTGCTGTGCATGCGCTTCGCATTCTCTGCCCACCAACCAAAGCCATCCACCTCGTTCACTCTTGATGTTAAGTGAGCGTGGGCCGCGCGTGTAACCGACGACTTACTCGCTGTCGCTATACTTTCGCGTTTGCATCTTGCGCCGACCTCTATGCAGCTTCTGCTTGTCACAGGCTTCAATTTTACTGATTTACCAACCACCTTCACTTCCCATCTTCAATATGCACTGAAAGTGCCAATGCCAACGACCTTGTACAAAGTCACGACTTCATGTTTTTACGACCACTCGACTGCGAATCACCACTCGATATGCCTACGTCACAATTTGACAAGGCATTCGCTCTGCTAGAGCATTCATTCAAGGATGCCAACTTCCTCCAAGCCTACAAGGCACTTCCCTCACGACAAACAACTGAAGAGGCCGAATCGCCCAGACATGCCGACTTCTCGGATGACGACGACGACGACTCGGACTTTTCGGACATGCATGAAGGATACCGTCCCAGAGATGCTCCCTCAATTTCTCTTATGCGCCGGAACTCGTCACTTCCTCCCACACCGCCTACCCAGTCGCGCAATGTTAGCGCAACACATGCGCATATGTTACCTCCGCCAGGAGACAAGGCCGGCACCAACACGCCGCCGAACCAACAAGGCCCTCCAACTCCCGATCTGACTCCACCGAACCCTCGTACCAGAGACTTTGCGCCGCCTCGACCTGCCCTGCCACACACTGCCTCTTCACGAGCCGAATCATTCATCACTGCAAGAGAGACTCAAAGCCAAGCAAGTGCCAGCACAAGCCAGGCTAGTCTTCCGCTGAAATCAGAGGCCGGCCACCAGTGGTTGGAAGCGACAAGAGGTATGCGCTTGGCCAGTTTGCAGCTGAGGATCGTGGACAGACAACAGCAATTACGAGACTCCGCCTCAGATTCGGGAGAGACGACACCCACACAAGAAACACATGATGCTTTCCCTGCACCAGCCATCTCTTCCAACCTGATCGAGTGCATTACCCAGGAAGATCTGGATCGAGGAGCTTCTTCGACCCCTGAGTCTGAAGCTGGTAATTTCATGAGGAATGTGACTATTCGTAAGAAACGTACAGGTGATTCTCAGCAACAAACAACACCCGGACAAGGTGCGCCTAGCAGTAGTCACAAAAGATCGAAATCTTCTGAAGTCATGCCGAAGTCTGCGGCAGCAAATGAGAGTCCTTCTACTGTCAAAGACGGAGAAACTCTCGATTGGTCCGAGACTGATAACGATCATCTTCATCGACGCAGGCGAAGCGAGGAATCAAAACGTCTTTCGGCCACCTCCACCGCGTCAACTGTCATCGAAGCCTTTGTGCTCCCTGGTCTGGCTCAGCAGAAACAGCCAGCGTTACGACGAGTCAGCAGAGTCGACACTCTGCGTGATGATACATCTTCGAGACGTAGCTCGGTCGAATCTCAATATGCCTCGAAACAAAGAATATCACCGCTGCCTGGACGTAAGCATTTGGTCAATGGGTACTTTGACGCGGCAAGATCTGCTTCTAACCCTGAGACTGGCCGTGTCCGTAAAGTGCCGGTAGTTGTCGTTCCTGAGCGTCACTCGTCGCGCTCTTCTGCTACAGCAGGGGCAGGTGACAAGACACAATTGCTTACTCCTGAGCAGAACCGTCTCCATCGTCCGAAGCATCATGTTTCTCTCAAAGAAGACTACAACCAAGGCGAGATACCGCGTACTTCGCTAGATTCACGCACCGAGCTTAGCAGTGACATCTGGCTCGACTATGCATCTCCGGCTCAAGATGGTGGACAGCCTCGAACAAAGCTACGACATGTTTCTGCCCCAATTCAAGCAGGTGCTGGATCTACCACTGGAGCGTCGAAATACGTTTTTCTCCGTATGAATGGGCAGGATGCTGAAATTAAGCTCGGTCCTAGACAGGGATGGAAGAGACACTCTCTGGATGCCGAACTTGAGTCGCCTGAACTGAAACGCCCACCGAGGTCATCTATCGAACAGAGGCAGTCGATCGACCATAGACTATTGCTTCCCTCGCAACAGAAGAGATCGCCTACGCTCACGCTATCCGATTACCCTCAGCAAACTTCGCCTCGCAAATTGTCAGATGCCAAAGACATTCGCAATCTTCACTCGAGCACAAGTCCCTTCTCGCAACTGTCCGACCGAACAGACGCTATGGAATTGAACGAAGCCAAAGCCATCAACCTGTACCCGCATGGAAACAAGTCACTCCACATGGTCCAGCATGTAGCCAAGAAGCGACTTGCCGAAGGACAGAATATGAATGGGGATGCACACTCCGATGCTCTCGCAACACCCGAAAGCGAACAAGAGTCCACGTTCCAAGCCTCTCATCCTACCTTCCGCGCCGTAATCGACACACCAACACCCCCAAGAATCGAAGATCCCGATCGCGTAGAAGTCGACAGTCCACTCCGAAACCCACGCACAGCACCTCAGCCACCCCGTCTCCCCGCCGTGATAATCAGCCCCGCAACACCCTCCTCCCAATTCCGCAAAACACCTTCTCCACCTTCGCCGCCCTTACGCCGACCCTCTCTGGTCGAAAAAGCTCGTCGCTATTCTGAAAACCTGATTCAGCCGTTCATTCCCTCTTTGTCTCGTCGCAATAGCACGGCTTCGCAACGACCGATGAGTCAACGAGATAGAGATACCACGTTACATCCCTTCTGGCGACCCAGGGGCTTCTGGGATGACTTTTCAGAGTCTGAGGGCGAGTACTCTGATGATGAGTTACCAGAAGGTGGAGATACGTCTGATGTGCGTAGTCTTGAGAGCGTGGAAGAGCAGAGGGAAAGAGGATGGAGAGCTAAAAGACTTTCTGTGCGTTTACCTGGCTTCAGAGGACAAGGAGGGTTTTTGCAAGGAAACTCTCTCGGCATCGACCGCCATGGCACGAATGTGCGTCGTCATCATGTCCATGTCTCTTCCTCTCCAAACTCTGCGACAAGACATGAATCTTTCCTCACTCGCCTATTTGCGTTTCCGAGCTTGAGAAAGAGGAAATCTACAGATTTGCTCAGAATTGCGGCGCAAAGCACAGAGTCCTTGAGGAAATTGAGTCAAAGACAAAGGAGAAGAGGGTGGAAGGATATGAGTTTCGGCGCACTGAGACGGAAAATGGTTAAGAAACGGGAGAGGAGAGACGATGTTAGGAGAGAGGCTTATAGAGAGGGTATCAAGGGGAGGATTGGTGCGCCTGTTTATTTGGAAAGGTGATGTGGATGCATTTACATTAATGCATTGGAGAGGGAGAGGAAGAGGGAGAAGGGGAGAATGTTGATGATGACAATTATGTTGCTTGCACTTTTAGCTATTTGCTGCGTTTTTTTTTTCTTCTTCTTCCATTTCTTGCGCAGAGATACCTTTTTTTTTTATTGCTAGCATTTTCTGGCGATTTCGAAATATCATGACTTTTTTTCTTCTGCTTCCCGATATATCAGAATTCTTTGGACAGATGCTCGCATTCGATTGATACGACCATTTGTAGGGCACTTAACTCTGAGCAAATGTCGTTGGTGTCATGTTCCTTATTGCCAGCGCTGTTGTGGGCATTCCGTTATCGATGGGGTTCTCATTGACGGTGATTAAAATTGCTTGTTTTTCGCGAATCCAAGAATGTCATCATTAATGACGCGATTAGTATTTTTCTTGGGTCAGATATGTTGAAGTTTGAGTACGTTGGCGGGTTTGCATTTGTTATAGAGGTGGCCTTTTTTGAAAGTCGAGGATTCAAGAATGATATAACGACGATATATCAACAAATCATACTTCTTACACTGTCAAAACTCTCACAATTAGACGGAATAGATATCGAAGATCTTACGGAGCGAATTATACATAGATGGGCTGCATAGTGATCATGCTATCCTACATTCTTGTCGATAAAGCATCGTAAAGGGTACAACCCTGTCCAACACCTGCCAAGAACACCAAAACTCCCCAAAATGCATAAAGGCATGTTTTCACAATTCACTAGCTGCGCAGTGGTATAAAACCTTTTGATCGCGTGTATCCAGACCAAGCGCTCTGTCAGCAATTCACTACCGATCTAATGATCGACCGCAGCGAAGCTCGTAAAGAGATTACAGTTCTTGAAGTTCTTCTCTAGGCAGGACAATACGACACTCACGTCCATTAACCGAACAGGGATAAGCAGGACTCTCATTATCGTAGCTGGAGGAAGTTTGAGGATGTTTGATGTTGGTCAATAAGTTAATTTACCAGAATCCGATCGACTTGGAAGCGGATTATGGATGCAGACCTCGTGTTCGACGTGGATTGTAGTGTATGGGACCCTAGATTTTCAAAAGAAAGTCGTTCTTTCTTTGTGGAATCGTTATGCTGGAAGTCGTTGACGCGATGCATATCCTTTTCATATGTTGCGCGTGTGAGCGTGGAGGAATCTCACGAATGTGAAGTGATCAAAGCTTCTAACGAGAACTGCCACGGGTCATGCTTGTTTCCTTGTATTTGGACAGAAGAGTTCAACAGAAAGTGATGACAAGGAGGGTGTATAGACTGCACGCGGAACGGGACACGAGAAGGAGTTCCCGATGAAACATGATTTATTCTGCAATCTGACTCTGCACCTTGAAGCAGTGCCCGCAAGGTGAAGAGATGACATAGAAGAGATCAGACGAGGCTTGGAAAAAGTCTTCCATTCTAATCTTTTGCTCGTTCTCCGCAGTTTGACAGTGTAGGAGGTGTGCTGTCTGCTGAAGAATGGTTTGGACACGTGAGAGATTCCGAGATGAGAGAGCTCTTCAAGCGAATGATTGTGTGCTGAAATGATACTTTGCGTATCAACATGGTCATTTACAGCGTGCTTCGACAAAGGAGAGTGTCAAGAGCTACTGAAGGCTCAATAACAGCAGAGCTCGCAGTCAATACCTCGAATAGGTCATATCACACATGCAGCCCGCTTTGACACATAGCTGAACTTGCAGACGGGAAGTAGCCGTTGTGACAGCGGTTTCATGACAAAGGTGCAGCCACACGCACATCCCTGGATCTGACGCTAGCTCCCCATGCAGTGTGATCTGACGTGCCCGGTGTAAGCAAGGCTGAGAAATGAGTCTGGTTCAATAGAGGTCCACGCAGGCACCCAACCGCGATTTACCGCGACGTGCCAGTCGAGACGAGTTTCTTTGCTCCAGTGATGCCTGTGTCGAGCAGTGGTGATGGGAAAGATAACGCGTCGAACGATATTACTTTGGGTTGAGATGCTTTTGGGTCCGAGGTCAAGACGAGATCACCGCGTGTCAAGGGAGATTCTGTGTGTGAGTTTGACCTCGTGAACGAAACAGAAGTGAGAGGGCCTTTAGGGCGCATTCTTGCGACATTGAGGTTTAGATGGTGAAAATTGAAAGACGGGCGGTGATGTTTTGGTGATGGACATAAGGACCAATCAGATGGAGGGCGAAGTGATGATGTCAACGGGAAGGTTAGTACGCCCGAGCTTCTCCATACTTTCTGTAGATTGAACAAGAAGGAAGGCAAGACAACGAACAAGCAACTTCAACTGCTCAATTCCTTGCCGTCACATCTCAAACCAGCATGGCCAGCATTCTCAGACCGACTGCCGCATCGATGCGCGCTTGCCTTGACCAACTCCCCGCCTCTCGAACAAGCCTTCGACAGCCAAACCCGAGACTATGCAGACACTTTCACACAACAAGGACAGCAATGGCTTCAAGGAGAGGTCCGATCGGTCCGCCGAAAACAAAGGATCGCGGCCCGGAGAGTAAAGAAGATACGCAGACCGACTTTGCCGCCATGAATGTGCTTGGAAACACACCCGCGCCAACAACCGCCATTGACGCTTGCGCCTACGATGGATTTGCCCTCAACTCGGGCCTGAAGATTACAGGATCCGGAGTTCTGCTTGTTGGCGGAGATGCTTTCAATTGGAAGCCGTGGATCAGAGAGGGACGCAAGGAGGGCACAATCGGGGAAGGCGCGTTAGGCGACGACGACAAGGGCGTTTCCAGCGTCGGAGGCAGCATGCGTAACAAGAAGGGTCAATGGGAGGTCGCCGAACACAGCTGGGGCATCCTCGATGCCGTGTGGCCCAAGCCTGGTTCGTTGCAAAATGACCCCTTTTCTCACATGCCAGCATCCGTTCAAGAATACTGACGATGCGTCTAGATCTCCTTATCCTAGGTACCGGCCCTACCATTGTGCCCGTGTCGCCCGAGACGCGAAAGCAGATCAGCGATTTGGGAATCCGTCTCGAGATTGCAGACACGCGTAACGCTGCATCTCAGTTCAATCTTCTGGCCACCGAACGTGGTGTTCAACAGGTTGCCGCGGCTTTGATACCCATTGGGTGGAAGGAGGGCACTTATTGATCAAAGATTGAGCAACAGTGGGGTCAGTTCCGCCTGTCAGAATCAAAAACGATCCTCTACTCTCTCCGACAGCCAGCCTTGTCACTTGTGCTCTGCCCTGCCATGCAACAAAGCTGTTGAAAGCTTGGGCCAGCAAGGGACGACTTTCTGCTTCATGATATGCAGACGGATGGCGGCGCGGCACGCTTAACCACTGAACTGTCACCGGTGCATGTGAGGAACATCTGAACATGCTGCGAGATATGCCACTTTGTACCCGTGAGAACGCCCGTTCCCTTAGTGTGCGATCTGCGAGACATGAGGCATTCTTCCCAGAGAGCCATGTCCAATTTCTTCCCAATCTGTTCTTTGTCCCTGCCTGTTTCTTCAAGCCTCAACATTGCATGCGCATTTCCGTTATCGTGGCTGCCAGAGCCCGGCCTTGTTATCGACAAAACTGCGGTCCGAATCATCGGAATTTCTCGATTGAGCTCCATTCCGCGACCGCTTAGGCGGGAGGATTCGCTACTAGACCCATTTGTGCCATTGGCAGCTCGCACGTTTGATTTCATGGCTGCCTCCGATGAGCGCCACGTTTGTCCCTCTCGCCAGCTGCAAGCAAGCAGATACACGACTGCATGAGCATGATTGGGACCCTCGTTTCTGGTCTGGGCGATTGTAGGGCTTTTCTCGTTTCCAATACCGTGGTGCCAGTTATTTTGTCTTGGAAACGAGTTCGCATCTGACGATGCTGATTGTCCGCATGAGGTGATGATAGGACAATGACGATTGCTTCGTTCCTATCTTGACGCACGATCTTGTCTCAGGATTATCATCTCTTCTTCAGCCCTTGGGTAGGAGGCCATGCATTGCATGCATTGAGCACAAGCTTTGTCCAAAACGTGGTACGTCATGAGCAGGGTGCGATCGTGCGGAGGATGATCACCTCACGGACGATGGCAAGCGTACGCGTGCAAGCAGCAAAGAGACTCTCGGGACCCATGTGACATGCAGCAACAGGCGGCGAGCCAGCTTGAGCCAGGCCGAAAATCGAAAGGCTTCATATATCCTGGCGAATCAGAAGACGAGTGTTGGAGACAGACAAGGCACGGAGTGAGCGACCTTCCCCGCAAAACGGTTGCATCGAGCTTGCCCCCGCACATGGGATTGATCCAGGATGATCACGACGATTCTCATCCTGCAAGCCGCATACGACACTGGGGCCAGTCCAAAGGACGCTGACTGTGCTCAGCATGCATTGCTTCCTACAAAGGACGCTGGTCCAAGGCCCCATGCCACCCCCGCGGCCAAGATGGCGCTGGCTAGCTAGGCGGTGCATCGGCTGCCGGCGTGTCCTTGCCCCCCACCCTCTGAGCTCACCATACCATTCATGTTTCCCCGTTTTCGTTTTCCTTTTCCCTTTCTCGAGCACCATGAGTTTCGCCGCGACAGATACATAATTACAAGCTCAAGTATTGTCGTCTCGCAACCCGCCAAGTTTGTCCCAAATCTATCTCAAACTCGACCACCTGTCTTTCTGCGACGACATTATCTACTACCATTGTTATCGCTCTGATCACACTTTTGACGCTTGCCAGCCAGAAAGCTTGCATACTTCGCGGCTCAATCTGTTCGCCTTGTCCTAGGGTCTGCCTGCAGCCAGCCCTCTTTTTCTTTCCATCCTTTTCTTTCTTACAGAGCTCTTCCTTTGCGCGAGCAAACAGACGTCTCATGACTCAAATACATCCTCTCCATCCCAGCAACTGTACATACCTGGATCTTGTACCTAATCCTCACGACCAGTTCAATATGTCGTAAGTTCCACATCTACATGTTCCCTTTACCCAAAAGCTTAAGCTTTCCGATACCTTGTCATGTAGCGTTGCGCCTGTACGGCCGTATATGGACCATGTCATGGACCCCAGTCTATACCTCGATGACTAACATGTATACTCTTCTTCCACCACACAGTAATCTGTCGCAAAACCAACAACAAAAGCGAGGCCTACAACAAGTGGGAAGCTTGCCTCTATCGGCGTCACCACAGCAGTTGTCGCTGTCGGCGGGACTACTACCTCCCTCTTCATATGCTACAAACCCATATCACACGTCACCGTACACGACCTCTACCTTTGGCTACCATCAACCATCTCCTATTCAACATCATCAACAGCACAGCCCCTTTCAGCAACAGCCTCTTGCTCCACCACCACAGCTACCTCAACAACTCTCACAATCACCACTGAATCCACGTAAGCGACGCACAAGTGAACTCGACCCTCAATCTCTCCCTGGATCTTCCCTCGGCGGCTATGGTCTTGACCAGCACGGTCTCTTTGGCCACCCTGATCGTCACAACAGTGACCAGAGCAACTACGTCTTGAGTGGACCGTCGACTGGTGGTCCTGGACCAGGTGACCAAGGTATCCCTCGACATGATACACCACCTGCCCGACCAAAGAAAGGACGAACCAACACACCTTGGACGCCTGCGGAAGAGCAAAGGTTGAAAGTCATGAGAGATGCGGGCAACAGCTGGAGCGAGATTGCAAAGACTTTTCCCACACGGACCGAAGGCAGTGTCAAGAAGCATTGGTACAAGGTATGTGATGCCGACCTCTACTCGCTCCTCCTTACACAACGCCATCCTGCACAATTGTTCAGTCATCGATCTCATCGTGCTGGAGTAATCTTTACTAACCATTTTGTTCTTATCTAAACAGGACATGCATTACGCAGAGTTTGCGGAAGACGAGGTCAGCCATTTCGTCCGCCTCTCTAATTCCTTGTATCATTGTCCCTGACGTGCTAACACTTACTACAGAGCGCGGCGTTACTCGCTGCCATCAAGGAATACGAGCAGAGCAAGTGGAAGGTCATTGGACAGAAAGTCGGTAAACCTGCCAAGGTGAGTTACGGCTCCTTCTCGCAGGGATAGCCTTGCCGCCAGTCCTCAGAGCGTCGAATGCTTTGTCGTCGTGGTTATATATCGATGTTACATGGAAGAGACGCTGACGAGATACGGCAGGCATGCGAACAGTACGCCAAAGAGCATTTCGGCAGCAAGAGCTGAGATTTTCATCGCGCAACTAGCGTCTTGTCTTGTCTGAGGAATAAGACACCTCCTCGCTTGCGCTTTCGTTTATGGGATACAGGACATTGGCATCATGGGAAATTGAGGCTACGAATTTGATTTGCTTGGGTGGATATAGCGGCCATTGCTGCCATCTGCTTCCAGCTACGCGAAACAAGGGAGGCAAACTAAGGGTCCTCAACAGTCCAGGGATATTCTTTGCATTTCAAACGCTATGGGATGGGTTTGACCATCACAGAACAACAGCATGGGGTGTTCATTTGTGCTTTCTTTTTGGTTTGTTGTCTTTATTCTTCTTTTCGTATCTTTTCTTCAATTCTTCTGTTTTATTTGAGAAAAGAGATACTTTGAATCTTGTCTCTGGTCTTTCAGCTCTTTCGCTCGAGACGATTAACCTTAAGCAATGGCGGCTGGAGGCTGAGAACACTCGGTTATTGAGTTGCGGTCTTGGTCCGCGTGCTTCATACGAACAAGAGGTGGGAAGCGTTCATCGCGTCAGTCTTCAGCGTATCTAGTTCTAGGAGGGATCAAACTCTACTCTACGATTTCCCATCAATCGGAAGAACCAATCCTCTACGATCGGTTTCCAGAAACGAACACCAGCATCTTGATTTGGTCTTTTGGGTCTCGCTATCGCAAAGCGACACTTACCAAAGCTCCTCCAAATCCCCTGGTTCACGCATCTAGATCATCCAAATACTTGTCACCTGAAAAGACATTTCACCGCAGTACCTCTCGTGTCCCTTTGCCTTTTGGTTCCAGATTCTTTGGTCAAAGCATAAGCCCAACTCTCTCCCTCTCGTATGACAACCGCAAAAAGAGAACACACCATCACATGCACAAGAGGGTGGTCAGCAGTCAAGATACACTACAAAAGTCTATCGCTTGTAGACTTTCAAACTCCCGGGTCTCAGCCTCACAAAAAGTCTCGAGTAGGGTTGTGCAAAACGTCTCAGCTGGAAAAACTCGTATGTCGCGAAACTTTATCTTGGACAAGACCATCGGAGTTGAGTCCGAAGATAGGCATGACGGTGAGTCACTGACACAGAAAATGACAAGTCAGGAGTTGTCGCATGTGAAAGCGGTGAGAGCCTGCAGAGAAGATGGGTATTCTGCATGTGTATACCGTCCACCGAGCTGTTGCTGTCAGACCAGAACATGAGAAACAAGAAAGTTCCGCGTCTACAAGAAGTCTGCATTGTGTGGTGTGGTGTTGTCCCAGCTCGATAGGTAGGCAGAGGAAGCATTCATCGCGCAACGGGTCTATAGTCAGCTCGACGAACGAGGGGTACCGCACCTCTCGACACTAATAGTTGGTGAATAGTCGTGCTGCGACGCAACATGGGACACTGTGAATGCGCTGATGACGGAGAGCGAAGAGCGGCGGAGATATCTCGGGTCAATGACGAGACGCTTTCCTAGAGGTTTTACATGTCTAAGGACTATCATGCTGTCGTCCTCCATGCGGCGATGCAAAGAGTGGCCGGAAAAGAGGTTCTCCCACAACCATGTGTTCTGGTAAAGTAAGCTGTTAAGATGCACAATGACTTTTAGAAGCGGCGAGCTGGCCCAGGAGAGACGAGCTTTGACATTATCCTCATCGACCGAGTTTTATACCTTGAAGTTCATTGTGCATTTCCACAGCCGTTTCAGCAGGTAAAAGGTACGAAGGAGAGACGACAGCACCTCCCTTACTTTGACCCGAGCAACTCACCACAACCCCATTCTCTCCGTTGCCGACATACCAACCATATCGAGCTGTATAACAACACAGTGCTTCTGAGATCGCTGGCTCTCGTCCGAGGAGAGCAGTTCTCGACACGCTCTCAGGCAAACAACTTCGATTAATCAAGTTCATTGTGCATTCATACAGCTGCCTCTAGAGGTGTCAACTTCAAATCAGTCATAAAACATGTACCTTTCTCTTTCCGTCCTCACAGCCTATATCTAAACTCCTTGTTCTTTCTGTCCGTAACGTCCGCAAATTCAATATCTGCTTTGTGTCCCACATGCTGTTCCTCAACCAATTTATCCCTTCTCTTGTTCTCCCACATGTAGTAGAATCTCAATATGAAGGTCAGAACTACAGCGGCGGCGCAAGTTACAATGATTGTGATTTTTGCGGGAATGTATTCGGGTGCATCGGCGGCGCGGAAGGTGAGGGGTCCGATTATGTTGCCGAGACAGAAGGAGATGAGGAGGATGGCGTTCATAGTGACCTGCGTATTGTGTTAGTAAGATGTGAAAGCCCGAAAGAGGTGGAAGAGAGACCGACCTTTTTGGTGTGGCCGGCATAGTTGGCTCCGACCCATGAGTATAACAAAGGTAAACTTGCGCCAATGCAGTTGGTGAGGTAGTTTCCGATCAGTTTTCCGGCTTTGTTGTCTTCGGGCAGGAAAGCCATGAGGGCACCTCCGAGGATACCAGGAATGAGTAGAGTGACTATGTTTAATCCTCTCTGGTCGAATCTACCAGCCAAGTAGGTGGCAATCAAGATGGAGATGACACTGCAGACACCGCCAGGGATCTGAAGCAAAGAAGTCTCCTTGGGGGTGTAGCCAAATCCTTTGATCAGAGTGGCCTGGAAACTAGAGACTGCGCCATTGGGTACAGAGGAGGAGATAGTGATCAGACTAAGTAGCCAGGTCTGAGGATCCATGAAGCACTCTGCAACTTGGTTGGACTTGAAATGCTTGTTTTCAATGCCGGTTTGATTGGCACGCAGACGCTCGATGGCCCAGATCTTCTCTTGATGCGTAAGACGCGAGGTCATTGGGTTGTCGGGGAAGATCAAGGTGACAGTGATACCAATGCAGATGGTAAGGAGACCAACAACGAGGAAAAGAATTTGCCAGGAGTAGAGAGAAGCGGATTCAACGTGTTGGAAAGCGTAGGAGAGAAGAGATCCGATGATCGTACCTGTGCCAGTACCGAGATACCAGATACCGGTGCGTGGTGGCTGTTCGTTCTTCTTGTACCACATGGTCGTGATAAGCATCAATGATGGAGCGACTGCAGACTCGAAGCAGCCGAGCAAGACTCTGGTGGTGATGAGACCGGCGTAGGAGTGGCAAGCTGCGGTGACAGTGACGATGATGCCCCAAAGCACGACCATGATGCCGAGATACTTAGCAGTGGGGAAGCGCTGCATACCATAGCCATGAGGAAACTCGAAAGCCAGATACGAGACGTAGAAGATCCATGCCTGTTGTCGTCAGCATGGTTCGTGCTACCAAGCAAGCAAGAATACTTACCAAGTTCGAAAAATCGGCCTTTGTGATATTCGCATCCTCGTACAGCCCCATGACAGCAGCATAGTTGATCAACGTCTTATCCAAGTATTGTGCAACATAACAACACCACATCAATGGCATAATCATCCAATCGATCTTCCTCACAAGCCTCTTCTCGTCATCCGCTGTCATCTCAACTCCTTCGCCCTCATGGCGCAAGAAGTCAAGTGCAGCATCTGCATTCTTGACATCCTTGACTTCTCCAATCTCAACTTCCGGGACTTCTTCCGGCGAGCTGTCTAGTGCCTTTTCTTTATCTTGAGCCTCGAACATGGTTTGCGAATTATGCGGAGAAGAAAAAGGTGGGTGAAAGGTAGTTGAGTCGATCAGAGCACTTACATATATATCAACTCTTACCTATCCCGCTGTACTCACCCAAAAAGACTTCCCACCCGTTCCAATGATTCAGCCAAGACGAGATATGACTACCAACCGCCTATTAGAAATCCGACTTACAGTACACCAGATACGTGAGAGGTAGGGGGAGTGGCAAGCATAGTATGTCACTGACATGCCTATCTGGGGTTATGATATGCATGCTGCATTATCGGCCTATCAGTCAAAAGACACGGCAGGTTGGGGTATGGCTCCTTATCAGTTGGCGGGCGAGAGCTCAATCCAACGAATATTGTCGCAGCCAAAGAGGCAAGCTGCGGCCGTCTCGCTGCGCTTCGTTGCTTTGTTTGGGGTCGACATGTGCTGTTGATCATCTGAAGTCCGCGGAATCACTGCGGGTAGGATAAGGAAGCAGAGGTGAACTGCCGGTTGATGTTTTCGGTCGGACCATGTCGGCGACCAATGCAATGTGACAGCACCGGCTCTTTGCCACGTGCGAGTCCGGAAATTTGGTTGCATCTTGTAGTGCTCCCATGGAGATATCTCGATCGTGAGAGAACAAGATTTGATGGGCGTGTATGGTATGTCTCGATTGGGAAGGCGGGCTGTTGAGAGATAGGCCAACTGTTTAGAGTATGTGGCCAAAACACTTGGTCATTCGCGACTTTCCCCATCACGTCCTGACCACACATGCAGGTCTGTATGTAGAATCATCAACAACCAGCTGGGATATCTCCATGCTTCAAGGGACCACATCTGGTGACTGCCTCAAATTAACTCGAGCAAGTCTATCTTACGAGATCGCAGCTGACAGATCTGGAGATGGGGCACTGAAAAGAATCAAGAGTTAGATGATTTTGTTCTCTGTGTATCATATCGACTGCTGTGATCTATGCTTCATCAAAAAGGCCGTGAAGAAGAAAAGGCCCTTCAAGCTCAAGCCAGCTAACTACATCAATCTTTTGTCTGTCACATACTCCCTGTGTGATTGGTCTAAGGCATGTTGCGATGATCCGAATAGCGCCAAGAGCACACGCGAAAGAACCAACCTCAAATTCTGGAGACGTCAGCTTGTGCGAAGGTGTCGTTTTCGCGTGAAAAGCGAGGCACAGAAATTCTGCAATGTGCAGTGCAACGTGCAGAATTTCTAGCTTCTGCATTCCTGGTCTTCCCATCGACATCACCTTCTTCACGATCAGCGGCCACGACAGTCTACGTCTAGAAGATGTGGCTGTGTAGATGCACTCTTTTTCGTCCTCTTAGCGACTCATGAGAAATGTGTTTCCCTCGACTGAGGGCCTGATCGGCTGCCTGGGGCCCGTTCTGAGGAGTATCGCGCTCACGAGGAACACTCGGAGAACATACAGATTGGCAGGCTGCACAGACTGTCAACGTGGTCATAGGTGGTGGTGTTATTAACCTTTACGGCCGATAGTCTTACAATCGTTGGTGTCGCAAAGGGTACTCTCGCCCATCACTTCATCACTTTATCTTGTCGCTTCCTCTCCAACATGATGTCGGCGTAGAAAACTGGGCTGTCGCAAGGCAGAGTGTTTTTTAAGCCGTCCACTGCGTCCAACGAGAGCCCAAGTAGATCAAGCTCTCAGCGGACGTGACTTCTCAACGGATGAAGTCGTGCCTTGCGATAGTCATCCAAGATTAGGAGGCTGGTCAGCGGGAGTCGTGATTGGTACCTTCCATTGGACTCAAGGTAGCGGTCTAGGTCATGAGACGCAGGTCTGCGTCGGCTTCTGCATCGGAGAGTCCTACGACTGGCGTTGAGTACGACTTACGTGCTTGCTCGCGGTTATATCTCAAAGTGACCGCTTCACTAAACCACTGGGGGCCGCACAGTACGTCGAAGCCCCATGGATGCTGGTAGTACATGCCCCTGTCTGGGCCACTTTTGATTGTTACCCAAGCTTCTTCCTTTCTGAAGGTGTACCGGCTTGTGTATGGCTGAGACCTCGACACGATGGCTGGGTACGCTACCGCATCCAGCTCGTCATCCGCTGCGCGGTCGACCGCTAGCACCGTGGTGTTTCGATCTAGTGCTCTGAGCATTGTACCCATCCTTTGTCTGGCAATGCCTTCGGCGACGAAACTCATTACTGGTCCGACATTGCTTTCGACGTCCTTGGGAGGGGTGCTGACTGCGAAGACTGGCAAGTTATCGACCTGGCTCTGGGTCGGCAGACTATCATGTCTGGCCTCTTTGTCGTGGCTCCTGGTTGTCCTGATGCTCCCTGACGAAGTCGTTGGTGTGAGTTGCGCAGGCTCCGGAAAGACACCATCCGACTCCACGTCCGAGCTTCTGGCTGTTTCAGGGCTGCCGAGTATCGTAGTACTGGCACTTGCTGTCATACTGTCTTCAGGAGTTCTGGGGGCGGTCATCCTGGCTGTCGACCCTCCCTTAGGAAAGTCTTTCTCTCGTTTCGCTTCACAGGCCCGAGCCTTTGCTTGGTATGGACCCAAGTCCTCGCGCTCGCCGTCTCTCAACTTCTTGAACTCACCTCTGCACGCCATGGGAGATCGGCCGAGCTGCTGCTCAACCTCCTTCCATGTCTGGTACTTAGCGTGAAGGTCAATCAGCGTGCGTCGTTGCGCATCGTCCCAAGGCTTGGTACCGTTGGCTGCGAGATCGATGGCCTTGTTCTTGACCTTGCGCTTCTGTACCTTGTCAGCTTGGACCGGGTTGACCTGAGCCTCAGGGCGGGGTCCCACGATGAAACGGACCCTGCTGGGAGCCATGATATCTTTCGAGAATTCAATGGACTATCTGAGATGCGTTGCACAGGTTCCTGTCGCGCCGGCGTATTCGATATATGATAGGGGAAGTGGAAACGCGATGAAGAAATGTCGGTTTCCTGATGAGAATGTCGGAACGCGTCACAGGGACTTCGATCGCGATCAGAATGCTCGGTGTATGATGCGGATGGGTTATACGCGATGAGACTTGTCGTATTTCAATGGTTGTTATCGAGCTGCAATGGTGTTGTTGGCTGTCAGTCAATTTTTTTATCAAATCGTATGAATGGGAAAGATACTCTGGAAAAATCGCCTCCTTTTTATAAGGACGTTCCGAGTCATACTATGATCAAACGATGTCGGGGTGTTTGAGGCAGTACATTCATTGAGGGGTTCGGATACCGAAGTATGGGCGTGCTGGGAGCCGCGTTGACAACCTTGCAATGACTCCCAGCGCGTGTGCCTGCTGTTTTGGGTATACCCGCGAGACAGACCCCGGGACAAGCTCCGGACCAATTGGAAGTACCCCCATCCAGATTATACCAGGCACGAAGGCCTCAAGGTGGCAGAATCGACGACGAGATTCTTGAGATATTCGATCCGATTTCCAAGAAGGATTGGAGATACACCATGACCCTTTTTCTGGTTGTATCAGAACTTGTCAGTCTCGTTGTCTCAACAAGCTGAAGTGCAACTACAAATCACGTGGAGTGTGCTAATGGCAAGAATAAGAAGCTTGGCATACGAGTCTGCTATGAGGCACAACATGAGTTGCTGTCTTAGGACATACTGAAATCGTCACGAAGGAAAGGTTGACTGAGACGCACGACGCCTGAACTCGCGAAGCAGACAAACAACATGACCAGCGCCTCGCAATTTCTGCTCAAGACGTTCCGAGCACAATCGTTACTCGTGATTAGCAAAGTCTCGAGTGTATGATCCCGCTTCTCAAGAACAAGTCATCTTGCTTGAGTAGCATGTATGTTGCTTAATCGGACAGAACGATGGCATGAGAAACATGAAATAGGGGCACCTTCCGCGAAGACATGCGAGGATCGACGGATCTCCTTGACAAAGAGAGTGTTGTCAGGATGGAGGAAGGAGCGATCGATCAGCGTGCTTTCCCACAAGTTCGGCTTCACTATATAGTCCAATTATTTTGGACACCCCTCAGCGGCGAAGTTACCACGGGCTGTCTGGCCAGTCTGTACAACATCAGGGTGGCGCAATGGTAATAAGCTCACAACAAAAACCACATGATTCAACCAAAGAGGAGCGCGGAGAGGACAGCCTATGCGTTAATGCTCATGTTGTTCTGAGAAATCAGTTTTGCTCCGCTGGGGGTCAGAATAATTTTGACTTGATGAGCGCAAAGAAAATGTCCTTTTCTTCTACACAGAAACTGGTCAACTCTTTGCGGTCTTGCGTAGTGATAATTGCCAGTCACCCGCCATCGGTCTCTGACCCCATCCTCGGATCCAGCGTATTGAACGTTACGAGTAGTACCGATGTATACGCGAGGGTCTTGGTTCGAATCTCAGGGGCTCGAATTGTTTCGCACACTTCATTTCTGGCTGCAAGGGGAAGCCATCACACTTCTAGTTTCTCACTCGTACGGGACTTTACTCTCGCGATGACTCTTGCACGACGTTGCTTGATCGAAACAGAAAGACAGTCCTTCTTTATTCCGTAGATTGCGAGTTGCAAGACGATCAAGCCTCAGAGATGTGCGCCGCCAACGCCGGGCGACTCTTCGCTGTTTCACAGCTTCTCGCATCTCATTACCAAAACATTGTCCTTGCGGATACGCTTTTGCTATGTACCATCTCGCCTGTCCGTACCGCTTCGCATACACACTCGCGCTCCGGCACCATCGACCTTGCTCCAGCTTTGTCTGTAGATTGGCTTCATTCATTCGCTCGCTCGAAGACATCCTCGGATGCCAGTCGTCTTCCATCTTGTCTGTGTTCCACACAACATCACAATCGGACCCGCCGTCGCCGTCGCCGTTCGAGGGTTCCGAAGCTACCGATGTCAGTTGCCTACCCACACTGCCTCTGAATACACTTCTACGCGTCGCTCGAACCTCTGCCAGCAGTGGTCACTTCGAGAAAAGACTTCCACCACGAACGACCTCTGTACCCGACAGTGGCAACATCAGGCGAGACGCTTCAGTGAAGAGTCAATCTGCGCGAGATGAGCCCAGTCTCCCTCTCGACATCGTCTCCGAGCCGAATCATTGCACATCACGGTGGCTTCACAACAGACGCTCAGAAATTCGCTCTCACGGCGGTGTAGACATCTGTACCAGCCAGAATGTAGCCTGCGCCACTGCTCTGGCGACTTGAAGGTTTCGAGATTTTCGTCTAGAGAGAAGAGATGCGCGAAGAGCAGGAAATACACAACAAATGGCCTGCACAGAAGATGCAAGATACCAAAAACACTCATAATCCGTCCCCCAAACTCCGTACGCCGAATGTCATCACTCTTCATTGACCATTGGCTGGAAAGCTATGACATCTGACGATGATGGCAGTTGTTGTCGCTCGGTACTGCTGCCACCTTGATCATTGCCTGCAGGTAGTCCAAGGGCCGATGGCGCATTACAAGAGTCAAAAGAGACAAACTCAGCAACATCGGCCAGCATGTAGAGTCCAGTTGTGTATTTAGGAGACCTGACTTGCTCCAACAGCTGTTTGGGTTCGTCTGCCCATGCTACACCTTGGTTCCTATCGTCTGCCCACTTTGGGTCTCCACTTCTCGTCATCTCATCCCTGATCTGATACATTCTTCTGAGCTCAGGGTTAGGACACACGTCGTCTGCACCAGGCTCGAAACCCGAGCCGTGCCATGGACCTATTATTGACTTTTGGTGTTCGACAAAGAAATCGTCCTCGTCTGAAATAGATTCGACCAAGACCTCGCTTCGAGACCTAGTCGTCTCACGAGCAGACCTCTGATCAGCGAAATTCAGGAATGGGCCCAGAGATGTAGGCGCAGAAGAACGGTCTCGACTCGGGACACGAGGATTTGGGGTCTTTGGCTGTCTGTCAGAGTTCACAATACTGCTGCTCTGGGAGGACTCCAGCTGACGATCTGTCATCGAAGGAGTGGTTTGAGAGGTGGTGGCGACCTCGTCGTCTTCCATAGAATCACGGTTTCGAGTAGCCTCCAGAACCCGTTCCGCAGCGCGTTTTGCGGCTTCTCTCTTTCTCATTTTAAGAACCGCCACACGCACTGCCTGACAAGTGCGGCCGACACATGCAGCCGTGACCTCGTGTTGCCAATTTGATTTGGCTCCCTTCACCCACCCTGCAGCACAGATCACAAAATCCAGCTCATCGTCATCGTAATCCGTGCCCTGTCTTGACTGGACTTTGGGAAGACCGTTCTTGCGGATGTTGACGATCATGCTATTGTCATCTGAAAGTCCTGGTGGCACCTTGACATGACCACCTGCAGTCATGATTTGTATCTTGAGCTTTTGGATCGCTCTGGTCAAGTTCAGAAGCTCCTTGTCGTGAGTGGGAGATTTGCGCGTACGTTTTGATGATTTCTCTGGCGTCACACAGTCCGGTATAGTATGAGGCGAAGCAGCAGCGGAGGGTAACCGAGAGGGAGACGACTCAGCTGCTAGAGGTTGAGCAGCTGGGCTGTTAATAGGGGTAAACCCAGGCATGTTCTCAGATGTAAGTCTACAAGTAGCAAAAGGTAAGCTGTAGGCAATACGGTTTGATAAAAGTAAGTCTTTTTTTCCCTTCGACCTAACTTCAAGAGAACAGAAGAAAGAATCGTTTCGACACACTTTATACAAGCATGCCAAGCTTGTTGACTGGTCAAGGTACTATGAACGCAAGAGTCATCGCGTAGGTTTCTCCCGACCACAACTCCGAGCTAAATTTAGCTATTCAGAGGCAGAGACTGTTGCAAGACGGTCATAGACATCAAGAAGACTTCTCGGCTTCTCGTGGGAGCTATTCGTTCTCGTGGATTCACGGCGTCTTTCTACATCTGTGTTCGTCCATCTTTCGGTGTGTTGGAGGCACCCCAGCCCTTCATCTTCACATCAGCAGTCAGAGTCTCAAAGAGAAGACTCATGCATGTCTTCCGCGGTCACCTATGTCGGGTTTAGCTCACCGCTTCCGAGCAAGTATATGAGTACCATTTGGAAGACTCAATATTGAATGTGCAATCCGACCCCAGCATCTGTTTTCCTCGACCAATTAGACAGTCAACCCTTGTTCGATCAGCCCGACTCCCATGAATTAGAGTTCGCTCCACGCGTGCACAATCTACATTCTGTTCATCCAGGAGAATGGCTCTGCGGCTCAGTACTCATCAGAACAGCAGACCCGTGATGTCTTCGACATTCAATGTGACCAATGGGCCTCAAAACTCCGCACACTTGTAGATACCGCACAACTCTTACACATCTATTCATCATACCATATCCAAAACACTTCACTCACCAAATGTCTTGAACATTCTCCTTAGGAAAAAGGGGTAGACTCCGATAAAATCACTGCTGTCAAAATCGCTTATCTTATCTCCCAAACGATCACGGATCTCTAGTGCGATCAGCTCCCTTTCTCCACATCACGAGGCAAGATGCGACGAATATTGTCTTTTCTCCCCAGTACCGGAAGTTTAAAACTACCGCATTGAGGCTCTAGGGACCCCCTTTTGTTGACTCATCAAAAGTGGCTGTGTAGTGGGAAAAAAAGGGTTTGTGGTTTGACAGGTGCCAGATGACTGGGATTTTGTGGGGAAGTGAGGGAGTTTGTGAGGGATTAGTGATCACGGGTGGGAAGTAGCTCAGGCAGCAGAGTGCAAGGCTGAATAGTCTGCTTTGGGGTGCGGGAGATGACGGGAGAGGAAAGTGATTTGTTCAATTGGTGAATTACTGGATTCGGACGAAGTAAGCACGATGGATGGGTGACGATTGGCCTCTTCGGCTTCCATTGTCGTCCTTTTCTACAGATTTGGACAGCTATGTTATCGCTATTCAAACTCGATTGGTTTAGTCGATCTCGTCCTCTCGTCGTGGTCAGACGGCGGTAATCACCTCCTCGTATGTCCTTGCGTGCCACGGGTATACCACGGGTGCAACTGACGGGCACAATTGACAACAAAGATCTTTCAGCAACCTCGATGCCGTGGCGTGTCCAGCAGTGTAGTGGTCGAAATGTTGCTAACCAGGGATTCTGCTGATCGATGTGGCGTGGCGAGTGTCGTGCGAGTGCTGAAGGCGGGCAACCACGACTGCTTGCCGACTGTGCTGCAAACGTCCCTCGCTGGTAGGGTAGGAGCAACTCTGAACGATGTCGAGCCACGTCTTTTCGCATGGCCAAGGTGTGTATTAATCTTCTTCTCAAGGCTCAGTGTCTGAGCGCTGCTCTTCTGGTACTGCCGTCCTATCATGTCTCGCCTTCTCCGTCTGCATCCTGTTCTTCAACGTCACCGTCGACAGTATTCTGTTGGTCGTCGTCCGAGTCTGAGGCCGCACCTTCCTCTTCTCTCATGTCTTCTGCCTCAATTTCCTCTGCTTTTGCTTTGCATGCTGTGGCAGAGAAGCCACTACCAACTTTGCTCGAGATGAACCGCCAGCGGTCGTTATCGTAGTCATGGATTGCCGTACGAAGACGTTGAATCTAAGTTGACGTTAGCATTTGTGCGTGGTAAAGCTTCTTCTTCGTGACTTCGTAAGGCTCATTATGTGCGTGGGTGGCTGTGCAGAACTTTGGGCTTGCTGGTGGTCTGATGCCTCGGTTTGAAGATTGCAACGGCAAAGCGCAAGTTCCATTGGAGGCGAAGCGTCGTGGAAGACCCTAAGCACGAACAGGTTCTGAGCGAGGTACGATCTTGGTAGTTGCGATCAGGATCAACCAGCTGTTGACGATGTGCTTGGAACAAGACGATGCTGCCGGAACTCTGATCGTAGAGATCTTCAATGTCGTCCGGAGCTCCCACATGCATCTAGGACACCTGGAGGATCCAGACTTTTCCGACGTGCACTCAAGGAACTCATATGGATAGTAAAGAGAATACGCAACTCACCATATCGTCGTTCCACAGGGTGGTCTTAGCCTTCAGCTTGGTACAGTACCTCACTTGAAGTGTCCCGGCACTGCGACCAGGGAAAAATTCTGAGATTTGTTTCCATGTAATGTTCTTCGTTTCTTTCAACCTCACAAGTAGTGCATCGTCTTCTCGAGTGAATTTGAGCTTTGGACCTTTGGGCCTAGGCGCTGGTTCTGGCATACCCTCTTTTCCAACCATGCTAGGTGGACCTGGCTCGTCCATGGAGAGCAGCTCATCACCATGCCGGGTTCGTTTGAGCGTGGGAGACCGAGGAGGTAGATGATGGTGATAGTGCTGATTAGCTTGCAAAGCTTCATCACGGCTGTACGATCGCGGTAAATGTGTCTGCAGTGTGTCGCTCTCGGGTGATTGATCTGCGGATGTTGCTTGTGGGAGCTGTGGAGCTCGAAATTGAAAAGGTGAAACGTGATTCAGAGGTTGGTGACCAGTCGATCCTAGCATGACAGGTATATTAAGACTTAAGTTATTGGTGAAGCTTGGAGAGTCTTGCGGGTTCAATCGAAACTCGTCAGCGCGACTCCTCTTGCGGGATGGCGGTTCTGAATGCGCATATTCTGAAGGTCTGCTAGAGCTGTCGTACGGAGTCGATTCGCTGAGCTGGCTCGTTGTCGAAATGCTGTTCCTTTCCTGCGCATACTGAGAGATACTGGTATCTGGCTGGGCAATTGCGGTGGATTGCAGCTGATGAGAAGGAAGATGATACTCCGGCTGCGTAGGTAGAGGAAAGTAGGAATGTTGTAACGATGAGTATCCATGATTCAAGTAAGAGTGACCATACATTGAGATTTGTGTCTGATCCTGATCCTGGCCACCTTGCCCTTCTTCCATCGACCCTCCATACTGGAATGAGCAATTGCCGTAGGGATTCGCCAGGGCTGCGGTGGTGCATACAGCGCTGAAGAGGAAAGATCAGTCAAGGTTACTTCAAATCCACCTGGCCGATTCGTTGCTGGAAACGCGCCAGGACGTCAGGTGAGAATGACAGCTGTGCCTTGCCTTCCGTCCGGATGGTGTTAAGCTGGTACTTTACTGAGGAGTGAATAAGGTTGAGTCAAAACTTAAGGCTTGTCAGGATGTTTGACAGCCCTAGGGAGGGATTCGCTTGCATTAACACTCGTGGAAGTATGCAGATCTAGATGTCGATTCCCCGGGTGATTCGATCCAATAGGATCAGCGAATCTGTGATTGCCACGGACGTGGCCCACGTATATCGGGAAAAAGAGTTGTGAAGACGAGGATTGGCTGACACGGAAAAGTAGGAGAGGTGTTTCCAAAGCTGAATACCGAGGAACTATGCACTGTGAAATGCGTGCCGAGAAATTGCTTGCTTTGACATTCCCAAAGACGGCTTGATCATACCGGCCAGGCGCCGCTTTCGCTTCTCCATCTCTGTGCCCTGAACCAGTGCCAATGACCAAAGGATTTTGACTTTGCTGCTATGGTCGGCGCGTCGTGGCCGCTGCAGGAGTCATGCCCTGGCTGGCTGTCCTTGTGAAAACGTGAAACATTGAACACAAAGAACGCTGTAATGTGACTTGAGCCACACAGATTAGCGGCTCGGATGTGCTGCCACACAATAATCATCATGCTGTGATTCGTGAACACGACGAGCCCAGTCCAGGTCGTTGTGGAGAAGCTTCAGCCGCGACCTGTGGCTGTGCGTGAAGGAGCATGAACTAGAAAAGTGGATATGTCTGTCCCTGAACGCGGGCAGTTAAGTAGCTTGGAAAATCGATTCCGTCTGTACGGAACGCTGTTGAAACGTCGATGATTCCAGCTTCGATGTTACTCGAAGAGGGCAAGAGCGACAGGGTGTTTCCAAGTTTGCTTGGTCGGTTGACACCTTCTAGCAGTCGGCATGCACTTGCCTGCGATCGGCATCACGATTACTGCCCGAGGAAGCGGAATTAACTGAAGGTTATGCAAATATCCGAAAAGGATCATCTTGAATGTCCTACCGTGACCGGAGCTGGAGGGCTGTCGACCGATGGCGCCATGACGGCAGGCAAAGCATTGAATTGGAAGATGACGATTGGCATGGCCTTATCGCTTAGTCTCGAACAGGTTGTGGACCGTGATACTCCTGTCAAGAGCGGTAATATGGCTGTTCTGACCGCGTGGCAAAGAACTTCTACAAGACGGGAGAGCCCCAAGTCGCGTGGTCTCATTCGCTTGGGATTTTCCCGGCCAAATTGGCAGCTGCGACCACGACCTCAAGCTTACGATCTGCCGAAGATTGCTCTCAGACATCGCATTCTGCCAATACAGACACTTCGCCAATATGGCAAAATACCTACCCACCGCTCCTCGCCACATCGTAGCAATCGAAAACAACCATATGATATTCTCCCGCACTGCATAATTAACAAGGATCATCGACAGGCCTGCAGACGCAGCTATTCGGGAGCCTCTCCGCTCTTTGTCTTGACCGTTTTCTGCCTCGGCACCTACGACGGATCTGGCTCAAATTCAACAACCAGACCAATCCTGGCGGATGGCCCTTCCCTTCGCGTCCTCGCGACACTTTGACCCTGACTCAAATTGTGCCCACCATGGGTGATGAGATCAGCAAGACCACGAAAGCTTACTTGATTGATTGGGTCGATGGGTCCAGGCACGGCGATTGTCCAGAGGCCGTGTCGTCGTTCATGCGATATCGCTACGCAGTCTTCCGTTCTGTGGCTCCCACCTACGGGGGCATCCATCCTCCCAAGTGCACGCCCATTTCTTGCCATAATCTTATGATGGCTATCACGAGATGCAAAAGCTAACGAAGATGTTATGTCTGTCCAAGCAGCTAGTCGATCGTATACAAAGCCTATGTACCAATTCTGCACAGGGACATCTTCTTCCATCGCGGTCGCCACGAACATTGGTAACATCATCATAGTTACGCACCAACAGAGACCTGCACTACATCAAAAAAGGCAGTGAAGCACAGATTATTCCCCGGTTGAGAAATCTTATCTGTGCTATAGGAGCAGATCCAGTGCCCTTCTGGAAAATTGCACACAGAGATTGTTGATACTTTCCCGACAGCTTGGCAAGACAAGACGGAACATGTTCACCGCTCGATTTGTTCGAGGTGGAGCACCCGCTAGATTTGGGATGACAACCTTCCGAAAAATTGAGGGAGTTCATCCTAAGTATTGCTCTTGGAGGTCAACACAATTTCTACGCATGGCTTCCTCCCAGGCAGTGGTGCTGGGAAGACCCGAGGACGAGATGTCTAGCCTTTCCTGTTGTAGGGCTGTCTGCACCTTGCTGACCATCGACCGAACTTACTTCAAACGCTGTTTTTATACAATAGGGTTTGTGGCTAAAATTTAACTGCGGTGAGTGGCGGATAATGGCAAGAGGCTCTCACGTCAGAAGTAGGGCTGCGGCAAAGGACGGTATATTCGGCCACTCGCCCTCCGAATTATGAACAGTACATCGCAACTTCAGTCCTTCCGCTCATCCTCAGTAAAACTCACGTTCTAGCCTAGACTTTGACGACATGCTGCCGTTGGAACCCTATATTTGCTGCTGGGTGGGAAACCTTAGGTGGCTGCATGCAATCTCAAGCACCTTCCGAAACAAGCTCTTCTATGCTGACTTCAGTACTCCTGAATACTTCCTACAGGTGGTCTTCGACCATAGTTTCGGAAGGATCCGTCTGTAGATTAACGTCAAGAGTTGGCCCTTTTTCTGCTGGCACTAGGTCTTGAGCAGTACTCCGAGCATGAACAGCCATCTTCATGACCGCGCGTTCAAGATCGGACCATCGATCCTTGGCGGAAGTCTCTATTCCTGGCAAGGGGTCAAATGTAGTTCATGACGGATAGTGTGACACAGGGCGCTTCCAGGGTGGATCACGTTCGGTAGAATTGTGTCACATTGATACCCTCCCTAAGTACCATCGTGCGATCACTCTCCAAAGTCATCAATACCGTCTCCGCGGCGGGTATCCCACAGCTTGCGCACACAACTTCATCTTGCCATTGATTGGTTCTTTCGAGCTTGAGGTAGCTCGAAATACTACGTCGCTGTCTTGACCTTGACCCATCTTCTGCCGTCACTGAAGACGATCGCTCTGTCCGAGCTCTGATCTGTACCCAACACTCAAACACACTATCCAGTACGTTTCGTGGCATTGGCGCTTTTCCGATGGCCTCGACCATATTCTGAGAGCCTGCAACGGTTTTACTCAGGGTAACCGCTACGAGATGACCAAACCTTTGGTGAACACTTCTTCCGCCGGAACCGGTCTGGCGCGCCATGCCCTCCCCAGTGTATTCAAGCTTCCTAATCGCTGCCAGAGAGGACCTTTGTATGTGGACAAGGGTCGATAAGATGCGAGAGTGAGCAATGGCAGTGGACAATGATCAAAGATCAAAGATATTCAGAGCGCCATTCGATATACAACAATCAATTGAGAGCTACTCGAGTACTGAAGTCACGCAATCGTTTGGCGGGATCAAGGAACTAGGGGGGACCATACCAAGCCACATATGTTCCTCCTTCTTAGGCGCGAACAGTGATGCATCGACCATCTACCCTCAGGCTCCATGTTTGACTGGCTCAGAACTGATCCACTATCTTCTCTAATCTCATCCAGCAAAGCTTACCATTGTCCTATACCGCATTTGGCTATACTGCCTGTAGTCTACTCTATTGTTCGATCCTCCCCGTTGATATGTACGCAATTATACAGAAAGGCGGGTCACTCTCAGCCGGCTCCCTGTTGTGGCTATCAGTAGCGTGGTTGACACTCCTGATTATTTGTCCAGATGGCACAAGCTTTTGGAAATAGGTTTCCGGCAGCACGATCGACCAGCCAGGACACCGCAAGCCCTTCACAAGCAAAGTTGTGATCGAGACGCTGCCTGCATCTACTCTCAGGTGGAGAGTGCATTCCTTGCAGTGGTCAGCAGCTAGTTCGATCATCAAAGCAGTATTTTGGCGAGTCTGGCATACAGCAGCTGTATCTCATTTGTACTGTTACGCTATCATCATCGCCACCATCACATGCTGTACCCACTGATGGCTATCGGCTGACTCACACGCTTCTGCCTTCCGTCTTGACGAAGCGAGACACGCTATCTTGTCTTGACAGACCTGCCACTGAACTAGAGTTAGAGAGCGAACTTTGGAAACGAACGAAGCCTATGAGCTCTTCAATCGCTTACGATACAGCACGACTGACTGGCAGCTAGGACCACCGGCGCTACTACCCCCATCGAACCCAAGATCGCTCACTTTCAGTGCCTGATCCAGCCTCGATTCAAACAGAAACCCGCACGACGCTGCAAGGCAACACGCCGCTAAGCACACCCTTCGCAAAGACGCAGTCCTTCCATCAATCACTCAAAGTGCCTCGTAAGAACCCACGAGAAGATGTGCTAGTCACACATTCCTTTATCACTCAGAGGCAAGATGCACCGTTACGGCTTCACACGAGATGGATATTGCACTTGAAGAGAGCACACTCGTAACGGCAGTAGCAAAGACTCTTGCCTTCGTACACCACTGCCTCCGATGGCTATCAAAGCTTCCTCCCACGATTCTTTCCGTCCCTTCTTCCTTCGTTGATTCAAAAGAGAAGCCAGAGTATTTGCTGCTGGCTTTGCCTCCTCACATCTTTTTGGACCGCGACGTAGACCTTCCGGGTCAGTCAAACGACATCAACGACGTCAACGATGTCTGTGACCGCACATGTTACAAGGTGTATCTCTTGTCGCAGATCATGACCTTGTCACACAATCTCGAAAGACATCAGCGTGAATTTTGACGTCGAAGATACGAAGCCTGCGCTTCTCCTCCGTCGACTCGAACCCCCCGCGCCTGGACGATAAACTGGGATACCCAGGTGCACAGTCGCTTTGGAGAACCAAGCCTCTTCCCTAAGAGCATCAACATTGAACGATCTCGTTCTCGACCACATCATCTACGAAAAGCTTTGCGCTTGCTCACAGCACACTCTCGAGCTCTGATCTGCCTCAGAGGTGCAGACGTCAACCATCTAGCACGTTCTCCACTATACCCTAAGCTTTCAGTGCTGTTCCTGTGGTAACTTGATCTTCGTTGCCAATGTACAAGTAAGTCGATAAGTTCGTCGTTGATGAATCATGAATAGCAGACTCATTTCAGAGAGCTCCCGCCTCGTCACATCGCATTTCGTACGCTCCCAAACTTCATCCTCTTTCACTGTACCTACAGTCTCTGGTCTCTGGTCGCTGGTCTCTGTTCTCTATTACCAACTCGCAGATACCATTGCTTGTATCGAACTTCTTAGAATCGCACCACAACCTTGATAGAACGGGCCCTGAGGATTCAAGATGATACCTTCCAGTCATTCGTGACCCAGAAGCAACACTCTAATGAGCGTGATTAGAAGCAACTATCAGTCTCCTAACCTCCGTCTCCTACCCTCAGTCTCCCAGTTATGATAGCTGTTGGATTCTAGAAAAGACTCAATGGAGTGCTAGTCGAAGAAGCCTTTGTGCCTATTAGCTAGAAGCCTCTACAAGACCAGCATTTGCAAGCAGGGTCTTTGAGACAGTCTCAGTCATTGTAGTAGAGTAGATATATAGATCCGGGTCTTCTTACTGTATACAACTTAAGTCTTGCACTCACTAGTTCCAACAATAGCTTGGACAAAGGTTTAAGAAAAGTCGAAAGGTTGATGACCTCGAATGATCCAAATGTAGTTCTCGCGAGACCTACGACCCTGGACAAAAAAACATTGTCGGCAATACAGATCTCACGATCCAGCTTAATCACCACAAACCAAGTCTACAGTGTTCTCTATAGCATAACATGTCTCGGGTACTCAGTGTTAGTGGTCTTAAACCAATAGATACGGTGAAAGAACAGTTGACAATGACTACCAAATATTGTTATAGCAAACAGCTCAGACATCACCACCCAAGTTGTAAATGTTCGGCTCCTTCTTCTTGTACCTCACTTCTCACGGCAGTACTCGTGGTTTTGAGCATTCATCCAGCACGAGAGTGCTCTCCATCATGGTGGTCTGCCAGCGACTGGAATTTGTGTTGCCGTGTCTCACATAGCCCTGTTTCGCAGGAAAGACAATGAGCAGACCACAAGCACCATCACCGTCTAGCCTACTCAATATCGCATAGCTTAAAGATGTACAAATCAAGGTCAACTCTAGCAAGCAGGTGGACACATGACAGGAACACAAAGTTAAACAAGGACGGGGAAAGGTATGATGGAAAGATAAAAAGTCCCAATGCAAAGGTTGAAATATGCCATTCGTATCTCGCGCTCTCAATCTATGATATTCATCTCCCTGACCTTGTTATGATAAAACAGTAGAGAGCAAGAGAAAACACAAAGAACCCACCATCCCTAGTTTCTCATGATTTCGCCGCATGTCGTTATCCTAGTCAAAAGTAGTAGCTAAAAAAAAAACAGGAAAGGGTGTGATTCGCTTGTGTCGCGACCCTTGATGGAAAATGTAGTGACCGGTTCCCTTTTTTCCTTTCCATGTGGAAACGTCGGTCGTCATGACAAAGAAGTGTATAACATTAAATGGAATCGTCGTCCTGCTCAGCTTTACTGCACAGTAAGCTGCTCTCTCATCTTGCTGGGCTCGGGCTTCTTGCGACGGCCCAATAGTGTGGCGTTGTCCAGACTCAACTCGAAGGCACCACGGTTCTTAACCTGGCGCTTAGCTGCAGCTGCGACAGCTGCACTGTGTTGGCCGTAGCCCTTCTCTTGGGGTTGGGTGCGAGGAGCGGCCTGCTGGCGAGCTTGAGCAGCAGCTGACAACGAGGTGTTACGCATTTGACGTTCGACGCTAGTGACATCAGGTGCGCCAGACTTGGGGACCTTGGCCGGAGGGTTTGCCGAAGAGGCGTCGTAGGGTTGCGATTGACCGTACTCATCATCCTCATCCTCATCAAGTGCGTTGAGCGAGTTGAGACCAGTAGCACCACGGTATCCTTGCTTGAAGTTCTTGCGGCGCTTACCTTCCTCTTCTTGGCGATGGACAGCGTAAGAAACATCAAAGACCTCACGCAAGTTGACAGCACCAGGGGAACGGAAGTCCATGCGCTTTCCAGCACCGGGAGTCTCGTCGAGGTACGCGAAGTTGGGCTGGAGAGGGGTCTTGGAGTCCATGTCGGCAGAGTGAGGTTGCTTGTAGAGAGGAGTAGCGAGAGGAGGAGCGTCGGCAGCAGCGTTGGTGACTTCGTCAGACTCACGAATCCAGGGGTGGTCGAGGAACTGGTTGATGTCGTAACGCTTGTCAGGGTCGACGGTCAACAAGTGCGAAACAAGATCCTGGGCAGACTTTGAGATGTCGTCCCACCAAGGAGACAGGAAGGTATACTGTCCCTTGGCGACCTTCTCGGTGAGGACCTGAATGCTCTCGTCGTAGAATGGAGGGAAACCGCAAAGAAGAGTGTAAAGAACACAACCAAGAGCCCACATGTCGACAGATTTGGAGTAACGCTCATCCTTGACAATCTCGGGGGCAGTGTAACCAACAGTTCCGCAAGGAGTCATGGTCTGGCTGTCCCAGATGACCTTGGAAAGACCAAAGTCGGCAACCTTGATCAGACCAATACCACCGGAACCGACACCCTTGATGAACTCTCCCTCATCAGCCTTGTCCTCGTCATCGGGACCTCTGGGCTTAGGGTTTCTGGTGGGGATGAAAGGTGTAGGGTAGAAGAGCAAGTTCTCGGGCTTGATATCACGGTGAACGACACCAGCCTCCTCGTGCATGTACTGAAGAGCCTTTGCAACCTGAACGATGACGTGTCTTGACAGGTCCTCGCTGAAGTAGGTGAGACGGACGATCTGGTGGAAAAGCTCACCACCGGGGCAGAGCTCGAGAACGATGTAGTAGTATTGACGAGCCTCTGAGAATTCAACAAGCTTGACAATATTGGGGTGGTCTAGTTGACGCATGATTTGAACTTCCTTGAGGATGTTGGCACGCTGTAAGGGAACAAGTCAGTGTCTGTCGAGCAGATATCTTCTTGAGGGTGATTGCAAGGAGATACGAAAGCATAAAGAAAAGGGTTTGGCGCACCTCCACTCCCTTGGGCGTCTTCTTGAAATCCGGATGAAGAACCTTGTCGCCCTATTCCACAAGCACGGTTGGCGGCTGCATATACAACAGGTTGAAAGAAAGATAAAGAGTATGAGGAAAAAAGCAAGGAAGGATCGCAGACACGTACCTGGGTTGAGTTCATCTCGAACTTTCTCACAACCTTGATGGCGACTTCGTTGTAGACACCTTGGGTGTCTCTTGCACGGTAGACATTACTGAAGGCGCCGTCGCCCATTTTCTCGACGAGGTTCCATCTCTCCAGTCCGGGGTATCTGGGAAGCTTGCCCTTAGCCTCACGCTCCTCTGCAACGATGCGCTCAAGCACATCTGGGTCGACATCCTTTCTAGCTTGCTCCTTCTTATGTTGCTTGTCGACAGCTTGACCGGCGGCAGCACCGGCCTTAGCAGCGACGTTGCGGTTGTCGATGGCAGCTGCTGAGAAGTCGCCTTGAGGGGCATTTGCTTGCAGAGGTTGGTGGGCGTAGACGTTGGGATCACTCATGGCATATTGGTCATGATGCCTTTGCTCTTGTTGTCTTGGTGAATTGTGTTGGGTGTTGTGGTGACGTTGGGCGTGAACATTAGACACGGCAGGTTGGTCAGGCGGCGACTTTGGGTTCTGGTCCCGCGCCTGCTTGCCGTGGCGGATGAAGTTCTTAAGATTCTGTATCGTCGACATGGTTGATTAGTCGGGGTTGTTGTGGGGTGGTGATGTTGAACGCAATCGAGGCGGGTGTGTTTCCTTTTGGGAAAAAGGACAACAAGAATTAAAGAATTGCGACGTGTAAGGCAATGGATGCAGGTGAGGTGTAAAGATGGGTGGGTGGTTGTGTAAGCAGCTAAGCCTTTGAGCAAAGCACAAGAAACGTGATAGTGAAGGAGGGGATGATTATCAAGCGGGTAGCGTGGAAGGGAGGATGAGGGATAGATGGGAAGTCGGGGTGGATGCAGGCTTGGAGCAAGAGGTTAGACGAGCAACTGCATCATAGGGTTTGATGACGTCGGATCGCTCTTGCTCCGGGGTCAAGGCTGTCATCCACGCAAAGTGCTTTGTTTTTTGTTTTTGGAAGGAATGACACACGAGCCCATCGCCTCAGCATGGGCCAATCACCATTCCGATCAGGTGATGACGACCTTGATGATGTTCATGATAAAGACTGCCAGCGAGAGGCCTGTCGAAACATGCCATCCCGTAGAAGCTTGGAGGGGGAACGCGGGCAATGAACACCACAATATGGGCAGGAAAGTTGCTTGCGAGCAGGGGGGAATTCACTAACCTCGATTTTCCACATGGTAAAGACGACCGCCGATCGACGACTTGTCCTTGCAGGGGTTGCTTGTGCGTCGCGAAGGGGGTCCTAATCTAAAGAAGACGAGATCCTTATGCCCTGTTGTTGCACAGTGAAGAGTGAGTGAGGTAAGTGATCCTTCGAAGTGGGCTGGCGATTGTCTTTGCTCCCCCGTTTTGCTCGTTTCGTTACTCGTTCGCGATTGCCGGGCGTGTTCGTTGGCTTGACGGGCCGGAGGCTGGACAATGAGGCGGAAACGGATGTTTTATGAAGAGAGAAAAGAGTGCACTAGGCAGAGAGAAGACGAACAGCCACAGCAGTTGAGGTCATATACATGGAGGTGTAGCTCTACAGGATGATGTCGAGAAAGACAGTTGGCGCCCGCCGCGCGCCGGCCGTTTTTTGCTTTCCTTTCCTCACTGCCTCTCCTCCGGGAACAGCGGGCTCCGCTTTTCCATAACAGACCTGCCCAGCGCTTTCGCAATCATCGCAAAAGACACCTATTTTACTCCACTTTCGAGCTGGTCTATGACAAGACCCTGATGGTGCGTTCGTGTACCGAGTCAGAGCCTAGAACCGACCAGCCTCCTTCACCTCCGTCGCTAGCCGTCCTTCCTTCCAAAAGTCAAGTGATGGGCCAAACATACAACTTCGAGAGATCTTGGTTCCCAAGCCTTGACATGCCATCCCTCCTGCTGACTGTCAATTGAACGCCATGTCGCCTTTCGGGACCTTTCGCTTTGTTCCTGGAAAGCCGGCAGCTTGACGGAAAAAAATGACGTGAACCCTGCATTTTTGATGACGTTCAGGGCGCCGCTAACCTTGGCATTTGCATCATCCCGCATTCGATAGCCGCGTTTCTCAGCCAAGCGACCACCTTTTCGGCTCTGCTTGCTTACGACTTTCATCTCGCCGTTCACACGAAACACCCAAAAGGCCTCATGTTCATGCATGAGCAGACTTGAAAGGGGTCGCTCCGTTCCTTGCTATAATCCGGGGCTCATCTATTGATGGCGTGGACGCGGACCTCTCACCTCTACCTGTTCGATACTGGTAGTAAACAAAGCCCGGATTGAGGCTTAATGTGAGTTTACAACATCCTGGCAACTCGTCAACGGTCTGCTTGGAGTGACAGTTCGTTGAGAGCGGGACTTACAAAAGCCACCACTCATTACAGTCTGGGAATGCAGCCGTCTTTACCGTCTTTATCAAGACTGTGCTTCAATAGCTCCCTCAGGCCGATAAATTTGGACAAAGAACGTGCTGTATGAATGGTACGAAATAACAGTAGGCTGATGGTATGTCTTTCGAAGCTTGAAAAGCATTACAATAGCCTGAGTAAGACCACCTTCCTTACCATCCCTGCAATCGTCATCACTTTACCTCTTTCTTCATCATCTAGCAACAATAGCCTCGTCTTATATCCCTCTTCACTGTTACGGCCGCATCGTTCAATTGCTGAGCCATGTAAAACAAGTCCATGCAAACCTCACTCTTTCCTTATCCATGTAAAAGAACGCCCACCTAGCTATTTTGCACTAACACAACTCTTAGACATCCTCTTTACGGGGCTCTGGTCGCTTCTGCCTAGCAATCATCTGCGGCGATGTGGAGAGATAAGCAAACAACTCGAGAATGACGAAGCTAAATGAGCATCTATATATGTCGAGAAGCCCCTTCGGGTCGATAACGCAAGACTAATTCATGGCTCCTACACACGCAACCATGATCAACTTGTCTATACGCAGCACATGGAGCATATCTAGGTTGGAAGATGTCGAGACCTCTCTTGTCACGTCGGCGGCCGATTTCATAACCCGACCAGTCAAAGATACACACAGCAGCTACAATACCTCTACTCGCACTCTCGAACAAGATCACTGTAGGAGATGTAGATTTGGGATGAAAGTGCTGTAAGATGGCAAGGGATCTTGCTCTTTTATACTGAGGTCTAGGATGAAAGTTTCCCTTGCATGATATTCTTACTCCTTGCATTGTGAATCTCTCTCGCTCAGGAACGGTACTCTAGACTAGATCTCGAGTTGCAGCCCACACACACATATACATATACAGATGAGCACCAACTGATTAAGATAAAGCAAGCCCTTGCAACAATCTCATTGCCAATCTCGGCAACACAGTCAGAGTCCGATGAAATATAGGTTCATGGTTCAAATGACTAACTGATGTGTTTATGAGAGTGCGCTACCTATATTAGCCTTAGTCTAGACGATTCGTTCAATTGAATCGAACACCCGACCAGATAAGGTGGATCCTCACAAACGATCCACTCTCCAAGTCGCAAATGAAGTTCATGAGCGTCTCCCGGAAGAAACGAATACAGCAGGACTGTGGGCAGGATAGGAGGCAACACAGGTCACTTAACCTGACGACTCTCCACTGCATCGTTCTTCTTATAGCGCGTGTGAAGCACTGCAAAGCTGCTCTAACTTGTGTGTTGAGACCAGAGAGAAGAGTTACTGACCTAATTGCTTTGCTGCCTGTGCTGACGATAGCTTCACCTAACCTTGACCGAGGAACAACCAGAACACGTCGATGTCATTCCACTCCAGCTTCTCTTCCAGGGTATGAAAGCGTGAATGGGCAGGGTTTCGGCACGATGATGTCGGGTTATTTTTATGGATCAGTTGGAAAGGGACTGCACTGTGACCACGTAAAAAATGATCAAGTGCTTGAGGTGCAGTTCGTCGTTGCTGCATGTGCGAGAGGGGCGTTCATGTCTATGCACATGCTCCTGCCACTTTGACGATATGCTTTTCTTGGTCTGGAAGTCGCGTCTTTACTTTACTTCTGGCTCTGATGCAGTCGCTCTTTCCTCTGTCTCGGCTTCGACATCATCGAACACCCAGTACTTCTCGAGATCTTTGATACGATCCGCAGCTGCTCTTGCTAGCTCATTCAGTTCATCCTCAATCATATTACCATCCGCCAAGTCATCTAGCCTCCTAGCCCATGCCAGCCATCGCCGGACAGTAACGCTGTTCCGGCCATGATTATCCTCATACCCCTCCTCACAAACTCGCATAGGCCCAGCAGATGCAAAGCAACGACTTTGCATCGTCTCCGTCCACAATTCTTCACCAGCAATCAAAATCCACCTACAAGCAGATCTCAGGTTGTGTAGAGAATCGATTCCTTTTGCGGTGGTTGGATCATACTCTAATGAGTAGACGATGGTACGGAAAGCATAGAGTGATAGGAAGCCGAAATCGCAAGGCGAAGCGCTATTGCCTTGGTAGAGGAAAGCGGCAAAGGTGTTTTGGCTTGTCCACTGTTGCTCTGCGATGTGTTCCGCTTCTCCGTCATTGATGTAGCCCGTGACACCTAACGAGATACGTTAGAAGATGAAATATCGACTTAAGGAAGCGGTTTGCATACCGTACATGGAATCGCCAAGTCCAGCTTCGAATTGAGGGAGATCTGCCCATAGCTTTCCACCGTCCACTTCAATGACTTGGCCAGATCCGACGATTAAAGTCTTGTGATTGAACGATAAATGAAGTGTTTCAGTGCTTTCATTACGCACGTCCGGCAATCGTGAAAGTGCCAGTACCAACCTCGCTAATTTGCCGAGATCTTGTTCGTCCGAGAGCTTCAGAGCGGAGCTGACAATAATTAGAATGACCTCGTAGTAAACAGCCAAGAAATCAGCATTCGACATCACGAACGAAGTGATGAGAATTGCTGCCTCATCCGGTTGCACAGTCTCGTCGAGAAGCTGCCTCAGAGCGTCGAAGAGCGGGACACATCTTCCCCCCGTCTTGTCTTGATATGCATATGCTTCATCGAGATGTGTGATCCATGAACAATATGAAGTGGTGCTTCCCATTGCAGTGTGTCGTACAGAACGTAAGAGTTGTGCAATCTGGTTTTGATAGCAATCTCCCCGCAGCGGCTCCGAGGAAGGATTCTGCCAAGAATGATGGACAACATGATCTTTGCGATTATCATGACAACGATGTCTCATGAGAACTTGAGTCGTAGTTTTCGCTTAAAAAGGAACATACATCGCCACTATGCTCGTAGTCCTTGCGATTTCAAGCTAAAGCTGATCCGATTATCGGTCCCGAATGTGTCCTGGTTCCCTAGGCGTCCATGATCCATGTAGCAGTGTATACGACCATGGGTCATCTTGCCAGTGATACAATTGCGTTTCGGAAGCTTTGTGGAGACTGGGAGTACCAGTGTTGCAGTTTGGTCTCTTCTTTATCCAGACCGATTGTATCCGGTGCTTTCTGTAGTCCTTCTATGGTGTTTTGGTTCAACTCCTCCAGTATCCGGACTTTGTGTGGCATTGGATCTGCTCAGATGTTGTGGCTTGGAGAGTGGCTTAGGGTATCGCTTATAACCACCGAAAACGTGATCCTCGTGACCTTTTGGCATTGCTTGTGACACTCCATCCTTAGTGTAGCACTTGTGGCAATCGAACATTTCGGGCTGATGATATTCCATATCCAAAGTTCCAGGTCGATAGGTCTTCGTATCTGGGATTCTGCACCACCGTAGCTTTGAGGCGTTGCTAGTATACGACTCGCAAGTACTGCAATATTTCTTTATTTTCTCGGCGCAAACGACAGGAAAATGCGTCTTCCAAACAAACGCCTCACGGTCGCTCGCAGAAAAGCGACGGATCCAGAAAGACATGCGTTCCATCTGTTAAATACTCCTGTATTTCGAGCTGTTCGCTCTGTGACGCACCTCTGCGAGTTGGCGATAATGCTCAGCTCTACGTCGCCGGAATTCGGGATCTCTCATACTCCTGTAGTACCACCGTATGGCAGGGGACACGTTCAATAGCTCTTCATCCAATGGGTTCAAAGTGGACTTCTTGACTTCGCTACTAGAGGAAACCACTCGAAACAGAACCTGCTTCACTGATTGGCGAGCGATCGGACCGGAGAGACTCAAGAAGGGCAACCTTGAGTATAAGGATAACATGGTGTACGCTGTCGCGAATATCTTCCTGAGGTGGAAAGTAGGAAGTCTGGGAGGAACGAGTAGATTGTGAGGCCAGAGGCAAGCGGTGAACAGCGAACAGTACTTTTGGCGATAGATCCACTCCAGATGAAGAGCTTGCGACGACGCTACTGAATCTCGAATTCCGTTCTTTTTCCAAAGTAGTGGATGCCAAGTTCTGATTGGAATTGAGATGGGTTGAGGAAGATTGAATTGACAAAAATGTCGCGTCGAAGTCTGGCTTCTGTGCGCGATCGTGACTGACGACGCGTTCTGGCGGGGGTGATGACCCTGCTCATTCCAGCCAAAGCGGCGTTGACATTCAGTGCCTCCTCAAGGACCAGCCACTGTTCATGCTGAGGCTTTACTGCTGCACTCGAATCATGTCCGAGAGATGACTGACGCCACGTCATTTGCCATTTTCCAACCACTCATTGCCTTCCGCCTCTTGTTGTGTTTATCGTATCAGAGTGTTTGAGTCTACGGTTTTGGTCTCGATCGATGCTCACCCCAGACGTGACTTTCATGGCCCTTCGGCATGATGTCCGGCATGCCTTTGGCTACATAGCAGCTATGGCACTCAAAAAGCTCCGGGCTCTCATCTCTGTGATCGCTTTGATTGTTGATTTGCTTCCACCTGGATTTGAAGCTATAGTCAGCAGACTGCTCTAAAGATATAGACACTGTCATTGAGTTCAGATTATCATCCAGGGTCGGGTGTCCTCACATCAATATCACCTACCATAGCTTCGATCCTCTCGCGGGGGTATTCTCACACGTACTACAGGTCCTGACCTGAGCTTCCGAAGTAAAGACTGGAATGTGTGTCTTCCAAGCAAGGCCCGTTCTTTGCTCATCGGTGAGCATATTCAACCAAGTCCTAATCGTTGTCGGCAGCTGAAGCGGTCCCCCCTTGTAGGGTCGTTTGTCAAAGTATTTTTGTCTTGACCTCTGTTCTTTTTGGATAAATTCAGGATCTGTGCGACGGTCATGCCAATACTTCAACTGTCGGTCGCAGCGAGCTCGGCGCCAGACAGGATCGTCCATTTTGCGATAATAATAACGCATTCGGGTTGACATGCCCAGCAGTTCGGCCTCCGTGGGCGATGCACGCTTGGACAGATTTTCTTGAAACGAGAAAAGCCGAACAAGACCAGATCGGTAGAGCGTCTCTGAACTTGGTAGACTTGACGAAATGTGTTTCCTTAGAAAGGCCAACATTTCGTTTGAGCCCGAAGAGACCAGGAGTCGGATTTAAGTAATGGAAAAATTCAGAAGCTTGGGTTACTTTAATCAAGATCGAAGTCCAAAAGTTCAGAATCTGACTAATTGGGTGAACTTGCGGTCGGGGAGAAGTTTCAGTAGAATCGCAAGCAATTGATGCAAGCAATGAGGTTCGCTTTTTATTCGACGTCCGTGCACCATGGGCTACAAGTCAACGACACCACAAGGACTCCAAGGAGATTCTTCCACATGACACAAATGATCTTGCCTTTCTGCAGCAGAGCTTACTGGATGAATGAATGATGTCGAGACACGTTACAATAGCTCCACCAAGCTCTTACATAGGGCTCGTATACACGTTGTTACCAGAGCCTCTCTCTCCTCGATCATGCTTGGCCGTGGATTTACAGCTGTGGAAATGCAAGATGATTTTCAGGGATCCGAGGTTGTCCATCGAGAGAGACGCATCTGATAGCTCTCTCCGACATCGTTGCTCATGACTTGAATTTGTTTGTGCATTTCTACAGATCATTTGGGAAGCTTCACTTGTCAACGGACATAAATTAGCGGGGCGGTGACCTGATGTCTGGGTGCTTGGTGCAGGTACATTGTGAAACACAAAGCGTCGCTACTCCCTCCCTCGCTCGTTACGAATTGGAAGTTGTAAAAAGGCACAGTCATATGTGCTTCTGTAATATCCGACCAGGGAGACAATGCGAATAAGTAACGTAAGTTCAGTATTAAATATATGTTCGGATTCGATGCCTGTATCTGTAGTCTTTGCTCAACGCGCAAGCTTCACGGAATGCGTCGTTTGCCGCCTGCACGAGTATATGTCCATATGTACAATACTAGACAAAAGCCACAGAGAATGTAGGAAAAGCAAGAATGATGACGAAAAGCGAATAGCGGGAAAACAAACTCCAATCCAAGATGCAACAAGAACCAGCTCCTTGCGAGAGAGACCGAGGTAAAAACGCCATGCCGAGAAAAGACGTAAAAACAACCCAAACAGAGACGCTTGATCGGGGAAGGCAGCAGAAGAACAGAGAGTGATGGGTGCTTTTTGCTCTTCCTAGGGAATGATAGGCGTAATGAGGAGACAGAAAAATACAAGGGGGGTTGTTGGCGTGCGCGTATAAACAGTGAAAAACTCCATCCCAGAAGCCTGGAAACCTTCTAGTTTGCCGAAATCGATACATTAATCGTCGAAACACTTGGTCATCCCATCAAGCTCAGTTATTCTCGCCAAGCTCACTTTTGATTGGATGAAATAGGTTTGGAAGGGTGCACATACGTCCAGTGCCAGTCTCTTCGTCCCTAGTACCACCCTCCTTGTTTTCGCGAAGACCGAGCCAGCGGCGCCAAAGAGCTCCGGAGAATCCAGAATTGTAGTAAAATGAACTGCCGATGAAGTTGTGCTCGCCCCATCCGAAAGGACTATCAACATCGATCCTGGGACGGTTGAACATTCTGTCCATGTACTCAAGATCCCAATCGCGGTCGAAATAAACGGGGTGAGGTGCGTAGACGGATTTGAGTCCATGTTGCAAGGCACACGATGCAGGCCACATCTCAGGGAACATGGTGTGACGGTACTTCCAGGTCTCCTCGTGCATGATATCCATCAAACGCTTTGAAAGACGTGAGACGGTAATGATAGCGCAGCGGCGAGGAGGAGGGGGCATTTGCAGGTTGTAGCCAGTTACGTCCAGACGGAAGACCCAGTTTGTCTTACTGGGATCGAAGATGGGGTTGAAAGTGATGAGATCGGCTTCTTCGCCGACTCCCCACTTGAAATTGTCCCTGTCATATGGCATGGGGGGAGTCGTGTCTGAGGGAGAAGGAGTGAGGCCATCATGCTGGAAGGCAGAAGGACCCCATATAGGAGTCTTGCCGTTCTCGAGGGTCTCGCGTTCGACCATGTCAGTGAAGTTCTGATATGTACCGTGGAGCTGGGGCATCCAGAATCTCTCAGCTCTTTCCCACATGCCCTTGCGAGGTTGCTTGCGAGCCCAATCACCGATGGCAGTGTTGAATTCGTAGTAGTGACCATTGTAGCGAAGATCCATTTCCCAGTTCCAGTAGAAGTCGTAGTCAGGGTACTGTTGGCCGAACCACTGGAGAGCGAAATGAGCAGAACGGTAGACTCCGTGCACGCTCTGCCCGGAAGGATTCTCAAAGGGCTCTGCGAAGGGGGGAGGGTAGTAGTTGAGCAGTTGCGACTCTGACCACAAAACAGTCATGTTCCAGAACTCCTTGGGCATGTTCTGTTCAATGACCTTCTGGTAAACACTCTTGTCGGCCCAGATGGGCAGAGTCTCATCCTTGACGTGCAAAAGGAAGTAGACATCGTACTCTCCACCGGATTTGAGGGAAAGTTCAGCAATCATTGCACGAAGAGAGTAGAGCTGGTTGTAGTTGAAGTTGTAGCCGGTCCAGATGCGAAGGACGTAGGCATGGCGGGAAACCTTGCGATGAGCATCCTTGTTTTCGAAACGGCCCTTGTTCTTTTCGTGGCACTTCTTCATGGCCTTGCCCCAGTTGACATTGGAGTAGTCGACTGTGCCCATCTTTTCGAAAAGCTTATCGACACCAACATTTTCCGAGTCAAGACCAGGACCAAGACCACCAGCTGTAGCGTTGTAACCATAACCGTAAGGACCGAGTCTGCCATATCTATCGTAACAAACATCATCTCTGATTCCAAGCTCTTTGTGTGAGCCAAAGTTGGGCACAGTCATATTTCTGGGAAGACCAGGATACACGTAAACATCGGGAACCTCGACCTTGTCCTGATCGTCCATATAGCAGGTCTCGACCTTTCCATACTTCTGAGTGTATTCGTACGAAGCGTAGTCGGGGTAAGGAGTCAACTTGATGGGCTCGAAAGCGGGTTGCTTGGGAAAGCCACGGGCTTCATTCTGGTCAACGAAGCCTTCGGGGATCGACTTGTTGTAGCGGTTCTGAGGTACCCATTCTTTGGGAGATACCAGTGTGCGGATGCCGTTGTAATAAGCTTTTAATCTATTGACGTCATGTCAGTAACGATGGTCGTGATCGAAGATCGAAGGGGTGTCTTACGGCTGATATTCTTCCCAAGGATAACCAGGAGGCTTAGCTTCCGGATGCGGGTTTTCTGGCGGCGGACGATGGTGGAATGGGTGATGACGAGTCGCAATGAGCATCAGGAGCACGAACAGTGAGGTCAATGCCCAGAGAAGGATGCGGAGCGGAGACCAGCGAACAGAGCGCATGGCCTCGCCGGCGCGCCTCGGTGAAGGCCATCGGACTCGCTTGAGAGGCTGCAATGTGAAGGGCGACGTGTTGCGACTGTCCGAGGGAAGCTGCTGGTAGGAAAAGTTGTTGTGGAACAGGCGCAGCGGGTTCAGATGACGCAACCGCGCACCACCTTGCTGTTGCTGTTGCATTATTGGGAGACCTTCACCAGCATCACTGGAGAGGCTGCTCTCCGACTTGCGTTCTTTGTAGTCTTCCAGTTTGGCGGTATTGCGTGAGAAAAATACAGGTGCAGCGAGCGACGAGGGTTAGTGAACGAGCCAAGATCTGAAGGCGAGAAAGCCGAGACCAGCCGTTGGAATTATAGCCGGGCGGACCGGGAGAGGTTGGGAAGAGTCGACGGCGAGCACAAGGTTGCTATAGGCTAGCTGAGGTACGCTGAGTTGCTCGAAGCCAAAAGGGGGGGGGGAGTGGTTGGCCGGGGTCGGGGGTGAGGGAGATGGAGGAGAGAAGAGGTGGACGACGACGACAAGAAGAAGTGGTGGAACAATTTCCAGACAGCGTCCAGCAGACGGAGGTCGTAGCGGTAGCAGGAGAAACGGGCCGCTTCCAAGCACAAGATCAAACACTATGGTGCAAGTGGAACAGCGATGATTGAAGGCTCGAACGGCGGCGAGGTCCGTGTGTCTTTAACAAGTCCAAAAGCCTCCTCAACACCCGCCGACGATCGCTGATTGGCCAGGCACTCCAATGTGAACACCCTTCCACTCTTCGCTGTTATCGCTCCTCCACTGGCCGCTTCCTTGATTCAGGCACTGGAAATACTGGGCAGGAGAGTTTATGGCCTTCTGTTGAGTCGACGCTTGTTTGCTTGCGTTTGCCTTGGATACCGGACGCGACGCGACGCTGCGCTTTTACTTGCAACAGCATCGTCTTGTGTCTCTCTGTCCGCGGAAAGCACAATCGCATTACGCAGCCCCGGCCTCTGAATCTGGAGATCTCCTTGAAAGTCCTGCATGGCCGGTGCGCCACACCCTAGCAGCTAGGACTGACTCTCCATTTCATTCTCTTTCCGTCATGCATCCACCACACTACTCTGGGGATCATGCCCTGCTTCTTGTAGGGAGCTGACTGGTTTTCCAGCGCGTCCCATATTGCGCCCATTCTGCATCTCTGCCGAATGCTCCGCCAACTTGCCGTCTGCCGTGTAGTTGACATGTTGCGCCGTACGACCAAAACATGGCAGCATAAATCTTTTGTTTTGATCGTCGACTGGTCCACTCAAAGGTCGCAAGCATCGTGAAACATGTCCATTTCGCATCCCTATGCACATCACACTTCTCCAGATCATTCATCTCATCGTCACAGCCTCACTCTGCAGAACGCGCAATCCCTAATGCTGCCATCCGTTTCCTGTCAAATCCGTCTACCATCCCGTGTAAACACAAGACCACAAGCTCCCGCTTCTCCGGTGCAGTGTGAGGGCTTGCATGAAACTGGGCGACGCTACACGTAGTCTCGCTGTCGTCTTCTGTCTTGGCTGCCGCCATAACCACCATACCCTTATCACCTTCTTGATGTGATTCCTACATCATGACCGGCTCCGTAAACCCGGGGTCGTCTACACTTTGCAAGCCATCCTCTTTGCACAAGCGAAAGAAACATTTCGATGCTGCAGGTATCTTGCACTGAACGCGCGATTTCACCCAGAATCTGTCCAATCTTAACAGACTTGACCCCTGTATTCCCGAGAGATCTATGGTGAACAAGGTTAGCTACCACCACCATGTACAACAAACTCTTGTCAGACAACGACAGCCGAAAGAGCCTCATTCTGATTTGCATCTCCCATGGCTTGCTGATTTTTCTTGGAAGTGCGCGTCTTTTTGCAAATATTATCTGACAGATTCTCATCGGGTGCACACCTTCTGCCGCAGAGGAGTTCTATCTTGCTGTAGATCAAGGCAGATGATGTCCGACCTCCTTGTACGTTGAACTCTATCACGCATAGCTGCATCAAGGCACAATAAGATTCAGAGTTGCAGCGATGTTTGCTGAGAGTCGCCATCTCATCGACTCTCTGAGAAGGCTCAATCTGACCACAGATAACTCTGCCTTTTCACAGCTAGTGGATTATTGTACGTCAATCATGGAGCACAATAATTCGTTACAGCATTGGGAAAAGCAGAAAAGAGAACGGGATGTGCCCCTTTCGCGGTCGTCCCGCTCTCGCGCAACACTTGCAGCAAACAATACTCCAATCGATAAACCGCCTATTTTTGGCTGGCTATTGGCTGCATGAACGCCTCCAATATTAATCACCAATCATATTGCCACATGTTATGATAACTGTGCCTCATCTACTATATCATGACTTTGATCTTGCTCACAATGTCGACTCTCACACTCGTGTTGTAATCTCTGCAGGATGCGACTTCTGAGGATGGTCCTTCGCGCTGATTGCAAGGAAACCTCGATTTGTTTGTCGCTATGGTCCTCATTCCAGCCACCACCTTACAGGACCTCTCCTCGAGCAACAAGCCTTCCTGGTCCCATTAGACTTCACTTCCTTTCACAAGTCACAAAAAAACCGGGCAAGTGTTTAACCACGCGGTTCGAAAGAAGGTTGGTGTCCAACTCTGAGCCACTTTTCAACGCCGAGGCTGGGGGGCAATCGTTCGTCACGAACCTTTTTCTTGTCCAGCAGCTGGACCTGGAACTTTCAGCTCAGCAGAACAACAAAAACATTGGCGCGTCGCGTCCTGTGCGGATGAGAGCGGGCAAGTATATACGAGGTGAAGGAAAAGCTTGAATGGACGTCGGCTCCAACTTCTTGCTACCTATGTGGGTGGCCGGAGTGATAGGATTTGATGTGTGTCGACGGTATGCTGCATGCGTGGTAGGTATCTGGATGCTAGAAGAGTCTTGCCCTCATTCACGACTACGCAGAGCAATAGTAAGCTGTCCGCAGAGCAGCTTATCTTTAAGTCAACTGAGCCTCCGATGGGTATCCATCTGCGGACGTGTCTTGATGACCTTTCTCTGCCTCTTGTGTGTCATGTTATATCGCTACAGCTACTTGTTCCTCGAAAAGATAGGATATACAAGAGTTAGGAGCCGAAGGACGGTTATAAGGTCAATGCCTAATAATTTCTTCGGGTTCACACATCTTTATGACAGTGAATGGCGAGAACAAGCTTCGGAAAGCCACAGTCATCTTTGAGTCAACGGAGCTTCCGTTTGGTTCATACACTGACGACTCTGAATGCTTATGCTCTGATCACATGATCCATTCTGTATTTCCACAGTTACTCACTTACCAAATCTATTGCGGGAGAGTGAGAGCTAGCACAAGGTGACGACGACCAAATCGATGTCAGAGAATACCTTTAAAAGGTTACTCATCAACAGTAAGCCGCCGTCAATGTGGAGGAAGATCGCAGAGGAGCCTGCCTGGCGTCGTGTGGCTCGTCCACCGTTTCTGGTGAAAAGGGCGTACTACTACAACCTGGTTGCCTATGAGCCTTCGACGATACGCGACAGTAGAAGCTGGCGAAGAGAGACAATTGACGGGCCAGGGTCAAGAAGCTTCCTTGGAATCACTCTCCATCGATACGCTACAGAGCTGAGATCAAGCTGTCGAAAGGCGCGGTCATTTTCCAGACTGGAGCAATCCCTGGAGAGAGAGTCAACAAACCAACGTCTTGTGCTCCAACTTAGGCAAGCCCTCCTGACCTACTCTAGCACATGAAGACAGCTCTTTACCATTGCACATGACTAGCCAATTATCACATGTAACGTTTGTTAAAGGGCCAATCTCCCGGACCAGTAATCCAGACTTTTCTCGAGCGTTTCAAGACGCCCACGTACCAAGACTTCAACGTTGGTGGGGGCTCTTGACCAAAAGATTGGTTGACTACAGGGTTCCTATCTCTTTGATATAGAGAGAATAGAGATAGGCTGATGGAAGTAACGGTATCCACGACGATTGAGAAATGCAGGTTTGCACATGCACGATCATGTGCAGAGGGCTGGCTGCTTGTGACACTGCATTGTTGTTTGTTGTTATCTGATGCATGAGGGGAGAGTAGTGAAGGATCTAGCAGAGGGTGTCTGACACGAGTCGTGTAAGGCTAGAAGAGGCACATGGACAGCAATTGTCTAGGGTGAAAACATAGGTAGTTGTTCGAGACATTGTTTGGACAATAAAGGCGGTGTATAGGGGCTTGGCGAGACGAAGGCGGTGTGTGGAGGGGCACGCTCAATACGAAACAGCACAAGTTTTGTTCTGGAATGATTGCAAGGACGGTGTACGATTTGTGGCCATCTCTCACATGAAGACACAGGAAATTGACACAGTTGCAACGGGTTGCCTTGGAATCAGCTTGATGAGTGCAGCAGGTCTGCGAGAGCAAGCACGTTTCACAAGGGAAATTAAACTTTCATGACCGTGACCTTCTGTGAAGTGACGACAGCCGGCAGCCGAGATGGGGAGTAGAAGATAAACATCCAAACAAATGCTCGGCCCTAAGCACGCAACACAAATCACTCGCTTTCTCCACATAGACGACTCGGGTTTTTCTCTTCTCCAGAGCAAGTGAGACGATCGTTACAACATCTTGCACGCCTACAGAAAAACATAGACACGAAACAGGAGATCGGTGGCCTTGTGTGAGAGCGATACACGCCGGATCATCAAGGTGTCCTGTCCCCTCGACACAGTGCGGAGAAAGTGCAACATGTCAATGCATTAGTCGTTGAATCGAGAGAAGAGCTTGCGCACATCTACATCAGTGCATCTGTTATTGGACATGGAAGAGGTCGAACAGAGGTCCTCTCCCCTCGCTGGGCCTGGAACAACACGAGCAAATCGACGACTGCAACTACGAAAGAATGGCTTCCGCGGTCGCGCCCTGCCCAATCGTAACATTACGCCCAAGCGCAACATCTCGGACGCATGGTCTTCGCCCGCTCCACAAGACAACACACCCACCTCCGATCTACCTCAAGCAGAGTCGGCCAGGACAGATCTGAGTACAAGAGGGAGATCGTCGAGCATACTGCAAGAAGTCAGCAACTCGAGTTTGCGAAGGAAAGACAAGAACAAACACAAGCACGACTCTGCCTTGTCCATTTTTGCAGACGAGAATGGGCAGGAGAAGCTGTGGAGCTTTGAGTCGTCGCCAGCATGGTATGACAAGATGGCCCCGCCTCGCAACCAGAGTTACACTAACAACTCACACAGTCTCCCGCCCGAAGCGCCCAACTTGACAAAGTCAAGAAAGAAGCATGCACGCACGCAATCATACAAGAGCAACCCCGACACGGAACAAGCTGATCAACACATTGCATATCTCGAGTCCGAGCTCGCCGTATACCAAACTCAATTGGCCTCGTTGACCTCGCCGTCTGTAACGAAAGAAAAGGGCCAAAAATTACGCTTGCTGGGTCAAGACATCAGGAGACTAGAAGAAGAGAACGCTCGCTGGGAGGCCGAATTTGATGAGCGAGTGCTGCAGGTCATGCAAGAACATGATGGTATCGAGTACAACTTGCGCGCCAGGATCAACATGCTCGAAGCCGACAGCGACAACTACGCTCAAAAGGTCAAAGAACTCCAAGCTCAACTTGATGCAACAAGAAAGGCTCTGGACATTGCAGAGTCCGCGAACATCGAGTTCGAGAAGAGATTGGAGACGTTTGCACATCTGCTCGTCACTTCGCCCATCAAGTCCGAGACACCGCTTGCTCAACCACCCTTTACCAAGGAATCACGCAGTACCAGACAGAAGAGGTTGTCTTTCCATCGCTTCCCTACTGCTGGCTCCCTGCACCAAGCAAGCATGTTTGAGCAGCACGAGCACGAAGAGAGCAGACCGCACAGCGAACCCGTCGTGCAAGACTACTTCGATAATCCTGTCAGCGATGCCGAGTGGGATCCCTCTAAACGAGAGTCCATCATCAGCGACGCTTCACGCAACAGCATTGATTTTAGCCTTTTCTTGAACAACGAGCCTCCGCCATCATCCTCCCGTGCTCGTCCGAATCGAAGGATGAGAAGATTCCATGGTGGATCGCATCTACCTAAGCCTTTGATCCTGTCGGCTGCACAACTCGCACCCATTCCCGCTTCGGCACCTCCACACGAACCTCATGAATCTCCTCGGGCCTTCCCTTTCCCAGATATTGATCTGGTGCCCAGAAGAGCTAGTTGTCATGAGTTTAGTCCGCTTACTGGACGTCGACGGGCAAAGACAACCACGGATGGACTAGACCCATCACTTCTTCAACCCTTCTCAAGACCCACGAACCCACCGATGTCACTCCCATGCTCAGCCGACCAAGAAGATACAACACCCACTCCGCAACAAACAAGTAGCGATTCAAACAATACATCAACAGACTACTCCTCCATAGGACCCAACCTAGGTCGAAACCTTCTCGAAGAACTCTCGGCCGTTAGACACGACGAAGACTCTCAAACCGCATCCTCAGGACCCACCCCCTTTGCAACTTTAATCTCAAAGCCCCCGGACTTTTCCTCCCACAGCACCAGTATCCAACGCAACATCTCCGGCGCCATGAGACTACGCCATCAACGCAGCATGTCCGAAGCCACAGGCCTCTCCCTATACCCACCTTCCCGTCAAGTTTCCTCATCCCGCCCAACACCTCTGCGTCCCAATGGCGTATTGGCAAAAGTCAAGGAACTGTTACGTTCACCCTGGAAACTAGCCAGGAGATGTGTGAGACGTGCTCATCAGGCTTTTTTGCTCTCGAGGACTGTTAATAGGATTCAATGGGTTTTGTTGCATGCGCTGTTGGGGCCGATGGCGACGAGGAGATTGATGGCTTGTTCGTTGCATGAGAGTGCTGTTTTGATGCAGTCGCCTTGTCGCTCTTCTTCTTCTTCTCGTAGGGTTTCTGCGGAGAGGCAGAGGAGGGAAAAGGAGGAGGAGGAGGAGGAGGAGGAGGAGGGCTTTGATGCTAATGAAGAGGTGGAGGGTTCGCCATGTCCTTTGAGACGACGACGTATTCCTCACTCTTCCTCTTCATCTCCCTCTTCTTCTTGTGTTTTCGAAACTACGACAAAAGAGATTGGGAATAGAAGCAAGAAAGTGAGGCAAGAAGCACCAATGTTGAGCCGACACTCTCCATGGCTGTGGGTCAGGTTCTCTCTTACTCTGGCTTTTGCGGTCGCTGCTGCTATCAGAGAAGGCCCAGGGGCGCTGATGATGGAATGTCAGAGTGAGGGCGGGTGTGAGAAGAAGGAGTGTGCATGTCTCGGATGCATGGGCAGGGAATTGAGGAAGTGTCGTGATGATTGAGCGTTTGTGATCATTATGGGTTCTGGCCCTTTTTTGGTATAGATTTGCAATGATAGCATGACCGGGGAAATTTGCACATGGACAATTGTATACAACGGAATAAAACATGGATGTTTACCTTTTTCACTTGTTTTCCCTTTCTCGGAGACTTTTTTTTCCTTTTTTCTTTTTGTGCATGGCTGCCAAATCCAATACAATGATGAGAAAGCTATCAGGTTGTACTTTTCACCTCTACAAGAACGTGTCACTCTTTGTAATAAGCTCAAGCCTTTTGCGAAGCCAAATACTCATCATGAGCCTTCTTCTGTCTCTCCCACTCCTTGACCAACTTCTTCCTCCTGCTCTTCGCAACCTCCTTACCCTCTGCATCTTTAGTCGGCACACCAGCCTCATCCCACTCGGAAAACTCCTTTGTCTTGAACATGGTTGCAGGGTCAATTTTGGCCTTTTCCTGCAATGCCTTTACTCTTTCCGCTTCTGCCTCCTTGGCTTTCTTCTTGGCGGCAATGATGGCTTCACGCTCTTCACGCGCTGCGACCAGAGAAGCGTCGAGGGGCCGCACCATGGCGGAGCTCTGATCGCGGTCTTCGAGGTAGATGCCGAGGTTCCAGAGATGTGTGTCGCGGAGCTGATCGCACAGGGTGAGCAAGTCAGAGGCCGAAGCTCCCTTGGAAGCGAGGTCTTTGACATCAGTCTTGAACTGTTGGGACACCGTAGCGAAGGGCTTGGAGGCTTCGTCTGTGCATGTCGGAATATCCGTGTCGTCGGCGAGTTGCTCAAGAGTTTGGTGTTCGAGGGAGCCTGTGCGGGCAAGCACTCTGACTTTATCGCGGAGTTGAGAGGCAGGGTACACGTATGCTTTTGCGGAGGCTGAGATGTCGACGCCTGACCAGCCGATACGCTTTGAATCAGAAAGGTTGTTCTCAGGGTCCAGGCCGAACATGCCGACGATTTGAGTGATCCATCTTGCCAGCGATGCAACTACAGCAGGGCTGAGACCCTTGACGGAGTTGTATTCAGTGACGAGATCGGAGAGGATTCTCATAGCGGCGGGTGTGTTGAACGAGTCACGAAGAGCGGCGTCCAGCTCAGTCTGGGCTGTTGACAACAAGCTTTGCAACTGCTGCTCAGTCTCACTCGACGAAGACTCGCTTGAATCTGTCTCATCCTTGACAAGGTCGCTTGCCTTCAGAAAGAAGTTGTTCATCTTGCTTTCCCAGGCGATTGTAGCTTTGAACAGATCGTCAGTCATTTCAAATCCGTCTTGCCATGGTCCGAGAAGGAAGCAGATACGCATAGTGCGCGGCGTCCACTCCGAGGCCAATGCTGCTCTGATGGTGGTGAAGTTCTTGAGCGACTTGGACATCTTCATGCCCTGAATGCGAAGATGACCGGTGTGCATGAAATAGTTGACCCAACCATCGTTGCAGAAGTAAGCAGTTGATTGCGCAACCTCGTTCTCGTGATGAGGGAACCTAAGATCGATACCGCCAGAGTGGATATCCATGGACTTGCCAATGACCTCTGATGCCATGACTGAGCACTCAATATGCCAGCCAGGACGACCAGGACCCCATGGACTAGGCCAGCTTGGCTCGCCAGCTTTGCTAGCCTTCCACAAGGCAAAGTGGTTGTCGCCGCGTTTGGTTGCACTGGTTGAAAGAGAACCTTCGCCTTCTGCCTGCAGAGCCTTGTCGTTTCTGCTCCATGGCTCCAGTCTGGGATATTGATATCCAGCCTTCTCAAAGGCATCAATGTCAAAGTAGACAGATCCGTCGGTGGTGGCGTATGCAAATCCATTGTTGACAATCTTTTCGACGAAGCTCACAATCTGAGGGACGTACTCGGTGACGCGAGTCAAAGTGTCGGGATACAGGACATTGAGGGCAGTCATGTCTTCGAAGAAACGGCCTTCGTACTTTTGAGTCAGGGCGAGGAAGATGTGGTGGTCGTTGGAATCGATGTCTGAGCCTTGCAGAGAGTCGATGTATGGTAGCAGAATATCGTCCGTCTTTGTGTAGAAGTCTTCTGATGATGCAGATGTGACTTGCAATGCTTTGGCAGCTAGACTTGCGGTTGCGAGGTGCATGCGTAGCTTGGGATCGAGGGCAGAATCGGCAGCGTAATCGCCATGAGCGCTTTTCACAGCAGCGTCAAACTTCTCGGGGGTCGTGTCGGTCGGTATTGAGGTGATGTTCTTCTTGATGTGGTGATGGAATGCAGCGCGTGCCATGGATCTGACATTGTCGTCGACTTGAGCGTGGTCCTTCTTGAAGCGAGCCAGGAGGTATTGTTGACGGGCTCTGAGAATGATCTTGTCGTCAATGTCGGTAGAGTTCATGACGAAGTTGACGTCGAAGCCAAAGTAGTCCTTCATGATGCGCCGGAGGATGTCGGTCGTGACAAAGTTGCGTGCATGGCCAAGGTGGGCATCGTCGTAGACAGTAGGACCGCAGGTGTACCAGGAAACCTTCTTGCCGGCAGGATCGATGGGCACGAAGTCGTCTTTCGTTCTGGTGAAGCTATTGTAGATTTTCAGCTTTGGGAGCTGTCCGTCAGCCGACGAGGGTTGCAGTCCTCTGGTCGCCATGGTGCGGGTATAGGCGAATGAGAGACTCTGCCGGAGAGTGCGATGTGTGTAATTGAGAGGGAAGCGCGGCGCGGGAATACGACGTGCGATGTTCATGCGCAAATGATTCGACTCATTCACTCTGGCCAACACTCCAATGTCTAGGGGTCCAAGGCGGTGAAGTTCTGCCAAGCTTCACCGCCCTGCCCCAGTGCCCCTCCTCCTCGACATCCAGACCATATCTAACTTTCTTCTATGCACATGTCAGAACCTGTCTTCCACCGTGCTGAGCAACCATATGCTGTGACCAACCGTCTTGTTGCCGAACGGCATTGAGGGGTCCCGAAACATGTCTACACTTCGGCTGACATCTCCAACTGCTGCTATATCCGTGTGTGACCTCCGGTGTGCAGGCGGGGTAACTTGACTAGACTTATATATCAAAGAGATGCGAGTCCGCGCTGTCTTTACGCACTTGTACTACACCCTTAAACACAGTAGGAGCTCTCACTGACAATCCATCTTCCTCGATATTCTCGAACTATCATCATAATTCTCAAAATGCCTTCGCAGCAAGCTCAAATCTCGGACCTACCATCCATAACCACATACCTAACAGGCCACAACTCCTCCGGCAAGGCCATAGTCGAAGCAAACCGTCCCGCGAACTGGACAGTCTACGACAACAAAGAGATGGCCTTTAATGTCGCTTACACAACCTCTCAATTTCCGCCCAATCTAAACGACAACACCGATATCAAAACTTACGATAAAGTCCTCTCATCTGGAAAATTAGGTCTTGTGAATCCTAATGGTACTGTCTGTCGTACCGTAGACTTTGCCCCAGGCTTCGAGTGTATGATGCACAGAACCCAAAGCTTGGATTATGGTATCGTGATTCAGGGGGACATTGAATTGGTCTTGGATTCAGGGGAGAGACAGAAGATGGGGCCTGGTGATATCGCTGTGCAGAGAGCGACTATGCATAGTTGGAAGAATCCGAGTACGGACAAGTGGGCGAGAATGACGTTTGTCCTGCAGGATTGCGAAATGTTGCTTGTGGGTGGTGAGGTGATGAAGGAAGACCACGGTAGGGGGACTGAGGGGCTACCCATGAGTGGAAATGATGCCTGAAAATGAGGTGAGAATCGGATCGAGGACACTACTAAGGGTAGCGGCTTTAGGGCCTCTCCCTAGTCACACACATCTTACATAACTGAACAGAACTGTGCCTTTCCACAGCCTATCCCAAGCCAGAGGGTGGTGCCGGTGTCACTTAGTGTGTAGTCGAACCCGCCGATTGCACCAACGTGTGTGTCTTTCCATGGGTACATAGCAATAGAGTCGTAGCTATCGAACGACAGGAAATTTATGGTCTTCTGAGAACTTCAGCGAGAGAGGGCGCAGGAAAGAAGTCTGCAGAGAGGGTCATGTAAAAGCCGAGGTGAGGAAAGATGCAAGAGTAAGGACGTGATATACATTTTTGTTTACACCAAAAGGCAGGGGACAGGGGCAAGTAAACATATGTCCAAATGCCGCCAAGATAGAAATACACTGTTGAGACCGCTCAGAAATCTCAACTCATCAACCCAGAAAGAAATTCGGACTCATGGCCTCCCTAGTACAAGAACGCGAGAAAGTAGACATCAAAGACTCAAAGAACTACTCTTGTCTCTTGGCAGTCTCGGAGGCTGCGGGAGCTCCTGATGCTGAACCCCAACCGAACCAACTCTTTTTCATGTCCTTGGACATGTTTTCCATGAATTTCTTCTCTTCCTCTTCCATTTCCTTGAGCCACTTCTCGCCGTTCTTTTGAATTTCGGCTTCGAGACGTTGGTATTCGCGTTGGCCGCGCTCACGGATTTGGTCGGAAAGCATCTTGCCTTGGGAAAGACCCTCGGCGACAGTGGTCTCATTATCTAACGAGAGACCGCCGGGCTGAGCCTTGATACCAAGGGCTTTGTTGAGGAGGCCACCGATGGAACGTTGAGGACGGCGAGACTGCTCATCTGCGAGCTGCTTCTGGAACGCCTCACGGGCTTTGGCTTCACGAGCGGCGAACTCGAGGGGAATGTCGGTGTTGGCGAAAGATTCGAGGACCTTGCGGGTATCCTCAACACCCATAGTTGCAACGTACTCTAGGAAAGGAATCAAGGAGACGAGGTCTTTGGCGTGGGGGTCCGAAGGCTTGCCCTCCCACTTTGGCAGGACAATACTAGAAATTAGATTAGCACGAGGGTTGCAGTACGAAACGGTCAGACGACTTACGCGTTGTTGGGGTTATTCTTGACATGTGCAGCCTTTGTGTCGATCATGATGACCTTGTCAAGAGGACGGTTGAGGTAGTTCAGATCCTTGACATACTCGCCATTCTCGTACTTGGTAGCTTCACGGAACAGGGGCCATTGAATGATGTGGAAGGGGTCGAGCTTCTTGATGACGGGATCGGCCATTGCGACTGGGACCGAGGTGAAGAGGACCAATTCGTAGTACTGACTCAAATACTTCAGGAAGTAGTCAACACCAGGACGCTTAGCAGTACGCCATCCGTGCTCACGAGACCATTCGCTGTGGATGAGCAAGTCCTCGAGGGACAGTACAAGGGTGAAAGGAGGACGCTGGGTTTCTGGGACTTCGGGCAACAGCTTCTGGAAGGTGGGCTCGGTGTAGTATGCGGCTTGGCTGCTCATGCGGTTCTTGACACGGGCGTACATGCTCTGGGGAGCCCAACCAGTAATGTGCTCGGGCTCAAGGCCCTGAGGAGTCTCATCAGCTCCGTAGGGTCTGGTGAAGTAGGCGGTACCGGCAGCAGCGAAGGCCAACAGAGAAAGGTAGCCGTAGTTTGCCATTCTGGCGCGACGCTTGTCAAACGATGTCTCGTAGTCCTCGCGACGGTATTGCTCATCCTCACCCTCAGCACCACGTCTGCCACCGAAGCCTGCAGCCTCGGCATTTGACTCGGGAGTCTCTTCGCCGGTGACATTTTGCTCGGTAGGGTTCTTTGTGCTCGCGTCCTTCTTCATGAACTCGAAGTCGAAAGTTGAGGGAATGCCCTGGCGCAAGTCGGGCAGAGGGCCCTTCGGCTGAGACTCGTCGGGCTGCTCCGAGGGGGCTGTGTTGGCATCGGCAGACTGAGGGCCTGAGAAGGCAGGGTTGCTGGCCTCGGAGGCTTGACTAGAGGGTGTGGCAGTGGCATTTGGACCAGGCTGCTCTGTAGGGGCCGTGTTTGCGGAGGGTGTGGCCTCCGTGTTGGCAGAAGCATCAGGTGCTACGGGACCGTCGGCAGCAGGGCGGACAGGCTGACCACTGGCTTGCGAAGCAGCGGCGGCAGCAGCAGGAGCAGCGAACTTGATGCTATCTGTGGGTTTCCATGTCTTGTCCTTGGGGAGGCTGGTGCCCGGTGACGTTTGACGGGCAGAAGCGGCGGGAGGTGGACGAGTAGCAGGAGTCTGCTTTGGTGGCTTTGCACCGGCAGGAACAAAGCGGCTAGATTTAGCTAGAGAGCGAGCAGAAGTGCTGAAGTGGGCAATTGGGGCCTTTGCCGCACGTTGCGCCGCGCGCGAAAGCATCGTGTTTTGGAGTTATGCGCTGTTATAAGGAAGTCGTCGAGGTTGCGCCCGCGCAGAGTGTGATTGCTATGCGACTCGTTGAGTCGTGATCGTGGCAGTCTTTTGTAATGATGCAACAAAATAATGTGGTTTGCCAGAAGTAGCAGGTGCGGGAAAGTCTTGTTCGCTGCTGCCAGTCGGCGTCTTGAAAGCACCGATGACGGAATGCATCCGGCTAATCTGCCATCGAGACAACTATCAACTCTTGCACTCATCACCATCGAGTACAATGCTTTGAAACTTCTCTCTATGCAGCCCTGGGAATGCTTGTTCACCCTCGGCCGCCATCTCGGGCCTCATCTCAGTCATGGCCGACGCTGCTATGCTTGATGATCCTTTGCGCCGCTCTTGGCCAGGCAATGACCAAGTCGGAGATCAATGCTCTGAGGTATGTTCATGATCCCCTTCCCGTGCATGTACTTATTTTCGTGTTAGAAAAGACGCACGTTCAGTCTTCTATCATGGTCTCACAAATTATCGCCAATTCGCCTACCCAGATGATGAATTACGACCGCTTTCGTGTCTACCCTTGACACGCGATCGTGCCAATCCTGCCCATATCGAAGTCAACGACGTCCTGGGTAACTACTCGCTTTCTGTCGTGGATAGTCTGTCCACCCTTGCCATCCTTGCTTCCGATCCGACCTCGGACTTGGACGACCACAATGCACTCGATGACTTTCAAGAGTACGTTGGACTAGTAGTGGAAGAGTATGGAGATGGTTCGCCTGGTCCTGCTGGTCAGGGTCGACGTGCAAGAGGCTTCGATATGGACAGTAAAGTTCAAGTATTTGAGACTACCATTCGTGGATTGGGTGGTCTCCTGAGTGCCCACTTGTTCGCCATTGGCGAGCTGCCCATTCGTGCTTATACACCAGACATACGGGAAGATGGAGTACATTGGCCAAACGGGTTAGTCTACGATGGTCAGTTGCTGCGACTTGCCCAAGACCTGGGCGAACGTCTTCTACCTGCCTTCAACACTCCTACCGGACTGCCTTATCCCAGAGTGAATCTCCGCTACGGCACTCCATTCTACGAGAATTCTCCTCTGAATAATGATCCAGAACATGGACAGTGTCACAAAACACAGAAACCAAAGGGGTCGCGTGAAATCACCGAAACTTGCAGTGCTGGTGCTGGTAGTCTTGTGCTCGAGTTCACTACTCTCTCTCGCTTGACCAACGACGATCGCTTCGAACGTCTGGCCAAACGTGCTTTCTGGGCTGTTTGGGAACGACGAAGTGCCTCTGGCTTAATCGGTGCTGGCATCGACGCGGAGACTGGTGCATGGATTGGACCTTGGACCGGCATTGGTGCCGGTATTGACAGCTTCTTTGAATACGCTTTCAAGTCGCATGTTCTGTTATCCGCTTTGGATGGCGAATCGTATAACACAACCGAAGACTCGCCGGATGCCTTCCTCCAGACCTGGCAGGATGCTCATTCTGCAATCATGCGTCACGTGTACCGTGACGCTTATTCCACACATCCTCATTATGCTCAGAACGATTTGTATACTGGCGGACCGCGACTCACTTGGATCGACAGTCTAAGTGCTTACTATCCTGGCTTGCTCGTCTTGGCTGGTGAACTAGACGAAGCCGTGACCGCTCACCTTCTATACACTGCTTTGTGGTCAAGATACGGCGCATTGCCTGAAAGATGGGATGTTACCACTGGTGCCATTCATGGTGGCCTGAGATGGTGGGGTGGTCGACCCGAGTTCATCGAGTCTACTTGGTACATCTATCAGGCTACGAAAGATCCTTGGTACCTCTATATCGGCGAGATGGCATTGCGTGATATCAAACGTAGGTGCTATACCAAGTGCGGATGGGCTGGACTTCAAGATGTCCGAACAGGCGAGCAGACTGATCGGATGGAAAGCTTCTTCCTTGGTGAGACTGCGAAGTACATGTATCTCCTGTTCGATCCAGACCATCCTCTGAATACGATCGATGCGCCCTGGGTCTTTACGACTGAGGGTCACCCTCTGATCATCCCAAAAGCCAACAGAACCAACTCAAAAAACTCTGGCGGTCGCAGACAGGATCTTCCCAATCACGAGCCAATGGCCCGTACCGGACAGTGTCCACTTCCTCCACCACTGCTACCTTTAACAGTATCGTCAACGGCTGCTAGATCAGACGTCTTCCATGCCGCTTCCTTAGCTCGACTTCATCTTATGCCAATCGGTAACAAGCCCGGTGCTCCATCTTTGGATTGGGCTTCTGACCATCCTAGTGTGACCATGCTTGGTCCTGAATCTCCGACGAACTTCACATTTTACCCTTGGACTTTACCACTCTGCCTGGTTCCTACAGACGGGTACAGCACCAAATTATCCAACAAGCCTACGTTCGATCTTACTTTTCCCACTACCGCCGGGACTGGACTCGAGGTCGGCACACTCCAGAAGATTGATGGAGGTGTGCTTGTCAACTCAATTTCTGGTCTTAGATTTGGTATGGTCTTGGAGTCTCCAGCACCAAACGAAGACGAGTACAGGATCTACACGCTTGGCAACTTTGCACTTGGGCGTGATGAGCATATCGCGTTAAGTCGAGACACCTTATCCCAGATCAACCCATCAGATCCGCACTTTACGCGCATGCGTGATGTCGAAGCCATGGACCTGATCATCGATGTGCCATATCCCGAGGAATCTGCTGCTGAGACTCTTCTGTACAATAGCACTGCACTGACCAACCATGTTTTCGACTTCAGTCTAGACCTGGACTTGGATGCATTGGAAGGTACATCTAGCCCTGGCGACATGGTCTTGGACTCTCTACCTAAAGCTTTCCTTGCAGATGTTCATCGTCTTGCTGAACAGCTTGACGGCCTTGTCGGTGTGTTGCCCGATGCAGGCAGCATAGACGATGCCCTGCGCGACGCAGCGAAGCAATTGAGATCGAAATCAACTGCAGCGTTGCCCTCAGCATCTGGACTGCCATCCCCGCAGAGGAAGGGTCTTCAACGCTTTGCCACGCCTGCCATGTTACCTATAGGACCTGGTGCGGCACCATTACCCGCTGTGGTCGACGCTTCGCCAGATCCACGCAGTCTATCTCCGGGCAGCCTGCCATACACGACCATCCTCGTCATCGACTCTGACCTCTGTAACACGTCTCCCATACCTCTTGATCTCGTTAATTCACACACAATTCTCATTATCCGTCGTGGTGGCTGTAGTTTCAGCAAAAAGCTGTCTGCCATACCATCTTTCCCTCCTTCTGCGAAGGCCTTGCAATTGGTACTCGTCGTCAGTTCTGGAAGCGATGAAGGAACAAGACCTCTGGTCGACGAGGTGCAAACAACGCCCAAAGGTCTACCGAGACGTCACCCGATCTGTCTGGCACTGGTTCCGGGTGGACAAAACGTCTGGGACACGTTTATGAGAGGTGCAAGCACTGTTGGTGTTGTTGGTCAAGACGGTGCTATCATCGTCGACGACCGTCAGAAGAAGAGTGGCGCGTCTGAGCAACTCGCAGAGACTGGAGCGACCGAGTCACAGCCAATGGAAACTGGCAAGAAAAAGGCAAGAAAGACGACGAAGGCTAAAACGAAGAGTAAGAAAGAGGTCCAAGAAGTGCCAGGCATTGGCGTCAGGAGGAGGTATTATTTTACGAGCAAAGGCGTGCGGATTAGCAACCTCATCGTAACCTAAAACCAATATAAGGTGCCTTTACTGCATGTCTGTTCCCAAGGTCAATGTGCCGGCACGGGAAGTGAGTATAAAACTGTCAAAGAGGGTTCGGTTCGAAATCAACATGGCACCCGGCAAAAAGACTGTCCCTAGAGTCCGCGGCGAGCCCCTGGTCAAGCAGGTTCAAGGAGGGGAAGCCGGCAAGTCAGCCCTCGCACTCACCCGCAGGAACTTTCGGGTCCGTGATACTTCGTACTTGCCTTGATCTCCAATCTCGGACTTTGTTGATGTTTCGCGCTTCCATAGGTAGTGATACTTGCGGGAGTGCAGGAAGGTGCAATAGAGTCATGGACACGCTTCCCTACTTTTGATCTCTTGTCACGAGTTCCAGTCTCTTGTGACGAACGACCACATGGAGGGATCTTCTTCGACAACTGGCCAGCCGAAAGTCGCTGACTTCCATGCCCTCCCTTCAGATCTGGCTGAAGGTGGTGACGGTGAGGGGTCGTTATCCACGCCATCTTCCTTGTTTTATGCAGTCACAGCAGTCGTCACAATGTCAGCTTTGGTGAACATGAAGACTGTAACGGCTTGACGTTCTCGGCTTGCTTGTACATGGATGGTACAGATCTTTAATGTTCTGTGGTGTTTTTGAATAGTTGGACTGGATGTCTATATTTTGTATGTTTATGGTCTGGTTTTTCAATATCGTGAGTATCGATTGCAAGTGTACAAGTTCTATCAACATGCTTGGAGTAATCAAAAAGATGATGATGGTGATATCACCATCTGTTCGCATGCTACTTTTGTGATGCAACAAGTTGGTTATGTCACGGCTCTTCTTACCGTGGGCAGAGATGGGAAAGGGGTAGAGGGAGTAATCAGGTCGGTGAATCTCTCGGGTTTACTTGTTCTACCTTCTCATGTCTAGTACATATTCCGATCGAAACCAAGGGGGTTGTGACAACGGAGTTACTAAAAGTTTTGAGGGTTCACTGACCTGTCTCCCTGCTTCTTCCCCTCTCCTCTCTTCTCCCTGTATCCTTCCTTATCTACGCTCGGCCATCTCTTGATTTCGTCCATCTTCCTATTCTTGATGTCCGTGGTCTTTTCGTCAATCGTGTCTTCGAGGGTAAGGTTCACAAACTCGGTCTCCTTGATCTGTGCAATTCGCTAAGAGTACGAGGAACTTCTTCAAAGAACAGAAGACGATGATCTTGCACTTAGGGCCTTCGTCGAGCCAGTTTATGACTTATGCTTGAACCGCAAAATCCTTCTTTCTGGCTTGATTCACCAGGTCCTGAAGGTGTACCTTGCAACAATGATGGTCACAGGGAGCCAACATAGGATTCAAGATAACTTCATCGTATTCGACGCATCTACGCTTGTTATCGAGATTGTTTATGATCACATTATACCTTTCTACAGCCATGAATGACTTTTTGACTGAGCGATGCGAAACAAGTAGCATTACCCGGAGCTGTAGCATTTCTATATCCCCTGTAGCCAACGCAATGCATCAAGTAGTGATGATATAGCAGTTTCCATCATGACTTTACGATATTCCAAACCACGATAATATGCCTGGTCCACTCTTCCGTGAGGAGGCATGGCATCTGACTCTTTTTCGAAGTCATTGTCGAATACAAAGTGTATCGTAGCGCACCGGGTCGATAACTCTTCTTCGCTCTCCCTTAGAGTGTAATAGAAGACGCTCAAGCCAGTATGTGATAAGGGCGGACGGGGAGAGCTCGAGGTCTAGAGATTTGTCGACCCGATACGTGTCGTTCGTTCTCGACGTAAGCAATTCCAAGCACCTTCTCTAGAATTTGGAGATCCAACCGCAATATGCTCTCCATCGTGCTGAGAGCAGTTGTAATGAAGAGAGATCTCCTGCTTGAAGGACAGAGTGATTACAAGTGTGATGGGAGTTTTATAGTATAATCAAGGGCAAATCTATTCCTTGCGTGCTTCCCTTGCATATTGCATTTCCTCGAGACAGAGTCGCTACTCCCTTTGTGTTGATTTAAGGCACAGTGTTTCCCGAAAATCGAGTATTGTCCACTGAGATACGGTATTTTGTGATTTTATCTCTTGACTCTCGGCGGATGCTCTACCGATCAGGAAATGTTTGTGCCTTTCTACGGCTCATTTTTACTTCACTCTCATCGTGGAGGAGAGCTGTAGTTCGTAGGTGCATCAATGCAGAGTGCTTTTCAAGGCTGCAGCTAGGTCCACCGGGATACGGCATCTGGTCGACTCTCAACGGAGGCTCCATTCTGTGAAATGACTGTGCTTATCTACAGTCGATGCTACTCGGCTCTCGTCATGGAGGAGAGCTGTCGTACAAAGCTGTAACAAGGCACAATACATTCCAGCGAAGCGGTGATCCCCATCGAGATGCACTTTCTGTCGCTACTCCCAACGGAGGCTTCTTTGGTTTGCGATATAACCCTGTCTTTCCCACAGTGTCGTCCCTGGTCTGGATTTATAGTGGAAGAGAGGAGTAATGACAAAGACCAGGTCCAAATATTGCTCATGTTTTCTTTCTGGTTTGAGGGAAAGAGCTATCTATGCAATGGCGACATTCCAAACTGGTATCTCTTATCCGCAAACCCATAGCAACGCCGGTCATGCCTTTCGTCACTTTTAGTGCAACCCAAACGTAGTGTATTCTATCGGAGCTCTCCACGTGTTCCTGTGCCTCTTTCGCGTCTGCGCCTGTCGCTTTGGCCTCTGCCGCTTTCTGCCGCACGATCTGCTTCCATTTCATCATCGACTTGTCTTCTGGCTGCGTCCATTTGTGCTCTGCCCGGCAAGCTTTCCATGACGACACTGGGTGCATGTTGGATGTATCTGAGCTCCTCATGACAATGCTCAACTAGTAGATCCAGCTCTTTCTGCGTGACGTTGTTCTTGTGGAAGCCAGCGAGTTCAGGGTATAACCTGCCGTCACCATGCTCTCTACCCATGAAGGCTTGAGGGCGAGGGACGATATGCATGGGTAGCTCTTCGCTGAGTGTTGCGCCGACAGCGAGAGCAGTCTCGTGAGTCCATGCACGAGCCACATTGCGAGCTGTGTAACCGCCTCCGCCGAGAATAAGTAAAGGCACGCCGGCTTTCTTCACAAAGGCCAGACACTCGCCATGAGCGCGGATGTTGAGGTTGAATTGGCCGAGACGATCGCCGCCGAGTGAATCAGCTCCGCATTGAAGAACGATGGCCTGAGGACGGAAGTGCTCCAGCGTACGGCCGGTGATGGTTTCGAAGAGGTATAGGAACTGGTCGTCATCAATACCCTTGGGGATAGGCACGTTCAACGCAAAGTGGTTGCCGATACTCTTCTCGTTGCCGTTGCTATTTAGCGCTCCAGTTCCCGGGAAGAAGAGGTGCTTTTCTCTCGAATCTTCGTCGATAATACCATAGCGATGGAAGGAGAGTGTCATGACTCTGTCACTGCTTGCAAATGCCTCTTCGACACCATCTCCGTGGTGGACGTCGATATCGATATACAAGACACGCTGATGGCATTTCAGTAGTTCCACAATGCCCAGAACAATGTCGTTGATATAACAGAAACCCGAAGCTTCGGACTTGTGTGCGTGATGAAGGCCTCCAGACCAGTTGATAGCGATATCAGATTGATGATTCGTCAATGCTGAGACGGCTTCCATTGTGGCACCGGTGTATAAGAAGAGGTACTCTTGCATGCCGTCGAATACAGGACAATCAGCACCTGGTGACGGCGACAGATTGAAGGGCCCAAGCTTTACTATTTCTCCAGGATAACTCTGCGGAATTCGATCTTCGTATATTTTACATAGTTCGTCGAATGTTTGCGGTGAGACCTTTGAAAGGAAGTCGACATAATCCTCGTCATGGAAAGCAGCGACGGTCTCTTTGCTTGCTGGAAGAGCGTCGTAGTTGTCCATTGCGAATTGAAGACCGTAGCCCATGACGAGGTGTTTCGTCAGAGTGAGTCGCCATGGCTTCATGGGATGTGTGCGACCGAAATGCATGTTTTCAACGCGACGGTTGTAGTGGTACGAGACATTGTAACCCTGGGGACGCTCGATACCATTCTCTTCAACTTGCTGCATAATCTTGTCGCGTAACGTCCTCTGTCTCTCTGCATGCTCCTCCTCGCTGTCATTCATAGGCGGCGTCGGCGGGGCTCCTGTCGCGTGTCCTGTGTTGTGTGCTGATCGTGACTGGCCGTTCTGTCGTCGCGACGGATCCCATTGCTGTACTATGGCGTCGCGCATGTTCTGGCGAGGCACGCCATTACTCTGTCGCCCTGACATGGGCGCGACCCTGAAAGCGAGTCTTCCAGAGGCACTTCTGAGTGATTCGGTCCTGTGGTTGTAGTTGTGGTTTGCTGACGCGACTCTGAGCGGCAGTCTACTGGGAGCTCGATAATTGCTTCTACTCAGGACAGATGTGATGGATCCTCGGTCGTCTCTTAGATAGTATGATCGATCTTCATTGTACTCGTCGTCGTCGCGTGGATGGTCGTTGTCATTCACCCGGTAGTTGGCATGTTCGTATTCATCGTCGCCAAAAGACGAATCCGAGTCGCTAGACAGAGCCTCATCTTCGTCCTCGGCATCGTGAGCTTCGAGAAGGTCCAAATCATCGTCCCCACATTCGCCGGCGCGAGTTTGCTCCGTGATGCGCAATTGGGCTTGGCGCGCTGCTGCTCGCATCCTGTCGTCGAGAGAGTTGATGATGATCTGAAAATGTTGCTTCGACAATCAACAGTATAATTTGGTTGAATGAGCGTATCGAAAAGTTGCAGTGTTTATACAGAGAGTTTCGAGAAAAGTCGCGTTTGTTCCGCTGCATTCACTCGTCTTGCGGTTTCGTTTGTGAAGCGACTTCTTCCACCTTCACTTGCGCGCCATCCTATCTACCAACTTTCTATTGAAGATCATCAGCTTGCTTTCATTTTTCATTAACCATGGCCGCCATTGGCACTGATGATGCTGCCACAGTCTTGGATCAGTTCTGTCATGATGGTACATTGTTTCGCCTTCTGTTCTTTGGGAGCTAGATGCTAACTTCTGAGGCAGTCGCGAACCTCCCGGCTGAGATTGCACATCTGTTGGAAGAAATCCAAGCAAAAGATCAACACATTCAGGACTTGCGCGATGTCATAAATTCACGCGACAAATCAATCCAGAATTTCGTCAGAGCCCAAGGTGGACATGTGAAGAACCCTAAGGAGGAAGGCCTCACTAAAGTCATCATGGCAAACTTTGATAGCATCGAGATTCTGCAGGCTGAGAAGCTAGGATTGAGTGAGAAGGCTATGAGACTGGTGGGTCATGAATCAATCCTGAATATCCGAACAAAACTGACAAGCCCAGCTCGACCGAAATGTCAGAAGGTTTGACGTCAAGTTGCGCGATCTCGTCAACAGTGAGCAGATGCCTCCGGATCCGACTTTACCGTCTCTTCTGCTACCTGAAGCCGGCAGTGTTGCTACAAGCAACACACCTTCGGCAGCCATGGCCATCAACTCGGCACAATCGGGTGGTGCACCGAATGTTGCTAATGCAGCGATTGCCCGCCTGCATGCTGTCAACCAACGCACATCATCACCGTTGAATGCGCAAAATGCATTACTCAATCAAGCACATCTCAACAGCCCTTCAGCAAGGTCACAACGGGAGGGCAGTGCGGACGCATCGAAACGTCGTCGCCTGAACCCCTCCATGTCAGGCACTGTACCAACCATGTCGTCTTCCCTGAGACAATCTTCGCTTGGCCCGACTTCTGGTACGCCGAAAGCTGGCACTCCTGTCCCCAACTCGAGTCGTGCTGGATCTGCTCAACCTAATAAGAAAGCACCACACAACAAAAAAATTGCACCACATCAAGCATCGGCTCCAGGCTCTAACAGAAAACGTATTCGATCTGGCCATGTGACATCGAAGAAAGATCGTAAGCGTCACCTCACATCACCAACGCCTTCATCGTCTCGAGGAAGTGTCAGCCCAACGCCGTCAACCTTGCCAGTGGGAATTGATGGTACGGTGGAACCGCGTTCTCGACTTCGAGGTACCCGTGCAGCCTCTGCTGCTTCCGAAGAAGAAGGCGAAGATGCCGAACCTGATGCTGAAGGAGAGGAAGACGATACACAAGTCTACTGTGTCTGTCAACGTGTCTCATTCGGCGATATGGTTGCCTGCGACAACGATGACTGCCCACATCAGTGGTTCCATTGGGGTTGTGTCGACCTCAAAGCCGAACCTAAAGGCGAATGGCTTTGCCCACATTGTCGCGAACTTCCTCGCAGTAAGATTGTGAAGACTTCAGACAAGTGACTGTAATCCATAAATACCATAGCATAACTATTCTAATATAGATCGTCTTCCTGGAAGATGCGGGCGGCCTCTATTAGGATGTCAACGAGTATTTAATGAGATGCGACATCACGGCAAGCTCAGGGCTTGTCTTTCTGCTTACAACACATGTCATACCGAATCGCTGCGAACGCGATCCATTTAGATCTAAAGACCCTGGTGTTGATGGACCTATCGCTCCTGACTCTTTCGAGATTTGACTCGTGCGATTTGTTGCCAACAAGCACAACGCGTGATCTTCGGTGCATAAAGTCATGAGGGCCTAGAACATGCCAAAGCTCAGCCTTCCTTGTCGACCACATTGCGGACACACACCCATCAGGAAGAACGACTTGATTCCAATATGAGCCTAGCATTACGATAACCTGAGCTCCATGATAAATTTGTGATTCTGTACACGCAAATCAGGACGATGATTGCGATATGCGACATGCTTTGAGGCCTTGATCTAAACGGATCGCCGAAGGCCTCATAACGACAAATCAACAGGCGCACGGACCTCACTCCTTCCCTGCTTGTGACGAAGCCTAATCGCCTCCACCCAAATAGCAGCTGAGCACTTCTACTGCTGTGATTGCCACTTTGCATGACATTCGGTGTGTGATCATGGAGGTGGCCAATTCAGTCAACGAAAAGCTCATGTCCGGCGCTGAGAAGAACAGACGAAGAGGAATACTTTCAGAAACACAAACTGGAAGCCGAACTCTGGATGACCATCTGCGACATATCAGAAGTGCCAACTGGACTTCGACATCCCTTGGAGCGCTGGAATCATGGCCTCAGGATCTAATACAACTCTGCCATGTCTGCCTGCTCGATTCACAGCCGCGTCTTCTTGTTATCGGATCCGAGCGTGCCATGTTCTACAACGAAGCATATTCAGAGATATGCGGAGATAGACATCCTAGTGCACTAGGTCAGCCTCTCGCTGATGTTTGGGACGACCTGGCACTGGAATCTGTTCTCACGCCTTTGAAAAATGCGGAAGCTACAGGACGACGAGTTGAGATCAAAAATAGGGCTCTTGTGTACGAGCGGAACGGCTTTGTTGAATTAGTCTATTTATCATGGACGATCATACCGCTATTCGGATCCACTCCCGGTATCCAAATAACACTGGTAGATGTTACAGAGACGCTGTTAGCTGAGAAGAGGCGAGATGCACTACGAGCACTCAGCACTGCTTGGAATGTTGTCAAAGACCCTCATGAGTTCTGGCAAAGCATTCCGACTAGTCTAGCTTTGGATCCCTTCCTCTTCCCTTTTGCTTTCCTATACGTCGCGGACCCGGAAGTGGAACCAAGGAGTTCTATTGACATATCTTCCGTACCGACACACAAGATGCGATTTAGATTGAAGGGGGCTATCGGAGATCTTGAAATCACCTCCACCTTGCCGAGCGAGCTGGATTCGGATCACTTCACCATCTTCTCAAGTTTGAGGGACTCGATACTTATCAAACCTGATGAGACTCCCACGCCATTTCGGTCATCGTCTATGCGAAACTGCATTCTATGCCCAATACGGTCGAACAGATCGCCGAAGGTTATTGCGTATCTGTATCTTGGAAAAGATGCAAATCGACCTTTCAACGACAACTACCGCGAATGGGTCAACGAATTCACCAGATGCTTGGGCAATGCCGCGACAAGCGTTCTCCTTGCCGATGAAGAGAAGCGCAAGCAACAGTATCGAGCAGCACAGGCAGCTAGGGAACAACACCTATTGGCTACCGCACTGGCAAACCGAGACAGAGAAGCGGTAGCCGTGACTGGGCAATTCCAACGTACGCTCAAAGTTGTCGATATGGCTGGTGTTGGCATCTTCGAATACGACATGGAAGGCCGCTTGATTTATGGCAATGATGCTTTCTGCGCCATGTCTCACTGTCGACCTGAAAACATGCATGGAGACAAATTGGCTTTTTTGGACTTGACATATCCAGAGGATGCCGAGTATCTCCTGACGAAATGGAAGTGTGCAGCTGCCGGCAAGTCTGTTACCTTCGAAATGAGATACAAGACTCCCGATGGTCAGGGTATCTGGGTTCAAGCTGCTGTGGTCCCAGTGCTCGAGAACGGTGTTGTCACCAGTGTTTCTGGCTGCACCACGGATATACACGACACCAAGATGAGAGAGACAGAATCTGTACAACGGTTGCAAGCGCTGGAAAGAGCCAAAGCTTGGGAGCAAAAATTTGCCAATTTTGCAGGAATGGCACCGATCGCTATTTACTTTGGAACGGAAAGTCAAAGACTCTCCTATTGTAATCGCGCGTGGTACGAGATGACAGGTCATACAGTCGTACCCTTCGATCAGATCGACTGGGTAAGCATAGTTCATGAAGAAGACGTCGGACTTGTGCGAAACCGCTGGCAGCAAGTGTTCGACACCGCAAAGACAGTAAGCGCACAATTTAGACTTCGGAAAAAATGGGCGGACCGAAACGGAGTGACGATGGGTCCTGTGTGGGTCACTGCATCTGCACTTCCTGAGTACAAGGAAGATGGGTCAGTTAAAGGCATCATCGGAACCATGCTTGACATCTCAGCATTGAAGTTTGCCGAGACTGTACAGCAGATGAAAGTGCAGGAAGCCATGGAAGCCAAACGGCAGTCATCTAACTTTATAGACATGGTCTCGCAGTATGTTCATCTCCTGATGCTATTAGTTCAAGCTCGCTAACTTTTCTTTGTAGTGAGGTAATTGAATGAATTGATCATGACGGCAACAAATCACACTAACAACATACAGATCAGGAACCCTTTGGGAGCAGTCTTCCACTGTTCGGACGCTGCCCAAGAAACTTTGTCGGAAATGACAGCCCTCGCCGACCGGCTGGGCGAAACCAAACAGTCCCGGATCGGCGAGCAGCTGCACGAATTGATCACCAGTGCAATCGATTCGACCAGCACCATAATATCCTGCTCACAACATCAAAAGAGGTAAGAAGGACATATGACGGCGGCTAGTTTCGTATTGTGCTAATTTATATCCTTCAGAATTGTGGACGATATCCTTGTGCTTTCAAAACTCGACTCGAACCTTCTTCAGATTATACCCACAGCTGTAAAAGTGTCAACAATGCTCCATGACGTTGAGAAGATGTTCGAGGCTGAAGCAGAAAGAGGTGAAGTGCAGTTGATCGCGGAAGCCCACGAGTCGCTCAAACAATTGGACGTGACTTGGGCAATGCTTGATCCAGGCCGAGTGCAACAAGTGTTGATTAACCTTCTAACTAACGCGATCAAGTTTTGCAAAAAGAAGGAGCAAAGAAAGGTTACCATACGAGTTGGTGCGTCGAGAATACGGCCCTCGGAAAATGTACTACCAAACATTGACTTCGTGGTTGCTCACTCGTTACACGATGGTCTTTACGATGATCCACAGTTCGAGCCACATAGCTTCTACCTCTGGTTCAGTGTCGAAGATACCGGATGTGGTATGAGTGTTGATGAGAAAAGCCGCATCTTTGCCAGGTTTACACAAGGCTCGCCGCGGACAGAGAAAGAGTATGGTGGATCTGGTCTAGGTCTCTTCATCTCCCGCGAGCTCTCGGAGCTTCAGGGAGGAGAGATCGGCGTGGCCTCTGAGCCAGGTGTTGGCAGCACGTTTGCCTTCTTCATTAAGACACGTCACACGGACGACCCAGCCATTGCTACTTCTCACAACCTGCCCATTCATCTCAAACAAGACATAAAGACGAAGAGAGAAGACATCAACATCCTCGTTGTCGAAGACAATGCAGTGAATCAGAAGCTCCTCCTTCAACAACTCACAAAACACGGCTTCAGCGTAACAACAGCCGACAATGGTCTCGAGGCCCTCTCCCACCTCCGCAAGACGAAATTCTGGCGGTCCAACCCTGCCTCCTCACCTTCTCTTTCCGTCATTCTCATGGACATAGAAATGCCTTTAATGGATGGGTTGCAAGCTACACGGGAGATCAGACAGTATGAGAGGGACGGAAAGTTGACTGGTCATATCCCAATCATTGCGGTATCAGCGAATGCGAGACAGGAGCAGAGGGAGATGGCCATGGAGAGTGGGATGGATGACAGTATTAGTAAGCCATTCAGAATAGTGGATTTGGTGCCAAAGATTGAAAGGTTGGCTGGTTGGACGTGAGGCTATCATAAACAGCGAGAAGGTAAAGCTATGCATTGGGTGGCAAGGAGTTGGTGGCTACACGGGTTCATAAGCATTGGGTGGTGCATCATGGTTGGGGGTTTGCATGGTCAGCAGGAGATCTGGTCTACTCATCTAATGTATATAGCATATCATATTCACGCCTTTAAGTCACTCGATACACGATATCTTCACTTTGCCTCTAGCACAATATCAAAAGAAATTACCACAAAACTCACAACAGACACGCGAAGCAAAAAACCAGGTCTTTGACCAGGGGAAACTTCTTCTCGACCAAAGTATCACTGCGACCAACCAAGGCTGTGAGTCGAACTCACACCCTCTGGATTCTATTCACGCTAGACTTTGGAGAGGTTTCATCGAGGGTGGGTGCCTGTGAGCCACAGGACCGGTTCTCTGAGATGGTGGGAGATTTGTCACCGTATGATGCTGGTGATGTTGGTCAAAGACTTTTGTATTCAGGTCCAAACATACGGAGAGGACAACATCACGTTGATCTGTGAGTGGAGTCCGGATGTTTATGTCTACTCAGAGGGTAAACAGAGAAATGGCTGAAATTCCACCATTTTCACTTTCTTCCCAACGATGGAGCGGCATAGCCATGTCTCTTATCAATATACACACACACAGGAAGTCGGCGAAACCGCGTCTCCTCCTGAAATCACTGCAAGTCTAGAAACCAGTGTGTTGTGTGACAGCTACGATTGTCACAGTATTCCGCATACCGAGAGGCAGTGAAAAGACGACAATCAAGAATATCGGAAAAGCAAGTTTCGAGGCACGATGGAGTGGCATTGGCGTAGCAGTTTCACCAGAGTATCAAAGTATGGTCAATAAGATTTAATGATGAACAGGATGGCTTGATTCCTGAGGGTGAAGCCGGATAGTGTCCTGTATTCTCATATACGGCTAGTGTGTTCTACGCTTGTACTTGCGGTGCATTTAAACCTGGCTCTGCTCCGAGCGGCGTGATCCAGCCATCAAGTCGGCGACCAGTACCCTTTAAAAGCTAAGTCCATCGACGAGGGGATGAATCGCCTAACTATGCGCAGACCGAGGCTCTTATCGTGGCATTTCGGGTATGCGACGATCAACTCAGTAATGGTATCTGCACGGCGCGTGTTACCTGGAGAGTAAGGCTCTGGATGTTGGGAATTTCTGATAAAATCCTTCAATTCGGAGAAGCTCAAGTAACGGTCTTCTGCAACAAAGAATTGCCGTGCTGGCGGACAATGCCATCAAGAGTGTTTCTGATTTGCTTGCAGCCGTCGACGCCGACGGCAATCATGGCTTCGAGACGAGCGAGCTGTACTCTGGTCTCCATCATGAGGACGCTGATCTTGTCATCGGTGCCCAGAGTTGCAACAGTCAGGAAAGGCAGTTCTTGCTCTTCCATGCCGTTCAGATCGAGCAGAGGGTCGGCTTGTTCGTCATTGGAAGCGTATGAGGCGGTGCTACCAGCTGTACAGGCTGAGATGTAGTCGGTCATGGGGATACCGGCGTCGATCAGGGCAAGAGTAGAGGCATTGATGCAGGCAGCTAGCAAGGAGCCGTCCTGGGATAGGATGTGCAGATTGATGTTGATTGTGCTGTGAGGATATAGTTGTGTCGACAGGGTGTCTGCAAAGGCCGAGGCGATTGTATGTTGCATCTCACTTGTGCGCCTGTCCATGTGGTTAGCTGCCTGTCGCATGATTGTCCAAGCCAGCGCAACTCACTTGTCACCTCTTCCACGTCTCTTGCGCTCGACACCACTGAAGCCAGCCAGACCGATCTCGACCTCGATCTTTGCTTCGGCATTGCCGGTTCCTCCTATGCGACGTGATTCCGTAGGACCAGTGACTGTGCAAATGACCTTTGTGTTGCCCATCTCAAGGTAGCTGGATCCATCGGCCGCCGCCTGTGTCGACATCTGTCCATGGCATCGTCGCAATTCGTTCCATCTCCTTCCGTCCAGGCGCAGATGCGCAAGCGTGTATGATGATGTGTCCAGAGGCATTGTTGGATGTGTGTGTGGTTTTTCTGTTGATGTGACAGCTCTTTCTGGTAATAATTAATCTTTCTTTTTTTGTCGTCATTGCCCTTCGACCACTTCGGCTGAGTCTTGGCGTGTCGCGTCTCTCGCGCTTCTTTGGTGTTTCCTTGGACGCTGTCTGCCTCTTTGTCCAACTCGTGCCTTCAACACCTTCACGATTTCACGAGGCAACGTTTACATGATGTTGACGCGACTTGAATGTATTCCAACACCATACAAACACCGCATCCCGCCTTGAAATCTCCGCTTGACTTTCCTCATCCACATCCATCACCATGTCTTCATACAGAGACGCCACTCGCTCTCACAGAAGAGATCATAGACTCGATCGCCAGATTGAAATCATGGATGAAGGAGATGCCAGTGATCTCAGTGACCTGGATATCGTCAAGCATACTGCCAGACAAGTCAGCTTACTCGACACTCTCAACGGATCAGATGGCACAGACAGTGATCTCCTAAACTCGGACGACTCTAACAAAGCTGCTCGAAAGCGTCCGAGGGATGACGACGGTGATCGACTGAAGTTTGATGTTGATGAAGACCCTGACGATGCCTTCCAAAAGTTCAAGTCTCGCAAGTCCGACCAACGCAAAGCCGATGCCGCTCGAGCAAAGAAGTCAAAAGCAAAAGCCAACGCCATTGTCGGCAGGAAAAAGCAGACTTTACTTGAGACGAAGAAACCGCACCAGCGAAAATTCAGAAGTGATACCTACGGAACCGATTCTGAAGATGAATTGCCCGAAAGCACTTTGCCCGCATTCTTGCAGACTCGAAAGACCAAGTGGAACCAAGACCACGAGAAACTCGGAGAAAACGTCCTTTCGAAACCTCCCAACTATGATGGCGTCTACTTTTCGGATGATGAAAGATTGGAAGTACTACAGGAACGACCCATGTTTCGCGATATCGAGCCTTCACAACCCTACGAAGATGTTGAGATGAAGGACTCGCAGGGTGTGATTCCCGCTCCCATCGCCCAGTACCTGCGAAACTATCAGATAGATGGTGCCAGATTCTTGCACGAGCTCTTCGTGTTCCAAGAGGGCGGTATCCTTGGTGATGACATGGGCTTGGGCAAGACCATCCAGGTCATCGCTTTCCTGACAGCAGCTTTCGGCAAAACTGCAGATGAGCGTGACTTCAAACGTATGCGCAAGATGCGACGTGGTGGTCATTGGTACCCTAAAGTCCTACTCATCTGCCCTGGTTCGCTAATGGACAACTGGAAAGCAGAATTTGATCGTTGGGGCTTCTGGCACTACGACAGCTACCATGGAACTAACGCAAGTCGTGCTTCCTCACTCTCCGCAGCCAAGACAGGTAGGCTTGAGATCATGATCACGACTTACACAACGTATCGCATCCAACGTGACGAGATCAACATGGTCGAGTGGGACTGTGTCATCGCGGATGAATGTCATATCATCAAGGAACGCAGTTCGGAGACCAGCAAAGCTATGAACGAGGTTAACGCCTTGTGTCGAATTGGCCTTACTGGCACTGCTGTACAAAACAAGTACGACGAGTTCTGGACACTTCTCAACTGGACCAACCCTGGAAAATTCGGCACCATGGCTGAATGGCGAACAGCTGTCAGTGGCCCGCTCAAGATTGGGCAGTCTCACGATACTACCAACGCACAATTGGCAATGTGCAGGAAGGTCGCCGTGAAGTTGGTCAAGAACCTGCTACCTCCTTACTTCAGACGTCGCATGAAGTCTCTGATTGCGCACCAACTACCGAAGAAGACTGATCGAGTGGTCTTTTGTCCTCTGTCAGAAGCTCAGTCGGAAGCTTACATGAACCTCGTTGAGAGCGACAAAATTGACTACATCCGACGTTCCTCTGATCCTTGCGACTGCGGCTCTGACAAGAAGCGAGGCTGGTGTTGTTACAAGGAGATCACCGACCGTGGCAAGTGGCAGCATCATGTCTTCCCTATGATAATGGCTTTGCAAAAGCTCTCGAATCATCTTGCTCTGCTATGTCCACAGAGCAGAGACTCGCAAGAGATGCAAGACAAAGAATTGGAGAATTTGCAGTCAGCCTTGCCTGACAATTGGCTCGAAATGTATCACAACCGTGATCAGATTACCAATTTTGCCAATGCAGAATTTTGTGGCAAGTGGAAGGTGTTGCAAAAACTCATGAAGTTTTGGCACGCGAATGGTGACAAGGTTCTTGTTTTCAGCTACTCTGTCAGACTTCTGAAGATGCTACAGATGCTGTTCAAGTCGACTACCAGCTACAATGTCTCTTATCTCGATGGAAGCATGAAGTATGAAGATCGTACCAAGGCAGTCGATGACTTCAACGCCAATCCGTCCGAGTTCGTCTTCTTGATCAGTACAAAAGCTGGTGGTGTCGGTTTGAACATTACTTCGGCCAACAAAGTCGTCATCTTCGATCCGAACTGGAACCCAAGTTGGGATCTTCAGGCCCAAGATCGTGCTTACCGTATTGGTCAACTTCGCGATGTCGAGGTCTTCCGCTTGATTTCTGCTGGTACTATGGAAGAAATTGTTTACGCTCGTCAAATTTACAAACAGCAGCAGGCGAACATTGCTTACAACGCGTCCACTGAGCGTCGCTACTTCAAGGGTGTTCAAGACACAGCTGACAAGAAGGGCGAAATCTTCGGTCTTCTCAACATCTTCAGTTATGAAGGTGAGAACCTTGTCCTCCGTGACATTGTCAACAAAACAAACATTGCCGAATCCAAAGCTGGCGTCAGTGTTGTCGGCCTAGACACATCTCAGGACTCTGACGATGATGAAATGGATGATATCGCTAAAACTGACGATGCCTCAATGTTGCAACTTGCAGCTCAGATCACTGGTGAAGGCCGCAAGAAGAAGCACGATGACGAGCAAGACAGCGAGACGAAAAGACAAGCCCGTGCCATTCAAGCCATTCTCAACATGGCAGGTGTCGAATACACCCACGACAACAATGATGTGGTCGGCTCCTCAAAGATGGAAGCTCAACTTTCTAAGCGAGCCATGGCCGCAGGTACTGACTTCGACCTTTCTAACGAGTACGCATTCGAGAAGTCTCAAGGCGCTAAGAACGAACTTGAAGACGAGAAAAAGATTGCGTACAAGTACAAGCCGCCTGAGTTTGTAAAAAAGAGACTCTTCTGCTCGATGGCGGAGTTCTATGGATTCGCAGATGCTACTCAATTTGCTCTGGCACTTGAGGGCTGGAGCGAACAGCGAAAGACCGATTGTCTCGACAAATTTTACAAGCACAGGAGAGAAGTCCTTGAGCGTGACGGTGCTGAGGATGAGGATGAGGGTGGAGAGAAGTCTTCTTTCTTCGAGTAGAACATCTGCACTCGTAGATAAGCTATTGTCTACCTCTGCCAGACGCAGATCGATGACACAATGAACATACTATCTCGACTTGCTTTTACCGCCATATCCTTTTAGACTACGCAGTTCTCACAACAGCTTAGTCGCACTTTCCCAATGATGGAGTTGTCGTCTAAATTGCACCTTCCGAGACCAAACCTGTCTACTCTTGTGTAGTTCAAAGAAGCAGCGATCGTGGCCATTCTTTCCTAATGCATTAGTAGCACTTGCATCGCTCCTTTTTCCGGTATCACGTCTTCACTCTTTCCCAGAACGCCATGTTTTGGTGCCATCACTCCTTCCACAGAATTTCTTGGGATGTGAATATGTCTTCTCATAGCTTTATGTTATTCTCGCATTCATCATGGGGGAGAAATGAGGGGACATGATTCCAGTATTTGGGTATGACGAGGTACATCAAGGAGGGATAGGGTATAGTCGACATTCACAGTAGGAAGAGAGGGTTTGAAGAATCAGACTTACCGAAAAGCAATGATAAGTATGCGCATTTATGACTTGTGATTTGTAGAAGATACGACCGGTAGATGGATACGAGAAGGAGCGATTGAGTAACAAGAAAGGATGGGGCGGCCGACCTACGGTCAGGGAAGGAGCGAGTTGACATACAAGGGGGAAAGAGCGACCCGGGGCTACGAGACTGAAAGGAGCGAACTGCTCTGTTCTTTTCTCACACATTGTTGCGTACCTGCCTTGTATTGCTCTATCTGGTACCCACCTGCAGTACTTCAAGGAACGAGAGAATGTAGATCCGTTGTGAGAGTGAAGGAAAACTGATACGACACACATGCAAAGGTTTGAAAACGCTTGTATGACAAGATTTGTATGCATGAAGAGAAACTGAAAAAAAAAAGGACAAGGGGTATACTCCTCGAGACGGTAAAGCGCAAGAAAAGCAAAAAGAGAACAGACAACGCTAACAAGGCCAACAACGAAAAACGCCAACTTGCAATGGGATGAATGGGTAAGGTCGTGGTATGCTGCCTACCGCACATTCTTATCCCGTACCGGCATATCCTTTTTCTGACCTTCGTCTCCAGCAGTGCCTCGCTCGGGTGCGAGTGTCGAGGCTTTGAGGTTTGTATCCCGTTCTTGACTCTCTGTGTGTACGGCCAGCTCGTCTTCGAAATTGCCTTCTCCTTCCTCTTCGACACCTTCGAGGTGTTCTCCCCAGCCTTCAATCTCGGAGAGCAGGCGCACGTATTCCTCTGGCACGAGGCCTTGTTCTCCTGATTCGAGATCCATGGCTACTAACCAGCCTTGTCCGTGTCTGTAGCCTACTTGGATGATCTGACCTTCACGGAGGGCGAGCTCGTTGCTATTCTCGGGGACGAAGTTGTAGAGGGCTAGGGAGGGACCGGCGAAGGATTCGTCCAAAGAGGTGGATGTGGGGCGGTGTGCGTGGCCATCGTGAAGATGGTGTAGGGGACCGCCAGGCGCATCAGCGGGATCGCTGCTATCTGAGAAGGGCGGTTCGAGTGCTGACAGGCGGGCGTGATGGCGGCTGAAGAGGCCTTCTGGCGAATCTGTGTAACGGTGCGCCGGCAACGTGCCTCCTCCAGTGCTCTTGTTGTGAATACTGCTTTCGTCTTCCGTCTCTTCCTCTTCCTCTTCTTCTTCTTCTTCGTCATCAGTGCCTGGGGCGAAGAAGCCTTGACTGTCAAGCCCTGGCACTTGATTGCGCGGCCCGCGTTTTGTGGTACTTCTGCCCCTTGACTCCTGCGCCGACTTGCTCTTCCTGTGGTTCTTTGCCAGTTTGCCGGCACCTTTGACATCATCATCACTGGCGTCGTCGTCGAAACTCGTTGAGGGCAATTGGTCGCCTGCGCCAAATTGAGCACCGCCATCGCCGCCCCAAGGACCAGCACCCCAGCCACGCGGGTCCCAACTTCCGATGGGAGGATCACTGAGGCGTCTGCTGGAGGAGAAAGCGGAAGTGTCGTCGGAGCCTCGGCTAGCAGGCTCAGGTGAGGGGCCAAAGTGAAGGGGATGGAATTGAGGATAGGCAAAGTCGCGGACCAGAGCATACGACAGCGACGAGGGGAAGACGGGGAACAGCGATGATGCGGGTCTCGAGCGCTGTGATGTGTGACTGCGCGTCGACATGAGACTGCGACGGATGCTTTGGCGGTTGGCGCTTTGGGAGGAGTTGTTGTTATTGTTGGTGGTGGAAGTGGCAGGGCCTGTGTTTGTGGTAGTCGTCGTCGGTTGTGTCATGTCGGGTTGTAGCAGGCCCGCCTGTTGGAGTGGTGGTGGTGTTTGCTGCGCCTGCGCTTGTGTCTTTTGATTCGTGTCGCTTGACGACATGACCTGAGTCGTCATTGTATCTCCTGCTCGTCTCTTAAATTCTCCGAAGCCTCCAGCAAGGGTTCAATGGCGCGCGCTGATGCTTTCACACAAAGCTCTGCTCTTGTTTTGTTGTCTAGGCGTGGCACAAAAAATAGGCCTTCCGCACTAACACGACGTGTACAGTGCGTGCGTCTGATGGCAGCGTAGACGTGAGAGCCGCGTGTCCAGCAATCCGTTTCTCTTCTGAGTGACCGTCCCGAGTACCTGACCCTTGTTGAACCTTCAAAAAGCCCCCCACGATGCAGGAGCGGAGAGACTGAAGGGGTATCTATGCAAAACGTGACCCAACTGTGAAACACGGTCATGCAATATGGGACAAGAAGGAAGGAAGGACAGTTGGCGACAGGATGCGATATCAAAGAGGCTCAAAGGAAGGAAGGAGCCCTGGAATCTCGCCTAGTTGTTGTTGAAGACAGAGCAGCAGCCCGTCAAGTGTGAACCACCAAGCGCCAAAGCTGCTTGACGGCCGAAGACCGAAATAGCCCACCAAGCCCTGTCAACCACGACAAGGTCTCCACATATCAACTACATACGCAACCGACCACGACTCTGCACTTCCTTCCCTCACCACTCCCCTTCTGTATTCTCCTTGTGCCTCGACCTTCCTTCCATCTGCGACTACGTAGCCCACATCTGACTGCTCCTGCCTCGTATCCTCCGCCAAGAATGACCCTTCTGTTTCACTTCCCATGCCACAGAGGACCCGTATCCGGGTCACAAAGGAAAAGCATATCATCATCTCTGAAACATAGTGTCATCTTCGAACACACCTTGCCTTCTCGGTAGCTATACCTCGTACATCTTCAACATCAATTCAAACAGCATCATCACGTCTCCGTCTAGTCACTGTCGGTACGGGCACCCGCGTTTCATACCAACCATATATATCTCGCGTCCATTTCTGTACCTCCAACCCGATGCATGCAGAGAGAAAAGGTCATGGTCCAGTCTCTTTCACCGCTTCCCATCATCTGGTACTGTCCACTGCCTTACTGGCTTCATGCAATACCTACATAAGCGTGCATGTGTTTCATCTCTACTCCGTGTCCAGATCTACTACTGGTGGTCGAGATGCTGTAAGGCAAGGTCCGTGATGAGCTGGCTAGAATCCGGGTCCATCTGATATGAACAGGCGGACGACATGTTCAAGGCTAGGAACAGGCGTATCAACTTCACGACATCACATGCATAGTGAGTAAGGCGAGCCGATCGTCCATACACAATGGACCAGCATAAAAGGTATTGAAAGACGTCAAGTGTTTTTTTGGTGAAAGTTTCTTTGCTTTTCTCATGAAACCCATGCTTCCACCCTCTTTGTTTTCGAGGGCAGAACGGGTGATTGTTTAAGAAAGACATGTGCACTGCCTGAGAAAGTCCGCAGTGCCCTGACATGTTGCTTCCTCAATTTTTGTTCGATTCGACACAGCTCCCCTGCGTTCTCTTTCCTTTGACCGTGCGAGTTCACATTCAACGCCCAGAAATGATGGTGCAGAAAGTCGTTTGTCGAAGTTAGATTTCATCCCCAGTACCCGTGAAACATTGTCTAGTAGAACCCTCTTTTGATTTGTACGAGAATTTACATGACAACACCGGAGTTGGAGGCGATACGCTGGAGTATGTGTTAGTTTTGTTGTGATCCTTTGCAAGTGTCCAGAATGGGGATATCTCTTACGGGCCAAAGTTCAGCAGCCTCCTTTCCGACGGGGCCAGTGATGGCGGAACCCTTCATCTCACCCTTGGGGTTGACAATGACACCGGCGTTGTCCTCGAAGTAGAGGAACATACCGTCGGCACGTCTCCAGGGCTTTGACTGTCTGACGATGACGGCGGGCATGACCTTCTTGCGGAGCTCAGGCTTTCCCTTCTTGACGGTGGCCATAACCATGTCACCAACACCACCAGCGGGGAGACGGTTAAGACGAGCACCGATACCCTTGACGGAGATGATGTAGAGGTTACGGGCGCCAGAGTTGTCGGCGCAGTTCATGACGGCACCGCTGTAGAGAAATTCGTGTTAGCCGTATGTTTCTGCTTTTCCATCTTTTCAAGGTTGTGCATGTTCGGATGTGTGTGTCGGTCGTGTGTAGTTTATTCGAAGAGTTTCAGGAGGTGATCGGAGAGTGATTGCGAAAGCGTTCGGATAGCATTGCGATGCGCAGATGAGGGAGGAGGTGAAGAGTTTTCTGTTCGACGTACACAGGCAGACCCAAGGTCATTCTCAGCTTGTTACCGGAGGTGGAACCACGGCTATATGACGCAAACTCGTCAGCATTTCTTCACTTGTTTCACAGTCGCCGTAGCTCATTGCACACATACCCGCGACCCATTTTGACTGTTTATTAGTATGAACGGTGGGGAGTTGAGGTAGACGGTGTCGCTTCGTTGCTGGTATGAATCTCTGTGACCGACTTCGACTTCGCGACGCAAATTCTGTGCGCCAAGGCATTTGCCGCAATTGTTCCGACCCCGCCAAGCCGCATCAGGGATTGGATGCCTTCTGGACTTTGACTCCGACAACTTCACTTTTACAAGAGAACATCACTTCTTTGCGCATTTTGTGGAAATGTAACCAGACTGTGCAGGTAACTGTAGAAGTCATTCTGTCGAAAAGTCACAGTCTGTTGGAGTCTCTTTTCTTCCTCTCGTCCTCGCTTATCAATCGTCCATCTACACACTTTCCTATCCAAGCAAGTCGTCCATGGCTCCTCCAGTCTTCTGCCCGCTGTACTGAGGCGCAGATGGGGTAGCAGGACTGGACGAACTAGTTGTGCCCCAGATACCAGCGCTAGCCTTTTGCTTGGCCATGTCTGCCATGGTAGGTCCCTTGTTGCTAGGTATGCCCGACTTCTTGAGGTTGGTACCAGACAACAGGGCAGCGAAAGCATCTCCGCTAGCCTTCGGCTTAGGTGCGCCTCCAATGGGCGACTTGATGCCGGGCGATGCCACTGTAGACGCCGGCTGTGATTGGGTGGCGTTGACAGATGTGTAGTAGTTGGGTTGCGCGGCTTGGAATCCACCTGCACGTGTTTGAGTTGCCGACATTGGAGATGCAATGTTCTGTGGCGGTGGTGCTGCTGCGCCTGTGACTGGTGATGTGGTAGAGAAAAGGTTGGTGAAGGCAGCGTTGTTGGTGCCCTGTCTTGGCTGAGGCTGAGCGTATTGAGTGTTGGGTGCTGCTGCAGAGAGAGGAGGTGCAATTGCTGTGTAGTTAGGGGTGTAGTTGGGCTTTGAAGGTGCTGCGAGTGCTGGAGCGGGTGCAGCAGCTGGAGCAGCAGATTGGAAGTCGTCGAAATCGTCGTCATCTGCACCACCGGACTGGAGTGTACCGAAACCATCATCAGCTGGCTGCTTGCCATTGGAAGACATGGAAGGCATGGAAGGTGCTGCAAGGGAAGTCGGTTCGTCACCAAAGTCGAAGAGGTCAACCTCAGGCTCCTTGGGTTTAGGAGGTTCGGCCTTCTTTGCTGCCGCCGCTGTTGATGTCTTGGTTCCGGTCCTTGATGATTCTGTCTTTCTTCTTGGCGGTGCAGCTGCACTTCCTTCGTCGTACTCATCGTACTCATCAAAGCGATCTTGACCTCTGGTGCGACTTTGGCTGCGCTCTTCCCAGTCATCTTGTACTGTCTCGCCTCCGAAACCACCACCATCACCGTAGACTTGTCTCGTGGCTCCTCCGTAGCCTCCTGGGGCAGACTCGCTACCAAAGCCTCCATATCTGCTTGATGTGGACATTGAGCCTCCAAGGCCCGCGCCACCTTCAACACCGCTATACTTGTTCTTGTTCTGTCTTGCCTTCTTACGCTCAGAACGAATTCTGTCGACATCACTGAGCAGGTCGGTGAGCTCCTTGGAGCGGTTGCGGACGTTGATTCCCTGATCCTTGCCGTTCTGGTCAATGTAGTGGAATTGGCGCAACATTTTGATGAGGGAGAGGTGGGATCGGACGTCGTCGATGACTCTTTCAGAGCCGTTCTTGATCAGGAACTCGAGCAATTGGAGGGCCTGCCAGGTTTTAGACACGTTCCGAATAGTGTAACCATCTTGCTCACCTTGTAGATCTGTCTCCATTCTTCGGCTGTCTTTTCAGTGAATCGCTTGTAGATCATGGGCATGATCTCGTTAAGAATCTGGCTGTGACCTGGTCAGAGAGGGTATGGTAGAGGTGTCGCTGCGTGCTATGTCATACTAGTTGAATGTTCCACTGGCAATCTCGTTCATCATGGTCGTAGACGCGCCCCAAGGCTCATTGTTGGTGGCTTCTCGGACCTGAGATATTGTTTAGCAAGAATATTTTACGAACAAAAGACGAAAAGACTACTGACCTTGGACTCCATCTCTGTGTAGTTCATAACAGCTAGACGCTGGTCAGTTGCCAGCCTCCTGACTGTCGCTACATCATCGACATACCATTTTGCACTTTACGAACACCTGCCTTCAGGTCGTAAAGTGTCAGGTTGCTGACCTGACTCTTCAAGCTCTCGAAATCCATCCTGCGCAGTGGTTCGCTATGATGTTGCTAATCGGTATAGACGTGACACGCTGGTGGTCGCGCTCAACTTATTGACGTCGCAGCGGCCGCCCCGGATTTGACGGAGGTGCCAAGTGTTGCTAACGCCAGAACAAAGCCACCATCATGTTTCACATTCGTTGCCATCGATGGTCACATCTAATGCATTCGAGTGAGAACATTATTCAGCATACATGAGCTCGACAAGAGCTCGAGGTCATGTAAGCTCACGGCATCTGGGAAACATGTTTAACTGGGCTGCTTAATACTACTTCTTTCGAGTCAAGATTTGTGTGGCGTCCCGTGCGATCGGGGATCATTCTGGTGGGCACATGAATGTTTTCGAGAAAACCTCATATCTTCTTCCACCTGCAACTGTTCCATCTCTGTACAGACTTGACATATCTATAGACTATTGAAGTCGTATCATTCCAATCGAAAAGTTTTTGATTGATGCCGTCGTCTTGCGAATGTCGATTTTATCTTCTCGAAGGTTGGTTAATGCCCTCACCCTGTCTGGTCGGCTGCGTCATCGGCTCATGCTGGAAACATCGATACATCAGGTTCAAGTCTGCAGAGTACAAGTACAGTATCTTTCACCACTCGATTTGACTCGTGTTTGTATGCCGAATAGCAAAGTCAAGTCCAGTCAACAGCATTCAGCTGCGAATGTATTTGTCTGTGCATGGTGGCTTAGCCCCCCCCCCCCCCCCCCCCCGCCTCACTGTTATGAGCTAAGCTTCGAAGCTGGGTGATGAGCTGCAGGATCGATGCGGTGAGTGAGGGGTCCTGAGATGGACATCCCTCTGACCAATGCAGCAATGCGTGAAAGCCGATTACATGGCAGATTCAAACAGTCCATCACTGTCAAGAGAATGATCAAAGTTTTGTCACCCAACACATGAAACAGGCAGAAGTTTTGGAAAGTGATGTGAAGATCTACAGAGTGATGCAAAGGTCGTCGGCGGCAATTCCCGAATGCAGCCCCTCATTACCTCAGATTTCAGTCGCTGCCCCGCCGCTTCTAGCTCTTCTTCCGCCATCTTCTTTCCACATGTTCTCTCTCCGAAAGACCCCAACCACTTTCATCAACAACTCATTCAAACAACAAAGCCGACTTTTCTCAGCTTCATCCGCAAACATGGTTCAAAAGGTTTACTTCGACTGCACCTGGACCGGTCCTCAGGTCAACGTTGATGGCAACGGCAAGCCCACCAACACCGACCGCGAGATCAAGCGTAAGTCAAAGACCCTGTCCCAACATCAATTCACCCGCAGATGGCTGATACCATCTACAGAGCGCTCCGGCCGCATCAACTTCGAGCTCTTCGACGACGTTGTCCCCAAGACCGTCGAGAACTTCCGTGCTCTCTGCACTGGCGAGAAGGGCTTCGGCTACTCTGGCTCCAAGTTCCACCGTGTCATCCCTGACTTCATGCTCCAGGGTGGTGACTTCACCCGTGGCAACGTAAGTGAACAAGCCATCAACCATCTTCACGATGAACAAGACTGACAATGCATCACAGGGCACTGGTGGCAAGTCCATCTACGGTGAGAAGTTCGCCGACGAGAACTTCAAGCTCACCCACAACAAGCCTTTCATGCTCTCCATGGCCAACGCCGGCCCCAACACGTATGTCTAGTCTTTATCCAAGCATCACACTCAACAGCTAGCTAACATCTCTCCACAGCAACGGCTCCCAGTTCTTCATCACCACCGTTGTTACCAGCTGGTTGGACGGCCGTCACGTCGTCTTCGGCGCCGTCCCCGCCGGTGACTCCGCCTCCATGTCCGTCATCAAGTCCATCGAGGCTTGCGGTTCCTCTTCCGGTGCCATCAAGGGTGGCGGTGCTCCCCCCACCATCTCCGCCGCTGGCGAGGCTTAAGCGTGTCGTTTCCACCCAAAGCGTCTTTTGACTTGGCAAAATTAGAATACGAGACATGAACCTGCAGAGAGGATGGAAAGAAAACGAGAGCCAAACTCTTGAAAGCACCTGTGATACATGAAATTGAAAGCAAACGTGCATTTTTTTTTCTCCTTGCTGATATGAATCTTATCCTCATCTCGTCGTCATTCTTTGCTTTGTGATACACCGCCTTCTCAGCTGGCCTGTCTCACGCAAAACTCACATCATACATATCATCTGACAGACAGCTCTCATACTACAAGCCATCAAGGTCTTGTTTATGTGCTAGCACTTCTCCATCGGCACCTCAAATAATCTCGACACCTGGTGACATACCCATCACACCAGTAACGTGAAGCACAGCGTCAATCAAGAATTCAAAGCCAGGGCCCGATACAATGCACCTCCCCAAAACACATCCAGCAGACCATAACGCATATAATTCGCATATCTATCCTCTCAAGAAGCAGCCTAGTTTGAGGCTCAACTCTAAGACGTCCTGCTGCTCTGATCCAGTCTCCTACCATCAACGTTACCTCTAGCCCACTCTTCTCTCCTTCCTTCTGAATCTCATGGATTAATGATCTTGTCATGTCAAGCATATGAGTACTTCTTTTCCGCTTTTCCAAACATCTGTTGTCCCTGGAGTAAACTTTCCAGGGGACTCACGATATTTAGAGGAACAGACTGGTCGTTACATTTCTTCTCCATCTTTCCGTGCTTGAATCTTCTTCATTTACAGGATACTGGTATATCCACCCTCATGAATGGTCAAAGCAGGAGAACGACTAGGAGCTATAGAAAAGCACAGTCATATCTTGCACCGATGTCTCGCGCAGAGAGTCGAGTACACAAACTATCTCGATGACATTGCTGCGAGTTGGAGAAAGTATCGTGCCTCAAGACAGCTTCAACTAGGATAGAATGGTACACACGGCGAAGGTGTAAACGATACAAATGTCTCAGCTTCTATCTGTGTGAAGGCTGGAAAAATGGAAGATACGAAGCTGTGAGACTGGCGAATTTACAAGGCTTGACACTGCAAACATGTTGATGGTTCAGTCTATACAAAATAGATGCAGGAAGTGGTGTGCTTGAATCGCAAGTTTTCATCTGTTGAAGGAATAACTTCTGGGTACTAAAAAGCTGTCATAATATAATAACGAAAAGAACGAATCGCAATGGAAAAAATATCACTAGGGGCCTATACCGCCCAGGTTATCACTTCCCGTCCTCCCACACTTCTTCCGACTGAACTTCTCTCTCCACACACATGATCTATGAGTCAGCATCGTGGAACTCTTCATCAAAGCCTTCGACACTATCTTGACGGTGGATGACGGGTTGCAATGGTTCCTTGAGATCTCCCAGAGTGTCCAATGGAGAGGTCTTTTGTTGAGGAGGCTGTCTGGGAGCAACGCCGCCCGAGTGACCAAAGTCGACAAGATTGCTGGGACCAGATGGAGCGGGTTGGAATTGTTGTGGAGTCTGGATCTGCTGTACCTGCGGCTGCGGTGCAGGAGCAGCGATGGAGGCTGCTACGGGAGCTGCCACAGGAGCGGCTGCAGGAGCTTCAGATCTAGGTTGCGCTTGAGCTTGAGGCTGTGCGTGTGCCTTCTGGCCTGGTAGGATAGGTGCAATAGCGAGGACCTGCTTGACGATTTCGTCGGGAGTCTTGCCGTCAATGTTGGCATCAATGACCCAGTCGAGATTCTCCTCCCCGTCCATGTCTCCGGGACTCTGACTGGCTCCAGCTCTTGTTTTGCGGAACAGCTTGGGATGCCACTCTCCGTGCTCTCCACGCTCTGCGGCTTCTGCGCGCTGACGGTCTTCAATAAAAGACTTCTCGTCAGTGGCAGTCCTCTGGTCGGCGACCTTGATGGCCTTGGTGACCTTGTCCCATAGCTTTTGCGATTCGCGATCCCCTTGCTCTTCCAGCGGGCGTGCCTTGGGATATGAGGGTCTTGCGTGCGATGCGTCGAAAATGAGCTCCTTCTTGCCAGTCTGCTGGTTGTTAGCGTTTGTACATCTGCTAAGTAATGACTGCCACTTACTGTCAAGTTCTTGATGTACATCTCCTTGTCCCAGTAACCACTGAGCTCAAACAGATTCTTTCCACTCTTAGTGTCCTTGATATGGCCACCAATAGCGTTGTATGTTCCAGTCATCCAGCCCTTGACCTTGAAATCAATCTCGGCTTCCAGGCCCAGTTCCGGACAGCGGACGTAGGCGTGATCACCAAGCTCGTATTTCATCTTGCCGAACAAAATACCTCTAGCATACATATTGGGCTGGGTAATAAAGTATCGCTCGTTGCGGTTTGTCATACGCATCACTGCGATACCTTCCATGAAGCTTCCAACAGAGTTGCCCAAGAACCTACTTCGGGGCTTGAGTGTACCGTCGACACGGATGTGGTGTTCGGGGGCTGCGAAGAAGTAGCTCGACTTGGGAGGGTGGTGAGATGTTTGCTCCGAGATGTAGTAGCCGCGCGTATTGTCGGGGTAGTCCCAGTATCCGGTAAAGGTCTCGCCGAGGACGGGGTTGAGAGGCTTCTTGACACCGCTGTGTCTTTGTTAGCTGCTGACTGTTGCCTAGAGCAGAGAGGGAACTCACGGAGGCTTGATGTGCCATCCGCTCAAGTAGAACTTGGTCACGGCGACAAAGCGCTCGACAGGATCATCGATACCAGGTAGGGTAAGGAGAATCTCGGGGTGGGCCATGAAGTTTGTGATTCTCTCCAGCATAGATCGAGGCTCGAGGATGAAGGTGGGCAGCGTCACTCTACTCAGGTCGGCGCCTGGTCGCAACTGGCTGATGATGTGTGATAGGACTACGGGTCTCTCGTCAGTCGTCTCTCCTTTGGGTACAGAGAATCAGGCAGCGCATACCATTACCCTGGTCCTGGTCAACGACCGTCTCATCGTCGGCGGTTGTGTCTGGGCGGTCGCCCTCGACAGACGATCTGTTACCTGCGGTGTTCCTTCTCAGCCCGAGAGTCATTTTGTCAGGATGAAAAACTTGTACGAACTAGCAGCCGAATGGCGTCTATGCGAATGTCCAAGAACCATGGTCGTATTTTATTAATGTCCCCTTGTCACTCCGGTGCTAGAGGAAGGATCTGTGCACAACGCCGTCGGTAAGGCTACCAAGTATCGGTTCGTGGGATCACAGTAGTTGAGCTTTCCGTCAAGTCTTCACTTTCTCCTGTCCGCTTTTCTGTAGAGTAGAGCAATGAGAATCTGTCGTCACTAAACGTTGGCCCTGTTACGTATTTACAGAAGAACCCAGCTCCCTGACCATCCGCAGCCGCTTGTTTGTTCCTGCCGCTCCGAGGGTTAAAACATCTGCCTACGTCACGAAGTCTTGGCATTGACTGCCATTTTTTGTTCAGCTCCTCAAGCTTCGTTGTCAATAGAAATCTGCAGGGCCTCTTCATGGCCGAAAACAAGGCTATCAGATTCACCTCCACGACACGTTTTGCATAGCAGCTCGACAAACCAAGCTGCAGACATGTCGGGCGGCAACTCACAGCTGATGCTCTCAATTGGGCACGAGCAGGAGCTCTCAAGCAACCCCTCATCCACCGTATCCCGTATTCGTCCTCTTCTCCGATCTAGCCTCGCGATAATTTCCTCTCTTATGAAAATCCTCGCAATCACCACATATCCTTGTCAGGGCCGGTCTGCATCCCATAGCATCGTGCTGTACTTCGGATAGGTCACGTCCGTATGCTAGCCATCACCATCGGCACCTCGGATGCATAAGCTGCCGCCCGTGAGAAGCTATCTCGACTCGTGCCCCTCGTCTTGACATGTGATTTGCTTGAAGCCTAGTTTTGGTCAAACCATAAACATGCATGCTGGCAGGATAGATTGTTCTGATACGAGCTGGTATATACTGTATAGTCGTAACTTCGTAGTCTTCATACTTGCAAGCTTCGTATGAAGCTCACTTATGCTTTCGAGGGATCACTCGAGACCGTCTTCTCGACAAGCTTCGCGTCAATCTTCTTGCGTTGCTCTTGAAGCTTGCCCATGAAACCATCATCTGCGGTCTTGTTGCCCTGGTGGTCCCACTCTTCAATGTGCTCCTCGATTAATCCCTGGCTGTTGAGCTTGAAAGTCAACTTGCTGTTGACAGTCTTCTCGGTACCCTCCTTCTTGAATGGAATAGGTGACTTGAAGACGTAATGCTGTGTCAGGTTCAACTCCAGTTGAGAAGGAGTCGATGATGCGAGGACTGCGACCTCTGTTCGTGTGTTAGTATGGATCCTACTAGCAGATAAGCATAGGACGTACCTTTGGTTTCACTACGCGCAAACACCTTGGGCATGCCGTTGAATTGCGACATAATGCTCTCCTTGCCCTTTGCGATGCTAACAGGGTCGTGGAATGTAGCCGTCTCGGCGTAATGCGTGTAACTCTGCTCATTGGGCTCGCAGCTGTAAAGCTTGAGGATGTCTGTGATGAACTTCTGTTCCTCCGGAGTAGCCTCTCTGGTGGGGAGAGTGCCTTGCGATGACTGAGTGAAAGACATGTTGATGTGTTTGGTGCTTGACTTGGTATGATGTATCAAAAGTTAGAAAATGAGCCTCATCAAGCAGCACTTAAGTATTGTTTTGTCTGTTTGGCAGGCGACCATGTGATGATGATGAGCAACGTCATGATGTTGAGGGTGATCGACATGGAGATGTCCTCCACAAAGAAGCCTTCGAGACGTCAGTGGACCCCTTTGTTCGAGTTTCGTTGGACCCTCTCCCTGTTCACGCCGTATGCCTGTACCGTTGTCAAAATCAAGTGCTGCCCGTACGAGCAAAAGAAGAGCTGCATTGATCTCAAAAGAGCAAAAGAAAATGGACGACTAGGGGATCGAACCCTAGACCTTCAGCATGCAAAGCAGACGCGCTACCACTGCTATTATGGGGTTAGTACAAGATTTTAGATTACGGGAAGGTGGGAAGACTTGCCGCCAGACGCCCAATCGGTTGATGGCTCGCGATCTTGGATAGTATATATATCTCAACCAACAAATCCAACAGCACTGTCGGGTCAAAGCCTGGTTGGCTCTCATATCGCCGTGACAACACCTTGCAGATTGTGACATGCAAGTGGCCGGACACTGATGCCTCTATGCGGACATGTATTTGTGTCAAAGACTCGCTGCTAGCACTCAACAGCTAGCTGGCAGCCAGAGCGAGCAGACAATGTCGAAATTGTCTTCTTCACCGCCATCCTCAGCGGAGAGCATAAATGACACAAGACGCGTTGAAGACGACTATCACGCCGAGACAACGATCGAAGCGCCCGGCCAAGATGTCTTTGACGCTGTGCCAGATGCTGAAAGAGACACAATTCTGGTGGAATCTCTCGATGACAACGATGATGAAGTCTTCAAACTGCGAGCGTATCAAGATGAAATGCTTGCAGAAAGTGTGAAGAGTAACGCCATCATCGTGCTGAATACAGGAGCCGGCAAAACACACATGTAAGTCAAAGATATAGAAACAATGGATGTATGTCGAGAAGGTTTGACGTAGGCCACCCATCACAACAGTGCACTTGCCAGGACAAGAGTCGAACTGGAGACGGTTCATTCAGACAAATTGGTCTGGTTCCTGGCTCCCACAGTCGCCCTTTGTCATCAACATCACAGGTCTATCACGACAAATTTGCCAGCATATCAAACAAGGCTTCTCACAAGCGAAGATGGAGTCGACAGATGGACCGATCAAACAGTCTGGGACGGTGTTCTCAAGGATATGAAAATCGTCATCAGCACGTATGGCGTTCTTTACGACGCTCTCTGCCACGGATTCGTTGCTATGCGGAGACTATCGCTCTGTGTATTCGATGAGGCACATCATTGCACCAAGAAGCATGCCTCTAACATGATCATGCAACAATTCTATCGGCCTGCTAAAGCTGCTGGTCAACACGTACCACGGATCCTCGGTCTGAGTGCCAGCCCGGTGATGAATGCAAAAGCTGGAGGTCTAGAGATGCTCGAGGCCAATATGGACAGCCACGCTATTACACCTAGATTGCACAGATCTGAGTTAATGCAATACGTGCATGTCCCCGAGCTCATAAAACACTCTTTTGACAGCCGAGAGCCTATGGATACTCCCGGCTCGCTGCGAGAAGCGTTGACCAACATAGTTCACAAATACAAGATCCGCGAAGATCCATATCTGCTCGAAGTCATGCAGACTGCAGGACCCGAAATGAAGGCTACCAAGGACGAGATTCTCATGTCACGAAAGACTTACTGCACAGACCAGCTTAGGGCGCTTAGAAAGCGTGCAGAGGTTATTGCAACAGACATCAGTCCATTTGCGTCAGAAACATACATTGAAGCATGTCGAGACAAGTTTCTCGCAGGGATCCGACAGAACGATGCCACATGGATGCCGGAGCTCTCAGATAAGGAGAAAAGCCACCTTGCAAAAATTCTCACAGCTCTTCGGGTCGACGCTCCCTTCTTAGATCCGACTGTAAGTCCAAAGCTGCAACTGCTCTTGACTATTCTGAAAGAAGAGTCCGGACCATACTTTACGGGTATAATCTTTGTCGAGCAGCGAGCTGTGGTTTCTGCTTTGGCAGATTACCTCACTTCTATGCCGGAAGTGTCACAGCTCTTCAACATTGGCACTTTCGTGGGGGGTTCTAGCTCATCAAAGAAGAAATCGACTATTGGCGATATCAATAGTCCGAAAGCACAACAGCAGACACTTGACCACTTCAGGATAGGCAAGAAGAATCTCATTATCGCGACGAGTGTGCTCGAAGAAGGTATCGATATATCGTCTTGCCAGACAGTCATCTGTTTCGATGCTCCCCTGAACCTCGTTTCTTTTGTACAAAGACGAGGTCGAGCCCGAAAGAAGGACTCAAAATATATCATCTTGCTCGCGGAAGATGACAGCAAAGGCGAACCAGCGAAATGGTCCCAGCTAGAAGATCGAATGAGGGCAGCATACGAAGACGAGTACCGAAACGCTCAGCTTGCAGCTCAACTGGAGCAGATACATGAAGCAGAGGACAAGAAGTATAAGGTTCCTAGTACTGGTGCCCTTCTTACCCTCGACAATGCCAAGTCGCATTTATACCACTTTTGCGCCACACTTCAGACGGCTAGTCATGTTGATCACAGACCGATCTTCGACTGCAACATAGACGCAGAAGACATGGTGACAGCGAAAGTGCTTCTTCCTTCTCCAGTGAACAAAAAGTACAGAACAGCTGTCAGCGCGCACGGGTGGAAGACAGAAAGAGCTGCGATGAAAGATGCGGCATTCCAGGCTTGTGTTGCATTGCATCGTGGAGGTTTACTGAACGATCATCTGCTTCCTCCTCACATCCAAACTCCCGATCAAGCACGTCAAAACCGACCTGGTCTAATCAAGGTCGCGAAGAAGATCAATCCTTGGTCGTTGGGTGCAACCGACTCTTGGTTCAAACATGTGGTGGAGCTTGAGATCGAAGGACAGCCTAGCGTCTCTATGGCAATGTTCCTTCCTGTGGAGTGTCTGGCGATTGGGGACATCGCGCTTCACTGGAGTATGTGGGTTAAAGGTGTCGCGAAGATTGGTCCTAGCCAGCCATGCACACTTAGTTCCAGTGAAGTCATACAAAAACAGAAAGACACAGAGATGATGCTGCTATCCGTCTTTTCGTCTGCCGATATTGTAGATACGCATGGCAAGTACGCTGTGCTTTTTGAGCCACAAGACCAAACACCTGCACAGAAGATCAGCAGGAAGAGTCTACCAGCGAAAGAGGTCCTCTCGGTGGCTCAGTCAGCCGCTGATGTAGGTCTTGTACATCTCGACGGACAACAAGGCCGAAGTTACGTCTTCGAGCACATCCTAGGCAAAAACCAGCAAAATTTGGAAGTCACCAGATTCCCACGCAAGCGCGACTTCCTAACTCGACCTGCCGAAGAGTCGAAGAAAAATCAACTTGTCCGAGAGACTTTCGCCATCGACCAGTGCACTATCAATGTACTTCCGGCGAAGTTCTCCATCTTCGCTGCCTGCGTACCGTCAATCTTGCACAAGATCGAGACTGCTATTCTCGCCACTCGTTTACAAACCACTCTGCTAGCACCGGCGGGTATTCGAAACCTTCAAATTATCATTGAAGCTACCACGTCGGGTGCTGCCGACTTTACTGCTAGTTACGAAAGGCTGGAATATCTGGGCGATGCAATTTTGAAGTATTGTACTCATATCCAATTATCGGCCCAACACCCTGAGTGGCCAGAAAGCTACTTGACTGCTGAAAAAGCAAGAACTAATGGTAACGCATCGTTATCAAGAGCAGCTCTGAGTAGTGGAGTGGACAGATTTGTGTCCACGACCAAGTTCACTGGTAACCATTGGAAGCCGCCGACACGCTCCATCGACCAGACTGATCAAAACGACAAGACCGTGGATAGAAGTACGAAGACACTTGCAGATGTCGTAGAAGCTCTAATAGGCGCCTCGTACATCGATCAGGGTCTAGAAGGCGCGCTAGCCTGCATCAAAATCTTCCTCGCGGGCGAACAATGGCTACCTCACACAACGTGTCAATCCACCCTTCTCGTCAACACGCCTCCTCTGCAGGCCATCCCACCTTTCCTCGCCACAGTCCAACAGCTCATCAACTATACCTTCACTAACCCCTCTCTACTTCTAGAGGCCCTAACTCACTCCTCATTCTCTTCCAACGAATCTCTATCCTACGAACGACTAGAATTTCTCGGCGATGCAGTTCTAGACGCCATAGTCGTCCCAAAATTATTCTCCACCCAACCGCCACTCAAAAACCATGAGATGCACCGAATGAGACAAGCACTTGCGAATGCTCATATCCTGGCGATCTGCTGTCTTGAACTTTCCCTGCCTGCTCCTCGCCTGGACCCTGTGGTTATGCAAGGAGAAGTGGGGCTGCAGGAGACAACACATGAATACCATCTTCACTATTTCTTACGCTGCGGTGTTAGTGTACAGATGCAAAGACAAGCTGCACTGGAACGCTATACACTTCTACGAGCACAAATCCTTGAACAACTGGAGGATGGACATGAGTATCCATGGCCCGACCTCTTGCGTCTCAAAGCTCCCAAATGGATGTCTGATATCCTCGAATCTCTGCTTGGAGCCATTTACGTAGATTCTGGCGGCGATCTAAAGCAATGTGAAGCTTTTGTGGAGAGATTGGGGCTGTTGAAGATGCTGGATAGATTTCTCGAGGAGGGTGTACAGGTGGGGTTCCCTAGGGAGAGGCTGGGTATGTTGGCGAACATGAATAGTATCGAGTATCAGGCGTATGAGGATGGACAGGGAGGCTGGGGCTGTAAGATCTTTGTGGGCGGCAGGGAGATCGTAGATGTAGGTGGCTGTGTGAGCAGGGAAGAGGCGGAGGTCAGAGGTGCGGCGACAGCTGTTGGGGTCTTGCAAGAGGAAATCATCAAAGTCATGCAAGACGGCAACGCGAGTCGGGATGCTAATGGCAACACTGACGTTGACCAGAAGATGGTAGATGTAGAGTCCTAGAGACAGCCGCTGAACAGCAGTGCTGTGTGAATCAATGCACGATCCCCTGTCAATGGACGAGCGTCAAGGTCGCTCAAGGGGACGTCGATTTTCAATATTCGAACTCGTAAATAGTAACTGATCATAAGATATACCGCTACTTCCAAACACCATTATGCTTTTCAATGGCTACGTCCCAGGAGGAATAATTCTCCACCTCTCCACCTGCCTTCCCAAATCATTCATTCTCTCCAAAATCCATACTGCAAATATCCTTCCACACACTTCCCAATTCTCACGACAACACCCCTCGCAACCATATCTTCAACCTCACGAGAAACCGCCTCGGTCAAATCCTCACAGTCGGCGCAAAGTCTATACTCTGGATCCGTAACACCATTACACATTGAACAATTCTCAGAGAAGTGTGCGCAACTGCAGGACATTTCAGTCATGACGCCGCATTGAGAGGGTGTGTCAGCTCCACTATGCATATAAGCCTCTGTGTAGAGATTGAGGCGTATTCCTTTATTACTCGTATTCTTGACAAACAGCTCAAGTTTTGCCATGGTTTCTTGAGTTAAGGAGACTAGTGCCGAGGGCTCGAGGACGTATGTTCCTGCATCGACGTCCGTTTCGATGAGGTCGTGTTGGCGACTGGTGAAGATGTCGTGGTTCCAATTGTCGATGGTGATGGTGAGTATGCAGTGGTCGTGGATTTCTTGGGTGATCTGTAGCTTTGTGTTCAAGATAGGTGGAAGACCATCGCGGAAGATGTGATATGGTTCCTCCATGGTGTATTCGTAGATCTGCTGGCGCATTCCCAAAGGTAGACTGAAGAAGTTTGCTGGAGTTGTGCGAGGTTGCGACGATAAGGTCGAGTCCTCAGTACTTGAACTCGTCATCGAAGACGGAGACATGGTGGTCAATTGAGAGACAGTTAGTAAAATATCATTGATAGACATGATTGTAGATAGAGAAGTTTTGAATTTCGTGGAAACTTATTTCTATCGTTGCAATAGGAGATATGAGTCCTCATGTTTTGTCTCGTCATAGAGCATCAAGCTGCTAGAGTTTGTGAGTAATAGAGCCACGTGGTGGCTCTAATGGTCTCCGCGGAAAATGAGGCGGACATCTCAAGCGCATGAGTTTTGTCCCACGGCTTTGCTGCCAGATATGAAGTATGCACCATACCGACTTACCATGATGCGCCTACGCGAACCGTTGCCCAAGTCGAAGTTCTCTGGACCTTGACAGAGAGGATGATCACCGAGCGGTCGTCTGGCAGAGAAGATAGCTTCTGCCTGTGAGCAAGTTAGCTCCTGTTTCATGTTCGTAAACCATGATGTGATTTTGAATAATTGACAAGGTATCAGAGTAAAAGGTTGTAATCCTCGGGTCGCCAGAGTAATAATCATAACAACCCTCAGGGATTTTGATTTTCGTTTTGTGTAAAGCATCATGCTAGGGAAGGGGCGTAGAGAGAGAGAGATAGCAACATACCTGAATTTGGTGTACGGGACCTGCAAGTCTACTTCTGGTCTCTGACCTTGGCAACTTCAGGTCCGTCGACGCTGACCATCTTGACATTCTGCTCTTTCAACTCATGTGCGAGCTTCTTGTCGGCCTCTTGACCTTGTTCAACACCTTTCGTGCCCTCACGGATGACGAACGCCTCAAAGCCTTCCTTTGCAGCATCAACAGCAGTAGCTTTGACACAGAAATCGGCAGCCAGACCGACACAGAAGACATGTGTGACACCCTTCTCGCGTAGAGATTTTGCGAGGCCGGTCTCGACAATCTTTGGGTTCAAGAAGGGCGTGCAAAAAGCCGAGTACATTTCTAATCTCTTGTCCTGTCCCTTCTCTACGATGTCATCCAACTTGGTGGCATCAAGCTCAGGGATCAATTCACTGCCTGGCGAGCCAGCGATGCAGTGGACTGGCCATAATTGCGTAGTCTGGGTCTCGTCAGAGTTGCGAGGATTGGAGATGGTGATGGTCGACTCGAAGGGCTTGTTGTTGGGTGGGGGATGATTCGTCGCGAATGAAATGTGATCTTCCGGGTGCATGTCCTTGGTCGCTACCCTGAGGGCCCATGGTAGCTTGAGAAGGTCATTGATGATGGGAGCAATGGAGCGTCCATCGGTGACTGCTAGACTGCCTTTCTGCAGACCGTGTCAGACATTTCGTGCTATCATATGGTATTGCACTGGAGGCTAGGGTCAAGTGAAGAAAGAGCCTTTCACTGATCTGGCGCAAGTATTTTTTCGCGCCTGGGTAACGCCGTGGGTCTGAGCGCGTTGAAATGGTGGAGAACTTACTGGCGGGCAGAAGTCCTCTTGGAGGTCTACAACTATGAGTGCGGCTTTGATGCCTTTGTTTGATGACATGATCGTTCTTGCTGTCGTAGTAATTGATTTCAAGTGGGGTGGTAGTGCTGACAGAAGGAACGACTCCTCTCTTCTTGAGGCAGCGTGTCCTTAGACCTCATCTTGTTGGCAGGAGCGATGGTGACGAGGACGATCTGGGAGGGAGCTCGGACTGGCATGTGAATCTATCTTTCACTGCACAAGTTGTGAATCTGCATAAACGCTCTATCACACTTTACAAGCATATTGCTTGTTGTACAGCTTAGGGAATACAACCAGTCTAGGGCTACTACCAACGAATCGACATCTCTGGATGACGGTCATCACTCGACAAGTTCGATTCGCAAATCTTGGTATATACAACAAAAATGACATCATGGCTCCTAGACAATTTCATCAACGAGCTCATTGACCTCACCAATCGCCTGCGAAAGTGACAGTCTTGAGCTTCAAGAACTCATTGAGGCCATATTCGTGATTGAATCGTCCCCATCCAGACTTCTTCACACCTCCGTGAGGCAGGCCAGCCTCGTCATGCACTGACATTTGATTAATGTGCACGGCACCGCTGTCGATCTGTCTGGCCAGTCTGATACCTCTTTGCAGGTCCTTTGTGAAGATAGCGCCAGAGAGACCATACTCGGTGTCGTTGGCGTAGTTTACGGCGTCCTCGTCGGACTCAACGGTGAGAAGCGATACCGAGGGGCCAAAAGATTCTGTGTAGTAGAGATCCATCTCCTTGGTCACGTCTTGTACGACGAAAGGACGAAGACGGTGTGCGTTGGTCTCCTTGGAGTTGAGATCGCCAACAAGGAGCTTAGCGCCCTTCTCGACAGCATCCTTGACAAGTTTCTGGTTCTTCTCGACAGCGGGTTTAGCAACCAGAATGGGAGCTTCACCAGAATCCGGATAGATCTTTGCAATGGCACCCTTGAGAGCTTCTGAGAAGGGCTCGAGGATAGACTTGTGAACGATGATGCGCTCGGTAGACATGCAGATCTGACCGGCGTGGACGAAAGCTCCAAGAGCGCATTGGAAGGCGGCGTTCTCAATCTCGGCATCGTCGAGGACAAGGGCGGATGCCTTGCCACCCAACTCCATCAGGCAAGGCTTGAGGTTTTCACCAGACTTGGCGGCAATGATTGCACCGACGGCAGTGCTGCCAGTGAAGTTGACCTTCTTGATCTCAGGTGCCTCGATGAGCTTATTTGTAACAGCAGCAGCGTCCTGAGTACGGTGGTAGAGGACGTTGAGACAACCAGCAGGCAGACCGGCTTCGTGGAAGACACTTCCGATGGCCCAGAACGAGCGAGGAGAAAGCTCGCTACCCTTGAGAATGCAAGTATTGCCAGTAGCCAAGGCGTAGATGACGGCTCTCAGACCCAAGATGTAAGGGGCGTTCCAGGGAGCAATGCCCAGAACGACACCGTAAGGCTCCTTGAAGACCAGAGCTCCACCATCTTGAGTTTGAGGGATCATGCCGACAATACCACCAATGCGACCAGCGACATCTCTGAACATCTCGACAGTTGTAGGCAAGTTGAAGCTTTTGACGATAAACTCAGGAGCACCCGTCTCTTCCATTTGGTATCCAGCCAGTTCGTCCAAGCGGCTCTCCATGATATCTGCGGCCTTCAAGAGGATCTTGCGAATCTCAGGGCTCTTCAATTTCTTCCATGACTTCCAGGCGCGTTGGCATGAGTCCACTGCCTTTTGGGCATCTTCGACTGAGGCAGATGAGCAGCTCCAGAGCTTCTTCTCGGTCTTGGGCGAGTTGACGTCGAATGTGGTTTCGGTCACGACCTCTTTGCCGTCGAGCCAGAGGGGACTTTGAGATATAAATCAGTAATGCTCTTGGGTTGCTTTCAACATGCGACTTGCTTGTACTCACACTGTGTAGTCTGCCATTGCTGTATCTGTGATGAATTGGTTACAAGTGGTATAGGCAGAAAAGACCCCTGAAGAAGTTTGGGAACAGCAGTAATTATCAATCAATCAATGTCTCTCGGCTTTCGCCAGTAGAGAGATGATCATTGACGCGGGAAGGGAAAGTGGGCCTCCAGTGTGGGGGCGGCTGATGACTCGGTTTGTGCTTTCGGCACTCTTGCCCTGCCTTGTACATCTACCGTCTTCCTCTACGACACATGCCGCGCCGGTATATCATGGGTGTGTTGTATATCGAACACGACGACCGGCAGATGCGACAGAAGTCTGAAGATGCGATAAAGTTTGGAAGTTGTGAGAGCAATTCTGCAGGGCGGTCCGAAGTCTCGGCTAAGCACCTGTCCACCTGTCCGAATAAGAAATGATATGCTCTCCGTTGAATCTTGGCTTCGGTTCATCGATGGCTACTTGACCAAGGAGGCAGGATCGTATATGCAGAGCACAGAGGTCACTGATCAGAGCAAGAAAGTCTTTTCAAGAAGTTTTATTCAATACTATGTCAACTCTCGCAAGAGCGATCTAGCTATTCCAAAATGGTTCCATGGCCAGCCAGGAGCCGCCTCCAACTTCTTCCGTTATCATGAAGGTCATGTAGGTGTATTACAATAGTGGTCATCCAAACGTGTCAAACAGCACATCTAAGAGCGCTTGCCAAAGGCCTTGTCAAAGTTGACGAGGGTGAAGCGGTACTTGATGTCGTTCTTCTCGAGACGCTCAAGAGCGGTCTTGCAACCCTCCTCGCTGACGTCAATGGTCTCGACCCAGGACTTGATGTTCTGCTTCGAGGCGAGCTCGAACATGGCCTCCATCTCAGGGCGGTTGCCGATGTGAGAGGCCCCAATGGAGCAACCGTTGCCGGCAAACTGCTGGGCCATCAAGGTAGGGATGGGCTTGTCTCCGAAACCAACCATGTGGAACTTGCCCCAGACCTTGAGGGTGCTGAAGTAGTCGTCGAGGTTGAACTGGTCGATCGCATCGGCGGTGTTGATGACAAAGTCGAAGGCGAACTTGTAGGGCTCGTTCCAACCCTTCTCCTTGGTGCAGATAAACTCCTTGGCGCCCATCTTGAGAGCATCCTCCTTCTTGTTGGGAGTGTGGGAGATGGCGTAGACCTCAGCACCAAGAGCCTTGGCCCAAAGGAGAGCAAAGTGGCCGAGACCACCGATACCAATGATACCAACCTTCTTGCCGGGACCAGCGCCGAGGCGGACAAGAGGGGAGTAGACGGTGAGACCAGCGCAGAGCATAGGAGCAGCGATGGAACTCTCAAGGTTGTCGGGAATCTTGAAGACGAAGTAGTCGTTTGCACGGATGTGCGATGAGTAACCACCCTGCGAGATGGTGCCATCAGGGTAGGGTGCACCGTAGGTGTCGATGGAGTTGGGGCAGTAGTTCTCCTGATCAGCCTTGCAGTTGCCGCAGGTCAAGTCGGCACCGATCTGAGCACCAACACCGACTGTAATGACTGTTAGTATGTAGTTTTGACATGCGGGTCAACAGAAAGAGTACTGACCTCTGTCGCCGACCTTGCAGTTGGTGACCTTGTCTCCAATCTTCACGACCTTTCCGATGACCTCGTGGCCAACGCAGAGGGGCAGAGGTGCATCACCCCAGCCTCCAGTGATGGTGTGAAGATCCGAAGCGCAAACACCACAGGCCTCAATGGCAATGTCGACATCGTGCTCCTCGAACTTCTTGAGCTTGAACTCTCCCTTCTTGAAGTCGGACCTGATGCGACTATCAGCATGTGCTAATTCCACGAATCGCTCAACGTGTACTCACCACTTCTTGTGGTCGTGGATCATGAAGCCCTCGGCAGTCTCGGGGTAACCCATATTTGCGGTATATAGAGTGATTGGAGGTTTGGGAAAGAGTTGAAGGATAAGTTGTATGTGGAATTGAGTGAAAAGGTGCAGCTCGAAACCTTTTTGTAGGCGGGAAAATGTTGCGGCAGAGGAGCTTCCTCCTAGCAGGCGCAGGTGGGGGTGATCTCATACAGCAGCTACAAGCGTGTTCGACGTAATTGCTCAAGCCGTTTCTGTCACCGCGGAAACTGTGGATAAAGTAGGGTGGGATATTCGATCTTCAGATCGCAGAAATTGAGCCGCATCGAAGAATACCTCTCTTCCACCGCTCTTCTCTATCTCCTCTAATATCTGGAAGCTGTTCAGCAATCCGTTCTCTGTCCTGATTGTGTTCATAGTGACAACTGCTCCGTTTTCTCTCAGCGAGCGTCGGAAGAATCGAAAGAGCCACATTTTGCCTGATTAACTCCACCAATCAACGATGATGTAACGGAGGGGATTTCGAAATATGTCATCTTCGAGCAGAATGCGGCTTGAAATCTTCGATCGGAGGATCCAGATACAGACGAACCGTCGCGCCGCCGGGAAGAAGACCGGATATACCGTAATCTAGTGGAACACGCTTTGTATCAATGCTGAATCCTTTCTCCCAATCTTGGAGAAGTCCTCCAGAGCGGCCAAAGTTGCTAGAGGGGCGCGATATTGATGATGCAACACGAAGGAGGGGCTCTGTCCAGTGTGGAGACGATATCAGAGCACGGGTCAGTCTGCGCAGCTAGCTCCCTGAGCTCACCCCACGTGTTTCTGAAGTCCTCAACATGCAGACTCCGACCTCTCTAAATACAGGCGAGTCGACCATGGCGGTCTCTGAGTAGTATACAAGTGCTCATCTCGTGAAGCAACGACCTTGATGAGCGCGATATCCGGCGCTGAAAGCTGCGCAACGGATTGACTCTGTCGGCATCAACTCAATCAGGTAATCCGGCCATGAGAGCCAAGAACATTCAGATGTAGAGGACGAGCTCCGAGAGATTGGCGAGGTTTCTGGATGACCTTTGCTTGCAGCATTGAGCCATGACCCAATGTCATTTTCCTTGCCAAATTTGTTACTGGCCTTCCTCGATGCTCGGAACCGCCGTTCATGATTCGCGGACTCCAATTTCTCCGTATACCAAGACGTTTCACGCCGCTTGACATCCTTACTCTCATGGGGGTTTCCCGGCGGAGCTTGGTCGTTAGGTCAAGGAGAACAAGAGGATACGTCTAGGTAGGCAATAGAAGCATGTCCCTATCGCAACGATAGCCTTGCTGAGGCCTCAATATGCTCCGGATCTGCAGAGCCGCAAGTGCGGGGGTGTGTGAGGGGTCATCCTCGAGAAGCATTTTGCGCCGTCGGATGTCCGAAGATGGGAAATCCATCTGGCGGAGTCACGTAGGAACAGGGGATCAGATGAGCGAGCTGCTCTGCAAACACTTAGACCACTAGTATCCAGAGATAACCTTCAGTCTTGTAGCACCTCAGCATCTGCCTTTTTGGATACCTTACACAGCTTCCAAGTCTTCTCTCTGATATGCCTGAGCCACTCAGCAAGATCAACTCCGCTGTCGTACCCGGGAGCACGAAGACTGGTACAATGAAGGCGTTACGTATTCACGGCAAAGAGGACCTTCGATTGGAGGACATTGATACTCCACAATGTAGTGACGGCCAGATTATGATCAAGCCAGCTTGGTGCGGCATTTGTGGCACTGGTCGGTAGAGTGCTGAGTACAGGTTATCAACGGCTGACACTAATCTATCAAGATCTTCACGAGTATATGGGCGGTCCTTCGTTATGCCCGACTACGCCACATCCTATCACGAACGAGACTGTTCCATTGACTATTGGTCATGAATTCAGTGGTGTTATTGAAGAGCTTGGAGAGGGCGTCTCGGACAAATACACGGTTGGACAAAGAGTTGTTGTACAGCCAATCATCTATTGTGGAGAGTGCGGCTCTTGCAAGGATGGCATTCCGAATTGCTGTGATAAGAATGGATTTGTGGGACTTTCCGGCTGGGGAGGAGGTTTGGTACGTAAGCTGTTGTCTTGCCACGATTCATGCTGATTTTGTCTAGGCCGAGCATATCGTGGTTCCAGAGTACTGTGTAGTACCTGTGCCTGATAACGTGTCCCTAGAAATAGCCGCTTTAGTTGAACCCCTCGCTGTGGCATGGCATGCTGTAAACATGAGCCCATTGAAGGACTTCAAGAAAGGTCAATTTGCATTGATTCTTGGAGGAGGGCCCATAGGACTTTCTGTACGTTCCATTCGTGTCGAGCCCATGTCATGAGCTAGCCAGTTGAACAAGTGCTATGCTCCATTCTCTGACGAATTTTGCTAACTGTATCCTTACCTCAAGGTAATCCAAGCTCTTAAGGCCCATGGTGATGGTACCATCATTGTTTCGGAAGTTTCGACCAAACGCAAGGCTTTTGCCCGAGAATTTGGCGCTGACTTTATCTTGGACCCAACGAAGGACGATATTCCGGAGCGATGCAAGGAAATTTGCGGAGGTGTTCGAGGTGTGGATTGCGTACTAGATGCGGCAGGCGTGCAGAATGGTCTGGATGCTGCAGTGCTCGCTATGAGAGCTCGTGGTACTTTGGTCAACATCGCAATCTGGTAAGTCAACTGGGGCTACTATCGTTCGAGGCGGATCGCCGTGATACGGCAGCAATACCCGCCCTACCTACCGTGGATGTAAACGCTAATTGCCCAATTCAGGGAGAAAGACGCAAGAATCATTCCTAATCAATTCGTTTTCCGTGAGAAAATATACAAGGTTGGTGAAATCCAGGAATTGATCATGAACATGACTGACCCTGCCAGGGTGTCGCTACATATGTCCTCGGAGACTTCGACGAAGTTCTTGAAGCGATCAGTTCTGGCAGAATGAAACCAGAGAAGATGATCACCAAAAAGGTCGAGCTCAAAGACGTGATCGAGGAAGGTTTCTTGACCTTGCTCAAAGACAAAGACAATCATGTCAAAGTTTTGATCAAGTCAAATAATGTCGAATAAAGCGCTCTTGGTAGTTTGCTGTCTTGGTGCGAATACGATCTCGATGACTCGGCCGAGTGAAAGACGTGGACGCAATCGATGTCTCTTTGCGCCAACTGCAGGAAACCGGCTCTGTACATGTAGTCATGAGGCTCTCAGCGTTATGGTGGTCGATTTGGTCAACATCGTCACGACTTGCGACGAATTATTCGTTTATCAGACGTCACATTTGTTCAAGTGAACTTTGACTCCCACGCGTCGTCTTGGAAGTGCGTGCGTAGAATTCTAGACCCGGTTGGGAAGCGGATCGATTCGGATGATCTGCGGTCTACCCGTTTGGGAAAAAGCAATCAAGCATCCAAGCATGGGGTATGACCACTGGCCGAGGACCGATCCAGAGTGAGAAACATATCACAAACTCAATCACGATGTTTGCTCATACCATCGTATTCCCAAGGAACTGGGCATGTTGTCTGCCGTAAAACCTTCCTTGCTCCGAGGGGATCTCAAGGGATCGAAAGCCACTGCCGCCGGTGGCTGTAAGGCTGCGAAACGCCATAAACAAGGATTGTGGCTTTTGCGTTGTTGGAACTGGGTGACTCTGCGTGACGGTTTGGCGTGCATATACAAGCAGCTGATGGAAATGAAATGATATGGAATTAATTACCCATCAACGTGCGATTGTACTGTCAGATATGCAGGAGGCATTCGTCAGCTTGACAGATCACCCCAAAAGAAGACAGCAATAGTATACGAAGCATCATGGACTCTGCATAATCGTAGACTGCTCGTATTTCCGGCTGTCCGATTAACTCGACATATTGTGGCTTCAGTGCTAGAAAAGAATGCTGAACAGCAGCTTTCCCACCAAGTCATGAACGGTTCGCTGCAAAGGACCAATGCAAAGTCTCTAGAGCTCGGTATTGATTGGTCGGCGGGCAGTACTTTGGTTGAAATTGCAAATTCAAGCGAGAAACACGCTGGAGAGGACTCCATCGATCGTGCAGGAAGTTGGTATGGTGACGGCAGCGGCAGGGACTAGAGCTACCCCGGATTTGCCTAGATCGTGGCTTGTCTGTGGCTTTGTCCTGGACAAACTGGCTGTGCTCAAGCATCCCTGCCGTGGATCATGCCTTCCAGCTGCAACATCAGATCGCGCTCCATGCGCTCTCGCGCACATAAACCTGGTGAAATCATCATCGAATTCCATGAAAAATACAATGCCGTTGGAGGATATTTCCTTGATTCCCGACGATTGACACGCAAAAGGCACGCGGAAGATAATTATGAAGTAATTCCCACAAGTCCCAGGGTCCTGCCGCTCCACACTAAACTTTATTGGCAGCCACAACCCGTCGTCCCTTTGCGATGACGATTCAGCCCGGAGTGACGTCTTCTTTGTCTTCTCCTTCCACTGCTGTAATATCGATCCAATACAAGTTTTGGCGTGAATCGTCTCCTACTGGGGAAGCACATATTAAGGCCTCCTTTCCCCGTCGTTAAACCAGATCATTATCAAGCGACTCACCTCCACAACCAACAACAACAACCACAACAGCCAATTCCCCTCTTCCATTCTCCTCTTGCTTTTGAGGATTATCCCTTCTTCAGTTCTTCTATCAAAGTTGATCCTTCCATCGACATGGGTATCTTCAAGGGAGGCGCTCTCCGTCTGGGCCAAACTGCCCTGTACTTCCTCACTTTCTGCTGTGCTGCCATCATCATCGGCATCTTCAGTTTCTTCCTTGCTGTCCTTGCAGACCACAACCTTGACATCCCCACCAAATGGAAGGCCGTTGAGGGTATCTCTGGTGTCATTGCTCTGTACACCATCTGCACCACTCTCTTGACCTGCTGCTTGGCCGGTATCACTTTCCTCTCTGCCATCGGGCTCCTTCTTGACATTCTCTGCATGGGTGGCATGATCGCTATCGCTGTCCTCACCCGTCAAGGTGCAAAGAGCTGCAGCAACTACGTCAAGACCCCTCTCGGTAACGGCCTCGCCAGCGCTGATGTCGCCTACACTGAGGGCAACCACAACTACTCTCCCAACCTTGGCACTGCCTGCAAGCTCAACAAGGCCGTCTTCGCTGTCGCCATCGCCGGTGCCGTCCTCTTCCTCTTCACCGCCATCATGCAGCTCCTCCTCATGAAGCACCACAAGAAGGAGAAGAGATTCGGTCCTGGCCCCGACAACGACTACACTGAGGGCACCCCCAAGCGCGGTCTTTTCGTCAGAAAGCCTAAGACTGTTATTCCCACCGACGACTACGCCGAGAAGGGTACCGCCGTCCCTGTCCTCCCCGTTGGTCAGACCATCCGTCCTTCCCACGACACCGCCTATTCTGGCAACACTGCTGTCGGTGCCAACCCCACTGTCATCCAGAAGGAGGGTCTCACCCACGACGGCCACGCTCCTCACGTTGGCTTCAACCCCCATGAGCGCAGCACCATCCCCGCCCCCGTCTCATCTTACCGCAACGAGCGCAGCGCCGCCACCGTTCCCGCTGTCGATGTTCCCGTCACTGGTGCCATCCCCAGTGTTCACGGTGGTTACTACACCACTCCTGGTGTCAACAGCACCCGCGACTTCTAAGCGACTCAAGAGTCGCTTCCCGTCACCCTTGTATTTCTAACTCGATACCCTACGACATTTCCACCGTATCGTAGCTGAACGTCTTTGTCTTTATGTTAATCACGACTGGGCATCAGCCAAGAACGGCGGCTGTACTTTTATGATGAAGAACGAATTGTCTTTTAACACGTATTTCCTTTCTTTTCGCTCTGCACTGGTTGGAAATTAGGGTTGTCCTACTGAGTGTTTACACAATTACCAGATACCCCCTAATAATACCTAATCCAAAATACCTTCAGAACAATCTTCTCTCATCTCCTTGAAATGTGAACGTTTTTTTACACGCAGACCTTTAACTATCAAACCATGATTCTCACGGCTGGAGATGCCTCGTGCCTCTCGGCTGTGAGTCCTGGTGCTTACCTTTGACACGTTTACCCCGTGCCGATTATGCATGACCAAGTTTAGTTAGAACTCGGTAACTGTAATCAGATGAGTTTCAAGTCAACCTCGAATTGGTGTCATCATCACTTCGTAGTACGGAAACGTATGTTTGTTCTCCTGTGAAACTTGAAAAAGCGAAGATGGTATTGGGCTACCTGCGTGTGGTGACCACATTCTGAATCTCGAAATCCCAAAAGCCTTCGAGAAGTTTTACTCAACGACGACATGTGACAATCACCCAAAATCATTCTACACTTATATATAGACTAGTCAAGGATATGTGTACTCATTTTGATGATCAGACAAGCGTTGTTGGAGGAGCAATGGGAAGATATGCAAGAAAAGTCATTGCGAATGGTACGACCCTGACATCGGATTCAGTTCCGCTAGGAGCCGAGAGATGGAAACTTTGCGAAGCCACTTACGACATAAAGATGATTCAATGAGCAACGTCGCACGGAGTGAAAAGTCGAGGACTACCAACGGTAGTGGATTTCGCGAATGTATTGGAAATTCTGACAGTTGTCGAAAAGAGAAAGAATTGCAACTGTGGGTCTCGCCGTCTTTGCCAGAGGGCGAGGATGATATCCAGGGACTAGCATTATCCTCCTTTACTGCCACCGGAAGTGCTTGCAGGTGTTTCTCTGCTTTACCCTCGCTATGTCTAAGGATGAGTATGTTGTCAGAGTTCACTGCATTGTTCAACCATGTCAGCCTTGGTACGTGGAATGGTTCGGGCAGGACATAGAATAAGTCTCATGTTCGATGACTGTGAATAACATATTCGGCATTGCTGGTCTGATCGAGTACCTTGGTATGGCGAGTGCAGAGGAGTATCCTACTGGGTTGATGGCAGACCTATATGCGCTTCCGAGCTTTCGCTACTCGGTCTCGATCACACCGACCGTACGCTCTGCGCATGCTTTGATATCTCATCTTCACTTTTCTTAAGCCTCATTCGGCAGAGCTCGAAGCGTCAACACGCATCAATTCCTCCAACCCTCGCCGCTCTCTCCTTGTCCGTTCTCGACATTTGAGCATCATTTCATTCATCTCATTTCAGCCATCAAGTTATCACGCAGCTCACCATGCCTAACGAGTATGCGATCCTAGAGACCTTCGCCAAGCACTCTTACGCCGCTCTAGTCGACTTCTTCTCTGACACCCTGGAGCTGAAGCTTATTCGACCTGTCAATGGGGCTTACCGCATCGGCGCCGAGTCATGTGAAGCAATTCTCAGCAACGAGGCACTTCCAGTACACCTTCAATCGAGAGTCTATGTCATGCAAGCTGTCTTCCGTCGCGATACATCTATCGCAAAGGAGCACTTTGAGAGTATATCTCGAGTTTGGGGTTTCGTTGTCAGCGTCAATCTTCGTGTCGATAAAGCTGCCTATCACGAGGTGATCGATCTGTACGTGTACGAGTTGGGCATCTGGCTCGATCAGGAAGGAGTGTACGAAGACAAGAAGATGCCATTCCCTCACCATGTCTACCGTCTCCCTGACACCATTTACAATCCCGATATCGAGCGGGACATTGCGGACGAGGTCGAGGCAGAAAGCGATTGGACGGAAGATGATATCGACAGCATCTCCGATAGCTCATCAATCGCCTTAAGTCAAAGCTTTTAAGATTTTTCTTGTTTGCTTCACTTCTGAAATTGTGTAAACTCTAGCGATCTCTTGCTGATTTACTCATTGTAGGCATCTTCTAAGTCCGACAAACCTGCAGTACCACTCAAGGCTCCGTAGCTCAACAAGCGCTTCTCCATCATACAACGTAACGAGATTGAGAAGTGACGTGAGCCATCATCACCTGTTTCGATTGCACCACAACGGCCGCTCGTGTACGACACCTTCTACTGAGTACGATGAAAGAAACACACAAGATAACCAGACTTAGGCTTCAAATCTTCAAGAACATCATCTAAATGTTAATGCATTTGTTCGTTGCCGTGTGGATCACGCAGCTGGCGTCCAAACGAAAATAAGCACAAGATTGTTCCAGTGCAGAAAGTGGTGTCGCTCAATATTCAAGGCTGACAACGAATATTAGGGGAGCAGCCAAATTTGAGGTCGGAGGAAGGCGCAGAATGACATACGATCTGAGGCAAGGCCCGGACGGAAGGTGACAAAGGAGCTTGCTTATAGCAGGAGCGAACAACGACAGGAAAAACTAATTCTCGCGCAGGAAACAAGATTATTACGCGAAGACAGAAAAGCCAAAGTGTCTTCAATGAGGGCTTTGATGGTTTGGAGTATACTTCGAAGTATGATGAGAGCTATCAAGACAGTAGGGAGTCCTGAGAAGGCTGGGCCAGGTCTGTTCAGGGGAAGAAACCCCCTTCTCCCATTCTCCCATTCCCAAACCACCACCAATTCTGATCAAACCGGTCACAAATCCATTGAAAAGGAAAAGAGTAGTAACGAGAATAATGCAGTACAGTTTTTATATACAGAGGTAATTACATTAGCATAGTGAAAAGGACCGTGTAACCTTTTTGGGGCAAAAATTTCCAAACTTCTTCCTATGTCATATTCTTGGTCATACTATCTTTCCCGAACATTCACCACTTAAGCAACGGTGACAAAGGCACCGAGAGCACAAGCGTTATAATCGTTGAACGCATTAAGTTGAAGGGCGTCGCTGGTGCTGAAGGTGTAGGTCACAGCCTGGCCAGAGGCGCACTTGCCAGACTCAATGAGGTAGGCATTGTTGGGCTGGGGAGTGAAGGTGTTGACAACCTTGCCACCCTTGGAGACAGTGATAACACCGGCACCAGACAAAGTGTAGTCAGAGGTGACGAGACCAGACTTAGCGGGGAGGGAGAAGTAAGTGTTGCATGTCTTGCCAGCATCAGCCTGGGGAATGTCGAAGACAACGTCAGTCTTGCTGTCCTTGCCAACAACGATGTTGTAGCCGTTGACACCGTTGACACGGAGAGCGTGGGGGTACTCGTAAGCGCCAGCCTTGAGGTCAAGAGGGCACTTGCCAGCGGCGGAAGCAGAAGGAGCGGGTACGGCGCTGGAAGCCTTGGAAGCAGGGGCGGAAGATGCAGGAGCAGAGGAAGCGGGCTTGGAGGCAGGAGCGGATGAAGCGGGCTTGGAGCTCATGGCAGCTGAGGAGGAAGGAAGGCATGAGGTAGGAGCGGCGGTGAAGGAGACAGTCTGGCCGTTGATGACATAGCTGGTAGGGTAGGTGGAAGGAGTAACAGTGGTGAAGGTTCCAGGTCCGTTAGGGCAGCTGCTACGGGCAGGGTTGCAGCCGTCAAACCTTTCGAGTTTGATTAGTAAAGGGCATCTGAAGGTGTGATCAGTGAGTACTTACAGGGCGGTGGCACAGGCCGAAGCTGAGGGGGCGCTGGAAGGCTTCTGGGTGGTGGCAGGAGCGCTGACAGGGGCCTTAGGGCTCTCCATCGAGACAGTAACGTACTGAGTAACAGTGACGGTCTGAGCAGGGGGGCAGACAACTGCAGGCATGGAGGCAGCGGGCATAGAAGCAGCAGGCATAGAAGCAGCAGGCATAGAAGCAGCAGGCATAGAAGCAGCGGGCATTGAGCCAGCGGGCTTAGAAGCAGCAGGCATAGAAGGAGCAGCGGAGCTAGCGGTGGGCCCAACAAGGACTGGCTTGGTAACAACCGCAGTTGTGGGGCAAGGGACGGTCAAGGTGGTGGCCTTAGTGACAGTGATAGTCTGCTTGTTGATTGTGACTACAGTAGGAGTAGGGCAGTAGGTGACATAGTCGGTTGTGTAGACAGTAGTGGAGGTAGTCCAGACAGTGGAAGCAGGAGCGCCAGGCAGGGTAGAGTAACCCTCCGTGAAGGGGTTCTCGCCAAGACATCCAGCGTACTCAGAGGCACATTGTGCCTGGTTTGCGGAGAGTCCGTTGACACGGGTGGTTCTGCAAGTGTTGTAGGCGGCGTAGCAAGCTCCCTGGCAGGCAGCGTTGTCGGCAGCACACTGAGCCTGGTTGGCAGAGAGGCCGTTGACGCGGGTAGTTCTGCAGGCGTCGTACTTGGCAACACAGCTGGATGCAGTAGCACTGGGAGCAGGAGCGGTACCAGTAGGTCCGGCAAGGACGGGCTTAGTGACTACTGCAGTTGTGGGGCAAGGAACGGTCAAGGTGGTGGCCTTAGTGACAGTGATAGTCTGCTTGTTGATTGTGACTACAGTAGGAGTAGGGCAGTAGGTGACATAGTCGGTTGTGTAGACAGTAGTGGAGGTGGTCCAAGCAGTAGGAGTGACCAAAGTCAAGGAGCCAGCGGTGGAAATGCAAGAAGCACCACCGGGGTAAGAATGAGCGGGATTACAGGCATAGCCAGTAGAGGAGGATGTGCTGTTCCAAGCAGGGGAGGCAGGCCAGGCAGCAGCGATGGTCGTGAAGAGAGACAGGACCGAGGCGGCCTTGAAGGAGTTCATCTTGAGCGAGTGTAGATGAAGTGATAGACTGTGAATGTAGGAGATGCAAAAAGCTGATGATGGAAAAGAGATATTACCAGGGCGAGGATGACTTCTTATATACCACCTACCTCTCTCTCGCTTCGTGGTTGAGAAAGACTACGAGCCTCTCGAGCAAAGCATCCATCGGTGACGAACCCGGACCTTCACCCGGAACGTTCGTATCGACAAGACTCAATCGCTTACGGGTACATCGGCCTGGCGCAAGAGAGCGGAGAAGAGTGGACTTTGGCATGCTCGTGTTCGTGAAGGTGGGATTGGACAAAGCTTCTTTTCCCATATTCAAATTTCATATGATGTCAATTTGAGAGGGCTGCCTCTGGCGAGAGACTATTTTTGTCGACATTCGAGTGCTTTGGCTTTTCCCACAAGATGGATCTTTCCCCAGGTGTGCTATTTTCCCCGACCGTTGTGGTTTAGGTTGATCGGCCTGGACTCGAGCCGAATCTTGCCCAAACTGTAAATCCACAGTCTCTATCTTTAGATCGTTGCAAGCAAATGGTTGGTGCAAGTCCGGCACACAGTCAGGATGAATGATTTAAGCATGACTTAGCTTCGTCATGGGCGCAGTCTCGTCAGTCTTTGAACATCTGGAAATACGGCCGGCTGTAGACGGCTCCAATCGCGGGGTTGACCGCAGTCGTCAACCTGCACGAACTTCGTGAAAATCTGGTTAATGTGGAGGATATTCGAGCGACGGGCCGAGGGGCGTGGAGAGATATGTATGTAAAGTTGCAGGAACGTAGCATTGGTACCCAATTGGAGTCATCTGTGGCTTCCACTCCTTCTGCACGTTGTGGCTCTCTGCTTTTTTCTTTGGAGGTGCAGCTCGTAATTGCACAGGTCTTGGACGAAGCCACTTTCCCATGACGTCGGGTCTCTTCGTGATGGTGGATCTTGGATTTAGCTCACGACATGCTCGCCAGGATTCTGACCAAATTTATCTCCTTCATTGAGATGCAGGCAAGACGATGACCTGATGAAGGGTGAGTGAAAAGTCCACTCCCACGGGCTCAACACTGTTATCCAATCAACCGATCGAGTTCCTGAAAATCAGAAGATCATCATGATTCAAAGCCAGTCTTGCCGTGGTGCTACAGAGCTTTGGTTGATCATAAAGTCTGCCACGCTTTCACCATTGAGAGCTACATCTGTCAAAACGTGCCGTCCCCCTCGTGCGGCCAGGCACGTCTTTGCTTTTTGCCTTGGCCGTGCCTGGTGTATTGTTCTCTACCATCGGCGATACTCGCCGCCCTCCGAACGAGCGTTTTTGGGTACATCCATTGATCCTGCCGGGAGCCAATGCAAATTCGAGGATGAAGAGATACTCTTGGCTCGCGATCCTAGACAAGAAATCGAGCCTCTAAACGCCGTGAGACACTTTCATAGTGGCAGCGTGTGAAAGAAGCTCTCAACGTCAACGGCAGGAACGTCATGAGACATCGTTACGGCTGCCGTCAACGCAGAAGTCCTCGTTTACCATCGCAAGAATCGACGTTGAACGAGACGGGTAACTCTCAGCAGAGACGTCCAGTTGATGGATGCGATCATTTGCTGTGGTGATTATGCTGAGTTGAATGTCATTTGTGGAACACGACTTGCTCTGAACACGAGGTGGGTCGGAAAGTGGGCGAACACGCGAAGCTTGACGCGAGGATGCCTCGGCATCTCGGGCGACACAACTTACGGCCATCCACTGTCAGTGCACGGACGAACACTTCCGATGGAAAGTCATTGGCATGACCCTGCCGAAGGATTGAGAACGGCATCACGGTGACCTTTGTAGCTGCCTGAAGTTGTGATCGATCGGGGTAGAAAGTATGGATAGACTTCAATAGATCTATGCAATCTTTTCGAGGTTGGAGCTTCTCCCTGGCCAGGTTATATTTCCTCGTCCGAGCGATGAGATTGTGACTGTGAAACATTTAAATTCTAGGTAACAGTTGGACCTGGAACATGCCTCCTGCTACGTGACGACAAGAGCATCCAATGTGCACGATGACTACGTTCTCGATATCCTTGTGTTTGAAGCTGTATGGACACCAATAGTCGGACATCATAGATGTGATTTCGAGGTGTCGTTGCCATCGGATGTACAGCTCAGGGTTGCCCCCCTTACATGCCAAGCACCGGTATCGCAGATGCCCGGAAGGCCGCGGATCAAGATCAAGCACAGGATCAGGATCAGGATCATGATCATCAAACCTCTGAACCACAAACACTCTCTCCACTCCTCTCTCTACTTACCCCTCTCGATAAAGAGTTCACGCCTCCAATCGAACCACTTAGTCATTCTTTTGGCAATGCTTCGCAGCATGACGACATCAGTGTGGGTGACGGGTGAGGACGATGCACAACAATGGTTCCGATTCCCTCTCGCTTCTCATCCAATCTAAGCGCGACTGCACTGCCCTGACTCTGGAGGATCGAAAAGCCGGCATCAACCATAGCGTTTAGGAAGTGCTGCCATGCGAAAGACTTCTGTGACTCTTCACCACAAGATGGGAACACATGACGAAACACCGCGATGTTGTCGTGTTTGAACTTTGACGGGAATAAGGCTGGGCATGGCAGGTAACTCGGCTCGCATATCTTGCTCCGCAAGCAGCGGCGCTGGGTTGATGATGCATCAGATTCTCCGTCTCGTCGACGCCTAGTCTTGTTCCTCACTGGCAATCGCGATGCTGATTGCTTCTCCTCACCCCAGACAGTCTGCATATCCGCGGATACGAAAGACTGACCTTCTGCCTTTACGCGACGTCTGTGATCTTGGCGACGAACTTCAGCTCTCTCTGCAGCAACGCCCGCAAGATGAGCTTTGCTATGAGCAGCGCGCATCACATTGAGGTCTTCCTCTACAATGCTTGATTTGATCCCGCTGAGGCGCAACTTCTTGGCCCAACCAGATCTAATAGCTTCCCAAAAGCGATCTAGAGACTCGCGAGACTTGATCGCTCGATGAAAGCCACTCCTCGTTACGTATACCCTTCGGCCAAGGATGCTTGGTGCAGAGCTCGTTCAGGTAGCCTGCTGTGGTGTCTCCCAAAACAATCTCATGCTCGAGGAGAGTGTCGATCTTGTTTTTGTAGTCTTCGCGAAGATGCATATCATTATCCATGTCGATTTGCGGTCGGAAACGGTCAAGGTGTGGGTAACATCGAACATTACTGATGATGGAGATCAGATTGGCCATGTCGCTGAGTTGGTGGAGTAGATATTGACCGATACGGTCCGCCTCCTTGGAATTTGTACGACAGAGATAGTCGACAACAGCGAAGTTCAGAGACGGATCCATAGCGAAAGGTCAATACTTGTCATGGCCCAACGAGCTTACACTCCAGTATAGGATGTCCTCAGGAAAGCAATCTCGAGTCTTGAAGCGACGATCATGGTGATTCTGCTGACCGCTTCCAGAGAACTCAAAGTTTCGTTCAGAACCGCGCTCGTAAAGCAACGCAGATTCGGCGGTCTGTTCGAATCTGGTGAACATTTCCACGCAGAACATCTGTACGCAGATGACCGCCTTCACCAAACGGTAGAGTTAGCTCGCTGAATCAAAAGAGCCGCCTTGTCTTTAAGTCACATACCTGATCATAAGCATGACGAGTAGACTCCGAAGGATCCTGGACAAATGCTCTCCACTTATCGACAATTCGATCGCTCCCAACCACGAGCTGTCGCCACCAGCATTCTCTCAACAGAGCGTTGGAAAACATACTATCCACCAGGTGAGGCCACTTCTTGCTACGCTCGAAAGTCTCGAAGAAGAGAGCAGATCCGAGCTCACGCGCATGCTGCTGGACATATGCGGGATCAGTCTGCAGCTGTTCGACATGGTCCTTGATGAGACGATGACGCGATCTGATGAGCTCGATGGTCTCCACAGGGTCGAAGGTGGGCGGACTAGAGAACGGCCCGACAGAATCCGTTGACCACGCAGATGCAGACCCAAATCGTGAGAAGTCGGCGTTGACGAGCTGATCCCATTTGGGGTGCGACTGTAAAACTGGAGGGTCCATCATCTCATCTAATAGGCCAGCAACGCACTTCCTCAGGAACGCCATCATTCTTTGCTGACACGAGAGGACGTTGTGAGCTCTTGTGAAGCCGATGATCTCGAAGCGATGGGCTTCCTTCGCGGTCCATTTGACGAGCTCTCCAAAGTCAGGTCCTTGCATCACAACACAATGTGCATTGATAGTTTGGACGATTACCCCGAAGCGCTCGACCAGATCAACATGTAAATTGTCGAAAAGAACCCACTTCTCAGGTCTCTACAAGGTACGGTAGTGTAGCAAGCTGAGTAGGAGCGTAGTATCTTCGGACAACATCTCAGCATCCAGGTAAGGTAAGGGCCAAGTATCCAGATGACTGGAGATCATTTGCTTGGTTCTACTGTCATGGAGAGCCTGAAGTAGAGAAACTTTCATAGTCGGATCGTCAATGTTCTGCAGACGCTGCATGAATTCTGAGTACTCAGTACTTGTTAGATTGCTGCATCTATGAAGCAAATGGATCGCAGCCCACTTTGTATCGAACAGGTCAACGTTCTCTGACAAGAACTTGGCACGCTTTTCTCGAGACTTTTTCTTCCATTGTGTGACGATAAGATCCGCATGGTCAGCGAGAACTTGACGAAGAAAGTCCAAGTCCTGACGGGCATCAACAACCAATGCCATGATAATATCGCGAGCCTCCAGGTCATTCACACCAACTGCAGCCGGAAAGTATTGATGATAGCATGGGTCACAGACACAGAACGCAGCAAGCTTGCTGTTACATTCGTCGAAAGGGTCATCAGGAGGCTCTGTATGGCCCAGGTATTTGCCGAATGCGGGCTGCTATTGTGGTGCGGCAAAGGAGGCAGTACTCGTTCCCTGTACTTAGTGCGTAGAAGGGTGTAGCGAACGTCCCATGACTGTGAGGGCCCTGCCTCTCTAGACAGCTCTGCGAGCAAGTCCCTGCTAAGATCCATGACTGAAGCGCGTCACGATAGTGGGCGTTGATGAAAGAAGAGTAGATGTTTGTTGAAATGAGGAGCAAGCGAAGAGGAGGGGGTGAATGGGGAAGAGGTAAAAAAGTTGTTGTTTGTTGGGCTATGACCAGTCGTAAGGATATATGCAGGTTCCCACGACGTCTGCCTACCTGCATACAGTACACCGTGATCGCCCTCAGCGTGCCAAAAGATGTAACGCGAATTGAATACACTAAGTATCTAGCGCTCCGAAGCGCCAATATGATTTTGCTAGTAGAACATGCGTCGAGGTCTATGCATACGCAAATGATAAAAACAGGGTATATCGTAACGAGCCAAATATACAAACGCCAAGCATAGCGTCTGAAGGGGTACCAAATCACAAATAAGGATCTACCTCAAGGCGGTAGTATGCATGTTCCCTCCTCTTTTGCCATATTTTGTATGCACGCCAGCTTTCAAACATGAGAATCAAAAACATCGTGAAGGACATGGCGGCCATGATCAAAGCGACAGGTGCAAACGTCACGCCCCCTGCAGAGAAAGTGTTGCCATCGGACGTGATATACATGTTGTTGATCTCGTCGCAGTGGAAGCCCTGCGTCAATTGTTAGTGCGTGTATATAGGCCATTCAGAAGCAGCACTTGCGGTTTTGAAAGGCAATTCGATTGCCTCAGAGACACCGAGCACGTTATCTTCTACATCTAGCGCGATGACACGAACGAACCGAGTAACGCACTCTCCGATAACGACCTCTGTCTCGAATCCTTCTTTTGGAGTGATACTGATGTAGATCCAGCCCGCGTAACTACCACTCGCACTCTCATCACTGTGCTGCAACGCGTATGAGTCAACCTCGGTGGCTCCGTTCCAGGAGACAAAGAGACTGTTTCGGTCAGGGTTGTATATGCCAGCAAGGGGCTCGCTTGGTAGACCAATCCAAGGATATCGCATCACGTGGTATGATTGCACTGAGCCATTGAGGATGGCAGCTTCCGTGCCAAAGTGGTCATCGCACATGAGCTTGCCCGAGGAAGAATAAGAAGACCACACTGCTCGCGCGCCCCATCCGACCACAATGCTTGGGTCCTGGTTGTCACCAGACGAAGGAACAACTTGTAAGCTTCCTTGACTGTCGGCGATCAATTCGCCAGGATGCAAATATTCGTGGACAATTCTCACTTTGTAGTCATCCTTGTTGATTTTGCCATTGGAATCAGGATGCGTAGGATAAGAGACAGCGAGGAGTAACCCTCTCGAAGCCAGTCCCGAATCCCATGTATCGTCATTTCTATTATCGAAAAGACTGATCAGGCGCGTGGTTACACCTTCTTGACTCTCGCCGAAGGATGCCTTCAGGCTTGGAAAGTCGTCAACCGAATGAAACTGCGCGAAATGCTGAGACGCAAAGTCAAGAGCATGATCGTTAGATGTGAACATGTTGCGCTTGCCACCCAATGTCCAGATGAGGTCACCAGTCTGACCGTCGATATAGCTGATGGAGTGGGTGTACCGGGCCGAGACAAGATAGTTGCCCAAGTTGTCCTTCTCGACCGAGTTGAGGTGGTACCAATCCCAATGTGTATGATTGGTCGATCCCTCGTCCTTGTATCTCGGCTCATGATAAGACTCGGAAGTGTCATGATAGTCAGAAGCGCGCCACTGGAAGACCAGAATGTTGGTCGCGATATCAATCTCTTGGAAAAGGCAGTCCCATATGTACTGCAGTTGTCCGCCCTTCTCTTTCTCGTACGGCTGGTAGATGCTAATGATAGCAGTGTCGTCCGCGGTAATGCTCAGGGTATGCAGGTCGGCGCGAAGGTCGTCCAATGCGGATATCTTTGCGACGAGGTCGTAGGAGGAGCTGAGCAGATAATAGTCACCTTCTCCATGACCGCCAACAGTATCATCGCCCAACCAGTACGTCAAGTGTGGAGCGCCTTGGTACGTCTGTACATCAAGGTTGTATGGCTGTCCTTCCGTCTTTTGCATCCAAACAAGTTCTCCTTCGTCGTCGAGTATGACAAAACCATGGCTCTCATTGACCGCAGTACCTCGGGGGGTGAGGAATGTGAAAAGTCCATCGTGACATGTTGGCGAGTCGACTTTTCGGGCTACAGCTGGTGGTGTCAAATCGGTAGACTCGAATGATCGATAAGGGTAGTGGCCATAGTCGTGTTCCCACGCGACCAGGTCTGTCGGATCGTAGTCGAAACCGACGTCTTCTGCTAGTGAATAGTATTCAAGAAACAATAGCTGAACCAGCAGCAAGATAGCACAATGCATTATCCGGGCCTTCCGTTGGCCAGAACGCTTTCCGAGTTTTGCTTCAATCGTCCTCACGCGCAAGCACCAGGGGGTAGTCTTCGGTCTAGGAGAGAAGTCATGTCGGTGATATGGATCTTTACAACAGTCGCAGGATGATCAAGCCTTGCAACAAAGGGCAAGCAAGCCTTTGAAAACCCCCGTTGGTCCCCATCTGCCGCCTCCGAGATGATGCTTGTATTTCATGGATCGTAGAATGGTTGAGCGTTGGAGTAGGTCTTGGCAACTCAGCCCCATGCTGATTTGGTCGCTCTTGGTTTCATTATGCCTCAAGATGTCGTATCTTACAGATATGAATGTCGGACTGCGTCTTGTCGAGTATGAGCAAAACGGTATAGGTTCCATGTCCTCCAACGCTCTGGAAGTTCTCCAGAAAATGAATACGAGATCCTTCGACGAAGACCGCCAAGAACGTCCAAGGATGCCACTCGCGTCATGTCCGCGAATGGCGGAACGTGTGCCGAACCAATCGAACTAAATAATCGATTCATCAATTCGCAATTCTCACCCTAATATATCACAACACACTACGTTCGACGTCGCGAGATTCAGGAGCTGGTCAACTCATATACCAGTATTCGAGCGGCACGGTGCGGGATCCATAACACTATAAGTCAAAAGAAACTTTCTCCAGGAGATATTGAAGGGCGCATCGACAGCACCGTGTCATGCATGTGAGTGTAGTGATTTACTCTATCTTGTATAGACCCCCGTGGGAGTTGCATGATAACCACGCTTTCCTGTCTGCAGAGTCAAAGGACTCCGCCATTCTCGGCCGTCCTTGATCTGAGCAAGAGCTCGCTCGAATGTGTACATTGGCATCCAATTCAACTCATTCATCGCCTTACTAGGATCATAGACTCGGTCCAATCGTCGAGGCAATTTCCATCCACGTTCAAGCAGAATCTCGACTTCTTCTGGACGCGCCCGCTGGATAGCCTCAGCAGCATCGGTGTCCAATTGCTTCAAAAGCGATGGACTATTCGTAAAGGGCGGCGGAGCACTAATGATGTACTTTGCCCAACCAATCTTCCTGGCTTCGCACATGGCACAAACATGCGCCGTTACCACATCCTGAATGTCCACACGACGATACAGTAGCTCGCACACCTTGAGATTGTCATCCTCAAACTCCTCCCTAGCTGCATCATTGTCGTCTTCTTCAGGAAAGAACCGCGACGTGCGTAGGACGATCGTAGGCATCCTCGTTTCTGCCTGTATGAGCTGACACAAGTCTTCGGCAGCCACCTTGGTCGTGCCGTAGATATTCTTTGGGACCGGAGTCACTTGTTCGTCGATCCATGCTGCTGGCTCGCCCTTCTTCGGTGCAAGAGCCTTGCCAAAAGTCGACGTTGTGCTTGTAAAGATGAAAGCCTCTATCTGAGGTGATTTGCTAGATGCAGCTTCCAACAAATTCAAGGTACCGCGAATGTTCGTGTCGATGAAGTCAGTCTTTGAATGAGAACCGACGTGAGGTTTGTGCAGAGTGGCTGTGTGCAATACATATCGAAGACTTGGATATGTCTGGAAGATATCTTTGCAAAACTCCGAGTCTGAGATTGAGCCGGTAATTGTATGGTGCTGTTCGCCGCTTGATGGAAGTATGTCTACTCCAATGGGGCTGTAGCCGTAGTCTGGAAGCGAACGCATCAGCGCGTAGCCGAGATGTCCACAGGCTCCTGTGACCAGGACATCTGGTGCGGCCATACTCTGTGAGACACTCTTTAATCACGGAGTAGAGCGTCAAAGATGTGACCTTTTGTTGGATGCCCAATGGACACTGTTTACTCTGCAGATGGCTTGCATGGACAATGACTCAGAGATTTAAGGTTTATGAAGCGTGCACAGCACATCTTATTGTGAAATGGCCTGTCACGCTTGGAAGAGTTCGAATTTGATTGATGTGCCCTAATTGGAGACTCGTAGTGGACACTCAAGACCATGTCTACTCAGCTGTCTAGATAATATCCCAATCTTTTCGAAACATGTTCCTCAGATCATTAAAAGAGTGCGAATTGCAAAAGAGCTATATTATTGGTTCAGAGAAGCGGAAATATGTGCTCCAGCCGCACAGCATATGAGAGAAAACAATCTAAGCGCCATGTCTGGCCTTAATAATATCGGCAGCCTTCTCAGCGACAGCGTAGACAGTTGCTTGAAGATGGGTACCGGGGATCATAGGCATGATGGAAGCGTCGACGATGGTGACCTTCTTGATGCCATAAACCTGCAGGCCAGAGTCGACAACACCACCCATGTTTCTGGGCATCATGGCACAACTGGATGCAGGATGGGCGAAGGTGGGATAAACAAGACCAGAAGCAATCTGTGCCTTGAGTTCGTCATCAGTCTGGAATTGTGCACCAGGAGCAATTTCGACAGGCTCAAAGACAGAAAGTGCAGAAGTGTTGTAGATCTGACGAGTGTAGCGGATACTGGCAAGCAGAAGATCCATATCAACAGGGTTCTGAAGACCGTGGTAGTCCACGATTGGTTCACCACTGGGGTTGGTAGGATCGATGTAGACAGTACCTCTACTGGTAGGCTTCTGGAGAGCAGTGATAGCGAAACCACCACCCTGGAATGAAAATTCGTACATGGAAGCGGCATCAGAGCTGAATTGCTCAATCTGAATCTTGCGTTGTGCTTCGTAGCCGGCGACCAATTCAGGGTAAGCAGAGTACATCTCAGGGAGGTAGGCAGTGGCGTTCTGGGCTCCAAGCTTCTCCACAATCGACTCGTAAAAGTCGGGAGCGATCTTCGTAAGAGGCAGGAAGGCAGCACCGTTACCATGAGCCTGAGTATAAGGTCCGGTCTTGTTGGTAACGTACTCGTCGTAAGAGGTGGCGTTGAAAGTAGCGTTGTTTGTCAAAGAGTTGGTGTTGGGGATCGTGTCGTTATTGAAGTTGTACATCAAGTACGCTGTAGGATGATCCTGGAAGTTGTTGCCGACACCAGGAAGATCAACCTTGACCTTAACTCCAGCAGCCTTGAGTACGCTGGCGGGACCGACGCCGCTAAGCTGCAAAATCTGAGGAGTGTGAATAGCACCGGCGGCGAGGATGAGTTCCATGTCAGCATAAGCGGTATATGTCTTTCCAGTATCTCTGTCAAGTAACTTGACACCCTTGGCAGTCAGAGTAGAGAAGACGATTTCCTGGACCTGAACACCGGTAACAACCTTTAGGTTGGAACGAGAGGCGATAGGGTCGTAGTAGGCCGTGCGAGCAGAAGATCTCGTCTGGTACTTTGGGTCGGTAGTGGCAGCAACCCAGAAGCTACCAGGCTCACCGAGAGCACCTTCTTGCACTTTGTTGATGTTCATCTCGTCCATGGCATCCCAGAAAGTAGGCATCTCAGGGTATTGCCACTCGGGAAGAGAGACTTGAACAGGTCCGCTACCATAGGCTGAAAGGTCGTAGGTGTAGTTGTACTTGTCGAGAGTACCCTGCTTGTTCGGGGTGAAGGTACTGCTCTATGACGATGTCAGTAACGTGCTTCTTCAATATGGTTGCGTGTTTCATACTTTCTTGAAGTAGGTGAGCAGATTACTCCAGTTCCAACCATCGTTACCGAGCTCACCCCAAGCATCATAATCAGGTTGAGTGCCACGGTCATATCCCATACCGTTCACGATAGAACCACCTCCAAGAACTTTGCCTGCATAAGCCACGAAGGTCTGATTCTGAAGGTTCTCCTGAGGGGCCGAGTTGATCTCGAACATGTCAGGATCATTGTAGCCAGTGCCGTAGTATGGCCACAGGGTTTTGGTTGAGTTGTCATTGTATCCATACTCGAGGACAAGAACGCTTTCTGGCCATGGGTCAGTCAAGTGTTAATTTCCTCAACATGGCAAACAGAACGTACTCTGAGACCTTTCGGATAGTCTGTTTGCGACTACCAAGCCTGATACACCACCTCCGACAATGATGTAGTCGTAGGTGCCAGAGAGAGTCTTCTCACGAGTCGTAGTAGCCAGGGTTACATCGGTAGAAATAAATAAGGTAGCAGAAATGACTGCTGTCAAGCGAGTCAGGGAAGAAAAGATAGGGGCCATGATGTTTCAAAGGAGCGTGAGTAGGCAAAAGCAAGCCTCTTCATTAGAGGCGCAGGACGCACCAAAGTACTTATGTCCATTACCCAAATGCAGAGGTCCACAATTCGATATGAATTGACCTACCTGCTACTTATGCGAAGGAGGGCTTCGGTAAAGGAAACCTTCTTGATAGACGAAGCTCTAGGAGCAATCGGCTTCCAAGGTCCGTCAAGGCCCGTGGCGATCGCGTCGTATTGGCGCAATTACTGCCGAGGCGATTGAGCAGCGGTCAATCATCAGACGGCAGCTGTCGGCGGAGAACACCACAATCATCCATCAATGACATGTCATCAGCTACAGGGTCGTCGAAGATGAAGGGCATGCTGAACCAAAGCCACGCGAAATGCCGAACCTGTTTGGGAAGGACTTGATGTGGGGGACGGTTTTCCCGTTGCCAAGCGTTGAAATCTCGTGGCAGGATGAAACCAGCCACCAAGCTTGAACTCTCTTACCTTCAGCCTCAAGTCTTCCATGTATCTCAACTTCACGGCACTCGGAGCGAAAAGTCGTCTTCTCTCACGGCCTCTTTCACCGCAACACGTAGAGTGATGTGTTCTCGAATTGATGGCACGCACAGATAATGGAGTGAAAGTCCTGTTGCATTGCCGGGAAGCTCTGTTCGTTTGACGAAACCTCCGCTCGAGCTTAGACCAAAGGTTGCTTTAGGGCATCTAATCGAAGCAATTTATCAGTGTTCTCGCCTTCTACCGAAACTCTGACAAAGTGCGGTTCATCAGCCGCAGGTGCACCATTTCTCGCAATTGTATGGTGTCCCCTGCTCATATCATGGCTCGGGTATCGAGTGCGTGCGTTGATCCCACCGCGAGTTTTCCACGGAGCTTGGTTCTTGCTACGGCCCTATGGATAGCCGCACACGGGATTGCCGATAGCTATCGAAGACACTGGCTGAGATCTCTGCTGTTTCGGAGAGCATTTAAGCGAGGCACACCATCTCTCACAGCCAGGCACGATCTAGGATCATCTAGGTTGGAGTCGGTCTGCCCCGAAAGGGTCATTACTCGGGATGATCCATTGCTTGACTATGGGTTGTGGCAGCCCGTGGCTACAAGAATACGGACAAGCCTACATTTCAATTTACCTGGGAACCACGCCAAGTGTGAATTCAGGGCCGCCTATTCATCTCGGTCGACCCGCCAGTTTCTTCGGCTTGTGTTTGGTCTCAAGTCTTCATGCACCCTGCTCTGATGAACTCGATCTGCTGTTTGAAAACTGCAGTCAGTGGTCATGGAAAGTCGGCAGAATGCGATTGTCATTCCAGAAGTCATATTTGCCATCCTGGCTGGATCGATTGTGTTCTGGAGAATCATCAACAACGTAGTCCTGAAGAACTTATACAGACTTGCTGACCTGCTCATCTTTCTGGCTTTGGTAATGACCATGTATGATTCAAACGTCTATCAAAAGCTGACATGTCCAGGTGAGCAACCTTGTAGCATTGTCATGCAGCTCTCTATCTACACAATATGGTCTGGGAAGGCACATCTACGACCCATCAATTACACCCGACATGCTCGTGACGTGTCTGCGATGGATCTGGATCGGTGAAGCCACGAATCTTATATCGATGCTCTTCGCCAAACTTAGCATCGCTGCGTTCTTGTTGTACCTGGACTTTGCGCCTGGATACAAGATCGCCATGTGGTTTACGGTTGGCATTGTCCTTGTCTGCAATGGAGCTGTCGCACTCACCTCGATCTTTGGGTCATGTTCGCCAGTCTCTCTCAATTGGAACATGAATCAGCCAGGCCAGTGCTGGGATCCTCGCATCAATAAGATTTGCACATACGTGCAATCTGGTATGGAATACTTTTCGTCTTATGGTAAGGCCTTGACTAATAGCCCACAGGCTCGAATATTGTCACCGACATCTTGTACACATCGGTGCCAATCTTCTATCTCTCGACAGTGAAATTAGGAGCAAACGTCCAGTGGGGACTACGCATCGTCTTGCTATTTGGACTGATGTAAGTCACTTCTGTCATTGCTGCTTTGAAGCAATGCTAATGCCGTACAGCGCGACTGTATGCTCAGTCGTGAAGATCGCGGTCGCCGGAAAGATGTTCAACACGCACGACCCTACTTGTACGTGGTGTGAAAGTTTTAGTCAGGTGCTTCGCTGACAGATTTGACAGGGGACGCCGTAGATCTCTCAATCTGGAGTACAGCCGAAGTTAATGTATGCATCATCGCCGCCTGCCTACCACCATTACGAAGCCAATTCGATTCCTTCCTACGACGCTGCTTCGGCATGGCCTTTTCAAAATCCACAAATCGAAGTCGGCCAACCTACGGCTCTCAATCAATCGCACTCCAAACACATAGCAAATCTCACCGAACCGTAATCGAAGTGGAGGCGCAAGATTTCGGTAGTGAACGCTCCATCCTACCACCCGACGACGTAGAAGACGGCATCATCAGAGAGACACGACAGGTGCAGGTCAAATATGAAGAGCATGGACGTGACGGAGCATACTCGCCAGACCATTATGATGGTCGACAGTAGACAGAGCTCGGAGTATGGCCGCTGGGCGTTCCGGAGGATCACACACAATTGAGGTGCCAAATAAGCAACGAACCTTTTCTCTGTTTCTCCAAACGGCTTTCAGCCAGCCAGCGTCGTCGCAAACCGTTTTGCGGAGATGACAGGCTGCAAGCACAGTGATGACGAGTGCATTTAGGAAGCCAAGCAAGTCGACCACTTTGACATAAGACATGCATGCAACAGAGATCAGCAGAGGTAAAAGTGTTGAGTTGAAAGACTTTTCGTTTATTATATACATTATTCATTAAGATAAGGCCCGAGACCAAACGTGTCAGCTCAACCAAGACCCTCGGGTTCTGTTGGTGTTGCGGTTGTTGCAACGGTACACCCTATGATGCGTTTTCGACCCTGACCAAACGGTTGTGCGCAAGGCAAACGTTTTGAAACGCTCAAGTATTGCCAAAAAAGCGATCGGCAATGACATTATCACCCAAAACATACTTGACGGGTATGTTTCGTCTGCAAGTCTGCGACATGCGTAGATCTGGGTTGCGTAGCCCTTGATGGGCGATCATCCGTGGCATACCGAGATACGGTTTTTGGGTTGCCGAGATAGCCATAATGGCGAATAAGTGTGGTCGCCGTGATGGTGGCCTTGTTGCTTGGTGTGTGGAAATTTGAAGCGATGAGAGCCTCATGAGGCTCTGCTTCACTCAACCTCGGGAATGAGCTTCTTCTCGTCGATAAAAGCTTCGGACTCGTGCTGGGCCTCGATATCTTGTTGGTCCTGGGCAGGAGTCTTTCTGAAGCATCTGGCAATGCCGTTCCAGCAAGCGGAGATGACTGGTGCGACGAGGTAAACAACGATGGTGCTGAGGGCGACGCCGGTCGTCAAGGCTGAAATGATGGCGGTGGAGTAGATGAGACGCATGACGAAAGAGTCGGCTGCGTGACCGAATAATGGGAGTCCGAAGAAGACGAAAGTGACGTGGAAGCCGCTCAGCATGGCGGACATGAAGATAGAAGCAGTGTTCTCTTTCGAGGGCAGCTCGGACTCGGGCTCGTCGATGGCGCTCTGTTTGGGTTCCATGCAGGCACCGAAGCCATAGCAGACTATGAATGAGAATGCAGTGATGAAGCCAATAGAGATGAGAAGCTCGGCTGCCCCCCAGATGAGGGTCATGGCCAGGTTGAAGATAGGCATGTCGTTGTTGTAAGAAGGAAGAGGATCGATGGTGTGAGAGTACATCTTCTGTGGGTGATGACGGAATATATGCTTTCGCCGAAGGGTCGTATGATGCGAAGAGGTGTGGTCGACGTTGGAATGATAAACAGCAGACCAAGGAATGTGGATGAAAGTTTATAAGAACAAGAGAACGTGGACAAGGCGACAAGAAGTACGAAAGGATCAGCAGCGCTTTCAAGTAGTATACCAATAGTGACTTATTGATTCCACGTCGGTTCGGACGGTCTTATATCAGCTAGCCACGCCGTTGTGCATCGGTTTGTCTCTGCCAGGAGAGCTTCAACCGTTGCGACGTTAAGCAGTTACAACAGGGGGAAATTGTTTTTTGCTCATGTTACTGCAGATGCATTGTGGTAGAGCACCTGAAATAGAGTAGTCGCTCCACTTTAGCCATCATACCAGGATAGCACGGCTCTCAGAGGTGAAAACTCATAAGAATGAAGGAGAAGCTGTGTGTATACAAGGAGAGATACTGTATTGATGGCTGAACTCTAGCCTCTAAAGATGCGGAGAAATGACTTGGCATAACCGCTCGAACAGGCAAACGGTCCGTGCAAAGTGCCGTCGAACTCGTCACATGTCTCCGGCTTTTACAGCTGGCCTTGTCAATGATTTTCTTAGTCTCGGACATCTGCGTCGTGGCAGTTGGCAATCTCAATACTGTCAGCTGTCGTCAGCTGTAGTCTACGCTCGGCTCGAGTCAGATTTCCAGCTTCCAGAAGAGTTATCTCCCTCGGTCATAATCGCATCTGTGGAACCCACTCGCTGACAATCTCAACAGCGAAGGGTGGTGTGCAGATACCATAAGAAATTACTCAGACGATGCTTATCCGTGACAGGATCAAAACATCAACGGCTTACACGAGGTGAGACTCTGGGGGATAGCGATTCAGACCATCCCCAACAACGACCGGTCATGACGTTACCAGTAAGTCAAAAAGACGACTGCTGGCTGGAAGCTACATCTCGCACTCCAGACATCAGCATTATTCGCGAGGTTGGAAAGACGAGCTGGAATATCATCGGCCAATTTGAGAACGACCGACGTTGACATCCAGTTGTGCGTCGTATGCATACTACGACAGCATGCAAATTGTACCTAAATGATCTCCACGCCCGTTGAATATATCGAACGAGCATGCTTCAAAACTTTCCTTTCGGGCTCGACACCCGTTATCCGCCACGAACGGCTTCCGGCATCTTGCCACACTGATGAGATTTACTCATGTGTGATGCGCGCTTCGTATGGAGACTGCGCTCTCCGATCTGCGACCATCGCAGGCTCGCTACAGATATGAAGCTGTTTGTTCGGAAGCACTTCCATCGTGAACATTTGAACACGTCCGGTCAACCCGACTGAAGCGTTGGGTGAAATGTTTCTCGCATATGGCCGATGGTTTCAACTCAGCTGCTATTGAGCATTTTCCAGAATGAGGTCGGATCAAGATGGCCGAGTCAGGTGCCAAGTGAAGCCGCCAAAAACGACTACATACGAACAAGAACTCTTGCTTCTTCTTGCACAGCCCGTGGGCATCTCAGCTGAGATAGTTTTCAAGACCTTTCACCAGATTCACGCTGCCAATTTCAACGTAGACACAGCGCACATATACCGGGTTTGACCGAGGGTCAAGCTTCTTAGCGAGCTCACCCAATCTGGACTCATTTATGGTGACAGAGACAACGACATTTCGAGCGATGACTTGTCAACCAGGCGATGGGCGTCGCTCGAAACCACAACACTCTGATTCAGAATCATCACACTGGCGCAGACTATGGTAATGATCAGCCACACGAGTTCTATGGCTTCTAACATTCTGTGTCGAGACCATCCGCAATCTGCTTTCCCCATGGCGTGTCACTTGACCCCGGATTGACGTAAAGCCTCTCCGTTCCTCGATGATGGCCGTTTATAAGCCATGTGGCTCACTTTCATTTACTTTGATGAATGCCCCCAAAACATGAGCACCGGATGAGTGGACACTGTGAAGGACCAGCTGTTCTTTATGATGCGAAGGATGCATCGATGACCCAGTGCGCATGAGTCGTAATAGGCATGGCAGAACGCCGGCTATTACCCTCTTTGACATCAACCGAGGCCATGAGTGAAGCAATGACGGACATGGTTCCGGCATTCTCGCTTTCCCGGACTTCTCTCCCTCGATAAGACAATTGCTCGAATCTTTCCATGTTCGTCAGCAGACGAACAAAGCTTCTGGTAATATCTCCAATGAGACTTACTACTTTGCTAGGGAAGTTATAGGCAACCTATGATAGCTGGTATCCCGGACGAAGCATGTCCAGTATGCGGAACAAGGCCGCGCATATAGCACCACCCCGCACTTTTTGCCATCCCCACCGAAGATCAATCCTTACAAGTCTCCTCTATAACGCGGGGCAAGCTCTCGGCAGACGTGTTACGACTGCAGTAAAAGAGGAGAATCTATGTTATCCAGGTCAAGGAGAAGTGCCGGTCTTACGGACACATATATTTCCGTGGTGGGGTGCTCTCTCGGACCAATTGATATATTTAGAGCCTCCTCGGTTTAACATTCTGTTCTTGTCCTCAAACCTCGAAGCATATTTATCTTCTTTTGTATATTTGATCTGTACTTATTGCAATCATGTCGGCTACCGAGACAATCAGTGCGACAGAGACTACACCAATCATCCCAAAGACCTGCAAGGCTGGTGTTGTTGTCAATCCTGGCCCTGACTTCAGAGTATGTCCTCGAAACTAGAGTTGAAAGTCAATCGTACTAATAAGTATCGTAGGTTGAAGTCCAAGACGTCCCTGTACCAGAGATCGGCCCTGAGGATGTTCTGATTAAGCTCAACGTCACTGGACTCTGCATGTCCGATGTCCACTTCATGCTGGGCGATTGGGATCTCCCACCCATGTCTCAATTCGGCGTTCAATGCGCCGGTCACGAAGGTGCAGGCGTCATTGTAAAAGTTGGAGAAAGAGTCAAGAATCTCAAGATTGGTCAAAGAGCTGGACTCAAGCCAATTCAAGATGTCTGCCACACATGCGAGTACTGTAAGACAGGAAAAGAGACTTACTGCTTGGGTTGTGTGATGACTGGTCTGCACATTGATGGTGAGTGATATTCTATTCTGCCTTCACGGTTCGGTTCACTGATGTGCACGTAGGCTCCTACAAGCAGTACATCGTGTCGCCTGAACGCTACACATCGCTCATTCCAGAGGGCGTGCCAGACGAGATTGCTGGACCTATCATGTGTTCCGGTAGCACTGCATACACATCCATTAAGGAGTCCGGTCTTCGTCCTGGTCAATGGGCAGTCTTCCCTGGTGGCGGTGGTGGTGTTGGTATGCAAGCCGTTCAGCTGGCCATCGCCATGGGTCTTCGAGCCATCGTCGTAGATACTGGATCAGAGAGAAGGGATGCGTGTTTGAAGTTTGGCGCCGACGAGTTCATCGACTTCAAGGAGGTCGAAAACCCTGTCAACAAAGTGTTGGAGGTCACTGGTGGTGGCGCTCATGCAGTTTTCGTTACCGGTGAGATGATCTTACTGCTTGACGACGATTAATCACTGACACGACTACAGCCGTCCAATCATACCCTATCGCACAAAGCTATCTCGGCCACAGAGCTGGGGCTCAAGTCATGTGTATCGGTCTCCCTCCTGCCGGAAAGTACAACATGGAAGTTAACCCCTCAACACTTGCTTTCCGCAACCAGTCCATCAAAGGCACGCTTGTCGCAGGCATGGCTGACGTTGATGAGACGATGGACTTTGCTCGCCGAGGTATGTTGAAGATACTCTTGCGAACATAACAGCTGCTGATCTCTGACAGGAAAACTCCGCCTCGAGCCAACCGTCGTTGGTCTGTCCAAGTTCAACGAGTCCGTGCAAAAGTTGAAGAACGGACAGGTCGCAGGCCGCATTGTTGTCGACTTTAACAAGGAGTAATGCTGACGAAATATCTTGAGTTGATCTTGGACGACTGCGGCAATGTTGGTGCCGCTTTAGCGTATGCAGTATCATAATATGAATAACATTATTTGGGCTACGAAACCAGGCCCACTCTATTTGTGCGTGAAAAGCGCACAAATCGCACAAATCTGTATTGTCAAAACGCAGAAGAGGTCTCGCTTCATAAAGGCTGGGACACGCCCCCCCCCCCCCCTTCTCCCCCACGTTCCGAAAATCGTCACATGGTGCTCTCTACCTGAAGTCCAGCATCTCTATCGACGCGTTAGAATGCCAACCACGACGTAACTCAAGGAGAAACTTGCCTACTGGGACCTGTAGTCGATTTTCTTCTTCCATGGCTTGCTGAAGCCCGCCAATCGTTTCAGTTAAGTCTTCCGGTGCGATTGTCGAGTCTGGTTCCAGAGGTACAACGCGACCTTCAGCAGGCGCGAACATGAGATGCCGCCAGCCATGTCTCCGAGACTCAAACTTTCCAGTGATGTGAGTCTGTATGGTAAATGGAGCATTGTCATGGCCAACTACCATTGCGGCGTGAATTGGACGCTCGAAGGCTACTGACGCGCCTCTCCCTTGGGCTTCCCACTTCCACGCTAATTTGGTGTACTCGCCACGATCATCCGGATGTCTCTGCAGGGTGAAATTCCAGCGGTATTGGCGTTCGAAATCTGCACTCCTGGAAACCCCTCCAAGATCTCCGCCAAAGCCTGCTCCCTCACCGTGTGGCCTGATTTCGTACTGAGTCTGGATCGCTTCGCGCCATGGCTGCCCACATATTTGTCCTGGGTGAGAGACAGAGATATAGGGCCCTCTACCAACTCCTATAGAGTCTGAAGGATCAACTTCAGCCTTCGCTTCGACGTATCGCAGTCGGCAGTCGGGAGGCTGGTAAATCGAGATCTTGAGATAGAATAGACCCACAGCTTGAGGCGACGGCTTACTCACTGTTCCCCATTTCGAACAACTTCTCAAAAGGCTGCAGTCGACCTTAGCCTTTGAGAAGGTGGCGGTTCCAAGACTTGTATCGCGTCCTACATCAATCCTGATTGAAGGAAGTGTCCTCCAGGAAATCTTTTTCTGTGATGTCGAGCCCGACATGATCGTTCCTGGAAATTGCAGGTGGGAGACAGGGGGAAGGCACGAAGGACATCACTAGTTCTCCGTCTGGCAAAAGAATTTGTTGAAACCGGTGGCGCTCTCTGCCTGACTATGTCAAGAAGAGCCCAGCATCATCGGCAAAACACCGACGTGGCTTTCGTCAGATCAACGGACCTTTTGCGACCCGCTGTGCTAAATTGTGGGAGGAATGCATGCTTTCGATAGCTATTTTGATGTACGAGCGTGCTGATTGGTGGAACCCCGCTTGGAGGCGTTGCTGACAAGGCCGATATCAGTTGTATTATGCATGCGATGGCTACAGGTGCGGTGACCGCTCTGATAGTGTCGAGCTACCCTCCCAGATGTTCCTCCCTTGGTTTTCATTCCAATTCTCTTCGTACAACACTTCATCGCCAGCAGTTGAACGCTCATGGAGGAACGCACGAACGGCTTCGAACAAAACATGGGACCTGACCTCAAACTTTTGGATTCCGATCTGAACGTTGTGCAGGACGTCGAGGAAGATCTGGAAGACTATTCGAGACTGAGCCGACTCGGTCGCTTTGGAGAGGCTTCTAAATTGTTCAGGGAGACACTGTCTCGACACACTAGCTGCTTTGCAGTGTTGGCAGAGCACTGCAAATCCCTTATCAACCAGGGAGACTTCATCAATGCGAGTCTGGTATTGAGTGCTTCTGTAAAGCGACAAGAAGCTTTGGTGGCTGGCACATTGCCTTTCAAAATAGGCGAGACGACACTTCTTCGAGTGCTCCATATATATGTCTTGCTCCGCACGAATACAGACCGACGGATGGATTCCGAGCAAACTGAAGACACCATCTCTCAAGCTCGCTTCTACCAAGATACGATCGTAGGATCCAACGCTCATGATCTTACAGATGTTCAGGTATAAAAGGAGCTCTGTTGTCGAAGCTTTTTCCTGATGATTCGCAGCGACAAACACTACTTGCTTGTATCGATGTAAATATGTTGTTCTTCGAGCAGGATGCCATGCGGTTACCGTGGTCATCTCGTCCGACTTATCCTGGTGATGTCTCAACGCTTTCTGAAGACTACCTCGCTTGGTTCGAAGAGCTGCTTCCAGAGTATCCATGGGATGCGTCACTAGTCCTCAAATGTATCAGTCTACTCCAACCCGAAAGCAGTTACTATCGGGATTGGTCGGTAATCATGGATGCCACAGACCGCAGTCTGGGTGAAACGGCCTCAGTCGATGCAAGGTTCTTCGCTCGTATGTCGCTACTTGGAAGCCTCTGCGAGATGGCCCTGGTCCGCCGATGGAGTAATCTAGAACTGACACGCGATGGTCTGGGAGATGAAGCCAACCACATCATAGTCGACACTGAATCGGAAAGGCTGGTGGAGATCATTCAACGTATCCTCGAGCAGCATTCCAAGGTCAAAGACATCACCGAGACTCGACCTTACAAGTATCTTCAGTTGCTCGTCATCGACCACGAACTCCTGCGCCAAAACCGGGTGGCAGACTCGCGGAAAATTCTAAATCAGGCGATGCCCCGTCTTAATACCATAGAAAAATATGCTATGGCGCCTGAGGTCCAAGACCACCAGCTGTACATTGAGATATTGTACCACCACTATATCCTTACGGCGAAGAAGGATATGCGCAAAGTGATGCTAAACAAGATCGCAAAATTCGCATCACGCTTTGGTAGAACTCGAGAGATCGCAAATCTGCAAAGGTGTATCATCAGGGATCGGGACTTATCCCGCACACAGTTCCACCCGACGCACGCTCGTCTCATATGTAAGGTGATTGGTTGTTTCGAGTCCATCAGGGATCGATTACCTGGGCATGAGATTAGATCGTCTTTCAGTGATCGAAGCATTTTTGAAAACATACTCCATAGTTTCGAAAATAATGGTAAGCAGGCATATCCGCTATCAAGGTGACTGCTGACATTTGCAGATATTGAGGAGCCTCCGCCACCTGCGGAGCAAGCCAGAATCGAGTTCAGACCCCAGGATCATCAACCTTTGTACATGCCCCCTGCCTACCCTTTCTACCACAATTCGACACGGGATATGCCATCGCACTTACCACCACCTACAACGACACAGAATTACGTAGATAACTACTACAACTCGTCCGGGCCATATCAAAGCTTGGCGCCGACAACCTATAATCCGTTCTCGGGCACATACGAGAATCCATCTCTTAGGTCAATGTCGGCCGCACCACCAATGCACGCACCTCCATTAATTGGGGATGAACACCGTCACCCAGGCGGGTACAACTTTAGAGGCGGAGTATTGCCAAGTGCTCAACCAACAATGAGCCAAACACCGTATCACTACACGGATCCATGGTCGGGTCCCAGGGGTGGAGTCATGCCAAAGGCTCAACCAACAATGAATCAAACATCGTATCACCACTGGTCGGGACGCAGAACTCCATCACCTCCATCACGACCACCACACAATGACTCATGGCATGTTGCTGGTGCGCAAGAAAATTCTGATGCCATCAGTTCACCTGTGCGACCGATGAGCAAATCTCCGCCCGGTTCGCCACTAACGCCTATTCAGGAGCGCCGCGAAAGTAGCGATTGAGGAGCCGCACATTAGTTACAGCTGGAGATGAGGACAAAAGAGTGGCAAGGTATCATTAAGCATCGAGTTGTAACATAGCTTTCTCGTTCTCCTGCGAATAAAATCGTTGCCAGCATAATCTTATAGCTGTACTATGTTTCTTATTTCATCTGTCGGTGACTGTCTTGGCCCCTTACCCTTTCTCCAGAGGATAATCGGTAAAGTGAGCGGGACGAATTCGAGCATGCATAGGGAAATAAAGCTCGTCACTGAGATCTCGGACTTGCTTTGCAGACCGTGCCGTGGCTGACATCACTAGTACAGTCATGCTTGACAAAATAGAGACTTTGGGTTCTTTAGTGACCGATTGATAGCAGAATTATTGTACCCAAATCCAGAGTGGATGGAAAAGCACTCCAGATAACGGCTCGTTTCGTCTCCTTCACCACTGCCTGACCTCACGCTTAGAACTTGAGGTTGTTACCGGCGGTGCCAACGACGGCAGCCTTGACTCTAGAGCTACCAAGAGCAGTGTAAGAGTAAGGGACCTTGGTGAGGGTACCAGCGGGAGCAGTGTTCTTCTCACCACCAAAGTCGTTGTCCTTGACAACAGCGTAGCCTTGGTCGTCGGAGTAGAGAGAGGCAACGGGCTTCTTGGCCTTGACGAAGACATTGGACTCGACCAGGGTTTGAGCGCCATCACGAGTATCAACAGCGGAAGAAAGGACGTTCTCGTAGTAGTTGTTGAAGATGTGACCGGTACCGAAGCGGATGGAAGGGAGACGGGAAGACACGTTCGAGAAGTAGTTGTTGGCGTATGTGACGTGGAGATGTCCAGTATCTTCTGCACCATTGTTGTCAGAGTGACCGACGAGGGAGCCTGTGTAAATTTAGCAACGATGAATGTGAATAGCCAGATAGGAGAACTTACACTTGTAGTGGTCGTGGAAGAAAGTGTTGGATATAGTGACCCATTCAGAAGCGTGGGTGACATCAAGAAGACCATCGTAGTAGTCCTTGCCGTGATCAAGATCGGAAGAGAGATCGAGGTGGTCGCACCAGACATTCTTGGATGCCTGAATACCAATGGCATCGCCGTTCTTGGCAAGAACCTTGCTGCTCTTGAAGTTACGAAGGACGACATTCTCAACCTTGTTGACGTAGAGACCGATGTTCTCAAGAGCAGACTCCGAGTTCAGGCCAATGATGGAGGTGTCTGAGGAGACTCTGACCTTGTCGTTACCAGTGATCTTGCCGGAGATGTAGACAACAGTGGGCTCCTTTGCGGTAGCAGCCTTGGTGAATTGGGCAAGGGTAGAGACAGTAGTGGTAGCTCCACCTTGACCACCAGTAGTACCACCGTTGGTAGAGGCATATCCAACAGGTCCAGAGGCAACAGCTCTCTTGTTGACGATATCGTGAGGGGCGGCAACAGCCAGGGAAGTAAGCGCCACCAGGGCGAAGGAAGGAGTGAACTTCATTTTGGAAATAGAAAGAGTGTAGAGTGAAGATGAATAGAAGTAAAGAAAGGTAGTAGAAAGAATGACAAGAGAAGCTTGATGAAAGGAAACTTTGCATTGCTGCAGGTTCAACATACTTATATGTATTCCATTTTCACGCTTAGTTCAGTGTAACCCTATGCTAAGAACTCTTTATCGAGGTCGGTCGTCAATTCTTCCGCTCGTCTTGTTTCGGTGATATGTTGTCTGGAAAGCATACTGTATACGAAGGTTAGGGCAGACATTCGCTGGAGTAACAGGTTGATGGTGCGGTTCTTGGACATTCATGCCCTAAGAGCGACCTGCCGTGATGCAGTGCTGTCAACTGTCACCTCAGGTAAAGGTGTATTTCGTTCAGCACATGCGAGGACCTGCTTCGCCACATTGCCAAGCTGTGATATGTGGATCAAGCACGTGGGTGGCCGAATCTCAAACATGGATTTATATCTTGTGTTTCGGCCAAGACCTCGCTTCAATTTCATAACGACCCTGACGCCGATCGGTGAGATCAGATCATGGCACGGTATGCCTGGACGTTTTCCTGGCTGTACAATGTGTTGCTTCGACCAGCACAAGTGGAGGGCATCGAAGTCAGGGAGAAGGTGGGATTGCTCCTAGTACTTAGGATGCAGAGAAGAGAGGCAGTAGAAGACCGACGCAATGAGTGAGGCGCTGGGAAAAAGTCGCGCCAAGACCTCTTCATTCCTCGAACGCGCCTACCTCACGAATTGGGAAATTTTGCACCACGACCCCAGAAAATCAGGAATCATCTGATCTTTCTCGCGTGCACCTCTTTCGACGCAAGAAATGGCCGAACTCAACCCCTCTACCGGAAAGGTGCATGCAATCATTGAATACGAGGATCGCTATGTGCAGCCCTTGATATTAGCGGCGCTCAAGGCCCGTATGCCCGCCGATGACTTGGTCTTAATTGACTCCATCTCAGAAGCACCTGTCTCGGATGTCAAAGTGCTGCAATGGAAACAATATGAAGCGCTGGACCTGGACCATGTGATGGAGAACTCTCAGACTAGCTTGATGAATTCATACATCATCAGAAAAGCCTTGATCAGAAAACACTATCTTTCCACCACAGTCTCTCATTGGTTGACCAAGAATTCCGAGTCTTGTCTGCGAAAGAATGTCAAACCAAGCGTCGAGTTCGAACTGGACTTTGCCGAGTTCCTTGATGACGCTTTGCTAGAGGCTTTCGAGCTGAGAGAAAGTTTCGAGCAGAACGAGGGACTTGAGGCATCGCAGAAGCAATGGTGGATCCTGAAGCCTGGAATGAGTGATCGTGGTCAAGGTATACGACTCTTCAACTCCGAGGAAGACCTGACTGCAATCTTTGAGTCCTGGGAGGAGGAAAGCGACGATGAAGATGCAGAGCACTCTGGAGATGAGGAGCAAGTCGATGATGAAGAAGACGAAGGTAATGGTGTGATGACATCGCAACTACGCCACTTCATTGCACAGCCATACATCCACCCACCTCTATTGTTTTCTGCTCCTTTCGCATCTGCCGAGCGCAAGTTTCACATTCGTACTTATATCCTTGCTGTTGGCGCGCTGAAGGTCTTCGTGTACAAACCCATGCTTGCATTGTTTGCTGGAAACACGTATACCGCTCCTTGGGAAAGCGAAGACCCCAACGAGGACCTGGCAAGCCATCTTACCAATACCTGCATGCAAACCGGTGAGCGCGAGGGCAGTGTGCATGCATTCTGGTCCCTGCCGGACGATGTTCCTGGTCTACCAGTTCAGTGGAAGCAGAATACATTCGACCAGATCTGCAACATTGCGGCTGATGTATTCGAGGGCGCTGCTAGGGGTATGATGGTTCACTTTCAACCTTTGCCCAATGCGTTCGAGCTCTTCGGTGTAGACTTCATGCTGGACGCGGAAGGCAATCCTTACCTGCTTGAGATCAACGCCTTCCCCGACTTCGCACAGACTGGAGACGAGCTGAATAGTATTGTCCAAGGACTTTTCGAGGAGGTGGTCGATGTCGCCATCAAGCCCTTCTTCGGACTTTCAGCGAAGGACGAACAAGACTCGAAGAGAGAGCATATGGCACTGGCGCTGGATATCGACTTGGGCCGAAACTGAGATGCTCGCAATGCCATGGCGCAGATACGATGAAGGACCGGGGCTCTCGAAAGCTTCGAGCTGGACAGATCCTGGTGTCTCTGTGCGTGATTCTGTCGGGTTGGTGAACTTTGCGCAAGCACGTCGAGCTCCGGTCTCATCTGCGTCAGCTTCAACGAGCGATTCGTCGGTTCAGCGACCAATTTTCGCGCTCTCTAGGTTGTATACCGTTTCTTCAAGTCGAGCCAATTCCAATACCATATGTTACAAGGGACCGTCATCAATGGTGCGCCATAATCGGAGTCTGCATGCAGTTACTCCGAGGAGTCAGCAGCCAACCTTCCCTATTTATAGGCACACCATCTGTTCATCGGCGTGATGTGAATCCCGAAGCATGGGCTCCGCTTGGTCGACTTTGGGAATACATCAACCTGCAGGGCGATGGTAATGGTGGAGGTGGTGGTGGTGGTGGTGGTCGTCGTCGTTGTCATCGTTGTGGCTGTAGCCGTCGTCAACTGCGAGCCTGTCCAGCGATCACACTTTCTCGACCACGGCAACTTAGCGACATCACTATTAAACAGCCTGGGTAAGCGAGCAAATTCGCCGGGTTCAACAACCTGTTTGTAGGACTAACACGTCAAGCAGTCACGCTCGGCATCAAGAATTGTCGGAGTAAACATCCTACCCCTCACACAGGGGGTTGCATCCATATCAGCATCATAGCATGACTTTGAAAGCATTGCTTCCGTCCGAAGATCGTCGACGCATCGCGTGTCCATTAGCATTGCCCCGCCTTTCCTCGCGTTCGTTCGCTTTAGACTTGGGCTCGCTCTCTCTTTTACCTATCTATCACCGTATTCATACACAGTCTCAGACTCCACCGTATTTCGGGTCGACGTTCTCATAATCTATGCCCGCTCTTCACGTGCTGTGTACGAAGTTCTGCGTGTTGCAGCAAATGCTGTATGTGATCGAGATGGAGGATGGCAAGCGTCGTGAGGCATGCTTGTGAAACTCTCTGAGACCAACACCAAATTGTAACACCATCAGAGACTTGTCACACCGACCCTAGACATACGCTTTGCCATAAAAGCGATCTTTCTTCTCGACATCAACTTCCAGTTAGTTACCAATAGTCTTCTCTGACATCTATCCACCATCCAACAAGCCAACAACTACCCCATCAGATTTCGTAAGTCCTGTCACGTCGTTCTTGATATGTGTGTTCATCACGAGGTATGGAGAAGTGTCGTTGTGGTGATGAGTGTTTATGCTTGATTTGAAGAAGTAAAGCAAATCTGTCTGTGATCCTCCGTTGAATATCATCAACCAGTGCAATGTAATGTGAGTCTATGTAGCAGCCTTCCCTGTCCTCGTTAAAACCCTGTGGGAAAAAGAGTGACAGGATCATGATGTAGTTTTGTCTTCAGCCGCGTCCGACGAGGTGGCCGGTGTAGGTGGACTCGATAACCTCGTTGGCAGAGTTTGAGAGCTGTCGGTAGTGGCGATCAGACGTCTGATTACCTCCTCGATGACCAGTTCTCGACGAGGCATCATCGTGATGTTCCTCGGCCGCTGATCTGTTTCTCCACGCCTCCATTGCAATTCTGCGTTCCATCTGCGGCGCTTCTCGATGAGCAGATTTGTGTTCGAGATGACGTTCGCGATCAGTTGAGCAGAACATTCGGACAGCTTCCACGCAAGCAGGATACTCGACATGGGCCATCCTTTGAAAGTGGAAAAGTCCCTGAAGGTGGCATGACGGCGTGTTTTGACGTGTTTTTGGAAGCGGCGACGAAATTCAGTGAGTTGCGCATGATCCTGGAGAAGCTGAGCTTTGGCGACTGGCTCTGTGGTGTGGATGTATTGATGGGAGACGGTCCTGTGAGTGACTTCGGCTGCTTCCAGCATCATTGATTCTGCGGTCAGGGCGGCGCCGATGGGGTGAGTAGGCAACCAGGCGATGTACTCGTAGAGACATCTTTGAACGTCTCGGAAGAGCTGCGACTCGCGAATTTCTGAGCAGAGACCTTCAAGGGGTTCCGACATTGTTGTGAGGAAGAGGAGGTTGGTTGGCGTATGACTTGATTCGGTTTATCCGGCTGCGGTGTTGTAGTAGGCAGATGTCGAAGGTGCGCAGCTGGCAGTTCTTGTGAGATCGTGGCCGGTAAGAATGGCTGAGTTCGTGGATCGAGATTGAGGGTTGTGTCTGGAGGTCGAAACGCTGGATGATGGAAGAAAGACAGGCAGGAAACACAGCAGCGCTGAATATAACTGCGCGATAGTGACTCGGCAGAATTCGGTGTGGCTGCCTAGTCATGCATAGAAAGGTCCAATGGAGCGTGGTATTGTGCGTATTGTCGGCGCAAACCCCCTCATTTATGCTTGCAGAGGCGGAGTCGCAGTGAGCAGTCGCATCCATCACTTATGAGCACGACCCCTGATAGAACCTCGGACGCTGCCTCTGCCTATACCGCTGCCAGCTCTGGGGACGCCTCTTCCTCGGCCGGCTTGACCGCCAACACCCACATAGCCAGGAGTCGATGTAGAGGTAGACGGCGGTTGTCCAGTCAGACGACTCGATGCAGTGCCAAGTCTGCCTCTGGGTCTTGAGCCACGAGTTGCGGGTGGGGGAGCAGCCTTTCTTCTCTCCTCTTCTTCGGCACGTCTTTGAGTGGCCTCTCTTCTAGCTTGGTCCTCGGCAGCGCGTCTCTCTGCTTGTTGCTGGCGCACGAAGGACTCATTCTCGATGTCTTGCAAATCTTGAGTAGCGCCTTGCCAATTCGGGTTCAGGAGTAGACGTTGATTGTGTTCGGTCTGCGAGAGAATGCGCGTCCAAGTATCGAGAAGGGTAGAGGCCGAGTGCACAGTGCGATTGACATTCTATCATGTGTTAACGCGAATGCATCATGTATAGGAGATAAAGAAGCATACATCCATATTGCCCTTTGCTTTCTCCAGACTCATGACAACATCTTCGATGACCTTGTTGATCTGTCGCACGCTGTCCAGCTCCTTGCGTAAAGCAGCCTCACGCGACTCTGACGTTTCTGGACGAGGCGCACTACCTTTGGAAGGAGTCGGTCCAAGATCAATGTCCATGTCGTAGTCGATGTCTTCTTCCTCGTAGGGGATGTCGTCGTATTCATCATCGACATCATGATCATCTAAGCGTAGCGCGCCCATGTCCAGTGGTTGTGCCATGTCTGGCTCAGCCAAGTCACGATGCAGCGAGTGTTGATGGATTTGGTACAGGACTCAGTGTGTTTGCATGCTTGTTTGCACTGTCAATATTTACACCCTCAACTACGCCCAGCTCCCAGCCGACAAGCCTTATACCAAAGACCAAGTCTATAGGACAATGAACATAATCCAGAGCTACCGACAAGTCTGTGACCAATCGCTGAAAACAGCTCTTCTTTCTGTAGTTCTTCTCCAATACTCTGTGACTAGACGTAGCATTCTGTAGAATTGGAGGATATCCCCAGCGACGAGAGCAACGACAAGGAAGATGCCGAAAGGCACGGACTACAGGTCCGCCCTTGGCAATACCAGCCACTCTCCAGCCATCCTAGAATCCAATGCGAGGGAAGGAGCGAGGAAACGCATCATCCGCCCTTGCACAACCTGCACAACCTCCTCATCCGCATCCGCACCCTGTTCATCTCTTGTTTACCACCATCTGAGCCCGTTTGTATACTCCTGGAGCTCTCCTGCTGCTCGTCCACAACCTGCAATAGCATATCTCTACAGCACTCGCTCTCGCATCAATACCTCGCGCTTAGGTCGCGCTCGTCTCGTGTTTCGTCGCGTTCTACTTTGTTGTTGTCGTCGTCGAAGCTTCTGAGAAACATCGCGAGCCATTTCAAGCCGCCAGGGTCATCGTCAGGACGATAAGGACGTCCGACTTGGACAATTAAGTCGACCGACTCGGCCTTGCGTTGGTCGTTGTTGTTGTCGCCGCCCGCCCGCCGGACACGTCCACGTCCTCGTCGACGTCCGCAATTCCACTTTCACTCTCACCGCCGCCATGGTGAGAGACGCCATCACCCCTCCGCCTCCCCCAACACGCCTGCGCACTCCTCCAACTCCTCTACACGGTGCCGGCTACCACTCGTACGGTCCATACGAGCCCAGAAGATCCCAGAGAGTGTCGCTCTTGCACAACAAACACGACAAGACGCCGCAGTCCTCACACTCGTCCCGCAAGTCGACCTTCCACCGCTCCGACTCATCACAAACCCTCTCGCCTCCCTCGTCACCTGCTGCCAACTATACAACACTCCAGCAAACCCCTGCAAGACCTACGCCTGCGCGCCAATTGCTCTTTAGTCGCAACAGGCCCACCAACACTCCCGACCTCAACTCGCGCTTTGACGTCTTTGCACCTCAGCCTCAACTCCAAACTCCCGCCTCCATGTTGCCTACTCCCCACAAGACCCCTCGCAAGTGCGACGCCGGCGCCATGAAGTCCACTGCACGCGTCCTCGACTTCAACCCCGTGGCCACTCAGTCGGCCCAGTCCACTCCTCGCAAGAAGACAAAGTCTCGCCTCACCCTCGATGAGGACGATGACGTCCACGAAGAGATCAATGTCTTTACCGACATCCAGGACCGCGTTCCCACTCTTGACAAGACCGAAGACAACCCTTTCGTCGGTCCCAGAATGACCAGAGGTCGCTCCCGCGCTCGTGCTCAGCTTGCTTCATCTGTTGATGTCGACATGGAAGCTGGCCAGACTGAGGAGGACGGCATCTTCTTCGTCTTCCGCGGCAAGAAGGTCTTCCGCCGCTTCGAGACCAGCGCTGATGCCTTCGATGGCTCTGACCCTGACGTTTCTACCCGCGCTAACGACAGCTTGAAGCGCCAGGCTGGCGCCGCTGCTTCGCGTCCTCTCACGCGTTCATCCTTCAAGGCCCGTCTCCTTTGGCCCAGCGCTGACGCCCCTGCCGATGCCGATGAGGAGGCTCTGACCGACATTGATGAGGATAGCAACCCCATCCCCAAGTCGGCCCCCTTCGGTGAAGCTGTCCCTACCACAAAGACTCCTTCCAAGAAGCTCGTCGGTCACCCCGCTACTCCTCCCTCCTCCCACCGTCAGGCTCGTCCCGCCGGTGAGCAGATCTCTATCTTTGCCGACCCTCACAACGATCTGAACCTTGCCTTGGCCTCGCCTTCCATTGCCGCTCCCATGCCCAAGAAGGTCACCACCGGTCCTCTGTTCGCTGGCTGGTCTCGCAGCAAGTCTGCTGAGGAGAGAGCTGCCACTGCTCGTGGTGAGAAGCGCCGCCTCTCCGGCGCCGCTGAGCCAGAGGTGCCCGCTAAGCGCTCTCGTTCGGCCCTTTTCTCGTCTGATCGCCGTTGATCGCTTCTTCGACACAACTTCACTTATTCACCCCATCACATTTTCTGCCCTTCACCATCGAATTGTTTTCTGCACAGCATGACGGGCAAAATAGGAGTTTACAGGTTTGATCCAGGGAGGCTTGATGTTCTTTGACATCAGATACCCCTACACGATCCGGGGCGTTTATGAGATTCACGCATGGCATGTTCTGTTCTGCACTTTGCACCCTTCTGCATGACACCTTGTTCATCGAAGCGGAGGCTGTTTCCTTTCACCACTGTCATGTTTCATCTGCTTTTTCACTGATATCCCCGGCGTTCCCCCTTGTGCCCATCGAGGGGCTAGATAGTACCAAAGACCGATCCTGTATTATACCCAGCCGAGAAGGCTTACAGCGATCTTGCGTCATGAAATGAAATACCACATCTGCGTTTACCCAGCACATCAGCCCCTGTTCTTTCCACCATGTGCTATACTTTGTCTTCTCCCTTGTCCTTGCATGCTGTGCTCAGTTTCCGAGTGCCACCTTCCGGAACATTCTCAGCATCTGCGAGCTTGGCCTCAAACTTCTCCGGTTTTCTCGTAATTGTCTCGGCATGATCATAACGTTGCCAGCCTTTCTCTGCGTCAACACCACCGTTCGAGCTCTTTGATCACACCATCTTTTTTTTTTGAGTGAACGCAACAACGCAGTCCAACGCTCCTTGATACTCGTTACAACTAGCCTACCTATCTCCTTATCGACGATCACCCACCTCACTCATCTGTGTTCGAATCGATTACCCAACAAAACATCTACGAAAATGGCACCCAAGAAGAAAAAGGAACGCATCATCCCACCCAACTATGCCAGGTAAGATCTCATTGCTCCCCTCTCCCATCTTTCACCACTCCATCTTGCTAACCTCTCTCACACAAAACCAGACAGGCACAACTCGAACAAGAAGCCAAAGAAAGAAATGAAGCCGAATTCGCCAAGTTGTCCAGGCTCGACAACTCTGGCTTTGCCAACAGACGCATCCCCATGAGCCGTGAATCAGAACGCTATCAATCTCCCGAATACGTTGCACAGTACTACAGGGAGATGAGGGGACCAAGTCCTGAGGATGCAGTGGGTACTGCTCTTCCTGCCTTTACATCCAGATTTGGTGGAGTGAACCAAGCAGCTTCTTCCTCTAGCATGGGCAGAACAAACACTGGAGCAGTGGCCCGCAACCCCTCGACCAAAGCAGGTCATATCGCTGCTTCGAACCTAAACTTCAAGAAAGAGGGTACTGCTCAGAAGGCAGAGTGTGACGCAGCTTTGGAGAGAGCTAATTCCGTCATCGGAAAAACTAGAGCTGGAGAGAAGAGAGCAAGACAAGAGAGCAAGGAAGTTGAAGAAGAAGTTGTACAAGAGGGAACTGCAGCTCAAGAGGCTGGAGAAGAGAGACAGTATGCTCAGAGTAAGAGAGCTGGAAAACGGGTAATGACGAGGTGGATAGATGACTCTGATTGAAGCAGGAGGGTTAATGTTGACTTTGAGAATATGGATGAGAAGCGTCGTGGAGATGCTTCCACAGACAGTCCTTACTACTTAATTAGCTACGGGGAGGCAGAGTAATAATCGGAGATCCAGAGTTGTCCAGCGAGAGCCATGTCGTACAGTTGTCATACTCGCTCCTTTCGTGACAGTGATCAGTTTCCAGAATTAATCCTGCATTTGAACAGCTCGAATGATGTGTAGCACTGGGTCCGGAGAGCTAGTCGACACGCAATTTGGTATATCAATATTCACGCTTTCCACGACAATGACCTGTATCCGAAAATAGTATCTGCATTCGCACAGCTCAATTTTCTTTTGGCTGAATCTGATACTGGGAGTCGCTTCATCCATGTTTTAGAAATGCCATCATACTCGCTCTCTCCATGGCAGTGACTAATCGTCAAAAATCATCCTGCATTTTATCAGCTCAAACTGTACGTTTTTTTTTTCACGATGGCAAAACCTTGCATACACTCACGTACCTGTCATCTTGCGGGTCTCCAGCCTCGACCACCAACTAATCTCTCCAGAGGCCCGTCTTCTTGTGATGCCCACTGTGCCTTGCCGAGCGACCATTTCGCCTCAGCTGCTTCACGTCGACCGGGCTTGAACGCATTCACAGCGTCGCGAAGGAAGCAAGATCGGGGAACAGGCATTGGAGCCGTGATCGCTGGGACTGGTCTGAACCTTGGGGTCGGTACCAGGTTCATGACAGTCGCAATCTCAATCTCAGGCTCAGGCTTAGGCTTTGGAGAAGGGGGTCTTACACAGGGAGGAAACGAGGTCTGTGGATACGAGGGTAAGAGTTGAGCTAGTATGCTCTGCTGTAGGGTGTCGTCGTCAGTAGGGGTGTGGTTGTTGGATTGACCTGATGATTGTTGATCATCAGGCTGCTGTAGGTTTTCGTACCCGCTAGCTTGATGCCCATCGACCTGGCCTTGCTTGTGACCTTGGTGGAACCCTTGCTGACCCTGACCCTGCCCCTGATCGTGATCTCCGTCGTCCTTGTCATGCCGGTAGTGGCGTTCGCGTACCCCGTTGTCGGAGCTTCCATCTGCATCGTCGTCATCGTCGTCGACCTTCTCCTCGTCCTCCTCAACCGCATCAACCTCAGTCTGCCTTTGAGCAACTACAGCATTAGCGAAAGGGGTGACTGCTTGGACAGAACGAGCAGCATCCGCCGCGATGCTTGTGGCTTTGTCTGCAAGCAGTTTCGGACACTGACGCTTGGCTGCTTCGCTCTCAGGGATCCCAGGATGGCCGTCGTCTCTGCCTGTCGATGCACTCTGACGACCACGCTTGAGACCTGATGACGACGGATTAGGGGCGAGAGGTCCAGACAAGCGAGCAGAACAACCTCTCTGAGATTGCCGATTTGAAGGCAGGACAGTGTTAGGCTGAGGACGGGCACCCGAAGACGAGCCAAGAGTATCTTGACGCGAATGGAGCGCAGGTATAGTACCGTTGCCGACCAAGGTTACAGGCAGAGCACCACCACCATTAGTCACCAGTGTGACTGGTACTGGTAGCGGCTGTGAGCTCTGTACAGCATGGACCTGGCCGTTGCTGCCGACAGAACCGGGATGTATCAGTGGCATATGCCTAATGGGCTGCTGCGGCGGAGGAGGAGGAGGAGGAGGAGGAGGAGGCAGAGATGGCAGCGGGTGCAAGCCTCCCTGAACAGGGGTATGCCAGTACCCAGGCACAGGCATTGTCCGCATAGACGCAGGCGTCCAAGGAGTTGGATGAGACGGAGGATAGAAAGCAGCTGGATGACAGTAGACGACAGGGTAGGCGTTCATCTGGTATGCTTGCTGCGGTGCCCGCGTAGCGTTTTGTCTTTCTAATTCACGATGCACCTGGGCCTCGGACTGTCTCTGCCTCTCGGGTATTTCGTCGACCTGTACTTGACGGCGCGCATGGAGATATTGCGATTGTCGTGCTTGCGCCTGGGAATTTGTCCCGAGCCCCTGTGACGGGGGTTCACTTGATGACATCGACCTCCGAGGGGCCATGTTACCACTAGGACCTGAGCCCTGTCTCCTATGCACCTCGGCAGACGGAGACTGAGTCGATCTCCAAAGCCTGATCGAGGATGGTTGGCCAACCGGAGAGGGCCCTTGAGCGATGAAATTCCACGCTTCTGGGTCTGTGCCGGTTGAGGGACGACAGCGGCGTGCGGGTCGCTTTCCTGACCCCTTGTGTTCCTTATCAGAGGTCTCTGATTTCTTCTCGACCGGCATCTTTGCGACTGATTGAATGCACTGTAATCCTGGTAGGAATGACGCTCACGATGAGAGATGTTGACGAAAGACGAATATGATTTTTCTTTGGTGTATTTAGTGAGATAACGGATAGAACGAGCAACTCTCACACTCGTATTTGTAGGTCGATGTAATGCTATGAGTCGATGCAGAAGTGTGAGTCGTAGACACGCGAGAAGCTGGGATCTAGCTGTGTTGGGGACCTGCGCTACATAAATAGTGACTTGTAACTGGCCTATGGCCAGCTTGCTCGCTTTCTCGCCTACCAAGACAACCTCATATAAACGCGACTTGATGCAGAGTCATTTCGCGGTCCCGGGTATGGCTCGTGGGAGCGCATGCCGCTGGGTCCCTCCTAGGACGACATCGATCTCCGCAAATAGACTGTACCTTCCTACAGGCTCATGTTGAGGGTGTTGTCAGACGGAAAGCACGATCGAATGTCGGGATTCAGATTGTCGTTTAAGATTATAACGCAATATCGCTGTCTCTTCTTTGTCGCACCGCGTATGCTATCACCGATGCCCTATGCAAGAGACAGTCACACGGCCATTTGATACACCGGTATAGTCCGAGGCGATACGGCTGCCACGTGCGCCAGCAGGCAACCAGATCGTCACACGTCGACTACGCCGCGCAAAGGAAGTTTGACTCTTTCAAAATTTGATACAAGGTCCTTCCATCAGAGTCCAGTATAGACCAATCGTCTGTGGAATGCATTGAAACTCGATCCAAGAGAGTCGTGCCTGAGTCCATTGTAGGTGGGAGGGCGTATGCTTGATGCCTGACAGAGCCAGTCGTGGGTTTGGAACATCAATGGAGGGTAGCTTATCAACAGCGTACCGTGATAGTCACAATACAAATTTCAAATGCTGTGTCATACTAGAAGCGTCGATACAGTGGGTCTGATCGATCATGGAGTGTTGAGGTTATACCTATTCTGCATCTTGCGGGTCATGCTGATTGCGAAGCCGAATAGCTTAGCATGCTGGTCAAGTTCAGGCGAGTATGGCGATTCAGGTACTCAAGGAACAAGTCGGAAGAAACAAATGTCCTTCTTATATATACATCTCCAAAAATGTCGTGATCGGGTCAAGAGATTGAGCAAGTTCAGCAATCGATGTCTGGTGCGTCGCTGCCCCGTGACGATTTCCGCCGACGCACCAAACCCAATTGGGAATGCGCCGCCGCTCCCAACTTTGGGTTACGATCTTTATTCATCGACACAAGTTCTTTCCAATGGAACAACAAAATGCGATAGTCACTACACCGCCGGCGAGCGGCCCGGTCGCTGCTCCGTCAAAGGAACAAGCTCTGAAATCGTTGACTGAAGGTGGCGCTGGTGACGGTTCAATTTTTCAACAGCTCACAAGTAATCCATTTTTCACTGCAGGGTTTGGTCTTGCGGGTCTGGGTGCTGCGCTTAGACTTGGCTCACAAGGATTGAGAAGGGGAGGAGAACTGTTGAAGAGAAGGATGCTGGTTGATCTTGAAATTACTCGACATGATGAATCTTATCCTTGGGTCTTGAACTGGATGACACGGCAATACCAAAAGTCACTTTCTGAGACAGCTGAGACTGTGTATGTTGATAATCGGAATGAATCAATGGAACTCTGGCTGATAATAGAAACAGAAAACCTGGCATAATGGAAGCTTTAATTAGACGATTCACACCAGGTCTACACCATCTTCAGATCAAGACAGCAAGTCAGAAATCACCCGGAGGAGCTTCTCATACACACTTCTCTCTGGTACCTGGACACGGAAAACACATCCTGAGATTCAAGAATGCTTTTATTGCTGTAGACAGACAGCGTGAAGGCAAATCATTTGACGCACAAGGTCAGCCTTTCGAGACCATCAAACTCACCACTCTATACGCACACCGCCACATCTTCGAAGACATGTTTTCAGAAGCACACTCCTTGTCGATGCAAAGTATTGAAGGCAAGACAATGGTCTACACACTGAGGAATATGCAATGGATGCCTCTCGGAGATGCTAAGCGCAAACGACCTTTCGACTCTGTGGTGCTGGAAGAGGGAATGGCAGAAATGATCAGAGACGACGTCTCGGAATTCTTGAATGCTCGCACTTGGTATCTTGACCGAGGTATTCCTTACCGCAGGGGTTATCTTCTTCATGGTCCACCCGGTACTGGAAAGACGTCTTTCGTGCAAGCATTGGCCGGAGAGCTTGACTTCAGCATTGCTATGCTTAGTCTGAGTCAACGCGGTTTGACCGATGATCTGCTCAATCAGCTGATGCTCAACTTGCCGCCCCGAACATTTGTACTTCTTGAAGATGCCGATGCTGCATTCAACAATCGAAGACAACGCGACGAAGATGGCTTTAGTGGAGCTACTGTCACATTTTCTGGTCTCTTGAACGCCCTCGATGGCGTGGCTAGTGCAGAGGAACGTATCGCCTTCATGACCACCAATCATATTGAACGTCTAGACGACGCCCTGATTCGACCAGGCAGAGTTGACATGACTCTTCGTCTCGGCGAAGCGACACTCTGGCAGATGGAGCAAATGTGGAACAGGTTTTACGCACATCTCGACCCGGATGGCAGTAAGAGAACTCTGTTCCTCGAACGTGTTGGGCAATATGGTCTGGTCAATTCTGTCAGCACAGCTGCTGTCCAGGGCTTGTTCTTGTACAACAAGGATGATCCGGATGGTGCTGTGAACATGGTTGGACAGCTTATGATGGCAAAGACACAAACAATGGAAGTGCCCAAGAAGAATTAGTTACATGTAAAATAAGTGGTGTACGATATGTATATTGAGCAGTTAATTGTGCTTTGTGATAACGATTTCTGTGATACTCGATCTTTCCAATATTTACTAACGCATCCATTGGCTGTTAGGCGAATGAATGTCTTCTTTCTTCTATCCAAAGCAATGCCCTGCCCGAGGCTAGCAATGGCTTCTGTCTCAAAGTAATGTATGTAACAATACCAGATACACATCACACAAGGTCTTCCTAGGCCTTCAGACGCTGGCCTTGCAAGTCCTCTTGCGCATCCTTAATCAAGAAGCTATCGAAACGTCAGCACGACACTCATGCATGAATCTCAGACGAAACCTTAGAACTCACCTATACCACCATATCGTCGGGAAGACCGTCATCAAATGCCATAGACTGTGAGCATCGATAGCACCCCACCAAGGCGGGAAATCAAACAACTCCAAACTCATCGCCGTAATAACCCAAGCAACAATTAAACCAGGCCAAGCCGCCCACCCTTTTTTGGTCTTTTGATACCTACTCACACTGAACCAACTCCAGATGACATTCTGAATAACGCCCACTACGACATTAGCAGTCATGTTGTAGGTATAGTCGAACCTCCAGAAACTGAGATAAGAAACATGAGCCACATAGAGTGTGGCACAGAGTAAGATCCATGCTCTGAGCACAGAACCACTTCTCGATGTCTGTTTATCCAGACGAAAGACTCTGACCACGGACAAAAACATGCCATACATGACTGATGCCGCAGCCCCAAAGTAATCCAACTTCTCCGTCAGATTGAAGTCTCTGGTGTGAAACACACAACTAAAGATCCAGCTCGCAAGACCAAAGTATCCAAAGCCGAGGTAAAACTTCCTCAAGGGATAGCTGGCTGGCACCTTCTCACGCAACACTTTCATGCCATGATCGTGAGCCAAGAAGTTGAGGAGCGAGAAGATGACGCTGAACGGCTCTTGCATGCCAAGGAAGCGGTAGAAGGGCCATTTTCCGTGGAATTGGAGGACTGGCTCGCGGTAGGGTGGCTCGCGCGCAAGGCGTTTGTCGGTTACGACGTGTTGGCAGGAATAGTCGCATTCGGATGGGCAGTCCCAGAGGAGGATGCGATGTTGAAGTGCTGTGTTGGAGGCTTGTGTGAGCATTCGTGTCCTTGTCGCGTTCATTGGTGCCTTTGTGTGTTCCTTGGTCTTTCTGCTTATCGGATGTCGAGGGATGGGTGTGGCTTACATATTGAAGGGCCACCGGGTATGCAGTTTGTTGCTTTACAGACCTATGGTTGTCGTGTTAGCTAGCCGCTCGTCTTTTGGATGCGAAGCTGTCGCAAGTCGTATAACTCACCTTGACGCACTCTTTGAAGTCCGGCAAGCGGTCGCCTAATGATGCGCTGGCTGCTACGACCAGAGCCGCCACTACAGCAGCTCTCAATGCGTTACCTCGAAGATGCATGTTTGTGTACTTGACATGTCCCAAGCTCTCCTGAGATTCGGGCTTGTATGTGCCGAGGCTAGCACACTAGGAAGTAGATTATAAACGATTGCAGCAAGCCTTCAGCCAACCGACTGGGCGTCTGGCGGCAAGTCATCACTATTCTCTCGTATTATATATCTTTGTACTAACCCCGTAATAGCAGTGGTAGCGCGTCTGCTTTGCATGCTGAAGGTCTAGGGTTCGATCCCCTAGTCGTCCATCTCCTTTTGCTCGTCTAGGTGCTACTATGATGATGCGCGTTATTCTTTTGTAGGCAGAGTGTAGGACCATAGCAAATGCTGCTGCGCTGATCGCCTTTTGCTCTCATGAGGGGAGCTTTGTTGCCAAGATTGTGGCCGCAAAGGGGATACCCCTGGACAGACTATCAATACGTCCTGGACTATAACATGCTTGGTCAGGCTGGGCGCTACTAACTCAAGGAACTTCCGAGTGGGTCTCGTCGGACACGAGGTGCTCCTATGTATGGCCGGACGTGTACTCGTCGCGACTGGCTTTGCGCTATAGCTTTGTGAGGATGCCTCCCACACAGAGGGGTTGATTCAGAAAAAAGAAAACATTACATTTCCACGGCTGCGAACAATGTGAAAGCTCTCAGTGGAGAATCAGGACAGATCATGTTCGTTCTCCAGGTGACTGTTCAAAGGAGTGAAGAATACTGCTATCGCTGGCTAGATCTGGATTTGCCCAAGTCGGGCATAGCTCTCGAAATAGACTGCGTCTACCGCTTGTTCTTCCTGTCGTAATCGACTACGTGCCGACTTTGATGCTGCTTTGCCATCTTCCACCTAACATAGAGCATAATCGCATCCTTTGCAACCACAAACAGACATCCTCCAACCACGCTCCTTCCCCACTTGTTTTGTAGTAAGCCTGTAGCTTTTCCTCTCGTCATACCAAACATGCCTGTCCTTGAGGGCACACTCGTCCATGAGAGAGGCAGGATTTGTGCGAGCAGGTCGCCGGACACAGATGCTATGGTCGGGAAGAGAAGGGCGGACATGACAGTCTGGGCGAGAGAGTTTGTGCTGAACGACAAGAGTCGTTCTTCTCTGTTCTGAGCTGCTACCGGAGGAGGATTCTGTTGCGGGCGGGGTGGTTGCGGCGGCTGCGGTATATTCTGATCCTGTTGTTGATCTTGAGCAGGGAGAGGAGCGTGGTCAGGTAGTGGCGGTGCATTGAATGGGTGTGCTTCCCCCTCTTGGACCTCAAACATGACGTCGGCATCATCAGCACCCGCCCAGTCTTCCCAGATATTCCCGTCGATTCGAATTTCGAAGTTGGCGTCTTCTTCGGCAGCCTCCAGCTCTGCATCGACTGCTAACTGAGCATTGGGGTCTGTGTCAGTTTGACCACTTCTTGGTTGTATCTCTCGGAGCCATCTCTTCTCGTGCTCGGCCCAGGTTCGCTGATAGAAAGTGTTGTAGGCTGATCGGATATATGGCAAGATTGCGAAGGTCATGCTTGCCGAGGGTGGCCAGGAGATCATGTCGAGGGTATCTGACGTGTCGCCTTGTGTCGCAAAGAAGACGATGGGAAGTACGGGGAGGATTGAGTCGGCGAGAGTGGTGCGTGAGAGGATAAGAAGCGGGGTGATGAGAGGGAGGCCGACGCGTAGGCGCCAGTGCTGCATGAAACTGCGTAGTTGATCGATGGGTCTTGCTGCTGTCCAGATGTCGTTGATCAAAGGCTGGAGGATGCGCCTCGAGTCTTGTGGGCCGAAGATGGAGGTAATTGTGTATAGACCATGGACGGCGCAGGCATGGACGACGGCACTAAAGGCTACCGTCAAGGCAGCGGGCGCCACAGCCTTTGCTGCCAGCCTCTCCAAAGTTCTGACGACCTCGACTACAGGATCTCGTGGGCGTAACAGTTGGATGTTCGATTTGCATTGTGGGCAGGCGATGACAGGCGGGCCTATTGTGCGTTTGCGCGTGGTTGGTGACTCCAAGTCGGCAATCCAGTCGAGTAGACAGGCCTCGTGCGCTACCAGAGCACATGGACATGGGTCTCGCCACACTGATGTTTCCGGACCATCCTCACTCTCGTCAGAGAAGCATATCCAGCACTTCTTCAAGTCGTTATCGTCTGGGATCTGAGGCGTCTGTCGCGCTTCCGGACTGGGGTGGTTGACTAGCACGCTAGATTCTTGGAGGGAAGAGGCATCTTGGGAGGGCGTTTCTTGAGCGTTCTGTTCGTTGTTCTGTCGTTGCGACGGGCGGCGCTGCATGGACTCCATCGTTCCGGTTGTTCGTAGTGTACCTGTAAAGGATGGATGCGTAAGTAATGGTATGCGGCAGCCTTGGACGGAAAACATCATGCGTCATGCCCCGCGTGTTTCAGCCCCGCATTGGGAAGGCGCTAGGGCCCGTCACTCCAGCGTGCCTTCCCAGACCTCACTTCTCCATCTCATTGCACGAGTACGAGTACTGCCAGTCTTTAGATGCCTCGCAAGACCTTATAGACGGTTGTCTGAGGAACTGATATACCGTAACCGTGGCGGCGTTTCTCGAGTGAATCACGAAGGCCATTCCGTGATAATGAAGACCTGTTTTGACTTCCTTCGTGCCAACACTGAGGAAGGTCATTGTGTTACATCGATCGTTGGGTGAAGAGTATAGCACACTCGCTGACGTTCGAAGGGTCTGTATGTCCTGTCATAGTGATGTCCCAATTAAGACGGCTAGATGCAGAAATGTTTGCGTTGCCATTGAGCATCCATGCCTGTGCAGGCGGTATTGAATAATATCATTCATCATTGTCCGTCGTAGAGCGAACCAATCACCAAAGGGTGGTCAACTATCCCGCTAAAGACAAACCCAACTTCGAGGACTCCGTCGTCGACAATCTCACTCTTGCGCCGTCACTCGTTCCCACTCGACACCAACTATCACTCGAGCCAATTATCCGCTGCAACGACTAATTAATTCCTGCCCTCTCCCTCAACCGCACTCTTCCTCTTTTAACACACTGGTGTACTCTAGCATACCAGATCTTGCTCAACAGCATCACGACTCACGATGGCTCCAATAATGAGCCTAATGGCAGCAATGCTAGGACCAGCCCCTCTTCCCTCCAGCTCTGGCCGTAGGGTGCAGCGTCGCGCAAGGTGTGCGTTGCATAAGTTCTCCAATGACCACGCTAATACCGACAGAAACTCTGGAGCTCAAGCAGAATCCGACCCCGAAAGCATGATCAGAGAATCGATGGAGGCCTTCGAACTGATCGACATGTGTCGCGAGCAAGGCATATGTTACTGCAAGCACGGTCTGACCTACAGTGACCATGCAAAGGATCGACGTATCCTCGAGCGTATCATCCACGAAGCCGGGGAGAAGAAGCCCCGCCTCTACCTCCACTGGTCGGTCGAAGAACTCAAGAACGAAGTCAAGTTGCGCAACATCAAACTACCCAAGAAACGCACGAGACTTGCTATTGTCGGCATCCTGGAGCACTCCAATCCCTACCACACCTTCCGTCTCATGGACCCACCTGCCGAAGTCCGTCTGCGCATCTACGGCATGGCACTTGATGATGGTAGAGGCGAGGATCTGAGCCCTCACGACGTTATCGAGCCTGCTCTTCTCCTCACAGCTCGCAAGATACGCTCCGAGGCCATTCCTGTCTTCTACGGCCTAAAATACCTCCGCTTTGGTGTGCCCTCCAGCGTGTAACTCAAGGACATGAAGCCCGGAGGGTATTTCTCACTCGGCGACAAGGCTTGGCTGGGACACGTCGGCCCCGACAAGATCAGATACTTGCGCCACATCTCCTTCCGCATGACTGAGCTATTCGACGAGTTCGATTTTCACATCGATCTCGCCAGTCGTTCCGCCAGCGCCTGGCGCATCCCCTTCGGCAACGAGGTCATGTGCTGCCCATGCGCACGTCAGGAAAAGTGGACGCTGACGCAGTGGCGCGAGCACATGGCTATTAGACTGAAGCCAGAGGACCAGAAGGAGATCTTCGACAACATCGACAGCTGTACCGAAATTGCCAACAAGGCTCTCCTGGATTTCCAAGCTCTTTGTGTTGACGGCGAGAAGCTTGAGCCTACCATTGCTGGTCTCGAGATTCTGAGTCTAGCTGCCAAATACATTCTAGACTCTCGTTCGATGTGGACTTTCGCTGGTGTCGACTTCTCAGGCATTCGTGGCTCTACCGGCGACGACAACGGAGACGATGATGCCAACGATGATGCCAACGATGATGCCAACGATGATGAGGAAGAGAGTGATGACGACGAGAACTAGGCAGATAATACTTCCCCGCGTGCGAAATACTGTCTCACATGTAGCTGCCTCAAGGCACAATACTTTCTTACATCAAAGCGATGTCATCGAGATCTTTTGTGTCAACGACTCCCTGCATCAGGCTTATCGATTTGAGATACTCCTGTGCCTTCATACAGCTTATTGTTGCCCTGCTCTGATCCTTGTGAAGAAAGGGTGTGACAGTATTCTGCACACAGGGAGGAAGGAAACTCATTGAGAGAACAACAGCCAGGTCTTGAGCTTTGCTCAAGCAAGAGCCGGCTAGAATTCCACAAAGAATCGAGGACTGCTCTGGTGGTCAACCGAAAAAGACGAGACTGAGAGGACAATGGCACAACGGTCAAATGCTCGAGATGTAATCACCTTGTCATCTGTGTTGGGAAGGGAAGCGAGGTAGCTTAGAGCAACTACGAACGGCCGCTTCAAAGTCTCCTTCCTTCGCACTGGCTCTCCTGGTACCTTGATCAACTTTTCCTTTCCATAATTGTCCTTGCCCAAGTCATAAGTTGAACAGAAGGCCAAAGCACCTTCCGTCACGACAGTCTATTAACCCCTTTCAACAGAATCAATACCAAGTCTCTGTGATCGAGACTCTTCCACCCATAATTGATCTCCCAGTCAAACACAATCATTCTTTTCGCCTCGCTCTCGAATCATAAGGCCTTCGACTTCCAATCAATCGACATCTCGAACTGGAGATATTCAATGACTTCCACATGCAAGAAATCATACTATCAACGCAAGATCTTGCCCATCTCATCAGCAAACTTAGCCTGCTGAATCTGATGGTCAATGATAAGATTATTGCATTCCGACTGAACTCCGATCTTGTCTGCCTTGTTCTTTTCAATCCATCCATGTGCCTGGTGGTGTAGTGTATACAGTGCATCATCAGAATATGAGCGCCAATCTTGGATCATTGACGTGGTTGGATGGGTGGAGGGTTGAGTCGGTTCTTCATCCTCGTCTGCTGAGGTAGTCATGGTTGCGTCTTCATCTTGGACTTCATTCTCGGCATCATCGTGGTTCTCAACGACGCCGGTCTCATCTTCGTTGTTGACATTGGAGATTTGATTTTGCTTTCTGGCAGGAGCTCGAACACCCCTTGGATCTGATGGCTCTGCAACGGAAACACGAGTAGAGGCTCGACGCGGAGTTTTTCTCAGAGAGCCATCGGGAATTCTTCTATCAGGACTAGTAGCCGAATCGGTCACAGCAAGTTGCGTCTCGCTCAGGACTTGCAGCACTCCAGGATAGCCAGCCGTCACAGCACTTCTCACGGCGATTTCCAGCAAATCGAGAATGGCAACTGAGTCCTCATCACTAGGCAGACTCTCAAAGATCGCTCCCAGTGACGTATCTTTAGTGAACTCATGGATATTCGACAACTGCACTCTTGCCGAGAAAACAGCTGGTGACACTGCTCTCTGCTGCAGATCTCTGATGCAGATTTCGATAAACGATAGTGCAAACTGTTTAGTCTTTTCGAGCACCTCCTGTCTCTGGAGAAGTTTCTCTAAAGATGGTTGTTGGCTGGTTGTTTGGAATTTGTCGAAGATTTTGGCCATGTGGTTCTCGACCAACTCTTCGCTTTGGGTGTACTGGTCGGTGATCTGTTTGACGTTGTCCTTGATCCTGCGCAGGTTGTCGCTGACGGGCTTGGGCATGGTTATTACTTGGTCAGTCATGATTATGATGATTGGACAAAGTAGATGAGATACCCAAGACGTGGGAGATTACAGGTGGCACTTATAGCCTACACTCAACAAGGATATCCTTTGGCCATTCATCGGAGCAAAGAATACAAGGATGGCTAAGGAGCTTCCTCTAGCTATCTTGAAGCCGTCAGAGATAGAGGCCTAATTTGATGGAGTGCTCTTTGATATAATCAGCTTTCCATTGCAGCTTACATCTCGCGCAATGATATCTGGAGATAGATAGTAACCCATTGACAGCTTTTCAGACCGCCGATTCATTCACTAGCCAACCGCGTTCTTTGAGACAACTCCGCGTTCCTCTTAGCTTGCATTCTTCTTGATTGTGTTTGGGGTCGGTTGATCTCTTTATGTTGCATCGTGTCTGGGTCTGCGTACAATTGTTTGATGTTTGCCTTGTATGGACCGCAAAAAGTCTCTTGTGATGAACGAAGTTCTGTGTGGTGTTCAAAGAAAGGTTGGGAAGAAGATCATAAGATCCAGGTATCGAAAACACAAGTGCTTGGATGACCTCAGATAATGTGCTCGATAGTAGAATGTGGACATTGAGAAGTGGCCAGTAGAGATACAAAGCATCTCTTCTCGTATCTGCACAGTTTATTGAGCATTGTTCGTTCGCTTGGGCCTTTTATTCAAGGGAGGCGTTGGGCGTGCAATGGAAGGCGCGAGGATTCGTCACGCGGCCCGATCAGGTTTCTGTAAATCATCACATCGAAGTCTCGTTTCCTGGCGAATGTTACAATCATTGCGTGAGGATAGATTCAGACTCTCCCTAGATACTATGGTAGAAACAGAGTTGGAGTATGCCGACGGTTGGACCGTGTAAGGCAAACTCAGTCTGTAAGACTATAACCGTTACTCAGTATCATAGAGAAGGGTAACCTACCTTGAGCACTTGAAGCGGTCGCGTGGCTATTAAGTGATCACCAGAACGGTTTCGCAGAGTTGGAGGTTGAGTAATGAGTCGGCCGACAACCGCAGGAGCAGAGTGCCTTGATCTCCACTCTGGCATCATATCGCTGGAAGACGATTGATCTTTCGGATGAACAGGTCGTCCGTCGCGAGCGGGAAGGCCGAGTCCATCGCTCCTAAATATAGTGGCTAATGTCCGCAAAGGTCTCCTGTTTGGAACCCCCAAAGTCAGAGGTCACGATGAACCTCACACGACAAATTAGCTCAGAAAATCATTCCTCTACTCTCTTCAACACTAGGTATTCGAGATAGATTTCTGGTTTGACAAAGTTTGTGACATGTCTTGCACATACACATACCCCAGTCGGCATGCACTCGTGATGTGATAGTAGCCACTCCATCTCACTTGCGGCGCATAGCTTATTATTGGTTTGTGATGTCTGCTCTTGCTCGTTCTTCGGCCAGATAGGCAAGTGAAGATATGACCACACCCCGACTGGCCGTTCACTTGACTTACTTTCAGCAAACATCTCCACGTCTGATGCAATCGATCCTCTACAAGCAACCTGACTGCTTCTCTCCGCAACAATAGACTCCAAATCTGGCGGATTCGGCATAAGCGAACTCAAACACGCCTTTTGCTGCCTTTTCTTTGCTAGCCAAGACCTCGATTAGCAAGTCGACGGCCACGAATTCGACCAGAGTATATCCACTCTCAGTAATTGCCATGGTAGCCTGGCAGATAACCTCACAGCGCAACAAGGACATACTTCAGTATTGCTATACAGTGCGCACGAGTTCAATCTTAGATATAGGGATTCCGCTAACGGTATTGCTAGATGCGACGCGAGTTGAGCAAACTTGAAGACGCTGCTCTCAAGTATGACGATGAGATCGCAAGGAGAAATGCCACCACTGTCACCAAGGCAGAGCCTGAGCCCGAGGAGTCCTTCAAAACCGTGAAGATCGAGCCTGAGACCTCGCCCGCTCGCACAACTACGGTTCCTTCTTCCAAAAATTGCGACTTCTGCGATTTTACCCACAACATCAAGCCTAGAAGTTACTGGCGCAATGGTGCCTCGAACTCCGGCCAAGAAGAAGCAAAACAAAAGAACACAGGACAATCCCGACGAGTCTCTAGCAAAGAGCAAGAAGCTTAGACTCACAAGCTATGAGTTAGCAGAAGACAACGGACACTATATCAATAGTACCACATCTTCAATCTTGCATTCGACCGCAAACAATAAGAATCCCGGTAGACTTGGAGTGAAGTCCAAACCCCAGCCCTCAGTCGGAGAAGGCGAAGACTCCGAAGAAGAGACTTCGAAGAAGGCAAAGAGCTTGAAGAAGATAAGATCCTCGAAGACGAAGAAGAAAGCTCCTCAGAAGATGGAGAAACCTGCGAGGAAGACAAAGGCGACTACACAGATGATGGGAGACATTTTGATGACAAATCCTGGAGAACGAGAATCGCTAATATACAAGGTTCAAAGGGAGCTCGACTTGTGGAACGAAAGCGACCCTGGAAATGGTATAAACTGATTATGATACCACACATTCCTGCCTAAGGGCACGCCGTTGCTAGAATACCATATTTCCCCTTCGATGGCCTAGAAGTTCGCTCGGGGCTGCACAGATCTTGAGACTCTACCATAACAGCTAGTTTAGCGTTTGTACAGGAAGATTTTCTAATGTTTTCATTCTCCATTACCCAATAGCAAGCCAAGTCAATGTATTCATACTTAGTGACAACACCTGATGCCAGTATCAAAGCTTCCTCGTCATCTCCGTTTGAGCTATCGAGTGCGTGAGACGGCGTTGATGGACGGTTCTCGATGTTGGCCGATTTTGGAGTCGAGTTTGGAGACTGTGTTTCCATGATCTAGACAGCGGAGGTTTGTTTGTAAAGATCAGCTACGACAACGCAGGCCTGATCATACAGCACCACGCGCTCCATGCTATTTCGAAGCCAAATATCCGACACAATGTCTCGGACAGCAACATGCGTCAGGTGCAAGATGACGGCGACACATTGCTTGTCCACTCCTTCGAAACCTCTGATACTGTCCTCAAGTCCGACCAGAAGCCAACCGACTGGCATATCGTTGATGATATGAGGGTGTTTATTAATGACAGCCCCTAGAGCACGGAGAATATTCATCTCATCATCTGGCCTGATCCACGGGAAAGCAGAAAGCCGAAAAACAGAAAGAGGTCTCGAGGTAAGCTGCAAAGTAGAGAGCACTTTTGAATCTTTCTATGATCGAGTTGCGATGTCCTAGACGCATAGCTTGATGAACGACATCACAGCAACGCGATGTATGTTGAGTCTTTCGTATTTGGAGAGATGCCCTTGGATATCCTAGACCGAGGTATCGTCGTGTCTTTGGGTAGTAGCAATGTTCTGTGTGATATCGACCCTTGACCGAAGCGTCTTGTGTAGTTGTGATATATCATGAAAGCTCGTAATGATACCATGGACGTTTCCCTTGATGTCCCGAGTATGGAAGAGCAAGGGATCGACCATGATGAGAGCCGGTCTTTGAAGTGGCTGGAAGCCCAGAAGGATGTAGTGCCTGATGAAATTATGTCTGTGGAGTGATGAGATGTTGGAACAAGGGGCATGCAAGCGACACGATATTCTATGATCAGGAAGGGCTGCAAATTTGCAGTGCCAATTCTCAAAATCACTGTATCAATCGAGGAAGGAAAGACACAACTTCGAAGAAGCTGGAAAGTCAGGGTTGCCGTCAAGGAAGGAGCAAACAAGAACCAACGCACCGTGTTTGACACACAGACACTCAGCATCCAATCACTTCCACCCTCATATACCATAGTCCCCTCATACATCCGAATTACAAGCCTGTATTGTTCGTTCGGAGATCCCCTGACCACCGGGCAGTCGTAAGTTACCACCCTCTTCCTCACCTGGAGGATTGGTAAATAACGACTGCGCGAAGCCGGGAGAAGACGGGACTAAAGCCCCTTCTTTTTGCTTTATGAGGCGGTGTGTTCGATTCTAGTCGTAGGAGTTCTGGTTTTGCAATGATCTTGTTATGACTTCCCTGCTGTCACGCTGTTGGTGCAAAGGCCTTTTTGCTATACTACTGGGTGGTCACCAGTCATTGCATGAGATACAGCTGATTAGGACCACCACGTCGGTTTGATGAGATTGGTGTGTTTTGGCTATCTGTCAGATCAACTTCTAGATCTTCATTCTGCCACTGATCTAATGTTCCGCGGTCAGTTTCGCCTTCGCTACCCCCAACTTTCGGTCTTAGCTTTGGTCTTCTTGCCCTCAATCATCTCAGAGTCCTCATGATCGAGTCTTGATCTCTTTCTTACTCCGATTAGGTTCGAAGCAAACTTCGCAACCTTGTCGAAGTCTTCAAGCTCCGCAGACTCGGCCAGAGATCCGGACTTCGAAAAGCGGACAGACTCGATGATGTTCTTGGACTTTGCAGACTTGGTCACCTCCTCGACGTCTGACGGTTTGGTAACGCCGTCCAAGTCTCGCAACACAGTCTTTTCTGATGACTTGGTGATGTCGCCTCCGTCAGAAAGGTTGTCAGATCCCTCACAAGGATTAGCCAAATCCTGCTGTCTCTCAATCTCCCTGTCTCTGGTGGCTTTAAGACAGCTCCATCATCTCTTGCTTCTTCTTGAGACTCTGATTTGATCAGTACACACTCTCCTGACTTTTCTAAGCTCACTAACCTTTTCAAGACGCTCCTCATCTGTCAAGATCTTGTCAGTATTTCTGATACTCTCTAACTTGGTACCCTCAGGACGATCAGGTCCTCCAGCACGTCTTGAGTTCTTGACACTACCGCTGAAGAGCAAACGTAGCATAGAGAGGGTATATTTATTGGCCATGACTTGGTATAGTCAGTAAAGTATAGCAGTGGTTGAATAGTATACTTACCGAGACGTTTGAAGTTCTTCGTCGTATCTCAAGTCTGCCAGTCAAGTTCCTGGATCCGCCGACAAGTCCAAACCCGCCAGATCAATCTGTGCAAAAGGACAGACTGATGGTGATGTAAGATGAAGAGAGGTAGTAGCATAGGAAGTCTCAGGTTGAATTTGACGCGCATTCGTGTTTCTTCTGCGGTTTCCATGACTGAGAGAGTCGAGTGAGGTACAGTGGACTTTGGAGATCTGTTGGACTGGGTGTGATGTGTAGTAGAAGAAGAAGAAGTGGTTGTAGCCTGATCAACCAAGTAAAAGCCGGTTAGATGTGACAGTGAACACGAGTGAGAAGCCAGCATTGCTTAAAGGCTCGATTGAAATCTTACTAGCAAGTAACGCCAAACAATGCCCGATGACACTGAATGCTCGACAAGACTCCACTGCCATCAAGACCCCTTCACTTCCCCTCCGCAATAACAACAGCAAGCCCCAAAACACCACCAGCCAAGATAGCAGCCCCCCTCACATAATTCAACCATTCAAACCTCTTGACCATCTTCTTCAACTCCCCCTCATCAACCTCATCCCCTCTCCCTTGCCTCTCAAGTTCCGCCATTTCTCTAAGTGGATTATTGCACACCGGCAACATAAGCCCAGTGATAGGTCCAATAGCTATACTCAACACTGCTGCCGCCACAAAGCCTGTTCTTGTTCCCATCTCCATGCCTAGCACTTTCACAGCAGTGTTGGCAGAGTAGTAGGCCAGATAGCCAAAATTGGCGGCTGCGAATGTGGCGGCTTGGGGGAAGAAATGGCTGCCGCGGGAGAAAATGAAGCGGATGGAAGGCAGTGTTACTGTAGGAGAAGGCTTTGAAGAGGATTGAGAGCGGGCGGAGTTAGAGAGTAGGGGTGTGTAGAGGGCGGAGATTGAGAGGATGGCTCCTGCTGTTGCTATTGAGACGCTGGGGCCGACAACCTTGGCGATGTTGATTCCAGTGGTGGCATCCATGTTTGCATTAGGCTGATCAGATGTTTACTTTAAGCTTCAAGTACGCCTTTTGTAGTGAGGAACAGTAGATTTGTAGGTGCGGTGTCTTTGAATGGATGCTTTAGAACTGAACTTGATGATGGCAGCTTTGCTTGATCTGCGTATGTTTGTGCAGAGATTTCAAGAGGCCTTGATGGACGAAAAGTGTAGTGTATGCCGAACAGCTGTGGTGAGCATTAAGAGGCTTATAGCTTAGATGAGGTGAGGTAGGACCCATTACGTCATGCCAGGGTCACCTCTGTCATCGGATTTTGACCATCGGATTTTGATTGAGATGAGCCCGCAGTCCGAGTCTCTTACAGTACTATTGCTGAATATAGTGGTGAGGTAAGTCATGTAAGCTCGATCATAGCCGGAGACAAAAGCAGGGCAGTCATCGGTTGAAGCTTCAACGATTCAAATGTACCAGGCAGTGTATTTTGACGTGGCACAATATGAGAATGTCGAACGAGGTATGGGTATCGTGGAAGAGCAATGTGAAGCAGTCCTCAGTAAGAGATATCGAGGCTGCCAGAGAGAACGGAAGGTATCGCTGTTACGTAGATGTATGCAGCATGGATGTTCAGATGATTTCCAGATCATCACTATCGCTGTCGACCGGCATCAGGACTCTACCCTTACCAAGGCTGTCACGTCCAGGCTCCCGAATACCCTGAGCGAGCTGAAACCTAGCTTTCTTTGGGCTCTTCTCACCAGTGCCAGCGCCTGCGCCAGCAATCGAGGAACCGATAGAGCTAGGACGTGTATGTGTGTCAAGCTTGGTCTGTCCCTTTTCAGGACTGATGTCGCGCTTCCGAGAAGACTCCCCTAGACCTCTTCTTGCGTAGCCGCCCCAACCCATGGCATCAGGACCCGCCGCGGTCGTTTTAGTTCCGCCAGGGAGTACAGCAAAAAGCTTCCGACGGTTCTTCGCCGGACTAAGGCGAATCTTCGAGGCGTCTTTGTTGATCAGACCGAGCTCAGCTGCGGTAGGCTTGTATGGGGGTGCATCCTCATTTGTGTTGTCCAGCGCAGTATTTTGGTTGCTGGTGCCTGTTGTGCTTCTCAAGTATTCAGCTCCAAGACCATTTCCCAGCTGACCCAACTTCTCAGCAAGCAGTCGGTCCTTCTCTTTATCCTTTAGGCGGCGACGCAATGCATCGGCTTTACCATGGTCGTCTTGATCGAGGAGGGAAGCCGCGGTACGTGAGCCCGGACCCATAAAGTATCGCTCATTGCTTTCCCAGTCTTTCTTCATCGGGTCTTGTCTGCGCTTGGAATAGCCATTGGGGAGTACGTGGGAGCCCTTCTGGTGTTCGCTGTTCGGCCTGTACATTGTGTTGACCTCCATACGTGATGCTCTCGTCTTACTAACCGCGAGCTCGACGTGGAAGTCGCAGAATTTGTTCTTGCGAGCGTTGACCCAGGAGTGGCATTCTTGTCCGTTCTTCTTCAAAGCCGTGCAGAAACCGAGGTCTCGAGCCGAGCCAACTTCCATAAAGGAGTCTTCTGAGCTAGCAAGCTTTAGACTGAACTTGCCAGAGTGTTGGTTTGTCTTTGGAGGCATGATGGTCGGATTAAGCATGGCAACTACGGTTCCAGGAGTCATCTTCCAGAAAGCCTCGAATGCTGTGTCAAAGAGGAACAGATCGATCTCCCACTTCAGATCCGTAAGCGTCATGACCATGAACTTTGTCGGGCCGGAGTTATCATCCTCGACGGAAGAGTTCTGCTTGTGCTTGGGTCGTGTATCGTATGGAGATGACTTTGATGCAATGATGGCCAGCACAACAAAGTCAGTCTCACAATATGGAGGCTCATATAGCGGTGCCTTGACTTCTTTCAGCAAGCGGGGCAACGTGTAGACCTCCTTGCCGTCCAAAGCTCTAGCCAGAGTAGTGTGTGGTAGCTTCCGCTTAGAAAGGTGAAGCGACGAAAAGCTCTCGAAACAAGATCCATCCGTAGCAGGTTCGGTAGAAGTGGGTGTGTCGTCGTGAGAGAAGACGACAGTCGGACGGAAGGAACGACCTCTGACTTCTGTGGATGCTGCAGAAGGTTGTGGAGCACGCTGAGCTACGAATGGACTTTGCGAAGATGAAGAGGTGGGGATCGAACGGCTGAAACTGCTGTTGCTGTTCTCAGAAGGTAACTGTCTGGTCGCTCTGTCGCTTTGTGTACGAGGCAATTGAGTTCTCGGTTGTGTTATTTCACGACTTGCACGAGGAGTCGCTTGAGCAGTAAGTCCGAAACCTTGGGACCTCGACTTTTCGATTCTCTCGTGTTTGGCTTGTTGTTGTTCGGTGGTAAGGCGATTGGCAGCGATGCGTTCGCTGAAGCTCTGCTTTGGCCTTTCGGGTTCCACAGGTATATTTGAACGGACTACTGTCTTGTTCGGCAGGGTTGAACCATTCCTAGCTCTTTTCAATGAAACGTCGGCGGCTCTGAGACCTTTGTCGATACCGAGGAGTATGCGTGCTGGCGAAGTGGGGCCATGCGTTGAAGGAGGCGGCATGTGGCTCTTGATGGGCGATACGCTGACTTGAACGGCCGGTTCAAAGGCGGCTGCATGTGTCTTTTGTCTCTTTCGCGGCGAGTTTGAGTTTTCCGAACTTGGTCTCGATTCATCGTCGTGGGTGTTTTGCGACGACTTTTGCTTCTGCAGCTTTTTCAGTTTAAGTCTGGCCTGGATGGCTTGGAGGCGAAGTTGGAGTGTTTCCTCATCGTCGTCGCTGTCGCCATCGGACATTGCCATGATGTCTTGAAGAGCCCTACTGGAAGAGGGTGGTTGTTTGCGAGGGGAAGGTGAGACGTCACGGTCGCGATCCTGAGCAATGCGATCTTTGTGTTCTTGCCAGCGTCGTTTTCCGTTTGGCGAGCTGAGGAGAGCTTCGAGCGGCGACGTTGGTGGCCAATTGATGCTGTTTTGGCTTGCCGGGACTGTGCTATGGTCAGCACCGACGCGATTCATGGTGGACTAACGACGCAGGGTTGGAAGGAGGTTGGATACCTTTGGCTTTGGGGGACTGGCGGACCTGCATTTTCAGGGAGTCGCTAAGAAGATGCTAGTTGAGTGACAGGCGGTCGTCATGTCATATGTACACAACGGTCGGACACGGATGCAGGGTCGGACATCAGTGTAACCGGAGCGTCAATCGTGGTACGCTTATGCGCCGCAATCTTGTCCAGGAAATGCTCTCACAACCACTTCTCTGCAAAGCCACAGGACAAGTTTTGATTGTTGTTGATATCCTAGGCTGTTGATGTGGCTATTGGAGTATTCTTGATGGAACAAGATATCCGAGAAGTCCTCTAGAAGCAATAATGATGCTCAATGCAATCAAAGCATGCATCGCAAACCAATCAACACAGCCAGGGTCCAGAGAAACGCCAAGAAGACACGAAGACGCGTCTCCAATTCAGTCAGTTTTGGGAAGTCTAATGACTTTCTGGCAAGGGTCGCGTCTTCCATGATACTTTCCCTAACATTTCCGAATTGACACCAACAACACCAACCAAACATGAAGACTCGAGCAACAAAGTCATCAATCAAAGCTACCGAGGCTACAGAGGAGACAGGCTTCGAGAGTTCGGGTCTCGAGGCCAGCAACAACCCTCCGCTACTCTTCGTTCTACCGGAAGGAGCGTCTCCAGATGCTCGTGTCGTGACTCTGCCCAATCCGGCCACCACAGCTCCTTCTCGATACTTTTTCTGCCCGACCAAAGGCATTCACGAGTTCACCAAAGTCGCAGTCCCGAAAAAGACACCCCGTAGTTGGTTGATCACTCCCGAGCAGAGTACAACCGGGGGCCCTGATGCTGGCTCAATCGTTGACAGAGGCTACACTGTTGAGAATGCAGATCTTTTTGTCGCGACCCCGGTTGATCCTCTCTTCGTCCTTCTGCCTGCCTTGATGCCTGCCGCCGACTCTCACGAACAACTTTTCCTCACCATTGACGATCACCTCGACAAGCTGGCCGAGAAGGCAAAACATCTGACACAACTACTCCGTTCCACCAAGATACAACAGTCATTCGAGAAAAGGGCAGATGCTGTTTGCGACAAGGTGGACCTTGGGCATGAGAAGATGTTTCGCCTGTCGAACGAGAAGCTGCTGGCCGAGCTGCTTAAGAAAGCAAGTCGCATGGTTGCCAACGGCCTTCCTGCCTCGTTGGAAAGCCACTTTGTCGAAGAGGCTCTGAGAATACCCATGATGGCTGTGCAGCGAACAGGGTCGCAAGGAGAGGAAACTCCATCAAGAGACACTGACACCGCAACGCCATCTACAGCCACGGAACAATCACAACCTTCCCAGACCTCGGCCGTCACCGAAGCCACTTCTCTCACCTCAGCCTCTGACTCTACTCCCGATGACATTACGAACCTCCTCCGCCTCCGCACCGCATTGAATCTCCTCTTCTCGACATATATTCCTAGTTCTCTCCACACCCCGCTGAACACCCTGTTGAAGAGTCCGACATCACCGGCAGATTTTGCTCCACTTGACGCACATCTTGGCCATATCGCTGACGCAAAACGTCGTGCTCAAGCTCTTCGCTCTCTCTCCGACAATGTGTCCCGCAAACGCAGTGCTTACAATGATGAGGAGGCCGAGGAAAGAGAAGCTGCCAAGAAGAGGAAGAAGGAGGAAGAGGAGGCCAAGAAGAAGAACACAAGCAGAGCCGTCAAGCAATTGGGCAAGGTCAACACGACGGGTATGATGAAGCTGAGTTCCTTCTTCACAAAGGCTCCAGCAAAGAAGTAGTTGCAACAATCAACAAGACCATGTACAGCTCCTCCGCCTGTCGGACATTGACGCCACTCAGATGCTCGATAGTCATCTTATCCTTATTGCGCGTAACATGACAAAGTTGATGGTGGCGCACCTTTTGGCTGTCTCATTTGGTGTCAGGTCGCTCGCTTGAATCTTTTCTGTGAGCTTTTGTATTCAGGAAGATCGATTGTCCACTGCACGAGGTTCTGATTCAGTCTTTTCAGCTGTTCTCGAACCACGCGTCTTGTGGGACTTATTCATTACATCGTTCGAAGGGGATCTCGAGGACGGTATCATAGAACCCCCTACAGTAGTCTCCAATTGCATATATCACCTACTCTCAACAGAAAAAAGGACCTTTTCTCTCAGACCGATGCCCTACCATAGTCTTGACGCTTGAGAAGGTCATTCAACCGCGGTGGAAGAATCCAGACAGACGCGACCTCCTCTTCTCCAACTTCTTCCCACGTCCCGTCTTCGCCTCCCCACCAAATCCATCCTCCTTCACAGCCTTGACATAACTGCCCTCCTTGAAGCTACTCCGCTTACTCTCCTCCCCACTGCTCGTCTTGGCCACCATACCAATAGGAAGTTTAAGCAAGTCCTCCTTCATCTCACTCAGCTCATCTCTGAAGCGATCACTATAATCCTCCATCTCTGTGCGAAGGCGATTTTGGTACATCTCCATCTCTTCCTCTAGGTCGCAGATCTTGTCAAGGACGTTGCGAATGGTCTGTTGGCGTTGAGACATAGCGAGACTGGTGAGTTCTTCTTCGGACGCGCGGTTTCTGAAGGAGACGCGCTTTTTCTTCTTGCGTTCTCTGGAGAGGGCTTCTTGGACTGCTTGGTCGATTTCTTCGGCCTTTGACTTTTGGTCGAACAGCATGTGATTGCGTTCCAGAGTGAGTTTCTCGAGTGCGTCTTTCAGTTCGTGGCGCAGATATGTGTCGTGGGGAAGAGGACACTTGCGTTTCTCTTCCTGCTTAGCAACTGCCACATTATTCTCGAGGTGGAGTCCCGAAGACAGATCGCTGAAACGAGAACATAGCAACAGACCACTCGGAGAGCGGTGCCAGCTCATGTGCATGTCAATGATCTGCTGCACTTCATTCATCCAGGCGAGTGTACACTGGTTCTTCGGGCCTTTGCGAAGCTGTACAACATTAAGTCTCGGCAGTAACAGTCACATAAGACGTAGATCTTACCTTTGGGTCCTTGATAAAGTCTGGCATCATCGACTCAACCAAACGCTCTTGCTCTGGAGTGTATGAAGCGATACGTTGCTTCTTTGTCGTAGTGCTCAGGGATCTCGGATCGTTACCAGCTCTTGGATCAAAGATAGGTGTGTCCACACGACCTCTCGATTTGGACCCCAGACTGGCAGAGCGAGAAGCATGGTTCACGCGTTCAGTATCTTCATTGATAGGCGTGAGGGTTTGTGAGCTCCACGCGCGAGAAAGTTGGTCTTTGTTGGTGACTTTGACGGCGGCACTACTGAAACAGTCAGCGATGAGATATGCTTGGTCTTGCGTAGTGTTTACGCACCTTGTAGTGCTCGTCATGGGAGTATTCTTCGGATCAAGAACTCTGGCACGAGTTGTGGATGGAAGAGTTGGTTTGACTGAAGGCTGACGTGGCATGATGTGGTGAGAACAACCGCATTCGGCAGTGGAGTATGTTGATGACAGGGGCTTTGCAGTGGATATTTCATGCGGAAAGGAAAACTGCGTTCGTGTTCCCGTGAAAGGACCAAAGCGTGCGCGGCTGTAGAAAGACGTGTTGTTTGTTGACAGCAAAATCCGCTTTCACTCCTGGCTACGCCAAGGTCAAGAGGCAGTAACTTACTCACGGTGAATACAAGACAAATCGTTCCCAACTCTTTGATTGCGCCATCGGGGTTCTATAGAGATTACACTCACGCCTCTGGTGTCTATTGGAGCTCTCCATAGGCATAGAGCCCATTCCAGTTGACAGTCGGAAGATACGACTTTTACGAGCAAATGAGCCTGTCCCTCACCTCCTCGCGCGTGTCTTGGTTCATCTTGCTCAAGTCCGACTATTCATGAGTTCGAGGATGTCGCCCTCAAGCTTGTGAAAGCGTTTGCTGATCTCAAGATCCACGTGCTTCATCTTCTCATTAATCAGCTTGCGAAGAGTCATCGAGAGAAGCCTGAACCGCGTTCATCCAAGTCAAGGTATCTTGTTGGCGAGGAGCTTTGCGCAACTTCAAACGGTCAGCAGACCGTCAACATGATTAATGCACGACATGATCTTACCTCTTCGTCTGTGTTAAAGGGACGGAATCGGAAGCCGTCAGGAAGCTTAACTGAGACTGCGCGTGGTGGACGGAAGTTCTCTGGGACCAAGTGGTTGTGATATTTACGAGGGGTCGACGTCATGTCTGCGTTGCGTGTCGGTCACGAGTAGTGTAATGTTTCGGAGAAGAGAAGAAATTCGAATCTGGATGAGTCTCGTGGTGGCGCGAAGAAAGGTTTTGCTGAGTACAAGTTTGAAGGGCGAAAGCAGCGTGAAGTCAAGTCATAGTTGGAAGCAACACCTGAGCCACAACCAGGCAAAAATCTTACTCTCGTGCTCAGCCTGCTTGACACGGCTACCTGTCCAGATCTTAGTACACGCACTCGCAGAATCGCCACAATCTTCACTTACAGAATTGGCTGCGTTTGCACAGAGCCTTGGTGCGTCTGCGGGAAGTGACGATGAGCCGCGATGCGGTGATGGCTTTGCTTGAAGTGGCCGGGCGCATTGGATCGTGTTACCGTTGATGCGATGTTTAGAGACTTGTGAGAGTGTCTCTGCTTGATGCACAAAGAGCAACGATACCAAACAAAGGCGGCTCCTGTTCTCGCGATAACTGAGACTTCTTGAAAGCGCCGCCAAGCTGTCAACAAGATCGTCGACATGAGTTACGGCTTACTCTTGCCGCTTCTTGTGTCGCCCGTGTACACGTTCCAGCCTGTGAGAAATCAATCAAGAAAGGGTGTTCATCATTCATGCCCTAGCGGTGGGTCTTGGTTGCACCAAGTCCAACCAACATGTAATAATTAGTCTGGAAGAGATCCCAGGCTAAGCAGCCATAGCATGCTGACTCGACATGCTCTGCCAGCTCGATGCAAAAATTTGATCAAATAGCTAGGTGCTACTCCCTGTGAGCCAAAGATTATCACAAACACAAATCCGTGTGTATGCATAGCGATGTCCGCCTTCGCATCCCCGGGATAGCTTTATGGATGGTGAAAAGTGTTGTCCGGTCTCACAGAGTCTGTATTCTCACGCCAGAGACTGGAATACTCGACGTTTCCTTGGTCCCACAGCAGTAGCGCGGCTGGGCGAAAACAAGATCTAGGTTGAAAGATTAATGATTTCATGCGTGACCAGATCTGCTTAGGATAAAGTCCTTTAGGCCGGATATGTCAGCAAAAGAATCAAGCCTTGGGAGGGGACGAGACAGATCGAGCTGCTTCGTCGAGCTGCTTCTTCCTGGCGGCGATTTCGTTCAGTCGTCTGAGATCCTCGAAGCCTGTTGGCATTGCTGTGTTCCAGTCTTGCCTCGCGTAACAAGTTTGGCACAGAAATCCGGCGTCGCCTTTACCTCCAATAGCCTTCCACCACAGCTTCATGCCCGAACGCCTATCCCACTGACAACTAAAACAGGTGTGCTGAGTGCGCTCTTGATAGAGGATAGGCCGATGAGATTTCCAGGGTAGCTCATCCCTCACCCAGGGGTAATTCAGACACCAACGTCTAAGCGCATGGTATCTCTTGTATTCCTCGCTATGTTTCCGAGCAGCATTCCAGGCCGTGGCTTGCTGCTTCCTTCTTTCACGAAATGCAGGATTATTCCAGTAGAGACGTGTGTATATCCCAGCAACTCGCTCTGAATCAACCTTGCGGTCTTCATAGCTCAGGTCGGCCCAATTGTTCCGAGCACGTACATGCATAAGAGTTCCAGATCTATTTAAGCACGATTTGAGTACCAGAGGGTGGGTGAAATGAGTCTTCGCCCATGACATCACGATCATGATTGCGATAGGCGTGGACAGAATGCTGTAGCCGGATGCTGCGTGCGAGATTTGCAGACTGGAAGACGTGCACGGACTTCAGAGTTGGGTCTAGGACAGGAAACAGCGTCTAATGTTGCAGTCCTCTGTCGAACGTGTTGGATAGAAGTATACGCGTACCTAGAAAGGCCAAATTTCGTTCTTCAGAATTCGAGGAACAAGACCTCGTTTGGGCGGAAGTCACCGAGTGCTCCTCAATCTTGGCAAGCACGGTCCAGATGCACTCATAGCGAGCGACCTCTTGCTAAACAACCATCTCCCATCGATCATGTCGACCGACCAGCGTCCGGCAGAATCCGAGCAGACCCTGAACACAACACCTACAACTTCCGTTGGCTGTGTCGAATGTCGCACGCGACGACTGTATTGCGAGATAGACGCCGCCGATCCTCGCCAGGCATGTGGAAGCTGTGTACGCAATGGTGACATCTGCTCCAACTTGACGAGCACTGCCGCTGCTTCTCGCCCGCGCGCTACGCCGCGTAATCGCGTCCAGAAGGTCAAAGCTGTTACGCGTGTAGCGTGCAATTGGTGTCGACGGCAAAAGGTACGATGTTCCGGTGGGACACCCTGCGGCGCGTGTGCTATACGTGACCAACCATGCATGTATCCTGCCGTGAACAGAAAGCTGCCTAATGATGGAAGCTCTGCAACAGCAGATAATTGGGAAGCTGGTCTTCCACGCTACGATCTATCTGGTCGTGATGAGATGGATGCTCCGCCGTCTTCGAGCTTGCAACCTGGTCAGATCCATCACGCTCCGGCTCCGTTACCCCGGCACCATGCTCGCAAAACTGTGTCGGAAACTATGAAGCAAAACTTTACGTGAGTTGATGACCTGAGACTGATGCTTTGGTCGTCCTAATTCGTTCTTCTAGTCTGGGACTAGACAAGCAAGTTGTAGCAGGGTATATCGAGGCTTTTTTCAGATTTGTCTATCCTGTCGGCTGCATGAGCTTTCTGCATCAAGCTACGTTCCTTCGTCAATGGCACACTTATAGCCTAGATCTCTCCCTGCTCAGGGTAGTATGTGGAAGTGCTCTTCGGGTGTTCTCGACTACTCAAGAGGATAACGAACGAGCAGCACAGTGGCTGCAAGAAGCCGAGCTTGATGTCCTCCAGAATCTTGGAGATCTCACCATTTCCCGTCTGCAGACTTTGACTCTGCTTGCCTTCTTCGAGTTCACCTACCATGTGCACTCGCCGAAGGCATTGATGTTACTTGGACTGGCGGCCCGTCTAGCTTTCGCGAAGCGTCTCAATCATGAAGACGACAGTCTATCAGTAGTTGAGCAAGAATCTAGGAGACGCCTGATGTGGGCCATCTTTGTCCTGGACAAGTTCTGCTCTGGTGGTGTCACTGAGCTGACGTTAGTTCTTGCTGAACATATGAAGATCCGTCTGCCTACAATCGAAAAGGCATTTGGTTTTGGGCAGCGTACCGATACTGAAGTTCTTCGTCCGCGGCTCATCGACGGTGTGCCAATTTCTAATGCCAAGGGTATGGACGAGTTTGCTTACACCATACGTCTCTTGGATTTGCTCCGTAACAAAATTCACAAGTAAGTCTGTCCGAAAACACTCCAATTCGTTGCTGACATGAGACAGGTTCGCCAAGCGTGTGACCTCCACAGACGAAAATCTTTACTCATCGGCACAAGAGTTCCTCGCCCTAGATTCAGCAATCGACACAATCGATCAGCAGATTCCTGCGGACTTGAGATGGGACAATATGAATCTACAGAAGCGGATGCACGCGCCAGGTTTATCAAGCTATATCATGCTGCATACTTGGCGACTACAGTGCAAGCTCGACCTGCATCGACTGACGGTGTCTGGAACGAAAGAGTGCATATCAGAAGCAGCACTGCTTGACACCCCATTAGAATTTGCTCAAAATTTGAGGCTCAAATGCCTATCGCATGCGGTTGAGTTGACAAATATGTGGTCTGAAGTTCTTGATCTCGGCCTTGCGAAACCCGTACACGATCCAGCAATTTCTGGCTGTGCGCATCAATGTGCAAAGATTCTGACACTCATCCCTGAACAAGTCGGCTACTCGGCGCCAGGTCAGGAGAACAGAGTCGGGGCTGTTCTGATCTGCCAGATGATACTCAGACCGCTCAAAGACATCTATCCCAAGGCCAAGATCTTGGTGAGTAACCACCCAACTGTATTGCCTTGCTCTACTAATCAGGCATAGTATGATGATGTTTGTCGGATGAGGTCGGAGCTCAACTGCGCTCCGGTGCAGGATTCTCCCAACGCAATCCACCACAACGGTATAAGCGAACAAAACTTAGGTGTGACAATGCATGCAAATAACGAGGACCAGGTCAGAAGTCTACTTAATCAGTACAATGGTTGATCAATATTCATTCCTTGGAGTTTTTACAATGATTGAGAACGGGATGCTGAACATGGCAAGGAACATGGCCGTATCTTGCAGGTGCTTAAGAACAGGCATGGCTTCAATCTAAAAACCAAGACATGTATGCCCCGGCCTCCTCTGTTTGCTTCATCAAACAAAGTCTTTCTGCCCGTCTCGTCACTTCCCTGGCTTTCGTCATTCCTGCGGTAGTACACTGGTGATATCAAGCTGTGTATCCCCTCATTAATACCACTGGCTGTTACTGCAGGCAGGCACAATCAAGTCTGATCGCCGAAACTCGAACTCTTGGTCACTTCTTGGCAGTCACGACCAAGTTGTACCTTCCCTAGCAGATAGACGTGCGGTTTCATCCTCGCGTCTGCCTTAGGCTGATTTCTACTTCCACATCGCCAAACCTCCACATCGTCAAACTTACTTCCAATTTCGAAATCATTACCACCCAAAAAATATGCCTCCGTCCATCACAGCGATCCCCAAACTGGAGCTGAAGAGCGGCGGTCGCTCACTAGAAGCCCAGATCGAGCTCAACATGGAAGAGATAACTCGCCTCATGGTAGTGAGAACATCATGCGCAGATTGAGTACAACTGACAATAATTCGCAGAGTGAGCAGCGTAACTTTGTTTAGAGAATTCACAAAGAGCAGCATGACTTTGTAGAAAAAGTTCAGAGAGAGCAGAATGAACTCGCGCAACAGATCGACAAGGAGCAGAGCGACTACGCTGAAGAACTGGAATCTCTGCAGGAGGTCCAGCAAGCTTTGTTGAAAAGGCTGAACGCTGTCAAGTCGGATGCCCATATCCAAGAGATCAATGGCCTCAAGGCCGAAAAACAATTACTTCAGCCTTCGGATTCTGGTGTTTTCAGCGACGGTGATGACGCTCCAGACTCTACACCGTGAGTTGTATCTACTACCGCCACTTGCTAGTCTGACATGCTGAAAGAACCCCGAGCAGTATGACCGCCAGATTGGGCTCATTTAACCTTAAGCGCAAGGCCGTGACCATCGATGACGAAGACTCCAAACCTCGTCCCGTCAAAGTCCAACGTGTCCAACTGGATCCAAACGTCGACGCTGAGCTAGACTTGGTCACCGAAGCCACCACTGACCTCCGCGGTGCAGAGGCCACTTCTTCCAACGCTACAGCACCTACCATCTACTTGACCGCCGAAGAACAAGAACTCGAGATTGATGAGGACGATTCTGCATGGGAGAAGGACGGCCAACGTCTTCGCGAGGCATGGGTAACGCAGCTCAAGGAATTCAACAAGAAGAATCCTGAGTGGGCCACTAAGATCACAACAGCTGGCTGCGTCCGCTCTGCACTGTGGAACCAGGGTAAGTGCTATCTCACCAAAGAACGAGGAGGCGACTACGCCTGCAGAACTTGCTGGAATACCGGTCATCTCTGCGTCGCCTTCGATAAGGGTGACAACTGCTTCTGGCTTCGTCCGCAGCTGCCCGCTGCAAGAGCCAAGAACGTTGTTGGCCCTTACGATCTGGAGAGATTCCACTCAATGAAGATGACTGCCAGCAGAACTGATGTGCCTGCTTACTGGGAGAAGAACTGGACCTCTTAGCTCGTTGATCGATACAAATTTGCTTGCGTTGCTTGAGACAGATTTGCATTGCTCGAGACAGATTCTGCTTGCTGGCTTGATGTCGATCCGGCTCATACGTAGCTTATGACTTGGTAGTCTTCAATCACCAGACAATTAATCACGTCATATTTCATGAATCGCAGTTCCGAGTTTACAATGCGACTGTGCCAAGAAGCGACGCTCTACCAGTTTTTTTAGACTACAAGACTGCCGTGTCCACTCACCTCTTCTGGGCGAGGGAATACACAACCACAGCTGAGCCAGGGTGTCTCTCTTGACCACAATTTACAGCATGCTTTCACTCTCGGAATGTCGAAGAACCTTGTACCGTTCAAGCGTATGAGCGGATTGTAGCAATATCGTCTCAATGATACGCTATCTGGATGAGGAATGGTGGATTGGACAGAAATGATAGTTTCTGGTGCTGTCATTAACAGTCCACCAGCCAAGGCTGGTTTCATCTCGAAACCACAAGTCTAACCACGCTCCGGAGGCCGCGGAAACAGACGACGCTGCTTCGTATGGTGTTCGTAATTGACGGTATGGTGATGTTAGGCAGCGAGAGCATACCTATTAATCGTGAGCAGGAAGCTGTGAGGTATAGTGCAGTGTGAAGTAATGGGTGGGCGTGGTCTTTTGTACCTGCATAAGCTGTTGAGGCCATCCTTTGATATATCTCTTGCCATCAGATGGTAGTCATGGCAGTCTTCACTCTCAAGTCTTGATGGACTATCTCTTGGAAGACGTATCTTGTTCGATGGCATGACGGAAGGGAAAGGGTCACCAGAAAATTGAAATTCATTTTGTGAAGATGATTTCGTTTTGCTCGCATGTAATCTTGACCGTTCGTCGTACGATGCTGTAATGTTATGCTGGTATGCGAGAAGGCCTTCTAGAACTTTTAATTTGAGATAGACTTTCGCAAGTCGTTTCCTGTAGCCGATCCGGGGAAAGAATCGAATTTTTGTTACAACTTCGAAGCAAAAAGGCGACAGGCTTTCCAATATGCGATATCGCTGCTTCGTAGGCTGTTCTCAACTATGCCCTCGTCATGGATATATTCCGCGGTGTCCCTCGGGCTTAAAAGGCCGTGGAGTTCATGTGCTGTCATGACGTTCGCCACGTTGTGGGGGCCGTTGGTTTACAGAAGCTTGAGGTGTCCAGTGACTTGGTCAACCACAGACTTGGGCGCAGGACCAACTCCAAGTACTGTCGCACTGCCGCTGGCAATCTGTGTGCGACCGGCATCATGGATGATCTGTCCGCAAATACCCAAGCTGATAGCCTGAGCTTGAAGGATCAGGAGCTCATCCTCGCTCTTGACCTGCACGGCGACCTTTGCTTGGCCATAACCTTCCCAGCGCTTCAGGATTGGCGAGTTCTGGCGCAGGAGTGTCTTGTAACATGCAAGGGTGGCATGTGAGCATTGGGCTGCTATCTTGCCTGTTCGCAACGAAGAAGAAACGATGTGTCAGATTGTCGTATGCATAATTTTTCTCTTTCGGGGCATAGAAACCATGGAATGCAGCCAGCGACAGATACACAGCATGTGTATCATAGATAGGCAAGCAAGAGAGGGGAAATGGAGGGCGTGTGATGTTGATTGATAGATAGAAAAGTTTGATACGTACCCTTTGTCATGCCTAGATCAGTGCGGACAACAAGGACAAGCTTGCATTCCTCGGTCGAATCCTCAAACCCATTGACCTCCTGATCATCTTCGGAGTCTTCGGAATCGGACTCAGATGCGTTGTCATGATCGGTTTCGCTGTCGTCGTGTCCCTTTTCGTGCTGAGCACCGCTGCTGTTGCTGACGACGCGCTGCTGGGTGTTGGTGCCAAACACACCGATAGTTGAGGCAGTGCCCAGGAAGTAACCCGCGATGCCTGCTACGACGGAGGCGCCGAATGCAACGGCCCAGAGTGAGGGCAGTTCTGTAGCGCGTGACTCCATTGTTCTCCTTTTCTCCTCTTTTTGCTTTGTTGCGTTGGCTAGAGATGATCTGGCGTCGTCGCCTCGTGCTTCCGAATGGCAAATTTCAGGTCCGAGCGCCAGAGATTTCAAACATTTGTCCTACAATTCCATGCAGGGAACCTCGGATCTTATCTATCTCAAGGTACTTTTGCAGATGTACCAACCACTTTCGGTAACTATAAGCAGGCCATAGATCCCCCAGAATTTACAACTTTTGAACTCGCATGTCTGCATGGTATTTTGTGCATGAAGGCTCATTTGCAGCAAATTCACTGGACAGGAGGAGAGAGAGCGATGGTGCAATATGTTGCAATCCTGGAGGACGGCACGCTAGCGAGGCAGGTCCGGGGACGCTGCAGAATCCGGGGCCGGGGGCGTTGTGGGCAACATATTATGACACAGTCGCGATTTCACGTTTGCGTTCTCGATTTCAAAGCGATGGTGTGAGAGCACGCAATCCGGGCCTCGCATCACCAATTGTGCCCATTGCCTCCTTTGACTCGTAAGCAAGTCTGCCAAACTACTTAGAAGCCCTCGAATCCGCTTAATCTCTTTGTTTCCCCAATATTCACCTTGTTTGCCCCGACAATTCTGCTGCCTGCAAGTCAATCAATCTTGATCGCCGTTCATTTCTCTTAGCCACACGTTCTGAACACTTCTTATCACCAACAACTCCTGACTTTCACATGAAAGAGCACTTGCTATCATCAAAAGTTCAGGATTGAGCACGCGCGCCCTATCTGTCTCGAATTATTGTCTATCACACCGTCGCCGGAAGAATCCAGTGGAATCTGCCTTGCCCTCATCACCGCTACTTGGTCAATTGAGAGGACACCGTTGCCGATCTATCATCTGGAGTCGACAATCTCTCATTAACACCTCTATTCCCTCCTGTCGGAACCATCTTGGGTCCGCGACCTTTCAGAATCACCTCCGTCTTTCCCTAAGATTGTCTGCCTCGCAGCCTTCTACTCTCATTTCGAAATCACACAACCGTAGTCATGACTTCCACACCACCAGAGACTCCCCCACCTGGTTTCTTGGGCGAGAATGGCGCATCCACTCCCCAAGTGCCTGAGACTCCCAACATCCTCTTCATCATGGCCGATCAATTGGCTGCTCCTCAACTCAAGATCTGGAACGACAAGTCTCAGATCAAGACTCCCAACCTCGACAAGCTTGCTGAGAAGTCGGTCATTTTTGACTCGGCCTACTGCCCATCTCCACTTTGCGCTCCCTCGCGTATGTCCTTGGTGACTGGCCAACTTCCTTCCAAGATCGGCGCATACGACAATGCCTCGTCCATCAGCTCCGACACACCTACCTTCTCACACTACCTCCGCCACGCCGGTTACGAGACTGTCCTCGCTGGCAAGATGCACTTCATTGGCGACCAGCTGCACGGTTGGGAGAAGAGATTGACAGCCGACATCTACCCTGCCGACTACGGTTGGGCTGTCAACTGGGATGAGCCCGACACCCGTCTTGAGTGGTACCACAACAGCAGCTCCATCCTCCAAGCAGGTCCTTGCGTTCGCAGCAACCAGCTTGACTACGACGAGGCCAGCATGCACAAGAGTACTCAGTACTTGTACGACTATGTTCGCCAGGGCCCCGATGCCAGACCTTTCGCCCTGACCGTCTCCCTTACCCACCCCCACGACCCTTACACCATCGAAGACAAGTACTGGGACATGTACGAGGATGTCGACATTGACATGCCCAGCGTGGAGATCAAGAAGGAGGACCAGGACCCACACAGCAAGCGTCTGCAGCACGTCTGCGACCTCGAGGACTACGACTTCACCCCCGAGCAAATCAAGAAGGCCAAGCGTGCCTACTATGGCGCTTGCTCATACGTCGATGACTGCATTGGCAAGCTGCTTGAGGTTCTCGACAGATGCAAGCTGCGCGACAACACCATCATCATCTTCAGTGGCGACCACGGTGACATGCTCGGCGAGCGTGGCTTGTGGTACAAGATGTCTTACTTCGAGAGCTCTGTTCGCGTGCCTATGCTCATCAGCTACCCCAAGGCCTACACTCCTCACCGTGTCACCGAGAACGTCTCGACTCTCGATCTTCCCGCCACTCTCTGCGACATGGTTGGCACTAAGCTTGTCCCCGGTTTGCCCATGGATGGTCACTCGATGATGCCCCACCTCAGAGGCAAGAAGGGTAACGATACAGTCTTTGCTGAATACATGGGCGAAGGCACTGTTGCACCTCTCATGATGATCCGTCGTGGTCCTTGGAAGTACATCACCTGTCCTGTCGACCCTCCTCAGCTCTTCAACCTCGCCTCCGACCCCAAGGAACTCACCAACCTCGCCACTAGTGACGATCCAGAGACTAAGACCATGTTCGAGGCTTTCGAGAAGGAAGCTGCTGCCAAGTGGGACTTCGACGCCATCACCAAGGACGTCTACGCTCAGCAGCGTCGCCGCCGCTTTGTCTGGGGTGCTCTCAAGACTGGCGAGTTCCACAGCTGGGACTACCAGGTTCCTGATGACAGCAGAAACATGTACATCCGCTCTCACATGGATCTTGATGACCTCGAGCGTCGTGCTCGCTTCCCTGTCGTTGATACCTACGGTCGAGAGAAGACCATCACCAAGGCCACAACCAAGTTCCCTCACCAGGCTGGTGCCTATGGCCAGTGAGCGAATAGCGACCAGATTTGTCGCAATAACGAGAACAACATTTATGCATTCTGGACCGAACATGCAAAACAGGCTTATACCCATGGTTTTTGAAGCGTTTTCAAGCGGGACTTGATTTCAGGCGAGCGAGGCGTACACATTTTTGAGCCTCACATTTTTTCGAGGAATGTTTTCATAGGACGCAGCATTTGTGGAAAAGAGATGGCGAATAGGCTTTTCATACCCACAGCGTTAGCGTTACAGTATAAAGAGCAGACGCAAAGAAGAGTCCAAATTAAATTGACATGACAACAAGACTTTTGGTTTGCAACAAATTTCTGAGTGGAAAGCGTGAGATACGTTAAGATGGCGTCTGGCCTGATTTCGCCGCGACCGGCGTACCTTCCCCATCGAGCAAGCTCCATGACAGCTCCGCCGCGAAGGGCGTGGTTTCGACATGTCCAACAGCACTCTTGTGTGACATACGACGACCTGCTATAGAATAAAGGTGACAAGCGGTCTGAGATCGTCGGAGTGCCAGAGGTATCACTATCAACAACGTGATAGGGCAAGAATCCGACAAGTCACGACATCGTGTCGCGGTAGGCTCTTCGGGCAACTAGACCCTGCTTGTCAATACCCCAATCATCCTTGTGCCGCTCTTCGTTTCCCTTACACAAGACACACACTTGATATGGACTACTCACACTACTCGGCCTCGACGCTGGCCGTCCATGGCGATGACCCCCTCAATGACTCTACAGATGTCGCGCCTGCCATGCACGTCTCGACAACCTACCGCTATCCTGAGGATCCCGACAAGCTGGTCCCGTTCAGTATGGATGATGTGGTATGTTGCGACTATCTATCCAGAGCTTCCCTGCCAGTGACTGATCGAATTACCAGATGGCCGGTCGCGACCCACTGAAGCCAGGAAGTGGCTCTGACCCTCTGATTTACAGCCGCGAAGCCGCCCCCAACACCTCCCGTCTCGAAACCATCCTCTCGCATCTCCTCAAAGGTCCCACCTTGACCTACAGCTCTGGTCTCGCTGCCTATCATGCCCTTCTCGTCGCTCTGAATCCCAAAGTCGTTGCAATTGGAGATGGCTACCACGGCTGCCACGGCGTGCTCAAGATCTTCCAGAAGCTCACAGGATGCAAAATTGTAGATGTTCACGACCCGGATGCTTGGGAGGAGTTGGGAGAAGGCGATGTGGTACACTTGGAGACACCGCTGAACCCTACAGGTGAGGCTTACGATATTGAAAAGTACGCAAAATGGGCGCATGGCAGAGGTGCTGTTTTGACTCTGGATGCTACCTTCGCACCACCACCACTTCTCTACCCATTCGACTTTGGTGCGGACTTTGTCTTCCACAGCGGAACTAAATACTTTGGTGGCCATAGCGACATGCTTTGCGGTATTGTGGCTGTCAACCCTGCTCGCCCAAATGCGACAAAAGAGTTCTGGGGTATGTGGGAAGAGCGGGTATTCTTGGGTGCTGTCATGGGAAGCCTGGAGGGGTGGCTAGGTGTACGCAGCATTCGCACCCTGGAGCTGCGTGTTCAACGTCAATCCGAAAGCACAACTACCCTGGTGCAATGGCTTGCTGCTCTGCAGGCCGGTCAAGGCGATAGGGATGAAGTTGCGATCGTCCAGAAAGCCATTTCACGTGTTCAGCACGCAAGCTTGCAGAAGGACGACATGCCTTGGTTGGCCAAGCAGATGCCGAATGGCTATGGCCCTGTCTTTTCACTGTGGATGGCAAGCGAGAAGTTTGCTAGGTGTCTACCTAGTAAGCTCGATCTCTTCCATCATGCTACCAGTCTTGGCGGTGTAGAGAGCCTGATTGAGTGGCGCCGTATGAGTGATTCAAAGATTGACCCTAGGGTCTTGAGAGTCAGTATTGGTGTTGAGAATGTAGAGGACTTGAAGAGAGACTTCCTGACAGCTTTCAAGGCTGTATTGAGTGAAGCTTGATCTTCTGTTCTCGACTCTCAGCGGAGGCTGTTCACAACTTGAAAATGTTCTTGCGTCCCGATGGCTATGTTGTAGCGTTCGCACTGGGTCTCGAGATACTCAGATCCATATTGGATATTGAGCCTGTCTTGTCTGTTCGACACAGGTATACACCAAGTTGCAATTCGATAAGTCTCCCAGCAACAATGGCATCTCACTAATGACGACTATAAAAAGGCATGGTGATCTTGAATGATACAGAGCTATCGATTGAGACAGTACCCCTCTCTGCTCTCAATGTCCATCTGAATATATCCTTGCCTTTTCACAAACGAACGATTGGCGGTGCTACGAGTCTGGAGAGCTTGATTTGATGGCAGAAGATATTCAGCCCGACTGCAAATTCCGAGGCAAATATACATCACATTGCCAATCTTCTGATACTCCACAAGTGAAGCTGGCCTATCAATCGGCTATCAAAAAGCATAGTCATTGTCAGATTGATGTAGTTGTCCATGGATATCAGTTGTTTGCCCGCTCTCAATTCATGTAATGTTCATTCTGCACGACTCTCTGCATCTTCATAGTTGCAAACTTGTTCTAGAGATCTTGTTTCGATGCTAGATGTTGACAACGCGAGCTTGAATATTGGCTAGGGTATACATGGAGAGACCAAGAAAGTCATGATTCTGATAGCAATGGTGGCTCGGAAAGGTGCTGTAAAAAGGCAAGATACTTTTGAATACAATATAGATGTACATGAGGAGCAGTCTGTTTATGTTCTTCCATCCAGAAAAGTCACCATGATGAACTGAACTATGCAGTATATCAGCCATGGATCCGGTAATTCTAGAGAAAACTGTTTGTAGTTTTGGTCGTCCAAAGACATCTCGACATGGCAGAACTTCGGGATCTACATTGCAGCTCTTGACCTCACCTTTGGTTTGCTTCTGTGCCATTCTTCATCAACAGAGCATCACTGGCAGCAACCCTGTGTTCGAGTGAGGCTTAGATTGTATGATGAGTCGTCTGAAGCATGCTTGTTGCCACAGGGGGCGTAGTAAATCTGTCACTTCACCGTACCGTACAGATGACCTGCAGACTTCACCACTCTAATCGAACCTTCAGCATGACTGCAACGACTCTATGTCGGCATGTGTACAAGATTGATGTGCAAGAAACCACTTCGGTCTATCAACTGACTATGAAGCTTGTAAAAGCTGGCTGGCTGCTTTGCGCCAAACCTTCCTTTCAACAAGGAAGTCACGTCAATAAGTTCCTGCCACAACAAGAACCACGCGCTCAAGTGGCAGCAGTCTCCAGTCCTTCTTACATGCGCTTGTTTCTTCTCATCTAAGAGCATAGCAATCCTTCCCAGAGCATAGTTTCGCTGTTCAGTCAATTAGTTGCCATGCCCTCACCTTCCTCGTCCATGGCAGCAAGCACCACACCACGTTCGCACTTTCAATCACTCGCGTAACATTACTCTGGCTCTTTCGCTAGCTATCAATCTGCAGCATTGTCAGTATCGCGTTAAGAAGAAGTAGCTGACTCGACTGACCCGAACGTGTCTACAGACTCCTCAGTAACAACAAGCACTCTGCTTTCCGTAACTTTCCGCACCACTGCTAACAGTATCCAGGTACTATTGAATTCATCTTCCCCGACAAAAGCCTAGCCGTCGCTCTTAGGCAGACTTGCTTCATACAAACAACTCTGGCGCGTCTTCGATTCCTCCAAAGACAACATCGGCTCTGCCTCTCGCATAATAGCAAGGTACAGCCCAGTACTTTTGACTGGGGATTCGTCAAAGCCCGGCTGGAGAGGTTCGTCGTCACATCTTGATTGAGATAACTTTGTCCAGTCGACTCTGACCAGACCTCTAGTTCGTCAGCAACATCTCTCTTTCTCTTTGTCTTGTTAGTAGTGTCACGCTGCTCAGTGTCTTCAGCATTACCTTTGTCGAAACCTGAACAAGCAGCAGCTTCTCCGTCACACCTCTGGACGAAGTATTTCATACACCCATATTCGACAAGTCCTCATCTTCTCTACCAACCGCATCTTCTCTGCCTCTCAGCACTTTACAAACGTTCTCCAGGTACCATTGACGTCGCGTCCCGGGTCTCCTTCGATCATCTCGCTGCTCTCGTCGCTCGTAAACCGTCATCACTGCGGGCTCCCCACTCTTGCTCGCGTTCCGTGATCTTCTCTCGGCATTCACGAGAGGCCACTGCTGCTTAGTCTTCGTCTCGGCATCCTCAAAACGCCCGGAAGTGTGTTTATGATTCCTGCGCCCGATCTTTTCGACTTTTTTTCTTTTCACCACAACCACATCTCGTCGACGCGCGAGTTCCTCTGGACCTCTCGTACTTGACTCAGCCCTTCGCAAGGTTTGTCTCATCAGTCCTCCGGATCTATCACTCTTGTTTGTTGTGCGCTTGACTGACGCTTTCGCGCATCCTCAGTCTCCCTTCCATCGGTTCAATGGGAACCTACATCAAGATGACACCTCTCGAGAAGATGCTCGGCAACGAGAAATGCGCTGACATCTGGCTTGTCTGTGCTGATGGTCTTCTCATTCCCTTTCACACTGTCATCTTCGATCTTAGCAACACCTTGGACAGTCCTTTCGATGTGTTCATCAAGTCTGCGCGCGTGTCTGACGAGGTTAGCTTCAGCTGGTCATTTTCTCCAGGAAAAACGCTGACTTTTGATGCTCGTTGCAGGATTTTGTTCCCGTCCCTCTCGATGGTCAGACAATGTGGCGTATTCTGTCGTTCGTCTACATGGACACGTACAGTGATGAGGCCACTTCACCTCCCACATTCAGAACTGTTGCGGCACCCGAGTTTGCCAGAGAGGACGGGGTAGCGGAGACCCTGCGCAACCTCTCTTTGGACCCACAAGACTGCACATCGGCCACTTTACTCAATGCTTGGTCGAGCATGCAAGTTTATATCGCTGCCAACTTATGGTCCATGGACCGTCTCATCATCGAGTCTTCAGAGAGATTTGGTGGCTTTATTCGTGGTTCATCAGCTGAGCATGACTTCTCGAACTTTGTCAACGCAATCTTCAACTCAGTCCCTGATCCTCGACGACTGCTGTATGACCAAGTCACCAAAGAGTGTGTCGTCAGCATTGAGACACTGATCAGTGACGACCACTTTCGCGACGCGATTATGAAGCATTCTCATCTCGGCCTTCTTCTCGTGGAGGAGCTCACTGCGCTTCTGGCCACTTACCGCCAGGCACTCATCGATGGCGACCAGACTCCGTCTGCCCCTATCGCCTCTGCTTCAACTTCCGTCGATGCTTCAATTCTCCTTGAATCGCAGAATCGTCTGGCCGAGACCGAGAGCCTTCTGAACGAGGCCGAGAACCATCTTTCCGTCAAGGATGAGAGTATCGCACGTCTTGAGCAGGAAGTTGCTCGCCTCAAGGCTCGTCCCGACATTTCTCGTCCCGATAATTCCATGCTGGTAGATCAAGTTGCCGACAAGATCAACATTGTCGACAACCTTGCAGAGCAGCTTGATGAGAAGGATCGGGAAATTGCTGAGAAGGATCAGGAGATTGCTGAGTTGCGCGAGGAGATGGCTGTGAAGGACCAAAAGATGGTCGAGAAGGATCAGAAGATCTCAGATCTTGGTCGTCTCAACCATGATTTGACCCAGGGCATCAACTCCAACCGCTCTGGCATGCAATTCACTACCGATCTCATGATCGAATGTAATGAGTCTCGTGAGAAGATCACAGCTCTCCAAGCTCTTCTTCAGACCTTCGAGACGAAGCATGAGGAGTCGCTGGCTTTGACCGCTCCGCGTGCTGAGACTCAGGAGGACCTCATTGTCAACAAGGCTAGCATCCCTCAGCCTGCTGCCGGCAAGGACTCCCAGCCTGCCAACACTTCGCAGTCTGCGGATGATGAGCAGAGCGCTAACCGTAGACGCCCTGTTCACGGCGTTGGAATGTTGGAAGAGGTGGTGAATGGCATAACCTCTGGTAATGCTGTTCCAACTGAAGCTCCTGCTGCTGCTACAACTCGTTCTCTTCCTGCCCCGGCTATCGCGACTCATATCGCGAGAGGTGGTGGACCCCTCACCTTCCCTGAAAGACTCGCACAGAGAAGAACAGCTCAGATGGCTGAGATGGTTGAGCCAGCTGAGCGCGCGGCCGCCGCAGGCATCCTTGGAGGTGAGCGTGTCGAGGCTCCGCAGGAAGCTCCTGAGGCTCCGGAGGTCACTGAGGATACTGGGGTTCGTGAGGGCCCTGCTAGTATGCCGCTGGTCCCACGTGGCGCTCTACCTGCCGCACAACAGCCTGTCCTCTCTGCCAGTAATGGTGCCTCGGCCAATGGTGAAGGATCTACAATTACCACTAACGGCGCTTCTCGAGGGCCCCACGTCGCTGCCGCCAGTCGCCGCGCTGGTCCTCACGCACGCAATGGTGGTAGTGCTTCGGTCGCACCAGCTAGCTCCAGCGCCAATGCTGTGCCTCAGACTCCATCCGAGCCTCGCACCCCAACTGTCGCTCGCACATTTGCTGAATCTCAGACCCGTGCCGGTCCTCACACTCGCGCTGCTGCTCCTCAGGTCAACGGTGGTGAGCGTGCCCCAGCTAACGCACCTACCGGTCCAGCCACCGTAGTCGTCACTAACAGCCATACCAATGACAACCCTGTTCGTGACGCTGTTATAGAGCAGCAGCAGGCACAATTCAACAGACTGCAAGCCGAGATTGCCTTCTTGAGAGGTCAGCTTAACGATGCTCGCACTGGTAAGTTGATTACATATCCCTGCTTTTCCCCAAAACTGACTATCCTAGGTCCTGCTGCCAACGTGCAGACTAGAGACCAGAATGGTCGCGGCGGTCGTGAGGGTCGTGGAGGTGGTGGCTTTGGCGGTGCTGGTGGTAGTGCGCAGCCACGCCTCGATGCAATCCTTACAGCTCTCAAGGAGTACGACTTGGATCATAAGGCTTGCAACGACTGTGGTATCAACTTCAACTCGGAGTGGCGCGGCGTCGTCGACGACCCTCACAAATCCAGCTTGATCCTGCTGTGCCGCAAGTGCGGCGAGAAGAAGTGCCACTGGGACTGTTGAGCGCATCGGCTCTTTGGGCGGCTCAGGGACGCGCAAACGCTGTCCCAACTACTTCTTCTGACAGCTGACTGGCCACTTCAATTACTCGCTCGCTCCAATATCTGGGCTTGAGTAGTCGCGGCTTTGAGTCTGGTCGTTGAGTTTTCTGACTTGCGAATTTCGCTCGAGCAAAGCAGGCGAATAAGGCGAAGCTGGGACGCTAATGGTGGCTTTTCTTTCTTTGGATGGCGCACAAAATGTCTATAGCTGCTGATTGATCCGTCTTTTGCTCAAATTTTCTGACTTGCATTCGTGCTTTTTGTGAGTTGCGGTGATCATCTTTGAAGTCGTGAATATGTCTTGGTGATGGTGGAAGTGTTTTGGCTGTCATGATTTGGCTGTTTGTGTGCTGCAGAGATTTTTTGGTCGCGATTTCTCGACATTGCGGTCCACGACACATTGGTTAGTCGTCTCCTCCACATGGCGGACGTCGACGAAATGTGAAAGGTTGATGATATTGCTCGTCCATCGGCAGCTATACAAAGTGTTTACATAATCTCGTCCTCGTGTCTCATCGTCGCATCTTCCCCAAAGAGGCCAGCTCTTGTGTCCCTCTCTGCAATTACCACAAACTTCTAATCCACACCTTTCCTCTTTCTACACGTCTCTTCGTCATCGCCCACGGACGAGCCACATCAACTTCCCCCACCCTTCCCTTCATCTCCCGTCTTGAATAACCTCTGCAACCAATCATTAAACTCTTTTCCCCGCTTGTTATCTCCTCCACCTATATGTATCTTTTCCAACGCATGTGTCTTTACGAGAATGAGGATTACGACGACGATAATCGCGATTAGGGAGAAGAGGAGGATCCAAAAGGTGCAGCAGATGCGGAGGTAGGCGTGTTTTCGTTTTTGGCGGGTTGATGTTAGCCAGGGATTTCTGTGGAAAGGAGAGTTAGTATTGGGAGACACAAGACAGTTGGAGGAGTGAGGTAGGGGGATGGAGAGGCGATGAGGGTAGTCAGATGGACGGAGATGAGGGTACGGAAGGATGGAAGGAGATAAAATGTGTAGAGTAATAGTGGAGGAGGGGGCGACGTACTTTTCGTTAGACACTTGTGCTTCTTCGTCTTGGTGTATTGCGTAGCTGAAACGCTTCCAGAAATTCGGGTCTTGTGGGACTGCCATTTTGTGTTTTGCTTATTGCTTTTTGCCCCTTGACGGAATAGCTGAAGACTGTCGATGGCGTTGTGCTTGATGGCAGCGATGAGGTTGCGAGAGTATGATATGACGTTCAGATGATGTTCGTAACTTCTGAACCTGTGTAAAAATGGCAAGCGATGATGATGTTTTATGTTAAGTCAGGCTTAGAGACGATGTATCCTGGTATTGATGTCCAGGTATTGTGTCGATATGAGTTCTTGTACGGAAGGTAAGTCTTCTTCAACAGTCGCGTCTTGTGGTCGTCTTTCCCGTTGCTATGCTGATACTAGAGTGTAGTTGGGCACTATGATTTGCTTGCAGGTGGCCTGGTAAAGTGACGTAGATCTTCTCGAATCGCGATATTGTTCTTTCCAGAAAGTCAAGCAAGAGTCCAAGAGTTGGCAGCCCAAAGCTTATTGTCGCATTCTATGATGCGATGGGTGTGAATGCCGATTTTGCGGGCAGGCGGGGGCCTAAGGAATGTAAGGCGAAATGTCGTGACGTGTTTGGTTGGCCTCAAGGAAACGAATTTACAGATCGAATCAATCGATATTGGATGGCTGCGATACTTTGATGAGAAGAGAAGAAAATCAGAAGCCAGTTCTGAGGTCAAGTGCAAAGAAGGAAAGAATGAAGAAGGTCAAAAAATCACATCTACCTGCCGCTCCGCCAACAAGCTTCTGGCTCGCTCCTGCATCTAGCATTAGGCTAGACCTGCGACCTACCTGCGACTCCTTGACAGCTATAGAGTCATGCTAGTAATTCCACGTGAACAGCAATACAGGGGAGAAGCGAATAGCTACGGCTTCCTTGTTTGCGCTTAAGCGTCGCAAGTGCCAGTCTGAGGCATCCTGAAACGTGCCAAAATTGCACCATCTCCTTTGCACGATCGAGTGTTTCTGACGTAATCCCAATTGCACGACTACAGGGTTAGGGGAGCTTCGAATACCTAGAATGATCACTTAAAAGGTCGGAAGTAGGTCGAAGGCATGAGAGAATGGAAAGAGACAAGATGATGGGGTGAAGTTGTCTGCGGAGAAGGTTTTTCTTTTTCCTTCCTTTTTTCTTTTTTCGGGGTCCAGCTTTGGGAGGGTGACCCTGCTTGATAGTCATATCGCAGGAACATCAACATATTCTAGCTTTGGAGCTTCTACAGTACCTCAGAAGCAGTTGTTAATACGTCGAAAATGTACCTGCATGTTGATAGCATTATTCGAACGCTCCTACACTCACGGGGAGCATCAAACACATAATTTTTGTTTCGGCCCCTCCAACAATACTAGTTCCTGCCACGAGAATCGTGTTGCATCTGCACCCCTGTTGAGGTAGAGCACTCTGCAAAGACGCAACAGCATACTACATGAACTGGGTTCGCAGTACAAACCCTCCTAGGCAGACCAAACACAACTCTTCCATCAGCAAAGCGTGACTCGGCTTCACTGCTTGACAGCTCACCAATGAATTTAAATATTGTTCGTCGGCTCGGCTCAAACTTCAAGTCACACTGTGCCCGCTCGAGCAAGGCGATAATGGGGCCAGTGACCGCGTGATTGGAAACATCTCATCTTCAGGCTCGGGCATGTATACCTCGCAGCTACCTGATCTTGATCAGACCGTGCAGCCCAGTCTCAGGAAATACGAGCGTCTGCAATACGTGAGGAGCCCGGTTCTTGCGGCTCTCAGGAAGAGGCCGGGTCGATGAACAGGAATGGCGTTCTTCGACAGTCGTGGCAAGATGATTGAAAGAGACGGTGCTGTCATTCCGTGAGAAGAATTGTTTGTCGCTCGAGGTACAGGTCACGCTGAGGATAGTCCGTCGCTTACCGCCTATATATCGTGTGCAGAGAGACCCTGTATGGGCGCGCCGCTACGAGGGAAAACATATGGCATCTCCTCGAGAAAGCTCGAGTCGACGAAGCAGCTGTCGAGAGGCATGATTAGATCCGAACCTCTATCGCTTCCTATGAGAGAAGCTCGATTGACCGCTCTCATTGAGCAGTGTTAGTTTCAGAAAGGATAGTGCATTCTAACAGCCCCTGCTCAGATGCTCTACGGTCCATAAGAAGGATAGAGTGATGACGAATTGAGTGGGTATGATAGTCTCTTACTTTTGAGACTTCTTTCGTGAGTATATACCGTAAGAAACGTGTGCATGATCATAGCTTTTTCTTTACCTGCAAACGTGTGGAACCAAAAAGGGTTTTCATCCCTCGAACCCCAAAGACTCGCCATTTAACGCCGTGTTATGCCCTTTATCCTCATCTGAGTGGAAATCCCTAGAATCTCTTTCTGCTGGGCTCGGGTGTGGGTGACTTGCTGACACTCTTCTCGTCTCTTCCTCTCTGTCTCAACCACTTCTTTGTTGCCAGCTCGATTTCACGGTCCAATTCGGGTGATGGGTCTTTGCGATGGATGAAGTTGCAGAAGCCGCCGCGGACACAGCCTTCGCCTGAGTTGAGACGACAACAGGCTTCTCTAAAATCTGTGACGGGGGAGAGTTCGCAGTAGATGGGGCGACCGGCGTACCAGCGCGAGTTAAGGGCGTCGCAGGCGGCTTGAGCTGACTCTTCGTACTTGAAGCGGGCGTAGACATTGCCAATGAGATCTGTTATCATGTCAGTTTGTGGGCAAGGTGGAAGGAGATGGCTGATACTTACGGTCGTTGTTGTTGTCGCACACTACGACTTCTTCAATCTCTCCGTATTTGCACATCTCACACCAGAAATCCTCGTAAAAGGCGTCAAAGTGGTTTTGCAGTTGTTGCGGGTTCATCTTGCTCTTGGGATCGTATGCCGGGTTCTGGTAGAGATTGGGAAGGAGGATGGTTTGCGAGTATGAAGGCTTGACATGTTTGCGCGAACAGCGGTCTCCGTGACGGCATGCGCCAATCTTGTAGTAGAAGGAGCAGTTGACCTGTGTGATATGTGTTAGCTATGGGTTGCGCGCGTCCATTGTAAAAGGTCAGGGATGCGCACCTTGTCCTGTTCGGTACCGAAGATGGAGGCGAGATAGTTGGCCATGGTGAAGCAGTTGTGAGGAATGCGCTAGGTTTGGGCGAGGATGAATAGTGACAGGTCTTCGATATCAAGCTCGCCGCCGACCTTCTCTGGCGTTGTAGCGCGCGCGTGGCGACTCTTTTGTCAGCCGGTCGACCCTTCTGGCAACTCCAGCTTGATCTGTCAGCCTCACTCCAGCCACATGTGGCTGGGCCCCTTGTCCGCGCGACTCTTTCTCACCTCTGTCTCTCTCTTCCTCTGTTTGACATTACCGAATTGAACTCGTGCACTTAACCATCACCGAGTTGAACTGGCTGCTCACAATGGAAAATAGTCGTTATGAAGAGACAAGCTGTCCTACTTCGCTCCTTCCACAAGTGCGCGCCTGATCGTGCGTGACCTGATTGCGATGTCTGCAGTCGCTCCTGCCACTGCTCTCTACCTAGCAGCGGTCCGTAGGAACACCACAGGGATTGACGCTATCGTTTCCTGCCTCGACATCACCTCTTGCCCCCCGAAGACTTACACCAGGAGCAATGCAATACGATAGCAAAGAACATGTTTTGTCACAGTAGTATGACCTTCGGAGCACCGCCTCGGGCCTGGAGTAAATCTATCGTTGCAATATGAGAAATGATCTGTCATATTTCTAGAATGTCGTCTTCACCTGATGCCAATTACAACGCATTCCAACGACGTCCAGAAGCCTACACTCTGCCATGCTGTTTACATTCCTCATCGAGGCTTCCAAACAGTGCAGCTTACCACAGACATAGCAATGGCGAAATCTGCTCCCTCTTCTGACCTTCTCCGGACCTTGGATCTTCTCTCTGCTCTATCTGCCATCACACTTGCTTGTCTCTGCTGCCGACTATAACATTCTTTTTTTTGCTTCTCAGTCAGGCTTGTCAGCCACCACGCCTTCTGGACACAGTGACTTTGCGTGTCCACTGCACGATAACACAGTTAGATTGGTATCAGTTTCCCTCGGATTTGGAAGAATCTCTTAAATCACAAGTCGGGTCAGGATCTGCTCTCGGCCTCTGCTTCACGCGTAGATATGCGGATCGTAATTGGGCACCTACTGGTGTCTGCTTTTCTTCTCCGGGATGTCTCTGGCCAATGTATGTGCATCTGACTGCGTAGGAGAACGTGACTGATCACAGACCAGCTATTGTAACACCAACGATTGTCATCACCACACATGTATCCGCATGTACACTGTCGAGCACCGGTGTATTGTTCACTACCACGTCAGTTGCCACGGATCTATCATCCCGAAGTTTGATCCCATCAGGCTTTGTTCTTTCTTCGTCTGCGCTTTCTGGTTCTGTGACGTTGGGGACTTCTTCTTCGTACAGTAGTGCTCCAATCGTGTCAAGCTCGATTTCGACTGCGTCCAGCTCTTCCACTGCAGCACCGTCTGCAGCACCTCAGTGTGGTCAGCCATACTCCGGAAGCAATGGAACAGAATACCAGATCGCCTGCGGGCAGACCTACGATGGCGACATCATCGCTCCGTCGCAAGCAGACAGCACCCTCAACCGCCGTCAGCAGAGTGCACCTTCTTTTGAGGCTTGTATCGAATCTTGCGAGACTCTGTCTCAATGTGTGGCCTCAGCTTTCCTACTTGGAGAGTGTACTTTGCTGTCAGCAATTACTCGCATCGTCAACACCGCAGGAGCTGTAGCAGCCATCAGAGCCGAGTATGTTGCCGTCCTGGCCGCCCTTGCTAGCCCAAGTACTGCCACCTCTGCAACGGCGCCTGCTCCTACCGTGATCACTGCTACGCAAGGGTACTCATCCGCCATCGAAGACCATCTGTCTCAAAAAATCTCGGACAATGCACCAGTCCCTACAAGCGATAACACGGTAGTCTACGTGACCCCGAGCACAGATCCAGCCATGACCAGCACTTCTGTGCCAGCATACTCCTCGCAGATCTCCGACTACATCTCGCAACATCTGTCAGACAATGCACCCATCCCCACTGGTCCTGACACTGCCGTCTACATCACTAGCTCGACATCTTCTGAGCTTCTCAACAGTAGCGCTCTTGATAGCTCGACTGCAGCAGCGCCCTCTGAGATAACAACCCCTACGTACATCGCTAGCGGGTCATACACCCCCGGAGTCTTCCCATCAATCGAGATCTCGTCCGAGGTCGTCCTTCCTAGTGTGACTTCTTCAAGTGGCTCTGCTGTGATCAGTCTGTATGTATGACCCAGCTGAACGCTTTCTCGCTGAGTATACTACGAGAAGTCTACTGACAAGTTACCAGATCCCAGAGCGTGGCTACAAATAGTTCATCGGTGCTATCGAGCGTTCCGTCCCCCTCAACAACATCAACTTCAACATCGCAATCGACGTCGGCTGCCCTCAGCTCTCGCTCAAGTTCTTCTTCTTTGTCGAGCTCCGCAGGCAGCCCGACATATGTCTCTTCGAGCAGCTCCAGCCCTACTAGCTCAGCTACGCCGTCGTCATCTTCTCCCTTTTCAAGCTCACCTTCTCCTCTTCCATCGAGCTCGAACAGCCCAGTTTCTGCTACATCGGCACGCTCCAGCACATCCATTTTGAGTCAGTTGTCTTCATCGTCCAGATCTAGCTCCTCAAGCACCCGGTCGAGCTCCAGCACTCGAGCGAGTTCCGCGTCGTCGTCAGTGCGCACTTCGTCTTCGTCAACCCGGACAAGCTCTACCGCAACTGCTGTACCCACACCTGTGCGAAACTTCGGCAAGCGTGGTCTTGCATACAATCAAGCCAATCTCACTATGCCCTTTTCTCTCAGTGGACAGAACAGTCAGGTATCTTGGGCTTATGATTGGTACTACGCTCCATGTAGCACGCCTGGTGTCAATGACTGCAACTTCAATCCCGCTCTTGAGTTTGTTCCTCTACTCTACAACAGCGATCCAAACCTTCTCAATAATTGGGCTTCTGCAGCACAAGTTGCCATTGACAACGGCTCTGCAGCTCTCATGTCTTTCAACGAGCCTGATTTCTGTATCGCTGGCAGCGCTTGTATGAGTGTAGATACGGCTGTGAGATATCACCGTCAATACATGCAGCCCTTTGCCGGCAAAGCTCTGATCGGCGCACCTGCCGTGACTAACGCTGGCGGCACTGATGCCAATCCCCAAGGCCTGCAATACCTCCAATACTTCCTCGGCAACTGTACTGACTGCACAATCGACTTTATCAATCTCCACTGGTACAGCAACAAATATGCCGGAGCCTCGTACTTTGAATCTCACATCAATTCCGCACGTGCAATAGCTGCTGGCCGTCCTATCTGGATCACAGAGTTTGGCTTGAATAGCGAGTTCAGCTATACGGATGCAGAATTGCAGGCTTTCTTGCAGAAAGTCATGCCTTGGTTAGATCAGCAGCAAGATGTGGCCAGATATGCTTACTTTATGGATGCACCTGGGATTTTGATTAATAGTGCTGGCAATGCTATCAGTGGAACGGGTATTGTGTACAACAGCTTTACCAACAGTACGAGGCAGCCGAATGCGTACACTTGAGTTATGGATGGCATTGAACCTGGGAGGGACTTTGGCGGTGGTGCAAGTGTAGTATGGTGTCTTCTCCGATTTTTTCCAATTTGTTTGACCTTGAATGTCGGATCCCATTCTCCAACCATATGCCCCAATTACCTAAAATAGACCCTGCCTTTTGATAGCATGACTTCCGCCAGGACCTCACATCGTGGAGAGACCTCGACCAGCGAGGTACCCCTGACGTGTACTCTACTCCCCTTCCTGTTGGAGTCAGCATAGCCAAATATCATTGTGTAAAGAGGCAAGACCTACCATCACTAGCGCTGTTCTTGAGAGGTCCCCCTAGCCTCACTTATCAGAGCTCTCCATCACCCAGTCGCAACTTTTCAAAATTCATCATGCATTTTGACAGCACGGCCAAAACAGTGACCTCCTTCGCGGAGAGCTCGCGGTTCCAGTAGTGTAGCCGCAAGATCAGTTATCCTCATCATCATCATCATCTTCAATGACCCGTCTGGCTCTCTTCCTGGGCCTTTGCTCATCTTCGTCTTCATCGACCTCATTCTCGTCTGCAGACTGGGCGTCCTCGAGGTCCTCGCCGGCTTCTTCATCCACTGAATTGTTGCTCTCGAAGTTGTGAAATCCTTCTTCTCCATCGGTCGGGTTTGGCAATCTAGCTACAGAGAAGCCAAAGACCTCGAGCAACACAGACTTGACAAGGTGGACGCCTGCTCTGAGGATTGGATCACTTTGACCAAGAGCCAGGCTGACATGAATTTCGAGACCGTCGATGCAGCTCAGGACAACTTTGACAGTCTGTTCCATTTTCATGTCATCCAGCTTTCTTCTTCTCTTGAACGCTTCGAGTTTCTCTCGATGTCCAGTCGACTGTTGGACGTCGGAGCTGACCTTCGACATCTCCTTGTGTGTAGACTCGCTGACGCCCTTGAGGCTGTCCAAACCTTGGTGTGAGTCCGCCAATTGATGCGTGAGACTCGCTTGGACCGGTCCTTCACGAATCTCTTGAAGACTAACAGGAGTGCGAGAGCAAGAGCGAGGCATGATGGATGGCGGAGGCGTTGTATTTATCACGAAGATAAACAGATATTGATCTTGATGGCGTAGGCTGGCTGCGTCAATCTGTTCGACACTGTGGATTTGTAAATATTGACATACTCTGGTCAGCCAGAGTCAGACGAGGCGATATCCAGCGTAGTGCTTCCCCAGTGTGATCGATTGAGATTTGATTGTGTAGATTCGATCGCGGTGCTATGCGATTGTAATTGATAGAACGACTTTGTGATATGCGGCGGATGACAGGACTAGACTATGGAAGGAAACGGGTTTGTTCAATCGATAACATGAGATGGTAAGGGCAGAATCATCATAGCGAAAGGTCACTTCGCTCAAGGAAGGATGCATAGAAAGGAAGTCTCACAGTAAGAAAGAGCAAAACACAACAACCCGTCCCAAAATCGAACCTCCCACCTCCCCTGTTCAACCCGTAATCTATACGCTCTTGCCTTTTTGCATCAAAACAGTTCGGTCCCTTTTCCTCCTCCCCACCTTCCTCAACCAGCACAAAAAAAAAGATGAATGCTTCCTCAAGATAGCCACAGAACCCCAAGTCGTACCGGCAACCCCAAAGGGCCACTTCCCTATTCCTGGGCATCCACGATACTAAATCACCTCCCGCAGGGTAATCCGTCGTGCGCGTTTGCAACAGCCTCCGTACCGCTTGACCACTTCATACATTCTGGTGGGACAGGGGAAATTTGGGTAAATCATATAGCCTCTTTCTAAGTTGTATGATTGTTTATCCCAGTGCAGCCACTGGGATTGTGGTGAATAGACACTTTTATGAGTATAGATACAGATAATCATTGAGTGCACAGAAGGAGCAACTGTGTCGTCCAGCTTCGTGTAAACAAGCTATACGCTTCTCCCACTCGCACCGCGCCCTTTTGACTATGCCAGGAACAATCTCTCCTTGCTACGCTCTGTATATATGAATGAGCTAATGAGTGCATTGCTGATCAGACCATATCAAATCTTGCTCTCCCATATGACGACCAGGCACAATAACCAGCTGTAGAAAGACATAGTCACTTTCTGGTACAAGTCGTCCCTACAGGGAGCCAACAAGACCACATGTCTCCGCAGATACCACTACGGATACAAAAATCATTGTGCCTTGAGACAGCTGGAAGCGTTGCATACATCGACTTGAGGAAATGTAGTAACTCGTATCTCGCCGGAAGCAAGAATGATGATTTTGAAGACAAGCATGAGACGACCAAAAAGAAAGGCCAACTTGATGTAAATCTACCCAAAGAGCACGCCCTTTCCACCTGTTTTCTTTTCTCTCTCTCTAAGCATCATCGACGACCTTCTGGCGCTTCAGTTCCAAGGGCGTCTTTCTACGCTTCATATCCTCCAGCCATTCCATGTGATCCTTACGGTCCTCCATCTTCGCAACCTTGAGCACATTATACTCGAGAGACTAATAGCGCTCTTTGTTCTTCTTGTCCTTCGATTTGAGATCAGCAAGCTCGCCGTAGATATTCTGCATCAACTTGTACTGCTCGTCGTCGTCCTCCTCTCTCTTTCTCTCCTTTGTAGCTGCGCATTTGACAGCTGCCTCCTTTCTGACCTCTCTCATTCTGGCCTCTTCGCAAATTCTGCACTGCTCTTCGAGAATTTTGCTCTCTTCTTCGGTGCGGTTTTCTTGCTCTCGTGTGGAATCGACCAGTGTTTCGAGGGCCGAGATCAAGTCGTTGAGGTCGTAGTTTGCAACTGGTCTCGGGCTGATTTTGTTCATCTTTTTGCGTAGGAACTTGCATCTGCGAACGTTGTTCGAAGGACCTTCTGAGCAGATGTAATGGCCTTGATCGTTGCGTTGCCAGATGTTTGATGTGCCCCGGATGGTTTCCCAGTCGTTTAGGTACTCATTGAAGCTCTTGGACTTGTTTGGGCCGGCGGGGTAGCCTTGCTGTATCGTAGTGTCAGTCACATATCGTTATGGTGTTCTCTGCGTACTTACGAGGTGCATCCAGATGTTGGCCCACCACGCGAAGTCGGGTGTGTCTGTTAGGGCGACTATGATGTGTCAGACATTGGGATGACCAATTTCCGTTCAACTTACCTGAGGAACTCATAATGTGCTGCTGTGCGATTCGCGTAGAGAAGGGTGGTAAGGTTGATGCGCGTTGACAGCTTCGTCGAGATGGTCGGTCAGATGAGAGATTGAGTAATAGTTAGTAGCTTCAATTGAATCTAAACTCATAGATGCTGGAGGATCACTCATCCTCTATTCACATTGTTAAAGTGGAGACAATAGCACGTTGAACGAAAGTCATTGACGATTTTGTGAAAGTGAGTCTCGATGACTGAATTTGATCTACCCGTGACTTGACCGTTCACTTTGCTGATTTGATTCTCGTCGAATTCGTGCACTCTTTCTGATGATTGCAAGCAGAATTTGACTTTGTCCTCATCGCCTTAACTGTGTACTCCCCCCTGAATGTAGTTGAGAGTGATCTGTTCGGCCGAAGTCGATGACGGCGAACTTCTGTCTGTCAGAAACCCTAGATTCAGAGAAGAAGACTCATACTCCGACTCTCGCATCTTGGAGAGTGCTTTTTAGACAGCCTTGCGCTCGGGCTTGAGAAGAGGGCGTTCGGGAGAGATCTTGACGTTAGCAGCGAACATGACCTCGTCAATGACTCTGTCGTAGCGCATGAAGTAATTCTCCTCACGCTTGCCTTCGTAGTCTCTGAGAGCAGCAAGCTCATGGACGATCAAGAGCACATGCTCCTCGTGACGCTTGGCCTTGTTGACCTTACGAGTGGCAGCGCCACCACGAGCAGCCTTCTGGCGCTGAGCACCCTGAACGGTCTCCTTACTGAACTTGGTCGAGATGTAGGCGTGGAGCTTGTTGAAGGCAATGTGCTGCTCAGCGTCGATCTCTTCGGCGGTGTTGCAGACGACGTTGTTGGCGGTAGCGCCGGTGATGGTGTTGTTGCGGGCGACTAGGCAGGCAGCGCGATCGTCGAGCTGGAAGTTGTGATAGCTGTTCTGATCATCGCGCTGCCAGAAGGTAGTGTCGTCGTAGTTGGACTGACAGGCGTTCAAAGTGCCGATGATATTGAGTTCGCGGCCCATGTACATCTGGTAAATGTCAGCGCTACGATCTCAAGACGAGAGAGAATGATAGACATACGTTCCACATGTCGGCAAGGTCCTCGACCTCGGGTCTGAGCTTGTTGTCGGTCTCTTCGGCAGGTGACTCCATCTTTTCCACGGTGTTGTGGAGTGGTAAGGGTGAGCTGATGTTGTTGTTGCGAACCAGGCGCGGAGCAATTGGTGTTTTCGGCTTATCCGCGCGTCCTCTCCTGGCTATGATCTCTTCGGACAATTGGATCTCGAAGTGAAGAAATGGTTGTGATGTGGTGGGAGAATTGTTTATCGGACCTTCCAATTATTCGAGTCGCGAGCCCTCATTCACTTGACTCACTTCCGCCAGACAACCGTCGTCACATAACATTGGACTTTTGCAGGTCATTTTCACTTCTCGCTTTGTCGTGTGCGTGTTTTCTGTTGACAGAATATTCTGAACACTCACGGTTTTTGCATCACTTCGCGGAGGGACGTCAGCGAGTCTTGGCTTTCGACTACGGTCCATCGTGCTTTCCCTGGAACCTGTATAGTCAGAAGCGCTCCATCCCCAGGTGAAACAGAGCTTTAGCAATAAATACGCTCGTTATTGGAGGCAGGATGACTGATCATATACACTCGTAGGACATTACTATGAATCGCTTTCCAAGGAGATGATGTGCCTTAACCCTAATCATCGCATTTCTCTCCTTGTATAAAGCGTTCTACGATGAGGAGCAATAGGTCAGGACTCTCTCCACCTCTCTAGTTGTATTCAGAGCTGTGTCCGGCTGAGTCTCCTTCAACACCGCATTATTTGTTCCTGACTTGGACCTCAGCTGTTCGACGACGGGACTTCAAGAAACGATGGCACGCTCGGTGGCACCAGTCTCTCCATGAATATCCGCATGCTCGCGGACTTCATCCTGCTTCTGAACTTCAGTCTTGCCATCAGCGTCAGGGTCCGAGGAAACATCGCACCTAGCAAGCTCAAGAGTAAGAATCGAAAGCTTGTGGAAGCGCTTCTCATAACTTCCATCAGCATCTCCAGTCTCCTCCTTGATGTTGTGACGAAGACCCTCCAAATCCTCATAGATCCACTCAATCAATCTTTGATGGTACAGCTTATTGATCTTCTTTCTCTCCTGAGCGGCCAGAACAGCGCGAACACTTCTGACGGAAGCAGAGACGTCGTACTTGACAGACCATTCCTTCATGATCTCCAAGTCTTCGTCTTCGATGGGGATGACTTCGTCTTTCTTGTGCATGTCGTGGACAGCAAAGTCGCTGAGGTACTTGAGCTCGAAGGGGGTGGTGTCTTGTTCGTCTTCGAGGGCGTAGAAGAGGATTTTGAAGAGCTGACCGGCGTTAAGAGTGAATGTGTTTGTGCCGTTGGCCTTTTCCTTGCCCTTGCCCTCATCTCTGTGTTCCTGAGCGTCGATGTAGAGTTGAGGACCCTCAAGAGCTTGCTTCGACTGGTCGGGACTGTCCATAGTGTGTAATTCTCGCTTAAGTACAGGGATGGCGTATGCTTTATTCATACCATCAGTCAGCAGTAACGCGGTAACTTGAAGATGGGCTCACCTTTGGTGCTATGTTTCTGCTGGTGAGGGAGGAAAGTGTTAAAGTCTCACAGAGGCAGCAAGACAACAGTAAGTTTATTGACGATGAGTGTGCTGAAAACCGTCGTGCAGGATGAGTCGCGCTGAGCAATCGGAATTATTGTTTGCAGCATACATGTTTGTTAGCGGAAGAGATCCCCCTTCCCTCAGACGTTCCTCTTTCGGCGTGTAGCTTGATCCCACTCCTGGTTTGTGGCACTTTTCAATAAAAGTCAATCAGGCTCCATCTTCAATGCCCAAGCCATTTCGCGGCCTCTCTACTATTCCCTCATGTCATACTGCAGCTTCCCGTTGATGACGAGCTTCTCTTCTCTTACTTCCAAGTCACACAAGGTTATTGGAGATCTGGTTGCTCTGATCGGAATCTCGCAGCAGCTGTTCTTCCGTAGCAAGGTCTACTCTACTGAAAATGCTTATGCAGTTTGACCAAGAAATTCTCATTATGCTGCCTCTGTTGGAGACAAATACGTCAATAACAAAGGCTTATAACCACTAGTCTGTGTTGGTCGCGCCTTCCGATATAGCTAGCTACTCGTTCGCCGGACCCATTGCTGCATTTGTTCAGCACCACAAAGTTGATGTATGATGTTGAGAGGTCTTCGCAGAGAATGGCTCAGTAGCTTCGCCTACTCTTGCTTCTCTCCTCGGCTTCATCTCTTGTGGCGGTTTTGATACATCTCCTCGAGCTCGTCGTCCACCTCCTTCAACCTGGAATCAGCAGCTTCGTGCTGAGCAATGTTGCTCAGGCGGAGCTGATCCATGACCTCCTCTAAGCCACCAAGATCTTCCTCAGCCTCTGGGTTCCTCTCAATGTATGTCTGGATGTGATCACGGACGTCATTAGTCCTTGCTCGAGCCTGTTGTGTGCTTGGGTCCTCATGCCGCGTGCCCTTTGACGCGCATGTTTGCGGTCTGCTTTCTCCTTTTCAGTCCTCTTCTTGGTGTTAGCAGCCTTCCTACCTGAGCCTGATTTGTCTGGCTTTATCTCTGGGGAACCTTGCTTGTCCTCCTCTCCTTCTTTCTCTTGTTCAGGCTCTCCAATGCGAGGTACCTTGGTCTTGAGACTGCTTCTGCGCTTCTTGGATGCAATATTTTGAGATGTCTTGGGCATGCCGGAAGGGGTACGAGGCGCAGGTGAAGCCATAGTGCGTTCCTGTTCACCAAAGCCTCCTGGTTCTCTACGACCAGAGGCACGATACGAACCGAAGCTGCGACCGGCGGGAGTGGAGTAGTCGTTGTAGCTGTTACCGTCGTTGTACCCCATAGTGTTTCTGTGGTCACTAAGGTTGTGGATTGCAGCGTGCATCTGGGTACCTTGACCTCCATCAAGTCCAGGATTACCGCCAGGGTAGGAATAACGAGAATTCGAGTTGGCGTTGGTGGAGTCGAACCCGTTCGTGATACGAGCTGGTCGGCGGGCAGAAGCTGGGCCTCGGAGCAAGAAGCCGCCACCGTAGTTCTCGTTACCAGATGGGTTGACTGATGTGCGCTGACTGCTGCTAAAGTAGTCTTGACCAGCGTTCCAGGTAGCGTTGGTAGAGTAGACGTCGTCCAGAGTACCGGCCACTCGGCGGACAGAGGGTGGGCCTGCGAAGCCGTTGGCATAGGTCTCGCCAATACGCATGGAGCCCGATCCATCTTGGCTACGTGCAGGAAGCTGCTTCAAGTCAGCACTTGTGTATGGAGATCAAGCAGAAGCACTTACGAAAGGGTCCGCAGAAGGGTTCAAGATAGCGCGAGTGTGGGTCGTCGAATTCAAGCCCTGCTTCACGTCGATCAGCGTTCTAAGGCACGATCGTACACTCAGAAGGGACGCAGGGAAGGGAACGATGCTCAAGGATTCTGCCATCCTCAGATCATGACTTACTTGTGCATTCCAGTAAAAACCTCTAAAGGGCTCACCCTGATTACTCCGAGGCTACTGCGTGTATAGGAACTGCGGAGGCACATGCTGCTGAGCCTGCTGGGGTTGCTGAGGTTGCTGGGCCTGCTGAAGCACCTCATCAAAGCTTGTCTGCATGAGGTCAGTAAAGAAGATAAGTTTGGCAGATAACCCCAGAGAGGGATGCGAGACATTTTGGTCGCGCCTATAGCCTTCGAGGACAGGGGAAGTCTTACAAAATTGATTGGAGGGTCGCCATCATTGGTGGTGTCTTCGAAGGGGTTGAACTGCGGGGCAGGGATCCCAGCAGGGTTGGACTGCGTTATATTAGTATCTGCCGTTCAGAGGTTGACTTCCGCTTGCAGGGCGCAGAGAGATATCTTACAGGGTACTGGTCAGGTCCGTTGACGAATCCCTGTATCCTCTCGAGAAACTATGTCTGTGTCAGCTGAGTCAGGTATGGTAGTGTATAATGTCACCTACCACTCGATGTTCTTCGTTATCCTGCGAGTTCGACATTTTGGCTGCTGTCACGTGTCGAATTGCGTGATGAGAGGAAGTGTGGAAGAAAACAAAAGCGGTCTCTTTTGTAGGAAAAACGAGAGCGCTACATGACCGTAGCTTCCATCGTCGAGACGATGCAGTTGCACGACCGGAAGTATCTAGGCTCGATGAGCTCCAGGATGAGAGTGAAAGACTCGGCAAGAAGACCTTGGACTGTTCCATTGTGGTGCCAGAGAACATACTTGTCCTCGACGGCAAGGTATGGCTGTCAGCTCAGCTAGCAGGCATACCCGCTGCCTCTAGGAGGATCCAGAGGCTACTTTCCAAGCGAGACGAGATCAGCTCTAATACCTGCCTGCAGGATATCAATTGTGAGCATTGCTTCCCTGTAATCATTGGGACTCATCAACAGGCCAACGAGAACAGTGGTCCAATCAGTCTATCCGAAGCAAGGTTGTGAGATCCGCTCTATAAGTGCATACAATGCACTGGGCATCTTGAAGGTTTAGACAGGATCTTACGATGACAGAGGATGGCAGTGGAATATGCAGTTGGAATACACAATAAATACAAATCAATCGTGTTTCTCGTTTAGCATTAAGGGTTCGTCGAAGGGCATGTACAATGAGAGCTTTGCAAAAGAGAAAAGAAGTGTAAACAAAAAAGGCATAGACAAGAAGAGAAAGAAAGCAGGGGCAGAGACCATCAGAGAGGATACGAAAGAGTGTAGAAGTGCTTATCTCTCGGCTCAAAGCATAGTCGGGACAGGCACCTCGAACTTGTGGGGAGCCTTGATGACGATCTGGCTCTGAGAACGCTTGTGCATCTTGGGCTTCTTGCCGGCGAACATGCCAAAGCCAGGCATACCCCAGCTCGCGCTTGCCACTGAAGCGGCGGGACTGACTGGGTTGGAGGCGGGAGGAGAGTTGGGGATCTCTAGATGTTGCTGCAGACGAATCTGTTGCTTCAACTCGACGATCTGCTGAGTCAAAGCATCGGTAGTGTGGCTTTGCTGTTGGAAGAGTTGTTCCATGCTTGCAGTCTGCGACTCGAGCAATTGACGGAAGGTCAACTCGTTGGCAGTGCGCAGCGAGTGCAGCTCCTGGTTCTTTGATTCTATCTGGGCATCCAGTTGAGCCAGAATGGTCTTTGTGTGTGCAAGCTCAGCATCGTTGCCGGCAAGACCTTCGTGAAGTTGCTTGATCTCATCCTCTTTGGCTGCGTTCGAGTCGCTGAGTTGAGCATGCTCCTGATCTTGGAAGGCTACAAGCGAGTTAAGCTTGGAGACTTCGGTCTTGAGGGACGAGATCTCGATGTCTCTTGTCTCGAGGGCGCCACGGGCATCCTTCACGTCCTGGTCGATGTTTGTAAGAAGAGACTTGAGATGCGAGATGCGCTCGTCCTTGGAGTTCGAGCTTTCTCTGAGTTGTGTGACTTCTTCTCTTGAACTTGTGTGGGCCGAAACTTCTTCCTTATGCGCGGCTTCGGATGCAGCAAGACGAGCTTCGAGGTCGGCGATCTGTTGTGATTGTTGACCGATGGTCTGATTCAGATTGACCACGTCGGGAATCTGGCCGAGGTGCTCGAGCATGTCAGGAAGGCCATTGAGGTGGCTGAGGATCTGTACGAAGTTGTCGAGGTTGTGTTGCTTGTGCTGTTCGGCTTGGTCTGCGAGTGCCTGGAAATGTATTAGAACTGATGCGCTGGTTACAGAGGGCATTGTGCGCGTACCTTGAGATCTTGAGCCAACTCGGTGAGCTCACGGCTGCTGGTCTCTGATGCTGCTACCCTTGAGATGTCGGCTGCATCAAAGACACCTGAGGAAGGACGACTCGATGAAGAGAAGACGCCACTGCTGGGACGACTGCTCTTCTCAAAGACGCCAGAGGTGGGACGCGATCCCATAGAAGGGCGCAAGCTGAATTTACCCATGTTATTGGTTGGTGTATGTGTTGTTTTGGATATTGTTGTTGACGGCGTCGAGAAGATGGTCAATCTAGATCTTGTTAAGAAACTTGAAGTCGAGATTGTGTCCGAAGTGTCGAAACAATTCTATGGTAAGTAGAGCAGATCAACACAAAGAGCACAACGACCTTTAATATAACCAGTTGGCTCGCGAAAATGTCCTGTGGCGGTGTATCAAAGCTCTTGGTGGTTGTGCGGTGAGGGGTCCGTTCATAGGCCTAAGGCCTCCCGATCAAGCCCGCATATTAATTTCAAGCGGTGAATCGACAGGGCATAACAGTTCATGACGACAACTTGGTCAACAAGCTGCTGGATCTGGTGATAAGTAAACACACTAGATCGCTGATAGAATGATCCGTTGCAAAATACTCGCTCTAGATTCATCGTGTTGCTGTGTTGCTGTGTTGCTGAGGCGGTCCATCAATACTGGACACAGGCGTGCACCTACATCATACAGAAACAATACTGACTTCTCAGCTCGTGGTTGCTATCAGGTGCAGAGGACGTTTCGAAGGATCATCACAAAGAAGAACGGCCTTATGCAGAGGTAAGGAGTCCAATGTCACCTGAAAGTGGAAGGAACGATTCGGTCAAACAATCACCTGGTACGCCGTGCCAAATCTTCTTTCCCGAGCGGCCAAAAGTCGTGTACCAGACCATGCAAAGCAACAAACCAGGAAGCATCATCATCTTTCCACATCAACGCTTCGATCTGATCAGAATGATGAGCGTCCAATAGTATGCCGAAAGGCTCGACTCTCCATTCGCTAGCATTCGATGATGAGAGACTCATCAACGGTGCTGTTCGTCGTTTGCTTTCCCAAGCACTACCAAAAACTTTCTTTGTCCATTCCTTTCCTTTCTTCAACCACAAGCAGGAGTTCTGGCCTATTGGCCAGAGCCATGGCTAAGCTCAAGAAGTGTGTCTTTGTGCCGTTCTTTTCTACCCTCCAGTGGGAAGATCGAGAGCGTAACCGGGTCGATGATGAAGAAATCTCAAGTGTCGTCGCTCGACCTTGGCTCGTTATTGTGCCTGTTCTCAAGGTCATACGGCAGCGAATAGAAGTTCACTGTTGTTGAGAGCCGGAGATGTGTACGCCTCGGGTTGTTTCTAACGAGCGCTAAATCCACCCACGCCTTCAACTCATTGCCTCCAAACGTGCTCCATCTCGGCAAGGCACAAGACGGCGACCAATATCTGCGCGCTGTCAGCACCAAGTACGAAGGTTTGAAATGCTCCTTAGCACAAGAAGGTACAAGATGGACAGGATCACTCACGAGACTGACATCCACTCCCTTGTTGATATGTGCCTTCCAGACCGTGCGATCAAGACCTTTTTTCTCAAGCGAGCCAACATCGTTGGCCTCTGTGTTCCGGATGTCTGCCAGCTTCATACCCTGGTACTGCACCACAGTGGAAAGCGCTCCGCGGTCTCTTGGGCGAATCTCAATCGTGTTGCCAATGTCGTCAGCAGCAGACTCGCTATGTATCACAGCATCTAGATTGGACCGATTCCGTGCCGCACTGCCACTGACATGCTTCAGTGAGCAGATTCGTTTGCCTTCAACATTCTCTACAGCCCAGTCGTTCTTCATTGCGTAGCCCATATGACGAAGTTCGAAGAGCTTGCGACCAGTGCCGTCAGAGATTGCTCTTCGCCAGCTAAAAGATGTTGCGCCTTTACTTTCGACTCTGAAAAGAGTCTGTCCGGTAGCATCGTCGAGGACGTCTACACTCTTGAATGTGCGGTCATGACAGTGGACTGTTATATTCGCTTCCTCATCTCGACTGAAGCCTGATAAGAGAGTCGGCATGTTCGTCGAAGGAGCTGAGAAGGGATCCATGGTGATTCAGAGAATAATTGCTTGGTGTTTATTATGGGGGGGGTAAGTGCGAATACAGAGAATATCAGACCCGATACGTAAAGGTAGGAGAGATTGCTTTGAAGGTTTGCTGATGAAAACTCCCCTACGCCAAGAATTGATCCTGCAGCACTAAAATAACTTCACGTCACCGGTATAGCCACTCGAATGATCGCCGCATCCTACGAACATTCCTGACATCCATCGCGCACTGCACCATGCGCTTCGATATGGGCGACGATTGAGAACACTTCTGATCCCCACAATTTCGCTCCGCCACATCCAACGGCTTCGGGTAAATAGCATACTGTCAGCCTGATTGCAACTCCAAAGCAGCTGATCTCGCTCTGAAATGGACACCATTTGTTGTAGCTGCGAAAACGCACAATCCGTTCTGGTACCGGAGAGACGTTCAATCAGAGGTTGATAGGTAGTTACTCTCCCTGCTCGACACTGTTGGCACCAAAAGAACCATGCCTTTCGACAGCCAGTGTGGATAGGCTCCGTCGTGGCTGTAGCCTTGCTCTTCATCGAGTAACATCTGGGGCAGAGACCGACGACTCTCTCGGGTTCCAAGTCCTCGCTGCTTTCGTTCTCGTGGATCATGACTAAGCTGATTCTCTTCGACGAACCGCACACTCAAGATCCCTTTGCTGGGTGCTTGAGAGGCTGCTTCCTTTGTTGGCCGGTCAGGTCCGCGGTATACATCGTTGGGCAGACGTGATTAGGCCTGGAGAACGTCTCAAAGAGCGATATCCGTAGATTGGCTGAGCCTCGTCTCGATCAGCATATCCATGGATGATCTCTGTCGATGTTTGAGGTTCGATTCGCTGTAATTTGTAGGTCAGCAAGCCCTTTGTTCGTCATCTTCTGTATAAACGCTGGTGGAATGTAGTCGACATGTCCACTTGTATCAACGATGTGGCCTCAGTCATCACTGAACCGTGTAAGACAGATCTTCTGCTCGATGCATGTCTTGTTCTCTTCGTTGTGTGTGTGTTCATACAGTGGTACCTTCTCGCCATGGAGGATACGACTAACAAGGGCTTCTCAGCTACCTATGGAGCCTGCAGAGGAAGCCAGCTATCAACACACAACTACTCGAAAAAGTCACATCCCAGCCGCACTCACAAGCCGCACCCTAAGCCGCAGACCTCCCAGCCTCTATGAGTCGCCCCCATCGACCAACCACAGTCCTCGATTTCTTCTCACCTCAACCCACAGATCGCACTCTCATCGCTGAATCAGCGCGACGACTAAGCGGCCACCCCTCCAGACCCCTATATAAAGCCCCATCCTCCTCTCTTTCCTCCAAGCTTCTTTCTCACGCGCTGACCATTGCAGTTCCAAGAACCTTGATTTGTCCTGTTTAATGACATGTTATTGTGAAAGGGATTGCTAGATTGATACTTGATGTTTGCCGACATTGAGTACATGCTTAACTTCCAGAGACCTATCTTCAGATATGGCTTTTTGTCGGGTGTGAACATTCCTTTTTTCTTGTGTTTTGAATTTGGATTTGCTGGTCATGGGAAGTTGGCGCTCATCTTGTTGTGGATCTTGTTGTGCTTTGTTTCTTGATGAGCGATGGTGCTTGTGGATGTCTTTTGCCTTTGACCATGTGTATGGTGTAGAGCTGCTGTGTAAGACCATATACGTCTTCGAACTGTTGACACTCTATTTCTATCGAAGTCTCTCTTCTGCGTCGAAGCTTGCTGACCGGTTCCTTCTTCTCCTCTCACAAACTTCACTCTCCTCAGACTGGAGTGTCAAGTCGCTTCGAATTACTCTGTTCTTGTCACGATGTTGATTCTTGTAGGTGAAGGAAATCATGGTTCATGGTTCTTTGTCTGTGATTGAAGGGACTCCAAATCGTAGTTGATCATAGCATGGATCATGACACGGCTGTCTATGAGATGACTCCCCACCGATCTTGTCCTGTCAGTCTCACTTGCCGGATCCTTTTCCCCATCTCTTCCACTCTTACACATGACTTCGACTGCAGATTCTGCTTTGTCGACCTTCTCAGCAGGCGAGACGTTTTGTCTGGCTGCAGCTCAACTAGAAGATGTGTCCTTGCGATCAAGATTTCTTGCCATCTCGGAGCAAACGGCTTCCTTCTCCTGGTCATTGTGTTTCGTCACATCTACTTTGAGGGTCTCGCGACCTCGACCAACTTGGGCAAACTTTGTTCTTTTGTGGCTCTCTGAGTTCCGCGACTGGCCGCAATTTCACATAGATAGTCTGGGACAAGTGGTACTAAACGTTGACTGTGGCGGTGTTGGCACATCTGAACGTGGGACTTGTGATTGATTTGAACGAGCTACTGCTTCTTGCTTTCCCATAATGTCAGTGCTGGTGGCTTGACTGGGCCGTCAGCAGTCGGAAGCCTTTCTCGGCTTGATTTGTCTTAGAACATGCATCTGAGGACATCAACATCAACACCTAGTCCAGAGGATGCGAAGGTATAGTGTAGGAACAGGTACGTTTTCTTCGAGCGCGCAAGATAATTGTGCGTGGTAGTAAGAGCAAGACAGATAAGTGGAAAGGTCGTGAGGGAGAGGAAAAGACGGCGACAAGTGTGGAAGGATGTTGTGACGGCCAGTTTCAGCTCGCACCTTACTCCTTTCTTCCCAAAGACCGACGCAGAGCATTTCGCTGAGGAAAGGACAGAATCTACTCACAGATGAGAAAAAGGTGAGATAGGCGATGCTATGAATGGAGATCTACTGCCTCAGCTTGACAGCCGTGGTACTCTACTGCAACCTGACACCAGCTTGTCTGTTCTTTTTAGCAGTGGCGCCGACAGCCTCGTTTGTACCAGTAAAGCCCAGCAATGATTTTCTCTGCCTATCATCCTCTTCCTGCTTCTTCTTCATACGCTTCTCCGTCTTCTGCTTACCACTACCTTTACCGTGGAATCTATGACTCAGATGCTTGAAAGCCTCCTTCTGGTTCATCTCACGGCCATCCTCGTCATTGTAGCGAAGCTGAACGTTAGGCTTGTATGAGCGCTTGAAGTGCTCAGCCTGCAATTGCGCGAGATAGGCATCACGTTGCTCGTTTTGCTGGCGTTGGTAGTTTTCACGCTCGCGGTGAGACATGCGATCCCAGCGGCCGGATTTACGGTCTGCTTCGCGCTCTTCTCTTGTCTTGCGATCGTACTCGTCAACCAGTGCTTGATTCTCTGCGAGGAACTGTTGTTGTGCGCGGACGGCTGCGTTGGCTTTGTCGGCATCGCTGTCTTGGACAAGACCTCTTTTGCGAAGCATATTGAGGATACCTCCTGCTCCGGATGTGACGTCTTCTTCGTCTGCGAAACCTGTGGACGTCATAGCTGGTCGTGCTGATGATTCTCGTTCCTCGGCCTCACGACGTGCTCGGGCGTCTTCTTCGTCTTCTACCGCAGCGTAGGACTCTTGCATAGTCGCGTCATCGTCTTGGGTTTCACCGATAGCTGGTGTTGAGGTGGCTCGTGTGCGCTCGTCTGCAGAATCTGGTGATTGTGGGCGTCTGAGGTTGGACACAAATTCGGTGGTCTCATCAATCACAAGACCAGGTTCATCATCATCTTCAGCTGTTTCCATGGGTGTTGCGGTATCTTCCTCACGAATGCGGCGAGCCAGCTCAGCAGCATCAGTCTTCTTACGCTTCTTCAATGCTTGCCTACGTTGCTCTGCCAGCTTGGCTTGCAGGTCATCATCATCGAAGGTTTCAAAGGTACGTTTCTTAGCAGCACCGTTCGATGTCGCCTGCCCGTCGATATCCATCTGGTCTCCCGAAGCTTGTTGTGCAGGCAAAGGGAAAATATCGTCCTCATCGGCAGCCTTTGTACGAGAGGTCTTGGCCTTCTTTGGCTTCTTGGGCTTTCGAATTTTGGCAGTTGAAGGGTCCTGATAGTCTGAGATGGGAGTGTCGTCCTTGAGCTCATCCAAGCTGAATTTGATTCCCTTGACGCCTATGCGCTCGGCTTCTGCGGCTTCCCTTTGTGCAGCGACAGCAGCTTGGTCAATGGCGCCAGACGTGTCAAGTGTGAAAGCCTTCTTTTTCTTGCCGTCAATCTCCTCATCGTAATGCGCAAGGATGGATCGGTTGCCATCATCCATGTCGTTCGGGTTATACACAGGCTTGTTCTTTTTGCGCTCCAGCTTCTCTTGCAGCTGCTCTTTCGCTCGGAGATCCAAGTTTTCGAGTTCATCGTCTTCGCTCTCGTCGCCAATAGCAGCATCTTTCAAGGTCAAGATCTGTTCGCCTTCTGCGTCAAACTGATCCAGCTCGTGGGCGACCTTGACACCGGCCAAGTCCTTGGCCGAGTACTCTGCTTGTGCTTGTCGTTCCAACTCAGCCTGCTCTTCTTCGTACTTTCTCGCCTTCTCGATCTTCTTTTGACGCTTCTTCTGCTGCAATAGCCAAGTCTTTGTGTCCATGTCCGCCTCTTCTGCATCTCCAAGACCTTGGCCCTCCAGCTTCGCATTCCGTAACTCGATGTCGCGTGCCTTCTTGAGAGCTTCCTTGCGAGCCAGACGCTCTTGTCTTACTTTCTCCTCATCTTGCAGCTTCTTCCAATTGTCACCAGCGGCAGCCTGGCGCTTTTCCAGTGTGCTCATGTCATCTGGGTCTGACTCTTCCCCGTCATCTTTTGATTTGAACTGGAGACCTTCTTCACCAGGTACGGGTAGAGGCGCAAGGCCCATGGCGACTCTGATCTTGTTGGCATCTTGAATTGCGACGGCGTCCATGTTTGGTGGCGGGTGGGAGGAGACGGGTGTGACGCGCGAAGTTACCGGATTCCACGATGGCTAGAGGCTCGATATCTACTCGTGCTGAAGAACTAAATCACAGCAGAACGACGTGAGGTAACAGAAAGGGATAGGCGCTGTGTGGATGGAGATGGCTAGATGCTCGAGAAAGTCAGATCGTCGGAGTTTGGTGGAGACTAAGACCGACGGCGTTCTCCGGCCTTGGCGTCCTTCGGCGGGCAGCAAATCTCTATATCAAGGACGCAAAGTTTCTCTCTTCCTCTTCTTCTCAATAACAAGATCTGTGTTCAGCGATCCTGGCGTCTTCTTCGGGGGACTGTTCGGTTGATTGCTGTCCAGCTCGACTTTTATGGAGCCATCAGACTATTGTGATGTCAATTATCCGGTCGACAGATTTAAGAACAATATGGCCCTGGGACAGCACCTGAGCTCGCTTCGGCTGAGCTCGGTGTGTAACCTTGGTCAAGAGCGTCATATTCCTGATCCCTTCGCTGAGGCCGTCGGCTTGTGAAGTTGGGGAAAAACCATGACTTGCTTACATCTATATTAGTGAATAATCGCCTCTGTATCGCGTCTTAATTGTCTATATATGAGACTCGCGCTTTTGCATGCAAGCGCGCAGGTTCAAAACACGCATGTCAACAGCAGTTGCGTGGGACAACAGGCTCATCCTTCGCAGTGCACCTGTCGTGTGCCTCCCTAGTTTTCGCTGCTGCGAAGACCGTCCCGGAAATAAGGCATGTCCGAATGTTCAGCTCGAACTCGTCACAATCACATGCAAATGCTTGCTTGTATAGATCTGCAAAATGATCTCTAAAGGCAGGAACAAAACGACGGAAAGAAGGCGTTCTGGCGTGACTTCCGAACGATGGCTTCCCTCAGTCAATGACGTTTTAGAACGCTCCTTCCACCAATGTAACTTCCAGAATAGCAATTCATTATTGGACTCATCCTCACTCAACTTTTACTTCATGCACATGTTCTTCAGCTGACGTCGCCGTGAGAAGTCGAGTAACGTTATCCACGCGATTGACCTCTTCCCGCCGACTCCGACTGTGTCACACTCAAGAAAGACTTTCTGCACCCCGCACGCAGCTGAAGAATCGCATTGGCTCCTCTTACCATTCTTCTTCTCCCTCAACGTTCTTAGTCTTTACTACCAGGCGCGATGACTCTACTAGGTCGTCCGTCTTCAGACCAGGCCGAGCAATTGAGACAGACTCGCAACGATCTCCGCCAAAAAGTGCGCAACGACTGGACATATCCCAACGCTCCTCATGTCGTACCTGACCACTACGCCGCACCGTCCGCCGCTGCAACACCCTCAACTCTGCACATGTCCACGTCTACTCAGGATGCGAGGGACCACGTAAATTCACACATCGCCGCCAATATCACAGCGTACGATCCGCCACTAGACAACCATACTTCCGACGACTGGGTTGAACGATACTACAGCGACGGCGAAGACTCGGCCTCGGACAAAGACGACAAGACTCCACGCTTCGAAACTCCCGACTCGGTTGGTACCAGTCTAGAAGAACGCAAGAGGCGGAGACGCGCAAGGCGACAACAGAGATACGAAGCCGAGATGGCCGAAAACATCGGTCTCGCCCATTGGAGCGCTCAGAGAAATCTTTGGACCGGTGCCCGACCGAGGACTGCTGAGAACCAGACCTCTTCAACAGCGTTAGGAGCGATACCCGATGCCAATCTACTCATACCCAAGGCACTTCCACTTCTTCCCGCCGACAACGCTGTCCGTAGCCGCATAACGACAAACACCTACTCGGACATCTACACAAAGATCATCCTCCAAGGCCGCACTCCCTCGATTCCAATCAACCTCTCAGACATTACTAGAAGCTTGGTTCATGGTTGGAAAGAAGAAGGGAACTGGCCGCCAAAGCCTACACCTGCAGAGGCCAGTCTAGTCAAGAAGCACCCTCATATTAAGGGCAGTTTGAAAAAGATGGGCAAGATCTTTGGTCTGGGTGGACCAGGTGTGCCAGTCGAGAAGGGTCCAGTATAGAACAACGGGCAAGACTGCTACATTTCGCCAAAACGATGCAAAAGTAATCTTGATGCTCCGAGGACTGGAAATATCCCGATGAGCGATGGTCACGATTCTCACGTTGGCGCTCTTGATTCCAATGATCCAAAGGTGATGCTGCGGAGGCTCCAAAGCTTGAGGGTAGATCACCGCCCACCATATCGGTCCCTAGGTGTCCCCGAGGCCAGGCAAGAGGAAGGATTCTTGTCAGTGTCACGTCCTGAGGAAAACGTGACCTGTGCTGCCCGGCAGTTCACAACGCAGCCACCCGAAGACCGGAGAATGGATGGTGAAGTCGCCAGCTCAGCTGACACAAGCATACGATCGGATGTCCTATCGGCCAATGATGAAGATACTTCGGAGGATCTGGACAAGCCGCGCCACAAGAAACCTCGCTCACGGGTCAACAATGAGAAGTCAGGGGGACGAGTTCTAGATCACATATTTGCTGGTGATCAACCGCGATGACTTTGACCATGTAGGAAGGGAGGGCAATGCTCAGGTGGTGTGAAGAACGAGACAAACGAACAGCGGCTGGCGTAAGGTCGGGAGCGGACTACTTCATGGAGCGTCACTTCTAATCTGCTTCAGTATTGTATCTTTACTGTAAAGACGTTCGTTGATCTGATAGCAACAGAAAAATATCGTTCGCTCTCCTCCAATCGTGCAAGACTTCTTCGCTTTCGCTTTTCTCCATGACAAAAAAAGAAAAGGACAAAGAGCCTGTTGGAAGGCTCAGACAGATTCATGTGCTGGTTGGAATTCATTGAACCTCATTGAGACGATGCACAGATGTCAGAGATGCAAGTAATGTAGGAAACGAAAGATTTCATTTTCCTGAGTCCAAGACAGGTTCTAAAATATATACAGGTTTGTTATGCTAGAAACAAAAAAAGCAAGATATCATGCGGGTGTGGAAAAACGAATGTATGCGAAGAAACGCTTGCTATGCCAAAAATGAAGACAGGGTAACAATTATCCTGAACAATGCTGAGGAAATGCCAATTCAAACTCTCCGGGAGCATTGATGATGCTGAGATGCGAAGAAAGCGGAAAGCGAAGAGACTTAAGAGTATTGCCAAGCAGCAGGAGCAGAAGACTCGGCGACTCTGAAAGCAAAGCCAACACAATCCTCAGCGGCATCCTTGACAGCAGCGGCGGCGAAAACAGCATAAGCGTCATCAACAGGGCAAGCAAGGAAGTCATCGCCGTTGAACTGGACATGCTGACCCTCCTGAGCAATGCTGAAACCAGTAACTGAGGCTCCCTCACCAGTAGATGCAGAGTGAGCGACAGTAAAAGACAAACGACCATCAGCAGCAACGTATACCTGCTGGCCTCCCGGGACTGTGGTGTCGAGGGCCAAAGTGTTCTCGCCGCCGAGGAATTGGGTGGTGGTGGTGTTGGGGCAGACAAGACCGGAGATTTCGGGACAGTAGGTGGCAGTGTCCTTTTGGAGCCAGAATTGAGAGCCAGCGGCGTTGACAGAGGCATATTGAATTCCAGACCCTGACCTAATGGCGAGACCGGCAAAAGCACTGGTGGGGGCTGCGCGCTTCTCGAAGGGGTTGGTGCCGAGACAGCCAGCGTATAGGGAAGCGCAGTAAGACATGTTCGCATCAGGAGCAACACGGCAAGCGTTGTAGGATTCCTCGCAAGCCCCCTTGCAAGCGGCGTCCTCAGACGAGCAGAATGCTTGATTTGCGGAAAGACCAGTGACGGGATCGCTGGCTCTACAAGCGTTGTCCTTAGTGACACAGTTGGAAGGAGCAGGGGTAGCGAAAGCACGGGCGACAATAGAAGGCTTGATGGTCAAGCTACCATCCTCAGAAAAGGGATTTTGACCAAGACATCCAGCGTAATCGGAAGCACATTGAGCCATGTTGGCAGAGAGACCGTTAGGGCGAGAAGTTCTGCAAGTGTTGTATGCATCGTAGCAAGTACCCTGGCAAGCAGCGTTGTCGGCAGAGCACTGTGCTTGGTTTGCGGAAAGACCAGTAACGGGGTCGCTGGCTCTGCAAGCATTGTCCTTTGCCACACAGCCAGAAGCAGTGGCACTGGGGGTGGCAGTGGCAGTGGCAGTGGCAGTAGCGGTACCGCTGGTAAGGCCAGAAGTTTTGCTGGCACACCACTCACGAATGCGGGCGGCGTCCTCACCAAGACAGGCAGTCATGTCGCAGGAGCACATGACCTCAGGGGTGCCAACGGCGAGGCAGTTGTTGTAGTCGACCTGGCATTGGTTCTGAGGAGTAGCAATGGGGGTTGCCGATGTGGTGACAGGGGCAGCGAAGGCAGGAAGGGCAAGTGCCAGAGATGAGATGATAATTGAGGACTTCATCTTGATGATTATGGGGTTGTGTGTTGATGTATGATGAAGAGTGTTGTGATAATTCAGATAATGGAAGGTCAAGCAGGACTCTTATATATCACTCTGTGGCCTGAACGTTCTGTGTGACGACACGGATGTCACCTACCTATGCCTCTACAATCACATAGAGATCTACATCAAATACGAAGGGTGTTCTAAAATCAGCATATGAACATAGCAAGGCCTGTGGCAATATAGATGATGTGCAAACCGTCCTGGAATGTTTGCAGAGCCGGTTCAGCACCGATCAGAGTCTAAATGATGTCGGCCAAGGTAAGGCCGTTTCATGGGGTCCGCCTAAGCTTATTGAGCCTTTCGGAGAGATGATCCTGAGACTGCAGCTCTTGCTCTGCCATACGCGGAGACCATGAGCTGCAATACCTTCAGCAAGCATTCCTCAGGCGACGGCCTTCACTCCATCAATTTGTCAATCGAGGACTACGAGGTAAAGCGAAGCTGTGAGCGATTCCCACCGCAGCAGGTATGAAGATTCTTCTTCCGAATTATCCAGAGTTTGGCTTCCACACTGAGCTTGGCCGCTTGGCGGCAACTTAGAGATGAAACCTGGGGGTGTGCATTTCTATTCTTAGCATGTCACAGCGCTGGACCACCGCCTCCACATTGCGGGCCGCGCTCAAGGGACAGACCGACAAGATCTTCTTCCACCTACGTGATGTGTGCTTTCTGCATTGAAGATCCTCGTAAAATGTGCTCCTCGTTATGTAACGTGGTACTGGTCTTGTTGAGATGCTGCTTTGTGGCCTGATGGCAGAGGGCGAAGCCGAGTAAGCACGGGGTTAGTGTTGCATCAGATGAAGTGTCTCAAGGGAGACCGGATCGACTGTCTTCGAGATTGTGCCTTGACTGCAAGGCAAGACAAAGCACATCGCATGTATGGCCCTGTGATGACGATCCTCCTTATCCATATGCTGGATGATTTGGAGAAGAAAATCAGTGTCAGTGACACCCTTCATAGACTGCATTGCATAAGCCGCATGGGAAATAGCACTTGAGAGACTACGGAAGCAATCGCCCAGCGGCGGAAAGAGATTAAATACGTGCGTAAAGTGTCAGAATATAGCATGATCCACCTGGTGTGGAGTAGAACTGCAGATGACAAGGTCATCGGTCACCTTCCTATATGCAAATACGAGTTTCCGATGCTAGTACAGTCTAGCACCTGCGCTCGCTGTGCCTCGGGTTGTCGAGACTGTGCGACGTGCGCAGTCTATGGAAACGAGGTCAACGAGAAAATCAGACCGTCGTAACATCAGTGAATCTGCAGTATATCAGACCGTTGGATGTCTCTTAGCTCACATGCAACACTAGGGACAGCGATATGACTAGGGTTTTATCGCATTCGCCTTGTCGTAAGGGTGGTCGCACAGGCCGATCGGCCATCGCGCTTCCGACATGTCGTCTAGACATCTAAGACGCGCTTCGGTGAAGAAAGACTGTAGGATAGTTTCGGTACCTCTTTTAGCGGGTGGTCTCTTCCGGTTCTCACTATCTCACGTTTTCCGACAGGTGGTTGGATTTCCATGATGATCACTGGGATGTCGCTCGAATTTCAGCTGATGATGTAGGGATACGTCATGAATGAGGTCTTGCTAGACAGGGTCGTCCTCTCGACCATTGCTCGGAGCAATGATCCTACTATTGTCGACGACGAGAAGGTTCAACTGCCTTTCTGATAGTATGAGGGTACGGAGAGAGATCTCTCTACGATGCTGTGTGTGTGGGTAGTCATCAGTATGAGAGATGCTGCTACTACATTGAGTTTTGTTCGTCGAGTCGATTTGATTCGAGAAATTGCACACGCTTCAACATGAATTCACGGCCCCAAAGGGGGTCTTTCAGACCGAACTTACAAAGTGACTCGCTTTGACTGCAGAGTTGCAAATAGATTGAATGCAGACAAGAACGTACTGCAAAAAAGAAGCTGGACAATCATGCTGTCCTGAGCATCTCTTCCATACAGCAGTCAGCACAAAAAAGCTCGGGCTCGGGCTGCAAAAGTTTCGCAACAGTCTGTTGTGCGTGCACAAAACGAGGATGCCTCCTAACGGAGTCGAACCGGTGACCTCGGCATTACTAGTGCCGCGCTCTACCAACTGAGCTAAAGAGGCAGGCATGAAGATGCTCATGTTTTAGTTTGTATATAGATGTGCACGCTGGTCGTCGTTAGCCGAAAGGTATTCGACGCGTCTCACGGCCGGCGTTTGACTACCTAAGCGGCATAGACGTGACATCTCCACAAACTTCCCAAAATAAGAAGAGCGATGGCAGACAGACTGGATGAAGACAAGGTCGATGTGAGTTAGTGTATCTCATTGTCGCGTTGAAACAAGATTGCCTCTTGTCGATTTCTCACTTCGCATCACACAATCTACCGAGACACCATCTATCATCAAGCAGATGCACTTTCTTGAGCACGCGGAACTTTGCTTTTGACACGTCATCTCTGACAACACCTGGAACTACAGCGCCTCAAGTCCTCCCTCTGGTACAGCATAGGCACCATAGTCGACGCCATAGCACTTGACCAAGATCTCAATACCACGCCCCAGTTCATCGGCTCCTTGACAGAGCTCGTCTGGAATCAAATCCTGGTGTCCGGCGCCGATTTGGAGGAGTTTGCAAGGTAGAATTCACCACAACTTATTCTCACTTGTGAGATCCATGCTGATGATGGGAATATACAGACATGCGGGAAGAGACACAGTTGACACGAAAGATGTACTGTTGCTGGTTCGCAGAAACGAGCAGCTCAAAGAGGTTCTGGAGAGTGCATTGAAGGAGATCAAAAAGTGATTCGTACGAACACAAAAGAGTAGGACAATTCAAAGATTGAATTCGTGGCTACTATGGGCTTCTTGCGCCGTGTCTATCTTTTCGCACAAGAGACAGGGTGTGTTATCCCATGAGGCCTCATTACACAGTAAGGTTCGTAAAGGGACATGGCAAGATCATTGCTTGTCGGGGAAACCAAGGTTGACCTTTGAGAAGGGATGTCAGTACTTGAGACGCAATTGACACGATGAATGGCTGAGTAAAAACTTACACCAAAGGCAGGGTATACGAAGCGGTTGGGAGGATGCGTCTTTGAGATGTTGTCCAGAGACTTGACATCCTCGGAGTCAAGCTTGATCAATTTCATGTTCTCCTCGATACGCGAAGGTGTCACCGACTTGGGGATGACGGAGCTTCCACGAGCAACTGTATTCACATTGCGATCAGCTTTTGCCGGGAGAAGGGATGAATAGGGGTCATTCTTACCATGGTAGCTCAACAAGACAGTACCGGGCGAAACATCATGCTTCTTCGCAACCTCTTGAATCTCCTTCTCCTGGAACAGAGGAGATCCAGTGGAACCCAGAGGACTGTATGCAGTAATCAAAATGCCCTTCTCCTTGCAGTAATCCACAATCTCTTGTTGAGGCAGATATGGGTGATTTTCAATCTGGTTGGCGGCGGGAGTGACGGTGGCTTCCTTCAACAGCTCTTCTAAGAAGGGTACTGAGAAGTTGGCAACACCGATGGCCTTTGTCTTTCCGGTCTTGAGGACCTTTTCCATTTCTTTCCAGGTTTGAGTGTATGACCATTCTGTGTCGAGATCACGGGAGCCATCGGGCTTCTTTGGCAAGTTGGGGTGGTTACCATTTGGGTTCATTGGTACAGGCCAGTGCATGAGGTATAAATCGACTATTCCACATAAGTCAGTCTGGTGTTCGAAGCCTGCAAACTCTCGCATATGGTAAACATTGTGACTCGTAGCTGGCAACATGGACGGTACTTTCGAGCACCGGATAGCGGCCATCGAAGATACTCAAAGGTCGCGTAGCTTTTTGACCAAAATACGGTACGGGTACAGTTTCACAGCTGCGCGTCACAATCGCCGACAAATGTGGAGGGACAAGGAAATCGCGACTCACCATAGTCAAGGCCCAGGGATTTTAGACTGAGATCGAGGTTCTCCTCTACTCTAGAATGGAAAGTACACCATAGCTCTGGTATGACTGATTAGCATGTTGTAATTTTCCGGCTTTGTTTTGGTGACTTACTGGTAGTGACAAAGATGTCCTCGCGCTTGAGACCTGACTTGAAGCCTTCGGCGAGACCTCCACCGACCTCGTCTTCGTTGCCGTAGACGTATGCGGCATCAATGTGCTTGTAGCCAACTTTAAGAGCATGCGACACTGCAGTCTTGACCTCTCCAGGAGCAGATTGCCATGTACCAAGACCTGTTTGACATTGGTATCAGTACGAGTGTCACACACTTCAAAGCGCATTCACATACCGAGAGCCGGGATCTTAGCGCCGGTGTTGAGGGTGAAGACGGTATCAGCCATTGTTTTGGGATGCAGTATAAAATCAGGAGTTCTCTTGAGAATGAAGTTTGCAAGTTGAGGATTCATGATCGGGAAATGGGCAAATGTTTATCAAGGGCACGAGGAAAAAACACCTTGCTGTCAACACATCATTCCCCTCCATCGGCCTTTGAAATCCGACAGCTTTCCACCCCGCCCCCACTTTCTTCCTTGGACAAGGAACTTCTTGCCCTCCTTCACCATACTTGAGCTTCGAGCTCGAAACAAGATTGACCCGAGAGCGAAACGTGGAGATCGGCGACTGCTGAACAGTGCCAAGGTTTGTCGAGCGCCGCACCTTCTTTCTCGCTGATACCTTTTTCCGACGCTTGTCGGATTGAGCACAAGTGTCGCGTCAAAAGAGGAAAATTGCCGCCCGAACACGAAGGACGGAAGAACCTCAGCCGTTCACTTGTGCTTGTGTCCAGTCGGAGGCCACTATCCAGATCCACATCCTCGTCATGAGATCAATGATCGTTGCTTTTCGCTCCGACGATGGTGCCGTTGGGATGATCTGGTGGCTACTAGCTTTCGCGCTAGGAAGGCAGGATTTTCCGAGGGACGCATGCCCCCCGACATCAGAGTTCAACCACCCCAGACAACTCTCGAACGACTTGTCAAGCAAGTGCCCGTGGGGCAAAGCAGCCACGTTTGAAGGTATTGGGCGAATGGACGCGAGTCTGCTTACGTTCGGCCCTTGGGTTTCTTCATCCGATGGAAGGTCTTGAGTCGTTCTAGTCTTGTCCGAACTGGGGAAGTGACGGCGTTGGACATGAGGTCTTTGAGTTGAAAGAACGGGGCCCCAGGATAGTGTGTGAGGGTTTGGTAGGTAAGAAGGAGAAGCCGAGTTGGAAACAAGTCCCCGAAGACAGGTAGATAAAAGATAGGTTCTCCTTCCTCGTTTCTGATCACTATTCATCATCGCATTTGTCCGTTTTCTTCATATTTACACACTCAAAAGCAAAGAAAGAACAGTCACACAAACACCACTTTTTTGTCACACCACACCTTTCACAAAGACATATACACACACATCAGGCAAAATGGCACCCATCGCTCTTGAGCAGCCCAATGTCGCTGAGAACTTCAACGACCACAAAGATGGTCTCGCCCTCGAGGCAACCTCCGACAACATTGACGAAGTAAACGTCCTCAAGGCCGCGTTGAAAGTCAAGAACGGCACCGCCACACAAGAAGAAAAGGACATTTACGAAAACTCGCAATTCGACGCCGACAAGGACAAGGAGCAATTCCGCAACTACGAGGACGCTTGTGACCGTGTAAAGAACTTTTACAAGGAGCAGCATGAGAAGCAGACTGTTGCTTACAACCTGCGCGCTCGTAACCGTTTCCACAGCAAGACTCGTGCTGAGATGACCATCTGGGAGGCCATGGAGAGATTAAACACATTGATCGACGAGTCTGACCCTGACACTTCTCTATCCCAGATTGAGCATCTGCTTCAATCTGCCGAGGCCATTCGCCGTGATGGCAAGCCTCGCTGGTTCCAATTGACTGGTCTGATCCACGACTTGGGCAAGCTTCTCTTCTTCTTCGACGCAGAGGGTCAATGGGACGTCGTCGGCGACACCTTTGTCGTTGGCTGCAAGTTCGACGACCGTATCATTTACCCCGGCACTTTCGAGAACAACCCAGACAGCAAGGACCCCATCTACAGCACCGAGCACGGTATCTACACTCCTGGCTGTGGACTCGACAATGTCATGATCAGCTGGGGTCACGATGAGTACCTCTACCACGTCGTCAAGGATCAGAGCACTCTCCCCGATGAGGCTCTCGCCATGATCCGTTACCACAGTTTCTACCCCTGGCACAAGGAAGGAGCTTACCGCTGGATGATGAACGAAAAGGACGAGAAGATGTTGGCTGCCGTCAAGGCTTTCAACCCCTACGACCTTTACTCAAAGTCTGATGGTGTCCCCAAGGTCGAGGACCTCAAGGACTACTACATGGAGCTCATCGACGAGTACTTCCCTCAAAAGGTCATTAGATGGTAGAATGTCTCTCCATTTTTCCCAATCTTCTCATGACTCCTTTGATTTCGACTTAGCGGAAAGCATTATTTGGAAATGGAAAGAAAAACTCCTTTGACCAAAAGAAAAATCTCCACCTTGAGGCAATGATAGATGAACATGAACCTCGGTGGTCGGCGTTAACTCTTGATATCTGTTGTGTTTCTTAGCTATAATGACCTCTTTTCTTTACCATACAAATGAATTCCCTTTTCTTCCACATCATGAACGCAATCTTTGATCATGGAGCTCATACACATAAGTGCCATCATATAAGCGAGATTACCAGAGAAACACAAAGTTCAATGTAGTCTAACCTATCAGTCATCTCTAAAGCACGCGGTAGTCTGTCCCACTTCCTTTATATCTTTCTTCTTCTTTCGTGAAACAACGCTCATCCCACATCGATCTTCGAACTAGAGCAATTCGATAAAGAACAGCATAAAGTCTTTGCCACTCAGATCAAAGCATTGCTATGTCTACCTCCTATTACAAAGCGCTACAATAATGGGAATGAGACGGGGGCAAAACAAATCGTAAACGACTGACCAGGCATCTTCTGTACCACTCTGCCCGGGTAAGGACTCACAAGAAACATCAATACAAAGTGCACAAAGTCTAGAATAACCCTGTCGAGGAAAATCAAACGCATTATACATGCTGACACACTTTCCAGGCCTAGGAAAGCCATGAAGAGAAGGCGTTTTCCGTATCCCTGACGCTATTGACAGCGGAAACCATTCCCCGAAGTCAACATGGTAATAATTCCCGACTCAAGTCACACGAGCCGCAAAGAGAAACCTTGCACATCCAATGCGGCAAAACAAGATCCGAGGATTATTCGAATTTTCATAAAAAGCACATTTCCAAAAAATTATGTACAAACATTTTCCCAATAAGAGGCTCCAACGCCAAAATGCCTTCATCGATGCTGTCCTTTTACAGTCTCGCTCTCTCGATACCACTAGTATCAATAATGACCTTTGGGCGCCACAAGGAAACATCAGCTTTTGCTCTCTCAGAAAAGAATCAAGCAGTCTCGATGACAACCTTGAGGACCAATTTCCCTGCATCGTCTTTGGTGCGTCCAGCCATTCCGAAAGCATCTGGACAGCTCTCCAAGCCTTTGTACTTGTGGGTTACAAGTTTTGAGAGATCGGGTGCTGAGGCCGAGGTGGCGATTTCAATGCCTTCGGGATATGTGTTTGCATAGCGGAAGACGCCTACAAGGTCGACTTCGCGGAGGGCGGCGGCGGACATGGCGAGGGTTTGGATAGGGACGCCCATACCAATTAGCATTACGCGACCGCCTGGTTTTGTTGCCTGTGGAGGGAGAGGATGAGTATTTTGTTGATGAATGGAGTTTGTGGGAGGGGAGACTTACGTAGATGCCTGCTTGTACGCAAGTGGGTACGCCAGTGCATTCAAAGACGACGTCGACTTCGCCGATTGCATTGCCAGAGTCATCGGCGACTTTAGCCACGCCGTCTGCTGTTTCGCGAGCAATGGCGAGATTCTCCTCTGTGTCCTTTCCTCTCTTCATTGGCACGACAAAGCCATGGTGGGCAAAGCCATTCTTGACGGCAAAGTCGACTCTTCCAGCGTCAATATCCGCAATGATGATGGTCTTTGCACCTTTCGTTTTTGCAACAGCAGCGGCGAGAAGACCCACAGCGCCAGCACCAAAGACCAAAGCAGTCATGCCAGGCTTCATCAGACTGCGTCTGTAGGCATGGATAGCCACACCCAGCGGCTCCAACAAAGCGCCCAACTCCATACTCATGCCCTCGGGCAACTTATGACACCACTTGGCAGGATGGTTGATGCGTCCCTGCAGTGTACCCTGGAAATGTGGGAAACTCTTTGCAGAACTTCTAAACTTCATGTCCTTGCAAATGTTGTATCTGCCCTCTTCACAGCGATGGCAGTGGTCGCAGGGAACACCGACTTCGAGGGCTACTCTGTCGCCGGGGGAGAAGTTTGAGACCGAGGAGCCGACTGCTGTGACGATACCGGAAGATTCATGGCCGAGAGTCAAGGGTTCGCGGACGAGGATGTCGCCGTTGCGGTTGTGGTTGTAGTAGTGGAGATCGCTGCCGCAAAGACCGGTGCTGTGGACGGCTACTTGGATTTCATGCTCTGACGGGGCCGGGACATTGCGAGGTTCCTGCGGTACTGGTAAGCTCGTGTTTGATCATGATTGTGTGCTTCCCGTCCGGTCGTTGTCCATCATGGTCAGTAACACTTACGATGCGGAGGTCTTTTGCGCCGTGCAAGACGCTAGCTTGTACTTGTGTTGACGACATGATTGAAATGTGCGAGACAGATAAGAGACAGCAGAGGGCTGCAAAGATGGTATAGAAGAGTGGTATGAGAAGGAAAGCAGGTCGCGAAATGCAATCAATACATAACAATGTCGAGTGATGACTTTCGGCGTCGGCATTTGACGCGGGACCCCCACTCGTCACCCACATCGCTCCTTCCCTCTCTGTCGGCAATTGATGAGGGGCTGAAGCAATGACGTTTCGGCTCAACTGGCGTGGGTCGACTCTCGACCAGCTCCAATTGTCGGCAACCATCGGCCTGAGATACGACAATTAATTCTACTTGGCTCTCTGTGTCTGCTCAACTCTCTTGTCTCTCATACTCCCTCATACTTCGCATCATGGCTTCAGTACAACAACTCTTCTCGCTCGAGGGCCAAACCGCTCTGGTCACTGGCGGTACCCGTGGTGAGTCTCTACCTTATGAAGCGTCTCGAACATCTGTAACTGACATTTCTGCCAGGTATCGGCCAGGCAATGGCCATTGCACTTGCTGAGGCTGGCGCAGACATTCTGCTGGTACAGGTATGCACTCTGTATCCAAACACCCGCAACCTATCCTGACCACTGCCCTCAGCGCGACGAATCGAACCAATCCACCCGAGAAGAAATTCAAAAGCTAGGACGCAAGGCCGAAATCTACACCGCCGACCTGGCATCACGAGAATCCGTCTCCGCTTTGGTCAAGAAAGTCGTCGCCGACGGCTACCAAATCCACATTCTGCTCAACTGCGGCGGCATCCAACGAAGACACCCTGCGCACCAATTCCCCGACAACGACTGGGACGAGGTCCTGAATGTCAACCTGAACTCGGTCTTTACGCTATGCAGAGATGTTGGCGCACACATGCTCTCGCGCGACGCTGATCAATACGGTCGCAGAGGTGCCATTATCAACATTGCCTCGTTGTTGTCTTTCCAGGGAGGCTTCACAGTACCTGCCTACGCTGCTTCAAAGGGCGGTGTCGCTCAGTTGACAAAAGCTCTGTCAAACGAGTGGGCCTCAAAGGGTATCAATGTCAACGGTATCGCTCCCGGCTATATCGCAACTGAGATGAATGATGCTTTGATGAAGGACAAGACGAGGAGTGAGCAAATCATGGCGAGAATCCCTGCTGGAAGGTGGGGCAAGCCTGAGGATTTCAAGGGTCCTGTTGTCTTCCTTGCCAGCAGAGCCAGCGGTTATGTCAGTGGTGAGATCTTGACTGTCGACGGCAGTTGGATGGCCAGGTAGATGGGAATATATCACAATGCACTTCTTGCGTTCCATCTTGCTCACAAACCATTCATGCATCGATTGCGATGGCTGGCGCACGGTCCACTGTAAACAATGAGCCTCATGAGATGCCGACGCGTGGAAATCAATCTTCGGGTTTCTAGGTGATACCACAGTGAGGATATCTTTTCGTCTTCGAGAATGTCGTTCTGTCTTCAGGCTTTAATATCGTGTCAGACCAACATGCTGGACGACCATGCATACCTCAAGCGCAATTGACTACCGAACTCCGCATAATTGCAGTTCCCGGCGCCGCTCAAGCGAACAGTAACTACTTGCCTAGACGACTTGAGAGAAATTCACTACAGATCGTAAACACAGCTCGCCAAACCATCGCGAAGATGGCTGTCTCCTTCGGACTCATGAGGCTTGTATTCGAATCGAGGAAACGCATCTCTCTCGTATCTCGTCTTGTCTTGTCCGAGACCATCTCCACCAGGCAACGGGGCAAGAAATCCCGGTCGGCAACTCGAGGACCCTTTTCATCAAACACCGACGAGGAAAGTCTCCACATCATCTTCCCCTCTCTTCTTCCCTCTTCCCAAAGCCGAAAACGGCAAAGAGGCACGAAGCGCAAGAGGAGCCCCGCATCTCGGGCTTTGCGTATCTTGCTGTGTCGACAGAGAGACTTTTTGATCTTACCAGCGAGATTGAGGTAAGAAAACTGGGGTCCCCGGGTGGTGGAGGCTTTATGTGTGACCATTCGGGTGAATCTCCAGGTTTTCCTCTGACTCCAAGTAAGCAGGTAAGGCGAGGGCAAGTAAGCTCTGACTACAAAGTTCCCAAGGTAGGTAATTCCGCGCGCAGAAGATGGCAGACGGGAAAGGTATTTGTATCTCTGAGCTTCCCTGCTGTCTTGTGGTTCAGAGCAAGTACAGTTGAGTCAACATTTCTGTCGATCTTGCCCTCTTTCTTCTCTTCTGCATAAGAACGAGCAGCTCCTGCATAATCGATTCTGCTACCTTCTCTCGGAGACTGAATTCCACTTTCCTCGACCTCTTGGACATAGCTACGCAAAAACGGATATCTTCGACACTCTTGTCCATTTCTTTCCTATCAACTTCTCTTCCTCAGCTCCCACATCAACAGCTTCTACGACTCCCACAACTCCCATCATGGCACCATCTCGTAAACTCCAAGTCGCCATCTCAGGCCTCGGCCGCATGGGAGCCCGCCACGCCCTAAACTTCCACGAACGAACTCCTCGCGCAGAAGTCGTAGCAGCCTTCACCCCCGAACCCAAAGAAGCCGCCTGGGCACGCGCAAACCTCGACGGCTGCGTCGTCTACACAGACTTTGACGAGATGCTCAAGCACCCCGGTCTCGAGGCAGTCGTCGTAGCCACCGTCACAACCGCTCATGCCCCTCAAGCCATTGCAGCTATCAAAGCCGGTAAACATGTGCTCTGTGAGAAGCCATTGAGCACCTCTGTGGAAATCTCCCAGAGCGTTGTGGATGCGGCGAATAAACACCCGAACCAGAAAGTGCTGTGTGGATTCTCCCGCCGCTTTGACGCCAGTTATAGAGATGCGTTTGCAAAGATGGACAGCAATGCCATTGGCCGTCCTGCAATCTTCCGCTCCCAGACCTGCGATAAACTCGACCCTTCAGGCTTCTTTGTCGACTACGCACAGTTCAGTGGCGGTATCTTTGTAGACTGCAATATCCACGATATCGACTTGGCATTGTGGTACTTTGGACAAGATGTAATGGTCAAGAGTGTTTATGCTGTTGGCATCACTGCCGTGCAGCCCGGGCTCAAGAAATGGAAGGATGTGGACAACGGCGTCGGTGTGGTGGAGTTCTACGGTAACAAGATTGCTTACCTGTACTCGTCACGTATGATGGCGGCAGGACAACACGATATGACAGAGATCATTGGCACCGAAGGCAAACTGACCGTCAATGCCAACCCCTCTGGCACGCTTGTCGAGATGAGCGAGGCTAGCGGTATCCGCAGAGAGATTCCTGGAGACTACTATGGCAGATTCTACGAGGCGTTTGTGAGGGAAGCCAACGAGTTTACGGCCGCGTGTTTGGATGACACAAAGTTGCCATTCAAGTTGAGTGGTGCTGTACAGGCTGTCAAGATTGGATGTGCTTTGCAAGAGAGTCTGAACAGTGGCAAGAAGATTGAGTTTGACGAGACTGGTCGTCGTGTTGAGGTTGCTTCTCTGTAGAAGGGGTTTGAGGTAGAAAGATTTTTGAGTCTATACATATACAAAAGAAGAATACAATCTGTCTTGCACTTTACTCCCATCTTTGCCAATTCACACAAAGTCATCGTTGTGAAGAAGCATGATGCTCTCCAGAACCGGACTAGCGTGCTCACATCCCTCTCGTCTGCGGAAATTAGTTTCCGTCGACTTTCGATGTCTTTGCACAACTCATCATACAAAGTTATCATAAGTAAGAAAATGGCCGGAGTGGTGTTCTGTCCGATAGCTTGCAATGGAGATATGGTCGGAGATAAGGCCGATACAGCCTACCATTTATCCATTCATGTATATTTTTTACTCACAACCACTTATGCTTGTTGCTGTCGTTTCACGATAAATAGCTCGCCAGGATGTGACTAAACGAGGAAGCAACGTCTGTCGTATCCTTGGGGTGAATCTCTGACTTGTAAGGCTCGCCCATCACCGCACGACATAATCGCTTTCATGACGCTATCTGGACGCTCTCAAAGCTATGCATCGTCAACATCATCTCGTTCGTTATGGTCTTAGCAATTTCTATGCCCATGGCGAGCGGGATGTCGGTGTCTCGATTAGGTCTTCTCCATCGCTGCCCGCGCCCTCCGCAAACAACGGCGCTCTTCGGCTTGATCCGAGACCTTGATACATGACCACAGAGCATCATTTCTATAAACTACTTCCATCTTGTCCCATCATTTCAGCAAGGAAAGAGTCAGGGTCGAAGAAAATCTACCATGGAAGCCTTCTGTCCACTATTGTCACAAAGCAATGTTGAGGACTTGATGAAAGAGTATCATGTCCCTGGCCTCAGCATTGGTTTCGTCAAGGATGGAAAAGTCACATCATCTGCATATGGTGTTCTGAACCGACATACGCAGCAAACTTGCACACCATCAACATTATTCGACATTGCTTCATGTTCAAAGTCGTTGACTGCAGCTTGTATAGCGATACTAGTTGAAGACGACAACTACCCAGAAATCACATGGACAACACCGCTCAGCAAACTTTTACCGGAGGACTTTGTGATGCCAACAGAAGAAGCTACGGAGAATGTTACTGTGGAAGATATGTTGTGTCATCGGACTGGTATGGCGAGACATGATTTGTCATATGTGGGTATCAATGGAGAACAACCGGATACTCCTCGCTCGGTAACAAGATCACTACGATACTTACCAATGGCCGCGCCTGAAAAGACGAAATACATGCTCTACAGCAATGCAATGTATACCATTGCAACCCACCTCATCGAAGTGAAAACCAACCTCAGTTTTTCGGATTTCTTGACGAGGAAGCTTTTGATTCCCTTGGGTATGACGTCTACCTACGTGCAGCCTTCTTCCGCAAAAGCTGCAGGTCAAGATGGTAGAATAGCATACGGGCATACCTTTGATAAATCTACCGAAACATGGACCATCTTCCTACCGCTGGAAACACCAGAAGCACAAGGCGCCGGCTCAATAATAACCACATCGCTCGATTACACCACTTGGATATCCTCCCTCCTATCCCACCTCCCCCCTCTAATCCAGTCCATCTCCACAGCCCTCTCAACGCCAAAAATTCTTCTCCCACCAGAAGAGACTGATAATCTACCCCCGTTCTCCTCACCTCCACTCTACTGCCTAGGTTTCGAAACCTACTTCTACCGTGGGTATAAAGTGGTTATCCATGATGGTTGCGTCGACGGCTTTGGAAGTAGCCATTTCTTCCTTCCTGGTCAAGGATTTGGAGCTGCGATATTCGGGAATGGAGATGATGCATTTGCCGTCACGGGGATTATTGCAAAACAACTTATTGATGCTGCTCTGAAAATACCAGGGGATGCACGAATCGATTGGGCAGAGTTGCAGAGACGGAAAAGTAGAGAAGCGGAAGAGGAATATGATATTGAGAGAGAGGCTCAAGAAATGCGAGAGGAGCTGTTTGATGAAACACGGTCCAGTGTAGAGCCGCTTGCTCTGGAGAGGTGCTTGGGGAGATACAGAAATCCGGGCTATGGTCTTTTTGTCCTAGAACTCAAAGATGGAGAGCTCTTTATCGATCTTAATGATCGTGGCTTTCCTTCTTCTATCGTACTCGAAAATGTTCAGACTTGGATTGATGAAGGTGAGATAGAGACTCTGACTGTTGGGGACAAGAAGGCCGAGATGACAAAGTCGGCATTCATCGCCCATCTAACACCGTCAAGGGGGACCTATAAAGAGGTCTTGGAAACGCAGTTTGAGATTTTGAGGGGCCATGATGGAAGAGAGGAGTTCAAGATGGGTATCAGGCTGGAGAACGACTTGGTGGAGGGAGAGTTGATTTGGTTTACTAGAGAGCAGTCATGAGAATGTGGTATACAATCTCGCTCTGATTCTTCGAGCAGCAGAGTTCAAAAGGTCACTGATGGGCGTGGTACATTTCATGGTTGCAAAGCACTGTCCAGCAGTGGTTTTCAATTTCATCTCGTCCTGTGGCTGTCTCGTTCGCTGGACCATCCTGCCATGTTGATGACCCGCTTGTTGCCTATCCCATTTATATAATTTCTTCTCCTGTCTCTTAAATTTTGCTCTCTCTAGCTGCGGTGTGTGAGAGGCATTCTTGCGCTGCACTCAAGAATGACTCGAGTCAACCAACGGCACAAATCCATGACTCGTGCATGGCTTCGTCATGAGATGAGACGTTCACAAGCCCGAAGGGCGTCCAAAGCTTCTTTGACATTCGAGCATGACGATGAAGGTACACGTAACGATCCAGAGCCCTTCGATGGTGGGTGCAACGCTCTTGCCCTCGCCACACAGGTCAAAGAACGCATTCTTCGATTTCTGGGTACGCTGGATGGCACCTTCGGCACTTTATTGGCAATTAGTCTAAGCACGGGTTGCACATCCACATTCATTCGTTGAGCTACCAGATAGAGCCAGCGTATTTGCAGCTTATCGGGCCAGGCTAGATTTTCTGCTAGCGACTTGAGCTTTTTCTTAGGGCAAGAAGGGCAGCTGTGTTCATGTCTGGACACAGATCCCCATCCGTTCACGCCGCGTACTGAGATATTGATATGATAGTCCTCGAATGAGGAGGTTAGCAGGACATGGAGTAGATTCATGATGTTGTCGGTGCTGATGTTTCTGAGCCACTGCTCAGTCAGGGGGGCGTGCCGCTACGTCCTTCCATCAGGTGGATTGCTAGATCGTGTAATTTCAGAGAACCAGAGCGAAGTAGCGCAGCCATAGTCGGCCGCTTGTTCGATTTCGTAGATCGTAAGGTCGTCGAGATCTACGCTGCGACGAACAAGGCTAATGATGATGCGTTTACCACGAGTTGTTGGAAGACCCGGTCTGGTGAAACTTTCACGATGAGAGTGACGCCACGAGACAATTAGGGGTGGAAATAAGTCGGGAGTAGGTGAAAGTAGAGGGTGACAGGAGCTGGCTAGGAGTATCCGCGGGCAGAAGAAGTCGCCGCTAGCTAATAGAGACAATGACGTGGGAACAAGGTTTGAGTATTGAGTCGGCCTGTAATGCTTCACTTAGCGATAAATGATGGACTTGAGAAAGTTGTAATACTTCGCGGACAGGTGACATGTCGATAGACTCTCTGATCTGGTGAGAAATGGTTGTACCTAAAAGTGGTAATTGACGCGAGAGCCGAGATCAAAGCAAGATTGTGGTCGGGTGAGACTTGTATGTGAACAAAATAGAAGGTGGTTGAGTTTTGAAGGTTGGTGCAAGTCGAATGTCGAGGAGGAGTATTGCTGGACCAAACCAGTGAGGCCTCGGCAACAAGCGTAGAGAGATCTCTCTATCGTCTATTGCCTATATAATTCGGGATCCAACACGATTCTGTTTACTTTACTATCGAGCGGACAAAGGCTCGAATGTCGTGTGGTGTATTGTTTCCATAGTCAAGGTGCTGGCCTTCTTATCTTTCTGCGTTTGCTGACTGTGGACCTCTTTGGACGTACTGCTGTATACCTCATATCATACCCGTCGCTATCGCAGCACGAGCAAGTCTCGACAAGCCCTCGTAAGTAGGTTCAATCTCCTTCCCCTCACCACATAACCCGACAAAAATGTCCATGATTGAATCAGAATATCCAAGTCTTTTCTCAACAGGATCCTTCTTGCCGAGTCGACGAGCGCGGGCTACACGGCGTTCCAGCTGGACTTCAAGTCTATGTTGAAGTGGCTGTGAAGATCACGATACCTCCAGTCAATGGTATTGGGTTTAACCAAGTCCAACTTCAAGGCATCCGTTCTTGTTGGCCACTTTCACGGTTGTGACGTAGCGGATCTGAGCAGCGCTTTCGGGGCCAGAATCCAATAAAATTGAGTTGGTGAATCGTTCATGCAGTCCGGAACCGAGATACCCTCTGGATGGTGAGACTTTTCGAGCCTGATGTCAGGACGAGTAATGCGGAAGAACACGTTGAGAGCCTCGGCCTTGATTTGACAATTCGTTGCTAACAAAGGTAGGTTCGACTGCGCATCTTGTGCTTGTACAAGATGCAAAGCCTCTTCATAGACTATCGTGCGGATCTCTATTGGCAAGTCCATGAAGCGGAAGCGGAAGTCTTGGTCTGCTGCATACAGAGCTGCTCGACAGGCACACCTAGTCGTCACCTTGGACAGCTGGATACGTCGTCCAATCAGCGCCTTCACCAAATCCTGACGGCTCCAGGTGAGGCACGGGTCCGTTTCGCGGTCATCTTGTCGTAGGAGACGCCGCAGAAGACGGCAGTTACGAGAGTTTGGGCGAAGGCGAGTAGACCAGTCCCGATCGCTCTCGAGGAGCGGATTGCACGAGCAGATGGTTCGGTATCCTCTGCATTCCAGCCAGAGTTTTTCGGAGCGGTCTGGTACTTTTTGTGTCTTGAGCGAGAGTTTTTCGGCATATCGGTAGATGGGGTATGGCTCCTTGTAGTGTCAGTGCCCGATCCTTGAGAGAGTTGCAGCAGGGATTACTTACCCGCCTGATACCACCATATCGGCCGCCTACCAGCCTGCCCATATTATCCAGCTGAGAGTAGGGTGTCTAAATGACTCCATCATGGTGTCTCGCTTCGCGGATAAAATCTGATTGAATTTGATGTGTTTATGTTGTCGGTTGCTGAAACGGTATGCGCGGTGCAGAAAGTACAAGTCGGCAGGTTGACGGGAGTGACGACTTCTGTGGTGTTGGTGTCTGCCTAAATTTGAAGAGTCTGGAAGCGATACCGCGTCCTTGCCTTTGTCGTATCCTGTTGTGCCTCGGTGACGTAACATTCGGATGCACCAAACACTACCTACGATCAAGCTCACCAGTTGGAGCTTGTGGGCTTTGTCTTACATGCTTCTGATTTGTATGCGATGTGAAACTACTGATATTGGATTACAGCCTTGACACGTCAGGCAGTGCCTCACCATAACAGGTGCCCAATCCCTCAAAACGCCAGAGAACCTCAACTTTTCCCAGTGCCTTTCTACGCCAGAGCGCCGAACATAATATATGCAGTCCACCAATGCTTTTGTCTTTCCCGTCTATTTCCTAGCGAATCTCGCAAGTGCAGGACCCAACTCAACCTCACCTTGTCGAGACTTGTTGTTTCTCTTGGCTTGCTCCTTCCTGAGCTCTTGTATTCTGACCTTTCTCTCGTCGATAATGTTCTTGGAGCCCTGCTTACGCAAGTACTTCCTCAAACTACTGTTCTTGCCTCTACCTCTGTTCTTGATCTTGGCAAGCGGATCCTCAGGCTTCTTGTCCAAATCCCTTTCTTGCTGGCGTTGAGCATGCGATGCACGATCCAGTTGACCGATGAACTCTGGATCGAGGGAAATCATCTCCGGTTGCAGCTTGTTGAGGAGAGCCTTGACTTCGCGTTCTTGGCGTTGCTTGGGGTTCTCGTAGAGCAGAACTTCCAGGGAGTCGGGGTTGGCTTCTCCGGCTCCGGGGACGATGACGCTGGAGAAGCCCTTGTCGTGACCGATGCCGAGGATATCTTCGTAGGGGCACCATCTTACGCGTTCGATGCGGTTGCCTTCGCCTCCCCATGCCATGTAGGGGCTTTGTACTTTGACTTGGTCGTTGACATTCTTGTTAAAGAGGTCTCTCCAGACTGTTGTTTGTGTGCCCCAGCCAACGGCGGTGAGGTTTGTGTCGGAGATTGAGACGGAGGTGCCGGGTGAGCGGAGGAAGTAGTTGTTGACCTCCTTGAACATGCGGACATCCCAGACTGACATTTTTGAATCCTGGCCTGTCGAAACCATGTATCTGCCTTCTCTATCCATAGCCAATGATCTTACGGGGCCTCTGTGTGCGAGAACCTTGACAAGAGGCTTCTGATCGTTTGGTGACCACATGCTGACAGTTCCATTCTGGTGACCGACGTGAAGGATGGCATTTTGAGGATTTTGACCGAAGGCGGTAGGAGAGCCTTGCTTTGTGGGGATCTGAGCGACGAGTTTGCCGGTACTGGTGTCTTGGTATTTCAGCCAGCCAGCATTTCCGATGGTTGTGAGGAGGAAGTGGAAGGGCAGGAACTCCATGTGTGTGACGTCGATGTGGTCTTGTAGCATTGAAATTTCAACACCCTGGTGGTCGTAGACGTAGACGTATTTCTTCTGTGCGACGGCGAAGAACTGGTTGTTGTGCAGCCACTTTGCGTCGCGGACTGTTTCTCCCAGATGCAACTCACAGCCCAGCTTTCCCTTTCTCCAGTCCATGGTTGCGACATGGCCCTTGCGACCTGCAAGGAGCATGTGCACACCGTTGCGCGTGTAGTCGACATTGTAAGGGCCCATACCGTCCAGTCTCAACTCAAAGCCCTTCTTGGCCGTCTCGATGCCAACTTCACTCTGGATCTCATCCTGTCTCACTTTGTATGTTCTCTCCAGCTCGCCTTCGGTCTCCAGAAAGCCAGACGTGTTTTCCAGCAGAATCTCGGCGTCTTTCGCCTGAACGGCGGCATCCTTGTACTTGTTCTCCAGAGCTCTCAGATTGCCGCGCAACTTTCGATCTTGTACACCACGGGTCGAAATCTTGTCGCCTCTTCCATATTGCTTCTGGGCTACGAGCGCCCGTCTCTTGACTTCTGCTGCATCTGCGTCGATGGGTGCTGTCGGGCCGCGGGCTTTTGTGGGAGCTGTGGTCGGTCGTTCGGCGAGGACGGTACGGTTCGCTGAGGTGGCCATATTGATCGCGTTGTGTGATTAATCCTTCTCTCAAACAATCATTCCGAAATTAGACGAGCGAAAGTGGTTCTGATGGGTCTGTAAACTTTTGGTTGCTCCAGAATTTCTTGCGACGAAGCCAAGAAAATGCATTTGCGAATCTTATCTCCGCCCACAACTCCGCCGTCGGCTATCGGTATCTCATCCCATTCAGCTGCGAATATAGCTGGCCTTGGCGGCATCATACCGCAGATTTCTTGTAATGATCAAGCAGCTACCAGTCTACCAATTGACGCGTCATGCGAGAGACAGGACTGAACAAGCCAACAATTACATTGTTACGGTACGACCACCATCACGGCCGACACCTCGAGATGTCACACTTCGAAGATGCACAGCAAAGTCACGCCGCTTCGTCACAGCGCGTTGCCGGCCCAGATGCAATACATCTGGAGTTGCTACTCTCCCTCTGTGACGGATATAGAAGCCGAAAGCCTGCAAAGGATACTCATCTTCGTAAAATCGTCGGGCATCGAAGAAGTTGTTGACCGAATGTTGTACCCGAACACGCATGTAGCCTGCGTACTTGTCTGACTAAGGTCTCATCAGTGGCTACATCTGTAGACTGCAGATAATCGGGGTCCACTGCGTACACTCACGTATCGTCAGGATGCGCCGCTCGACCCAATCTGGCCAGAAGATCCAACTATCGACTGTAGTGTCTGAAGCCTCGCCTTCTGCCGTTTCGTTGCGGTCCCTGCATTGGAATAATAGAGCAACACCTTCCTGAGCTTTATTGACAGAGTGCTACTGTAACGGCGATCATAAAAATGCAGGACGATTTTATCATAGAAGTGAGTCGCTCGTGGAGACCTGTAAAGAGTCGACGCTTAGCGGATGCCATGGAAGGCAAATAGCAGGTAACCGTGGTCGTTTGATCCCCTCGGCGGGAAGCTGCATGCCACAAATATCTCCTTCTCACTCGTCACTCGGACTTGTGTCCGGCTTTCTTCGTGTTGCAACATCGACTATCGCCAACAAGGTAATCAATCTGTACAGATCTTGCGTCTCCGCCTTTGATCGCGATTGGATGTTGTCGTTCACTTGCACAATATCTCTTATACTCAGCTGTCCTTGATCGCCTTCTCTGTCGCTTTTGTTTGTCACCATCCAACGCGTCCACAACACAAGACGACTCCCCGGCCAACTCGCTTTCTATTTCTCTGAGTTCACACCATACCTGGACTCTGCCTCTTCTCCATGTCCAAATCAGAAATCGCAGCCGCCATGGACGATCTACTGGCAATTCCTATGCGACCAGTGGTGCCGACCGCTTTACGATCACCGCCAATCAGAATCAAGTACTCAGTACGTATGGTGTACCCAATGTCTCATAGCACAGCACTGACTCTATGCCCAGCCAAACCGTCTCCAAGAGCTAACTGCGTTGATGAGCCGTGCTACCTCTATCCGAATACCCTTACCAATGCTTGGTGTGCCGCACATTGACGACCTCTCTGACAAGCAGCGCGTCAAGCGTACCAAATTCGAGACTCTTTTCCTCGAGTGCTTGTCAAGAGACTCTATCTGTTCTACCAAGCTCAAAATGGAACACAACAAATCTGGAAGCGCGAAGACCGACTTGCGACCAAATCCGAAGAGTGTACGAATGCTAACACGTCTTTTGCGACAAGATGATTGTACCATGAACCCTCACCTTACATGGAGTCGTCACGAAGTCATGGCTGCATTGAAGCAGCGTCAACTCTCCATTACCGGACTGGAGACAAAGTCGAGATTTGCATGTCGAATAAATCTACAAGCCGCTGACGAACGACGCACTTTCCGCTTCATGGACCTTCCCAAAGAAGTGCGTATGCTGATCTATGAAGATGCGGTATTAAAAGAAGTAGACTGGGTTGTCCAGGGCTCTCCAAAACCGGCACTGTTGTCCGTGAGCAGACAAGCACAGCAGGAAGCAAGCGCTGCATTCTTTCGTGTCAACAGATTCCAGCTGCGTATCTGTGGTCAAGGGTTATCTGACATGCCTCTGAGCCTATCGGACCACATACCCCCATCATTGGGGCTGTACAAGGCAGAGTTGCAGTGGTTCACGGTCATGGGAGCAAATAACCTCGCAAAAGTCCGCCACCTGTCGTTTATCTCAAGGTTCAGTCTCACGCGCCTCGGCCAGAAGACAGAGCTAGATCTTCTCTGCCTCAAGGCTGCTACCTGCCCTACAATCGTGGGAACCGCGTGTTCATGCGGCAAGGGATGTGGGTTCAGGACTCGATTGTATCTAGGTGAGGAAGTTGCATCACAGTACAAACAGCTCGAAAATGCGAAGAGCATCGAATACGTTTTTATGTCTCCAGAGATGACACAGGATGCAATACGCCAGATTGAAAGTCTAAAGATGAGGATTGCAAACCTTCAAGAGGCCATGGAGGAGTTTGGTAGATTGTGTGGTACGCACAAGCGTGTCAAGCCTTCGGCCGAAGGTCTTGTGCTTCTAGCACGCGCGGTGTATCTCGAGTGTAGCGACTGAGAGATGCAGGTCAGTTACATCGAGGGGAAAAAATGAACGGGAATGAGATGACGACCGTAGAACAACAATATTTACAAGATCAGAAGCGACTCAAGAACTCGAGCGTATCTCCAGAGCCCAAAGCCATCTACAACGTGAGTTATGCGCGCCGTCTTGCAGTCGCAGATCGCGTACTAATTCGAACAGACAAGCTCACTGCCCTACGACATTCGCTCCACAATCTCTCTCACCAGTCGCAAGCGTAGATGTAGAGACGCATTCGCCGACAAGCTTCTCGAATGCAGACGACGCTACACCATCTACAGCAAGCATCCAGATCTTCTCAAACACGTCAGCTCGAATGCTCGCAACCGCAAGAGGGTCAACAATCTTCTTCGCCAGGATGATTTCGCCAGAAATCCTTATCTCGAATGGAGTTGCCAAGAGCTCATGATTGCGTTGATACAATGCAAGATCCCACTTCCTCGCGAGGGCGCAGGATTAAGATTTGAGTGTCGTCTTGCTCTTGAGGAAGCCGTCAGAGCAGACCGGTTTCGTTTGATGGACCTGCCCAAGGAACTTCGCATCATGATCTACGAGCGCGCTCTCAGACAGGATGAGCCCCTTGATACCACCGATGGATGGCCTGCTCTAACTTGTGTGAGCTATTAGCTGCAGCAAGAAGCCCCAGATGTTATCGTTCGCATCGGCTGCATCCAGCTATTCATCAACTGCAGCCCCTGCCCCTTCAAACCCAAGAAGTGCTCAAAGCTAGAGCATATCGACTCCGGCCACACTGACTGGTTGAAGAGCATTGTTCCAGAAGCTGTCGCCAAACTGCGTAGGATATCGTTCTACTGTAGATGTTATTACACCCTGGTGGCATACTTGCGTATGAATGAAGCCAACAAAACTGCTTGATACGCTCTGACAAACACATAGCGTGCCGCTGACCCAGCGATACTGTTTGTGTGTGAAAGCGTGTCACGCATAGCTAGCTGGGCCATGGCGCAGCAATCTTTGAAAAGGTATCAATGTCCACCGAGATGCAGAATCTGACTCTCGGCGGCGGCATCATGAATCTGAGAGATGACCGTCACTTTTTCGAGCTCGTTTATACTCTCAACCATCATGGCGGACGGCTGTCATACAAAGCTTCGCAAAGACAGAAGACCTTCCAGATATGCATCCCGGAGAGAACGTGACTCCATTCCGTTGTGAAGATCGTTAGTTATGCAAGTGCCTGAGCGCCGTACCTGAAGTAAGCTGAGTTAATCAAAGTCATCGCTCGCACCAACACATCTTCTCGCCACGTACCATCTGGTCTTGCCCGGAACAAAGCGTAGCTGAAATCGTGGGCGAACGTCCGTTGCTCTGCTTCACTCGTCCCGCGCCCCTCCCGCCATCTCTTACCATCACAAAACCACGACACGCTTACGCCAGCGCTGGAGTTTTGTACTTACCATCAACAGCGGTAATTATTCAGTCGCCGTACGAGTGAGTTTTTTCCGTCTATACTACCAGTCGTGTTTTGCGATTATTAACTGGTCAGCACAAGCATCTTCACCATGGACGATCTCCTGCGCCTCGAGGCCCTGTCAATCTCAAAAACTCGAGCGACCCCTTCGATGTCGGAAGTGACTAGATTTCTCCATACGCGTCCTACTGAACTTTCCAGCACCATCTTATACGACGCATGTTGAGCATTTTCTCCTGCGATAGGACTACACTGACGATCACTTAGGACAGTTACGAGTTCGGAGCCCGTCGTGATAGCAAGCCAGAACTTCCTTGCTTCGCAGAGCTATCCTCGATCGGACACATCTCTACCAGGAGTGCTTGCAGAGACCATCTATTTGTCGTGCAGCATTGAGTTTCAGCTTCCTCGGCCCAAGTAGTCAAAGAATTATCAGCACAAGCCTCAGACCAAACAGCGGCGAGGTACGAAGACTCGCACGTCTTTTACGCCAAAGTGACCACCTCTATGATCCTTACCTCGGGTGGAGTCGTCAAGATCTGTTACACGCACTGTCTCAACGAGGAGTAGCGCTAAATCACCAGGAGTCGCTATCCAGATTCCAGTGTCGCATGGCCCTTGAAGATGCCGACAGATCATCCTCCTTTCGGTTCTTGGCATTGCCGGCCGAGATACGCAATGCACAAGATGTGATTATCGAGTCGCTGTGATGCGTGATTGAGAGGACAAGTCCAGCAAGAGCGACGGAGGTTATGTAAGCACGGACCATTGTCTCACCAAAGAAAGACCTCCATCACCTTTTCGACTGATTCACCGACTCGTATCATCTTGCCTATCGACAATCTAGACGAAGCCAGGTCTGCATCTCCGCGACGACGAAGTACCGAAATGGCAATTGCGACTTGAAATAGCCAGCCCGTTGGCTTCGACGATAACGGCTGGCAATGAAGACGCCCATCCCGGTTGTACTGCGTGGCAGGCAACGCAAAACCGTCTATCGAAGCATCGGCCTCGCTGTCGCCTGTGTCATACCGGCTTCCCTATCGTCTATTGTCGTCACTGCCTTCTGGAATCCTCGTCATATTGATGCTGTAAAGACGTTCTGCTGATTGCTGCCGCAAGCTTTGGAAGCGAAGCCTATCGAGGGTCGACCCTGCCGAGCGACAATGTGCCGGATACTTTCAACAGCAGGACACTTGTCGCATTGTACAAAAGGAGGACGTGGCAAGTGGACAAAGAGGAACAAGACACATCAAGTCATGTCGAACAGCAAGGAGGTTAGGAAAGGGCTATGGAATGCGACCTGCAGAACAACTCAAAGCCGAGGCACTTGTTCCAGAGCCATCTAGATCAAATGGACACACACAATAGGCGACATGTAGAAGGTCGAAGACATCATGCCCGGGATCACATTGCCGGAAACTCACTGCCAAACATGCTCCGAAAGCATTGGCATCCATCACGGGTAAGTCGCCTGATTTGCTTCACATTCTTGCAAGGCTCGCTTGACTTATCGATTGCGCATCGCGATTGTCACTTGACTTCTTGATTTTGCATTGTTCATGCTTTCTATTCACGTTGTGCTTTACTCCCTATACGCGTCAGAGAACTCCTTGCAGTAGGTATCGCGCAACGGTTGCACAGCATACGACCGTTGAAACTTTTGACCCGGGTCTTGCTCCTGAGAACACCATCCACCCCTTTTGAAACACGCCTCATCGTTGCATTGTTTTTTGCAGATCACACGCAGAGAGAACAGCAACACATTGACTATGCGCATGAAATAATGATTCGAAAATGTCTTGTAACAAGAATTTGTCGCAGAACAATTCGATGTCAATGCTAAAGCCGCAAGTAACGGGTCCGTTGGTCACGGCTTTTATTCTTCTCCCTCTGGCAACCATCAGTTGCGTATTGGGAAAGCCGTTTTCTCCGTGACCCTTTATCGTGCCTTGCCTTGAGTGAAAGTGTGAGGGATCAGAAAAAAGTGGCTGGGTTCAATAAGGAGGTTCGATATATGGTATAAGTAAAGCATCCAGCCATCGCATCTCTTGGCCTTTTGTTTGGTCGTCCATCCACTCTCTTCTCATTTTTGTTACCATCCACTCACTCACACATTCGCTTTTTGCTGATTGACACACTCTCACCTTCACTCTCCTTGGAAGACGCACAAATCACAAATCACAAATCAGACCCATATACCAATCGCATCAACATGCTTGGTCTTACATCAACGCGGTCCGCCCTGGTGGCGGGTACGCTTCTTTCGCTTGCATCTCAGGTGCTGGGACATATGGAGATGAGCTGGCCTTATCCCCTTCACAGCAAATACAACCCTGCAAACAGCTACACTGTCATTGACTACAGTATGACTGCGCCGTTATTTGCCGACGGCTCCAACTTTCCTTGCAAAGGTTACCAAAATGACCGACCAATGGTTCCTGTCGCTACATACTCTGCTGGTTCAACTTACAACATGACCATCGCTGGAAGTGCTGTTCACGGTGGTGGTTCCTGTCAACTTTCTCTGTCATACGACAACGGTGCTACTTTCAGAGTTATCAAGTCGATGATTGGAGGATGCCCTTTGACTTCGACTTATGATTTTACCATCCCTTCTTATGCGCCTGATGGAAATGCTCTTTTCGCTTGGACATGGCAGAACGAGATGGGCAACCGCGAGTACTACATGAACTGTGCGGTAGTCACCGTCGCAGGCTCCTCAGCATCCAAGCGCGACACTTCGAGCTTCGAGGCTCTGCCATTTATCTGGAAGGCCAACGTTCCTGGCGTCAACACTTGCACGACGACTGAGGGCGAAGATCCTGTCTACCCCATGCCCGGACCTGATGTTCTATACGGAGGAAAGATGAGCAGCTCGAGCCCAGCAAACTCAGTGGCAGGCGTCTGTGACGCAGCCACTCCTTTCGGAAAGACATACAAGAGCCTTGGTGACACTCCCGGACCCCAGACTGCAACTGTTGGAGGAGGATCAGGCTCATCCCCCACAACTGTCAAGTCTTCGTCATCCCAGGTTCCTACCACCCTGAAATCGACAACCAAGTCTTCCGTCGCATCTAGCGTCAAGCAGTCCACTGCTTCTGTGCCTGTGGTTCAGAGTAGCAGTAGCAAGAACACCGCGTCGACCGTGGTAACCCTGTCAACTGTCAATGCCGGAAAGACAAAGATCTCCTCGACCTCATCGACCACACCTCTGCCCTCCGCATCCTCCACCGACGATGACTGCCCTTCAGATGTTACTCTGACCGTCTACACCACCGCCGGCGCAACAGCAAAGACCTCGGTCATCCCCGCCTCCTCCACCTCCGCCGGCTCATCGCCCTCATCCACCCCCATCGATCCTGACACCGAATACGCCACCGGAGATCTCTCCACATATCTCCCCTGCGTACCTGGCACATACATTTGCACCTCCTCCACCGCATGGGTTACCTGCGACAGCACCATGTACTCCGACGGCAGCACCTCATGGGTCTACCGCGACGCCCGCGTGCTCGGCAACGGCGCAACCTGCGTGCCCTCCTTCTCGCCTTACTCGTCTTCCACAAAAGCATACGCCCAACAAGCAGATTCACCAGCGGGCTTCTACCGTGATGATAGAATCGCTTACCCCAGTGGTGCTGGTGCGTGTGCCGAGAATGGAGATGTCGAGTGTGTTGGTACGAGCGGCTTCAACATGTGTAACGATTTGGTCTGGTTCGGCATGGGAGGCACAGCGAGTGGCACACAGTGTCAAAACGGCATGTTGGTTTCTTCTTCGTAGAGCGGAGAGAAACTATACACAGCCGCTTTTGCCGCCGTGGTCTGCCATGGTTCTCAAAGTCTTGTCTGCGAAAGACCTTTGTGATTTTTTTGCATTTTAACACAGCGATTTTTGCTTATGGCGTTTTTGTTCTCTGTTGCAAGGTGCTGGGAAATGGACAATCCAGACACTTTTGCAGAATTTTTTGTCATGGGGAAATGGGGAAAAAGGGAATATGGGAGGATACAAAGCATTGCATGCAAACAAACATCTGTATATAGATTATACCACACAAAGTATGTAGACACATCACACATCATCATCATTCTTGATCAGAAGCAAGAAGAAGACAGAGTCTCTTTGCTTTATGATCAAGAATTCGAGAGGAAATTATCAGCAATCACCACAAAACACACGTCTTCCCATTGTGCTTGCGAACATCTTTAGTAGCGATAGAGATTGACGAAGTGAACACCTCGCTACGTCGCCCTTGGACTTTCAGAGTCTGCTGAGCATGGCAGCCCCCTAAAACGTTTTTGGGGGAGTCTGCCAGGTGACCGGACGGGCAAGACCGTTTTCTGTTGCACTGTGCTGCAAGCCACCGGGTTGTTTTCTGAAACCCGTTATATAGGCGGAGTCGCGTCATGTCTTGTTACCCCTCCTTGAAAAGACGCGTTTGTGTGATGACACAGTCTGAGAATGCGAAGAGTAGACTCGATGCGTACGTAGGAGTGACCAAATAAGATGGTGAGGTAACAAGATGGTGTCAATGGCTTCAGCTGCATGGACGAAGAGTAAGGATGAAATAGAAGAGAAAGAAGAAGAAGACCTTTTTGTGTGTGAAGACAACTATTTACGATCAACCAATGCAAAACGAAAAGAAAAAAAAAACACAAAAGTTCGTTGCCGTGGAGCCGTGATATTCTTTGAACCCAATAATCAGCATCAGGGCAGACATCAAGCCTCTCCCTCACCAGGTATCCAAAGAGCAGAAAGAAAAAAGACGCAATAGAGCCTTGCAAACATTAAAACCTCTTCATGGCCGTCGCTCGAGTAGAGAGACATTATGCACATGCCTGTGCAGAAAACACAATGTCGAAGGTGCTTAGAGGGCAAGAGCAGCGACACCGGCGGCGAAAGCAAGACCGCCGAATCCAGCGCCGACCTTGACAGCAGCGCCGGTAGCAGCAGCAGGGCTTGAAGAGGCAGAAGCACTTCTCGTGGCCGAAGCGGCGGAGGCGGCGGAGGCGGCAGAACCGCTGGCAGATCTGGTGGCAGTGCTCATGCTGCTCTTAGCGCTAGAAGCACTAGAGCTGACGGAAGCGGCAGCAGCAGAAGTTGAGGACTGCATAGCAGAAGTTTTGTTAGCATGGTGATAATTTGAGGTGTGACTCGTAGATTTATAGCTTACGGAGGCTGCGGCCGCGGCTGCGGTAGCGCTCTTGCCGACGGCGGACGAGGCAGAGGAGATCTTGGATGCGATGGAGCTCGAGACGCTGGCTTCGACGGACGAAGCGGAGGAGATGACAGATGAGACGGCATCAGATGCGCTGGCGGCTGCGGCGGTCACGGGAGTCTTGATGTTAACGCTGACGGTGGTAGTGGCAGAGGCAGTGGATGCGCCAGAGCTAGAGCTCTCATTGTCCTTGTAGTTGGGGTTGGAGATACCGAACTGAGTTGAGTCTGCGTATTGTGGTCAGTTCTCTGCTATACAGCTTCTTTCTGAGACCTGTCTGCGTACATTGGTATTGGCCAGTTCCCTCAACGATCAACTCAATGCCGTAGTAGGTAGTGTTGGGTGCGAGCTTGGTGTCAGGAGTCCACTCGTAGCTGCCAGTGTTGTCGATGCTCTCAGCAATGGTTGCGATGGGCACAACATTGGTCGAAGGGCCGTGGAGAAGGACAAGAGCGACCTTGCCCTTAGTGTCGGGCGACCAGGTAATGGTGAAAGGCTTGCCGACGGGGACGATGCTGTTAAGACCGGGCTCGTAGATAGCGTTACCAGTGGGATCACCCTTGGGGACGGTGTAGGCCGAGGCCAAAGGAGCAAAGGCAGCGAGGCCGGCGGTGAAGAGAGCGCGGAAAGACATTATTGCTGGTGCAGTTTCTTTTTTAGAAGTTCGTTTATGATGCACTTTATTGGCGGCCTGGGGAAGTTATAAAACACAAGAAGACACAAGGAGCGGCGGCTTTGATTGAAAATGAACGACTGGTTGTTGGTGAAACGAGTGACTGATAGGCGGTGATAGCCTTTTGTATGAAACGAGCGTAGGATGGAGTGATGTTGCAACGATGAGGAAGTTATAGAAACGGAGTTGAAAGAGTGACAACGGGATCTAAACCTCTGACGATGTTACAGTACTGACTTACAGGAGGGTAGCAACAGGTATGAACGCCATGCAGGAAGCCTAGAGTTTAGCACCAGCGTGACAATCAAGCCGAACGTCAACCATCGTCGCAGCGCCGGCTTACCGCAGCTGCTCAGGTATTGTTGCGCCCATAGCATTCGAATTTGAGGGTCTTTCTCTAACCTCGAACAACGTCTATCCGTGGTAGACCTCCAATCGGACTTGGGGGTGATGCGCCCGAGATGAGGTTGTTCAGGTGTGCTAGACAGCAAAAGGGAAGGCGTCGCTCCCTTTCGGCCAAGTCAAGGCTCGGCGCAATCTCCAGCCGTCGAAGCCTTGAGTTTCTCGACTCGCTGCCGCCTTCATCACCCACAGAAACTCACTCTCTTGCACTCTACGCGCTGGACTTCTGCCTTCACTGCCTCAGAGCTGGAACCCGCGTGCATGCGAAGGATTCGACCATGACCCGCAAGCGACCAATATAGAAATCTGCAGCCGATTTGACAGCCGCCATGCACAGGAAATTGGGCAATCCAACATGCATCTGCAGCAAAACACGATCACACATCACGGTCATGGACGGAGATTACTCTTCAAGGTAGACAAGCAGATCATATAGCAGTACAGAGATACATATAAGTTAGATTCATCATGCTTCTTGCTCTGTTGTTGTTAATGTCTCTCATCCTTCCAACGCTCTCATGTCGATCAAAAGAAAATATAGAAAATCTTCAAAACGCTCGCTGATCGGAATTCCCGACCAGGCTTCATGAGCCCTATACTTGACAAAAGCTCCAGGCTGAATGTCAAGCAGGTACCTGCAAATGGGTATGCGATGCATTGCCATGAGGTCGTCAATTTACATGTCGTTCTTCTAACAATCGAGGAGTGTTGTAACATAATTGTGATAGCGTATAATCGTGATTCGTAAGCGAGTGAAAGCCAAGCTGGAAATGGCTTTCCAGGTGGGTGTAGGTGTGTATAAATATGGAATATGGGTATATCGAGTCGATGGTCAACCGGTCAAGTGTCCTGAGTCGGACCGGGGAGTAGGTGCATCCTCATCCGCGCGCTTAGTTGCATTGGCCAGGGTCTGGTAAAAGTATAGTTAGCTATGGTGCTTCCTTGCGAACGACTGCCATCAGTATAGACTTACGGTTTCTGTTGGTGACAGGGTTGGGGAAGACTCCGTTCTGGAGGAGATCCTTCATGTCCCATCCGGGTGCACCCTCTGTGAAAATATTAGTCCAGTATTAAGAAATCCAAATTTCTTATAATGACGTACCAGTCTTCCAGGTCCAGAAGATCCAACCAGCAGCCTTCTCATAAGCATCGAGCTGAGCTTCGATGAATCTGCCGGTGTTCTCTCTGGTGGTTGGGTCGACTCCGCTGATCGAACCGCTGGAAAGGTTCTCGCAGCTACCGATATAGTACGATGAGGCACCATTGAAGTTGTATGATCCGTCGTAGCGGGCTCCTACACCACGGCCATTCAAGTAACGTGTGCAGTCGGATAGGGCGCCTGAGGCTGTGTCAGTGTGGTGCTATAGTAGCGAGGTTGGGCGATTTACCTGTCCATTCACCGGAAATGGTCCACTTGTTATTTTGGGTCATCTGGTTACCGAAGCCACAAGCAGAGCCGACGTGACTGTTGATGTCCTGCTGTAAGGCCCCACCGTCGAACACCTCATAATGCGTTAAGGTAGTTAGTACTTGTAAAGGAAGAAGGGAGGTGGTAGTATAGTTACATGAGTACTAGGAGGGAAAAGTTAGTAATTTTTACCAAAATTCGGGGTAAAGCTGTACTCACTCAAGCATCAGGTTCCACATGCCACTGCCCCAATCGTTCCAGGCATTGACACCAGCAAAGGCATCGTGGAAAGTGGTAACAAGGTTGGTGTCTCTGAGGTTACCCCATCCGTCCATGTAGAATTGGCGGACCTTGTCGATACCAACAGAAGAACCCATAGGCTCATTAATCAGCTCGATTGTCGACACAGCAGGGTGATTACCCATATCATCGCGAAGCTGATTGAGTGCTGCGATAGTTCTGCTAATGGAGTCGCCTTGACCCCAACCAACACCACCTCTTTGACCAGAATTGTCGAAGCCGTTTTGCGAGTATGGAGCACCGTGGAGATCGATCATGACTTTGAGACCTGCACCTTGAGCCCAGTCTAGTGCTCTGCCGAGGAATTGGTATGCACCTTGGACGTAGGGTGCATTGTCGTCTTTGATGATCGACCAGTAGCCGATGGGGATACGGATGTGGTTCATGCCTGCTGCTGCGATTTGGTGTAGGTCGTCTTCGCTGATCCATGTGTCCCAGTGCTTAGAGAGTCTTGAGTATGCTTCGCCGGAGCCGAGAGTTTGACAGTAGGTGTATTCTAGATGCTGGTTAGCGAAGCCCTGCTGAATCTAGTTGGCTATAGCATACCATCCACTACGTTCTCTGGTGTAGCATCGAAGATGCTAGGTGTGATCCATGGCTCAAGTACGAACCAGCCACCAAGATTCACACCGCGGACCTTTTCGCCGCCATAGTTGAACTTGAGGTCGCGTTTGCTAAATTGCTCACTAAGAGGAGTCTTAGCAAGAGGAAGAGATGGATGGGTTCCAGCTTGCTATACATACAGTGGTGCTGCTACACTAGTAGAGGGTAATAAAGTGAGTGCCGCGAGGGCCGAGGATAGTAATGTCTTAGACAACATGTTGTAGATTGTGTACGAGGTAGAGGAGGGAATGATCACCAGAAGATCAGAGGATCAGACAGAATATAAAGGTGTTCTTATGAAGGAATACGAGCTCGAATACCGGGCAGCAGCTCATGTCTTTTGTATGTCTCAGCTCAAGTCCACTTCGGCCGTTACAATTAACGTAAACCAGCTCAGTGAAGATCTTCCAGCAAGCCATGACTCCATGAATGCTACACCACACCACGGGACCAGTCCTTGCAGCATGTCAGCGGTCACTATTCGGCCAACTGTCAAGATGCCGAGGGTGATCATCTTGAACTACACTTTTTTTCCTTACAGCTTGTAGCTACCAAGCTTGAAAAAAGCTATACAACCGAGGCGATTGGCTCCTCCGCAACCCCAGGGTCCACAGCTTGAGCACGGATGACGGTGTGGAGGACCAGGCACGCATCGTGAATGGTCAGAGAGGCAAACTCTAGAGAGCTCACGGAAGCTCACGCGGAAGTGGCTTGTAGAGGGCGCGAGAAGGCGTGCGGGCCGGAAGCAAGGGGGGTGGTGTCACAAGGCCTTCTCGGCACACTCGGCGTGAAGCTGACCGCATCAAAGAGTAGCTATCCAGGTCCCCCCCATAAGGCAAGGGATTGTCGCAGACTGTTGGCCGTGACTTGAACATGAACAATAGCCTTCAAGATACGTCACAAACCAAGCTTTTTCTCCACAGCTTACTCCACGATTCAAACGCGCTTACACTTTAGCACCAAAGGTCCAGCCTCTCATGAGCTCTCGCACCGCCTCGGTTGACGGTTTCAACAAGCTTTCACGTGCCGTGTGATCAACTTGACTCCATGATTTGACGAGCACTGACTGACTGCTAAACCATGCTTTGGAGATGGCAGTGGATGCGGTGGTGTTTCGGCGCGACAGCGAGAAAGAGTTCCGGCGTGGCGGCATTATTGGACATGACTGTTCTCGTGGTTGCCAGTCAGATATACGCACGTATCCTCGGATGCTAAGACTGCAGTGCTACCCCAAGCATACCAAGTGCCGCTACTCAAGCATAGGAAGAAACAGCATGGAAGAAGTAGGAAGAATGCTGATCTTTGTGAATACTACGTGGACGAGATACCCAGCTGTACAAGAAAGACATGTACAAGGGCCACTGACGTGAACAGTGAACATCTCATGGCGAGTATCTCCGGTATGATACATGATGGTGTGCAACATAAATTGACCTGGGAGTTCCACCTTATGGGATGCCTCATTAGGAAGCTGCTAGATCATCCTCGGTACATACAGGTCACAAGGGCGTGGCAACAACGCTTTGTCTCGACGATCTCTTACAGGTCGCATAAGAAAGATTTGTCTTCGTTTGACTCGCTGCGCAAAGTATCTGGTCCTTGGTACGGTGGAGTGCCCAGTACAGGGGATCATGATGCGACATCGGTGTGGCTTGCAGAGCGGAGGAACGGAAGGCGGCTCACGCGATTCTGGAACAAGAAACCTGAAAGCTGGGTCGCACGTGATTGGGCTGTACCCGCGTTCTGCTGCACGCGTCTCGATGGACCGAAAAGCCGACAGGAGGCGATGGCAACAAATTATGCATCTTCGAACAACAGATTGTGCCTGAACCTCACAGACATGCAATGTGATGGGTCGGAAGAAGAAGGAGGCGCATGATGGGAAGCAGACGCTGAAGCAAGCAAAGGCAGCTTTCAAGGCGCGTGGTTCAACTCTGGTCACTGATACCGAGAAGCGTCAACTCGAGCGTGGCGCCATCCTCCTTCAACGTGCAGAGCGCATCAAAGAGTCCGAGACGCGGAGGAAGGAAGCGAAAAAGAAATCTCTCCAAGACACGAAGACAACCAAGACCTGCCTCCTGAGCACTCAACGCGTCAATGACAAGTTTGGCTATCAGAGGAGTCAGTTTCATCTCGGCGCCTTTCTGAAGCCCAAAGCTGTTGCGCCTGTAGCTGCACCTTTGCCAATTCTGCAAAAAGAGCCACCACAAGAACCTTGGGAGGATGATGGCGTAGACGATGATACTCTGCTCGACTTGGCCGGCGAGTCACCTATCACTACACTTAGGGAACCCCCTGTTCAAGCACAAGCACAACAGACGCCCAGTAAGACTCATGGCAGCTTGAAGCTTGAATCTCCCTTGTCGACCGACGACTTTGGCAGCTGGGATGACTTCCTCGAACGCAGTTCTCAGATAGCACGCGAGATCTCGACTGAGCGAAAGCCCACACCGCCAGCAACTCGATCATTCGACCGTATACCCTCCTTCACATCGACTGACTTTGATCTCTCCGTGGACGACCTTGAAGAGTTGGAACGGTCGGTCAACGATCCACCACAACAGAGTGACACTCCTCGATCGCACATACCACAGCAGGTCTGTAGGAACAGTGACGTGAGGTCGTGGTTGAAGAAGGAGGGCGCGCATACCCATCAGAAGGAAGGACATGACATGGATCGGAAGCTGATGCCTCCGCCGATGATACCTCTCAAACGACCAGCACCCACCTGTGCTGAGACTCGTAAAAGACTACCCTCGACAAAAGTCGCTCATGAAATCAGCCTTGCAGACCTCGAGTGTTTGGCTGGTGAAGACATTCAACTCAGCCAGTTTGTATGAGACAGCCGGCTCGGCCTGGACGAGCGCCGATCGCCGACCGTAATGAACTACGCGAGCGACATGCACTCCTGTCGATAGCCGCTTGCCTTGATCACAGCATCCTGGTTGAAGCGTCTGTCTTCAGCATTGCTCGACGCCAATCTTGCAATATTGATCTACAAGTTGCAGCCCGAACCCGACTACAGCACTGTGGAGATTAAAGAAGATGAGGTTCCGGCGGCAGTTTAGCAATAGCAATTGCAGATATGGAAATTGTCAAAACCAGAGACCAAAATCAGAGCTATCAAGACCAGCAGTGTATAAAAGTGACGGTGAGTAGATCTAGGTACTGGAAAGCATGAGGGCTGTAAGTGAGAGGTCAAGTCTGCGGTAGGCGCAGACCATGCGCTGTCGCCTGCATCAAGTCGCACGTCAGGTAAGCTTGGCTGCATGTGATTGCCTTCCCATCCCACTTTCCTGTTTCTGTTACTTCGTACAACTCATCTTCGCTAACACATCAGCTACCTGCGTGTTGACAATCAGATCTGACATTATTTGCCTAACATCCTCAAAAAGTGCACCTGTTGCAAAGCAAGAACCGACCAGATTTCTTACCTCTGTCTGCTGAAATTCGTCTCATCAAGAATCAACACACATTCCCCGAGCAGACGTCTATCGAATTCAAAGTGCATTCCGTTTCGCGTCAGACACTGTCTCCTGCAGAGCGGGAGCTGGGGAATTGGCACCAGGGACTTTCACACGACCTCACATTATTCCACGCGACTGTGCCACCAATCCCGGGGCTGTGGCCTGTCTCGCGTTCTTACCGATTACTTGCACTTTCACTCTGAACTGTCCGGGTTCTTGGATCCTCGCGCCTCGGCAGCCATCGACCTTCACGCTTCATTCTCAACAGGTTCCCCTGGTCGATACATTCCTTGATCCTCAGTTCTTCGCACACGGCTATCCTTCAACATGAATTCATTGGAGAGAGACAGACTTTTGTTGCAGGCACACGTAGATCTACACAGTGACAACTCAAGCATAGACATGTGGCCACCAATCCCCCGAGACGACGAAGACAGTGATGGCGGAGAAAGCGACAACTCTTCTCCCTACCCTCACCATGAACGAGTACTCTGGGAAGTGCCTCCCTCCGAAGGTCTCAGCGACGCTAAGACTGTCAAGCCAAAGGAAGTGAAGCTCGACCCCAAGCTTGTTGGCATGTCGATCGGTTGCAAGAACCTCTACGCCGGCAAGGAAGACCGCAGAGGTCGCTTCCAATGGCAGGAGACCATCCCGGAAGATCTTGTACCACCAGCCGAGAATGCAGAGACCCAGAAGTGGGCCTTTATAGCCAGATACATCAAGGTAGATGTTGTTCCAGCGTGTGGGTGGTCGATGCTGACGTCCTTGTTTACAGGTCTATGGTGACCCTCGCCGCACACTCGCTTTACACTCGATCGTCATCCAGTCGCCACTACTGAAAAAGGTTCTGGAAGACGTGCTTGATGGCTACCCAAGTGTCACTGTGGGTCTACAAAGACTAGAGTTCAGTGGCAAGCTCGAATCGTTGATACACCGCTTCCCCGAGCTCGATGCAGCTATCGAGAAGCTCACAGCTCTGTTCGAAAAGACACAAAGCACTAAAGCCGACGATGTATCCACTCCCAACCACGACCATCTCAAGAAGAGTAAGCCGATGATCCAATTTAGAAGCTTTACGAATGGCGAAATCGACGTCGACATGACGGCTGAGGACAATAGTGTACAGCAGAGCGAGATTAAGAGCTCAACGGAGAACCCTCTCGATGAACTTGCACCCAAGGCACAACCTACTGAGGCAGAGTTGAGCTTGAGACACACACAAATTCTCCGCGATCTCTTGTACGAAGAGTTTCAGACGTTGATCGAGTCTTCACGCGACATGAAAGCCCAAGGGGTCATGACGTATGAAGCCCTCTGGACAATGTTCGAGCCTGGTGCTCTCGTCTATGCTCGTGAGGAAGGCCAAGACCGTATTTTCAACCTGCTTTCTGGAAAGTACGGCGTGGACAAGGATCAGAAGCCCGTGTTTTGGCTCAAGATCCGCTTCATCGACTTTGACGGTACAAAATTCGGTTGGTCGACTACCAAGATTAGCGTTCCCGAGTTCCAAGGCACTTGCCCCATCGCTTCTCTTGCTGCCTATCCTATCGAGTACCATACCGACGAGGCCATACTGCGAGACAGGCTCGTCACCCGAGCTTCAGAAATCGAGTCGCTCATTGGCACACACTATCGCGCCTACGATGGTCTTGGATGGAAGCTTGATATTTACGGCCAGAAGGAACGTCACAGCATCAAAGGCAGAATTGTTGTCGACGCTGTGGGTTGGAACCGCTACATGCCCAATCAGGCAATTTACACTACAGCTCTCGACAGTAAAGGCTCCGACAAGCCCGTACATCATGCACGCCGAATAATTATGCCTCGATTTGGCGAAATGCTGGACGAAGGTTTTGGTGGAGGCATGCCACTCGATGGACACTTTGCTGAAGAGGACGATCTTAAGGACCTCCCACCTCTCACGGATGAGCAAAAGCTACTCTGTACTCACCTCATTCGTGGCTATGCTTTGAAAGAGAAAATTTGGCTCAATCTGTTTGCTGGCTCTGTGCAAGAAGTGTCCTTCAATGGATCTGCCTTCAAGTCTTTGGTCTTACCTGACGATACGAAAGAGCTTATCTTAGGCTTCACCTGCACACAACAAGCAACTCGTATGGCTTACGATGATGTTATCGAGGGCAAGGGTCGAGGTATAATCTTGCTGCTATGTGGTCCTCCTGGTGTTGGAAAGACCCTCACTGCCGAAAGTGTTGCTGAAGAGATGAAGGTCCCACTCTTCAACATGTCTGCTGGAGACTTGGGGATGGATTCCAAATTTATTGAGGCTCGTCTACTCACGGTGCTCGGTATGTGTACTCGCTGGAATGCCGTTTTGCTGCTGGACGAGGCCGACATCTTCCTCGAGGAGCGCAGCCGTCACGAGGTTGAACGCAACAAGCTTGTCAGCATCTTCCTACGTGTGCTTGAGTACCACGAAGGTATCATGTTCCTGACCACCAACCGCGTCGCTACATTCGATCCAGCCTTCCAGTCACGTATTCACATCAGTATCGACTACCCCGACTTGTCTCCCGAAAGCCGCAGAACAATTTGGGAAAACTTTTTACAGCGTCATAACGACGCCCAAGCTGCAGCGCGTCTTTCCGCACCCAAGAACCCTTTCTCATCTATCAAGTCGGCATCTGAAAGGGTTGTTGAGGACGAAGAAGCTAAGAAGGCCAAGCACATCACCTTGACGCAATCTCACATCGTCGCAAAGCAGGAGATTCGTCAGCTCTCCTTACTCAAGCTCAACGGTCGTCAGATCAAGAACATGCTCAAGACTGCTCAGTTGCTTGCCAATCGCAAGGCTGAGCCTCTGGCCCATAAGCACATCTGCACTGTGCTTGATGCTACTCAACATCTCCACAACGCCAGCAAGGCGACTGAACACGCTCGTAGCAGCATCTTCAACTAGACTCCGATTACACTCGCTTGGATATGGTGGGACTCGAGACAAGGGCGCTCCTGGCTTAGACTCGCTGTGCAGTGCGTACAGAGCAGGAGGACTGGAAAGCCTATTTTTTGCCGGTCCGGATATTCTAGAGACAACGAAAGGCGAGCAATCATTGCAAAGGCGCTTTCATTTCTTGGTACATATGCCTCTTCGGCTCTTTTTCCAGTGCTCCAAACACTAATCATTAATTGATGCCTTTTTCTCCATCCAGACCTTCATCTTAAACGTAAAAGAAGTTGATTGAATCCCTAATATCCATTGCATAGGAGTCCAAGAGCGTTTGTGCATGGGTTCAATTGCTGCGTTTCACAGTGAGCGAGAATTATGGACTAATACGAAGTTGTATAAAACCTTGTCTTCATGAATCAGCTGTGAGCAAAGTTATTTGTTACAGACGATGCCGTACCAGATATTGCACTTGCTTCTGCTCCTACTCCAGGACTGGTCCGTTTGCGATTGGATGATTAAGATTCTCTCTCTATTTTAGTAAGTACAAGTGGCCGGTGCAGGAGAGAGGTAGATCTATGACTCTTTCTCATCTCCCTTTGTTTTTCTTAAGAGCCGCTGGTAGCTCGTAGTACGCACGTAGAGGTCTCTCGTCACCTTGCGGACTTGAGGAAGGAGATTTAGGGGCCTGGCATCCTCCTCTCGCATTTGGTCTCGTGTTTCGTGAGTGATGTGTATTTGTGGACTATCGATGGGCTCAGAGTCTCCATTCAGAGTTCAAGGAATGTCTTGATGCCATGCGATTGATGATGGCAGAGAGCAAGTTGATGTAATGGTCTGGTTCAGTCGACCGCGCTTTGGACAATCCGCGTACGGTGCTACACAAACGCAAGATAATACATGGACTAGAAGGATATAAGACTCACTCCGGGTCTTGATATCGTAGACAAGGCCTATCGAAGATGTTTTCCAGGGTAAGAATGACGTGAATGACGATTGCATGCCTCTAAACCTTTGTACCTCCTTTACGCACATGACACGATCATGACAAAAAGAACGGTGTGTATGAATATACTGCAGAGCTACTCTGTCCCCACTCTGAGTTCAGATATCCTTGCTATAGACACTCCGCTTTGCTTTCTTCTCCCGGATAGATTATGTCTGGGTGCAGTTGTATGTAGCAGTAACGAGATGATTTTATACCTTGTAATCTCGAAATCTCTAGTATGAAGAGAGAGGTACAGTTACTCATAGCCACACCAGAATTGATAGTCCGAACGTTTGGCACCCTGGTAGCGACGGATAACTAGGGCTTTGGCCAGTATGAAGATCCTAGAAGAATGGTCAAGCCTTTCGACCATATCTGACCTGCGTAGAACAAAAACGTTTTACTTCGGATTCATTGTCATCATAGACTTGAGGTACACGAAGACGCCGAAGTCTTGATGCACACGGAGTTTTACCACTATCTGCTTACAAAAGAAGAACAGACGACACCCACGGCCGCTACGACGACCGTAGATACGGCTACTACGAAAAAGACGAAAAAGAACAGCCTTCTATGCACAGAGATGCAGATTACATCAGAAGAGAATCTTAATACGACCGTGTGACACAGTCTTGAGACGAGAACAACCAGGTCCCCAAGACAGGAGATCAGTCTGTCTCTAAGTGTTAGCCATACACTCCCATGTTCTCTTGCTATGGCTAGGGAAAAATGGGGCTGCAACAATGCTTCACAGACCTGGTAATCTGTGATACCTTCCACGGGGAGACAGCAAGATTGGGTGAAACCCAAGCGCGAGACGATGAGCAACGAATCATAAGAGATGTGCTTCAGCTGTATAAAGCTCTCGGAGGGTGTAGCGAGTGTAGCCAGCCATGACTTCGGCGGCATCCAAGTCGCGCTGCTTGTTGCTGTTGCTAGATGCTTGTTTGTGGATCAATCTCTCCAGAATAGATCAAGCTTTATATATTTACCCCTCGAGCCTGCCTCCCATCAATCGCAATCAGCGCCAGTTCACCAAGTGGACTAGATCATCAGACCTGCCGGGGTAGCTCAATCGGTAGAGCGTGTGGCTCTTAATAAAGTCAACCTCAAGGTCGCGGGTTCGAGCCCCGCCTTCGGCTATTCCTATAACAAATGATTGTGAATGATATCTTTTTGTCCGCAGTGGTGTGGTTGAAAGAAAAGATTTTTTTTGGGCTGGAGGATTTTTTGGCGCTTGTGTTTTGATAAGGCTGAGGGACGTCGATGCCAAGGCGGAATGCTCAGAGGGACCGTGCGTCGGCTGGAGACGGACAGGGTGGCCGGTACGACCATTGAATCTGAGGTCGACGCGATAATGTAGGTATGATCCAGAGTATTTTTTGCAGGTATCTCCTTATCATATTGTTCCTCGGACTCAATCATGGATGATTTGGGAGTTTGCGAGCAGCAGGAGTCCTGGCGGTGGTGATATCTCATTTTTCATGTTTCGAAATGGCTTCTTTCAGAAACTGGATGAGTACCACAACACAGATCACCGCTTTTGAAACCAAGAACCAGTGTCTTATCGAATACCCAGTGATAGTATCCGGATGGAGAGTAGCAGGCAGAGAGAGTATTTTCTTGGCCATGAAAGACATTGTCAGTCTCCACCAGTAAGGTTGAGCTGGTACGCAGTGCTGCCGACTACCAATGGGTTATCTTCGGCTTTGATACCAAGTCTCAAGAGATGTATAATTCTAGCATTTGCTGCACTCGGGAAGCACAGATATACATAGATACACAAACCACGCACAAAACCCGAGGCCTAAATACTTACGTCATCGCCAACTCATCTTCTACTACGAAGCCATTCCTTAAGAAGAAAACGTTTAGATCACAAGACTTGCAATAATTGACCAATCGGCTTCTGGTATTGTCAATGTTCCTCGGGGCACCACAGTCTTTGTCTCAGTCTACTTCCAAGTGCGACGAGGAGAAGTGTCGCAGGTCCTGCTGAGCGTGTTTGCTACTCCGACGGATTGTGATGGAGTTGCAGGGCAGCTAGCGACGAAGATAGGGTTCAAGGCCTGTAACATTTTTACAACTCATCTCCTACTCCATGCTCTCGATGCGTCTTTTGTCTTGTGCAGTGGCAGAGTGTATCATAGTACTTTAAGTGTGAGGATGGGCGTGGGGGAGACTCGACAAAACCTCGGGCTCGAGAAATCATCGACGTCCCCAGCAGCCATCAACCCCAAAACCCATACCATCAAACCGCATAATCAAATCCAACAGGGAACGTAGCCAAGAGTGGAGATATCTTCCATTGCAGACCTCTACGACATATTCCCCGTACCAAAAATCTCCAACTTAATCCTCCTCTCCTCAACACTATAACTCTGCAATTTAGCGGCCATATCCCTCATAAAGCCACTAGGACCGCATACATAATAGACTGCTTCTTTGTCATGCAAGAAAAGGTCCTTGTCCTTGTTCAGTCTATCCAGATCCATCCTGCTTGCAAAATCGTAATCGGTGCCTTGTTTCGCATTCGCAGAGGGAGTTTTGTTGAAGATGACAGAGTTGACAAAGGGATATGTTGATGTGATATCCCGGATATGAGGACCAAAAGCCTGAACAGCCGAAGATCTCGTGCCGTGGATAAAACGGATGTTCCTCTCTTTCTTCTCTTCGATGAAGGTATTGAGGATGGAGATCATTGGTGTAATACCCACACCGGCAGAAATCAAGACTAGAGCTCCGTTATTCTCGTCTTTGGGATCCGCATAGAATTCGCCGAATGGGTGAGAGACTTGCAGAATATCTCCTTCTCTCTTGTCTGCGTGCAGGATATTGGAGATGTAGGCTGGATGTGTGATGTCGCCTATTTGGACGGCGGATTCACGCTTTACACTGATGCGGTAGTGATGGGGCGATGGTGCGTCAGAGAGCGAGTATTGGCGATTCTGGTCGTGGTGAAGAGAAGGGACTGAAGTTGCCACACTGATGTATTGGCCAGGGAGGTAGGAAGGTAACGGCTTTCCATCCAAGGGGGAGAGGTAGAAGGAGGTGATTTCTTCGGACTCTGGCACTTTCTTAGAGATGAGGAAGTCGCGCCAGGATGTCCAAGAGCCAGCAGATTTGTAGAGAGTGTCTTCTTGCTTGATCATCTGCATCAAAGTCAGTCATCGAGTTTCAAGAGAGTATGATGGAGGCGTTGCTTACGATGTTCGCCAATTGCCAGTAAGCTTGACCCCAAGCCTCCAATATCTCGGGCGTCAAGGCTTCACCAAGCACATCACCCATAGCCCGCAATAGATACGTTCCAATGACACCATAATGATCAGGTTGTACAAACATGGAAGCATGTTTATGGCAAATCCTCTCGACAGCTGAAGACAGCACGCCAAGATCATCGATATGAGAAGCATATGCGTACAAGCTTCCTGCAAGAGCTCCGGCTTGATGTCCAGTCTTTTGATGTGTTTGATTGAAGATGCCATTTAGAGATGGATTCTCCTTGAGTAGTACATCATAGAAGTGCGAGGTGATTGTTGTGCCATGTTCCTTCAATACAGGTACAGTGGCTTTGATAAGCTTGACTTGATCCGGTGTCAACGACATCTTGTTGTTTGCTGCCTATGTGTTTCTTGTTTGGAAAGCCCAGTCAATGCTGAATGTGTTCAACAAGAAGATGATGTAACAATGATAAGAAAAAGAAGCAACTTGCCTCTTGCATATCAGCAGCATTTTATCTTATAGCAAAGCAAAAAGAAAAAGCATCGGACTTACCACCCGCAGCACCCGCAACAACCCTACCTGAAGACACAGAGAAACACTTGAAACACTTCCCATTACGTCCAATAGGGCAAGCAGAGCCATAGGAAGATTGCGCTTTGGTCATCAGAAGGGAGAGGTAGCAAGAGTGACGTGAGCCAGGTAGCAGTTTTCTCGTCGCTTCCTTCGTTCGCCGAAAACGTCACCCGAGCGTCTGTGTGAGCATTTCCGAGGGGAAGGAGGGAGTCCAGTTTCACCTCTGCATAGATCGCATTGATGCAGAATACATTGCGTGTCATGCGCATCAACTTGGTATTCGCTGTCGACGTCTCCAAAATGTGATGTTCATATCGTCGTTGGAAGGAAACATACACTTTCTCGCTGGAGGCGTCTGGCAATTCAGCCGCGGAGATGCTTCCAAACGCCAACCATCCGACCACGACGAGAAAACGCCTCGTCAGGTGAGCATACCAAGAACCGCCAAACAAACGAGTTCCTGCCCTTACTCTTACGAGAGAATTCGACTTCTCCGGTCTATATACAGCGTTAAAACGAGCACTTATTTCGCACATAGTCGGACATATTCGGAATCGCAAAAGTTGATCGTGAATTCATCTGTAGTCTCTCTTCATCCTCCCTTCCATCATCATCCAATATCTCAATAGTCCAAACAAACCGCATACCATAAGAGCTGTTGAAGCAAAAAAAAGAAGAAGCCGTCGCTAAAAACGAAACACCCACCTCCTAACCAAGAATTACCCACTGCCATTGAAACCACAATTTCCCATCTTTTTTTTTCTCAAGCCATAAAACCTTCAGGCATATCCAAGAATCCATCCAAAGCCCAACCCAAAGAATCAAACGGCGCATTGGCCGCGAAGTTAAGATTCTCCCAGTTTTCCAGTCCGCTCAAGCTCAAGTCTTGATCAGGCGCCATGGTGGATGGCGGTAGTGTGTCAGTGAGATCAGCATTAGGAATAGCAGTAGGGATTGTAGGGTGTTGAATAGCACGGTCGAGGTTCTTGGATGCACCAGCACCGACATGATCCTTCCATCTCCAGACACTATCATAGAGCAGACTCATACTCATGCGACAACGCACCTTGAGTTGAAGAGAATGCTCTGGGTCTGAGATGAAATTGGGTGAGTCGGGGAAGAGCTTGTTGGTCGAGCCACCGCCATTCGCTTGCCAGAGTTGAGCGAGGACCTCTGCAAGACGTTGAGGGAGGTCGTTGGGCACGGTTGAGATGTTACGCAGAGCGGCAACAGTTTGAAGGAATAAGTTTCTGCCGCTAGTAACGTCGACTTTGTTGGAGAAGAATGAGTTGAGCAGCTTCATAAGAGTGAAGCCTGCTGCCAATAGCATCTGCATCATGTAGTTGGTCGCAAAGCATTGGTAAGGTCCCGAGAGATGATCGCCTCCAGGAGTATGTACGCCAACATTAGGAGGAAGAGCTAAGAAGGACTTGAGCAATGTGCAGGCAGCAATGTACAAGGCCGAGAGATCGGACTTGTATGTCGGAGCTGAGGGAGAACCAAAGAAGGCCGTGAGACGGAGATGGAGAGCAGCGATCTGAGCATTGAGAAGATCAATGTGAGAAGCATGGTTTGCGCGAAGGGAAGTTTCCAACTCTTCGTATTCTCTTCCAAGAGTATCAATGAGGAGAGAACGATGAGCCTCATCACCAGCAACAAATTCATCTCGTTGCATGATGTAGCATGTGCGTGTGACCTTATCGACGAATCGCTCAATCTGGATACGGTTGCGGAAAGCACCTGAGATGCGATCGAGATGCAGGCCATGGGTGTACCAGTTCCAGCGCGAGATTTGAGGCATGCCATAGCCAGTCGATGTGTTTTGCGCAATCAAGTTGACAGCAACCCAAGTGTGCATACGGTCTTGAATGTCCTCGTCACGCAACTCTATGCGGTTACGAGAGAAGTCCTGGGCATGCGAAGGACGATGGAGACCGAATTGCATGGCAAGTTGGACCATAGTTCCACAAAGCATCATGCTAGGATCGTGTGAGGTTGAACTGCTAGGCATTGGCCATGTGCAGATCAAGACCAAGGCCTTGACGACGTGGTATGATTGAGGCACCGAGGCAATGGTTGACCACATCAGATCAGTGTATGATTGGCGAAGCTCTTGCAAGAGACCTGGCCGGCCTTCATAGCGGCGCATAGCAATGGTAAGAATCGTCCAGTGCAACAGAGGAGACATTGCGAAGAAGGCTGTGTATGGAGTGTCTGGGGACAGCAATGGAAGGTACGGGTGGTAGCGTGCAAAGTAGATGCCGACAAGATCCATGACTTCGTTCTCGCTCAACGTCACTCTTCCTAGAGTGTGCAGAGTCGGCTCTCGTGTCGGATAGTCGGTGCCTTGGTGAGCGAGGTCGAGGAGAGAACGCGAAGCGGCAGCCTCGTTAGGTCCTGGGAAAGGGTTGTTCGCGTTTGCGTAGGGCGCTTGCGGTGGGAAGCTTGGTGCTTGCAGAGGGTCTGCTGTGTTGGACAAGCCGCCTCGTGCCATGCCCATGCGCAGAGCCTGGTTCTCAGCCTTGAGCGACTCGAGTTCGCGCTCCATCTCGGCATGTCGCTGTCGCTTCTCCTGTCGCTTGAAGCCCGGATCGATGGCGCATGTGAGGCCATGCTTGATACATCTTCCACACGGCTGGAACTCTGGTTCTGTTTGGATGTTGCATCGCAGCTGCCCTTCCTGTCAGTTTTGGTCCTCTCAGACGCGTCAAGTCGCGTTCGAGTCTGACCTTTTGCTGCCGACACTGGTTACACGCTCTCTTCACCGGATGAGCCTTTGCCAGTCCTCCTGGCGTGTCTTGCTGTGGACTCTGCTCATCCTGTATCTCGCTCTTCTTTCTCTTTCTTGGTGGCCCTGCTGTCGACGATGATGTCGGCGTGAGTACCTGCTGTTGCTGCTGCTGTTGGACGTGCTGTAATGATGCTGGCACGTCTCCGCTGAACGGCGTCGATGTCGGCGAGTGTTGTAGACTCGAGAAGTCGGCATTACCAGACCATGCCATGATTACTGCTGAGTGCGGATGAGTTGCAGTATGATCCTCCGGTACCGCACTGCGTTGACACCCAAGTAGTATAATGTCGCCGGTTTCGCGTGACTCATGGTGAACTGAATGAATTTTTGTTTGTCAGATGCGGGGTAACACGAATTTGTCTCGGACTGTGCTCTAAAATTTTGTTTTCTTAGTGATTGTAGTCAGTGTTTTCTTCATCAACTGGTTCTGTGGTGTAGTTGGTTATCACTTCTGTCTAACACACAGGCGGTCCTGAGTTCGAGCCTCAGCGGAATCATTTCTTTTGCCTGTTCGACATCCTCTTTTGGTCCAGTGATGGGAATGGTACACCAACATTGAGCCAGGAAGAATCTATGCCTTTTTTCATCTCCGAAAACCGAGAAGCAAAAGACACGCCGTTAACACAAGGCGCATCCATCTTGCTATATAAGCCTTTCTCGCCATCATATCTCTTACCTCATCAGACTCCGAGACATCGTCTTAGAGAGCAGGCAGCGAGATCACAACAATCGCCGCAATTTATTGCTGTGTGTCGTGTTTCTCTTGAGATACTTACGCCACCAAGTCAGACGACGTGACAGAGGTCGATGTTGTAGAGCTATATAAGTTCTGCTCCACTACTACTCGCTGTTCTTTTAAAGAAAATCGCCCTATCATAACATTAGGACAGGGGGGCTAGCGAGAGAAGAAGATGTACCCACTTCCGGATCTTATAAGTAATCTTCAAGACATCGGGGCTCAAGGTGGCAAGCTCTTGACTTACTGCATGGTACAACTTCCTGATTAGGCTTATCGCGATAAGCTTGAATCAGCCTGATTCTGCTAAACAACAACCTACATCCTCGTTGCATGATTGAGCGACTTCCACACCCATGTCAGTACTATTGTAGCCGCTCATTGTGTTGCATCATGGGGTCTCCAAAAAGTCATCTTCCTCAGGATCTTAGTCAAGACCAGGTGGCGTCTCTTCTCGCGTCCATCAAATCTCCGAATCCACTTTCGATACGTCGGCTTCAGGTCACGGCTGAGTTTCACGTCATATACATTATCAGCTACGCGGCATCAGATCTGAAGCTATGGCTATCATCCAAGCACATTGCTCACTTGAACAATAAGGAGACCACTGAACTAGTTTTGCGAATTTCTGGCAACCATATTTCGAAGATCAAGACTGGAAACGAAGCTGCAGTCTTGTCATGGTTACGCGATAATACTGGTATACCAGTTCCAGCTGTGGTGGAATTTGACTCTAGCACCCGAAACTCGCTTGCGTGTGAGTACATGCTGATGACGCGCGAGCCTGGAGTAAGCCTAGCGGATGTGTATGCATCTCTCGACGCTACGCAGATGGATGGGATACTGGACCAGCTGCTTGATGTCAATGCCGAGTTGCATAAGCATGAGTGGTCACACGTCGGCGGTCTCTGCTTTGATGGACACGGGAATGTCGTTCCTGGTCCAGTACTGGAGGAAACATTCTGGTTCGAGCCAGACATCATTGCTTTGTGGCCCTCCGGCGAGACATTCGAATCACTCAACATCTCTGGACCATTTGCCTCATACTCGGACTATATCTCAGAACATCTCCTCAAGTACAAACACGCCATTGAGATACACTCATCTCTAGGGTTCATGCAAGAGATTCTTATTCGACTCGACCGCTTCTTAGATGTCATAGCTACCGAGACTCTACGAGCTAAATTGAACAACGTTCCTCTCCGCCTTGCACACAAAGACCTCCACTTCGCCAACATCCTCATCGATCCCTCCACCGCCAAGATAATCTCAATCATAGACTGGGAGTTTGCGGGTGTAGTACCATTCACCCGCTGGAATCCTAGTCGAGCTTTCCTCTGGAATACGCAAGACAACGATAGCTCAAAGCCAGAGAAAGAGGCTTTGATGCAGAGGTATGAGGCTAGAGCTAGGGAGAGGGGACTTGGGTACCTAGTTAACGATGCGAAGTTCACCTCAAGGGAGCAGGAGGGTATGCAGACGGTTGCGAATTTCCTGAGGGCGATTGTGGAGGTTTGTCCGAGGGGTCAGGGGGAGGAGAAGGTGAAGGATTGGAAGGAGATTGTTGTGAGAGCTATGACTGAGCTTGGGGCTTGAGTGAATCTGCAATTTACGGAGTTGTGGGTCAGTGGTGAGCGAGGGTCAGGTCACGTAGAACACTTGTTGTCGTGACAGATATAGATGGCAGCAAGTTCGGTCTCTCAGGGTTGAGAGGGTGTGGTGCCACAATATGGTTGGAGTTGTGATCGGACTCAATGACCTCGAAAGAGGTAGAAACACTGCATCCTATAAGGCGCGACAGAGTCTATTGATCCTTCTCTTCAAGTCGTTGCCGTACACCGTTTCCATTTCTTGGCACGTCATACTAATCTTGCCTTCGACACATCCAAAAACCAACATATCGACAATACTGACGACAAAAACGACAACCAAAATGAGCGCAACCTGGGACCTGAAACGCTTATTGATAGCATACTCAGCACCTTCACCTCTTTCTTTGCCGGCAGTTCGGCACTCTTTGTTAAATTCGGCCTTCTTGTTCTCTACACACGCCTTCTCACTCGCATGGCCACATCCAAATACCGGGGCGCACTTACAAAAGATCAGAGAGACGTCATTGGCATAGCTTCTTATCTGCTGATATTTATCCATTTCTTCCTGAGTTTGTTATATGCCAACGAGGATTCTCCGGTCGAAGCCACGGCACCCTCATACTTTTGGGCGGTCTGCTGGTCTATGGCGACATTGTCGGGAGTGTGTGGTGGACTTGGAGTCGCGGTTGTGATGTTCGTCGTGGTGACTGGTCTCTTCTGATGGAAAAGGACCCGACATGCAGAGCAGAACCACGACTTTTGGCCACACGGGAAATATGTCTTGTCAACCGCTCTTTACCGCCGGTCTCGTCGCGTATTCTGCGACCTTGCGGCTCGGTGCACCGCCGCACCGCTGGCACCTCGTGTCGATGAGTAGATACACTTTAGATCGACGTCTCGCGCGCACGTCGAGACCAAGATATTTGTGTCTTTCAGCTTCCGCCTCAGCTATCAGATCTCGAAACCTCTTCCGAAACGCGTTGGCGGCGGCCAACTGATGGCAATGGCCACGTCTGACAGATGCTGTCGTCTTAAGGCTTTCACCATTACTATGATAATTGACCGCGTTCATTGAACAGAACCATCTCCTATTCGACTTGAACTTCGCTTCAATCCCATTCAATGCCCTACCATTGATTGCGACATACTGCAGCATCGTCCCACGCGTACAACTTGAACTTGATATCGGTAGACACTGCAACCGCATGGCTTCCACATGCTTCAGACTGATTGCGAATATATTTGCCTCACATGGTCATGCACTAAACAAGCGACTTGGCCGCAGCAAGACTGCACGCGATCAGCACGCTCTCAACAGCTGTTATTGTGTGCTGAACGGTAACCGCTCGCGCCTCTTATCAAGGTGGATATGCCACCATGCAATCGAGAACATCAAGGGTTATGGGATCGTCAATATACGACTTGGCAGAACTCGGCTGTGCCTGAGCTTCTGCCAGATCAACAGCAACGTTGATATTCTACGGCCGAGAAGAAGATTGTTTTCCCGCGTCCAAGAAATGATCAGCTACATTGCTGGAGATCAACAGCGGAGGCCATGACCATGAGGGTCTTCTGCTTCGACGACGTTGGCTTAGTTGGCTGAAAAAATTACGGTAGGCGAGGGCCGAGCCGCAACCACATTCACCACACTCGCACATCTCGAGATCTTTTGGCAAATCACGGCGAACGAGTCAAACCTGCAACACTCTAATGCAAGCTTGGTCAGTTGCTTAGAGTGCCGAGAGTCAAGGAGATGGGAAGTCACGAACCCCGCGCCGCTATTAACGCTTGCCAATGTTCTTGGTATAGCTTGGCAATGTGATGTTCACCGAGCTCGCAACCTACCCGAGTACAGTGTCTCTACTCCATGCCTAATGAGCTTCTCGATCAGGCTAGTATCGGATCTGTCAATCTCGTGCCCCTGTGCATGGATATCTCCAAGGTTTGACACCATTGTGTGTTAAGACTTTCAGCAGATGACAAGGGCCAACCAACCACACCAAGGCTTGCCTCTTCAACCAAACGGTCTTGCCCTATTGGCTTCTGATAGAACTTCTCGTTAAGCCCATACTGATGGAGAAGGTGATACTGCATACCCGAACCTTGTATGCTCGCCACCTTCTCTTTTTGTGTAGGACTGTTGACTACTGATGAACCAGCTGCCAAGCAGATCATGTTTGAGCATACACCGACGTTGGCAAGATAGTCGCTCAAGCACACCTTCAGGAGGCAAACGAGACTAGTTCATGAGAAGACGAGATATGTATAAAGAGTACGAACTTTCCCACCCTCAAGGACATCATCTCATCCTCCATCTTCTATCTTCTCCACCACCAACCACTTTTCGTATCAACTATCAATCTTCACAATGTGGAAGAAGAGTGTAGCCGTACTCAGCGCCATTGCCGGTCTGGCAATGGCTGCTCCTGTTCCTCAGGATGTTGCCACCGCTCCTGCTACTACCAAGTACATCATTACCCTCAAGGCTGGTATCGACCCTGAGGTTGGTATCTCGCACATCAACTGGGCTGGCGATCTGCACCGTCGTGGTATCTACAAGCGTCAGGAGAACGGTACCGTCGAGGAGGACCTGAAGGTCTTCAAGGTCGCCGACTTCAATGCTTACGCTGGTTCTTTTGACGAGGAGACCATTGCTGAGCTCAAGGCCAGCAACGAGGTAAGTTCTGACACACGCATGTGCAAGGCAATTTTTCTAATTCTTTTATTAGGTTGCCATTGTTGAGGAGGATCTTCCCATCTACATGACTGCCATCACCTCCCAGACTGGCAGCACGTGGGGTCTTGGCCGCATCTCGCAGCGTAACTACGCTGCCAACACCTACTACTATGATACCACCGCCGGTGCTGGCACCTACGGCTATGTCATTGATTCTGGCATCAACATCAACCACAGAGAGTTTGGTGGTCGTGCCTCGCTGGGCTCCAACTTCGTTGGTGGTTCCCACATTGACGATGCTGGTCATGGTACTCACGTTGCTGGCACCATTGCTGGTTCTACCTACGGTGTTGCCAAGAAGGCCAATGTCATCTCCGTCAAGGTCTTTGGTTCTTCCGGAGTAAGCCACTTTTCCATACCGCTGCTGGAAACAATGCTAACAATCGCCACAGTCCAGCGCCACCTCCACCATCATGCAGGGCTTCGAGTGGGCAGCCAACGACATCATCAACAAGGGCCGCACCGGAAAGTCTGTCATCAACATGTCTCTCGGCTCCGAGGACTCTGTCTCCACTGCCTTCAACTCTCTCGTCAACGCCGCCACCCAACAAGGCGTCCTCTCCGTCGTCGCCGCCGGCAACGGTATCAGCAACCCTCAGACCGGCGCCTTTGTCGAAGCCATCGATGCCTCCCGCACCTCTCCCGCCTCCGCCTCTTCCGCCATCACCGTAGGTGCAATCGGCAGCAACAACGCTCGCGCCTACTTCTCAAACTACGGCAGCACTGTTGACGTTTTCGCCCCTGGGCTCAACGTTCTTTCTGCTTGGATCGGCTCGACCACTGCTACTAACACCATCTCTGGTACCTCCATGGCTTGCCCTCATGTCGTTGGTCTTGCTCTTTACCTCAAGGGTCTGGAGTCTGGCCTTGATACCCCTGCTGCCATCACCAACAGAATTATTGCTCTTTCCACCACTGGTCAGGGTACTGATCTTCGTAGCGGTAGCCCTAACCGTATTGTGTACAACAACAGCGGTCGTTAAATTCTCTCATACGATCGTTTTTTTTTTGTCTGAGATGGAACAAAAGTAGAGATGATGTAGCGGATGGATTTGGTAGATGATGAAACAGCTTCTTCCTTTGGGTGAGAGCTATGAAATGTCCTTTATGACTTTTACAATAAATCAAAAGCAATGCTTGAAAATTGCTACAACGGTTCTGTCGTCTGTCTACCTGTGATGGCTTTGTGTTACGTCATTGCTTATGCGTATTTGTACCTCTAGATCGGACAGTCAATTAGCCATGACCAAAGGATCTGTTGGCCTCGATAACTCGAAGAAACTACTGGGCGGAAATTGGATTTGTGCTACAGATGCTCAGCAGTCAATGCTAAACAGAAAGAAGGCTTAGTGACGAGTATGTCAATTGGTAAGCTGTGCACAGGCTCATGTTTCTTTGTTTCTATTCAAGCCTGAGTTCTTACAGATCTTGTATCAATTCGATTGGCATCCGACCTCCTCAACGTGTTGTGACGAATTTTTCTCGTCCGCATCCCCAAGTTTTTCCGCCTTTGCCATGGAACCAAAAGACTCAACTTTGGTCTGCTTGAAGTTGCGAGCGGAAACGTGGGTATCAAATAGCATGTCCATCTCAGCATAAGAGCGACCCTTGGGCTCCGGTACCCGAAAGTATGTCCACACGGCGCATAGAGCACCAGTGCCTGCCCAGAAGAAGCCAGCCTTCGCGCCCCAATTCCAGGCATCAGGATTGAGCATATGAGGTGTGAGGATATTGGCAACGACACCGGTAATGTTGTAGAGATTGCGAGCGAGAACGACAGTTTTGTTCCTCAGACGAGTTGATGGAATCTCGGCGACGAGGGAGTAGCTTGATCGTTGTTAGTCTTTGTTCACGTAAATTGGGATATGGTCAGACTTACCACACTGGTCCAACAGTCATGTCGTAGATGAAGGTGTAGATCAAGATCATGGCTCCAATACCCCAGTGCGCACCAGCGGCAGATGCAGGGGCGATACCGAGCAAACCGACAATCATGAGAATCGAAGCCATGGCGATCTGGCCCCACAAGTATAGCGTGCGACGTCCAAACTTCATCATCAACAACCATGAGAGAACGGTACCGACAGCACCAAGACCGTATTGCCCGAGAGTCATCGAGAATGCCGATGAGACATCGAGGCCAGCTTGTTCGAAGAAGTAAGTCGAGTAACCTGTGAAAGAAGATGCACCGCACAAAGTCTGAACAGCCCAGACCATGCAAACAATTTCAGTGCGTCTCCGGTCAGTGCCCTTGAAGCAGTCCAGATAGCTTGTGCCGGATGTGCTCGCTTTCTCAAGTTCATCTGTGTAAACCATCATGTTCACCGTCTCGTCGGCGTTGAAGCCAGAATCTGTCTGATTGCGCGACGTCAATCTGAGAACTTGTGCCTTTGCCTCTTCGCGGCGACCTTGGCGAACGAGCCACCACGGAGACTCTGGTGCCAGTGCGATACCTATGATCAGAGGTAGTGGCCAAATCCACTGCAGTCCGTAGGGAAGCTTGTAGCCAATCGGTCCGGTCTTGTCGGCGACAGCTTTGAGCACGGCCGAGGACAGGAACTGGCCGATGACCCAGCATAGGTTGACGTACGTCGTCAAATATGCACGGAGACTGACAGGGCAAACCTCAGCAGCGTAAGTTGTGGTCAATGTCTGAAATGCACCCCTAGAGCTTGAGTCAGTAATGGAGAACACAACTGTAGTATCCGGATGACTGACCAGGGAATACCCATGAGAATCTCGCCGACAAGAAGCATTGGCAGACTCTGGGCGAAGAAGACGATGAAGATGAAGCCAGTGAGTCCAACAAGAGAGCCAACCATCGTCTTCTTGTAGCCGATACGTTCGACGATATAACCAATGAATAGCAGACCGATGACTTCACCGACCAGAGCTCCATTGGACAAACCAGACTGCCATGCTGCGCTGATTTGGTAGCTACCATCGGCTGATGGCTCGCCGAAGCGAAGTTGGAAAGCAGGAAGGGCCATCAGAGAGTTGATGAGTACGATGTCGAAGCCTTCCATCTAGTCACCCATGTCAGTATGTGCGTGAGTTACTTGAACGGAATTTGCTTACGATGATGCAGGTTGAGAGCAAGATAGACCAGCCGATAGCCTTTGGATAAGTCTTGATACCTTGCAGCAGAGTCATGGAGATCTCAGACTGCGTTGCTCTTGCAGCCTCGCCAGCGATGGCGGTGTCAACTCTGGCCAGGTGGTGCATGTCGCCGGCAGTGATGCTTCCATTGCGTTTGGTGTCTTCATCACCGGCGATGGAGAAAGTTCGTGTATCTGCCATGATGGAAAACGCGAATTACTTGCGACGATGATAGTAGTAGACTGTGTTGGGTGAATATTTCGATGGTGTTCATAGACGGGGTGCAAGGTCCCTATATATGGTGATAGCAGGGGATGTGTACCTTGACCCCGATCGATCAGATATGTCCCATGGGGAAACCGTTACACCCTTCGGCGCTTTGTGCTTTGTTGGTGAGATAACCCACCCCCGGAATGCGTACGAGGGCTACATGTTCGTAGAGGAAGAGAGATCAGACTCTGTGTGAGAAAGAGGCAAACTGGGCTGAGCGAGTGGTCGAGCGAGAGAAGTAGCGAGAGTAAGAGCGACAGGAACGGCGAGAGTAGGAGCGACCGGCCTGTGATTGGGTTGCGGCCCCAGCCCAGAGGATGGTGCGGGGTCATCCCAATGTGGCGCTTCTTTGTCGGACCGGCCAGATCTCCGCAAGAGAAGAAGCGAGCGAAGCAGCGAGCCGTTACAGCCAGGCTATTCAGCCGGGATGTGACGGCGACCACACATGTAGTGGGGGATCATCATGCCACTAGATAACAACAATCGGTCGCCGAGGAGCAAGACGGTGGTCAAAAGCCAACACCTTCCACCGCCTTTTGACTCGACTTTCTTCTCGGTAATTACTTTCCAGCCTCCGCCCTGAGAAACTTGCGATATGGGACTCAGAAGTGTTTCAGTGAACGGCGACGCCGGCAAGACAACCGAACATCCTTGGTGGAAAGAAGCTGCAGTCTACCAGATTTACCCAGCATCCTACAACGACAGTAACGATGACGGCATCGGTGATATTCCAGGTATCACACAAAAGCTGGAGTACATTCAATCTTTAGGCGTGGACGTGATCTGGGTGTGCCCAATGTGAGTAGCCATACATCTCTAGCTTGCTGGATGATTTTGTTGACTCAAAGCGACAGGTATGACAGTCCTCAAATCGATATGGGATACGATATTTCTGATTACGAAGCCGTCTACCCTCCTTATGGCACTGTTCAAGATGTGGAAGCCTTGATCAATGAAGTTCACAGCCGTGGAATGAAGATCATCTTGGACCTGGTTGTTAATCACACCTCGGACCAACACGCTTGGTTCAAGGAATCACGCTCTTCGAAGACCAATCCCAAGCGCGACTGGTATATCTGGAAGCCCGCGAAGTATGATAGTGATGGCACGCGAAAGCCTCCGAATAACTGGCGAAGCAACTTCGGCGGATCTGTCTGGGAATGGGATGAACTGACTCAGGAGTACTACTTACATCTATTCTGTCCGGAGCAACCGGATGTTAATTGGGAGAACGAGGAGACGCGCAAGGCTATTTACCAAAGTGCGATGATCTTTTGGCTGGATAAAGGCGTTGATGGCTTTAGGATTGACACCGTCAACATGTACAGCAAACCAACAGGCTACCCCGACGCACCCATTAAAGATCCTGCTGCCGAGTGGCAAGAAGCTGGACTGGTGTATTGTAACGGGCCGCGCATGGACGAATATCTGGGCGAGATGAACGCGATTCTCTCACGCTACAACGCAATGAGCGTGGGAGAGTGTCCATTCACACCGGATCCTGCTAGAGTGCTCGGTTACGTCAGCGAGAAAGAGGCCAGACTTAACATGGTCTTCCAGTTTGACTCTGTAGATGTCGGTATGGGCAGTGTATTCAAATACATGACCAAGCCGTTCAAGTACACCTTGGCCGATGTGAAGTCTGCAATCGGTCGCACGCAAAAACTAATTGACGGAACGGATGGTTGGACGACGAGCTTTATTGAGAACCACGATCAAGCTCGCAGCATCTCGCGCTTTGGAAACGACTCACCGCAGTGGCGCTCTCGCTCCGGCAAGATGCTTGCCATGCTCTTTGCATCTCTGTCCGGGACCCTCTTTATGTACCAGGGCCAGGAGATTGGTATGATCAACATACCTCAAGACTGGCCGATCGAAGAGTATAAAGATGTGGACACTATCAATTACTATGCTGAGGTCGGTCGCAGAAACCCGAACGATCCTGGGGCACAGATATCGGCGAAGGCAGCTCTGCAGAATCTGGCTCGTGACCATGCTCGCACACCGATGCAGTGGTCATCGGAAGTGAATGCAGGCTTTACGAGTGACTCAGCAAAGCCTTGGATGAAAGCCAACACCAGCGCTCAGGAGGGCATCAATGTTGCTGACGAGTCCAGAGACTCATCATCCGTGTTGGGTTTCTGGAAGCAGATGCTCAAGCTACGGAAGACATATTCCGATTGTCTCATTCATGGGGGATACAAGCTCGTGGATGGCGACAATCCCACAGTTTTCTCCTTTACCAAGTCTTCGACTGCTGGTCATTTCAAGGCTCTCGTGATCTGCAATTTCTCCAGTAAAGAGAGCGAGTTGCCTTTGATTGAGGACTTGGACGCAGCGGAGCTAATCTTTGACAATGTTTCTGAGACACAAGCTGGAGCTCGCTCAACCTTACAGCCATGGGAAGGAAGGCTTTACATTGTCAAGAAGGACACCGAAGCTTGAGTAAGATAGACCTGAGAATAGAATAGAGTTATTCGTGTTGTCATCTGTGGTCCAGTGCTAACTTTTTCGAGGCAAGAAACCGTGCTTGATGTGTCCTTGATGAATCTCATGTTCGAAAGCTGAAATGACCTGATCTCTTGTCAAGTAGACTTTGATAGGCTAATGTTGCAGAGAAGTGGTCGGCTTAGAGCTAGTGAGAACGAGAATGTTTGTGTTCCATAACTCCTTCAGAGAGAAGCGCAAGATTTTGTATCACTGCTCTAGTCCTCCCTGGTACATCGCGGATGACCGTCTTGTATTTTGACGACTGTTGCGATCCTCTCTCAGGAGTTGGACATCAGCCAGATGGACATACTTCTGGTCGACTGTTTTGCCTGAGCTTTGACCAATCTTTTTCTGGAGGATATGGACATATATTTCGCGAGATGTCGGTGACGCAGATAAACTCAGCAGGAGAGATCGGAGAGTTTCGTGATGATCGCCAGGCAAAGACACGGTTGAGAGTGTCAACGCGTCAAGCAGTGAGTATGCTATCTCAAACTGCTTCTCGAACTAGACACAGGACAGTCAGCCCAAACTAGCATGACCATTAGAGACCATTAAATACTTACAATGCCCAAACCGTGTACTTGAATCGATATGGGTGCCAGAGTTTTCAGAATCTCGCAAAGTGACGTTGCGATCTCCACAGGATACGTGTAGGAGAAAGTAGGATTGACAGTAGTTGAGGAGACCAGACCAAGCCTAAGAGCAGTCTGCCAGACCATTAAACGTAGCCACTGTTGGGTGACCAAGATATTCGCGCGTTGTATATCGCTCATTCCTTCGACACTGATTGGACGACGGAGATGCTGTTGTAATTCCTCTAACTTTGTGGCAGTATTTGGTGATAGTGAAGACTCGGTCCACGCTTGGATGAAGCTCATGTCCAATAGAGAGAAGAGCTGGAAGAGACCGCTAAGGCTGGGTGAAACCGTACGTTCTTCTCCTGGTAAAGCTACGTAGGGTAGGTCTGGTGGCTCTAGGATACTCACAGGAAACTTGTCATGTATGCACGCGCCCCTTTCTGTGATGTACAATAATGCATACACGCGCTGGTAGATGATCTTTTGCATTGAGTCCAGCAATGAGTTCTGACCAGCACATGTTATACCAACAAAGTGGCCCAGCGTGATCGCTTCCTTCAGATGAAACCATGACGTCTTGCGACACTTCAGGTCGAAGTACGTCACGGCAATAAAGAGCGAAGCCAGTACATCTTCGATGGAGGCACTTTCGATGAAGTTGTTGGCCATGCGGGTGTCGAGACATTGTCGGACGTATTTACGTGCGGTGACTGATCTGCTTTCTACGGTCATCGCTGGCCAAGAATCCACAGTGACAAGAGTCAAGGCACAAATAGACCATAGAAGGCAGGACTCCGCAAGCGTGGGTTCTCGAGAGCCTGACAATATGGAACGAATACTGCTCTCCTCGATGACCGGGTAGATCGGATAGGTGTGCTTGAAAAATAGATCGACACTACGCTCAGTGATTCTGTTGATCTGAAACACAGGTGGCACCGTGGTATTTGGTGAATTTAGAACGTCGATCGAGCTTGGGAATGGGCTGTGCTGCTCTACAACAGATGGTGTCGTATAGCCTAGTTGCGACCATGCGTAGCTGGTATTGAGTTGTGGGAGCTGTCGTGCGGACGTCGTAGCAAGCACGTTCTGCGCGAACTCATCGAAGGTCAGGTAGGTGTCGTCGAGAGAGTCGCCTTCCACGTCCTGTCCGGTTGGCGCAACATACTGTCCTGAAGTCGAATGACTGATGGGAGCGTCACCGAGACTGCTTGTAGTGAGCAGATTCGCCTGTAAAGGGGAAGTATTTCTGCAATCGTGTTCAACTGTGACAGACCGAGTTTGGTCCATGTTGACATTTGCGGGATCAACAGGGACTGATGGCGGCGTGTGTGCTATGGACTGTGCTCGCAAGCGTTCAATCACAGCGCCCCTGCCAGTCTTAGGTCCTTTCTTCTTCCTAACAGAATCGAACGCGCACACAAGATCGTGCATTTGGCATCGATCACAAGGCATTGCATAATTGCATCTCACCTTGCGTTTGCGACATTGATCGCAAGGCCGCGAGGGCCCTGACCTGGACGTCATCAAATACCCCAAACACTATTCGAGACTGGTCTTCTGTTCGTGCTCGACCATGACCGCGGGCACGATTGATAAAATTGTGCTTGTTCCTGCCCGAGCATGTTGAGAACCACAAGTGAGGTGTGGAGGCCGGCACGATGAGTTTTGGCAGCTTGCAATCTCTGCGGTCATAACGCTTGGCTTCGAAATCTAGGTCAAAACTCATCGCTTCTTCCAATGTCACAGACGCCCGCCCGTGTCTGAATGTCTGCATCACCAGCCACCCGCACGCCCCGGTCTCAGCGCGGCATGCCTTTTGGTCGCCTGACTTGGGCTTCCTCTCAGCACCGATTGTGTCTCGTACAGGTAGGTGCGATAACAGTAGAGAAATGCCTGTGCTGTGACAGCTGTGTAATTGCCAGACGACTCGTTCTGGGTTGGTGATGAAACAGTTACGATTCGGTCAACGGTCTACGACCCACACCGAACAGTAGGATCTGCCTCGAGAACACAACTTCCGAACTCGGATGACAAGTTTCCTTCAGATCGTGGACTCCATCTGCCGGCCGCTACATTTCTCTTTCCAATCTCTCAGTCTGTGGGATATCACGCAAGATGCACGATCTTGCTGCTTTGGGCACAATGCTGTCATTTTTCTTGGTCTAGAGATAAAGCTCTCATTCAGATCCATACCTCTATGCCTACATGCATCATCTCGGTTATGGGACCGGGCTTGGCATGGGCAGTCCTACTTTCCTGCTGGTGTACATCATGATGGGCGCGAGCGGATTTGTCTTCGACTCGATGGATGTCTGCACTCTCACGCCTTACGTGGCAGCCTGTACAGAGACCCTCGCTGTAGGAAGCGTCTACATTTTGGCCCTACTCTTCGCTCAGTACAACCTAAGTGTACGAATGTTCATCTACGACACCGATAGGCGCCGCAATACGCTGTAAAAGCCTGCTGCCCCTTTTGCTGCATTCCCTCTCGCTATCAAACTTCAACATGACGACGGTCTTTTACAACTTGAGAGGACTGGGCCATCTCGTCTCGCTTCGAATAATGTCAGCCTTTCCAACGTCGCGCGCGAGTTGCCAAGACTTCATCGTCAGTGCACTTCCGCTGACGATTTCTCGCGCCGCATCTCTGGTATAGTCCTCCATGCTCGTTGGGCATCGGAAGATTTTGTCACTGGTGCACTTTTGCTCAGCTTGATCCTGCCTCTTGGGGACGTGGAGGTGAAGGAGGGGTGCATAATCTTGGCTGCATGTGGAGGATGACCCCTCATATGCGGCTCAAAGTTCGTGTTGTATTCTGTATGACTGCAATAATTCTGCCTCCGCCATCAAAGGCGTTTTTCAGTGAACATAAGAAGGTGCTCGTCCCCTCCGTCTTGGTTCTCTTGGTCCGGCCTTGGTCATATTGCATTCCACCATTGAGAGTCTTTACTGGGCGCTTCGTGCAGCTGCACGAATGCATTTCTGCATGATACAAACGGATATTCAGCGGAGAATTGCTCGAGTGGCATTATTGCAGAAGTATGTAGGGACCAATTGTGATCTCCGCTTCTTGGACGATTTATATAAATACCGCTCAGAAGATAGGTCGAGAAGAATTAAAGCACTCTTCAATTGTGTCACACGAACAACGTTGCAGCAACATGAAGCTCAATCCCATCGTATGGCTCAGTAGCCTTGCAATTGTTCAAGCGAACCCATTCTCCAAAACTGATTTCTCCCTCCAAGGCTTCGCAAAGGACAACCCTCTTGGCGTAACGACTGGCGGCAAAGGCGGTCGCACAACCACCGTGTCCAGCTTACCTGCTCTACGCACCGCACTCGCTGGTACCGATCCATTGACCGTGGTAGCCAAAGGCTCCTTCAACCTAACCGGCGTGACACGACTCCGCATCGGCAGCAACAAGTCCCTGATCGGCCACGAGAAGGGTGCAAAGTTCTTCGGCGGTGGCATGTCTGCTGTAAATCAGACCAATATCATCATTCGTAACATTCAGATCAGCTATGCATACGACAATGATTGCATTACACTTCAGAACACCACTCGCGCATGGATCGACCACAATGAATTCTTCAGCGATCTTGAACATGGTCCTGACTTTTATGATGGCCAAGTCGACCTTGTTAGAGCCACTGATTGGGTGACTGTGTCTTGGAACTACTTTCATGATCACTGGAAGGTATGATACCTCTCTCTCTCTCTCACCACGATTATATGGTCTGATATTGATGTCAACCAGTCCTCACTCGTTGGCAACAGCGACGTCCTCCGGGAAGTAGACGAAGGCCATCTCCATATAACCTACCACCACAACTATTGGCGCAACATTGGCACCCGCGGCCCCGCCGGCCGATTCGGCCACCAACACGTCTACAACAACTTATATCGCGACTACCTATACCAAGCCATCCACTCCCGCAGCGACAATCAGATGCTAGTCGAAGGCAATGTGTTCCGTGGCAATACCCGAGAGGCTGTGAGCACCTATGGTCTTGTGATCCCCGAAGATTCGCCCAATGCGTGTGTCTGTGGTGATTATGAACTTGATGGTTTTGTGAATTTTGGAGCGAAGAATGATTTCGGGAGGGCGGGAATTAACGTCACGCAGTGGGGTAACTTCAAGAAGGCACCTTATAGGTATGACTTGACCAGGTTGTCGGATGTGGAGAAGGTTATTGTCAAGGGTGCTGGCATCGGCAAGATTTGAGGAGAGAGATGATAGGGTGAAGAACATGTCCGTAAGTTGAGCTTGGTAATTATCATAGCATGGAACAGACATTTTGAGTTCCACGCCAGGATATTTTGGTCTGTGATGACATGATGGCCACATACATGGTCTCAGTGCGACTCATTGGTTTGAAATGCCTCTCAAGAATTTAGATAGTCCATCTGCGCGCTCCAGGTCATCGATCTGAGGCACGCGATGACCACCAGAATGGAACAGAACCTCTGGATCATCGAAGCAGTTGATTAGATTCCGGCTCATCTCCGGTTTGATGAACTCATCCGTCCTTCCCAGAATATGCAAAGATGGAGTTCTGATTTTCGGGTGGTAGAAAGCTTTGTACAGTGGATTCTCCAGATTTGCAAATCCACTGATCGGGATGACGAACTTGAGAGGTGGCTGGCCAGCAGTGTAGTCGCCATGGAAAGCTGAAGGATAGCGCATTCCGCCGGTAGCTTTCGCCTGCTTGAACACTTCTCTACGACCGGGCTCGAGTAGAGAAGCGACCATTACAGCAAGTGCAGCACCTTGGCTAAAGCCCACGATGCCATCGAAAGGACCATCCGCACGAATTGCATTAGCAATATAAGCTAATGCATAATCCTGGAATCCCTCATAGGTATATGGCGGAGTTTCGCCAGTCAACTGCCACCAAGTGTATGCATCCACTTCATTTGATGCGTCTTGTTCCGTAGCGCCGTCAAGGTCGAATGATGGCAGTGCGCTGCGCGGAAGTATGAAAGGCGCGTTTGCGAAGTGGAATGTTATGGTTCTCAGATGGGTTTGTGGCTGATAGACCACGTCGTATCTCTTCTCTGAGCGATGCGGTCTTGGCTCCAAGTCTTTTACTGCTTTGTGCAAAGCCGTGAAGCATCAGTACTCGATACTGTCTAGGATGCTGAGTGCCGTGAAATCTCACACTGCATGGAGAAACAGCTGTGCGACCGAGCCAGTTGCAACGAGACACAAAGATGATGACAGAGCTCCAGGAGAAACAGTAACAGGGAAACCGACGGTCAAGGATATCACTATGTGTATCATAGCCTACAGTAAAATCCACGTGTTAGACATGAAGGATTGCTTTTGTTGTAGCTTATTAGACCCCTGATTGAGAAGCCGAGCTTCCGAATTGACGCTAGTCTTCAACGTGTATATCATGATGCCGACTACCATCAGAATGCGCTTGATCATGATCATGACGAACAATTCGCGAAACCATTGTTAGTGATAGCAGTCGCAACTGATCGTGGTCTGACTTTCCCACCAGTGTTATGCAAAAGTGGAATCACCGACTGTTGGGTCAAAAACTCAGCACATCTCATGGATTCGCACGCGGCCAAAATTTATGGCCAGTTGACCCGATGGGTAGGTTGAGAGGGCGACCCTACTTGGCCAATGCCGACATCATTTCCATCGTCAGGGTGAAGCTCCGAAACATTATGGTTGCGCACAGAGGTCCTGGATTGTTCTGGTCACAAGCGAATTGTTTGCTCATTGGAAGAACACAAGAAAGAAAGAAAAGTGTTGCGACAATTCCTTGTCGGATGGCGTAATTCGATCAGGCTTTGCAACTGCTTGACGTGCGCGAAGGTACGTGCTCGTCCGATTCGCAATACAAGGTGCTCATCTCGTCAGTTGGCTCGAAGATTACTGAAAGGAGATTGTTCGCCATATGTGCGTGTTTATTTGTCGACTCTTGCCCCCCCACCGACTCTTGCTCTTCTTGTCTCTAAAGCACAGTGTTTACACCCTTCAACCCTGGCTCGATCAATAATCACAGAGTGCTTGAATCATACAGACCGTCAATTCTCGAGTCTACTGGAGGAGATGGCTGCTGCTGTGGTCGTGCAGACATCGCAGGATCCGAGTGCTGGTTTCGATAGCCAGTACGGAGTTGTCACCGCTGGGGAGACACAAGCACATAGCGTATCAGCAGGTCCAAATTCGCTACTCGTCGTATCACCATATACCTCACCACCTCATCTGCTAGACCTGAACGGATACTCCACAGCAAGCCAGCTATTCGCAAAAGCTCTCACGATATTCCAACCCACTCGGGCAGATTACGCGACAGCAGATTATGTCGAATCATTCAATTTTACGGAAGTGATTGGTGCTTTAAAGGCACTTGCGAAGGCGGAAGGTCATACTTGGCAGAAGACGGAGTTCTACGTCGTCAGCTTCAGGTCGCAGCTCAGTTCCGATGCCGATCCGGTAAGGTTGTTCGAACTTGACTCGTTCTCTCACGAAGAAGCAATGACGAGTGGTGGGCTCCTGAAGTATTGGTATGGCGTGAAGAACCAAGACAGACGAAATCTGGCAACTTGTAAGCATTACCCATTATGTGGTCGTGTTGCGATTTGATAGCTTATGTGACGTGTTCAGGCTTTTGGGAGAGCAGGCAGCATGCGAGAGATGGAGGACGGGGACCCTGGCATGCAAAGGCTCGAACTGCAGCTGGCATCTGGTACGAAAGCATTGTCTTCAAGACATATACGTTGACGATTGAAGATGATCTTGACGATTGGAACATAAAGGACTTTGAAGAGGGAAGATGATGAACTTGCATCCTTGTATTAGACCATCAAGGTGTCAGAAAGATCAAGGGTCCAGTCTGTGCATGAGCCTTTCAGTCGGCGCGTCATTTGACTGTAAAACACCCGGGATCGCGAAGCGCTCGAGCCCAACGACAAGCCTACCTGTCTAGTCGGCTGGCGACAGTCTACAGACAGTCGACGTAGCGAAAGACTCAATATCGCTTGTGTATGCAAGATACTATGAGCAAGGCAAACTAGAGCAGCTTTTGGCGAGTAATTTCACTAGTCTTCTGTCGACGAGAGGACGGCGTCGGGTTCGGCGAACACAGTACTCTTCTTCTTTGCTCACGAAGCAGATGGCGTCAATCCGCGGCTCTCGACATGCTGATTGAAGGTGATGCAGTGTGCCAATTCTGCCAGGTGCACAGCCTGAACTTTGTGAGCGAGCCCAGATCATCGAGGACGTGGCCAGGGCTTGGCTTGGGCCAGCTGCCTGTCAAGCTTGGTTGGAAGCTTGTCACGCAAATCGTGCGTAATTTGTTGATGCACAGATGTTGGGGAACATGTGTCAGCCTGTCATGACAGGCGTTGGTCGCATGTGAGTCAATGTAGCCGAGCATATGTGAGTTACAGTGACTAAGCGAGCAAAGCACAACAGGAATGTTGTTTCGAGATGAAGAGTTTGGCGAAGGTCTGGCATAAAGTGTTCCTGCACTCAACGGATCAGATAAGATTGAAAACGCCAAATGCCAAGCCCCCACTATCTGCGCAAATCGGCTTTCCTCAACCTCACCGAGTTCTCCAAAACGTTTTCCCGACAGTTGATCGATTGTGCTATCGCCGACTATCAATACTGAACCGCTACCCTATTTGCTTGGAATCTGGCAACGAACTTGTCCTTGGGGCAGTTTGAGCTGTAGATCTCGCTTCAACCCACCGACCCTCACCGAAACCCGCCGACGGTGGATCAGGTCTCGTCAAACACGTTCCTCGGCTGTCTATCCCATCATAGTCGCCAAGCTCAATCCAAGAAACCTAAGGTGTTGTTTTCTGCAGCTTCGGCGATCCACCCTTGTACCTGGCAGCCACTTGCGACTCAGAGATGAGTGCGACTACCTTTCGCTTTGCAATCAATCGTTGTTAAGGTGCACTACCCACCGATCGGAAAGTGAGGCTATATGCTGTAAACAGGTTAGTGAGCAAGAGGTAATGTCTGAACAAGGTTTTTGACACACATGGCTTGCTGCGGTCTGCCATGTGCGGAACAATGGCGTAGCAGGTTGATCGAGCTTGGGTGTCGCAGATTTCGACACTTGAGGCATAACCGTCTTGTGTGGCTAGGCTGTGCAAGTAAGTGGCGCGATCGAGGTAACGTATAAGAAGCACGGCAGCTGCTCTTGTCCATACTTTTGGTCCGTCGTATCTTGATCTCATCAGAGCTTTGTTCCTAACATGAAGTCAATCATCTTCGCTACCCTGACGAGTCTGGCCCTGGCGGCTAGACCCTTCCTCAACGAAGCTGATACTGGGTAGGCAACTTTCACACTAGACATCCATAAGCAGCGTCTGACAAGATCACAGCATCGATGAAGCTTTGGCAGACGTACCTCAGGGTACTCTTCCTCCTCTTGAAGATATAGTTGGACTTCCAGACTTTGAATGGGCTGCTCGTCACTACATGAACACCAGCGCATACACATACTACCGCAATGGTGCCGCTGGTGAATGGGCATACAGGAACAATCTGGAGGCTTTCCAGCGTTACACCGCCAAACCCCGTGTGCTGAGAGATAACTCTAAGATTGAGTCGACATTCACCACCTCCATCCTCGGTCACAACTTCTCTGCGCCTTTCTACATCAGTCCATGTGCACGTGGCGCCCTCGCCAATGAAAGAGCGGAGCTCGGACTCGTAGAAGGTGCCTACCAAGGAGACATCTTGTACATTCCTTCTGACTTCAGCTCTCTACCTCTGAAGGAGCTTGCCGCTGCAAGACCTTCCAACGGTTCACAAGTCATGTGGCAGCAGGTTTACCTCGACGCTTCGAACGATACTGCTACTAAGGCACACTTCAAGGAGATTGAGCAGTCCGGTGCCCGCGCGATTGTCTTTACCGTTGATAGTGCCGGTCCCGGTGTGCGTCACCGTGCTCAGCGCTATGCTGCTGGCTCAGCCGATGCAGACTACTCGGCATTTACATGGCAGTACTACCAAAAGCTCCAGAACTTCACCACGCTCCCTGTCGTCATCAAGGGCATTCAGACTGTCGAGGATGCCAAGATGGCAGTCAAGTACAAGGCCCCTGCAATCGTTCTGTCCAACCACGGTGGTCGCAACTTTGACTCCAGCCCTTCTGGCTTCGAGGTTGCTCTTGAGATTCACCAAGAGGCACCCGAGATCTTCAAGCAGATTGAAGTGTATGCCGACGGTGGTGTAAGATATGGAAGTGATGTGTTGAAGATGCTTGCACTGGGTGTCCGTGCTGTTGGACTTGGCAGACCTTTCATGTACGCCAACGCCTACTCGACCGAGGGTGTTGCTAAAGCAGTTGAGCTGTTGAAGGCCGAGATTGCCAGCGATGCTGCGCACTTGGGACTGAGCTCTCTCAAGGACATTGGACCGCAATACTTCAAGTGGACGCCGAACAACTGGTACAGCTAGACTATACACAATTGTATACAAACGTTTGATCTTCTGGTCTCTGCAATCTGTTTTCCACAGAAGTCGGAGAAAATCAGTTGTCAGAGACAGGAGACATGTCGAAGAAGATCTGATCATCATTGTTGATAAACAACAGCTGTGCCCTCTTAGTCCTGTTGTGAATATCCACCGGTGTGCGAGGCGTGTCTGCTTGAGATGGAATAGCTGATCAAGCAGTAAAGATAATACAGCAGACTTGAATCATGGCCGACCGCCTGGTGTCGAAAAGCTGTGGTCATGTCAAGGTGGAAGAGAGGAGCTGGATAGGGATAGTAGCAAGCCGCGCCAAGCATACTCAGCCGCGGGCGCATAGCGGAGTGCGGTCCTGCGTGGCAACTTGCAACTTGCAAGCGTCTTGCGAGAATCAGGGTCCAAACTTGACGCTAAGCGGGCCTCTCTCTCTCCCAATAGGCCTGCTACCCTGCCGACGAGGAGGCCGTCGCCGCCGTCAAGCTCCTGCCTCGTCTTTGAGCGTGCCGGCATCCCGCTTCCCACTCGATTGGTGCCGACTGTGCAGTTCTCCAGCAGGCGCGATTCCCTCTCATCCGCCGCGCAGGGCGCCATGAGCAAGATGCACGACAAGGTAGCGGCAGGCAGTCCGAAGGCTCCGGCCAGAGGGACAATCGACGAGCTGATCAAGATGAACGTCAGCGACATGACGGCCGAACAACGAGCGCGGTTCGAGACAACGAGAGAGCACGAGTTCTACAGCTACTACGAGCCCATCCGAGCACTCGCCACCACCGAGATGGACTGGACCGACCTGAATTCAGACGCGGCCGTCGCGAACCACGTCCCCCTACCCTCGCCCGACAAGGCGCTGACGGCCTTCTGTCAACTCGCCGCCATCCGCCTCAAGATGCGCCGCGCCATGATCTTCTTCTTCGACAGCGCATACGCCTATGTGCTTGCAGAGGCCACGCGCACCCTGTCTCTGCACGACGACGTCGACTTTGACGACGACCAGGATGCGCTCTGGCTGGGAGCAACAAAGATCCCCAGAGGCTTTTCCGTCTGCGAACACACGGTCAATCTGCCCAGCAATGGCGGCACGAATGCCGAAAACGACGACTCGCACATGATCCATATTATCAACAACCTTAGCGAGGACACGCGTTTCTGCAACCGGCCCTACGTTGTCGGCGGTCCGCGAGCCAGATTCTACGCCGGCGTGCCCATCTCCACTCCACGCGGCTTGAAGATTGGCGCCTTTTGTGTTTTGGACGACAAGACGCACGAGGGCCTGTCTAAGAAGGAGGTCGGCTTCATGCAAGACATGGGCGCTGCCGTCATGAGCCACATGGACATGATCAAGGCAAAGGTCGAGCAAAAGAGGGGAACCGACATGGTTGCCGCCCTTGGCCAGTTCACCGCCAGCGAGTCGAGTTTGCGCCGTGAGACCACGACCGACAACGAGCGCCCACAGATCCACCACGACCTTTCTGCTTCCTCGTCTCTCCTCACCATTGGTAATCTCGACTCGCTCGCCCAGAAGCTGCCCACGCCGCGTCGACAATCCTCTGGCAACAAAGATCGCCCGCGACACAAGTCGCGCGACCAAATCACAAACATTCGGGAAAGATCTCCTCGTGCTCAGAGACCTTCGTGGTTTGCCAAGAACAGGGCAAGATCCGACATGTCTGTCTATACTGAATCGAGTGCCATCGACGACGGCAACCCGGCCGACTGTTCGTCCGATGAGGCTAGGATCCACCCTGCCGAACAAACCACAAACGAAGTCATGCAATCTGCCTCTGCCTTGATCCGGAAGGCAGTCGACGCCGACGGCGTCTTGTTCCTCGATGCTGCTGTGACTGGCTTCGGCAATCTCGTCAACAGCTCTTTCCTGGAGGCCTCTTCCGACACTGATGCCGATGCGACAGCAAGTGGTACTGATGGCCACCAGACGAGCGAGGGTGAAGATACTCAGCCTCATCTTCCCAACGCTGATGATCAGCCATGTCCAATCCTTGGCGCTTCCTATGCAGCCCGCGAGGGCGCTGTGCCTGGACCTGAAGGTCGTCGTGAGCTGTACGAACAACTCACTCCCGACTTCTTACGATTCGTCCTCCGCCGTTTCAGAGGTGCCAGGGTCTGGAATTTCAATGAACATGGTGACGACTATCTAGACGAACAGGCCTCCGAAAGCAACAGTGCTTCGGAGGGTGGTCACGCGCTTTCTCATGCAAAACCAAACACTGCATCACTTAGACGCAAGAGTCGCAAGAAGTCACTGAGACGAGACCCCGGCAAGCAGCTTGCTGCCGCCTTTCCGGGTGTACGTAGTCTGATGGTATTGGGACTTTGGGACCCCCAACGAAACCAGTGGCGTGCTGGTTGCGTCATCTGGTCCTGCACACCGATGCGCATGTTCTCCGTCGAGGGCGAAATGCACTATCTTACTGCATTCTGCGATGTCATAATGGCCAAACTGGCCCGCTTGGACGTCGAGGTTGCTAATAACGTAAAGTCAGACTTCATATCGTCAATTTCTCATGAGGTAAATTGTTGGTCTAGCTCGATCGCCTCGTATACATACTAATCATCGAATCTAGTTGAGATCGCCTCTGCATGGAATTCTAGGCACAGTCGAAGTTTTGCAAGACCAGCCTGTAGACAATGATACTGCTCAGATGATCTCACAAATAGATACTTGCGGGCGCACTCTACTGGATATTGTTGATCACCTGCTGGAATTCTCTCGGATCAACGTGCTCACCAAACACACTGGCTCAAAGACACGCGCAGACCCGAGGCATCTTTATGCGACACCCGGCAGTGGCAACGGCAGTGATGGCGATGTATCATCGCTCGAGGCTGATGTCCCTCTGGATACTGTGACAGAAGAAGTCGTTGAGTCTGCAGTCTATTCTTTCTGTTGTTCCAAGGATCAACGCACTCTCAGTGAGAGAAACGTGACCGTCTCAATCAACATTGAGCGGCATCCTGACATCTCCTGGGGTTGCAAGGTGACCACTGGTGCCTGGAAGCGTGTTGTGGTCAACTTGGTCAACAACGCCTTGAAGTATACCTCAGAAGGATCAATCAACGTGTATCTCACTATCCTACCACCCAGTGGCAACAAGCTTGGCCGCCCCATCGCTCAATTATCCGTCGTGGATACTGGTAGAGGAATGTCGAAAGACTTCCTGCGAACTAAATTGTTCCGGGCTTTCAGTCAGGAAGATGACTTGACCGAAGGCACTGGTCTTGGAATGAGGTAAGTCTGTCTCATCTCGTTGCTGTTGCACACTCACTCATCCTTGTTCGTAGTATGGTTGCCCGCATTGTCAAAGCCTGGAAAGGGAAAGTCAACGTTCGAAGCACCAAGGGTCAGGGGAGCATGGTCAGCGTGACGATGCCTATGAAGCTCACGCGAAAGTCGAATAATGCCGAGCTCGATGAGACTCGACCTGCGTCTCCAACTAATGCCTTGGCTGGACTTTCCGTACACGTTCTGGGTTCACCTCAAGTCTTTGACCGTGATCTCATTGCCGCCGGTCGTTATCAACAACATGTAGCACTTGTCAAGATGTGCTCTACCATGGGATTGCGGTGTGCTGGACCTAGCTGGCAACATGTCGACGGCAAAGATTTTGCAATCGTTGCGGAGTGTGATTTGCCGCACCTTGTGGCCATGTTGTCAGGCGCTCGCATCGCGCAGAGTGCTGATGAAAAGATAACTGTTGATTGTCTGCGAGGCAAGCCTATCGTTGTGCTTTGCAGGGATTATATCTCAGCTAGAACGTTGCGAGGCTCTCAGATTGAGCAGCTAGTACGTGGGAGGGTCGAATTCGTCGCCCAACCATGTGGGCCTAACAGACTTGCATCTGTGATTCATCGCATACTCGAGCCGTCAAACAATGGAGGAACTTGGTTATCTAGGCCACACACTCCTTTGACACCCAACACACCATCAGAAGCGCCAACACCTCGGTTTGATACCTGGCGCGAATCTCATTCATGGTCCGGAGCGTCATCGCCTAACGAATCCGAGACTACCCGCAGATCGACGCTGCGAAGTCGTCGTACGTCCAACGAAAATCATCCTCCAGTTGTGAGCATAGTCCAGCCCCAGGCCAGCCCAGAAACAGCAGCCGATGGAACAGACGTGGTGACACCAAAAGCCGAAGCTTCAGCAATACTCGAAGTCGCGCCCAACGCCTTGAACGCCGCCAATCTGGCAACACTTGAGCCACTCCCAGCATCAAAGGAAAGAAATCAGAGTGTAGTGACAATGGCTAGCATCGCCCGAGATGGCGTAAAGCCGTGTCTACTTCTCGTAGACGACAACCCAATCAACCTACAACTCCTCGTCACATACGCCAAAAAGAACGGTCATGCAATGCTCAAAGCGGATAATGGTCAGAAAGCCTTTGACACCTACAAAGCCGCGCATAAAAGTGGAGTAGATCGACCAGAAGTCGTGTTGATGGATATCTCCATGCCGGTGATGGATGGCTTCGAAGCCTCGAGACAAATACGAGCATTTGAAAGGGGCGAGAAGATTAAGCCTGTGGTCATCATTGCGTTGACGGGGTTGGGAAGCTCAGAGGCACAGCACGAAGCCTTCATCTCGGGCATCAATCTCTTCTTGACGAAACCGGTCAGACTGAAGGAGTTGACGAGGTTGCTGGGCACGATCAAGGATACTTTTGGGTAGGTATGAAGACAAGGAAGGTTTTATGATGATTATGATTTGGAAAAGACGAGTATGGGAGCAGGAATGTTCGCGAAGGTTCACAGGAGCAGACGCTCGAGAGGTTTGATATAGGAACTTTGCAGCATCTTAGGCATGGCGTATGTATAGAGTAGGATTTCTACTTGATTTAATCTGCGCAATTGATATTCTGGTATTCGATTCAGACCTTTCATTCTTCCCAGACATGATTCTTTTCTGTTTTTAAGGCGGGTTTCAGTTTCCCCAAATCGCCCTCCTCGAGCATTCACACCAACAACATGACTAGTTTTTCGTTGTCGTGAACACATGCAGCGTGCAAAAGACCGCCATACTCCAGTTCTGTGGATTTCACGTCTATGCCGTGCTCTAGCAGGACCCGCAGCGGACTCGTTCGTCCGGACCAGCATGCCACCTGCATCAGAGAGATTGATAATCAACCAACGAGTAACTTCAAGATATTGCTGTCATCTTGTTCAACAGCCTTTATGAGAACATCATCATAAATATCGTCGATATCCGCACCTTGATCGATCAAGTGGGCCATGAACTTGTGGAAGTTCTGTCTGCAAGCAATGTTGATAGGGCCAGCACCGGGCCGTGACCTGAATGAAATGTCGGCATCGTTATGTATGAATAGTTCAACCAGCTCGAGACGATCATTCTCGCAAGCGAGTTCGAGTAGTGTATCCCACTGTCCCGAGTCATGATTGACATTCGCGCCGTGATCAGAAGGAATTGCATGACTTCCTCGCTGCTCCGCTTCCAAGCCGCAACGCAGAGTGCAGTCTCATGCGTTTCGCTGAGCATATTCTCGTCAATTCCCGGATTCTAAACACATCTCTATAACTCCCAGGATGCCACGGACAGCGACAGCGACAGCGTGAAGAGCTGTCTCATATTTGCCCCCAATTGCACGTATGTCCGCCCCAAATTCCAAGAAAGTGAGCGATACGTCTTCGTGGCCTTTAGCTAAGGCTCCATGGTGGGCATAGCCATGAGACGCAGTCTTGTTGTTGACTTGAGCTCCAGCTTCTAGTAAGACTCGAACAATCTCTAGATGACCACGCCGCTCACCCGGGCCCGCATATCGATACCATTGAGCATCATCGACATTGAGATTTGTCCTGAGCAACGTGCGCACTATGTCTGTGTGTCTTCTATGTGCTGCAGCCGCTAAGGCGGTCCCGAAAGAATGGCGACGATCATGCGGAAACTCGATGACGCCGTGATTGCGCAGCATCTGTATGATCTCTGGCTGTCTGTGGACCTTATCAAGCCGGAGCGCTATCTCCTTGATTTCCGAGCTCGTATTCCCGGCTCTGTGGTCTTCGAGTGGATTTCTTACTGGGCCTATACGACCTGCGGCACGTGCAGTATATAGACCATTGATCTGATCACCATTTGCCCCGGTGCGAGACCGATTTGTCCCAATATTCATGTATTCAACCACATCGAGAAGATACTCGACTACGCGTAGATGGCCATTGTAAGCCGCAGCTTTGAGCGCGCTCTCATGATATCCTTCGCTGACGTTGAAGTGCACGGCGTGATTAATTATAAGCTGAATCACATGGAGTTGGCCTTCATGAGCAGCAACATCTAAAGCAGTCCCTCCCACAAAATCCTGGGCGTTGACATCAGCACCGTGATCGAGCAAGGTGCGCACAGTCTCGGCATGACCATATCTTGAAGCGCAATAGAGGGCAGCTCTGTCTTCGTTAGGATCATAGCCAGCATTGGCATCGAAGCCGTTGTTCAGCAGTGATTTGACAGATCTATAGACCTGCTTGCGACGCGAGATACATCATGTATCCAAATTGTTCCTCAGACTCCACAAGACAGCGACGCACTACCGGCAAATACGGTCGGAAACGGCGATTTGTGATAGCCTTGTCCGTCCATGAGTAAGTGGTCCTCACTGTCACCAGCTGTAATTGCATGCTAATTCCAGCGCCGTGCCGCATAGTAAGTGAAAGGAACCTTGAGCGAAGCCTCCCGCAACCCCTGTGTCGCGCCCTGTAGCTCATTCACCATACAATCAAACCACACGCAACCAAGGGCGAGAGTTGGCAGTAGCTTGGAAAACAGCGTATCTCTGACTGTTGAGAAACCAGCTACCAGTGAGTGGAAGCTGAAGATCTGTGGCGTCGTTGAGATCGACTGATGTATTAGCAGGGTTGAGCCAGCTCTTAATCCGAGAGTCGATACTATGATCTACGAGCTCAGCTGGGTCCCGAGCCAACTTCTTCACCACTGTCATTCGTCAGTGATTCTTTGCCCATACCAGCGATTAATGCCTTCACAACTGTCTCCGCAACCTTGCAGTGTTCCACCACCTCCACAGGCATGTGCGAGAAAAGTTCTCTCGCATTAGCCGCTGCGACCGCTGCGGCATAGCCATGCCATTTGTCGTTCTTGTGTGAGTTGCAGTAGTCAGATATCCCCCTGACCACCAAACAGGGAAAATCATTCATCGCACCAGTAGTCTTCATTTCAAAACACAAGATTCCGTATTCTCGTGCCAATGCATTTCTCTTGCGACCATCTTTGATGACCATTTCTCCTGGAGCTATCGTGCTACGATGTATGACCAGGCGGTCTACGTCTTCACCGTCGACACTATCGTCGTCGCTGCTGTCGTCTTCCTCGCGATCGACAAGCTTGCCCGCCTAGAATCCGCATCTTTTGCACCATTTGCGATGATCTGGGTGAAAACAGTCTAGCTGATAAAGCCGATCCTGCTCGGCTTCTGGCCGTTTGTATTCGCGCAGGCCATGCTTGGAAATATCGATACCGTCCAGATGACCAAGCAACGGGTCGTTCGAGGAAATCAGACGGCGCACATGAAGTGCACGTGCTGCATTGAGCAACACCGTAGACGGCGGGGCGATAAAGCCAGTCCGTTGGAATCCGTCGACCGCAGCTTTACCATGATCATATTGTACAGCTCCTGAGTGCTCGCCGGCGGGTTTGCTGACCACTATGTGACCAAATCGAATTTGTCCAGCGTCTGTCACTCACGACAGGGACACCGCCTCCTATACCGACAACTGAACCGAATCGCAATCGCGAAAAGATGCTACACATCTGGGCGACGACTGTGGCAGCCGAACACATTGACATTCGCGGCGGGACCGGCAAAATGGCGCAAAGCTGGACAAAAGTCGTGGGCCCGTTTCCCTCGAGAAAAGAGTACTTTCCACATTGGGATCTGATTAGATCACTCATCGACACCGCTCCACCGACGAAACCCCGGTGATGACTTTTGCATCATTAGTACGGATGCTTCCAGCAAACGAACTTTAGCTGTCGGAATGATATGACATAGAATGCATAAGGGCGATGAAGCACAGTACAGTCGTCTCGACGGCTCAAGATGCGCCCGCAATCTCTCAGCACTCATGTCACAACTGTCGTCGCCAAAGGTTGAGGTGCGACCGAACGACCCCGGAATGTTCAAAGTGTATTAAACGAGGACAAGAGTGCCTGGGCTATCAACGATTGTTTCGCTGGCAAGAAGACTTCGCATGTCGTAGAAAACTAAGCGCTGCGAGGTCGAGAAACGAGCCTGAAGATGATGGCTGTGCGAATGCTTCAGCACTTGCCATCGCTTTGCCGCCCAGTTCATTGACGGACCCTTTGGTGCAAGACCTGGACCGTAAATCAAAGTTGTATATTTCTTATTGTAAGTCGCCTCATAGACTTTCTGCGATTCTGGACCGAGATTGATCTGTGTCTGCGTCCTACAGTCGCCGGGAATGTGTGCCGGAATCTTGTCCTTTACGACTCTCCCAAGCAAAATCCCTTTCGCAATCTCATCCCACTCATACATCAGTTTCCTGTTCTTGGCCAGATCATTATCGCCACTTCTGCGTTGCATATGTTTAATTCATCCCAAACTCACTCGCAGGAGCGCAAGCCTTTAATTGATCGTGCCGGCTTTAATCCTTATCTGGATGCTTTGACGACGAAACAGCGAGCTCTGAAGATGTTGAGACATGCTGTTCTGGAAGGGACCTCTGGAGCAGCCGATGTCGTCCTCGCGGTCATGATCCTGTTCATCGAGTTTGAGCTCATGGATTTTGGAAGGAGCGACTGGAAGCATCATATCGAGGGCGCAAGGACAGTCATTCGAGGACTGTGCAGAGCGCGGTTGTCTGGAACGCAAACGACTAGTCCGATACGCAGCTGTCTGATCTCAAATTGGATGGTGTATGAAACACAGTACTCTCCCACCCATGACAAGGCCATTACTGACCAGTTTATCTCTAGGTTTGACATTCTGGCCTCCACGGCCACAAGTCCGAATACCGAATCACCACTAGACGCGATGCCTGACAGTGTCACTCCCCACATGGAAAACCTCCTCCGAGATGCCGAAGGAACCCACTGCTCTTCCTTCCCTGCAACCTTGCTACAGCTACTCCAAAGTGGAACCCAGCTCTCCAACACCCGCATGTCTCTTCAAGCGAAACATAATCAACTCTTCATGCTCGTGTGCGCGGCAAAGTCCTTCGACCCTCTGATCTGGGCCACAGAGCTACAGCCACGTTCGCCGTCTGCTGATCTCCAACAGAGGGCTCGTGTGGCTCGCGCTCATAAGGCGGCCGTGACCATCTATCTCTCCCGTCTACTGCTATCGACATATCCAGATACAAAACCGTCATGCGACTTTGAAGCCATGGTCATGGAGATTGTTGATAATATCTCAGATGTGCGAAGACATGATGATTTGTTCTCTGCAACCACATGGCCGGCTTTCGTTGCGGGAGCAGAGTCAAACGTGGTCGATATGCGGAAGCGGGTGGCGGCAAGATTCCGGGAATTGTGGAAAGTAGAGCCTTGGGGTTTGATGCGACGGGCATTGGAGACGATGGAGACGATTTGGGCAATAAAAAGTGTCAGAATAGAGAATGGGGCGACTTGTTCACCTAATGATGGTATTCGAGATGGGGATTGGATATTGTATCTGAAAGAGACGGGCGTGGACTGGCTGATTTTGTGACACGAAAAGAGGCAAGTAAGATTTTTTTTTTCATCACGGTATGTCTTTCCGGAACTCGGGTACTATGGCAATTGTTGCCTCATTTGAATGCTGACGATTTGGCTAGTACTCTGCTTCCAAATGCTGCCTTATTTCTTCCTTCTCATCGGCTGTCAACTCACTACTCGCCTTGGGTACCTTGCCCCAAATCGCCATGATCAATAAACTCGCAGCTCCCAGCCCAACACCAAGCCAGAATGTGTGTTTATAGCTCTTCCCCAACTCATCATTTTCCACTGTCTTGGATTGGATGATATCCGCCAGCCCAAGAGTAAACGCCACACCGAGCTGAAGAACAGAATTGATGACTCCTCCCGCCAACCCTTGCTGCTTTGCTGGAACGGCAGATGTAACAAACACCGTCATCAAGATGACCGACAGATCAAGACCAACAGTACCGAGGACCATTGCCGGAAAAATCCATGCCCAATAGTTTGCCCCTTGCGAGGGGATGAGTGCAAGTAAAAGTTGCGAACCCACTGCTCCAAAGCCGGAAATGATCAAGAGAAGCCGTCCCGGTACAAGGTGTAGGATGAAACCCTCCAAAATACTTATCAACAAGCCAGCAATACCGAGAGGACAATACCAAGCGACAACTTGAAGAGGAGTGGCCGACATGATATTTTGGAAGTATAATGTTCCGTAGACCGAAAAGATGCCCCAGGTGCCGTACAGAAGGAAGACGGCGATGAGGAGTGGTGTCATGCAAGGAGTGGCGAATAAAGAAGCTGGAAGGAGGGGATCTGCAGCAAAGCGAGTCTCGATGTAGACTGCAGTGAGCAGGGAAGCGACACCTAAAATGAGACAAACGATGATGTAGGGTGTTCTCCAGCCCCAAGAAGCATGTGCCGACTGAGTGATCGCAAAGACAATCAACACAAGTCCTGCAGTGATGGTAACCGCTCCTCCAAGATCCATCCCAACAGCTTTCTTCCTCCTTTCCTTGGGTCTAGGAACAAACAAGAACGAAGAGACCAGAGTAAGACCCGCCAGTATACCGCCGATCCAGAAATAGAAGCCCCAACGAAGAAATTGACCGACGAGGCCAGCAACAACGATACCCCCAAAAAATCCGAAAATGGCAGAAGCCCCATAAATAGCAAAGATCAGGTTCTTTCGTGGACCAGGACGATACAGCTCTCCAAGCTGCTGCACTCCAGTAGGCAGAAAAGCGGCAGCTCCCAACCCCTGCAAAGCGCGACAACAATCCAGCATCAAAGGATTGATACTGAATCCAGAAACAACACTCCACAGAGCAAGCCACGCGATTCCAGCCATAAACACAGGATAAGCACCCCACATATCGCCCAGACGACCAAAGATGAGCAAAGTGCTGGCAATGAGCAAAGAAAAAGCTGTAGCCGGCCACACGCTCGAAGCCTGGGGAATATCCAGTTCTTTGATCAGTGTAGGCAGAATGACGACAAAGCCAGAGACGAAGTATTCGGTCAGGAATTGGGACATTGTGATGCTGAAAACGAGGCCGATTTCATTCCAGATGGTCTTGAAGGCTGGAGGACGTTCACGACCTAGACGCTCTATTCGCTGCTCCAGCGTTTCATCATCCAGTATGCTGCAAGCATCATTCTCTTTGACATAAGAAGAGGAGTCGGCCGGGACGGTCGGTGGTCTCGCCGTGGAGACGACATGAATAGAGCTTGGACATTGGACTGGCGAGATATCTCTGTGAGCCGGGCAATCTGGCGAAGTCGGCAATTGTTGAATCATCTTCGAGAGAATGGTGCTTTGTATAAGACAGATAGAATACAAACACAAAATCACCCAAAGGAAAGCTGTATATATAACAGCTGGAGACAGACCATGACGCCCTGCTTGGTAAGACGGCAATTGGGAAAAAGGTCGTCATGTTGCTTTAGACGCCGGACGGATCGCGACGCCCTGCTTCATAATACGATAGCAAAGACAAGCTATCATACTTGGAATCCTTACAGTTGGAAAGGATTATCGAGACAAGCATGCATGTCGGTCGTCATTTTTTTTGGTTGGTCGAGATCTGGAGACGACCGTGCTCCGACTCCTGCGTCTTGGCTACCTCTCTGGGATAGCTCCAGCTCGGGGGTAGTCTTGATTGGCTAGACACTCCTAACAAGGTTCAGAACAGTCAAAGTCGTAGCGTTGAAAGCTCCGGCTCCCTATATTTCGAGATAAAACTGAAGCTTGGCTGCCTGATTCGGCATAGTCCAGTGTACGGGTTGATTAGAGATTTGGCAAAAAGAAAAAAAGAAAAAAAAAGCTCAAACCCGCTACGAACTTGTAGTCAGCAATGGCACGCAGGATATATATATCTTTACATCCATAGTTGTGTGAAGAGGTATTTTCTCATCTCTAAGAACGATACAGGGCCTCTTCGAGCATGAGTTCCAAAGGGTCAGGAAGTGAGTACCAATGGTCGCCAAGAACGGCGTGTAGCCTTCCTCTTCTATTCCCTGATGATGGATGTAATGTTCAACACTTGGGTTTAGCAGTTACCTCGTTTCCGTGGGTGGAGAGAAGTCGATACTTTGATGCAGGACGTGACTAGGAGCGAAGAGACTGCAGAGCTCATTGCAAACCACAACTCATGTGCTTTTGAACAGATCCTTTTTGAGCATTTGTATCATTTCTTCCACTCTTTCTATCATGTACCTTTTTACCTTTTCTTTGCTTGCCCTTCGTTTTCTGCCCGACAAAACCCCTCCAAGGAACTCTAATCCTTGTCGAGTCTCACGGCAGCATTACTCTCGATGAAATTCAAATCCACCTTATGACCCAGCAGATCTCTGATATTTGAAACCTCGTACTTGATCATCGTCGGCCTCTCCAGACTGAGTCCGAATCCGTACACTCTCAAATCCTTGGGCAGACCCATACTCTCCAACATTTCCGGTCTGAACATTCCCGAATTGCCAATTTCAACCCACTTACCCAAACCGGCATGGTAGCCAAAGACTTCCATGCTGGGCTCGGTGTAGGGGTTATAGGCTGGCTTGAAGCGGAGGTTGGAGATGCCGAGTTTGGCAAAGAAGCCTTCTAGGAAAGCCATCAGACCGCCGAGAGTGAGGTCGTAATCGGCAATGACACCTTCAACCTGGTGGAATTCTGCAAGATGAGTGGCATCAACCGTTTCATTGCGGAAAACACGGTCGATGCTGAAGTAGCGACAAGGACGAGGGTTTGCAGCAAGACGATGCAAGACATATGTAGACACAGCAGTAGTGTGAGTTCTGAGCACCAATTTCGTAGTCTCCGAGTCGTTGTAGGGATATCTGTAGCCGATGCTGCCGAAAGCGCCGTCTTGGTGCACCTTGCGCACATTGTCGTAGTATTTCTGGTAGTCGAGTTTGGGGGCTTCGGTGGAGGCGAGACGGGGATCGTAGAGTTTTGCGTCTTTTTCCATGGCTTCCATTGCGGCGTCTGCGATGGGGTCGGCGCGGGGGAAGTCGGCGGAGACGGGGTCGGAGACGTAGAAGGTGTCTTGGAGGTCGCGGGCGGGATGTTGCTGGGGCACGAAGAGGGCGTCGAAGTTCCAGAATCCAGTGTCGACGAATCTGCGGGATGGGCATGTCAGTTGTGTGAGGAGAAAGAGGTAAGAGGACAAAACTCACCTGCCAGTAGGCATCTCAATGAAGCCCTGATGGAAGAAGATCTTGCGGAACTCCTCACGCACCTTCATCAACGGATGCAAGGCACCAGCATGTTGCTGCGAGCCCATGGCGGCAAAGTTGTAAGGCTTGAAGTTTGCAGTCTTCCACTCACCCGACTCGAGCATTTCGGGTGTGAGATCGGTGTGCTCGACAGGCATCTCCTTTGCGTACTTGGGACCTTTGGACACGACATAGCTGATGACTTTTGTGACGGTGACCAGCTTGCGCTTCTTGAGGTCGGCGAGCAGCTTGGCGTCGGAGAGGGACTTTGTGCTTTGGATGGCGGCGAGGGTGTCGCGGGTTGTGTCGGTGGGGGAGTCGACCAGCGAGACGAGCACATCGCCGTCCTTTTTGATCCACTTGAGCTTGAAGGCGTTGCCCTGGCCGACTTTGAACGAGTCTGCGCCAACGACACTCTGGGTTTCACAACATCAGCCAACCGTCTTGATCCATTTGCCATTGCCCATTTCCCATCAGACACTCACCGGCAGCTCCTTCAACGGCATCTGGCCCTTTGCCTTGACGGCCTGCCACACCTTGAACTCGTGACTGCCCTCATTGGCAATCTGCTCTCCCTCCTTTGACAGCAGGACCTGCTCGTCATCATTGGTCTCGTAGGCGACCATGTTTCTCGACGCCAGTCTGTCCAGCGCAGCCTTGATTTCTGCTTGTCCAACATCGGGGAGGTCGCTGTCGGTTGCAATAGTCTGCTTGGTGGCCAGAAGATCCAGTACTTCTTGAGTAAGATCGCGGGTAGCGCCTTGCACCGGCACCGGCACGGGTCCACGTTGTCCAGGCATTGTGAGTGTGACGATGTGGGTGATTACAGAGTGCGATGCGCAATGGACGCCGGCCTGTGACTCTTTCGAGAGCGCTTCGTCGGCTCATTTTTGCTGACTCGTGGCGGGGAGAAGCTGCGTGCACCGACGCCCGACGCTTGACTCGTGCGAGAACTTCCCCTTCACCTTCCACTCTGCTTCACTCACTCCTTTTATGCATGCTCGAGTCGCCCATCGTGGGCCATTCAGATTCTTCATCTGTCTAGTCCAGTAATTCGCAACATCCCATACGCCCTGCGATCGACGCCGTGTGGCGCTCGCTGATGCTCAATCAAACGCCGCATCCACGCTATGCCGAAACTCTACAACAAATCCTAACGCAATGCGAATCATTCCTCAGATCTTTCTCCTCAGCTGAAAGACCTTGTTCGTTGTTGCTGCCGGCAGCCCCTCGGAAAAGCGATCGCGTTCTGTACCTCTTGTCAGCAACTGGTCCATTTTGCTGCTTTGATTTCTTCTTACCATCTTCCGTTTCAAAGCCAATCGTTATGTCATCATGCTCTCCTGCATACTCCAATCCTTCGAGATTGATGAACCTACGTCTCACTCCCTTGCCCCATATCTGTGAGTCCGATGTTGCCTCATCCTCACCTCCCTCAGTACCCTTCTCTTTCTTCGGCAGACTGAACTTTGCATCCACAAATTTGACACAATACTTGGCCGGCTTGTCTCCTTTTGCTTTCTCAAACGTATCAGCCGCCTTGATCTGGAACACCATCGCATCCGCATGGCTAAAGTCTTCGAAGAAGGCTGCGATCTTGGTCACGTTGCCGAGTGTAAGGATCTGAATGCGGACTTTTGTCGCCTCCCATTTCTTGTAAATTGGCACAACCATTCTGCGTCTTGAGATGGCGAACAGTGTTGCTGCTCCGTCAAACTTGACCGTGTATCGTGTGAGTGCTCGTTGGAACGTGTGCAACTCTTCCATCGACGGGAATGTCAACGTGCGAGTCGTCGGTGTAGTCGCTGCTGTCTGCACGAGCCTCTTTAGTCCTTCGCGCCCGTGTTGAGCTTTACCAATGTCGACTGATGCCGTCAAATCTTCTTGTGGTGCTCGTAAAAGTGACATGCTTGGTGTAGTTGATGCCGGCAGACAAATCAAAAGTTCACCAGGACCTATCAGTCATGTTAGCCAAATCCCTGCAAGGCTTTCGAAAAACCCACCAAGATTGAGCCGGTCAGTCACTGCACCATTGTCGTGGACTGCAATCATTCGGAAGTGTTGAGAAAGCGTCATGTCTCCTTGATCTTGCCCAACCGCAGCATTGGCCTCGCTAATGATACGTACCTCCTTCCACGTGAGTCCTTGGAAGGCACCGGCGATTGTGTCTTGGCCAGTCGAGGCTTCCGCTACCATGTTCCGAAGTCCAACTCTCGCGACAACTTGCTCATCTTCATTTGTCGAGGTGCCCTGGAGCACATTGTAAAAGTCCTGTCTCTCGCGACCACTCTTGAACATTAGCGTTGTCCGGCATTGCCGCTTCGTGTCTTGGGTATGTAAATGCATGACAGGCGGTTCATTCGCACCCGTCATCTCGAAAAGTAGCGGTGAAGTACGACAGAGAGGAATGCCAGCCATGGTGAGCGATTTGTTCATAGGATTTGCCATCAAGAGCATTCGATATCCGCGATGTAGATTGGTCTCTCCATAACCACTGCGGACGTGTAGTCTCTTCTCAAAGACAAATGCTGTGCAAGATCGGACCTTGTCTTTTGAGAATGCATTTGGGTTGGTGGAGTCAGTATGAGCCAGCTCAAGCAGATGTACCTCATGGATCAGTCGCTCATCCGCTTCTGGCTTCATACTACCGTAGATCTTGTTGGTGTAATCGATCATGCTCCAAAGCGCACGGAAGTCTGGCTCCTGGAATGCCAGATTGAGTGTGAAGCCGCGGGGAAGCCGAACGTAGAGACCATGCTCTTTCGATTTCCAGCTGACATCATGCCATGTTGGTCCTTTACCATAACCTCCGTCGCCAGGTCTGATGGCAAGATTGACTAGGTCCGCCTGACTTGAGATGACGACAGAAGTCTGGAATTCAGACTTGCCTCTGACCATAGTGAGAATGCAAGGCAAAACAACACGATCGGTATCGGCCTCCTCTGTATTAATCGATGCGCTGACGAACATCCTACTATAACAGAATGTGTCTCTTGTGTCACCAAGGGGCAACGCTTCTAGAGGATTGGCCTCCTCGAATTCATCTTGGGCAATCAAAGCTTGACTCGTGCTACCACGAAGAAGAGATGCGACGTCAGATGCAAATCTGGGGTACTCTACCCACATCGTCGTATCTTGGCCTTGGATCAGAGATTGATGAGGAGGCATGACGCTGTTTCGACTCATTGACAGGGTAAAAGTACGTAAACTCGCACGCACAGTGTCCATGTCGCGGAAGAGTGTATCCTGCGGAGAGTCAACCTTGGCGTGCGGCGAATCCGCACCTGACAAAACATCGGTAAGGATCCACCAGGTCTTTGCAACATCCACATGTGCCTGTGTGAGCATCTCAGGTTTGTTTGCTCCCTTTGGAGTATTCCGAATCTGTGATGTAAGACCTGCGCGACCTTTGTGCAGCCACCAGATAGCAGCACGTAGCCACTCACGAAGGGTGCAACTTTGGATCGGTCTCTCACGTTCGGCCGTCAGTCTGAAGACACCTCTCATGTGTGCAACGCGCATGCCGAAATCGAAGAGGGCGTCATGCTCGGCGGTACCTTGTACGTGTTCAGAGGGAGAGATGTTCCTGTGCGAGAAAGCAGACGCCGATCTTCCGTTTCCGTCATAAGAAGGTGTCATGCCAATTCCGGGAGTGAGAGCGGGTGTAAGACCAGGGGTCAATCCAGGAGTCAGGCCATTCACGTTTGCGGCTTGAGGTACCAGGGATTGCTGCGAGAAGTAACTCGGACTTGGATTACGGCTCGGAGGAGCAGGTAATGGATGACCGGTCGAAGAATGGGCCAATCGTGAGAAGCTATTTGGCTGGAGAGAAGCAGAGCGGACAGAAGAAGCAGGTGAGGAAGAGGTCATAAAGTCGGATGGCAGTCGTTGCCTGTAGCTTGATGCTGAATGTGTCGAGTCGATTGTGTAATGCGAAGAAGAAAAAGAGGCTTGCATGTCCCTTGTGGTGATTGGAGGGACATCTGTTTTGGCATATTGATCAGAGGTGCCTGGAAGGTCGGGAAGGGGGTGTGTTCGATGAGGCAGAACAATTGGTGGAGGAGGCACCTGCTCGGGAGATGCAGAGCGGACATTTTCTGGAAGATCAGCGCCAAAGTCGGTGGGGGTGATTGCGGGCAACTGTGGACTACGGGATCTGGTCTGTCGAGGGGGAGAGTTTGGACTTGGCGGTCTACGCGGGTCCAGCACTTCGGGAGCGACTTCATCATAGTCCAGTCTTGACAAACGACGCAGTACTCTGCCTTCTTCTTCGCGAATCATACTCTGCCTCTTGGCAACCCTCGGAGGCAAGGTACGAGGTTGTGGTGGAGAGTCTTGCAGAAAGCTTGCCAGCTCGGACTTGTCGATGATTGGCGGAGAAACGGAAGGCTTAGGGGGCTGGATTGTCTGTATGGGAAGCTCAAAATGCGGTGGGAGCGGCGGCACTTCTTCAGGACTTGTAGGCGACGTCTCGAAGTCATCCGAGCTTGTGAAGGTGGTGGGCACACGCTTCAACAAGCCTGGTCGAGGGGTGTCGTCGACAGGGGCATGTGCCGGTACGGGAGGTGGATTGGGCTGAGGTTGCGGTTGAGAGTCAAAGAAGGGGTGGTTCACAGGATGCGTAGGGTCGGCCAGCGAGTTCTTGCGTTGATAGACATTGCGGACGGCAGGCGCGCTCATGGGATAGTTCGCCGCCTGACGGTGTCGCTCGGCCGCCGACGTGTCCAGCACAGGGGCAGGAGGTCGTCTCTCTGTTTGTGATCTTGCCAATCTCGTCTTTGCTCTTGACACCTCGACGACTGGAATGTCCGAGTCGTCACCGCCTTCTCCAATGATCTCTGGTGGTGTCCTGACGAATGCGACCGTGACATTCTTCTTCCTCCTGACTCTAGGTGTGTGTGTCGTCTCGGGAGAAGCGGCGGCAGCTCGCCTCACATCACCAGCTTCGGGCCATCTCTGTGCGGCAGAGGTATCGATTCGTGGAGCGGCTGCCTGTCGCGTGCCTTCACCGGGGATTCGCTCCTTGTCCGTTGAAGGTTTGAGGAAGTCGACGACATCCTCGTTGAGGTGGAAATTCTTTTCCGAGGCGTCGTTCTTCCGCAGCAGCTTGCCCCATTTTGAAGGCCCTTTCAGACTCATCGTCGTTGTTGTCGCTGCTTGCCGTGTGCTTGCCCAAAGGGTCGTCTATCGAGATTGCGGGGAAAGAGGGACCAGGTCGGAGATCAGGGACGGCCGCTCTGTTGACGTGCGATTTGCTCCGTGTTTCGTCTTGGACAGTTCTGTCGATGCTGCTGTCTCGCTCGCGGCACCAATATCATTGACTGATTGGAAACCATGTATGAGAGTACGTCTGCAGGCAGCAGAGCGTGGCAGGGGGATTGTCTCCAGCTACATGCCAAGCCCACTTTGATACATAACACAACCGTCGCACTCAAACTGCGCTAGTCAGGCACAACCCTTCGGCAAAAGGGCCCGTATTCCGTGCCCGTCCCACAAGATGCTCCGAGCGCCATCCTCATCGTCAAGCCTCACCTTCAAAGGCGCTTCCTTCGACCATGCCTATCTCAACTCCCTCAACGTTCTGATTGAGACTCGCATGTCGACGTTGTGTTTCACTCGTCATCAGCTGCGTCATGTCTCGGTACATGTTGTTGTCATTGTTTGACTCGTTGGAGACGCTCCAACTTGATTGATGTGTCTTGCCATATCTATACACCGGTCTGACACTTTATCACGGCCCGCGCCTATTTTGAGCTTTCAAACACGACCCCATCACGAAACTCAATTATGAAGCCGTTCTCCTCCTTCCAGCTTCCTGGCTAAACCGACTTGAAAATGTATCTCACGCATGTCTGGCTAAGAACTGATTCTGGCTGTCGCCATGCTATTACTTTGACGAGTCGCAAGCGCCCGTTGACAAGATTTTGCAATCTTTCGCGAGTGTCGTTGCAATTTCACATGACCCACTCCCTTCCTCTTCAACTTGACTGCGGCACGCATAAGCGATTTGACTGGCTCTCCCGTGTGTGCGCAGCACACACATTGACCGATTTCATCTACACCCCGACATTGCCATTTAATTGATCTAGTTACGGATCGTTGATGATGATGATGGGCCTCCAGCTCTGGTCACCCTGCCCATGCTTGGCTTGGCCAGATGGCGACACAGATGGACATGTCTTCTCGAATGGCTAATGTGATGTGTAGGAAACTCAGAACAACAGTATGGAAAAAGCTTGGAAATCCGTGATGGACATGCTCTGTATCTTGTATTAGCGAGGGTAATGAACTCGATTTGAGACTACCATCGCTCACCAGTTTAAATGCGGGGGCGACAAAGTCCAGCGATGGCAACGATGAGAGCCAAGACCGAGATGGCAAAGTTGAAAGGGTCAAATTCGATCGAGATGGCCATGTTCGTTTGACTTTTAAGATGGCGAGGCCGAACAAGGTACAGAGTCTTGATTGGACAACAACTCGTGCCTTGGAAAGTTCGGTTCGTTTGTAGGTGCTTGTGGCAGTAGATGAGAATGTGATATTTCTGGAGTGGACTGAACATGGTAAAAAGAGGCCGACATGGTTAGACTATATACCCTGGGTTCTATTTTCTGCTAAGGGACCTGGAAATGGCGAATGTGCCATGTCTGAGAAGCATGAGGAGCGCAAAAGATACGTGAGAAGCGTGCGAAGCGCGAGAAGCACTTGAAAAGCGTGAGGAATGAGGAGGATGAGAAGCTCGAGAAGTCTGCGAAGCTTGAGCAGCGTGAAAAGCACGAGAGGCTTTAAGAAGCACGGAACCTTTGAGAAGCGGGAAAAGCGGGATAGGCACGTGAGGGGCACTTGAGAAGCGCTTGAGAAGCGCCAAGGCGCCTGGCAAGGAACTTCTCCACTGCACTACCTGATGCATATAATGCCACAGTCGACTTCGTTCAATGTATTTGAGCAAGTCAAATCACTCCCTGTCATCATTGGACATACTGGAGGCAGTAGATGAACAGTTACCGAAAGAAAGACAAGCACACAAAGAGCGGATGCCCAGCTTTTCGGAACCTTCTCCGGCTCTCCGCTTTTTGTCCCGACATTCGTCTGCGAGTCAGTCGCGATACACAATCTTACTCCGCTTGATCCAGAGGGTCATACTACGATCGAGGCCTCAACTATGGTCGATACTCCCTACGTACCGCAAAGCCTCTTCCAGTGTCCTTCTGACTTGTGTCTGGAGTTTTTTCCCAATACGGATCACTTCTTCGCCCACTGGAGTGCACATGGTGGTTGTCCGAAATGCTCGGTCCAGAGCGGTGGGAAATACAATCTCAGAGTACATTGGATGCGAGTGCACTACAAGGATCTTCCTTTTCCGACTGACTTTCCAGGACTCTCTGACGAGTTCAAGGATTGCCAAGCTTGTAGCGACAAGAATGTGTTGGATGTGGATAAACACAACCATGTGAGGAAGAAAGGACACCCCATGGGGTTGACCCACTTGGTTTCAGCTTCGCAGTGGACTCGAAAACCAGTTGATGAGGTACGCTCAGAAGCTGCGGCGAACGACACGCCACCTCCGCCTTATCTCTCTGATGTAATAGTATCGAACACTGCCCTGAAATCGCGGTTGGCGGATGCCACAAGCCTGTTTCCAAACGTCAACGTACCTTCGGTCGACGTGAATGGCGATCTGATGACCGGAGAATCGAGTCCCGATAGTCCCAATCCTGCACTTCTTACTTCGAGTTTCCTCAATGCAACTCTGGACTGGAATCGTAATACAGCAACGGGAAATGCTCAAGTCTTGCACTCATCGGGTCATGCCCTTGAGATATCTGATCTTATTAGAAACCGCATCTCTGAGCTATCTGATGATATGGAAGTTAGTGAACCCTCGATTGCGCTCAACCAAGGACCTGGGAACGATCTTGTCGAAGACTCGTCAGATGATCGATTGATCCGACCCCCGAAACGCCCTTTGGCTGGGGAGGACCAACAATTTTCTCGTCCACCCCATCGAATTAAGATCATTCACACATCGACCACTGAGCATCTCGCGGACCAAGATGTGGGGCAAGATTTGCGATCAGTTCCGCACGAAGGTGCATATGTCAACAATACCTATGCGATCCAGGGCGCTGATGATACCAAAGCTCAAGGTCTCTGGTGTTACCGAGTCCTGGGAGAAGTCCCGATTAACAGTCATCAGGTTCAAAGACGATCGTACAGCTTTTCACACCCCAGCTTTAGAGTGGACCTCAGAAGCGAACTCACGATCGCCGTCAAAAAACTTCAACCTACAATACATCGAGATGCTTCGGAAAGACACAAGCTTCAAAAGTGGATCCGGCGAGTGAGGACCGTTCCTTGTAAATTGCAAAGCGAAACAATAAATGTCTTCAACATCAAAGATAAAACGACCTGGCTGGATGGTGAACGTACGTTGAAGACTTGGATATACTACAAGGTAAGTTTATCCTGGGAGTACCCTTCTCGACCACGATGGACGGTCAATTGATTTTCGCATTTCGCAGATCATAGACGATGACTCAGCAGTATTCGAATTCTGCAGGAGAGGAAACTACGATGATCTCAACAAAGCTCTGTCTACAGGTGGAGCCACTGTATACGATGTCAACTCTGATGGGATGACATTGTTTCATGTACGTAAGACGTCGATCGCAGGATATATTGCCGCTCTCTAAGTTCCGCTCAGGTTGCCGCGGAGTTTTGTCAGCCCGAGATCTGCAAACTTCTGCTAGAGAAAGGTGCTAACATCTGTGGGCGTGATTGGACAAGACGACAAAGGACTGCATTTGGATGCGTGTGCGACCCTGAGAAGGAACGGACTCATGTTGATGCGCATCGAATGCTTGAGACATTCCGCGTGCTCTTGGACCATGGCCATGACATAATTGTCTCCCACGAGGTAGACTCGGACATCATCCGTCTTTGTGTTTCCGTCGAAATGCTTGAGTCACAAGCCTCGATTCGTGCAGTTGCAACAATTTTCAACAACTACCTTGATTCATCCAGCTGCGAAGGATTGTTTCCAGAGCTTGATACGCACGACAGTACTCAAGACTTGCTCTCCTGGTGGCAGGGAGAAATAATGCCAGTACTGGAACATCATACACTTGATGAAGATCAACTACTCGACATTCTCTCGAAAAACAGTCTACGGACGTTACAGACCTATCTCCTCCGTGACGTCAAATCTGTTCAGGAGCATGACTCCATCTACGCACCATCACCATTTACGAATGACTTGCTTCATGCAGTTGGAGACCTCAACTTCCGAGTGCCGTTCCAATATCGAGATGAGTGCTCCAACGACATCAGTCTATTAGAGCTTTCGTCTCAGAGCATCATGTCCTGGACATATCTTCAAAGTGTTCTGGAACATGCCGAGATCTCCTGGCCAGCTCTCATTGAGGACGAACTAAGGTTACCACATTGCCCATGGTCTGCACCATTCCTGATCGACCTGTCGAGAATAAATGCAGACACCTATTTTGAGGATCTCCGAGAGCGATGCCCCAAGCTTATGATCTGGTACAGCCAGCAATTTGATCATGAATCTTTGGATGATGTTCTTGAATGGCAAAGTATCATGGCTGCTTTGAAGCAAGGACAGTCGTTCAAATCTGTGCATGAGACAATCATATGCAATCTAGAACGATTCAATCGATTGCTTGAACAGCAAGCGGAGATGAGCGATGGCGACAGTGATACGAGCGACTCGGTTGATGGTAATGATAGTGGTAATGATGATGACGACGACGAACATATTGATGACGACATTTGTCGCCCATCAACGAGATGGAGATTCTGGATTTGACGATTATGTTGATTTCGAGTATGTTGCGTGAATCGCAATAGCAAAAGAGAGCCAACCAGAATTTCGGGTAGATTCGTTCAAGCCTTTACCATGTATAATTTTAGGCTAAATTTGTAACAGGATATTCTTGGATGCGCTTTATCTTGGGAAGCGTGTTTTAATAATTGATTGGTAACAATAAGCATCAAGGACCTACGACAAGATAACTATTGATATTGACCACTCAACTACAAAAGCCAGCATCCACCTTAAGGTTCTGCTTCTTGGTAAAGCCAAGATCGATAAAGTTCTCATAGCTCCAGTAATTGCTTCTGGTACCTTGACCATCAACCTTGTCGTCGTTCGGCCCAGCAACCTTTGCAGTCCAGTACGCACTCCCCGAAGTCTTCTTGCTGAATGCATACAAGCCAGCAGCGAACAACTTTTGCCTTGCTGCGAAGGTGTTGTTGTATTGAGCTTCCTGTAAATTTTGTTAAACATCTTGAACGAGTCGGAGGAGAGGTCAGAGAAAGAACTTACGATAGACCATTCACCAACGAAGACAGGGAACTTGCCGTCACCGGCGGCATCCTTCGCATCCGCACATTCCAGCGCAGTGACATTGGCAGGACTTGCGCCTCTGCCAGCGAAGTAGTAGCTATGGATGTCGAAAACCAGGTTGGCGCTCTTGTCGAAGAAGCTTGAGAAGTAGCGCTCGCCCTTGAAGCCATCCTGTAACATGACAGGAATCTTAGCATTGACCTTGCTGACACGCTGTAAGACTCCTGTGGTGTATTTGACCAACCACGCAGCACCTGCATCAGAAAGAGCAAATGGCGAGCCAAAGACTGCAACGCCGAGGCGATTATCGACGGGCTCGTTGATAGGTTCAAGCGTAAAGGAACATGGGCGACCAGTAGATTGAATGAAAGTGATAATGGCATCCACAGCTTTGAATGAATAGTCCAGAGCAGTCTGATTTTGGAACCAGCCATAGTGACCATCTGCTTCACCGATACCTTGACCATTGACACCGCCAGGCAAAGAGTGGATGTCAATAACGATATGCATGTTATACTTGTTAATCGCATACATAGCAATATCTCTCAACCACTTTTGTTGGTTTCCAGAATACAACTGTGTACCCGGCAACTTGATCCACGCCGCATAAGTCGTCGGAATGCGCAGAACATTGATGTTTGCAGTAGCCAATTTATCGATGTCGGCGCAAGTAATCCAGGTGGCATATCTTTGTTCTAGCACAGGACCGCAGCGAGAGCCTAGGTTTTTGCAGAGACCCCATTCGTCGGTCGCGCCGCCGGAGTTTGCGTTCCACCAGGGGACATCGATGAATGATTCTTGGACTAGCCAACCGCCGAGATTCACGCCGTTGGCTTTGAAGTTTCTCCAGTCGATGTATTGGGAGCCGGGGGGGCCGGGAGGACTAGGAGGACCAGGAGGACTTGGGGGACCAGAAGGTGCGGCAGAAGACTGCCCAAGCAGACTACTCAGGGCAGCGAGAGATGTCAAGAAAGAGGAAATCATGATTTGGGAGGGTCTAGCAAGTTACTGTCTCCAGAGAATGCTCTGGGTCTAGCTTCATTTTATATCGTCGAGCCCAGATGCAAAAACGAACTGCATATACACCGTATCCACCCTCCTGCTTCTCCAAAGACCCGACGTGGAAACGCAACGTCGAGGTTCAAGATCCCGAGTAAGTTGGAGGGGCCCCCACAATGCCGACCCCGGCTTTCCTCCACAATTGTATGGAGAATTTCCCCGCTGTGCACTGACAATTAATGGGAGACGATTTCCCCAGATGCGCGATGAGAGTTTGACAAGAAGTCTTCACCTGCCCCTGAGCCGTAGGGTCGGTCGTTGACGATCAAACTGAAGTTGAGTTTGACGTGCTAGTGTAGATTGTCGCCTAGAGCGAAAGAGGCAGTCGCATTTCCCAGCCAACACTACAGGCGATGACCGCATGTACCCAGGTCTCCTGAACAGCTGCATCGTTCTTCTGTGCATGTCGCTGGATCCTGTAGATAACGAGACTGTGGTTGGCTTACGACTCTTCTAGTTTCGAACACAGCAAGCCTTCATGATCGCTCCCACCTTCCCTCCTCTTGGTCGATGCCATACTCCATATCCTCCATTGCTCTTCTCTCGGCATGGTGCTCACTCTCATGCTGTCTACAACTATGCCAGTACTGCAGCTACTATTTCCGATTCTTGCCTAGACATTCGCTTTAATACTGACCCCGCACATCTCTGTTGACGAAGAAGATGTGCGCTGCTGACCAAAATCTACTGTCTGTGTCTTAGTCATGTCTTGGTATTGGCAACATTCAAGCCAGAGATGGGGCTCAGCTCGGAACTCCGAGTCTCCAGCTCCATAGGAGGCAGAGACATCCATACATCTTAGACCTCGATACCAGATCCGAACTATACGACTCGATTTCTGGCGCATCCGGCTGCAGTAATCTTCCTCGGCTGGCTTGAAACAGTCAGCATGCTTACATCCGAAACGCTCACGACTAAGCAGTCCATCATTTTGTTTACCCGACCTTCAATAGTCGTCTCCCTTGCTCCAAGAGACGAATGCTATAAAATGCCCCGACAGAGAAGGCACAAGACATCCAATATTTTGACAAGACTTGTCTAAAATGAAGCTCACTTCTCTTGCTTCTACAGCATTTTTTGCTCTTGTCCTTGCCGACAAGGTACCATGGGAGCGTCTTGAGATAGACAAGGCCGTCCTTCTCATCCTCGATCTTCAAGTCGGCTTATATGGGCTTGCAAGAGACTTTGACCCGACTCTATACCAGCGAAACCTACTGGCCCATGCTGCGATTGGACAAATCTTTGACATCCCTGTCATTCTTACTACCTCCGCTCAGACCGGTCCCAATGGACCATTACCAAAGGAAATCTTGGAAATGTATCCCGATGCACCTCTGATCCAACGTAATGGACAAGTCAGCGCCTGGGACAATGAAGATTTCAGAAATGCTGTGCGCGCGACAAATAGATCGCAGATTATTGTAGGTGGCATTGTCACGGATGTTTGTATGGCTCACTTCCCTCATATCATGTAACAGTCGGATGGGAGCTGATCAAGTCATAGGTACAACATTCCTCGCCCTGGCTCTTCGTGAAGAAGGATATAGTGTCTGGGCCAATGTCGAAGCTAGCGGTAAGTGTCGTCCCTCATTTAAATGGTTTTAGGCTAATGATATCACAAGGCACAACGACGGAGCTTATACGAGATATAAGTAACGACCGTATGCGTCAAGCTGGAGTCAACATCGTCTCGCTATTCTATATCATCTGTGATCTCATGAAAAATTGGACTTTTGAACCTGGAATTACCACCGTGAGTGGAGATTACCAAGCTCTATTTGCACTGCTTGAATAGTAGCTGATGTGCCTTAGATATTACCTTGGCTGGACACTTACTATCCTGCCTATGGATATATTGCCAGAAGCCACGCGGCAGCCATTAAACAAGGCTCTATCGCACCGGGAGAGCTTCAGCTCATATCGTCCGCGAATGGGTCCTTGGAGTTGGATTAGCTGTGAGTATCGACATCTATGACGCCTCGTGTCTCTGCAGGTTGACGTTACACAACCGTACCGATTCGGCCCACACACGCGTGTTTTTAGGCTTGCTACTGGGGGATCACGTCCAACACAATGGTTTAATGTAGGTGCGTTAATGGTCAAGATAGGAGTATAACAGCGGTTGGTGAGCGGGTGGCTGAGATTTATTTACACATCCTCGGAAACAATTTTTTCCCTCCTGCAGGGAAGGGAGCACTTTGAACATGAGACTGACACTATCATAATTGGCTCCACAAATCAGATGCAAAAGATACTTGGAGTTCTATATCGAAGTGAATGCCGGATTGTCACCCGTCCCCAAACAAGTTCATCTGAACGTCCTCCTCACCCTGGTGAACTTGACCTTGTTATTTTGCTTCTCGTGGATCATCATGCTGGGCATCGTTCCCAAATTGATCCATCTGAATCAGACCAGCATCAGCCTGATTCTCAGTCCCATCGGCATCGCAAAGGTGGAAACTCGACCCCCTTCACCAAGATCATTGATCTGCCCTTCTTGGAAAATATACACTTTGTAACCCCATTTGCCAATGGAATCCCTTCCCTTACTGACATCCAAGAGAGAGGTAGAATTGTCAAGACCACCTGGACCTTCAGAGACTCGGCCGTCTAAGCCCACCACGCCGTATAACGTGCCAAGCGCATTCGGCTGATCGTACAATACCAGCACATGCCAGCAGTCGTCTCCAGGCGCTCTGTTGAACATCAACTCGTAATGCTCCAGTACCGCCTTGACGAAAACACCATTGGTACGGTTGGCTGTCCGCTCGAGTATCCAGATGTCGCTCTTACTACGCCATTCTGGGAGAAGCTGTCCTCAGAGAGAGCAGCCGAAGTTTACACGAAGCTGGATTTGCCAAGCTTTTCGTGAAGGAGATTGTCAGCTGCCTGGACGAGCCTCGCGTTGACCGTCTTCATCATCCTACGAGTCTCATCATCAAAACTCAAGTCTCATCATAGTCATCTCAGGCCTGACCAGACCCTCTCGTGTGCTGCGTCGCTCGTACCAAGAAGTCGCTCTTAGCCGTCACGCGCATCCGCTCCACAGGCCGACGCGCGCGACCGCGACGACTCGCTTTTTCGTACTTCGACTTGCCCGACGCGTGTTTGGTTCTCGTCTGCTTTTGACTCTGAATGCTTCAACCTCCCTCCCCGCAAAGTCAAGGCTGCTTCATACACGACTATTAAAGCCTGGGTGGGCGGGTCACCTTCTCTACGCGCCCGCTGTGAGAAGGGATGCTAAGGTATTGAAAGCCTTGTCGCTGGGACTGACTCTGCACTTGCTCTGTACGTCTAAATTGCCAGGTCCCATCGCATCTCGACCATGAACGACTACGGTCTTGTTTCGAGCGAGCCGCCTTGGAAATGGGTTGTTGACAAGCCCTGTTTTGTGTCTTGGGCAAGCAAAGAGGAGGGACCCATGTGTCTTGGACAACTATCGCCATTGAATGCGTCATCACGATTGACCATCAAGATTGGTTGGCGTCCCAACACCGATGAACTATTGATAGCTCTGCACCTACCAATATCGATACGCGCTTCCAAACACCCTCGCGACATGTTCATGATCATCCCTTGTGATTTTGATGCATCAGTGGTCGACACGTCCTTCACACCTGTACAGGCAGATGGCCGAGCTGACCTTGAGAGCGCTGGACTTGCCGATTGCAACCTGTTTCACATCCCGTTCAGCCTTACCAAATCGTGCGAGGTCATCATGCCTCGAGCAAAACGTCTAAAGCCTGTCAAAGGCACGCCAAAGGAGTTGATGAGCAAATTTAAAATACTGTCGGAGACCTTGTCCTTCGATATACACTTCAGGTTCGATACCTTTGCGCAGCTCGAGCTGCAGAGGATCTTTGCGTCCGTATCCCAGCTCAACACCCCTACCCTACTGCTCGACGGTATGTATGATGGTCGTGGAGGTGGTGTCAACCTATGGGTCAATCAAGGCCTATTCTCGGAGTCGAGCGAAATACCCGACAATGAGCAGTGCCTTTCCATTGCAGACCCCCTTCAACAAGAATTTCCGCCGCCACCCTATACCTCTGATACCATCCCATCACTTGATCTGAACAAGCCGCATGTGGAGGTACCTTTCAGTGATGCTAATGTCGCGTCCATGTCAATCCACAAAGACAGTGATGTTGAGGGCGTGTCAGAAACACCTTTTTGGACTCGTATGCGCCGGATCATGGACTACCGGTCGCCTAGTCTTGAGCCTCCTCGAAGGGAAACATCCAAGCGTGCAGCCAGCGTAGACTCATTACCCGACGGTGCTGCCTATCGCAAAAAGCAAATCTGTCTCTTCCGCTCTCCTCGTCTCGAACCTGCATTGTTCGAACTTCCTGCTACCCTTGCCAGATCGAAAGACTCTTTAATCTTCCCAATCGACGGCACGCTCTCTGCCCCGCCGGCCTCGAATCGAACGAACGACAAGATTGAGGAGATAGCCCGATGGCTGTGCAATGCTTGGGAAATCTTGCCTACAGCTCATCTTGATTTACGCACACAACTACTTGCCCTCGGTACAGCGGGAGATGCAAATGAATTCGCAAAAGCTCGTGTTGAATGCTCGACCCAATTGGCGTTTGCAGCCGCGCGGACTGCGAAGCAAGAACACCCAAGAACGCTGCACTTCCTCAGCATGTCAGATGCCGAACAGCAAGTCAGAGAAGTGGTAGAATGGGTCAACAGCGTGAAGCCTGATGCTGATCTCGTTCTCATGCGTGATCTTGTCGCGTTGGCTGAAGCTGCGTTGTCTGTGGTAGACTTTGAGATGGACTCGGAATCTGGCAAGATGAAGAATCTCGTGATGTGTAAGGCAAAGTGTATCGCCTCTGCTTGTCTTCTGTAAGAGTTACTCAAAATCACTGGCCATGATGTGATGATCAGAAATACTGGATACGGTCTACTGACGCACAAAGACCGGCATCGACTCCATTGGGCAGTCGATCTCGACCGTCCTGCCGCCTTTGAAAGTCTGCTCAGAGTCTAGCATTCTCCACACTTCTCCGGCAGGCAAATAAATCGAACGCTTCTTCTGCGATGCACTCAAAACTGGGGCAACCAGATACTTCCAACCATACATGAATTGATCCTCCACGCCATGACTCCAACACTTTTCATCCTTCGGAAAGTCATAGAACAGAGGTCGCATGACTGGTGAACCTCTCTCGTGAGCATCGCGCATCAACTCACGGGTATAATCCCGCAGCATCTCGCGAATTCGCATGTACTTCTCACAGATCTTGTACACCACAGGGCCATAAGACCATACCTCATTCGGAGCGCCGGATCTGCAAGTTGCTCCGCCGGTAGTGTCTTGTTGTGGTTGACGAGGCTCCCTATCACCGTGGAGTCTCATCACGGGGCAGAAAGCACCCCATTGGAACCACCGGACGAACAATTCTCGATATTCTTCATCGTCTGGGTTACCGCCGTGGAAGCCACCAATGTCGGTCGTCCACCATGGTATTCCTGCCATTCCCATGTTTAGACCCGCTGCAAGCTGATTGCGGAAGCTGGACCATGAGGATGCAATGTCGCCGCTCCAGACCAGTGCGCCGTATTTCTGACTTCCTGCCCAGGCGCAGCGCAGGAGATTGACGATATCTTCCTGGCCTTCTCTTGCTTGTCCGTCGTAGAATGTGCGGGCATAGTCTCTTGGATATACATTTCCGACACTCTGGTTGTTGCCGAGCCAGTATCGATAGTTGTCAAAGTCGTATGCAGTGTATTCTGGCTCGGCCACATCGAGCCAGAACGCTTTGATACCGTACTTGGTGTAATTGGCCTTGGCCTTCTCCCACACGTATGAGCGGGCTTTGGGATTGGTGGCATCGTAGAAGAGACCATATCCTTCAAAGTCCATGGTTATGCGAATGCCCTTGTCAGTCCGGACAAGGTATCCTTGCTTTAGCATCTCACTGTAATTCTCGCTTCGACGGTCGACTGTCGGCCAGATGGAGACCATCAGCTCGATCCCCAGCGACTCTAGTTCCTTGACCATGGCTTGTGGATCTGGCCAGTAAGTAGTGTCGAACTTCCAGTCACCTTGTAGTGGCCAGTGGAAGTAGTCGATAACGATCAGATCAATAGGAAGGTTTCTTCGCTTGTATTCACGCGCAACCTCGAGAAGCTCTTCTTGACTCTGGTATCTCAATTTACCTATGAAGAACGATCGTGTCAGCCCAGCTTATGACAATCAAACAACAGCTCGGAAGACTCACATTGCCAGAAGCCGAGACCATACTCGGGCATCATCGGGACCGTGCCACTCACGCCGGCATAGCTTTCAACAATCGCTGCCGGAGAATCACCTGCCACGATCCAGACATCCAGACACTTGGTAGAGAAAGCTTCGAAAGACATGACATTATTACCCAGGATCGCTCTTCCCACAGCTGGGTTGTTCCACAACAGACCATATCCCAGTGACGATACTGCAAAAGGAACACTAGCCTGAGAATTGCGATGCGCAAGCTCAAGATCCTGTCCTTTCAAGTCCAGGAATGGTTGTTGATATTGTCCCATACCGTAGATTTTCTCATCACGGTCGAGCGATTCGAGGCGCCAGGTCAGGTGGAACTCATCGGTACCTTGCCTAGCCTTGAACTCCCGAGGTTCAATTTCGATAGCACTGCACTTTGAGTCCAGGATATTGCGACGGTTCCTGGCGAACTCCTCGAGAAGGACTTTTCCACTGCGGTTGCGGATTGTCAACTTGCCAGTCTGAGATATGTGGGCTACGATGTCCCCGTTTGTTATGGTTGCACCGTCTTTTTGTATCTTGACGATGAACTTGGTCTTTGTGTGTCGCTTTGACTTATCTTCCAGTGCCCAGTCCGCCTCGGGGAATGCATTCAGCTTTGTGGCGCGGATACGAAAGGCGTGGTCAGACCAAGGCTGGACCAACAGCATCTCCGAGTCATAACTGTAAAGAAGTCCGCCATACTGTTCCTCAAAGACGCCTGTCTTTTCGTCGAATAAAGACATTTTCGTCGCGACTGAAACTGTAATCTTGCCAAGAAGGATACTAGAACAGAGCGATACTGGTTTCTGGGTCGAGTAAGAAAGGTGGATTGTAGTGTGAGAGCCAGGGCAGAAGGGTATGAGATCTTCTTCATCTTATATGTGCAGTTCAAGCCCGTGGTGGCTACAACGGGAAGCTCCTGCTACTGTATCTAAACGTCCGGTGTTTGCATGTCGACTCCCGACGGGGGAGTTGCGGGGCACCGGGGGGGTTTCATCGAATGTGGGGATGCCCCGTCGGGGCGACGTGCGGGGTCGCAAACACTTGCCACAATTACGCTCGCAGACCGACAACATGAGCCCTTACACCTTTGGATCCCTTGTACGGTTGTCCATTGAAACAATCTCGGACAATTGTCACGTCGCGTCGGTCTGTCTGGAATAACTCGAAGTCAAAACGGCGAAAGACACGGGCGATTGCAAGATATGCCTGGGCATGCGCAAGACTGCAAGAAAGTATTAGCATGCGTCATTGGTAGGGTCTGACGATACTTACTTGATCCCGACGCAGCCTCTGCTTCCCTTGGAAAAAGGAACAAGGTACTCTCTGTTACCTCTTGGCGTATCAGTACCGTCGTCCATCCATCTTCCAGGCAGGAACTTCAGAGGCTCGGGCCAAAGCACAGGATCGAGATGTATGAAGTGAGACGTCATCGAGACAGGGGTCTGGCATACTTGATAAGCCATTCGGACTCGACAGATAACATTATTCGCGACTTACTCCTGGGGGTATTTCGAACGATTGGTACTTCAAAACCTCATGCGGAGCTACACGTGGCAACCGAGTGGTAACGATTGCAGAGATACGAAGGCCCTCTTGTATCACAGCAGTCTATCAAATTCAGCGTCTGGGACTGCCCTTGAGCATCTCGACTCACCAAGTAGGGCAGCTTCTCCAACTCGCACCATGTTATTGGACTATCGGGTCTCGGCATGACATTGTCTAGCTCTTCCCGCAGTCTGACAAGGATATGTGGGTTGTCGAGCAGGTGGTAGGATACTATCGTGAGAAGCTGTGTGATAGCCTCGCCACCTGCTATCATGAGGATGTTTGCCTCGTCTATCAGCCTGCGGGGTTCCTGCTCAATCGCAGGTAGCTTGCCATTCCTCAACTCGGAGAAGATGGTCACATCATGGTGGGCAACCTTTACGTGTTCGGCGTCCAGAAAGCTCAGTACGTGCCCTTTGATGAGCTGCACTTGGTTAGCAGATGTGAGGATGCGGCTATATGTTTCACTTACTGTATAGCTTTTGAAGTACATACCCATAGCTCGATGGACCCTTGTGATCCACTGGTATGGGATCATCTTGAGCGGCATCAGCAGCCAAGGTATGTATCTGATCAATGTTGCATTCTCGAATGAGCTGACAATCGCTTCTTTCCAATCTGCTGAGAAGCCAGGCTCAAGCAGACAGTTCCAACACTCTGCTGCGCCAAAGGCATAGTGTGACACAGTGTCGAGGGCAAATGACATGTAAGCCGCACCAAAATCGAATAAGGCCTCCTGTTGAAACTGTGCATCCATACCAGCGCAGATTCCTTCCACCTTCTCGTGAATCAATGGTTCTAACTTCACCACAGAGGCCTTTGAAAAGAAGGGATTCAGTGCGCTTCGACGAGTTCGGTGCAAGTCATGGCCAACAGTGGCGAACGTGGAAGTTGGCGAGCCCGCAGCATTAGTGAACCACTGATACCTGGTTGAATTAGCATCCTTGTATTGTTGGAAACGGCACACTTACTTATCGCGGATCTGGCCGCCTCCTGCATACAAGGTGCCGTAGTACGTTGCATCATTGATATGGAGCTCATCCGGGTTGATGCGAACTATCGGACCTGACTCGAGGTTAGCGCTGGCTCCGTCTTGGTGGCGATTCGTTCCGGACCGTAGAGCTCATGCATGCGCTGGATCTCATAGAAGAATTGCCCGCCCCTCAGCACATCGTAGTAGAATTCATAAAGCTTCGACGACGCGGTCAGCTTTGGACCTGGAAACCCCGCAAGTGGATGGAAGAAAAGATTGTAGAGCGCCCTGACAGCGATGTACGTGGTGCAGAGACATAGCGCCTCAAGGATTAGGTCGAACATAGACAAATTGAGGAACATCGGTAACATGACTATGTAGAGAATGCGACTGATAGCCGTCTGCTCATATATACGCATCGATAACACATAGCCAAAAGAGAGCAATTGAAGCATGAGCTATCAACTTGAGTTTACCAGTGACACGTGAGTGTTATTGCAATCTCAGATCAATAGGATCGCTGGGCTGAGCCACCACTGGTGGTTCAGGACTAATGTTCAGCCTTACTCGGCTACACCTATTCGAGGCGTTGGTCTCTGAACTCTGTTTTTGCACATGCGGCTCGGCGTCTTTGGTGGCTTGAGATCAGAACCGTCGCTAGATTGTTCAACGTCTCGTTGACATTCACATGCTCAAGATTTCAAGCATAAAACATCTATCTTTTCTTTCGTTCTGGGCGCTGAAGCGACCAACTCGAGCAAGCTGTATGGAGAATCTTTTGCAACCACAGTGCTGAGCGCATGTGAAGAATTATCGCATCGTCAGTCCAAGCAATTTGAGCTCAGTTGTACTGCAATGTCTTTGTAACCAGCAGATAAGGGGCAAACAGGGAAGGTCGAGCCGCTCGTCCGGGACTAGCAGGGTCGCGCAGTTCGGAGTAGATTCCTGATTTTCCACGTGTTGTTGTAGAAGTACTTGGTGCGGGACAAGCAAAACGCCCAGCTGAACCTCATCTTGCAACGGCTGCATTGCAGGATGCAGCTGAGATAAAACTTTGGTTATTGATGTCTAGCGTTCTGGCAGTCTCGCTGTACACTGTGCGTTGGTACCAAATTGATTGGTCTCCGATGATAATAAAGATCCCCCTTTCCCCTGGAGTCAGATCTAGATCTACCACCATACCGGAGTGCAATGATCGTCGAGCTTATACGCGACAGCATGATCGGTCAGCTCCTTCGACTTACCTTTTCGCCACGATGCCTACGCTATCCTGATGAACGACGATTCCAAGCGATAACGAGTGATTGTCAGAGAACTAGTCATGCGTCGACAGACTCGAGCGGCACAGACGATACGTTGGCTTCCAAGTCTGAGAGCAAGGTCAAAATAATCACAGTGATACCGCTTGAGCCATACCCGGTCACAGATGTATCTGCCCCAGCCCTCAGAGGGCTCAGACATATTGATGCTGTTGATCCCAAGGAATGGCCAACAGTGATCAAGTGGATCGTTGCTGCGCAAATCTGGTATGTTCATGCCAGAATCAGCAACCTTGAATCAGTCGGCTGACCCCATCAAGCTTGTACACATTCGTGGTATATCTTGGCTCGTCCATTGTCTTGGCTAGCCTGCCGTTAGTCACCCATCTTGCCCAGCCATGACACACTCAACTCATGCAACACAGCTTTATTCAACTAAGATATGAAGTGACTGTGACATTATCATCATTGACTATCGCTACTTACGTCTTCGGCTGTGGGTGATTCTTAGATGGCATGGCTACATCACAAGCTGATATGCCTTTCTGCAGATGGCTTTGGCGCTCTCCTCTTCTCGCCTCTCAGCGAAATCGAATTTGTCGGTCGCAATGGACCATATCTGGTCAGTTTTGCATGCTTCGTAGCCATATCAGCCGCTACAGCTGCATGCGATAACTTTCCGGGCCTCGTGATACTTCGGTTTGCACAAGGTATTTTTGGATCTCCAGCGCTTGCAACTGGTGCGGCGTCAATGCAAGATATGGTATGTTTCCGAAGCGAGCTTTGCGATGATAGAATACTCATGGGTCTCTGGACAGCTGTCAGTACAATATCTGCCATTGGCTTTCCTGGGCTGGATGGGCGCTGCCACACTGGGTCCAGGTTTGTGGCCACTATCCCACAGGGGCTGACTCGTGCTGACCCTCTGTAGCTTTGGGTCCTATCGTGTCTATCTTCAGCGTTCTCGGTGACGGGTATGTACAGATCGATTAACTTCAAATACATCGAGCTGACCTTGTCTTGTAGATGGAGATTGCCACTCTGGGAGATATGCTACGTCTCAGCCTTTGTCTTTGTGATCATGTCGGTCATTTTGCCTGAGACATATCATACAAAACGACTGTTTGACCAGAGACGGCGACTCGCCGTTCTGACGCAAAACTCGGATCGAGAGCCACAGCATTCCGTCCAGCTCAGCCATATCTTCGAGAAGCATCTGAGTCGCCCAGTCAAGATCATGCTGACGCGTCCGGCAGTGGCATTTGCCAACATCTACACATGCCTGATCTACGGCTTGTACTACACCTTCTTCGAGTGCATCCCAAGGGTATATCTCCACATATACCACTTTACCTACACAGAAGTGGGATTGAGCTTTCTTAGTATCGCGATTGGTGCTTTACTGGGTGGCCTTGCGATATTCATGTGGTTCATGAGCTCAACGCGATCGACTTCTCACCGCGGTCCTCACGCGAAGCCCGAACGGAATCTCATGCCTGCATTGTACGCATCTGTGACGATGCCTGTAGGACTTCTTCTGTTCGGTGAGTCATAGAGAAACGAGATATACTTGGAAGGAGCTAATAGTCTACCACGCTAGCCTGGACGTCTCGACCGAACATACACTGGGCGATATCGTTGATCGGGATGACAACATACACAGCGAGCATGTTCGTTGTGTTGCAATGTCTCGCCAACTATCTTATCTTGGTACATCCGGAAGATGCGGCGTCTCTCTTTGCCGGAAACGATTTCATGCGAGCGACGACGGCAGCGGCCGCCATCGTGGCCAGTCATCCGATGTACGATGGCTTGGGTGTTGCTTGGGGAGTGTCTCTATTAGCAGGTTTGACATGCATTTGCTCCCTAGGTCTCTTTTGGTTGTATCGAGCTAGCCCAAGACTGTATGATACGGGACAAGGCCTAGGTGCGACAGAAGAAACCTAGCAAGCAAGGTGGCATTCAACGCTGCCCAAGACAAATGAGACAATGGAAACACTTTGACCAGACTTGGAACGAGATTGTGTAATTGTCGACTCGCGGCCATGATCTGAAAAATCGAGCTCCTATTTGGTGGAAATACAGGGAGGCTCTGCAATGACTGGTGCGAAGATGGAACACAATGCGACGGTAAAGACAGCAGAGGCGATGTAGAAGGGTAAGGACGCGGGAGCGAGACGATACTGGAAAGTTTGTAGTGTCTCGTCAAGATGGACGACACAAAAGATAATAGGTAGAAGCGATTAACCTAAGGGGTAGACTCCATTGATCGGGAAGGCACACTTGCAACCTTGTTCACCTCTCAGACCACTAGAAATATCCTGGCATGTGCACTGATTGCTGCCGATGCTGTAAGCTCCGTTGCCGTAAGTAAACTTGGAGTATCCAGCACCGAGCCCACATCCAGCCAGCGAGGCTGGAATCGCACGCCTCATGCACTATCAACAAGGCTTTGAACGATCGTCAAGGTCAAGTTATCACTGCTGTCGCGAAATTATCAAGGCTTGACAAATATAGACCGACGTTTCAGCCTTGACTTCAGCAGTCGACAACAGCCATGACGTACATGAGACCCATTGCCTCGAATACCGTCGTACTTCGGATACTGTAACATGCGATTGTGAGATAATGATGCAGGAGATTTGCCGCCTTGTGTGTGCACGATACAGCATATCTGCTTGGACCACTACTGAGGTCAGGTCTGGCGGCAGAGGAATAGAGAGTGAATAGACAGGGCTGTCAACCATGTTTTGCAATTCTGCCACTTGATCACGGTAGTGGTGAGAGACCCCGGACTAGGCTAGTCTGAGTACACGAAAGTACCATAGTCAATTTCTTGAGCGACAGGGACGTATCTCCAACGGCTAACGTAAGCCTGCACTGTACGATTGGCTCCATTGGTCGTGGCATAAGAACCCAGGAGCCCACCTGATGAAATAGATTTAGTTGTGTTGGTAACGGGTATTGAGCAGCTTAGTACATACCAGATGCATTTCCAGGACCCGAGATGAGCGTAGTGTTAGCAGTGCTGACAACGATACTTGCGGAAGGTCTTGCAGCTGGTGCAGCGCTGAACGCAAAGTATGTCGCGTTGACGGTCGAGATACCAAGTCTCACCAAATCGTTTGCCCATGTTGGAGGCAGAGCGATAATCTTTGTCTGGGATACAACTCCGGTGAAGTTGGTCTTCCCCACAATGGTCGCTCTGAAGCGGAGATATGGGATCGTCGTCTTGTCGTTCTTGTTCCTAGCCAAATATACGATACCGAGATCAACATGTTGAAATTGGTCAAGGTAAGATGTTATGCCGACCTCGTCACCTTCCTTGGCGTTGCAGCCAAGAAGCTCGATATCCACCGTAAAGTTGAAAAGAGTATGTGCTTGACGACGTGTAACGAGAGTGACACCATCGGCAGGAACAAAATTTGTATCGCCAGTCAGGTTCGATCTAGACGCAGTCAACCTCAGCGTGTTGAGCTTATTAGACGGGGAGACGGTGAACGAGGTTGGCTTGACTGGAGTATGCCAGAAGTCGAAATGTTTGGGGATGGCGGAGCCAGGCACGAAATCCACAACATCAGCTTCCCCGATGAACAAGCCTTCACCACTGACATTTCTGCTTGGCTGAGGCAAAGGGCCAATCATCCGACCACGCACCGGACTTGCTGTCGGCCATTTCCCCTTTGGCCAAGTGACAGGGAAGAGACTAGTTTCTCTACCCATTGGATATACTGTCTGGTTGTAAAGTGTGGGGCCACCTCTTACAGCTAAGGCGACACCCCACCAGTTCCCAGATTCGTCTTGGAAGAGATCAGCGTGTCCCACTGATTGGAAGTACTCGTTCGTCCTGCGGTTGGTGACTAAGGGGTTCGATGGCGACGACTCGTAGGGCCCTCTGAGAGATACTGAACGAGCGATCACAGCCGAATGGCCAAGCTCGGTACCACCTTCGGCAACCAACAAGTAGTAGTAACCATCCTTTTTGTAAATATGGGGTCCTTCCGTAAATCCGTTGCCAGTTCCGTTCCACATGTCAAAGGTCTCAGTAGCGTTGCCGGTCTTCATGTCGATGACTTGTGCTTTGATGGGGTGACCAGCGTATGCCACGACAACAGTACCATCATCATCGAAGAAGATATCCGGATCAATTATATATGGGGTTTCAATGGCGAATGGCATGGACCAAGCTGAGTCGTTGGTTGCATCTTTCGAAGTGAAAATATAGAACGTGGGGGGCAGAGGATCCTCAATGTAGGTTGTGATCATGTAGAATGTGCTGTTGTGATAGCGAAGAGTGGAGGCATAAATACCGCCAGTCTGCACATTCTTTGCAGTCAGGAGACTTGGGATTTGATCAGGGCGGTTGACTGCATTGCTGGCTAGTTTCCAGTTGATGAGGTCCTTTGATGCGTAGACAGGTGCACCAGGGTAGGCCAGGAAAGAAGAAGTCGTGCAGAAGAAAGTGTTTTCACGCTCAGCCACGAACACACAACTAGGATCGCTGTTCCATCCCGATAGTATTGGATTAGTGTAGGAAATATTCTTGTTACTGCTGATCTGGCTGCCGGCTGTACCACACACCAAGCTGGCGAATGCCAGGCTGAGGCTGAGGCTGGCGAAACTGAGCATGATAGATGCTACTCGAAAGACTGGATTTAATTCCACCGAAGACACTAGACCTCATGGCTTTATAGGTCGGACGGCAATGTGGACCATCGCGATCATCAACAGCAGTCGACGACTCCGTGATCCGGATACGGATGACGAATACGCTTCTGGATACGCTTCCGAGCTCCATAGAGCCCACGATATGTGGGGGTTGAAGATGTGAGGGCCCCTCAAATCTGCCTTGAGCACGAAAGACTTGCGGTGGCCAAAGTAAACTGAGCCATTCTCGCCCGATCCGGTGGAGGAAGTGTTATAATCTCCAACGCCAGACGACCTTTCGTTGCGGTGCTTGTGAGCAAGACGACAGTATGCAGTCCTAGAGAAATTGTCGTATTTCATTCAGTTTACAAAGTCTTGCAATTGGACAAAAGACCGAGGGAAAACATGCTTAATACTGGCTAAAGACTCCTCTGCGCTCTTCGCCGAGACCAATGTCGACTTCGGGATGCTTTCTCAACGGAGACGTGCTGCTGGCGGCCGAGTATTAATGACCAGAACGCGAGGCACCAGATTGCATCCATGACTATGAGGATCACACGCAGCAAACAAAGCTCAAGGGAGAAGCCGCCGCGATGAAGGCGTTGCGCGTGAATACAAAACAAGCGACAACAAGGGCGGATAGCTCCTCCAATGTTGTCTGTTGTTGGAAGGAGCGAAATTTGTCTCCCGACGGCCATAATACAGCTTCGGCGATGACTTCTGGACCCTCTTCCTTATTCGCCCACGCACAGCATATTGTCGCGTCGAAACGTCAACAGATTTACTCGCGATGTCTACCGAGGTTTCGGCATTTGCTTGTCGGACAACAGACATCGTTGCACTGCTGAGGCGATGATCCCGAGGAACCACTGTCGCACGGTGTCCAGACACTGAAAACATCCATCAAGGTCACCGTGGCCTCTCGAGCGACACCACGAGCTCCTGTGCAGGGGCAGCATCGTCGCTTTCATCACTAATGGAGTCGTTCATGCACCTCGGGCAGACTCATTCAAGTGAACGCCACGCCTCTTGGCTTGATTTGAATCACCTGCTCTCCGGTTTATTCTCTTCGAGATTTCCTCGGTCTTCTTTCCGGGCTCGGTTTCGTTCCTGTAACAAGCTCGGCGGAGGACGGGGACGACCCGCAAACAATCTCTGTCAGAAGTTGGCAACTCCACAGATAAGTTCCCATAGATCTGATTGACCATTTCCCGAAATAACAAAACAGCTCGGCGGTGAAAACGTGGGAGTTTCGACGAGGGAGCAACGACGATGACCATCACACATTTATGCATATCAAGCCAGCTATCTCAGCCCGACTAAACAAGCACGAGGATAAGGAGTTCTGCATTGAACAAGCAAAGCCTTGAACAAGTCTTACACGTCTAGATTCGCATACAAGACCTTCAAGACGGCCGTTGCCAGAAAGCCACTGCACTCGCCAAGTAATTGGCGGGTGGCATGAAGGATGCTCAGCTTCAATATTCGACCAATTCTCTTGGTATAGACGGGGTGGCGGCCACTCTGATCGCTAGCCGTTGACAAGTCAATCTTTTTGGTCTTGTCAACGCGATTAATCGCTCGCAGATCTATCGAAGTAACCCCACGGGGCAACCAAATCTCCATGTTTCGCTCTCCAGGCCAAGACAGCTGTTACCGAAAGTGAGCTTGGCGAGGCATGGCGCATGAAACCATACCACCGAATGGACAACAGAATCGCGGGGTCGAGTCATTTGGTATTACCATCTTGGACACATCGTCCATAGATGTCACCTTGGCTGGAAAATGGAGGTGCGGGAGCATTACCCGCTGGTACAAGATCACTATCATGGGAACGAGAGATGTGGATACAAATACAGGGGCATGCCTCGCTGCCTTCTGTGTCATTCCTCAGACATTGTCTCCGCCTTTGATTCTGGTCGTCTCTCATCTATTAACAATTTGCGACCTCGTTCATTATGTCGACCTTCAACGAGCCTGCCGACCCAATCGCTCAGGGCGTCTTGCCGACTGCAAAGCAGTCCTGGTCCGATCTTTTCAAATGGAAGCAGAGAGTAGTTGTCTATAACGAAAGTGGCGAGACCACAACAGAATGGCAGACTCCTCCGAAGCTCAAGAACCCTTTCAGCTTGATGGCTCAACTCACCGCCATGAATTGGGTTTTCTTTATTGTCGGTCTTGCTGCTTGGACTGCCGACGCCTTCGACTTCCACGCTTTGTCCATCCAGACCGTCAAGCTGTCAAAGTACTATGGCGTCACCAAGACTGATATCTCGGAAGCCATTACTCTTACACTTTTGTTGCGATCTGTTGGAGCTGCGGCGTTTGGCTTTGCTGGTGACAAGTGGGGTCGCAAGTGGCCCATGGTTGCCAACATGATCATTCTTGGTCTTTTGCAGATTGCCACTATCTACTCCACCACCTTCAATCAGTTCTTGGCTGTTCGCAGTCTGTTCGGTCTCTTCATGGGCGGAGTGTGAGTTCACTCGTGATGCCACTCTGAAGCACTACTAATCAGCTTACAGCTACGGCAATGCTGTCGCGATGGCCCTTGAGAACTGTCCCACAGAGGCTCGTGGTCTCATGTCGGGTATCCTCCAGCAGGGTTACTCCATGGGCTACGTCTTTGCCGCTTGCGCCAATCTCGGAGTTGGAGGTGCTGTTGAGACTTGGAAGACCGTCTTCTGGATCGCAGCCGGACTTTCCATCGGTGTTGGCCTCATTCGCTGTTTGTTCCCTGAGTCTAAGCAATTCCTCGAGAACAAGAAGAACAAGGAAGCCACAGCGCCCGGTGCTTTCTGGCAAGAGACCAAACTTATGCTTGCTCAGCAGTGGAAGATGTGCATCTACTGTATCATCCTCATGACCTGGTTCAACTGTGAGTTGCGAACGATTCCCCAAGTTTCGACCTCTACTGACTTTCTCGCAGACTACAGTCACACTTCTCAGGACAGCTATACCACTTTCATGCTCACGCAAAAGGGCCTTAATAACGATGGTGCAAGTCGTGCTTCTATTCTAATGAAGACTGGCGCTTGTGTCGGTGGAACAAGTACGCAACTCTAACTCGAGCTTGTCCGAAGATAATCATGCTAATCAGTTGCTTTTCTCTACAGTCATCGGCTACCTCTCCCAATTTGTTGGTCGCCGTCGTGCTATCGTCGTCGCTGCTCTCATCTCCGCCTGTCTCATTCCAGCTTGGATTCTCCCCACCGGTGAAGGATCGCTTTCTGCTTCAGGTTTCATGATGCAGTTTTTTGTTCAGGGCGCTTGGTATGTGAATGAGACCCGAGTAATCGTGTATATCGTATACTAATGTCACTCCAGGGGAGTCATTCCTATTCACCTTAACGAGCTGGCACCACCTGCATACCGCTCAACCTTCCCTGGTCTGACATACCAACTCGGAAACATGATCTCATCACCATCAGCACAAATCGTCAACGCCATTGCCGAGTCTAACTTTGTCACTGGTGCAAAGGGAAAGAGGGTTGAAGCTTATGGACCTGTCATGGGTATTGCAACGGCCATTATCGCCCTTGGTATTGCCATTACTACCGCATTTGGTCCTGAGAAGAGAGGTCGTTCTTTCGAAATCCCAGCTTCGGTCGACATGACGCAGACCAAGGATATCGAAGAGGGTCGCGACAGTATGGACAAGCATCCCGTTAACGAGGAGCGTATCGAGAGGACAGAGACCAGATAAGCAGATGTATTGTTCGAGGCTGATCACGTCAACGTCTTGTGCTGCACATTGATATTGATATCTTGTGCTGCGATTGCTTCGATAGAACACGTGATTATCAACTCGGCGTTTCTCAGAGGCGACTGCACAAAAGACTAAGTTTGACAAGCCTTTTCTTCTACAAACGCTACAAATGTGTGTCAAACATCAAGCTATACTTAGGCGGCTTATGGTCGCCGACCACTATATCGATCCCCGAACAACTTCTGATCACGCAACCTGTCGTTCTCCTTATACACGAACCTTTGCACTGGATGCTCGACCGCACACGTCCGAGTCTTCATCTCTGCTGCTCTGGGATTGCATACACGACTCACGGTAATGTTCAGACAAGCTTGGCTTGAGGCCAGGACTAGGTTAATCATTCGTGCCCCAAGTTTATACCATGAGTATCTGGACATTTGTGATTTCTGAGCAGTTTGGCATGCAACACTCATCAGCGAACGTCCATGAGCATGAGCCGTAAAACATTTCCGTCGGACGCCAGAACGCCATCATCTATGTCTCCAACGTAGCAAGCACCATATTCGGCGTATCCACCGAAGAATTCGACTACCAAGTTTCGCCCGGACCCGCCATGGCCATTGAAGCTGTCCACAGTCTTGCCACTGCTGTGACCTTCGGCGACTCTCCCGAGGTCCTAACCACTTGCTTAAACACGACCATGGCAGGAAGCTTGACCTATGAGCAAGCAACCGACATGAAGTGGAAGTGCAACGAGATCAGCACCCTTGTAGCCAACAACATCGACATCTGTTCTTCCATCAACATCTCCAAACCTACCTCCCATGGCGAGTCCGATCTCTCCAAGCGTTAGCTCTTCAACGGGCTCCGCAGCGCCAAACATGTTGCCTCGTGCGCCTCTGTCCAAGTCCTGTACGGCGCCCTCGGAAATGCACTTTACGAGAATTTCCCCCATTCCCCTCGTTCCTGGTGCAACAATGCAAATGGTCATAATGTATGTATCTCGTGGTCTAATGTTGAGAATTGGAGCCATGATTACGCTAGGGAGATGGTTACTGATGCGTTGACCTATGTCAATTTCGACAGGTTCAGTGCACAGGCAAATAGAGTGTTGGGAAGCAAGGAGAGACATGCTGCGGATGTTTGCATCAGTAACAGGGCCAAGGGCTGTACCTAGGAAGTAAATGTGCCTCTAATCAGACCCAGAGATAAATCAAGATCTGACTGGAGTTCTACGGTGTTTTACTTGGTTCCCGATGGAGTTTGGTGCGTATTTGCATATATAGCTGCAGACTCCTTCTCTATATAAAAGCCCTCGCGCAACGATACTGCTGCTCGTCTTTTCCACGTTTCAGTCCGCTTATCACAAGTCTTATCTACATTTGAATAAATAGTTCTGAAGAATCAAAACTTTCAAGTCTACGACTTTCTTGCACAACACATACCCAAGATGACCAAGGCTTTGACGCTGCACCGCTGCTTCATGCACACTTGTCTGTATGTGCGGACATGACACATCTCGAAAAAGATTGTAGGAAGTCATGGGGAAAGAACGTAAAGGATATCGGACCGTTAAGATTAACGGAAATAAGACCCATCATATCCCGCGAGATGACCCCGCGGACCCAGAAAAGAAGGGACCCCGGCATCCTTATATTCGGCTTGCGGGGAACTTATCATCAAAACCTCTCTCTGATTAGTCGTCAAGTCCGCGGAACTTCGTATAGCACACGTCACGCAGGATTCAAAGGATGCAAAAGCATGATACGATCACGCCCTAGTCGAACCCAGTATCTCAACGATATATAACCAGAGTTAAATACCTCCTCCAGTCCCCTCCATCTCACACTCAATTCACCCAAACCAAAAGCCTACCGCCATACAGCAAACTGCAAACATGTTGAGCCTTACAACACTTTCTCTACTCCTCCCTCTTAGTACCGCTTTCGTCATCAAAGACGTCCAAAAGCCATTACCCCCTTCTCAAAATACCCTCACTCCCTCCCTCGACAATATCTCCATCCCAACCTTCGAAAGATTCGCCATCGAAGACATGAGCGACACAGCATTCTATCTGCATCATAAATCCACAAAACATCTCCTCGGCGAGCGTTCCTACCTTCTCCTTCGTCAAGCAGAACTCGAGAGCAGAGAAGACGAGATTTGGAATTGGATTTGGAAGAACGAGGTGGAATGTGGGAATTGGGCTGATGAAGGCTTGGACGATTACGAGGATCAGCTGAGACTATGGTTATCAGATAATCGTGTGTTTAGTGTCGATCCAACAGTCGTGCCTCAGCATATCATCACTGGTATCGAAGATCTGGCCACGCAAGAGTGGAAGACGCGATCGGAGATGAGACGGAGGAGTTATTGCAGCGAGGATCGTGACGACGATAAGGACGGCGGAAAGTCGTCCATAAGCGGACTCGAGACTTCTGAGCCTGCCTGGAGAGCAGTCGTCCCTGATGAGTACCTTGTCTACCAGATTCCCTCCAGTGTTCTGGAACAGGAGATGGAGAAGGAGCAGGAGGTTTGGGAGGCCCGTGTGGAGAAGAAGAAGCAGGATATTTTGGCCGGCAGGTTGTCTGTTAGAGACATGAAAATGCCTGACCTTGCAAAGTGTGAGAAGCTGGAGTCGCGTGTCTGGCAGGAAGATCACTAGACATATGACCGATCTAGTATTGACAGGGCAGAGAATCTTGTCTTGTCAAAGTTAGAGAAACAGAGGAAGCCTGAAAAGCATCCATAATTACACATCTGCTTGCATCTCAAGAAAACGAGAGTGTGGAGAAGCAAAACACTTTGCGATTTACGAAAACATGACTTCTTTGTGCTATGTCGACTTTGAAAGATGAATTCTTAGAAGTGTTATCATGGACTTGCCATTGCCAGTATTCTAGTAATCTTTCTTTCGCATATCCTCTTTTCGCATTTCGAGAATTCAGGCATCTCGGTATCCCCCACGGAGAGCCTGCTAGCCAGTATGTCTTGCTTTTTTTTCTCCTCTGCAGCGTTACATACCTCGTGTTGTACTGTCCTTTCCTCCTGCAACACATGAGGGGCATTCAGGTAGTGCAGATACATCTTAGGAACCTCAAATTTCGTCTCATGTTCAATCCTTGAAAATCGCAGCTCTTAAATGCATCAACCTTGGTCAAGTTGACGTCTGCATTCTTACTGATACCTTGGTTATCACTGCAGTAGTCTTGACGATTCTTCTCCTCGCGTGATGCTTGTCCTTGTGTATAGAGCGGTGATGGCACTCTGCGGCACGACCCCAGGATCAGCGTCAAAGATCCGACCTTCAGACATGTATATCCTGGGCTTGCGGTGGTGCAATCTCGCCGTGTTTTTTGCGTCGAGCCAGGATTCGCAATGTGGATTTTGCTTGGCGGTGAAGCCAGATGTATGATTCTCTTGTTCTAATTCCCGCACTACGGAGAACATAAGAGGCGTCACGAAGTAGGGATTTGACGGTATTGTGATTGAGACGGTAAGTTATGTCGTTCATATCGTTACTGGTGAATCTTGTCTGGTTGATGTGTCCGGGTGTAGGTACGCTGATATCTTGACTCGGTGGTCTCTGGATGTCCGTGATAACGGCACCGGCAGAGACAGATAGAAATAGTGAAATCGCTGCAAAGGTCAACATGGCGGTATCCAAAAGCAGAAACTCGGATGTGAAAGAATGTGTTCTGAGTTCGGATATGTAGGTGGAAAACTGAAGATGGCTCCAAGTCTAGGATCTGGATGGCAGGAAGATGGGCCAGCTGGTCCTTGTCAGGCTCGGAAGTTTGGGCCAAGCTTCGCATCCTGAATCCTTCGTGACGTGGTTGTACGATATCCGTGGAGCTTCATGAGCATTTTACAGACCAAGACGGGTCTTGTTCCTGTGCAGCCTCCCTTCCCCGAAATTCCCTGCTGGTCAAAGCCCAACGATAGTCTCACATAATCACACACTTCTTCCCCTGTGCCTCATGATGCATCAAATCTTCTCTAACACCCCTCCCGATCGTCGGTAATATCTCCCCTCCGATCCTCTCTTCCAACTGCTTCTTCTTAGCAAACCAAGCTTTCCTCCCTGTCCCCACGCTCTTACTCCTCCGTAGATCTGGCTTCATGATTTCCGTATCTAGAGTGTTTTCTCGCGAAGTGTGAATGGGTCTAGTCAGTGGCCGTGAAGGCATTATGCCAGCGGATTTGGAGCGAGAGGTCAGAGATGGGCGGTCGTCGATAGGGGATGGTGGGCGAGGTGGGAACCAAGCTGTTACTTGGTAGCCTACTGCGCCTGTTGAGGTAGCTGGACGAGGGGGGTTCGAGCTGGAGCCGGAGATCGTGCTGATAGCGCTGACAGCTCCCGCGGATGTACGCTCGGCTGCGATAGTGCTGGGCATGAGGTTGTTGGCTGCTGCGTAGTTGACCGCTTGCATAGCGTTGACGTGAGGAGGTCTGTGATGAATGTACTCTGGCCCTTCCTCTCGTACTTGCGGATCCGAAGCGGTGGTACGTGGTCGCTCTTCCGTACTCCGATTTTGAGGAAGTAACATTGAATGGCGATAATCTTGTAGACCCAGCCCTTGCATCATTTGAGGTGGTCGCATATGTTCAGGACTCGTGGGCACTGTCCTAGTACCTTGGGATATCTCCGGAGAGAAGAAACTCAAGGTCCCGCCACTCTCCCAGCTTGGTTGGGTTCGCAAAGTCGACGGTCTATGCGGTGTGGTCTGCACACTCGTATTGATGGTCTCCCAAGAAGGTTGCGTGCGAAGCGTCATGTACGTTCCTGATTGTGCTGTTGCTGGACTAGGAATGTAGTTGCTTCGGGGAGCCATGTTTGTGGTAGGGTTCACCGGACTAACAGATTGACCATATGAGTTCATGTGATGAGATAATGCATGTGCAGGCGACAATGCTGAAGTCGGTGGAGGGAAGCGATGCTCCTGGAATGTCGGAGGCGCTGTAGCAATTGCCGATACGGGACTTCTCTCAAACTGCCCACGCGTGGGGATGTCCAGTCCTGCCAAAGCGCGATACTTGCCAGGCAGTGGTTGATTCGGGTGCTCAGTATAAGCCGGCAAAGGCAAGTCGCCTGGCTGATCTGCCTCCGTTTCTCGCTCCTCTAGTGTCTGGAATCGATGCGCATTGGTGGCTGTAGTCGCACGCTCCATTGAAAGATATGAACGAGGGGCTCCTTGAGTATACGGCTGCTCTATCGATTCTGCAGCTGATTCGCTTGCTTCGAGTAGATCAGGTAGTGAGCGAGCAGCATCAGCAGAGAGAGAGATGATAGAAGAGTTCACCCTGCGGCTGCTCCTCCAGGGCGTAGTTTGCACTGTCAACTGTTGTATGAGTCCGGCTGAGCCGCTGTTGCGATTGGAAGACTCGTCCTGGCGTCGTGACACAGTAGTCGCAGCTCTGCCGAGGGACGATGTTTTCTTGCCGAGTGTATTGCTTCGAGTCGAAGTCACTGTGCGTCTCCTTACCAAAGCAATCTCATCTGCGACATCCATCTTCTCTTCTTCAAGCAATACTGGTGGAGCTTTTCCGACATGAAAAACAAAGGTCTGGCCAGGCTGACCGGCAAACTGCGGATCAAAGTCGAACAAGATAATTCGACCACCCTCCACGTCTTGCACACTCGCTTCTGCTTGGTCTGCATCAATCAAAGATCCTGGACTAGTTACGACCAATCGACCCCGGATTTGATGAGGTGAATGTGCAGAGGCTGGCATATTAAGGCGCGAGTGTACCCAGCGGAGATCTGTGAAGGGGCATCCATATTCTTCGTCCAGTTCATGATCGATGCTGTGTGCTTCAATCTTTGAAACGCCATCTACAGTGTCAGTCGGGACGAGGTACAAGCGGACTGTACGATCATTGACAATCATGGCCACAATCTTGCCGTGCTCGTCGATGGACGGACAATGATGTATGGCGGCACCAAGTCCTCCACACGTCGATAGTGGAGGTGAAATGGCGACTGGAAAGTCGACTTGATCATAAACCATATCTTGAGTATGAAGCACGCCAAACGTGTCTTCAAGGCCATTCCAGGCAAAAAGTTTGTCGTTGGTCATGGCGCCGTCCTCGCGCATGAAAGTGGCGTGACTGCTGTTCTTGATGTTCTGCGGTTCTAGCATACCTGTACACCAAGCTTCCTGAAGCTCCTCATGCGAAGGATCGCCGGAAGAAGTGGTAGAAAACACGGGTACAGATACGACGAGTGTGGAAGAAGTGAAGATACGGGTCGTTGTTCCAAGCAGTGTCGAGTCATCGTGAGAGAAGACCAGTTTGTCCATCTTCGGGGCTCTCACAGCACGACGATCAGTGATGAGAGCACTGGGAGCCAGAGAAAAGACTTCGACTCCTCCCTCATAAGCTGTGGCTAGCAGACCGCCTGTGGATGACAAGGCGATGGTAGATGTCGGGAGATCAGTCCGTACGGTCCTGACGCGACGAGCATTATTACGCGACAGATGGTATACATTGATGGTGTGCTCGTCGACGAGTACGGCAAGCACATGAGCGTCGTCACAGATGTCGACAGCCAGGGGTCGTCGTCGTAGGGCGTATTCATGCGACACGTTTACCGGCAGTGCTGCGGTCTGAAAGACGAATAGCCTAGCTGAGTTGTACGCAGCGATCCTCTTTCCGGCTGGGGACAGCGAAAAGGCCAGAGATTCACCCTGAGGAGAGGCGGCTGATGCTGTGGCGGTGTTGGAGACAATCTTGACAATGTTGATCCTTGGCCTGTTGGGCTCGTCCTCGTGGATGGACTGCCAGCTATACCTCACTCTCTCCTTCTTGCTCGTGACAAAGGTCGTCGGTGTTTGAATCTGCGCTGCGCCGAAGGAGCCATGTCGCGATGGGGGAGTTGTCGGAGGGTCATTCTTGAAAGTCGCCTGCGATACATGCGAGTCTGCCGGATCGTCGTCGGATGATGGTCCAGTGTCGTTCATGTCGGCGCTCCTGACACTGGCCTGGTCGCCTCGACGGCTGATGCTGTCGTCGGGTCGTATACTTTGGGCATCGTAATTGTATCCATGGTTGTAAGCCATGTTCTTGACATGTCGGTCGTGCACAAATGTCTCAGCTTATCATGATATGCTCGAGACTTGTTCTCCTTGTCGAGCTTCAGTCAGTGCTTGTCCAGTCGCGGCGCGTGCACGAGCGATTCGATAGCCTTCACAAGAGATCAACAAAAGACACGCTAAACCGTACGATCAACGAAACAGCTGCGAAAGACGAGTCGTTCAGTCCATCAGTAAACAAGATGCAAGTTGCAGCTATGTGCAAGCGTTAAAAGGAGAAACATGACCGAAGTCGAAACAGAAACGGGCACATGTCATGGACTGCCCGATCTCCGCTCCCGCCAGCCGCTCCGCCCCGTCTTGCCGACGCGAGTCATGCATCTTCGTCGTCATCATCTTGAGCAAGAGCATTCACTCCGCATGACCTCTGAAACACCCATCTCACTGAAATCTTCCATGCTGCTTCTAGAAGACGTGTCACCGATTCGCTCTCATCGTTCGTGTCGAGATAGGGCGCATGCAGTGGAAAATCGAGAGACGCCACCGATCAGGCTATAGGATATCTGTATCAATGATCGCGAGTCGAGCGGCTGCTACTCCTAAGACGAAGCTCGGCAGATGCATGACATCGCATCGCATCGCTTCGCCTCGCCTCGCCTCGCATCAATAGCCCATGGGCTTCTCAGCCGTAGCGACTCCAAAGCGTTGACTCAAAACAACCCATTCAGCCACTACTATGGCATACCTCATCGCCATGGGGTCTCCCTTGTCTCCGAAAGCTCGGTCCGTAAGCTCTCTGCAACGCTCCCAATCAATGAATCCCAGCCTCTCGATGTTCTCTTCGTTGATGAGCTTGTCAAGAAGTATGTTCAATGGTCCACCCTTTGGCCAAGTCGTTGGTGCAGAGTAAGGATGCTTCTTGCGCTCGTACAATTCCTTTGTGATGAAAGGTTTGGAGGCTTCTCGAAGTACCCATTTCTCCGTGAACGTCTTTGCTTCTGGATCCCATCGCAGCTTGGCCGATGGTGGTAGGTGATTGACGTAATCTGTTAGTGGATGATCAAGGAAGGGTGTACGTGCCTCAATACTGTGCGCCATTTCTGTGCGATCACCAAGACATGTCAGGAAGATGTTGGCCAGATGCCCCTTTGACCAGACGTATTGTGCTGAATGCAGAGGATGCCACGAGTCGGTGATCAATTTACGAACACGTCCATCGGCGTTGTTGGCGATGGTGACTTGAGGGTCGCATTTACCGTAGCAATGAGTCCAGGAAGCGAAAATGTCGAGCTGAAAGGCAGCCATGCTACTGACGGTTGTGATGTCGTTGAGCATGCGGCGTGCGACCGAGGGGCCACGATTTGACGAGTCAGCACCAATCGAAGCGTAATAGTCACTGACAGCCTTTTCGGCAAGCTCGAGTTGGTGTTGCCTCTCACTCTCAGGAAGCGTGTTGAACTTCTCCCAACTTGGATCAGACTCACGAAGATAGTCGGGTAGGTACAAAGGATAGCCAGCAAAGTGCTCGTCAGCTCCCTCACCAGTCAGGACGACCTTGAAGCCGACTTCCTGAGGCACCTCGGAGAGGGCATACTTGCCAACAAAGTTGAAGTCGGGGTTGTGGTGTTCGCAATGCCAGGTAGCATCCTCGAAGCGCTTGGCAAGCTCTTGCTCGTTCATATGCTTCTTGATGTAACGGACTCCAAGCCACTCAGCGGTGCGGTTCGCGATAGACGACTCGTCAAAGCCAGACTCCTCGTCAAACGCGATACTGAAACACGAGACGCGGTCTTTGGCGTCTGCACTGCCCATAGCTATTCCCTGCTCTTTGACCAGGTGTGTGACCATGCCGGCGATGACGGACGAGTCTATGCCGCCACTGAGGTAGATGCCGACAGGAACATCGGCACGGAGTCGGATTCTGATTGCGTCGAGCATACGTTGGCGGACCCCTTCAATCATCTCTTCGGGAGTCCGAATGTCGACTGTGAGCTTGTTGGGATAGCTGATGTCCCAGTAAGGGCGTTGTTCGATGTGGTCAAAGGACTGGCAGGTGAGATAGTGGCCAGGGCGGACCTGGTAGTCTGTCAGACGACTCCCTCGGCCTGCTCTCCAGTCATCATACCTTGGTGATGCCCTTGAATAGGGTCCGCTCGTCGTGGTTCCAGCCAGCGTCGAGTAGACTCTTGACATCCCACTCGGGCTTCCAGCCAAGAGGCAGGAAGGCTTTGATCTCGGCGGCAATCAACAGTCTGCCACCCTGGATGGTCCAGAACAGAGGCTTGATACCATAACGGTCTCGGGCTGCGATCAAGAGCTGCTGCGACTCGTCGAATATGACACAAGCAAACTCTCCTCGAAGATGGTGAAGGAAGTTGAGGCCGTAGTGCTTGTACAGGGCAATGGCGAGCTCGGAATCTGAGCGACCGTGGAACTTGTAGTTGGTCTTGGCTTCGACGTCTTTACGGATATTATCGTAGTCGTAGAACTCGCCGTTGACGACTGCATGGACCGTGTGCTCCCTGTCATGAAAGGGTTGAATGCCATCGGGGGATAGGTCATTGATGGCTAGACGAACGTGACCGAACGCTGTAGGAAGAGTGTTAGTAGAAGTCGGACACAAGTAGAGAATGGGTAAATGAGATCAGAGGACCGACGCGCTTGTCATTGCTGATCCACTGGCCGCGGGAGTCTGGTCCACGGTGTTTGATCTGATCAAGAGAAGCATCCAGCTCGACGGCGAGCTTTGTGTGTTCTGCATCGCCGTTTGTCTGAAGGCCAGGAACGGCTTTCTTGACATTGGCAACATCAGGAAGCTTATGATGTGAATGCTGGAGAGCAACAATGCAGGATATGCCACACATGATGAGTCAAAGGATGTATTAGGTGCAGATACAAATGAAAGACCAGGGTGCAGCTACGATGCAGGAGCTAGAATGTAGCTGAATAGCTGGACAGGGGGTAGGGGATTGAAAGAAACAGGAACAGGAAAGATATGATGGGAATTGGTGCTTGAGCTGAAGATCGAATCAAGGTAATGCAAGCACACGGCGGTGACGTTTGGGACGGAGCAAACCTACCGTTATCGCGATTGCCTAAGTTTGGAAATCCGCAGAGCCATGTTTCAGCAGCGGCATGCTATCGCGACATTCTCATCCAGTCGTGCGGTCGTGGATGTCGAGAAGGTTGTGCTATCAAAGCGCGCAAGGGGCGTGGCACCGGTGACCATGGAGTGGCACATACTCAGCGCTTTGATCATGCAAGAAACAAGCAGGCATCATCTGCCTTGCACAGCTGCCAAAGCAGCAACAAGCAACATGGAGGGGTCTGGAAGCTTCCGCCTGGTGGTGCTTGTTGATTGGTGAGCGGCGCTTGGTCGATGCCGTCGGGATTCCGTCATGCCGAGGGGAACAGTTGAGCCTCATAAAGGCGGCGATGACCTGTGCAACTGAAGCTTTTGCTGCTTGTTTGACGACTGCCATCTTCTAGACACCCATCCAAATCACATATACACATCACAATGGCGTTCCTAATGCGCCGACCATTCGCGGTGACATGTGCGCTCAAGCAGACACCCATCACAGCAAGCGCCTTCCGCGCCTTCCATCAAGGACCCGTTCAAAAGGCACCTGCCAACTTCAGCAACAAGTTCGCCTCATCACGAGCAACTTTCCGCAGCGCCTTCCAGTCCACCTTCCGTCGCAACTACCAGCAACCTGCCGCCTTCCCCAACCCGACTGCACAAGGAAACCTCACTCAGCGCCTTCTCTATGGAGGTGCCATCTTTGGCGGAACTCTACTCGCCATCAAGTAAGTAGCCAACGCGTCACCATGCTGCCAGAATCAATGCTGATGTCCATAATAGCCTTGTCTTCAACCGTGAAACTAGAGAAGATGGCGGCATGCCTCCATTCGAACGCTCCTACCTCAACGACACTTTCCTCCACACCGGCCTTGGTATTGGCATCATCGGTATTGCTGCTCGCGCCCTTCACGCAAACGGATGGAGTTACCGTCTCATGGCTGCCAACCCTTGGTTGATTCTCGGTATCGGTCTCGTCGGCTCCATCGGTACCATGATGGGCACCCGCATGTGCCCTCCTGAGAAGTGAGTCGTTCTGCCATGCACCAGTCTAGCCGCTGTATACTGACTCCCCCTCCCAGCTACGTCGCCAAGTACGCCCTCTGGACCGCCTTCAACCTGACCCAAGCCGCCCTTCTGTCTCCCCTCATGTTCTACAACCCCGCCATCCTCGCTCGCGCCGGTCTCTACACTGTCGGTCTGATGGGCAGCATTGCCTTTGTTGGTGCCACTGCCAAGCAAGAGAAGTACCTCTACATCGGTGGTCCTCTTCTCGCTGGAGTTGCTGTCGTCGCCCTCTCTGGCCTCGCCCCTCTGGTCCTTCCCGTCACCGCCACCCGCACTCTCATGTTCACAGAGAATCTCTGGCTCTACGGTGGTCTCGTAGTCTTTGGTGGCTTCACCCTCTACGACGTTCAGAAGGTCCTGCACCACGCTCGTCTCAGTGAGCGCGGTCTGATCAAGCGCGACCCCGTCAACGAGGCCATTAGCCTTGAGCTCGACTTCATCAACATCTTTATCCGCATGGTCCAGATACTGGCCATGCAGCAGAACAGAAGAAAGTAAACTGCTCTCTCTTCCCTCACTTACTCATTGATTATAGCTGCGCATTCTGCACTTTGTTCTTTATCTGTATTCTTCTCGGATGTGATTATCCGTTTTGTACTTTAGCCTCCCTCCTCTGATTGTTTTTGATCAATCACAAGAAATGATACACATGTCACACATCAAGTACGTATGCTATCCGTATTCATCGTTCTTGATCCTTCCTCCATGCGGAAAGTGTGGCGGGGCGCATTGTCTTCCACTAGTCCTGGTCAGAACTAACAAGCTGGACGTCGAGTTCGCATCATTAAAGTGCGACGAATACTGGTATCGATGGCCCATCAGAGAAATCCAATTTGTCCTCAACAAGCTTTCTGGGATGATGTTGCTCGCATGGGCACCACCGCTAGTAATGGCTTCGAGAGCTTGTGTGATGGGTTATCGTGTGATGCTGGGGCTCTGGAAACGCGGCTGTACATACCGGAGGCTTGGGACCGCTACCTGAGGATAATCTCGTAAATCTCGATTATGAAAATTGGCCAGCACCTGGAGCACCTGACGAAGACAATCTGGACAGGACGGCCATGCCGAGACCAGAGTCACTTTCTGCTCCAATCTATTTATCGAACATCAGTTCCTGCTGGTGCCTTCTGTGATGCTATGGAGTTTTGATAACTCAGTACACACCTGGTCTTTCTCCTAGTTATCCCGCGCTTGGTAGATCGCTTCTGATCCGCACATGTCGTTTGCATTCATGTGATACCTTGTCGGTCTGACGATCAATGTGTGATGACCAAAAAGAAGCATGCCGAATGTCTTGTGTCAGCTAGAACCGAAGTGTGAGTCCCGCTTGCCTCCTTCCATCGCCGTCGATGTTGGGAGACAATGCAAATGGTATGACCCGGACCACTTGGCTTGACTGGCCAAAAGTCGTGACGTCGTTGCCAACCATTGGTAGACAGTTTTGGTGCCGACATCGAGCTCCCTTCTTTAGCTCATTTCTCTCTATGCTTCCCGATATCTCTGCGTCTTGTTTCGACCTTGCTAATCTGTGCCGCAGATACGCTTCCACCGAATCGCACATGATATCAAGCTCTTTGTCGGACGGCAGATAAGATCGGACAGTGCTCCCGGATCAGTTTGGAACCCAATCGTTAGAAGCCTCACCATAGGTGAAAACCGGGATCACGGCTCGTTGTACCCTACTGATCCGAAGTGATCGTTCCAAAAGGTGGATGGCGGAGTGGTCGCCAAGGGCTTTTACACATGAGGCATCCCCACCGCCAAGGTTGTACCCCTCGTTGATGGCATTGGCGTACGTAGCGGCATCGCGCTCGAGCTGTCTAAGCCACGTTATGTCCACCAGAAGTCCTTTGTGATGCGGGGAGCACGGGGATTGTACGGAGTACATGTGGAGACCATGGCTCGAGAAACTTGACACTTGCAAGTTTTTCCATCTTGGCTTCAAATAGCAGCTGATCATGGGAATTCGATGTCAGAGACCGCGGCAGATAGCACGGCAGCCGATCTATGCTGCTGGGTGATTAGTATGTATAAATTAAGTCCCTTGCGGTGTCGAATTGCGTCAAGATCTCTGGCGAACCGACATTGATCAGGATGTTCACTCCAAGCGCCGCATGGAGCAATCTGCTCGTGTCAGCTATCGCCCTTGCTCCTCTCGCATCGGCGGTGCCCTGCTCATCATGCTCTCCCACGCCCTCCACCTCTCCTAATTCAACCATTCTGCCTTACCTGAATTCTCAGCTCTGTATCCAAGACCGCCTCGATGACTTGCTCTCCCGCATGACGCTTGAAGAGAAGGCCGGCCAGCTGTTCATCAAGCAGATCCCCGCTGGCATCAATGGAACAATAGACAGCACAACTCTCGTCCTGGACCAAGGAAGGAATCTTACCACTGCCCCTTTGATCAACGAGAAACTGCTCTCACACTTTAACGTCAACAATGCCCTTCCAGCAAAGCAGATGGCAGAATGGTACAACAGGATCCAGCGACTTGCCTTGGAAACACGACTACAAATCCCAGTCACCATTGCTAGTGATCCCCGACATGCATTTGCAGATACTGTTGGCTCTTCGATTGCAAGCGGCCAATTCTCAAAGTTCCCCGAGAGTCTGGGAATCGCCGCTCTGCGCTCTCCAGAACTCGCCGAGCAGTACGCCACTATTATCAGAGAAGAATATCTCGCCGTAGGCATTCGCTCGGCGCTTCAACCTCAGATTGATGTGGTGACCGAGCCAAGGATGGCCAGATCCGGACAGACTTTTGGCGAAGACGCTAATTTGACTGCCTCCATGGTTGTTGCGCTCATCAAGGGTTTCCAGGGTACTGAGTTGGGACATACCTCTGTCACTACCGTGACGAAGCATTTCCCTGGCGCTGGACCCGCGAGAAACGGCAATGACTCTCACTTTGCGACTGGAAAAGACAACACTTACTTCGGAGACTTCTTGAACTACCATCTGATTCCTTTCAGAGCAGCTATCGCAGCAGGTGGACGTCAGATTATGCCTTCTTATGCGAGACCTATTGGCACCAAATATCCAGAAGTAGCTTTTGGTTTCAACAAGCCTGTCATTACTGGATTGCTGAGGGAAGAGTTGGGCTTCGAAGGCATTGTGGTCAGCGACTGGGGCTTGATTACTGATCAAGCAATCATCGGAGTTATCGAACCTGCTCGCGCATGGGGAGTCGAGAACACGACCGAGCTGGAAAGAGCAAAGATGGTCCTCGATGCCGGTGTTGATCAATTCGGCGGTGAGATTCGCACCGAACTCATCGTACAGCTCGTCATTGAAGGTCACGTCCCCGAGTCACGTCTCGACGTCTCTGTCAGAAAACTTCTCGAGGAGAAGTTTCTGCTCGGACTTTTCGACAATAGATTTGTGGATGCAGAAGCTGCGGAAAGAGTGGTAGGAAACCCATACTTTGCACGTATCGGCAATGAAACACAAAGAAGAGCCTACACACTCCTCACCAACAAACAAGATATCCTCCCCTTACGACCTACCGATGGCAATAAGTTCTACGCTCAAGGCTTCAACAGCTCATACCTATCAGCACGTAACCTCACTGTCGTCGACAGCCCCGAGAAAGCAGACTTTTGTTTTCTCCGCACAGCCACACCTTGGGAAGCCCGCGGCTCTCCCTTCCGCCAACGCTACCATGAAGGCCGTCTTGACTTCAACGCCACAGAACGCGCCGCCCACAGCGCTCTTTTCAACTCTTGCCCCACCATCGTGGACATCCTTCTCGATCGCCCTGCTGTGATTCCTGAGATTGCTGAAGAGGCTGCGGCGCTATTCGGGCACTATGGAGCTAGTGTGGATGCGTTTTTGGATGTCGTGTTCAACAAGGATGGATGGAAGCCAGAGGGAAGACTGCCATTTGAGATGCCGAGGAGCATGGAGGCCGTGGAGGAGCAGGTTGCTGATGTGCCGTTTGATACTGTGGATCCTTTGTTCAGGTTCGGACACGGATTAAACTATACTAGACCTGCTTTGTGTAGTTGATTGGAGCTGAGATAGGGTGACAAAAGTGTAATTAGGAAACAGATCTGGAGTGGAATGATGACCACTCATACTAATGTCGCGCACGGGAGGCTTGGACTTGCAGCAGTGGAGACTTGTCTCGATTTCGAACGCTTCTAGCATTTACTTCTGTCGCTGTCTTCGTGCTCAGAGCGAAATCTCTCAACAGTCAAATAACCTCATAGCGGATTCCCCAATCACTCTGCATGCGTGATCTTTCTACGAGTGACTCATCACAAGAATCATTATCATCATCTCTTGTCGCCAACCCTAGCTTTCCTTTACTGTGAGCGTATTAGCTAGTATGCAAGCTGAGGCTCAACGATCAAAATCATACTCCTGACTGATCTGGACTGATTCTCAGTCCTGTACTATTCAGTAATCACGCGATCCGTGATCAGAGCTACCGCCGGTACTGTGATACCAGCCTTTTTCTGAAGTTTGGCTCAATCGTGGACGATCAAACTGACCCGTGAGACTCTTTTTAGCCTGATCACAGTGACTGTCTATGGCGAAAAAGCGCTATGGCGACGAAGCGCAATGGTGACGAAGTGCAATGTCAACCAGTCTGTGCAATTGTGCTGAAGGCTTGACAAAGCACGTTGCATCCCTACAGCAGCCGGATTCCTTTACAAGGAACATGACTGACTGAGTTCTCTCGCGACGGACGAGACCTTGAGGAAGATTGAATGCTTTAGTGTCAAACATTGAGACAAGAGAGAGGGTGAGCAAGCTCACGTCGACACAGAAGAACAGGTCAAAGCAAGTACGGTTCGTCCCAGTGGTGTGGTTCCAATAAAGTTACGGACAGGCCGACGGATTCACGGCCGTAGGAGCGGCCCGCAGATGTCACCAACCCCGCACGCGCGCCGGACTCCAGCTGAACACCACTCATTGTATTGCTAAGCATAACGTTCATGTATGGCCAACGGTAAGAAAGCCTTCAGCTGAAAACGACGTCCTGTCGACTCCAGAGAACACCCAGGCCGACAACCTGTAATATCGCTCCTCTCGCTTGCCGAAAGCAGTCTTCCCAAAATGATTACCCTTGTCGTTTCATCCCGACCATTTTCTGTATCGGGTCGAGATTCGATTCGAAGTGAATACTCTTAACGACACGGGTGCTTTGGAGCCTCAGCCCCACAAAGTATCAGAAGATCCAGGGTTATGTACTGTTCTGACCACTTTCGTGACGTGGTCCTCCGACTGGATCTTGTGACTTCTGCTCAACCTGTGGTCTATAAACTCCTCGCTGGTCGGTCAGTCATTCCCACTTCTTGGTAGTTTGCAGCATCACTTCAGCTCAATATTACCGACTCATCCACTACATTGACCATCAGGATGGACGACGCACATCTCATCACCTTGATGCAAAACGAAGACATGACGAACGGCTTCTGGAACAACCTCATCAGTCAACAGTTTCCTTTTCCAGATTATCTCGTTGTTCCTGAGTACCAATTCCCAGGGGGTAGGGCAGACCTCGCAGTCATCAAACTCGACAATGGTCGTTTGGTCCTTGTGCTCGAAGGCAAGCGCGCAGGAGGTAGCTTCGTCACTATATCTCGAGCCGCTCAACAAGCTGCGAATGCTGCGGGTAAAATTGGGTCTACACCTGGTATCATCGCCGCGCTCGGCCCAAAGTTTTGTCTTTACAGAGCCGATACCTCTCCCGTGACAACCTTTGCAGGTGCAGATGGAAGTGGCATCTCGACTATCACGAATGTCAACATACAGAAGATTACGACCAAGCTTCAGCAGTGTAGAGCGTGTAAGTCCGCGGCTGACGCCTTGATCAAAGTCAAGGTTACACACGCTGATAGACTTTAGGGAACGGATCGGGTGGGTGGTAGCGGGTTCAAGCTCTTCCTATGCCAGATTCACACATCACAATGCTCTTGTTCTCATTTCGAGTGCCTGAGATAGATGAATTTATCCCCATAGTTGTCGACATGATCATCATTGGCAATCAAGACTTTCTGCAACACCTGCGAGTTTTGCATCTTCATGCTCATCTCTGCCTTGAGCATCTCTCCCGCATTCAATTTAGCTCCAATTACAAACTATTTGTGCCGTGAATCCGCTTGATCTCAGCATTTAATCCCGATGAGCCTTCCAAAGAACAAACTTGAGCGAACGCAGGTTGCTAGCTGCTCGACAGAAACCCGCTGCACCGACAAGCGTAGCTTTCATCTCATCCTATAGGCGGAATTTGACAGTAGTGAGTAACAAAATATCAGCACGAAGAAGCTAAGATCCTCCAACAGCTGTTCAATATGCCATGCGTCAGTCGGTACAAGCAAGAGTCAGGGCTGTGAAACGGTCAATGGTCGGATCCAAAGAGCGTGGAATGCTGGACGCGACCCGCAGTCGGGTTACCAGCTCGTTTCACGGTTTGACAGCGTCCACTCGAGGCTCAGCTCAGAAAGCATCAGATGGCTAATCTGTACTGCAGGATCAAGACGCTGGATATGTTTGGTGATATCCCCACAGATGATCCATGGATGGAAGATCATCGTATAGACTTTCCATGGGCCGTGCCTCAGCCCGAAGCGCGGTCGGAACACGGATGCCCATGAGCCAATTTATCAAGGAGTATCAGTTCAACTTTGCTTTGCGCTACCGGTGGCAGGCATGATCTTGGGTGTACAACATAAGTGTCTTGTCATTGCTAAATACTGTTGGAGTCGAGGGTGCAATAACGGCTGAGACGTTGCGTAGTTCTTCGCGGACACTCGTATTTGACGTTCCTCGCTCTATCTAACCCGATTGGGCAAGCGAGAAATATGCATGTATCAAAACCTTCTTACCGAATTGCACCTCATACTCAAGACGTGAGCTCTCCAGACGCGATGCTTGTCCGGTGACATCAGGTCGTGAGGGTAAAGCTAGTCCGCGGAGACCAGTCTGACGTGGTAGCTGAGGAACCGTTGTCTGCCATATTCAGTGCGCAGGTGAGAACTACTCACAAGTCCAGATACCCTAGGAATCGCTTTTGCTGGAAATGAGGCTGCTTCTCTATTTGTATCCTCGCAAATATCGCTTGTAACGGTTCTAGTGTATTCTCTACATCCCGTGCAGGAGGAGTTCTTGTTAGGTGCGCCATGCTTCGCGACGTCACAGCGCTTCTATATACGCTGCCTTTCCGCATGGGGGTTCGGGACTCTAGCTAACAACTTTCGAGTGACCCTCTTGCTTTGCGCATGTTGTTCCCTATCAAATCAGGTCGTTGACTCTTTGAACCAGCTTTACCATGCCGGACTCTCTGCACTTTCTGATCAAGAACGATACTGATTCGTTGTGTTACGCGTACTTGACGGGATTCGCTATACAATACAACCTCAGGCGCTGTTTCCTCAAGAGCGATGGAAGATCTCTATTCTTTCCCACATCTTCCGGGATGGACTCTCCTCGCACAACTCTTGATGGAGACTGTGCCATATCCATCGCCGCTTGTGAGAGTTTCTCTTTGCAGGTTCCTCAGCTCAGTGGCGGCCGTCTATGGATATCCAAGAATGATCGACTTGCCTTCTTCCTCGACCCAGGTCCACAACTTGTCGAGCCGAGTGTCACAAATTTGACGGATGCGAACAACCAGATCGATTTCAGCTTCGTCGAGTTTACTCTCAACGAGCAGGGGCTGTATGCAAACATCAGTTACGTCGACTTTGTCGGCTGTTTATCAGTCGGTCTCGAGCTTCTTGAGATGTCAGGCAACATACAAAAGGTCAAGGGTCTCGCTCCAGGTGGCATCGATGAGGTCGCTAATGGCCTCCGAGAGCAATCTCGTGTTGATGGTTTCGATTGGACAAAGCTTGTGGTAACTCGAGATTCTGGGGGTGGGGTGTCACGCATCCTCAATGCTACAAATGCTAAAGCTGTCGGAGCGGATTTTGGCGGGTACTTTGAGCCCTATGTTGATCAAGTCTGGAAGAAGTACGATTACACGACAGGCTGTGGACTGGAAATCGACACTCAACTCCCACAAGGCGTCTTGACTGGCAGTGTCAATTCTGCAGGATTGCTCGATTTCGGACCGGGACTCACTTTCACCCGACCTTGCACTGCCGATATCTTTGGATGCAACAGCGGACCTTTCATCACGGGAGACAACCAAGTACGGAACGCGCTCATTCCACGTTTGGCCGCAGGCTTCGTCCGCAGCACTCTGTTGTGTGCAGCTTGTCAGCCTTGTGAACTGTCAGACTTCTACATGGACTCACAAACCCATCACTACAGTAGGCTCATACACAAAGCGAGTGTTGATGGGAAAGGTTATGGATTCGCATATGATGATGTAGATCCCAAGAATGGAACTGATCAGAGCGGAAAAGTCAACTCGGGTACCCCAGTGGGGCTTACGATCGTAGTGGTAGGCTGAGGAATTGCATCAATCGAGAGTTGGGTAGCCACGGTTTCTTATGTGTGATCCTCCCAATAGTGAAATCTCCTCCACTATGTGCACTTAGCCTGCGTTATGCAAACATGATTTCGTACACTGAGTGAGAATATGCAGAGTCATAAGAGTCCGATAATTTCCAAATGACGCCTCACCGTACAAATTGGGATCACTCTAAGACACACCATGCGACTGATGTCGCGGTTGGAGCGTTTGAAGTAAGTCCGGCCCGCGTGGAGGACCTTGACGCTAAAAGCGAATATGCAACGGCTACTCCCTGGTGCATAGGCTATTGAAAGCCCAAATATGCACCGAAAATTGTTGACACTACTGAAGACAGATATTCCCGACGTTTTGGAAAGCATAGTTTGATTAGGATCTACCTAAAACTCCCAAAATTTATTGTAACACCTGACCGGTACGTTCAGATTGATCTCGGTCTCCTTAATTCGATTCACTCAACATCCGGACAGTACGTCCGATAACATCGCATACTCCTTATTTGACAATGACGAAAGTGCCATCAGCATTGTGGTTGACGGCGACATCGGCTTTGTGGGTGGTGAAGTCAATGGCCAATGGCTTCTTGGACAACTTGGCTACGTTGAGAAGCTCCCCGACGGCAAAAGTGCCTCCATAGGTGATATAGTAAGTATTGACGGGCTCGATCTGGTACGAGTTACCAGGTTCGGGCTTAAAAGTGGCCGTGGGAGAGCTCTTTGAGCCATCGGGAGAGCTGGCAAGTCCGATGAAGAAGTTGTCTATGGTTGTAAGTCTTTGGGTGCTGAGAAAGTCAACTAGCGAGTACTCACTGTCATTGGCGTCGGCTAGAGTGAAGTCATTCCCGGTGACCACCTCATAGGCATTGTTATAAGAAGTCGCTTCGGGGTCAACCTTGTCGAAGCTGGGTGTGACTTTATCGATCACAACCAAGTTGAGAGTGGTACCGTTGATGGGGCTATCATCGTTTGCCTTTGCGCCAAGAGTGACGGGTCTGGTCTGACTGATGCTGACTTTGGCACCCTCCTTCTCACCTCCTCTCCAGGTACCGGAGATGGCATAGTACTGCTTCCACATCTCAAATTCGGCAGAAGCTCCATCGGGTGTAGAGTGAGCAATCTGGTAGATGTTGGTCCAGATGTTGGATTGCACAACTCCAGTGATGTTCGGCTTCTCGGTGAAGAGATTGTAGTTCTGAGGACTTCCAGTCTTGTTGTAAATGGTGATGCTGTACTTGTTAGGCATATCGGCGAATCGTTTGGAGTAAGAAGAATTATTCGTGAAATGGGATCTTGGTTTGAGGTTGGAGATGCAAATCAAGAAGGGAAGAGAGCTTTATATATGCCTTTGAGTCGTTTCTCAAGCGTGACTCTCAGGCGTTGCGTGAATTAATGCCTTGCTTACAGAATTGTCGGTGATGCTCTGACCATTTTCCTCATTCTGTGCATGATCCGAACGGTCCCAATCCCATCGCCGAAGTGTTTTTACACAACACCATAGTATGTACCCCCTGAATTTGACTGTTATACCAATATGGAAACGGCTTATTGGTTATGACTGGCAGTTATGAACATATGGGAGCTGAGGCAGAAGCCGTTGTCTCGAAGGATCTTATGGTACCTGAGCGGCCATGTTGCATGAGAGCGCGCAAGATTCCAGTCAATTGAACCGACGGTGCGACCAAAAGACAACAACCTCGAATACAGCACGTTGCAGCTGATCAATATTCAATGTTGAACAACAGTATTGCCAATTATGGACTAAAAGTCAGATTCACAGTCAGGGTCAGGAACATGTCCTTCATCTACTCCTGGACGAGACATGGATTTCAGTTGCCACGTGTCCAAAACGATAATTGAGGAATCATAAGAGTACAAAATCATCCTGGTCGGTTGCGTTAGTCAAGGTATGGCCACTCAGTTCATTAGAGCTATGCAGAGAAGCATCACCATCACAAACGCCTCTGGCAGCACACAATCATACGCACTTTATGCAGCACCTCCCAACATCACACCAACAGTCTCTGATATCAATACCAACGCTATTCTGGTCCTGCGTGGGGTAGCCTGTACTTCTGGACAAGCATACTTCACCATTCCGAAGACACCGCTGTACGCAGTATGCGGAACAAGCTATGGTGGAGAGTCTACTGTGGAGACCCAAGTCGAGGTTCTCGATACCCGCCCCATACAGATAGGGCAAAAAAAAGACGACGGTGTCTTGGTCGCCGGTACGACTTTGGAACTACTCATACGCAAGGGTACACCGACTTTCGCGCCGAAAGCAGACGTGCCGTCTTCAGGTGACGAAGGGTGTTTTTGCATTCGGACAAGCAATGAATTCACACACAGTGAGGCTCGTGCGGGTACTTCCTCGTCTCCTTTGTGATATCTTGAAATACATATACTGATCCCAAGGCGTAAACAGGTGACTTTGTCGTCGGCATATCGCTTTACAAGAAGCTCTCTCGCTATGTCGGACCCTTTGCAACATTTCGTCCGGCTCCAGGCATGGAATACCAAATCGAACCGCTGAATCGCTTCTATCTAGCGGTAGGCGATTATGCTGCCAGATCCCGCATGACAAAAGGGGTTGAAACTCGGAGCTGTCTGGTAGACTTCTGCAAGTTGGAACTAGACAACGTGCAGATATTTCACACCCCACACGGACAGTTGACAGTCAAATCCGACTTCAACGAGGACTGAGTGTTGACTACCGGATTCAGGCATGGGTAAAGCAGAGTCGAGGACATCTTAGAGGTTGAACATGCTCAGAGTTACCCCATCATTGGTCTTCTACGTTGGGCTGCGTGATATCTGGCGCTATTCACACTACAGCTATCATGAACTCATGCCTGCAACTACTCATCAGCTTGTGGTCATGATTAAGATAGATATATAATGCACTTTCAAGATTCAACTCAAATAATCCTCGACATCATGGGACATATACCTGGTTGGACATTGTCGCATGAAGCCATACACACCACTCAGCGTACATCCATTTCTGAAATTCATGCCGTGGACTGGAAACTGTAGCTTCGGCCGAGTGAACTACTTATCAACCCTTTCCGCCTCCAGACAATACCTGTACCCCATTTGACCTGCTCAATGACTTGACTTCAGGAAGATTGGTTACGGAAATTGAGACGTGCGGCAAGGGACTTTACAAGGTCATAATAATAAACAAGCCGCATAAGTTGGATGTCAATGTCAGCTTACCTGCTTCCTCCTACTATTGGCGAGGATCTTGGTGTAATGTTCAATGACAAATGGGAGGGTGGTCGTCAAATGGTCAGTGCGGCTATGACTCATCAACCACTCCATAATTTCACATCCACGAAACCCCAAGCTTGACAGAACCATATCTTGCCTTGCCGAGAGTTCTCACGATTATGTTTTCCGAAGAGGCACTTGTCGTTGTCGATGTACAAGACGGCATCGCGAATCTAGTTGATGGAGTACCCGACGCCGAACAGATCAATAACGCCATTGGCTCTGTCCTACATCGTGCCCGCCAGCATAATGATCAAGCAGATCAGACTGGTTTGGCCAAGCCAATCAAGATCTTGTTCATTCAGCACGACGACAAGGACCCCAGTGATCCTCTTTGGCGAGGAAAGACGACTTGGGAACTTGTCTTTCCACCACGAAAAGGCATCACTACCGAGATGTTAGTATCCAAGAATGTTGGTGAGTGTTTATACTGCTATTCTTCGCTCTGTGTACTGACAACATGTGCTGGCAATATGTTCACTTCGAACCCGGATCTCACACACTCACTGCTAGCGGAGGGAATTACGAGCTTGGTGTTTGTTGGCTTGCAAACCGACTTTTGCGTGCGAGCTTCAATTCTGGGTGCAATCGCTTCTGGCTTCCAAGCACAGAACATCACACTACTACAAGGAGCCCATTCCACCTACGATCAGGAATCGACAGGCAAGTCGTACATGCAGGTGAAGGACGATATTGAAGGACAACTTGCAGCTCTTGGTGTATGCTTGCGAGGATGGCAGGAGTTCGGTAAATGAGGTCATTCATGACTTCCGTTCTTCGCTCGAGAGATGAGATCCAGCAGTCGACGATATCTCGCAGTTTAGATCTCGCGTAGTTCACGCCAATCTACCCTAAGCTGTATCACAGACTGCTCATGAGGCGTGAATAGATAAAATGCAATTGCGCATGATATCAGACTGGAGACTCTGCTTCCCTGCTTCCAACATGTCCTATCTTTAGAACAGCGCCAGCGCATTTGGCGGGCTACCGATTCCACCAGGCACATTCAACGGCGCGCTTGTCAGCAAGAAGCTATATCGTCCAAGTTCTTTGCACTTCTCCGATAACAATTTGAGGTCCCAGAGCTCTCCGATAGACATGCCGAACAATGCGAGGAAGTACTGATGTAGGATCAACCCAGAGACTGGGAGTTCCTCACCTTTGGGACCAATGGAGGGGATGTGCTCAAAGGCTATCATGTCGCCTGCTACTGCCGCGGCTATGGGACGAGTTAGCGAATGCTGCGGTCGATGATTGGCGTGAGGATAGTTGAACGGATGGCTTACAGTGCTGATTCCAGAACCATCTCGCTGTCGCCTCATTCCCAGTAACACCGCAGACTCGATGCGAGCCCAGAAGCTCCGCCTGCTTCTCCGCCGTTTGACCCGTCAACGCTTCTGTGAATCCCGAGCGGATTATGATGACATCTCCTTGACGGAACTCAACGCCCTGCTTCTTCGCGATTGCCTCGATGTCCTCAACACTGATTTTATCGTCATTGAAAGGATTGAAGCTACGCCCCGTCTCGTCGGCGTAGCGCTTGAAGTCTATGAGCACGCCTCGTGCCACCAGTCCACCGCGACTATGCCAATGATTCAACGTTGGCAACTTCTGCTCATGATCCTCTTGCCCGAAGTTCTGCGTGAGCGCTTCCACATTCGTCTTCACTCCGTTATACCCGCTTTCGCTCTCTTGGTGGTGGAAGTGACACAGACTGTCCCATTGGCTAGAGCACTGCGTGTTGAACTCAACTTCATCGTCGTACCCATGCGCTGCAAGCGGGGTGTCGATGAAGGAAGTGACCTTGTGCACCAGGCCTTTGCGGCCGAAACCGGGGGTGGCGATAGCGCCTATGGGCCAATTGAGGGAGACAGAGACGCCGGATTGGAGCTCAGTGTAGGCTGCTTTGACGACTTCGGGGGTGAGAAGGTTGAGTGTGCCGAAGATGTCTTTCTTGCCGTCTTTGTCAAAGACACCCCAGGCACAGCCTTGAGGCATGTCTTTGACTTTGGGAAGGTTGTCGAAGTCAGGTAGATCCGACATTGCTGCTGGATCTTCTGTTGTTCTTAACGGGTGTCGCAGTTGATACGAATAGGTTTTGGAGCGACGAGGTAACGCTGTGGCAGGAAGAAGATAAGATCGAGACGTCATAACGAGGGAGCTCTCCTCAAGAAATAGTCAAACATCCATTGGCGGGGTAGCGGGGCACGCAGCCTCCAAAGTTTAAGGTTGTCCGAGGTTAGAATCCAGGACCCTCTTCTCCATCTGTCTTTCTCTAAGGGACGTCTTGTATAGATACTTTGATGACTGTCATAAGCCTCGCCGCGTAATCTGATTCTGTTCTATCAAGATAATCAGTGCTGACACAAACAGCTGCCAGTCAGCTTGGGTATGCTCGTTGGGCGGTCGGCTAGTGTCAGCTCGTCACAAACGGCGTTGAAGTTTATCTCACTGCCACCGTATGGCATATCGATCCTTCCAGTCCCGAGTACGTGTAGCGTTCGATCACTTGTGCTGAAACCAGAACGTGGTCCAGGACAACAGAAGATCGTGAAATTCGTCTTGCACACCTTGCAGTCTTATCCGTTGATGATCATGGGTCACGACATTTTGCCTCCGTTCATTCATCCCGCATCGATGGCCCTTAGCGATGATAGTGATATGGAGCCCTTAGCGAACTGTCTCAGCCTAATGCATATGCTGGGCGGTGGCTTCCGGGGAAGTCGCAAATTGCTTTGGCGGAACGTCCGAAGCGAAAGTGAGCGCATGCGGGAACAGGTGAGTACACATCCGCGGAATGCGCTGTCGGAAGATCTGTTGACGACGAGACTTAGCAAGCGGGCGTGAATGAATGGCAACTGCTTGCTGCCATGCAAGCTCTTTCACTTTACATCCTCATGAGACTGCAGGAAGGAGAGACGGAGCACAATAACTGCGACAGTCTGATGCTCGCGACATTCATGGTGAGTCTCGCAACTAGATATTGTCGTCACACATGCTCTAACACTGTTTGTTTAGATGATAGCTGGGGGATTCGCTCGCACTGGTTCAAAATGTGACGTTGAGAGAGTCATGTCCGAACATTGTCTCAAGACAAGCTGGCGAGTCTGGGTCTTGTTAGAATCGAGAAGAAGGTATGAGCAACACCACAGAATCATGATAATGTGCGCGTTAGACTAACCTTCCCAGACTAGCTGCCATTTGTCGAGTTGTGGACATGCTTGTCTAGTTCGAGCCGAGTGGCATGTGTCAGTTGCAAAACGATCTCATTACCGCTCCGTTACCGTCCAAGAAATATATATGGGAAGCGGACAACAAACACAACTGGCATGACGGGATCAAAGGGAAAGCTGAGCTTCAAGAGAACTTTGCGCTAACGGCTGGTGGTGCGATTGTCCAGTTGAAGGAAGAACAGTCCTACTGCAACGGAAAGTTGCAGTACGGAACTATCGGTGATACAGCCGCAGCTCCTGTCACAACAAGCTGGGAGACTTGATGCTCAGGAATGGATGGTTTTGGCAGCCTCATCATGCTTGCCGCTTCGTTGCTCCCGTGAATGCAGCAGTCACGACTCAGAACGAGGGCAATGGGGCGCGAAATGAGTATACAGATTGATGTTATGGCGTCTGTATTCGGTCGACCTTCGCTTGCGAGTTTTTTGAAGAAGATGGAAAGCTCACCAACGAGAGTGCGTTGAAGAAAGATCTTGACTCATCTGACGCTTGGCGTCGCTCCTCTGTGCCAAGGAAAGCTTCACAGGGCCGGCACACCAACAGACAACTTGTTCGCGGACAAGAATCTCTCTCGATTCCAGCTTACGGAGCTTAATAACGCCCGTTCTCTCGCACTTCTCTATCAAGGAAAGACCTGTAGTGTCTCGCAAGTGGCGCAAGATCGCATCATCGACTCGCAGGTGTCGAGCTCAGCTACGGCGTCTTGGATTCGATACCTCGGCTCCAGCTTTCCCCACATTGTTTACGATGTTGAATCATCAAAATCATATCAGACGCCTTACTCACACCTCCCGACACACCAAAAGCTGGTTAACACGGCATTGACTAGCAGTTATGGCTACGGATCCTAACGGAAAGCGGGTGAGCTTCTCGCAAGGCATAAAGGCGTGTGTGACCCTCTCGTATTCACGACCACATTCGAAACGACATCTGGTGTTCCATACTATCCTTTCCACCGTTTCACAGCATGTCGCTCGAACTCTCGGATCCAGAGAAGCCAGTGATCGCCTCTATAACAGAAGACTCACACACACCACTCACTTGGGACGACCCTCGCGAGATCAGGAACCCCACACACTGGGGTATAGGCAAGAAGGTCTTTCACACCCTAGTACCATGCTGCGCGGCCTTTGAAGCGTGAGTAATAAAAGAGGTCCTAACCAGCACCGATTCTGACGGGCGACAGTACTTTTGCGACATCCATCATGGTCCCTGCCACACCACTATTGATGGAGGCTTTTGCGGTCCCGCGGACGCACGCTCTTCTCTCGTTGACTCTCTACACGATGGGGATTGCATTTGGTCCTCTGTTCATTGCGCCACTATCCGAAGTCTTCGGTCGCAAATACGTCTATGTTGTCTCATTAACCATGCTGCTCGCCTTCACAGGCGGTGCCGGGGCCGCTCAAGACTTTGGCACCCTGTTAGCATGCCGTCTACTTGCCGGCACGCTCGGCTCCTCTACAGTCGCCATTGGTGCAGGAACCATCGCTGATGTGTGGGCACTGGGAAAAAGTGGTGGCACTGCCTCGCTTTTCTTTATTCTTGGACCTTTTCTTGGGCCTACACTTGGTCCCCTGGCCGGCGCGTACGTCCTTCACGATCGACACGATGATTGGCGATGGACAATGTGGCTTTTGATGATAGTCGGCGCACCTATCTGGCTTGGAGCTATCATAATGAACGAGACGTCACATGCCAAACTGACGCAGAGGTACGGCTACGTTGAAGCTCAATTGACTGAGAAAGGACTCTTCGCGGCTGCGGTAGAGAAGGTCTTGATTGGCGTCAAACGTCCGACGAGAATGCTTTGCACCGAACCCATCGTCATTTCTCTTGCCATCTATACCGCCTTCGCGTACGCAACAGTCTTCAGCTACTTCGGAAGCGCTTCCTACGTGCTACAGCGATATTATCATTTCAACGAGCGCCAGGTTGGTCTGAGTTTCATCAGTGTGATCATTGGCTACCTCCTTGCTGCTTTTATGTTTGGGACCTTTGATAAGACTCTTTATGCAAAGGCAGTCGCTGCTGGTAATGGGACTGCGGCTCCAGAGCACCGACTGTATGCCGGTATGGTGGGGAGCATCTTTCTACCGATCAGTCTTTTCTGGTCAGTACCTGCATAGGAGCTTTACAAGCTATGCTGACGCAAACAGGTATGCCTGGGAAGTCAAGCAAAACGGCAATTGGGCAGCGCTCGTAGCTGCAGGCATCCCGTTCGGTCTGGGATCCTTCTCCATCTTTGTAAGCAATGTTTTCACCCGTCGTGAGTTCCTTACTGATCGGAAAATAGCTGTCTTCCATCACCTACATGGTCGATGTCTACAAAGCTAGAGCAGCAGCTTCAGGTACGTGGCTCCTCACATGTCATGAAAAACACGCACACATGCTGAAGTTTCGTTAGCGATCGCTGCAAACGGCGTTTTGAGATACCTTCTAGGTGCCATCTTTCCCTTGTTCACCATCCAAATGTACCAGTCTCTCGGGCCGCACTGGGCAAGCAGTATCTTTGCATTTGTTGCTTTGCTACTGATGCCAATACCATGGCTCTTGTTCAAGTTCGGGCACAAGCTGCGGTGAACTGGTAGATGTGCCAGTTGAAGTTCGGCAGAGGTTCAACAAGTAGAACTTTTACTATCTCAGTCTCGTAACAAACATGACTTCTTCGGAATCTGACCGCTTGAATTGTTCCAATTTCTTCCCTTACATTGCCGCTTCTGCAGTGATCTTCAGCAAGCGATAGGCGCCTACACAAATATCGTGTCCTTGCAATGACCATGAATCTGGGTGTGCTTCAAAGCCGTGACTACGTGTAGGTCGACATCGTGCGTCAGTCGTCGCTACTGCATCGAACCGCTCGACGTGTGATCGTGTGTTCAGAATAGACCTTAACACTTGGGCCAATTTTGGCAAGTGGCTAACTCTTCCGTTCGGAGGCTCTCCAGCAGGATTGTTAGCATCACTCGGATAAATGAGATCTGCAACGCTCACATCGTGGCTATTAAACTATGCCATCCGAAGTGCAAATCCTTTTCTTCGCCCGCAGTCAAAGGATCAAACTTACACAGCAACCCCTTGGCAAACTCCAAGTTCTTGTCCTATAACGTGCTGAGGTTTCGAAATGATACGTTCCACGAGTCAAAGGTGATGTCTCTAGATGCTGAATCATTGAATGAAAAGTTGTTTGAAACACTAACAAATACCTACATGTTCGGCGTGCAGGCAACATTATCCAAATAAAACGTATTCAACGGCTTTCCACCAGGCGAAGCAGCACTGAAATATACAGTCGAAACATTTCCAGTGCCCGTCAAAACAAAGCTCCCGCTCCCCCAAGCCCCAATACCGCTCTGCGTATCTCCCTTTGAAGTCGGGTACCGATGATTCAGCAAGGTCCAATCTTGCCAAACCTCCCAGTAATTCACAAACCCACCAGAAGTTACATAATAATCCCAGGTAAAGTCATAAGTGCAGGTATATGTAACGTCTGCGTTGCAGCCGGTGAGGTCAATGTCTTGTTGGACGTACCAGCGTTGGTTGTCGTGGAGCCATTGGCTTTCGATGCGGTGGGCTTTGGGGCGGACGAGGAAGCCGCCAGCGCGTGACCACGAGCTTGTGTACCAGGGTGAGCGGTAGTCGTTTTGGGGTCCGGGGGTTTCAAGGTCGCCGTTCTTGATTGGGTTGGCCACGGTGCAGGTTGGGCCGGAGGTCGTGCTAGATGGGGTGCTTGAGGGTAATGCGCTGCTGGATGTCGTTATAGTTGAGAGAGTGGTTGCAAGGGAGGACGACGAAGAGGTTGTCGAAGAGGTTGTCGAAGATGTCGCCGAAGAGGTGGTCGAAGACGAGGAAGAGGAAGAGGATGAGGAAGAAACCATTGAAGATGAAGACGACACCGAGGACGATGAAGAAACCATCGACGATGAAGACGACACCGAGCTAGAGGATGAGGAAGAGATTGCCGAAGACGAAGAAGTGGATGATGAAGAAGGCGATGCGACTGGACCACCGACGACCGGCACAGTCAGAGAGTAAAGAGAACTATCCGTGATCGTGTATTCATCTGTTCCACGCCATTGACCAATGTTTGTTCTGCGAAAACGTTAGTATGGACTAATCCCCTCTCTCTGGCAACCATACTTACGCATAAGCAGAGCTCCAAGTAGTGTTGTAGTTTGAGCAATAAAGTCCCTGAGGAACTCCATTGATGTTCAACACATAAGCATTGAAGAAAAGACAAGCCATGAATGAGCCATCAGCAGCCGGATGCGCTTTGTCATAGGCAGTTTGAGCGAGACATGCTGCTGCACAAGTCGATGGAGTATAACCCTGGGATTGAGAAAACGGATAGTAGGTATAGCCCATATACGTATTATGACCATTGCTGTCAAGAGGTGCATTCATGGCACCTTTGAGCGGATCTGAAGCGGTAAACTGGGTCAAAGGGTCTGTTGGGGCAACTGGTGCTGGGGCTGCAACTTTGCTGTAGGCGTTGGAGCCTGCGATGAGGACCTGGAATTTCGCTCGCCATTGACCTTTGTTGGTTGCTTGTTTGGCAGTGACCGGCGTGCCCCACAGGGTGCATCTGAAGTTTGAGGTGCTGGGTGGTGTTGGACAATTATTGGTGTTAGGATCAAGTGTAGGGTCTCGTTCCACGTAGACTGCATTAATCAGTAAGTCTGGTCTAGTGGTAGAGATTGTCAAACTTGCCATTGAATGACACGCAGCCGGAGGCCTTCTTGCAGTAACCAGCACACGCGTTGGTGTCGTAGCTTCTGAGTGTGTAAAGGCCCATATAGTTGCTGGCACTCAAAGAACCAGTCAGGTTGGAGAATATTAATGAGTAGCCATCCGGCAGCGGTGCAGTCAATGAATCACCCTAGAATTAAAAGTCAGCTCATGCTTGACTGTAAGTTTGGAATGCTGTTGCATACCCAAACACCACTGTCTGCCAGAAAATTCTGTGGTGTATCTGGTATGGGCACATAACCGGATCCTGAGGGTTGTGCAGCGCATGTGCCATCACGTTTGTACGGAACACTGCGCTTCTCAACAGGAGCAGGTGTACTTTCTAGAGACGAGGCTCCATTGTCGAGAGCGATGGTGACACTGGCAGCCGCGGCAGATGCCTGTTGAGCAACAGGAGCAACGCTGACAGTCTGAGAAGCCACGGCGACGGCTGGAGTCACAACGACTGGGTCCGGAGCAGCGTCGATGCCATCAAAATCGATATCCTGAGCTAGTGAGGAGGGAATGGCGAAAAGACTGGCAAGCCCAGCAAAAGCGACGACTCCACGCATGATGGATAGAATGGTGAGGATAGGGAGTGGAAAAGGAGGGAAGTGCTAGCTTATTACTACCAAACTTATATCTTGTCTGGACCTGCTCTTCAGGAGCCATGTCTATGCTGGGCGTTTTCAGCGCCAGAGCAGAAGATTATCCCGTTGTTGGTGTATCGGAGAGAGCGAGAAGGCGCACTGCTCCTGTGTCGCAAAAAGCCTTGACCAAAATTTCAGGGCTTTTCAAAGTGTGAATACGAAGGCTGAACAACTGTTTGAGGAAACCGTTCGTTTTTTTTGAAGAACTCTGGGGGAGAGTTTCGGATCAGGGCAGGGCTAGCTGTGGCTTGACTTCAGCTCCATCGGCGACGCCGGTTGTAGCAGTCATCCGTACAACCATTTTCTCGATCGAGCGATGTGTCCTCGCCAAACATCAAAATCGCTACATATATATTCTTGTTTCTCGTCTTGTAGATATATCGCCAGCGCATTCATCGCCATACCGAGTAGCCATAGCGCATCCCGAGCCTCGCCGACGGCGTCCGAACACCACTGCGTAGAAGGTAGCGCTACGACAGGACGCTTCACTGGATCGCGCGCTTGATCAGCAATGGTTTGCTGCTTGGTTCGACGACTGATACGGATGTTGACCTCCTCAAGACACTATCTCTATAAAAAAAAAAACCCCCCTCGTCGCGCTTCCATAGGCTCGGCAGCCAGGCTCAATGTAAAAGAGCTACAAAAAAGAGGCTTCGTACAAACCACTGGCCAGAGCTCGAAGCATACATATACAAGTGGAATATATAGCACTTCCGAACGAATCGACTCGTTTCGTTCTGATGGGTAGGAAATGTTTATAGCCTAAATTTCCCAAGATTTCATCCGGTCAGCATGGAAGCCCCCGCACCGGGCAGGTCATGCGTCCAGTCATTCTAATAGAACATCTTCGAGTTATCCGCATAAACATGACCTCTCGGTAAAGGCGTTATGGAGGAAGGGTGAAAAATGAAAGTGGTGACGCACGGCAGTCGCATCTGTTCAGCATGTAGGTCTAGTGGATTCTGAGCACCACGGATTTGTCTCGATTGACATAACCATGATCTTTCTCCTAGCAGTACTATCGCCTGGTGCTCATCATCTGACTTGTGTTTCCGCGCTGGCGCTGTGTCATGTCTCGTTGAGTGTCTGGGGAACAATGTCGGTCCTCTCTTCGCTTGCCCAAAGACTAAAGTCCAAGATCTCCTCGTCGAGAAGATGCGGTGTATCTAGCCAAGTTCCCATCAACACATCATCGATATCATCGCCGACAGCTCTTAAATTTAGTGATGATTCCGCACGCAGCTGATCAGCGAATCCGTCCGTGTTGGCCATATCGAAAGACAGCTCGCCAACTTGAGCTACTTGATTCTGGTATTTGCTATTCGCTGCTATCGACCCTTCTCCCTGCTGCGAAGGAGGAGCCGAGCTGATATACGGCTCTTTATGACGGGTCGCAGCGTGTCTCAATGTGTCAAGCATTGAGCAGAAGCCGGCAGGCAGACCAATCGTCTCGTACGCATCCTTGATGGCTTCAATACCCGAACACAGCAGTTGCAGATCCGCCTCAGCGGACCAAGCATCTGGATATTTGAGATTGTAGATCGTGAGCACGTGCACTGCTAGCAAAGGCTGGTTGAGCGTGATCAATGGAGAAGACTGCTTGTGTTCGATAAAATCGAGGTATGTGGTGATGATGTCTCTGGCCGAATTTGCGCAGATTCCTTCGCTTCGTTCTAGACGGCGCGCGTTATGCGGCTTGCTGTCGTGACGCTCGGAAGTGGCGACGCTTGCCGTAAAGTCTCCGATCAAAGCTGTCCGGTGCAACGCGATGAGTGCATGGTGGAAATTGAAACTCAGGACTGTTCTGAAAGCAAGCAGACGCTGAGGACAGTTGACTAGACCTCTTCGTGGTCTCAGCGGTTCAGGTAGATTGTCCGACCACTGCGTCAACTTCTCATCTAGCTCGCCTTGCAAAGCGAGCAACCTCTCATGATCCGGTGACACCGCCCAGGATTGCTGGTCGAAGAATTGTTCACTGATCTTACTCTGGATAACTCCAAGGTCCACGAACGCCTTCCAAGGATCTGAGCAGCTCCTGGTCTTGGTCGCACAGACAATTTCATCAGACATGCGCTCGTATGTACTTGACGGACGGCCTTCTTCCATAGCCATTGTCTTCTCTAACGCATAAGCTATGTACCATATACGTCGGTCCGATTGCTGACGGGGCACCGAAAGCTGGTCGTTGCCGTAGAAGGGTGTCCTGTGCAAGCCCATGGAGTTGAGAATGCTGATGGCTTGTCTCACGAGAAGAAAAGCGGCTCCAATCTTCTCTCTGCCACGGTGATCGATGGCCATCAGTAGAAGAGCTTGAGCAGACTCCAAGTAAGGCTGACTGGTGAGATAGCCTGTAAGAGAACAAGCCGCCTCTATATATGCCTGGGCGACTACTGTATGACCTTTGGTACGTGCGCCCAAAGCTATACAAGCATACAGACAAGCCATTGTTGGTCGTTCGCTAACTGGGTTGTGCTCTAGAGCAGCGAATCTGGCCAAGTACGTTCCGGCTCTGATGATGACTTCTCTGCCAACGATTGGATAGATAGGAGCAACCTCATCCAGATAGGCATTTACGTAGGCCTCCCAATCTGGGCACAAAGCTGGCATACTAAGAAATGGCGGCATGTCCATGTCCTCGGAATGGCGCGAACCTTGGCGAAAGTGCTCAGAGAGATCCTTATCAAGTACGTGAGAATTCAGCTGAAACCATTGCGCGAAAGCCTGGTGACTACTTGGACCCTTGTATTTGCGTTGGGTTATGGTGGACGATGAGTAGATGGTAAAAGCTTGCTGGCTCTCTCCTACTTTAGAGGTCCATGTGTCTGCGGAACTCTGAGTGATCATGATCTGAGGGTGTGGACTCTGCTGAGTAACGTGATCTTCGTCGCAAGAGTAGATGGTATCCGGACTCGAGTTGACAGACGCGGTTTGTGCTGGAGAATCCCGACCCAACGTCGACGCGTCATCGAAGGACACGTTTCTGAGTAGATAATCGTCGCTTGCACCACTTGCACCATCGAACAGTGCAGGCCATGTGCTACTTGTTTGACTTGAATATGATGCGCCAGGAAGCAGTGCCTCGAGAAGGGCCACTTCGGTGTCTTCGAGTGCTCGCGACACGCAAGGAGAGTCGTTCCCAGGATGGGCGCTTGAAGCATTGAGCTGCGTTTCCCCGCATCTCGGACTCCTTGTCTTTTGCGAGAAACCTGCAAAACATCAGCACCCAAACGTGTCAGGCTGACAAACAAGCCTTACTTTCTTCCTCAACACGCTTCCGCTTTTGTTGCTTGGTCCTGCCTTCGCAAGACATTCTGTCATGTGGTTACGTAGTTCGCCTGCGCCTGCGCGAAATGTTTCGAGGACGCCAGAGCGAAATGAACATCCTCTGGGAGATCAACATCACTGCCATGTTGGAAATGTCAGCGGAGCCCACTTCCTTTGTCGAACCCAATCATTGCCGTCGATGATGGGCCCAGAGCACTCGTGATTCCAAACGCGTGTTCGGGGAAGCAGAAAGGAAAGAGGGGGGCTCCAGCTCCGAGGGTCAAAGCGCGCGGGGCTGAGTGCGGCCGAGAAGAGCTTGACAGAAGACCTACAGCCTCCCCCGAACCGACCGAGCCGAACAGTGCTTATGCGCTCTCCTCCACATTCACCCGCAACTCGCAAACACACATTTCAATGGTCATGCGACAACGACGGACATGTCATTGGTCACAAAGTACCAACGTCGATATAAGACTAGATGCCCGAGGTCAGCCATAGAAGCTCCACTCTGCACAGATAATCGCAAACACCTTTATACAACAAGGCCACGACCCCTCATGTCTTGCACTTCAATCTCCTTCAGACTTATTGTCCAAGACTATCACAAATGGCGATCAGGTCAGAAGTAGAACACTGGGACGTGGTCATTGTCGGCGCTGGTATCGCCGGTCTTGCTACGGTATGAACGATTGAATGATTTGATGTTTCAAGTCGGTCGACTAACAGATTACTAGGCAATCGCTCTCCGTCAAGATGGTCGCAGCATCCTCGTTCTCGAAAAATCAAGCATGAACAAAGAAGTCGGCGCATTGATCTCCCTCCAACCCAATGCTTCAAAAATTGTCAATGGCTGGAATATGAAGCCTTTCCTCGAAGAAAAGAAACCAATGGTCGATGAAGCTTTCCGACTGCTCAATGTCGAAGGAAAGCTACAAGTTGAGATGAAGCTCAACACTTCACAATTTGGAGCCGACCGTATGCTGTATCATCGTCAGGATTTACACGACGCCTTGCGACAAGCTGCAACCTCAGACGACATGCCTGGAAAACCTGCCGAGATTCGTACTTCATCTGGTGTCACTGGCTGCGACTGCGAGTCTGGAGTCGTCTATCTAGCAAACGGCTCGTCTGTGCAAGGCAATGTCATTGTGGGAGCGGACGGCATCCGCAGCGCAATCAGAGACGAAGTCATCAAAGGCTCAGACAGTGAGGGATCCAAGGCCATTCCTACAGGTCTATCAGCATACCGCATCCTGGTCGATACAGATAAACTACCAAAGCTCGACGTTTCAGAAGATGTATTCGACCTCAAGCGATCAGCAACAACGATGATTGTCGGCCACGACAAGCGAGTCATCATGGGTCCTGGCAGAGGCGGCGAGATGTTTGGTCTTGTCTGCCTAGTACCCGACCCCAACCCCAGTGGCGACGGCACTTCTTGGAATAATGCTGCTCCTCTGGAAGAAGTGCTTGATGCGTTCAAGGACTTCCCAGCTTGGGTTCGTGAGATCATGTCTCATGCTCCAGATGTCGCGCTCTGGCAACTTCGAGACATCGATCCTCTCACAACGTGGACGAAAGGCCGCGCCATCTTGATTGGTGATGCGGCACACGCTATGCTGCCAACTCAAGGTCAAGGCGCAAGTCAAAGTCTCGAGGACGCTGAAGCCCTGCAAGCTTTCCTTTCGGACGTCAACTCGGACTCGACAGGCGAAGAGGTTCAGGGGCGACTACACTCTGTGCAGAGTGCGCGCTACGAGAGAGCATCCTTGATCCAAGCATACAGTAGATTGCAAGCGAAGCCAGCCGCATCGCAGGACAACAAGACGGTGAAGCTGAACCCACAGGAGTTCATGGAGTACAACTGCAACTACTCGGGAGCGAAGGACTGGGTACAAAGACAGAGAGAGGCGGAAGAATTAGCGTATAAGCAGACAGCAGCTAGGGCTTGACATGGATAATGAGCATTGATTGCGTTGCTTCAAAAAGCATATAGAGTTACCCTGTGATAAACAGTTTACATATACGTACACACCCCACCCTTGAACTTCTCAAAGACACCCAAGTCGAAGTTGTTAGCAAGAACCTGGTACCCAAGCTCGTTCGGGTGCAAGAAGTCTCCGCTGTCGTACTTTGGATTCAAATGTGTCGGAGCAGCTGGATCGGCAAGCCATGCGTTGAAGTCGAAGACTGCGTCGAAGGTGTTGGACGTGCGAATGAAGTTGTTGACACGCTCGACTGTGGCGACTCGCTGGGGTTGAGTGTACGTGCCCGCTGTCGCGTTCGATGCGCCGACTGGATTGAGTCGTTAGTAAGGAGGAAACGGTGAGCAAGAATGAAAGGCGACAAACTTGGTGTGATGGTTGCTGCAAAGACAGGGATGCCGAAGTTGTGCATTCTGGTCACCATCTGCTTGTACGCCTGGATGAGTCGCTGTGATGTGTCAGTCGTGTTCGTCGGGGAACACATGGGCGACTGCACTCACCTGATAGACTGCTTCTTGGCTAGCGGCATCGAGCGCAGCAGTACCGATATCGTTGACGCCCTCAAAGATCATCGCGTACTTGGCTCCACTCTGTGCAATGACATCTCTCTCGACTCTGCCCACAGCGTTGGGTCCATTGCCGTCGGCAAGGACACGATTACCTCCGGCACCTTGATTGCAGACAGCAATGCCCTTGGTAGCTTTGTTGTTTTGCATCCTTGCAACAAGGTTGTCGGTCCATTTGTTGTTGCCGTTGTTCCATGATCCACGCCCATCAGTGATGGAGTCGCCAATGACGAAGAAGGCGTTGGTTGATGGCGGACTCCAGACTTCGAGTCCGGAGATGAAGAACCAGTGCTGTTGCGTGACGACATTGTCCCCTGTGATGTTGTAGTTGTTCACTTGGTTGCCCATGCCATAGTAAGAGTTTGTACGAGAGCCGGGATGCGAGGTAATGACAGAGGTGTTCTGGCCATCTTGCAGGTAAATCGAGATGGCGAGCTCGGATTGAGCCGCGATGGGGAATTCGATGGGATCCGAGACGGCGACGGAGCCATCGGGGATGATGATTGAGCTGTTGCCGCTGAAGGTGACTTGTCGGATCGTCTTGGTGTCAATGATCTGGGAGCCGGTGCCTGAGGGATACGGTGCGCCGAGGATGGTGCCGTTGAGCGTGGTTTGAACGGCATTTGGGTCTTGAAGCGGGAGACTATTGTCACGAGTCAGCGTTCGAAGGACAGGTCGCCAACATGTGGACAGCGGGAGAAGCGTACGCGACTGTGACGGCAGTAATGGGTAAATTGACAGCTCCCAGCTGGTTGCTGATGCGGAGTCTGATCTGCTGTCCACCGATTGACGTGTGGACAGTCTGCCGTAGAGTGGTGTTTGGGAACACGAGATTGGACTGGTTATAGTAGCCAGGTCCAGGGAGATTCGTATACTCGGCCACCTGGGGCATTGAAACCCATGTGTTGACCCAGTGATAGTTCTCTGTGCCATGTTGGGGGCTCGGCTGGGAGAAGCATGAGACAAGTCCAGCGTACGTTGCCAGCAGCGAAAGAGACAATTGACCCATCATGTTGATCGCTTGACTGGTTGGAATATCGCATCCTGCACACCGAGAGACTCATCTCCTTATGTAGTCCTTGTGAATGCAAATAGCCTGATAGAAGTGATCATCATGGCAAGCTCACCGAAGATGATGGGGAGCATTGACACTCCGCAATATTGCCGCCATGAGATGCAGACGCCATGACAGCCCATGCGATAACTTTGCTTGTGCACCGCCCGAGAGCAAAGTCTGAGAACGACATGGACGCTGTTTGGCGCGATAATTACGAGGCACGCATGGCTGGGCTGTGAGGAGACGAGGGATAAATCTGGTTAAACAGTATGAAGAGGCGGGGTCGATCCGGCAAACGGCACCTGCTGGAACCTTGGCTAAACTCGTCAGAGCGTGCCAGTGGCCACCGCCATCACCATTCGGACAAGGCAGTTCCTGGACGAGGGTCGTTGTTGCTCATGGCCTATGTAGCTTCAGCCCGCAGCATAGATGTACATGTGAATTTGAAAGGCAGTTGCTCGGGTGCTCTTTACCTCGTTTGCGAACAGGAGCTTGATGACGTATGAGCCTTGGCAAGTCCAGTCGTACGTAGGATGACCCTGTCTATATACCGACAGTCATATCATCTCGCGGCTACTAAGTCTATTGGATCAAGGATGTTGTGAAAACGTCGGTGGAAGATCATCCATCGCTGTGAGATCAACTTCAATCGCTGAATGACCTCATGGCAAATGATCCCAAGCCATCTGCTCTTGAGTGCATTTCACACTCAACTCTGAACGCGTATCACGTCACTTCTCAAAATTCGAGATTTCAGATGTCATCTTTTGACATTGGCAACAACGTGGGCGACACAACACGATGATACGTATTACTGTCGACGAGAAACACAAGAGGAATGATCCAGCACATTACTTGTTATGAAAGTCCATGTCGTCGACGAGAAAATCAACATCGTCAGGCGCGAGCACTGGTATGGGGTATCACCCTGATCCTGTTTCAGGACCTCACACACGTTTCATGACCCTGCCAAGCAAAGGCAAGAACAAATCACTGCGTTGTACATAAAAATTGTGCACCAGATTCTGGAAAACTGTCTTATTCTTCCATGTATATTCTACGCAGAGTATAGATCAATAGCACTTTGCAAAGCATCATCAATCACAGCAACAGCAGCGTATCCATTCTCCTTGTCGGCAGTAATCTTGGATACCAATGCAGCCGAAAATGTATCATGGTCGTTCTTCAACAGCTTCAAGCCAGCAAGAATCACGAGCTTCTGGTTCGCAAAGACGTCGTACTTTGACTTGAGCAAATCGACAGAGGCGGGAATGTCAACACCAACACTTGAAGCGGTGTACTCGACAATCGCAGTCGAGTCTTCGGCGTTGAAAGGCGTAGCTCGAAGGTTGGCATCAACGTAGCCCTTGCGGTTTGCAATGTGAATGGCGGCAATGTCTGCGCCGATGGGCAGTTCGGCGATCAGACCACCGTTGTAGGCTTGGATGGACGCTGTCAGGGCATTGACACCGTCGTCAATGCCTTTGATGTCGGAGATGAGTGTCGCAGCGCTGATGAGGTCGCGGGCTTGGAGAGGTGCTGCTGCAGCAGTCCAGGCCAGTAGGGAAGAGACAAGGAATTGAAGACGCATTGTGAAGATGGAAGTCGTTCGTTGGAAGTTCTTTCGCTTGGTAAAGTGGAGGGATCGAGATGAGTCGTGCAAAATATGTTAGGCGCACCTGGATATATATTTTGTCAAGATGCAGGAACCGCATCTGAACCGACCGCATCATGATTTGACAGGAAAGCCGAGGCGAATTGTTGCTGGATCCTGTTGAAGGGTGATCCGCAGGGATCGCCGTTGCGTCAACGTCCCTGCGCACGTAGCGAACAGCTCACCTGGCCGGTCGTGTAAACTTTGCGGGTGAGTTTGACTGGGGCTCCAAGACATGAGTTCAAGATGGAGACTCCGCACGTAGCGCTCCCGGTGCGAGCAAGCCGAAAGCCTCGTCCTTGACCGTTGTTTCCCAAGGTTGAAGCAACATGCGACGCGAGGTCGATACTTGTAGTAGATCATCGTGGCATGTGTGGGGTTGCTGATCGCCGCCAACTCAAATTAGTTCGGCCGAGTGCTAAGCATCGCTGTCGCTTCAGCGCTCATCTTTGTCATGGCAGGCTTCTCGAGGAAGCGAATGATGGCGGCGCAAGCATGATAAGTAGCGACTCCACGCCCTGTCGGCCTTGTACACGATCAATTCACAACACACAAGCACAGTCCCAAACACAATCACGACATCAGAATGCGTCTTCTTCCTACCTTCAGCGCTCTGCTGCTTTCCGTCTCGGCTGTCATGTCAGCTACCGTCGACGATGTCTACAACGATGTCACAACTCTCGACCAAGATGTCCAAGACTTGACAACGATGGTCCGCGCCTATCAGGGCGGCCTTCTCGCCCAAGGACCGCTCCTCATTCAATTGACGAAAGTTCACATTGCCACACGCAAGGGTGGCTACGACGCATCCAATCTCCCAACCACCCCACTCTCGGAGAGTGATGCCCTCCGACTCATCGAGCATGTCAACACGACTCTTGCAGTCGACAACCCGATCGCTGTCAACGTCCTCAAGTCGAAGAAGCCGTTGTTTGACGCCAGCGGTACCGACCCATTCATCAAGGCAGGACTCCAAATCTTGCTCGACGACCATCTGTACTTTAGCAACGAGGTACTGGAAAGAGCTCCTCAAGATCTCATCGCAGAGGCAAACCAGGTCGTGGATGTCATCAGCAATGCGCTGCAAGGCGGAATCGCAGCTTTCTCTTAGATAGTAATCTAGAATGTAACCCTGCGCATGACTGACAAGCGCTTGACTCGTTCTGTTTTCCTCATCTTCCCATGTGACGACATGCTCTTGCTTGTTCTCGAAGATCTGATGAGCACGCGCTTCAGCCTGTAAGCGTATGCGCTGGAGTCGTCTAAGAGGTCCCGTGCGGACTCGAGACACTCGTTCTTCGTCGCATCGATGGTGCACTCTTCAGCGAGGGCGCGCCTGAGTACCGGGGTGGAGAGGTGCAACAGTAGCTTGCGTCGATTGGGATTGATGGTGTGGGATCATTGCAACGGAAGGAGTGCGATGTGGGTAGGACGTGTCGGCTTAGGTGACTGTCGGAGAAACGACGAAGATTGCTGTTGGCGCGATGCGGCTGCTGCTTCGGAAGGGAGTGATTTTCTGTCAGCGACTGGAAGAAGGAGCAGCTGCAAGCATGATGAGATGGCCAGATAGCCACGGAAGGTGCGATGAACAAGCCACGAGTCGCAAGAGCAGAGGCAGAACTTGGGCACGGTCGACTTGCTTGGCGTTATGGAGAGCGCCCGAGGCAGAGACCCGTCGGAGGGCTTCACCATCTTCGGGCCTCTTTCGTCCGTCTTCCGCTTGCTTACCTACGGTGCACACTTGCGCAATTACACCTGGATCCAGCAGCTAGGCATCTGCTATTGACTCAACAGTTCGGCCTAACTGCATAACTCTCTGAACGCTCCTGGATTTCACCGCGATGCTCAGCGACAAAGGTCGCCGACGGACCCCGACCGAACATCATCACTGGACGTGACATCTAAGTAGCCCCTTCTCACTATATAAACTACTGGCCATCAAATTACGGAAATGAATCCTCCACCTGCAAAGAAAGCTCGTTTGACGACGGCTTGCAACGAGTGCCGCAGGCGGAAGGTCAAGTGCGACGCCAATTATCCAAAATGCACGAATTGCTGCAGCAGAAACTCTGAATGCTTCACGAGTGATCCCAAAAGGCCAGAAATTCCTGTGGTCAGGGAGTGGGTGGATGTGCCAGATAAACCCACTCAAGTCCTACCATCATCTGTCACATTGCAGAGCCAGATACGGCCTCGATCACCAGAACGCGAGATCGTCGATGAAGAAGCGGCTGTAATAGCGCAGCCACGTCCACCCAACCCAAGGCAAATTTCCGGACTTAATCCTCAACCTTCCCTCCCGCCGCAAAATCACAAATCGCCTTCAGTCAATGGCAATCTGGGGACGCCTGCGGTTCCGGAGACGACAGATGTGTCACCCGTACAACAACCTCATGATATGTCGTTCAACCTGGATTTTGTGAACAACAGATTCAAGATGCTGGGCGCGAGTAGCGCTCAATGTCTGACCAACTCTTTCGACATCTACCTCAAATCATATCACGTGGAGCCTGTATCTGCCGTGTTTCGACATGGCATGCAGCATGCAGAGGAAATGGAGCTGCCTCTCGCCCTCGAGCTCACATCATTCCCAGATTTCAGCACAAGGGAACGCTATCTCGATGCTTACTTTACTCGCCTACATGTCTATTATCCTATCACCGACGTTGATGACACTAAAGCTATCGTTCATCGGATAGCGCCATTACCAGATCTTAAATCCGTATCCTACACCAAAGTCCCGCTCCTCGCGATGGCATATCTGCTTATGAGTTTGGGCGCCGATGAACTGCATGGTACCCCGTCAGACATTGGCACGAAGTACCTCAAGGTAGGCGCGGCTTTGGCCGGACACGCGGTCAACTTTCCATATTTAACCACGGTGCAATGTTTGTTACTACTAGCTGTATGCTACAGAGGCCGAAATAAGGACGGCCTGGCTTGGGGGGCCACAGGTACAGCTGTGAGGATAGCACATTCCATGGGCCTGCATAGACATTCGGCTGTCAAGCCATCAGACCAACACGGCATACAAAGAAGGGATCAACAGCTTTTCCATTCTCGCATATGGGCAATATGCTGCTGCTTGGAGAAGATCGGACAGCTTGAGTGCGGTAGACCCTCCGCGATTGCCATTGTCAACACCGATCAAATGATGGCGGCAGATCAGCGTGCGCCCGGACACGACTTCTTGCAATGGAACATGGCACTGGCGGAAGTTCAGCACGACATATCAACTCATTTGTACGGCCACCAGCCGGGCGAGAGAACCGCGAAACAAATCCTACTTGACACAGCTAGACTGGACAAGAAGCTACTTCTCTGGCCTTCGCTTGTGCCAGCCGAGCTGAGGCCAGGCAACGACATTCTCTGCGGAGACGACCAATTTCATCTAGCTGCATCTCTTTCTCTGCAATACCACCAGGCTGTCATTGCCGTTCATCGTGCTGCCCTGATACAGCCGATAGCAGCTCTACAAAGAGAGATTGATAAAGTGCTACCAGAGAATGACGCTAGATTCAGGCTAAGAGGCGGCGAAGCAATATGTGTCAGTAGTGCTAGGGCCGTGGCCAGAATCATAATAGAGTTGCTCGAAAGAAAGATTGACTCGAGACTCTTGAGCGCTGGTCCTGTGCTGCTAGCATGTGTGGTGCTTGCTACATACATCGTCAAGAATCCCGGTGGCAGAATGCAGCTTTCGGACCTCGAGGCAAGTGGCGGCGTGTATAGCACATATCTGCTTTGCTAATTGAGCTTGTAGTTACTCAGAGCAGTGGCCGAGTGGACGTCCAACCAATTCCGCAAGACCGGTATGGACGAGCAGTTCTCAAATGGTAGGTCCTGCTTGTTCCATCCTGCCTTACGCTTGCTAACTTGTCGCATAGGCGCAACGGTCATCTGTGAAAGAACGCAGGAATGTCTGGCTCGATGGAAGATAGCGCAAAACAACAGATCAGGCACACATTCAGTCGCACAAAGCAACACTCTACGATTCAGCGCCAGCTCCTCGAGCAATGCCACAAGCATGAATGGTCACATAACCGCCAACAACAACCTCTTTCAAGCTTCACCAAACAATCACAACACTTCAAGTAGCAGCGGGCAAAGTCACCATCAAACCTCCGGAGCATCGGGAACAAACTCGTCACCGGCATCAAATATGTTGGGCCGAGAACATTCTACCATGCAGATTGCGAATATTTTGCTGGATAACGCAAGTCATACCACTGCTCTGGGAAGTATCGATGACAACTTAGACTTGGATATCATGCCATTCGAAGGCTACAATCTCGAAGAACTCTGGAATTGGATGGATTCTGGTGGTGACATTGGGGGTCTCGAAGGCATAGACTGGGCGGATGGCACCGGGTTTGACGATCACTGAGGACCGGATAGAGTCTGTTCATGTTCGAACTGTACAATAGATACAACAAGCAAAATGCACAAGTAAAAGAACAAGAATTCCATATTGGTATCATCTGGATATCATTCAAATCTATGTATCTTCTTCTTAAATCTTGACATCAATAAAGGGGGCAAGATGATCCTACTTGGGTACTCGGGACCAGAGTGGATAATATGCTCGCCCCTGTTCAACTCATGCTCAGGTCTAGGGCCCGAGGAACTCGTGAATTCGGCAATAGAAGGATATTGCCCACCAATTCTGATCGAGATACTTTCTCCAGCATCGTTATGAACACCGATTGTCCAGATACCAATCTCAAGCTTCACAATTTCGTTGGGAGAAATCTTTTGCTGACGCGTGTGAGGATGGAAGGGGAATTGCGGGTGGATGCTCTTGGACTCATCAATCTCGCGGTGGAAAGCGCGAATGGTACCTGTTGCGCCGGAGAAGAGGTTGAGAGAAGCCATTTCCTTCTCCGGGATCTCGTCGATTGACTTTACTGGGGTGGCTTCGATGGGGAAGCTGAGACGGTAGAGGGTCTTGCCGTTCTTGTCGAGCTTTCTGAGGAGGATCAAGACGGTGAAGTCATCGCGGGAGGTGTGTCTGCGCAAGCTCATTCGAATCTGCAGGTCGGTAGATATCGACGTAGAGGCGCGCACCATCGCGGACGACAATCTCGACATCGTGCTGCACCAGGATGTCCGAACTTAGAGGCTTTGCGTTTCCAGGTCTTGAGCCAGCCTTGTGAATCTCTTCCTTGCCGGGAGTGAAGCCGAGATAGCCATTTTCGCCACCTTTGGGCTCCGCAATGTGCTTGTATACGACCTGGGCAGGTGGCGGCATCTTGACAGTTGTATGTAATTTCTTGTTGTGAGCGCGGGGAAAGAACAACAGGAAGAGCTTGGATCTCAGGGAAAGAGCTGCTCAAGGTGATGATGCGGATTTCTCTCGATGGGGCGCGCTCTTCATCTTATCCTCTGCTTCAGCATCCGCGACCCATGCCAGTCCCGAGTCCATGATCTGTCCGTATCACGACCCACTTGCAGTAGAGTGTCCGGCCGACTCTTCGACATGGTTTCTGGTAGTCGTGCAAAGGCACAGCGTTCAGCGACAGAAAGGGAAAAGAGGGAGATTTGCTCGGCCGAGTCTGTCTGACCTTCGGCGCTGTCGGAAAACTAGCCCCTGACACCCCCGCTTGTTCGGTCATTTCGGACGCTCACAAGCCAGGCTGGAAACAGCTAGAGTCTTGCCCCACTATCAGCTTGAGACCCTTCGGTGTACGTTGCTTCGGCGCGGCTCGGTGATGAATTGACGTCTGATGAGCTATGCTTACCTTGTGCGTGTCGGCCGAGTCTGAAAGGATAAGTAGGCTTTGCGGCTCCTCATTGACTGTAAAGGGATGTATATTCTGTTCTCCAGTTCGATAGACCAAGAAGCACTCCGGCCTGTCACCACATCCTCTGCCACTTCTTGAATGGGTACTGATACATAGCGTGAGACTAGATGTATCGATGGCCCCGAACACATCGACGGTTGGGGCAACACCTCTTGTAGTAGGACGACTGCGTTATTTCTGGACTCATCAGTAGAGCTGAGCGATCTTCTCACTAACATGGACAGCGAATCAATTGGTTGATGAACTTGCCGGGAGAGATCTTGTTGATACTGATCGACCTTGCCACTAGACTTGCATGCAACACCGATGCATTTACGTCTCCTTCGAGCAAGAACAATGCAGTACGTGGAGTGGAGAAATGCTCCAGGCTATGCTTTGCTCGACCTATTCTTGGAGTTCGACGGGACCAGGAACTTCTTCAGCTTCTCGAACATCTCAATGCCTGATCATGAATGAGTTTCTTCAACCGTCTGGTCTCTTCACGGTCGTGAGAGGAGAGGACTTCATGCTCTATCACCTTCTGGACGATCCACGATGAACACATGTGGAAGCATCGGACAAGGCAGCAAGCCATCGAGCTGCAATTGAGACTGATACCGAGGGCGTGACTCAGTATTAGATGGACATCGCTGGCTTTGTTGCCTGCTGTTCAAGAGGTAGCGAGACCTTTCTCGAAGATGTGTCGATGGGTGAACTCGATGGGTAGAACAGTCAATGCTATCGAGTGGGATCAAGGGACGGCATCCATCGAGAATACCTCAGCGTCGACCAGATATACATATAACCTACTCAATCAATACCCTGTTGCCATAAACTATATGAACGTTGTTTAGTCTGTCTCTCCAGGTGCTCAGAGATCGGCTCGAGGTTCGCTCGAGGGATAAATAAATTGCTATTTGCATCCGATGGAATGGACCCTGTCGTCACTCACACGTTACAGATTCTCGGAGGTATGCCATGTCGCGACGATGATGACAGTCAGCAAGCATGGCACTCTCAATCGAATATTGTCCCTGTTGGAGAGCAAGACGAACGAGCAAGTGTCGAATCAGGTACTTTCCGCGTACATAAAGTGGCAAACAGACAAATTTGTTTGCAATGCACAACATCAAATTGGCCTGGAAAGCAGACTATTGTTGCGGCTGCATGACCCATCGCAGCCTCCTGTCAGGGCATCTGCAAGATAGGAACTGCCAACTACAGGGATGAGTTCTCGCATAACAGGTCTTCACTGCTGAGCATTGACTTGATCTGAATCACATCCGCCATTTTGGTCCTTTCTCGAATGCTCAATTCAACCATGGTACGACGCGCAAAAGTTACCCCTCTGATCGGGAGTGTCCTCCACTTTGCCATGTCCAGATCCTTGGGCTTAGGATCTTGGTCGTAACTACCGATGAGGATGTATCACTATCTCGATACTGAAACCCAATGACTGTGACTTCTTGTAAGCCCCCTCATTTCTCCCCGAGCCCCAGGTTGATGATCGCCGAATCCCCAGAGAGCCCCCCACGTCTGGGCTTTCGGCCTTTGGCCGTTTGTGGAGTAGGCTGATTAGCCCATTCGGCTCGGTCGCATGGACGAATCGGACGAGCTGCAATAACAAACGAGGCGTATACCAGATGACAATTCCGCGTCCTCCGCAGTAAGTGCGCCACGCCTACCGTGCAGATTGTGCAGGGACTCGCAATCAGTCTTTTTCCTCCACACTCTGCCCAGAACCTCGACCGACGAGATGTGGAGGTGACTTGTGTCGTGCAAAGTGTATAAGTCGCACCTTCTGATCGACAGTTGACCTTGTCTTTTTCTCATCATCGCATCTGTCCGATACAGCAACACCTCACTCGCACTCTCGACTCCATCAAATCGACTCATACAGTCGATCGGTCACCAATCGCCAATATGGGCAACAAGAGCGATAATGTCGAGTTTGTCGAAGAGCTTCAACACACCCAGACGCTCGACCAAGTCGAGACCATGGGAACCGTCAAACTGACCGACGGAGCCATCGTTTACATCCCCTCGCCCACTGCGGATCCTCAGGACCCTCTGAACTGCCCTGTATGGCAAAAGTGGTTGATCTTGGTCATCATCTCATGCTGTAAGTCCAACGCCTTGACTTTAGTTGTTTGCACGCCCTGACTCGAACAGTCTCTGCTCTCGGTCTCTCACTCGTCAGTGGTTTCGGCGGTCTACTAGGATTCTACATCCCTGGTTATGTCGCCATTGGCAAGGGTTACGCAGACATCACTCATCTGATGACCTATCCTACTCTCTTTATGTGCGTCACGGCTACGAAGATCCAGTCATGGACGTCACTAACGATGATGCAGGGGAATTGGCAATATTATTGGTATGCCATTCGCCATTGGTGTCGGTCGCCGTGTTATCATTCTGCTCTCAACCCTGGTCCTCGTCGTCGGTGCTGTTCTTTGCGCAGTGTCAACATCTTATGAGATGCACCTTGCCGCCCGCTGCATCGTCGGACTTGCCGCTGGTCAAAGTGAAGCCTTGGTTCCCATGATCACCCAGGTCCGTAATTATGACACTAGTGTCTTGATCAAAGCGCTGACAATCGCAGGAAATGTACTTCCTTCACGAGCGCAGCAAATATCTCATGACTCAACAAGCCATTCAGGTCATCCTCACCACAATTTACGTCGTCTTCGCCAGCCCTATCGCTGGGGCTATCACACCCAAGTGGTGGTACGGTCTCGGTGCTGTCTTATCAGCTGTTCTCTTTGTACTTGCTGCTCTCTTCCTGCCCGAGACCAAGTACGACCGTCCTCTTTCATCCTACCAGGAAGCCACCGAGCACAGCTTCGATGTTGAGGAGACTGTCAACAAGGCATCGCCATCGCTTCAGCTTTGCACCGTCAGACCCGAGCTTGACTTCACTCGCTACGCTCCCCGCACATTCCGCTCTGATCTCAGAATCTGGGTTGGTAAGCCTGACTTTGGTGCTGTCTTGAACGTCTACAAGGTAAATTTCGAATCTTCGGTCTTATGAGTTTCGACACTAACAAATACTTGCAGCAAATGTTCGGTCTTCTCCTCTTCCCCAACGTCTTCTGGGCTCTGTGTCTCAATGGTCTGACCCTCGGTGCCAACATCGCAATCGGCACGACTTATGGAAACATTGTCACCAAGCCTCCATACAACTGGGCCCAGGATAGCGCCAGCTACGTCAATATCGGTCAGATCGTTGTTGCCATCATCGCTCTTCCTGTCCTTGGTCATGGCTCGGACAGAATCGTTAAGTGGAAGGCCCAGCGCAACGGTGGCATTCACGAGCCCGAAAACCGCATCTTGCCCCTTGCCTTCCCCCTTGTTGTCGGAGTCTTCTCTTGCGTGCTCTACGGACTTGCTGCACAAAATCCAACGCACTATCATTGGTTCACTTGTGAGTGTCTCTGAGGGACGATACTGCTCGAAGAAAGTGGTCAGGTTTCATTTTGGGAGCAAAATGGGATTCTCGGATCACTTTTCAGTCGAGCAGTTTTGTACCACTCCCTATCTTACATTCTTTTGCTAACCACTTCTACTACAGACGTCTGGGTCGTTGCTGCCTACTATTTCGCTTTCGTTGGAGCCAACATTGTCGCCATCACCTACTTGCTCGACAGCTATCCCGCTCGCGCAGGGCCTCTCTTGGTCATTGTCTGTGCTATGAGAGGAGTCATGAGCTTCGGTGTCAGTTACGGTATCCAGCCTATGATCGATGCGAAGGGCTATGACGGTGCATTTGGCATCTTCGCTGCTTTGACCGCAGCTTTCGGTCTCATGGGGATCGCTGTCTACGTCTGGGGCAAGAACATCAGAGCCTTTACTGGTAGATGGGCTAAGGACAAGAAGGAGTAGAGAAACTGTACGAAGTGATTGATTGAGATGTGTGGGAACGAAATCTGTATATAGCTTATGATTTGGTGTACGTATTTATGATCAAGATGTTGTCTGTACCACTTCCTGCCCCTTGCTATCCATTGTGCCTTCCTTGGTTCTTGTATATTGTCGAGCATCGTATGCTAATCATGTGCTTACCCGATGTGTATGAGAGATCTGTGCTGCCTGAATTCAAAATGCTGATGCCTTGGCTGACTCGATCCTTTGTGCTGTTGCAAGAGACTGGATCTTCTCGATTTCTTGTGTAGCAAAGATGAAACCACAGTAGTTATTCACCATATTCTCTTACCACAACCGTCTACAACAAGACCTCGTCCTGCCACTATCGTTACATCCTGGCAATCACGTCTTCCTGTACCCTCCAGCTCAAATCCCATCTTCTTGACTTGCAGTGTTGACCCTGCTAAAAGCTCGACCCAGAGCGCCGCCGAAGATATCTTACCTGCTCCCCAACTCCTCTCGCAGCAACAATGTTGTTCATATACCAATTAGATAAGGCTGCACAGCATATCAAAAAAGTCGTTGCGCCTACTCGTACAAGACCCAAGACGCAAGCTACCAGCACACTTTGCCGTTTCCTCAAGGAGATCTGCGACCGAAGTGCGGGGACGCTGCAAGATCTCGCTCGGGAAGTGGTCCCGAATCGTCTGTGCTTTTCGGTCGAGTACGGGGGTGCGCGGCTAAGGTTTTGTGCGATGATCTTCTTCTCCCAAAAATGCACCTCTCTGCCCTCGCACGTCGGCTGACATCACGCCGAGGCGGCGACTCAAGCATGCCGTGCCGTTGACTGTGACACTCTGCAGACAGTATGACCTTGTTGTCGTTGCCCACGCTCTGGGATCAGTCTTTCCTCGATATACGCCACGATGTCGAAGATTAACGCGACCATGACCGAAGCCCACGGAGACGCCCAGCAAGATCTGGAGCTACACCGTGTACAATCTACAATGTCCGAACAGGTCACAAACACGATGGGCACTACACGAAGGAGACTTGTAATGCTTTCGCTCTGTCTCGCTCAATTTCTCGCTGCCATCGACATCACAATTGTCGCGACCGCACTTCCAACTATCGCGAGCAGTTTGCACGCCACTTCTGCACAGTACACCTGGGTCGGATCAGCTTACAATCTTGCAAGCACGGCATCAACACCGCTCTGGGCAAAATTATCTGATGTGATTGGAAGGAAGTCAGCTCTCTTAGCTGCCAACGTCCTGTTTCTTGCAGGTAGTTTACTGGCTGCGCTGGCAAACACAATTCTGGTATTGATTGGAGGTCGCTGTTTGCAGGGTATCGGTGGTGGAGGTCTCATGATCATGAACACAATCATCATCAGTGATCTCTTTCCAATCGAAGAACGTGCAAAGTACTATGGCTTGTCTGCTATCGTATGGGCTATCGCGAGTGCTCTGGGTCCAATGCTTGGAGGTGTCTTTACTTCGACGATTGGTTGGAGATGGTGCTGTAAGTGAATGCTTACCGAACTAAAAGTCCCCACACTGACAATACATCTCTAGTCTGGATCAACATTCCATTGGATGTCATCTCTCTTGTTCTGGCGGTAATCTGCCTCAAGCTCAACATCAAGAGAGCTCCGGCCAAGGAGACCCTCGCCTCTCTTGACTATTTTGGCTGTTTCACGATTGCGGCCGGCGCTATTCTGTTCCTTCTCGGCCTTGAAAGCGGAGCCAGTCATCAACATTCTTGGACTTCGGCATACACACTTGGCATGATCATTGGCGGAATCGCTCTTCTTGCTATCTTTATGATCTGGGAGTGGAGATTTGCAAAGGTGCCTCTGATTCCGATTCAGGTGTTCTCTTCGAGGACAGCCAGAGCTGCACTCACCGTCGCTTGCTGCCACAGTTTCGTCTTCATCGCGTTCGACTTCTACCTTGCTCTGTACTTCCAGGCAGTGCTTGGACGCTCACCTATCATCTCGGGAGTGCTACTTTTTGCTTTGATTCTACCCTTGTCCTTCTGTACTTTCTTCACAGGACAGATTATTCGCAAGACAGGAAAAGTAAAACCGGCTATGTGGTTCGGATCTTTCTTCATGACTCTCGGCACTGGATTGTTCATCAGCTTTGGCTCCAAGATGGAGCTCTGGAAGATTATCCTGTTCCAGATCGTTGCGGGTATCGGTGTTGGGCCTCTTTTCCAAGCCCCAATGATTGCACTCCAAAGTGTGGTCAAGCAAAGGGATGTCGCGGCTGCTAACTCTGCTTTCACCTTCCTTCGCAGTCTGATCACATCTTTGTCGATTGTGATTGGAGGTGTAGTTTTGCAGAGGGGTCTTGGATCTGGCTCGTTAACAGGAAGCGGACATGTATCCGCGGGAGGTGGTGAGGAGTCTCAGAGATATGCCAATGCTCTGAGCAATATGTGGATCTTCTACACAGCGTTCTGTGGAGTCATGCTCATGGCGACGTTCTGGATTGGCAAAGTCGATCTCAACGCAAAGTCAAAGAAGGAGGAGGAGAAGGACGATGCAGTGGTTGAGGAGACTGTTGTGGTAGAGAAGGGTGCCGACACCGGTGGTATAGTCACTGAGCCAGTGGGGAAGAAGACTGAGATCTGAGAAAGTAGTTTAATAGTATGAATAACAATCATGGGATACAGAACATTCAATCTTCCGCACACAACCTTGAGAACTCTACTTAGTGGCTCGCGGATGCACTTCTCCTGAGGAACAGAGTCCAATGCGATGTTGGAACAATCACTGTCAATGTTACATGACAATGTGCGCCTCCACCGATATCAAATCATTGAATCATGAGGGACAAGACCGTCGGCTGTCTTGGCCCATCTATAGCGATTCGAGGCAAAGCTCAGATGTGGAAAGGAAGCTCTGACTAGTGACACTTTCTCCATATTCCAGCTCCAGGTCCGCGCACGAGATCTACGCCCCTGTCCAACGTTTTACCGTGGTAGGTTCTTCCTGCTATCCTCCACACTTCCGCAGAAAAACAGCTCGGTTCGGTCACTTCGGTGGGTATCTCGGTCGCCTCGGCGCAGCTCGGCGGGCTCAGAACTCGACCCCCGCACTCCACATTCCCCTCCGGCAGATCAAACCGTCTGGCCACAGTAGCAGCGCATCCGCAAGCCAATTTTTGCCTCTCCGTCGCTCAAGTCAGGCGCAAGCTCCAGCCGCCCCGAGAAATCACTACAACGATTCGAGGGTATAATAGCCCTTCTCTTTGCGACCAAAGCCTCCACTTTTCCATCTTCCTATCACCAAACGTCAAACAGCACATCACAATGGGTTTCTCCGAAGTCTACACCGAAGTCCCAAAGACAGCCATCCACCTTGTCGGTACCAACGACTGGCAGGCAGATCTGACAAAGAATGGTTACGCTGTTGTCAAGGGGGCTGTTTCCAAGGAGAAGGCCGAGGATTATGCAAACCGAATGCATCAGTACCTTGAAGACTTGTATGTTTTGCTTACATCACACTCATATACTTGAGATGACGAGTTGTGCTAACTGAAGCGACACAGTGGTCTTGGATACGACAGAAATGACCGCAGCACCTGGAACTCAATGTACCTTCCCGAGATCAACAACAAGGGCATGTGCTTGGATTACGCCGTCACCCACGAGGACTTTGTATGGGAGATCAGATCAGAGCCTGGTGTTCTGTCGGTCTTCGAGACATGGCTGAACACTCAAGACCTAATCGTCTCATTCGACGCTGTCAACTTCGGTCTCGCCGGACGCAAGGATCTCCCTCCAAACAAGCCCTGGCCTCACCAAGATCAAGACCCCACAAAGAACGGTTTCAGATGTTTACAAGGCTTGGTTAACCTGCTACCAAACGGTCCCGATGATGGCGGTCTCATTGTCTGCGAAGGTGCACACTTGCTCAGCGAGCGCTTCCACAAGGAGATGAAGTGGGAGACGGAAGAGGGCAAGAACATCCCCGCCTGGAACCCAGAATGGTACGGCTTCACACAAGAGGGCATGAAGTGGCTCGAGAAGGAAGGTTGCACATGGACAAAAGTCTGCGCCGAACCTGGTGATTTACTTCTGTGGGACTCTCGTACACCTCACTACAACCTTTCATCGACAACGGACCAGTCTCGCTTCTGCGTCTACACATGTTACATGCCCGTCACAGAAGCTTCCGAGGAGGAGCTACAAAGGAAGAAGGTTGCCTTTGAGGGTTGGTTCGGCACCACTCACTGTAAGTCGTGTCTGTCAAAGTCGAGAGACGCGATACTAACATCTCACAGGGCCCAATTGCAAGGTCATGGGTAGAAACAAGGCTACGAGAGACGGCCAGCCGGATCCTCACAACAGAACTGAGCCTGTCAAGAAGCCACAGCTTTCGGAGCGTGTGTACAAGTTGACTGGTATTCCTTACATCAAGGCATCGGCTTGAGGAGGAATATAGATAGAAGGAACAAGATTGTCGATGTAGCAATTTCTTGGAGCTAATAATGCGCATATTTTATTTTGGAGCTATTGACTCTCAGTCACAAAGTCTTTCGGCCTTGATCATTTTTGTTGATGTCACTGCTAGAACTACGTCCAAAGTATGCTTAGATCTTCAGATCCCGCAGAGTTGCATGGCGGCAAGAGATGCCAGTCGGCTCAAGCGACGAGGCGACTTCTGTGAGCATAAGCACCATCGTAGCGTCGCATCCTTGTCTCAATCACTGGATCCATCTCTGATACCAATTGATCCCGTCTAAACCCACCGCAAACCTTGTCTAGAGCTCAAGGCAACCACACCAAGCAGAATAAGGCTAGAAATATCAAGGAAGATGTATCAGAAGATATTCTGGAAGTATCAATCAAGGGTAAGGAGAATGTCGAGAATGATGAGAATGATGTGTGCGTGCTCGGGAGGCATTCGCTCGACTCATGAAGAACAAGACCGACCGAGGAGGAATGAGAAGTGGTGTTCCTCAGACGCCAGATTGAGTCTTCCTGTACTCTGACCAAGCTTCGTCGAAGTTTTGGAATCGTTCCACATGCATGTTATCGCTGAAACCGTCAAGAGCGAATCTCCACAGGCGTCGGAGCCATCTACCCCTTCCGTATGCATCGTCATGATAGGTTTCTCGACTCACAAGGCTAGAGTCACCGTAGAGACGTTCTGTGAAGGTTGTCTCGAAGAATTGTCTCACCTGCAGACTTTGATCCGAAACGCGATCGCTTTTCACATCGTAAAGTCCAAGTGGCAGAAGGTCGACGTCCCCGTCATAGTCTGCGAGGATATTTGGGGGCAGATCTTCGTTGTGTGAGAAATCCCACAGCCACACTGGAGGTTTGCATGCTAGAACGGGTGGAACGCTCAGAGCATCGTCCCAGTCAAGTACACCGGCAATCCGTAACGCTTGTTTCTCCGAGTTGTCTAGGGTGCGATCGGTCGGCGCCGGTCCAACAATGATGTTACGCGGTTCCAGGTCCCAGTGATAGAGTATATTAGATGCCAGGGACTTGCGCTCCTCGAAAAAACCCAGCTCTGTCATCTCTGTGCAAATCTCTTCCAGTCGCCTGAACATGTCGACCACAAAAGACTTGGCGACGTCTGAGCCCTCATGCTGCAGCCAAGCGCCCAACTGCGTGCTTAGAGACTCTTGCAGTGATACAGCAGCCACCGTCGCTGTTCTTTCACCAATGCCGACGCCAAATCCCTGAACCGTGGGACCATCTGCGAGACTCAGATCGTTCATGTCTCCAAGAGCCTTCCGAGGAGGTACATCTTCCGGGCTGCAAAGCCTCCCTGACCTCTGAAGCTTGACACCGTCGAGTGATGACAAGACATCGACGAGGTCGCTTGCTATACCGAGTCTCTCGGCGAGATCCAAATCCTGATAGACGAGATCTAATCTCTGGCCCTCAAGGCGAGTCTGCAACGAAAATGGCATGCCAAGAGTGTTGTCTGAAGTACAGTCGTACGCGAGTATCCGAGGGGCCTTGATTTTGACGGGTCGGAGAGCTTCAAGGATGCAAAATTGATCTTTGATGTGCTTGTTAAGAGAAGCTCCAGAGGGCGCAAAGCGAGGGATGCGAAAGACGACATTCTCAAGTGGGGCCATCGAGTCGTGATAGCGTAGACTCGCAGCGACAATCCTGTTGAAACTTCCACCTGCCAGTCTCGCGACACTCTTGATTGATTCAGCTCCGATCTGCTGGGCCAAGTTCGTGACTTTCTTGCTGTATGTCTCAAATGGTTGCGGTGCCTGCCTGGCTCACAGACCGCGGCGTTGAGGAGCTCGAGGGTGAATATCTCGAGCGGTCTAGGGAGCGCTATGAAAAATTCGTGCGTTTCTTGGAGAACGAAGAGAAAGCAGTGTCGCAAGACGACTGATCGAGCCAACGCCTGCGCCGAGATCTGGAGACAGGAAAGTTCTGGTACGTGCTCGCTTTGAATGCGATTAATGCCTTCCCGGGTATCTTCGCGCAGCATCTCATGCCCAGATTCTTTCCGCAACAGTCCTAACTGCATATCGAAGGTACAGCAGTGTCGCGCTTATGGGGCGAGAATGTTGATGATTTCATTACCCGGAAGCTTAAAGACAACGAGGACTATAAGGTAGCGATCTGCGTCGTCTTTGCTGAGGCAGGAAAATACGTTGCCAACGGTTGCTAAGACCATCCAACTACGATTTGCAAAGTCTAGGATTAGATAAAGACTGAAATGTCACTAGAAGAGACTCAATGTTCTATAGTATCCCATTAAAAGTCTCTATATAGCTTGATATACTTGCTGTGACTCTGACCTAAGCATTGGAGCTTTTTGTTCTATAGCTAAGCGGTAATCATGAGTTGCTATAGCAACTTCTTTGCATCGCTGCGTTCCAGGCGGGTCCATTTGCCGTGATACATGCTAATTTGTTCTTGATTAGACATGGATCTGAGCACGTCACACCAATACAACCACTTGTCTTGCCGCAAGCTTGGATACTTGTAGAGAATGGCGGCTATGTAGACGTCGATATACCTCCACCGATGTAGTCGATACCACAGTGAATTGTGAATTTACCTGACCGTGCCATCACTGGCACCGTTCGTGCAAGTCGGAGCAGTGGAACCGGTGGGATCTGGAGTGTTACTTAGCCAGTCCACTTGGAACACCATTGTTTGCGATGGGAGTGGTCGTGCCATTCTTGGGATAGCTAGTTCCAGGGACGTATGATACAGCTTCGCAGCCAGAGGTCGAGCTGCAAAAGCTCGAGCCGGGCTTGGAACCCATATCATGTCCGGCAATGTCATGGCCGCAGTCAACCCGGTATGGACCAAAAGTGGTGATGGCTGTGGTGTCTTTGTTATTGCCATTGCAGATTCCAAGAAAAGCAGCTTGCACACATGAAGATTTTTGAGCCGCCAAGACGCCAGACTTCATGTAGCATGAGCCAGATACATACGATGCTGCGACAAGTCCAGTTGTTGAGACACAATACTTAACACACTAAGCAACATTGCTGCTTCGAACTCATCTCAAGTCATCTCCAGGTAGATCAGGTTCACACAAGGTCATGAGCTTCTAAGTCGAGGGGCTTGTGGATCTACTGAGCGACGTTGCAGAAGGTGATGAGCTACTGCTAGAAGATGTTGAAAGAAAGTGTCTGCTTGAAGTCTCCGATGTAGAAGACACGTTCGCTGTCCTCGAAGATGAAGAGGTAGTCGAGTGACCGAGAAAATGGTCGAGCAAGAGGTCGAAGGCACCGAATTTGGCGGAGTGGCATTTGATTGTAAAATATTCTTGTACTACCATATTTCGTAACACATATCTTCGATCTGACCTTTTGCTATTGCACTATATCATGCTTGCTGAGCAAAGATTCCTAGTGCTCTAAATCACGCTTAGATACTCATGAACAACTTGAGCAAAGCAGGATAGTTTGGAGTTCCAAGCCCAGTGACAGGATCCCAGCCCGTGGCAGCACTGCAAAAAGGTTAGACAAGTGTATATTTACGCAAGGGATTTGCAGGATACTTACGAGAACCCATTGGTGTTACATCCAGGGTTGTTTCCAGTAGTGATGTCGTGGAAGGCACCTGGATTGGCATACAAAGTTGGATTGACGAAGCCGACGGTGCTCTTGCCAGCTTTGAGACGCTCGTCATTGATACGAGTCAAGATGGCCGCAAAGACTGGCGCAGCTGCGGAGGTTCCACCGATGAGGGTCGGAGCACCCTTGTTGAAGATCAGGACATTGTCGCCAATGGCCGAGACATCAGGGTATCCACGGCCGTTACGGTTATAAATACCGCCACCAGCGCCGATATCCGCGTCATTAGTCGTGGAGTATGAAGTGTATGGTGGTGGGTGGTTTGTAAGATAGTTTGATACTGCGGCAGCTTGGTAGGATGGAATCCCGAAAATGTTGGAGAAGCCTGAAGACGGTCAGTAATGATTCAGCTTGCAATTTCTGCCGGATTGCTCACCTCCTCCGCTTCCAAATCTGGTCACTGCGGTCTCTTCGTCCTTGAAGACATTCCCGTTTGGCGGGAGGTAAGTTGCGCCAACAGTGGTGAGATAGGGGCAGGTTGCTGGGAAGTCGGGGCTGAAAATTTGGCCAGTTCCGAGGCAGCCATCTGCGTTGTCATCGCCTGCTGGTCCTGCAACTCCTGAATCTCCACTTGCAAGCACGATGGAGACCCCTTGCATACCAAGCTTCATGTACTCATTGCATTGACGCGTCTGGTATGACGCAGGGAGATCTGCCTCTTGTCCACCGTACGAGATGGAAATAACATTTGTTGGCTTGTAAATACCACACTGAAGAGCGCCTTTGTATCCGCCAGGCTGTGGGTCTGGGTAAGGTGGGTCGAGAGGAGAGTTTCCACCGTCGTAGCTGCAGTATGAGCCATCGATAGCGTCCAAGAAGTTGTTCAGGAAGCCTTCATAGGTGTAGTTGTTCTCATACACTGGGTCATCAGTCTGGAAGAGGATAGTGTTCTGTGGATAGATAATCGGGTACGAGATCTGGAAGTCGAGGTCAGACTCAGCGCCAGCATTGGCAACACTAACAGGGGCTACAGCTCCGTCAATGGCTTCAAGTTTTGGGTGAGTGCCAACAGGTATTTGTCTGCGGCTGATTAGATCAATTTCTAACAAATCTTCGGCGAGACTTACTGGGCCAAGGTCAAGAAAAATTCGTTCAGGTCAGTTTGAGAATAAACATCGCCCAAGTCCTCGAAAATACCGAGCTCGTTACCAGCTTGGGCGCTCGTGGCCTGGGTGATGTTGTAGAGTTTTGCGATACAAGATGGGGTAGCGGCAATCTGACAAAGGCTCAGCTCGGCGAGACCCAGAAGCTCGCTGATCGCCAATGGGAGTGCCTTGAGGAGCGGTGGTTGCTTTGTCGCCTTGCCGTTGGTCACACCGAAGGTACGTTTCTCGATGGTGTTCTTGTCATTTACTGCGTGCCCGCTCCTGGCTGGAGAAAAAAGTTTAATACCTGGAGTGATGTAATCGATGTGCTCCTTCAGATGCTCGGGTACGTGGTATCTAGTGTCTGTCAGATATCCAAGTAGACAAGTCAGAACACAACAATACTGACTCATCACATCCGACATTTTTGCCGCCACTGGTTGCGTGCTCGTAGACGTGGTAATCCGTTTTGAAGAGCTTCTCAGCTACCTCTACAGGGGCGTCGAATTGCAGCCATTGCTTGTTGGCAGACAAGCTAATGCCGTTGACACTGTGAGAAGCAAGCCAGTCGATGACAGAGTCGACAGAGGCCTTAGCAGGGGCAAAGATCTCGTTGACTTGCTCGGCGGTGTAGTATTTGCCATAGTTGGGCGAGTTGTGTGTTGAACTGATTTAGATCAGAGGACTGTATTTCTTTTGACTACGTATTATAAACTTACACATCCATTAACAGATCATGTCCTTTCTCGAGGTTCGACTGGACGAGGCCGATACGCATTGGTAGGATTGAACCACCTGGCACCTTTTCTGTCTTGAGCCATCCTCGAGGGAGTTCATGTCTGCGCTCGTGGGCGGTAAAGGGTGGTGCGATGGGCGAAGCAATAGCGGCGGCGACAAAGACGCCGGCGAGCAGAGAGGTGAACATCTCGAGGAACCGAGATTGAAAGAAATGAAGAATGACACTTCTTGTTGACTTGTACTGGGCACTTGAAAGAGAGCCTTTCCGACCTTATATATGTCTCTGCTTGGTTTCAAACTCACAAGGACGCAGTGTGCAGCTTGCTATCTCACAGACGTTGCACACGAGACTTACCATTGAAAGCAAGTGCAGATCAAGAAAATCATCTAGCGCATGCGTCTTTGATGCGGAGAAGCTCAAGGCGGGAGGATGTGCCACTTTCTGAAGATCGTCGTCTCCAGCCTGTCCAAAACAAGAAGGTCGTCATGTCTACTGGACCAGCTTCGAAGAACGATAAGATCGTGACTTAACGTTGATCATGCAAAACAAGCTCATGGCTTTCTGAAGCATGTAAATGGACCTATCGGACGATGCCATGCATGCGCCACAGGGTGACATCCAGACAGGATCAACCCAAGCAAGCTTTGGTGGCTGATAAAACAAGCCGTGGAGATAAGCTGCTTGCTCGAACTCTCGACGAATTTCTAAGCGGAAAGCAGACATTAATCATGCGACCCCGCCTGTTGAACCTCGGCTTTTAGACACTACTTGCAGTTTTTGGCAGACAGGATTCTGCGCTGAACCATTTCCTAGTGGAAAGAGTTTAGCAGACCGAGCGAGATGTCGACGATCCATCTGAGTCCAGCTGAACGCTGGCACGTGCACGCCGACCTCGGTCTGCCGAAATGCGGGCTGAAATGCTGACACTTTTTAAGCTCTATAGCGGCATCTTAGAAAAATCCTAAATCCCCTTACTAGTCGAGATTATCGTTTATACTATATATCTTAAGCTATAGCTAGTCGTCTATAAAACTTACCGATAACTAACGTAGAGAGTATAACTACTAACGGTCGTTAGATATCCTAAGCTACTTATATATTTACACGAAGAAGATTTAAATATAAATCGACTACCGGTAGAGGTTCTATAATAGTTATATAGCTTTTTTAGCCGCTATAAGCTTAAGGTTTAGAAGCTTAGTATTTAAACTACTATAGACATTTAACTATATCTAAAGGGCGAGTCTACTTACTTACTTTTAAAGGTCCGACTTAGTTTAATATAGTATAGTAAACTATATTTAAAGCTACTTTAAACTAAATAAACTCCTTCTCGTTTAACTCCTTTTACTTCTTAGCTTACTATATTATATATCTAAAGAGAACCTAAAGGGAATCTCTACTAATATACCGCTAAATAGAAAGGCCTATTTATATATAGCTAGTTAGTATTCCTTCTAGATTTATATAACTTAATAGCCTAGAAAACTAGTATAAGCTACGTCTTAGCTAATAGGTTAGTTAGTTAGTTAGTTAGTTAGTTAGTTAGTTAATTCTTATTAGCTATTTATAGTCTTATCGTCTTTATAAGCTTATTTAAACGTTACTTAATTTTTATACCTATTACTTAATCTTAAGTTCGGTATAATAAAATAAAATCTAAAACTCCTTTATCTCTACCCTTTCTTACTTTATCTTTATAGTAGCCTAGCCTTTATTCTAGTTATCTACTAAAGGAACTAGATTATTATCTTTACTATTTCTAATTTAGCGCTTATTTCTTTATTAGGCTATTTACTAGCTTTCCTATATATAGCTCTCTCTTCTTACTATAGCCTTCTAGTAGGTATAAGAGATCTCTTTACCTTCTTCTTACTACCTTCTTTATTAGTAGTCTTATTTCTACTTATCGAGGATATTTTAGTAAAACGTACGCTACTATTTCGTCCTTTATTTTATATTAGTACTTTATACCTTTCTATACCTAAAGCCTTACTAGATTCGAGCTAAGATATATATAGTTCGTATATACTTAGACGAGTACTACTACTTAATCTAAGTTAAGCGATCTATATAGTTTTAGCGTATATTTCCTTAGTAGCGCCGTATTAAGTTACTATATAAACTATTCTTACGCGCTTAAGCTTATCTTATATAGGCTCTCCTCTACTTAACGCTTAACCTCTTTTACTACTAGGTTTCTAACGGCCTTATACTCTCCTATACGTACTATTAGATCTATTATAGGCTTACTTCCTAGCTTTATTACATTTTAAGTAGTAATATATACTAGCTCGTTTCCTAAAATATCTTAATATCTTAGGACTTATATTAATCTAATATTAACTTTATAGCGTTCGGCCTCTTTTAGCGACTTAAGGACGCTTTAAAGTACCTCTTTATATTTTAGCTATATTACCTTTTTTAACCGCTTTAATAGTATCTTAACTATTTATAGCTATAATATAGTTTTAGTAGTCCTAGTTCCGGACCGGTACTATATAGTCGACCGCCTATTTAATAGTTTAAAGCTCGGCCGATAGGACTAGATACGTACTTACCTAACCGTTAGTCTAAAAAGAACTTACGTCTATATAATACTATTAAGTAGGTAGGTTATATTAACCTTACTTCTAAGCCTACTAAATATCTAGATATAGACGTTTTACTAGAGTATTAACCTAAGAGAGGGGATACTATTATAGTGCTTATCTATAAGTATCGTAGCTATTATAGTAACCTACTTAAGTTACGTAAATAAAGAAAGGATTTAAAGCCGTAAGGCTTTAACTAGTTTATAACTCTTTAAGCTACGTCCTATTATTAAACCTACCTATTAGTCTTACTATTAGACTATAGATAGCTTATCGAATATTACCGTATTTTATATAGCTACTCCTTCCTCTATTATATCCGCCTTAGTCCTATAATACGGCTATAATATTAGGTATCTACTTTAGAACTTCCTTACTTATTATCGTAAAGGTATATAATTAAGATATTACTTTATAAACCTCCTTTAAGTCTACTATAGTAATTTCCTAATTAAGAGGGATTTAAGAGATATTAATACCTATCTAGCCTAAAAAGAGGACTAGTCTACTAGAGACGAAAGTAAACTTCTTAAGTTTTACGAGCTACTTTTAAGCTTCTTTATCTATCTTACCGAGTATAGGCGTAAATATTATAAAGAACTTAATTAATACTAGATTACGACCTTCTTCTTTTATAAGCTTTCGAATTACGTTAATTCTAGGTCGAAGAACCGCGGGACTATAACTAGAGACGAAGATAGCTTTAATATACTTACTTACGAAGGATATACCGGTACTAAAATAGGAATAGTATTAAGGAGCGAAGTCGGAAATAGGTAATAATACGTAGATACGGGTTTAAGCTATATAACGAGATATAGACGAGGAGATAAAGAGGTAATAGAGAGGAGTTATAAAAGGTAGTAAGTAGTCTTAGTAACTCCGTACGGCCGCTTATTAAGCGGCCGGCTAAGGTTAAGTTTACTCTAGCGAGTAGGGTTTATAGTTAGGTATAATCAGATAGCAAACCGTAATAAATAGTAAGTCTATTATATTTATCTACTACGAAGTTAACTTACGGAGATATACCTACTTAAAATAAGAATAGTATATACTAAAGCGATAAATCGGTAGTTTATCTAGACTTAAGACTAAAGTACTTTCTTTAGTACTTAATTATCCTAATCTTATTAAGGTCGAAGTATATATCGTTTTAAGTATTAGTAATAATAGTATCGTCGGTCTACGAACCTTCCTAGAGTCTAGGCTTATTAGCACTTAACTTATATTATAATTCGAGAGCTATACTTACTTATATAGTAGACGTAAGTACTTATTTACTTACTTATAGTGCTAGTCGTAGTCGATAGGTATATTAATACTACGGATTAGACCGCGATCTAAAGATTAAATACTAGTATATAATATAAGAAGGATTTACTAAAGAGAGAAAGAGAGGAAAAGAGGAGTTCCTCCTTTTTATATAATATATCGCGCGCTAAGCTCCGGTTATACTCCGGCCCCGGCTAGAGGTTAAGGTCGCTACTTTAGTAAGGCCTTATAATAGTCGATATAGATAGCCTTAAATACGGCTTCCTTTTAGGAAGTTACGATATTCTAGCCGATACGACCTTAAGTAGGATAGTCTAAAGTTAAGAAGCGTTTTATAAGTAAGAAAGGTAGTTCGAATAAAGTACTTACTATAATACTAAATACAAGGTTCTTATTTATAGCTACTATAATAGAAACAAGCTATTAGGAATATTAATTATAGACTAGAGTTTAAGTAATAAATTTAGAAGAAGACTTATAATAGTCGGATCCGTTATAAGCTATTAGGTAGTACGACGGATATATTCGTTTAGACTATTCTAGTATATATTATAGCCGCCGTATAAATCGGTAAGGAATAAGGTATTAATATCTCCCTTCTTAAGTAACTTTATAAGATCGATCTAGTAATTTAGACGACGTTTAGTAGTCGACTTATTATTTAGGTTCTACTTTAGTTAGTCTCTAATGTTTATATAGATCCTCCTATATATATACCTTCTACTATCTAGGCTAGAGATACCCGATAGTACTTATATCGAAAGTATTAAGTAGAATCTCCTTATTAGCTATATCTTCGGTCGATTCTTATACCCGGTACCCCTAGTAGATTTAGAGCGTTCTTAACCCGGAATTTACGATTAGTTTTAGGGTTATATACACCTATAGTATCTTAATAGTATAATTAACTCTATATCTACGCTTTAATAAGGTAGGTATCGGCGTACTCGTAAGCTATACGCTCTTTCTACTTCTTAATCTATCGTAATCTTACGTAATAAATCTCGAATGCTGTTACATTACGATCTACTACCTACTAGGGTCCGTTAAGGCTATACTTTATATTATTAAGTTAGAAGACGCGATTTTCGACATAGATGTTAATATCGCGGAGTTGCGATACCTAACGATTCTAGTTTACTCAAATCTTTAAATGACATTTATACACCCTATCTCTATCTCTTATAGCGCTTTAATAATGTCTAAATATCGTAGCAGATTCTCGCTAGCGACGGACAGCTTCTCTAGGACTAATTGAGCTAAACCCCGTTACGCTTAACTTAAAACAGTTGCTCATACAAACACATGTTGTTGCTTGAACGGAAAGGAAAAGTGGGCTAATGATAGTACTCTGCCAAAAGTTGATGCTGCAACTACTTTGTCGTCGCGTGCTGGGTCGCTAGTATTGGAAGGCCACCTCTGGAAACCCGGCTACGGGCCCGTCTAACAAAGGAGAATTCTTTCCCTTGATGACAAAATCAAGGAAGCCCGTAACGTAGCTGGTCACGATTTCCAGGACTCTATGGCCCTCCAGAGTCCCGGTTTGAGTCCCGTGGCTACTGCTCGCGATGGTCAAGTTTGGGGAGATGCCTAACGTCTCGAAGACGACGGGATAGTCACTAAAATCATAGTGAAGAGTGTCCTGTTCGGCTCGTCAGAGGCTCCAGAGTCATCTTCGATCAGTATTCAGTGATGAGCTTACTGCGATTGTGATCTCTCTTCGCCATCCCGTCAGGTTAGGCCATGTTGCGGCCCAAGTGATCTGCGTGAAATCTCCATCGTGGTCACGAGTGTGGTTGCCGCAGCCCATGATCATGACTGGCTTATCTGTTCCGTTGCCAGGTCCAAATAGTCCGCCATCCATATCTAGGCCGCCAAGGACACGAGCATCTTGCTCTAGGATTGAGTAAGCGGTGGAGCCACCCAGTGAGTGTCCAAACATTGCAGTGGTCGTGTTGAAGCCAGAGGCAGGGAGGTTTGGAACCAGAGTACGAGCAAGCGTGACATTGGAAAGCTGATCAAGCACGAAACTCACGTCTTGAGCTTGAGACTGGATCCCGACGTAGGCTGTGCGCGCCAGAGCCTCATAATCTTCAGTGCCCCAAAGTGTCTTATTCAGAAGCACAAGGGAGCCGTCTGAGTATTCGACCACGTCAACGTTGTAGGGCGGATCGATGGTGATGACAATGTAACCATTACTTGCAACGGTGGCCGCAATCTGGCTATACCAAAGGCGTGTAGTTCCCTCACCAGGCATGAAAATGGCGAGCGGGAAATCGACCTCTGGCTGATGACTGCCGGATCTTTGACAAGTTTCATCGCTTGCTAAGTGCAGAGCAAGTTTGCTAAACGTGCCGTTTGGTGCACGTACACCTATGTCAGAAAGCGCGGCATCCTCAAATTGTGCTACTGCTGCGGGGAAGTATGCAACAGCATCGAAATCTGCTTTATGATGCCGCTGATCTATGACAGGATAGAAAAGCGAGATCTCGAGTCTTACGGGCTCAAGACCTGGCGCAAAGGGTTGGACTCGGCTGTAGTCCTAGGCAAGCAGAATATCAAGTCAGATGCTTGCGCTTGTTGCAACAATGAGGTAAGTCTACCTACGATTAGTTCAACGCAGGCTGTTCGTCCGACAAGGTAACGACCAGTTGGTTTAGGAAGTACGACCTGGGATGGAGATGACGACGCAATGGTGACTGCAGAGTTGAATGCGAATAGCAAAGTAAAGAGTAGCATTTTTCTGGTTCGCGCCGAAGATTCTGGACAGATTGGAGTTGTTCAGGTGGAATCAAAGTCTTATTTACTTACTCTTGCGCTTTAGAGCTTACGGCAATGATCACTGCTAGCGTTGTGTACCTCATCAAGATGTAACGATTCAGGATTGCCTTTCAGCTCGAGACTTTGGAGCTAAAAGCTTTGTGATTCTTCTGCATGTACGCTTGTTTGTTATTCAATATTTCACCAGATCCTGCCTGACATCCTATGCACTACGTTTGACGTCGTTATCATTAAACACCACTACGAGCGACTTGTGCTTACTCTACGTATGACGGTGCTGACCGCGTTGCAGACTGACGAACAAAGTCAATCGAGATCGTGGGTCTGAATTATGCCGATGAGTCCGGACACAGTCAGCGAGTGGTACGCGTTCGAACTTCAGAGGTCATTACATGCAGCCTGACTGGTTATCTTCTATTGCCGGTATCCGCAGGATGCAGACTAAAGGAATAAGGCTAGAAACTATCTTTGATCGAAGCAGTTCAAAAGACTCACCTACTACGCTAAGCAGACTAACGATTGAAGGCAGAAACAGCGCAATGATCAATCTACTACGGTTCTCGACAACCATATCGTTTTTCTTCTCTTCACTCAATGCTCATCATGGACTCCACCATCATACGGTCGCGATTCGATGGGTGGATTGTAGCAACCAGATCCCAGATGTTCTCGGTGCTCTTGATTTGACTGATGTGGACCTCAGAAAGCTGCCTCCAACGCTCCATTGTGGCCGCCTCGAAGTTCCAATGGACTACGACAGACCTTTGCAAGCAGAAAACATGATAGAGATAGGGATAGCTATGCACCGCCCGAGTGAACCAAAAGGCGTGATCTTCTACAATCCTGGTGGTACTGATGCAGGCATCGTGCTTGCATGGCAGATCGCTCTCGACCAGACAAAGATTTTTGAGGGATTGTTGGATCACGACTTACTTTGTAAGATCCGCGGGAAATCGACTCTTGGAATGACTGCTTATTCTAATCGCAGTCATGGATGTACGTGGGACGTATAGCTCGAACCCTCTCAACGTGTCGCTGGACTTGTTCCAAACGCTCTTTGGCCCATAGTCAGTCCTACTACTATGTCCAAATGATTTCTGCTGATCGCTTTGCTAGTCCAACGACCCCAAATGAGTATACGGTCTTTCAGGAAGCCTCCGCAATAGTTGTGCAATCTTGGATCGATCTGAGCTCACCTCCTGGTATTATCGCTCATGTTTCAACCAGAGAAGTTGTGAACGACTATGAGATGGTGCGGAAAGCGCTCGGGTATGCGAAGATCAACTTTCTGGGCGCTTCATACGGATCGTTTCGAGCACAGCAGTATGCGTTCAATTTTCCAGATCAAGTTGGGCACTTTGTCCTTGACGCCGTGACGCCACATGCATTGGTATGTTGATCCTGTCCTAGTTGCCTGTATTTTGTAAGATTCATACTGAAAAGAACAGAGCCTTTCTGAATCCGCGCTGGATTCTATAGCGGCAAGCAACCGCGCTCTCGAACGCGCGGACGCCTACTGTCAAAGCGATGTTCAATGTCCATTTCACACACAAGAGCGTGGCAGCCTCATCAAGGCCTTTCACACCCTCGTCAGAATCGCAGAGAACGTGTCTAGTCTCGAGTCAGTTGGTGTAAGACAGACAGTATCTGCAGCCTTGCTGGAAGGACCAAGTGGTCTACCCGATTTCTTGGCAATTTCGTTAGGGCTACATGATGCATTGTCTGGAAACTTCTCCTTCTTTGAGAGCTCCACATCGCTGACTGTCGCTGATGTGGTGGCAATGCCCTTGGAATGTAGTGATCAAAGTGAAAGCGGACTGACATTCGAGAGCTTCAATCTATCACTAGCTGAAGGGTTAAGGGTAAGCTTAGAGCTGGTAGCAAACTGCACATGACTCTCAGACTAACGCCATCTTAAGCATGATACAAGCGGCATAGGTATGGCCTTTGCGTGGCAGATACAGGTATGTTGATGGTAGAAGCAGTTCCCTTGCAAGTTCTCCATTGACAGACGTGTCTTTAGCTCTGGTGCTCCGCATGGCCCTACAGTTTCAGCGAAAAGACGCCACTGCTAGTCCAAAAGTCAATGCTACTTGTAACGTCTGACTTCGATGATGGGTCTGTTTTCCAGTCAAGTTCCAGCTACGTAGTCAGTCAGCTGATTGGTTGCAGATCACCTACAGAATGGACAACATTTGGATGGCGACAAGCGCCAAAATCAGGCCTGGTTGTACGTCATGGTGATGGTCACGTCTCTTTCAATCGTGGGTCCATCGAGTCTGCTCATCCTGCCTCAGCTGCGCAGTAGTTAACATCATTTTAACAGTTGCCGATGCACCGTCTAACAACTTGACCAAATCCTTCCTTCGCACTGGTATACTTCCTAGTACCTCCGATGACTTCTCTGTTACAGTCTACCCACCGGGTGGAGTACGTGAGCCGATCTCTGATCCCTACCAGGTGCCGTTTAGAGTTTAGGAAGTATCGACTCGTTTTTCGTATTCTCTTTGACTGATCTTTGGAACAGCAGTTGGACTTCGCGACGTACGTATTTTCGGTCTCAGTATTAAGTAGCTGGTAGTGTTCATGTTAGCTGCCCTGAGCGAGACACCACTGCTGTTAGTCATAGATTTAATGAGAGTTGTACGGTCGGAATGTCTGACTTATACAATTTCACTGCTTCGATCGATCTGACACTACCTACCTATGCATTGCGGACCCCATTAGCGTGTTAATGACCAGTAAGCACAGGAAATTCTACCTGACTGTTAGCAAGATTGCAACACGTATGAACATCCGGATTCGCCGTTGCCAGCAGCCTTTGTAAGTGCAAACTGAATCCAGGACAATCCCACACCCAAGGATATGCTGCGCTTAGTCCTTGGACAGTGTCAAGTAGGTCAAGCTAGATTATCTGGTCGATGCCCGCATCTTGAAGTATCGGCGCGTACGCTTGAATGATCCCACGTGAGCGATCTCTACGGCATCGCTGGGGATGGACCACTAGAAGCGTGGGTTTTCCGGTGGAGACCTAAAGGTAAGTTTGGGTCCTGCGTTGACGACAGCTTGACTCTGCTATCCAACAATCTGTTCCTGAGCTCGTCCAGGCTCCACCTATTCTCAAGATCTTCTTCTGCCTCGTCGACCTGTGTAATTGATGATGGGTCGTTGACGAGGTCGGCGTTGTCTGATTGCAGAGCCGCGGGCTGTGCGCTTTTTCAAGACTCCTACGTTCTGTCTTGCGTGACTTGATGCTCTCAGATGCTCTCAAGTGCTAGACCAACAGCTTGGAGGAACTCCTTCTCCCTGCCTGCACAATTCGCCTTTGCAACGTCCCTTGTCGATATCGTAACGCGCCTTGGATGGATTTTGAAGAAAGCGGGTTGATTGCCTTTGTTTTTGGATTCGTAGTCAGAGATGGTAAGGGACGAGAGTATTTAGTCAGGATTCTCCAAGTGTTCTTAGCCCCGTGTAGTAATACAGGCGAGGTGTCCAGAATGACTACAACGTACGAAATCAATTGTAACAGAAATCGCTCATTGCTGACCTCTCTATGCTGCGCTAAAGCCTTTTACAGATGTTGTCGCTGTTGTCGCTACCGCTGAATCTTACTGCCCGTGCTTTTGCTATGACCTGCGACCTTGGATCCTCGTCGCCGTCAGGTTCGCCGTGATTTGCTTACCTTGTCCTGCTGCTATCGTAGTCGCATGTTCCACCGCTGTCTCTCATGTGTTCTGCTTTTACCTCATTCTACTGTCTTGCGCTGCACGCTTATCCTACCACTGTATATACTACCTCCACTGCGTTGTTGTCTATCCTGCTGACGTATGTCACGTGTCCTGGCCTTGCTGTTCTGCTCTTACCGTTTCGATGTTGCTGCATGTTGCATTGTCTGCGCTGTCTTCGCTGTCCGCACTGTCCTGCCGTTGCAAGCCCTCTCGGCGCACCTCGCTTGTCTTCGTGTCGCGTATAGTATGTCCTACTCTTTTGAGTTTGCCGTCGGTCTTCTGCTCTTGTATCGCTTTCAAGCGTTGGCGCATCGCGTTGTCCATCTCGCATAGCTCGTGGCTGTTTTGATGTCGCTCCGTCGTCGTGTGTCTTGCTGTTGCTAGTTGTGCAGTCGCTACTGCGTAGGCGCCATCCTTATATTGCGGGTCGCATCAAATGGTCTAGAGGGCTCGTCTGCCGTCACATGAGGAACCGTCCCTTCGAGTCTAGCACGTCTCATGGTCGCGAGTGACGCGTGTTCACGTCGTGGTTCTGCCGTTGTTGTCGCGGTCTCGCATGTCGTGCTGCAGGCACCTCGCTAAAGCTGTCTTGTCGTCACAGGATGTCTAGCTACGTGATGGATGCCGCAGCATGTCGTGTGATTTCGGAAGAGTGAGCATGAAGCGAAGCTGCGTCGGCAGAGAGCGCGCTGTTTTTCGCGGCAACTCGGCGCGTCCGAGGAGCCGGACCCTAAAACGTGTAATAATCCTTATATTATTGCGATACGGCGGCCTTAAGAGGTAGTAGGTTAGACTTAATAGAGCTATAGTAGCTTGTAATACTAACTTCTAGATACTTACTAGACTATTTAAGGCTCCCGACGATATATTAGAAAGGGTTATACCTTAAACCGGACTACGTATAGTAATTTATAACTACTTATTAAAATTTATCTCTTAGTATAAGGAGAGCCGAATTACGTACTTCTAGGAGTTAATCTCTATTAGTAGTATACTAAAACTAATCTCTCTAGATAATATCGAGATCTCGAGCGATTCTAGTTTCTAAAATCTCGATAGTTCGAGTAACGACGACCTTAATAGCGAGTACTAAAGCGATATAAGTAATAGGTATATCTAATAGTCGACTTTAGTATATCTAAATAGCCCTCGTATATCCTCCTCTTATAGTATAGCGTAAGTCGCCTCTTTAAGGTACTCCTTTTATATTAACTTATACCTATTACCTTCTTATCCCTTATACTCTTTAGGCCTTAGCGCTAGATTCCTATACTACTTTATCTACTACTTTAAGAGATAGAAGGACTACTTAACTAAATTAAGATAAGGCGAATAAGGTAGTAGATATAGTAGGTATACCCCGGCCTATAAGTAGATATCTATAATCTATAGATTCGCGCTCGTTAGCTCGATCTAAATACTTACTCTTTAATATATACTCTTTCTAAGTAATAGGTAGAGTAGTTATCTATTATAACTATACTTCTTTTTCTAGGAAACGGCTCGTATTAAGATAGTACTACTATCTAAAGCTCGGACTCGAAGATCTCTTATATAATAGCTCCCTTTATAATAAGCGTCGTTCTAAGTAAGTACCTATTAATATTAAGGGCCGGTAGTACTAAATAGCGAGCCTTAGATACTAGTTTAGACGTCGTAAAAGTAGGATAACCTATTAGTAACTAGGACCGTCGTTAAAATAGGACCTTCTCGCTAGCTACTAATTTACCTAGATATACTAGTATTTCCGCTAGGTTGTCGATAGTACCGGTCGTAGCCCCTTCGCGTAGTAGCTCTACTAGTCTCTCTTAATATATACCTTATTAAGTAGTATCTCTTCGACTAGTAATACGTATATAAACTTTATTAGTTAAGGACTAATTCTTAAAAAGGCGACTAATCGTCGATCTATCGACTATTACATTAAATTAATACTATAATTTAAATACTATCTCCTCCTACTATAGATCGTTACGGAAGGCGAGCAGATTAATTAACTACTTAGTTATTAACGGTATAATCTTACGAGGGCGGCCTATCGCCTTCTTTATATTTCGCGGCTTCTATACCTATCTAAAGTACTTAAAGTTTATATAGAGCTATTAAATAGTACTCTTAGAACTACGAGGGAAGATCTTCTAGGGTATTACGGTAGTATAGTTATTATTAAATATAGCCTATATAAATTCCTTATTACTCTCTAAGAGCGCTATTTCGACGAGCTATTAAGACCTCTAAACGGTTAGATATTACCTAGTAGGCTTTTAGATCTATATAGAATGCTTATATCGACGATATACCTTAATAATAGCTATATAGCTAGATAGAGAGCTTTAATTAATATAGTAGTAGTAGTAGATAGTAGCACGAAATAGCACGATTTTAACGGGTGGCGGGCTACCTTATAGTATTATCGACTAACGACTTTTATATAGGAGAATATAGATGAGACTGCGCTAGAGAGATAGTTACTTAGCTTAAAGCTTAAATTAGGCAAGTACGATATAACTAAGTAGTAAGTAACAAGGATTATTATGTTCTATCTTAGATTCCTAGGATGGTTCACTTCGCCGTCTAGATTGTAGGGAGTGTCCGCGTAGCATAACGTAAGAAGACACGTATATTAACAGATTTTGTTATTAACCTAAGTCCCTATATATACATTTTAACGACCGGCATAAACGAAACACCGTAGAACGACAAAATCTATAGAGATAAACGAAACATCGATGCATGCGATGACCTTAATAGGACAAGTGTATGATGCGTGAACGACAAATCGAGTAAGACGGCGCTAACTGAGATCAGTCTAGGATTATACATCGGTGTTATGTCGTGATACCGCATTAACCTTAGGACAGTATAGAATAAGAGCTAGCAGCTTGCTATCTCTACACACTCCTAATACATGCTTTAAGGCTATATCATATAAGAACCCTCCGCAGACCCTTCGCTGCTTATAGAATCTGTCGTGCTTCGTGCTTACCACTTCTATAGCGGACCATCCTGGGAGTTTTTTCTTACCTTAACTAATTATACGTAGCATTCGTGGTTCATCGAATCTCGCTCGTCTACTAATTAACCTAAGAGAGACTAGTACTTTTAGAGAAAGGGGAAGGTCGACGAAGATGGCAGACGCATGCCTCCGAACAACTGGTGCCGCATCCTGGACACTACAAAATCAGCATGGCAGTGCGACGAAAAGACGCAAGAATACTTTCTGTCTCTGTTCTCGCTAGAGTAGCCTGATCTCAACTAGGAAAACCCGGACGTCCGAGCCGCCGTACACAGTATCGTTCGATTCTGGCTTAAGCGCGGGGTATGCGGATTCCGGATGGACGTAATCGACCACATTTCCAAGGTTCCGAGTCGTCCAGATGCTAAGAAATCTATTCTAGGCCAGTACTATCAGCCTGGCAACGTCTTTTACGCCAATGGACCCAGGTCACATAAGTACTTGTACGAGATAAGACAAGTGTTCGATGAGTATGACACAATTACAGTCGGGGAGATGCCTTTCATTAATGACGAGGATGAGATCATTCATACTGTCGGCGTACAAGGATCTTTGAACATGATCTTCTTGTTCAAAATTCTCAACATAGACAACTCGCCTGGTTAATCAAAATGGTCGTATCAAGAATGGGACGCTACTGACATAAAGGGAATTCACGACCAGCCACAGCGCTTGATAATCGAACGCGGCGGCTGGAACGCGATCTTCTCGGAAAATCATGATGGTCCACGATCCATCTCACGTTTTGCTGACGATACTGATTAGTGGCGTGATTTTGCAGCTAAAATGCTTTGCACCAAATCTATATCACTTGCAGGAACGGAGTACATTTACTAGGGACAAGAGTTGGGCATGCGAAACATTCCTCTGAGCTGGTCAATCGACGAATATAAGGATGTAGAGTCGCAAAGCTACTAGAAAGCGTAAGTGACAAGAATACTTTCTCCGTTCTGCGTAATGACTGATATTTCCTAAAGAGCTTGGGCGCAGTATGCTAACAACTATCGCAAGTTAGACTATGTACGCACGCTACATCAGCTTAAGGCTCGCGATCATACCAGAACTCCTATATAATGGAGCTCTTTACCCTATGCTGGGTTCTGCAAGTCTCACGTCAAACTCTAGATGCGCGACAACGACGACTACCCTAATGTTAATGCTGCAAGGCAGATTCCCGACACGGAGTCAGTCCTCTCGTACTGGAAACGGTGTCTGAAATTCCGTAGAGAGCATAAAGACGTCTTCATCTACGGTGACTTCGAGATTATCGATCCAGAAGACAAGGATGTCGTTGCCTTTCGTCGCTACTCCGACAGTGATAGCTTCGTAACAGTCACAAACTTTACAGTAAACACTTGCAGTACTTAGGACTTAATGGGTCTAAGGTTTCAGAGTGGCTCGTTGGAAATTACGAGCTCGAGACGCATAATAAAAGCTTGGGAACGACTCTTAGTCTCAGGCCGTAGGAGAGTCTCATTGGAAGGTGTTAGACAATGATCCGTCACTAGAAAGGCTTTCTTTGGAGGTTCTTCTAGCTTCGATGTCCATAGATATGAAGTGAGATCTTTCTTGGTATGATTTTCTGTCCCATCATTGTGTTGTGTTCCAGATGAGACCCTGTCGACGCTCCAGTTTGAAGAACGCGCGCAGGGTCAGCTTTCTAGTCTTTGTTGAGATACTGATACTCACGACGCGACTGTTCTCCTGGATATCCCACAAAGCTCGATGTGCGTCTTCCTAGACGGAGTTTTCCTTTTGTTTTTTCCCGGGAATAAGCTCTGAGTTGCATTGTTTTCTTGGCGGAGACGGTAGAGCCTGCTTATCGTGACACTATCAATTGTCGTGCTAGGTGGTGCGCTCCGGTCGTGAGAGAGACTCGGGTGTGTTTTGCTTAAACGAGTCAAGTAGACGCGGGTTTCGCGACTCTGCAGACGAGAGCCGTTGGAGATTTCCAAGATTTTGCACGTCACTCTATATACTAGCTCTGGCGTTGATGCAGCTGACGACGTCATAAATCCCGAACAACAAAAACAACTCTCGACTTGCAAGTCCTTGACGGCGCGGATCCTTGAGACCCTCAGCGCTTTTCATACATAATGTTGGCAGTATTGTTGCTGGCTGCGCCGGCGCTCGCGTTCCCTGCTCTCGTCTCGACCGAAGGACAGACGCCAATTGGGGTGCAGGACCACTCGCAGGGATACAAATTCGACCCGCTGCTCCATCTTCCAGGCACGTCACCATACTTTGACGCTGTCGGATTCGGACTCGAGCACACGGCGCCGGTTGGGTGCAACATCACAGCAGCATCGTACATTGTGAGGCACGGAGCCATCTATGCAGTAAGTCGGTGGCCGGACACGCAAAGCAAGACGGCTAACACCTGGCATCCAGAACGATGACGAATACGAAGAATACATCAAGCCGTTTCTCTTCAGACTCGAAAAACACAGGGACGGCTGGTCAGGGCCCCTCGCTTTCATGAGCCAATGGCAGTCGCCCATCCTCGAAGATAGACTCGAAGAACTCACACCCTCGGGCGCGCGCGACGCCGAGAAAGTGGGAAGGCATCTCGTCGAGCGTTATCCAGACTTGGCCCCGCACACGACCAGGATATTGGCAGACAAGAAGAGCAGGACTTTCGACACGGCCACAAACTTTACCAGAGGCTTCCCACACCACAATGACATCGAGGTTGTGCGTGTCCTTGAAAACGACAACGGATCTATGGAGTCACTCGTCCCGCATAAGCTGTGCGACAACTTCAACAAGGAACCTGGTACTAAGGAGCAGCACAAATTCATCAACATGTATGGCTCTAGAATAGCTGTCCGGCTTGCGCCTTTCACACCTTTCAAGCTCCGTCCCAAGGATGTTGTGGGCATGCAGTCCATCTGCGGCTACGAAAGCGCCATCCTCGGCAAGCGCTCCCCGATGTGCGCTGTCTTCACCGACGCTGAATGGATGGCCTACGAATATCACTGGGACCTCAAGTACGCCCACATGGTTGGGCCCCTGAATCCCTTGTCTCCCTACCTCGGCTTCCCTTGGTTGCAAGCCCAATCTGACCTCTTCGCCCATATCGACAAGCATGACACACCCAGCGGTGGCTGGCCTGATAAGCAACGCTTGTTCCTCTCCTTCACCCACCGCGAAGTCCCTCCTTTTATCGCTACTGCTATAGGTCTCTTCAACTCATCATCCGATGCCGGTGAGCAGTTTCCCACCGACCACATCAATTGGACCCGCGCTTGGCGCATGTCCGACCTTATCCCCTTCCTTGGCCACGTTGGTATGGAGAAGATGACGTGTAGTCGCGGCGGCGCCGTCGATGCTGACGGAAACTCGGGGCCTGGAGACTACGTGAGATTCATCGCAAACACGGCGCCCAGACCCATTCCGCAGTGTCAGAGTGGGCCTGGTGCAAGCTGTCCGTTGGAGGAATTTAGAGATATCATTGGAAAGGGTGCAAAGCAGCATAAGGATTTCCATAAGGTGTGCGATAAGAAGGGAAAGAAGCATAACAACTAGATAAGAAAAGCTAGATGTTAGAAATCTCCTTTCGTATATATAAGGCGTTTAGAGAATATAGACTAGATCTTAGAGTTACGAACTAGGCGAATAGATTTATAGCCGCCTATTACCGGCATTAACTTAGTAGTAGTAATGTAGTTAAAATTTAACGAGTGAAAAAGGTGTACCGAGTCTAAATTAGTAAAGAATTCTTATACGTATATTCTTAAATCTAACCTTACTAGATTAGCTATAGCCTACTTCGATAGCCTTAATAAGTAGACTAAGAAGAGCTTCGACTAGTATTATAGGGTCTTACTATAGTAGCGACCCTAACCTCGGCTAACGCCGGAAATTCCCCGACTTAGTATATATAAGCGTCGTACGAAGAGGACGGACTTTTCGTCCTCTTCCTTTTCCTCCTTAGTAAAACCTCCTTATATTATAGGCTACTATTTAATCGTTAGATCGCGGTTTAATCCGTAATACTAGGCTTCGTATACTTAGTAGTTATAACGAAGGGAAGCCGCCGGGCCTCGTACGCTAGGTAGTAACGACGATAGAAAGCTACTAGAATTTACCTAGCAGTTATAGCGATAAGAAGCTACTATACCTTATACGCCTAGCAGTTACGACGATAGGAAGCTCCTAGACTTCGTATACCTAGTAGTTATAATAATAGGAGCTACTAGACCGTATAAGGCGTACGGTAATAAACTACGACCCTACTATATATCCGTATAGTAGAACAAGGATAAAAAGAAGCGTAAATACTATATATTAAAGGCTATTATACTTAGGTTTTTCTCTTTACGAGAGTTTTTTACCTAAAGTTAGAATAAAAGATATAGGTAGCAATAGAGTATCTATTAATAAAAAAGAGACTCTAGTAGTAGCGTCGCCCCTAGTACGCTACTAAGTTAGAGTAGGAGCCGAGATTAAAATATAGGTATCGTAGAGTCTATACGATAGGTTAACTTAAAGGATAGCTTATATAGTAAAAGCTATCTATAGCTTATTAAACAAATCAAATTAAATTAATCTATAGTTAGGTACTAGAGGATTCTTAGGTACGCTATAAAGCGACGACGTTTCGAAGTATACTTTTATTATAGCTAACTATCTTAGATAAGATAACAGGTTATAGGGTTAGACTCGTAAAGCGGAGTATTAAGCGAAGTAAAGCAGGTAGAATATAAAGTAGTATATACTAAAGGGACTATTAGAATAACTAATCGAGTTAAACGTAGAACTACTAGAGGTTATTCTACCTTCTTATATACCTTATCTATAATAAGTGTATATAAGTATCTTACTTACTCGCTAGGTAAGGAGGTAAGGGTCTGCTTCGTAGCTTACCCGCTTACGACGTAAGGGAGTAATAATCTACCTTATAGCTTACTCGCTAAGCGGGTAAGTTATTAGGGTAACTCTAACTACATTATCGGCGGGTTAGCTTACTCGCTAAGCGCGTAAGGATTAGTATATAGCTATCCTACTCGCTATCTTAGTAGGTAAGGACCTCTAGCTAATAGTAGATCGTAATAGCTTTAAGTAGGCTAAAAGTTAGGGAATCCGGCATAAATTCTCGTAGAGCTAGTAGTAGAAGATTAAGAACGGGATAGTGCTAGTTTTAGGCGGTACTGCTTAAGCTTAGGCTTATTAGGAGCTCTCGAGCTAAGACGTTAGAGTCCTTCTAGCGTCGCTAAGGCCCGCTAAACTATTATAGCTATCGCCCGGGGAAAATCGGTCGCTCGGCACTCTTAATACTTCTAATAGTAGTCGGAGCATTTATATCTAACTATAATCCGACGAAGGAAGTAACTTAATTCTATTAAAACCCCGCCCGGCGTTACTCGTCTTAGTACGTAGATAGGACTTAATTCTATTAAAACTTAGTACTTAATTCCTTTAAACTTAATATACTCTAATCCGGCTAAATTTCCGACAGAAAATAGAATATATTAATCTACTCGACTAACTAGAATTTTAAAAGTATAGAACCCCTAGTAGCTATTATATCTATTTACTAAAACGTCGTTAAATCTCGAAGTTCGTCGCTACGTATAGGCCTTAATCTTACTCTATATAACATAAAAGGCTAAATCTATAAAACACTTATCTTACCTACGCGACCAGATTATATATATATACCCTTACGGTCGCTTAGTCTATAAAGTAGTCTACGGTCGTATAGTCTAAGAAGTTATCTACCGATAACGTTTTATATATAAATACTAGAACTATTAATCCCTTTTATATACCTCCTACGGCTACCTAAATCTCTACTTCTTTTATTTATACCGTATCTAGATATATAGAAGACTATATACACTATATCTAGCATTAACGAATAATGCTTTACTTTTATACGTAACTTCGTATACTTACTTCTAACTATAAATTATAAGTATTATTCTTCGTTATTTATATCTAGGTATAACTTCTATAATTGCGCCTATATTTAAAAAACCTTAATCCTATATATATAATCTAACGCGCTATAACACTTTTCTATCGCCTATATAACTTCCTCTTTTCTTAATCTATTTATATACTACCCTTCGTTATAGGAATTAGCGATATCGATATAGTAATAAGACGAATAGTTAGAGACGCATTTATCTATAAGGCTTTTACCGACCTAGCTATAATAAGCGGAATCTAGTAGCCTTATAGTTACCTTAGCGGAGGAGGGGAAGATATCGCCGAGCTTTAGGTCTAAACTAATATTAGTAGTCGTCGTATTATTAACACTATAATTATAAAATAAGTTATACTAGGTTAGAAATCATTTAAGGACCTAGACTACTAAGCGAATAGGATTATCGCTAGTACGCCTTATAAGCTCGATAATACGTAGCGACTTCGTATAGAGCTCCTCTTATACGGAGGTCGACGCGTAGAATATATAGTTAAGCTACTTAGTCGTAGCGCTATCGATAGGGTTAATTTTATATATAGATTATATTTTAAATACTATCCCTATAGTACACTCTACGACGTTATTATAGCGTAACGCCCTTATATACGAAGGGTAGAAGGACGCGATATCCCTACTTAGGTACTAGAGCCGTTTATATAGCACTTTCTAAAAAGTATAGTCGAGGTAGCCGAAGGTATAGAAAGTTTAGGTATAGTTTATAAAGACTTATAGGCTAGTAATATTCTTTTTATTAGACCCTTACCTTTTCGACTTTCCTATATATCCGACTCCTAAGATAGCCGACTTTAGCAGTTCCTAAATTACTTAAGTAATAGATAGACTATACGGTATTAATCGTATATAATATAGTAATAGCTGCTATTAGCTATTTGCCCCGCTAGAGCTTACCTTTAACGATAATTTATACTAGAGGGTATAAAATATAAACGAGTACCTTATAATAGGTTTTATATCTGGCCCTATAGTAATGACCGGATCCTGCTAGGATCCATTTGATTTTTGGTGGGCGGCGGGAGCCGGGGGGGGCACGATCCATTTAAAGGAGGGGGGGGCAGGATTCTTTTAGACCGTCACGATTTCTTAAGCCCTAAGATAATGTATATTGTTAATCGCGCCGCTGCGAAAAAAATGGTCTCTTTAGATTTTCTACATCTCGTACGCTCGCCGTCCGACGTAGGTCGGAAAGTGTAGTAATTTTAGGTGGTTTAGGGGGGAAGTCCGGATACGCGAGTGTAGGGATAGAGGTATATTATATGCGGGGGCGGGCGACAAGCAGATCCATTTGTCTGTTTTTAGAAATAAGGGGGTGGCATCCGTTCGTTCTTAACACGTAAGACACGGAAATAAAAAGATCGAAAAGAAGAATGTAAGGAAATGTAAATAAAAGAGAGGTCGGGAGGGTAGAGAGTAGCAGGCTAGTAGCGGTAGAGGAGAATAGAGAGTTAAGGTTTTAGAGGGAGTTTAGCGTAGTGTTATACGTGTCGTATAGTTGTTACGTCGCGCCCGGCGTAGTAAAGGGTCATTTTAGGGACGGGAAAAAACACGTAGGTATAAAGGGAAAGAGGATTAAGGAGATCGAACGATGGATAATAGGGTTAGAGGGGTTAGCTACGCGCGTAGGAGATGTAAGGTATCTAGGGAAAGAGAGTCTGGGTGTCGAAGGGTTAGAGGTTTTTTCGGATAGGTGTGTTTATTATTAGGAAGTAAGTAGAGGAGATAGAGTAAGGGTGTGCGGTTATGTTAGTAGAAGTAAGCGTATAATAAAAGAGCACGGAAAGAAGGTATATAGTTAGGTAAACGGCGTAAAGAAGGGAAGGATAAAGAAGAATATAATAAAAGAGAGATTTTAGAGGGGAGGTATAAAATTCCAGAGGTTTTTTAAGTTAAGCAGTTAAAATGTAGGATTTAAGGTAAGGAGTAGAGTAGAAGGGAAAGATAGGAAAGATAGGAAAGAAGAGGAAGAAGAGAAAGAAGAGGAAGGAGAAGAAGAAAAGGAAGAATAGGAAGAAGAGGAGGAGGTTAAAGAAAGATAGAGTAGAAGGTTAGAAAGGTTAATATTAGAGAAAAAGAATAAGAACTAGAAAATGTTAAAGGAAGGTCGGGTAGACGGAGAGATCGGAAGAGTTAATATAGACAATTAGTTAAAGATGTTAGGTTAGAAGGATATATTAAGAGGTATAAAGAGTAAGAGTGTAAAGGTTTAGTTAAGGGGTGTTAATAATAGAGAGGTAGAGGACGGTAAGGATAGTAAGAAGGTTTTAGAGGTATATAAGGCGTTCGTAGGCAGGTTAGTAAGGAATATAATAGTAGTCGTTAGGAGTCCGGATATAGAGAGACAGTATTTATTATTATTAAATAGGAGAGAATTCGGTAGTAAGGATAGTAGAAGGCCGATATATATTAGATATATAGTGTCGACGTTAGATTAGTATATAAAGGTATAGAGGATATTATTAAGGTTTATCTAAAGGATGTAGAAGGGTAAGTTAAGAGGTAAGGAGGGAGGTAGTATATTTAAGGGCAGGCCAGGTTTTATCTTAGGTTTAAGTAAGAGAGAAGCGTTATTGGCGAT